AGACCAATGGCTACCCTTCAGAAAGAACATCACGAAAGGCATTAGAGACGACTATACCAAGCACCTCGCACAGATCAAAGGCAAAGACCGAAAGCTTAGTGAGTGGATTACCAGATGGCAAAAGCTGGTAAACGATGGTGTTGAGCACGAAATTCTACAAATCGCAACACCAAGCTCGTGGTATGAAGACCTTGTGGAAGCATTGAAGAATATCCCGGACGGAAAGACATGGGCACTTGGAGAGCTTGCAACCTTAGAGGAGGATATCCTCGAAGGAATCTATTCTCACGACCAGCTAGCAGCTCGTATGCAGTCAGTCCTCGGTGGAGTAATCAACAATAAGCAAGTCCGATTCGACGCAGGATTTCCAACGCTCCACGGCAAGGATGCTGACGACAATAACACTGGGGATTCAGCAAAAGCCCAGAAGGGGAAAAGCCACCGTAGAAAGCGTGGAGAACGGCAAGATCAAGGGGGACGCCAGCAGAGCGATTCAGAAGATACCCCTCCAAAGCGACCATATAAAAAGGCTCGGTCGGATGGAAAACGCTGCGAAGTATGCCTTCAGTTTGGCCACGGCCTCGATCAGTGCTTTTACACCTACACTACTGATGAAGAAACCCCCGACTGGTTCGAAGACACCAAAAGTGAGGCATTGGAACAACGAATCGCGAAGGTTCTCGACTATGACAAACAACTTGCCGAGAAGGTCAAGAAGGCGAGGGAGAGGCGCAAGAAGTTGTGACTATTGGCAATATTCAGATCCGAAGCTGCCCTCTCAGCAGCACTCACCAAGCCAATCCGATATAAGCAATCAAGAAAGCGGTTCTTACTCGTAAAAGCCGCCTTGAGTGCAAGCACTTACCCTCTTCGAAATTGCGCAATCCTAGATTCGGGAACAACACTCCACATCTTCCACAATAGGAAACGATTCAGGAATTTCAGGACAGCGCCTTACGGAGACTTCGTCTACGCAGGTGACACAGAAGTTCCGATCCTTGGCTACGGAGAGGTGATGATCAAGCTCACCACCACTACCGGAACTCGCCGACTATTACTCAAAGATGTAGCATACTGCGAAGGCTTTGCCTGCAACTTGATCTCACTTCGACAACTTCACAAGAAAGGTTTCCATTGGGACAACGAGGCTCCGAATAACTGCCTTCGAAGGAAAGATAAATCAGTCATCTGCGAGATCTCCGACCAATACGGGCAGTATATAATCGAAGATAGGCCGCTGAACGCAGCACTCCACACTCAACGAAGCACCTCATGGACTGGCCGACCATTAAGTGAAGGCACAGGCAAGCTATGGCACGGCCGGCTTGGCCATCCAGGATCTGAAGCAATCGCACACCTTCAAGTCTCATCATTAGGCGGCAAGCTACGCGGACCAGCAAGCTACGAATGCCCAGCGTGTGGGATATCGAAAGCCAAGCGCAAGATTAGACGCGAGCCACGAGAAACGCCTCGGAATATTGGCGATCGCTTTGCTATCGATTTTCTGGACTTGGTCCCAAACCCCAAAGGCTTCAGCTCAGTAATGCTATTTACAGAGCGAAAAACAGGCTACGTATTTGATCTCTATCTCACTGAACGCAAGGCACCAATACTTATCACCGCTGTCAACATATTCTTAAGGATTATGGAACGACAGTATGGTCTTCGAGTTAAGGTGATCGAGTGTGACGATGAATTGATGAGATCCAAAGCTCTCAAGACCTTCTGGGAAAATAACGGAATCCGTATCGAACGTTGCGCACCACACTCGCAAGATCAGAATGGTGGCGCAGAACGCTCCGGGGGTGTGATCAAAATAAAGGCGAGAACAATGAGAGCAGCTGCCCGATTTCCACCAGAAATCTTATGGGTAGAAATCTACAAAGCAGCAGTCTACCTCTATAACAGAACGCCAAAGAAGCGTCAAAGTTGGCTATCACCATACGAAGTCTTTCACACCTTTCTAGCAAAAAGAGACAATATACCTCATCCAGAAAGAAAGCCTCAGCTAGCACACCTACGAAATTACGGCTGCCGCGCGTACGCAATGACGAACGATGCTCTCAAGAAAGAAAAACGCCTCCTCAAGCTAAACCCCAACGCGTGGATTGGATATCTCGTGGGCTACGAGTCAACGAATATTTACCGTATCTGGAACCCTAAGACAAATGAGGTCATCCGAGCACGTAACGTGGCTTTTAACGAGGATGATTTATTTTCCGGTGACCTTCAGCAGTTGAAGGATGACTTGCTGAGCATTACTAACGAGGAGATGGAGGTACTCCTTAAGAACTGCTCCCTTCCGCAACCCAGTGCCGATAGTCGCCTGGCAAGCGATAACCTAACCACTTACGAAGAAGACGAAGAAATCCTTGACTATATCTTCGTAGGGGGCGAAGGAAACCAAGACTTTGAAGATTCAGAAGACGAAGCCTCTGAAAATTCAGAGCATCAAGGAAAAGACTCTGAAGATTCGGAGCACGAAGAATTGGGCGATGAGGACGAAGAGATGCAAGATGCCGATCCGGAACCACAAGAGTATGAGAAGGAGGCTGATCACCTCTATTCCACGATTCTTGATCCACTTTTGACACCAGCAGCCTCTCCTCCACCGCCAACGGCGCTCCTTGCAGCTGCCTTCTCCTCACTTACTCTTGAAGAGCTCCAAGGTAGTGGGACGCCTCACAGCCCTAGGATGGGGCTTGCTGAGAAGAATCCTAACGCAGGATTTCCTCACAGCCTTAAGATGGGGCTTGCTGAGAAGAATCCTAACGCAGGATTTCCTCACAGCCTTAAGATGGGGCTTGTTGAGAAGAATCCTAAAGCAGGATTTGGCTGCCTTCCAGAGCCAATTAACAAACCCAGCAAAAATTATTGCACTAACGCGAAGAATATTGCGTGGCAAGCTGCCTTCAACTCTGGACGATACGCCGCAAACGTAGCGAGTCTCGACGGCAAGGCTGTGGATAAACACACCCTGCACAAGGAGCTTACCTACCATCGGCTGTCGCTAAGAAGACATCGTCAAATGGCCCGCAACAAGGCTGCAATGACTGCTACTCCAGCTGAGCAACAAACCTTTCCTATAATCGAACTATCCGCTAATGGTAGATACCATAGGAAAGATCTCCCTCTACCACCACGCAGTTACAAAGAGCTCAAGAAACACCTGCTGGATAAATGGTTTGTAGAAGCTATGGAAGTCCATATGCGAAGCCACCGCGAGATGAAATCCTTCGAAAAATGCCACCGAAGCGTCGCTAAGAAAGCCCATATCCTCGACTGTATGTGGGTATTCACATACAAATTCGACAAACACGGCTACCTTATCAAAGCAAAAGCAAGACTGGTAGTGAGAGGAGATCAACAAGCTAGGACAACGATTGAAAATACCTACGCTTCGACACTCGCCGGCAAATCTTTCCGCACGCTAATGGCAATCGCAGCTCGCTTCGACCTCGAGCTAATCCAGTGGGATGTTGTGAATGCCTTTGTACACGCCGACCTTCCATACGACGTATTCATGAAACTACCGCCTGGATACAGCGAGGAAAACACGATTCTGAAGCTTAAGAAGGCCTTATATGGCCTCAGAGAATCACCTTTGCTATGGCAGAGGAAATTCACGGCAACCCTGCGAGAACTAGGGCTTGTGCCGGTACCCCACGAACCATGCTGTTGGACTAAGGATGGCGTGATCATCTTCTTCTACGTTGACGATATTGTGGTAGCCTACAGGAAGGAAAACGAAGCTATCGCACAATCGGTAACAGCCGCCCTACGCGCACGATATTCCCTACAAGCAGGAGGTCCTTTGCAGTGGTTTCTGGGAGTATCAGTACTTCGCGATAGAACCAGCCGGACGATATGGCTATCCCAAGCGGATTATATCGACAAGATGAGCCGTTTCGTTGGATCACAACGCCCACGCCGACCAAAAAGAACACCAATGGGCACTACCGAGTTACTACCATACAACGGAAAGGCACCATTTGCTCAGATCTCGGAATACCAACGCAAAACCGGAACAATTTTGTATGCCGCTGTGATCACAAGACCAGACGTTGCTTTTGCTATTTCCCGACTTGCAAGATTCAACCTGAACCCCAGTCCACAACACCAAGAAGCCGCGGATCGTGTGATCGAGTACCTCCTCAGCACAGCCAATTACGCTCTTAAGCTCGGGGGTGAGGATGAAATGGCTACCTGGAGCGATGCCTCTTTTGCCGACAATTCCATCGACCGACGGAGCTCCCAAGGATATGTCATGAAGCTATTCGGAGGAACGATCGGATGGCGCGCCAACAAGCAAGACACGGTAACAACGTCAACTACCGAGGCTGAACTATTAGCTCTCGCTCAGGCAACAAAAGAAGCTATGTTTGCAAATCGACTCGTGAAGGAAATTGGTATAACCCTCGACGATGACGCAATACAGCTCTGGTGCGATAATACCCAGACGATTGGGCTTGTTACGAAGGAAATCGCCACTCTACAAACCAAACTACGGCATGTGGACATTCACAACCATTGGCTTCGTGAAGTAGTCGAAACCGGGCAGATCCGCGTGAACTATACACCTACAAAGCAGATGGTAGCAGACGGACTCACCAAAGCTCTTCCGGAGGCGGATTTTCTACGATTTAGAAACCAGATTGGTGTGGTGGATGCGACTGAAGTGTTGATCACAAGAAGTAAAAGCCTGAGGATTTTGAAGGACGAAGATTTAGAGGCACTAGAAGATGAGTTTCAAGGAGGTGAGGTTGAGGTTGTCTGAATAACCTCTCGTTTGCCTGTTTAAGGAAGTCTTTCAGCCAATCGCTAGCATGGCCATTGACTGAGGGGGTGTGTTGGATTGGCTATTGTCAGATGGACAAGGGTTGCATGTGGAACAGAGCTCATCCCAGCTGAGCTCTGGTGTGGTCATCCGAGGTGAAAAGAGGCTCAGGGGAGCTGAAATGAAGTGGCCAGTTCAGCTGGTGTGGCTACTTTTGCCACCACCATTGCCACCATTTACAACTATAATAGAGGCCCTCTGGCAGGACCAAAAAGAACAAGGAGGAGAGAAAAGGGAAAAAGTTGAAGTGCTGAATCCAACAGTTACCATGCATGAGGATAGAATGGGAGGAATTGGTCGAGACCGTTAGGAGGCTTGCCAATAGCCTCACACTTCGGCCATGGGACACGCTGAGCCTCGCGACCCAGTAGTCACTTCGCCGACTGCTTGGCGGGAGCGCAAAGCCGTACTACCACAATCGGTACTCATCTCCTGCCGTTGTGCAGGCTTGGCTGTGGCACGCCCTTGACGACAACCTCTTCTCGGACCCAGACAAGTGGGCGACTCCGCAGTGGAAGGCCTATGGAACCCTCTGCGCCTCCTTCCGCGACCGCGCCAGGACTCCAGACAGCGCCATCACCCCGGAGAAACACGGCGAGGCCAGGGTGTACGCGGAGAACGAGTTTCACTATTAGCGCATACTCACCCTACGCATGATGATGAAAGAATTGGAGAAAGTCTCTATGGAGGTGAACGAGTTCGGGATTTTGGACGATCCCACCGCCCCGCACACCTCTCTCGACCGGCTGGCCGACCGCCTGATGGGTAAGCTTGCCGAGATCCTTGATGAGGCCAAGGCCCCAAGCACGTACGAAAATAGTATCCGGTTCTTGGCCAACTCTGCTATGTCTACTGATCTCAACATTCTCCGAGCATGGGACCATATCATGGTCGTTTGGTGCCTCCCCAACATAGCGAGCACAGCTGCTATGGAGGGCCACCTTTCAGCAAATCCCACGCCCTCGAGAACTATGACGACATATTTGGAAGGGATGGCGACTCCATCGACCTCGTCGTGAGCCCTGGCATCTTTCAGTCGGGCCGACCAAAAACTGGGTTCTATGAGGGACTTTGGGCCCATCCCATCCGGGTGGCCGTTAAGGGAGAGCTCGAAGACGCCACGGCAGATTTCAGATCGTTCATCATGAAGAATACGATAGGCTCGAGGGTGGCTAGCACCTAAATCTGGAGCAAAGAGATGGGGCAGTAAGAGACGGGGTTGGGTCGCTTTCCTTGCAATCTGTCGAGAATTAGGGGAGTTTTTTTTTTCCAGTCATTCATTATATGCTTCACTTCTTGGGTACACAAGATAGGTGTCCACTCATTCAGCACAAAGAAACCTAAACCAAAGATGAGAGAGGGCCAGATCCGTCCACCTCGTCCGTGAGCTTTCTTTCTTTCCAATGCATAGTATGTGAGACGCAATGCAACGGTCTAGGAGGAGGTAGAAGCCATGCCGGCGGGGCGTGTGGACGGCGGTTGGTCCTTTGCGTGTGTGCTCTAGCGTTTGTGTTAGTTTGACATTGCAGATGGTTTAGCCTTGCAGATGGTTTAGCCTTGCAGATGGTTTAGCCTTGCAGATGGTTTAGCCTTGTAGATGGTTTTTCGTTTGTCCATTAGCTGCCAGCCTGCGCGGCGCAGGGCCCCGCATCCGGGGAAACATGTGGATTCTACTGGCTAAAACGTCTAGCACACCCCCTGGGCAAGATACGGCACTGCTTTGTCCCGAAGGACGCTCATGTCCCGCACAGGGGCCCTCGCAGCACTAGTAGTAGGTTGCCATGTCTACCGTGCCTTGCACAAAAGGTATGCACGCATAGTGGTTATTTGCGAGGCGCCAAAGCCTGATAGGGGGGGAGAGGCACTTGGCGTAGTTTTCTTTTTCTCTGAAAGACCGAATCCAGTACTTAGTCTTTCACCTGTATCTTCGGCAAGATGGCTAGGACTGACCAGGGCTTGGATTGGGCTAGGTATTGTGGGGCGGCTTGATTTGCCGTTTGCTAGCACGCGGCCAACAAAAAACAAAGAGACTCACAGACAAATTAATACATGCCCTGTGGGTCCTCCTAGCTCAACAAACATGGTCTCTGAATCACGCAGGAAAAGATCAATTCCTGCATCGACTACATCCCTCAAATCTTCAGAGATTGTATTGGGCTAGAAGGAGGACTGACTCACAAGGCATTAATTTGAGCTTGGTTTTATCTTTTTTGGCCTACTTTTGGCCGAGTTGTGGATTGTTCAAGCCGGCGCTGAATGGATGTTTGTGAGTCTCTTTATTTTCTCGGTCGCGTGGCTAGGATGGCTCTCAGAGAAGTTCCCCTCTCAATTGGCCTTGGCCTTGGGAAAGCCCCGCCGCCCCACACAGCTTGCTGCATGTGGCCAGCCAATCCGAGAGCACCTCGTAGAGCGACACGCAAAACTTCCTCTGAACCCGCGTCTGGACTGGGAAGGAATCGACAGCAGGATGCCGCGAGATGAGTCCCTGAAAGTCTCCTTCGGCTTCAGGGCCAGGCATCCAAGCTATTCAAGGCACTCACTCTCCCGCAGCCGATCCGCGCAAACCAAACGAAACCTCTCTTTGGCAGCAACCCACAGATCAGGGCAGAAAGGAAATATCCGAACCAGCAAAGAGGCCCATCTCACCTCGGAGCAGCCGGGGGCTCACGAGCTGCTCCTTCCACTGCCGTCGGGGGCTGGCTGTCTGAAACTGCAGCTTCGAAAACGGCTAGAACTGATCACCAGTCACGACCCAGAATACCACATCTCCCGGACAGACCTACCTCGGCAGACCAAAGCGGCCCAGAATAGCAAGCGGGATCCCCCCTCCCCGGACACCCCTCTCCGCCTGGCGGTAGGAGACAGGTGCGCTCGCCTTCCTCGAGGCTCAGTGAAGAAGTCAGGATCGTGACAAGGGGTTAGGTACGTGACGATCTGCAGTCTGTAGCCAGCTGGATGCCTGCGGCAGTGAGATTGTGTAAGCTGTTGGGCCTTGGGGTGGTAACACGTTGCTAGGCGCCTGATGAACGCTCTAGGTCTCGTTCCGCTAGCACACGACTCTGCACAATGGTCAGTGGATTGTGGAAGGACTAGTCGAGAGCGAACCCCCACTGTAGTTAATACATCGGGCCTAACTTGGCTGTGTGAGCTCTAGTTGAGCTTATCTTCGTCTCTTCAACCTTTTTTTCCGGCTTATCCTCTCCTTCCCCTGGAATCCAGGGCCATCACGGCCCAGGTGGCCCTCCTGGTTGGCTACTCTGGCGATTGACTGACTGAGGAAACCCACCGCGTTCTTGGCGCACTTCGACGCTTGCCAGGAGCTAGCGATCTCGAGGACTACTACGACCAGATGCTTTCAGATCTGAGTCCCGTCGGCCGCATCGAGGCCGACAAGATAATCCTGCTCCTTACTCACCATGGAGGCGGCCATCGCCGCTGTTCCTCATTGGTCGTCTGACATGGCTATCGCGATGTGAGAACGACCCATGGTTTCCCATGGGGATGGACAAGCTCATTTCTTCGCAAGGAAGACATGGACGCCATGTACAACGAGTGGCGGGGGCGGGGGGGCTTGCTCAGCAACCGTTGTCGAGACTTCCTAGGATGACAGGTTTCTTGGTACCACTGGCGGAGGTGGCACCGAATGGAGGGATGTGCCAGTGCTTTAGCGAGACTCTGGAGATGAGGAGCAAGAAACCTGGCCCAGCCCAGTGTTGAGGTGTAGAACAATGTACCGTAGGAGCTGTCTTACCTGGTGTCTGAAGACCAACCGTCTCCATCCGCGGCCCTGTGCATCTAAGGGGAGCCACCAACATTCTACTCAGAGAGCAAGTCATGTCACTCAGCTTCCTCTTACACTGTGGCCTCCAGGCTCGCTGTTCATTCCTGTTTAAGAACTGTGGCGTGTCTTATCTCCCAGTTTAGTCGGAACCTTGCCTCCGCCTTCTTCTCCCAGAGTCCTCGAGCTCAGTGACTAGGCTAGGCCGTCGTGTTCTCAAGACGACGTTTACACGAAACTAGCAAGTCGATCAATGAAAACAGGGCAAGCCAGCCAGCATAGTATGCCCGAGCAGGCGATTCGCTATGCAAGTGAGCCGCTCCATGGTTTTAACATTTCTTTTATTTCGGACAATACGGCTTATTCTGGTTCAATTCAGAGTTACCATACCACTGTAACTACTGTGTATCCAGAGTTGGCTAGAGCAGTCCCTTGGATCGCCCGTTCTTGGGGCGGTTACCCTGTCATTCATCGATTCACCTAGTCTAAACCCTCGGACCTTCCTATCTTTGCAGTTGCCAGCTCTGTTGCTCACCTGAACAACCTATATTCACACTGTTCACCTCACCTTGACTGGGGCTGGGATTGTAACAGAGCTGTAGCGGGCGAGCAAGATATATTGTATTACAGTTTAATTAGCCACCTTCAATTGTCAGTCACCACTTTAGAAAACGTAATAGACGAATAAATACGATTTTATACTTGCTTATATTAGGCATGATCAATAAATCTCCTTTGGTACGCAGGTACGTTAATTGAAAGAGGATGTCTCTTCGGACTACAGAAAACGTCTACTCGGACTATAGTTAGCCAAAATGTACATTGAAATCCCCGCTAAGCCACTAGCCTAACCGAACCTCGCCCCCTACCTCCAAACTTGGCCGAAATTTTACCTACAATTGAGGCCGTCACCAAATCAACCACATCCAAGTCAATTGAGCCACAACAACAACTTCGCGATTTTATCGCTGCGCAAGTAGGTGCATCGCTTCATATTCAATCTACAACGCCAACTAGCAATAGAATGAGCGCGCGCGCGGATTTAGCCGTCGACGAGGACCGTTGTTACCTCACGCCCACGGCGCGCAGGGCCCGAGGGGGCATTACAAAGGCGTCTATACGCGGTGCAACAACCCGTCGTACTACGAGGGCTTTGGCTGCAGCATTTGAAGCGCAACAAAGCAGCGGTCTTGAGGGTGCCTAGGCAGGGCAGGTGGTGCCATATTGGGCCTGTTACGTAAGCAACAACACAGGTTGAGCCTCCGGCTTTTGTTGCAGAAATCAACGATTTGGCCTGCAGCCTGGGCGGCCAGCCCCGCATGCGAATAGTGTCAAATGTGGTGTAACTGTGGTGCGACCGTTCATATGGCTAATTGATCTGAACTTGGGATGCGCTGGCTTCGTCCCAGGAAAAGTCGATTTTTTTGTGTAAAAAGTAGGTTTCTCCTGGGCGCGGCCCAAGCGTCTTGGCACCTACAGTCCGAGTAGACGTTGCCTACAGTCCGAAGAGACATGCTCAATTAAAAACACTTCTGAGGTAATCTTATTTAGAATCGTGTTATTAGCATAATAGCCGTATGCCCGTTATATCCAGCCACATCGTCCCTCTCAAATCTCGAACTGGGATCCGTATTGAATATAAGCCCCTTCCAATTACAAGGCCATCACAGCTACAACGAGCTCGCCTACCTAGTCCAGCGAGGACATTGGTACCCATCTGTGCAGCGCCGGCGGTGACCGTAGAGGGCTTGAATGTGGAGGTGGTGCTGGTCAACGTACGAGTTCTGGCTGCACCATCTCCACAAGTGTAGAGTAGAGGCGGACACCGCGCCCAGGAGAACGAAGGCAGGAAGGTAATGCATTTTGGGATGTCTCGTCAGCGGAACACCTTGAGATATCGATATCGCTGTTCAGTAACCGTTGAAGAAAACAAGATAATCCGCAAATGGGACAGCTTCTCCCTAGGCTGGGCTGACCCAGGGAACTTAGGGAAGGCTGTTCTTATGCTTAGAATGCGCGGGATGCCTCCGGTCTAAAAACACCCAACTTCATGTCTGGCGCACTATTGAATATAAAGGCGTCGCTCTTTTTAGACGAGAATGTGCGCCAACGCCATCTCCCCTCATCGCTCCTCAAATGTCACTGCTTCTCAGGTGGGGTATTCCTCTTCTTGTCTCTCGGATATTGCTTATTTCAGACAGCGGGAGTCAGTCACCCTGATACCGAGGGTTTGATGTATCTAAAATTGTTGATCAGCCTGGGGCTTGTCCGCCTGGCCCTATCGGCTTGAACAAGCAAGCTCAATGTTCATACACTGGAAAGGACCGTAGGTCTCAAGGCAACCCGGATCCGTATCCGTGTCAGGTCTGACGCGCAATCAGCTTTGGAATGATGACTTCGCCGGCTGCGAGCGATTGTTTGTTAGGAAGCCTCTTTGCCAGTCACAACACGGCAGCTTTTGACTCCATATACTCACAGTATGGACTACGGTCGTGATACGATGATAGATCCCGAAGACTGTGGAGAGTTGGCCCTTGGGGGTCGTTTATACCTGCCGGACTGGGTCAGCCCGTTGGACGAGTGCTCCAGACCCCATTGGACTCCATATTCTCAGGCCTGGGCGGCATTGAAGGCAGGGAACCATGTACTTCTACCCCAATGACATCTGGTGAGTACCAAAATTCCGGTCATTTTTTGTTCACCGCGCTCCGAGACGGTGGAAGGCCTGTTATTCGAGGACGCCAAAGAGCTCCCGGACATGAGCCGCGCCAACATAGAGCTGGGATAGGGACAATTTCGTATCGAGCACTATAGACTCGGTCTTCACAATCCCTGGACGATGGGTCCGGGGGGCACAACAACCTGTGGCATAGCGAGCTGATATGTGACGCGATATGTTTATTAGGTATTGGTAGCACCTTCCTAGCCCAGTGAGATAGGGATCCTGGCCTCATTCGCCCCACTGGACCCCCCCCTCTGCTCCCCCATGCCGTCCTGACAGCCGAGACCTGAAAGTTCCCCGAGGTTAATTCTCTTCATGGGCGCTCAACCAAATCATGTCCCCCTATCCCCCTAGTTTCAAGGTCTCATTCTTCCCGCGGGCGGCACCATTTTCTAAGCATGAGGAATCTCAGTCTCTCGCTGTGAAGCTGGGAGGGGGTCGGGAGGGGACAGCTTGGTGATAGTGGATGGACATTCCTCTTCAACGAATCGTCGTCTTGTTCATAAAGCGATGCTGAACTTGCTGTGTCTAACAATCAAACAGCTCTTTCAAGAGGCTCTGCTCATTGGGATCTAATAGGTATATTAATGTTAGATATGTATTGTGTGTATGAAAAAAGATAAAGAGAGGGAAAGATGGAGAGAGGGAAAGATGGAGAGAGGGAAAGATAGACAGAGGGAAAGATAGACGGAGGAAAGATAGAGAGAGGGAAATCCTACTACGGAGTCTCTGATAATATCGCGTTCGACTACCTCAAATGGCCGTGTGAGCTGCACTATCAATGTTTCTGCTCCCAGCATCTGCTCCGCTGGTGATGAATCCGATGATAACAACCTTCAACGTATAAGTGCCAGCGTCGGCCCCGATTTTGGGTGCAGGGAACAGAAAGGTGGGCTCAGAAGGCAGTGCCGAAGCCGATGTGGTTCTGCTGAGAGTTCTGTTCTTGACGGGATTTCTATTCGTATCGGAAAGGCAGGCCGTGGCCATCAAACTTAAATAACGAAATCGGTCAAAGTTGGAGGCGAATGTCATGATGACTGGGGGCATGATTGTGCCTTGCCTGACTTGAGCCGGGGGGGGGGGGATTTCTACGGCGAACTGCTTGGAGCTACAGCTGTCAAAGCTATTTCGGTTGCTCATTGCGTCTTATTGTTTCTTCACTAGCCGCTAATCAACCAAACTCAATTATTCTTACGTAGTCGCTTTCCTGTCCGCCGGAAAATAACCCGTGTCTGTTTTAAGGAGTTTGGGTCAGGGGATCGAAGTGCAGATCTTGAATAGAAGCCGAGATCAATCCGCGTACCCGCCAACTTCTCCAGGCGGCTTTGCCCCCTCAAAAAGACGGCGGTGGTGGTCGTGCCGCTGCCGGTCCCTCGACGCGTGGTCGCCAATTCCCTCACGCTGTTCGCCCCACTGGCCCCCCAGCCAGCATTTCCTCAGAAACAAGTAGAGCTTATCTCCATGAAAAACGCTCCCATGGCCAATGCTCAAATCTTGATCTATCTATTTTTTGTTATCGAGTTTAAGGGCAATGGTGGGGACCTGTGGGTGGCAATCAACCAATGCCTTGGGTATGCAACTCTTGTGTTATTTGTTACCCTTTGGGCTGGCACTTACTGACCCCAAGCATTGCAGAGGTTCCATGTCCTGTGTCAACATGGCTGAACGTCTAAACGAGCATCTGAGGAAATGTGAGAGCGACAAGATCCAGGCGATAGACAGCACAGCATTCAGCATTGCCATGAATGGTACGGAGGCCCGGCTCTACGTCTCATGGAAACATAACGAGCTGGACTGCTACATGCAGAAAGTCGAAAGTTTCACCCTTCAGAAGCCTAAGGACTATATCGAGTTCCGCAGGTACATCCAGGACATCATCGACTGGGGGAAAGACAAGCGGCTGAACGAGATTCGGAATTCTCTGGACAGCCTCCTGGAGGAGAGCAGGCAGAGAGTTTCCGAGGCGGCGAAGTCTCGTCAACCACCATCTGATGGTTCTACTACTAGCAGCGGCAAGAAGCGCAAATCTTCAACGTCGTGAAGAAACAGCAGCAGATCCAACAGCGTGCAAGGACAAGGCGGCGGAGCAAATGAGCTGAGGGAATGGGATGAGAGACCCCACACGATGCCCCATGGGGAGCAGCAGGTTTGCCCACACCAGCAACTGCAAGGCTTCCTTGACCCTGGCCTGTGCCCGTTCCTCACGCCCCGATTGTTCCATCTTCATCACATGTGAGGCGAAGACTGGGCCCATGAGAAACTTCTTGGCTGTTGGTCGAGCTCGCATGAACCGCCCTGGCCTTGAGGAGCTGCTGGATTGCTTCTTCGCAGCGTTGAGTATTCTCGAGAGCGCCCAGCAACGCTGACTTAAGCAATAGAACATTGCCATCAGGTCCTCATATTTTGGACTGGCATGCGTCCCACAGAAACGCCCTGGGAACCGTCCCTCCTGCGAATGTCATCATTTTTACAAGGCCCTGCCCTGAGCATCAACACCCAGTTGATAGAAGTCGTCAATTGACCGTTTGCTGGGGATTCCGGCAGACAGATCAAGTGGATCCTTGGTGCGTCACCAACCAGCGGGACGGACTAAGACCCCTGGCTTAGTTGTACAACAGTGGCTCTGTCTAAAAGGGTAGTTCGACCCAGGACGCCCTTTGGTGTATTGGAAAGCCGTGTCGTGCATGGGTTGTTGTGATACAGTCCTGATATGAGCTCTAGAAGACGCTGTTTATAAAAGTATCGATGATCCGACGCCCCGGTTGGTGACTCAATCTTGGACAACTTATTATCCAGCATTGCATTATAAGACTGGACGGCCTTCCATAGATGCGGCGTCGGGGGTGGAGCAGACCCTTCTTGTCATCTTTGGACTCGTCCTTGAAGCAAACTAGAGCGCATTCGCATTTCAACACCAACTGACTTAGATGGTATTGTTAACTTGGAATAAGGCGTTGGAATAAGGCGATTAGGTCGAACCATGAAACGTCCGGAACACCTGGGATGGAAATTTTTAGGAAAGTGCCCATAGTGCAAGGTGCAAGGATGGTAGGTGGTACCATGAGCCGCACCAATGCAAAAGGGTGTGCCTGTGCTTTGAGATAGCGGACTTGGCGCTCTCGGACTCGGTCCAAAAAGACCTCTCAGCCAGCCCCCTGCGTTGCGTCATCTCCATGGCTAATGAGAGACCAGACGACCCTACCTTATGGGGCTAGTCTGTAATAAGGATCACAGGCTAATTTAGCGTGTAATCTTTATTCCAGGCGTGGAGTCGTGACATCTTGGTCAATCTGCTCTGCTCTGAGGAAAGGCTCGATGCGCCAACAGCACAAAGCTCTTTGCTGCACCAACTTAGGTGGTAAGCCAAGCCGCAAAAAACCCGATTCGTTGGCGGCTGGCCGTCGGATGCCGGTGCCAACAACCCCCCACTCCGGGCGACATTGGTCGTCTTGCTCTCCGGCTGGGACTGCAAACACCTGCACCTGGCTTGGCGGTTGCTGAACCCCGCCACCTCCAGAAATGCTGTCCCGCTTCAGTGAAGAGGAGTTTGACCCCGAGATTGTGGGCACTGGGGCGGGAAGGTCCACTGACAGCGTCGGTAACCGACAAGAAAAGTGGACTACATAAAGTCCTCCCATTGGATGAGCGCCAACCGATGCACCCTGACTTGCCGCGCCTCACCAGGCCTGGGTCTTCGCGCCGTTTAGTGAATGCACGCTCTTCCCTGGCTGGGAGGGCTGGTTTTTAGTCTCTGGGGTCCACTTCTAATACCTGGAGGGGTCTAGGGTGTTGCGCTCGTCAGGTAGGTACAGTACCGTAGGGGTGCACAAGCTCCGTGTGGAATTATCGTCAGTCCCAATTCTCCCACCGCCCAACCCATCACTCGTCCCTTCCATTCACCTGTCCGTCCCATCTCCAGGGGAGAGCGGAAGCTGAAAAGACGCATTCGCTCATGTCTTCCCGATCCCTTGATATACTGCCCGATGATGAGCTCGTCACTATCGCCGAGGAATGGCACAGAACCAGGCTGAAGGAAGGTATAAACACCTTGACCGGCACAAACCCGTGATGGGGCTACCTTCTTTGACTTCGCATATCTACAATCTGCAGTCGAGCCAGTGCATGGATCAAGTTCTCTTCATCGATGGGGCGAGGCGCGCATGCAGGCATACGCACGAGAGCAGCTGTTCTGCAAATGGATCCCTCTTCTCGGGGCAACAACCCCCGCGTTCTAGAAGTATGCCGGTGCCATCCAGCGCGGCGGGCAAGTGTACATACATTGTGATGGAGTACGTCCCTGGCAAGACACTCCATGCCTTGGGACGCGGAGGAAAGTCAACGGCGAGTTGCTCGACGCCCATGGTCGCCAGAGTAGCAGATTCCTGCCATTCGGCTTCTACTCTCCATCCCCGTCTCTCAAAATACGCCGCCAGGGGCCTGTAGGTGGTGGACTGATCAACCATATGCTTTTCACCAACCAGGAGGCACCCGCCGAGAACGCCTCACTGGAAGAGCTAGCGAGGCATTTGAACAAGGTGGGTGGGTGTGACAACCTCTGTTCTGCTCCTCACTACGCAGGATGCTGATGTGATCCCAGGTCAACTCCATAAGAGAGGGAAGCCAAGACTCCATCCAATTCTCTCATGAGCCAATGTGTGCTTTTGCTACACGGATGTACACGCACAAAGCTTCATGTTCACTGATGACGGCAAGGGGAATTTATACATTCTTGACTTCGGACATGCCTCGTTCTTGCCTCTCAGCTGCATGGCCTTTGCTCTGCGCCACCACCACCCCAGCTCCTGGCTGGTAGCAGACATTCGGGACCGCGTTGGATTGATCGAGTGGAAGATGGATGCTGACAAAAACAAACGCCTGGAACGAATGGCTTGGTTGCGGTATGTCTTTGCCACGAGCAGCCAGAAAATTGGTACGTACGGTGTGGGTAGCCGTTAGGGCTGCCGCTAACATTAGAACAGGGCTCCCTCTATAGGGAATTACTTTCGTTCTCCGGCAGCAATCGGTCATCGGTTGTCGGCGCGCAGCGTTATTGATGAATGGATTCACTACCTCATCCGGAATGCCCCTCGGCGTGGATCCAATTCAAGACCCCCGTCTTCGCGCCCTTACGATTCTCTATGACAGCTGATTGAGATGAAGGAAACTTACCATGAGGCCTCCGCGTAGCCTCTTTGGAGGCTCTGGTATCAGGCAGCGAGGTAGTACGGCGGCGCGCGGGAGGTCCGTCGGATTTGGGAGGCTCGTTTGTCTCCTCGGGGGTGTTGCGAAGCAGAGACGGCGAGAGGGGCGGCGAGAGAGGCGGCGATGTTGTAGTGTCGGCGGCTAATGCCGAAAGAAATTCATCAATCACTCCGTGCACAAGATGATCTTTCTCAGCATCTGTCAAATATTCGTGATGTAGCGCCCGAACAGTATGGCTAGCGGATGGAACATTTTTCCGGAGCGCCGCGAATACCGTCACTCCTCCCTTCCCAGCTTCCTCCATCCGAGCGAGCGAGCGAGCAAGCACACTACCCACCATCCCACGAGACATTCCCACAGACGCCCTAGTCAAGGAACTCTCTTTCTCCTCTTCCTCCTTGCCTGGCCGGAGCTAGGTGGAGAGCTGGGCATGTGGTGGGAGAACGTGATGGCTGCGCACAATGTCAAGCGCCTGTCCAAGAGATATAGGGGGGCCGGTAGGGTGTCGGGCGGACGAAAGGAGGAAAGGCAATGCCACACTGGGGCTAACGAGGAGGCGAGTCGAGGCTCTGTTTGGGAGGACGAGGATGTCAGTGGCAAGCAGCTCGCGAGAGGGGCCACAAGGATATTTCAGGGGGTTAGTCCATCCGCCATTCCATCAGCCCAGCTAAGCACCAATGCTCACAACTGCAGATACTTCAGTGGGCTGCGTGGGCTGCCTCTCTGCTGGTTTTGCGGACCCTGCGCAATTCCCGAGGACAAATCAGCCGCTGTATGGGATGCAGGAGCACATATCGGAGCCTAGCTGAATGCGCGCATCAGCGTCGTGGAGCATGTTAGCATGTCGGCATGGTGGTTGCAGTGCGTCAGCCCCAGCTAGAGGTCCATCTTTGAGGTCTTTCTAGAGGGGTTGGTTCATTTCTGGTCTGGAGGAATCTGTTTTTCTGGCGGGGCCCATTCTAGTCTCCAAGAAGGAAGGGCCCATATCGCGGCGACCACAAGACTGTGTCTTAGAGTGGGGGGAGCTCTGAAAGTCGGGGACTGTCGAGCTAGCCCAAAGGGCTAGTACTTAGATGAACCTTTCACGCGGTGCTGCCGCTGTAATCCTAGTGGGCTTGCCACAGTGCAGATTGCTCCGCGTTCTCGGGTGCGCGGAAATGACCTGCCCTATTTCCTCGTACATTTGCCTGAACCTATCTTACGTAAGGACGGTGCCTACAGTTGCTTGATACTGTACCCCCAGCTCGCTAAAATGCGACGACGATAAGGTTCAACCACTAGCAGCTACCGATAAGGGCGCTGAAATACAGAGAGGGGGGCCTAAAAGCTTTAGCGGCTTGCCAGCTTTTGAAGCACTGTCCGTACGGCAGGCAGTTGCCTAAAAAATGATCTAAAACGGAATAACCGAAATCCCAAGACACAAATCCATGCTAACTCCGCCGTCAAGAAACCTAACCCAACCCAACCAGCTCCAGCTAGCGTCTTAGACACCCATAGTAAAATCGTGCTCGATACCTGGCGTTACGCTGGCAATGAACTGAGATAGGTGTTAGTCAACTATTTCACCAGCCGGTGTGGGGAGATGGGAAAACCAGAGTTGGGCGAACACATACCTTCAAAAAGACAACCAGATACTGATCTACGCGGATAGCCACCTCTTGGTCGGCGATGTCGTTCTGGACATCCTCCCACTCATCGTTGTTATCTCCCGAACCAGAGGGAGCAGCCGCTGGGGCCTTTGCGCCGCCGACGTCGAGCTTTTGGGCCTCGTCAACGAGACCTTCCATGCCCTGCTCGCTCCCAGCCGCCATGCCTGCCTTGAGCTTCTCCCGCCGTAGCTTGAGGGCTGCATCGGCTCGGTCAAGGAGCGTCTTCATGACGGGCGCATGCTTGCAGGGGTGCACGCTGGCCATCTTGATGTTGTTCGCGAAGAAGGGGAAGTCTTCGAGCGTGACCGTCTTGTCCTTGTAGTCACCAACAATGTCCTCCATCATCAGGTGCGGTGGCAGCGGCTGTCCGTTTGGCAGGTAGCCAGACAGGTACAGCCGCGGGGTGTTGTACCACGGCGAATATGTGATGTACAGCGAGTAAGTGCGTTTGCCACTGTGTGGGGAAGAATAAGTTAGCAAAAGGAAGACGTGAGGACGGGAAGAGATCACCGCCATAACTCCTCCCAAAAAAACCGCGCTAATAGAGATGAAGAGAGTGGCTTCTTACCTGCTGCCACTGTCGCCCTCGACATCGCGGATGATGGCCTCGTCGTCGTCCTCATCTTCCATGTCTGGAATGTCATCTTCTTCCACGGCCTCCCTCTCGCCGACGTTGCCGGCATCGTCCACCGTTCGCACCTCCCTCCGCTTAAGCGGCTGCGAGCTCGTCAGGCCGCCAGTCCGAAGCCAGCCGTCGTCCTCGTCGTTGTCTCCCTTGGGGCCGTTGCCGCCCTCAACCACCGCCTCCTCGTGGCCTGCATCACCAGCGAAGTCGTCGTTGAGCCGCCGGTGGCAGGGGACATGTCGTGTCACCAGGAACTGTTTGCCTGGCGGTAGGTGGCTGACGCGCTTGCTCGCGGGCTCGGCGTCGGCCCATGACCACGTCGGGAACTTGAACACAAGGTAGTCGCCAGCCGCCACGAACTCGGCGGGCGTGATCTCGCCTGTTTTGCGGAATGTCGACGTGTGGCTGACAGGTGCGTACCGGTCCCGAATGCTATTGACGGTTGAGTAAAGAAGATTCATCGTTGTGGGAACTTTTGCCCTTGGGGCGATTCTGCTGGGGGTGCCTCAAAGGCAGGAGGGGAGAATGAGGTGGGGGCTGTTGGTTTGCGCCTCTTCTGAAAGCGATTACGAGGGGCAGCTGTTGAAGTCGGGAAGCAAGAATGCGAAAAGAGAAGAAAAATCCAAGGTTGACAGGAATAACTTCTAGCGCTTGCCGAGAGAGACTAGAGGTTAAAGGCAATCGGATTATCTAGACTCGGAGATGTCAAGTGACAGATTAGGCAGCCCGTGATGGCGGGGAGGTGTGACGAACTGACGATTGACGAAGGTCGAAGGCGCTGCGCCTGGCCTGGCCACCTGCCTGGGGGTGGGGGGAGCTCTGTAGGCTGCCTGTGCCCCACTCCACCTCAGGTGACGTTTCCAGCGGGTGGCGCCCGACAAAATTTTGGAAGGGACAGCCCCGTCGGGCCGTCACCAGCCGCCGATTCCGTAGCCGGCCGTCATCGATTGGCCGAAGCTCCCTTCCTGCATGGCGGGCAGACAGGGACATTGTCAACTTCTGGAGAAGGCTGACGACGACAAAACGCCATCAAATCGACGCTATTGCACACAAGCCATCCCAGCCTGAACTACTTACGGTATCTCTCGATTTGACAAACCAGCGCGCGTTGCTGGTGATGCGGGTACCCTTTTGCACATTAGCCCTTGCCTGCATTGAAGCATTGGGCTGCTGCTACTGCCGCTGCCGCTGGTTTTCCCCTGTCGAGACATCTCCTGCTGTCACTTTTTGATTCGCGCGCGACAACAAGAGCGCAGCAGCTCAATAGGTGCCCAATATGGCCACGGTTCGCAGCCTCGACCACACCAAGTGCGTCTGCTCCCATCGCGGTTGTCATACAAAAACAATACGCTCTGCTCTCTTGCTTCCCTTTCAATGTCGCAAAGCTGACCACGATGCCGCGCAGATCCGAGGCCGAACTGTCCATCAACATCAAGAAGGCAACGAGCCCCGAAGAGTCCGCCCCGAAGCGCAAGCATGTCCGCAGCTGCATTGTATACACATGGGACCACAAGTCATCCCAGTCCTTCTGGGCTGGCATGAAGGTCCAGCCCATCCTCGCCGACGAGGTCCAGACCTTCAAGGCTCTGATCACAGTCCACAAAGTCCTTCAAGAGGGCCACCCCGCTACTCTGAAAGAGGCTATGGCGAACCGCGGTTGGATCGACAGCTTGAATAGGGGCATGGCGGGAGAGGGCATGCGAGGCTACGGCCCCTTGATTAAGGAATACGTCTACTATCTATTGGCCAAGCTGTCGTTCCACCAGCAGCACCCCGAGTTCAACGGCACGTTCGAGTACGAGGAGTACATCAGTCTCAAGGCCATCAATGACCCAAACGAGGGATACGAGACCATCACGGACCTGATGACTCTGCAAGACAAGATCGACCAATTCCAGAAGCTGATATTCTCGCATTTTCGCAACGTCGGTAACAACGAGTGCAGGATCTCGGCTCTTGTGCCGCTAGTGACTGAGAGCTACGGAATCTACAAGTTCATTACCAGCATGCTTCGAGCCATGCATTCGTGTACGTTGATGCCCCTCTCTTGTCCTCTTCGTCCGTTACCCATGACCTTGCTGACACTGTTCCCAGCCACCGGGGATAATGATGCTTTAGAGCCACTCCGCCAGAGATACAACGCCCAGCATTACCGCCTCGTAACATTCTATTACGAATGCTCCAATCTCCGCTATCTTACAAGTCTCATCACAATACCGAAGCTTCCGCAGGACCCGCCGAATCTGCTGGCCGAAGATGAAACCGCCCCGGCCTTGCCAGCGCGACCGAAGCGGGAGATTGAGCGCCAACCAACACCCCCACCACCGGTCCCCAAGTCGGACGAGCCGGACGAGATTTCCGAGTTTTGGAAAGGCGAGCTCGATCGACAGAATCGAGAGTACGAGGAGCAACAGCGTGTCCTGCAGGCACAGCAGCAGCAATCGCTCTTGGCGCAGCAACAGGCTCAAATACAAGCCCAGCGCGACTTCGAGGAGCAGCAGCGGCAGCTGGCAGAAAACCAGCGGCGAGAACAGGAAGCCCTTCTAGCCCAGCAAGCGCAATGGCAGACACAAGACGCTCTTGCCAAGCTCGAACAGGAAAACCTAAACGCCCGGGCTCAATACGACCGTGACCAGCTCATGCTTCAGCAGTACGACCAGCGGGTTAGGGCCCTTGAAGGCGAGCTACAGCATCTTCAGAGCAACTACGGGCAACAGATTTCCAGCAAGGATGACCAGATCAGAGCTCTGCAGGAACAGGTAAACACGTGGAGGACAAAGTATGAAGCTCTCGCAAAGCTTTACTCTCAGCTTCGCCACGAGCATCTCGACCTCCTTCAGAAGTTCAAATCGGTCCAGCTCAAAGCCGCCTCTGCTCAGGAGGCAATTGATCGGCGGGAAAAGCTGGAGCGCGAGATCAAGACCAAGAATCTCGAGCTGGCCGACATGATCCGGGAGCGAGATCGGGCTCTTCACGACAAGGACCGTCTTTCTGGGTCCAACAAGGACGAGCTGGAGAAACTCAAGCGAGAGCTTCGGATGGCGCTCGACCGGGTCGACAACCTGGAAAGAAGCAAAGGCAATGAGATGTCCACCATGTTGTCCAAGTATAACCGTGAGATGGCGGATCTAGAGGAGGCGCTGCGCAATAAGTCCCGGGCGCTAGAAGAGGCCCAGTCCAGGCTGAGGGACGGAAGCTCGGATCTCGAGCAGCTTCTTCGTCAAAAGGAGGAGGAGCTGGAAGTTTACAAAGCCGGCATGGATCAGACGCTGCTTGAGCTCAACGAGCTTAGGAATGGTCAGGGCGATACGGATCACGCTCTTGATGGACAGATCGACACCTTGATTCTCACCCAGCTTGACAAGATCAACGACATCATCGACTCGGTGCTTCAGTCGGGCGTGCAGCGCGTCGATGACGCCATGTACGAGCTTGACTCTACCATGCAAGCTGGCAACCAAAATGCCTCGCCTTCGTATGTCCTGTCACAAATCGAGAAGGCTTGTGCCAATGCCACGGAATTCGCAACGTCTTTCAACAACTTCATCGCCGACGGGCCTAACAGCACGCACTCCGAGTTGATCAAGAATGTCAACGTCTTCTCGGGGGCTATCGCCGATGTCTGCAGCAACACCAAGGGTCTCATGCGTCTTGCAACAGATGAGAAAAAGAGCGACGCTCTCATCAACAGCGCGCGCCAGTCGGCCCAGTCGACAGTGAAGTTCTTCCGCAGCCTCCTGAGCTTCCGGTTGGAGGGCATGGACCCTTTTCAGAAAACTGATGTTGTCATCAACAGCAACAATGATGTCCAAGTAGACCTGCAGAGGCTGAACAAGCTTGTCGAGGCCTTCGCCCCTGGCTTTGGCAAGCTCAAGGGAGATCTTGGCGAGCTAGTGGACAACGAGCTCAGCAAGGCCGCTGATGCTATCGCCGCCGCCGCCGCCCGCCTTGCCAAGCTGAGGAACAAGCCCCGAGACGGGTACACGACGTACGAACTTAAAGTCCATGACTCCATTCTAGATGCCGCTCTGGCGATCACGACAGCCATTGGGCAGCTAATCAAGGCCGCTACTGTGACGCAACAAGAAATTGTGGCACTTGGGCGTGGCTCGTCGTCTCGGACGGCGTTCTACAAAAAGAACAACAGATGGACAGAGGGTCTTATCTCGGCAGCAAAGGCGGTTGCGTCGTCGACAAACACGCTCATTGAGACGGCGGACGGCGTCCTTTCGAACCGCAACAGCCCCGAGCAGCTCATTGTGGCATCCAACAACGTGGCAGCGTCTACTGCGCAGCTTGTGGCGGCGAGCCGCGTCAAGGCTGGTTTCATGAGCAAGAGTCAGGAGAACCTGGAGCAAGCCAGCAAGGCCGTTGGGGCGGCCTGCCGTTCTCTTGTCCGCCAGGTGCAGAGCATGATCAAGGATCGCAACGTCGACGACGAGGAGATTGACTACTCGAAATTGGGCTCTCGCGAGTTCAAAGTACGCGAGATGGAGCAGCAGGTATGTCATTTCCCCATGTTATACGTCTCCAAGTGGCATGGAGACATGTCCAAGTGGCGTGGAGACAACATGTCCAGGCGACATGAAGAAGTTACAAGTCATGCGCAAAAGTGACGTTTGCTAATTTGTGTCCGTGCATAGGTCGAAATCCTCAAACTTGAGAACTCTCTGAACGCTGCCCGCCACCGGCTGGGCGAGATGCGCAAGATTTCGTATCAGGAGTAGGATAGTCATGCCAGTTGAGCATGATTTGGTTCACAGTATGTAATTAGATACTTTTAACACCGTCATATCCGAAATGAAGGTGCCTTTTCTATTTAATTATTTCCCCGTGCCCTTAACAGCGAAGCTAACGCAGTACTTGCTCGCAAGGACCTCAGCGCAGGAGGACGGGTTATGCAGTCTCCCATTCATTTCAAACTTCCCAAGGCTTTCATAACTGGGGTCAAGTTCGTAGTACCCAATTGTGGCCTTGCAAGAATAGCAGCAAGGGGTTGGTGCAATGCCGCGATGAGTCTTTCTGTAGGCTTGACCAATGTGGGTTTAGCAGCCCTCGCGGAGTGGTGTCAGCTTGGCGGCGTCGTTCTGCGAGAGATCATGTCGGTCAAGGATCTGCTTTCTAACAGCAGCAAGTTTCTGCTCCTTGTCGCCTACCGATTAGGAGACAAGTAGCTTCTTCTCTACTGTACCGAGCGTCCTGCAAAACTTCTGCCAAGTGTCCACAGCCTTTCCCAAGTTTCTTGCGCGTGCATCTCTCCTCACCGACCAAAACTCGAGCCAGGATTTAAGTCTCTCAAGGGTAGCCCCGGCAGTGGTTTGGACATGGTGTGGGTGCGAGAGCTTCTCTAAAAAGCCGGAGCAGAAGTAAGACATCTGCGCATCACACTCATCTATTTCTCGGTGAGCGCTCCCCTGTACCGGGTCGTAGATGACTATCGGGCACTTGATGGTGAGCGGGGATGGGATAAGTTTGTCGGATAGAGACCCTGGAATAATAATTAGCGACGTAACTCGCTGTAGTATAGCCTGAGTTATAAACTTGCTCATTATTCTCATAACGCTACCGGAATTGGTTCCCGCTTTCAAGTCATCTCGGAAGGACTTGGTATTTAGAAGACACCAAAAAAGTACCTCTCTGGGAGAGACTGCCGGGATTAGGTTCTTTAGGTTCTTGTCCAACTTCGTTTTGAAGTCGACTCCTAAGGCCAAATTTGCAGTGGCGTCGACATTTCTGCTCAATTGGTTGACGAGACGAAGGGCATACCATAACCCATCCCCCACCCTCACGCTGCCACCCGATCACCCCTTTTACACCAAAACACTACATCTTTGAACAACTACGTAGTCAATTATGAAGCTATTCAGAAGCCGTTGCCAGATTGTGTTAGCCATATGCAGTTAGATTAAGCTTAGTGTAGATTTGTCAGCCCAGAGGCCCTACAAATTTATCCTGCTTGTCGCAAATTAATTGCAACTTAGCTTCCTTGTGTTCCATTATCCCTACCTTTTAGTGTGCATATTATTGTACTACCACAATGTCTACCTATACCGATGACAATATGGCGAATGTCTACCTAGATGTCACGGATAACAAGCTTTCTATTTGTCAGGCTGCTCAAAAGAATGGCGTACCGTATACAACATTGGACGACAGGCTCAAAGGCATCCCTGCCAAAGAAGAGAGCCTCCAAACTCAACACAGGCTAACAGATCCTCAAGAAAAGAAGTTCATTAGGTAAATCATCAAGCAGGAAAGCCTCGGCTATGCGCCTACATACTCACAAGTTTCTAGCATTGCTGCAGCGCTCTGCAAAGAAGTAGGGGATCTAGAGCCTATCGAGAAAAACTGGATTATTGGCTTCAGAGCCCGGAATCCCGCCATTCAATCCAAAGTCGGCAAGAGAATGGAAGCCGTTCATTTCAACGGGTTTATGTCTAAGGCTATTAACTGGTATTTCAATATCAGGGAGAAAGAATACGGCTAGATCAGTCCTCGGCTTACCTTCAATATCGATAAAGCCGGTATCATAGCGGGCTTTAGTAAGAAAACAATATCTATTATCTCTTCTATTACTTATAATATATAGAGCTTGATTAATTAGTCCTAGGGACTACAGAGACGAAGAAAATCTACCTAAAAAGCGACCAAGGTCGCGGCTGGTCTACTATAATCGAATGCATCGGTGCTACGGGTACTCTACTCGATCCAGCCATTATTTTCAAAGGAAAAGACCTTCAGAGATCCTAGTTCGAGCAAGAGATGCAGAACATCCATCGTACCCTGGCACTTCGTTACCACTGAAAAGGGGTGGACTAATAACCAAATAGTAATTAGCTGGCTTGAAGATAATTTTCTTCTACAAACTAACGCATTACTAGAGTACGACAGCGAGGCCCGGCTTCTTATTCTCGATGGCCACGGCAGCTATACAACTGTAATAGATAAGTCCCGTACGCTCCTTCGTCTAGTTATCTCACAATATATATATAGGACGAGTTCATGACGATATGCTTCCTCAATAATGTATATCTATGCTTCATACCGGCCCACACCACTCACGGCTTGCAGCCGCTTAAAAACGGACCTTTTAATGCCGTAAAAGCTTACTAAAGACGTGAACTAGCCAAGCTGGCTAGTTTAACTGACGCGGCACCAGTTGATAAGCTGAACTTAATTCACTACTACAAGGTAGCCAAGGAGGAAGGATTCACGGAAAAGACTATCAAATCATCGTTCCTGACGACTGTCAATTGGCCATTAGTAGGTACAAAGCTCCCAAGCACCCAGAGATTCACCAGGACAAGGAAAAGACCCTTGAGCCCCCTATATTTACCGGAGTCCCTGATACCCCTACTACAGGGCGTCAAGTTATGGATCTGAGCAAAGGGAGCAGCCCGAGTACAAGAATGAAGATCCAGAAGGCGGCCCGGGCCGTTGACAAGCTTCAAATAGACCTAGTTCTCAAGAAGACTCAGATTGAAGCCCTTGAGGCTGAATTGGAACGTCTCAAGCCCAAAAAACGCAGGAAAATTCCTAACCCAAATAAGCAATTCATGGACTTAGGGACCATTTTACTAGGCGGCCAGGTTCCCGCAGAGCCTTAAGCAGAGCCTCAAGCAGAGCCGGAACCTGATGAGATGGGGGATGAAGATGAGGACGTTTTACCAGCAAACATGACCCGATCTGGCCGTGTAATACAAATGCCGGCTCGATATAATTATTGAACATGTAATTAGATACATTTTGCTATATTTAGCTTGCGAATTGCTCCAGAATTGACTGCATAGTCGCTGTTCAAATATTTACTATTTTGGTGTAAAAAGGGTGATCGGGTGGCAAGGTGATCGGGTGGCAAGGTGATCGGGTGGCAAGGTGATCGGGTGGCAAGGTGATCGGGTGGCGAGGTGATCGGGTGGCAAGGTGATCGGGTGGGGGGTGGGGTATGGTAACGCAACATCTCAAGGACAGCACTAAACAGTGAAGATGACATCTTGCTGTCTAGGCGTAGACTTCATCATGCGATGATCTATGAGGGCTGGGTTGGAGGGCTGCGCTGGCAGTGGTAAGACGAAAAGGCAGTGGAGAAAGTTGCGTTGTTGAAGGGACCGGGGGTGGAGGAGGGGGATGAGATATAAACATGTTAACTCGCGTCACCGTGGAGTCATATCCTCCCAACGCTCGGCCAATCTATCATGGAGCTGTTCGACCACCCAGGGGAGGGGAGGGGGGGCTGGCCCATGAAGCAGCCCGGTCGTAGGATCTTGCAGCTCACTATGCTTTCTGTGCGAGGATGGCGTCTCGTCGAAATGTACAGTGACTTTTCGGTTAGCGGAGCGTCGAAAAGACGACCAGCTAAGCCAGGGCGTGGGCGTGTGAGCCAGATGAGGATGGCGACCGGCGTCGATGGTCTCGTAACCCGGCGTCTGCCAGATAATTAACGCGTTAATGGCATTGGGAGTTTCTGCGCATGCACCAAGAGTGCTCAAAGTCGCGCACCCCTGAGAGTGCTTAAAGCTGTGCTCTTGCACCAAAGGGCTTCCAATCCTGCACCTACCTGCGCCTGCACGAAAAAGCTCAAATTTGTGTGCGAAGGCTAGGGCAAGAAGAAAGTCTCATCTTCCCCAGTGCCAGGTTCAGGACGCCACGTTCCAGAATTGGTTGAGCCTCGCACGCGAGCTGGCTGGCCAACAAGCCAATCTTTCACAGTGAAGAAGATAAAGGTCTTCAGGGCTATTATAGTGAGTTCGGCGACCTCCAAGGCCTTGGCCGGCACCTGGCAAGCCATTCATACTGTGGGAGTTCAAAACTTAGCTACTGTGGAGGGTGACCCTTTCTTTTGCCCCAGCCTTCGTATAAGGCAAGAGATTTGGGATGGCGTAATACGCTGAGATGTTTGCTGACGTTCGGTCTAGCTGTGCTCTCACAAACACATTATACTCAGTACACAAGGGTTCGAAAACTGGCAGCCTAGTTCAGGTGGACCAAGGCGGCATATATATATCGTCCCCCTTACTTTTCATAATGTTCACTAACCCCCCGTAGAGCAACCCTTAATATTCCATTCGTATCTCAGAGAAAGGCGGGCTGCACCGTCGTATCTGGAATGGAGAAGACGGAAGAAAAGTAGTCACCAAATATCGTACCTCAGAGCAAGTAAGGATGATGACATGTGGAGAGAGGACTAGTAGGAAGCTGCGGCGTGTTCAACTTACAACAGATCTTCCAGTGTCTCTTGATCCAAATGCAATGCTCCGACTCGTGCTAAACCCAATCCGCCGTCCACAGGGCAGAGGGCGGAGGACTAAGTCCTGTCGATCCGCTACATGGGCCAAAATAGAGTCGGAAACTCGTCGGTTTGACTTTGCCAACTCATGTCAGCCGGCAAAACAGCGGACGGATCAGGTGGGCTGACTGGAAGTAAGACAGATATACATTGTGAGAATGCATGGAGGTAGATTAGTCTAGGTCCACTCTCTTCGTGAACGAGCTGCCTCCGCTATCGCCGGTTGCGGTTTCCAGTTGGGATTCAGACAGAACCTCTTGAGCCAGAAGCGAGGTGGATTGATCCATGCTTCTGTGACTGTCACCTGGACGGGTTGATTTTCGCCTCTTTGGCTGGCTTGGACCTGTATGCGCCGCATTACCGACCCGCTTGGTCTTTCTTCGATCTAGCTCCCGTTTCGCATCGCTGCGCAATGCTTCGACACGTGCTTTCGCGTATCCCAGTTGGTTGTCTGGACCCTCAGTCGTGCATTTGTGTGCGATGTACTTGCTCGCTTGGGTGTAAGTAGTAGAGCAGTATGGGCAGAACTCGTTGCATGAGAAATCTGTATTTACTTCATTAGGTGATGTGTGCCATTGTCTAAGAATGGGGGGCGTACGGATAGTATAGTGCCTGGCAAGATCTTGTTGCCTGGTAAACGTCTTGTGCTGGCCCTCGCAGCTTGAATGGGGGCATTCGAGTGCAATGTTACCGTTCGCCGAGCCACTCCCCTTGGTCGGTTGTGCTCGCTTTGTGAACGGTTCCTTACGCTCGTTCGTCTGAATAATAGATGCGGAGTCTTGGTCCGTGCTAATCGGTGAGGTGACCGTGTTGTCTCGCTGCATAGCACTGTCGCCATTGCCGGAATGCTCGGCAGCATCACTGGGTTCTGCACCACGGTGCGCAAGCAGGTCATGCAATCTCGCGACCAGCTTTACGATTTCGGTCTACGTATGACGCGTTAGAAAAGCTTATGGCAAGTGCGCTCGCACTCTTACTTGATATAACTGCGTGTGCTCGCGTAACTCCACTTGTGTTGGGAATTGCGCGGAGCATACGAAGCATTGAATGGTATCCATGACTGCTGCACAATATGCTAAGGGAGAGAGCCTGACGAGGGGGAGCTTTGGGCAGCATAAGTTTGCCCCAATGCTTCGAATCGGATTAAGCTTGCGCCGACGCCGAAGTCAGTTGCATGTGCAGTCTTCCAAGCATTGTCCGTCGAGAGTGCGCTGTCAACCAAACGCGAGATATAGCCAATCAAGTTCAGCCAAATCACCACAAATACGTGTTCTAGACAATCGCGACAGAGGCGTTCCTGCGTCATTAGCAACCAATCATTTTAATGCGTGGCAGGTTGTTTTTCCGCCCGCTTGTGGTGCAAGTTTGTGTGTGCAGGTGCACGATTTTTTAAGCACTCTGGTGCAAGTGCACGCTTTTCAGCGCCCCTGACTTCGGTGCAAGTGCAAAGTTTTAAGCACTCGAGGTGCAAAGCGCTGTGTGCGGTCGCCTGCGGAAGCGGCTATAGACCTGTGTACAACATAGGAGTCCTACTCTCGACAGGCTCGTCAACGGTGAATTCAAAGAGGCGCAGGGCCTCTACGCCGAGCTGGAATCCATGAACGAGGAGACGTTCATACTATTCGCCCAGTATGCGTATACCGGAGACTATAACAGAGAAATTCCCAAGGAAGCAAAGTCGTTTATCGTTGAGAATTCCCAGACGGAGGTGATAGTAGCTTATCCCAACCCTGACGTCGCCGAGCCCGCCTTAGACGCTTGGGGCTGGGGTGTCAACAGCAAGAAAACTAAATGCAGTAAAAGCAAAAGGTCACCCGAGGAGGTTACGACGACGCGGCGAGACAAGCTGTGGAGCGAATTCAAGAAAGAACATTCCACTGCTCTCCCAGCGCGTAAGGACTGGCCTGCGACGAAGCCTTGCGCCGGCAACGTCATTCTCTCGCATGCGCAGCTATATGTCTTTGCTGACTGCTACGGAATCTCGGGGCTGATGTATCTGTCGTTTGGCAGACTTGGGAACGTGCTGGTAGACACAGAGGTCGACGACGACAAGGTGGAAGATATTGTCGATACGCTACAATACTGCTATGACGAGCTCACACCACCGAAGCTCAGGTCACTCCTGGTTCTCTATGCCGCCTGCAAGATCGAGACGCTATGGAAGTGCACCAAATTCCGCGAGCTCTCGACGAGACATGGCGAATTGTCAACTGCCATCATCGGGGCAATGATAGGCAGACTGGGCTGATTGTTTTATGTTCAGGGTTGGCGACCTGCCGCAATGTGGCAATAGCGTCTCAGTAAAAGCTTCAAAGATTTTGGCATCGGTCGATCCTTGGTATACTTGGAAATGCGGAATACCATCTTCAGGAGAGGCAGGAAGGATTTGGAACCTTTGACCACGGTGAAACCGCTTGACTCGACGTGCCCGCTTTCCTCGAGGAGCCCAGCCTCTGCGCCTTATTCCTATACTCCTGTCTAATACCGCCTGGTCACGTAAAGTAGTCAACATGTGACAAGTGACCGTCTTGGGCCGACCAGAGAGCTATTTGGGGGTGCTTTAGTCGAACAGAAGTGGAGTAGGTTCGATCGGTGGCGCCGTACGGCACTGGAGAGCAGGTGTCGAGATGGGCTGTTGATTCATTAGTGGGAGCTTCTTCACCCTTTTATTGGAACGTCTCGGAAGAAGCGTTTCTATCCAAGTCGTCTGTCTGTTTTTGGGATGTTCGCTTGTGCCCCGTTTACTTTCTAGCGGACCGCTTTCGCTGGTGATTGTACGGCGGGCATAATGCGGATGGTTAGGAGGCTGGAAGGAAGGGGGAAGGCCGGTGGGCCACTTGACCGACTCCTTACTGTCCGATAGTCGTGTAAGCTCTACGAAAATTCTCTCGAAGCCTTCCTTCAACTCGTTGCTTGTGGCTGTCCAACCATGTAAAGCCGCCACCCTTCACATAGCAATTGTTATCCCATAGTTTGCAAGTGATAACAATTAGCGATAAAAGCATGAATGATTAATTCATTGGTCAAGATAGTAAATACGCTAGGGCGAAATGCAAAAGGTTCTCCCCTCCGCCCCCCAGGCTCTTCCTCGCTGCAACTATGAATGCATTGCTGTGATTCTTGTCGCATACAACGGTGCAAGAAAACGTCGTCAAAAGAGTGCTTGTATTAGGAAGAAGAAGAGCGGCCTGTATAGCCTAGGTGCGCTGCTACTTAGATGAAAATGAAGCCTTTGTTCCAAAATGTAGATCAGACCACATTGTGGCCGGAAATGGTCAATTACGTCACGTGGCGCACCTCCTTCCGACAATTCTATCTACCCGCCTCAGGGGTTAGGGGCTGCTTCAGGTTTGGAGGGCAATCCATACCAACACAGCAGGTAATCTCGCCACTCTGGTATTGAGCCCAGCTGTTAGCCTCGTTGCCGTCAGGGAATGTACAATTGGCTTCATGGCAAGGAGCAAAGAATGGCACTGCCGCGGTCGCCGTTTCATCTGCCCGAAGCAGATTGACACAGGCGCCACTATTGCCATTAAGGCAGGCATTCAGACTCTGCAACTGAATGCTGCACCCAGTGACGACTACACTAGAGCAGGCACAGATGATAGGGCCGCTAAAGCCGTTGCTAGAAATGGTCAGGAGATTAGTGAGAAGAGATGACCGGCGTAGTTAGGCGCTGCGTAGTTACCCTGTCCTCTGAGGAGCGATGGCACGTCCTTGACAAGATTGAAGAGTGCGGTTGAGACCATCAGCCCAAATGCGCAGCTGCCCGTTACCGAGGAGGCCGTCTAAGGCGATGAGTCCGCATCGAGACAACACACGAGGGGTGGCCGAGCTCCTACGGCGCTATCTCCCGCCGCACTACCTACGACAATTGTCCACGACCAACGCCACGCGGACGGAGCAGGACCAGCGGGCTCCCGTGATGGATCTAAAATCTTAGATATCAAATAGCCGCGCCGGCGCAAACCAGTAAGCAGGCTACGAATCGTGGCCTAAGTCCCATCGACCGTTCAGAGACCACAAGAAGCAGGAACAATCTCAATCTCAACGCTCCTAATTTAATAAAAGGCTTAATAAACTATATAGCTTTTCTCGTGGGAACCGCCCTTCTGTATCCATCACCCATACATAACCCAGCATCTTCCTATGAGACATTATTCCTAGCCGCTGAGACAAGCCACGATACCAGCAATAGCAGCAAGTGTACCGTCGGGGTTCTTGACTTTCACAGTCTTCAGGCCTAGCTCCAAGGCAGGGTAGCCATTGCCGCCAGTGGAGATGGCGTCACCGATAAACACCATCCGCTCGAGGGGGATTCCGCTTTAGTCGCGCAGCCTCTCCAGACCCTACCCCTTGTCGACACCTTTTTGAGTAACATTGATCGAGGTGGCCCCTCCCACTTTAACCGACATGTTCGGCAGCCGTTCGCGGAGATGCTGTCATATTAGCTTGCGTTTCGCAAAGTCGGGATTCCAGCGCTCCTTTTCGTGAATCGGCGCCTGCTGGCCAAACGCTGAGAAGGTAATCTGACTGCCTAGGTCCTCGATGCGGTTGCCCTAGGTCTTCTCGGGCTCGAAGCTGGTCTTCTCTAGCGAGAGCTCGAATGCCTGTAGGATCTTCTCTTTGTCGGCGCTGCCGAACAGGTCGGCACATACGCTGCCACTCCCATTCTGAAATGTGTAGAGCTTAGTGCTGGTAGTAGGTAGTAGCTATAGTTTTGACTGGTTTGCATGTGCTAGTAGTCGGCTCGCCACCTGCTTCTCGAATTGCAGCTAGTCACCACCCGAGATGACGGCAATACGAGCGACATCCAGCAAATCCGCCAATGCTGCTCCCATCGTGTCTTGGAGCGGCTGCTTGCCCGCAGCAAGGGTTCCATCAAGGTCGAACGCGACGAGGGAAATCATTTTGTTGTTTCGGCTAGTTGTGTTGTGATACCAAGGCTATAGCGGTGATGAGCCCAGAAGTTGATCTTAAAAAAACGGGAGCTGGGCTCAAGAAAAGTTGTTGGGCTCGCTTTCCTGCCTAAGCCGAGATTCACCGCCCGCAATGGGCCTATACGCTAGCTAGTCTATATACAGAGTCGAGTTCTTATCGGATAGGGGAGGCAGGGATGGCACCCGAATTTCACAAGCGCCGTCGCAGCGGCACCGAGGAGTCGCGGTCTGCATTACCTCGGTCACAACAGATCCCCCGGGTTGGTCCAAGTCTAACATTTGGCCCGGCGGGATTTGCCAGACAAGGATCCAGCAAACACGAACGAGCACAAGACAGGGCAGCGGGTGGTTTGGGACGCCAATGCAAGGGGAAGGGCGACTCAGCTGCGGTGCGCTTGAGCCTCATAAGACTATTGGCCATGACAACATGTGTGCGCCACTCGAAACCCATCCGCAAAGGACGGCGCAGGGCCTGGGCCAATCCTAGCGGTGACTCCGGGTGTATGTACGTACTGCTGGATCTACACTAGAGGAATAATGGCAACCAGAGATGTCGACATTGCCAACACCCGACACAGCCAACAACACAACCGTCTCGATTCCGATCCTTCCTGTGCCTAAGCTTTCGCTCCCATTTCGCAGACTGTGACCATCACCATTGGATACGTGACGACCAAGTGTTTACTCACGAACGCTTGGGCGTGCAGCTGGCGGCAAACTTTATTCTGGCCGGCGCTACTGACTGCCACGCGGCCAGGGGCGCTCATCGGCCAAGTTGCGGTACGAACATGTAGAGTTCCAGCTGTTCCGGGTTCCTGAACTTCCGCTTTCGTACCCCAGGTGCCGGCTCGTCGTCGTCCTGCGTCAAATCGATGGGTGTGCCCTCGCATTAGGGCGTGCTGCTCTCACTCGCCGACCTATCGTCGTCCCGCGTCAGGTCGATGAAGATGACATCGCGTCCAGGCGGTTTGCACCCGGATGTGGATGCGGGTTTAAGGGTGACTGGGTCGTTGATTGCGCCATTGCGTCGTGGACACGGGACCTCAGGCATTCTGGCTGTCTGCGAGGGGGCTTGGTGGGCGAGGGGCGGAAGAGAGAAGAGAGAAGAGAGAAGAGAGAAGAGAGAAGAGAGAAGAGAGAAGAGAGAAGAGAGAAGAGGAGGAAACGGGGACTCGAGGCGAAGGGGTGGGACGGCCTTTTAAGTGCACGGAGGGTCCCTTTTCCGAGCCTCCCCGTCCCCGTACCCGTCCCCTCCCTCCGCGCCTCCCCCTTCTCCTACCTCCCGTCTTTCACCACCCCTCCACCCCTGCCTCCCCCCCCCGGCGCCGCGAGGCGGTCCTCCGAGGAGCAGCCGATGAGCTCTCCTTAGGAGAGCATCACTAGCGACGCGGCGTTAGTAGCGACAGCCGACCTAGGCTAGGCTGTAGTGTAGCTAGTGTGTCCCTGGAGCTCGCCGAGCGACAATCCAGGTGTCATAGGTGATCTAGGCTCGGATAGATGTTGCGGAGCTCCGTAGCCCGAGCGAAACTGAGCCGAGAATCGGATGTTTCTTGCTGTGGGTAGAGCTATCAGACCGATTAGCCAACCCGAAGAACATTCCTCGGGCTAGGTGTAGGCTTTCCCCCCCTTCGTGTGAGAACAATCTTCGGTGTGGGTTTCGGGGTCTCAGGGGGGTTCGCCGCCGTCCTCGTCCATATGGTGATCTTGGGCCGCAGGTCCCATTCATGGACAGCTTTGGCGTGGTTCTTAAACCGCATTTCATCCTCCAACACGATGCCCTTGGACTTGCATTCTGGGATGGGACATGGCACGGCCTCGATCCTGCGCCTCAGGAGATGCCGTTCTGCAGCAGCTGAGGTCTGTGTAGAACCGCACGGGGACTCGCACATCATCGAAAAAACGCTGCCGCGCAAGCTGAGGCCTCTCTTGAGCTCCCAGCGCGTGGACCTACCATCGCGTCGAAGCCGTGGTGCGCGTCCAGATACAGGAACCCGTCTCCCGAGAGTCGACTCCGAGGGGCGGCTCGAGTGCATCTTCTGCGGGAGACGTTTCAGTCAAAGGGGACGATGTGGGAACTATTCGGCTCGATTTTCCAGGCGTAATCGACCCAGGCGTTGATGGCGTCAGCCTTCCTGCGCACGATCTCGCCGGGAGGCCGAATACCCCGCTCGAAGGCGACGTTTTCTCGCTGAGCGGGCCGGCGGGGAATCCGTCAACGGCCAAGCTCGAGCCCGACGTCGGATGGCTCTGAGACAGGCGCTTCGATAAGACTAAAGGGGCACCTCCCCTCCCCCTCGGCCTTCGCTCTAGCCGTCCATCTCTCTCCCTCTTCCACCTCTCCCCCTGTCCAACTCTCCCCCTTCTAGCTTCGAAAACAAATTCGGACATGCCTAAGCAGAGAGCTCCCACGAAATCCCGCGCCCCGCGCCATCAACCATACAGGGGCATTAGTCGCCTCGACTCGGTTAAGCACGATCCTGCCGACAATACCACTCGCGTCTCGATCAGCAGAGGTCAACTGGGCGAGCTAGATATGCTGAAGGAAGAGCTTCGCACCAAGAAAACTATTGTCCTTGTTAGTGGAACTGGCATCTCCACCATCCCTCCGTCGCCATGGTTGCTCTAACCCGCACGCCGTCGACGACTTGGAGATAACGAACGCCTTCAAGAACGTTCTACGGAAACAGGTGGACGCCGTCATCATTGTGGGAACGAGACTTGAGATTCGTCCGCTGAAGGAATTTGCGGAGAAACTCTTGAAATCGGTCCAGTCACGCAGTTCCGAAGGCACCACTGTGTGAGTGAGTACGGAGGAGCCCAAACTTGGGGGTGAGTTCGACTCTTGTATCAAGTATAAGGTCATCGGAGACTGTGACGCTTTCGCTTCTTTCAGCAGATAGCTGATACCACGAGGGTCGGCCGAGTAGACCGAATTGATGTGAACCTCGGGAGATAACCTTGCATCGAGAATGATGACGAGCCCATTCGAGGAGCCGGGTACGCCCACCGCCTACCAGTATACGCTTGGAGAAGACTGACTACTCCGAGAAAGCAACCACGGTGCATCGCGTGCTCGTGTCGTGGTACTGGAACGGAGACACGCACGCCGTCAAGTTGAGGCCAGAGTTCAGCTGGCGGGTCTCAGTGTATGTTTGCACGTATGTTCGTCAGCAAACGGTAGGGTTCGTGGATGAGAACGCAACGCAACGCAACCGGCTTTGCTCAAGCCTGCCCCCGAAGCTTCCCTGATTGGGCTTAATACGCCCTCATGGGTGCATTTCAACTCCATGTGCTTTATTTGGAAGTTCTAGCAACGGTGCGGCTCATAACGTCACTGCCAACTGCGACTTCCCAGCCCAAAATGCCGAGGCAGATGGTCGAACCTCGGGGGGGAGCCACATGATGTCTCGACCGCCAAGTGTGACCCAGGAACCGTCCGACCTCAGGCCGGCCCCGACCTGTACTGGATCCTGGTGTTGCTGAGATATCACCGACCGATGAGATGTTGCGTCGGCATCAAGACTGGTGTCCCGTATTGCTGATGATAAGCTAACTTCAATGCATCCGATATTTGTGTGGAGAAGACCATTCGCAGAGTCGAACGCCATGCTAGAGGACCAAGTGCCAACATTAAGTGTCTGCATGTAGCAACCAGAAGTCACTTCCCAGAGAGAAACGGTATTGTCGTACGATGCCGAGGCTACCTGAGTGCCGTCCGGCGAGAACGCAACGGAATAGATCCACTCGTCGCAGGTCTCGAGCCCTGGACGCAGCGGCCAGAAGCCGCTTCCTAGAGCCGGACGGTCTCGTCGTCGGATGCTGAGGCGGCCTGAGTGCCGTCGGGCCTCGAGTTCTTAGCCCCTTCGACTTCTGGGGATCGAAGCCAGATTTGTCAGCTCCTTCGTTACCTAGCCGACGCGGTACGCTTCATCTGGCTCCCTGAGTTCCGCCTCGTTCAATTGAAGCAAACGTCCCAATGTGGGCATCTCTAGCTCGCCAATTGCGTCTAAGAATTAGTTTCGACGGCCAGGTGTCTCTTGCCTTGCCCTCCCTGATAAATGGCATTAGTGTATCGACCCAAGGAAAGAGGGCTGGTCGTGAGTGCCTACCGGTCGTCTGGTCTTTCGTCTTGCGGAGGCGAGAACGTCGCCCCTTGTTCCTCAATGCGGCCGTACGGGCATTGACGGGAAGTAAGTCTCTTCCAACCTCCAGCTGCCTTGGCCTTCTCGGTTATGTAGGGCTTACGGCCAGATAATGTCCATAAGTACGGCTCGTATCGCGTGGGATTGTTCTCCTGAGTCCGGATTCCGGGTGAGAGAGGGATCTGGGCGACGGGAGAGTTCCGTTCCGGTCGCCTTGATGTATCACCAGCGACGTCGGCGGTAAAGGGGAGATCATCGGTGCGTAGAGGCAGTCGGGGCGGAGAACGGGATGGGGACCGTCTAGCGGCTTCCTCTACAACGCCAGGCGGCCACTCCGTGCCTCTGGTGAGTGGGTTGCCGTTGGACTGAGGAGTCGTCGCCATAACGGGGGGTACGAGATGAGTGGGGACGGGCTGATGGGAAAAAGAAGGGAAGACGAAGGGGAACTAGAGGGTATGGGAGCGCCGCGGCCTTGTATATGCTGGGGTGAGCTCCGTCCCAAGCCATCCAGTCCCTTAGATGCCACCTCACGTCGCCTGGCTGGAACGTACGCACGGGGTCGTGGAAAGGTGGGCAGTCAGGTGAGCGTGGTCAGGCTACGTCTTGGGCGGGTCTAAAGGGGCTGACATGGGCTCTAGAATTCCCGAGGCCTGCCTCTAGAGAACCAGGTATCCCCATGAGCTTCTCCTCTCCACCGCCATCCCTGATGATCATAAAAGCCGGAAGCCGCCCAGGACAAGCCTTCCCTGAGGCCCACTCGCATCTCAGCCCGCAGCTCCTCGGCCTCTCGGTCAAGGTAGACGCTTGGTCATCATCCTCATACTTCCCAACTCGCCACTGGAATGGCACGGCTCCATTCCCCGGGCGGCATGAATACCCATGTAGGATCCGTAAAATGTCTTGCTCGAGGAGTGAGTCCCATGAATCAACGGCCTGGCTGTCCCCCGGCGCCGGAGGGGTCATGCCAAACCTGCGTCATTTTGCTCAGGCCAACGGCGTATCACTGAACATCAGCAAGCTCCTGCACACTGGTAGGGCGGGTCGACGAGGACGATCAGGAATCTAGGCCAGCTCTGTTGCTCAACATTCGGCCAAACCCTCTCCAACACGGTAGCGTCTATATCCCTAATATATACATCGAATACTGTCGCCGAACGTGCTCAATGAAATTTTCAAAGTTCCTAAGACCCCCCTGGCAGATGTTATACGCGTACGGATATCTAATCAGCGGCTCATTGGGACCTTTGTCGCACTTGTGGCCAGTGGGACTGTCGGTGTCGGCGACGCGGTGGCGGAAGGGGCAGGTTAGTAGTGTGCCTGTCGGAGGGTCGGTTGTAGAGGTGCCTTGAGGCTTGGAGGTTGCTGGTATAGATCTGTCCTCGGTCTGCTGAGAATTGCCGGCACGGGCGGCATAGACGGGTGTTCCTGAGTGCTTGAAGGCGTAAAAGTGCTATCCGGCTTGCTAGGCATCCTTGGCCCTGCTGCTGTAGCGACCTTAGAATTGGGAACTGCTGTCTGCTGTAGTTTAGCGCGGCAGGACTCGCGACAGGACTCGCGACAAACAGCCTTGGAGGGCGGGAGTCTTGCTAGACCTTGTTGTAGCGCCATTAAGGTTTTGCCGTCGAGAGGGTTCTCGTTGTTGGCATAGCTGAGCTAACTCTTGTACAAGTTGCATGCGGAGCGCAAAGAACCTGTCTCGGCTGGTGATATCGGCGACTTCCGAGAAAAGCTTGGCGATCCGCGCTCGTGTTGGGAACTTGTATTGGATGGTAGGCGGTGCGAGGTACTCGGAAGGTTTGATGCTGTTCAACTGTCGAACGATTTTTTGACCGTCTTTCGAGGCGTGGAACTCCTGGATGGCATAGGTTAGGCAGGAATCGTAGGGTGTCTTCCTCAAGGTGTCGGCTTGTCGAGCAAACCGGCCGTGCCGTGTAAGAAGCGCTGCGCCTCGGCCTTCTTTCGGTGCCGACCTCAGTGTCCATCCTCTCCTTTTCAGCTTTCGGGCGACCCGCTGCTTTCTGCGTCGCAGCTTCCCAATCTCCTTTTTGTTGTTGATCTCTGCCATCTGTTCATCGGTAGGGCGCGTTGGGGTATCGCCGCGGCGCATAAGCTGACCCATGAAGTGGATCAAATCCCTTTGCGGCTCGCTCCGGAACACGATCTCCTGGAAGTCAGCCTCGATAAAGTCGTTCATGTAGAACTTGTAGTACGTGGAAGAGTCCCCAGGCAAGCGTAATTATGCTCCTCTGGGGTGGGGGCCTCTGCGAAAGGTTAGCCGCTCTACCATAATGTGGCTGCGGAGTGAGGCGACATACTGTTAAGTTTCTTTCCGGAACCGCGACGGAAGTCATAAATCTTCTCGTACCCCTAGGCCTGGCCGAGCTTGATCAGAAGCTTCCGCCCCTTGGTGTACGAGAAAGGGCGGTCGAGAGATATGGTCACATTCTTTCCCCGACCCTGGATGTCTCCGAATATCGGCCTGTCGCGCCATTTTTTCTTCCAAGGAAGAATCAGGCGAGGTTGACCCAGGTTGTAAATATCGTCTGGGCTCTGGAAGTCGCTCTCGAATGCTCCTTCGGCAAAGGCAAGACTCTCCATATACAGGATAGGATCGCGTAAGAGGGTGTCTTCTTCGTGAAAGCCGAACTTCTTGGGCCTTGACCTGCCCGCGATCCGCTTGGTCCTCCGCAGCGTCACGACCATGCCGATGCGTGCTCGTTGACTTCCAGGAGCAGGCGGGAACACGTGAAACTCCACGTTCCTGTATGTAGCACAGGTTCTCGATAAGAGTGCCCGGCCGCGTCGCGGTGGCGCCGGCAAGGATAAGAGCAGATGCTATCCCACATTGAGGCGCTCGTGAGCCAAGACTTCCTGGTCGACCACCCAATGGTGGTGCAAATCTGATCCAAGTCTCCGACGTAGAGGCCGCTCTCGTTCTTGATCGAGCTGTCAAGGACGAATTCTGCCACGAGAACAATAGGTATCCACTGCGGAACTTCATTAGACACTCTCGGTCAAACGTAACAGGGGGAGCAATTACATTGCCAACGTCAAACAGGACTTTGCCGTCGACCTACGTTGCGCACTTGTCGGCGTAAAGCATGCAGAGCACCTTCCAGTACGTGACAATGGACAACTCCTTCTTGATTCTCGAGTACTTGCATCTCCAGTGGAGGTATGACTTGGACGTAGGGGCGTGACAGGTCTTGAGGAACTCGTCCGGATCGACCGGTTCGGCCACCGAATCGTATTCACGACGCGCCGCAGTCAGAAAACCGCAGAATCTCTCGCCGTTAGCCTTCGTGGCGTGGTTGGGGGAGGTCGCCCATTCACTCAACCCACTTCCTCTCCGACACTGATCATCCTTTTGGCACTGTCGCCGCGGTGGGCTAGTACCGGCCCCTCCTCCTCGTACTGCTCGATCCGCTAGAGATAGGAGGCGCCAATATCCGCCGCCTTCTCGCCGGCCGAAGAGCCATTGCGGGAATCTCCGTCGTCAGAGTCGTCGTCAGAAGCATCAGGATCGTCGGAGGAATCGTCGGAGGAATCGTCGTCCTGGTCAAGGCTCGTCTCCGAGCCCGCGACCGAAGTAGCATCGGAGAGGTCATCCTCGGACTGTGGAAGGGACTTGCACAACGTCGTAGAGGAGCCTAATAGAGAGGCCTGGCGTGGCGGTTCATGATCAGGGTGTTCTGCAACAGAGACCCCAGGTAGCAGGTTGCGACGCTACTGAAATCGCCTAGGCTTTCGATTCACAACAGGCATATTCTTTTGGGAGGGGGGTGGAACGACGGAAAGGAGCAGCGATCGCGACGAGAGCGAAGGAAACTTTCGAAGAAGACATCTGGAGGGGATGGTTGATATTGTTGTTGCAGCACCCCTGCCGCAGCGGAGAGCGACCCACGCGGAATCACAAGACTATGGTGCGCAACCGTGAATCCGGGTGCCCTTTTGGAGTTCCTGGGCGGAGGTACTCGGTGGCCCGAGCTCTGGGTACTTCTGGAGGGCGGTTAAGGGTGTCGAAAAGAGCGGGTCGCGGCTAGCCAGAATTGGCGGCTTCAGAGTGTAATGACTTTTGGCCCATGAGAGGTAAATCGGGGTAGTGTGGTAATTGTGCCACCTGGATGTACAGAAATCAAGCACGTATTGTCACCACGCGCTAGCAGGCACGAGAGAATAACAAAGCATCATAGGAGAGGGAATGCAATGATAATTCGTGATCCTCTTAATCGTTTTCCTCGTTCCCTTCGTCCTCTTCCTCCTCGTTAATATTTTCCCCGACCTCTATGGCCTCCTGCCTCCTGCGCGCAGCCCGCTCCTTCTTCTCAAGCAACTTCTGTAACAACATATTGGCAGGACTGCCTGCAGCAGGGTTGTCAGTCAGGGCAGCTGAAGACTCCCGAGAAAATGGGCAATCACCACATTTAGAAGTATCAACGTTGGCGACGGCGGCGAGGTGTAATTGCTGTGCAATTGCGTCGCCAGCGCTTGCAGCGGCGCGGCCAGCGAATGTGGTAATTTTGGCTGTAAAATGTGGTATTTTCCTGGGCGATGAACTGTAACGCTTAGACGCCTATACCTACAGTGCATACAGACGATTTAACAGTGCTCCAAGACTCTCCCAAATATTGATCAAGGTGCGTATTACATGCCACAGTCTCTTAATCTATAAAACTTAATAATTATATATTTTAGGTGCGATATAGGTACGTTAACTTAAACATAGAAGGAAGTCTGTTTCGTCTATTTTGTGCCTAGACTGTAACCCGTAGAAAAGGCACATTTGCTAACCACGTCTTGGCCTAATACCGAAGTCGAAAGCCTTCCTCATCCCTACAAACGCCCTTGGAGAGACTTTCCAGGCCAATGCGGCATACCCGAACCCTTGCCGTTGCTATCCAAGTACGAAGAGCTAAAATCAGTCAGGTAAGCTCCAAAAACCAGTCAAAGCAAAAGTCGTGAGATTTTGTGAGCATACTGGAAGCGGTGCTTCCTCCCTTCGTTTACTCCACGTGTTTGGAACGTATGCCGGCACCGACTGTCCGAAATTTGGCAGTACACAATGCACTTAAAAGCCCCAAAATTACAATTTATAGTTTCTCATTCAGTCACGTGACACTATGATAGACAAGATTCGATTTTTGCGAAGGCCGCCACATCGTCAGACTGACGTCCTTTTCTTTGAGCCAGGAGCGATCCTATTGACGAGATATCTCGCTGACAGGCAAATTTCAAAGTGAGAAATCGATATTAAAAGCGCACCCATTTCCCCCACCGAAGCCTGTGTCTTTTTTTGGAACCACGATTCAAGAAAGCCAACTGGCTTAATGGCTCAAACAAAAATCGCAAAGCAACCAGCCGCCTCATGATATAGTCACATCTCTTTGTCGACTACTCCACGGACATGCCCAAACCTCTCGTAAAACATAAGTCAATGGCCTGGAGCGACCTGACGCCGTAACACATAGACTGAATAGACAAGAGGAAAATTGTGGTAGATGGATAGGTAAAGAAATTATGATAGGCTGTGCGTCGATCGCCCGGAGTGGCTGCACCTCGACAACTCGGGTCTTCGATTGGTGGGTAGGGCAAATATCGCCATCCTTGAGGGTTGAGAAGTATGACGGCCACCGGATAGAAGAGCCGAAAATCGTCAACATCGTAAAGAAATACGTAACGGATTGCTGGGTGTTCATGACATAAACTAAAGTAAAAAAGGCGGTTGTAGCGATCAGTGACAAAAGGAAACATTCGAGCCATTACAATGATGGCAGTACATGGATTGTTGTCAAAATATGCCCAGTAAGGCTAGGAGATACAGGGCTATCATGCCCGGGATCGCACAGTACCGGCTGGAGTTTGTGTAACTGAAGTGCCCGAGTGGCTGTGGGTATGAATGTGTCCTCTTGCGTGGCGACTGCTCTTAGAGCCGCCCGTCAAAGTGCCAACATCGTGTTTTCCTAATGAAGAGGTTAGCCGCCATTGTCACCATGGACCATCCTTTACCAACAGAACCGCTCACCTTCACAGCACGCTCGAACATTCTCCAGCCTATCGGCTTCACGGTCTTGTCTTTCAATCATCTGCCTCAGGTCTTCGGCGCTGTCCTGAACTTCGCTTGCCTCATAAATGTTATGGGCGGAATCACGGCCCGAGACACTTCTGCTTCTCAGGCTGCCAAAGGTTCCAGAAAGAACTTTGCTGTCTTTCCAGTAACCACTGATCCTACTGAAGGTGCCATAGGGTGGACGGCCCTGAACAGGCTTCTTGTGGGTAGGTGTGAGGGTAGGAAGCTCCATAGACATGTCGATAGCTGGAGAATCGTTGCGGACAGTTCGCGAATTGTACGATGACAGCGACGCCGCCGCCCGGTTACCCTCTACAGGCCGTCTCCCAAACGATGGGTTGAACTCCTCGACATCTTCCCTGGTGATATGCCCGGCCATCTCTTCCGCGTCGGTCTGTCCTTCGTTGTGTGTCCGAAGGAGAAGATAGGAGAGAGCGTTGAACCAAGTCTCGTGCCGCTGTCCCGTCGTGCAAGTGAACTTGATCGTTCGACCGGGCGAGATGATTACTAGACTCTTACGGTGCAAGCCAGGCGGCATAGGGTTGTCGTCCGTAACGACACGCACTGCCTCAATCGGGACACTTTTGGCCCGTAATTCTCCGCGGCCGGCGACCGAAGGATCGCGATCGCTCCAATACAGCGTCCGTGTGTACGGGTGGACCCAAAAGTACCTTCGGTGTCTGTTCCCGGAAAGCTCGCCACGGCCCGCTTTCCGGGTGTATTTCCATAGGTACTCGCCGATCATGGTCTGGGTAATAGCCTGTATCATGCGTGGATCGGTGTTTGGCCCAAAGCCCTGCGCGTCGAACCCGCCCGCATTTTGCATGTTGAAACGTGAGTCGATCTCAGAAGCAAATGACGAAACTGAAGATTTCCTGCTGAGATGAGTAGACCTGGAGGGCGAATGCACTTCGCCGGCACCATAGACTGAGCCGCTCCTAGCGACAAGTCGCGGTGTTGGGGTCCCCCGACCAGAGTTTATGACAGAGTTGACCGAGATAGGAGACATCGGCCGACGGGAGCCGTTAGGAGTCCGTGGCCGCAGAGCCGCGTTATGATTTCGGAGAGCTGAGGCCGAGAAGAGTGGCGGTCCCATGCTTCCAATCGCACCCTGGCCGCCGCCTGAAGAACCAGTTCTGGCTGCCTCGATGACCTCCTTGTGGTTCGCTGGCAGGGGCGGGACATCTTTAATGGAGGAAGCCCGGCCGCTTGCAGAGCTGCCAGGTCGTCGAAGTACACTCTCGGGCATGTCCAGGGCAAGCTCTGCAGCCTTGCCCTTCGATCTGACTGGGCTGTCAATGCTAGCCTGGCGTGGCCGATGGACTCGGACCGTGGATGGGGTGCCCATGCTACCAAAGGAGTTAGACCTCTCAAGACCAGGAACCACGAACGCTTTGTTCTTTGCATTCAGGATCTGATCAATGGCTTCGGATGTCAGTGACGTCTGAGCACTCTGATCAGATGTTGGCTGCAGGTGCTTCCGGACAGAAGCAGGCTCATCGTCTGCTGACAACGCCGTGGCGTCCCATCCCTGCATGATATTTGGTGGAGATTGTGATCGTTCATATTCATCCCTAGCACCGGCTTCGACATCACGGGGGATGATAAACGCGTTCCGCTTAGGACTGCGGGGTTCAACGGGCTCGCTGTGCAGGGCCCCAATCGCAGAGAAACTGAGAGTCGGGGGGGAGACAACAGCCTCGTAGGGCAAAATAGGTTCAATATCCTGGCACTGAACGCCTGAGAGAGACAGTACAGGAGGAGGACTGGCGGGAATTTCTTGAGGCTCAACATCATGGGTGTAGATTAAGGATAGAGATAGCATGAGTGGCGTCTCCGCTTCTTGAATGGGCTGGACATGTTGTGACTCGATAGTGGAAAGAGACAGCGCAACCGGTTGTGTCTCGGGTTCGCGGAGAGGTTCCAGTTCCTCCGCGTTAATTGGAGAAAATGATAGGCGGGTCGGAGAGGCCCTTGGCTCGCTCAATGGCTCAATATGCTCTGACTTGACGGGGGAGAAAGAGAAGCCAACCGAGGCAGGCGTTTCTACAATGGCCTGAGATCGGCTTTCGACCAAGGGCGAGCTGACTTGAAGTTCGATAGGCTCGACATCTTGAGCATGAATGGTTGAAAGCGACAGGGCAATTGGCGAGGGAGGAGACTCCTGTTCAGCAATCGGCTCAACATATTGCGAGAGAATCGCAGGTATGCTCAGGCTGGGCGGTTCAGGCAGTGTTGGTTCTGGCTCAGCTTGAGGCTCGATATTCTCAGACACTAAAGATGAGATGCTGAATGCAGGTGTCTCGGGAGGCACCTCGGGCTCTATTATCGGCTCAGTTTGCTCGGAGAGAATGGAAGATACCGACAACGATGGTGGGGTGGAAGGAGTCTCCGGAATAGCCTCGGGCTCGATCGCTTCGATTTGGATGTAAGACAGGCTCAAGTGCTGGGGAGGGCGAAGGATAGGGGTTGGATAAAGTCCGCGTTTAGGGGGCGACGTAGGCGGTGACGGGAATTGCGCCAACTTAGACTCCATGTCCGTGTCATGCTGAACACTGGCATCGCTATAGGAGATTTGTGAGAGAGGTCGCGACAATTCCCCGTCTTTCAGTTCGTCTCCGAGCCAGTGGGTCGAGGAAAATGATCCAGTAGGCCCAATAACAGAATCCATAGACATCGGGCGTTCGCCGAATATCACACTTTGACGGGATGTTACTGAATCGTCGATCTCCTCCGGCGCATGGGTAGTCTCGCTATCTCCGGCTGGCGATTCGAACAAAGAGGGCAGAGGCTTGACCTCCACAGGCTCGGTCATTGTGCCGCTGTCGATCATGATCACCTTTGGTAGGGCTGGAACCTCTGGAGGCGGCGAGGCGCGTCCTCGAGCGAAACTGCCTGGAGTGACAGATCGGATGCTTCTCCTGCTGGGAGTGGCGCCACCCACATACGAATCCTCGTCACTGCCTTCGAATTCACCCAATTCGGCAAATAAACTCTGTCCTGCCTGTTGCGGAGTGCTGGCAGCACTACTGACAGCAAAGCTCGCGGGGCTGCTCTGGAGAGTGGGCTCCTCGCTGACCTGTCTGGAACGACGATTGAGGGCGCCACGGCTCACACGCAGGCGCATCTTCTGAGTTGGCTGAGTTGTGGGGGTCCTCAAATCAGTACTCATTCCGTAATTGTCCTCATCGTTGGAAGTTGATGCAGTGCTCTCGAATGAGTACCGATTGCTAGCTTGGTTCAGGGGGAGCGCAAGGGGACGCTTGATCCGACCCGCGCCCTTCGACGGGCTAGCCTCAGTTTCCGTTGCTGCATCGTCATCCGACATATCCTCAGCACCGGTTTGGAAGTCTTCGGTTTCGGTCGCCCGCTCATGGGCAGTCTCAAAGGCAGATTCGCTAGCTTCATTTGCCGTGTCGAAGTGGTCGCTTTTGGACTCTGGAATCGGCGCAACGTGTCCAGATGAGCGAGTTGACCCAGAAGCTGAAAGAGAGCGGGGCGACTGGCCGTCACCGTGATCCTCCCATTCGGGATCGTCGAGGTAAAGCTCAGTCCTGCTCAACCTTGCAGTGCCGAGTTGGCCAAGTCTGAGAGGCTTCTTGAACTCCTTGGAATCGACCTTTCGGCTCTTCCTGTTCGCATTCGGGTCGCCCCTAGACCTCTCGAGTTCGTCCCGCGCATCCTGAAGCATGCGCCTCAGCTCCAGCTTCTCGGTCTTTTCGCGGTGAATATTGGTTCGGAGGGTCTGAATGGTCCGTTGAGCATGGCCCAGAGAAGTTTTGAGAGTTTCGGATTCAAGGACAGAGTGTCTAGGAGTCCCCTTAACTGGCGACGGCGGCGGGGAATGTTCAGGAGTACCATTGTCAGTCGCTGTTTGGAACTCGTCGTCGCTCATGCCAAAGCCAGACTCTCTCTCGGTCGTGCGTCCGCGCTGGAGTGAGAATGCTTTAGCCAGCTCCTGGTTTTGGCTTGTCAGTTCTTCAACCTTCCTCTGCATCACCAAGCGCTCGCTTTCGGCGATGGCCGCGTTGCGTCGGCTCGTCCCAAGCTCAATTTCAAGGTTCTTCGTCGCGACAGCGTGCTTCTCGTCTTGCTTCGCAAACTTGTCCTTGACTTCCTCGAGCTCCTTTTGGGTCGCATTCTTATCGGCCTGGAGAACATTCAACGACTGCTGTGTTTTCTTCAGACGTTCCGCCGCGTCGGTCTGCTCCGCCTCCAGCTCACGGATTCGAGTCTCCAGGTTCCAATTCTCCTCGTTGTAGCGGCTTTCACTCTCGTCAAAATTTTTCTTCCGCTGTTGAAAAGTTTCGGCCTCCACTTCGAGTTTGGATACTTCGTCTTTGGTCTTCCTCAAGTCTTCATCCCTCACGGCAAGAAGGCCTTGCAGATTCCGAACCTGGGAGATCAGGGACGTGCTGATTTCGGCAGCGAACTCGATGTCGTGAATTCGACTGGTCGGCTGGTTGCGAAGCTTTCGATTGGGAACGCTGAGCTTTGTCGGGGAGCCTGTTGCCAAACTCTCAAATTTCGACGGGCTCACAGAGCGCTGCGCTTGGTTGTCAGTCAAATCTCCCAAAGTTGTAAGACAGAGATTGATCTTACCCTGCCGCCTTTCCCTTCAGGGGCAAATGGAGAGCCTTGAGCAGCTTCATTGCTAGGAATCCTTTGCTTGGGAAGAAGAGCACGCGCGCTCTCCCTAGCCACATCATTGTAATCCTTTTCGATATCGACGAGCCGCCGCCGCAGATCTGAATTCAGCTCTCCCTCGGATTGCAGCTGTTCGACCTCTCGCAGACGGTCTCCTAGTTCCTTCCGCTGCTGTACCAGGGCGGTGCCGAGCTTTCCTGCTTCTTCCATTCGCCGTTCCGTGTCTCTCAGGTGGGCCTCGATGGCGCGTTTCACCTGTTCGGCAGATGTCCCAGGGCTGAGTGCAAGAAGACTGGTGTCGAAATTTGAGTGTCGTAGGTGCGTTGGACCCGACGGGCTTGTTACGAAAGGGTCAAATGCCTCGCCGGCAGCCGAGGCTGCGACGGGCTTATCGGATGCAAGTGACGTCGCCATCTTCTGAGCAGCGGTCGGACAAGGCGCCGACCCTCTCTGCTATGACAGCGCAATATACCTCCCAGCCGCAAAATTGGCGTGACCGGGAGTTTCTTTCAGGTGCACGATAAAGGGACGATCCCCCACCCAATGTCTTGAAGGCGGTGTTTCTGAGGGGATAAAAGAGTTTGGACAGCCCCTGCAAAAAAGCCAAAAAATAAAGTTCAAATACAGAACCGAGGTCTGAGGGCCGCGCAGAGAGAAAAAAGAAAAGCCGAAGGAGAAATGGAAGACGGAGCCGTGTCGATTATGGGAGGAACAAGGAAGGGCGCATGAAAGGAAGAAATGGTACGTCGGTAAGCTGCTTGGCCGAAAGTTTTGTTGTGCGTCGGTAGGTAGGGATTACGCGACGCAGGGAGGCTCTTGTTGACTTTGAATTGCTGGCTAGAATGGGGGGCATTGATTTGACGCGCCGAGGCCCTTAGCAAATCACAAGTCGAGACACCGACACTGGTCAAGGGTACTCTGACAAACGCCGACAGCGCAATCTGGAAACCCCAAATAAAAGGAAGAAACACGGTGATATTTTTTTTTTCGTGCGCCGGAATCAGAATAACTCTTTGCAAAAAAAAGAGAGGAACGAAGGTCGGACCCAGCGGCGCGCAAAAGCCAGGTCGCTGAGCTACTGTCCTGTCCTGACACCTTGTTTCGACGGACGAACTGGACTGAGAATCGAGCGCCTGCCGAAGAGGGGAAGGTTTGGCAGTCCCCTGCCAAGCCAAGGCCTGATGTTTTTTGATGCCTGAGGCAGGAGTTGCACAGATTGCGCAATGCTCTCTTCCCGGCACCCCTCCCAACTCGAATCGCGTGCGCACAATCGCCATCCCTGACTGATTCGGCTGCTAGCATGGCACTTGCTTTACAAGACGTGAAAGGCGACCGCTCACCCTCAAAGCTTTCTCTGAGAGAGGTAGCAGTTTTAGAACCCCCAATGCTATAGAATCGTCAAGCCCAATCTCTCCCCTCAAAGGCTTTTACAGCCTAGTCTTGTACATTAAGGTCTCAACTATGCTCACTCCAAGTACCGTACTAACAATCATCAAGGGATTGAGGCTTTACGCACGGGCTTTCAACCCCGCCGCTTTTGTGCCTCCCGATCAGGTCCATAGGTCGGCTTCTCGGGCCAACACAGTCTCAAAGCCAAACCCAACTGGAGGCGGCTCAGCCCGTTTCTCGCGCTAACTTTTCCACCCGTAGCAGCGCTTGCTCCTCCATTATCTTTCAAGATGAATGCAACCCGCTAGAGAACTGGGTACTCGCAGCAAGGACCACATCCCCCGCGTGTCATCCGTCCTAACGTAGCACTGAGACTACCAGATTCACCCAGGTCCAATCTACGTTGGAGAGAGACAGCCTCGGGCAGCTAGATGCCACTTCACTCATGGACAGTTATGCGCTCGCTCCTGTCTTCAAGGAAGTCCGACTCCATCTTGCTGAGGGTTGGACTGAGAAGAATCCAGTCCCTCCAAAAAAGCCTCGATGTGCGAGCCATTTAAAGGTAAGGATGTTGATACAGCTACCGATCTCTTCTCTTGGCCAGTCGCTCACACTGGATGCTTACAGGCAACGAATACCAACGACCTTGACATTCCTCCCGACGACCCCATATGGGCGATTTTCAATGACATTGTGACGCTCCTGCTCTCGAGCCGTTCCCCTTCACCCTTCCCAACGACAATATCCCCGGCGTCCTAGCCGTGCAAGCAGGCGACAGTCAACACTACGATGAGGTGCATTCTTCGAACGCTCCAGGCTCTCTCTTATCACCCCGCCCGCCGGTCCTGTCGAGTACAATGACGACTCGGACAGTTCAACACTCCCAACATGTCCAGCCACCTAGCGACCAGAGTGTCCTAACCGCGGCAGTAGGACATGCTATATCTCCATACCTGTCAATGGCATCAACTGCAACTTTCAAGAGATCGCAAGTCGCGGCACATATGCCAATCCGACAGCCACAGGAGCCTACACGACAATTAGAGGTCCACCCATCTATATTCTGAACAAGAGCTCGCAGCGTTGTATGGCGTCAAACGGGGCAGAGCCGAGATCGAGATAGCAATGGTCCGGGGCTTGCGGGGCGCACGGAGCTCGGGAACGTCAGGCATGGTCCACAGGGCTCACGGAGTTGATGAGGCCAAGCTACGGTCATCGAAGAGCTCCAGGAAGCCGAAAATGCCAACAATGGTGCCCAGGAAGTTCCAACACAGCCCGCGAGACAAACCGAGCGGTGGCGTGGCAAAACCGACATGGCATCACTCTCAGGCAGCCATCCAGGCCAGATGTTCTGCAAACCGACCAAATCGGGCTGCTGTACGGTTGCACCTCCTTTTATTGTACGCGCACTCAGCTAACAACCGTCTCGATAGTTTTCCCTCTCGGCAAATACCAAGTTTGGCCAGCTAGGACGCAAAGCAGGCACGACACTGCACAGAACTCAGCCCTCACCATTTCTATATGAGATTGACGACCCAAAGAGACTACTGGAAGACCAATGCCAGGGGGCATGTATTCTAGCTTCACATTCGACGGTTCTGCACTGTGGACTTCACACCCGTGACAAAGGCCTGGAGGAAGTAATGGCCGAATTTTCCTCGCTGGGGCAATTACATAGACGCTTGGAAAGAGAGCTCATGCAATGCCCATATCATTCTGTCGTATGTGTTCTGTGTCGTATCTCTTGTCGCCCTAAAGCTCACGGCGGGAGTTGCATTGCAGATTTGCGCGCTAAATAAAACTAGCACATCCCCCTCATTGCAACCTTCCGTCGCCGCGTTCCAGAATTAGGGAGGCCCCCCAACTCTTGTGGTTGGACACACGCACCCCACCCCGCGCTTACCGAGCTGCTTTCTTCCATTGCAGCAGCCAGACAGCGCATCCTTCTATCTTCCTCGGTCTCGTCTTCCACTCGATTATTTCCAGTGCCAACCTCCCCTCACTGCTCATTGCGCGGCAGCTTTCAAGGAAAAGGCCACTCGAGGACAGCTTACAACAGATCTCTCGGGTCAAGAAGGCGAAGACCAGCGACGAACATCACGAAGTCCAGACATATCTCGCGGCCGCTGACGAGCAGAGCCAGCGTCAGGTACAGCGCGCTGCCCCGGCATCTCCGTCTCATCCCGCCTCTCCACTCCTTCTGGTTCAGTCCGACCTCGGTGCGTCGGCCAACGACCAGGGAACTACCGCGCCTGCTCCCCCCGGCACCGTTCCTCCACGCGACTTGACCGCCAAGAATCTAGGGACTTCGACAAGATGTCCTCGACTCGATCGAAAATATCTCATCGTCGCTCGCACAGCAGTAGTGATTCCTTGTCCGAGGTGTCCGGACAAACCAAGGCAACATCTGTCTCCGATGCGGCTCGGTCGGACAGATCAAGTGCCTACAACAGCGTCTTCGCTCAAACGCTCGAAGACAACGGGATATATGCGCAGGGCGATCCATTTTACTAGCTGTTCTAGAAAAGTTGCAGCAAGAACGAGAGATACGACCGTTGCTGGCACCATCTGTATACTCGGATGGAAAGGTCGAGTACCACTTTGAGCAAAATGCGAACGCCGTCTCGGAACTAGACACCGAATGCGGGTTCGTGCCGGCCATCCTCGGCCAGTGTCGTCGTCCACAGATTGGGAACATCTCGTGGAACAACACGAAGTCGATAACCGAGGACCAAACCGTTGCCCCCCAGCCCGACTTGTACTACAGATTCCGGATCCGCGACATCCACAAGTCCATCAGTGACCGCATCGGCCCACTGATCATCTCCGAAACCAAAGGTACTCCGGGAGCGCCGTACATGATCTACGAAACCGGGGGTCGCCACGAGAGCCTCGAAGTGTTGAAGTACCAAGCAACCCACAGCGCCGCAGCCACTGCTCGTGCTCAGCTCGCTCTCAAGAACTTCGGGCTAGAGGAGCCCGTTTACGACAACGAGGTCTTGGCAGACGCCTGACCTACGCTTGCTCACCCGGCGATCCCACCCGTTACGTGGTGCGCGTCAGCGCCCCCGAACCCGGCTCCTCGCAGGAGCAATACCACATGGCCCATATCAAAACATACCACATCACCGAGAGCATCGAGTAGTTTCGCAGCGGCGTCTCGGAATTCCGGCACTGCAGGGACGAAGCCTGCGCGAGAGCTCGGGCGCGCTTGGATAAGGCACATGAACGTCTACGCCTTGGACCACTCCCTTCCCTTCCCGACATTCAGCATGAGGACATTGACGACGAACCTATCGCTCCTCCTGACAGCCCTCCTCCACCCCAAATCCCTGAAGTGGATGGAGACACGGACGGCCTCAGCGACTCGGCGCGTTTGGCGGATGAGCAGCTGCAGGATGAAATCAGAGCTTATCTCCGCCGGTCGAATCCGGACGACAAGCATGACGCTAGCGTCGACGTACCAGCACCTCCTCCTGTAGAGGTGAGCCCGTCCATTCTTCTAAAGCTCCGGGCCCCCTCAAGAACGGAATCATTCTGCCCCAGTTCGTTCCGTTACCTACATGTGCGCCCAAACGCTAACAGCTGTCCTCTGAAGTTGTGTTCTTTCTTGAAGTCGGCCATGTTAGCAAGCCGCTCTCCGTTCGGCCTCCGCCCCGCGTTGATGTCTTCGGTGCCGGCGTAGTTGCCGGCTTCGATGGCTATCTCTATGAGGCTGTTACCATGGATAAATCTGGGGCGCTGGGCCCCGAATCCGGCCCATCTGTACCGCCATCCAGCTCGGCGCCATCCAGCTCGGCGTCAACCCCCGACGGTCAGACACCTGCTTACAGCCTAGCCTTTATCCTTAACTACCAGATTGATGCTACGTCTCTTAGATTGCCTCTTGTGCAACCAGGGCTTCAGGGCGTTTGTATATTGGGACTTGCCGCGAAGATTACGGAAAGGTGTATTTTAGTTCCAAGAGGTGGATACACTTGTTTCTAGACAAATGGGATTCACATCTGGATGGTTGTCTGTCCGTGTTTGTTAGTTTGCCGTACTTAGAATCACACTCATTTCTCCATATGCAAATGCCCTGCTTTCACTGGACAAAAGAGGACAATATAACAGCATGCAGCCTGAGCAGTCAGGAATAAGAAGCTTATGTTTGGGTGCTAAAACAAGATGGACCCTAAACAACACACATACACACACACACATCGGCCTCCGTCCTACTGCAGGCCCCATGAGTGCAGGCCCGCGAACAAGCATTAGATACGTTCTCCGCTCTTCTCACGCAGAGCATTAGCTTTGCACTTGTTCGCAGCGAGAGCGCGCAGGAAAGGCGAAGCAAAATGACGATGAAGAGCACGACATCTCCGATACGTGCTACGTAGCAGGAGAGAGGTCTTCCTCGCAAACACAGGCTTCTTGGGGCGTTGCCTGTCTAGTCTCCACTGTTTTGTTTCCCACTGCTGTAGATCAGGTGAATTGTCTGTGATCTAGTTCATTCTATCATCCGAAGACAGTTGTTCCCAACATCCGATTATTTTGCTCACCGTATCCCTGTTGCGTGCGTGCGTGCGTTGCTGGTTTAAAGCTCTCGATATCGACCGACCCGGAAGTCTTCAGGGGCTAGTGGTTCGATGTGAATACTTGGCAGTCATGAACTTCCTGATTGGGAAACGGTGGGTGGCTCTCTTGTGTGTGACATCCGAACGGCCGAACTTGGGTTCTTTCTTCGTGGCGGCGGACCTTGCGCGAACTGGGCAGCCGGGCGGTCTAGGCCATGTTCAAGCCCGGCTGGAAGATCGGGCGAGACTAGCATGCGATGGATCCGCCCCGGTCACCAACGCCACCGTCACCCACCCCCCGTTCAGCATATATGGCCGTTGACATGGTGCGTGGGTATCAGAGCCGTGACGAAGGAGACGTGAATCGAGCGAGTGGGGAAAGAAAGTCAGATAGTAACTAAGAACATCTAGACGCCTTGAAAACATTATTCCAAGGAGACACAACCCGGGAGACGGCATCGAAGGCTACTCGGTGGCCCAAGAGAGAGAAGCTTTTCAAGAGGCCTGACTCGCCGGGCGGGCACCAAATAGGAAGAGACAAATAGCAAGCACACCAGCCAGACCTTCCTCGGTGTCCGTCCTCCAAGGTGTGCTCCAAGACAGCCGCCCCAGTCAACCCGTCCGCCCGTCTTCCATCTAACAAGCCGCGATAAAATTTCCTCTGCCGCCCGCCATCACTCCATCCCCATCCCCATACCCCGCCCGCTCGAGCCAGACGCGGAAGCAAATACAGACCGAAGAGACTTCCTCACTGCCACCACCATTACGGACAAGATGTAGTAAGCTCACACACTTGCCTTCCCCTAGCCGACAGGCCTTCGGTTTATGCTCGCTGCCTTTGCCTACCTTAGGTACTGCAGCACGTGCGAGTATCTCCACAATTTCGCCATGGTTGCAGCCATCCCAGGCTGGCTTGAGGCCGGCGAGACCTTGTACGATGGCATGCGAGCCAATGTCCGGCGCGTGAAGGCACCGTGGCCGAGTTTTTCCGGTGTCATCCGCCATCGATTCGGCTGCCTGACCCGCAGCACGGCGGCGGTATCTGAGCCGGCCCTGGCTGGGTGTGTTTGGACAGTCTCTACGTGGACATGGTCTGGCAGGAATGGAATGATGATTATGATGATAGCCTTGCCGCCGGTATTACTTTGGGAAATGATACCGCCGCCGCCAGCGTTCGCGGTCGAAAGTCGGCACGCGGCTCGTCTCGCGAGGCACAGGGCGGCGAGCGAGGAGCGGGCGAGCCGGGAGAGTAGACGGGGATCCGGTTGCTGGGGAACTCTCATTTTGTGTGTTGAGTGTGGGATCGAGGCCATGTTCCATTCATTGCATTGTCAGCTGCCCAGCCCAGTCCGGTCACATTCGAAAAAACTATCTGGTCTATGCTGGCGGCCCGTAGAACATAGGACATAGGGATACTTGAAGGACCTCGAAGGGAATATGTACACGAGGAACACTGAGAATGGGACGTGTCATGGCACGCATCAGGGCTAAAGAGTTGGCAGGAGATTGAAGAGCATCCGAGAGCCGGACTCCCTGCGCCCAATGTCAATGCTGTCGAATATATCATATTTTCTTTCTTTGTGGTCGTTTTAGTCAGATGGAGGGAGGAAGTGTGTATGGCTTCAAGAGGGGTATACCTGGTGGTGGGATAGGCACATGAAGAGATAGTAGTTCAAGAACTTCCATTGGTAATCCCACTTTCCTCTGCTCCATGCAAGCAACATCTGCAATTAACGCTACCAGAAATTGTGACAGGGCGGTATCATAAAGTATCAACGCCCGGAAGTCGCGGCCACGATGAAGTTGGGGGAGGAAAGGCAGTAGCACAGCACCCAAGCGGCAAGCGATTTTAGGTTGTACTTCGCCCAGGCATATCTACCCGAAAATGGAACAAGGATCCGGAATTACCCCAAGTCTTTGGGGGCTCTTGGAATGTCGAGAGACGCACCAGAGGTGCCTTTTATTATAAAACTTGAAGGAACTCTTCTAAAGAGGTGGTAATCGTGTGCCTGTTTCGATGCTGGCACCCTTCTCCGTTATTTATTGGTTTATAATGCCAAACGGTTCATCTCACCCATACCTACCACCCATTTCGTAATCGTCACGTACATGTACATACACATAGACTATGACCCAGTACCCTCGTCCATGAATGCCGACCCGCCAATGCTCCAATCCTATGCAATATACCACAGCCAAAAAGGGGAGGGAAAGAAAAACGCCAAAAATGCCACCCATAATCACCAATCCAAGCTCGGTGGTCCAATCTTCCGCTCTGCTAACTGCCGGACAAGCGGCTCTGCGACAGTGCTCTCGGTGCGGAATTTCCGTGCTTGTTTGACGCGCGTGTAGAACACGGGACAGTCTCCGCTGTTACATAGAACATCTTCCTGAGGGGAGAGTCCAGCACAGGTCTGGCAGACCTTGATGACGTCGGTGAGCTTGCGGTGCTCCATGTTTAGGCGCATCTGCAAATGGAGCACTGACTTAGCCGTGTCTTCGGCGCAGCGGCGGCAGATGGGAAGATTCGCCGCGTTTGTACCTGCTGATCCCGCAGCCCCACCAGGGCCGCTCTTGATCTTGACAGCACAGACAATACACGACGTTGCGTGCAAGAACCATTCGAGCGTCTTTTTCTTGGTATTGTTGACGCCACCACTGGCGCCATCACCAGCACGCCCCCCTAGCGCAGAACCCACAGAGGCGTCAACGCGACGGACGAGCTTAACCTTGGGAATCTCGTCGTACCATGCGCGGACGTTGGCGCCGACTAGGTTAAAGATGCGCTCGAGGGGCGGGATGATGTTCTTGGAGATGTAGTACTCAGCGTCGAGGGAGGCGTCGGGACTGTTCAGCAGGTCCTCAGGGGCGACGCAGCGGTCAATCAGCCGCGCGCCCGGGGCTCCTGATATCACCACGTATGGAACTCTCTCGCCGTACTGAGGCTCGGCGCGGGCATCCTTGAGCATACGCTTGGTGCTGATGAGCGCACCGGCCGGCCCTGGGCCTTTGGCACTATATGTGCCGAGCTTAACCTCCCTTGCGAAGCAGAAATCTTGGACGGACACGGTGCCTCGCATGATTTTGGCGCACTGGGTCTGGAAATACTCCTTGACCTGGCTCAAGTCGGCTGTCTCGAATAATATCTTGAGCGCCTTCTCCTCGATCTTCTGCTCCGCGGGCGTACCGTCTCGGCGGACAGTTTCAATGCCCTTCGCGTCGAACTCGGGGATAGTTTGCTCGCGGCTCTCGAATTTGTACCCGACATAGCGCTTCTTGGCGAGAAGAACGCAAGGATGATACACCTTCTCAAACTTGAGCTTGATAGGTCGCGGGTTCATGTTTGTGATCTCCTTGGCTATCTCGGCTCCGATGTCGAACGCCTGCTCGCGAGTACGCCCTTTGAGGTAGATGAAAAGACTGTCAGTGTCGCCGTAAACCACTTCAGCGCCCCATCGTTCGACAGAGTGGATGAACGCAATGGCGCGCTCGAGTGTCTCACGCCCTGTCTGTACGATGCTGTCGGCGATCTCAGAACATGGCATCCTACCCGAGAAGGATGCTGACGTGTAGCCATACGTGACATTGGCAAGCAGTTTGAGCGCCAGCTGCCGGTTGTTGAGAAGACGCTGCAGAGTCCTGTCATCTTTATCCTCTTTCATGCCGCTTTTGACCATGACGCGCGTCTCCAAGATCTCGGTGAGCATCTTGGCGAGGAGAGATTTCCGAATCTCGGGCTTGGTGTACATTACTCCGTTGGGAGCTATGTTGATGTATTTTTCCAAGAGGCGGAGGAGGCCCTCCCTTCTCTGGTATTCGGCAAACCCCATCTTGTTCGAGCCCCGCCAATTGACAATTCGGCCGAGGAACGTCGAGTAGCAGTAGTTGTACGCAATCATGACGCTGGGATACAGGCTTTGAAAATCCAGAACCACCAGGGGGCTGTTGTAGAATGCGCTCTGGGGCTCCATCACCAAAGGGAGACATTCCAGGGCATTCTGGCCCCCGACCTGCTTCCTACTGGGGGACACAAGGATGAAGTTCTCCGGCTTGGCGATCCTGAACATGATTGACTCGACCTTGAACTGCGAGCCTCGAGAGAAGACGGAGAAAAAGTCCACCCCGAGAAGTCTAGCTTGCTCGCTTGTGCGAGCAATTAGCTCGTTGGCCTCCAAAATCTCGAGATCTAATCGGGTCCTTGTCAAGTAATGTCGGACAACCTTGCCAAGGTCTCTGGGACGTTTGCTTTGGTACCAATTCGTCAATGTTTGCCAAGGATAATGAGGGATGCGGCGGTGAAGCAGATGCCAGACCACATTCTCCATGGTATACTGAAGCAGGTTCAGCTCGCCTCGCATCGCTCTCCAGATGTTGATCATATGCCTGCCGGTGACTCGAATCGCCGATGTCGTGTTGAAGCCCCATTTGTCAGCTTCTCGTCCCTCCCTCCCGTTCGACGCTGACTTCATGCGAGAGAACTCATCACACAAGTCGTAGTCGTATTTGAACCTTGCCCGCGCAATGAGGTAACCCCAAGAGCCACCATGAACTTCGTATCCTGTGAGAATGTCTGGGTCATGGGACCGCACGATTTCTACTATTCTGGACATGACCTCTAGCTCCGAGGATTCCTGGACGACCTCGACAGTGCTTCTCTCATGTTGTATTCGTTTGGAGAACGACTCATCTTCGGTGAGGACAATGATGCCAGCCTGGGTGTTGTCTGGCAACTGGCTGCTGCGCAGAGAGTTCTCGTCGGACCTGACAGACCAGAATATGCATTGGACTTTGTCTTCTTCGGGATTTGGCACTAATTTGCCTCTGGTATTGACATGTACCTCAAGGCTCATAGTACTCATATATTGTGCCCCGTGCTCAACGCTTGTCGACTTCCGTTTCTGGGAGTACTTGAATCCGTATTTGTTCTTAGGTGTAGGTCCGACGATTTGGGATAGCTCTGGCCTCGCAGCCTGCGTTGCCTGTGGATTGGCAGAGCCAAGTTGTTTCGCCTGACGAGGTCTTTGTTTATCAGTCCACCAAGTACTGAGTTCGTTATAGGTTGGAGGCGGTTCGGCTATTTCCCAGCTCTTTATGGTGCATAATTTCCGCTGCCTCGAAAACTCAGACTCCATTTTAGAGGCGTCAGGAATAAATTCTGGTCTTATACCGAATGTAGCCAGAGATTGGCCTGTGGCATCGAATTCGGGTAGATACGGGACACTTTTGCCACCTAGTCGAAATTCTCGCCCTGCGTACTCTCTGGGTCGAGAGGGAACATCTTTATCCATGCTATAAAATGCATCTTGATAGATGACATCCGGTAAGTTGTTGCTTTGCATTGTGGCCAAGACCTCTGTCCGCGACGGAGGCATACAACCAAGCAAGAAGATCTTGGTTGAGCCATTCCAGACAAGTTGCGAAGTCGAGACAGTGCCAGTTGAAGCTGAGTTGGAGAGAGAAGTTCGTGATGCAGGCGCCTTCGTTGACCCATTTTCGGTATTGGAACCGGCCTCCTGAATGGATAGCAGCGGATCGAATGACACGTGCATTTCTATCGCATCACCCTGACTGCGTTGTGAGCCGCTCTGTTGGCTCAGTCTTAGTTTTGTGTTGGGATTTTGGGCATCTTTGACAACGGAAAAGCCGAGTGTCTGGTTTCCAGACTGCCTTGTAAGATCGCTTTTGGTAGTATATGGCTTGGCCGATTCCTCTGGCTGCGATGATTTCCTTGGCTCGATCTTACGAATGTCGTTCCTCGCTTCAGGTTCATGGACCGACTTGTCCTGCTTCTGCCGCTTCGGCGGCAGGCCCTCTTCTAGTTCTGATCGCTGACGCTTGGCAGCGAATACCTCATTTGTGTCAGAGTGCCCGGGATCATCGAGTTTCGTTGTGAGGCCCATTGCCTTGGCCTCAGCAACCAGACCATTGTATAGTGGAATTTGGGGCCGTTTTCCAGAACGTAGACCGCTGATACAAAAGCCGCCAAGGCCGTAGACGGTCCTCATCAGTTCGATCTCTATCTTGGACGTCAGATGTTGTTCGGAAGGGATTTTGTCGGGCTTTAACTCTCCGCCGATTGCATCAGGGACATTTTCTACAGCAGCCCCGTCTAAGTTCTTTTTGCGCTCGGGTTTCAGCTCAGCAGCTTTGCCAATGACTTGGGCCTCGGCCGTCCCGTCGTCATCCAAATCATCTAGAAAGAGCTGCCTGGTTTCTTCGTCCATCTCAAGCTCAAGGATCCCTTCCTCGTCCACTTCGACGCTGCTATTGGCGACATTCAGGTTTGCGCCTAGGATCTTGTCATCGAGGCCAAGGGCAGGCAGCAGATTATCCGGGAATAGATCTTCCACAGACTGGAACACCGTCTTCACACTGGCTCTAAGGGGGTCCGGTTCGAGGTAGTCGGAGAAAGAAAGATCGGCCCCATCCTCCAAACCTTCGTCTTGGATCAAGCGTTGGATTTGAGCGCGGTATTCTTCCTCGTGTAGCCAACCAGGAGGCTGTGAATCTCGCGGATTTGCGGACATGGAGACCAAAGCCTCTGCGGGGAAAGGAGAGCCTCCGGGAGCCTTGACGCGCATACACTTCTTCCTGCGCTTAGCTTCGTCTTCCCATAGGCCGGCCATGCTGGGGACGAGTTTGAGATCGGCGGACAGGGGGTACTGCCGTTCGATAAAGTCGTGATGCAGAGGCCGCTCTCTCACGGCTGTACGGTTTAGAATGTCCTGAACGCAGAGATCGACCTCCAAGGCACAGTGGCTAACTCGCGGGAGGCCGTAGTCTTCGGTGATGATTTCACGGGGAATAGAACTGCGATCCCAGGTGGGCCCGGAATTCTCAACATCTTGGTCAAAATCAGGAACAGGGGCACGAAACCGGACGTGTGCAGAATCTAGATAACCGCAACCGTACAGATTGTAGTCGATCATGAACTGGAGGAGATACTGCAAGTGGGCTTCGTAGGGTTGGAACTTGCGGCCCATGATGAGGCCCTGCTGCAAGAGGTCTGCAAGTCGGGTCATGACAGCGGGGTTGAGCATGTAGATCTTCAGATAGAAGCGGTAGCCGACATGAAAGCCGTAGAAAGGGACGGCTTTCACGAGGGTGATGCGCGTAACGAATTTTGGCTGGGCGCGGTTCTCATCATGCCTTCGGTAGCTGACGGCCAGGGCGTGATCAATGGAGAGATGGAGGCTGCGTATGTATTCGCCCACTGCAGTACCGGGGAGGTGAGCTCGCGTGTGCATGGACATGGGGTGGGGAGGGCGAGTATCACTCACCTTCGCGTTTGTCCAAGCTCCCGAGATACTCGACGTAGAGATAGGGGAAGGCGCCATGGACGTGGGCGCACACCTTCTGGCCCGTCTCGGTCGACCCGAAGACGCGAATGACGGGCACCTTTGGCTCCTTTGCCATCTGCGAGTCGTGAACATGTTTGCGCAGCTGGGGATCGTATCTGGTGGGGGTGGCTTGGTAGTGGTCGATGCAATTTAGTCGGAGGCGAAAGACTTGCATGCTCCCCTGATGGCCGCCGATGACGGCACCTCGCGCGGTGGCAGGGTAGTTCCAATTAGGAAGCCAAGGGAAAAAGCAACGAATGGCTTATTGCACAGTGGGAATTCGATATTCCTAACAACCAAAAGGAACCTAAATCAGGCAGACGCAAAGAACATGATCGCAATTAATGTCTGGTGAACAGGTAAACGTCTCGAAGTACTCAAAGCTCGCGTACGGCACGCCGCGTCCTGACGGGCTACGCATTTCAATTTACAGTGGCAGGCTGTGTTCCTTTGTTGCGACCTGAGGGCGTACCTAATGCTCTAGAGACTCACCAAAGCACGTGACGGCGCGAAGGCCCTCCACCCCACCCCACCAGCAAATAATGGTGAGATGCTGAGGTCTACAAACCTGCAATTGTTTCTAGCTTTCTAGGCAACTTTACTTCAGGATAGACCCCAGCAAGTGTAGCAAGTGTTGGTCATTTTCCAAAGTAGACTTGATAAGATGCAAGCATGGGATCACTTGTTGGTGTGTTTTGCTTTCCTATCCGTACACTCTGCGTCATTCTTATATCTAACTAAAGATTTTATGTTGTTCTAGGGTATTGAGTAGGTTCGCTAGCTAAATAATACCCAGGACAGAATTCAGTTGATAGAATAAAGAACAAGAGAGAAATTTATTGGATAACATATATTATAATGTATGCAGGTATTTGATATATCTCAAGGTAACAGTAGTTGGAATTTTCTAAAGTTTGGAAGACCTTGGTGACTTCCAGGTACTGGGATCAGAAAGGCCTGTAGCGGACAACGGTCCACTGTAAGGCTGGCCAGTCACAGGTCAATGAACAGGTGTGGGGCAGGGGCAGCGCCTGGGAATATCGTCCGCCAAGCCCAAAGCAACCACTCCCGTCCATGGTCCTCTCAAGATTGGCCTGCCGTGAAATTTTGACAATCTCACCACCACGTATCCGTACTTACCATTTGCACCTCACCCACGCCTGCCATCGAGTTTCCAAAGACCGAAGTCCTGCCGCCACTGACTTCCTACAGTATAAACCACGGGATAGCGTCACGCCAGAAAAAGAAACGATGCCTCCTCCAAACCGGCCAGAGCAGCAGGTGGCTTCGGCTCAGTCTGCCGCCAGCGCAGCGTCCGGCGCGGGCGCCGCGCGCAAAGAAGACAACATCTACATCCCGGCGTACATCAGCAAGCAGCCATTCTACGTAACGGGGCTCGACGACCAGGACTCGCTGCAGCATCAGCGGTCGCGCGTGACAGGGGAAGACGAGAAGGTGACGGTAATAGAAAAGCGGACCAAGGCACCTGCGCGGACAAAGTGGATCAAGGGGTCGTGCGAGAACTGCGGCGCCATAGGCCACAAGATGAAGGACTGCCTGGAGCGCCCGCGCAAGGTCGGCGCGCGGTTCACGGGGCGCGACATCCAGGCCGACCGGGTGGCGCGCGACGCGAAGCTCGGCTACGAGGCCAAGCGCGACGTCTACCAGACGTACGATCCCAAGCAGTACCGCGAGGTGCTGGAGGAGTACAACATGGTGGAGGAGGCGCGGCGGCAGATGCTTCAGGCGGCAGCAGGTGGTGGCGGGGGGGCCAAAGCCAACAGCAATGGCGATGACGAAAACAACAACAATAACACAGACGGCGGGAATAATCAAGAACTAGTACCACGGAAAGACGGCGAGGAAGCGTACGAGGAAGGCTTCAAGTACGCCGACGAATCCGAGATGGGGCGCAACCGGGCGATTAAGCAGTCGATGCGCATCCGCGAGGACACGGCCAAGTACTTGCTAAACCTAGACCAGGACTCGGCCAAGTACAACCCGAAGAAGCGGGCGCTGGTGGACCCGGGCGCGATCGCGGATAAGTCGTCGCAGATGTTCGCCGAGGAGAGCTTCCTGCGGGCGTCGGGCGAGGCGGGCGAGTTTGAGCGCGCGCAGCGGTACGCGTGGGAGGCGCAGGAGCGCGCCGGCGACACCAGCCAGCATCTGCAGGCGAACCCGACGGCGGGCGAGTTTGTGCGCAAGCGCGAGATCGAGGAGCGCGAGGCTAAGCGCCGCAAGCGCGCCGAGCAGCTGGCGAGCCAGTACGGCGAGCAGCCCGAGGTGCCCGACGCCCTCAAGGCCGCCATCACCGAGTCCGAGACGTTTGTCGAGTACGACGAGGCCGGCCTCATCAAGGGGGCGCCCAGGAGAGCCGCCATATCCAAGTACCCAGAGAACGTCGTGACGAACAACCACACGGCTGTATGGGGTAGCTGGTGGTCGGATTTCAAATGGGGCTATGCATGCTGTCACTCCATCATCAAGAACAGTTATTGCACGGGAGAGATAGGAAAAACTGCAGGGAAAGAAACCGCGCTGTGGGATAAATAGTAGTTACTGTGGCAAGGAAATTAGAATGATACCCCCAACCGCATTGTCTGTGATCAATCTTCATACTATTTATTGTTTGCCAGGTTCAAGATCCCTTGACTAAGAGAACTTTCTGAAGAAAGAACGACGCACGATAGTGAAGAAGCCATAGACGTAGGATATCATTATCGATGTGCGGTTATCTATGTCACGCTACGTGGCACGTCATGCACGACATGTTCACAAAATCAGGAGGGAAGACTGTAGCGGAGTCGGAAGGCCTTGACTTTTCAGACACGTCTGTGCCTTTATTTGATGGATATCATGCCTGACTACAAACACCGTAAGGGCAGAGGCGAAGACCAAATAAACCCGCCGAAACCGTTTTCGTAGACCATTTCATAGCCGTTCCCTGATGGTGAGTTCGTTGAATCTACTCCTCATCCTCCTCCTCGGCATCGTCGCCCTTCTCGGCGGCCTTGGCCTTCTTTCTCCGCACACGGCCGGGGCGGCCACCACCAAAGGGCGAGCTGAGAGCAAAGTCGATGTGCTTCTGGGAGTCGAGACGGACAACGAACGACGGGACGTTCACGATCTGCTTGCCGACGCGAATGTGGCGCTGGCGGATCAGTACACGAGCGTGGTGGATGGACTTGGCGAGGCCGAGCTTGTAGACGCAGGTCTGGAGGCGGCGCTCCAAGAAATCCTCAGCCTTCAGGGCCAGGACGTAATCGAGCTTCATGCGGGACTCGTCCAAGACACCAACGCGGACCAGGCGGCGAATGAGGGCATTGCCTTCGAAGAGACGCTTGGGGTCCTTCTCCTCGAGGGTGAGAAGCTGACTGCGGGGAAAGTTAGTCCTCTGAAACTAGGATGCAAGCAGCTCCTCGTCTCACGCCAGAACCTGATATGGATAAATTGAGCGTTGCCAAGAATTGGCACAAGAGAAAACATACCGGGCTGCACGACGGATCTTGGACAGAGTAAGGAGGACGCGCCAAACCTCACGCTTGTTCCGGAGACCATACTCGCCGACGAGCTTCAACTCGGAGTCCCTGGGAATCCGAGAATTAGTCCATGATCACAATCGACATAAGCAGAGGCAAGCTCGTGCTCAGTGGCCGGTGATGTTTGTGAGCATGCGGCAGGAGCTCGAATCTCTTCGAGTCCTGCGCGCATAGGCTGCTGGAAAAGGGAAATAATCCAGGTTGAATCAAACGCACAATCGAGCGGCCTCGAAGGGACGACGCGGGACCTTAGCGGTCTTCGAGTAAGAAAGGGGCGCCATCTTGTCGTCGTTGGAGGCTTTCTCAAAAGTTCGTCGAGGGGAAACAAGAAATTCGGAGATCTAGATCTTTTGGAGGGAGTGGAAAATTGAGGGCCACAAGAGGGTTTGTGGTGGTCCGTGCGAGCCACATCGCACTTGCCCTAACGTGCGCGGGGACGCAGGATTGGTCAAGTTTCCCCAGCAATTCCCCAGCTTAGTCAGGCGCGCGCGCCGAAATCCTGACCTAGGTTTTTGCTTCACACAAAAATCCACCAAGTTTTTGAAGCCTGCTGCACCCCATCCACGACTTCACCTTTTCGATCGACGCCGTCAAACCTCACAAACAGGCAAGATGGGTCACCCCGCAGGTCTCCGCGCTGGTACGAGATATGCTTTCTCTCGGAATTTCCGGGAGAAGGGTATGATCCGTCTGTCTACCTACCTCAAGCAGTACAAGTACGTTACAGGGTTCTGTTGCAGCGAAAATGCAGCTCCGTCGCTAACTAATTGATCGCAGGGTTGGCGACATTGTCGATATCAAGGTGAACGGTGCCGTTCAGAAGGGGTAAGCAGAAGAATCCTCCTTCGTTGCGATTTGCGGCCGTCGGGTGTTTGGGGGATGCAACGACGAAATTCCGCTTCGACAGTGCACCCCGCTGGGACGGAGAACATTTGGAATGAAAGACTGACCCAGGACAACAGTATGGCCCACAAGGTCTACCACGGAAAGACCGGCGTTATCTACAACGTCACCAAGTCCGCAGTCGGAATCATCATCTACAAGAAGGTGAAGCATAGATACCTCGAGAAGCGCATCAACGTCCGTATCGAGCACATCTCGCCCTCGCGGTCCCGGGACGACTTCCTTCGCCGCGTCAAGCAGAACGCCGAGTTGAAGAAGCAGGCAAAGGCCGGCGCCACGGTGCAACTCAAGAGACAACCCGCCATGCCCCGGGACGCACGGACAATCTCGTTCAAGGAGAACAAGCCCGAGACGGTGGCACCGATTGCCTACGAGACCACAATTTAAGGGGGGCATTGGCGCAGTGGGGGTGGTGGATGATATGGTTTGATTTATTCTCTGCACGGGGTTCATCGCGTTCGGTACGGGAAAGAATTCCTGCATGGATAGTGTCTGGGATGTGGGAATTCTCATAGGAATCAAAATACCAATGTCATGACCAAACAGCCCACACAGCCCGCTCCCTCTGCGCCTTGGTGAAATAAACTGATGCACTTTGGAGTTTTGGTCTAGCAACAGAGCTGACGGATGCGATGGGTGGTACCTGCATGCTTCCGGGACTGGCATTCTTGTTGACCAGCTGCTCATCTAGACCGAACGTAACCGGTCCTGTCTGGCTCCGAGCTCGGTTCTGTACCGGTAGTCCGGCGTATGTTCCCACACGGGCGAGAAATGTAGATTAATTCAGCTCAGCCATTAGCTGCCGCGCCGCTGGAGATGATTCGGGTGTTGGTTCCGTTTCACTATGGAACAAAACTACGAATACACCGGGCAACGTGGCTAGCTTGCAAGGCAAGATGCAGCTATCACGCTAAACCTCTCAGGTGGCTAGTTGGGATGGGGAATAGTATCATTGACAAAAATATCGCCTCATCATTACAATTCGCCTGAAATTGACAGCTGAAGAGGAGAGTCGACGGGAACTCAACAATTACTCCAACCAAAAAGGCGCGAAGGACCCACAAAGGGAACAGGCCAACCAACTCCTGTTACGGTGGCGAGGGAGTATTACATCAGAAGTTAGATGTGCTGCAGTTGAAGGAGGAGTTCCTGTGCCCCAATTCCAGGAGCCGCCTGGGTCGGTCGGGCCTCACACCAAAGACAAACCTCTGCGTGCTGAACGGATTATACGGGATTTGCGGGATATTACCAGTGCAGTGACCAATCTGCTCTACAGGCTCTGAGTACCAATAAAATACGACCTAGGGGCTTTAAGTTCACTAACATATCGATAACTTTGTAGACAATGCCTACCAATGTACAGTACCTAGACTTGAACCTTGACACAAGGAGGATGCGAGGTGACCAGCTCATCAGTCGAGGCCCGGTGGTTGAGCTGAGCCTTGGCCACCCGACACTACCTGAAACGGTGAGCTGGGCGTCTGCAGTTGGCCAATGGTCGCCGCGCGGGGGAAACAAGGCTGCTGCTTGGCTGTGGCTGAACGCTAAGGCAGCACTGGGCTAGCGCTAACACGGCCGCCCGAGTCGCAGCATCCGACATTCTGTTCCGTGCCTTGTTCGCTGTCCATTTGGATTTGGATCTCAAGGTTACCTAGGTTCCTGGATGCCGTGCCGTACGCAGCGGATAATCCGTAGTCAGTTGGTCCCGCCACCTAGGATACTTTTTTCAACATTTCTTAGCAGCTCACGAGATGCAACGGTCGAGGCCGAATTGCAGCTTGGATCGATGCCATCAGGAGCGTTCCTCTAGCTGAGCAGGTAGCAGAGCCATCCCTGCTGCCGCACAGCACCAATTGCAACCAACTACCCCAGCCATGACAATGTCCTGGTTTGCTTTCCTCCTGACCTACATTGTCGGCGGCATCACATTCATACCCCTCGTCGTCGCTGCCGTCTTGACGCACGCCTACTTGACTTTCCCCAACTGCGACGATGCCAGCCAGAAGAACGATGCGGCCGGCGACGGCGACCTGGTCCAGCCTGGCGATGACGTCGACGGCCTCAAGGCAGCTCAGAAGGACGACACGAAGAGCCCACGAACCAACCACCACGACCCGGACGTAGCCGCTGGCTATTTCGCCGTCTGCCGCGAGTACACACCTATGGGCATCAATGCTAAGCCGATAGAGCGGTCCACGCCCGTCGGTTCCGCCACGGTGGCGGCCCCGAGCCCCAGCGTCTATCAGACCATGTACCGCAGCATCTTCGATCGAAAAACTGGGCCAGGTCCCCTGGACAGCAAAACGAGTGGTAGTCAGCGCCCCAAGAAGGCCGGCAATGTTTTCTATGTGGTCCTAAGGTATGTTGTTCCCCTGTATACGAAAGCTCCAACCAACAACCCCTGACCACTTGTCTCGTCTAACTCAACTTACAGGCATGGCCACCTGATGCTCTTTGACGATGACGAGCAGCTCGAGGTACGGCATGTCGTATCCCTAGCCCATCACGATGTCAGCATATACTCAGGGGAGGCCAATACGCCGGAGGGGGAGCTGTTCATCAAGCGGAACGCCATCTGCCTTTCGCGGAAGACGGATGGGGCGGAACTGGGCCCAGACACGCAGCTCTCCAAGCCCTTCTTTCTGTTCTCGGAAAACTGCTCCGCGAAGGAAGATTTCTATTTTGCGCTGCTGCGAAACCAGGAGCAGTCATTTGCTGCGGGAAGCAAGCCGCCGTCGCCTCTCGGCTTTGACGTCAAGAACATAATCTCGCTGGTGCAAAAGCTTCACTCGTCTGAGGATCACATGCAGACCAGGTGGCTGAATGCCATAATTGGTCGGGTATTTCTAGGTGTCCACAAGACGAAGGACATGGAGAACTTCATTAGAGAAAAGCTCACCAAAAAGATTTCACGAGTCAAGCGGCCAGCATTCCTGTCCAACATCGCAATCAAGGCGATCGACACGGGGGAATCCGCGCCCTACATTACTAACCCTCGCCTTAGGGATCTGACAGTCGAGGGAGAATGCGGAGTCGAGGCTGACGTGCGCTACACTGGCAATTTCCGTATCGAAGTTGCTGCTACCGCCCGCATCGATCTAGGTTCCCGCTTCAAAGCCCGAGAGGTCAATCTCGTGCTTGCCGTCGTTGTCCGGAAGCTGGAGGGACACATGTTGTTCAAAATCAAGCCTCCCCCCAGCGACCGACTTTGGTTCTCGTTTCAGCAAGCTCCGAAGATAGAGATGACTATCGAGCCCATCGTCAGCACTCGGCAGATAACATATACTGTCATTCTTCGTCAAATCGAGAACAGGATTAAAGAGGTGATCACCGAGACGCTTGTGCTGCCATTTTGGGACGATATGCCCTTTTTCAACACTGAGCAAAAGAAATGGAGAGGTGGCATATTCCACGATGACAAAGTCGACACATCTGTCGACCATGAAACGGCTGTTGCACAGGACGGTAACTTGGATGAGGTAGACCGATTGGAGGAGAACCAGGCTATTCAGGAAAGCGATGTACCGTCAAGGGAAAAGAGCCACAGTGTACCTGTACTCGAAAAGAGAGCGTCGGGTCTTTTCTCGAGACTATCGACCAAGACCAGACCTGACCATGCGTCCCTGCATTCGGCATCCTCGACGAGTATCGATATAAAAAGCGAGAGAGCCGAGAGCAAGACAGGCACTGTGGTGTCGCCGCCTATCTTCTCTGGCTCTTTTGTTCAGCCGTCAACTCCCACTGTCGAAACTGATACCATCCATGCTGATCTTTTTAAACCCTCGTCGTCACCCCCTAATGAGAGTCCAGCTGCGTCTGCTATGGCATCGATCTCAGCGAAGTCTCTGTCTTCATCTCCCGCTCAAACCCCTGGCTTAAGTCCCTTCCGACCCTATATTACCTCGAAATCGTCTAGCCAGTCGTCCGCTTCCTCTCGGGAAGCAATAGATGCAGACGGCGTAGACCGGACGCCCCAGCCACGACGTAATACTGCCTCGTCAACTGAAAGCCGGGAAGACAGCGGGGCAAAATCCCCGACACTTTCTGCGAGGGGCTCTGTTAGGGGCCATACAGAGTCTCACACTCACAGGAAAGGGCTGTTTGTCCATCACGATACCTCGCCGAATCCTTCCCCAGTGGGCTCCCCAGGTCCCACTGACCTGCAAAAACGGACTGCTCTAGCTGCTGTTACGAATGCGGCCGCATCTACCGTCAAGCGATGGGGTCTCAACGCCCTACAACGGCGGAATAACGAAGGAGGGTCGATCAAGAACTCACCGCCCATTGGAAACGGATCTCCTGTGGACCTAAACCAGCCTATGGGGCGCGGGCAGCCGCTTCCGCCCCCTGGGATGCCTCTACCGATGCCCAACAAGAAGTCACAGACAGCTCCAGTTCCAGTGCCCAAGCGGAAGCCCGTCCCTCCACCGTCGCCGAATTATCAAGACGAGGAAGCGGATCACAAGGTTGAGCGTCGCCCCGTGCCACACCCACCTCTTCCCAAACGGCGCCAGCTTCGGAGCGAGCAGCCGGACGAGGATAACATGCTCGTGGTGGCCGCTCCTGCGGACTCTGAGCCGACAACACCGCTCAGTGCGTCACACAGCCCTTCGTACATTCAGCCGTGGGTTGAAGACATGGAGGGCAACGGGTTAGACGCACCGACGGGCGAAGGCGGCGTAACAGCTCTGGGCCTTGTCAACCCAAAGTCGTCGCTGCGTGTTCACAACCCGCAGCAGGAAGAAGAGGACCAGGAATTCCAGGTGCAAGAACTTTCCGCGGGTGATGATGATGAATATTCGGCGTGGATGGACGGTCTGGAGCCCGAGAGCGAGGAGCCCGAGGGTGAGGATACTGGTCAACCAAACCAATGAACGTTTTTAATGGCATTTTCTTTTCCTTCGTGGCATTCATGCCGCTTTGCGGCGGGTTCTGGCTGGGGCTGGGTGGTGTACATCTTTTTGCTAGCGAGTATCAAGTTCATTCGGCTACTGCTACTCCGGATCGAGCTGGATAATCGTTGTGGGTAAGCGAGCTTCTTAGGTAGGTGGGTGGGTGGGTATAGTACCTCGGAATATCGGTAGAGAGGTCAACTTCCTCTTTTCGCGGAGTTAGCGCGGCGCATCGTTTTGGTTTTTTGGGTCTGTCATTTTACGCATGGTTCACAGTACTATGCTTGCGACGGAAGAATTGTTTAAGGGCTGAGGCTCGGGTCTAGAAATATATATGGCCGAGTCCACTTGACCGTTTTCAGACCTCATTCTAGGACCCCGGGTCTGGGGTTTCTCGCCTGGGTGTTTAGGTTGGGTACGTTGGCTTTTATTGCTGAGATGGTACTGGTTCTCTTTCGGAGGCGTTTAGGTCATAAAAAAGATCATAAATCACTCGCCACAAGGCAGTCAGCGAGTTGAGTAACAGTGGTAGTCCCTACTAACATTTTATTTGTTCTCGGTTCCGTTTTTTATCTCCCAACCGAGTGACGGAAACGAGAAATTACGCCCATAAGAGAAGAAACCAAAAAACTGATAGAAATAGCCCTTGATTTGGCCCGACTTTTTTTTTTTTTTTTTTAATTCGCTCAGCCTCTGCCTTCTATTTTGTAGACTGCCTGATTGCTAGCTAGCCAGCTGTTTGTTCCATACCAAGCGATTGCTCTATGCCACGATTTCCTCCTCGCATTGAATGCCGTATTTCTAAACAGTGTATGAATGATTAGAATATTGAGCTTTGTGCGTGGGTTTGGTAGGGAATTTTGTTTTTACCTTGAGCTCCTTGATCAAGGGATCGTTGAGCTTGCTGTTCATCGGAGCCAAAACGCCCTTCTCGGCAATAGTTCCGTCCAAAACTTGCTTGACGGCAACAGCGCATGGAATGCCAACTATATCCGATTAGTCATTAAACAGTTTTGGAAGCTATGTGTCTGGGAAATTGATGTCTCACCAAGCTTAGCCATTGCCGAGTAACCGCCGGGTTCCGTGCTGCCGTACTCGCAGAGAGTCGACAGTCTGGTCTGCTTGCTGCCATCCTTCAACTCAACCTCGAACTTGTGTTGCAAACTTCACGGTGTTAGCGTACAGACAGACTTGGCTGTGTGAGAATTAGCCACTTACATGACGAGGTCGCGTTCTCCCTTGCCGAACTGCATCTTGCTTTCGAGAGTGGTGCAGATGGTGTCCAGCGGGTTTCCTCTTGGGATGATCTTCAGCCGCCCAGTGTCAGTTTAGTGTGCCGTTACAGTGTCATACCAAGAAATTATATAGGCAGTGGGCCTGATATCTGCAGCCAGGGCTTGAAGTTGGGAACGCAAAAACGTTGATGCTTACCTTGTCTGATGAAAAGAGCCCAATCCACTTCAAGCCGCCCAGAATATGGTCCCTTTGCTGGCTATCCTTGAAGCTAGCCTTGGAGGAGATGGCCTCAATGAGGTCCTTCTCGTCTGACGACGGAGCACCGAGGAGTTTCTGGGTGGCCTCCTTCCACTGGATTGGCTCCTTCCAGTAGTCCTGCTCGCCATCTTCGAGGAAGCCGATATCGACAAGAACCTTGACGAATTCGGGGAAGCCCGCGTATCTTAGAGTGCCTCTGTATGTATGTCAGTGCTTGTGCACCCTTTAGGCGCTGAAACCTGTTCAACGCACCTAATAATGGTCTGCGCTTCCGGGATGTTGTAGCGCTCCTTGTATCCAGTGGAATCCCTGTTCGGATACGCAACAAGAGCGAATCCTGCAGCCGCCTCGTGTCAGTTTTCCAGATCAAATGCTAGGTCGGGGTGGTGGAATACGGCCTCTTGGCTGAGACCGCGCATCCAACACACTGTGGGCGTAGGGCCGTATGCTTGCCTGGGTATATGTGGTACGGCTGAGCGGTAGCCATAAGATCTTCAACATCATGTTAGCGTCCGTTCGTAGAGATCAGCTGGACACACCCTTGGGCCATAAGTGGTCCAATATGACCATGATCTAGCACGAGGATATCTTACCTGGGCCTGCAACGTTGACAATCTTGCCATCCTTATAAAAGCTAGCCGAGTTTCTCAGTGCGAGAAGAACGCCGCGGGGGGACCTTGAGCCCTGCCATGTTAACATCACGATAAAAAGACAGCAAAAACGGCCGCCGCCAGGTTTTTGGTGCAACCAGGCGTGGAATTGGGGTGAGTCGAGGTTAGGGGTGGGAGGCTTCTCACCAGGAGAATTTGTATCCCAAAGGATTTCCGGAATTCTCGGGCGCTGGCAGACCTCCGCAGTACGACAGAAACGACGTGATTTTCCCTCCTTCCATATGGACCTCTTCGATGGTCTTGACGGCGTCTTGAAAGGATCAGTTTTGTCTGCCCAATTAATGTCCTGCGTAGATCCTTACAGAGATGGTCAATGCCCGGATCTTTAGAAGGTTAGCTAGTCCCCAATTGACGCGAGCAAGAAGCTAGAGGAGAGAAACCCACCCAGTCCAATCTCATTCATGACAGTGATGCCAGCGTCCTTACACTGCTGGTCGAGCTCCAGCATAGCGGGGGAAACGTAGCTCGTGGTGACGACATGCTTCTTCTGGCGGATGGCGGACTTGATGATGAGGGCGTGGAAGGTGTAGGGGATTAAGCTGATGACAAGGTCGTGCTTCGAGAGCTCGGCGTCCAATGCCTGGTCGTCGGTAACATCGAGCGAGATGGGGGTGGCATTCTTGACGCCGGCCGAGAGAGCCTTGGCGGATTCGAGAGTCCTGCAAGCTGCAGAAGCATCAGCGGGCTAGCTAGCGATCGAGAAGAGTGTCCTTTTTTTGTCGGCCAACAAGAAATAGAGCAGAAACCCATACCGACAGTCACCGGTATTCCCGACTCGGCCAGGATATCGAGGGTCGGCCTTGTGACGAAACCGGCGCCGAGCATCAACACCCTACGAGAATAGGTAAGTACAAGTATAATTACATGTAGCCTCAATTGCAGAAGGGTCGGCTGTGCCTTACTTGTGGGACGCCATTGTTTTTTTTTTGCGGTACTTGTTTTCACGAGATGAGAGGGATAGCGGTATGGTCAATGGTCCCGTGTTAAAGTCGCGGTCGGGTGCTAGGTAGGCGATAACTTTTACTTTGTTGGAGGGGTTATTGAGGTACCTTCCAGGTAACATTTCACCAGTGACTCAACCCGTGTCGGTGCTGTTGAAGCTACCCCGCCATACCTGAGTTATGACGGTTTCTGCGTCCGATGTCGGCAGCGGTTCTAGCGGTGTCAGCACGGATACAGGATTGTTATCCCCGCCGTATTATTACCTCTTACCATGTCACGATAATGCTTGTCTCTTCATTGTGGCAAACCCAGAGGCCCGTCATATTATGCCATTTGCCTTCAATCCAACTGTCCAAAACAAAAATCGTACAGCTCGCCTAATAACTGCTATATTCTTATTTGGTGATCGGCTATTGGCGAAACTTATTTCTCGAAAACTGGGCTTATCGGACTACGCCTGGAACATGCTAGCCGTTAATAGGTAATTATCCGTATTCTGTATTCGTATTTACAACCCAGCCCTATTGGCGGGGGACTTTCGAAGATCTGAAAAGGCCTTTAATAGGTAATTTTAGAGACAAAATAAGCCTCTAGGATTCTGCAATGGGGTTCTGATAGAAATTCCCCCCCTCGGCGAAAAACCTCGAGGCCGAGCCGTGAAGTGCTAGGGCCCTTCAAATCTTCGAACGTCCAAAAATTCAGGGATTCTGAGCGCAGTTGGAGATTCTGGAAAGGACAGCTCCGGACCTAGTAAAGTGATGGTCCTGTATCTCAGGAGGGTTTGCATGTGGTCTAAGAAGATAAACCAATTTTGAACCCGAAATTAGAAAGGGTGCACCGGAACCCAAACAGAAGTGGTTTTAGCAGAAGTAGAAGACTATGACAAGGGCTATGGGACGAGGCTTCCGAAGCGTCCTGGATGCTAACAAATATTCAGGGGTTGGAGAGTGTGTCTATGCACTTTACATCCATATAGATACAAGCCTACCTCAGGGATCTATCGCTAAGAACCTATAGCATCCTTACACAGAAAAGAAATCCGGTTTTCCACCGGAGCAGTATGTACAGCAGGTACAGCATGTACCAGGTGGGAAGGGCCTCTATCAGAAACTGGATACACTGCCATTAGAACTAAAACCAAAAACTAAACGGGCAAGTAGGGGCATATAGGTATTCCGTAGTACATACATTCCTACCAGTTTGCGGATTTCTCGCTAACAAATTTGCCTGGGCGCGAGAACGGGTGCGGCTACCAAGCCCCCTATTTTCTTGATCTTGCACAGAAACCCATCATTGGCTCAAGGTTTGGGGCCTTCTATGACCAGATTTGTCTGAATGTCTGTGTGAATTTCTCAGTCTGAACTGGCTGCCTGTGGTGTTCAAGTCTTAAACGGAATTTGAAGCGAAATCTAAAACACGAACGCCGATGGACGAGATCAAGAGCCGATTGGATATCAGCAAGCCGCACCGTATGGTACTGCACACATTACGTCCAAGTCTTCCAGGAGTATAGATAGAATAGCTCCCTAGGTCACAAAGAGCAACCCAGGGGCTGTCTTAAAAAGGTGTTGTCGAGGAGGGCTAGATGGGGTCTCTCTTCCGTCGCCCCTGAGACGTGTGCACTAGGGGTTACCCAGACTTATTTACGGTGTTGCGATAGCCTTGTATACATTGACAGCCATTGCATCCTGTGTTGCCAGCTACGATGATGTGCGTCACATGCATCTTATTTCCCCCTTCTAGATGAGCAAGTATATCTCAGGTTGAGGAACACTAAAGAAGAGAGAGGGAAACGATCTGCGGCTAGCCATTTCTAAGAGCGACAGGAAGATCGAGAGGAAGGATTATTATCTAATAAACCCTGGAATAACTGGCAAATGGCTGTAGTGAGTAACGAAAAGAAAACTTGATTTGTGCTGAGGTTTTTGGATATTCACAGGCTAAAGGGATCGGTGGGTGAGGAGGCTCAATCAACATGCCATCTGGGTTTATCTACTACACTATACCCATCAATGGGGCGGAATCATCCCGAAAAGGGAAAATCCGTGCTTATAATTGGCCGAGAGATCATGGCAGTTCTTTTTCCTTCTCTCCTTTCCCTTGCAAATTCTCTCTTCTCCATCCACCATCTCTATCCTGTTAGGGCCATTGAACAAAATGATTATTTTTAGACATTTAACGTAACCGATCTTTTTTCTTTTCGTGAATCAAGCCTCACAGTTCATTTGTTATTATTCGGCAGTGCATAACGTGGCTGTGTGTGTTACCTATAGGAATTTTGTTTATACGCCAAGACGGCTCGCTGGGTGGCAATTAGCCAGAGCAGTATCTCGCCGCTTTGCTTCTAGTTCCATGACCCGATACCATGCAAATTGAAATGAACAGCACACGGTCAGAGAAACTACACGAGGGAATTCTCCAAAGAGCACTATAGAAGGACGCAGAGAGATCCACAGGAAACTGATCAGCCCAAATAAATAGTCGAGGCGATTCCGCTCCGGATCTATGGGAAGTAATAAGACAGCCGACACCCAGACATAGGTATATTCGTATCTTGAACGACTAGGATGTCGCTCCCTTTCGATAATACCCCGCAAACTGGGCCTGACCCTTGCTACATAAATAACTGGGAAGTCATATGCAAGCCTCCTGCCGAGCACACGGCCTGAAATAGGGTGGCGTATGGAGAACATACCGACCATAGAAGCCGCTCCGAGACGATGAGCCTTCTCCAGGTATCTCTTTGATGATCGACATCATTACTAGAAGATGAAAACCTCAACTTCGGGCAGTGTATAGTGCAGCTCAGTCATATGACCCGTCGTAGACGTAGTTGTGCGGGACATGGATCTCTTAGGCAGGTATTGCTAGACGGGTGCCTCGAGTTTCTCCCGGGCATGTTGATTTCTTGATATTGATCAACAATTCGAGCCAGCGGCCCGAAACTAAAGGGGCAGATCAGCCCCATGCCATTAGCAATGGATCTTATCCTGTCTACCGGGATAGTAGTTCATTAGCCATCGAAAATTACTCACAGGGCATCTGAGAGTACCCACAATGACTTTCTATGCTCCGGGGTGTTGATTGGCAATTTTGAACACGCCTGCCCTCGTCGTCCAACCACCATCTCCCCTTTTAAGTAGCATTAGGGAACAGACCACTCAGGAACATGGCAAATTAGAACAAAGTTCATCCGGCGATCGGTACGACGTAAAAGTGTTGGGCCATCTAGGAGACTGTAGAAATCACCCGTGGTGTGGACTGGACACTGAAGGCGGAGGAGGCACCAAGTATGCCACCAACACACGCACACACATATGTATCTATATATATGTAGAACAAATCCAACTGAACGTTTGCTGCCTCCCAAGACCAAGCTAACTGAACCCGCCTAAACGAACGAGCGAGCTTGCAGTGTTCCAAAAAAAAAAGAGCTGCTGAGCAGGAGACACACTCAAAACATATACGCCATGAAGTTCCTCGTCACCACCATCCTCACGCTTGCAAGCCTTGCGCTTGCTCAGACGCCCGCCGACCTCGACTGCCCCACGGCCACGAAAACAACGCAGCCTCGACGGTGTAGCAAGACGTGCGACTACTCGGACTGCAGCTTCCTGACAACCATCAAGAATCCGTGCGGCTGCCCAGCCAGCATACCGACCGCCACGCTGATCGCCCCTTGCGCGGCAGACTGCCCCTACGGAGGCTGCGACATCGAGTTCCGGACCAGCGCGCTTGCCTGCCCTACGACGTCGTCCACCAGCCGGCGCCGGCCGCGCCCGACAACCTCGAGCACCACGACCAGCTCGATCCCGGTGGTTGTGACGGGCATCACGACGCTGCCGCCGCCGATCCGCTCGACGCCGTGTCCCGTCATCACGCGCACGACCAGCCCGGCCGACTGCCCGGCAATTCGCTGCCCGGTGCCAACGTGCGTCGCTCAGTCGACCCTCGCCATTCCGTGCAACTGCACGCCCAAGACGTTGCTTTACGTGCAAGGTTGCGCCTCGACATGTCCTGGAGGCTGCTTAACCCGGACTCAGACCATAAGCCAGGTGAACTGCTAGGATCGGAGGACGGAGAGGAAAACGCGAGAGAGGACGAAGAGTAAAACGCGAGAGAGGCGGATATATTAGTGAATCCCTTTTTGTTTTTTATTTGTTTGGGAAAATTCGGGTTATCGGGAAAGTTCCATGGATGTCTTCGGCTCCCTGTGGAAGTGGGCAAAAAGGGCAACATGCCATTTCAATCTCAATCGAGCTCAAGATGGTGCTGATACTTATCAATGCGCCATAAATATTATCAAGGAGACCACTTAGCCTCCCTTGGACGTCTTCTATCTCTAGGTGGACTTTCGAAAACCTATATGTCAACTGTGAAGAGCGTTTGCCTTAAATCACAGGGGAAACTGAGATGAGAAGTCTCAAGACCTGAGGCCTGCCGCAGATGTGGTGGTTGGGCAAAATGGTGCAGGCGCTAAGACCCTTGCTGCAGGGGCATTCCATGGCCGATTGCAAGGGGCAGTCCCTGACGGGAATGACATCACCTGGGACCGGGCGACCCCCGCCAGGTGCCCCGCGTAAGCTCCGAACAGCACTGGGCTTCGGAGGCTACCGAACGCTAGGTGCATCGCGGAAGGTGTCAGCGGACCTTTGTTTGCATGGAGCGTGCCTGTCCCGCGCACCGGTGCCTTCCGTTGTTTGCCTCCCCTATCTCGCGGCATTGCTTTATTAAGGTTCGATTTCCCGTACCCAGGAAGCGGCGACTTTACATAGTGTTGAAGGCTCCTATTGATTTTCTACTATTTTGACACCCGACGCAGTGCGATCAAGTAACGTGCTCTGCTCCCGAGTCGTCGGTCGCACAGAACGATCTGCCCCACACAATGACATCGCGGTACCGGGTTGAGTGTAGGTCCCGAACTCTCTGCTCCCGGTCTTGTTGCCCACGTGCTTGCCTGAATTCTAGACTGAGATGAGCTGACCAGAGCGCAGATGCTCTCAAGACTCACCGGCGAGATCAGCTCATAGGTAAGAAACTGCCAGTCGCTCATTCTGCCCGAATCCGGGCTGGAGATAGTTTGAGGCGTCTTGGCTATCGAGTGACGTTCGCCGCTCACCGCTACTCTCACCAATCCTCGCTGGAGGTCGTAACCACTCCGACGGTGATACCAAGACCGTTTGGAGCAAATGGCTTTGTATTTTTCTAGTTTCGTGAAACCTCGCTGACGGAAACAGAATGGATCAAAGGCCTGCTCGCCGTTCCGTTCGTCCTGTATTCGCAGCCCCAAGGCGTCTTTGACGGACAGGGTATCGCTAGCAACACCCTACTGCAGACTCGTGAGGAGGCGCATCGACGATACAGTGAAATTCTACGCGATGTCGAAATCATGGTGGACGACCACAGTGAGTACTTTGTGACCTGTGTCTCGCCCCGCCGCGTTCCGGAACGTCAGAGGTGTGGATAGGCAGAGACCAACACACTGACACAGTTTCCGGTGAAAGTTATGCACCAGAACGATGCCGAGAACCCCTTTCCCTCAAAACTCAAGCTCCTGGTGCCGAGCATCGGCCAATTCTTCACGCGCCTTCCTCTGGAAGCCGCCTTCAAGCTACAGGACCGAAAACGTTACATCTCGTCGCGTCGCTTCGTGTCACCCTCTTTCAACGATGTCCGGCTTATTCTCAACTCCGCCCAGATCATGGCCGTAACGACATATGGAACCCTGCAGCTTGCTACTTTTGACGGAGATGTGACCCTCTACGATGACGGCCAGAGCCTGGAGGACAACAGTCCCGTTATTCCTAGGTTAATCGGTCCGTGTTGAAAATCCTATGCCACTTGCTGGTTTACTTCTCCTTTTTGTACTAACGCAGTCAACGCGTTCAGACTTGCTTCGAAAAAATGTCAAGGTTGGCATCGTTACAGCTGCTGGTTATACCACGGCGGAGCGGTATTACGCCCGGCTACATGGGTTGCTGGATGCCATGGCCAACTCGGCGGAGCTGACGCCGGCTCAAAAGCAGAGTCTGGTAGTGATGGGCGGAGAGGCAAACTATTTATTTGAGTTCTCCGCCACGTCGCCGCACCTCCTGGCACCAGTACCTCGAGAGCAGTGGTTGACGCCAGAGATGGCTTCGTGGGACGACCGCGATATCACAGAGCTTCTCGATGTTGCCGAGGTAGCCCTTCAGAATAGCATCAAGTCGCTGAATCTGCCCGCCACTTTGATGCGCAAGGACCGCGCCGTCGGTATCATCCCGCTATCACCCGATATCCGAATCCCGCGCGAGAGCCTCGAGGAGACGGTTCTAGTGGTCCAAAAGATCCTTGAGCTCAGCACGGCCGGCCGCGGCCGCCGCGTACCATTCTGCGCCTTTAATGGCGGGCGAGATGTCTTTGTCGATATCGGCGACAAGAGTTGGGGTGTTACGGTTCTGCAGCGTTGGTTTGGTGCCGGTCTGCCGGACGGCATCATCAAGGGTGAAAACACTCTGCATGTAGGCGACCAGTTTTTGAGTGCTGGCGCTAACGACTTCCGTGCCCGAAGTGTGGGCACTACGTCGTGGATCGCAAGTCCCGCAGAGACAGTTGAGCTTCTAGATGAGCTGGCCGAACTGATGGGCAAGAAGATGTCTTGATTTCCGGGAAGGCGGCCGATACGAGTTCTCGAATGTAGTTAGGATGATGATTTCGGTGCAGCGGCGTTGATCTCACAGCGTTTTGCCCCACGCAACTTGCATGTTTTCTTCAAAACGAACTCTTTTCCCCTGACCGTAGACATCGGTGTGACAAAGAGTGCTCGCAATGTACTCCGTACAATACATGCAATCAGGCTGGAATGGGCTACATCACGTTGCTCTCCGAATGTTCGAATGGAAGAACACTTCAGTAATCATTGGTCAACCTTTGCACCATCCTCGTTCTCACGCTCCACTACCTTTTGCCCTACGGCACCATCACGGTTCGCTCGCCACACGCCGCCCTCGTCGCCGCCAAACTCCTCGCGCTTCCACACCTCGACACGGGCTTTGCACTCCTCGAGCGCCTCCTCGCCCGCGCGCCACGCCGCCTGCCGGTGCGCTGCCGACACCGCAATCAGAATGCTTTCCTCTCCGATCGGCACCACCCCCAGCCGGTGCACCATGGCGATCCCCTTGAGGCCGTGCTTAGCGCGCACCTCCCGCGCTATCGCCAGCATGGTCCGCAGCGCGAGCGGGTTGTAGGCGCTGTACTGAAGCTCCTTGATAGGCTTGCCGCCGAAGTTATCGCGCGTCGTTCCTGTTGGTCTGTTAAAAACACGCAGAATATCTAGGTAATGTAAGGTGGTTTTGTTTATTTTTTTTTTAAAAAAAAGGGGGGCGGGGGATGGGTGTCAAGTAAGCGTAACTGTCTGCGGTGGGATAATAAGGCTAGGGGAAAAAAGAACGGGGGAAAGGGGACTCTTCCTAACCAGCAAAGAGCACAATAGCACCCGCTTCGGGACTGCGCACCCGGTCCATGATGGCTGGGATGTCCAGGTCGGCTTCCGTCAGGGCCACGAAGCAGCCATCATCCTCTTCCTGATGATCTGCGGCCTGAAGCTGAGAGGGCGGGCCCATGGCGAAATCAGGACCCAGGCGGATATTTTATTTTTATGGTAGATGGGACGTCGATTCTGCCTGTCTCAAGCTGGCTGAATACCTAGTTCTAGTTAGAAAATAAGCAAAGTTGTTCACGAAAAAAAAAGGGCCAGCTACGAGTTCGTTCTTCTCAGCAGACGACGGTCCAAGCTACGCATCTGGCTTTGCTGGAATATCGCCCACTAATAACTCAAGGTAAGCTACATAGGTACAGTACCGTACCTTATTAACAGCCAAATTGGGGGGAAGTTGCGAGGGACTTAAGATTTTCGTGCCGTTTTAGATATCTTACAGTCCCTATCAATGACACAATTTTAGGGATGTTCAAATAAATATAAGACGATTTAAAACCCTCTCGTCATCACTTTCTAGCAAGGAGCTCGTGCCAAGTCCGCGCCAATCTTCAATGAGGCCCGCAATGTGCCGGCAGAACTTCGGAAGCTAATTATCTGCACGGACGTTCGAGGCCCCACCATTGCAGTGAGCTCTTTAGCACGTTCTCCAACTTCGCAAGTCCCTAAAGCTCCCGAACGCCCCTGCCAACAAAAAGTCGCGAAACCTCATCCCTAAATCTTTTTGGCGATATCTTGCGCGAATGCACTGCGCAAAACAACCCGTATACCCGAAAAGACCTGCGAACCCTCAAAAGGAGATCGACTGGCCACCAAAATGTACGACGGGGGCTACCAGCCCACATCGCGCTCCGCGTCGCGAGACGGCGGGGGCTACCGGCGACGCCCCGACCAGAGAGAGGGCGAATCCCGCCGACAATCGAGCATAAGTACCTAAACCTGACTACCACAAACACCGCCATAATATCGTTATTTCTCGCTTGGACCCTCTGGAAGTTTTTGTATGGCTAACTTGCGTTGTTGTCAACCCTGCCCCCCTCTACAAAGACCCCCATAGGGAATCAAGAAGCTTGAACTACGATGACGAGCCCCGCTTTGACGACCGCGGCAGAGACCACCACTCGAGTCGCTGGAGCGATAGAGGTAGAAGAGACTCCTATTCGGGTGCCCCATCATACGACTACAGGGAGACCTCTTCTGGCGGACCGCCCGAGGAAGGAGAATGGGTCGAGAGCGAACAGCCAGTCCAGCATGACAGAAGAGGGCGTGGCGATGGCCGTTTCTACAATCGCGAGCGCAGCCAGAGCCCCCGAAATTACCGCTCTGGGAGCCATAACCGTGGCGGACATCATTTGAAGGGACACCCTGGCGCGCCAGCAAAGACCATTATCTTGGAGGGCCTCCCTCAAGAGGCGAACGAACAGTTTGTGAGTCGGAATCACAGTCGTCTCTACAACGAGAAACTACCTAAAGTCCTCCTCTAATGCTTCGGAGAATTCAAGTTGCTCATGGATATATACAACTTACTGACTCATGCTTCCCTACCGTCTTAGGTTTTGCTTGGGCTCGACTTTGTCGCCCAAGACCAACGTTTTTCGGACGATAAAGTGAAGATCGCCCGATTTAACTACGATGACGCCGGTATGTCCATGACCATATCACCAGTCATCCTCGCTTTTCAAACTGCTGCTGATGTCCGGGCTAGGTCCTCGGATCGCGTACGTCGAATTCTATCGCGCCGCGGATGCGAAAGAATTTGCAGGAAACCACCAAGACGAAGTATCATTTCCTCTAGTCCCCTCCCGGGGCCTCGAGTCTGAGTCTATTAAAGTTCGTGTGAGCCTCAGTAGTAACCGTAACCAGGGAAGAGCAGACGGCAATTGGGACTGCACTCGGGTAAGCAGCCCCCTTCTTTGAACTCTTGCAAAGCTCTCTAATTAAACGTGTATAGTGCCATGCTAGCAATTCCTCACGTCAAACAAGTTGCAACAGTTGCCATTCCGTTAGGCCCGGTAAGCCCAAGCGTTCCAGCAAACCACGTGGGCACCAAAGAGGTCTAACACATTTAAAAGATAATCATTGGAATGATGATTATCATGGTCAGGGCCACGGCCGTACCGAATATGGGTATGAGCAAGACACTACCTCCCAAGGTCGACTCTTGACAGGCGAATCGGATGCGTCGCCCGAAGCATCTCCGTTCCTTGTACTTATGGGACTTGGAGTTTCTATCACCGAGGATGTCCTCGCTGATGGTGTCATGAAATTATTCATCGACCCCGTCCAGGATCAACCGAAAGAGGCTTCGAATCCAATAAACAAACTCAAGTCGACAGCTCCAACCAACAGTACCGTCGGCCTTGGCGCAAAACCCGGCTCGTTGCGGCGTGTGTTCCTCATGCGCGACCGCAAAACAACCGAATCCCGGGGATATGGGTTTGCTGAATTCGCATCGAAGGAAGATGCTTCGGCCGCGATTGCCAAGTACCGCGCTTCTAGCAGTTTCACGATTACCTCAAAGAGTGTCACTATTGCGTTTAGTCATCTCGGTGCTTTTGTGCCACCGTCGCCGACCGAACCCCAAGCCTTCACCTTTCCCAATATATACAACCCAGATCAACCACTGAAATACTGGAATAACTTCCTATACCCAGGTATCAAGGTGGTTTCGGAACCCCCTGTCTTGGAGGCCCCAAGCCCCGAGAAACGGGCCGAAGACCAAACTTCGGCCGGTATGGGTGCAATGCGTGGAACCAACGCAAAGAAGCCCAAGAAGGATAAGGAGTCTGTCAAGGTCAGCATGATCCCGCAAATTCGAATGTGGACGAAGAAGTCAGCCGAGTTGCACAGCGCCCATAAGCAATCCACCCTGGATGAAACCACTGATAAAAGCGCTGATGCGCTCATTTCTGCCGGCCCAACTGACAGCACTGATGATGTTCAAGTCGATGGCCCGTTGGATCCTCATTGGAATGACAAGTACATTTCTTATGCGGATTGGGATACGCTAACGTGTCTCGTCTGCGACTGGAAGCCTCTGCCAGAGGAGACCATGGTTGAGCTCGGATATTCCGCGGCCCACCGGGAAGACTTCCTAATGAGCCATGAAGTTCGAGTACACGACCATTACAAAGACCCCGAGGTCAAGGAAAAGGCGGCCGCGAAACTCGCCGCTCTAGGCAAGCAGGCACGAACTATTGTGCGTCGCACCCCACGCCTCAAGTCTGCGCCCCTCCCTGTCTACGTCTCCTACGCGGATTTTGATGCCCTCCGCTGCCATCTCTGCCGACGTAACTTCAAGAATATACCGACCATTTGGCGCCATGAGCAGGAGAGCGAGCTGCATAAGCGCATACTTGCGGACCCTAAAAATAAGGAACGCGCCACCGCCGAGCTCCTCGCAAAAGGGAAAACCACGCCTACCATGGTTCCGGACAGCAATATGAAGCAGCAGCAGATGCAGTACCGCGACCGTGCCCAAGAGCGCCGCCAGGCTTTCAGACAGCCAAACAAACCAGCTGGTCAGCATCAGCCTGCCGCTGAGAAGCGCAAAGAGCCATCATCCGAGATGGAAGAGAGCTCGGTAGCCAAAATATCAAAAGGCGCCGGCATCCTCGCCAAGATGGGGTGGACGGATGGCGCCGGGCTCGGTGCCGAGGGTGCAGGCATAACCCAGGCTCTAGTCACAGATGCCTACGCTCCCGGCGTTGGCCTGGGCGCCGAGGGCGGCAATCTTGGTGACGCAGCCCAAGAAGCGGCGCGCAAGACCCGCGGTAACCCCTTTGACTTCATTGAGAAGACCCGCGACAAGGCGCGGGAGCGATACTACGAGACCAAGGAATAGATGGGTATCAAAAGAAAATTTGTATGGGTATTGTACTTTTTGAGTTGGGCGCGGCCGGGACTGGGATGGGGTGGTGTCTGGAATGATCTTGTAAGAGTAGTGTTGGTGTTTTAATGGGTAGGATTAGTCGTTGCAGGCCGTTATATACCCTCTCATATTATAATTTTGCATTTCCCACTCGGTAGGGCCGTCCTTGCGCAAGTATTCCAAGATGCTCGGAGTGAATATGGCAATGAAATAAGGTGGCGTGACTGACAAACGTTGGAAGTAAGAATAAGAACAAGTACGGAGTGTTTCGTACCTGACATAGCTAAGGTACCTTACCTCATCCAATGTAGCGAGTCAGGGGCAAAACATGCAGACCCTACTTACACGTTGTATGTAAAACATTACGCAGACACGTACGAAGTCCACAGGTACCGACGAGCAATGGTCAAGGCTGCGAAACTGGAGAATGCTTATAACATATATCTCATATATCTCGATGACAATAAAAATTATGGAATAAATTTTACTACTGTTTGGACTGTTTACCTCATCTTTTTCTTCTCTGCCTCTTTTTGCGCACCTCGGGGGGTAGTAATGACTCAAAACATGGTGAATGCAAAACAAAGAATACATGCGGCGACCACCGCTGCTGCTAATGGCGGTGCCCCAGTGGTAGTGCTTCCAGCACTGCGGCCCGGGACAACGACCGTTACCGTGGGGGTTGGGCTATTCTCGCTGCTCCCTGTCCCGGACAAGCCGCCGCCGCCGCCACCGCCATTCGCCGTCGTGCCGCTGCTCCTGGTCGTCGTCGTCGCGGTGGTGGTGGGTGTGGATGATGTCTGCTGTGCGGCGACACCGGTCAAGCCAGACAGGCCGCCAGTCGCGGAGCCGTTGGCTCTGAGTTCGGAAATTTTGGACGTGGTGCTGTTGAGGTTCGCTTGGGCGATGCCGATCTGCAGATTGTCCATGTCATAGACCACGTACGCGCTGCGGAGGAAATTTGAGCCAATCAGCGCGTAGTTGGGCGTCCGCTGGCTCGCCTGAAAGCCGGCGTTCGACTGGATGGTGAAGTAGCAGGACCTCTTGAAGGGCAGTCCGGGAATCGTAGAGGCGGAGGCGCCGAGCAGGTCGAGCACGAGGTCGCGCACGGGCACGGAGATGGTGGCGCTGCCAAAGGTGAAGTTCATGGTGAGTTCCGGCTGGAGGTTCGGAAGCTCGCAGTCCACGAAAGCTAAGCCCGAGACGCCGTACGTTGCGGCGCCGACCGCCCTGAAAACTTGCAGCGCAAGATCGTTGGGTAGGTAGGTCAGGGTGGTGCCTGAGTCGAGAATCGCGGGCAGCGAGGCTGTGAGGACGGGCGAGCTGAGGTCGGTCTTAGTGCCGTTAGTGAACCAAAGCGACAGGGCCGATACCATCACCTCGAACTGCGTGAAGTTGCCGGTGAATATGCTCCTGACGATGGGTAAAACCGTCAACGGCCCAATGAACTTGTCCTGGTCGACGCCGCCAAACAGGATGGTGCCACCGTCCGACCGCACATCGTTTAGATACAGCGAGAAGGCCTTGGATGTTATTAGGCCCTGGCTGGACAGCTGATCCATGATGGTCGGGTATTTACTCCGCGTGGCAACGTTGGAGCTGAAGCCAAGGCCCATGATCCCATAGGCCTGGGGAACGACTGTAGCATAGCCCATCTGTAATTTCTTGATGACGGCTCCCCCAATACTGAGGTCATCTGTAATATAGTCGCCAAACGCACCAGCGCCAGCGATATAGCTGATGTTCAAGCCTCCAGTCTGAACCAGGCTGTACGTCGAGCTCTTAGCGGGATCATATGTGTCGAGGCACTTGGAATTGAGTGTTAGCTGGACGCTCGGATCGGTGCACAAATTAGCGCGGTAGCTGATGACCCATGTGTCGCTACTCCCGGTATCGAAGAGCAGAGAGACCTTCTGCCCAGGCGAGCCAACTTCGACGTCGACAAAGTAGGCCGTGTCTGTGATGTTGTTGATGAGGTCCTCTGTCAAGGTCGCGCGCCGAGCCAGAGGGGGTAGGCTGAGGCCGGTTCTCAAGACTGAACCCCTGCTGAGGCTGAATTCGACGACATGATCCTCGGCTGACGATATTCCAAGGGCGAGAGCCAGCAAGAAGATGGCTGATGCCGCCTTCATCTTCGCCTGGTCAGAAGCGCGGTCCTCGGGGAATGTGAGACGGTGTGGCGTCCAAGTCACGCTGCTTGGCTTGTCGCCTCTCACAGGAAGGGCTCTGCTTCTTTGACTGGCCAACCCCAGCTTCCCGGGGGCCGGGTGATGGCGTGAGCTGTCGGGTTGCTCGACTCAAAGAGATGGTATGGGTATGAGGCAAAGAATACGGGAAACGGAAGGGGAGATTCCAGCCGGGCAGGCATGCGTTTAAGACATGTCTCGATTCCGTGTTGGCTGACTTATTCTTTGGCGGCCGGACAGAGGACGTGGTACATAACAGGGCTCTGAACGGCAAAACACAAAGCCAACTCCACGTGCGCGCTGCCGCACAAAGATGTCGAGCCGGGATGAGCGGCGCCTTAAGGAACTTGGCGACTTGGCGGCACGCGTTGAAGTTGGCAACGCCTACCTACGCAGTAGATCGGGGGAAAGAGAGAGAGAGAGTCAGACGGCGGTCAATTTCGTGCTTGGCCGTCTTTCTCCAAATCTCCCGTCTTTCGGCCGATTATTCATTATTCCGCAGGCGGCGCAGCGGGGAGGGGTAGCCATGACCGTCGTCAGCTCGAGCCTCCCTCGACGTGCCCCAACGGTCGGAGCTGAATTTTCGTAATTTGGGGAAAAAAAGGCCGCTTTTTTGAGGCCTCGGGCCTGCGAAGAGGGTGGTCCGTGCACCGGGGTTAGGGTTATAAATGTGAACACAGGATTGTTCAAAGAACCATTTTTTATAGCGGGTCTGCAGCGGGCCAGCTGCTGCGTATGGGTACGGAAAAGCCGGTGCGATGCGATCGCTGCAGGCGGGGCCGACCGAAGAGTATCTTCATGTGGGGTCCGAGTCATCCACAGCTCCTCAGGAAATGGACTAATCTACGCGCTCTTTTTGGTATTAAAAGCCCTAAATGGCTTCATTTAGTTCTCCAATTCTTAGCTACGCCTACGCATGCGCTGTTATAGGAGACGTAGTTGAATATACCTACAGAAATAGACACACACTGCGTATGTAACAACCAACCGCCAAAAAGAGTGGGGGTTTCTTGGTCATTGGCTGGCCGTGTAACCTAGCCAACTCGGCCAGTTTCCCCTTTTCCAAGTAAACACCACGCAGCCGCAACCACATGTGTCGCCGTTGCTATGTACGCGGAAGCCGCCTCTAGAGGCGGTCGCCCGACTCTACAGAAGCGGGCGGTCGTAACATCATCCCGCTTCCCAAACCGGCCCCCACCTTCAGGCGTGCCCGTACCGATCATTCAACCGTGCGGTCATCACTTTAGTAAGTGGCTTCCTTCCTTCCCCTCAACTGTCCGCGGGCTCCGCTCATATTAGTACGAAACTAACTCAAATGTGTTTCAACGTTTGATCAACTCAAGACGACGGCAACTGCCTGCAAAAATGCGGTGGGGCGTACAAGCAAGCCGTGAACAAGCCGTAATAGCGGCCTTAACCTGCACACACACCATTTTTTACAGGCAACTTGGGTAGCATAGTGCCTCGGGAGCGCTCGACAAGCTTGTGCCGCAATTGCGGCGTCCCGCACGACTGTGCAGATTGGATGGCAGTGTGTCTACGGCGGTGCCGCCGCTTGCAAACTCCAAAAAAAACGAATTCATTTCACCACTAGACGAATACGAAGCCGTGCCATGATACCAAACGAATATCCGATTCCCGGACTCGACCCCAAAGGAGTTCCTCCTGATCTCGGCATCCCGGTCGAAGCGGCCGCCGTGCCAAAAGACCAAACAAACATCGTACTTCAAGTGGCGGGCACTTGTGAACCACGGCAACCACTTATCGCGCGGAAACCCCCAATTAAATAGAAGGGGAGTCATGGTTGCCATCGAAGGGAGTAACAGAAAATGAACCGTGGTTGCCATCGAAGGGGGTAACAGAGGAGCCGCGGTTGCGACGGAAGCGAGCCCTACTTCTAGCGAGGGAGGCAGCGTCTCTGTGGCCGGCATGTTTAACCCAAACTTCAGCGGGGCACTTAAGGCCGTCCCAATCGTAACGGCGCAATCCGTCCTGGTTGTTGGAGGGGGGCAACATAGGAGCCGCAGTTGCAATCGCCGCGAGCAGACAACGAGCCGTGGTTGCCATCGGAGGGGGGAATAGAAGCGGAGCGGCGGTTACTATCGAGGGGGGCAACAGAGGAGCCGTGGGAGCCATCGAAGGGGGCTTTAAGAAAGGAACCGTGGTTGCCATCGAGAGGGGGCAACAGAAGCGGAGCCTTGGCTATCCTTGGTGGTATCCATTTTGAAGAGGTAGAACAGCAGAGGCGTTTGGTGGTGAGTATGTTGGAGTAGGTGGGACGTTAGGAGTGTGAAAGACGTTCAAGAGAAGTTTTATAGAGGGAAAAAGAAATTACGAAGAGGAAGAGGCAGGAAACGGTATTCATATCCTAGCTGGCCGGGATATTCGGTGGCCGGAATATTCTCCAGCCGTGAGCAAGCTTGTGGCGGATGGCAATATCGTTTTCGCCATTACCATGTGGGAGCCGGCAGCGTCGAGTGCCCGTGATGATTTGTGTACAGACACGGAACCATACATTAGTGGGCGAAGAAGGCTGGTATATGAGCTGGCCACTCTCTTCTGACTACAGCGCGAGATGACTTTAAGACGGGCGATAAATAAGCTTACTGGGGGCGTGCATGACTTATGGGCTGCGGGGGGGGGGGTCTATCGCTAAGGTCGCCCGGAAGGTCGTCGTCAGACATGTCAGAGACGGTATCAGAATTGGAGACAGCATCAGAGCCAGAGCCAGAGTCAGATCCAGAGGGCGTGTCATCAACAGAGGACATCTTGTCTCCGCCGTCGTGTTGCGCGTCGTGATTTTCGGCAACGGGGACGTCAGAGCCAGTGTCAGAGTCAGAGTTGGAGGATATATCAGAGTCAGAGGACATGTCAGCGTTCGAGGGCATGTTGTCCCCGCCGTTGCGTTACGCGTCGTCAATAGAGATGTTCGAGCTATGTTCTAGCGTGCCCATGTCAGAGTCCATGTTGATGACGACGAGGCGTAGGTGAAAGAATTGCGAAGAAAAGGGCTAAAGTGGTACAGCCTTTTCTGGCCAGAGCATTAGACAGCGAACTTTATCAATTATCGCTGAAGTGTACCAAGTCCTGTAATAATACCAAATGCTTCTACTACCAGGCGACGGCAATTCTTTCGGGAAGAATTGACAAAGGAAGAATTTGCTTCCTCGGCTTACTGGAGATGCCCATGTGGCTGGCAGGGCTGGCAGGGTTCTAGAAGCCCCAACCCCGCTTCTCCCGCCTCGGGCGCTTGTTAGCGGCCAGTCGTGCAATGGTGCAGCGGTTAGCTGTCAAGTGTTGTCTATACGGAAGTGCCTTTCAAAAGTTTTGCGCAATGCCAAGCCAGCCACACCCCTTTAGCTGAATGATCAGCGACCACACCACATCTGGTTTGGCCACGTAATCTTACCCCTCAACCCCGCTTCCACAGCTCAACAGTCAACACAACGATCAAGATGTCGCCAAATACAGATATTTCCATGCGTGCGCTTATAGTTACCCTCAAATCTCCTATTGTGGGCCTTTCTTCGGCCGATGTCTTTGCACAAACCGGGGTTTCCGTTAGTACCGTCAATCGAATATATGCCAGGGCTATTGAGCGTGGATTTGATCCAAATATACGGCCCTTAATTATTAAGGATGAATGGGTTGAAGATGCCCCTCGCTCTGGCCGTCCACGAAAACACACCCCCGAAAATACCGAGAAGGTTATCGCCAAGGTTCGCAAAGATCGATATGGCCGTGAGAAATCCTGTGCTGATCTGGCCGGTGAGCTCAGTACCGAGGGCCTCGACATCTCAGCTATCACAATCTGGAGGATCCTCAAATTAGCAGGATTCAACAAAACGAAGCCAACGAGGAAGCCTGGATTGACGAAGAAGATGAAGGAGGAACGACTGAAGTGGTGTCTTGATCATAAAGATTGGACTTTAGAAGATTGGAAACGTGTTATTTGGTCTGATGAAACTTCTATTGTATTACTTCATCGCCGAGGAGGATATCGTATTTGGAGGAAAGCTGATGAGCGTTTTCTTAAAAGCTGTATTCGTGAACGGTGGAAAGGATATTCGGAGTTTATGTTTTGGGGTTGCTTTTCGTACGATCAAAAGGGGCCTTGCCATTGTTGGCTTCCGGAAACAAAGGCTGAAAAGGAGCAAGCTGAGAAGGATCTTGAGGAATGGAATAAGGAGTTGGAACCAATAATGCGTGAAGAGTGGGAGTTGGATACCAAAATGGGAAGGCTCTCTTTGGTTACGAAACGAGGCAGAAAACCACAATGGCGATGGAACAAAGCGAACGGCAAACTCGTACGAGAATCCAAGGGAGGCATCGACTGGTATCGCTATCAAACCAAGATCCTTATACCAAAGCTTATCCCTTTCGCCAAAAGCTGTGGGCCGAATACGCTTGTTCAGGAGGATAAGGCTGGCGCACACGCTCATCGCGCTCAACAGCGTATATACGATATCCATCAGGTACTCCGCCTCCTCTGGCCAGGTAACTCACCTGATCTTAATATGATAGAGCCTTGTTGGTTCTGGATGAAGAGAGAAACAACCAAAAAGGGAGCCCCAAAAAGCAGGGCTGAGGCTATTCGAGCATGGGAACATTGCTGGAACGAAAAACTTACTCAGCAGCGTATTCAAGCCTGGATTGAAAGGATTGTTGAGCATATACAACAGGTAATAAAGTGCGAAGGAGGTAACGAGTATCGAGAGGGCCGGAAAAGAATAAGGAGCTAGGGGGCCAAGATGGCCAGGGTCGTATGTAATTAAAGAGGGTGGCTTTCTTGGCACTGCGCAAAACTTTTGAAAGGCACCTCCGTATACGACGACTAAAATTGTCAATTGTCAAGCCACTGATGACGCGAGCACGCAAGCACGCACGGACACAGGCGCGCCCTGGCTTTGACGTCACTTTATGGGTCTAACTGCTCAAATGCTTTCATAAGTAGGAAACGAGAATTGCGCCCATCAATGAAGCATTTGCAGCGACCTTAAAATGAATACCTCACTATGACTATGTAGTGTAGGCATACATGGCTCTTTCCGCACCATCGGGGGGTTATTTGCTGTAGTTCCCAGGTTGGGTTACCTCGAGGCGGGCAAGGACTGGGGAGTGGCAGCAACCCGGGAACGGGCCTAGGTACGTTGGTACGTACTTTGCAAGATTTAGTTGGGGTCGAATGCTCCGTCACGTGATACTTCCAGTCTCGTCATGACCGTTACCTTGAAACAGCCGTTCTAAATCCGTACAAGATTCCTTGCTGAACTTCTCGAGATGAACCAAAAACCAATATGTAGCAGCTCTCCAAGGTAAGGATTAACTACCTTAAGTTCTGTCGAATTCTGCGGCAAGCACAAAAGAAGGATAACTACTAGGTACCTACCTAGGTAGCACCTTAGTTTCTTGCCCTATGGAACCTTTAAATCTTGGTAATCTGTACGCTTGTAGCATGGAGGTGGTAACTTGCCCCTCCGAAAAATCGGACCCCGATGTTCGGTCGCCAAAACTAAAAACCGCTCTCCCACCTTACCTAACGTCGTCGGCCCTGACCTGACCACGCATCGGCAACTACAACCGATCACGGACTTTTCCAACACGGAAGGGAATAAAATCTGCACGGCAGGCTGGATAAGATGGCGTCCCAAGTGGTGACCAAGATTGAGCTCAGCTCACTGCCCAAGCTGGCGAGCGGCAAGGTTCGCGACCTGTACGAGATCGATGACAAGACGCTGCTCTTCCTGACAACGGATCGCATCTCTGCCTTCGATGTTATCATGGCCAATGGCGTGCCTTGGAAGGGCGCCATCCTCACTCAGCTCACGGCGCATTGGTTCGGCGTTCTTGCCGAACGAATCCCCGGCCTTAAAACGCACTTCCTGACCTTGGCACCCCCGGCTGGCCTCAGCCCCGCCGAGACGGAACTAGTCCGCGGCCGCAGCATGCAGGTGCGCAAGCTCAGGGTGTTTCCCATCGAGGCCATTGTGCGCGGCTATATCACGGGTAGCGCCTGGTCCGAGTACCAAAAGAGCGGCACGGTTCATGGCCTGCCCCAGCCCGCCGGACTCCAGAGGTGCTCGCCCTTCCCCGAGGCCATCTACACGCCCAGCACCAAGGCCGAGCTGGGCCAGCACGACGAGAACATTACGCCGGCGCAGGCCGCCGAGATTGTCGGCGAGCGCTACGCTTCCCGCATCGAGGCCCTAGCTCTGCAGGTGTACAACGCTGGCGCCGCCTACGCTCGTGAGCGCGGTATCATCATCGCCGACACAAAGTTCGAGTTCGGCCTGGACGAAGAGACGGACGACATTGTGCTCATTGACGAGGTGCTTACGCCCGATTCGTCGCGGTTCTGGCCAGCCGATGAGTACGAAGTCGGGCGCGACCAGGACAGCTTTGACAAGCAGTTCTTGCGCAACTGGCTGATGAAGGAGGGCCTAAAGTACAAGGAGGGCGTCGCTATGCCACCCGACGTGGCCGAGGCCACCAGCGTGAGGTACAAGGATGCATTCAAGCGCTTGGCAGGAAAGACACTGGATGAGGCGCTTGCGGAACTGGATGCCTGAATTTGATCACATATCCTGCGGGTATGGGGTGAGTGAAGCCACGGCATCTGGTGGGCTGGTCGGCGCGCAATGGTTCTAGGGAAGCAAGCAAGTGGAGGATAGGAGTTAGAGATGCGCCACTCGCCGACAATCACCACCCTGCCGCCCTCGTCGTGGGCCGGCTTCCACGAACTAGGCAAAAGAGACAAGAAAAAGACCGGGCTGTGCGTGATGGTAGATAGACAACGAAGGTCGATCAGTCATTTGGCCAGAGACATTGGCTTCTTGGCTCGCGAATTCACCGTAGGGACCTCTCAAGCTACGAAAAAGCATGTGCCAAGGTGATGCTCGATATGGTGGAATGTCCCTGCCTGCCTGCCTGCCTGCCTGCCTGCCTGCCTATCTACCTACATAGGCACCTTACTCGCCGAGTTTGAGTATTGCTAGTTATAGTATCCTGAATCGTCTGCAAACGGCGGTTAACGCGAGACAGGCAAAGGCAAACACAAGGCAAAAGACAAAAGATGTCTATCCTCAATTTCGCCATGTCGCTCTGTCCGGGCATCACGAGTCGAGAACATCGTATGAGGCCTGCTTGCTGGCAAGCCTTCAGCCCTCTCAGAATGTGCGTACGCATTAATGTGTGTGGCCAAGGAGGAGCAGGCAAATAAAAGGTGACAGGCAAGCGCAAGTGAGACATTCAGTGAGTCGGTCAGTACCAAGATAGATATTGGAGTCAGGCAGTGGTGGTGTGAAGGAAGGCAGCTAGCTAGAGCGAGCGATCTGGAATGGATCGGTCAAGGAAATACCAGACGCGGCTAGCAGCCGCAGCCTCAAATAAGGTTCACAGGGAGAAACCGATTGGCCGGTTGCTTGATCGGTTTTGGGGAGCTAGAGCCAGCTGGGCGAAGCAAGCAGACGAGATGGGACGATGGAGGACATGGGTTGTCTGTTGCCTTACAGCTTACCTTTCGTGCGGGCCCAAAAATACAGCACAGCAGCGCCTAGCATGCAGCTGCCGTGGACTCAGGGGAGAGCTCCAGTACATGTATGTACATGTATGTACAAGTACATACGAAAATTACCGACTGGGCTTACCGACCGGGCTCGCGCATTGGCCAGACCCAAGATCCAATGGGTTCGCGACAACCAACCTGGCGCCAGGGTAGCGAGAATGTAGAGCAGCCAAACCGCCGACGCCCCCAGTTTCGATCTGGCCTGGCCTGGCGGAGCTGAGGCTAATCGAAACCTGGAAAGTAGAGGCGCCAAGCTTGCCAAGCCCAATGGAGCCGCTTTCCAGAATTGGCGTAGGCACGACACCACTGGCACAATGGTTCCCGCTCCCCGATCACTGATTCCGAGTCGAGGCAAGATCGACCAAGCTCTGGTCGGTTTGGCCCGCCCTGGTGCCCTGCGGCCTTGGGCAAACTGCCAACCTCTGTCGTCGTCACACCCGAAGTCGAAGTCTGGGAGCGAGCACTTGCACTTGCACTTGCACTTGCGCTTCCATCAGTCCAGTCCCGTCGTCTTAAGTCTATTTACAGCCCTTCGTGTGGTGCAACCCGGAACCACCAATTTCCAATGAATGCAGCTCGGGAGAAGCTCACCCTGGTCCGGCGACAACCTCAGTAAAGCGACAAAGCCAATTAAGTCCAATAATTTCATCGTCGAGCGAGCCGCGACCTACATGCGGATTGGCCATCACACACACCACGGCTGATGGTCGATTCCGGCTCCTGGGTTCCGTTGCATATAGGTGTCCTGGGCGTCCTGCCCTGCCGATGACGCATTGCGAACCACCATCTCGTCCCTCTTTCAGTCTACTCCTTGCGGGCAAGCCAAGCCAAGCAAGCACCTTAAGTCTGTCTGACTCTATGAGCGAGCTGATTTGACAATGTATCCCTCCTTTCTGCACACGCCCGTCATCCATCTGCTCAACGCCGATCCGCGTCCATCCTTCGTCGTTGCCCTGGCCCCGCACCCCGCGGCCGTTGTTTTCACGAACCCGGCCCTGGATGCTGATGCCACCATCTCGGACCTTGTCAACGCCCGCAACGAGGGCCTTTGGGACTTGATAACCGGCCGAACCCCGGCCTCGCCGTCGTGCTTCGTATGCTGCGGCATCTCGTGGACACGCTTTGTCGTCGAGGAACAATGGGCCGTTGTCGGTGCAAACGAGATGCCCCCCGGAAAGCTCTTGTCTGAGCCGCCGCTACACACGACACGGCTCCGTGCCATTGATCCTACCAGAAGCCCGCTGCCCCCAGGGCGTGATGTACCCACCGCCGAGTCTGTCGGTCTCGGGAACACAGCCCCCGTGTCTTCTGCGCAATCTGTCTCGCGCCCCGACTATGAGACCCTCGGCCGCAAGATCAAGTCTACGCCGGTCGTCCTGCCACAGAGCCTGACGGAAGGGCTATTGACGGTGCCCGAAGCTGCTGTCAGTTCTTCGTCTCGCTCAAACTCGGATCCGGGTTGGATTTTGCCCAATGAGTCACCGGGTTCGTCCTTCTCGCTTTCCCGTAGCCATTTTCTGCCGTCCGGCTTGCTAACGCTGTCGATATAGAGCAACGTCCGTTCCTGGAAGTCATCAATGATGTCGACTGGGCGGCTAACCCTCTGGGCGAAATGAAGTGCTGGCCTCCAAGACTGGAACAGACGTTCAAGCAAATCCTCGTTGACAGCCGCCCAGTCGCCATTTATTGGGGACCGTCCTTTACAACCATCTACAACGAGGCTTTTAGCAAACTTTGCGGTTCCAAGCACCCTGCGATGCTCGGCATGCCAGTGGAAGATGCATGGCAGGCGGAAGGCCAGCGCCTGAGAGATACGATGCAAGGCATTTCTGGAACAACGCAGATGACGGCCCTGGAGGACGAGTGGAGAGTCTTTGTTGAGAGGGAGTCTGCCGTGCCAGGACAACCCCACTGGCTCGAGGAAACTTATCTCAAGGGGTCCATCATCCCCATCCTAGAGAACAGTGAATGCCTTGGCTTCCTGCATCCAGTGGCGGAGACGACAAGAATACGACTCTGGGAAAGACGGATGGAGATGCTCATCAGCCTCGGAGAGTCGCTCGTCACTGCTCGCGATGTGGAAAGCTATTGGGAAGAGACCCTCCAGCAGTTCGATGCAGTAGAATCCCGCTGCGACATCCCTCTGGCGATCCTATACAGCGTGGGGGAAGATCCAGACACGATAGAAGCCACGCCTCCTCGTCCACCCTACCCCTCGACTAAAGTCTGTCGCCTTGAAGGAGCACTTGGCGTCCCGGAACACCACCCGATTGTCCCCGACACGCTCAACTTACAGACCGGCAGCGAGACTCTGTCCTCCTTATTCAGGGAGGCAATAGAAGCCCGTCATCCTCTCCTGCTGCAAACGGCAGATGGAACTCTCCCCCAGGCGCTTCTTGAGGGGCTGCAGTGGCGAGGATACGAAGCAGATCCATACAGAGCTGCTGTGATTTGCCCGATCCGGCCGACAAGGGAGGAGAACGTAATGGGTCTTCTTCTCCTTGGTCTCAACCCCCGGCGTCGCTATGACAACGATTACCGACAATATATCTCGCTCCTCAGCCAGAAGCTGACGACGTCTCTGGCCTCGATTGTTCTACTCGAGGAAGAATCCCGCGGAGGGCGCAACGCAGCGGAGCAGACTGCGTATGATCGTGCCACGCTCAAGGAAGAGTTGGCAGTCCAGACTAGAGAGGCGACCGAGTCTGTCAGAATGTTTGAGGCCGTGGCTGAATTTATTCCCGTTGGCATGACGTTTAGCGACGAGCATGGAAAAATCACGTTTGCAAATGACGCCTGGTACAAAATAACTGGAATCCATGGGCCAGTCGGGGAACAGGACTTTCTCGCCTCTGTTATAGAAGATGATCGCCCGGCCGTCACGGCCGCGTATGAGAGGCTCAAGACCACACACAACGTTGAGTTTGAGTTCCGCGTCAAGAGTCCCAACAGCTCAGGTGTTGATGCTTCGCTGTCTCGAAACCCTCCTACCTTTGATAAAGCCGGACTCGATGTGGGCTCTGTCGATGACGTGAAGGGGCGCCATGTCCTGGCCATTGCTAAAGCAGAACGTGCGTCTGATGGGGGCATTCTTCGGGTTCTGACATGCTTGACCGACGTTAAGGCGCACAAGCAGGCAACCGCGGAAGCCGTGCGTCGAGCACAACAGGCTGAGAATATGAAGCGCATGACCGAATACGCCACAGTCGGCATGTGCGATATGGACCTTGATGGCCGATTGCTTGAGGCCAACGATGCCTTCTTTGAGATGTGCGGTCTTGAGAAGGACGATCCAACCAAGGCCGTCATCAAGCCCTGGGAGACGTGTGTCCTCGAGGACGATTACTCATTGCTTACCGATACGATCGGTAAGATAGCTTTGGAAGACAAGGTCCAGACGGTCGAGGTCAGGTTCAAGACAACATGGACAACCGAAGATGTCGCGGGCAATGAGGTTGTCATCCCGCGGTCAGTCCAGGCGACGCTAATGCCTGTCCGGTCAACTGAGGGCATCATTCAGGGCTTCGCGGGCTGTTTGAGCGACGTCTCATTGCAAAAGGCGCAGCTGGACAGAGAAAAGGAGCGAAAGGAAGAAGCAATCGAATCAAAGCGCCAACAGGAAAGCTTCATTGACATGACTTCTCACGAGATTCGGAACCCACTGAGCGCGATAATCCACTGCGCAGACGCCATTACCGCAACTCTAGCTCTAGTTCGGGAGCTCATGTGTGGCGAGGCTTGCAAGGCTGTCGTCGCCGCCAACGTCGCCAAGGCTGCCAGCGAGGCATCCTCGTCTCTTGATAGCGATGCTGAAGTGGTGGGCCCTCCTGATGGCGATGCTAAAGTGGTGGGCCCTCGAAGGGATGAGGATCATTCAGAAATCTGCAATCTCGTGGAGACCAGCATTGACAACGCCGAGACGATTGTTGAGTGTGCACTGCACCAAAAACGGATTGTGGACGACATTCTGACAATGTCGAAGCTCGACTCGAATTTGCTTGCCATTACACCTATCACGGTCAACCCAGTCCAGGTGGTCCAGGAAGCTCTCAAGATGTTTGGGGCTGAGGCGCGCAGAGTCGAAATCAACCTCTCCATGTTTGTCCACCAGTCCTACCGCGACCTGGGCGTCACATACCTTGACTTTGACCCCTCTCGGATGAAACAGGTGCTCATCAACCTTCTCGCTAATGCCTTCAAGTTCACCAAGTCAGGCCCGACTCGAGACGTGTTGGTCACTGTCAGAGGGAGTCTCACGCGGCCGACTGAAGCGACAAGCTCGGTACAGTTCATACCACGTTCAGAAGAAACTGATCAAGACTGCAGTCAGCCAGCTCTGCAAGGTCGCGGGGACCCGAGATTCCTCATTTTCGAGGTCAAGGACACGGGACACGGTCTAAGTGAGGAAGAAAGGAAGAGTCTTTTCCAACGCTTTGTCCAGGCTTCAACCCGTACTCACGTCATATACGGCGGCTCAGGCCTGGGGCTCTTTATCAGCCGCCGCCTCATCGGACTTCAGAATGGATCCATCGGTGTTACCAGCGAGCCCGGCGTTGGCAGCACGTTTGCCTTCTACATTGAAGCCTACGTCCCGACCGCAGGGGCCATTTCTGAAGCCGAGGCCAGCATGTCCCCCTCCAATGCCGCGAAATCGGCGCTGAAAGGGACTCGCAACGCCAATAGTTTGGGCAAGAGATCCTCTCTCAGCGAGGGCTCAGGCTCGGACGCACCGGCGGAAACCCTAGTTATGAGACCAACGAACGAGCTAGCCATGTCGTCCCCACCAATAAGGGGTATTCTGGCGGTGGAGGACAACATCATCAACCAACAAATCGTGCGGCGGAGACTCTCGGCCCTGGGATTTACCACCGACGTTGCAAACCACGGTGCCGAGTGTCTGGACAAGCTGCGCCTGTCAGATCGCTATATAGAAACCGAAGACAAGGGCACTGGAGCTGGAGGAACGGCTCAGGGAAAATTTCCCCTCTCGGTGATTCTGATGGATATCGAAATGCCTGTTCAAGACGGGCTGACTTGCACGCGACACATCCGTGAGCTCGAGCGCAAGGGCAACATCACGGATGGCCGCATTGCGATCATTGCGGTGAGCGCGAATGCCCGCGATGAAAAAATCGCAGAGGCTAAAGAAGCGGGGTGTGACGAGGTTTTGGTGAAGCCATATCGAATGCGGGAGCTGACGGACACGATGCGTACTATCATGGAAAGGATAGCAGCGGAAACTCCGACAGTGGAAGACGAAACGGTGGAGGCAGGATGACTGGGTAGAGGGGAAAGGGATCCTGTGCTTTCCGAGAGTCATCGAAGGCAGGAGAGCACCCCTGCTAGAGGGTTTCGAGGCAGCTCAACCGGGCGGATATTATTTTGTAATGTCTGAATCATAACGAAGAATATCCATACGCGTTTTGCCCCTGAATGATATATACCCCCTCACCGCTCTCTTTACCCCGCCAAACTCCCACCCGGCCCTGTTCCCCGGTCTCATTTTGCAAAGTTTCGCAAACGCGGTCTCGGAGGAATAATCGTTTTTCATCATTCAACCTTCTCAATTTACATTCATCTCCTGTTCCCCTCCAAAGCACTGAGCTATGGCGATAACTGCTGCGGGTCCGAGCGGGGACGACTTCGCCAAAGACAGCTATGGCGGGACGGTTTTCCCACGCAAGATTGCATCTAAGCTAGCACACCTTCGCGACATTGGTGAGCAGCACGTCGATACCTCAGTCAAGGTACGAGGATAAATCCAGAAGGCGCAGATGCGAGGCAAGAAGATGGCCTTTGTCGAACTTCGGGAGGAAGGATCTTGGTCAATCCAAGGTCTTGTCATGGCCGGCACCGAGGTTAGCAGAGAGATGGTGAAGTGGGTTGGTTCCCTGAAGCCCAAGAACTTCGTTTCGGTCGAAGCCACTGTCAAGCGGCCCCTTGAACCTGTCAAGAGCCCCGTGTTGCCAACTTCGAGCCGCATCGTACAAAGGTCTTTTGCGAGGCGCCTGCGCCCGAATCACTGGGCCTGAGCCTGCAGGCGGCGAACAAAGCCGTGACACGGGTCGATGAGGAGGAGAATGTCGTCGAGGGTGTGGAAGACTTGACTTTAGGATCGGCTGTCCCTGCGGCGAGCCTGGCCACGCACATAGGCAATCCTGTCATGCACAAGCGTGCCCCTGTCGCCCAAGCCATATCCAATGTTCGCATAACTGTTCGCAAGATCTTCACCGAGTACGTGGATGCGCGAGGATTTAACCTATTCGAACCCCCGTGCTTGATCGGCGCGGCGTCCGAAGGAGGCTCCAATGTCTTCTAGCTCCCGTATTTTGGAAAGGACGCCTTCTTGGCACAGTCGGCACAGTTCTACAAGTAGATCGAAATTGCCGGCGGAAGGAAGGTGTATAGCATTGGTCCTACTTTCAGGGCTGAGAACTCAAATACCCGGAGACATTTGACTGAAGTAAGTGCATCTTAATCCAAGTCCCCCTCTCCCTAGGACCCTAGGACTAACAGACCAACCTAGTTCTTCGTGATGGATCTCGAGAAGGAGATTGAAGAGCACTACCACGAAGTCCTGGATCTCCTGAAAGACCTCCTTCTCCATATCTTCCGTCAGCTGGAGGTGCGGTGCAAAGACGAGATCGAACTCGTCCGCAGCGTGTACCATCCACGCCATTTTTGGTGCCCGAGCCCGGCAAGGAAGTTCGGATCACCTTCGCCGATGGCCAAAAGCTTCTTCGTGAAGAAGGACCCGAAGAGTACAAAAATGTTCGTGACGACGAGGACATGAGTACTGCCTAAGAGAAGGCGCTCTGAGCCATCATTCGCGACAAGTACAAGACGGATTTCTACATCCTCGACAAGTTTCCCGAGTCGGCTCGCCCCTTCTACGCCATGCTAGACCCAGAGAATCCTGACGTCACGAATGCATTCGACTTCTTCATGCGTGGCCAGGAGGTTCTTTCTGGTGGTCAGCGCATCCATCTCCCCGACATGTTAGAGAGCCGCATCCGTGACAAAGGTATCGGCCCTGTATCCCCGGGCATTAAGGAGTATCTCGATGTTTTCAAGTTAGCGGGCGTTCTACCCTACGGTGGTGGTGGAATTGGCCTGGACAGAGTCGTGGCTTGGTACCTGGCTCTACCTACAGTGCATCTTTGTGCATACTACCCAAGAACCCCAAAGAGGCTACTCCCGTGAGTGGGATAGGATCAAGAAAGGGCACATGATCCCCTTCATGCTAATCTAGGAGGGCTGGCAACTAGGGGGGGTCTTGGGACGCAGCCCCTTAACCACCCGTAGATGGTTACTATTCTCTTCGTACGAACCCCATTGCCCAAATTTGACCCTTCCCTCGGCTCTCTGCTAAGCCTCACCCCTTCTTTGACTATTCGTCAGGGCCCCCACCCCCAATCGGCCGGTCTAGCAAAAAAAAAAGATTTTCCCAGCCCCTCTCTAGAAAAGCAGGAGGGAAACAAAGGTCTAATATTAATATACTAACGAGGGAGATGTTACGCGCCGATGTGTCTATGGCGAATATGCGGAATAGAAAAATCGAAATCCACCCCACCATTTATCACAATGAGGAATGTGTCCTAGATCTGCTCTCTAAACTTACAATACACCAACTTGTCCATGACGGTGCCCAGTTTCTCTACTGCCTTCTTCTGTCTCCCCTCAAAGTCGAAGCCGGCTTTCTCGAGCACTCTCCCGCTTGCCAGATTTCCCTCGAAAACCTCAGCCTCGAGCCTTATCAAGTGGTCAAATTCGTCAAAGACCCAGTCTGAGAAGGCAGACACGACTTCTGTGGCTATCCCCCGATGCCAATAGTCCTCGCACAACCAGTACCCAATCTCCATGGTGCGGTAATGTACGTCGTCGCGTGCCTTGAGGCCGATGCCGCCAATGACGGCTCCCGAGTCGCCGGGCTGGCAGATGGCGAAGTCACGCTGCGGCGACGCAGCGTTGGCAATGGAGATCCACGCCTTGGCGTCATCGGTCGTGTAGGGCTGCGGGAAAGCGTTGCGCATACGACACGCGATCTTGGGGTTATTGGCAGCTTTGGCGAGGGATTTAAAGTCTCCTTCTGAGTAGGCGCGCACTACGCAGCTGCGGAGCCGGAGGATAGGTTCGGCGGGTGGTGGTGGTGGGGACATTCGAGCCAAAGTCGTTGTTTTTGTGGGTGTTTTTGTGGGTATTTTTGCTATTGCTGGGGAAGGGATGTTGCTGCTATTGCGGGGATTTAAGAAGAGAGGTTGACAACGTCAAAAAGTAGCGTGCCGGATGCATGATGATGGGTCTTTGAGTTCCGCGACTTGTCCTATTTTGGTTGATGACGTTTTGAGTCACATTCAATTGAAGAAGAAATCTGTAAGTCACCGGGCCTTTGGAACCAAGCACCAACAAGGCTACTTGACCAGAGTCTAACGCTCCAATACAATGTTACACTGCACTACTCAGAAGCGTCGTCCTGCTTCAGCAATGATTTCCATATTTCACACCCCCCCCCCCCCCCCCAACTAAACGGACTCCACACGCTAGCACAATATTTCCCCACTTCTACAGAACTCCCTTGTCTTCGCGGTCTTAAATATTCCACCAAGACTATATTTTTTTTTTGTCGCGAAAGGGTATCTTTTCAACCCAAAATGGAATTGTCGCAGATTTTAGTCTCTCTTTCCTGTATTGGCCTTTGCTATGCGGCTGCCCTACTAGCAAACGAATGCGAAGGGCGCGACGAGTCGTGAAACAAACTCTTAATCTCCCCGTCTTGAACCTAAACGGAAACGATTACCAGGGTGCTGAAAGGGCATACCGCCAAAATCTACGAGGCCTTCTCCACGAGGGATATCAGAAGTACAAGCATGGATTTTATCAGCTGTTCAGCCCTACCGGATTCCTCGTCATCGCTTCCGCAGATCATGCCTAAGAAATAAGCCAGCTTCCCGAGGGAGTGTTTGACTTCCACGGGGCTACCCAAAAGGTTCGAAACCAAACCAAAACAGTATTTCCTCGGTGTCTAGTGAACTCGGTACGAAACATAATCCTAACAACTGCCCAATGTGCTCCTTCCGTAGCGAATGATTGGTGACTACAATTGGTTGTAAGTCGGCGACCCGTTGCTAGCTCATACAATCCTCGCCGACTTAATTCGGTAATTAGGTCTGTCCAAGTTGACCCCGGCTATATGTCATGAAAAGGTTTGCGCTTACAAGACATATATATATATATATATATGTGAGTTAAGGAAATCTGCTTCCAAAATGAGCTTCCTGCTTGCGAAGGTCTGTGTGTTTCATTCGAGTCCCCCCCCCCCCCCCGACTCCCCGTTGCCCTTACCCTTTTCCCCTGAGCTTCGACTTCATGAGTAATAAAAACTCTTCCCTACATGCATTGCAATCAAAGCTAATATACCGGAAGCGAACTGGACACCTGGAAATATTCAGAAACTAGCACCAAGGCTGATTGCTATCATCATGGATCGTGTGTTTGTTGGACCTGGCCTTAACCGAAAAGAAGAGTGGATCAACAACGTCACTCAGCTCGTAGATGATGTTTTTGCGGGTGGGTGGAAAATCAAAGAATACCCCCATTTTGCCCCATGTTGTGAATGCTGATGAATAGTGCCTAAAAGGCAGTATTGTGGTAGAGTCTGGGACTCTGTATGTGAAAGAATGAAGGCGCAAGTTGACGTGGAAGATTTACCGCAGTCAAGCAATAACCGAAGGAAAATAAGGCTAATTGGCCTATAGGGCTTGTTTTTAGAACATGTGGGATTTTTGGATGTATATGGATTTTTGTGTATACATAGGGAGCTTCCCTCCCTCCTTTTCCCGCACTTCTTTCTTCCTTCTACATCAACAATTCAGCCATTCCTTCGAACCTCACTTTCAACATACCATTCTGCCCGACTTGATCTCTTCTCTCCAACGATACCATTGGCTTAGGTGATTACTGTAGGCTTTGAACGAAACCCGGCATTTTATTCTTAACCTCGCTTTCTCTTTATTTCTTGTAATTTCACTCCTCGCCGTGTTTTACGCTATCGATTAATGGGTTGCGAGCCCTATAAGCAAGCGGCCACAATGTCTCATAACCTCGCTCTCCTCGACCTACGTTATAGTCTTGGAGCTCAACTCACTTCAGGGTGTCTCTTGACAGGTTCCATCTGTCCAACCCAAAACTCAGGGAAAACTGCTAGACGGATGGACGACAAGGCCATGATCCAAGCAGCTGAGGAGAATTCGCCGTGGACAGGAGACGGCGGCGTCGAGGTCGTTGTTTTCGTTGCCATCTCTGAACCCCCACGCCGTTCTTCTGTTTCTCAAATTTGTGTAACGACGCACAACGAAATACCAAAAATTGTGTAACGAAGCACAGCATAAAAAAACCCCACGGCCGCTATCTAGGCCCAATGGCAAGCAACGCTCGAGATGCCATTACGTTTGGGAATTGGGGGGGGAAGACAAGGTGATGTCTCGAAATGTCATCATATCAGAAACGAAACGAGCCCCGGAATGGGAGCCTAGCCTGGCGGGGGTGCGGGACGACCGACGTAAGCGGCAGCAGTTTGAAGGAAAAAATGTGACTGGCCAAGCCTACCCGGCCGGCGCCACACAGAATTGGAGGACCGGCGCGCGGTACATACGATAGGCCTCTGAGGAGACAGACCGGTCTGGTTAATGCACAAGACATTGGATGCACGCAACATCAAAGTCGTATGTACAACAAGACAGACGAAACCCACACAATCACTGATATGCATTCGAGAGAGCGCAGCAAAACAACCCCGTCTCGGACAGAATGCTCCAGCGAGAGTTGGAATATCGAACCCGGCTTTCCTTGACCGACGTGTTTGAGTAGAGAACTAGAGGTTTTGGTTCGAGATACTTAGGATATGAGATACTCAAAAATGCGGCAAACAGGAAATGATAGAGTTTGAGTTGTTGCGCATACTTAGTGCCCGCCCGTACCTTCAGTGTCTGACCCGAACCGCAAGAACGTGAGAGACATCAAGTCCGTCGAGCAGTAAACAAACCGATCACAGAGAGACTAAAAGAAACAAACGACTGACTTGCCGCCTCCAATGAGCGATAAACAGCCGTATCATGACACCAAACGGCCAAACTACTCTGGTGCATGTGCATTATGACACTGGGGGAGATCGAGATGCACAACACAAACCTAAACCCCACGGCTGCTCCCTATCCCGGGGGTCACTGCTGGTGACAAGTTGGGGAGAAGCGCGGTTCGGAGCCGAATTCTCGATCAAACAACAACAAACAAAAAAAACCCCCCGTGCACATAGAAGCTCTAGAGATGCGCATATGCAAGCCAGCCAGCCAGCTCCATGGATTCTTTACATGGCGGGCGCTGGAGCCACGGACATGCTAATATTTCTCACTATCTCTCTGCGTGCCTCTCTTAAAAGGCGGTGGCAGGAGGGATGGGATAGGTCAATGTAACACTGGCGGGAGCAGTTCCGGAGACGCGAGACCGTACGGTTCACGGTGTGGGTAGTAGTGTGAACATAGGCAGAAGCGGATGCAAGGGAGAGAGAGCGAGAGAAATCCTCCGAGCCCGTCTCTGAGTCCCAGAGTCCCTGCTCGGGGTAATGGACGACGAAGTGGTGTGGAGGGTTCATGCACGGATGCCAATATCTATCCTCCAGAACAGCGGCGGAGATTCGGGGATGCGCAAGGAGGTGTGGATGGCGGCAGGGTAGTGACAAACGAAAAGCCAGAGAGAGCAAGCATATGCATGCCACAGGAGCCGTACTTAGAGATGGCCGGGAACTCTCTATGCTTTCCCCGGGCGAAGGGCTGCGGAGAAAGAAACTTGGAGATAGCATTGTGCAGGACTGTGGATGGATGGATGGACGGATGGAATGCCGCGCTTGAGAAACGCAACAGCAACAACAAAAGCAAACTAAAAAAAAATAAAACATAAATCCCTCGCACACACGGCAAGGAGCTGCACCGGGTCGGAATATCTGGTGGCAGTTGCATGCATGTATATATATACATACATATGCAGTAGGTATAATGTGTGTTTGTTTCTTCCCGGTTTCAGAGAGAATAAACAAAGTAGTTACGAACGAAGCGAGGAAACCCAGAATTTCAGGAGAAAGCGAGAGCAAAAATAAAATTCCCGCGCATGTGCGCAGCCAAAAAAAAAAAAAAGCCCGACGGCAGCCGCAGCGAGTCGGTCTGGGGACGACGACGACGGACATGCATATTGCACACCGGATTCCATCCCTCCCGACCCCCGGGGCGGGCTAGCCTCCGGCCGACTTTGTTCGGAGAGAAAGGAAAAAAGAAAAAAATCCCCGAGACTAAAGCCCAGCAGCGATAATCGGCATCAAGTTTTTGGACGTGTTCTCGTTTAGGAAACCAGTTCGCGAGCTGGTTGGAGGTACGTACAGTACCAGCCAGTCTAAGTCAACATAGCCTAGGGGTGACGGCTCGAAGTTGTCCTACAGTCTGTCCCCATCGTCGATACGTTGGGCCCATAGCCCTTCTTCAGTCCCTTTGGCATTGGCAAACCTAACTAGGTATGTACCTTTGGTACACTGTACCCTCAAGTCTTGAGCCGTTCCGAGGCAACAAAGGCTTTCTCTTCGTCTTCAAGTCAAGAGCAACAGCTGTGATGATGGGTTATCTTTAAAATTAAACAGGGCGTCATCGGTTTAGATGCCCTCGAACCTATCTTATTACGTGTAAGGAGAGAAACCCGCTGTTCAAGGCGTCATCGGTTTGGTTTCCCTCGAGTCTCTTGTACCCACGTGTAAGGAACGAAATCCGCTGTTTGCCCGTGAAGCGGGGCACCGGAGCGTAGTTTGCTGCCCTGTGAAAGTCTATGAATCATCAGTCTGTCCTTTTTCTTCTCCCTGGGGTACTTTCTCGCATGTTTGCCGCAGTATGGCACGTAGCTAAGGTGGTGAAGTCCATGGTCCGGTCTCCTTTTTTGCTTGCCGAGGCCGGGCCTCGGGGGTTTCCCGTGGTCCCCCCCTTTTTTCCTTCGACCCACTCGCAAGAAACAAAATGATTGATAATGCTCGAGAAAGAGGAATTTGTTTTTCGTCTCCCTTGCTTTACGATCAGTTCTTAATTCGTCCGTCAGTTTGCATGCCATTTTGTTTCTGTTGTGTAACCAGGCAACGAAAACTAGAAAACGCCACAGTTCGCTTCCGTTGACCAACCCCAGCTCGAGGAGATTCCGAAAAAAAAGGCTCTTCCGCACGCAAACTTATCGGCCTGCAGCAGGTCAAGAGCAAGAAAAACTTGTCGAAATGGCGGCCGCCAATCAAGGAGCCCGCGTGCATCGCACCACCATGTTCAAGATTCCGGATCCGGAGAACCAAAAGAAGATGCTGCAGGCGTACCAGGCGCTCGCCAAAGAGCAGAGCAAGGTCCGTTCGGCGTTTCCTCCATGTCTCAACAACCTAGTGGAAGTTTCCTGGCCGTGTAGTGAATGTGTGTTTGCTGTCTTTCGTGTCCTTACGCCCCCCTTTTGAACCCGCACGCTTCAAATTAGCCCCTTTGTTATCTTGTTTTTGTTTTCATTACCTTTATCCGTTTGGCTCGCCAACACTTTTGTATTGGTATTGTGGATTCCCCTGTTCTCCGTCTTTTTACCCGCTAGATCTTTTAGTGGACATCCCAAAAAATTGGGCGGGCAGGGGGGTGTGGGGAGATAAGGGAGTCCAGACAAGCTGCCACATCCCAGCTCCTCTCCTCCGACGCAGCCCTTTCGGAAGTAATGCAGCCACGGCCCTAATATCGCGAAGAACCTGGAAGGGTTGGCTGGGATCTGCACCAATTTTCCCCATGGAGTCATGTCGAAAAGCTTGGCCAGTTTCAATTTTTAAAATGTTTGCTCGAATACAAGTCTTGGCCGACTTGCATTTCGAGAACCTCCCTAATTCCGGGAGGGTTGGGGGAAACACTTCGAGCAGGTTTCCAGCCACGACGGCCTCGATGCCCGAAACCTTGCGTGGTGGGCTTCGGGTTTTCCACATTCACCCTCTTTCCTTCCGATGCGCTTGCGTTCACTTTTGACCGACATGATGCATGTTTCAATTGTTTTGGTGCCCATATTTGTTTGTGGCGTTTAGCTTGTGAGCCCTTCTTGTGATGACACCCCTCTTGCTGGCACCTCGACATCGTGCTCGTTCTGTTTGCTTGCTGGGCACGGTTTGCTTCGGCTGCGTGTTGTTGTTGCGTCGGAAGGGAGGGGAAACAAACTGCAGCTTCTAACTGGTGGGCTTTTCTGCATCCTGCACAGGACGGCAAGCCATACATTCTCTTGTAGGTCGAGTTCGCGGGATTTCCACACAAACAAATTTGGCCAACTGCACGGATACGTTGGGATTGGTTTGGATCCAGCCGATGCTTTCCTATCTCGCAGCCCAGACTCACCCAAGTTCATCTTCCTATTCGCCCGGCTCTTGACGGCAGAAAAGCTTGCTGATTTTTGCATTTGCATTTGCAATCGTTTGCTATAGCATCATTGCCGGTATGGCTGAGGATGACCCTCGATCGAAGGGATATACCGTGGTGGCGCACACGGCATTCGCCAGTCTCGACGACATGAACTATTACGACTCCGAGTGTGCCGCACACAAGACGCTCAAGAAGGCGGGTGCTTCTTTGGGAGTGGCAGAGCCACCACTTATTGTGTACTTTGAGGGACTACCAACATTTTCGAAGTGACGGGGCGCGGGGGTGGGAGAGTGAGGTTTCAAGGGATAATAAGTAATGGTAATGGATCTGTGACTTTTTTGGAGGAGACTCTTGCAGGGAAGACAACCATGAATACAGAGTGGCTGAAGTCACTTTCCATGAAGGTCTCTTGACAGTGACGTGGGTGACACGGCAGTTTGTTGTTGACAGACGCCGAGAAGTCGTTGACGAGCCTTCCAAAGTCAGATTCACGTCTCCGGCAATCACACAACAACCTGAGTAGCACGGGCCGTGACCCATCCTCGCTAGGACCGGCCTCTTCCTTCCTTTGCGTGGGGTGGATATTGTATCCTTCTCATACACATAAACTGAAGCTGGCTGTAACCCGACCGCGATCTTTGACATCATGCCGGGCTATCACATCTTAAAGATGGTGTAGCGGAGTTCATGTCGTTGATATTCATTTCGAGGCGAGACTCCAAACTGAATCATTGAGAGCTAGAGTATTGAGTAGATTACCAACGTGGCCCAACATTGGGCGGACGAATCACTGTCTGTGACAGGCGAGCGCTGGGTAATCACAATGCGAAATGTTTCAAGACACCGGGCCTAGCCACGGCACGGCGCAGTGACACGGCTAAGGATGCCGCATAACAGCTTCGCTCGCTGCCTCCGGATGGCAGGCTTGTTTCAGTTCCATGCGGGCCGTCGAGCAATATTGCTCGTCTTGGTAGCCGGTCTGGCCTCGTTCTCCGGTCGCCTTCTCCGGTCGCCTTGGCGCTACAAAAGGCGAAAGGGTAGGCGGGCGGGGAAAGCACTACAGATCTGTCCAGGCTTGGAGGGGTTGACAACTGGCACTTTCGCCTGGGGGCCGTGTTCATGCGCTCAGGTTCAGTGTTCAGATGACGACACCCGATTCGCCGGCTAGCTGCCCGTCATTGGTGAATTTCTTGCATAAATGGTTCCAGAGCAAGTCACGCAACGTCGCAACCAACGCCACTCAAAAAACAAGAGGATGCGGGGAAGATGAAGCTACCATCCCAGCCGCAGTAAGGAAGGGATTGGCGGGAGCGAGTGCTGGCGCATTGCTGGGAATAGAAATGGAGGGAGGACGGTGACGGCCTGGATGGCAGGGCTGAAGGCGGAGGTTCCGACTGGCTCTTTCAAGGTCAGTGTGTGTGCGGGCATGTCAAGTGTCAATACTTTCTTGGCTTGCCAAAACAACACAAGACGTGCCTGCCAATTGCCTGGCTTTCGCTAACTACCTTTCTCCCCGGCAAGGCATGGATGGGTTTGAACTCTGCCCCACTTCCGCGATCTCGATCTCCCTTGACAAGGTTGTTACACCAGGATCAGTTCTTGAGTGCGGGGAGGGAAGACAGGCTGAGATTGCCGAGTTTCCTGATGCAAATTCGTCCTCACGCACGAGACGGTCAAGAACTTACCCAAGGACCTTCCGTCCTTACTGCCACTTACGTAGCAGGGAATTTCTTCCGTTAAAAATCAGCGGAATCTAATTAAGAAGGTGCGCTTTGTTCGAACTTTTTACAATAACAGACACTCTGTTAGTGAAGTTTAACTTATTGCTGCGATAATTAATCGCTCGACTTGGGCACCATAACTAAGCCTCCTTGACATACCATGGTCTGGTACGGAGAGTACAGGACCTCACCCCTGATGTCTCACCTCAGCTTCCATTATCCACCACTAGCAGAATATCAAGATGCGAGAGAGCCAAAAGACACAAGGCGCATATGCGGGCGGCAATCACTTGACATAAAACCCCACCTCGATCAGCCTCCCCTTTTCCTCTCTGCCTTGGAAGCGACGGCGGCAGTCGAATGGCATTTCACTTCGCGCGTCGCTTAGCTTGCATTTCACCGAGAAAAACGTCGGCTGAGCTGCTCTGTCTGAGACCTCTCGACGCAATTTGAAGTCTTTGCCTCTCCTTGCATGCATTAGGTCATTGACTTTTCCTACCATCTTTCCAATTGGTTGTGATCCGCCTCGGCCCTCGCCTTGCACAGTGTTGAAAGAGTCAGGCGAACAGTCTTCCGTGTGCTCTCCAAGCCAACAACGGCAAGGGAACCTGGCCGGCAGTACCAATCCCGGGCAGGTGGGCTGCCAGGGACCCGAAATTGCGAGCATCCCAGGTACCCGACTGTTGCGCGAATGGGGCCGGTTTCCGGCAAGCCGCAACTACAAAGTGGTGCGGACGGGCATGCGCCTTTTAGCGGGAAGGAGCTTAGGCTCCCATCTGTGATAGCTTAACAGGAGGCAACTTGCCCTCGAGCCTGGACCGTGTTGATCTCTTATCAGAGCTGGACGCTTAGAAACATCACCGCCTGGCGACGTGAGGGAGTAGTGACCGTATCATCCCCAGGTTATAAATACAAAAGTTATTTGTCGAGTTGGCTGACAGATGCCTCAATCCTTCCTCTCCCTTTCTTCCCCACCCAGTTTACGATTTCTGAAGTGCAAGCGAGCAGAGATTGACGGCAACCTAAGCACACACTGAGCCGGCACCCGACTTTCCCTACTAGTACCTGCCAAGGATAGTACACATTGTCTTGCAATATGGCCGCCGTTCGCTGGGAAGGCCCGCTTCCCGTCCCCGATGGGTTCATTCCGTTGGAACCTTGGGGCCAAACTAGCCCACCTCCAGGACGCGTTCTGAACCCATCTTGCAATATGGCCGCCATTCGCTGGGAAGGCCCGCTTCCCGTCTACGATGGGTTCATTCCGTTGGAACCTTGGGGCCAAACTGTCCCACCCCTAGGATGCGTTCCCAGGCGGGATGCTCTCACGCCCGCCAGTACTCATCCTGCCCCCCAAGGTAAGCGCACACACCCAACAACCTGCAAAATTGGGCTGTGTAGATTATTGCGGAACAAGGTGTACTTTGTTCATAGCGCTGCACCCCCCATTTTTGCAGGTAGTTGACACCTTTGCCCTAGAGCCTGACTTCCTCAGACGCTGACGAAAGCTGAATAGCGGAAACTACCCATTTGTGCCACCCAACACCCCCAACCCACCCGGCCAACTCTACCCATTCGGCCTGTCCCAGCGGCAATGCGTCGCCTCCCGGTCAGTCTGGACCTCGGGCTGAGCTGCGCCACCGCTCCAAGCGGCTGCGAGCCTGCAAGAAGTCCGGCTACCCGGAACACTATCTCTTGATGTACAAATCGGCGGCTGGTGTCATGAAGGCTTTCCTGGAGACCGATGTCGACGGGGAAGTGACGCACCGTCGCGTGCAGGGCCCGGAGCTTATGGCATTTCTCAGGTCTCCTCTCATGGTAGGGCGCATCAGTTGGTAGTCATGCTTACTAACCTGCCGCCTGCATTCTATTGATGATGCTGTTCGTGGTATTCCAACCACGTAGGTGTTCCAACGGGTCAAAAGTGGTAGTACTACCGGGGGGGGGTGTAAAGTTGTTCTGATTCATGTTCTGTTCTAGAAATCTATGGTGGGGGTTCTTGGCTTTGTACGTGGCCGTGCGAGGGCCGTGCGGCGCACGTGCATCGCACCGCCTCCCTTCCAGCGCAGAGTACGGTCACCAACATCGCTATTCCAACACTGGCAACTCTTCTTTTGTGACCGTACGATCCCTCTCCCTATCCTGCCTTCGCTGTGACTTCCCACGTGGTTGGATGAACAGATCGTACTATCTCGTCTGAATATGCTGTTTGCTAGTATCGTGCAATGAGTCCCGACCTCCTCGCACGTTTTGTCTGATAACTTGTTTGCCTGCTAGTGCCGATCCGGGGTCTCGTACGACGATATGCCCGGGATCGGGGATCGTGCGGAAGGAGCGGAGGGTCCGAAGAGTGCGCTTTCGAGGCACCCAGTCTAGGTGTGAAGCTGGCCTTCTCGCCCTCCTTCTTCCCTTCTTCTCCTTCTTCCCTTCTTCTCCTTCTTCCCTTCTTCTCCTTCTTCCCTTCTTCTCCTTCTTCGTACGCTCTTCACACACATGCACATACAGGCACAATGTCTCTCGTGCCTGGCGGCGGCGGCCTGCCGCCTACACCTCTTGGTACCATCAGCTCTCGTACGAATAGTACTCGATCTCTTCCTGCTTATTCCGACCGGTTCTGAGGATAACCGCCGTTTTCTTGCGAGCCTCTGTGTCAATGTGAATACCCTCGAGAGTCTTTCTTTTTGTCGTACGAGTGGCTGATTAACCTTAGGACGATGAGCGCCGCGTCGTCGCCATGCCCTCGGTTGACGTTGAGGTCCGCGTCCTGGCTGCCGATCGTGCGTCGGTCCATTTTCTCTTCGCCCGCATCATCCGCCGGGAGTCGTACTTTCGTGCGCTCCTTGTTCAATCGCGCGGTACACGCGTGCGCCCGTGCCCGGAGAAGTGCGGCAATCCAAACGCGTCTCCCAAGTTCCGGCATTGCGTACGCGTCCCCTCATTCCAGGGCGGCGCCTATGCCGAGTGCGTCTGGCAGTCGCACGGATCTCGCTGCTCTCATTCCAACGAGGGCTCAATGTCCGCCTGGGATTCGGGCGGTAGTTCAGCCGGTGGTTCTCCTCGCGCTGGTCCTAGCCAGCGTGTTCTTCCTCCGTCTAGTTCGGGCTCGCGTCTGAACCCTTTTCTGCTTGAGGAGTAGCTTCTTGGGGTTGGGGTGTTTTTTTTTTCTGGGGGGGGGGGGGATAGTGCGTTGAGTTTCTAATGAAATGGGTTTCCTAGGGATATGAATGGAGTGATCGTGCGGTGATAATACATATGAGCCTTTCCGCTCCTCCTCAGTTCGTCTTGTCCAGTCTATCGACGAACGCCTCGATTCGTACGATGACCTTTCCGTCGTCTACCAGCTTTGTCAATGCTTGGTTGGGGTTCTTCTTAGTGAGTGCATCGGCTGGGTTGTCTTGTCCATCAATCCAACGGATTTCTGAGATCTCCCGGCGTTCATACGCTTCGCGGAGGGACATAATGTCTATCATTAGTCTCTTCTCACTCGTAGTTCCCAGCTTCACTAGGCAATCGTACAGTGACCTCGAGTCTGTACAGATTACCACTGGGATTCGTGCGATCCCGAGGACGTTTGTAATCTTGGTGAGTGTCGTACTAATAGCAATTCCGCTATCGAATCCGTTCACCATGCCGTAGAGCTCGCTTGCCAGCACGCTCCTAGTAATCCTCTTGCACTTGGTTGAGGACCAGTGTACGATATTGCCGCAGAGCTGGAATGACTTATCCGTACGGTCGTCCTCCGTTCCTAGTACGATTAGAAATCCGAGCTGTGATGACATGTCCTTGTTATTCGCGAAAGATCCATCAGTAAAGATGAATAGCTTCGCACGATCAAGATCCAGTGGTTGATAGCGAAGTCCTCGCTCCGGGTTATCGATCTGCCACTGGATCCTCTTGTTCAGGCTATCGTGGTCTCTCTTCTCTGGTTCCTTCACCTGAGCTGCGATAGATAGGTCGTACGCTGCCTCTGGCTGGCAAATGCTTGCGATATATGCACCTCTCGCACGTTGAGATACATATTGTTGGGGTGCATCTTCTTTTTCCTGGTCGATTAGGTTGAGTTGCTTGGCCTGCCCTTTCTGTGCGATTAAGATGTCTTTTCCCTGGAGTTGGAGGCGACATCCGTTGAACTCGATAGGAGAGTCGTGCGTCAGGAACTTCTTTGGCTTCGCCATCAGTCCTGCTTCTTTGAGCTTGACCTCCTCTTTTTCCGAAAACTGGGGGGTGGCTAGTGTGAGGGTATCGTCTGTCTGCATGCCTGTGATTCCGAAGGTCTCTTGTCCGTTTTTGGTAACTAACAGACAAGGGTCGTACGTTGAAGTTTGCATCTCCAATGCCTCGATATGGTGCTTGTTGTACGTCTTGAACCAATGGACTCCGGCCTCTGCGAGTCCATATAGGGGCTTCTTGATCCATAGGACCGTACCTTTCGGATACTTGTCCTTGAGTTCCTTCGGGAGCTGTGCGATGATTGTGCGATGAAGAGGATCTGTCGATTGGGTATAGGCTTGCGTAATATCTCTCAGTTCAGTCTTTGCACCAATTCGCTCTTCTAGCGATGGGCCTAGTGCGAGGATCAGTCTCTGGCTCATTCTCTGGATCGTCGGAGCCTGGGTCAAGATCTCCTTTTTATCCTCGTCGCTATGGCCTTGCACGATCAACCTGGACTTCTCATAGGGGATAGAATCCTTTCCCTTTATCTCTCGCACGAGTCGGGTCTTCCAGAGTCTTAGCTTGCCATGCTTCTTTTCATTAAAGCGGATGACCTCAATAACGTGCGAGACCAGCAGTCCATCAATCTCCTGGGCGTCCGATTCCTCAAATGGTAGCCCGGGTATAGTGATCTTTCCTTCTTCGCGGAGTTGGATAGCCAGTGCAAGTGCGTCGACTTCCTTCTGAGTAACAAGAGTCGTGCCTTGAGCTGGGATTGGGTTCTTTCTTGGTCGTCCCCGTCCCCTCTTTTGCACGATGGGAACAGGTTCTTTCAATACCTGGTCTTTCTCGTGCGAGATGATTTCTCCTTGTCCCTGCTCTTCCCTATCTTTATCTTGATAGTACGGCTTGACCTGGGTTATTCTGAACGTCTTTGGGCCGCTCTGCATTTCGACGGTAACATTGGCGTAGTCCTTGGCGATAATGGGGTATGGTCCTTCCCACCTCTTGTCCTTCCCTTCTCGCCAGACAAGCACCTCGCTCCTCAAGGGTAGTGCGAGGACTCCATTTGTCGTTGGTCCGTTCCGAGTATTGAGCGCACGATTAACGCTAACTTGTGCGCGGATCTCGCGCAACATCTTCATTGCTTTCTGCACTGCTCGCGCTCTCTCTCTAATCTCGGGTGACGGTGGCGAGTCGTGATTGATCCTGGGGTACGCTCCAAATACCAAGAGTGTTGGTACGAGCCCGTCTGGGCCAGCCGTATCGTTAAGAGCCTTAACTGCCATCTGGAGGATCGTCTCGTCGTCTGTGCGATGACTCAACTCCTGGTGGAGGATATCGTACGCCCGTTCTAATGGGCGGTGTGCTCTCTCTACCTTACCGATAGCCCAGTGTGCCTCAATCGGCATCTCTTTGCACGAGACTCCCATAATCTTGGCGTTGTTCCTGAACTCCTCAGATGCGAAGTTCGTTCCTGGGTCGTGCGATATCACATCTGGGGGCCCTTGGTATACAAAGATCCAACAGCGACATAGTGCGTCCCATGCATCGTTCGCTGACATTGATCGTAGGAACGTTACTGCCTGAAATGATGTCGCCACATCGATAACGTGTAGCGCCTTCCTTCCATTGAGCTGTACGATATCGATGACGACCTCATAGTTGAATTCGCACTCGTCCTTGATCGTGAACTTGAATCGCTGTGGAGCTGGGTCGTGCGTCTGGCAGTGATGGCAGACTTTCTGGATTTCTTGGAGGATCTCCTCTTTTACATCCTCGTGCCCGGCTTTCTTCAAGAGCTTGTGAAGTCTCTCGGTACGAGGATGTCCAAAACGCCGGTGGAGTCTCCTCAGTTCTGGCTCAGTCAGGTAGACTCCTGCTTCCGCACGACTCGTATTGAAGAAAGGATGTCCCCATTTTCGGATAACGGGGATAGTGGTTCCATCCTCTCGTACGATGACGTCCTCAACGTTGTTGAAGTATGCTTTAAGTCTATCCGCGTCGCGCAGACTAAGCAAAAATGGCGTCGCCGTATTCAAGATGTGGTACGTGACCTTCCCGATAGCGTTCTCCATAAGCATCGTACCTATAGAGGTGTTGACTTTTCCGCCTCCGAATCGGATTTCGGCGGTTCCTGGTGTCCAAGAGATCTTCGCACAAGGGTTCTCTCTCAGATATGCCTCGACTTGGCACTTTCCGACGGTAGATACTTGTGCGGCTCCAGTATCCCAGAGCTCGCCCTGGTACATTGTCGTATACTGATTCTCTAGTACGAACTGTTCCGCCGGTTTCTCCTCGCATTCTTGGTAGATATTCTCGCCGAATGTGCGATGAATATATGCTTTCTCTTGGAGGAATTGTGCGGCTTGTCCTTGGTCTTCCTCCTCGCCCTCATATCCGGACTCCTCATCGTCACTCTCCTCCTCCTCTGGTGGCGTACCTTCAAAACCTGCCAGGAATTGTTCAAAGTCCTTTTGGCTCTCCAATGTTTCGCACGCCTGGAGGTATTGCCTTCGAGACTTCTCTCGTTCCTCCCTTGAGTGGTTGGTTGACCAACAGCCTTCTTTCTTGCAGATGAAGCACTTCTTGTCTCTTGTATTCCCGAATCTCGCACGAGGGCGATATGAAGGATCGCGTCGTTGAAATTGACGCTTGGGAAATTGTGGCTTGTCGTTTGTGCGATTGGAACGATATCGCCGGTCGACAAAGTTCTGGTCGTACGTCTCGGTATGGAATTGTCGCGAAGCCTTGCGGTCCTCTGCAATCTTCAGGGCTGTTCTCAGCTTGTCAAATAGTGACTCGCACGATGTCCTCTGGCCCAGTAGTGCTGGTTCAAACTCTGCGACTCCTGTGCAGGCTCGCGTGACTGCGGTATGCAGTGCGATCTCGCCCTGGTATCCCTCGCCTAGGGCACGCTGCACGAGCTGGAGCTTATCGAGCATCTTCTCGAGCATCTCCTTCGCTGGTGCCTCTGGGCTCTCCCTACGCAATCGTGCGAAGCTGAGGGTAGTCCAGTCCGAGTAATACTCGGCGTGGTTCACCGTAGTATTGAAGTACGAGTCCAGCAGTTGATAGATCTCGTCCCACCTCTTATCAGGCCCAATATGGTTCATATAGTACGTCTCCGCACGGTCAGACAGGATCTCGGGGAATACTGCGTGATACATATCCTCCGGGATCTCGTGCCTCCGGCAAATACTAACGAAGTGCTTGACCTTATCGTACAAGATGTCGTACGGACGCCCTGTGTAGTTCCGTGCGGGCTTCCATGCCTTCACAAACGCCGATACTTTCCTGCTATCGACTGGGCCGTTATATATGATCCGCGTCGGTGGGATATTCTGGTACTGGATGTAGGGGGTTCCGTACAGCGGGTTCGGGTTCTGGTACGAATTTGGAGATGGAGAAGTCGTCGTACCCGGTGGGTTCGTTAGGAGTGGTATTCCTCCTGTCTTGAGCTGTAGGGTGGGTGTCGGAGATGGTTGATGGGTGTTGTGCGACATCTCTATTGGCTGTGCGGTCGTCACGAGATTGGCGAACTTCTCTGAGGCCGTTCCTTCCGGGACTTGTACGTTCTTCTGCTCCAAGATGGTAAGCATTCGCTTCTTGAACGTACGATTGACTTCGTTGAATTGTGCGACTGTCCAGCCTTTGAAATCTTCGCGGAAAGCCGCGCGGATTCCATCTGGGCTCGTATTGAACCAGATAAACTCCATCATACTCTGTGCGAAGTACGTTGTTGCCTCCTTCTCCCGAAATGGGTTCGTGAGGTTTGGTGGCGTTTCAGAATCCCACAGGTTGAAGTCAACATTGCTCTTCCAAACCGTCGCGGGGATGCCGCTATTCTCCCAGATCTCCTCGTTGGATTCCTCCTCACTATCTAACGCCATCGTCTTCAAGTTATCGATGACTGTCGATAAGTGTGTTGGTGATTGGTCGCTGCCGTACGACCGGGGTTTTTGGCATTGAGTGGGGTTATAGCGGGGTTAATGCACTGTGGCGCGCAATTCGGGTTCCTCTTGTACCAAGCCGTGATGCTTACGATCGCCTTCCCGATTTCCAGCGGTCGTAAACATTCGCGTTTAGTACGATTGGTTCCTTAATTCTTCTAGATGAAGCCTCCTTACTCCCTCGAAAGTTCGTAGGAAACAGTCGTCTAGGCGATAGCACGAGAGATTCTCGCACGCGGGTCGCACTTCCCTCGAAAGTTCAGTGCGATCGCGCCGATAGTACGATCTCGTCTCTTCACGTAGCTTATCTGTGAGTGTTACCACTCACTGATCAGTGTTCGTGGTATTCCAACCACGTAGGTGTTCCAACGGGTCAAAAGTGGTAGTACTACCGGGGGGGGGTGTAAAGTTGTTCTGATTCATGTTCTGTTCTAGAAATCTATGGTGGGGGTTCTTGGCTTTGTACGTGGCCGTGCGAGGGCCGTGCGGCGCACGTGCATCGCACCGCCTCCCTTCCAGCGCAGAGTACGGTCACCAACATCGCTATTCCAACAGATGCGTTCGTTCGAGGTCTGAGGCAGTTCTTGAGCGGCGCGTCTAGCCCGGTCCTTTCCTTTATCTTTCTCTCTTTCGTTTTCCATTTTCTCTCGTTTACAGAGAGCACTTTGCAAGCTCACACATACACACACACTCATTACACTCACACCCCTTGTTCTGGGACGGGATGGATCATGAGTGGCTTTTAGCGTATCTCTAGGCGTTAAAGGGATGGATGGCGATGGAAATAGCCGAGGACAAACCGGGCCTTTTGTTTCTTTCTCTCCTTATTTTTTCCCCCTTTGCGAGTAAGGATAAGATCCGAGTTTTCTACAACAAGGGATCCAGGTCAGGGGGAGAAAATTGGTAGAAAAGGAAATGGAGAAGGAAAAAGGAAAACCAACGTCGCGTGATGTTGTCGCATAAAGTCTATCTTGGGGCTTTCGGCGTTTGGTTCGGGAAAGATAAAAGGTGCGCATGCATTGTTTGCTCATTATTTCCTATATTGGTTGCTTGGTCTGGCTCAGAAACGAATTGAACTCTTTCACGTTCCTTCGCACATTTTGTCTAGTTTCATGCGTGAAGCCATTCTGCGCCCGTAAATGTGCCGCGCATTCTCGGAGTGGTGCCTCTGTTTCTGCCAGTCCCGGGAAGAAAGAAGGGGAGTCACCGAAAACGAAAAACCACATGGTAACTAGCTTCTTTCAATATTTCCCCTTTTCCTCGTCTTTTTCCAGAAAATTTAGGGGTTGTTTTATAGTTGGCCTGACAACGAGCATGCCTTGATATTTACCCCCATTGACCTGCAGCAAGGCAACCCCTGAAGCCCCTAACCTGGGCCAGGACCCACATGACGAATACCTTGGCACCCACGATAGTAGGATTGCACTTCTGCGAGGCAGATCATTAGAAGAAAGAAAAAAATTTGCATTCTACGAAATAATCAGCACCTGACTATGGACGCCGATTTCCAGTACTGAATAAGACCAGTAAAAGAAGGCCAAAAAAGAAAAAGTTCAGCAGGAACTAAGCGCCGGCCACAGAAAGAAAATTAAAGAAAGAAAACGAAGCTATCCTAATAAGTTGCCGGGTGAGTGTAGAATAAGACAAACAGTCCCTCAACAGTTTGCGAGCAAAAGTAAAAACGACCCTCATACAGGCATACACAAGCTCGGCAAATTATACACGAATTCCCCAAGTTGGAATGCCAAAGAAAAAGTTACATCTCCCAGCAGCCACAGAAGGCGGAGAAAAGAAATAATGAGAAGACAAGGGGTAGGCGGGAGGGGCTAATCAGCGTATCAGAGAACGGACACTGCTCGTGGTCTCGAGCTCGGTATCGCTGGCGCGGGAAGCAGACTCCTTGTGATGGGCAATAGTCTGGGCGACGAGGGCGGGCTTGGACTTGTACGTGACGAGGCTGACGACGACGGCGACGACGGCGAAGACGGTCATGACGAGCATCTCTTCCTTGAACGCCGCTAGATGCACCCGTCTGATCACCGAGTCTGCGACTCCCGACGCCTGCGGCGCCAAGACCACGGGTCCGTGCTGTATCTGGCCGAGCTGCTGCTCGTCGGTGAGGCCGCCGCCCGACGACGACGGCGACGACGAGCCAAGGGCGCGCCGCAGATTCTCGTTGAAGACGATGGTGCACGCGGCGAGGCCGAGCGCGCCGCCGAAGACGCGGGCCTGCGCGACGGCACCCTGAGCGGCGGCGAAGTCGGCGAAGCGCGCCTCGATCGCCGCGATGATGGTGCAGGCCGAGAAGCAGAGCCCGACACCGAGCCCGTAGATGGCCGTGAAGCCGAGGAGCAGGTGCAGCCGGGACTCGGGCTGGGCCAGGCCGTATACCAGGCCGATGCCGAGCGCCTGCAGGGCGCAGCCCGCCATGAGCGTCTGGCTGGTCAGGTTTTGCTTCTTTGAGAGGACCCCGCCCAAAAACGAGCCAAAGGCACAGGGGCCGAGCAGCGGCAGGAGGTGGATCCCGGCTTGGAGCGCGTTGTCGCCGTAGATGACCTGGAGGCGCTCGGGGATCTTGATTACGAGGGAAATGTACACAAATCCAGTGAGGAGGGTTACGCTGCGGTTATATCCGGGTCAGGTCTTTCTTTCTCTCGGATTTGCGGAGAGGGCAAAAGGGAGGAAAGGGAGGGTCTCAAACGGACATCAAACCTGACAAGTAGACGCGGCCCATGGCCAAGCGCAGCGGGAAAATCGGCTGGATGACCTGGCATTTCCCGTAAAAGAGATACGACTCCCAGAGGGCCAAAAGCACCCAGCACACACCAGACACAACCAAAGACCATATTATGACCGGGCTGGACCAACTCCAGACAAATGATCCGCCCTCCTGGATGGAAAAAACCAGCAGGATTGACGCCACGACGAGCAGCATGTTGCCGATGAAGTCGATCTTGGAGATGGCCGTCCAGGCGTCGTACTTCTTCCGCCGTTCTTCGGGCCAGAGTGTGTAGATTCCTATCAAAGCCACCGTGCCGAAGGGGACACTGGAAGTTATCTCATGTCAGAGAGAGTCTAGCCAGTGGGAAGGAACAGGGGAAAAGACAAACTTGATCCAGAAAACACCTCGCCATGTCCAGTTCGAGATTGCGCCTCCGAGAAGCGGACCCAGGATGTACGAAATGGACAGGGTGATGCCGACCAAGGCGCCAACGACTTCGGGCCGGTTGGGTCCCTGCTCGATCAGGCAGACTTGGGCTAAACTATATAGGCCTGAGCCTCCGATCCCTTGCAGCGCGCGAGCCGCAATTCTGTGCAAAGACGTTCTGTTAGCTCCAACTCACCTTGACACCACCCCAATCGGCCAGAACGTACAATTGATTCATGTTTCCTGCAAGAGCGCACCATATCGAGAAGCCCGAGAAGAGTACCCAGGAGACGGCGAGGAGGTTTCGTCGGCCGTAGATGTCGCTCAGCTTTGACAGGCCCACGGCAAAACCTCGACAGGGCGAATCAGATATTTGAACCTATCCATCCTTGGGGAACCCGAGGGGTGTACACGGGTGTGAACCGGACTGCGCGGAATAGACTCACTCATATAAGTTAGAAGATAGCCCAGGATGGTCCACGGAGCGTCCTGGTAGTTGTCAAAGTCGACCGAAATAGTAAAGAGGGCAGTCGAGACGATGGAGGTATCGAGGCACGAAAACATGAGGCCCGAGAGGATGCTGGTTGGCATGGTTAGAGACGATAGTAGTGGACGGAACTACGTAATTGGGGGATAAATCATGTACATACATCACCGTTAGTAAAATCCGGCGGATGGGCGTGCTCATGGACGGACTCGGCGTCCGTGCTTGCTCTTGAGATGCCTCGTCGACCGTCGACCCCAGCCTTTCACTGCCCTCCGCCATTTCCGACAGCGACGGATTTGGGTAGGATAGCGTCATCGTGGGGAGACCTCTAGAGGTCGTCAGCAGCAGCCACCACAAAAATAAAAGAAATGAATGAGCCCCAAAGAATGTGGCCGGCCGGCAGTAGTCGGCTTTTATGAAAGAGAGAGGGTGGGTACGGGCCGGCTGCACTTTATGGTTTTGGACCAGGAGAGAGGGGGTGGTGCTGCGAACAGCTGTTCAAGACAACCTGAACCGAAGTCTGGCGAGAATCCGGGAACTCTCCTCCACCAGCAACATTCAGGTGGGCTGGTGACGAGACCTGCGCTCGCTCTTTCTATTTGTGCAGAAAGAATGCAAATAAATAGTACCCAGGCACCGCATGTAGCCTTCCAAGGCTCATTCCTTTTGGGACAATGCGAAATGGAAGGAGAAGCCGGAGCGGGCCGGCCAGTGGTGTCAAAAAATCAGAGGGTCTTCGCCTCCGTTTTCTTCGCTCTTGCCCTGCCTGGATGGACTACTCCAAATAGCCTGAGGGGTGGAAGACGGGGAGAAACGAGCAACCAGAGTCGAAGAATGCCCCACGGGTCGGGGTGGTCTAAAGGTATGATCGCCGGGTTACCCAAAGGTAAGGTAGGTATGGCGGCCCCGTTGACAAAAAGGCACGGGCATGGCTCAGTTCGGCTGGATTTGGAAATCTAAAAAGAAAAACAAGCCACTTCGACCTTGGATCTTGAGACACGCTTGTGACCAATTTACTAGTCTGTATACCGCCACCAGGATCGCGCGAGGGGAGGCAAAAAGAAAGAAGAAGGTGGAGAGATAAGATGGCGACATGGGCAACGGAGACAGCAACAAAGTAGCACGGGTGGGCCCAAGAACAGTAAGGTACCCCTGACCTGGCTTTTGTCTATGTGGACGGACGGGGCGGACGGACAGACGGCAAAGAGAAGGCGGCCGATATACCTAGCCAATCTCGCAACGGTGGCACAGAAGGGGGGCCGCCTTTGGATCTTTCTTTTCCCATTTTGGAGAAAGCCTGCATACTTTCAACTCTGGGCCTAGAAACTATATTGCCAAAGAGGGTAACACGCCTACTCTTGGAGACGTAGCACAGGTGGTGCCACGACCAATGACGGTGTCGTGCAATGTGTGACTACACTTTTTGCAAGGTGTTGATGGGATCAGCTGGCATGCTGTCTGTCCGCGGTATGGTGGCAGAAATGTCATCCCCCCCCTCCCTCATGGCAGCCACTTTGCACGGCATGGCAGCACCCCAGGGGAGGCGGCTGCCGGAAGTAGCTGTTTTGCTTTGTTCTCCCCCTTTCTTGGATATTTATTTTGGGAGGATATGGAGCTAGCCCACTGCTGTCCCAACCAAATGAACGATGGACCTGCTTTGATGGATAGACGGTCTTGGGAAAGAAGCAGGCCAGCGGTTGATGCGATGCAGGACTGCTGGACTGGATCGACTGAACACACTTTGAGTGAATTCTGCCCCTCGACTTGGGCTTGCACGCTCTGTATACAGCGAGAACACGAACACTGCTAGGTCTGTGTTTAAGACTGTGTTGAGCCTGTGTTAAGTAGGACAAGAGAAAAACAATAGGTCTCGGGCTCCGAGGGTGATATATCGAGGGTGTCAGAGCCTGGTGGGAGGTGTTCCAATGATGCTGTAGCTGGCCGGCTCGTCACTTGTCGCACCGACCGCATCTTTGGAGGGCGGAGAGGGAAGAGCAAGGAGTTATTGCCACAGCTGCGGTTCCTCAGCAGCAGCCTTGACCAGAAATTTCAGAAGCAGCGGGCCGATACACAATACCGAGGGAGGGCTGCAGGGACAAGAGCTGCGTCCATGTTTGGGACGAGGCCGGGCGCGCCAAGAAATCCAGGGGACCGAACAAGAAAAGAAGCCTCCATTCCAGGCTCCAACCAGCAAGTCAGGCGCCTTGGGTAGTTAGGAAGGTAAGGTAGATAGATAGGCAGGGTAGAGCAGAGTAGGCAAGGAGGGCACCCATCTACTTTACCAAAGGTGTCACTGTGCGCGCTGAAGCTATATCCCAAAGCAAGTCTTGAGACAAGTTGTTGTGCACACACACCGGAGCCAAGTTCCCGTCCATTGCCTTGATGTTGCGACAAAAGCCCTGCCTCACCTCACCTCACCTTCGGTTGGATCCCTCCGACTTCTTTTTGCTCGCGCTTCCGTCTATTTCCATTTCGAGACATACAGCCCGTGCGTGAATGCAGCGACCAAGTCATCTTACGTAGGTTCCTGTACGTAAATGGGTTGCGGGTTGCGGGCTGCGGGTTGCGGGCTGCGGGTTGCGCGCCCGCCCCCTCGATTCCAAGTTTGGTTCCAGGTTCGGTCTCGTCCACTTTCCCTAGGGCCGGCCGTGTGACGGCCAGAGCTGGGACCATAGCCTGTAGAGTGGACGACAAGATGATGTCTTTACTGCTTTCTTGCGACGCCATTTAAAGGCACGTGACGCTGTGTCCATGCCGGATGGCCAAGTACCATTAGGCCGTGAGTTTAAAATGGACGTCCATGATTGCGGTTGGGTTGAAACGGGGAAACGAGTCGCCCTGGGGTTTGGATGCTTCAGTGCGTGCAGCATTTTAGCTGCAGGGAAGTGGCATTTGGGTCATGTTCGCATTATGTAATCAGCTTGGCCACTGGCAGCGACCATGGCAGCGACGACATCCCCTACAGGCAGGTACCCACCCGCCTGAGCATCTCTGGTCCAGCGCAGGATACCTACCTATCCATATGCGCAAGAAAGAGCAGTAGGAAATTTGCATTCCGTCTCAGGTCGTGGAGACTGACCGCCGCCCACCAAGATCTGAACGCAGCTCGAACAGTCACTACAGTCAAGTCATCCAACTTCGAGTCTTTAAGACTTGACGAAATGACGACTCGGACGTGCAGCTTTTTCTCGCCATTTATATCCAGCTCAATTCAACTCCGATGCTGATTTGTTAATCACATATCCAATTCGGGACTGTGGCCTGTCGGTACTTCCAGGCCCTTGAACGCAATACGGTGCGATGCGATGCGATGCAATGCAATGCGATGCAATGCAGCGATGGGATCAAGCCCGCCTGCAACGCGTCGGAATGCTATGTTGCCTGTCTGCAAGCTTCGTTAGATATGAGGATTACACTCTTGCGCTCGAAAGGACCTGTCTAGAATTGGTCGGACTGGTCACGGACGCCGGTTGAGAGGCACGGCCCCGAGCCTCAGCCAAGAAGACGGGGCAGGAGCAGAAGCAGGAGCCCGGGCCCTTCCCCGTCTCCCGTGCCGAGTACTGGACGGAAAGCAGACCCGAGACATGTCTTCCGTGACTCTCCCGTGAGTCCTCCGTGGATCCTTCGAGTTGGTTCTGTGATAAGTCTGTGTCCGCCAGTTGTCACATGATGCCGTGACTAGCTGGGCCTCGACGTGTCCGAATCTACCAAGCTGCGACGTCATTTTCTGGTCGCGCCAAGCTTCCAATGTCGTCCCGGTGCATGCATCAAAAACGCAGACCAGATACTGAACTCGCTCAGAGGCGCCTCACTTCACGCCGAGTCCGAGACCACTTCCCACTCTGAGTTCGGTACTCGTATTAACATGCATATACTCCTCTTCATACGCCGTTCTGGACCCGCGCTTGAACGACGTGGAGATGTGGTTCGCATTGTCGTCCAGATGAGCAGATGAGAATGTTGGAAGAATGCGGAGCCGTAGGTACGTGATACCCGGCTCCTGATCACAACTCAGATGAGATACCGAAGAAGGGACAATGGAAATCACATTGCACTTTCCATTTCCATCACGACCATGATTTGAGACATGCTCCCGTTGGGCGAGGCGCGCCGCGACGTGCTGAAGACGGTAATGGTTGGCTGCGTTCCGAAATTGCTCCAACTTTTGGCTAGAGCCTCTCTGGCAATACATCGAAACCCGGCATTCGGTCCCTTCTTGCTTCATCGCTTCATTAGAGTCGGTCTGTTCGGCTGGTGCCATGATAATATGGCAACATGGAAGTGGGAAGGCGCGGTCCCGAGGCACAGCTACGTCCAACACTCACACCAAATGTGGAGGCTGCTGGGTCAACTGCTGCACCGACTCCGGGTCATATCCAGAAATAGAACCAGACACACGGGGGCATCATAGGACAGCAATACAGGGGTCGCATTATTGAACTCCACATCTCGCATGGCCAACTCTGTGTTTTCCCGCCGGCGCTCGTTTCTTCTTTAACCCAGTTCTCCGATCTCCCCTGGTTTCGTCGCCATAGCGGGCTGTCTCGTGGATCTCATAATCACCGCAGTGCCACTTCACCATGACACGCCCGGCCCTTCAAAAGTTGCCACAGAGGCAACCTGGTGCATGGTGTCTTACAGACGAGTATGGGGCACGCCTTACTCGGAAGCGCGACTTGCTGCGTTGTGGTAAGAGAGAGAGGCTCTTCCTGCTAGAGGCACTCGACGTTATTTGATAAGATATCAAGGCTGTATTTGGAAGCCGCTCGGCCGGAACGTCCCTTCCATCGTTCTGCCAAGGCGTCGTTGTTCAATGGCGCTTACTGTCTCCCAGCTTCAAGTATCCCTGTCGAGTCTCGTTCCATATATTCTCAGTCTCGCCTTCCAATTCTGGGGAGCAGTGGGCGCATCGTAATAGCATCCATGCGCCCTCGCTGCTATCGCTACAACAACTCCCAAATCACTGCCCAAACTTGCGGCCTACCCGGACCGCAATTCATCCCGTCACATTCGGCATCGTGAACGAGTTTCCCCTGCCTCACTTCTGAGGCAAAACAGATGGTTGCCCCTTAATTGTGGCAAGAATCGCGCACGGCTATGCTCGTCGAAGTGTATTAATAGATAGTTCAGAGCTACTCGGTTCATATTCTACGATCATCTCCCGGGACATCACAACTCGTTCAAGCCTGCCCAGCTGAGCTTATGCCAAATTCGAGGGTTAGCACTGCCTTGAGTTACTATGATCTCCACCAACGAAGACACTTCAAGCCCCATCGCCGTCGTGGGGTTGGCCTGTCGTTTCCCTGGCGATGCCTACAGCCCGTCTGAGTTTTGGGATCTTCTCGCCAACGGCAAGAGCGCGTTCAAGCCGATTCCGCATGATCGATTAAACATCAATGGGCATTACCACCCAAACCCCGAGCGACCTGACAGTGTAAGTGGCAGTCAATATCCTCCTGCCGCAGTTCCCTGTCACTGACGAACTGAATAGTTCAATTTCAAGGGCGCTCATTTTCTCAACCAAAATGTCGGGGCTTTCGATGCCAAGGTTATTTTTGGCCCATAACTCCCTCAATCTCCTAGTACTGATTTGCCACTACTCTATAGTTCTTCGGTGTTGCACCAGCCGAGGCAAATGCTATAGATCCCCAGCAGCGTCTTCTTCTGGAAGTGACATATGAAGCTATTGAGAGTGGCGAGTTTCTCTTTTTCCTATTTATGCGTCTTTTTACTGACCTGCCTCCAGCTGGACAACCAATGGAGTCGATAAAATGCACCAACACTTCGGTCTTCATTGGATCGTTTGTCAACGGTACGCACCTCCAGATGATACTTGTGGCTCGCTCTTTTGACCTTGGTTATCTAGACTACGAGCAGATCTCAATGAGAGACCCCCAAAATATGGCACCAGATTGTGCGATTGGCAACGGCACTGCCATTATGGCCAACCGGATCTCATACTTCTTTGATCTCCACGGCACAAGCCAAACTATAGATACGGGATGCAGCGCCAGTCTTGTGTGTGTTCACCAAGCTGTAAACAGCCTGAGAAGCAAGCAGTCTAATATGGTAAGTCAGCCAAAACATGTTACAAAGCATTGTGTAACTAACTCAGGCATTGTTGATAGGCTATTGCGGGCGGCGCGAGTCTAATCTTGGCTCCTAACACAATGATGCCGATGACAACCCTCCCTTTCCTCAGTGAAGATGGCAAATGCTTTACATTCGACTCTCGTGCCAATGGCTACGGCCGAGGTGAGGGTGTTGGTATTGTAGTGCTCAAACGACTCGATGACGCGATTAGGGACAATAATACTATCCGCGCCATCATCCGAGGCACCGCGAGCAATCAAGATGGGCGTACTCCTGGTATGCCCTATGTCTTCATTCGAAATCTCGGGCTTCTGGGTTGCAAAGTTGACTGTGGTCTTAGGCATCACCGTACCTAACCCGGATGCACAAGTCCGCTGCATCAGGTCGGCCTACCTTGACGCTGATCTCGATCCTGCCGAAACATCGTACGTCGAGTGCCATGGGACAGGAACCAAAGCTGGCGACTGGCGAGAATTGAAGGCAATATCCGAGGCTCTGTGCAGCAACCGTGGTGCTGGGGAGCCCCTCTTCGTTGGCTCAGCGAAGCCAAACATTGGCCACCTAGAAGCTGCAGCTGGTATCTCTGGCTTGATCAGGGCTATCTTAATTGCGGAAAAGGGTCAAATCCCGCCCCAGATTAATTTCGAGGCATGGAACCCCGACATACAGCACGAGGCATGGAGAGTCGATGTACGTTTTCACCTCGAACCCTACTGGTATTCGTCCTTTCTGACCATCTCAGATCGCGGCAGATTTGATGAAATTCCCGTCCAGTGGTTTACGCCGCATCGGTGTCAACTGTTTCGGCTTTGGCGGGACAAATGCTCATGGGGTGCTCGACGATGCGAGAAGCTTCCTCAAACAGCGGGGCCTACAGGCACATCACAATACCGTCACGTCCCGGAGAAAGTACAGCCTGGATAGCGATTCGAACTTTGTCGTTACCCCAGCCTCGTCGACTCGGTGCAGTAGCTCTTTGGGAAACTGGGAGCTTGCCTCTCAGTCCCAGCTTTACGAATTCTTGGGCGACATCTACACCATACCTCATCTCTTTGTTATTTCAGCACAACACCGCGAGGGACTTTCCACGATAACATCATCCCATCTTTCCTATATCGAAAACCACGCCACAGACCCTGATTTCTTTCGCGACTATTCCTACACAATGTACGCCAGACGGTCTCATCTGCAGTACAAATCCTTAATTGTCGCAAAGTCGGTCGCAGAACTGACCCAAAAGATGGCCGCCATTGACCAATCCAAAATAATCCGCTCAGACTCACGTCAACAATTCAAGCCTGCTTTGGTCTTCTGTGGGCAAGGCGCGCAATGGTCTCGAATGGGCATGGAGCTCATGGCATTTGACGTGTTCCGCGAGAGCATTGAAGCTGCAGATGAATATTTGAGGGGAATTGACAGCGGTTTCGGTCTTGTTGCCAAGCTAGGCAAATGCAAAGAGTCGGCCGAGATCAATTTGCCAGAGGTTGCACAGTCAGGAACAACTGCGCTGCAAATAGCTCTGGTTGACCTCTTGCGAGCTTGCCAGATCAAGCCCGTTGCAGTCGTCGGCCATTCGTCTGGCGAGATTGCCGCGGCTTATGCTGCCGGCTTCCTAAGCCGCGAGGACGCGTGGAAGCTCGCCTTTCATCGCGGTAAGTGTGCTGCAGCCCTAAAGCACCTCCGAGGCCGAATGCTTGCCGTTGCTCTGTCAGAATCCGTGGTTGGGGAGTATATTGGTCTGGCACGACCGAGGTCTGTGGCAGTGGCTTGTGTCAACAGCCCGCAGCTCGTTACTCTCTCGGGCGATGAGGACTCGATTCTTACTATCAAGGCAGAGCTTGACAGGAAAGGGATCTTCAACGTTCTGGTGGCTACCGAGACGGCATACCATTCGCACCATATGAAGCTCGTATCACAGCAGTATCAACGCTCCATTTCAGACATTAAGCCTTGCACCGGATTTGGGATCGCGATGTATTCATCCGTTACAGGCGCTGAGATTTCAGCGCTTGAGCTAGGCCCCCTATATTGGGCCACGAACCTGTGTGAACCGGTTCAGTTCAGTAAAGCCGTCGCCTCTATGATGAAGCCATCACTGCCAGATCGTCCTGTTCCAAACGCTTCCATAGAGGTGAGCCCCCACCGGGTCTGGCCGAAAGCGCTCAAGCAGATACTGGATGATATTGGCTTTCGAAACTCGCCAGTGCCCTACCACTCAATGCTTGAGCGCGGCAGGGACGCAATTGGATCTGTGCTGCAACTTGTTGGAGACCTCTTCCTTTGCGGGACGCGGGTAGACTTGGGTTGGTTTTTTAAAAGGTTTGTGTACCATGTCGTCTTGTCGAATGTGATTGACTAATATGCAATAGCCACTTCAGTCCTGCTCGGCCCAAGTGCCTCGTCGACCTTCCTAGGTATCCTTGGGACCATTCAAGGACTTATTGGCAGGAGTCTCATATCTCTCGTGCCAATCGCTTCCGACAGTACGGGCGACGAGACTTCGTTGGGTCTCTCTCAGACGACGCGGTTTTTCCATTCGAACCACGGTGGCGGGGACACTTCCGCACGACGGAGAATCCTTGGATCCTCGATCATAAGGTGCAAAACAAGATTCTTTATCCGGCGGCTGGGATGGTTGTCATGGCCATAGAGGCGGTGAGGCAGGTCATCCACGACTCCATCGATCAGCCGTCAGATGTCCTGGACTTTGAGGTCTCGCAGTTCCAAATCAAAGCTCCAATGGTGATCTCGACTGATGGGCGCGGACTGGAGTATTTCTTGAACGCAAAGCGAACTGCAGATTCGTCTCTGCGCAGAGTCACGACCTGGACCTACGAGTTTACCATCTTCTCGAAACCGTATGAGGATTCCCCATGCCTAGAAAATGCCAGGGGACTCGTAAGTGTTCGTTTCCATGGACGTGGTGCTGAGAAGCGTCAGATTGCCAGGTTGCTCTGTAAGCCGCTCAAGGAGAAGTGGCGCAACCAGAGCACGCGCTTACAGAGCCCTTTCGAGCTGTACGAGAGTCTTTGGGCAGCGGGGATGAATTATGGTCCATCGTTTAGGAATATCATTGGCGTTGGCCCAACCAGAGCTTCTGGCAGGGTCAATGAATGCTGGGCGTCAATTGCGGTTCCGAATACCAGAGCAAAAATGCCCAAGCAGTTCGAATTCGACCACATCATCCACCCAGCCACCCTCGACGCCATGTTCCAGACCGTCTTCACGCTCGGAAGCGAACCAATGGTTCCCTTTTACATAGAAAGCGTCCGAGTAGCTGCCAATATCCAGCACACGGCTGGCAGCGAGTTTTTCGGCGTTACTAAAGGATCTGAGGTTGGGCTCCGGGAAGCATCTGCAGACATCGACATGTGGCAACATGAGAAAACTGGAGAGAACGTTGCAGGAGAAACCCACGTCGTCGAGGTTACCGGGCTCCGCGTTAAGTCTATCGTCTCTGCCACATCTGGCGGGCTTGGTTTCTTGCCAAGCTACCGAAATCTCTCGTCAAGTATGGTATGGAAAGAGGACATACGGTACGCTGAGTTTGAGGACTTGAGAAACTGGCTTGATATTTTTGGCCACAAGATTCCGGGAGCCGCTATTCTCCATGTTGGCGAAAGCCTGCGGGTGATTTCCACCGTCTTTCAGGTCCTCGCCGAGAACGACGGTGTACCATCCAGCAATCCCCGGCTTGCAAAGTACACAATCAGCTCCAAAACAGACAATGCCTATGTTGCAGCTTCAACCTCGGTGGCTTTGAAGCATCGGCCCCTCCTAGCCTACGAGCCTTCGCTTGAGCTGTCGAAATCGGACATTCTCCGTCAGTTCGACCTTGTCATATTCGAAAACACGAGTTTACAGGACCGGGAGGATGTTGAGAAGCTTGTCAATCCATCCGGCTTTCTCTTAATCTTGTCAGAGCAGCCTACCGACAAATCCCCTGTCCGGCAATTTCGCTCTCTTTCCCATCCACCAACACCGCCCCATGGGACAACAGACCCGGTCAGCACCGCTATGCATGCAGCAGATTTTGGGTTCCTGCAATTATCTAGCAGGCCTGGAATGCAGCAGTTCAAGAGCGAGAACTTTGATGATATCGTCATCCTCACGCCTCATCCAAGCCAATCAAGCGCCAATTGTGTCGCACATTGTCTGCAAAATCTCCTGTACGAGGCTGGCTTCAAGGCCCGCGTCAAATCTACCTCGTGGTCAAACGATATCTCACGAGTGGAGAGCAATTCGGTTCTCATCTCCCTTCTAGACCTACTCACCGAAGACGGGTTCGTGTTCAACATGGACAGCCAGCAGTTTGACCTCGTGAAAAAACTGCTTCAGACTACTAAAGGTCTGCTGTGGGTGACCTGTGGCGCGCAGATCCAATGCGAGCGTCCTAAGAATTCTCCCTTTCTGGGCTGGGCTCGGACACTGCGCTCCGAAGACCCCCAAAAGCACATTGTGTGCCTGGACCTCCAGCCTCAAGACTGCCACGATGAAGCAATGGCAAAGAAGATACAGACAATATTTTTGGACTCGTTCATCGCTCCCAGTGTGGCTCGTGTCCGAGAAACAGAATACACGGAGCGTGGGGGACGGTTCTACATCCCGCGTCTTTCACCCACCGAGGGCCTGAACTCGGCCATAGAGCAGGGACCCAAGGGCGGCCGACATTTCGAAATGCGAGCTATAATTCCCGGTCGTGATGCAACGAAGTTGGAGGTTGGCTCTCCCAGTAACGTAGAGAGTCTTTATCTCTCGACTGATACCTCGGATACCCCTGCCCTAGAATCTCACCAGGTCCGAATACAGGTACATCAGACCTTTCTCCTTCCTCACGATTTTGAGGCGGTCCTTGGGAGAAATACACAGACTTCGATCGGCGTAGATGTTGCTGGGACGATTGTCGGGCTAGGTAACAAAGTCACCAGGTTCAACATCGGCGAGCAGGTTGTTGGCTTTGCCAAGGGCTCTGCACAAAGTTCAGTGGTTGTGTCCGAGGATTATGTGACACTCCGCCCTGAACTTCACGGCTCTAACCCAGTTCGCAGCAGTCAAAACACTAGTTCTCTGTTGTCTCGTGCATCTAACTGGCCCTTGCGGACCTGGGACTCGTCAGGGCTGCTTCCGTGGAGTATGGCTACGATTCTCACAGCCTATTACTCGACCAAGGGCATCAACGAAGGCAGCTCCGTCACTGCACTTGTACAAGCTGCCGCTGGGCCATTTGGACAGGCGGCAATCGCCGTTTTCCAGCACATGGGGTTGAGAGTTATTGCCGTGGTAGCAAACGACCAACAAGCTCAAGTAATCAAGTCAGTGTTCGGCCTTGAGGATACATACATTGTCCTGGAGGGTCCCCGTCTGTCTGAACGCATCCGCGAGGTGTTAGAGAAGCTGGACCGGTCCCGCAGCTCCGTCGATCTGGTTTTCGACTCTCCGGGCCGTGGCTACATGGAGACAAACTTTTCATGCGTGGCTAGCTGTAAGTCACTCCGTACTTTCGAGTTAAATAACCTAGAAGCTAACGCAGGGTAGTTGGTCGTGTGTTTCAAGTTGCCGCGAGGTCGGCAGACTGGGAGAACACGCGGTTTCCCCGTCACTGCTTCGAATTTATCCGATTTGACCTTCACGAGTACCTGGGGAGGGGCTTGCCACTGGAAAATGACTTCCTTGAGCTATACGACGCAGTCAGTCAGCAGTTCCTCCCGGACAAGATCCCCCCGTCTTGTCATGTCTTCTCCTTTGGCTACGCGGGCGACGCTCTGAAGCAAATGGAGAAAGATCTCGGTGCGGGCCAGTATATCCTCGAGGCCAGAGCGGAAACTGCGCGAATCGCGGTTGACCTGGTACAGCGCCGCATGGCTCTGTATTCTAACGGGATATATGTCATCATTGGCGGCTTTGGCGGTCTCGGCCTCAGAATTTCGGAGTGGCTTGTCGAGCGTGGCGCAGGACACGTCGTCTTGGTTTCTCGCACGGGAGCCCCGTATGGCCAAGCATCCAGACGACAGTTCGAAGATCTGAGCTCCAAGCCAGGAGCCCAAATATACTCGTACCGGCTAGACATCTGCAGTTCCATAGAAGTGGATACTTTTATAACGTGGTTGCAGAGAAAGGGGCCCAAGCTTAGGGGGGTTATCCATGCTGCTGGTATCTTGAAGGTCAGTGTTCAAGCCGTTCCTGACCCTGAATAGGGTAGTGTTAACTGTTCACTAGGACGTTTCGCATAACAGCATGGAGTATGAAGACTGGACCGCGGCTACAGAAGTAAAGACGACTGGATCGTGGAACCTCCACAAAGCCCTGCCACGAGACTTGGATTTCCTGATATTCCTATCCTCGGCGGCCGGTGTCATTGGCAACCGCGGCCAAGCCAACTACGCAGCTGGCAACGTTTTTCAGGACGCCCTTGCTCGCCACAGGACTGCGCAAGGAATGCACACCGTCTCTCTAGATCTCGGCCCTGTCGTTGGCGCCGGCATGGTCGACCAAAAGATGATGGACCACCTCCGGATGATTGGCTTCTTCGGCCTCCGAGTCCAGGACATGCTCTTTATGCTCGAGCGAGCAATTTCAGGCTTCGGGACTGGAGACACACCCATCCCGCCCCAGGTAGTGATGGGCGTCGGCACTGGGGGGCTTATCCGGCAGAACAAGCCAGCCGATGCGTTCTGGACCGAGACGGCTCTCTTCGCACATCTCAACCGCGTAGATCTGACCGCGGAGGTTCTCGAGGACGTTTTAGGGTCTCGAGGCGGCGACGATGTGAATCTCCAGCACGTCCTTGCCATGGTGTCTACGGTGGAGGAGGGCGTCGCGGCCCTCATGGGCCCACTCGTCGACGCCCTCGTGGCCGTTATCCCGGGCATCGACGCTGCCGACGTCAGGCCGCACATGACGCCCACGGAGTGCCACAGCGACTCGATGCGGGGCGCCAAAATCGATAACTGGCTGAAGCGGGCTACGGGTGTCTCCATTGGACAAGGTCTCAACAGCATGCCGCTGCGAAAGATATGCGAGGAGGTGATGCGCAAGGGGGGGTTCTTGGGGGGTGTTTGAGTTGACGTTGAAAGAGTGTTGGTTGGTAATTGGTAAGAGTGAAGAGTGAAGAGTGAAGAGTGCTAACTGCTGCGGAAGTAATGCGGGCTAATACGAAAGAGGCGGGTGTTTACTTATTTTAATTGAGAAAGCTAGTTTCTTCCCATAGCTATACACTCATTTCCTGCCTAAAATTCATGATTAGTGTCATCGTATAACTGGCCCAGCTCTTCCACCTCCTCAAACACAGCTTTTAAGAAGCCGAGCAGAGCCAGGATCTCCGACTGCAGGCGCGTGAGCTGTCTCACGGCGTCGTGGAGAAGACCACGTATCTCCGACTAATTACAGATTATAGCACTTCAAGAGAAGGAGAGAATCTTCCCAGCTCTCCAAGAGGCTGCACGGAGCCTAGGCGTTGCATACGACCACATCAAGCCCGCCGCGATTGAACTCGAAAGATCCTGTCTCGAGCAGCACTCGGCCATGGCAGTCATGTCGTCGAGAGTAACGACAATCCTGGCCAATGCCTCGACCCTGAGGCTCTTGGCGCCACACGAGAACCTGGTATACCGCGTGTCCGATATAGTCGCTGACTTTTCGCGAGACGGTGCTGCAGGTGCCGCTCCGGTCAAGGCTACCGTTGCTCGACTTGCTGCCGCGCTGGACAAGATGAAGTCCAATGCAAAGGTCGTGGATGTGTTGAGGAGTTTGGAAGACAGGGATGACTACGTCGAGATACTGGAGGCGACGGATGATGATAATGATAGGGTCTATTATTGCCTCGCCATGCAGTGGAGGTCGGGTTCTAATAAGAAGGCTTCTACCCCTGAGAATTTTCCCAATACGGTATTATGGTACTTCCTCGAATAACAGACGAACTACTTATATTATCTATATACTTAAACTACTACTGCCTATAGACGTACGTCTTTCTCGAAATTCTGCTGTTCAAAGGCCCACGGGGTGATGAATATCTCTTCGGCAGAGTATCATATGATCTACGGTCCAAACAGCCTGGCCCCGGTAGAGGCGAGAATGTCATCTACCGACTAGTGATGGGGCGGCCACATTTCGAAATCCTAGACTGCCCACCTATCGAGTGCTCGTTAAATTTTTCGGACACGAGACGAAGCAAAACATCCATGGTTCCCGGTTACGGCAACTGGGCAGGCAATCCCCTTGAGGGGGAAGTTGGTGATGGCTCTCGCTCTCCTTTTCGCCAATGTTTCAATCTTGACCCTACACATGCTACTCACAGCACTCAATCCCCGCAACAAAGTAAAGCAACCCAGCTCACTCAGTTCTTTCTCAGCGATGGGGCCAAAATCTTTGTAACCCTTTTTTCCTCTACAGACGTTACACAGCTCTCCCCCGCTTCCTTCCAGCTCCGACTCGACCCAGATCTGGTACTGTACCTACCTAGGTACACTACGTAAATACGAAGACGTTCGAGTGGTAGTAAGAGACGGTACTGATACAAGTAAAAACCACAATAGTCGCCTAAAGTACCTACATGAAAGGGGAAAAAAGTAAAAAGGAATGCCGGGGAAAAGGTTCCGGTGCACGCCACACCCCCTGTAACTGCGGAACGCAGACCACGACAGGAACCAATGTTGAAATTGAGGGGAGTGCCGGTCAAGGCGAGGTACATACATACATCTACATATACATATACATGTCGAATGGCTTTTCTTCCTTGCGGGTGTCGTATCAGGAGGATGAGAGAAATAAGGATAAGGAGGAGCCTCTGTCCGGTGCGGATATGTGTATATGTGTGTGTGTGTGCCAATGCAACTTTTTCTTTTTTCCCCTTCCCCAAGCCTCGTTTGTCCAGTTCGCTCATTAGCTTACCATATGACCCCGCCTAGATTGTTCCAAGTATGCGGGTTGCGTATTCCGAGCGGGGGAAGTAGCTGTAGGTGTGAGTGTGTGGCCGAGTTCGAGCTTGAGTTGGGTTGGGAATCTAGAAGGGCGTTCGTTGTGGAGGGTTGCGTTGGACCTCTTTGGTTGAGCACAGTATCCGTACATTACGCCAATCACCGCCCTGTTCGACTTGCAGGACCCAATGCAAGTTGCAACTAACTTTCGCGAATGCATGTATGCTGAATGGAGGAGAAAAAGAGAGGATGGACTGCACTTAGGGAGGAGGCCACTTCTATTCGTCACAGATCCGAGAGAGAATGGGAAAAATACACCTTCGCTCGAGCTGGCAGATTTGCCCTTCTGAGCGATTCCCACGCCGCGCACTGTGGTGCGCCGAAGCCGGGTGGCGTCATCATGCCCCCAAACCCTCCTCTAGCTCAAGGGAAAGTCTTCCTCTTTCTGCCTTTCTGGCATCTATCACCTGCATTGCATTAGTGTGCAAAGGAGTAGCCGAGAAGCTCTGGGGCACGCAAGTTCGAGAGAAGAAATCCTACTACCCGTCCAGTGTGTCCATCCATTCAGGTGCCACGACCGCCTCCTTTTTTTTTTTTTGCTTTTCTTGAAGTCCCTCTCTGGAAAAACGTGCATATACGGGCCCGAAAAGCTCCGGTATGATAAGGAGCCGCTGCCACTCACGGAATTCCAGGAGAAACTTCCGGACCAACTACCTCTCAGGATCTCTCGACTTGATCGCGCGACCAATCACAAAACGACTTCAAAACGGGAAATGCACATGCCTCAAAGCCAAGACCTAGCTTGGCCCAGTGGGATGTTTCCGATGAAGGGAAGCAAAGGGCTTGCCGACTTCTTGCCTTTCAAAGAGCCGACCACCAACTGTCATGTCTATTCGTACAGCCATCTATGTCTGGACAACAATACACACTTCGCTCCAAACACTGGCGTTCGCTCAAGCTCCCGCCGTGAATTGGTTTCTCTCTAACGCGCCTTCTTGCCCTCCTTGCCCCCCTTCTTCGACTTGAAGCCGGGCTGGATCCTAGCCATCATTTGCTCCTTTGTGATGAGGTGGTCGATCCTCTCGAGGAGGCCAAGTAGGCTCTTCATATTGAAGCTCCACTCGTTCAAGATATCGTCGGCATCGCGGGGCTTGGCGAAGCTAACAACGCGAGCCGGACGGTCGATCTTGGCGTGCACCGTCTTTGATGTCACCAGCTCGCTGATGTACTTTTCCGTCTCATCCTCGGTGAGATCCAGCAGCCGTGTGAGACGCGCTAGCTTAATCCGCGTGTAGTACTTGGCCACAACACGTACATTGTGCTCAATGACTCGCTTCCGTAAATCCTGCCACCGCTCAAACGCCTTCTCGTCGCTCGACTGCCCTTCAGCCGAGTCGAAGATCTCGGTATCGCAGAGGTGCGGCCCGAACAGCTTGGACACCTCGGGCCACCGCATCAGCTCGTGCACTGTGAACAACTCAAGGAACTCTGCATTCTCAGCCACCTCTGTATTTCGCGTGTCCTTGTGGACTCGGTGGAGAAGGTCGTGTTGCTCGTTGTCGTGCGGCGCTAGGATGACGAAGTAAATGATTCGTTGGAGGACCTACGAGAGCGGTCAGTACGTGCTCCGGATGAGCGCGGTTATCATTAGGAGACATGGGGAAAAGGGCATACCGCTTGAAGCTTCACTGGGTCCTGCTCTACAGCTTCGGTGTCAAGGACCTGTCTGTAGTGCTTGCAAGCGTCGAGGTACTTGGAATCGTGCTTGGCCAGAACGATCTGCTGCTCGTAGTATCGCAGCTTGAGGTCTGTGACATCGTCCTCCTTGACCTCGGGCACCTCCTCACCTCTCGCCTTCTTCTTCTCACGCTCAGCCTGCTCCTTTTCAAGCTGCTCGGGCGTCTTCTTTGGCTTCCGTGATAGGTATTTGGTGCTGATCTTGCGGCTGAGGATACCAGCCTGGTTCCAGTCACTGCTCTCGATGCAGAGCGCTACCTGAGCTAAGATGAATTCCGTCTTTTCCCGCCGCTCCATAGAGCCAAACGTCTCAACCTGAAGCTCGCAGAGAATGTCGGTAGCCGCCTTGAGATCGCCTTGTCCCTTCTTGATGTCGGATAAGATCTTGGTCACGCGTGCCCGCTCAACCTCGACGAAGATCTTGCCCTCGGTAACGGTCCGCAGCGTCTCAATGACAGAGAGTTTGGTTTCCAAGTTCGGAGTCTCGTCGAGGAAGCCCATGATGGTCTGCACCATGCGCGTGATGGCCTGTTTCAGCTGGCCATGTTTCTTAGACAGAATGAGGGTCTGGTCGTTGAGGAGGTCCCATTTGCCGGCATCTTTGCAGACGGCAATTATGGTGGTCAGGATGCGTGATGTGGATGCGAGATCAGACGCCTATTGACAGTGGTTGTATGTTAGATGTCAATCTCGCCGCCCGACGCTTCGGGCGCTTACCTGGCGCGTCTGCTTCTCGAGCACGGAAAGCTTCTCGATGGCGGCCTGGACGTCTGTCTGTAAAATGCGGGAGTTGATGTCAGCACAAGCTTGGAGTTGGGCATGTTCAACGTCGGGCATTGACAATCAACACGATGCGCGCACCTTTGCGAGCTGCTTAGCTTCGGGAATCTGCTTGTCGGTCTCTTTCGAAAAGTCCTTCTCGGGCTTCAATGCAGCGTCCGCCATCGTGAGGAGCGTCTGACCGTGGTAGGCAAGTGCCGGATTTGTAGTGCGATTGCGACGAGTGGGTTGTGATGCGTCGTTGAAAGTTGCGGTTGTGCGGGTGGGATCGAGGTTTAGCAGGCGCTCGCGTTGGTTGCTTGTTGCTGATGATGCCAGGCCGGTTCCACGTCAGTTTGGCTCTGCCTGCTGTAAGGCACGTAGCTAACTAAGCCAAGGCTAGGGCTGATTGAGGCTGAAGCTAGACTGAAGAGGGGAGACCCATTTTTCCCCCCGTCCTCAGCCACTAACGCCACGAATCTACTCCGTGCTCCGTACCTTCCTCTCCATACTAGTATTCGAAGCATCCCCCACTAATATTCCGTACATACGTCAAATTTCGGCGAAGTTGTACGGATCGAGGCAACTAGCTTTCTTGAGCCCCGTCTCATGGCAATAGAGTGTCTCTGTGACAGCCGTCGCTTACCTGAATTTACCTCATGTTCTCAAGCCTCACACGTTCCGTCCCACCATTTTGCACTGTTCCAATTGCATTTGTGGATTCCGATTATGTCGCCTGTGCTAACTTGCTGACCATCAACCAGTCAATCGAGCCCCAGGCAACTCATGAACGAAAGTGGCGGCCGGAACTCAGGCTTCTCCATTGGGCTGACTTGACTGAGACATTGCCTGCAGCAAGACAGTTGAGCGCGTGCCTGCCCGTTGACCAAGAGCCTCTCGGGCGCCAAGCGGCGGTGGGCTCCAGCCGGCAAGGTTACCGTACATACCTTCCCTACAGGTAATCGAGAAACGCCTTTTAACTGGGCAAGATCCATGGCAGGACGCAGTCTAGACCGCTTGTGCAGACCGCGAGGCAGGCATCGACGTCTTTGGGGGAAAGAGCTTCCGATTTCTTTCTCCAACTGTCTCCTTCCCCTTCACAATAGTACCTTCCAGCCTCCCCAACATTCCATCCTCTTGCGCAGTCTACGATGTTGTCATTTCCCAGGGCCTGTGCTCGTTCTTCTTCTCGTAGATGATCAGCCTGCCAGTTGGCTATTAGCCTCGGGATCAAGCGCGTGGGTGGTCATACCCTCGGCGCAGAAACGGATCTTCTGGCCTGACAGTTGAGGGCTCGTTGCCACCCATCCGTAATAGCTCGGTCTCCCGTTAGCTTACCTTACCCGGCAGGCCGTGTAGGTAACGGCTTTGAGGCCAGCACTTGCGGCAGTCCGAAGGCGCTCGAGATCCGATTTGTTCTTTCTGGCATCTACGCTGCAATCTGTCTCTCCTGCCCGCCTTCCCCAACCTTACTCCTCTTGTTCAACCGCAGTTCACCTTCTCCTTACCACAAAGTTCCATTGGCCTGCTGGATCATGTCCTCCTATTAGGAATACAGGAACCATGTGAGCAGCCATGTTCGCCCCTCTTCCGTTTGTGTAACCATCGGGAGTACCTCTGGCAGCTGAGACCGCCAGGCACAACACTTGTTCTTGCCTGTTCAGAACATGAGCAGTCCGGTGCGACGACACAGCTTGTCGCCGCTTCAGATTACGTGCCAGCACATCTCTTTCCTCGGTATACCTCTCCTTTGTCAACTTGATTTGAATAGATGCTGGCCTATGATTATTCATCATGGAGCGCCCTCCAATTGAGTTGGCCGTATCTGGAACCTTGGTGCTGCATCAGAAGCAAAAACCGCAAAACTCTACGACCCCAAGATCAAACACAGAGGTCGTGTCGCTGCCACCTATCCAGTCACCAGTTTCAAGCGGTGCATTGGAGGAGGGTCAGCCCGCAGGAAGCACAACAGATCCAGCTGCCCCCGGTCACACCTCGCCCGAGCTATATCGGCCCTCGCCAGTAACCAACCACGCCTCTCTCTTTCCCAATGACAGCTCAAACTTCACTCTCGGCCTCCCAGGCATGGCTCTGCCAGTGTCCGTCTACCCGTCGTCCCCGCATCCGAGTCAGTTTCCGGCATCTTTTCCAGAGTCTCTCGATCCTTGGGGAATTTCACACGGTCGCGAGAACCTCTCGTCTCCGTACTACTTTCATGGTTCAATCCAGCCAAGAAATTTGTCATACAGCAGCCCGGAAGACAGTACTGAGGACCGCGGCAAGTCAGACGAGAATTTAGAGCAGACTGCAGCACAACAGGCTGAGGACGGCAACATCATTGTTGACAGCTACGATACAGCCACGGATGCTGGTTACAGTACGGGTTCCGACATTTCCGCCTCGACGTCGCTTTCAGAGAGCGTATCCGACTTCGTCTACGAAAATGGACGGAGATATCACAGTTTCCGTGAAGGCCGCTATAATTTCCCCAATGACGACGTTGAGTATGTATTTGCAATGTTCATTTTTTTTCTTCCCACCTTCTCGCCCATTCACTTCCCAGAGAGCAAATAAACGCTGACGCTAAACCTAAAGGCAACAACGCGAAGATTTGAAACACATGACATTAAAGATGCTTTGCGGTCGTCTTCACTTCGCACCAATCGGAGACAGCCCGCAAGAAGTCTTGGACATTGGCACTGGGACCGGGATCTGGGCCATCGAGAGTGAGAGTTCCATGCCCATCCACGCCGTTGAGATAGCACGGGGCTAACTATTCCCGGTAGTAGGTGACTTGTTCCCAGGTGCAAGCGTATTAGGTGTCGACCTCAGCCCGATTCAGCCGAGCTGGGTGCCGCCAAATGTGCGATTCATGGTCGATGACGTTGAGTAAGTTGGGTTTCGCGAGGTTCAAGCCCAGTCTTGATCTCTTGTCCGAGACTATCTACGGAAAGCCGTACTGACTTGGATTTCTTCTAGAAGCAAGTAAGTGGCAACTTGCCCGGTTTCGATGAGCGGTCCATTATCCCAAGGCGGAGCCTTGGCTTGGTGGGGGGTACAATAACTAATACATGGAAGATGGCTCCACCCGGCAAACTATTTCGACTATATTCACAGCCGGCACACCGTCATGGCAATCAAGAATTGGCCGCGTCTAATGAAGAGAAGCTTAAAGTATGTTCAATAGTGGCATTGCTAAGAGAGAGCAGCCGCTAATAACTGGCCAGACATTTGCGCCCCGGTGGCTGGTTTGAACTTCAAGAGGTCCACCACTGCCCCATATCTGCTAATGGGACCATGGCTGTTGATCACCCCGTTGCAGAGTACTGGCGGTTAATCAACGACGGATTGGCTAACCTCGGAATAAATTTCCACGCAGTGTCCGAGGGACGTCTTACCAGTATGATGCGAACTTCCGGATTCGTGAACGTTACAGAACGGGTGTTTCAAATACCCATCGGCACGTGGCCGAAGGACAGAGTTCTGAAGGATGTGGGGCAACACTGGCGTTCTGTTCTACTAGACGGAGTCCAGGCTATTGCTCTGGGCCCTTTGACAAGAGGGTGTGGTTGGACTCGAGAAGAAGTTGAACTACTGCTGGTACAGGTGCGTAAGGCTTACTATGACAACAGTTGCCTGATGTATATGCCGCTACATGTCATTTATGGGCAAAAGCCTCAGGATGGTTGAGGCTACATGTCGTCACCGGATGCCCTGTTGGCTGTCTGGCTCCCTTTCTTCTTCTTTGGAGCTCGGGTTGTCTTAGGGGTTGTCGTTGATGGATGAGTGATCTAAGCAACTCACTTCTACTGAGTTTTCTTCGTGGCTTATTACAGATGTCTATGATAGCACTTTATTAGCGCTTGTGGACGAAGATACTTAGATTTTTAAGGCATGGACTGAGCCCAAATTACCACGCTCGCCTATTTTCTAATCTTTTTTCCGAGACGGCCACGGGCTGCTATTATCGACTAGGAAATAGCTTGCTTTTACCCGTTTGCCTGCGAGTATAGCGTTAAGGATACCGTCCTTGGTTCTTCAAACCCATCCTTTAGCTGGTATTCGTTATTTAAGGAGCGGATATCCTATCTATTACCCCGAGCAGGGTACCATACAAAGCTACTAAAGGCGCTCAGGATTATCGATGAATCCAAGAAGAGAAATATAGCGCGAAACGTCGGTGTCCGAGTTCAGGCGAAGTGGGTAGAGAGGGAGAACGTTGAAATATCCTCAGACCTTCGTCAAGGTTGGGTTCTTAAAGCTGGCGTTGAAGTTCCCGGGCCATTCACCAAGGACAACCAAGCGAATCTTGCTCCCGTTATACAAGCAGATTCCCGGAGGAAGGGGTGCCGGTTCATACTTCGGCCTGCTGTGGCGGCGCTCTGTTTTATTTGTATTGTCTGCTTTGGAAGGATAGATATAACTTCCCGTCTCAACTGATCTTGTTTGACCCAACTCGGCACTGACGGCCCCGAGTTGGGCTGATCGGAACGAGTTACACACTCCCGTGGGCTCGCATGCATGTTGAACGAGCTCAATCTTGGAGCCGGACGGCCAATCTTGGCTCCAACTAGCAGCAGAAGGTAGCAATCATAGCCGAGGACACCGATTTCAGGGCCGGATAGTGGCCGAATAAAGCATCACAGGGAAGTGGATTGGTCAATGTTTTAGTAGCATTGAGCACGATATATTCAAGTCTTCTCTTTCTAATCTCGGAAGTTTAGAGGCATTGCACCCACCGAGGTGCCTAACTGCGGGGTTAGTAGGTTCTGTATAGTATTAACCAGATCGGAGAGTCTCCTCGGTATGTCCACACCCCCAAAGAGACAAGATAATCCCGACGCGGCGTCGAGGCAAAGCAACTTCGGTCAGCAAGCGTCCAATCAATTTACAGGTTGGGGGTGATAGGCAGTGAAACCCATTGACTTTCACACTTCACCACTCACTTCCCCCACACCCACCCACCCTGCAGTTGTCTCTCTACTTGCCTGCTGCCACTGCGCACGACATGAGATTTGGGCTGTTAATCGCAGTGTTGTGTGTGTTGGTTGTGTGCCCCTGCCCTTGCCTTGTTCCCGATGCTATATGCTATTGGTAGACCGACGCCAACAACAAGCACGACATGGAATGGCCCAATGGGGCCGGCCGGGTTTATTCCATTTCTTTTCTAGGCATCTGTTCTTCCCTCCGCCAGCACCAGAGACCTGACATAATACGTATTATAGGGACGAGGACGTTCCGACCTGTTAGTCGCTCGCATATGCGCATCGAACCAGACCGGACAGGGCAAGACCGGACGGGACAAGACCGGACGGGGTAAGACGAGGGGGGGGGGGGGGGGGGGGGGGCACCGAGAGGAGTATGTTGTATGGGCGAGACTTCTACTGCCAATTCCAAAACGATAAAAGCTGTGCTTTGAACGGCAACCCCGGCCCCTCATCCGCCAGGCTCTCGGGGTGGTTTTGCACACAAACTACCACTACCTCGAACAACATCCCTCTCACTGCCTATATATATATATACATATCTATGTACCCTGTGACTGACGCAGACAAAGACAAAACATAACATCTGTCACTGTCGCATTCTAGACGAAGATTGCCCTGCCTGCCGTACAACTGGGCCGAGACCTAGTCACCATCCACTCGGAGCCCCGTGGCCCTTGTCCCCCGTGTCCGACGCTGGGTCCACGAGAGGAAACTTGCGTGTGACTTCGTGAAGCTGCTGCGGACAGAACAAAGTCTACTGGAGATTATCTACCAGCTTGTTTGGACAAATAGGTTGAGGACCCACGGTAGTTTCTCCCGCCTTACTCGGTTTCACCTGGCCTGTTTTCTCTCACCATCGTCTCTCGCGGGACAAATGTGATTAGTCCTCCTTTCTATCCTCCCCGCCACCTCCCTCTCTCCCTTTTCTACTCGTTCACATCTTCCAAATATGTATGTGTACGCCGCCGCGTTTGCGTTTCTTTGTTCTTCTGACGACTGTCCATCTGCCCTGCTCTGATTAAATATTGGTATGGGTATTAGGCCTGTCACTACCCAGGCAAGGGAACTTCCGCCAGCTTCGTCGGCTGACTGCTAACGCAACTATAGGATATATATATATATATAGCAATTACGCTGTCTTTTGAACACTTCCGAGTGAAGGTTCACTCCAGTTTTTGCCTGTCTTCAAGGCTCACCAGAAGAAGAAAAGTCCTCGCAATATTCCGTCATATTTTTCTCAGCAAGGCCATCAAACGGCAGCAGGCACAGCGACACAAGACGACGACAAGATGGCCGAACCCGACTTCGCGGCTCCTCCCGACCCCATCGTAGGAAACCAGTCCAAGACGGGTCTCGTTGCCCTAGCCAAGAAGATTACCCGCGAAGCGGAGAAGCTCGAGGCATACATGCGAGAGAACAACCTGCCCATGCCGAGCTTTGATGTCGACGCGCTGGCAGACTTTCCCAAACTGCCCGAGCATGTCGCCCAGAGCAGGCGCGAGATCATCTATTCTACCAAGGAGTTGGCGCAGCTGGCCCACGGGCCCCGAGAGTCCCTAAGGTGGGGAGTCTGGGAGGTAAGTTCCACACTACCATCCTTGTCGCGGTTTTTCATAAGACAGACGACGAAGTACCAACAATCTTTTGTTTGTTAGTTCCTAGATGTGCTAGCTGTACAGGTTATAAACCACTTTGGAATCGGTAAGTCCGCCCGGTTCTTTCTTTGCCGCAGGACCTTGCCACACCTATTATCATCCTCACCCATAAACACGTTGCCACAGCGAAACTCTTCCCAACAAGTTCCACCATCACCCTCGCCGAGCTGCAAGCCAAGACCTCGCTGGACGCCACCAACCTCGCGCGGCTCCTCCGGCTGGTCATGACCAAGGGCATCTTCCGCGAGCCGGCTCCAGGCATAATCGCGCACACGGCGGCGTCGCGGCTGCTCGCCGAGGACGGCGACCTCGAGGCGTGGGTCGGCTTCAACGCCGAAGACACCTTCCCCGCGGCGGCGCACGTGCTGGAAGCCCTCAAGACGCACCCGGAGGCGACCTCCCTGGCGCGCTCGGGGTTCTGCCTCGCCTTCGACACGGTCGACAAGGAGCCCATGTTCGTGACGCTCGGCCGGGACCCGGCGCGGGCGAGGCGCATGGGCCGCGCCATGGCGAGCCTGACCGGCGGCGAGGGCTACGAGGTGTCGCACTTTGTGAACGCTAACAATAACGGCCTCGTCGACGTCGACGCTGCGGGCGGCACGTTTGTCGACGTGGGCGGCTCGCACGGCTTCGTGTGTGTCGACCTAGCGGTGCGCTACAAGAACATCCAGTTCGTCTGCCAGGATCTCCCCAAGACTGTCGAGAGCGCCCCGAAGCCCGTCTGCGCCGACCCCCAGGCTGCCGCGCGCATCACCTTCCTCGCGCACGACTTCTTCACGGAGCAGGTGACCAAGGGCGCCGACGGTAAGCAACAACCCCCACCCCCCCCCCCCCCCCCCTTTGTCTTTTTTTTTTCCCTCGCCGCCCCTCCAATGCTAAAACCAAAACCTCCCCTATTCCCCACCACCATCCAGTGTATTACTTGCGCTGGATAATCCACAACTACTCGACGCCGTACGCGGTGCGGATTCTCCGGAACCTGATCCCTGCCCTGAAGCCCGGCGCCCGCGTCATCATCAACGACCACTGCCTGCGCGAACCTGGCCGGGAGAACCCCCACGACGAGGCGGTGATGCGTCGCATGGACATCGTCATGTTGGCTCTCCTCAACGCCCAGGAGCGCACCGAAGCCGAGTTTCGAGAGCTCTTCAGGACGGCGAGTGACGGCTTCGTCTTCAAGGTACCTATATCTATTCACCTCCCCCTCAGTGAATTATTTGCATTGGAAAACATGACCCCTATATTTCTTGCACGGCGGTTAATGACATACAGGGGGTCACGCGGCCCGACGGTTGTCGCATGAGCATTATCGAGGCTCTTTGGCAACCTAAGAATGGCTCTGTCGCCAAAAAAGTTTCAGATCAGACATTGTAGTTCTACCGCCCAAATTTGAACTGAGAGATTGTGCTGCATAGCGGCAAAGAAGTCAGTGAGGCAAACTAAAGCATATGTCTGGGCAAACCCCGTCACCATCAACACGGCGGAAAGTGACAGATTAAGGAATCCCAAGCTAGTTAGGTAGACAGATGGTCTGAGGCTAAAATCATCAACTATGAGACATACAAGCCTAGGGGTTCCTACTACAACTACCCTGACCTCCTCGCCTATAGTTAACTTCCTAAATTTCTCACTATTACCTTATCTCGCCGAGATAGCGCCTAGACAATCGAAATGCCAAAAAGCCACGTTCTGAGCCTTGGCTTATGTGATCTCAACCCAAATCAAACTCAGAACGAAGCGTCTCTGCTTGCCATTACCACTTCACATGCGCCCAGAAATCATCTCCTGTGGCCAGAGCCTTGTTGGGCTTGGAAAATCCAGAAGATTCCACAGTGGCTTTGGACGCCTGGGCCCGAGCCTCCGCTTCCTGAGCAAACTCCTCGCGATGTCCATTCTCCATGGGACGGTTGTTAATCGGATTTCGAGGAGGGGTCAAGCTGTTGTAAGGTTGGTTGTTGGCTTCATTTAGATCGCAAGTCAAATGTTCGTTTTCCGTCTCACGAAGAGAAGTGCCAACACCGGTAGAAACTGTACTCTTGTCATAGTCAACATTCTTACCCAGCTCAGTAGGAGCATCCTTGGCCTCGGGACTCGCACCATTGGCAGTCTGAGCAAGGGTAGCTGGAACGTTCGCTAGTCTCTGGTTCTGAAAAGCTTGCATAAAAAGTGCAAAAACTTGTTCAATGCCTCTCTGGTCCATGTTCAACGCTGTGAACGCTGTGACCAATTGAGACATGTCCATAGTCCCCGGGAATGCCGTGTTACCTTGAGTAGACACGGGCTTAATGGGCGAAGATGTCGCCGGCTGGAAGACTGGCTCAGGAATCATGAGAGGCCCTGGAGCGGGTCCGTCCGCCTTCACCTCGACTGCCTCGGTCTCCACTTCGACCGCCTCGGTCTTCACTTGAATCGCCTCATGTTTCTCTTTTTCAGGAGCAACAGCAGAAGTAGCAGTTGGTGGGTGAAACTGCGGGGCAATGTCAGTATTGATCGCCGACAACACAGTGGTAGCTTTCGTGGTTCGTTTGACGCGCCCCGATAGGAATGGCGACAATGAGGCAAACTCAACCTGCGGCACATGTCCAGAGTCCACATGCTTGACTTTAACAGACAGGGGAACCTTCAGAGTCTCTTGATTCTCAGTCTTGACTGAGGACACAGGTCTGATCGTGGGCTCTGCAACAGCCGGTTTGGTATCATCAGTTGCATCGGCCGGGCTTGTGCTATCCGGACGTACAGGTTCAAGAGGGGTCTCTGCATTAATCGATAGGGGATTCTCAATTACCTCAACGGGTCTCAAACCAAGCCAAGCAAGCCAAGCATTACCAAGGCAAGTAACAGACTGGTCGCTCAACAAGAGAGTAAGTTGGGTATTGAAAATCTTTCCGAAAAGAGACCTAACCTCGTTCGAGATAAAATCTTGTATCTCTTTGTCAGACGCATCTGCGAACCTCATGGCGATGGCAGTAGCGAGCCAGCGAGAGGCTCTCCAGAATCGTACGGTCTTGTATTCGTGGCGCTTCTCTCCCGGAGGAACTGCAACTTGGTCGAAGAGGTTGTGGATATCGCCAAATGCAACCCTAAATTTGTGCTCAAGAGTTCGATCAAGGAGCTTTTCACTCCAATAGCGGCATTTGACACCATCTGGTTCGGGAAGATCTAGGTATTTGGCAACAACTTGGGCCACAATCATTGATGAGCCTCGAAATTCGATGGAGTCGAAAACGCGTTTGACATGAGCCTCTTCTGGGAATCGAGTAGCCAAGAACTCAGACAGAAGTGAGTGAGTAATTCCAGTTACTCCTCTAGTCCAATCTCCGGGGCAAGTCTCAAGCTCGATAGTTGCGAGATACTTGAGGTGGAATATCTGTGAGGCTCGAGTACCTCCAAATGCTTCTCCGAAAAACTCGAAGCGGTCGATGTTTTGGTCCACGGCTACGGATGGCTTGTCCCACCGCTTGGCCCAGAATCCGGCAAGAGGACGACCAGTGCGAGGAGCATAAGTTGTCCAGGCATCGCTCGATTCTTCGAAATCCAGGGCGTGATGAACTGCGAGTCCCGAGAGTCTCTGCTCCAAAACTTCGTGAATCTTGCGCTGGAATTTATGGAGAAGCTCGATCTGCAGGTCCGTCGGACGAAGTGGCATCATATCGTCGTACTCCACCATGATACGCTGGTCGTCGGTCAAAAGGGGCGTGCGTCTCGTCGTGCAGAGGTCGATGAACCTATTTGCAAACGCGGCTCCACAAGACTTTGACATGATGTTGAGGACCCGGTCGGACACGGTGCAGGTGCCCATGATTGAAGGACTGCAGGCCCAACCTCCGGTGAAGGGCGATGAGGTCATGAGGATGACTGGCTGGTCGGTATGATCAACAGCCTCCCAGATAACTTGGCGGATTTGATCAGCCGGCAAGTAAATCTTGTCTTGGTTCTCGAAATCAATGCAGATATCTTGCTCCGGAGTGACTGGCGCAAATACCATGATGAAGAGCGTTGTGTCATTCTCTTTGGCAACACGAGCACGGTCAATGATGTGTTTCAAGACGCTCGCCTTCAGATCCACGGCGTCGGTCGGGAGGCCAACGATGTGGTCGTTTTTGCCGCCCAGAATCTTCTGGGCCACCTCGTCGGAATTATTGATGTCCAGTCCGGCAACACCTTCAAGAAAGGCGGCAATATCAAGAGAGCTCAACCAAGTCTGTGATAAAGAACAAGAAACCATTAGTGATTTGAAACCCATGCTTGGCAATAAAGTATGATAGACTGACCTGCGCCGCTTTGTTTCCAACCTGATGGAAGAGTGTCTTCCAACGCAGGAAGTCGGCTACGATCCAGCCGTACTTGTTTTGGTCCGCATTCTCCATCGAGACCACACACACGCCGAGGATCTCGGCCTTTAGCGGGATGTCTGGTGGATTGTGGATAATCAGCGACGACTCAACCACCGCAGCTTTGAGTTTGCGGGATTCGGCAGGGTCGCCATTCCGGGACCCGGTATCGGGGGCGTCTATGGTGACAAAGCTGGGCCACGTCATGACTGAGAGACGGTTTTGTGTTAGCGGGATGTCACTTCAATGGTTCAGGCAGCCTTGAGAGGAGATGAGGGTCGTGTACGTAGAGGGATTAAGGGCCGGAGAGTTACAAGGATCTCCGATGGTGCGTCCAGAAGGTTAATGTCCCTGGACCGAGCTCCTTGGTGGGTATGGGTACCTTACAGAAGGCCGTCGGGGAAGAGTGAGGAAACGGCAAAGCAAGTTCATCTGCAGACCAGAGAAGACATGCAATGCCTGTCGATAGACACGCTAGGGGAGTGTGGAAGTTACGAAACGCGTAATGCAGGCACGTTTGAAGGAGACGCTCAATATTTTGCACCGTACCAGTGAGGAAGGTGTAGGAGGAGCAGCCCGTTCACCGCCAGATTTGAACAGGCGCTCGCGTCTCCCTGAGGTAGGAATCAGGCTCAATCAAGGCGGACAATCAGGCGAGGAAGGCTTTGGGATGGGCGAGGGGTTGTATGGAAATAGAGTGACGGATATGCGAGAGCAGTGTCGTTGACTTACCTGTCAGTCTTGATTTGTATATTTCCGTTTAGAGCGTCGTTCAGTTGTGATGCGGTGGACGAGGAAAGGCAATTGCAGCAGAACTTGGGATCTGTATGGAAGATATATTGGCAAGAAAGGGCAGCCAGTCAAAGTGGGCCCCTCTTCAGCGCCTTCCACGACTACAAGAAGTACTGGACGGAAGTTGCACAACGGGTCGTTCTTTCCAAACCAAGCAAACAAACGTTAGTACGAAAGATTGTGCACTGAGTGCGGTACCTGGATTGAGAACTTTCCTAATCCTTTGCAATTCGAGGTGTCTTTGGCATACCGCGGTCCCTTTCATCGCTGTCTTTTTCCCACAGCATCCAATATAGTTCTCCCCCCTTTCTTTCCCAGGCCTGGTCGTTGCTTGGGCAACCATGGCAACACTTCAGAGACAACTCACTCAACAGAGTGTGACCTCAACCTTGCCGAGGCTGAGGGGGTCATAGGCCAGGCTGTTGGGGCGCTTATCTACCTGTGGCTCAGATGCATGAGGATATCCGATAATCCCAAGTTCGTCGGGGGCTTCAGGATCGCCCGTAAGCTCAAGAAGGAAGCCATCCACGAACCCAACTCTTCGATAGCGACCATCGGCCTCTTTCACCACGATGAGCCCAAAACAGTGTTCAAGAAATCCGTCCTCTAAAACATAAGGCAGGCGGGTGAGCAGGATGACAGAGACTTGGCCGTAAACCTTGATATCTCCATCGGCGGGCCTGTCGAACCCCCCTTCAATCCAAACTTTCTTTGTCGCGCCCTCCTCTCCAGCCTCCACCTCGATAGCAGTGTCAATAGCATCTGGGCGGCTCGGTTCCTGGCCAAACAAATTCGAAATAAGAGGAGCGTTGGCTTGGCACGGCCTCAGCGAGGTGACAGCAAGCAGCGGCACCTTCACGGTCAAGTGCCCACCCCGCAGTTGCCCATAGGGATCCAAGTCCTTCTGCTCTGTCATGTGGCTAATATATTGCGCAAGGGACTCGAAGTCTGACATCTCGGCCTTCCACCGAGCCCTTTTGCTGTACCAGCTGTACATAGGGAACTTGATCGACCCGGCGACAGATGCCCAGGACCACGAAGGAGCGACATACTCGGGCGTCACCGCCAGGACACTTCCAGGCTGTGCTCGATACCACATAAGCCCTTCGAGGAGACCTGATTTCCAAAGACCGGCCATGTACTCCCCTCCGATTTTGCGGGTGACAGCCTGGGCGAGGCCTGAAAGTGCTGGCAGGCGATCCGTGTCCTTAGTGATTTGCCGCGTGCTGTAGCGCTCGATCATCCTGTACCAGTCAACCCAGTTGACTTGGTCGCTCTCGCTCCCCGTCCCCCTCTGTGGCCGAGCAAATACAGAATCTCCTATGTTTCCCGTCAGGCACAGCTGCATCAAGTGGCTGCCCTGTTGTGTCACCACATGGCCGTCCTCGCTTGCTCGCATACGCTCACACTCCCAAAATGCCTGCTGGGAGCCATAGGACAGAGCCCTCATGGGAAGCTCGCGCTCCTGGAGGCACCACGCCCTTGCGTTTGTCGGTTCGAGAGATAAAGGGTCGGGACCTGCACGGTCCGTCCAGCGCCGTCCTTTAGCAGGTAGCAACTGCAGACAAATACCGCTAGGTTCCGCAGAGGACTGTTCCCACCGCACCAGGTCTTGAACTTTCCGTGGTTCGAGGAATCCGATAGTGTCGGATGGGCCATTCGCGGCTCCGATGACAAGGTAGGCCTTGCGGTAAATATTGGCCATCTCTGCGGCCTGGGTCTCCCAATCACGCATATCATCTTGGATGATGCATAGACTGTCTATCCAGACATACCGAAGTCCCAGACTGGCCACAAGGACTACTGCGTCCCGGAATGTCCGCGGCAGTTCTGAGATTTGAATACCCTCCATGCGGCCTTGCAAGTTCTTGTGCGTTGTTGTGAATGGTGTTCCGTCTCGGCCCCAGCAATGGCTGAGGGCAACATAGCGGGAATCTGCGGGCTGGGTCACCGAGGGGACTCTTAGATATACCATGGCGCTGCCCGGGACGATCTCCAACACGCGGGTGGGCATATGACGCCATGAAGGTTCTTCATCTGGGTACACGGGGCCGCAGGCCGATCCGTGGTTTTTCAGGCATTTGCTGATCCAGCTTCTCGCAATGCCGAGGCTCTTCTGGGACAGAGGGTTCGGAGACATGAGCTCGTCGGCTACAAGGGCGGACTCGGCCCCCATTGCGGTCGTATTGGAATTCTGCTGCCATACCTCGGAGGCGACGCTATTCCGATCGACTGCGGGTCCTTCGCCATCTCCAGACTCCTTGAACACGCGCAATTCCGCTTCAACTGGGTCGTGCGCTTCGTACGAGGCCCTCGACTTGGGCCGGCACGTTGCTTTCAGGAAGACGCCGTCGACGACTATCCTGCGCCGCCTTATGACCTCGAGCGTCACGACCGAGACATTGAGATATGCCCCGATTTCTATCAGGGGGTTGTGTAAGTCCCGTGGCGGATCCTCGGCATCGAACATTCCGTCTCGTTCATTTTCCTCGACTACCTGCTTGCGGCTCTGTGCCCACCCTTTCATGATAGCCGCGCAAAGCACACACGAAGCCGACGCGATGTGGATAGCGCTCAGTTTTTTGTGCCATGGTGACTGTATAGGCACCCCCGGGAAGTCCGTCGTCTCTGGATTTTCCGCCACAGAATGTGTCCCGTCGGGCAGCGCTAGCCGCTTGATCGCGTCCCGTAGGTCGAGCCCTGCACAGAATTTGCAGAGCGTCTGCTGCTGTTTCTCTCCCATTGTCTCTTCAGGGGCGTGTGCTGGGTAAGGCGTTGATGAGTTTCGATATATTATTCTGGCTCCGGCATCATCTAGTGGGTTGTCTAACGAAGGATTTATTAGGTCATTTCATCGTGCTATGGAGTAGCGATAGACTTGGAGATTGTATCGAATGGGCTGACAGGATGGGCGGATCCCCTCCCCTCCCCCCTGAATGCCCACACTAAGGGAAAACGTAATGCAGATGTGTAGCATTATATATTAATAGGAACTACCAACATCCTGGTTGTATCTACACAACCCAATAGTTCCCGTGGCCGTGCATACCAAAACTTTCCGACCAAGTCATCCCCCCTCTTGAATAATAGTGTCGATTATTACTCCGTGATATTATTAGGAAATGGAATGCAAGATTATCACGTTCGCGAATCGCTTTATGCATAGAGGCTAGTCCGAAGCCAAAACCACGAAGGGTACAAAGAACATCATACAAAAATTTCCCCACAGGCGTTGAGTTACGCCCTGCCAGATTTCTGCTGGGAGATTGGGAAAGAAAGGCAGTAGCAAAGAAATGGTAGAAGAACGAGGTATCAGACGCGAGAAAGATGGGGTTATCGTGAAGGAATATAATACGAAAGACGAGAAGGAAACAAACCGACACAGCCGAGTTAGCTTAGTTCCTCAACGTCATCTTTCTTTGTAAATCTTCCCCCTGCTGTCTATCCCGACTATCTCCTTACCCATGTAAAAACTTACACCCATACCATACAATCCATACAATGTTAGTACCCTTTACTTTTATTTTCCGATCCGCCTAGCCGTGCGTCATGTAGTGAAACCAAGGGAATTCCCCTGTAAACTCCCTTTCGTCTGCAATCCCCCCCATTTCCCCATGTCGAAGAACGCGCCTTCCGGAATGGCTGATCAAGCATCTTCGTCTTTCTTGTCACCGCTGCCGCCGCCGCGCATCCGCTCGTTCCACCGCCGTTTTCCCACACGTGTTTCATAGTGCGGGACTGATGTCCTGACATCCTGGGATACGGATTCGATGGCGCTCCTGGTCTTGTTCCTATAAGAGTCTACTATTTTTGGTTGTTAGAATTTGCCGAGGGCGCACAGGCGAAAAGAAAACTCACAGGCTCGTTGTAAGAACACCGTACGACCAGCAAACACACGGCTCTGCAGCCAAGCCATTCGGTAGCCCAAGTCGTTGAGACGGACCTCTTTACCACGGAATGTCCGGCGCATCCGCGGAATGGCCACTTCGCCCTCCTGGCCGTCACCCATGGGCACCTTGACCATGGCCTTGGCGCCTCCTCGGCGAACACTGCTGCTGCTGGCATTGCTACCACGACCAGCGCGACGGCCTTCTGTGTCGGTGATGCCATCGTCCTCAACGTCGCTTGTGTCATCGGTGAAGAACTTGCTACCCGTGGCACTCGGCGGAGGACTCTGCATCTCACGAGGGAAATACGAGCGTGGATAGACACTACTACCTTTGCGGAAACTATCGGGGATCTCGCGCGTGTCAACGCCGTCGAGCGTCACCCGAACGCGAAGCCGACTCTGACGATCGCTGTCTTCGACAAGGATAAACTTGCGTTTCTTGGCTTCAGGGATAACCGGGAACAGATCATCTGGCTCATCGTTGCGGGAAGACTGGGCGGGGCTGGCACGACGTGCGGGAATGGCACTGCTGCCAGCATGAGGAGAGCCGTTGATAGTGTCGTGAACTGACGGCATTGATGAGGCACCGTGGGGCGCGCCGCCTGGATATGAACCATAGCCGGTGAAAACTTGTGCGGGCCGCTCCTCGGAACCTGGCTGCGAGGGAGCCTGGTGATGGTGATGGTGAAGCTGTTGGTCGTCATCCATGTAGTCTTCTCCGTCGTCTAAATAGAAACCGAAATCGAGGTTAGCTTATCCATCCAGCTGGGAAATTTAGCGGGATTACCACCTGCTCTACAGCAGGGTGCGCGTGTGCGATTGTGTGAAGCTTTCAACCCGAAAGAGCGCAGCAAAAACCAGAACTCGCCCAAGAAGAAAAAAACTATAAGACAGGCAGCAACAAGTACAGAGTACAAAGGACTCGCAGACAGCCTCGGTGTCGAGCAATTCATGCGAGACACCGTTTCGGGCCCACGTAAAATGGTGATGACGGTGTTGGTATGTGACGAGCGATGCTGTGAATGTGCAGTGCAAAGCGAAGTGCAATGCAGCGTTTGCCAGCAGCCAGACGACTGAGCGACGACCGAAAACCAGCAAAACAGACTAACAGCAAACGCAACTATGGGTAATGTACAGATCTTTCTTTCGTACCAGGTTCCTGTGTCGCCCAGGCGCCCGAGAATTGATGGTCGCGAGCCGGTATATAACAAAAAAATGGGACAAACGAATATTTCCCAAAAAAAAATTTCCATAACCAAAACAAGGTAGGCCGCAGGTAACAGGTCAAAAAGGTATCACACTTGATCACAACAACGCGCATTAGGCCATCTGGTGAAACATACCGACTTCATCTCCACCTCCCTGAGCGTTCCCGTCCGAGTGGGCGTGATGGTGGTGCATCTGCGTACCCATGTTGTTCAACCCGGGCTTGCCCATGGCAGCTGTGCTGGCAGGACCCATGGCGGTCGGGGTTGACATGCCTGATGAGCCAGCAGGGCCAGCCATATGGCTGGCGTGTGGAGTCGTCGAACCAGGCTTGTTGCGATGGTTCATCTTGGCCATCCGGCGGACACGGCGGCTCCTCAACCGGGGGTCTTGGTTGCTATTCCTCCAGCTGTCCACGGCCCTTTGGATCAGTCCCCTCTTGCCTCGAAGTGGCGGGTTCAGCTGTGCTAACGCCCATCCGACAGTATTGCACTCGGTCTCGTATTGTAGACGGTTGCCTCGGTATTGCTCCTTCGGGCAGCACGCCCGGGGATAAACGCAGTTTTCCGTCTTGAACTCTGCCGAGAGCTCCTCGTGGTTCACAGACTCGACATCGCAGCGGATTGTGTACTCCATCTTCACCCGGTCGCGGGAATACTCGAACGCAATCCATTGCACGCCGTTCGTATCTTGACGGACTACAAGCGGTGTTGTGGCTGGTATGGGACCAGGGGCAGCATTTGGGTTGACTCCAGCTGCAGAGCCGGTCGGCGTCGAAAGCGGAGCACCGTTTTGGGGCGGATTAGACGATGCGCTACCAAGCGGGACCGGTGCAGCGGCTCCCGCTATCCGGTGGTTCAGGCTATGCGCCTCAATTTTCCCCTGTCTCGGGCTGACCGTCATTCCTGCCTGTGGGTGCTGAGATGGGTGTTGGCTCAACTGGTGCTGAGGAGCAGCGTGAGACATCATCATGTTAGGCTGCTGCGAAGCCATAGACTGATGTGACTGTTGCTGTGGATGCTGCGCATATGGAGATGGTGCCTGGTAAGGTTGCTGAGGAGCAGCATAGTATAGCGACTGCTGGTGTTGGTGTAATTGAGAAGGAGGCTGCCCATACATTGTTCTCTGCTGGTCATGACCTGAAGGCGAAGCTACTGACGCGGGAGAATTCGATTGAGGAGTATGATAGGACATTGGGGGGTATGGCGGTCTCGGCATCGTAGCAGCCATCATTTCGCCGGTGTCTGCGCAAGTTGTTAACGATGCAGCGCGCGAATACCCCACCGCGTTGCGCGAGGGACACGTAAATGGCAAAACTGACCTGCAGATGTATATCCGCTCGTCGCCCCCGGCGTGCTGTAAGGGCTCGGGTGCGCGTAGTAGGGCAGATTATGCTCTTGCGTGGTCGTCGCCTGAGACTGCTGCTGGTATGAATACGCGCCCGGGTGCTGCTGCTGCTGCTGTTGCGGGGGAGCCTGGCTGTGATGTTGCTGCTGGTGAACAATACTTGGAGGCCGGGAATGCTGCAGGTGAGGAGGAACGGAACCCTGTTGCTGATGATGGGTGTGATGCTGCATAGAGGAGACAACCATTAGTCCTCACAGTTCAGGGTTCTTTTTGAGAGACGTTGATCATGTGTGTGGGAGTACCCGTGAACGCGTCTAGGAATGTTGTGTTTTTTTTCAACGGTGTGCAAGGTCTGGGGAGTCGGGAAGTTCTTTGGGCCCCCTGATAAAGACGAGGATCAACGGATGAGGTGCTAGCCTCGGGATTTGGGGTGGGATTTGTAGGACAAGAGCACTCCCTTACGGCATGCGAACCGAATAACCAGGAGGGAGGGGGAGCTGGAGAGCCAATGCTGGTCGCGTTCAAGGATCAACGCGAACCAAGAGTGGAGCGAGGAAGCCTCGGAATCACCTCCCGAAGTTTCGAGATTTCCACTAGGTTTCTCGTGACGGCAGAACTGGTATTGCGCACCCCGCAAGCACAACTTGGGCAGGCTGAGGAATTGAAGGAGCAAAACACAACAAGACTACTGACCGAATTTGCCGTCTTCTTGGTGCGGAGGAAATAAGGAAAGAACGAATGTTAGAGAACGACAGGGGTGGGGAAGCCAAAATCGGGACTACAATACAGGAGGAAGGCACACGAAGAAAATCGCTTGGTGGTATTGTGGGATGCCGATTTTGGGTTGGAGTGCAGGCAGGGTATTATGTAGAAGACGGGGGGCAGGCGCCCAGGAAGCCGATCAGATAACAAGATTGGGCAAGGGGTAATAATGCTTGGCCCATCTACTGTAGTTTTGGCAGACAGATGGCAGTGGTCTAACGCGTCCCCCCAGCACCGAGCCGTAGTTGCAGCACCGGCGAGATTTGAAGCCCGCAAGGCGTGAATGGACCAAGCATGACTGATAGTGGGACAACGCATGGTAGAAACGTGAACAAGGGGGCGACTGCATCTTAGATGAAATGACCAATGACGGGCCGCGTGCTAGAGCTAAGTAGCACCACTCTTGCCTAACCAAGTACCGGTGACCCGGAGCTAGCCACTGAAGGGGGCAAGGACACTTGGGCCCACTGGGCGGTTTCCTTGCAGGGATGCTTTTTTTCTTCTTCATGGCAAGGACATGGACATGCATGGGCGCCCCACATGCATGGGCGGTGTATGTGTCCGGGCGGGCCCCAAATGTTGCCGCCCCAATCGTCCTTGCCTTCGGAGAACTCAGCCATACCCTAGACCGGGGACCGCCCAAGCACCCAGAAGTACTTGCCTTGTCTTCCACGCTGCATCGCTTGAGGCATCCAGTTGATCAAGAAGGCTATGGGCCACGGCTTCGGTAAACGAGCAAGAATATGCCATAGCACCCGGGTATGAAGCACTTGCTCTTGAAGGACTCGTCGCCGTTGCAGAGCGCGTCTAGATGGCCATGCCCGTTACTTGACCCATTGTGAGATGCTGTCCCATTCCACCTAGTCGGACGGTGGGAGAGAAAGCGTGTCTCCCCACCAGTCCACTCCAGGCGGCTCCACCACTTGGTAAATGGAGAAAGTCAACCGCAGGACCCCAGTACATAGTGCCTCAGATCTTCACCCGCTAACGGCTTGACTGACTCGTGACGAGACTCAACAACGGTCTTCACATACATCTCGTGGCTCACTTGAACTAGCGGGACCGTCGCACGAGTGTCATCAGCGTGCACACCGACTAAGGACGATTGCGCACGCCCAATAGCAGTGGACAGATCGCTAGATCTCATTGCGATTACTGACGTTGCGATAATTCGCGAAACGACAGACCCTCTCAGTCCATAGCCAGCCGTTGCGCTCCCGTAGAAGAAAAATCAGCTCCCCAGACATCCGGCCGCCGTTGAAATCTCAACCGCCATATTCGCTCTAACCCCACCAAAATGAGGTTGTGGCAAGTTCACTAGCGTTTGATTGTGACAACCCAGCGGCCATGCATGATGGAAAATTACAGTGCGGCTGGATTATGGGGAGGATGATGGCGGAACGGGCACAGAGCCAACAAAAATCTTCGCGATTGCCATAACACGCTCATTGCTCTGCAGCCGTCCGTTGCCAACTCTGGCTCGGCGGGTTGGCAAGCTTGTGTTGTTGGAACTGCTCTGGCACTGCAATGCAAAGGCAAGGCAGGGGAGTAAGGCATGGGGGGATAACCAAACGACAAGTCTTCAACTTTTGGTGGTACAGCGCGCGACTGCAGGGTGCATCTTGTTTAGAGCGGAAGCGCACTACGCAGCCCGGCAAGGCCCCTGTCATGTCTCCCGGAGCCCTGGCTGGGGTGAAACACGATACCCCCTGTAATTCCCAAACCCTGACCATGCGATTCCGCACCCGGCCAAGCTTGCGACAGGCATAGGATTTTTCTGGAACAAATCAAATCCAGGAACCTTGACTCGGCCCCTAGTCTGCTGTTCTGCAACTCTAGGAAATGAGGGAACGGGCCAGGATTCATGGTTTTTTTGGACTCGAAATCGGCGCGTACCGCGACGTTTTCACGGAGGCTGATAATCAGGTAAAATTTCGAATGCACAGCCCTCGAAATGTCGAAGCGCTGCAACTGCTTGCGCAGTCAGACGGAACTACCGTTGCAAAGTCGCTCGACTATACATGACAACATCCAGCTCGGGTAGGGAAAGGAGTGTAGGGAATGGTCCACAAAGAGGTATTGCTTGGTTCTAGGTTGGCGGAGCACGAGTTTTAAAAATTGGCACTCACCGAATCATGGCCGGGCTCTTCCTTGAATTGGCTCGGAGCCTGACGGTGCTGAGCCATTGTCAATCCCATAGATGCCGATTTCCGTTGGTACGTCGAAAATCTAACAACACTCAATATTAGCAGGAATGATCCCGTGCTGGCTGTGTGTGATGACTGTCTACTGCAGTAGATGTTCTCGATGTTGGTTTGCTAACTGTGCGACAGCATCATACTGCCCGAGGCTGATGATCATCGTCAAGGAAATCACTGGGGTTGATAACCAGGTTTCCATCGACATCTGTGCGCATGCGCAGAGCGGGCAGGACACCAGAACATCCACGCCGCAAGTTCAGAATTGCAATGTCACTCACAATGCTTTTGTTCAACCTGAAGACGACAGCTGACCAGTTTTACTCTGGTCGCGGTCTAGCGGTTCTCCACCAACAAAACGTGCGATATTATATCGTCCTGTGCTCTTGAAAAAAAAACACGTCTCAGTATGCGCAAAGCGTGTTGAGTGAACTACAAGATGAGTGTCAGCATCATGTATGCATTCAACTCTGTGAAGCCAAAAATGTTTCCACTGGCGCCAGGGACTGGGGAAGTCATGGGATTTTAAAAATAGCCCCAGGTCCACTGGAGGATGTTGAGTAAAATTTCCACTCATGCAGTACCAAAAAAGGTACTAGGGTGGAACGTTGCCGAGATTGAAACGGGATCGCCTTGGCTTTGCGACACCCTTGCTCGAGTCCCGAACCAGTGGTGCATCAAAGGCGTTTTTGAAAGTCGAGCTCTTTGGGATCTTTTTGAGGAAGAGAACCCCTTGTCGCCGCCAGGAACAATTGCCGCAAGTGCATAAGAAACACGCTGTGATGAACTGAGGCCACGTACCTTGGATTGTAGCGAACCAAGAACCAGACAACAATTCGACGCAATGATACTAAAACGCTTTTCAAAGTTAGAAAAAGAGCTGAATAAAGGTTGGCCGTTCGAGCCAATCGTTTGCAAGTGTCGAGACGGGAACCATGCTCCTAAGATCATGTTTCAGAAGCCACGCGCGAGGCTTTGTCCATACTAGTAGCAACGGTTGCAACGTCGTACCTTACCAATAAAGCCCCACCGAGGCTTAACTATAGTAAACTGTTGCTCCGAGTTAGCATCAACGACCACAACACTACCATATGGAAATGGCATGTCAGAGTTAGATGTTGGTGCGGTAGCGTATTGGAAGGCCCGGGCCTGACGCAACATGTACGGGAAAGCAAGAGAGACAATCGAGACGGGGTCATGAATAATCCAGCAGCAGCCACGGTTACCAATCCCGGCCGTGTTGGGCGTTAAAAGGGAAAACAAGCAGAGACGTCCTCATGGTCCGTATTATCCGAGTCCGATGTTCAGAAATATCAAATCTAAGATATTGCTTACCTAAATGAACGAAAACGTGTACCACTCGAAAGGCTGGAACAATTTACTATTGAGATATGTTAGCAATAATGTTCAAGAAGACATGCACAGGTCATCATAGGCCATTTGTGAGACGGAGCCCTCCCACAGGACCCCGGGATGCCGAGGCACCAAGGAGTAACGCCAAGAAAGTATCCGTGGACAAATACCACGCGTTCGCGAGGGAAGTGTATAATATCGGTGACTGTAGGGGGACTCCCGGAGAACCCTTACCTGAAATGAAGAACCAAAACGACAGGAGAAAATGCTGGCGTCGAATGTAAAGGCAAGTAATGCACGGCGACAACAACTGCGGGGCGTGAGGCTTGCTTCTTAGGCCAATAGGTACTCGAGAGGAAAGGCCTGTATTTCTGTTCTGCTGGAAGAAGCCGGCGAATGGCTTCTGGAACGTTGAAAGTAGGGATGATCAATCGCAGGAGAGCAAACCGTGGTGTCCCTATTGTTACACGACATTCAGAAATCAGCACTCTTCTCATACCAGTCATCGGGGTCTCGGAGAGCGGGGCATAGCCCCAACCATAGCAGGGTGGAAGAAGGGACGATCGCTTGCTTTGGCTTCCACTATTGTAGCGTCGCTAGATTGCCGGTAAAGGGCCTGGCCATGGAGGGGTGGAATGCTCAAGCCAGAGTTTAAAATCCCCGCGGCTTGCAACGGGCAGGGATCCCGTGGAGCACGACCGCAAAATGAAAAGAGAGGGAAAAAAAAACACTGAGACGCGACTCCAGAACAAGCTCGGTGTCGCATACGGGACCAGTGATAACGTCAAGAGTGATCCCACCAACAAATGAAAGTGAATAAAGTTGCTCACCAGTATTCGGAGTCGATTAATGATATGCGAACACGTCTCTTACGCGCTTGTTGACACCGTTTGATCCCAGGCACTCGCGGAAGTCAGTCTTTCGACCTGGTGATTCAATGCGCGAATAACTTTGAGCTGAGGGGGGCAGCTGTCGATCTCGTGGTTACTGAAATGGCCGCGCGCGACTAATGCAGATGGCTGAAGGCTCCCAATGGAGTGGGAATCGTTGGCTGTTGTAAAAATGCAAGTCGCTGCACGATCAAGCCCGAAAAACGCCTCTCGATTTGTTAAGGAACTCTCCTGGGCGTTTGTAATTTTTTTTTTAGAGTTTCGCGAGACTTGGTCGCACAGGGGTCTGTGTGGGGAGTCTTTAAGACACGCTGGCGCACGCGAACACGTGAAATGGTCGGCCTTCGGGAATTATCGACGGGGGGAGTGGCAGGGGTATTTTCGAGACCGAGGACGCGGCAGCCTGTCAAAAGTTGTCGCATGAGCTCAAGTACAATTTGTCGTACACAACGGTTGCAGGCGCAAAATTATTGATCAGGTTATTGCAGCGCGCGAGCAGTTGTGTTGCAAGAGGTAGGTGGTGGGTTAAGACTCACAGTTGGGTACTCGGGCTGTACCGCGAGAGAGGACCAGTACGTCGATGGACCCGTTAGGCGGCCTGGCTGCGCGTCGACAAGGTCGCGTTTTGGTCGCGCTGTCGGGCCCTTGGGATGGAGGCGCTAGCAATCGAGACAATGGGCGTTTCTTTTTGTTCATCCACTTTGCAGCAAGCAGACCGAAAGGGAGCCTTGCTGCAAATAGCGTCTTGATGAAATGAATCCCGTTTCGAGCCGGCAGGACAGGATGCTTCTCGCGTAGGACAATTACTAGCGGGCACTAAGGCAAAACAGAGTTAAAGATACGGTGGGCTGCGCGCCAAAACTCAATTGGCATCGGTGGAGGGTGCCGAAGCTATCGCTGGTTCTCGCACCGTCTGCCGTCGTCGGCGGCCACGTACGGAATATGTTTTGGCGATGACCGAATGCGCAGTGCCAAGTAGTGTTGCTGCGAGGTGAAGAAAGCATGCAGCAATCGAGATACTCGCAGGGTCGTCTGGGTTCCTGAGCTGGGGTTGGGCAGCAGGGGGGGAGGAGAAATGGGATGCGATAACGCGCAAGGATTATCTTGTTTGTTCGACCGTTGTGGCGCGCGTTGGAGAAAGGTGGGTGGGGGAGCGGCCTTTTTGCGCGCAAGCACTGACAGCCTAGGCAGGAAAGAGCGAGGGGAGTGAACTAGGGTGGGCGTTCTTGGGACGGCTTCTGCCCACAAGCCTGGTGTCTTGGTACTTGCAGCTGTCAGAAGCCCTGGTCGGCTTCTGGAATTGTGCGGGAAGAGTGAGTAGAGGTACTTCGTAGTGCACAACGTTTAAAAAATTGGGGGAGGGTCCAGAGGCTTGGTGGCTGCTTTTCTGCACGCCGACTGGGTTTGCCAAGTGGGATTTAGCACAGAACCAGGGGGGCGGGAAGGTGACAGGGCAGCCAGGTGAGGGTCGGGGCGGTGCGAACAAGACATGGGAGGTCAACCAGGCAAGCCAGCAGGGTGACAACTAGAAGCAGAGCAGGAGACAAGAAAAGGACACCAGGGAGCGGTTGGCGGGATAAATCGACCTTTTTAAAAGCGTGGATGATTCCGCCCGGGATGGCGAGGTGCCCTGGACAGGTGGGAGGGATTGGGAGCCAGGAATCGCCCGAGCCCCGACTGCGGGGAGAACATGGCAAGAGTCGATGCCAATGGGCAGACAGCTTGAAACCTACATTGTACGTAGGTAGGTGTAGGGCCGGTACCCCCTCAACAAGTGCGGTCATCAACCTGCCCAATCGTCATCCAGTGGGATAAGGTAGATGGGGCGTCTGACGGCTTTGGCAACTCGCAGTCGGGCGGCGAGACCAGACGGCAACGAAACACCAAGCACAACCGTTTCTGGCTCGCTTGGACCAAGCTCCAACGGCATGAGCGATCCTATGAACAAAACACCCATCAAAGCACTGCAAAAACATACAGCATGGAGGTATTCGTGGTGCATGGCAAACGTCCGAACCGCTAAGCTCCATCTTCTGGCACAGACCTTAGCGAGCAGGGGGGATAACGTTCCCAAAGCATCTAGACCAAGATGAACCACCAAGATTTATACGCTACCTAGGTACCTTAATTATAATAGGGATGTTGCTGTATGTACTGCGTAAACTGGCGCAATACGGCTACCTTACTTTGGGGGGCGCAATTTGCGACACCTGCAGCCGAATGCAAGAGGCCTGACTTGGTGGGATGGGCATTGATATGGCTCATTGGGGCTTATTTCGAAAGGCAATCGAAACCGTGGAAGCTCCATGCATGTAGGAAGGAGTGAATTAAACGGCTACATTTCAGCGGGGAGAGCCGGCGCTTCGTTCATACCGTATTGTATTGTCATCGCACCACGGTTCCCACACAGAGCAGTGATGAAATATTTGCTCTTTCTGGGTAGGTTCGTTCAGAGAGGACGTGAAGTGAGCGCGACGGTGAGCAACGTAGAAGAATCAAACCAACCCCATAGACGAACGTTGTAGGCAGAGGGCACCAACGTGTGATTCACCTGCGCTAGCAGTCCCAGGCGCCTATTAGTTCTGGGGGTACGAATGCCCAGGTGTGGAATCCGGAATACCGCTCAAACACCGCGATACAGCGTGTGATGGGCATATACATTGCCTTTCTAGGCCAGGGAAACGCCATAGCACGCGCGCAGGCGAGCGGGCGTTACTTGTTAGCAGACTGAGGTGTCTGTCTTGGAAGCTGACATGATCTTAATTTGTTCGTTTTTTGCGACATATTGAGTTCTTCAGCAATAGTGTTCGCAACCTCGTGGGGTGGGAGATAATTGGAAGTCCTCCTTCGTATAATACCGTCAGATATTGGTGCTGCGAGGTCGTTTTGTTGTTTTGCCATCCCGCGAAAATATTCGTCGCCCGTTTCGGATGCAACGTGATGCGTCCGCGATGTTGGACGACTAATAACAACAGGATGATATGGCAGAGCTCCCAGCTCAGTGGTCCTGTCGTTATCACAGAATCAGCCGAAAACGAGATTGCAGGTTATTTTTACGTTTCACATCCTCCGTAAGCGGTGAGCACCACTCGCAGTGAGCGGGCAAGCGCATTCGGTCAGTCTCACTCACCACTTGTGCCGCGGCCTACTTACCTCGGTGAGCATAATTAAACCAGTGCACATCTCCAATGTTTGCCTCCCTACCATTAGTACGGCGTCCGTGGCCTTTATCGCCGACGCTTTGAAGACGCAAGTGCCATGTACTCGAACTTTTTGTAATTATCAATACTGAAAGCTTGTCTAAGGCAGGTTCCTACCTTGGTGCTTGCCCAACTTTATAAGTGTGCAGATAATTGCAGTAAATTAAGTGCTTGCTCAGCACTTGAGCACTTAAGCCGACTGACGGAATGTTCCGTGATGTTATTACAAACCCGTTTGAAAAGAAAAGTAACAGATGTATTACCCAGGTTGCGCTTAATGCAGCGACATAAGGGCAGCCTACGATAAAATGGGCGTTCAGGTTCCCAAAGATCCATCAGGCAGGTGCCAAATGCTGTTGTATCCACTTTCGCGGGCAGGTTGCAGCTCACTGCTCTGTGAGTGGTGGCAGGCTCCTAGGCCGCCATCCAGTGGTTTGTCTGCCCATGTTTCCCTGTAGGCTGCTGAGCCACTGGGCTTAAGCTTCCTGGCCACTCCCGCCACGGCGGAACAGAAATCTAATGTTCCCGCGCTCCTTTCCCAGCGCTACGTACTTGTTCCTAGCGCATTTGCAGGCGTCAACCAGTAATCAGGTCTCTTTCCGCGGCCAAGTCGGCCGCTTCATCAACTCCTTCCTTCACACCCCAGATTCTGTTACGAGCATCCGAACGGCGTAAGAGTATCCGTACTCAGTCCACATATTCCGTAGCGGGGACCAACTTGCAATTCTGCGCACAGTCCATCATGAAGACCGTGGTTAAGTCTGTCCACGTATTTCGTGCTTTGCCTCTGTCCGTACGGATACCTCGACCAGCAGAGGGTACTTGCCCAATCGGGCTTAACCAACGGAACCCCCAGCAAGTCTAGCTCGAGGCCCAGACCGCGGATGTCGTCAAAGCCCCCAAGACACATAAAAGGCGGGGTCTTCACCGCAAGGTCACGAGGTCCCCGACGCTCTGTTTGTCGGTGTGGGACTGTGGATGGCTTTTAGCAGAGGGACCTGGGAGGGGCTTGGCCGGTTTCTATTCTTGGGCCTCTCTTGCTATGATCTCCAGGAGGCATCGTCGTTCCCATCGAATCGCGAGCCAATACTTAAGCAGACTGTCGTTTCCAACTCGAAGAAGAAAATGCTATGAACCGGAGGACTGCGGTTGTTTCGCATTTTGTCATCGTCACGCTCCGCCTGGCACGGCCAGGAGTCGGATGCAACGTCAAGAGCCTCCCCCCGTGGCGTGGGCTTGGAAACATGCTGCATACAGTAGTAAGAGCTTGAAAGCATTAATCGGGTGGCGGCCGGCTTTCTATTTCGGGGGCCACGGCGTTCCGTTTCACGCAGTCGAGGAAATGGTCCGGCAGCTGTCCAGAAGGCGTCTTCTGTCTTCAGACTCGACTGTTGGCGCGGTGCGAGGTGTTTCAAGCGGGAAGTTGGGCATGCAGCTGCAATGCGGCCTCAAATCCCTGAACGGCAGATCTCCAGTGTGCGTGCGTGGGTGCGTGGGTGCGTGGGTGCGGTGCATGCTATATCGAAGCTGGAAGAGTTCCCCAACTTGGGCGGCATCGCAGGTGTGCGGCCTGGAGAGTTGCACCGCTGAACACTCATGGTAACTGACTGCCCGCGCTGGGCTTGGGTGTCTATCGGGCTTCGGCGGCCAAACAGCATCATATCTCCGCGCCTCACAGCGGCTGGGCTGGGTGGCCCATCCACTTCTAGTCGACGCCGCAGAGGTGCGCCTCGAGGATGCCAACAAGCCTTCCCGCAATCCCTGTCAGAAAGCCGTCTTTCCCTTGCTCACTCTCGGGGCCTTTGCCGAAGCTCACCTCACCTTTAGACGCGCTCACACCGCACGAACCCCATTGACAGGCAGCGGTCCCCGGTCGCAAGATCTCAAGAGCCCTTCCCCCTTCGTCCCAGGAAATCGTCAACCCCCAGTTAGCTCGCGGGCTCTCCACCCCCAACTTAACCCATCACGTTGCACAGGGGCCGCACTTGTGGCTTACATTGTACACTACACCACCCAGGTGTAGGTAAGGTATGTAAGAAGTACATACGGGGAAGCTTGTAGTCCCGTTGAGTAACAGCCAGGGATGCCGAGGGAGAGGCAAACCCCGGCCACGCAATCCCACGTGTGGACGGGCGACATGGCGCTAACAAGTTGAAGAGCCTACACCGCACTGCAAGAAGAGCGACTCTGGAATCTCAGAGGATGCAAAACACACTCCAGCACATCAGCTGTCGATGTCAAACTCACGAGGTGCCATCAAGTCGCGACCGTGCATGAGAGGAAACGGTTCTGCATCCCCTGTCCAATGGGACGGATTCTTCAGAAGCAGCCGACATGAAGAGTCGCTCTGGGCCTAACAAGTTTTGGTGCTAGCTCGGTGATCTCCTTGCTACATACGAGAAACAACGCAGTCTGCTTTGCAACTCCAATTTCTTTTCCGGCACCGAACTCCTTCGCGCCTCGTCCAATAAGCCAGCCAGGCCGACCCTTGTCCCGCTCCACTCCAACCCGCAGAGCGCGTCAGCCCAATCGGAAGCTGGAAGCCCCCTATTGCTACAGCGTTCCACACATAATTGGGCCACCAAGAGCAGCCGTAGTGGGTGGCATACGCCCATGGTGCGGCCATAGTCTGCGATGGTGGGCGTCGTGGTGGATGTTCACTGCGGGCGTGCTCTGGCGCTCAGACATGCTGCTCTGGCGTCTGGCCACACCGGGTTCCCACTGCCCCAGTGCTGCGAGCGATCTCTGGGACGTTAGGACAATGTGCTCATGCCCCTTCAATTACCCTGGCACATCCCTCCTTTCGCGTGGATGCGAACCCGGGCTCCATTGGGCCAGGTGCTGCTACAAAAGTTAGCCTCGATGACAACAGCTACATGCATGACCAGCCGCCGGAGCAGGCTTGTTAACTTCCGGAAGCTTCTCCCGCTCGACGTCAAACGGTCATGAACTTCTGAAAATACCCAAAGCGCTAGGCTAGACTTTGAGGTATTTGAGATCACTTCGACTCCGACCTGTGAGAAACCGAGGTGGATTACATTGATACATGGAGCGCAGATAACGCAACGACATTATGTTCACTCTTTATTACAATATGTACCGTTTGATTGTGGTTCAGTTGCGCGGGCGAAGCGAAGCATCATGATGTCGAGACTCGAAACTGCTGAGCGGTCATGGCTGGAACTAGACGCGGAAAGCGATCTTTAGCTCTCGACAAGCGCAACGTCGTCTGGTTTCCACACAATCATAGGTGGGGGGATGCAGGTCGTCAGTGGCCCGCATCAGTCTTGCAGCATGCGTGCGACGACTCCTCTCGCTTGCCGAAAGTCAGCTGAATTCCCAAGGCCCATCCAATAGGCATCCGGCTTCTTCACCGCGTTCCCCTATCAGCCGTGATTGTTCTTTTTTTCTTTCTTTCTTTTTTGCCCCAGCGAGGGCGGACGTGTATGCGTGCCGGTATCTGCTCTGGGGCGAATCCTTTCCGCCGGTGAAGGCCCTTTACTCAGAACAGCCGGCGTCTGATAACCACTCCTGATAGTAAATTATTACCTGAAGGAATCGGAGCGCATTCCTCTTCTGTGACGACGGCCGATGACGAGGACTGAGCGGAGTCTCCGTCCGACGAGGTCCCAGCTTCGGCTTATTGAGGGCGAGATTTCTTACTCCAAAGAAGGAAAGATGCCCAGGAAACAAAAAAAAAAAAAAAAAAAAAAAAGAAAGGCCACAGCCTTTGACAACGTGGGACGTCTCATTTCAAAACGGTGGGGCGGCTCTCTCCGAGGGCAATGGCAAGAAAGGGCAGCATGAACGCAGGGCCTCCGTCACCGTCAGTGCGCAAAGGTCGCGAGGGTGAATCAGCAGGCAGGCAACAGCAAAGCAAATCCGCCCAAGCTTCTGCTCCGTCCGGTTCCCGGTTCGTCGATTGCGCGACCAGCCAGCCAGCCAGCCGAGCGCGAGGCGGAAAGGGAACACGCCTTGGTTCCGGATAAAATCAACATGCCATTGTTATTCTCGTCCTGTCCTGTCTTGTTGGACGCGCACCTCAATCAATGCCGGTCCTGTCTCTACTACTAACCACCGACAGTCCTTTTTTCGTCGGCACCGAAGCCCGAAAGTATCCATTTCTCTTGCAACTGTTGGTCCATTGCCGGTGTGCAAGTTGACCGAGAGGGAATCGAAGCTACGGTATGTGATGATCATTTTAATGATAAATCAGCAACCTAGCTACCAGTTGAACAGGGACTGCTTTTAGGGCGGGCGCGGAGAGGCGGGCGTGTCTCGGTCTTGCTGGACTGGACATCCAAACTTCACAAACATGACAACCATTGAACTGGACGGAGATTCTCTTGATACCATATCCCAATCCGGCATCTACAATACGTCCAAGTGCGGATAGTATATACCTCCACTTCAGGTGATAATGGACTGGACACCCTTTTTTCCTTCCCCAAAGGTCGTGCCTGCACTCCCCTTGCTCGTCCCCCCGTCTTGCAGTGAGTGCCATGTCGTCTCCCAGCCTTACGGGAAGACCAGGTCTGCGTCGGCCGAGGGGGGCCTTGTCGCTCTGTGTACTAGTAGTGTGCACGGGTTTTTGTTCAAGGGTTTATGGAATGCGAATGGATGGATGGGGAGGGGGGTGAACGTGTTGTTGCACAACTTCCCTGCTGCCCACACACACCACTTCATCCTGCCGGGACCCCTTGCCGGCCTCCAGTTCGACCGGGGGGTGGAAAAGGGTCAGGATCCTTGGACCGCTAGTGACTTCATGTGCTGTGGTTCGTACCCCCATTTTTTCCGGTCCAAGAATACGCTCGCTGCCGGCAAAGAAAAAAGCTGCTTGGCTAGCTCGGCTGCTTGCTGCTGGCTTGGCTGCCCAAAAGCAGGCCATCGCGGACGGGCAGGCAGGGCGGGCAGGGCACGGCTAACAGGCCAGGGCAGGGTAGAGTACCTTCTACGGCAGGCAGGCAGGACAGCGGGATGGGATGCGATGCGGCCCTCGCTTTTTGGCTTCATGGTTCTCCGCGTCTTATCATCATCATCCCCACTGAAAGCTGCATGCGAGCGAGCCTCACTTTTTTGGAATTGTTTGTCTTCCGACAGGCAGAGTCGAAATGCCTCTTTTTACGCAAACCGGGACCCTTTTTCTGGCCCTTTCCGCGTGGCGGCCCAGAACGCACCTCCGAGGTCTGGAGTTTGCCATTGGCCTAGCTTTTCGTTTGTTTCTTAATCCTTCTCAGTTGCACCACCCTGGACGCTGTTGAAAGCAGAGCGCCACCGTCCTAGCGGTCGCTCATGTACCGGTACATGGACGCGGACAATTCTGGCCCTGGTTTGTCTCTCGCATGGTACCGCTAATCCACCAATGCGACGATACTTTTGATCTGATTAACAAATTAAGTAAAAATTCTTTCAATGCAGACATTGACAGTTGGCTGCTCTCTATCTGCTTATCAGCTATCTTCTTTTTACTATATCCATCTACCTTTCCTGGCTGTACAGCAGCAAATATTACTTTCTACTTGAGACTCCCTGTCACTCGTTCTGCGCTAACAGATCAACATGTACCTGTATTGTACATGTACAGCGCAATATCAAGATTGCCGGTTTTAGCTGAGAATCAATTGAAACCAGCTTGCTGTTGATAAGTCCGTGTGGCTAGTTGGTCTAAGACAAGTGAGTGTAAGTGAGTGGCCAATTACTGCAAGGGAGTGTCTGTCTGTCGGCATTGCTTGAAGCTGCTGTGGGATACCGACGGACTCCGTAGATATCTTACGTGTACTTATTTATGCGTGGCGAGAGAAAGAGAGAAGATTTGTATTTGTGTTTGACTGGTCTCTTTTGGTTGCGAGAAAGGCAAGGGCGTGCATTCAGACAGATGAAACAGATCTCCCTTGGGTAGTAGTACATGCGATAAATAGAACCTCGGAAACCGATCGACTCAGACTGGCTTTGTTTGAACTAAAATACGTCGACCAGCACCCAGTTTTGGCACTGGTGATACGCGTGGACATTTACATGCGTCTTGTGTTCGAGGCTAGACTGTCTATACGATGAGAAAGTGCCCGGGTTCGATATCCAGTTGTCGTCTATTTTCCTTTCCTCGTCTCTTTCCGATCGCTGCTTGGTTACAGATATCCAGACGATCGAGGAATAATTCGCTCGCTCGCCAGCAAACACAGACAGAGTGATGACGTCTGTCATGCTTGTTTACAGAAAGGGGGGGCTCGGGAGTGTACACACATACATACATACACATGCAGAGAGCAAGAAGTTTCTTCTCTTGGTAGTACTCCACGCATATTAAACAAACGCAGAAACCGGGCTGATGCTGATGTGACAGGCCACTGTCCCGGCCAGTGTCTTGCTTATTTCCAGCTTCTGTTCCTTGGACCTGACTCAAACTTGGGGGTTTTTGCTTTGTTGTCACAACCCGCGTCAGTTTGACACCGGTCATCCGTAGGCTGCCGAGGCAGACGATACGGACATGGCGGTGTGGGCGGCTTGGTTGCCGAGTACCGCCGTGCGTGCTGTACATAGTAAATAAACCCCTTCGGAGCCGATGGGTGGGTAGTTAACAGCAAAAGATGCAGTCTGTTGTCTCTTGTCGGTCTGTTCTCTCTCATCCCCCCCTTTTGACGATGAATGACATGCCGTGTTATTCCACCAGCCTGCAATCTCTTCTCGGCCCTCTCTCTCGCACGCGCATCTTTCTTGGGCGGGATGTCTGACCTTTTTCGCAGTGATGTAATCGTGAGTGGGCTTTTTTTCTTCCCCCGTGTGACAAGCCATGTCTGGCGCCGCCACGGCGAGATGCCCAATATCCGGGACCAGAGACCAAGTGTCTCACACATGCTTAAATGAAGTCTCTTTCTAAGGAAGCTGTCTATTTCCTCCTTCCTGGCTTCTCCTCTGTTGCACTGCTTACCTGTCTACAACACTGCGCGGCTGTCTTCTTTCGTCGTATGTTCAACTCCTAGAAGCCGTGCTCAGCAAGCAAGAGATCGAGAGAACGTCATATCATTTCCCCTTTCAGACACAAGCTTTCTACATCCGAATAAAAGAATATGTTATGTGTAGGAGCTGGGAGCCTTTTTTGGTCACTGTGTTATGTTTTGTCTTGCTTGGTCTTAGACAAGACAGCTCGCTTTGTTGTGCCAGGTGTGGCCGAGCGTTTGTTGACAGTGAAAAAAGGGGGAGGCTGGGCACCCAATATTGAGTTGGGGGTTGTCACTGGATGGTGATAGCAGATTTGGAAGAGGCCTAGGGATCTGTCTCGCCTGCTTTGTTCGGCTGTGCCGGACAAGAGTGATGGCAATTCGGAGGCTGAATTTCGAGAGAAGTCGGTTTGTCAGCCAGTGACAAATTGGTCAGAGAAGAGTTTCCCGATAAGTAAATTGGTAAATTATGACGAGCTGCGAGTCCGAGCCAGATAGCTAGTAGTTGGCTTGCTCGCATCACAAATCACACTGCTGCGGAAAACCGAGTGACGTGTTCCTTTGCGCTTTTCACCTCTCATTCCCAGCGCAATCAGCACACATGAGGCATAGTTGTCTTTCCGGGAATGCGGACGGGGGGCGGTGGTGATGGCAAAAGTTCCCTGGGAACCTACTGTGTGGGCCGCGTCCGCCACGGCCGCCGCCGCCGCCGCAGTGCCGGTATGGTAGGTATTATCTCGCTTCCGGCACAGAAAGGGTACGTACAATGCCGTGTTACGTTCCACAATCGAGATGACGATATTACCTGTTTTCGTTTCTCTCCCTGCCCCCCTCGGGCCCCTCCCTCCTCGTCCTCTTAACTTGGCTCGTGTTTGGTGTCCGACTACCCACACACGTGGTTCGGAGAACCCCGGTGCGCCCGACCACCCGGGGACGGCGTCTCGTTGGCTGAGTTTCCGGTGTTGGGGGCCCCGATATCTCCATGTTCTCCCTCCCTCACTGTGCTGCGAGACACAGTCATAGTGCCACCACGAAGAGATGGGCCGTAACTGACGAAATAGCCGCTTGTGGATGGCCGATTCGGGCATGCTCAGTAATCGAGATACGCCGTGACAGAGCGGGCTAACTTGCTGACAGAGAAGAAAGCAAGCAGAAAGTGGCAAGTGGCAAGTGGCAAGCAGCAAGTGGCGTCGAATCTTTTATTCCATGTTTCTTAGGTAGGAAAATGTTCAATACAATCCTCTTTCTTGCCAATTCCTCGCTGTGGTCCAAGTAGAGGTAAAAAAAAAACAGGCGGTGGCGACCAGATCCCAGTGTCAGCAGACCTGGCTCTTGGGCGATAAAAACGGTGAGTGACACAGGAAACAGCCAAAATGCTAAAATCGGAATTATGGACCACTTTGGGCGTCTGCGGTGGCTGCTTCTTGTTTGTCCCGATGCGGGTGATGCTATCTGCGAGGGACTTTTTGGCTGAACAATAATTCCGGAAGGAAAAGGGGCGCAGGACTCGCCATGTGTTGACTAGAGCCTAACGATCCTTATTCTACATAGCCACCGATGACATCCTCTGCACACGGGGCCGCCAAAGACCCATAGGACAATAGATAGCTCTTGGAATTGTTATTCCCTAGGTCCAGCTACGCCAAGGGGTTGTCGGAGCTAAAGCTAGGATAGTGTCAACTCGGTGCAGCTTATACCAGCTCTACGGAAACTAGACTTATCCGGCACAGACAACATATGCCAGAGTCAGTCTACTTACAAGTGCCCCTGGAACTTTTCTGATACCAACTTAGCCCGTCGTCCAGTAAGTCAACAAACCAAACAAGAGAGGCAGGCAAAGAAGGCCATGCCAGAGCAAGACAGACAATACAGACAAGATATGAATAGATTCAGACAATATTAATGTATCTAGATGTGTGGATATTTATCCTCCCACATCCCTCCCTCCAAAAAAACCTCCAACCAATATTCCAAAAACCCTCCAAAAAAAGAAAAAAAACACCACACCCATCAAGCCGAAACAACCCCAAACTCCCTCTTTAACGCCTCGACCTCAGCCACCTGCGCATCCACCAGATCCGACACGACATTCCGCTGCCCGATCCCCAGCGCGAGCATGTCCCCCTCAGTGAAAGCGGCCACGATGCTCAGCTGCTGGCGCTGGTAGGCGGTGAACTCGCCGCGGGGGCGCCAGGGCGGGCCGTCTCCCAACAGGATGCGGATCATCTGCAGGTGTTTCTCGCGCAGCGCGTCCCACTCCCTGTTGTGTTGTGCCAGCAGCTCGAGCCGGACGCGCGTGTGTTCAGTGTTGAGGGCCGCGAGGCGGGTTTGGAAGGCTTTGTCGCGAGACGATGACTCTTCTTGCTGTTCATGTTCTGCTTCTTGCTGTTCATGTTCTGCTTCTTGCTGTTCATGTTCTGCTTCTTGTTGTTCGTGTTCGTGTTCGTGTTCATGTTCGTGTTCATGCTCATGTTCTTCTCCGTGCTCTTCTCCCTCTTGTTCTGCCCTGCTGTTGAGGGGGAGGTGGCGGCGGGCGAGCTGTGGCGCCGTGTCCCTGTTCCTTGCGAGAAACATGTCCGCCATCACCGATTTGGGCGCCGGCACGGAGCCTGGCGAATGGGGAAGACCCAAAGCAATCTCTTCGTGGCTGGTACTGATGTACTCGTCGTCGTAGAGGTGCCCGTGCTGGCGCTGCGGGATGAGGCCGGCGGGGGCGGCCGAGGCTATCAAGACCATCAGCGCCAGCACCAGGGCGCTCGCAGCGGCCAGGAGGCGCGGGAGTGTCGTTGTTGTCCTCGCCATTTTGGTGTGATGAGTTGCTGTACTCTTTCCAACGGAGCGGGAATATCTCGTCACCATGCAGAGGCTATCGTGTTGCCGAGTGCCAGGGATGGATGGCCGAGGGGAGCCTCCGAGCAGACCGGGGACAAGCTGTTGGCTTTCGCCCCTTTTCCTGCTTCTCCAGTCCGAGAAACCCCCCCCCCCCTTCCAAAAAGTCCTGGCCGGCCAGGAGGAGGCGAGAACAAAACAAACAAAACACTCAAAGATCCAAAAAGGGGGAAATAGAGGAGGAGGAACAGCGGCAACTAGCCCTTTGCTCCATGTGCCTAAAGATGAATGGGGCTCCCTCTTCCAGAAAAAAACGAACAAACAAACACAGCAGAGACCACCGTTATATATATGCACCGAAGGGTAGGGATGCAGACGGCATATTTGCCGCCCTAAAATGCAATGCCGAGGGTGAACTGCAATGTCCTCGGCTCGAGACACGACCTAATGACGCCGCGACAGGCTGCTAGTATCGAAATCTCGCGATTGGCGTTGTCCTGAGGAGAGATGCTTTCCTCTCTGATAACGAGCGCAAGCAGGGGCGCCTCTTCAGAGGCTTGCCATGAGCGCATGATGGGAACTCGGCCAAACCCAAAATATCCCCCCTCCGGCGCGGCCGCCGGAAAAGGCACATCACACACAAATGTGGGGGCTACAGTCGGCTGGATGAAGGGCATCATGTCGTCCATTTCCTGTTGGGTAACAATAATCGGGAACGATCGAGTGTGAGTAAACCTGTCTTAAACTCGATATTTTATTTACCATGCTTTGGTCCGGCCTTGGCCATATCAGTAGCTTCCGTCTAACACGGCTCACAAGTCCTCCACCCCAAAACCTTTCGATCATATCCAAGCATCTAAGAAAGCAAACATGTGATATAAATAAAAAAGCCCCTTCTATGCACACTACATTAATCATCATCGTCATCATTACAATTACGCCCCAGCCTGCTAGTCGGAACCAACATAGAGCGGGTCACGCTCGCGGCGGGATGACCTGTGATGGCTGGAGCCATGGCCGTGGCCATTGTTGTGGTACTCAACTGTCCTTGACCGGGCGTCATAGTCGTCGTCGTCTCCATCCGACTCTTGATGCCTGTGGCGCCGGTGCCTGTCCGGGGCCCGCTCTTTGCCACGCTCTCTCTCTTTCTCCCTCCCGCTCTCTCGCTCTCGGTCGCGAACATCACGATCGCGGTCATGGCCACGCCAATCGTCTTCCTGACCATCGTCCTCTCTATCCCTGCGGTGCTGACGATGCTTCCTTTTTGGCTCTTCTTCTTCGTCCCGGTCAGCGTCGGGCTCTGCACTCTCCCGCTCAAGCTCCTTCCTTCGGCGTTCTGTTCTCTGCCGTTAGCGATCATACATCGTTGAAGAGTTCAGATAAACTCACCTCGTAACTGCGCCGTAGCAGCTGCATAAGCCTGTATCTCCTCCTTGCTCAAGACGCGGAGCACAATGACGAAGTCGTCGCGGACTTCGAAGCGTTCCTTGCCAATAGTCAGGGCCTCTGGGTTGACCATTTTGCGGCTGATTTTGGTCCACCTGGCACCCGGTGGCACGTTTGCTTTCGTCTTGTCGTCCTTGTGGGGAGCGACTCCTTCGCGAACAGGGTTTGGCTCCTCTGGGAACTGAGGCTTGGGCTGCTTGAGGATGCCTTTTATGGGCTTCTTGTCATCTTTGTCCCTCGGCGGAGAAACAACACGGACTTGCTTGTCATCTCGCGCTGGTATTGCTAGCTCGCGGCCTCTCGGATCCTCTCTTCCGGTGTAATCATCGTCCAATTCGCTCTTCTCGGCAGGCGATAACCTGCGCTCAGGAGGTGGTTCTCTGATCTCGGGCAGTCCCTTCTCGGCTGGTTTCTCGCTGGCAGCTAGCTGCGCTTTCAATGCTGCCAAACTAGCAGTGTCGTTCGGGTTGAATGCGGACGAAGCGCGAAGACGTCGACGAGTCGTCGGCTTGCCTTCCTCTGCTGAGGTTGAGTTGTCTCGAGGGCCTGATGCGAGGGCATCGCCGGTGGGTTTTACTTCGTCATATTTACTACGATCCCGTGCGGGAACGTCGACTTCAGCGGCTGATTCTTTCCTGGTGCGCTCACGGTCTCGATCGCGATCACGATCTCGGTCACGATCCCGTTCACGATCGCGCTCACGATCGCGCTCACGATCCTTCTCCTTGGGCAGGTCGATGATCTCAAAATCTTCGTCCCCGAGCATCGGCTCTTTGCGGCTCGGCTTAGGTCGGGATTCGGGACCATCAGGGCTGCGGCGGTCGCCCTCCTCTTCTCTCCTCCTTTTCTGGGAGTCGTCCTTGTCTTTGGAATCTTTGTCTTTGATAACAGATCCGAGGCCAATGGAGGCAGCAGCAAGCCCTAGGCCTGTAGCAACCTTTTCGCGAAGCTTTTCTTTCTTGCTCTCACGCTCGTCCTCTAGGACGGACTCCTTTGCCTTGCTCTCTCTACGGTCGGGCAAAGGTTCATCATCCACCCTGTGATCACGATCGTCACGGTCGCGGTCGCGATCACGCTCTCGAATATGATCGCGTTCACGTTCGCCACGATCACCACGGTCGCGCTCGCGATCATGAACTTCCCGTTCGCGTTCGCGTTCGCGTTCGCGTTCGCGCTCGCGTTCACGATCCCGGTCACGTTCACGATCACGATCGAGGTCGCGGGTGCTTCTGCGATCACGGTCCTCATAGTCGCGCCTTTTGCTGGAATCTAGGTCATCGTCGGACCACTTTCTTGGCTCACGATCGACGGAGTCGTCAAAGTCCTTGCGTGGTTCTCGTCGATCGCGGCGATCATCGCGAAACTGAGGTTCAAAAGGATGTCTCTGGTCCTCGGGGGGGTCCTTTGCGTCGAGTCGGATGCCAAACCCGCGAGCTGTGACGCTTTCATCTTGGAAATAATCCCGGTCGCGAATCTCGCGCTGGATTAGATCATCCTCTCGATCACGGTAGTACTCATCATGATGGCCAGGCCGCCCCGACGCGTCCTGGATGAGCGAGACAGGACGGGTACGAGACGAAAGGTCTAGACTTGGGTGGCGGCCCGGGTCGGGTGCCAGAGGAACAGTCGGAGGAATGGGCATACGGAGTCCAGCCCCATCGTATATGCCGCCAGCAGGCGCCCGGTTTAGCTTGTCCAGGCCCCATGTTGTGACCGGAGGGACGCGGGGTCGCCTCTCGTTCTGCTCATAGCCGCGAGCAAGATCGGTAGTGACGCTGACAGTCGGCCGGTAATACCGGTCCAGGCTCTCACGGCGGCCTCTGCGCGGCGCGCGGTCGCGGTCGTTGTCGAGATCATAACGCGCCAAGTCGCTGGGCTTTGTATACTCGTAGCCCCCATCTTCGAATTCCAGGGTGTTGCTGCGGTGGGGCGTGGAATAGAAGACGCCGGGGCGTGAGGAGCGGTAGACGTCCGCAGCTCGCGAGCCAAGAATCCTGTCGTGCTCGGTTCTCCCCTTGAGCCGTTGGTATTCGTCGCCATCCAAAGCCGGGCTGAAAGGGGCCCGAGCATTACTGCGGGAGCGGTTTATCGAGGAGGCAGGCTGGGCGTAGAATTGACTCTCGTCACTAGAGCGATAGGGATCGCGTGACGGGCTGCCAGATCGGCCGCCAGCTGAGGGATGCTTGGTGGTGACGATGATGGGAGCGGCGCGGTGGTCGCGGGCCGGGGCCTCTTTAACGCTGGTGGACCTTCCAAGCGGGTCCGACCTGACGGCGTACGTGGTAGAGCTGACGGGCACGACGGTAGGACGGTATTCGGCAGCGGGCCGTGACACGAGGGGTTCGTGGGCGAGCATATCTCCGCCGTAGAGCGACGTGTAGCCGGCGCTGGTGACGGGCAGCGAGGCTCGGGCGGGGTTGTAGAGGGGAGGCGATCGGCGCCCCGGAGCTCCCGAATACCTGTATCTTCCCGGGTCCGCCATTGCCGTTGGTGATGGTGTTGGGTGTTGCAGGACAAAATTGTCGCGAGGTGAGGTAGGCAGTCTCTGGTGACCCCCGGATCGAGAGCAAAATCAAGAATGCTTGGTGCACGAGGATGTTGAGTCGTCGCTAGGGCTGAGACAGAGAGATGAGACAAAATCGTGAGAATTGTCCACGTGAGGCACGGGGCGCAACCTACCTAATCCGCAGGTGGGGTTTTGGAAGCCTTTTGCCGTTGGGCTCCAGGTGAGTTTGCCGTCTGTCGGTCGGGTGAGTGTGTAATAATGTAATGCTTAAAAAGAGGAAAGAGGCCGCGGCGGGCTTCAGGTCTTCGGCGGGGTTCGACGATGGCGGGGTTCTCTCCTCTTCATCGCCGGTGCGCTCGCTCGTAAGCTCAAGCGCTCAGGCACCCCACCCCTGTCGGTTCCGTGCCAAGGTTCCTCGAGTTTCCTTTGCCCACCTCAGAATGCAACGTAACCAACTGGGAGCCAACTTGGAAGAGGTGCAAAAAAAACCAGCTATGAAGATGGGAAACTTTCACTTGTTGGTACTAAATAAGCAGGCTATCTATTCATTTCTCGGTCCAAGAATTCCGCCAAGGATTCCGGGTGGAGACAAAAAAAACCTCCCCTAGGAAAGACGGTGAAGGCGGGGAGAGTTGGGGCCTGTAGTCCAGCTCCCGTCTTCTTGTCAGCGCCGCGGGGTCGCAGAGACGACCAGCCAAAGACGATGAAGCAATACGCGGAGGGGTCAGAGGAGAGGGGGGGTTGGATTGTCTGCAGGTGGGCGACCAAATGGGGGAGAGGTCTGGAAAGTGCCGTTCTCCCGTTACAAGCCCACCCATTGCCATGCAGTGCTCTCTCTGGTCGGTGGTGTGTCTGCCTGATGCAGAAGACAAAAGACGGCCCAGTCCCCCCTCGTCCTTTGGTGACCGAGTTGCCTTTTCTGGCGACATCGAAGCATGCACAGCTGAGCAGGTCGTTGCCGGACTCAGACCGAAGCAACGACGGCGGCATTCAGCAGCGAGATTGTGCACAATTGAGCCTGAGAGCTGCTGTGGGCTTGGATCACTTTTCGTCGGCCGATGTGCAATTACTGAGAACACCAATCAGCCAACGGCCGGCTACCGCTCCTGAGAGGTTGAACATGCAGATTAGGGAACTCGAACCCTGCCGGCAGCCGTGAGCGACATGGGAATTTCCTGCAGCCCAAGTCCCTGAATGTTTGTTGGCGCGGTACTTGGGAAGAGAAGGGGTTTGGAAGTGTAATCACGGCCTTTCAGATCTTGGAAAGTACCCCCTAACAAAAACATCTAGGTATTGGGCTTGTTTACTCACCCCCGAAGCTTTTCGACAGCTTCGTTTATTGCCTCGTCAGAGTGAGGCTCTAAGTACTACCTCACTCCGTACATACTCTGTAGATCAACTCATGCGTAAGCTACGAGCTCCGCTCTCTCGCCTGTAAGTCGGTATACGGACTGGATGAAGTGCGATTTTTGTCCTTGGCACAACGGCACAAACGCAGTACCCGTTTCATTTCACGGGTCATTTCTCCAGGCCTGTCTCATTCCCGGCTTCCGCAGTTGGTTGGTTCGCCGTCCTGGCCCGGCTCTACGGACACGAGCCAACCTTAATGGGGTCTTGGTATCCACTGTGCGCAAGGCCTTTCCCCGTTTTCGCTGGGGACGGGTGGAAGAGACCAAGACTTGAAGGTGAAGGGGGGTGAAGGAGCAATGACGTTCTTCCTTTCCTTCAAGGTGGCTCTCAGATACCACGGCCTCGGTCAGGCGTGCCGTGGCACTTGGGACGGGGTCGTGTGACGCAACTCCGCTCGTCTTTCAGGCAAGGCGGCCGGGGCAAGGCAACTTGAAGGTACCTAGGTTGGCAAGGTTGGCAAGGTAGGCAATTGACTGCTCGTCTCCAGAGCCTGACGCCTCCTCGCATTGCAGGTTGCAGACAAGAGTCTAGACTGTTTTCTGCCAAGTCGTTTTTATTTTATTTTTTGCCGGCAGTGACATCGCTCGATGCGTGAAGCTACTACGGACGGGAGGGCGAAAGACCTTGGTGCCATGATAGTGCTATTAAAAAAAAAGGCACGTCGGCCTTTTGATACGAGAGTGTCTCTGCTCCATACTGATACTTGATTCTTGATCATGGCCATGCAGAGGACAAAAATGATTAGAATCCAAACAACAGCTTCCAGTCACTCACTCGGAGTCATGTCAATCAGCCCATTTCCGCTCGCTCACGCCCTGCTGTGGCAACCTGGGCGTAAGGTAAGGTATATAGTGAAGCTATCGGATAATGGAGGTCACGGAATAGGTAGCCTAGCCAGCACCACCACCACATGAAAGTGTCGATCGCGGGCAAAGGCGGCAATATGGGAAAGGCGCGCACACCTTGACGCTGTCCCTACCCCGGTAGAGGCCGCGCGCCCCGGACCTGCGCCCCGGGCCTTTTTTTTTCCCTCTGTTTCTCCTCTCGGCAGTGGCTTACACTTGCGTTTCTCCAGCACGTGCACAAAGTGCATCGCCCGGCTGTGGACGGTGTGTTCTACATGCATGGCTTGGTCCTATTCCGATGACCTGATTTGCCTCACTACCCGAGCGGGAGGGGCCGCGATGGGAAGTGCCAAATTTCCTTTCTTTTTTTCTTTCTTTCTCGTGGTGGTGATGGATGGCTGTGGTGGGTGGGTGGTGGCGATGGTCAACCTACTAGGCACGTGGTACAAACCCAGAAAGTACAAATTGTTCTTTTCGTTGGGCAGCCACGATTTGAAACCCAATCGGTAGTCTAGCTGTGCCTACTTTCGTCATCCACCTTATGGATGCCGTCTCCTCTAGAGGTGGGCGAGCGCGGGCGGGGAAGGCAGAGAGAGAGAGAAAGAGAAAGAAAAAAAAAGAGAGAGGGAGAGATTCCATGTGAGCGAGTGGCTTCCGAGTTGCCGCGTTTTCGCCCCGGCTCAGAGCCGACACTGTGCAGTACATACAGGCCGAGTTTAGAATTTCTCTCAGCTTGTGTGACTCCTCGTCGTTGCTGTGCTTCCCCATTGCCTAGTAGCACATCCAATCCGCCGCATAGTTGCTACTGCATGTCACTCTTGGGATGTTGTCCGACCCCACGGGGAGAGCTTGCCTAAGGCAAGGTAAGGTAAGGGAGGTAGCTCCCTCCTCCCTGCTTTTGCCTGCTTCGCGCCGAGCTATTCCCTTGCCTTGGTTTGCTGTACAGTACCTTGAAGTTTCGGCCTCCGGTCTCCTTTGTGGAATCTCACCCGAGCGAACCGGCCCAAGCTTGGCGGTTGAAACACTAGGCGAAAGGCAAACAATTTACGTACCTTGGGTCCGAAGTGTGAAGCTTCGCGCAATGCACGCCGAGGGTGGATACCGGGCTTGCATTTGCCTGCGTCTCTACTCCGTCGTACGTATGCGTGTGCAGTAGTCTTGCAGAACCCCTTTTCCGACTCCATACGAAAATATGTGAATGCGTCCAAGTGAAGGAGCCACGTAAAATCAATCGTAGTCAGGCAGTGAAGCTGTATGAATGAACCATGAAGAATGCTTCAACACGAATAGCAAATCCGGAATCAAGAAATAGCTAGGTGCATAGGTATAGTGGCAATAAACGCCGAAGGACAAAAAACATTGTCCACCTAAGCATATCAGGTAGTCACCTAAGCATATCAGGTAGTACGTAGACATCGATTCGCTGCCACTTGGAGATATTCGTTTCTTCATTCAGGTCATCCTCGACGCAACCCAGCAGTCCGGCATCGCGAACCCCCAAGTAACTGATACATCGGACAAAGGAAGCGTCGGATGGATAGAAAGGAGAAGAAAACAACGACAACGCAGATGTGCCTCCTAATCTTCACACATGTGCCCAACCTAGGCTAGCGAACCCATGGGATCCCACAGGGGCAGCACCGTCGGCTCGCTATCCAGAACCTCGCGCACGTCCTTGCTCAGGAACTTTGGGTCGACGACGGCCTGGAAGACGAACTCGGACATCCAGGCGTCGCTCATGACGAACCAGCCGTCGGACCCGGCGGCGGTGCCCCACGAGTTCTGGACGCGCCAGCGCACAGCCGCGCCCGAGGCCTCGTCGACGTGCACGGCGGTCAGCACCATGGCGTGGGTCATCTGGGACTCGCCGGTGCGCAGGCGGGCGGCCTTGTCCATGCCGAGCAGCGACACGTTGAAGCCGAGCTCGTAGTCGACGAGCGCCAGGTCCATGATGCCGAGCGCCGAGTCGCTGAACTTGCCGACGTCGGACCCGAAGAACACGGGCAGCCCCGCGCGGAGCATGGCCACGCACGCCGCCTTCAGCGCCGCCACGTCCACGTTGACGTACGTGACGGCGCGCCCGCCCACGACGTTGCCCAGCCGGTCGACCGTCAGCAGCGTCAGCGGCTCGTGGCGCGGGTCGTGCACCAGCGACACCATCTTGGCCACCGTGTCTGATGTGATGCGGAAGCTGGAGCTGTAGATGTCGGCGGCGAACGCGCGCGGCGTCGCGCGCACGGTGCGCGCCTTGCCGGCCTTGTCCGTGAACGACCACGCGAACTCGTCGTCGCGGCTCGGCGGTGGGCCCAGCGTCAGCGTCAGGATCGTGTGGATCTCCTTCAGCATGCGCGTCTTGGCGTCCGAGACGGCCGCCGCCATGGTCGACGAGGAAGAACTGCTGAGCAGCTTCCGCAGGATGAGTCCGTCCTCCCGCAGCTTAGTGAAGATGATGCTGTTGATGACGCTGCTCGAGCTGGCGTTGAAGCTGTCGGGATACAGTGTCTGGGGCACCAGGCCGTACTTGGATACGAGGTTGTAGATCATATCCCACTATGTATATCCCCGTCAGACCACGAGAAGAAAGTAGGGAATAAGAGGAGACAGAGAGCAACCATACCTGCCCACCATCACTCAGAGGCTCGTGAAGCAGCGTCTGCACGAGACGGGAGTCGAGGTCCTCGTCGACTGTCGAGATGATCTGCTCCAGGAACCAATTGCTCTTTTCGAACTTGTCCCAGAAGAACAGGTAGGCCTGCGAGAGCTCGAACTCGTCGAGGCCGTACTTCTGCATCAGGGCCACGCGGAAGACGTTGGTCGAGGCGAAGATCCAGCATCTCCCCGACTGCCGCTGGTTTGTGATCGGCCCGCCCTCGAAGGGAATCTTGACGTTGAACACCTGCTGCTCCGAGATCTTGGCAGCCCGCGACGTCAAGACGGAGCGAGGGTTGGCAGCGCTGAGAGCCGAGAGAGCGAGTCTGCGAGAGAGGGCGCGGTCGTCACGAAGTTCAACTGTCAGCAGGAAACTCTCTTGACGCCTCTACTCTGTACAATCAAGTATGTCAAAGAAGGGCCATCGATCCATCCTTCTCTCTGATCCCGGTTTCCGCACCTGTTCTTTGGGTCCCTAAGGAGGGCGTCCTGCCATTCCTCGGCGCGGACGACAGAGATGGGCTCGGGGCGACGGGACTTGGAGATAGCCTGGGCCGCCTTCTCGCTCTTCTCCAGTTTGCTGTCATCGACGTAGACATAGCCCTCCTCAACGCTGTTGTCTTCCAGCTGCAAACTGCGAAGCCGCTGAAGGACCGCCTTCTCATGCACAGTAACCCCTTCGGCAGGGAGTTTCGAGAGATACGAACCCATCGATGCAGGTGTAAGTCGGTCGCGTTCCACGGACAATTTGGGTTTAGCTCTGTTCAAAGGGCCCCAGACACTTGGATAGAGTCAAAACCAAACAAAAGGTGAACAAATAAACCTCCAGAAAAAGGACGGACAGGAAGTCTTTTCAAAGTCGACGAAAGTGGGCGGCCGGCAGTTGAAATGGCATAAGCATGCCCAACTTGAGCAGGTGGATTGAGCCGTGAGGGGCTTATCACGCAAGCTACACTTTTAGCACTGGAGCGAACAATCAGCTGCCCCTCACGCGCGTCTACTACTGATAGGAAGGAGTCAGGCGGGCAAACAACTCCGTCCATTACAGTTCATATACATCGGAATGCAAAATCTGAACTAGATTCCTAACCCAAGACCGTCATCGCAGTTCTCTAAACATCCCGCAAATCCCATCTCGAATTTTACCCAATCTTGAAACGAGAAACACATTCTGTCGAACGGCCCTATATGCAGCGCGACAAGTGTACAAGCCCAGGGGCCTGGTAAACATAACACTCTTCCTGCAAAGTGATTGACGATAGCCAATTCGTCTAAAGGCGCGAGCCGTGCACGACCTTCATATCAACGGCCATCTCGCGGCCATGGTCGCTGACGACGAGAACACGAACGCTTCCACGGCCGGACTCGAATGCCTTCTGCAGACGGGTCCACAGGCTGCTCTGGTCAATGACGGGCAGGCTTTGCTTGACATCGCCAGTCTCAGTCATGGCCACGATACTACCATCTTGCATATCAAGAACGCGGTACTGCTTGAAGACAGGACCAAGCATGGTCTGGACGACGACGCTGGGGGCAGGGTTGGTCACGAACGACGACTCCTCGTGCAACTGCTTGGTGAAGAGATCCACACCAAGATAACGGTGCTGGCCAGTAGCAGAAGAGGTCGAAATCCGGATCACCTGGCAGGGGCGGCCCTGGAGGATAAGGATGTCACCGAGACGGATGTGGTGAGACGGAATGGTCACAGTGTTGGGCGCCGCAGTGTCCTCTGAAGTGCGCCTGGTAGCGCGAGACTCGCGAACCTCGGAAACCTCAACGCGGTCATGGCCTTCAGGGTGAACAATTCGGTCAGCCAACTTGTGAAGTCCGTGACGGAAAGAGTGGTGGTGACCTGAGGTTGTACAGTGAGTACACCAGTGGGTGTGACAGGGGGAGTAAGGTGAGCCAAGCAAAGAGATGCTTACCGTCTTCGTCGTAGTAACCCATCTTGACTTGGTGGCGGTGAGAAGCGTGACGGGGAGCGTCAACGGTCTCTTCGGTGATCTTAATGTCCTTGTGATAGACGGGACGAGGAGCGGGAGGATCGACGGTGATTCCGGTTACGCTGGTTGACTGCTGGTACTGGGGGCGGTAGCTAGGGGCGTCAACGGTGGTGGCGTCGACGTGGATGGTCTCTTTGTAGGCGGGGCGGCGGATGGAACCGTCGACAGTAGAACCGGACACGCGAACCTCTTCACGATAATTGGGCTGGAAGCGAGAGCGATATTCACGTTCGGCAACGTCGATGACAGTGTTGTGGGGGCGATGAGTGGTGTCGAACTCGATGCGCGACTCTGCGTAGGAGGATTCGGGCCTGAGAGCGGAAGGTCAGCTGAAAGTGCTTTTTTTGCGAGGCAAATTGATAATTCAGCCCGTCACTAGGCCAACCGTCTCGGGCGTGGACACTCCATCGACAGACCCGTCTTCACCCATACCCATACCATGTCTGAATGGCTGGTGGAGACAGCCAATTTCAAGCAAAAGCTCTTTAGTTTCACAACATGAACTGACCTGCGGTGCTCTTCGCGGATGCCGGGACGGCGGTATCGCTCCTCTTCACGAGTAATGCGGACCTCTTCTTCACTGAAGCGACGCTCTCCACGAGGAGGAAGATCGACTTGGGCTTGGAAAGAAGAGTGTTGACCCTCCCGTCCGGCGTGGTGGGGGAGTTTGATCTCTAGCTCTTCGTGGGTCTGTGTTTGTGTGGCAGCGGGCTCAGTTTCCCGATACGAAGACGGGAAGATGCTGAAGGGAACCGGGACGCGGGCTTCAAAGTCCAGGTTGGCGACCTTTCACGGCGCGAAGAGGCAGTCTTCTGTTCGACCTTCCGGAGTACGAAAGGAAGACAAGAAGATCCCTCTTGCTTCTTTTCCTAGAAAGAAGTCGAAAGAAATGAGAGAAGGCGGTCAACTAAGCGACCCGTCTTCTTTAATTTTCAATCGATTTCTCTAGAGGACAAGGGAGTCGGTGAAGGGACGGAAGGCTGTGTTTGATGCTTTGGATGTGGTGGAAAGTTAGATGAGGAAAGGAGAGAGAGGGATCGGAACAGACGAGGGCGCAGCTGCACGAGCGAGCCACTTCAAATATTGGGCGAAAGCGCTTCCTGGGGCTGCTGGCTCTGGTTGTTGGGGGGCGTCGTTGCTGGTTGGCAGGGGGTCGTGGGACAGAGACAGACGACGGGGACGTGTGCAGAGTCCAATGGGATGGTGCGAATTGCTGTGTGGCAGCTCAGGCGCCAGGGTCTCTCACAGGGAAATCACCACAGAGGGCAAGAGCTCTGGAGCTCTGTTTACATGGTGTGGGGAACTACTTGTTTATTGCCCATTAAAGCGGCTTAGCGTCCCCGGTTTTGTCCCCACGCTGCATCTCTGATTGCTCGGCCGTGCGGGTCGTGACCCAGCCCCCTGTCAGTCTCGTTTCCCGGGGCCTAGCAAAAACGCGTCCGAGCCAATTTGGAGCTAGGAGCTGTCTCGAAGGGAGCTGAAAGCGAATCGCGTCTTTTTTTTTTTCTCTCGACGGCAGCAATCGCATGAATCGCCAGCACCACCAGTGTGAACCCGCCTTCCAGCCTCTCGAATTCGAATTGCGACGTCTCGATTTAATGGTCACTCGGCCAGTAGATTTAGAAGCTACCGGTTTCGCAAGGCTCTCACACTGCTCAGTGTCATTGCCTTATCAATATTAGGATGCAATTTGGCACACGCGCGTCTTGGCCTGCTCCGGCCCTCTCAATCTCTGAACTGGCCCACTCAGGACTAGTCCTGAGCGCCACTGGCAGGGTCGAGAAAAGCTGACAGGCGAGTCAGCCAAGTCTACACCGGGGAGCGCAGCAGATCTCGGGGTTTGTCGCAACACACCCCCCTTCCTCCAGGTGGGAAATGGGGGGTGCCAGTGTGGTGATCTTGGGGGTGGTTGGGCTGTACTGTGGACAAAGCTCCCTCACTTCAGCAACTCAACTCAACTGGCTGCTGCTGCAAGTGCTGCTGCAGTAAAATCTGCAGGCTGGATGCTGACATGGCTAATCGCTAGAAGCTGTTGGACTCAATTGGTCCTCAGTTGTGCCTTCAAACAGCGTCTCCCAGCCTCCTCGGCGGCCTTTTCAAAGATCGTGGGTTGATGCCATTGGGTTATTTGGGCCCAACCCTCCACAAGGTATGCAAGCCCCATGCAAGCTAGACACTCTATCCGCAGAGTCCAGACAATCAGTGGGTAAATGTGGCCCACACCACACCTGACAGGCCGGTCACCGCCGCGCCGGAAACTCATGTGCTTCATCCAGAGGCTGCAGCCCGAAACATTCTGCTTCGCTGTCCAACTGCTCGGATGGATACATACAGCACAAGCCGAGCCAGCCAAAAAGAGATAAAGTCAATCGCTGTCTCATTTCTTGAATATCAGATTCAAAGCCGAGGTTCTCAATCTTCTCCACTCAGGCGCCACGCCCATCGATGCCGTTGTCGTAGCAACTTTCCCGGTTTTGCCGCCCCCTGATTTTCGCTTGCGCTAAGCCCGGGTGAACCCGCCCTGCGCTGGACCGCTGGACGGGAGCCCCTGTCTCGGTCCCTCCATCTGCTTTGGTTCCATGTCACATGCGAGGCGCCTGGGTTTGGCGGAAGGCTCCCTAACCTTAACCGCCCATAAGACAGAAAACACGGCGGCAGTTGACTGAGTGGCCGTTGCAAGTTGCGAATTACTATTCCGTATATGAATGGAAACTCAACTTCTTGAATGTTTGGCTGACAGGCGATATGTGCATGGCTTCGATTATGTCGCTTACTTGGCGGCTTCTGTAACAGTAAGAGTTAGAGGGCTGTTCTCAATTTCGAGTATTCATTTTGTAGTCGAGTATACAGGCCGCATTTGGAAACCAACATGGCCTGAGCTGAAGTTCCGGATACCAGCTATTCAAGCATCAGGCCGACTACCTAACCCATCTAACGGAAGAGTCTCGTCGAATTGATTCCAGTTGTCAGACTAACCTGATAAACGCGCGACGGAAGTGACACTCTCTGGTGAGCATCGATAATTAAAACTTAACCAACCTTAATTTTCAATAAGAGCTGCAATTCCAACTCACGAACCCTTATTTTTGCTCCCTCTTGCCTTCCAAGTTCCATGTTACGGACAATGAAGATGAAGACTGAGCCATGCCATTACCGCTGAGTGAGCACCATCAAACGGGGCTTGAACATACCGGTGGTCTCAAAGCCACCTCCCTCTGCCCCGAGTTGTATATCCAGAAGTCCTTTCTTCGAATTAAATTGCATATGATGCTGCCAGTCTTGTTTTTTTTCTTACCTTAGTGTCCTCGTATGGTGGAATTGAAGTCGCCGCTGGTTTGGGCGTGACGGAGCTTCGATGTATAGTGGGGCTGTCGTGAAACTCCACCCCCACTTGTTCAGGCGATACAGTACCCCGCCATGACATCTGAAGGCCTACGAGACTTTTAAGTTGGCATACAATCGTCACGTCAGACACAAACGAGCCGTCTGTTAAGGTTATCGCAAAGAGAGTATCGCCGATATGAAGCAGAGATTCTCTTCCTTGGACGTCAAGGTATGCATGCGCACTCTCTGCCTCGAGGGACTTTGGGCGTGGCTGATGCTGTGGGGCTCGCTTCCAGGTTGTCGCCCACGAGCTGTCCGAGGCGCTCGTGTCTCTGCGTGTCGCCAACATCTACGATCTGAACTCCAAGATCCTCCTCCTCAAATTCTCGAAGCCCGACAACCGACAGCAGCTCCTCATCGAGTCGGGGTTTCGGTGCCACTTGACCGATTTTGCCCGCGCCGCTGCTCCCGCGCCCAGCAACTTCGTTAGCCGCCTTCGCAAATTCCTCAAGACGCGCCGGGTCACGGCAGTCTCGCAGATCGGTACCGATCGCATCATCGAGTTTCAGTTCAGCGACGGCGCCTACCGCCTGTATCTCGAGTTCTTTGCTGGCGGAAATATCATCCTGACCGACGACCAACTCAAGATCCTGACCCTTCTGCGCATCGTTCCCGAGGGAGAGGGCCAGGAACCCCAGCGAGTCGGCTCGACCTACACGCTTGAGAATAGGCAGAACTATGGCGGTGTCCCACCGCTGACCGAGGACCGCCTGCGCAATGCACTAAAGACGGCTGCAGACCAAGCCGTCTCGAAGCAGACCAAGAAGAGGAAGGCTTCGGACGAGCTGAGGAGGGGCCTGGCAACGACAATCACCGAATTACCCCCAGCTCTTGTCGAACATGTGTTCCGGGTCACGAAATTCAACCCAGCCACCAAGCTGGCCGAGATTCTCGAAAACGAAGCCCTCTTCAACAGCTTGTTCGAGGCATTGCAGCAGGCACGATCTACCCTCGACGAACTCACCAGCTCACCGACGGCGAGAGGATATATCATTGCCAAGCCAAACCCGCATGCGCCCGCCGCCCCTACTGAAGAGGAAGAGACGCTCCAGGTAGACAAGGCCAAGTATCTATTGTATGAAGACTTCCAGCCTTTTCTACCAAAGCAGTTCGGGGACGACCCAAATTGCCGAATTCTGCCATTTGACGGGTACAACAAGACGGTCGATGAGTTCTTCTCCTCTCTCGAGGGTCAAAAGCTGGTGTCCAGACTGCATGAGCGAGAAGCAACGGCCAAGAAGAAGCTCGATGCCGCTCGCCAGGAACAGGCAAAGCGGATCGAAGGCCTTCAAGATATCCAGATGATGAATCTCCGAAAGGCAGCCGCCATCGAAGCCAACGTTGAACGCATCCAGGAGGCAATGGATGCCATAAACGGACTGCTTCAGCAAGGCATGGACTGGGTCGACGTTAATAAACTCGTCGAGCGAGAGCAAAGACAGAACAACCCGGTTGCTGAAATCATCAAGCTCCCCATGCGGTTAGATGAGAGCATCATCACCCTGCTAGTCGGAGAAGCAGAGGAACAAGAACCTGAAAACGAGAATTTCGATTTCGACTATGAAACAGACGACGAGTCGTCTGGCGAGGCCGAAGTAGACAAGTCCAAGTCGGTAGATAAGCGCCTCGAGGTTGACATCAATCTCAAAATCAGCCCGTGGAATAACGCAAGGGAATACTACGAACAGAAGCGCACGGCAGCCAGCAAGGAGAAGAAAACCATCGGCCAGTCTGCTATGGCGTTGAAGAACACCGAACAAAAGATTGCCGAGGATCTCAAGAAAGGTCTCAGGCAAGAGAAGCCAATCCTGCAGCCTATAAGGAAGCAAATGTGGTTTGAGAAATTCACCTGGTTTATCTCATCTGACGGCTACCTTGTTCTTGGTGGCCGGGACGCCCAGCAAAACGAGATGCTCTACAAGCGGTACCTGAGAAAAGGCGACGTATACGTGCATGCCGACACGCACGGTGCTGCAAGTGTGATCATAAAAAACAACCCCAAGACTCCGGATGCCCCGATTCCTCCGTCTACGCTTGCTCAGTCTGGAAACCTAACAGTATCCTGTAAGTTTTCTAGGGGCACGCTCGCTCTTCTTGTCCCCTTGATATGGTCAAATGGAGGAACATAGTGCTAACCGGTCCCTTTGAAATAGGCTCGAGTGCTTGGGACTCCAAAGCTGGCATGGGTGCCTGGTGGGTGTATGCCGACCAGGTTTCGAAGACTGCGCCTACGGGCGAGTTTCTTCCTGTCGGGTATGTATTTGGGGGTCCCGGCATTGATGCTTTATTGCTTGGGTAGTAATTGCTAACATTTGTACTCAAGGTCATTTATGATCCGCGGGAAAAAGAACTTTTTGCCGCCCGCTCTCTTGATACTGGGTTTCGGGTTGATCTTCAAGATATCGGAGCAGAGCAGAGCAAAACATGTCAAGCATAGGCTTTATGACACCGGGAACGACAACGCGCCACCTTCAGAGTTCAAGGCCGCGGAGTTTGAAGAAAAAAAACCGCCATCTGAAAGCAGCGCCCACCCCGCTGACTCGGATGAGGATTCTGACAGCGAAACCGAAGATGGAGGCGAGGAAGAGGGCGAGGGCGATAAAAGGACTAACCCATTGCAATCACGCCTATCAGGCCAGAAAGAAGTCCCGGAGCGCGAAGCACTAGCAGCTGCTGAGGCGCCAGCCAACGAGATGGCACAGCTTGGGCTGTCCGGAGAGCCTGCAGAACCCGCCCAGCAAAGCGAAGAGACGTTGAATGACAGCGCGGAAGAGGAAGAGGAAGATGAAGATGAAGAGAAGTATGACCGGCGTGCACATGCGACACCCTCATCGCGAGCAGGGACGCCGTCAACCCAATCACAACTCACAAAGGCCCCGCTCAAGCGCGGCCAGAAAAACAAGGCAAAAAAGATTGCCGCCAAGTACAAGGACCAAGATGAAGAAGACCGCGCTCTCATGGAAACTCTCATGGGCGTCACGGCAGCGCGCCAGAAAGCCGAGGCCGAAGCAGCTGCCAAGGCGCAGCGAGAAGCTGATGCTGCCGCAGCCCGAGAGCGGAAGCGGGAGCAACAGGAGCGGCTCAAGAAGCAGATTGCAGAGCACGAGGAAGTACGCCGCCTGATGCTTGAGGAGGGCGTCGAGGTTCTCGAAGAGTCCGAGGCCACGGAAATGACTGCCCTCGACGGCCTCGTTGGCACCCCGCTGCCCGGCGATGAGATCCTCGAGGTCATCCCCTTCTGCGCCCCTTGGAACGCCCTCTCCAAAGTGAAGTACAAGGCCAAGCTCCAGCCAGGCAACACGAAGAAGGGGAAGGCTGTCAAGGAGATTATCGAGCGTTGGCGTATCGCCACGGCTAAGAAGCAGGTCATAGACGACGCTGCGACGGACCCAGAGAAGATGTGGCCCCGTGAAGTCGAGCTCATCAAGGGGCTCAAGCCCGAAGAGGCGTTCAACTGCGTCCCCGTTGGCAAGGTCACCGTCATGATGTCGGGGGGCGCAGGTAGCGGCGCCGGTGGTTCCACGTCGTCTAAGAGCAGTGGCGGACCTGGAAAAGGTAGAAAAGGAGGGAAGGAATCGAAAAAGAGGTAGGTTTCAGGGCCGTTTTGTAAATCTGTGTTTTCTATTCAGAGGCCTGAGATGGGAGGTTGTTCATAATTCTTTTGGTCTACGAATATTGAGGCAAACATGCATGAGTCCTTGTAGACTACCTAGGCAGGTAGTGTTATTTATCTATTATACCACCTGTAACGATGAGCCGTTGCGCCAGCAGACAAATCAGATACCTGTTGCCTGGTACTCTAGGCAACAGCAACTATAACTAACCCTACAACATCATCGCGCAAAATCGGAGCAAGGAGCGAAGTAGATGCTAGCACCAGATATGGTGGCATAGCGTGGCCTTTTTTTTTCCTTGAAAAGAAAGAAAAAAGAAGAGAGAGAAGAAGGAAAAAGGGGGAAAGAAATACGAAACATCCCCTATCAATAAACACTTGCACGGGGGAGGAGGGAATGGGCAAAGTGCTACAACAACGCAACAAATAAAAAAAGTAAGATTTTTTTTTGCACCAGACAAAAAAAGAAAGTTGTAGATCCATCATATGGACGGAACAAGAATGACGGCAGGGGGATTCGAATCCACGCCCCATTACCGAGACCAGGAGAGTTTTGAAATTCAGGTTGTCCCGAGCCTGGCGCCTTAGACCGCTTGGCTACCTTGCCTTCGATGGATACTGGATCTGCAATCCACCCACATCTTGTGACGGAATACCGGCTGGTAGCTGGTGGCTGGTTAGTTAGTACAAGGCAGTTGATATTCATGGAAGGTTGTTAGCAGCTGGCGTTTCGGGGACTCTTATACTACATAGGGAATAGTTAAGGTAGGTAGTTATGCATCAAAAGACCATGTCATCTGCTCATGTCTTTTTTGGAACTTTCGAACTTTCCATAGTGAGACCTGGTTTTGTCTGGCTACACCATCCGTATACATGCGGCATAGTATGAGCAGGGAAGAGCCTGTCTTTGCCGTGGAGAAAGAATCTGCAGATCTTCTCAATGTGGCTAGCTATCGAGCACCATAGAGGCCGGCAATTTATCTAGAATAGTTCTGCTGCTCTCCTTTGTGTAAAGACTCGCCGCCTTCCAACACAACATACATACACACATTTATTCGTAGCTGGCCTGGGCTACCTAGATACAACACACAACACACAACACGACACAACAGAAACCACAAAGCCGCGTGAGAGAAACCTCCCGTTTAGCTTCGTCGTTTCACACGTAAGTGTGTACACACACATATACCATCATCTCGTAACGACGTGACCATATCCAAACAGTCGTTCGTAGCCAAGGCATATTTATTGGCCATGGAAATGTGAACCAAACAAACAGACAATAACAACAACAACAACAAAAACAGGGGTATTCTTCACCCATATCATGCCATCATGTATATACAGACCATGTCATCTCATGTTGACACTCAAATCCTACATCTGCCATCGCCATCTGCTGTCATGAGGGTTGGTTACCCAGCCAAGCCCTGTTGACCAAAGGGCAGCGCAGTGCTGCTATTATAATACCAATAATAATAATGCTCAAAGTAAAAAAAATGAAAAATAGTAATAGTGGCAGCGACCGTGAGGTAAGTAAGGTAGGCAGATAAGATGTGCGTGATGGGCGCCGATTAAATACAAAAGTGGTAGGTAAGGTAAGGTAGGTAAGGTAGGTAAGTCTATATCAACTTGGGACACAGAGACAGACAAAAAACTCGTTCGAAAAACACCTTCCCCGAAAATATTTGACGTTGGAGAACGTTTAGACCGAACCAAACCAGACCAAAGAAAGAAAACAAACTATACACATGAACCCAAACAAGAACAGACATACGCTCCAATGTTCTGATATGAAGATACTTCCGCCTCATGTTTCCCAATTCATTAGCCCAAAACCATGAAATACAATATCCGTGACCACGCCTGCGCCCGATATGCTAACCATGCTATTAAACCCCCGCCAAATACGTAAAAATAGGGCTATGGGACATGAATAACTACGATGCGAAACATATGCAACTCGAATCGCTGCTCCTACAAAAAGACATGTTTCTTCTATCTGATCTTTCTTGCTTCGAAAAGGCCAAGACTTAGCGCCGTGTCGTTTTCTCCGACGTTCGGCGTGGGCTCGTTCAGGATCTCCCAGCGGCGGAAGTTGAACACTGACAGCCGCTCAGGGGTCGGACGTTCGAGGCCCCACAAGGCGGCAGGCACACTCATCAGGCCTCCACCTAGCGGCCAGTTGGGGCGGTTGGGAGGTCCACCGGCAGCGGCTGCTGAAGGCGGTTTATCTCTGTGGCAGAGCATGAGGGTTTCGGTGGGGCCCGACGAGAAGCTGAAAATGTAACGGAGCCGAGCGTCCGATGTGCTATCCTTGAGCGCCCGGACACAGATGAGGCGCGAGTCTTCGGCCAGGTTGTCAACCAGGTGGCAGGCAAGGTCGAATATGCGGCTGCTCAAGGCCCTGGTGTCGATGCTAGGCCCGTGCAATGCATCAAGCTCTTGGATCAAACCAGCACACACTATTAGCGCCTTGGCGCGTAACTCGTTGCCCGGCTTACTCGCGTCAAATGTCTGCGCATGGAGCATGATGAAGGTTAATAGAAAAGGGAGCCAGTGGTTGAGCACCGGTGGCTTGGCCTCGGCCCCGGACGTGGCCAGAATCTCCCAGAGGTCGGTGAATTTGTCAACCATGGCAGGGACAAGTTGAGGTTGCCTGACCATGGAGCCGCCACGAATGATGGCGTCGACAACTGACAGTAGATTTGCTGCCATTTGGATCGTCTGTTCTAGAGGCCGCTCTGTCGGTAAGGGGTTCGCAGGAGACGGAATAAGGTCTAAGAATCGACTCTGGGCGCGGCTCTTTAGGTGGTGCGTTATCTCTGGGCTCAATGACGACAACATGCCCGTCCACGAGATATTTTTTGCCTCGATTGCCTTGTCCATGGCGTTTGTGAAGAGCTCGAGGTGCGATTGTTGCCGCTCGGCAGCCTCTTGGCTGTTCTGATCATTGGCTAGGCTCAAGGAAAGCTTCAACTGGCAAAAGGGCAGGGTGAACTCGTTCGTGAGCTCTAGAACCTGATCAAAGGTGACACGGGTCTGTGGGTCTGCCGTCGGGATCAAGAACCTAGTTGTTATGCAGTCGATCCAGCTGCAAATATGGGAATCTGGACCCTTGATAGCCAACGCCCGGGCAACGCCCATCGCGTCCTTCAGCACGAGCAGCCTGATTAGGGAAAGCAGGCGGTCTTTGGTATCGGCGTCGTCCATTGGTAGGTTTTCGGTATCGTTCTGAGCCCGGGCGTACGAGTACTCGGCCAGGGCAAGGCGAATGAGGCTTAGAAGCTCCTTGGGATGGTCTTGGTGCGTCTGGTCCTGGAGAATACAGAACCGGTAGCACTCTTCAGGTAAGAGGAGGTCGTCTTGTGGTATCGGCGTCATGAACAACTGGAGAGCCTCTTGCATGTAGCGAGTCCGGTATGTCATTTGCACAACCTGCGGCCCAGAAGCACCCGGACCAGACGGACGAGCAAACCCCGTTCCTTGGGCGCCCGGGGACTCTGCCGTTGTTGCCAAGATAGTTGCCATGCTCAAACAGCCCACAGACACAAGGAGAGGAAAAATCCGCAGGATTGATGGTCGTTTGCTGATCGTGCGAAGATAGAACAGCCATTTGGTCATGATACCGTCGAAAGATTGCACATCGAACATACGCAACCGGGTGAGGAGGGCACTGTATCTGCGCTGTTTGTCGCCAGCCTTGCCCCAGCAGCTCTGCAGCCGCTGGGCGACCGCCTGGAATAGGCGGTCCATGGTGTTGGGATCAAGACTAGTGCCTCCAGCCAACAACTTCTCGATCTCCTCTACCAGGTCGCCATCGTCGTCGTGGAGGCGAGCCGCCATGTTGTCCGACACGGGCGAGCACGCATCTACAGGATTCCGACGGTCGCTCACTGCCAGATCCATCTTCAGTTGCGCGGCCAACGCCTCCTGGCCAGGGATTCTCGGAGAGAGGCCAACGAGCGACGCAAGCAGCGGCCGGGCCCCTATCCCCTGGTCTTGAACGACAGCCTTGAGTCGCTTGTAGAGACCGTCAAACAGAGGCTTCGAAGCGTCGAGTGCGGCGAAGACAAACAGGTGGCGGCTAACAGTGTCGGCAATCGCGGCAAGCACGTCAACATTGGACTGCTCTGTCAGTGCTTTTAGGATGTCGACGCCCATTGAGAAGTCTTCGGTTGCTTCGAGCACAGCCCGGATAGAGCTGAACATGGCAGGGGACATGGTGGACCCTCCCTCCTTCTCCTTCTGCTTGGTGTTGGACCTGAGGATGCGTCGAAGCCAATAGCCTATCTCGGCTTTGAGCCCCCGGCCGCTGATTCGGATGCGCTTAGACAACTTGCCGAGCGTCAAGGGCTTCCGTTGCAGGATAGGGTCCGCCGCATCTATCGGCAACCCCAGCGTATGCATCACATGCTTTGTGGCAAGTTCGACATCTCGTGCTTCGTCATCCACGCTGAAAGAGGCGCGCAAGAGCATGCCGCGCCTGGTGTTTTTCTGCGACCCGGTAAGGGCATGCGTCGGAAGTTCAACAAAAAGACGCGTGCCCACGGGCCCATCGGGGAGCACATCCTGCGGTCTGGAGAGGCCGCCGCGGGCGATGAGCCACTGAACATAGCGAGGGATGGAGAATATGCCGGAGCGGACAAGCTCGCACGCCAGGTGGTAGAGGGCATCTTTCCGACCTTGCTCTTCGAAGATATCCGTGTCAAGGAAGTCCAAGACTGATCTGGTAGCGTCAACACCGAGGGTGCTCCAGTGACGCAAGATGCGGCTCGCGACATAGACCTTTGCAAGACCGGGCCTGTACAAAGACGTACACCACTCGAGGAGAGCCTTGGCGAGGGCCGCCTTGTCTTGGGAAATATCCCAACACTGGGCCGGAAGGTCACCGGGCATCGGTGTTTGCAAGGTCCTATCCAGCATCCGAACCAAGCTTTGGCGAGCGGCAGGCTGGGACCTGTTGGCCGATGCTACGAGTTGCTCGTTTCGCTCGTTAATGATCATGAAGGAGGCTTGCCGGGCTTCGTCACCAGCAGGTAAGCAAGCCCTTAGCGAGTCCCGATACTTTGACCAGATAGACGGAGAGAGAAAATTCTCCGGGCTGCTTAGTATCAGAGAATTGAGTAGCAGCGACAGCTTAGAGAACACAGGGGTAAATAGGTCTTTGTCTATGTGGTTTTGGATCTAGGATAACGTAAGCGCGCTTGCCAACCAAAGGACAAGAAAAGGGGCTTGGGGTATTAAGTACCACGCAGTTGTGACTGATCAGGGCAGTGACTAGCCGACGACCATACTTCCTCAGCCGAAGCAGGTCGTTCCGGTATATTTGAGTGATGAGTATCCACATGGGGAGTTTGCCCTGGTGGCTGTTCTCGAGGCTTGACACGAGCCACTCCATGTAGTGTTCACGGTCAAGGAGTTGCTCGGCGTAGAGATGTGTTGCCAGCCGGATCCTGTCGAGCCATTAGGCCGGGTTTCGGGGGGGAGGGGGGGGGGGGGGGGTTACGACGACTTACGCATAATTCACCTTTGCTTTCCAGTCCTCTTCGTCAAAGGCAAAAGCGACGCCCTCGATGAACTGCTCAACGCAGATAGTCCATTCTCTGACCCACCTGGCCTCGCCTCCCATGAGATAGGGCCCCTTTCTCTTGGTAGCTCGCAACTCGTTGGCACCGACACACTTTGTCAGCCAAACCGCACGATCGGTGGGCACGTTCTTGTTCAAACACTGATCGAGCATGACCTTTCCCCGGATGCCGTGAGGTATGGTTCGACTCAAGCGGCGGAGCGAGATGGCGGGGTTGGCCAAATCCTTGAGCCACATTTCACGCTTAGTGTCTGTGAGGGTGACGCGAGGAGGGGGTTTGAAAGTGGAGGGCGCCGTGATCTGCCCCCCGTGTCTCCTCTGCCCTAGCACGCCCGTGAAGATAGTCGACAGCACGTGCAACCCGCTTTTGTGTTTGAGGGCTGTTGACAGTATGGATTTGGCCTGCTTCGATTCGTCCTGGGCCGGGGACGCCTTATCAAAATGACCATGCCGGATGATGGACTCGGACCACTGATCTTCGGGATGGCCGCCAGACCACGGGAAGAAATCGGCATGGCCGACCAAAGGCGGAGGACCGAGATTACTGCCGGCACCCGAGCCCGATCCCACGCTCGCTGCAGCTTCGTTCTTGCCAAGGACATTGTACCGTGGAGCGATCGCGGGGATCTCGACGGTGTAGGGTTTCGGACGGGTGTCCTTCTTGGCGGTGGTTGCAGCGGCAGACGCAGGTTCCCGGCGAGGCATGTCGACCGTGAAGCGGTGGCGGCGCTGGGGCATGGGCAAGGGAGCATCAACGTCGAGAGTAGGGGCTTGAGTCGAGAAGCCAGGGCTCATGTCGCTCAGGTCCGAGGGCTCGGTTGGCGGTGCATTGCTGCGCGAGGGAGTGGCGGGCTTGGAGGACTCGATAGCGTTGGGAGACTCGCTGAAGGCGATCTGGGTGATGACAGAGTCGGGAGTGCCGTGGGACAGCTCAAGCTTGAGGCGCGAGCCACCCCGGCGCTGGGACGGGAAGCGGGGCTGCTGAGCGGCATCTGCCGGATCGGGGGGGCCCAAGTCGTGGAAGGTGGTCTCCTTTCGAATCGGCGAGGGAGGCAGATACTGCTGCGATAGGGCACGCTGGTGCGCCGGCGGCCGCTGCGACAGGCTCGGGTTGCTGAGCTTGCGCTGGGGCGGCCGCTGCTGGACGCCCAATGGGGGCCGGGAGGTCATGGTTGGGATAGCTGCCAAAGCGCCATGCCGCAGGATATCGCAATGGTTGAGCTTTAGGGGAGGGGGCCGTGAAAGCCCGTGGCCGTTGGAGCGCCGACGGCGGCGGCGGCGGTGGCAGCGACGACAACGCCAAGGTCGTCGACGACGACGACTGGGCCGAGGGTGGGACGACGACGATAACAGACGGGATGGCGGGAATCAAGTGAAGTCGGACGACCGACGTCCCAGTACCTTGGCAGACGGCAACGTCGCACTACTGACTGCTTGCTGTCGCGAAGCCGCAGCCTAGGCACACACCTGCCGACACTAGACTAGACACACAGAAAGGGAGAGACGGAAGACGAAATGGAGCGGCAGCGGCGAAGGACGGGACTACCGTTCGCTATGTTGGCATTCGGTAATGAGGCCGCTCAGAGCAGAGGTAGGACGGGCCAGAAGGCGGGACCAGGCGTCGGAGCCGGAGCCCTCAGGAATGGAAGTCGACGATGGGGTCGGAGACTGTCGTCGGGTCGGGTTTCGCCTTTCGAGCAAGGTTCCCTAGCACGAGGGAGCGCTTTGCAAGGATGGCGTGCGCGCCGCCGTAGTTGCCCGCGATGCCGACCGACTGCGCCCGCGGCTCGATCTGGGTAAGCACTGGGGCCACTGGCTGGGGGGTGTTAACGTCGGGCTAGGTGGGCGAGAGGGTACCTGGGTGTCAAGTAGCTCAGGTGCGTCCTGGGCTGGCGACCCGTTTGCTGCACAAGCCCGACTGCCTTAGCTTAGCGCTTTTACTACGAAAACGGAGCTGCCGTGCAGGGGTGTGTGCCTAAAGGCATGGCCTGTGCTGGGCTTAGGTTGATAATAACTGTCACCGAAAGAAAACCTAGGCTTCTCTCACTGAAACGATCAGCCCGACGCCAGACAAATACAAGCCAGTGTAGGTAAATAAATTCCCAATTGTTGGGATTTCCATCAGTACTAGCAATAAGACACTGCACCTTGCACTTTCCGCCGGCGAGGGTTACCCCAGCTTTCATCCCGGGTTTCGCAAAGCAAACAGCTAACAAAAGGTCCCGAGCGTGAGATATGGAACTTGAGGTAATGATGCTAGGGAGGGCATTACTAAGGAATTCAGAGGAACCGGGAGACCGATCTCAAGTTCCAGTCCATCCACAGGTGCACGTTCTGTATTGACAGTCGTATCAATACAGACATACGGAGTGAATACTTTCCATACATCTTGATCGATCTAAGGGAGGCAGGCCGGCTGGAACGCTTTCCCCTCTCCCCGCCCCCCTCGGTGGGCTTTCCCGTCCAGTAAGACAGGTCCGTTGTAACCCCCCGTGCGGAGGGAAGACCCCACTGATGATCGGTTCCCCCGATAGTGAAGTCTCAAGATCGTGCGAGGGGAGATAGCCGTTTGTGCTGATGCCAGTGATGCTCTTTACATTAGTCATGATAAGAGACCACTGCGGTTTAATATTGGGATTTGGCCGACCACATGGGCACGGCAACACGCATACCGCTCAATTACAATGGCCTCCATCCGCATTCTTTTGCCCAGGTTTTACGTCTAGCCCTCCTGTCTTATGCGATGTACAATGGCCAGGAGCTGGCTAACTTTTCTGCCGCTCGAGCTTGGACGCATACCACAGCACGAAATATTCTCTCAATGCCGGACTGTAGGAAACATAGCATAGCTAGCCGCCATTCGCCAGACGCCCATGCGGTAACATGCAGCATGCACGCTTTGGGCTTCCATGTGCGGCAAGCGACGGCGAACTTTGAGGAACTCCCTTGCTTGGACACGTTGAGAAATAAACCGTCGTAGCACTAGATCACCATTCAGGGCAGCCCCACCTGCCTTGTTGGGGCCCTAGTGCAATTGCATTTAGGGGCGCCCCACAAATGCCCGGGGCGGTGGCTCAGGTATTTGCTAGCGTGTTATCTATACTTGGGCCGGGCCACCGACAATAACAAAAGCCCGTAGAAGTAAATTTGTCAGGGGCTACGAAAGATATAAGATAAAAGATACAAGCCGATTAGATTAGATCTATGCCAAAATACACAAGTACCAGTATGTAAGGTATTTGATTATAGTTTTTGTTGCAGGCTAGATTTGTGGCGAGAGCGAGTGGAAATCCAAAACCACGGGATTCCATTGGGCAACTGACAAATAATTGTGGAGCTAGATGGCCTGCCTGGTGTTGCTCGCGGTTTAGCTTGTTACTTCAACCCTGGTGGCACCAAAGCACGTCTGGCTTCTAGTAATATTGCCAACTTTAAAAACAAGACTTGCGCCAACGAGAGGAATCTAGAACAACTCAATCACCATGGCGTCAAGAAAAGAGAAAGACATGCGGCGACCCGAGCTAAGTGAGCTGCCCCTCCAGTCCTACCTAAAGCGCCACCGCGGACCATGCGAACTCAAGAAGCCAGCTACTGACCAAGGGTCACGACACAGTTGTCCCTTACCAAGAACCGGTCGCGAAGGGAGAAGGCGGCGATTTCGGATCGACTCTCTCGTCGACCCTGCCCATGGCGGCTATCTTCATGCGCAACAAATACATCGGATGGTAAGTCGACGGATGTCCTTGCGCTCGCCGCGCCGCGCAACTTTGGCATGTGCATTCTCTACTTCAAGACAGGGACATCTTGCCTTTCCACCGCCCGCTCCGAGAGATCGCGCCTGCGCATCGCTTCTACCATAGCCTTGGCCACAAGGCAATTGAGCAGCTGACTTACCATCTTTTTATCCAGGGCGGCCGTTGTCTTTAGCGTTCAGAGCTGGCTGGGCGAGAGCGAGGAGTCGCAGAAGAGCTCTGGCACACCCGGTTACTTCTCTGTCGGCATGTCATGTAAGACACCGCTTCCTCCCATTCACAAGTCAACTCGGATCAAGTCCCCCCCAGGCTGCACGAAGCTAACTGCGCTTGCTCACACAGTGATGTCTCTCATGGTCACATACCTCCCCCTCTTCCTTCCGCAGCAACCGAACCTGCAAAGAGGCAGTGTGACAGGCGCCGCCGCCGCCGCCCCGGCGTAGAGCAAGTAGAGACCGGTAACTGGTGGCGAGACCGAGAGCTTGTACAAGTCTGATGAAACACTATATATAATTCCGTCCCTTTGGACCAGCAACTCTCGCTCGGTCGCGGAGCGCGAGGGGTGTGTGTTAGGTGCCGAGGTGTAATATACCCCATAATTGGAATATGGAAATTGAATAATACAAAGGCTGTTTTTCTTGTTCTTTTTCATGAAGATTGCCTTCGACTTAACCTTGACCTATTTGGGCACTGGAATTGCATCCTCACTTGAGGACGGGGGGTTAGCGTTGAGGTTTGACATTATGGGTGATAAGTAAGGTCGATCGATGGAATGGGATTCAACGTTTACTCTGTATACCCAGTCTCTACTCCATAGCCCGGGCCGAAAAGACAAGGGGGGAAAAGAACAAAACAGAGTACCTACATGTAGGTACTCATTGGAGCGTGAAACAAATGTTGACCAACCACAACCAACGATAGCTCAATATCGTATCGCAAACTTGAAGCCCGCGACCGCGAAAAAGGTAAAAAAAAAACCGACATGTCCCGGCGCTCTTTCAATCTCTGAATTGATTTCCGAATCTTGCCGCCCGCCACCGCCCACAGCTTTCCCCATTCCATCGATCGACGTCAATCCTCATCCGCTACACCTATAAGTACGCGCGCTCCCAAAAGTCGCACGATGCGTTCTTCCGGTCCTTTTTCTGCTCCATGGGGCTCTCCTTAGATGTCTCCTTAGATGCAGACGACGGCTCCTAGGAAGATGACGGACTTGATTTGGAAGGCGGACAGGTAGAAGATCTCCGCTCGGTGTTCTTCGCCTTCGCCGACTATCTATTAGATAGTTTCTTCCTGTCCTGTGAGTGGATTCTTTTTTGGCACCCTACCCTCGAAACTTGAATTCCGACCCACGAACTGACAACAAGGATTGTGTCACCTACGAGTAGTGAAGGCCTCAACCAAAAGGACGCCTCAGCCCTCGCCCGCATATCACTCCGCCGTCCTTAGAGCGTAAGGATCTGGGCTGCCCTAGGGAATTGTGGGCACACCAGAACGTGTTTCAGCTCTACGGGGCGCGTGCCTCGTCCGGGACCGCTACCGCTGCGTGGTCTCGCGGGGATTCGACTTCGCTAAGTCATTGAGACGTTTCGAGCGCGACGGCAACGACCCCCAGGACGACGGCGGACAGCACTTGATCGAGGAAGAGAGCGAATTTCAGATGCTGGAAGTCGCCCACAGTCTCCCGCATTCGCTGACCAAAACCAACCCAGGCGCTCAGCTGGTTAGTAGTATTTTACCCCATTGCCATCTTGGCCTGCAGTTTACTCTGCCTAGTCTTTCTAACAAATAGCCTACTTATATAGGACCCATCTAGAGAGGCCGCCCTTGCCATTCTTAACATGTTTGACATGGGCGTTGCCTACCTCATCGAGGGCCTTGAGATCGACCGCCCGCGAAAAGCAATGACGCTGACGGCCACTATCCATTAGCAGTTTGGTGACTTTCAGATCTACTCCGAGCAGCCAGCAGCCGCTCCGGGCCAGCAGGATCCGCCGCCACATACGTACCGAATCGGCTCGTTTCTTCCCCGCAGATATTCCGCAGGAACCCTCTCTCCCCAACTCGGACGCTGTATCTGTCTGAAAACCGAACGATCGAGCCCCCCTCGCCGCAGCTGCTAGCACTTCACTGCGCCATCGCGCACATCCTTCACCTCTCAGCAGCGGGGGCGTACATCAATCGGATACTCCAGGATGTTGAGGAGCACAGCATAAGGACTGATGGCTCAACCGAGCTTGGCCGTCTCGTGGCCCTTGGGTTGAATCAATGGGCCTGTGGGGTTGCAAGTAAGGCCCTTAGCGGGGGTGGTTTGAGGGCCGAAGAAGACCACGAGATAGTGAACCAGGCTGGGGGGGGGGGATGGCGATAAGTTGTCCTGGTGGAGCCGTGGCCCCCTCCTCCGCGAAGGTAAAGGCGCTTCTTAATCCGTTGGACCCGTTACACGCGCTACCTGGTGAGGGAGGCACTGGATGAAGCGTTACCTGGAGGCGGGATAGCAGAGGTACCACCAACGCCTTCAACCTATGGGGAAGGATTATTCCTCTCGCTGAGGCATTAGTGGCGGCGGCCAAACTTGAGAAGACACTACTTGGCCCGAGCCGAGGCTAGGTAGCCTTGATGAGCGGGGCCGGGGCCGATCAAGACCCTAAAGGACATCCGATGGCCACGCATCGAGACCTCTAAGTGTAGGTGCTTCTTCACCAGCCCAACGACTTCCCAAGGAAAGGCGTAATGGTGGAATATGAGCACCTCTGAACCATGTTCTCACTATACCATGTGGCGAGCCACTGACACCACCACCACCACCAGCGTCCAACCCCGCGCCAACTGTCTGGGACCACCGGCGCAAGCAGTGTGCCCCCCCCCCCCCCCCCCCGGTTCCGCGTTGCGGCTCCGCCCTACAGCACCAAAGTCCGAGCCGCCGACAAGCGAGATGATGGGCATGTCATGAGGGCAGGCCGAGTAGCAGGGGACGTTGATAGGGGTCGACTCGGCGGTGTTGATGACCAAGCAGAACTGTATATTGTATAACGATAGTCGTTTACTGAGCGGCGAGCTATAAACGCTTGGCCGCCTATGTAACTACAGTAGCCGAAGACGTTTTAACAGTCGAAGGAGACTCGCTCACAATTAGATCTCTTGAGCATCATACTGCGAGATTCTAGCTCCAAGACCATGGTGTGTAACCGTGAATCGGGATGCCCCTTTACTTTAAATTGACACTGGCGCGCTACGATTACAAAATTACAGTACCCGTTCAGTTCGCAATACAGCGCTAGTAGGGACGGCAGTAGCTAAGACATGGCTGCTGGTACTAGATAGGCTCACAGGGAAATAAACCTACCCTTAGACCATATTAGGTACCTACATCTTGAGGGCGGTTGAAGGCGTCAAAATAGCGGGTCTGGGCTAGCCAGAATTGGTGCAAAATATCTGGCCATCGATTGAGGTGGGGACGCGGAGGCGCTGCGTTGCGTTGCGTTTTAAGGTAGCGTTACGTGAAACGGTCGCAGGGACCCAGGGCCACGCCTCTCACCCGCCGCCGCCGCAGCGCCTCTGAAAGCCTGAACCTTGATTAGTTCATCAGACGGATGGCAGGTCTTGTTTTTTTTTTTTTTTTTTTTTTTTTTATCGCCGTGCATCCATTCGGTAATTGGGCTGTCTAATATCCCATACTTATGATCTTGTTTAATTCCACAGAACTTTTAGTTGGTTCTCGCTTTTCTTTTTTGTCTTGTTTCCAGCGTTTCATGACCTGAAACCCTCGCATTGCTAATGGTGGAGGTACTCCGTACCCGTGGAGCCATTTCGGACCTTACGGCCGCCCCATGCCTGGCCCAAGTGAAGCCAGGAGGGTTTCAGATGGCGACAGGTTTAACCGCCTCTCTCTCTCCTCTTCCACGACTCGGTCTCTGTTCCGGCCGCCCTTTCCCTCTCGTCTATTTCTCATTTGCGTGTGTTGCTGTTATCCAATTTTCGCTGCAGGAATACGTTCGTCTTTCCGCGCTTTTTGCATGTGTCTGTGACATACGCAACCTATACACGCACACACGTCTTCGATTCTTTCGCATAGCAGCTGGTCTGGATTGCTCTTGATATCCATATTTCCATACAGCTTTTCTCTCTGCACGGCATCGGGAGAAAAGGACCTTTCCAACAAGAGAAAATAGAGAAAGAAAGGCAGAGCTGTCTGTCTGTCCTTCAGGATGAAGCCCGTCACCCTCGCCGCCGCGGTCCTGTCGATGTGCCTCTCCCTCGCCAGCGCGGGCATCGTCATCACGCCCATACGCCCTGAGCAGGTCGTGCCCTCCAATCCCGACGACTGCTTCTTTGGCGTCACGACACCAAGTGGATGCGGGTAAGTAGTCGAACCACTTTACAGCCTGAGGCTTTTGAACCCGCTGGCTGACTGACTGACTCACCCCTTGCAGACCTCTCCGGAGCTCATGAAGCCACGGCTCGTCCCGGTTCGCGCGCCGCGTGGTCGGGACTGGGCCCGACATGGGGCATTGTTGTCGTCGTCGTCGAGATGATCCGTTCCGGCAGGATGCATTTGTTCGTCTGGGGCTGTCAATAACGGCCACGGACGTTTGTCGAGAGTTTGTTTGGTTATTTGGCACATATGCGCGCGCACATACGCAGCAACCCCCATGATCGCGATGGACCGGAATTTGGAGTTGGGACCTCATGAAAAGGGGAGTTTGGAACTGAACTAGCCTGTTGTGGCTGAGAAAAGTTGAGCCGAACGACTTTCCGAGTCGTCGCCCTGTGTTCGAGCCGCTGGTATTCCCACTCGAAACATGACTAGGACTCGAACCACGTCGTTGGTTGTTTTACTAGAAGGGGTTGGCTGTTAACTTGTCCCTGTCTTGGAGTCTTTTGCAGTCAACTAGCAGGTGTGAGCGTTTTGTGTGCTATTGCTTCATCTATTTACCTTGCTTCTTTATACATATATATACATACATACTCAAGAATATGCACATATCGCTATACTATCATGGCCTGGCCAGTATTGATCCCTCCCTCCATAAGGTCTACAGAAAATTGGTCGATTGTTACTTGTCAAACAAAACACGAAAGACGAGAAGCAACGCCGAGCAGAATTTTAAACGTATTTTCCTCTTTCTTTTTCTTTTTCGTTTTCCCCTTGAAAGCAACAAAAACATGCCCGGCCCCATCCACAAAATGCAATGCGTAGAGGTATCTCCATGTGTATGTGTCTGTCATTGTAAATAAATGTGGGAATGCTGGTTAAAGGTAAAAATATAAAAAATCTCCCGGAACACCCCGTCCCAAAAACCCAATCGCTCCAGATCATCTCTCTATCCACGGAGAGGAAGGACGAAAAGATATTAAAAATAATATTGAACTCATGCAAAATGCCCAGTGGTATGTACGTATTTACAGAGCGGCTGCCACAGCGACGGCCAGCATGGCAGCGGCGGCGGCGGCGGCGCGCGAGGCCGACTGGCGCCAGTTGGCAGCGGCGTTGGGCTTGGTGGTCGACCCGGAGCTAGACCCGGACGTCGCGCCGGGGTCGCACTCGCCGGTGAAGTTGGCGGCGCCCGTCTTGGGGATGGCCTGCTCGTTCTGGCCGCAGTTGGCGTAGGGGGCGATGGAGACGGTGTCGGTGGTCTGGTCGAAGACGACGTAGACGGAGCGCATGAAGCTGTCGCCGAGCAGGACGGGGTCGGTGGCGGTGCCGCCGTTGGTGGTGGCGCCGAGGATGCACGTGTCGCCGCCGAGGTCGACGATGAAGTCGTCGATGGGCACAGAGAAGGTCGCCGTGTTGCCCGCCGTGCCGAAGGCGAACTGGAAGTTGCCCGCCGTCTTCTGCTGCGAGCACGGCACGATGTACACGCCCGACCGCTGGCTGAACGTGGCGCCAAAGTCGCGCGCCATGGCCTTGGCTACGGCGTCGGGCAGGTAGCTGAGCGAGGAGCCCGAGTCGAGCACGACGGCCACGGTGCCCGTCGAGTACGTCTTGGTGTTGCCACTGCCGCGGTCCACGCCGACCGACGCCAGGGGCAGGTAGTAGCGGTTGATGTCGCCCGTGAACTGGGGGCCCAGGATGGCGTGGGTCGAGAGCTTGCCGGTGAACTTCTTAGTGTCGACGCCGCCAAAGATGATGACGCCGCCATCGCTCGCCTTGTCGCTGCCGAGGGCGACGCTGAAGGCCTTGCTGTTGGTCACGCCCTGGGACTCGAGCTCGTCGATGAAGTTGCTGTAGTTGAGGTTCGTGTTGAGCCCGTAGCTAAGGCCCAGGATGCCCTCGTTCAGATCTTCGGTAGATGTCGCCATACCGAACTGGGCGTTCGTGACCGAAGCCGCCTTGGTGCCACCAGGCAATGATATTGTGTCCTTGACATAAGAGAGCTTCACATCGCCAATGCCGTACTTGATCGACGTCGTCTTCGCCGAGAGACCGGATTGGGAGCTCGTGCTCGACTTGGTGGGATCGTATAGACCGTCGGCCAAGCATTCTTGGGCCTGGCTAGCCTGCAAGCTCGTGTCTTGGCAATCGGGATTGACCCTGCGGTAGAAGGAAAGAAAAAAGCGTCAGCGGCTGATCTGGGTCTTGGCCGTAGTGTTTCAACTTGGCATGGTGGTAGATAGGGCATTACACACCATAGCTCGTCGGAGCCAGTGTCGATTGCGACTTTTACCAGCTGTCCTGGCGTTCCAATGCTCACTAGAATCTCAGGCACGCGAATTAGACCGGGTCGGCGAGAAAACCCCCGAGATATACTCGACAGAAAACATACGTTGGACGAGATAGCTCGTATCAGTAATGTTGTACAGCGTTACTGAGGTGTCCCTCTTCCTCAAGGGCTGGACGCGGTGCACCTGCTCGACTTGGAGCGAGTAGAAGTTCTGGGAATGCCCTGCGTCTCTCGGCAAGACAGCAGCAGCGCTGCCGACGGCGGCGAGCGCCAGGGCGGGAAGAAGCGCAGCGAGACCCATCGTCGGCTTTTTTTCCGGCTCTTCTTTGCGGGGAAGAACGAGGTTGAGCAAAATAACGAAGCCGGGGAAGAAATAAAGGGGGATCCATGATTTAAATATCCCCCCCCGTGTTTGTAACTAGCCTACTTCATACATACCTGAATGGGACGAGCGGCAAGACTACGGATGCTACCTTTCAGTTGGGCCTGGGCCTGGACACACAAACGCGGCACAAGCCGCGGAGAACGGCCGCCGCTGTGCACAATGGGCTGGCAATCACTTCGTACTGTACGCGCCTGGCCTGCTCTTTTTGACCCAATACGCCAATCACAGACACCTGAGCTTGCTCCTAGGGTCTGGGGCTGAGTGCACTTGGGCGAGGACACCCTGCCACAGCCTAATCAGACAAAATGTGTTGGGGCAATACATAGGCCGACAGGTGCGGATCGGAACTAGCGCATGATAGTTGACGGATCAGTCCAGCTTGCTCTGCTCTGCCAGCTCGCCTGTCGCTCTTTGTCCCTTTCAGCGGCCTCGGGTCGTGCAAGCCGCGGTCGACCAAGGCAGCTGCGCCACTGCCATTCTGTGCATTGAAATCCCGGGGGGTGGCGGTATTTGGCCCTCAGCTTAGCTGCATGCACAGTATACATGTTCAGACGGCTGGTGTCACACCAGGATCTAGAATAAAAAAAGTCGTGGCCAGGAGACCCGTCCAGACTCCCATGAGTCCAGCGCATGTGGTGGATTTTCAATCATGCAGGGCATAATAGCGGGGCATTCAGCATTCAGTCAGCCGTCAGCCAATCCGTCAACTTGCGACCCGTCTGCCTGGCAAAGCCGGATCAAGTAAATTGCCGCTTTGTCGGAGCATCCAGGCCCTTGATGGCTGGCCTCGCCTCTCGTCATTCTCGCTGCCCGCAGTAGGCGTAGGCAGTTAGTGCGTGCCCCCGGATAATCCAGAATGGAAATAGGGCTCGTCAGCCAGATGCCACGCAATCTGCCACCATCTCCTTTCTCTCTTCCCTGCGTTGACGTGTCCGTGGCTCTCTCCGTGCCGGCCAAACTCAAACTGCTTCCATTGGATGGATGGACAGGGGGATGGCACCCTGAATCCTAAGGAAACCTTAGTGGCGTTTTGCGGCTCAAACAGCACTCGGCTGAGGCAGAGCGGCAGACAGATCTGGAAGCTGGGAATGATGAACAGGCCGACTTTGATCTGATCAACGAAGGTCCGAGCCCTTGAAGGATTGAGGAGTGGCAATTCAACAGCCCCTGTTTCCAAATACGTCGTAATTGAGAGCAAGAGTATGTTGGTAGATTCTCTGGGGCCCGAGTCTGGGAAGCTGCAAAGCAAAGCAAACGACCGCCATCGCAAGCAAGCCCTCCCTGTTGCTGAGTGGGAACTTTGTTATCTCGGGCCTCAGAGGATTTGGAGTAGGGTTCTTACCGCCGTCGCGTCGTCTGTAACCGTGAACAAACACACAATGTCACAGAGTAGACACGGCAACACTCAACACTGCATCGCCAAAATGGAAGCTGCGATTGGATTTTATTTCTTCCACAACGCACGTCGTTCGTCTAGCCATGAGATCCCCGCCTTGGCAAAGCTTAAATCTCAAGGCTGTTTACCTCCAAGTGTGTCTTTGGTGTTTTAGGTTCCCTACTAGGTAGTTTTCCGAGTCTGCGGGGACCCGGACTCTTGTCTACCTAACTTTGACGACAGACGATCGCATTCTGTCGCACTTGAAGGTAAGGTCCTTCCATTCTTTATCAGGTCGTTCTGGTATAGGCCAATTGGCTCTAACACACGTGACGCTACACGTGTGGTGTCGCATCGAGGAGGGTGCCATGAGGAAAGTGGAGATATATCTAAGCCATCTTCTAATGACGACGCCTCGCGATTGCCGCAGCAAAGCCTCTTGGTTCTGCGTTGCCAGCTGTCTCACGTGTGCACTTAGTTCTGCTCCAAAAATAATTCCATAATAGAAGAGAGGGAACTTTTAGCGGCAAAGGGCGGCCTCCGGTCTGGAGGCCTGGAAGGTCATATTTCAAGTGCCGGATAGGTGATGAGCCGTTGCTGAAGTCAGCCCAACCGTCGATCACTTCTCGACGAAAGGAAACGAGAAGCACAGTGTGAGGGAGCATGTTGTTTTCCTTCATCTGCTCTAGGAGCGACTTCCACAGTTAGATCTGACGTGAAATAGCTTATACCCAACACCATGCACACACCAAAAATGAACTCAATTAAGAATTTGCCGCGGTACAGCAAAAAAAAATAATAATATCGATTGAACGGCACTGGCAGAGTTATACCGGGCGACGAACCTTCACGCCGCCACGCAAGATCAAAGGTGAGAGAACACATCTGCCCTGCCCAAGGCTGCCTCTAAACAGCAGCAAAGCACCTTAAAATATCACGACGTGAAAACTTCCAGTCTGGGAAGTCGGCCTCGACTACCACAGATATGCAGTCCCCTCCATATTTACATGCAATAACAACCCAGATAGACAAACCAACGCAAAATTGCCAGAGATATCTTTCCTCAATTATCATTAAACCTTCCCTAAATTCGAACCCCATCCAATCCTCTTATAACCGCCCTTCTCTTTTCTCTGCGGCAAGGCTGATGGTCAAAAACCTATGCGATATAGCCCCCTTAGCAAGACATTTGTTGTCTTCAAGCAAGGTCGTTTGTCTTCGCTTGCCGCCCGGGTGAGTATAACCTGAACTGGGCGAATATTATTAGATCCTCGACGATAGTCCCGAGGGAGCCCAGCAGCCATGGCAGAGCGCGGAGGATGTAGGCCCTGTCCTGCGAGTACGAGAGGACGCTTGCGCCGTATGTGAAATTGCCCGTCAAGGATAGCAAAAAGAACAGGAGGGCGAGCCCCTCACACGACTTCTCCTGGTAGTTCTTGATGATCTGAGGGATGCGCGCACTGTTTCAACGTTGGAGGTTAGCAAAATGGGCATACTTTTCTTTCTCTTTGACATTACAGTCTCTCTCCTGAGCCAGACCGCAGAAGACAACGAAACCTGGGACATACCAGAGGTAGCACACTGCACTGAAATATCCCAGCGCCAGCCCAATGACAGCGGTCGGCTTGGCCGCCGCCGGCACATCTCCCGCCCCGCTATCAGGAAGACCGTCGGCGACATCCCAGGCGCCCATCTTGTACCCGATGAACCACCCGGCTCCGCCAACAACCCAGACGGCTAGCAAGCTCAGCGCATTGTGCAGCCAGGGGTTGCTGTCAGGGGTGTCGTCCTCGCCAGTGATGATGCGCGTCAGAGGGTCGAGATTGCTCTCGCTGCGTCGCATAGAGTGGCGGCGGTGTGAGCCAGGCAGGCCGAGCGAATCGCTGCGGCGGCGGTGATGGTGGCTGCTCCTGCGGTTGATGAGTGGGTCGTTCTCGGAGGCGGCGCCGTGCCCATGTCCGGCTTCATGCTCATCCTCGTCGGCATCTTCAACTACCGTCGCATCCGTGTCCTCGGTGGCCGTCGACGAGCCTCGTCTCCGCTGGGTGCGGGAACGCCTCCGCGCATTGAGATTATTGTAGTATGTGCATTGGGTGATGAGAATCATATCCGCGAAGCAGAAGTAGCACGCGAGAGCAACTGTGGAGGGGGCAATGCTTGTCCAGATTGCGCCTGCGGAAACGAACAACCGTGTTAGTCAGTGCGACTAAGCTTCCGCGCGAGCGAGTGCGCAAGACACAAAGACATTGGGACACACACCTAGGAGATTGGATAAATCGCCTAGCAGCCATATGACGAGGAACTTCATCGATAGGGCGTCGGCGCTCTTGGCCTTGTAGTTTGCGATGAGCTGGGGAAGCTAAAAGTAAGGGGGCGCACCGTCAGTTCCCGCAGGACTCAACTCTCGTTTGTTTTGCCGTGTGCACTTACCAAGAGACATATCCACGCAGTCAGGCTAACGCTCCCAAAGACTCCCGAGAGGGCCTCGCCGGCGTCAGGTGAAGCGAGGACTGCGGGGGCACGGCCGCCCGCCACGATAAGGAAGTCCATGATTACTCGAATATCGACCTTCGGTCCAATAGAAGCTGAGATTTGTAGCAGACAGATTGCGAATGCGGTGTCTAGGGCGAGCAACACAACCCAGTTTTGATTGTAGTTATGGCGATGGGAGACTCGAACAATAGGTCCCGAGTAGGGTGGATCGCGTGTCTTGAATGATCATCAGCAGGGCGGCCATCACGAGTCAGTTCATGGCGGAGAGGCGGTCGGGGTTTTGTTATCGGCCCCGCCAATCTTGAAGATAAGGCCCTGGAAACCCTGTGCTCTGCTGTTATCGGTCTGGATTACATAACATGTAAGCTGCACGCCAAGCCATGGAGCCCTGCAGCGTTTCCCTGCAGCGGCTACCTGACCCCGGCCATTCGAAATAGTATAAACCCTTCTGAGTAACCCACTCTTCGGAATAAGCAGAGGCTCATTCGTTGAATGCGATCATTCATTTGCCTGTCTTAGTCCACAGATGACTTGTCTTATGAACAGAGCAGAATTCGGGAGCTGTTGAGAGCTGATTAACTGGCCAAATGTCATTTGCTGCAGCAGGACCGAGCCAGGAGATCACGCCGAGCAAATGGTCGCCGCACCATCGCCTGTCTAGCAATTCACGGATACCTCGACTCCTCTAGCTCTTCATGCTCCCAATCTTTGTATAATGCAGCTTTCCTCATAGATCTCTCTTCGACCTCTTTGGTCTTGGCCTCCGTCCTTTCTACGGCTTCTCTATAGAAGATGTCCCGTCAGTTTTGCTACAGATCTCTTGAAACCTCTTCTCCGTCCAGTCGAAGACGTTGTCATGTTCGAAACCAAGGTACGAGTAGCGCGTAGAAGTCGCACTCCTGCCCGAGCCACCGTACTCGTGGGATTCCGGCCCCGCCGGATAGTGCCTCGTATGTATCCTTCTCGCCTCGGAGCGGCTCGGGGTCATTTCGAACATTCGTGAGCTTTATAGCCACTTCCTCATCTGATTGGAAGTCGGTCCCTAGGTACTTGGGTCAGCGAGGGGCGGAGCAGCTAGGAGCAGCGAGGGACAGCGCCGTACTGGAATAAACAATGCCAAAACCTCCAGCGCCAATCTTGCAATCAACGCGGTACCTGTCGGCGATGAGGATGTCCTAGATGCAATGTGGGCAGTTTCTAGCGTATGTTCGAAGAGTTAAAGATTCTGTACCTTCATTCCGAAATGTCAAACGCGTACGGAATAGAATCTTTGTTCGCACTGAGCCGGGCCAGAGGAGAGGTCCCACGCCACCGTCGCATCAGCAAGTTTGGGTGACGGCGGTCGTTTGCCAGCAACGCGGCAGAACTTTTCCCATACCTGTAACCTAAGGTTTTTGGAACTACCCCGCACCTCGTGTCATATTCCCGTTTCAAAAGCGCCTAATGGTTAGCTGACACCATAACTTGAAGCGTGATACCCGACCCGACGGCTCTGGTAAGTAAGGAAGGCAACGCGGTCAGCGCTCCCACGCGGTCTGTGTCCGTGCCAATCATTCGCAACACCACCCGCGGCCCTGTAGGCTGTAGCCGCTAGCTCAGTCTGTCCTGGCCATCAAGCACGACCTGAATGCCTAACCACGCCGTCTCCCTTTGATTCGAAACCTTCGCTGCTCATGGCAAGAGAGCAGCTTCGAAAGAGACCGCCGTCCCAATAAGGAGAAGATCAAGTCGATAGGTGAACTTCACCGCTGCAGCTTTCCACCGGAATTCTGGGACGGCCTGTCCAAAGTTCCGCTCACGTCCAGCGCAGTGCTCCATGGCCCGCGGCACCTGCAGTGTGTACGACCGATCGCGCTCGGTTTGCACGACGCGGCGGCCCAGATCTTCGCCATCTCCGAGGGGTATGACTACAACTACGATCTGCTTATGCGGAACAGGCGCTGACCTTCTGTCTTAGCGTTCCATACCGGAAAGAGTTGATCGAACCGTGGCTTCTGGCCACTCTACCTCAAGCCGGCGACCAAATCGACAAAGTTGATAAAAGCTACTCCTAATACATCCAAGAGGTCGTCGGCATACGACAAGGCGTTCGAGCAGCATCTTAATGACAACAATGTCTATCTGCACGGCCGAAATCGAGGCCGGACAACAACGCAGACTCGCATCAGACAAGGCCGTCGCTTTCACGGTCCAGGTTCTCCGACGGCGCATTTGAACACTTTCAGGACGAACATGATCATCTGGGCTCCAAAGGAGATGTCATGCGCAGAATAATTCCAGTCATAAGCGGCAGCACGAATATCCCCAACAGTGGGGATGTACTTTTTAACAATCTAGAGTCCATCACTAACAGTACTACGGTCGATTTGAAGCCCGACTTCTACGACGGGGCTCGTTTTAGTGACATCGATGCAACAGTGAGGTAAGACTTGTCAGACACAACGCAACTAGGTGCCCAGCAGCGCCGAATTTCTTCCTCGAGGCCAAAGCTCCATGGGCGGGGGCGGACATCGCGAAACGGCAAGCTAGTCTCGGCGGAGCAATCAGCGCACGCGCGATGCACGCCCTGCAGAACTACGGCGACGAGGAGCCCGACTTCGACGGCAATGCCTACAGCTACAGCTCGACCTACCACGCTGGCATAGGTACGCTCTAGCTACATACGCATCTCGTTACTGCGCCGACCGCGCCGGGGGGGGCGGCCCGATTACCACATGACGAAGCTCAGAGGCTTTGCTATGATAGGTAGCCGTAAGACGTTCAATCAAGGAGCAACGGCATTCCGGAATACTAGGTATTTGGCACAAGAGTATCGCGACCGTTTCATACTCGTAGCTAATACAAGAGCGCCAGGCTAAGCTAGAAACACCACCAGAAGCAGAAGTTCCAGCTGCCGAGACACGGCACTATGAAGAGTCTACTTGTGAAGACTATGTCGGGCCGCAAGCTATCGGCACTGAAAACTACGCGGCATCTCATGACTTGGACGACGGGCCGGCTCTTACCCTGTATGCAGAGGGCAAGGAGCCCAGCCAAGGGTCTACATCGCTTGGGCCCGAACCAGCCATGAGCTTCGACACGAGCTTCGGGTCCAGCTTCAGCGCACAGAGGCAGACTAGTTCGAAGCGAAACAGAGCACCCCACAGCCCGCCATCGAATGCCCAGCCACACAAGAAACACGGCTCGGCTAAGAGGCGGACACGCCAGAGTGCATCTCGACGGACGGCGGGATCGTCCACACGGGCCTCGGCGTCTACAGGGTCTGCCGTACCGCAGCCGTCATCAAATAGGGACTACTGAGATTGGAGTGACGGCCAGCAGAAGTGGTACCACGGGACTTGCATATAGTACGATGGGGACTAGTGCTGGCGCACCGTTCCGAGAAAAGTCGTAGCAAAGCCTCTCCCCCAGACACAGTGTCACAACGCAGGTGTCCCTTTCCCTTGATCAGCGCCAAAAGTCAACACCCTCCCCGGTGGCACAGTGGCCGAGTGTGAAGACCAGAATAGTCGGACGACAAGGCTCTGCCCGAAACACCGTCCAACTGTTTTTGCCAAAGACTGTCCCACCCAGGCTCCACCAGCAAGATGTTTCACTCATGGCCGTGCTGGCGCTCCCTAGACTTCCCGTCAGAAGATGACTTGGATGGCCTCTTTCGCGTTTGTTTGGGTGGAAAATCAGCTTCGGCACGGAGGTCGAGCAAAGGCGTCTTATTCACACGAAGGCGGTGGGAAGGCTGTCCTTTGCCGTACCAGTGAAGAATTGCCCTCGCAAATTTAGGGCTCATGTCAAAACTGCTTGATTTAATAAACCTATGCACGAGTCGAACGGCGTCTTCCACCGCCAGAAGGCCTAGGCGTCGTCGGTCATGACTGCAGCCTCCAGCAGGTGGCGGCCCACGGGTCCGGCGCGGTGCGTGCCGCAGCCAGCGTGCGTATTCGGGAAAACTGGCTTTCTTTCCAAACTTTTGCCGATACGCGTGGTCAGAAACGTGTCCAAGATATATCTGCAACGTGGAATGAATGGCCAGCAACTTAACCCACACGTGTTTCACGACAACTCGAGTGATTCCACATACAGCAGCTACTAATCAGGTCTGCCACCGCGCAAAGCGGCTGCCAAGAGTAGTGATTGGTATCTATGTTTCACCTAGCTATCTTACCTACCTTCCCCCACCTTAAATCCTTAGAAGACGAAGAAAGGATCTCAGTGAGACCCTATCTAACTATGCGAGCAAACAGTCGATTGTTTCAATAAGCCTATTTTTGGCCTTTTATTCCATCTCTGTTCAGTAGTAATGTCCTCGATACACAGGAATTTGGACAAGACCGTTGCTGGCACAGATCCAACACCGAACAGGCGGCGTAAGCACGGGGCTTCGAATGGAACTACGTGACTTGACTTGTTACGGCCACGGAACCGTAAGGCCCACTGAGTCTGCAATAGGCCTACGGGTGCGTGACTATACTACGTATCTATAATCTAGTTTAGGTTGCCAAGCTAACGAACTCGCAATCCTGGCATCCTTTGGAAGGTTTGGCGTAGCGGTAGGGTTGTTTTGTTCGCTAGAGGCCGGACCGTCACACGGCTTCCCTCCTGCCGGGCCGGACCTCCTGATTTTCCGCGGCAAAGCAAATAAATGCAACATGTATCCGTATATGTACGTGTGTATTTGTATGGCATCCTATTTGAGCTAAGCAATTGAGATGACGGTTTTTTTTTAAAACTTTATTTTTTACGGAATATTCAAAGTTGACGAAAGAAAAGAAGCGGCCCGCAACCAATCCTGGGCTCCGTTGGAGATATTCGCGAAAAGGGAGTGGGAAATGTGGGGGAGGGGGGGGGGGGGGGGGGCGTGGTCTAGACTCCTGTATCTCATTCGTTCGAATTCCGAAAACCCCGTTCCTCCGCCAACTTGGACGTGGGCGGCGGCTCGCGGCTGAGAGTAGAATACGCTACTGGCCAAGCTATTAGGATTGAGGCGAGCTGAACTAACGAGTTGGGCGACGGTCAGCCAGCCTGTTGTAAAAACCTAAGATGCCGTATATTTTGGCTGAAAGCCAACCTTCAGCTGGCTCAATTGTCATGAAATAAGCTCTCATCGTTTTTTAACAACGGTTGTGACTCACCCGTCTTTGCACGGATCCACGGCGTGCTCAGTCTCATCGTTCATCTTGTGCTAGTCGTGTCGCACGGCACCTATCTGTATTCCAAGCTGAACTCTGAACAAACGCAGCCAAGATGAAGCTGTCGCCGCTCGCCGTGGGGGTGGTAGCCTTACTGCCGAGGTTTGCAACAGCATGGGGTGGTATGGACATTCCTCTGCTTCATGACTGATCCTTAAAACCCAGAGCGTCGACGAACACGAGACCAAGCCCAATGCTCACATTCTGTTGTCACAGGATTTGGACACATCACAGTTGCGTACGTCGCGAGCAACTTCGTGGCAAACAGCACCACGGCCTTCTTCCAAGGCGTCCTGCGCAACGACACCGAGGACTATCTGGCCGGGGTCGCGACGTGGGCGGATTCCGTCCGCTACACACAATGGGGCAGGTTCTCGGGGCCCTTCCACTTCATCGACGCCGAGGACAACCCGCCTCACAAGTGCGGCGTCAAGCTGGAGCGCGACTGCTCAAAGCAAGGGTGCATCGTGTCCGCCTTCGCCAACTATACCGTCCGCATTTTGGACGGGCGGCTGCCCGAGCCAGAGCGCGAAATAGCCGCAAAGTTCCTCATACATTTTCTGGGTGACATTCACCAGCCTCTGCACACCGAGCATGTCGCCCGCGGCGGTAACGGCATCAACGTTACCTTTGGCGGTGTGAAGTACAATCTTCATCACGTCTGGGATGTTGAAATCCCCGAGAAGATTGTCGGCGGTGTTGGCAAGGAGCATCCGTACACCGAGGCTCGGCAATGGGCCGACTCGCTGACTGAAGAGATTCGCTCGGGCAAGTTCAAGGCCAGCAGCCAGAGCTGGCGGAAGGGGATCAAGTTCTCGAACCCAGAGTTAACATCGCTCGGCTGGGCGAATGAGACCAATTCTTATGTCTGCACAACAGGTATGTCTCACACCACACACACGACAGGCACAAACGTCGTTGAAGGGAGTGTGATCCTTTGCCCCTCCGACCTAGGATGCACGAGATGTTGTTTGCTAACGTGTTGGTTACACTCGCTTCTCAGTCCTGCCGCTGGGGCCGGAAGCCATAGTCAACCAGGAATTAGGCACGAGCTACTACGAGAAGGCTGCCCCTGTTGTCGAGGCCCAGATCGCAAAGGCAGGGTACCGGTTGGCAGCCTGGCTGGACTTGATTGCGTCCAAGATCAACAACCAGATGGCGGGTGACTTGTGAGGGAGGGGACGACGAATATGCGTCGGTTGTGTTGGACGCGCCGACGGCGATCTCGAATGTCATGATTACGTACGTGTGTCCGTGTGAGTGTGCGCATGTATAATAAGTATGCGCGCGGATCTAAATCCGTTTTTATTCCCACTCAATGCGCGCGGCTTTTGTTTGAGAAAGGGATCATCTGCGATATGTGGTTTGGGATATCGTTTTGGCTTGGCGAAACAATGAGCTCGTTCTTTTTCTACCCAAGAGTCTGCGGCCCAGGGAAACACGTCGTGCGTGATCTTCTAGTTGAGCGCTTTTGATAGCGGATGCATGAGTGTCAACTGAACAAGGTAGCTGCTAGCCCGCTATGTGGTGTCGGTGGCCGACGTGACAGCAGTCGCCTGGCTCTGACAGTCCCTCCTGGTTTCGTTCTGGCGATCTCGGCGTCGGCAGTGCGACGATGAGACTCGAGCTTTGTAAAACGCCAAGAGAAACTTGATGGCATAACGAGAAATGTGCCGGCGAACCGCCTAAGACCACCTGGGGTAGTGATAGTGGTCCTCATCACAGGCCTCGGACTTTCAGTGCTTCTCCTCGTAATTAAAGCAGAATATGGATACTAGTTCCGAAAGAAACATGGGATGATTCAACGGGAAGTCTTGATGACGGCCTGGATTCTCTAACGGTACTAGTAGTTGTTGCCATGCTCCGTACTGATGGCTCAGGGAAATTTTGGTGGAGAAATTAACGAGTTCAGGCCAGGAGCTTGTCTGCGTCTCATCTGAGGTAGGGTTTGCACATGGGCCAGTTTGAACGACCCTGCCGTGTTCCGTTCTGCCATTGCGCGCTTCCGCAAGGCCAGGCCTACCAGACTCTCGCATTTGGAATCGGAATCCCTTACTGAGTGATTGATACGGAATGAAAATCCTCCCAATCTAATGTGGGCGGCTGATGACGGAGAGCGTGTCTTGCAATTGGGTTTGGTGACCCAGAGCTCAACTGAAGATGAGCAACCCGAGCCGAACGCCCCAGTTGGCCAGCGCCCGTGGCCGCCATTCGCCTGACGTGAACGGTGAGGTTAATTGGCCGGCCACCCAGCGACCGAGAGGCTATGTTAAGATCCTCCTGGGCAGCGCCTAGTTAACCAAAAGCTAGGACGAAGGCCACGGTGAGGTCGGTTGGTCTGTGGTCATTCAGAGAGCATGGTGGCTCAACAAGACTTTGTCTGTCTATGGATAGGTAAGGGAGCCAGGCGGCCTTACTTTTTGCGCGTTGGACGGTATGTGCATACCTAGCTGGGGGTCCAAAATGGCAAAGGAGCGGCCAGCAGGGCATAGCGAGCCCCATGAAGCACTTTGAGGTCGTACTCAGTACGTGCCTGGTTGACATGTTTCGGCGAGGTTGCGATGGGATTGCAGCGTTGGGGCGTCTTGTTGAGCAAGGCTTTCAGCTACCTACCTTACTTAGTAAGGTAGGTAGGTAAGGTATTTCATGGTGGAAACAGGAGACCCATGTTTAGTGTTGCAGCGCGACAAGCCTGTAAACCTCGCGTACTGGAGCTGGAACAACAAGTGCTGACAGGACAAACGGTCCCTGTTGTATGTATGAATCAAGGCTCAAAGAGGCCAAGACGATAAGTGCGAGAGACGACGATACATATTGTAGTAGAGAAGGAGCAAGCTTATTTCCGTAGATCCACACTGAATTAACCCTGGGGCGCCTCGGTCTCCCGCATCGGTGTGGGCGCGGGATTGATGAGGCCGAGGTCATCGCCAAGGAAGAAGCCAGGCATCAATTGGCGTTGGTCCCATGTTAGTGGTGGTCGCCCACAACCCCTCGCTGGTTAACAGGGCCAGGCCAAGGGCGGGACTCTGGCGCGGCCGGCAGCTTCCCGCACAACGATCTCCTCTGCGTGAACGAAGATGAACAAAGATGCACATCGCGTACATCTTGCCAAGACAGCTCCCGTGGCACACACGAGGGGGGGGGGCTAGATTTTCGGAAATGGCGGCGTAGAGTACAGGCGGCAGCGCAACAAAAACATCTAGACCAACCTAACCTTACTTCGTGGTACTGACTCTGCTGGGTGCCGCAATCCGCACCTACCTGTTCCGTTCCTGACACCGGGCCGTTCACGCATTGGCAGCGATACCCTCGAGGTTCTTTCCCCTGCGTGTTGAGCAATAACCTGCCAACCTGGAAGGCAGGGAGTGGTAACTGCCAAACCTTACCTACCCTGACTTCGCACCTTCCCGCCCATGGACTCTCCTACCAACAAGAATCGCTGCGGATACCCAGCTGGGCAACTGCCTGACGGGCAGCTAAGGCAGGCAGGGAGGTTGTTGGGTACAAGTTAGTAGCTTGCGGTTGAATCAGAGCAAAGCGTGGAATCATGATTTTCCCTTTCGGCTTCCGAGACAGAGACGTGGGAGACAAAGTTCTAGACGAAGAAGTGGAACGACTTTTTGGAGCGCGGGGCACGGAGTTAAAATGTCCCCTCGCTTGCGCTTCATCCCGAGACACAAGCTGCTGGATCGCCCAGCTGGGGCGGCTGCCATTGGCTGGAATTGGGACGAACAGGGGTCCGTCATCAGATCTGGCACAGAAGCCGCATCAACGTCAAGTCGACTTTTCCCAGCGACAGGGCAGAGCGCGCACGCACTTGGGATGGGGCTGGCGCCGTCAGTGCCTCCCTCTGCCTCCGCCGTCGCCGCCGCAGCCGTTGAACTGCTGCTGCCCGCGGGGTGCATGCTCGAAATCTAGGTCAGATTGTACTGAGGTAAGTATATGTCATACCCAAGGCAATGAGCCCGCGTGTTGCCTGGGCAAGTGCCCTGGCGCTCGTTTTCAACTCCAACACAGCGAAAGCACGGAGATTGCCTGCGGCACGTCGAGGCGGAGAGACACCAACCGTTGCCTATGGTGAGGTGGGTGCCGGCCACATTGTAGGCAGGCATGGGATGCCAGAATAAGGTATCTATCTCGATGCTGTATTCCCCTTTGTGTGTGGCCGTTAACGTTGGCCTGCCTGCTCGTTGGTTCAATACCTGGCCACCCACTCACGGGTGCGCGGGTACCTGACTGACCAGACCTGACGGTGGTGGTGGATGGAAGAAGAAGAATTCCCCGCGCCTTGGCCTGGCCCAGCCCTGAGCCGCCGCCGCACGGCATCATGGCCGGTCCATGGGGGCGGGTGCTTGGTGCTTGGTTGCTTCGTGCTTCAACACCCTCCCCAACTCCAAGTACCCCATGCCCCGTGCACCCATGTCTCCCCCCCATGCCGTCCCAAGGTTTGACGCTATTTTGCCTCGCTGTCAGATCCCTCCCCAGCTCCCTGCACGGCGTTTTGGAATCGTGGAGACTCAAGCCTCCTCGACTCCTGCTCCGGACTCCTGCCGCTCTCCAGCTCGATGCAGCCTTCCTGGTCGTCGCAGGCTTGGCATGAGCCGCGCCCAGCCCTCGAAACCTCTTGGCCCGCCGGGATATAAGAAACAAGGTCTTGGCTCTCCCTCCATTGCCCTCCTCCTGTTCTAGCTTCTCTCTTATATACAAACCAGTGTGCCTTTCCCGTCTTTTGTCTCTCTTATGCCTTGTTCTTTCGTCTTGCGGTGGTAGTGTCTTCGCTTCGCCTTTCGCTTCGTTCGTTCCTTTCGACCTCTTCGTCGCCGACACCAGCTGTCCGACACCGCTCCTTTTCGACGCTCTTCTCTTCTACGGTCTGGAACCAACTATTCGCTTCTCTTCGCCGCGCTCCCTTACCCGAGGACCCTAGTTTCTCCTCTCGACTGCCCGTCGGTATCTCCTGTTGATATAAACTCGTCCGAGCTTCACCCAACCCGCCTTCAACATGTTGATGAAGACTACCTTGGCCGCCCTTTTGGGTTTGGCCGTGGCTGCCGAGGCGGCTTCTGTTAGCCAGATCCGGTCGCCCATTGCTTTCGAGAGACGACAGAACAACAATAATGGCAAGAACAACAATAATGCCAAGAACAACAATAACAACAACAACCAGAACAATAACAACGCCAATGCGGTCACCACCTTGGACCCGGCTGTCATTCAGACCGGTTCGCAGTCCACGGGTCAGAGTGGTGCCGTTGCCGCCGATGGCCAGGCCAACTCGGCTACGTATGTTTCTGGCATTCTTTTACCGTCGATGAGGAACAACCAACTCGGGGCAAATCCACTGACACTAATCACAGCGACAATGCCAACTTCATCAACTTCTGCAAGGGCCAGACTCTGACCAACGGACTGCAACAAAAGCAGGGCTCTTGCAACGGCATCGGTATGCAATATATTAGTCTGCTAAACCACTTGGCACCTATGCTAACAATCTGGAAGTCATGGGCAAAATCCCGGCCAACACAAAGATGGTCTCGACCGTCATCACGAACCCCAAGAACAACGATGTCGTTCAGGAGAACCAGACTTTCAACATCAACCTCCAGATTGCCAACTTGGCTGCCGGCTCCTTCACCAACGCCACCAGCACATACTATTCGGCCCCTCAAGACTTGAACGGAGCAGGTCTTATCATCGGCCATACCCACGTGACAGTCCAGGACACAGGAGCCTCGCTGAACCCCACGACACCGCTCGATGCTCAGCAGTTTGTGTTCTTCAAGGGAATCAACGACGCCGGCGATGGCAAGGGTGGCCTCAGCGCCGTGGTCACTGGTGGACTCCCTGCCGGCAACTACCGTGTCTGCACCATGTCCAGCGCGTCCAACCACCAGCCTGTATTGATGCCCGTTGCCCAAAGAGGGTCTCAAGAGGACTGCCGCTTCTTCACTGTTAGCGCCAACGCTGGAAACGGCAATGCCAACAACAACGCCGGTAATGCCAACAACAATGCCGGTAATGCCAACAACAACGCTGGAAACGCCAACAACACCGGGAACGCCAACAACGCCGGTAACGCCAACAACAACGCCAATGCTGGAAAGGCGAACAACAACGCCAACGCGGGCAAGGCTAACAACAATGCTAACGCGGGCAAGGCTAACAACAACGCGGGCAAGGCTAACAACAACGCTGGAAAGGGCAACAATGCTGCAGCTACTACAACGGCTGCCGCAGCTGGGAAGGCTACCGCCACTGCGGCAGCTAACGCCGGCGCGGGAAAGGCTAACGCTGGCGCGGGAAAGGCTAACGCCGGCGCGGGCAAGGCCACGGCTGGTGGCGCAATTGCCGGCATCGCGGCCCCGGCGGTGACGGACACTGGCAATGCCGATCGCAAGTTCGCTGTAAACGGTGACACCTTTGTCAACAAGGCGGCGGCCGTACAGCGGGCCTGCGCCATCCAGAACAATGCCTGCGCCGACGCCGTCAACTCGGGCAAGGCACAAGGGTCAAGCGTCTCCGACTGCAACGCACAGGAGCAGGCGTGCCGGACAGCTGGTGGAGCGTAAAGACACTACCCTGATTGTGTTTTGTGTTTTTTTTTTTTGGGCACCCATGTACGCCCCCTCCTCGTTTGCCCCAAGAACCCGTTGGTTGGATGTAGCCGATGTTGGGCCCCTCTTGCCTATTCACACGGGCAAGAGGGAGAGGGCAAACGGATAGCTCTGTTCGTGTCTTGTCCTGGAAGACAAACTACGAGAGAGTACCTGCTGTCAATACTTCCGTTCATGATGCCATGATCATGAAGCCCATCTCTGCGCTCCAAGCTCCGGGCCCCCCGGAGCAATCTGGCAACGCTCACGAGGGGGCGTGGGCGTGTGTGGGCCCCATTTGTGCTTATAATTGGAGGAGGTTACGGTACATGATATTCTTTTCTATGTAACGACGGCGACAAAAACCCTGTTGGATTTTCTCTCGTCCTTTTTTCTTAATGTCGCGGTTACCACTACTCTGTGTGTGTTTACGGGTTTTTGCAGCAGGCAGGCGTCTTTTTTTATCATGTCTAGAGAGAAAGAAAAATTCTTTTCATTACGGATTCGGATGGTGAAAAGAACCGAGGACAAGCCAGCAACAAGAAACGAGCGAGTTTGACGATTTTAGAGAGGGAATTGGAGAGACACTTGGGTTTCTGTTTATTTTTCTGCGTTTTCTTAGGTGCTCTCGGTTTACTCTCTCTTTCTTGGCACTCACTCAATTTTTTTTTCGCTTGAAACCTCCTTTCTTCTCTCTTTGCTTATGTCTGTAAATAACCTACGTACCTATACCTGAGCTCAGTGCATACCAATCAATCTACCACCGCTACTAACTAAACTCTCACGCAAAAAGTGGCTGCCTTGGTGCTGCTTTCCCCCTATTCCTGCTGTGCAGTGCAGTGCAGAATACGGTTCCTTCCGTTCCCCCCTTGTTTAGGGTTGGCACTTACCGCACCCCGAAATAAACTCATATCGGGGCGCCAGCGCGCGTCTCAGCCCGGCGATCGGTGAATCTCGCTGTTCATGCGACGCAGCGACACCCACTCCGGGAGGACCCTCTCCCGCGTCGGAGAATGGCCCTGCTGAAACGGGGCACCGACGGCTGCCTCGCCGCGATTGGACCGGCTCAGCCGACTGACGTACATAGTACAACAAAAAAGGACAGAAACCCACAGAAAATATGTTTTTTTTTTTAAAAAAAAGGGAAGGAGTAAGGGAAAAGAGAAGGAGGCAGGGTCCGTGGGATTTCAAGGGTCTCGATTATTTTCTTTTGCTGTCTTTCTTCTTTTCGGAAACAGCGCGGGTTTCCTTTTTTGCAGGGCATGTCGCTGCTGTATAATTCAACGTTATCGCTATAACTCCAGGCTGCGTGCGTCACGTGTAAATTACTGGCGCCGAGCGACCTCCTTTGGAGTGTCGTCTTCGCCCCTTCATTTCCCAACGATTGGGAGTTTTCTATTTCACAAGGGAGGTTGTGACCTCTGTGGAAACAGAGTCACGACAGCCGCAAAACGAAGCGAAGCGCCTCCGTGAATCAGTAGTGCCTCCATTGGACCTCTACGGTACCTCACTAAACTCGGGCCTGCCACTCCACACAATTAGTCCCCAGCCTCTCTGTTCCTGTTGCGCTTCTATCCCTCTATGGCCCTCTGGCTGCTTCCGTCTTGCTCTTGCTTTTGCTCTACATAACCACCCGGGTAGTTCTCCACCAGACGCTGGATCTCGTCGATGACCCTACCGAGTTTGTGCACATATTGTCAGCTGCTTATGCCCTGGCTCACTCACACGTCTTTGTTTCATGTAATAGGTAAGCGGCTTACATTTGAAGATACTCGCCGTTCTCTGGGAAGAAGGTGGCGGCGTGCAGATTGAACCGCACGGCGTAGAGCGCGTTCCGGTCGTCGAAGTCTGCTACGGGCTCGGCCTTGGGCACGATGGCGAAGTAGGCCCGGAAGTGCTCCGACGTGAATTTGTTCCGCGCCGGACGCCAGTTTCCAAACTCGTCTGTGAGGATTAATTGCTCGTCTTTGGTCAGCGAATATGCCTTTTGCAGGTTACGCTTGGGGGGGGGGGGGGAAGGGGGGCTTTACACTCGTTATGCGCCCAGAAGCTTGCCGGGTCGTAGACGATGCAGTCCTGGCTACCGCGCCTGTTGACGACGACACCGGCATTCCCGCACCACAGGTCGCCGTGCACGAGCGACGGCTTGATATTCCGTCCATTACTCTCAAGCGGCCGCAGCAGCCGGGGGATGACCTTGGCGAACAGCGCCGGCAGCAGCGCGTCGAGCCTGGCCTCGGGCCCGGCCCGCTTCTCGCGCTCGTGCAGCACGTGCCGCAGCCCGCTGGCATAAAACGCCTCCCAGCTGTCGCACCACGCGTTGTCCTGCGGCAGGTCGCCGTTGTACGTCGCGCAGTGGAAGCCGAACTTGCCGCTCGGCGACGTGTGGCTCGAGTGCAGCCTGGCCAGCTTCTCGCCGAACGAGCCGGGCTCCGGCAGGCCGTCGACGAAGGTGTAGAACTTGCAGATGTAGAAATGCGCGTTGGGTTCAGTCTTGAGACTGCCCCAGGCGATGGGCTTGGGGCAGAAATCTGGCGTGATCGCGTAGATGACCGATGTCGCTTCGAACTCGCCCTTTAGTGCCTCGCGCCCGTGGTGGCCGACGGATACCTAGACGACGACTCAGCGCTTTCTCCCTACACTTTACGGCACGGAGACGTGCTCGAACCTTCATGAAGTAGCTCTCCTCGCTGCCATCGGTGTGCCGAACATCGATGCGCGTGGCCTTGGCCCAAGCAGACTGCCCAACTTTGGTCACGCCAAGTATCTCGGAGACATCGGGCAGCACTGGGGAGATGTTAGTAGTGCGTCTTTTGAACATCGGGCTGTCTTGGAGACAGCAACTGACCGACGATAATGCTGGGGTCAATTTGAAGCGGCTGATTATCACTCGGATTGCCAGGCAAGACGGCAGGCAAAGTCGTCTCCATGTCGTGAGTAGACCAACATAAATTTCAACTATCACTTCAAAGCCAGTTGAACTGCGTGGGGTTTCTTTCACTGATGACAATATCGAGATGCATATACAGCTCGAAATTCTTGGAGCAGCTGATACGATTCTCTTGCTTTTTTTTTTAAAGCTGTCCACCAGCCCAGATACGGCCGTGTCACCTCGGGCGTGTTGGGCCATTTCGTGGGTCGAGGAAAAGGGGCACAGATGTGTTGGTGGTGTTTTGTCCGTCGGGGTGTTGTTCTGTTCGCTGTTAGGTACGTATTGGATGGATTCTTCCGCGCAATTTGAAGCGGCCGCCAGGCCGTTGGGGGCTAGGTATCCATTCGTATTCGTGTAGGCCCGGGTCTAGGTTTACAGAGTATCCGTACATACATACACCCAGCTCTCTTCAATTCAAGCCAAAGAGCACTTGCAGCCCCGCATCAATTTCACACTGCTGTCTACTATTGTACAGCACGGATACATAATATGTAAAGTGCCGTGTTTCTGACGTTCCCGCGTGATGCTGCCTCACGACCACGGTTGCGGCCCGCAAATCGAGCCTTGTCTGACAGCCCTAGTTGCTGAGTGAGGGCTGTGGGCGGCGGCCCTTTGCTGTCAAGGAAAACGGCCCCGCTCTAAGTACCTTACGTATTCGGGATGGGATGGAGGGCGGGAGCCCCTCTGGTGGTGACGTCAGGCGGTCGCCCGACCGCCTGACGGAGCGGCTGTGATCCCTATCTTTCTCTCGTGCTTCCTGCTATATTCTTTCCTGCTACGCTTCCTGCGAGCTCTCCCCTCCTTATTCCTGTGCGCAACCTTGCGCGTGCTATCGTTCAGGGCTCTTGCTAGTTGGGCCCGACCTAGAGTATCACTCTCGGCACACCACTGGCGGGAGCGAGGCGATTTCAATACCGCCAAGGGAAGGACGAGAGTGGAGTCGAGGAACTCAAAGTCAGAGGCTTGCAAAACTTAGTCGATGGTCTTTCGATTCATTGATCTCGTCGTGCCTCTTTCACTCATCAACAGATGCAACGGACATTGAAAGGAGGTTTAGAAAGCCTCTCAGGGGGGAAGGGTTCAGGCCATTTCTCCGTTTCCACCAGCCCACCGCTATCTCCGCATGCAATCCCCTAGCCGAGGTCTTCCTCCCATGCCCGTCTCCTCTTCTGTCCCCTCTTCCGTCCGCGCCTCTCCTCGTCCTCGTCCAGGTCGCTATCAACAATCCTAGGCGGCCATTCCTCTTCCTGACCTGGTACCGACGATGGTAGCTCTTTCTCTCCGCGCTTACGCTTGGTGGGACTGGCACTCCGTGTCCGTCCACCCCCATATGCCTTGAAGAGCGCGTCGCCGGACAACTCCTCCCGGATCACCTCCTCCTTCATGCCGTCAACGACGAATCGCGCAATAAGGCGTCGCTTCCGGGCAGTAACGAAGGTCTTGACGCGGATACGCACGGCCTGGGCGAAACGGGCGAAGAGAAATTCGCGCGCTGCCCCGCGCAGATGTGGCACCTGGATATCGTGGTAGAACGTGGGAAATAGGGGCTGGTTGTCAACAAGGACATGGACGCTATACACGATAGTAGCGGTAGTGGTGGCAGTAGCAACGACGGGTTTAGGGACCAAGGCGAACCAAAAGGCGTCAAAGGTCGGCGTATGCAAGTCGCGGCGTAGCCAGAGGAGGTTGCAGTAGTCGTCGATACTTGGACTAACGCTTGTACCGTAGCGCGACATACCGTTGTCGTCAAACCACGACGTCTGCGCGGTCGGGGCGATGTGGGCGCTATCCAACGCCCACGGGAACCGTGTGATGACGCACTGGGCTGCCTGCGCTGCCTCGGTTGGGGCAACGGCAGGCCAGGAGTCGGGGAGCTTGTCGTGTGGGAACTGCCAGTCTTGAAAGGATGGTACGATGGGATAGAATTCTAAGCTAAAAAGAAGGGGGTTGCGGTTAGTAATGGACACCAAACTTGTAATAGTAGTGTTACGTGAGGTACATAAAACATGTATGTATTGCATATGGGTAAGACTCGAGGGCATGGCGTATATATTGTTATCCGCATACAAGACTCGAAACAATACCGTCACCAGGGACAATGAAGAAGCATTTCCTCCCTATCAGAATACCCTCGAGAGGTATCAATACTGGCTGTATCCCCTTCTTATCTAATGCCAAGTAGCCATCGAAAGCGTTGTTTGCGACAACCTGGGCCGCAACGAGGACAGTCTGGTGATGGACACCATAGCTATGGGATAATACCGTAGTTTCGCCTGCCAATGCGCCTATCGACGAAGGGGCATCATATGTTGGGAACTCTAGGGGGCTGTCGCTTTGGGGCAGAGGGTCGACGCAGGGGAGCGAAAAGATAACGTTGCTCGCATCGCCGTAGTTGGGATGGAGGACGAGTAGCGCGTTGTGCTGCTGCTGCTCGGGCCTGGCTTGTGGGGGGGCGCCAGGATAGGGATGGGGCGAGAGACACCGCTGCGGTCAATGGGACTTGGTAAGTCGGTATTCGTCGTCGTCGTCGTCGTCGTTAATATAGCTAGGTAGGTATATAAAGCAAGTTTTGTTGGAGACTTCTAGTCGTTCAAGTGTTCGCTCAGTGGCGGGCCTTGGCGCTAAGCTTCTGAGCACGGGCGGACTAGGTACTGTACTGCGTATGCGTATCCGTCCATTAGCGCAGAATGGCCAAGCCACAAACTAAGCCACATCCTTATACGGCTAACGAGTCAGGGCAAGATATATACGCCCAACCGAACAGAATATTTCATCTTAGATTTAGGGATATATAGTTCTGGTCGTCAATGAGTCAAAATCCATGGTTTTATCAAGTCGAAGGATCAAATACTGTTGGAATGACAAGGTCATTCGTTCCACAGTCACTGCAGTAACCGATGCGAATGGGGTGGTTGTGGTGGTTGTATTCTGGTCTACTCTATGTAAAAGGATCACGAACTACGGTAACAGGGTGCGCATTGGATTTGGCAATGCCCCGAGGCTACGTGATGGTTGCGCCTCGGACACGTACCGCATAGCGGCCCGTGTGCTGGTCAGCCACTGAGGCTGTGCATCCCGTTGACTGGTAGTTCCCACAAATACGCTGACCAAAATAACTTTCCACCAACCGGAATTAATTGACGGAAGTTATAACATCATGTGATCTACGAAAAAAGAATGGCACAATGTTAATCGACCAGTCAAATATTACAAGGCTTTTGAATGCGAAGGCTATGTGTCGTGGGGCGTCTCAGTAAAACCCAAGAATCTCCCCGACGACGCTCCTGTAGACCCCGTTGGGGTCTAACTGCTCTCGAACTGCCTTGAATCGGCGGAGGTGCTATTCGCCAGAGGATGTTAGATAAAGCATTTAGTTGGTCCAAATGCCAGTCGATGATACTCACGTCTAGATCTAGATTCTTGGCCGCCCATGTTAGCACTTGGCGGCTGTTCTTGGTCCAATGAGGTCTGCAGGGAAGCTCACTGATGAGGGTTTGTGCGAGCTTTGGGTCTTTACAAAACGATTAGCCTACATCGTGGAGATCGGAGATGGCGAGTGCTCACAGAAGGCCTCGTTAATCGCTTATGGTTGCCAATCGATGACCGGTATGAGGGGAAGTTTAAACATAATGGCTCCCTTGCCCCAGTCCGCGCCATCGGACGTATTATAGGTAACCTGGCCGAGGAGGTCGTAGTAAGGCTTGCCGACTGTCAGAAGAGAGTTAGCGTTGAACTGGCAGATACACGACGGAGGGGAGACGTGAACTTGATGTTGATTCCGCTGCGATATGTCGATGTCATGATGATCCCTTTGGAAAGCTCGGCGTCAAATAGCGTGCGGACGCGCTTCAACATCTTATTGGCCATGGTAACGGGGAACGCGAGCTCGAGAGTCAAGCCGTGCAGGTCATAGTCCCATTCTGGCAGTTGATCAGGATACAGGCCCCCAATCAGGAGGTCGTAGTTCCACCCATAGACCGGCCAGTCCTTGATCTCGGTGTTGTTTGTTTTTTTCGTAGCCGAACATAGCATGATCTCCCGTGGCATGATCTCCCGGAGCACTTAACATCGTCACCGACGTCGTTTCTCCCCCGAAATATGGCTATCTTTTCCTACTGCCTTGCCCAGGTACCGCCGCAGCTTGCGCTTTAGGCTATCGATGAATTGTCTTTTACCGGCCAGTTGCGCCGAATCTCGATTTAAATTATTTCTGTCTGGCAGAGAAAGTCTCCGCCAGTTATGGGTTGTTGGTCTGACAATCCGGCCACTCTGCAGCTTCGCACCCAGCTCCTCGGAAATTAAAGCATACGTCGGCGTCAACGGCGGATACATTTGGCTTCATCTTTTTCATTTCTGCTGTGCACTTGGCCCAGAGACTCTAGGCTTGCTTTTCCTTTCCATTGAATCTGATTCTAAAAATTTCGTCGAGCAGTGCGAATGTGAAGATGGGCGGGCTGTGGTGAATTTGGATTTTAGGCGCTAGAACGAAGCCAAATGATGTGAAACTGTACAAACTATGTGATGATGTATGGCCTTTCTTTCCCGGTAAGGGAAATGCATCGTCGATACCGAACCTAGAATGTCGGTCACAGGCAACTTGCAGGAAAACACAAGTCCCGCCATGGAAGGTGCAAGACGAGCCCCTTTCCCTCCCACTGTAATGTACTTATCCCAACTTTCCACTTGCTATCCCCAATCTGCTTCTTGCTGCACACACATATCGTTCTGTGTATAGTTTTCAACTGTTAATTCATTGTCCAGAATCAGAGCAAACAATCGGCGCCGTCTATCTGCCAGTTTCCTCCAAGCACGTCCGAATTCCACCTTCCTGCGCACATTGCGGAACTCACATCGCGGAACTCACATCGTTATCCAACCCCCACCTGCAGAGAATGGCGACCCAAAGCAGGCCAACGGAAATGAAGGACGCCAACGAACGTCTCAGTGACAAAACGGCAAGCGGAAAACTCGCCAAAGAGAAAAAGAGCCCGCATAGAGATATACTGCAGAGGGGAATCCCGGATGTTTCCACGATATGTATTTCTCCCTTGGCAGATGTTTATCTGGCCATGGGACTCACCGAGGGCTTGCTGGAGATACAGCGGTGCCTTCGGGAATATCTGAAGGGGTTCATGAACAGTCTTCCCAGCTTCTTGACCCCCGAAGACCAGGTAAGTGAACCAAGGGAGGGTTTTTGCTGCCGCCCTGCAAAGGACTGGTTGTTGTCGGCTAAAAAACGAGGGACTTGCAAGCATGTCGTTACGCAGAAACACCACCGCGAACTCCAGGATACCATCGACGACTTGTGCGACGTGTTTCGTGAGGCCAGGCACTTCAGGCCGATGGGGCCGAACGACATCATGACGGACGTCACGTTCGGCATCATCGCCAATGTGCGCGCTCACCTCCAGAGAGACGTCGAGATCGGATCGTACATTGATGCGGCGGCATGGTGAGTGCAGTCCTTCAGTCTCCCAGATGCATTCTCTCAGACGTCAGACCTAGTTTTACTGACTGATTTATCTGCTGGCTAGGCTTATGGAGACAGCTAACGTTGTCTTCAACGAGACGTGGAGGAGAGAAGACGCAGAAAGAGCGCGAAGAGCAGCCGTAGCAAATGGGAACGGAATACGAGCTAGACTTGCAAAGGATGCTGCGGAGATAAGAGCCTTGACACAGCGAATAAGACAAGAATTGGCTATGCATATGAAAGAAGGAGTAGCAAAGATGGTAAAAGCGGAGAAGGAAGAAAAGCAAGCAGAGAGAGCAGAGAGGGCTGAAGCAAGGAAAGCAAACGAAGCAAGGTCTTTGGAGGAAGCAAAAGAAGGGTAGAATAAATAGGTGCTCGACGCCACTGGGACAGCGATCAGCGTCTAGTGCAGGAGAAGAGGAGAGTACATGGTTCGATACGTATAGTTCTCAAATGAAAGACAGCGTTCCACAGTTATCTTTACTCAGGTTGCTGACGTTGCCATGGCACATATAAGTAAGGCAGGCAGGGCAGGCAAGGCAGGTATCCGTAATGTAAGGTAGTGATGCTGCCGCGAATTGTGTGAACGCCCCCGTACCAATGTCGGTCAGCAAACAATTGTGTGTTCTACACTCAGCTCTAGAGGGGAGAGTTTGTGGAGAAATGACTAATTGCGACGACACTGAGGTAGGTTCTCATCTGAGTAATTATGACCGATAATCTAGCCACATGATGGTACAGTGCTACGTTTTTGCAAAGAAAATCTAGCTTAAGAGAAAGTAAGAAAATGGAAAGGCCTTGCCTTGGGATAAACATGGATTCAGGACAAAGGGGCTCCGGGTCAATCGTTGTCGAAAAGCACTACCTCGGAAACGGCCTGACCTGACGCTGCTGCGGCGGCTGCGGCAGGCGTCACAGCAGACCCCTGCGGCCAACCCTACCCCCCCACCCTCCTCCCCCCAAACTCGTCGCCGCTCCTTTGGCTGCTTGGCGGCGGGTTTTAGTGGGCTCGTTGCTTGCGCCACCTTCATCAACGTCAATCCATCTGGGTCCCCACGACGGACACACCATCCGACACAATCCCAGTTGTGCAGACTGTTAGGCTATCTTTCCCCATTCACCTCTAGAGAGACAATATATAAGAAAGTAACAGCGTGTTGTGTTGTTCTTCCCTCAGACTCGATTCGATACTCCTACCGCACGCGAATTCTGAAGCGCCGCCCCAACATCTCAGGACCCAGATCGAAATACAGGCACGAGACCCAAGCCAAGGCCGCCAACACGCAACTTGACCATGGTGTCTGAAGACCGCCAACGGGTCATTGAGACCAACCGGTCTCTGCGACTGATCAAGAATGTGAGTCGTCAGTCAGAACTCTGGGTTCTGGTTAAGAGGCGAAACTATGCAATTCACTTTGCAACCTCTAGACGCTCGTCGCATCTGGGGCACTCCGATCATGATCAACCCACTGTCCCCTTTTTTATCTGCAAGAAAAACGAAGTCGCTAACCGCCCACGGCCACTTTCTAGGAACTGGAAGCGCTGCTAGAGAAGGGCGTCATCTCCGACACGGCGTTCGACAGCATCCACAGCCTGCTCCCGACCGAAGCGAGCATTTCGGGGGCGCCGGCGCCGGCACTGCGCGGGGGGGCCGGCGGTGTCGCCTCGGCACCACCGCCACCGCCAACGGCCGCCCTGAACAACCTGCACCTCGAGCAGGCGTCGTCGCCAGTGCCGCCGCCGCCGTCGTACAATCAGTCGACTGGCGGGCCGCCGCCGCTTCCGGGCCGCAGACAACCGCCGCCGCCGCCCAGCAAGCCCGTACTGACGCATGCGCGGGCGCTGTTCCGGTACGAGGCGTCGGACGCGCGCGACTGCAGCTTCGAGCGCGACGACCGGGTCGCCGTGTACGAGTATATGAACGCCGACTGGTGGATGGGACGCAACCTGCGGACGGGCCAAGAAGGCATCTTCCCCAAGAGCTACGTCGAGCCCGAGACGGCGGCAGCGTCGCCGGTGCCGCAGCCGTGGAACAGTAACCCAAGCAACAACAGCTGGGACGAGAAGAACGGTGCCGCCGGCGGCTATCCCGGAGCGATGCCGTATCAGCCGCCCGCCCAGCCGCAGTACGTGACGGGCGGCATGCTCCCCCCGCCGGCGCCCGGCCAGTTCAGCAACCCCTACAACGGCAGCGCGCCGCCGCCCATGGCCATCGCCGACGGCCAGCAAGGCCAGCAGGGCCAGCAGGGCGAGGAGAGCGGCGTCAGCAAGCACGGCAAGAAGATTGGCAAGAAGCTCGGCAATGCCGCCATCTTTGGCGCCGGCGCGACGATCGGTAGCAATCTTGTCAACTCCATCTTCTAAGCGACTGTGTGCTTGAGAAGGAAGGCGGTTTGTTTCTTTCGGGTCAAGTATACTGGAGATGCATTATTTCTTTGCTGTTGGCGGGTTGGAATTCATTTGCCAAGGGAGAGTACCTGCTCTGAGTTTTGCTTTTCCACGCTCCGTTGTGCTATTTGCCTTTTAATGTCAGCCAGAGGTCACGAACGCAGCACTTTAAAAAAAACAAGCCTCAGTTATTTATTTTGTTTCCCCCTCATCCCGTTTCTCGGCCATAGAATAGTTGCTGGTTGCTAGTTACTAGTTGGCTTTGTGGGCTTTGAGTGAGTGAGTACCTAACTGGGTTGGGATATCAGTTGCTGGGGGTTTGACTTTGTTTCCTCTCATATTCATGTTCTGGCGTACGCGGATTACGGGTACCTACCTAGGTTACCTACATTTTGCCTTTTGGATAGACCATATCAATACGTTACTAAACAAGCGAGGCATCCATTAGCCGTACCATCTTATCCTCGCCTCTCCCACCCTCCCAATTCAAATCCGACCAATATTTCCCGCAGTTATCTCGTCAGCTCATGGCGGGCTTTTGGGTTGGATGATTCATTTAGAAGGTGGTGGGCGCTTGCTGCGGGCCCAAACAAATCCTGGTCTCGTCCATTTTCAATACTCGCCTATGGCCTCCATCCAACACTCCCTGTTTAGTGGCCACTTATGAGGGGTGCCGGGATATCTAGGCTTGGCCATGCAGCTGGTTGCGAGGATTGGTTTCTGGTCAACTCCTAGGAGGCTTTGTTGACGACTGACGCACGGCAACCGCATTCCTACTCTGGGTAGCGGTGCTCAGAGGGCGGGAGCTTTGGTGGTAGTCCCGAACCCGTTATCAACCCTCGGGGCAGGCTAAAGAGACATGTTGCTGGGAATCACAGTAATCATGTGGAAGCCCAAACAAAAAGAACCTTTGCACCCGTACCCGGCTTCGCGCTGTTCGGGTTGGCGATGGAACTAAGTGCCCAGAGTGCACAGGTGGTCAATAGCAAGTCCGGTTCACACTCCTGAAAACTAATGGCGTCCACCCAGGGGGCTAAAATAAACAATATGCAAAACTATACATAAAGTAATACGTCATATCCTAGGCATTAACGGTCTCTAACTATAATACGCATCTTTTCCTTTGCCTTAGGGTTTTCATACATATTCTCTAAAGCTCTCTACCTAATGTTCAAACTCGGAATCAAATCCATCACCTCTCAGGCTTCCCCCGAGAAAACGCCATGGAGCACGTGAATAACTCGTTAACTAATGCCTAACGAGAAGTTAGTGCGGGGTACGGGGATTACAACTGTCGACACCCCGCCCGTTTCACGAATCGATTTTCTTCGAGACCGAGAGGCATTGACTACCACACCTTCTATTCAATTGGCCCTATCTAAAACCCATGCTAATGCGGCTTCTCAATACCTCTACGTTCCGCCTCGAGACCTTTGAGTCCGAAAGGGCAGTGCGGTACGCCGCGCTCTCGCACCGCTGGGGCGAAGATGAAGTCTCATTCGACGCTATCAACACTCCCGGTGTTGAGAGCAGGCTCCGGTACGCTAAAATCTGAGTGCACAAGGTCTCCTTTTTTCGGTATGCATGTCAAGCACCTCACCTCACTTGGTTGCCTTGCCTTTCCTTGCGTCCTTTCTCATGGTCATGTGGACAAGATACCTAAGATACCAGATATTCTCTCTCCAGTGAAGAATACAACGCAGTATAATTTAAGTTCAAGTGAAGCAGTGGATTAAATACTCCCACATTTCTGTAAATAAAACGATATGGGAGTTCTCGATCCAGTTCTGCCGATTTTCAATGTGTAAAGAGAGAGAGAGAGAGCTCTGTGCAAGCCTTGAATGAGGATTCTCATTCTTCCATGAACCGACACATTGTACATAGCCAAACCAGACAAAACACCTAGACCTCCCATAGTCTAGACTAACGGCAAGATAGACAGAGTAGAGTCTCGATGGGAGTCACGAATAAATATACTCGAGTTAGTCGGATGCAATGCCCCATATCTCGCTGCTACCCAGATTCCTCCATAATAATGACAAGGAGATATCCATGGGCGCGTGGCATCCCGGACAGCCCAGCCCATGGGGGCGGGACAGGGAAGGCTGCAGGTCCCCAGGGGGCACGAGATGGGACCTAGCCTAGGCTTGCAATCCACTGTGGTGTGGAGGCGGCGGGGCTGCGGGGAAAGGGGGGGTCCCTCCATAGCTCCTTCCAGGGCGCTGGGGTCCAGGCGTCATGAAAGATCGGGCATCGATCGTGAGGTCATTGCGTCCAGATGTATCTATTGGAATCTCCCTGCAATCATTTGATGAAGAGGTTAAGCGCTTTGCGTTAGGTACTTGTTCGAATAGGGTTCAATCTGGCAGTAGATGCGCGTTCTGTTCTGTTCTGTTCTGTTCTAGTATAAGGGTATGCTACCAGTAGTATAAAATCTTACGGGGTGTGAGGGGTGTGGTGTGGTGTAAACTAGTCAGATTATAGCACCCAACTTTCCTCCCCTTAGGTATTCGACCAACAGTCCCAGATTAAAGCCTCCAAACACCCCATGCCATCTAGTCCCTCAACGTCTGCCTGCCTGCCTGCCTACCTGCCTGTCAGTTTGCACGGCGACGGTCCAGCCAGCAAAGACGTTTCCACCAACGGCCAAAAACCACCTCACCTGGCTGGGTAAGGTAGGTAGGCACCGAGGACCACGAACAAAGCCGTGTCTGGGGTTTCCCTCTATTGAAACCGGATGAAAGCAAAAACACGCCGCGTACCCAAATCCAAACCCCTCCTCCGTCCTCTTTTGGCCCACACATTTGCCTCCGTGACTGTATATGATGATGACAACTATGATAAAAAAATGCTAAGAGTCATCCCTGCCCTGCTTTCATAACCGGCATACCACTCGGCGATAGGGTAATAACAAAAGAAAGGCGCTAAAAAAAAGAAAAAAACAAATACCTAAAAAATAAATCTCTCTCCAGAGGAGCTGCTCGAGCCAGCCAACCCCTTCTAGAAAAGGGGCACAGTGGGCTACAACTGCCTGCACGGAAGCCTGCCTGCCTGTAAGTGAACTCTGGCGCTCCCGCCGTTGCCTGTCCTCCTGATTCTGAGTAGCGAAGTCAGCGACCGATCAATCAATGATACCGAATGCTGATTCTCGTCCCATGTGAAAAGAGAAAGAAAAATAAGATGAAAAGAAGTCTGCGTCCGTCTTCTTGGCATATTGTGGGAGGATAATGAGGAAAAGTAGCAAGTGTGAAGAGAATACAAATAAGAAGAAAGACAGTGCATGTCTGTTGCGTTTGAGAGCAGTGTCGTGAATGGTTTCGTGCAGTTGCGTAATGCGGCCGGTTTTTTCGTAGAAAAATCGGCCTCTCCCCCCTTCTTACTCTTCCGCCACGTTTGGCAGTGCGTCTTCCCACTTGTCGACTTCCACCACCCAATGGGGCAGCGCTATGGGGGCGTATTTCAGGCCGTGGCGTTCCTCCATCTCGACACGGAGCACTTCGGCCGCCAGCAACCATCGTCGTTGGAGCCTTGTCTTGCGGCCCTGGAACCGCTGGACAAACACCTCCTCTTCGTTGGCGAACTGGACGGCTAGGTCCTCCATCTGCTCGGCCTTCTTCTCCTCTAGTGCCTTCCTCTCTTTCTGGTGTCGTTCTACGAGCTCGTCCAAGCATTTCGCCTGCTTCTCCCTGAGCAGGTTGATTTGCGCCTGGTGCCTGCGCTTCATCTCGTCGCGCTCGCGATATGCCTCGCGGAGAAGCTCGATATCCTTCTCCGTCACTTGCCTAGCCGGAAGGTTGGCGTTGCTTGCAGACTTGCTCTGAGCCCCAGTACAGTAGGCTTCCATGTGCTTGAGCTTCAAGGTGATCCTCTTCTCCGAAGCCGGAAGCGTGGCGCGCAGCTCGCTCTCGGCTTCGACCTGACGGTCTTCGAGATGTTGTTCTGTTTTGGCGTGGCGCTCAGCCATCTTGTTTGTCAACTCGGCGTATCTTTCCAACAGCGCAAGCTTCTTCCTAATTTGCCGTGAGCGCATGTCCGAGTCCATCTTGTCTTCAAAGTCATTAAACCGGAACATTTCTGCCTCTTGCTCCTTTTTGAGTGCCTTGAATGCGCGGCTCTCGTTGGTCCGTCTTTCGGCCATTTGCCTCGCAAGCCTCTCTGCCGCGGCTTCTTTTTCCTGCGCTTGCTTGGCGGCTTCGAGCTCCGCGAGCCGCTCCTCCTCTTCCCGGCGCCGGCGTTCGAGCTCTTCCTCTCCGTTACAAAAGTTCGGACACCCGACGGCCTGGTCCCAGACAGCCCCGCAAATGTAGCAGAACTGGGCTCGACACCGACACGTCATGTGCGTGCAGCCCGTGGCAAGCTCGACTAGTGTGCGGCATTTATAGCAACGTTTCCAGCCCGACTTTTCTCCCATCTGCAGAACCGCTTCGAGCTCCTGATCCTTGGGACAGTCTTGGCCAAGGCGGTGTGCGTGCCTCTTGCACATGGTGCAGGCCCTCGTATTACAGGCCTTGCAGGTCGTCTCAAACGGGTGCTTGGGGTCGATCTTGGTGGTTGGAGGGATGAACTCGCTGCACATGGCGTTAGGGCAGAACATTCTCGATTCCCAAGGCGTACTGTATTGCTGTACCGCCTTCAAAAACCTCTGCTGCTGCTCTCGGCTCAATATCGCTTTTAGGACTGGGCCCGGAATGGGCTGGGTACAGCACCTCGGCGGCATCTTGGACTCGTCCACCATGGACTGGGAGACCATAACAGCGAGGCAGTTCAAACAATAGGTATGGCCGCACGGCAGCGTATGGAGTGTCTGACGCTCGTTGGCAAAGTCCTCGCGGCAACATATGCAAGAGCTGCAGGTGTTTTTGTTAGGACTGCAAGAAGAAAACGATATTACGGCAAGTTGGGTATCTCAGCCACAAACCACTTACATGGACGAACGAGAGGGCCGCACTTTCCGCAACCTGGTGGAGAAAGACCGCGTGAAGTTCCTGACACCCTGGATTGTGCCCGCCCTGATTATGATGCTCGTAAAACGCTCGGGCTTGCTGGGCGGGGGGCTGAGAAACTGGGGTTGGTCGAGAGCTGGATCGAGCTGGCTAAGATACTTCTCGTATTGGAAGAAGGTGAGAGATTTGGACTTTCTGCGCGAAATGACCTGTGCCGACTCGGTCAGGGTAGCCGGGATCATGACCGGGCGGCGAGATGCCTGCGATGTCAGGCCCGAGCTCGTGACGCCGTCGGAGCCGGAGCTGGTAGATTCGGTACGGCCGTGATCAGAGGGGGACAAGACGAGCGAGTCGGCTAAGTGGGCGTTGGAGACGTTCGGGTTCCCGCATCCGCACACGCTCCCCTCCGTCGCCGCGGCGGCCGCCGCCGGTTCATAGGCTGGCAAGGGCAGTTGGATGCTGAGGACAGCAGCCCGTGCGACTAGCTCCCCCTCGACATCGTCCTCGGTCCGACCGCCCGAGTGTCCCAAGACCTCGCGTGTGTATTCAGCGTCGTTGAGCTCGGGCGGGATCGCAAGGGCGGCGGTTGGGACGAGAGAGGACAGGGCCATCGGGGGCGACCACGGGGCGAGCAAAGCCCGCTGATAGTGGCTGCAGCACCAGAAGGGACGGCCGCTAATAAGGCGCCTAAAAGGGGGAGGAGAGAGAGAAGACAAAAGCAAAACGAACGCGAGCCCGGCTCAAACGGTGTGCAGCTGGGAGCCCAGGGGGCATGATATTCGATCAGAGCGGGCCCATGAATTAGAAGTGAAGCCGCCCTTTTTGGTCTGAATAAATGGATGGGGCGCCGTCATCAGGCGAGCGAAGTGAAGTCAGTGAGGCGGCGGGCGTTTGGATTGCAGCGAGTGGTCGGCCAAAAGTGGGGTGGGGGGCTTCCAACTGAGGTGCCCCTGCCCGACCTGACCTGATCTGAAGGCGGCGAGAGAGTGAGAGCGGGGTGCCACAGTCTCCGTTGGGTTGGGCTGATGTCGCCAAGCCGGTAGCCAGCGGGAAGGTTGGTGTGGAGTGGAGTGCGAACCGAACGAGCAAGGGCGAGCACAGGGCAGGGCAAGCAAGGGCAAGGGCCCCGTTGTTCGATCCCAGATCGAGGCCCAGACCCTAGAATACCAGGGCAGGTTCGATATTTCTGGTGGTGACCAAACTAGGTAGGATATTCAAAAGAGAGACGGAGAGAAGGTTTGACGGCGGGAAACCAGGAACGGTTGTGCGAATAAGGTGATAGATGAAGTGAGATCGGAGAAGTCTCCACTGGCACACATTCAGGTTGCCTGGCTGGTTGCCGTAGTGTACGGAATATGTAGCGAGAACTACGATACGACATCCATGAACGAAGCCAACTAGCTACGATTTCCAGCTGGGACACCGTCCTCGCTCCAGGCAAGACCAAGTGTAGTAGATCTACCCGCTCCTAGGCCGTTGGCACTCGGGCACCTAATCTCCGGGGCGAGACCAGGTGCTGCACTGCTGATTGTAGTGTCCTATATGTACATACGCCTCCCGTGCAAAGTTGGGCAGAGAGAGAACGGCAGTGCCCATGGAGGGAGCTCCAGTTTGCCGAATCCTCAGGTCAATGGAATGGTGCATTCCGTGTTAGGTATGTGCAGGTGGTGCAGCGAGCTGAGCTCAAGCATATCCCCAGTGGCGTACACACTGTACAGTATGTGTGCGCACGTTTGGCAACCCAAAACATTCATGGCTTTTTCTTAGGTATTTCACCTTTTTTTTTCTCAGGTACGACGGGGATGGAAATGGACGCCAGAAACAAGCACCCTTGTAATACCGGGTCGCTTTGGGGCCTAGGTTGGAAGTGCTGCTACGGCACAGCCATATCCACTTCCGAATCTGAGCACATGGAAGGAGGAAGGAAACACCCCAACAAGCGTGGGAAAGGGTCCTTGTGCCTCGCACCCGCGCATCGCCTTGTTGAGCCTGATAGTTTTGACATGTCATGTCCACATCCGAGGTAACCTGGGCTTCATGTTTTCTCGCCCGAAGCCACAAACTGACAGCCTTGCCCTGCCCACTAAGAGGAGTACTCCGTATGTATTAATTATTCAATACTCCAAAATCTCCTGCCTGAAAAAAGAACACTTTTGGATCATGCAGCAAGCAGTCATTATTCCATCCCCTTTCCCTCCCCCTAGCCATTATCTTATTGCATACCGATCACGTACTCTTTTTTCTTTTTTCCCTGCTACTCTATGGAAAGGCAGGCGGGTGTGTGGCTTTTCGTAACCATGACCAGCCAGTCAGCCCACACGGCCGCCCATTACGAAAAAAGGGGAACTACTGCCAAGAGGACGGCCCTCGGAGAGAGAGGAGGCGAGCAGCCTTGTTTGAGACGAGAGACTGAGTGAGTGAGTGAGTGAGTGAGTGATTGAGTGAGTGAGTTTTTCGGCCGGTTATATGGCCCTATTTCCTCTCGAGATCGGCAGATCTTAGCTTAACCCGCAAAATACATGCATGCATACTGTATCTCTCACCCAAGATTTGATTTGCCATCCCCCTTCCCCTCCCCTCCCTTCCCATCCCTTCCACCGTCCCAACAAACAAACTCGCACGCACACTGGGCAAGCCACCCATCGGAAGCACTGACTTGCCCTCCGCACACCATCCCAACTGGCCAGAAGGGCAAGCTTTAATAGTAGGATTAGACGGGGCCAACATGTCAGAATAACACAAAAGATCAAGCTCGCGAATAAGGTAGGTACTCAGTAAGTGGGCAGGCTCAAAGCCAGGCCAGCTGCAGTCGACCCTGGGGCCTACACCAAGCCGGCAGTGAGCGAGTCGTTCGGATGCAAAGCTTAAGCTTCCGTAGCCTCGCCCACTCTCAGGTCCGGGTGTCGGGGGTCTGGGTCGGCTCGAACCGAACTAATTGGCTCTGGAGCTTGTGTTGCGGGATGGAGGGAGGAGTAATAACAGAAGGGCAACCTCAACGCCCTTGAGTGAAGGCGAACACTGTGCAAAGGCGGAGGCGGAGGGGGAGGGGGAGAAAAAAGAAAGGAGAGAGTACGTAAACACTCCCGCATGTTTGTCGCCAACATGTTACACACCGGTCTGTCTGTCTATCTGTTGCGAAATGCAACTGGCGAACTGCAGCGAGATGCATGTTTTATTTTTATTTTTTTAAACCTGCACGAGAACCGAGTGCAAGACATGACTGTCACTGACTGGCGATGGAAGCCAGAGACTGGCAAGCTAGATTACTTTTCAGGTTGTCAAGCTCTCTTCTCTCCCCTACCCCCAATCGGGCAGATAATGATCAGCTTCGGTCTTGATTCGCCGAACGCTATCTAACCTTCTGCCTTCTCATGGGCCCCCGAACCTGCCGAAAGACTGGATCTGTATGCTTTTTTTGGGTTTCCACAAACAGCACCTCAACAACCGGCCTTTACTACTACTAGCCCGCCTGGTGGCTTGCATGCTGCCTGAACTGTCCCCGGCAGGATGCATCTATCACACCCTTCGCGCCAGGCACGCCAAGGAAATGGGCTTGCATCGCCAAAGTCTTGAACTTAGACAGCTTCCCACCGGGCCAGCCAACCAACGCTCTCTCCTGCATTTCTCAGGATGCAAAATTTTCCCTCTCTCCCCCCTCCCGCCACTTTCAGGGCTGTCAGCGCCTTCTCAGCCGAGATGGAGCCGATTGCCGTGCCCCTGCCTTTACTTAGACTGAATGCACCTGTTGTCACGAACCCAATCAGGTCTTCCTCGTTCGGGCACAACGGGTGACCACCAACGTCGGTCTGATTGGCGGCGGGCTTGGGATATGGCAAGGGCTCCGTTGTGAGGATCGATGCGGCCAGGAGCCTCTTGTGGGCCTCCAGGTCAGCCCCAGGTGGAATACGAGGAGGTGCTAGCCCAAGCTTTGCTCGTTTGCCACCGCCTAGAGATGCGGCATTGGAAAGGCCTAGCTTGAGCCATTGATCTCGGAGGCGCTTTGGTAGCGATCCCGGACCCTTGAACGGAGGCTCTGTGGACGGAACTTCTGTCTCGGTGGATAGAGGAGGGACAGCAGAAACTTGCGCGGTCGGGAGACGATATATCCTAGCGCAGGGGTTGGCAACGCCTCTCGCGACAAAGCTGATGTTTACTGTGATGATCGAGCATGCGGGCGGTTTGTCCACACTTGAAGGCGTAAGTAGTGCAGCAAATGATGTCTTCGACAGCTGCCTGACCATAGTAAGGGACCGATGGGCGCTCGCATGTTCTTTTGGTGCCCCATCTTCCGTGTCTTTGATATCACCCAAATCCATTGCGTCCGGATTCTCTGTAGTTGAATTTTCGTTTGCTCTGGCGGCTTTTGCGAGGTCCTCTCTTGGAAGGCCAAAGAGATATTCGAAGTCGCATGCCAGACCGTCTCCAATCTCCCCTTTCCTCCCAGCACCAAGATCCAGGGACTTCCACTCCACCCTTTTGCCCTTGGGCCGCCGGTCCCAGTCTCGTTTGCGTTTTGCCCGCTGCTCAAGCTCCCAAGTAGAACCTGCATCGGTTCCGGGGAAGTCACCCGGGAACCAAGGCGCGCCATGCTCGAAAGCGACTTGCCTCTGCTCGTCCAGGCCCCCAAGACGAGGATTGCCTCCAGTTGATAGAGGGTAGTGCATCAAGCTGTACCATATAGCCGGGATGCATTTCCAAGGAGCCAGGAGGGTCCACGTTCCTTGAGCTTGTCCGCCTGTGGCCGGTCTGGAGGCTAGGAGCATGACGGGGATTGGTGGGTCGGCCGCAGTCACAAGAATGGCCTCTCCAGGAGCGTTTGAGCCCTTTCGCCTGTTTATACTCTTCTGTCGAGGTAGCTGTGACGCCCTATATAGGCACTCCCTGCTGAATATATCAAACGGCTTCAGGCCTTCCCCAACTGGCCACTTGGTTAGCAACTCCAAAAGCGCCAGATCGTTACTCCCGTTGGTGACAACGACCCGCTTAGGCGGATATGATAGCCGCGGATCCTTGGCCGAAAACGACAGCAAGGCATCTGTTGGAAGGGATGCTGGGTTCGTTACACCAGCAAGAGACTTAAAGACGCGTCCATGGGTCTCCTCTGTTTCGGGTTTGTTGTAATATGGCTGAAGAACGCCAAGTAAGGTCTCTGTCGAGCCAGGTCCTGTGAGTTCGATGCTGCCAATCTCGAAGCGCAAGTCCTCGACATGCACCTGAGGGGTCTGCATCTTGGCCACCTTGACAAGCTCGTTGAACAGCTGGAGAAAGCAAGACGGGTGGGTTCGAATCAAGACTTGTCTCTGTATTTTTTTCGGGCGCTCCGGGTTCGTCTTTTCGACACTCCCAGCCGGCGGCTCGGGATTCCAGATAACGGTGCCAGGGCCAATGTCTCGCCTTGTGTCTTTTGTTTGCTGGCTCAACAACCCGGTCCATTTCCTGAGGCCTGCCCGCCAATTTTGGCCCCTGGTACTCCAGAGGTGCTCTTGAGTCAGACCCAAAGCCTTTAGCATTCGCTCAAGGCTCTGGGCTAAGCCGTATAGGCCGACTGTACTAATGTAGCTCACGTCCCAGACGACAGCGCCTTTCTGGCCAGAGGCGCGATGAGTGGGCCTGTAGCACTTCTCGGTCGGTGTGCATGGAATAGCGAACCTCCAAAGAGGTCTAGTTGGCTCTGTCATGATCGCCCGCTTCGCGTGCCAGAGATGTGTTGGTAGCCAAGTCTTGTTGATTTGCCTCCTTTTGAACTTGGACTTGAGGCTTGGAGGCTCGTTCAGTGTGTTACGCCGGATCTTTGGCCTCGGTGCTCTGGTCTGTACTGTGGCCTGAATCGTGTCCTCCACCCGACTCGATGGAGTAGAACCCTGGGACGCGGCCTTCTTCTTAAGCTGCTTCGTTCGTTTCTTAGCGGCGAGAATGCCCAACTTTTTCACCGTCTCAGCACGTATGCGGGCGCGCGTGGTGCGTGGTCGGCGTTTTCTGGCCTCGACGGTTGGGGTATTGTCTTCGATCTGCTCTTTTCGGGCCCTCGCCCTTAGCCTCTTGGGTACTCTCCGGACATTGTGGCTGGCCGTCCTCCTCCGCATCGCTCGCGGCACCTGCTGGAAGACGCGGGTCGCATTGACGGACGTGCATTTCTGCATGCTCGATTCGAGCGCCTTGATCTCAAACTGGCGCGCGTTGAGGAACTTCTGCAGGTCTAGACGACCATCCTCGAGGGCGGCATCAGACGGCTGGGTGCGAATGTTTCGGGCATCCTGGAACTTGACGCGCTTGAGGGAGCGTCCTGTCGAGTGCGTGCCTTTCGCCTGGTTCCGGTTGTTGCCAGTTACTGTCGGGGGCTCCTTTCGCTTCCGCGCCTCCGAGGCACCAGCGCCGGAGGAGGTCAGTTTCTTTCTGCCGTCCATCTCGACATTGGCACTGCAGCTTCCAAGTTCTGTTACGGAAGGCGTCGGTCAGTCGATTGTTTGCTGTGTTAGCCTGCTGTGGCCTGGCGGCTTCTGGGAGTTGAGATCAACATTTCTTGGAACTCTTATCTTATCAGGAATTGGGGTCGCGCGCTGTAGGCCGCAAGCGCCCCAATCCCGAACTCCACAGCGGCCCACCGGGACTCCACAGGAGTTGCCAGTTGGCGATTGCCGAAGCACGAAAGCTTGGGCCTTCAGAGAGGCCGCATGAATTCCTATCATCAGTTGAGTCCCCGTCCATTCCATCTCGCACTGCAGTCCACAACAAGCTCCTCAGGTTTGTCCTACAGAACACGGAACCTAACTCGTGTTGGTCTGTGATACAGTCCAGTTCTCGTAGTTCCCTCCCCTTCCCACACACAAGAGACAAATCCCGAGCCTCGAGAGCACAATGCAATTTGTCGACAAAGGTTACAACCAAGGTGAGCAGATAACCCCGCATCTTCATTCCGAGTTCTACAGCACATACATACACGGGACTCGGGCACCACTAGGATTCAGCCGCACATGTCCTGTAACGTGTGCATCCTCGAAACGGGTTGCTTGTGGATGTTTTACCGTAGCTATGCGCACTTGCAGAGACTCGACGCGATGCGCTAGAGTCCGGCTTCCACGGCGCAGCCTGCCTGGCTCTGGCTCTGCCCGAGTCAGTCTGATCGCGTATCAATGTCAAATCCATGGCAATTGCCCGATGCCCCGGTGCATCACTGGCAAAATGCCCAATGCGACAAGCTAACATACGGGCAGCGATCCACTAGACAACAGACAGACAACTGTCTGCCCGCCCGCCTTGATTTCATTGCCGCATTCCGGCCTAAGCACCACGCGTACATATTAGGTAGGTTTATCAGAAGCCGGGTTACCTCGCAAGACGGAATCCGGATTTCAATTTGGAAGATTGCGCGTTTGACGAAACTGTCGGTTCCCACTCACGCCGCATCGAGAGCGGCTTAGACGGGACTGAGTGGGTTGCAAGCGGCAGGAACCCCCCGCGCAGCACGGTACAGTACCTGCTTTGCGTGGAAGGAGGAATTCGGTTCTGACCAACAAAGGTTCCAGATCTCGGGGTTTCACTAGCTGAGTTCCAGTCCCAGAGCTGGCAGGGCAAGTCCGGGTCTGGCCAAGTCCTTGCTTGACTCCTTGTAGCGAAGGAGCTGCTTCAAATACTCGTACCGTCCATCCACGGGCATGTAACCCGTCCGTTAAACAGGTCATGGCAGCCCTCATCAGTAAGCATAATAACTGACTAGCGACGCTTTCCTTTATCATCACATTCCGCTCCATTGTTTCGGTTTGCTCAGCCAAGCAGCAACAGGACCGACCGACAGTCAGACAGACCATACAGTCAGCCTTGTCGAGTGTCGTGTTGAGTGATATTCCTCCCAATACGAGTCTACAGTTTCACAACCGCTCACTCCTCTTGCACGTTTTTTCTACCCGTTGCTCGTCCACACTTTGGCCTTTCGTCATTATGAGGCTCACCTCCCCACTCGTCCATCAGCTTTAACTTTACACTTGTTCCCGTCTCTGCGATATCCGTAGCTGATATGCAGTTTCTCCCTTTAGTTAACAAGGCGAGAAAGGTGCGTAACCCCCTCCCACCATCCCATCCCCACCCATGGCACCATGAGTTCTGAGGGCACGCCGAGATCAATGGCAGCTAACATAACGCCACTTATAGCCCAAATTTGAACTGCACCTCAAGGCATGTAGTGATCGTTTCTGGTCCCAAACTTGTTGCGCACATGTCGGCTGCTTCGGCAGCCACGTCGGTCCATGCAGCCCAAGCCATCCCGACTCTGAATCTAACCTCGGTCCACCACACTAGATCTACGATCTGAACAATGTGCCTCTCGTGTCGGGCGTGTCCTTGATCAAATGGAGTCTCCCAGGTAGTATCCACGGGGAGCACCGGGGTCGCACCCAGAAATGCCCCATCTTGAACCACCGCGTCGATTACCACTACTCCAAGCTCGTCCCCGTGCGCATCTCCATAGATCGCAACAACCACTTGGCCGAATGCCCCATCGAGTTTGAGGTTTTGCAAGAGTTCAACCTCGGTGGCGCGGGCGGCGTGATCGGTCGAGACGAGAAGATCACGCTCGGCACCGTGCGTCTTAACCTCAGCGAATACATCGAAGAGGGCGAGGCTATTTTGCGTGATGGCGGCACTGCTGCCCCAGCCTCGTTCGGTCCTACTTTCAACTTACCTGGACCTGGAGACACCAAGTCGGGACATCACCGCAAGCGTAGCTCACTCAGTGGCATGGGGCCAGACATTGGATCTTTGGCAGAAGAAGAAAGCGTGCCAGCAACGCTCGTGCGGGACGGTGTGGTGCGACGCTATCTGATGCAGGAGAGCAAGATCAACTCAACCCTCAAGATCAGCATCCTGATGGTGCAGGTTGATGGAGATCGCAACTACGTTGCCCCCCCCCTTAAGACGGCCCCCGTGTTTGGCGGCATCGCTGGCTTCGTGGCAAACGACGCACTGGAGCCTGTGGACGCCGGCGCCAACGCCGGCCAAGTGCCTTCGCCGGGCAACAAGTCGGGTGACGCGTTCGAGCTGCAAGATGTATACCGCCGCGCCCTCGCCGCCAGCTGGGCATGCCAGCCCGGCGAGCTACCTGCCGATCAGTGCATCGAAGACATATTCGCCGGCGGGGACGGCTTCCGCACAGCGCCGTCCGCGAATAAGAGGCCCTCTTCGCAGCCGCGACATCCCCATAGTCCTCCGGTTACTGGTCAGAATCACGGCATAAGAACCGGAGGCTCTAGCGGCGGTGTGACGGGTAACAGTTCCCCTAGCACGGGCGGGTCGGCAAGCAACGCTCCGCGGGAGGACAACGATTCCCCCTCGGGCGACGACGAGAGTACAGATATGATGGCCACTCTAAAGCCTCGTGACATGGCGAGGTTGCGCAGCCATCTGCACTTGCACCATTTGCGCCATCACAGCGGCGCTAGTGACCGGAGCACAGGCACTGCCCTGGGGGGCGACCAAAGCCGCAGCAGTCGCAACCCCGACCGCGACCGTGAAACAGATCGAGAACCAAGCCGCGGTATAGGGCTGAACCTCAGTGGCAACCTCAGCGGCAGCGGCAGCAGTAACGGCTCAAATCGCGACTTAACGCAGCTGCTCAACCACCGCCGCAACAGTAGTAAGGACACCACGGGTGGCGGTAGGCGCAGCCGCAGCGAGAGCCTAGCGACGACAATTGGTAGCGATCGAGAACGCAATCGCGATGGCTTGAAGCGCGCCCGTGAGGTTGACGAGTTTGACATGCGCGATGATCTCGTTGCCTGGGCCGTCCCGGTTATACCAACCTAGCCCCCCTTTTTTCTCTTGCTTGTTTATATTTCCATCCTGTTTGCTACCCCCTTTCAATGGGTTTCTATCAGCTGAGTTATTCTCTTCGGGTTCTCAACCGACTGACGGCTTTTTGCTGTTCTTTATTTCCTATATTGTTATTTTACATTTATACCGACATATGACCGCGATGGCTGGATAAACAGGCGGCGGCTTCTGTGTTTTTCATCTTTTATTTTCTTGGACGTATGTATGCTGTTTTTTGTATAGGCGTTTTGGGGAATGCCGGGAAAAGTGTGCCTGTGGACTTGTGTCTCATATACATAACTACCGCCTACACATACATGATAGGCAGTGGGAAGGTCAATCGACTCAGGCGGCCATGGTGGCGAGCTAGTCCGCCTATCTGGCTCGCACTAGATTCTCACGCTACATGTTCAAAACGAGGTGCGTATCTTCAGGCAGGCAGGCAGGCAGGCAGGCAGGCAGGCAGGTAGGCAGGCAGACATGCTTGTGGGCGAGATTCTGTAAAGTTATCTAGCTGTATGGTTGGGGTACATGGGTAGATATGAAACGGGGGATGAAAGCTCAAAACAAGGCAAACTTGAACATGATGGATCAATTGGCCCCTGTCTGTGGTTTCTTGGGTTACACTAACAGGTACCTACCGAACCGCCAATTCAACCCGCTAGAAGACTCATTGCTAACCCCAATTTTCATATCCCTTCTTCTGTCAGGCAGGACAGGATAACCGTACAGCAACCAGGTCATAACAGTAGCTGAAACCGCCGAAAAGATCACACCTCCGACACAGTCACAGACGAAACATGAACGCCTCTTTGAAACTATTCGTCTCCGTCTTGTCTCTTCATCTCTCTTCTATTGGCTCCAGATAAACTCTCACGAATATCTGTGCCTTGCCGTGCGGTTCTTGTTTGTTTCCTCCTCCCACACTACAAAAAAGTCTATTATTTCTAGGCAGTCTCAAGACAAACCAAGGCCCCTTCACAACACCCCGCGGACGCCGCCCTTTGCACCGACCTCCCTCGTTGTTATGGTGACGCCCAGATCGGCACCGACGTTGATGGTGACCTCGACCTTGCCGCCCTTTTTGACGCCGCGGATGGCAGCCTCGGCGAGGGTGGCGCCAATATTCCAGACCTTCTCGCGCTTCTCTTCCTCGTCCTCCTCGTCTTCAGAGAAGTCGCTCTCGTCGGCGTCCGAGTCGTCGGCATCCTCGACCTTAGCCGCCTTGGAGTTTCCATTTGGCTTGGCCGCCTGCTTCGGCTCGGGCTTGGTCACCTTGATGTGCGTGTTTCCCTCGGCAATCTTGACCAGCACATCGCCGCCGGCCTTGGGGGCGGCCACATACACAGTCCGCCGCGCCGGGACGGCGGTGTCGGGGAGGACGACGGGAACAAAGACCTCGTCTCCAGACTCAGAGACTGAGACTACGCCGATAGCGTTGGTGATATGTGGCACCGTGGTGACGGCGGCATGTATCGACTGGTCAATGTCCTCAGCCTCGTACTCCTGGATAAGGCTCGCCTGCAGGGCGGCGCCACGGGCAAGAAGCTCGGAAGGGTTGATAGCGGTCAGGATGGTTGCGGGCGCTAATATGGTCGTTGACGAGGGGAAGATGGAGCCGAGGTTGGTCGCAATGCGCGGCGTGTGCGACGTGCCACCCGACAGAATCACCTCATCTACATCCAAGACATCTAGGCCAGCCTTCTTGACGACTGACTCGACTAGGCGGTTGAACCCCTCGAGAACGTTCCGCGCAATCGTCTCGTACCGAAGACGGTTGATGGTGCTCGCGAAATCGATTCCCTCGGACAAGCTCTCAATGCTGAAGCTTGCGTTGTTGCCTATGCTCAGCGCCTTCTTCGTCGCCTCAGACTCCAGCTTCAGCTTTGCAAGACTCCTCGCGTTCTCGCGCGGGTCAGCGCCAGGGTGGCGCTTCATGAACTCCTTGGCAAAGTGGTCAATGAGGATCTTGTCGAGGGCCGCGCCGGCAAACTCGTAGTCGTGTGCTGTCGCAAGGATCGTGTACAGACCACCGCGGCTGGCGACAACGGCAACGTCGGACCGGGTGCCTCCCAGCTCCGCAACCACCACAATCTTGTCCTTGATCTCGGCCTCGGGGCGCGCATCATAAGCCAGTACCGCAGCGACGGGCTCGCTGATGAGCTGCAGAACCTCGAGATCTGCGGCATTGGCAGCAGCAACCAAGGCGGCCTTTTGCTTGTCTGTGAAGTTGGTCGGGACAGTGATGACGGCAGAGGTAACCTTCTTGCCGAGATACTCGGAGGCGGCGGTCACAAGGCGGCGAATATAGCGGGTAGAGACCTCGGAGACGGGCAGCGTTGATGGCTCGTCATCCTCTCCAGCCTTGTCCTTGACAGTGAACGCAACGGTCCCGTCGACATCTTGGGGGTGGACAGAGGCGTGGTTGTGGGTAGGGTCTATTGACTTGAAACTACAGGGCGGTCAGCGCAATCCTCGAAATCGGGAAACGCCCCAGTCCAAGACTCAACAGGCGCCCACGGAAATGGGGGCAAACACCGAGAGGGCGGCCATACTCTTTCCCTAAGAAGTCGCGGAAGTAGGCGATGGTGTTCTTGGGATTTCTAACAAGGAAGGCCTTGGCCTGCTGGCCGTAGTATTCCTCGCCGTCGATGTAGGACAGGATCGTGGGGATTTGACGATCTGTCGGTCAATATGGTATTAGCAACCACTGCAGAGAGGATACGAAGGTAGATGTATATAGCACTGCAGGCAGTGCATCTGCCACAACTACTACTACTGACCTCCATCTTCGTTCGCAACGACCTCAGCCTTGTCGTCGACTGTCACAGCAATGGAGCTGTTGGAGTTGCCAAACGTGATACCAATAGCGGCGCGGTCACCTGGCGCAGGGCCGGGCTTCTGAGGTTTCGTTTCGCTCATGATTGCGGTGTGGGTTTTGGCGGCAACGACAAGGCGACGAGAGTTTGTTGGAAAGAAGGAATCGGCAGCCAACTCAAGTTAAAGATGGTCAAGAATTAGCAGGCAACGGGCAGTTGGTAAAAATCGTTACTCGTGGTGGTGGTGGGGGCCCCGAAAATTTCCCTGCACCTCTCAGCCAAGCCTAAAATTCTAGACCAAACCGACAACCCCTGTCAGTAAGCCCCGCCCTTCAAACCTCTCCAAGTATTCTGCAAGTACCATGCTCTGAAGCGTTTGTACAATATTCCATAAATACATTCATCAACTAGCTCAATGAGACTCGCGTTAAGAACACGAATTATTAATTATTTATTCTCTATACGTAAATCGAGTAATTTTCTAGCTTAGTTGTCTGCTCTCGCTGTGCCTCTTGTTTGGAAGCCAACATGCACACCTCGACTCTGTGGGGCAGGCGGTGTAAGTAAGGCAAGGTACCAAAGACACAAGCGGCGGGCGAAGTGGGTCTATTTTCTTTTACCCCACCAAGCTGCTTTGCTGCCCGTTTTCAGAGAGCCCGCCACGATGCCTAGCAAGCAAGCATCAATGTTGACAAAACTAAAATAAATTTCCATCTAAACGACCCTCTATTGACTCTTCGAAACGAAAAGCGGCGAACGTCTTCGCCAAACCGTTACCATTTCATTCAGACCCCGACGCACCTTTCATTACGTCTACAGCAATGGCGACCGACACAAAGTCCCTGTACGTGCTGCCGGGGGACGCCATCGACAAGTCGCTCGTCCCGCGGCACAAGAAGCAGCCACTTCGGCTGGGGCCCGGGCTGCGACACATTCCGCCGAGCGCCATCGTGCCGACGACGGCTGGGCAATTGGTCGTGGAGCCGCGGAAGAACTCGATGTGGATGGAATATAACGGGGGGCGTGTGCGTCTAGACTGTTTCTTTCTTCTATTCCCCTCTTTTATTCATTCCCCGTTGCTTGCTTTTTTGCGCCCAGAAAACTAAGACTATTTCTCCCGCAGTACGTGCCGGCGCAAAACGACCTCGTCATCGGGCAGGTGCAGCGCTCGGCGGCCGAGCTGTACCTGGTGAACCTGGCGGCGCACACGGCGAGCGCGACGCTGCCGCAGCTGGCGTTTGAGGGCGCGACCAAGAAGACGCGGCCGCAACTGGCGCAGGGGGCGCTCGTGTACGCGCGCGTGGTGCTGGCGAACCGGCACATGGACGCCGAGCTCGAGTGCGTGTCGGCGGCGACGGGCAAGGCCGAGGGCCTGGGCCCGCTGACGGGCGGCATGGCGTTCGACGTGTCGCTAGGCCTAGCGCGGCGGCTGCTCATGGCGCGCAGCCGCGACGAGGGCGGCGTCGAGGTGCTCGAGCTGCTCGGCGCCGAGGGCCTCGCCTTCGAGACCGCCGTCGGCCGCAACGGCCGCGTGTGGGTCGGCAGCGACAGCCCCAAGACCATTGTGCTCGTCGGCCGCGCGCTCAGGGAGACGGACGAGGGGCGGCTGGACGTTGAGCAGCAGCGGAAACTGGTCAAGCGCCTGGTGAGGGAGATGCGGTGAAAGATGGTGTGAGAGTAGCAGAAAGGGAATAGAAGCACCAGCGTCGCGACAAGGCTGTGAGGATGTTATCGGCGTTGAGGCGGCCACCGGCTTGAGTTGGGCTGCTTTGACGTGGGCTGTCCGCGGCGATAGGGTGCTGCTACAAAAAGTAGCCACTCCTTAATCGCTGAGACTCTAAGATCCCAACTTGGAGTCACTCAAGTAGCATCTCTTAGAACTCCCGCGATTGCCATCTTGCATGCGGCAAGCATGCAGATATACAGTACCAGGGAGACACCTTATAGTAGTACTTAGGGACCATGAGTTCAAAGGTCTCAAAGGTCGTGGAGAGATTGAACCCCACGCCAGAATCCAAGACCAAATCACTCAGTCACGCTTAGTTTTAAAGGGGGTGATAAAAAGGAACCAAATAACTATTTTATGGTATCCAAGACTTTGACTAGAACCCCGTCCATTGGAAAGGAAAATGCACGCTAACTATCTTACAATAGAGACGCCCGCTTTGTTTCAATTTTCCCCAACTCGTCTTTTATACTAACGTAGTACGATAGAGACTTATTCATCGTATCTTCTCCAAGACAGGTTTATTCGTATCTTATACTACACTCCTAACTTCGGTCTTGAATAATATGACTCGCCTGGACGCCCCGATCCCATAAAAAGGGTCAAAATCCAACAAAAAGCTGTTAGTACTAAGCCCTCGCCACTCCCGCAGCTGATAGGCTTCTGTCTCTCGTCTCTATCAAGGAGTCCCCAGGTGTGCCACAGATGCTTGAAGTTCATTCCGGTTCGGTAGCTGCTGAGTATTCGAGATCATCATTCTAGTATATCTAGGTAGGTAGTAATGGGTATCATGGTCCAACAGCAGTCTACATCCCCGTCATTTGAATATTTTCGTCAACGAACTCGACCCCCGGGTCTGAGTCCGCCTTGATCGAGTGCTTATTTAACATGTGCCTCCTCCAGTTGTCTTTTCGGGGAAAGGATTTGCCACCTTGTCTGGAATATGGGCAGTCGGACTGCATGCAGTAAAATTTCTTGGCCCTCATATGCTTGTCGTTGATATGGCGGTCCAGGTGGGTCTTTGTGCCAAACCGCATCTTGCAGCCTGGGTGGGTGCATTCGTGTGGCCGGTCATGATAGCGTTTATGATGGCTAGACAAGGTGAGTTAGTTATGTTGTAGCGGGGAAGAACTGGGGCTGGAGCACGAACTTGAGTTTGTGGATTTGATCGAACATGCGATTGCATTTGTCGCAGATGAATACCCTAGGCGATGTGCCGACCTGTCCGCCATTCACCACCCCAAGGTCTGACACCGGCGATGGTGACGCCGGCGATGGTGAAGCCGTGAAAGGCTCCGTGAGGTGGGTATTGGGGGTATTTTGTGTCGAGGGATTTGATGAGGGTGGGGGGGTGGAGAGGTCATAAATATCGTGGCCATCGTTGCGGTAGTCCAAAAACTCCATGCCGTCATCGACGAACTCTCCATCATTCAGCTCGATATCTGGAACTGCTTGCTGGAATTCGGGCTCTGGGCTTATTTCCGGCTTGATCTCCATGTAATCGCCTTCGTCTAGTGATTGTAGCGTTGAGGGAAAGGCGTCAGAGTGCAAAGGGGGGCTCTCGATTCTGAGCACTGCCTGCTCAAGCATCCAGGCGTTCTCAGTGGCATTGGTTGGCCTCATCATCTTCATGGGGTTTTCACTTGGCCCGGTGTTGTAAAGAGGAGGGCTCTGGATGTCAGACACAATTTCTGGAATGGGAAAGCTGTCGATTCGCTGTGGAGGACCGCCGGGGATTCGCCTCCCTATCAGAGAGCTCTGTCTGCTGAAGCTCCTTAGAAGATCTCTGGGGGTTAATGTCTTATCGCTGTCGGGTGAAATGACGCCTGGTTCTTCAACGACACCTCCCTCATTCATGGGCAGTATTGACTCTCCTGCTGTGGCTGGTACGGGAACAGACGCTTGCTGAACCGGAGATATAGGAGTCAGTGGCGTCGAAAACGACGCAGCTGGCGGTGTCACCACAGTCAATTGTCCGCGGCCTGGGGCTGGGGCCGGTGCCGGTGCAGGTGCTGGTATTTGCGCTGGTGGTGGTGGCGGGCCTGAGGTCGGTATATAAGCCTGTTCGTTGTTGCCTAGGGTTGAGTCGTGGTAATAGTCCCAGGCCAGGCCGTGGGCGTCAGGGTCGATCTGGATAGGCGAGTCTGTCTCTACAATACCATCGTCTTCGATGACAGAGGGCGTGCGTGCTCCGTCGGGCTCGTCTAATGTAGAGCGTTTGCTGTCCCGGCGCCTGGCTCGTGAAGAATGGCGCCGTCTGTGAAGCAGGCTCCAAATAGACTCTCTGAGGTGAGGGAAATGGTGATGGGACGGTGCTTCCGAGGCGCGGTCAATTTCTCTGGGCTCTTCTGTAATGCCGCCAAAGGTGAAGTCGGTGAGCACGCGGCCGGGGGTGCTGTATGAGTCGGTTAGGCTCAGTTCACGACTGCTCGTCTTGCCAGTGGTCCCTCTGGATCCGCGTGACTTGGATGGGGGCTCTGCAGCGGGCGGGGCCTGGTCGGCCGCCGTGGGGCCCAAAAGTGCCTGGATGTTCTCGACGATCTTGTGAGAGGGCGAATCAAATCTGGCTGTGGGTGAGATGGGAGGTGATATTGGCGATGGGAGTCCCTGTTCGATGGTGACACCAGAGGGTATTAGGGGTGAAGGTTGCTGCGGCTTCTGGTCGGAGGCCGCCTTCTGATAACCGCCGTGCCCGTTGGCCTTGGATTTCAAAGGGTCAAGGAGGTGATATCGGTCGTTAGCAAAGTCCGACTCAGTGCCAGGTCCGGGAGCTGGTGCGAAGTGGTTCCTCTCAAGTCGCCGGGCAGTGTCGCCTTGTATGGAGTGCTGGGGGAAAATGGGGCCTCCGGGACTCTGGCCCATCTCTGCTTCGGCAGGCGCATCGTAGCGGGCGAGCCATTGACGACGGGCCCGCAAGATAAATGGGAGGAGGCAGCATATTATGAGGGCGGCGCCGACGACGGACCCAACCACAGCCCCGGCGATGGCACGATCCGGGAGGGAGGAGGATCGCGCGACGAGGGTGGACCGCGCTGACAACGGCATCGCCATCTCGGCGGTGGGTGCGTGCAGCAACCGTAAGCTTCGAGGGAGGAGCATGATGCGGCTCGATGATGTAAACCGAACCCAAGGTAGGTCTGTCTAAACGCGGAGGAGGACACGGTCAATCGCGCGCGGCGGGTCCCAAGCCACGATGGTGTTGAAGAAGTCCCACACAATAGAGGCGGCGATGGGCGAGGCTGTGCCCAGGCCCAGCCGCTAGCTCACGGACCGACCGACCCTCGAAACCATGAAGAGCAAATCCGGACCCAGGAAGTGGTTACCGACAGCTGCAGCTTGGGAAAAAAATCCGGGGGCGTGCGTTGGCCAAGCTATTCAGCAGGCTGTGTTAGATCTGATTCCAATCCGATCGAGGCTCTCTTCATGACGATGGCGGTCGATTGCGATCCAGTGCGCGCAAACGGTGACCTGACTTGACATGGCAGAAAGTCCAACGGGGTTTAAGATAGGTATGTAGATCTGGCTGCTGGAAGGGGTTGGGGCATAGAAATTTAGTCGGTTCAGCCTCACCAGCGCGACCATGTCTCGCTATGGAGAACTAGAGAGAGAGCGGCCTAGACCTATTCGGGGGGGGAGGCCGGGCTTCTCTTACGGAGGATCGGGTGGTGCCAGCGAGCGTTGCGCGAAGCAAGCGAAGCAAGCGACGTGAGTGGACGATGGAACCATGGTGGGTGGCCTCCCCAACGGTAGGGCCCCCAAGAGAAGAGACCCGATTGCTGTGCCTTCCATCCTTGCCCGCCTTGTCCCTCTTTACCTACTCCGTCCCTTCCCCGCCATAGAAAACCCCCCCCCATCGCTAGCACAGCCCCCATAATCAATTCGAGCTCCGTGTTCGCCATCCAGATTAGGTACTGTACGTGCAGTATGAGGTGTACATGTACAATACATAATTACACTGCAGCAACTCGCTCCCTCCCACGGTCGCCCAGTCTTCCCGCCATCGCACAAGATGCACCAACCTTTGCGCAGTCGAACCGAGATACAGAGCTCCTCCTACGTAGCAGGAAATCAGCGAGCCGAGGCTATGGTGCTGAGCAAGCACATAGGAATAGCTCTTTAGCTGCGCGGTCAACCCGTTCCTTATGCAACAGGTTTATCACGCCTACTTAACCTGTTCACCCGACGTCGTAAAAGAACCAACGCTGACCGCCATCGTCCGGCTATCCAATCATTCCAGAGGCGGTCCATGCCATGGGCCTTTGCCTCCGAGAATTTCGGCGGCTGCAACCGCGCGGGGGCGATTGGTTGCCTCAGGTTCCGGTGGCCTCTGAGTTTGCATGTCTGCCTGACTTGCTTATGGCTAGGGACTGGATGGCACATGCGGCAGGTAGTGCATGTATAGGCATCGCAACATACTTCTGTTAACACCCCCGAATATCCATATCACACGGGCAATTGGATCCGGCACTGAGTGCCACTTGCTAGTGATGAATTCAGATTGCCTCCTTGCCCCTATCTATGGTGCTATGGGCACCGATCACGAGCATTTTAGGCAGTTCTTCCTTTCAAGCGAAGAGAAGGTCGTGTTACTGCTACCCGTGGTATTGATCCACCAGCTGTTCGACAACGATCTTATTCTTGCTGCGGGTACGCGCCCCGTCACTTCGGGTCAGCGTGCCAAGTAAAACGGCCACGGCGGCCCGCCAACTCCCAGCGGAATCGCGAATTTTTCGGCACTGTGCTTCCAGCAATATCCCTTGTCCTCTTGCACTTGTGAGTAGGAAGCTGGCGTCAAAGTCGAGCGAGATAAATGCTAGGTCGTCCGGACCAGTCACGGCGTCCACGGAATCAGATACCACCCAAGCAAGCAAAAGATGGGTGAGATCACATCACACCAGCATCAAATATTACGGTACTGTGCAAGCCCTCGGGCTCTCCATGCTCGAGTGTCTGGTCTGGTCTGAAATGCAACTCTTACATAGCCTGCAACTGAGAGGTGCCCATCTTTTACGGAACGTGGAGGCCTAACGTTGGAATAGTTGGCCGTGCGGGACGAAAGCCGCGCTCCGTTGACAGCTGAAGCTGCTCTTTCAGCCCTGTTTGCGGGGAACTTAACTGCATACTACGGAAAGGCGCCTAAAAACTAAACAAACTAACATCCATCAGGCTCTTCCACTTCTCCCCGCATTTTCACAGGCAACCTCCACAGACAATGCAACTGCCAAATCTACGATTATCTTCATCCATCTCTTGATCCCAGTATTGATGCCATGGTTCTAAACTGTCTTATAGTGACGTGTTCAGATGCTGTGAGTCTTGGATACCTTGCTTGTGCGGACTTTACTGCTTTCTTTATTTACACTAACTACAGACTACATCAAACTCCAGGGCACTCACTGGATTCGCGTGTACACTTCATGTAGCTTACCAATGGTTACCTTCAGCGATGATCTGGAATAAAGCAATATATGGCTGAGATTTGGAATATCTAGAAACCCGATTTTCTTTTTGATTTTCTTATTTGTCTTGCACCTATAAGGTTATAACAGCCAAACTAGAAGCTGCCCATTCCGGCAGTCTGGTATACTATGCACCAAGTAGAGTTATTACCCACCTAGGTAAGACAGTGAAGCTCTAGGTAACCCCTTTTCGTTCTACCACGGCAGATAGTACAGTCACTTTCATGAGAAAACTTAAGGTGTCAATGGAGAATAAACCGCAGCCAGCTTCTTGAGCTCGCAAAGGCAATGTATGAGTTTCCGTCTTCGTTGGTCTAAATCCGTGGTTGCTTTTGCCTAGGTACCTACCTTAGGCTTCTATCAAAACGGTAGACACAAGCTCACACAAGCTCCCGCTACGAAATCCGCTTCTAGCAAGCAGGCCTAGCCTATTCATTTTGCCCGCGGCTCTTCAAACTACTCGGTAAGGTACTTAACTCGCTGAGCTAAGATATCCATGTGTGAGTGGACGGTTAGCTGTTGTATATTAAACAAGCGGTGTTTGGACTTTTGCACCGTGCGTGATAATCTCTTCTGCGTTGTTGTTGTTTCATTGTTACAACTTGGTTTATTATAGTAGTTGAAATGGAACAGTTACAGCTACAGCATGATAATTAGCCAATACCGAATGTCGGATCGGACGGAACATGGGTGTCAAGTTAGCATAGAAGATGGCAAGATGGAAGAATGGGATTTACACACAGCTCCAGGACCGGGTATTGAATGTCTATTTTCACTGCCCCTTGACATTGGGCTCTGCGTCTAACTCTGTTGACAAGACCGCGTCTGTAAGGTAATAGTTTGACTAGAGCCATAGAGTGGCATCATATTTTCAACAAAAAGTCAACCAATGTCCATGTATTCACAGCTAGCGACACGAATACTTCAAGTGCCTTGCCTAGTTACTTTAGTAGAGATAGAGATGTTGGATGCTCTCGTAACATTGTCATGCGCGTGGGGACAAGACGGCCCCTTAATACAGAGTCAACATTAGTGTGCTATCCAACAGATATCCCTCTCACGTCCTAAACTAGATAGCAATAACAACTGAGTGTAGGATCATAGAGCAATATGGACGTAGACAGTTTGGCGTGGGTTAGTTGGTTATGGTCCCTGCCTTACTCAAGCCAACGCGATTGCCTCCTGTCCTGAACGAGTCAAGGGGAAAGATAGATAGATGGCTTCAAACCCCCTCCAGGTTACCTAAATGTTTCTAATGCCGTTCGCAGTTCCCCACAAACAAACACGAAGGAGAGGGTCCACGCCTAGGTGACCACCCGTCCCTGGGACTCATCGGAGGGCTTGGCCTCTTCACCCAAACACCTCGTAGCTGTATCCCATCTATTGCCTGTCTGATTATATCCCCGACTGTATAGCACAGTTCGATAATTTTTCAGTCAATCTGCTTGCTGCACTACGACCAGAGTCAAACAAGTCAAATCCTGCACCATGGCCTCTGAGCCGAGCCCAGCAAACTCAAGTTCCGACGATACCGGTATAAGCGACGGCTCGATGACAGCGGAGGCTGAGCCTACCGCTATGGAGGTCGAGCCTATCACTATGGAGGTCGAACCTACCGCCACGGAGGTTGGAAGTGTGTTGATTATCGGCGGTACTCGAGGTCTCGGGTTGGCCCTCATGAGGTGATACGTAATAGGGGGAGCCAAGAAGATCGTTGCAACCGGGCGGACGCTCCCTGCAGAGAATCCTCACCCCGACAAAGTCAAGTGGTTGATGCTGAACCTGAACAAGAAAAGGGATGTCGGCGTGGAGCTTGTACAGCAGCTCGAGGGTCTGGGCCAGAAAACTTTCGACGTGGTGGTAAGGAAGCCTTCTCTCGTCTTTTTTTCCCTCTCCCCGTTCCTGTCTTTGTTACTTTGCTCCGTTTCCCTTTTTTCCTTCTCCCTCTCCGTTACCTATACACCTTTGTTGCTACTGATTCACCACAGTGTGTGTATGTGTGTGTGTGTGTGTTTACTGAACGAACCCATAATCCCCCAACACAGATCATCTTGGCGGGCATTTTTCAGCCAGAAGACTTTTCCGCCAAGGTGTCCAAGGCCCCCAACGAGATCTCCAAGGCCCCCAAAGAGGATAGAGAGGTCCTCATGTACAAGGTCTGCGCCATCTCTCCAGTCATAATTGTCCACGGGCTGTTCCACGCGGGGATGCTGCCCGAGGGGCCAAGGTGGTGCTGGTGTCGTCCGAGTCGGGCAGCGTGGCACTCCGCCTCCACGCCTAGGGAAATTTTGGACACCACGGGAGCAAGGCGGGGCTCAACATGGTCGGCAGGTTTCTCGCCCTGGAGCTGAAGGACAAGGGCGTTATCGTGTCGATTGTGCACCCGAGCTTCATGCGGACCTAAATAACGTGATCGGTAGGCTTCGAAAAGTTTTGGAATATTGGCCACGGTAAGACTTTTTCTCTCTTCCTCTGTCGGTTGTCTGTCTGTCTGTCTGTCTGTCTGTTTATCTTCTTGTATATCTTTTTATCTTCTTTCTCTCTACTTCTTTTCTCGCGAAAGTTACCTGAAATGACTGCAAAAACTGATTCTATGTTATCCAGCCGTTGAGCCAGACGTAGCAGCAGGGAGCCTGATAGACTAGGTCGGCAAACTTGACATGTCAGTAACAGGACAGCTCTGGGCTCCTCAGGGGGGCATCGATATTGGAACAGCTGAGGAGCTGCTCGGACCCGACCTACCGACGCCTCTCCTACTGCCCTAGTGACGAGACGGCACCCGACACAGAATGAGCGCCAAGAATCAAGTCATTGTTTCCCTATCCCTAGAGAGTGGTTTATTAAAAAAAAAAAAAAAAAAAAAAAAGGGCCTTGTTGGACGGAAATGAAGTAGGGCTCTTCGTATATTCTAGTATTGCTTGGGATCTAGTTGAGGCTGCTGGTTTCTTCAGTCCCTGAGTAAGGTAGTGCCTTTGTACAGTTACTAGTGTCGCTTGGCAAAGCAAGCTCGATATGTATAGAACACGTTACCCGTTTTCAGTACCAACACCCTTCAATACCGAGGTGCTTGAGGCTGTTGTGTAATAATCCGAATTATATATTCTCAGCCAAAACCCCATCCTCGCCTCGCCACGCCAACATAACGAAGATCGTTCCCCACAACTGGAGAGAGGTGGGTGAGTGGTTGACATGAAAAAAATGGCCCCTTTATGCAGCTGGGCAGCTGATAAGCCACTCAAGCCATGGAACCCCTTCAACTGCCCTCAAAAATGGGATGTGCAGGTTAACCCCCCTGTTGCAGCTTGTTGCCGGCTTGCTTTGCACCCCCCATTTTTGAGGGTAGTTGCCCCCCCAAGGTTCCCCTCTCTCTCTTCAGGGTCCTCGGGCTTGGCGCTGTCAAGGGTCCCCCAACCCGTCCATGTTCCCGGTTGCAGTTGCGGTTGTGGCTGTGGTGTTCGACGCCCAACCAACGCTACCGTTCACCGGCCCAACCTGAATGTCGTCTTCTTTTTGACGATGGCCTGCGGGATAAAAGGCGGAGCAGCAGCATGGGAATGTGAACTTCTCATGGGTATGTTCCAGGTTTTCCCTTCAGACACTGGAGAAATAACATTGCCACCCCATGTAATGGTCGAGAGCAGACTCCCTGGGAGCATGTAATGTGTAGACATGCCGGTTATTGCCAACAGACCGCTCTTATTGATGGCCTGGACCGCGCCAGATGTTTTGGGAAGGGGAGTTGCGGGTTATCTGCAATGTATGCGGGGCGATGCCATCCGAGCGCCGGCGTCGGTACTCAAAAGGAGAAGCCATACACGCGAGGCTAAGAACCTACCAGTACCTAGAGAGTTCAGAAAGTAAAGGTGATATACAGGTTCTGTGGTAGGGCAGTTGATGGCGTGCCGAGCAGTGCATTGGCTGAAACGACCCAACAACGGCCGCGACTAATATCGAGGCAATCAGGTGTGGTGTTCGTCACCATCGGCACCGGCTACCAGAGAGACGACTGGCTGAGGGGCGACGGCTTCTGCAACGACGAGTTTGGGTTCCAACTTCCCGAGCGCCCACCTGCAATGGTGCAGACAGGGCCCAGTGCTGTGGGGCAACCAGTTCATTCATGGTTCCCTTCCCGCTAGGAGGTTAGGTTGTTCGTAGCGTAGCACAGGTATAGGCAACTGAGGTTCACCACTCGGGCGACGTGGCTCGTCTTCGTTGAGTCTTGATTAGGATTCGGACAGTTCCTGATTAGACGGGACTCAGGTGCGCAATTCTGAGTCTTGGAACGCTGGTGCCTTGATTAGATTTTGTCGCCGTTGTCAATGGACTCGATTGTGGTCGGCAGAGCCACCTAAAGATTTAAGTGCAGCGAAGGGCAATGGGAAACTGTAATTCCGTATTCGGCCCCTGTGGCTCCCGTCTTTCTACATAGTATGTATGTTCTCCGAGAATACGGGGTCGAAGCAAGGGGCAGGGGAGTCGAGAAAGACGGTAACTCGTTGTGGAATGCGACCTGACGGGAAGGGGCAAGTGATGTTCCTGATGCCGCCAAACCCTAGGCTGCCGAGAAAGGCACAGTACTGGTCCGTCCGTATTCAGTCATGACATTCAGCTCTTTTATTTATTTGTTATTTATCATTATTAAACACCCCGACGACTTCATGGGCATGTCAGCTGCTCTGCTCCATTCTTTCTCTCTGCACAATAATCAACGACCGCCTCCTCCCGCAACGAGGGGAAAGAGTTTACCAGGTTAACTTACCTGACTGCATCTGAATATTGCAGTATTTATTCTACGTCGCTCTTGAGGTGCTAGTACGAAGCACATACATACAGTACACAACCGCCTGCTGGCACACGGTTCTATCCAGCTATTCTGGCTCCTCGTTTTCGACAGCCCACAACGACTCGTTACCTGCCGGAAGCTCGTGTCGAAACCTGGCCTGGCACGAAACGCACTGCGAATGCACCACATTGTTCACTTTACCACACACCGCTGCACGCCCTAAGGTACCTCAGGCTAGCTTTTGGTGGTTTACGGTCTTCCACTTGTCTCCACCGATCCACTGCACCATCGAGCTCAGGTCCTATCGCAATTTCTTCGGCGCAGTTGGCAGGAAGGCTCCCCCAAGGCAGCCTGGTTGGATGGTCGCTGCACACTGTAAGTTGAACCGACAAACAAACTCTCAAGTCCTAGCTTCCAAACACCCCCCCGCCAGAGGTTCCAGGGAGTTGCCAGCTCGAGACTGGAAGAGTCGTCCAAATCACCCGCAGTAATCACTCACCTTCGCTAGAAACACCATCATCGAATAGTTAGCCTTGCCTTGAACATCCTAGGTTCCGACTACGATCGCGAGGTGGCCTAGGTTCAAGGCCCCGTCCGTGCCGTCCTGCTTACCGCGACCGAGCCAGCTAAATAAACCGACCCGAAAGAGTTTGCTGTCCCGCATCCCAAACTCCTGTTCAAAGCGAACCAAAGCACCCGACTCGGGAAATAAACGCCTGCGCCTCGATCCCTTCACACCGGGGCGCGCAGCAAGAAAAGTTGACGGCATTGTCGGCACACTGCAGGACCTTGGTTGTTTTGTCGGGACTTGTTAGCCGTCATCTCATTCGTTTGGAGCCAAAGGCCTTCCGATTGCTTGCAACGCGACGAGCCAGACACCGACCAGTATTGCATTTTGCGGAATCGGCTTGCATCCTGTAGTGAATCATCCTTCCCGGCATCCCACATCGTCTGAGCTCTCGTCTCCAAACCGACGCCATCGCCCAGCGCCCCAAGTGCCCCAGCGCCAAACGCAGCCGGTGCAGGTCGCGGGCGCTACTCGGCATCCCTTCACAGAGGGATAAGGGGTGAAAGGCACCGCGTGGCAAAACCAGCCGATCCACCACGGCACAAAGAGGGCACAGAGGGCACAACGCGCAGCCGTTATCAGTCTCTCGAAAGCCCCAGCGAAACTTAGCTTGTCTAGCACCATTTATGTTGTTAACAGGACCGAACTCTGTTGCCTGTTGGTCAATTTAGGTGCGACGAAAAAGAAAAAAAGAAAAGACGAAAAGGAAGAATAGCGATCAAGACCCACGGCTACAACCTGCAAGCACACCCGTGTCGGAACGATTGCTTATCTGGTATGACGCTTGCCCAGGGCACCTAAAGGAATTCAAGCCTCCCACTAGACCTCCCGTCTTTTTACGCAGTACTACCGTACTACCGGCCACTACTCACCACCTACCAGACCAGCGCGGAGCCCACCACCGGAGCAATCGCTACGACAACAACCACCGCCGGCTGCAAAGCCAAACAGGAGACGTGCATAGCTTCGCATACGCGCATTCTTGCGTCGCTGTCCACGATGGCGGCTACCCAACCAGAGCAAACAGGTGAGCTAGAGCCCAGTCACTCGACAGATGATATACCCTGGCGTTATCTGCCAGCCGTTCCCCTTGCCTTGCCTCCGCCCCCCCCCCAGTCCTGTCCCCCCGATTGTGTGCCAGAGTGGCAGAGGGGTAGATCCTCGCACCGACGCAGACGTGCCTGGTCTTTTGTTTTCCAACTTCCCAGTTTTCCTGTTGATCGGGGTCTTTTGGCGCCTGGGCATTTGTGGGCTCCCAGTTCTCTTGAGCCGGTTGTGTCATGTAAAAGAGATTGCTGTTTCATGTCCCTATCACAGTCGTCATTCGCATGCACGGTGCCGATGGCCAAACCCACCGTTCCTTGTCTGATCAATTACTGACGTTTTGGGCCATTTTGCCGCGCCTTGGACATTTAGATCTACGATCTGCTGGCTTGACCCTCAACCTTTCCTCTAACAATCCATTTCGCAACCGCGCCGTATCGCCGGCTCTCGCTGCAAGCCCCGCCTCGCCTTTCGACGACCCCCCTCCGCGCCCTTTATCGCGAAATCCATTTCTCGACCCCTCTGTCGCGGCAAGACCCAGCTTACCGAACATCAAAGCGGCATCAGATACCATGTCGCCTCTCGACAAGAAACCGTCGTCGCCCACGGCTGAAGACATATTTGTATGTGCTTCCATTCCCTTTCCAGCGCAGCAGTCGCAGACCGCGCACCTCGCCCTGACATTGCATCTCCTTATCTTCAACTCGTCATAGCCCAGAACTAATAAAGTGTCCGTAGGGCTCCTTGACTCTTGATGATCAGAAAGCCCCCCCGCCTTACCAGGTGTCTCCTCCGCTCGGACCGCCCAAGCCAGATGCGGTGAGGCCGCCACAAATGGGCCGTCGAGGTCCACCTCCTCCAGGCCGGGACGACTTGCTGCCCACCAGCCGCAGAGGACCACCACCTAATCACCGCCCAACGCGCTCGCAAGAAGAAGCTCTACGGCGCAAGATGCAAGCAAATGGGGAAGGCTCTGCTCTACCCGATCCTTCCCGTTCACCTCAAAGGCGGTCCGACCGCCGCCCGCGCAGGAACTCGGAGTCCTCTGCTGTGGACCGCGAGAAGCCGACCACCGAAGAAGAAAAGAAGCTGCGCGAGCTCAGGCGACGTGACCGAGAAGCTCGTCGGCAACGCGATAATAGGGATCGGGATAAGAAGCCTCCAAACCGCAAGCTCGACATCATCGACCAGCTAGATGCGACCAGCATCTACGGAACCGGAAGTATGTGTCTCGTTGCCGCTGCCATTTCTGATCATTGCTGATACCTGGATTACAGTGTTCCACCATGATGGCCCCTTTGATGCCCTCAACCCGCATCGAAACAAGCAGGGCAGCCGGCGTGCCCCTATGGAGGCGTTCCCCAAGGATTCGCTGAACAACGTGCTCGGCGGTTCTGGGCCACTGAACGTCCGGCCAGACCATGCGGCCTTTCTTGGGCAACACGACGATGAGGCATTCAAAGAGTGGTCGGCAAGCGGCAAAGACCGGTTGGAATTGGCTGACTATCCGCCCCCCAGCAAGGGCGAAGCGCGTATCTTTGACCCGCTCAGCCGCAGCAGCATCCTGCATGGCGATGAAAGCATGGGTCTTGGCACCTCTACGTTCTTGGAGGGCACTCCGGCCGCGCGTACCGCAATTCAGAAACGCCAAGAGGAAGAAGCCGACAACGAAGGACTGCAGCGAAAGAAGTCGCTCGCCCAGCGGATCCGCAACATCAACCGTGGCGGCCGCGACTACCAGCCATCGGGAAGGATGGCACATCCGGATGGTTACTATGCCTCTCGGAGATCGCCCTCGGACAGCTGGAATCAAACATCTGCCAGCATGCAGACGCCGGCCAATGAGTCCAATCCCTTCTTTTCCGAATTCGAGCAAGGCAAGAAAGGGGAAGAGGCATTCAACGTGCGGAATATGGATTCCAATGGGAACCGGGTGTCACCTGCCAGTCCCAAGGGATACAGCTTGGAGCGCAGAGTCACGACCGACGCCACTATGAGTGCCGAAGAGTCGCAACCGAAGCCCAGTGGCATCCTAGGCCGAATGAAGAGTCTGAAGGGCGGACGCCGCGCACGGCAGAACAACCCTCCAAGCACCGATATGGGGACTAATGCTCCTGGTACCGCGGTCTAGAAACACGCCTGGATATTTCGACGAGGGATGCCTCGATCGTAAGCGGCTTCACAGAGAGTCGGGAGCCAGCAACACCGAGGGCCAGCATCCTAAGCTTCACATACCCTACGAATTGACTCTACGAACAGCATGTTTTAGTTTTGCGGAGCGCAGCTAGTCCTCCCTAGCTTAGCGTCTAGTGGGCAGTCGAACCACCCACACGAAATCAACCTTCTCTACTTACACCCTCGCCCTTTTCGTCGACACTCCACGGGCACAGGAATAATGTCGAATGGAGAATTCTATGTACAAATTTTGTTGGTGCCTCTTCCGGAGCAGCAAACAAGAGAGGATTGTGGCGTAAACTCGGGCACGCCTGGCTATCTCGTCGGGGATGCACAACGATGGTGTGTCCCCCTTTTCAGTGGTTCCACCATACATGAGACGCGACGGGTGTGGTTGTGGTCCACTGGTCTGCGGGTTTCTTTTTTTCCTTTTCGGTTCCTTTGCCTATACGGAGAAAGTGCGTTTCAATGTTGTTTAGGGGCGGGTGGAGAATGAGCGAGGTCCGGAAGGTGGAATTAACACCCGGGGATAGCATAAGGGGGTGGATTGAGTACATAAAGGGTACTAGCTGCCTACCTTACCGACGGTAGATTCGTACGTAGTCGAAACGGAATGGGAGTAAGGCGGCTTTAGTACATCGTTCGGAGACATGGTCCTGTTCTTACTTTTTCACTCGTCTCTTAATGTCGACACAATGAACGAACCACGGGGCGTTTGTTTGATGTACCTACCTAGACACCTTGGGCATGCTGTCGGGGCTGGCAAGACTGAACGAAAGTTTTCATGATGTGCTTTTTAACTCTGACCGTGATGCAGTCTACTAGAGGCGTTTGCTGAGTATCCGTATCAAGAAAAAGGCGGGCAAGTGGGGTCTGTGTCCAAGGCCCACATTTGGGCTGGGACGTCCCGGCCTTCCCACCATCTCCCCATCTGCATGCAATTGTGGTCAACAGAGAGAGCTGAACCTCACGACTCAGTCCCAGACAGCGCTGCGAATACCGGGCAGATGGCAATATTCGTTACTGCAGTTCCGGGGACGTGACGATTGTTTGCCTTGGTGTCGTGGATTGCGAGGGTCAGAAGACGCTTAACTAACTAGTGCTTGAGAATCGCGAAAGGTAAGTTCAGGCCCAGTGAGGGCGCTATTGTGTGTGCCCTTATGAGCTTGCTCATAGACTCTCAGATTCATAGAGAGATTTTATTTTATTTATTTATTTTTTGGAGGGAGGAGGGGGCGCTGACGGTTGAATTATACTTTAGGTTTGGTTGTCAACAGAAATCGGCTGAATGAATGGATGGAGGACGTTCCGTGAATGCATGCATCCTGCTTCGACCTTTTACCTTTGGACCTAAAGAGACGCCCTTTCTCGCCCTCCGCACTGCTGACACGCTTTTGGGGATGGGGAGTTTCTTGGGGAAATGACTGCGTCTATCCATTTGACCTCGAATGACATAGTTGAAGCAAATCCGCCTCAGGTTCTCTCTACTCCCCGCCCGCCTCTCGAAATTTGAGGGAGGAAGCGAAAATGCGGGCTATGGACCCAGTCGAAGAAGCCCCGTTGGAGCCCGTCCCGGCGTCGATCCTCCTCGAGAAGGCCGTGGAGAGAAAGGACAGCCTCAGGCGTCGCGGAAACATCTTGACCGGCTGCAGCGAGCTCGACGAGTATGTGCTCCTCGGCGGCTTTGAGCGCGGGTCGGTCGTCGGTGTGAGCGCCGAGGATGACGAGATAGGACTCTTGGTGCGTTTCTCTCTGCCTTGCTGTCTATTTTTTTTATGCCGTGGGAGATGGCCTAGGTTTTGTCGACGGGACAGACAGTTGAGGAGTTGGTGCCTCTATGCTCACGTCTTGTTCTGTCTAGATTGGCTTGCAAACAGTTGCGCGCTTGTTAGCTAGGACGGCGCCCGGCGCCCCTGTACCAGCTCGGCCTCGTGCCATAATTGTCACAACCTTGCCTGCACGAGTGCTGCTGCCGAAGCTGCGCGAAGTCATCGTCGGCCAAGTTGCGGCCCTGCAAGACGGGGGACTCGAGAATGTTCGCGACAGGGTTCACTGGTGTCTTGAGGACATCTCTATTGCGAGGGTGTTTGATATCGAAGGTCTCTTGGAAGTCCTGTCGGAGCTGGATGCACAAGGTTCCCGGGAGTCGAAAGATGCTGTCCGGAGCGAGCCAACACTGCAGCGGGAGGAAACTCGCGAGCCCGATATCAAACCCGCACCGAAAATGGAGATCTTGGACAGCAAGGATGAAGATGGCAGCTTGTCACCTCTGAACAATTCACCTCCTGGTCAGGAGACGCCCCTGAAATCCAGCGAGAAAACACCTATGTCGAAGCAAGAGCCTCTGCCGGATTCCTGTCCTTCGCTGCCCCTGCCAGACATAATTCTCGTCACGCACATTTTCACCCTGCTCAGTACGCTATTTACCGGCCGTGACGACAAAACAGCCGCGCACAACACCATGCTACTCCTCTCTTCCTACTTGCGCCACCTGACGCGCTCTCCTAGCCGCGAGGGGCCACTGATCATGCTTCTCAACTCAGCAACAGCCAACTCGTTCACAGGGGGCGACGAGAGCACCCTGAAAATGGACTACAACAGAAACGGCCCTTCTCCATCGACAGGGCTCGGATTTGGCACGGAACACACCACCACAAAGCCCTCGGACGCCTCACTGCGCTCCACATTCAGCCCCGCCCGCCCCGGCGGATACCGCGGCATGGGCCATGTGCGCGTACCGCAGAAGCAGGTAACCAAGCCCTCGTTCGGTCTTGTCTTCTCTCAACTGCTTGACTTACATCTGCTCTGTACCCGCGTGCCGCGGACAAGGGGGGATGTCGGGGTCGTAGAAACGGGGTTGTACTTTGGAGGGAAGAGCGAGATACATTTGACATGGGTGGTCGAGGTGCTCTTGGACGAGCTGGGCGTGTACTGCGCCGATGATGGGAGAACGCACTGGAGAAGGAGCAGAGAGCAGAGATGGGCTGCTGTGGATGTGGGTGAGGGCGGGGCGAGGGCTGTGAATGCAGGTTGATGTTGGATGGCTGGCTGACGCAGCTGGCCGCCCATGAAGTGAAGGGGCTGATGATGTCTCTGGGAGAGACATCCCGCCCTTCTGACTCTGCCAGTCGCGGATATGCATGACAGGACGGTGTTCTGGTCAACCAACATTCTGCGCATAAACTGCTGCTTGCTTGTCGCCACTTTCTAATTTATCCCCTATTCAAGCAAAATGTTTATTTTACAGCTGAGTTGAGTTTTCCTCTTTATTTCCCCACTCCAGCATCCCGCCCCCTTTTCACGTTGCAGAGACACAGGGAGACCTTGCCTAACACGCACCTACAGATCTTCATAGCCGCTGTCCACACGCCCGACAGATTCATCCTCCTCCAAGTACGGCTCCAGCCGGGCCTTTAGCTCGTCAAGTTTAATGGCACCCTCCTCCTCCTCATTCGCGCAGGAGGACTTGGAGCTACCAACGCCGTCGCCGCCGCGGGGGTGATGGCGGTGGTGCTGCGGAATCAGCACCTTGTCAACTACGTGGATAACGCCGTCGTGCGCGATGCCGTCCTTGACGGCGACGTTGACGAAGCCGTTGACCTTGATCGACACGACGTAGAACCACCGCTTGATGTCGACGCTGATGGGCTTGCCGAGCAGCTGCGACGGCAGATCGACGTGCCAGGAGTCCCGAGACCCCGAGTCCGTGTTCTTGTCGTCGTGGTCGTGGTCGGTCTTCTTCTTGTAGAAGGCGTCCGAGTACAGCGTCTCGTTGGCCACGATGTGATACTTTAGCAGCGCGCGCAGGTACTTCTTGCCGCGCTCCGAGAACAGGAACGCGTTGGTGCGCGTACCGAGCCGGGCAAAGGCGTGGTTCGTCGGCGCGAACAGCGTGCCGCCTGTACGAGGGGGCGGAGTCCCGTCACCCTCATCACCATCCTTCACAATAGTATCAAACCCCAAATCGTCCTGACCGACGCCCGTCGTCTCGAGCGCCAGCGCCAGCGTGCTGAACGTGCCGGGGAGCAGCTGGACGATCTTGGCCTGGCGCGGCGGCGGTACGAGGATCGCGTCGACGGCGTGGATCACGCCGTTGGCCGCCCCCACGTCGCCGAACACAACGCGGCTGTAGAAGTTGAGCCGCGCCGCCGGCCCGAAGAAAGGGATCGCGCTCCGGCTCACGCGCACGCGCTGCGGCCGCGAGCCTAGCGACGAAAGCGATAGGTTCGTTGCTACCGTCTGCTGCCCCTTTAGCCGGCGCAGCGGGAACCTCCCAGGCACGATGTGGTACGCCAGCAAAGCCCGCACGAACTCGGCCGGCGGTGGTTTTTTGTCATCGTCATCGTCGTCATGTCCGTGCTTGGGCAGCCGCTCAAACGCCCGGTCAGTGGGCACAAACAGCGTCACGTTCCCCGCCGACGTGTCCGAGAGCAGCGCCTTGATGTCGGCGTGCGCGTCGACCAGCTTGGCGAACCGCGTCGTGTGCTTATTCGACGAGATGAGCTCGTAGATGCTCTTGCTCGGGTCGCCGCGCTCGTGGTGGCCGTACTGCTGGTCAAGGTCATCGCTGCTTCGGATCTCTTTCCTTTCCGATAGGGTCTCTGCTGGCAGACTTGCCGCCTTTTGGATGGGAACCTTGACTATCTTTTGCTCGATGAAGTCCGTGTCGAGAACGTCGTCGATGTAGCCGGAGGTAGTGGACTCGGCAATGGCGGCGGCACAGCCATCGCCGGCATTCTTGCTGCTGCTGCTGCTGCTGCTGCTGCTGCCTCTTGTCGCAGCGGAGGCAATGATCTTCTCCAGCCAGGCGAGTGTGTCCTCGGCGGCGGTGACCTGGTTGTCCCACCAGCTCAGAATCGACGCCGACGCGCCCTCCTGTTCAGCCACCTCGTTGTACTCATCGTGGACGGTAACGCCATCACCAACGCAGCTGGTGCAGGGTTGGATAGAATATTGGTGGGAAATCCGCAGCTGCTTGGATGCTCTGAAGCCGGGGATCGCGAAAGACGCGGCCGCGGCCGCAAAGAGGGCGACTACGGTGGGTGCTTGCTTCATGACAGTTGGCCTTGCGGGTACCGGTGTAGATAGGTTTTGTTGATAGTGTTTTGATGCTGCTTGGTTAACCTAGCTTTTTGACTAGATAGGCGCTCGAGGTTGAGTTGAGTTGATCAACTCGCTAACCCCTGAAACAACTCAACAAGTGAGACCTTTGCATGAACAAGTTGATGTTTGCAGTGGAAATCGAAAGAATAGAGGCTTCTCGTGTTAGTTAACAGACTCAACTCCTCTAGGTATGCTAAGGCAGAAGAAGATGACGCATTAAGGAACGGCCCCTCGCTCGCCCGACTCTCCCGGACTCTTGTTGGTGGTGGTGGTTGAATTACCCAATACTAGACGTCATTCTGTTGCGAGGTTGCGTACGCACTCAGGGTTGATTGGTCGTTTCCCCTCTTTGACTTTTCAGCGGTACTTGCATGTTAGCCGTGCCATCAGGATTCGCCTCCCTTGCTCTTTGTTCGTGTGTTCTTTGCTTGTAAGTGACTTAATGAGAACAGCTTGGTTTACTGGAACTACAGAACAAGTATCCAAGTGAATTGTATATGTGGTGTGTACTGTACCGGGTTGAGTGTGTTAGTTGCTGCGTTCTGTTCGCCGCGTTTTGAGTTCCATAGTCACTGCAAATGGCCTCGAAAGGAATGTAGGCAGAGGACAGCACCCCCCCTCACCTCACTCTGCTTTGCTTCATTTTCATCCAAAAAATACCACTTGCGAATCAGAAACTACCTGCAGAACCTTCGTGCCTAAGTGAGCAAGGACTATGAGAAGTGCTCGGCTTGCCGTCTGTCATTCTGAAGCTACCTTACCTAGCAAAAGGAAGGCATTGGCGTTGTACGAAGAGCCAGGCAGCGGCACTTGGCTTGGGTTTTCTTTGGGGTTTCAGGAAGTTTTAGAAATCATGGTTCATAGACCTAGGCTGGCATTGCGAATGCGTGCTCTTCTTAGGCAACCTTGCTCTGTTACCCAGACACATAAGATGCACTGTGGCAATGATACCTGGGTTTGACGAAGGATATAAAGACTGAGTGGAAGCTTTGACACGGAATTTGTTGTTGAGGGTGTGACTTTGGTGACTGTCTGAAAAGGAGAAAGTCAGACGTTTGGGTCTGAATCCTGGTTTAAAGGGAAATTTGGGTTGCGACGGCTTTGAGATACACCTAAAAGGGAGTGCAACGATAAAGAAGACAAACCTATGCACCAGGGAAGGTAGTTTGGCAGGCATGAGATGCTCTACAACCAGTTACTGATGAGAGAGTGACACTGTACCGGCCTGTGCCCAAGACAGGCAGGAGGAGCCCAACAATGACATGGAAGCCCAGACAAGTTGAGAAACACTGGACGCGCCGAATTGTCGCCGTGAACCCCTTATACTGACTTGTATGTACATGTACGGACAGTGGCATTGTCCCCCCGCAACCTAACACGAGCCAGCGGCCGATCGATATCGTTTGGTGCCAGAAGTTAATTAATAACAATACATTCAAGGGTCTATCAAAGGGCTCACACTACATGGGGAGGCATGGGAAATCCTGCAACGACTTACACGAACGAGTTAGCAGCTCGTCTGTCTCGTATACCATATTGGATGTCGGATTCTACAAGCCCTGCAAGAGTGGGGAAGGAACCGAGATTGGAATCCTCCTTCCAAGTATAACTCCGTATTTCACAGATTACAACCTAGGCTGGGTATACCCTCAAAGAAGAGTGGACGCTCTGGCCTTACCACCGAATCAGACAAAAGCGTGGGCGCCGACAGCAAAGCAGAACAGGCTCCGTCATCCGACTCGATCTTGAAAGGTGGTAGGTCTTCCACGTCCCGCAGAGGCGCTAAGGATGGGGAGACAGCCCGGAGCCCGGATCGGCACGATCGAGATGGGTTCGCACGAATCTGGACATCCGTGAACTGCCGGGGGAGATGGGAACCTGTCGCTGTCTCTCGATCCGTGCGGCTAGACCAGAGGCGAAGCGAAGCGCTGCACTGTAACCAAGGCAAAGAGATCTAGAATCCTTGATAGATGTGGGATGGGATGGCCGATTCCGAGCCGTCGCATTTCGCATCCGGCGATCGACGGTCGAAGCCTGCTAGCCACTGCACTGCACAGCACGGGAAGAAAAAAAAAGGGCGCTTTGTGTTTCGTGAATGGCCAGGGTATTCCGTAGGGGGCTATGTAATTCGTGCATACAGGCCCGAATGGAATGCCTCATTACACACGCCGGGGACACTACGTACAGTATGTAAGGTATGGATGGATAGATGTATTGTATGTACAAAGGGCGTGCACATGACCATTAACCCCCCCCCTCTTTTAGGTCCCGAAAGAATTTAGGGCGAGTGCGTCTTCGCAGAAAAGATCCGCACTTATCCTCCGGCGGGCGGAGGGTGCTGCTATTTTAGGGAATGCGTGATTGTGAAAGCGACGGGAGCGAACCCAGAGCTTGTTAGGCGTTGGAGAATTATGCCTCGTTTGAGTCGCTGCCCGTGGGATTGGAACTGGACTCTAAAAAAGCTCACCGCGCCGGGCTTAACCGCCCCCCCAGACGTACGCGCGGGCCGTCTGTGCACGCAATTGGATGAATCCGAGTTGCGGAATCTGCTAGACGCCGGGGCGTCTGCGGCGTCCAACTAATCCCATCGGCCCTTCGCCTCTCGCTCACAGTCCTGAGTCCTTTTGGGGGCTTCCTTCCAGACCCTTTCCAGGCTGACCGAGTTAGGTGACTGAGGGGTAATACTCTTATAGAAGTAGGGGAATGTGGTCAAAGACATGGAAATCCGGTTAACATTTGTTCTCGGTTGGGTCTACGAAGTAGGTATGGAACTTGGTGTTTGCTCTGTGCTTTAACTAGAGAGGTATGCACTTTACCTGCGCTGCGGTGAGCACAACAGCTGCTGCGGATAAAGAAATTGAAAATCTGGGAAATCTGGGCCTGGTTTCGTGACCGAAAAGGCTTGAACAAGGCTAAAGGCAAGGGGGCACTACCGCCAGATCAGAGCAGTGAGTGGAAAGCGATGCTCCGTATGGAATAGAATGCCTGTAATTTGAGATGGCAACGTGGATCGACCCAGACCAGACTTGACCTTGCCGACGGCCATGTTGCTCACCCAGCCCGCCGGGACTGGTGGATGTCAAAGAGGATTTAAAATGCCCGCCCGTCCTACTGGATGGTGAGTGAGGTGGTGAGGCGGCTGCGGCAGCGTGAACCATCCCGCGGTCCCAAAGAAAGGCGCAACAAGAGGGCTCAGCGACGAACCAACCTAACGCGGGCACTAGTCATCACCAGGCGCGCCCTTTCGACGCCTGAGACCGCTGTAGTCAGGCTCCGAACGCAAACCTCACCGGATGCCCAGCGCCGGCTCATCACGAGTGGCTAGAGAGGCGTTGTTTCTGGCCGGCCCTTGTCACGTCGAGCAGGCCCCTTGCATCATCTAGGTTGGTATTCTACGAGGCACTAACGGGTGCCGTACTAAGGTGTAGTGTGGTGTATATTCAGATCGAAAAGCATCGAACGTCTGCCTTTCCCACAAGACCGGCCGGTGTCTAATTAGATAGCGTGCCAGACTCGAAATGTCTTTCCATTTTAGTAATTATGCCCTCCACCTCTGCCTGAGCTGTAACTACCCGTCAGGCTATTGAGTGCGCTACCGAAGGTACCCATTTCTTGCCCCAGGCCCGCATTAAAAGTTCCAATCTACGATGTAGCTCCGTGTTATGCCCCCAAGGCTGTGCGAGGCGTCAGGGGGGGGAGGGAGATTTGCAACCAGGCCAGGCCCGCTGCCCCTTCGCGGGCCTTGGCGAGGCCGTACGTGCGGGTACAGCACAGTGTGAGCTTTCCCTGCTCCACAAGTCTCTTGCACTCTTGACTCCGAGTCCGTCCATCTCCGAGCCAGCACACCAGTTCCACTGGGACCTATCCAAAGGGTCACGGACTACAGGCTACGGGCTCTTGGATCTCAACTGTTAGCACTCTTGGATCTCAACTGTTAGCAAGCGTGCACGTATCAAGGGCGCGACCCACCGCCACTCGACGACCTCCTTTCATCTCTGCCCAGGTGTCCCGCTCCAGACCGAGTCAACAGGTCTCAGAGCGTGAGGTAACAACTGCCTGAGACTTGGCAGCGACCCGTCATCACCTGATGAGGTGCCCTGGCCCAAGCATCGTTGCTGTCGACAGGTTTCCAATCTCAGGCTCCCTTGCGGCGGGAGGCAAGAGGCAGGCAGGCATGCCTCGGGAAGAGTTGGTAACCTGTTGCCGTCACGTAACGCATGTGTGCACCTTGCCGACATGTGCTTGCCTTGACGCCCTTGAAACTTTGCGTCGAATGTACTCAGTAATAAGTGCAGGTTGTCTTGAGAGTCCCGACAGCTTGGATCAAACACGGCCAGAGGGGGGAATGTACGTGATAAGGTTGCTGCCAAGGAGGTTCTGCCTATCAGAGATTGGCCCTTCTGTAACCTGCTAGGGCGCGTAGTTGCACAATAACCTCCTTCCAAACCGCCCGCTTTCCAAGCTGCGGTGCGGCGCTTTGCTTTGCTTTACTTTAGCGCGCAAGCGGCTTTGTTAAATATCGTCGGTTGCACCGTGCAGGAAAGGTTGAAGGCGGGAGGGAGAGGGCGGGGCTGAAAACAGGAAAAGTGATGGGCCAGTGTCTGGTGCCCTGTCCGTATTGGGCCATTTCTGCCTAACTGATGAGAGACTGGTCTTGCGGCATGGTTGCCTCCCCAGAGCCTGGCCGCCCGTTCCCAGTCAATCGCTTCGTTTGCCATCTGGCAGCTCGCACTGTGTAAATTCATGCTTGGCCAGCTAGCCACGGGGTCCTGGGCGAAGGCAAGGAGGCACTGAAGGGACAGACCCAACCAGGCTTTGAGCGCCAGGGCCTGCAGTCAGGAATAGCTGGGTGGGCTCGGCTTCCGTCTCCCCAAATCCTGTTGCTGACACCACCTCCTCCCCCTCTTGCTCCCCTTTCTCGCCGCTCTTCCTCTCCTAAATAACCTCCGCCTTTCGCCTCCCCTCACGCCCCGAGCGAAAGAAAAAGCGAAGGACTCCCGCCATAACGTTTTGAGGGTAATAAACTCAAAGCCAACTCCCCGGAAGCCTTTCTCGGGCTTTGCATTCCACATCTTTTTGCTTTTCTAACAACTTTTTTTCGCAGAGCACATTCGGCCATCGGGTCAGGCGTGAAAATCGTGCTCGTGCTCGTCAACCACCACACCCACACCGGTCGGACGTAGGATTCTTTCCCCTCTCGCATCGACCTGACGTCCGGGGAGCCCGCCTCAACGACGATACGTGAGTTCTCTTTTTTCGATTTGCATTCAACAAATTCTCTCTCTCTTCATTTGAGTTGGAAATCTCGGGGTGCATTCTTCAAAGATTTGGAGGCCGTGATTTAGTGAACCGAAAGGGTTTTATCCTTTGGCCTCGCATACACTGTCCCCGCGTGTCGCTACGCCCCCTGGTGTGCGGTGGTTTCTAGTCTCAGCCAAACCCTCCCTCAACCCCATGCTTCGACGCCTTTTCCTCCACAACGACGCTCATCAATCTAACCACAGCCATCCTCTAACATAAAGGCTTACCCTCGATATTTCCATCTTCCAGGTTATCGTCGAACTCAAATTTTATACTTCGCTCTCCCGTCGACAGCGACCGAGGAACAATCCTCGACTTCACCGCCAAGATGACGACCATGGTAAGTCTCTACCCCTCTCTACCCTTCCCCCCTTCCTCTTAATTCAGGCCAGTTCCTGTTTCCTTGGCCTGCTTTTCGTCGTACCAAAATCGGCTTTCACCATGCTTTGCCCCTGCGGATCTCGAGCCTCAACTTGGGTCAATAACGAGGACCGAGGAACAGTAACTCGAAGCAACAGTCCAGCTGACAGTGTTGATGGTGACATTAAGGATCTTCGCGTCGGAAACAAGTACCGAATCGGTCGCAAGATCGGTTCTGGCTCGTTCGGCGACATCTACCTCGGAACCAATATCATTTCTGGCGAGGAGATTGCCATCAAGCTCGAGAGTGTGAAGGCCAAGCACCCGCAGCTCGAGTACGAGGCCCGCGTCTACAAGTCGCTCGCCGGCGGCGTTGGAATTCCATTTGTTCGCTGGTTTGGCACCGAGTGCGACTACAACGCCATGGTTCTCGACCTCCTCGGCCCCAGTCTCGAGGATCTGTTCAACTTCTGCAACCGCAAGTTCTCGCTCAAGACTGTCTTGCTTCTGGCCGACCAGTTGATCTCCCGCATCGAGTACATTCACGCAAAGTCGTTCATCCACCGTGATATCAAGCCCGACAACTTTCTCATGGGTATTGGCAAGCGTGGCAACCAGGTCAACGTGATCGATTTCGGTCTCGCCAAGAAGTACCGGGATCCCAAGACCCACTTCCACATCCCGTACAGAGAGAACAAGAACTTGACAGGCACGGCCCGCTACGCCTCCATCAACACCCATCTCGGAGTTGAGCAGTCCCGCCGCGATGATATGGAGTCTCTTGGCTACGTGATGCTCTACTTCTGCCGCGGCTCTCTCCCGTGGCAGGGCCTCAAGGCTGCCACCAAGAAGCAGAAGTACGACCGCATCATGGAGAAGAAGATGACCACTCCCACGGACGTGCTCTGCCGTGGCTTCCCCAACGAGTTTGCCATCTATCTTAACTACACGCGCTCGCTCCGTTTCGATGACAAGCCCGACTACAGCTACCTTCGCAAGATCTTCCGTGATCTCTTTGTCCGCGAGGGCTTCCAGTACGACTACGTCTTCGACTGGACCGTCTACAAGTATCAGAAGAATGCCCAGGCCATCCAGCAGGCTGCCGGTAACCAGACCAACCAGGCCACAGCTACTGACTCCAAGGATGTTGCGGCCGCCGCTGCTCGCAAGGACACTCAGCAGGCGCTCAACCGCGGAGCCCGTAAGCAGATTGAGACGACCGACACCAACCGTGCCATCGGTGGAAGCGACAGGATGTGAGTTTGTCCGCCTAGCCCAACAGCATTCCTAGTAAGGAATCATTTTCCTTCGAGTTTGGTGTGCTCAAAAACGCTGGCCCGAGGTCCCATGCTGACAAGAGTGCTGACATTCAGTTTGCGATCATAGGCTGCGCTCGGCTGCTAAAGGCCAAGGCGCTGGCTCGGGATATGCTTCGGGCACTTATCGCCCCAAATGATGGACCAGAGGCCATCTGGATCTGAGATTCCCTTTGGGTTGTTGGAGTACTTGATGTCTCGTCGGTGGACCGGACACAGGCTGTTTGCGAAGTTCGCTCGTCGCGGTGTGTTGAAGGTCTCTCGCCAGACTAGATACTCTACCGCAGAGAGTCTAGACCGGCATCGATAGCAGACACGACTCCAGACCCTAGTGTTACGGATTGCTTTTCTTCAGTTTTTCGACATCTCATCGGTTAACGGCCTTAATCATGGCTCGGATGACTTTTCGATCGGGCAGCGTTACTGGCATGGGGTTTTGACTTTGAGTCAAGACCGGCTAGTATGCTGTCCGATTGGGAGCCTGACGAACGGCATGTCCGGTACCTCGAGCTTCTCGGAGTACTGTTTCGGGGACACTCTCTGTCGATAGGAAGCGGTTGTCTTTGACGCCCCGTTTGGGGGTAGCAGCCACGACGAGACAACTCGATTAAGACACCCGACTGCGTGCAAGTGGTTTTTGGGCCATACCATTTACGAGATCAAGCACAGCATCATTTCAGCAGCAAGAAACGGCATTCTTTCTCAACCCCATTCCCCTCTCTCTTAATTCTGCATTTTTACGATTTTTCTTTGCACTCGTCGTCGCGCCATTCTCAATCATCAGAGTTCGCTTGTGGGGAGGTAATTAGGGGATGAAGCGACAAAGTTTTTCGAGGATGGGAAGGGCAAAAGAGGACGTGGTCTCGTCATTTCAGGCGACTGCGCTTCGTGGCTCTATTTTGGGGCCGGGAACAGTCTGCGTGACGGAGAGGCTGGTGGATTGCAAAGACGACGGTGGAACACGGTGGCCATAATTATTACCTGTCGCCGACCGCGCAAGGGCTTGTTTTGGCATGGAAATTCGGTCACTGTTGCTTCTAGAAGTGGAGACGAGCACCGTTCTTTACTTGGGGGCAGCTGTGTATTCCAGTCAATCGTGGAGGTGCCCCAAGGACAAGAAGCCCTGACAATGTGAACGGCCAACAGCGACGGTGGTGGCAGTGAAAACTGGTCTGATCCCTGGACCCGTTTCTCTGGTGCTCGCCGGGATACCGTGAACGGAGAGGCCGTGGGTGTACGGCAACGGTATCGGGTCTGAGACAGGTAATGATTCTCGGTGATGACCGATCTGGGGTGGATCAGGCAATACACGGCAGGTAGTTTCCATAATTCAATTCTCGTTTTGATTTTCCTACACGGAGCTTTCCCGTCTTTGGATTCCGTGATTCGGTAGCGCTGAGCGATTTTGCATTTCCGCGCGAGGTGACTGGAGTGGGGGGGTGCTCAGCCTCTGTCACGTTGGCAGAGTATGCACATTTGCACCGGCAGGTGCTTCTCAAAAGTCGGTGTCAGGAGGCTGTACATGTCCTCGACGAGTCAGCTGCTGGCTTGCCTTGTTTGGGTTAGGACTCGAGTTGCATTAGGCAAGGACAGAACAAAGGCAAAGGCGTCACTGCAGGCTAGCGATTGTGAGGGAGCACCCGAGGCAGGTGGACATATAAGACAAGGCAGCCCCAAGGTTGGGAGTAGCTGTTGGTGATGTATGCTGTCTACCTCCTAGTCCTGATATCTGGGAACGCATCTTACTCGACTGTGGTCTTTTAACTTGGTAATTGCATCTCCAGGCTACTCCTCCGTTTGTCAGGGCAGCAAACTTTATTTTGAGCCTGTTTCATCTTTTCACTGCGACTTACGACCCGGGACGTCAGGTAGCCCTCGCTTTTTGGTCGTTCGTCAAGGCGGACGAAAGAACGGCTCAACAAACGGTAGTTCTAGGGGGCAGTAGCGGGTAGTTCCATTGCTGATTTCAAGTTTCTCGGGAAGCTACGGGACTTGCCGCTTGCGCGACAGTGCCTAGCTCGTCAGAGTGCCATAACAGTGCCGCCGCTGTGCCCGACGCAGCCCTTGTCACCTGTCACAATAACCTGCTAGGACGTCTTTTGGAGACAGCAGCAGGCCCAACCCAACGCTTGCAGCTGTGACGACCCAGGAAACCGGACTTCACCCACCAAGTTACGCACATACAGCACCAAAGATGGACCGGTTATTACCAGGTTCCCCGGCCCCCTCCACAACCACCACCAGCACATTACGGGAGAAGGCGACGACAACAGCGGAAAAGACAATGGCGCCGTCAACACTCGACCTGTTTATGCTCACGTTCAACTGCGCAAAGAACCTCATCAATGTTGCCGTCTTTGCCTCGCATCTGCACAGCGCCCTGTCGCAAAACGCCACGGGCCTGCCTGACATTGTCGTCTTGTATGTTCACTTGGGAATTACCTGTCCCTGTCTGTGCTTGTCTTACTGACCTCCAATCGCTAGCTCGCTCCAGGAGGTAGCCCCCATCTCGTACGCATTCATCGGGTCATACTTGCTGGACCCCTTCTACGCTCGCTACGAAGAGGCGCTCAACCTCGCCTCGGCAAGGATACTAGGAACGAGCTTGTCCGGGGAGGGGACGAGCTTCTTGTCGGGATTGCATCATAGGCAGGAGGAGCTGCATGGGAACGGAGGGGCGCCGGGGGCAACGCCCCGGAAAGCGCCTTACACGCTAGTGCGCGCTAAGAACGTCGGCATGACGGCGATCCTGCTGTTCGCCCGGGACGTGGAGGCCTTCCAGCGAATCGACGAGGCCGAGTGCGGGTTTGGCGCCGCAGACATGGGAAACAAGGGCGCCGTCGGTCTGCGCGTGACGTGGGGCAGCGGCGGCAGCTCCCCGAAAACCGCCGAGCTCACTTTCGTCGCCGCCCATCTGGCCGCCATGGAGTGGAACCTCAAGAAGCGCAACGCCAACTGGGGCAGAATCATGTCGGGCCTGCTCTTTGGCAACCCCAAGGACGCGCTGCCAGACGTTGTGTTCCCTGCCCACAAGGGAGGCCCAACCCCCGACCTGACGGGCGACGGCGAGGGGAACATGCGCGTCTTGCCCTCGGAGGAAGCCCCGAACACCGACAACAGCGTCGATAGCAGCGAGGCCGAAGAGGATGATTCGCAGCAACCGCTTCTTCCGTTGCCCCACCACGACGATATACACGCCCAGTTAGCCCCTGAGCACCATGAACGGCTGCAGGACCTCTCCGTCTTCAAGCCCTCTTCGTACTTGTTCCTGGCGGGCGACCTTAACTACCGCATCAGCACCACGACTCCGCCGCCTGGCTCCGCCTTCCCATCATTCGACCCAGAGTCGCCCGACTACTTCCCGGATTTCCTCCAGCGCGACCAGCTCACACAGGAGCGCCTCGCCGGCCGCGCCTTCCACGGTTTGAGCGAGACCCCGATCACCTTTGGGCCCACGTACAAGTTCAACGTGCAGAACGAGGCCGCAGGCGCCACCAACGAGGCGGCCGTCCGCGCCGGCGCCGCCCCGAACGGCGTGCCCGAGGTGCCGTGGCGCTTCGCCGCACACCGCTGGCCCGGCTGGTGCGACCGCGTGCTGTACCTGGACGTGCCCAAATGGGTGGCGGCGCAGGACGGCGCTGCCGAGAAACCGGCCATCGCCGTCCGCGCCTACGACGCCCTCCCCGTCTTGCGCTCCAGCGACCACCGCCCCGTCTTCTGGCGCGCCTCCGTCCCCCTCCTCGGTCCCGATGCCCTGCGCCTCCCGGAGCGCGACCAGGCCAAGTACGCAGCCGATCCTCGTGCTAACCTTCCCGTCCCCATCGACGTGCACGCCTGGGAACGCCGCGCCGCCGCCCGCCGCAGGGAAATCTTTGTCGGCTGGTCGGCCTTCGTGTGGAGCACTTCTGAGGGCGCCCTCCTCCTCGCGACGCTGGTGGCCCTGGGTGTCGGCGCCTGGTGGTGGTTTTCGAGGGGCTGATTCTACGCCATGCTATGCTATGGTATGCCATGATGGCTTGCATACGGGCGGCTGAATCAAAATTAAAAAGTCAAAAGTCAAAACTCTAACTGGGGCGGGGAAACTCTCTGGCGTTGAGGAGGGTGAATCCTAGACTAATCGTGGTTTGTATATACATTTTTTTCCCCTCTGGGCTCTTGTCATTGCGGGCGGCGGCGGACGGAGTGGACATTTTTATACGGTTTGGCATAGAGTAGACTACCTACATACCTACCTTAGGTACATGTGTGTCTGTTTCGTGGGTGTGATGACGATGGTGTTATCCCATGGGGTGGGGGTGGAGATAAATGAGTAGAGGGGGTGACGATGGCGAACAGGTGACGTCAAGACGGAGGCCTATACTACTTACTCTAATGAATCCCAAAAAGTAAAATAAAATATATTCCAATGTGAAGGCGCTAGTTTTCTGTCTGTTGATGGTGAGGTCTGCCGGGGTTGGTGTTGGTGATTTTTAGTGTGTAATGATATTAAGGTGAACGTGAGTGAGCAGTGAATATTGTTTGTTGTTCCTTTGGGAATAATAAGGAGACAGGGGGACAAGATAAAGAAGAAAACAAAAAGTGTCTTGGCTGAAATGGCTAAGCAGTATTGCCGCTCGTCTTTCTTTCTTTATGCACTGTGTGTGGATATACAGCTGCGCAGATATGTGCAAGGTAATGTGTTTAAATTGTATTCAAGAGCGCTGTTGCGAAGCTTCAGGTACCTAGGTAGATAGCTTTCTATTTTTTTGGTTAGTTAAGAGAGGGGCTAGATTGTCTATGTTTGTGGTTTTTCGTAGCTGTAGGTTGGGTTTTTCTCTTTGCTCCCTTATTCTTGCACCCCTTTCTTTTTCTACACAACTTAGGTAGGCACCTACATCGAGAGGAGGACTCAGTTTGCTTGCTAGGCGGGTAGTCGGGTGCCATGAACATGTTATTTGCCAGACGCAAAGAGAAGGTTGAAAATGCAAACGACGAGAATGGCTCCTTGAAACGTATGCCTCTAGTTTTCTGGCTCAAGATACCTTAAGAAAACCAAACCCTAAGGCACGGATAGAAGCTGCTTCAAATACAACAGTTGAAAGAACATGCAAGAGCAGACCCATTAATACCGGCGCTCCAGCGCATCACAGCCTGGCACCTAAGATATCCATCGCATTTCTCATCCATATATATTCGTTTTTTATTGACTCAAAAAAAAATCCATAAATTTACGTAGTTACCTAGGTAGGTAAACATCGTTATCAAATATGTAGTATATACCTTATGTTACTTGCGATGCTTCTACCTAGGTATATCCTGTCCGGCTTTCTTATTGCCCCCTAACACAACGACCATTTGAAGTAGGTTCCAGTACCGACTGATAGAACCTCTTCCAAAAATGGTCGAAAGTCATCCGGTATACAAACAGCTGCCGTTCTCCCCGGTATCCTGCTGTTTTTCTGTATACAAAAATAAATAAATAAAAGAAAACAATAAAATAAAAACAAAAAAGATCATAGCGCACGTACCTAGGTGGCTGAGGGCCCAACTGAGTGAAAACGCCAGCCTCTTCCCTCCCAAGATATAACAATGTAGGCAGGCAGGCAACCAAAAGAGCCACCACGCACACCGCCGCCCCCGCCGCTTGGATGACTTCCATCCAAGGATATAGGCGAGTATATATAGACTACGAATGGGAAAAAGGAGGAATAAAGGTTTATGAACATGACGAACCCACCACACTGTGCCCCCGTTCCGCAACCTGGGAACGCAGGGCGCACGGAGATGACGACGGCGACGGCAGCGAGATCGGAGCATGAGTGCTGTTTCGAATGTGCGTGTATGGTTGCACTGCTGACTTTGCGCAGAGCGAAACGCACACGCAAGACGGCAAACAGAGCGTCTCCCGTTTTTTCCCCTTTTTGGTTTAATTCAAAAGTCCCTAAAGTAGTCGTCGTACCTCTCGGCCATTTCGTCCGTGTACTCGTCGCGCACCGCATCCTCCTCGGGATAAATGTCGAAGCACTGGGCGTCACCGGGGTATCGGATGGGCGGGATGATAGGGCCGCGCTGGCGCCGTTGGATCACGGCGTCCCAGTCGACGCCGTTGAAGAACGGGTGCGCCTTGACCTTGGCTGCGCCGCCGCTAATGTTGCCCAGCCGCCGCGACCGGTCAACGGTGCACAGCTGCCTGATGATATCCTTCGCTTCTTCGCCGATGGGCGGATCGTGCGGGAAGACGACCGGCTTTTCTACGATTCTGTGTGGCACGAGGAATGTCAGGGGGTGGGGGCACGGTTGTATTGGCAGCCACTAAAACAGCACGAAAAAAAAAGGGGGTGGTACGCACTGCTTGTAAATCTCTATTGGATTTTGGTGCCAAAACGGCGGATAGCCCGTCAAGAACTCGTAAATCAGTATACCCAACGCCCACCAGTCGACGGCTGTTGTGTGGCCCTTGTTATGGATCACCTCGGGCGCCAGGTACTCGGGGGTGCCGCAGAGCGTGTATGTCTCGACTGGATGCTCGTTCTTGTTATTACCTAACCGCTTGGCAAACCCGAAATCGACCAGTTTGATGTGCCCCTCAGCATCAAGCAGCAGGTTCTCGGGCTTCATGTCGCGGTAGGCAATCCCTCCTTGCTGCTCGTGCAGGTACTCGAGCACGAGCACTATCTCGGCCGCGTAGAAACGCGCCATGTCTTCGTCGAAGCGCCGGAACTTGCGCAGGTACGTGAATAGCTCGCCGCCGGGGATGTAATCCAGCAGCAGGTAGAGGAAGTCGTGATCCGAAAACGAAGCGCAAAAGTTGGTGATGAAGGGATGGCCTGACACGTCGGCCAAGATCTGCCTCTCGTGGCGCACATGGTCGATTTGCTTGAGCTTGATGACTAGAGGTAGCAGGTTTTATTAGAAAACCCGCCTTCTGCCAATGGCCCACCAACGCCTGGTCGCCGGTATCTTGTGATCACGGCCGACTTCACGTACCTTCGGTTTTGCGCAGTATCTTCAGCGCGTACACCTTGCAGCGATCCGCTTCGCTGCCAATCGCGGGCCGCACAAGGACGACACGCGCAAACGTGCCTAGAAATAGTCGCAATGGGCAACGCGGTTATTAGCCATCCTGGCGCACTTGACACGTATATCTAGGAGTAGTGCTATACCGGTCCCTAATGTCCGCACTCTATAGAAGTCATTGAGAGTCAGCTTCCGGTGGGCTAGATCGAGACCCCCATCGCCACCCTCCTCTTGGTGTTGTTGCTGCTGCTGCTGTTGTTGCTGCTGCTGCTGTCTCTGCTGCTGCTGGCCGCCGCCACCGGCGCGTAGCCCCTGGGCTTGCAACGGGTGAAGCCCTCCACCCCCAAGGGGTTGGGACGTAGCGACGGTCGCCGCCATAGCGAGGACGGAGAGGAAGGAGAGAGGTCCTTGTCGGGGGAAGCCAAGACGTGCGCGAGGACCCGGGCTGATAGGTATTCAAGCGTCTCTATGGCGGGGTATCTTGGCCAGATTGACCAAAGTTCCGTTTCGCTCGAGGGCCCCGCACTGTGAATAGTTGTCTAGTTAAAGACGACCTGATTGCCGGGAACGTGCGCCTCTCGCCAGGCGCAGAAAGCGGTGGTGAGAAGGCGAGGCGCGGGATGTGTGCTAAGGTAGGTAATTGCCACCAAACAGGGGCGGTTCGCAACCTATTCGGAGCTAGCTTCAAGGAGTTGACATGATGCGGGAGATGAAAGGGGAAACCTAAGCCAGGGGCTGACGGGGAAGCTGTGAGATCAGAAAAGAGGAGCCCGGCCGGGGGCTGCCGATGGATGTCGAGACCTCAGTGCTTAGGCTGGGCTAGTAGAATAATCACCTGGAACTGGCTGCAGTGTCTGCGACGCTGCGCTGCGTCGTTGCGTCGCCTTGGCTTCTAGTCCCGTCGCGGGGTTTTAAGTGGAGGGTCTGCGAACGGTAGGCGAAGGTGGGGGAGGAAGGGGGGGGAAGGCGTCGCGGGAGTGAGCGAAAGCGGGAACTGTGGCGGCGGATGACGTTGTCTGGCTATGTTCTGCAGCTGACCGCGCGCATCACTCGCCAATGTCTCCTCCCGGCTCATTCAGTGGAGTGGAGGCCCTGGCTAGTGGTAGATGGAGCGAACATTGCAAATTAGGCAATGAGGTCCGGTTCCAAGCAACTCATACCTCTCTCTACACAGCACAGCGCGGAGGCCAGAAAGAAAAGCGACAAGGCAGATCGGGATACAAGGCACCGACGTTCCCGACAATGACCAGGCACATCAATGGCAACTTAGGTTGCCGGGGATTCAACTCAATGGGAGTTAATGCCATTGCTTTCGGCAACGGCTGGATGGATTGTGCCAGAATTTGAAGTTCCTCCGAAGTGGGTGGGCGTAGGTCTCCGTCGAAAAGAACCCACCTACCTCACTTTGGTAAGTTTCTCTGGGATAGCCACTGACCTGGGAATACCTGACAGAGGGAAGAATCCGCACCTAGGAATCCGCACCTAGGTAAGGTACGGATAGATATGAAGCCATGCCCATATTGAAGGGAAAATCCGACCGAGACCCAAAAGGGTAGTGGGGACGGGAGTTGGAACCAGGAGGCCTTAGCGCGACACTCATGATGCCTGCCGTGAGACTTCTCATGTTGCTGTTGTCCCTAGACTACCCAAGGTATCCGGCCTGTTTTCATCTATGTCAATACTAAATAGGTGTAAGGCAACTACCCAAGTCGGTAGATACGTAGTATTTCTGTTTGGGAATAAGGGGTTGTCTCTATTTCACGTTGGTAAGTAATACCTTAGCATAACCTTTGCAAGATTTGTCGGCGACTTCCACGCTCCCTTCAGAGACTTCTCTGAGGGCCTAGAAAGCCCAGACATGGTCCACAACTTCAATGATTGCTGCCCCAGGGACTTGAGTTGATCATGAAGGAAGTTACCGACAAAGCCTGTAAAGTTGTGCTGGGATCCTAAATGCCGCGGAATGGTATGTGTACAATCTATGAGAGCTGAGCTTGAATCAAGTGTAGGAAACTGCTGACAGATAGCTCAAGCTCGACAACCCTGCTACCTATCCAAGATAGGTACAGCACAGTACATACGAAGGTAGGCAGGCAGGCAGATATTGGATGAGAGATGGGTTGGTGGCTATCGCTCTCTGTCTGAGGGGCCCAATTCGAGATGGCGTGCATACGAAGGAAGGGGGTGAGCCGCTGAAACGTGCCTCGCCACAAAATGGTATGCTTGAGCTTAGCTTGCTCAGTGCGAGTCTTGGGTGGGAATGTGCACGCGGTATTGCTCGTAGAACTACGAGGTTAGGTTGGTATGAAAGGCGAGCTGCATAATTTCCATTTCACCCTACGTGGTTCGCTGCTTTATTTCATCCCTTTGGTGAATGCCATGGTGTCCGGGATTAGGTAGGTTGGGAAGGGATAGAAACCTGGACATGTTGGAGCATGTACTCTCTGGACTCAGGGCAAGTCGCGGCAAGTCGCCCGGGCAGGGGCCCGAGTGTGGAGGGGCGATGAGGGGCAGACGGCTGTGACCTGCTGGCGGGGGAGCTTATTTAAGGCTGGCAGCTTGAGAAGCGCCAATGGATCCACTGTTGGGTAGGTAGACAGAGGGGCAGACAGGTGTCAATGTTCCGAGCCTACCGCAAGCTGGAAGGAACTGGCAGACCAGACGATTGAGCGTGTAACAGAGTCTCCCAAGGAGGTTGAGAACCTCGAGACAAACCATCGGCCACCAGCCGCGCCAGACCACATCCGTTTACGTATATCGACGTTCCATTCCTATGGATTTTTGCAACTTGTGACGGCACGCTCCGACCGAACTTTGTCTGCACGCTTGCACACAAGCCGTCGTTCTCGGTGCCATTGCCATTGCCATTTCAATACCTAATCAATTCGTCGGCAACTACACGACACTTTAGGTGGTTACCTACTGCTGGTGCGAGTGCTGTAGTGCTGGGAAATGCCATCGTCGCGTCGCCTCGCGACGTCGCCCCTAGACTTGACGACGACGACGACGACAATAACGATACTGCCTTGAGTCTTGCCCCCCCTTATATTCAGACCGACAGCCATGTTGAACCTCGCGAGCTTCGTCCAGCGTGCGCAGCAGCTGCTCGACCCGACCCAGGGCTTGAATCTCACCGACTCGGACCGCAACCCGTCCAAGGCATCGCTGTTCCAGAGTCAGTTCCGCCTGCCAGCGTCGCAGCACCCTCTCTACGAGATCACAGCCGAGCTCACCATCCCCCCCGCCCACGTCACCCAGGGCGACAAGGACCGCGGCACGGGCTTCCAGTATGCCGGCAAGCTGCATCTCTCCGAGGCCTACATGTGCTTCTCCACCACGCCCTCGAGCTTCCTGCAATCGGCCAGCACCTCGACCTCGTCGGCCTTTACCGGCCAGACCCATGGCGGCGGCCCTGGGGGCAACGGCTTCACCTTCCCCCTCTGTGCCATCCGCCGTGTTGAGCGCCTCCATAGCCAAACTTTCCAGGTAAGGCTGCTTCTTCCCAGTCTTGATGCAGCCTCAACCTTGCCCTTGATCTTGCCCTATTCTGTTGGCTGACTCGATGCACGCTCGCGCTCTCTTGCCTCCAGTTCGCCCTCGCTATCACCACGTGGAACGGCATTGCACAAGATGCCCCCAAGGACAAGAAGGATGTTCGGGAGCAACGGATCACGATACAGCTGGCCGGCACCCGTGTCGCCTGCGAGCGCTTCTGTGACGGCCTCAAGAAGGGCCTGCGTGCAGGTGTCGGCAACGTGGGCAGGCTGAAAAAGGTGGTATCCGAGTGCTATTCGGAGTACTTACTCCGTACCGAGGACAGGAAGAATGACACGCCTCCCGATGCAGGGCTCGGCATGCTCTTCAGATACCCTGGCGACCCCAAGAAGCTCCGCGACCGTGCCAAGATGCGTCTGTGGGCCGAATACCTCCGTGACAATGGCCGCAACATTACTCTACTTCGCCAACCCACATTTCACAAGCTGATACGCGTTGGCCTGCCCAATAGGTTACGGGGCGAGATCTGGGAGCTGACGTCGGGCTCTATCTACCTACGCCTCGAGCACCCAGCCCTCTACGCCGAGACGCTGGCCAAATTCTCGGGCCAGGGGTCGCTGGCCATTGACGAGATCGAGAAGGACCTGAACCGCAGCCTTCCTGAATACCCGGGCTTTCAGAGCGAAGAGGGCATCGGCCGCCTACGCCGCGTCCTTACGGCCTACAGCTGGGTCGACGCCGACGTTGGATACTGCCAGGCAATGAACATCGTCGTCGCCGCCCTGCTTATATATATGTCTGAGGCCCAGGCCTTCTTTCTCCTCTCAGCCCTCTGCGACCGACTGGTCCCCGGATACTACTCGACTACCATGTACGGCACTCTGTTGGATCAAAAGGTTTTCGAGTCCCTTGTGGAGCGAACGATGCCCATTCTTTGGGAACATCTTGTCAAGAGCGATGTGCAACTCTCGGTTGTTTCGCTCCCGTGGTTTCTTTCATTGTATATCAATTCGATGCCTCTCGTCTTTGCCTTTAGGGTGTTGGATGTGTTTTTCGTCGAGGGACCTAAAGTGCTGTTCCAGGTTGGCCTGGCCATATTGCGCATCAACGGCGAGGAGCTTTTGGATGCGACCGATGACGGTGCCTTTATCTCTGTACTCAAGTCGTACTTTGCGCGCTTGGACGAGTCGGCCCACCCAAAGTCGGAGAACCCCAAACTACGCGCCGTTACTCGGTTCCAAGAGCTCATGGTGGTCGCCTTCAAAGAGTTCTCAGGTATCACACACAGCAGCATCGCCGAGCTTCGGCTCAAAAACAAGGATGCGGTACTGAACAATATCGAGAGTTTCGCGAAAAGGACTGCCATAAGAAACCTAGGCCCGGACAGCAAGATGTTGAGCACAGAGGAGCTCGGCTCGCTGTACGATAGGTTCTATGGGGTCCTGTATGAGAGACAACAGCGGGATCATCTCCTGCAGCAAGACCAGGCGAGGCGCGCCAAGAGCAGCCGACCCAAGGTGGCCGACGCCGCAAATAGCCACGACGACCCCGACGTGGAAAGAGGCCGGGTCGGCTTGGGCCCGAGCACGAGCCTGATGGACTACGATGCATTCCGAGAATTCCTCGCAGGCATGGCAAAGTGGGCCATTTCGGACACGCCTCCGACGCCACGCCGCGACACGTTTGCGGAAAAGGACAAGGGCTTCTACGGCAGCTTCAGGAAAAGCGATGTGAATCTGTCCCCGTGGGGCGGGGGCCCCGAGCCGGCAGACCACGAGTTTCTCCAGAGGCTGTTCAGGAAATGGGACGAGGGGTCAACCTCTGCTCTGACTCTGCAGAATGTGGTCACTGGCCTGGCCCGCATCAAGGGGAAGCGGGACATTATGGGGACAATCACATACTTTTTCGAGCTGCACGACGACGACGGGGACGGCTGTGTCGATCGGGAAGGCATATTGCGCATGTCCGAAGCGCTTCTCTTCCTGTCTCGCCGGGGGCTGGAAGGGACCCTGAACCCATCCAGCATGACACCAGCTCTCAATGGGCTGGCGGACGGTCCGGGAACACCCAATAACGAAGTGCCGGGCCAGACCGTCAACGAGAGGTTTCTCGGCAGCGTCAGCGCCTTCATCAGGAGATGCTTCGAGTACGCAGACCCAGACCATCTCAAGAACCAGAGTGCCGACGCACAGGAGCGCGAGTGGGAGCGCGAGCGGGAGCGGAAGATGGAGCGGAAGGAAGAAGCGACTGGCGATCAGCTCGCAAGTCCAGACGCATTCGCCATCGGCGACGACGAAGACGAGGACGAAGACGACCTACTAACTATGGATTCACCACCCGGCAGCCCCCGAGCTGCCAAACGATCCGAGACACCGACAAGCGGCCAACAGCCCCCATCGATCCGGCTCAACTCGCTCTCGGCTCTGTCGGTCGATGGCGATATGTCGGACCGACGCCGAGTTTCTAAGGCGCAGTCTGAAAAGGCCAACGTGGCACTCGACCCTTCTAACCCCCTTCACATTACGCTGCCAACCTTCCGCATGGTAGTTCTGGCCGACGAGCTCTTGGAGCAGTTTTTCGAGTCGTCTTTTCCTGCCTCTTTCCATATTAACGACAGCCTGGGGTCAGCATCCACGCCGGTTCCCGCATCACCGTTGACTACCTTCTCAAGCCTCGGTATCGGCGCCGGCCGGGCGGTTGGGGCGGCTCTCGGCGGGGCGTCGGGAATACCTGCAGGCGGCCGAGGCCTACGCGGCGTGCTTGACAATATTGTCACGGATGGCATGCGCGTGGCGGCCGAGGTTAGGCGTCGCATGGAGGAGGCACAGAAAGAACTCGAAAAGAACGCGGTTCCGGGGCAGCGGAACGACGAAGAAGACGACGAGGACGAAGAGGACGTCGGGTTCGAGCGTGGATCCGAGGCAGGCAAGAGTGCTGCGTACCGCGGGGACGATGAGCGTCGCAGTGTGCGCAGCTCAGACAGGGACCTGCTTGCCGGAGCAGATGCCGAGGCCAGTGATACCAACGCGGCCGTGACCGCGACCGCGACCGCGTCTGGAACAGGGCGCACGAGTGTGAACTCAGACACCAGAGGAGGGAACGGAGGCGGTGTTGGCAGGGGCAGAGGGGCTGGGAAGGTTGTGGGGGTCGAATTCGACGGCTAGTCGGCGTTGGACGGCCTCTCATGAATCGGCCAATGGGGATGAGGTTACTGTTCGAATTCTTTCCAGCATCTTGGTTACGGTCAAATATATTTGCGGAGTCTTTGCCTTATTATCTGCAATGCCTCGATGGGCAGGACGGGGCTCGCGAAAGCCGTGGTTCAGGAGCCAAGCGAATACTACAGCTGATTTATGCGCGGATGTTGCGGCAAACTCGAGTCCCCGATGGGCCTGCTGAATGCATCTACTCGATTCGCCGTACTACCCTTCTCGAAATTCCGATCAAAAAAATTATCATCATTCGTTGTGTACGCTAACTCGGGTCTCTGTGAAGTCGAGTTTCCAAAGTTGAGTCCACAGAAACAAAATGTGAAGATTCTCGATTCCTTGAATTACACCGAGACTAGCTCCCTTTCTCTTGATGGCCGATGGGCAAAATATTTTGATTCTTTTCTTTCCCCTTGATCATCTCCAGCTAGTTCCCATCCCTTGCAGCTACCATCTACCAAAGTGTGATGGAGTCAGCCCGTAACCCCTTCGCTGGCCTGGTCCCAAGTGAGACCATCGACAGCGAGGAATGCCCACCACCAGCGGCAACGCGAAGTGTCTTGGGCCTTCATTTCGTCTATCTCTCTGCGCCGACATGGACATTCCATTTCTCGCCGCGAAGATGTCTCGACACGGCCCGCATAGATAGGACGTGGAGGCGCGAAGGGCACGGCAAGGTCACGTCGCGACGCGGGTATCGCGTCGATTCGCCCTCAAATATACCACCCGTCCGTTTGTGAGAGCTTTGCCTCTCCTAACGAGGCTGCTTCTGTCTTTCGTTTTGCATTCAGTTCGTTACCCGCCTCTCCAAGAACTGCCAGCTAACAGCTGGCTCATCTATTAAGCCCCTTTCCCCCAGGCTGTGTAAACAACTAACTATTTAGATATCATATCCACCCCGTTGAGCAGAGACCACAAGGGCCAGTGCGCGAGGATGGGATGGCCGAACCGAACAGGCCGGGCCCTCGTAGCCTTGGCCGGGCTCTTGGGCGCGGTCAACGCCCAGGGCTACTTTGGCACAGTGCAGAACGAGATCGCAAGTTGTGGAAGTGACAACTTCATCTACCTAGGATGCTATGCAGACTTTCTCAACCAAGCAGGAGCAAACTTCTTTCAGTTCAACGCGCAGGCGTACAATTCTGGCGATCCTTCGAGGAGTTTCCCAGACTGGGATCCTGGCAGCAATTACAATAACACCATGTCACCGGTCGGCTGCGCCCGGGTCTGCAGGGGATTTGGGTTCAAGTATGCGGCAGTCAGGGACAACAACTGCAACTGCGGTCTCCAGCTGCCAGCGGCTCTCGTGCCGGGCCTTGACACTTTTTGCAACGTGCCCTGCGGCGGCAACTCCCTCCTGACTTGTGGCGGCGGCAACTATGCCCAAGTTTATATCGACCCGACGTTTGCCAGCCCCCTCTATACGCCCATCACAACTCTGAACGCGACTTTGGCCAACTATTACAAGTATCTTGGCTGCTACTCAATCTCGAATGGCTTCCCAACCCAAGATCCTCGGGCCCAGCAGACTTTTACCAGCATTGACGATTGCTTCTCAACCTGCGCCGCCCTGGGATATCCGCTAGTTTTTGGCTCACCTCAGGGGTTCGTGATGCAGTCCGCCGCCCCTAGTGCCGACCTCGTCCAATTAGCTAACTTGACGTGATTATCAGCACGAACTCGGTCAAGTGTACTTGCGGTACATCGTTTGGCTATCCCTCATATCGAGTGCATCCTGAGCTGCTACCAACCCCGGGAGACTGCACCCATGTTTGCAATACTCCCAACGGGTAAGATCTTGCTCCTAGTCCCTCCCGGTGAGGCCGAAGAAGACAATGGCCGTTGCTAACATAATGGTAGAGCCGGAGGGGACTGCGACCCAACCACGACACGATGCTGCGGGACGTCCAACTACTATCCCGTCTACATCAACCCGGAGCTTCAAGGCTGCTACACGCCCCAGATCCCCGGCTACAAGAGCACCAGCACACAGGTATTATACGAATGCGATGATATCGACAGCAGCTATTTTGGACCGCCACATAGTCTGCCCCTCGGACTGTACCCCTTGAGCCAAACCATCAACGCCGTACCAGCCCTGGTCCACCCTCTCCATGTAGTGGGCGGCGCAAGAGATTACTACATATATGGTTGCTATCCCCAGCAGGCTCTGAACCAAGGCGGAGTCACGGGAGTCTTCGCCCCTGCTCTATCAGTCCAAGTCCCAGGCTTTACCCCGGCGACGCTCGAGAACTGTGCAGCGCAATGCAACACGAGAAACTATGACGCTTTCGGCATGATCAATGGCGTGTGAGTATCTATATCACCCCGTCATGGGCAGCGCTTTTTGCTTACAATGTCGGTGAAGTGACTGCTATTGCTCCAACCAAATCGTGAGCACGACAAACCCTGATTCCATGTTGACATGCCGAATCAGATGCGTGGATAGCCCAGGAACCGCATGTGGGTCAGCAACCGGCCCAGTTGTCTACGCCGTAAACAAGCTGGGAGTGTACCCATCGTATACAAACACCTTTGCTGTGCCATACCCGAGTTATTCGTGCATCAGAAAATGTGAGTACCCTTGTTACCCCCCCGAGCTCCAGGAGGACAGGAGTGACTATTCACTATTGAAACTAAAAAGCTTCGTACAGCCACATCAACCAGCACGGCCACTACGACCACCACGACCACGACCACTTCCACTTCCAGGACCACAACTGCCACTACAACTTCTACAACCTCTACAAGTAGTACTACCACTACTGGGACTGCCACAACCAGCGCTACAACTACTGGCACGTCTACAACTAGCACTACGACTACAGGCACCTCAACCAGCAGCACCACAACAACTGGGACTTCAACAACGAGTACCACGACGAGCACTACGACTACTGGGACCGAGACGACAAGCACTACAACTACAGGCACCTCAACCAGCAGTACCACAACAACTGGCACTTCAACAACCAGTACTACAACTACTGGCACATCAACGAGCAGCACAACTACTACAACCACTGGCACATCAACGAGCAGCACAACTACTACAACCACTGGCACATCAACGACGAGCACCACAACCACAGGGACTTCAACAAGCAGCACTATCACGACGGGAACGTCTACAACTAGTACCACGACTAGCACTACTACGAGCACCACAACTACTAGGACGTCCACTAGTAGCACTACAACAACTGGGACGGAAACAACTAGCACCACCACTACGGGGACGTCCACAACGAGTACCACAACTAGCACCACAGCCACGGGGACTTCAACAAGCAGCACCACAACTACTGGGACTTCTACTACTAACACCACAACCACGTCCACAACTAGTACTACGACGACTGGAACTGCAACAACAAGCACTACCACGAGCACAACAACAACTGGGACAGCAACGACAAGCACTACGACTAGTACAACAACAACTGACACTTCTACCTCAATCACTACAACAACTGGGACATCTACAACAAGCACCACGACTAGCACCACTACTAGCACTACGACAACTGGGACAGCAACGACAAGCACCACAACCACGTCCACAACTAGTACCACGACGACTGGGACTGCAACAACAAGTACCACGACTAGCACCACAACAAGCACTACGACTAGTACTACGACTACTGGGACTGCAACGACAAGCACTACTACTACCGGGACCCAGACGACGAGCACTACAACCACCTTTTCCGGCACAGAGACTACGAGTACAACAACTACTGGGACGCAAACGACGAGCACCACAACTACCGGGACCCAGACTACTAGCACGACAACTACCACTTCTGGTACACAAACCACGAGCACCACAACCACAACGACTGGAACTCAGACTACGAGTACAACAACTACTAGCACCCAGACTACTAGCACCACAACCACGACTTCCGGCACGGAGACTACAAGCAGTACAACTACTGGGACCGAGACGACAAGCACCACTACTACCGGCACCTCAACAACGAGCACCACGACAACCGGAACTTCGACGACGAGCACCACAACCACTACTTCTAGCACAGAGACTACTAGCACCACGACGACTAGGACCAAGACTAGTAGTACCACAACGAGCACCACAACTACCGGGACCTCAAGCACTACCACAACCGGGACCCAGACAACGAGCACCACAACAACAGGGACGTCAAGCACTACCACAACCGGAACCCAGACAACAAGCACAACGACTACTGGGACCTCAAGCACTCTCACCACCACCACATCCACCACAAGTACTACCGCTACGTCTACTTCGAGCACCACTACAACCGGGACCTCAAGCACTACCACTACGGGGACTGCTACCACAAGCACGACTACCATAGCTACATCAACGTCAAAAACACGCACAACCACCACATTAACAAGAACCAAACACAGGGGAACGACCACAACTTCGACGTCCAGCACTCTTACCACAGCCATCTCAACCACGAGCACCCTCACTACCACTACGTCAACTACAACAACTACGTCAACTACAACCACTACGTCAACTACAACCACTACGTCAACGAAGAGCACTCTGACTACAACGACGTCAACCTCGCGCAGTCAGACCACCACAACATCCACCAGAACCAAGCTTAGGTCCACAACTTCCACCACCACGTCCACGGCAAGCACCACAACCACGGGCACTTCACGGACAACGACGACTTCTACCTCGAGAACTACAACAACAGGAACGTCCACGACAAGCACGACAACAACCGGGACTTCAAGGACGACGACCACGACGACTTCCACAAGCACCTCTTTAACCGCTACAACCTCAACCTCGCGGACGACAACGACGTCCACAAGCACCAGTCTGACCACTACCACGTCCACAACCTCCACCACGTCTACAACAAGCAACATCACCACGACGTTCGAGACCATCAGCGACTTGACCACCACGTACTCGACCATCATCGACGATGAAACGAGCACACGGTACCACTACCTCGACATCACATCGACGACGACAGACATTGAGACGCGCACTAAGCACACGCGGCCGCCTTACAGCACCGGCGGCGGCGGCGGCGGGCACGGCGCGCGCACGCTCCGCCTCCCGCCTGGCGTGTACCCATTCCCCGCGACGACGCCCGCCGGCGAGCTGTGCGTGACCGTGTCTGCGGCGTGGATCCCGGGAGAGACGACGCTGGCTTCGCGGCCGCGGCACGGCGACGATGGCGGCGAGTGGGGATCGCCTCTGCACCGCGGTGGCGGTGATGGTGGACACGGGATCTGGTGGTGGAAGCGATGGACTGGCAGTGGGGAAAAGAGTGGCAAGGAAAAGGAGAACAACACCAACAACGACAACAAGACGTGATACTCCAAAACCCGAGAGTGAGTACGCACGTACGTACGTATATGGTTGATGATGACAAGAAAAGAAAGACCATGATGTGAAATTATGGGAACGGGTGACAAGAGAGATGATCACGACAATGACTAAAGCACGCAAAGATCACGAAGAGATAGATGTATGATTTACCATATGCTTTAGGGGGTGGGGGGCCTTTCTATTTCTTCTTTCTTTTTCAACAGCGGAGGAGCTTGGCGAAAAGGCATTTCATGGATGGGTGAATGGGCGAATGGGGGCGTGACAGGAGCGGAGTGGAGCGGAGCAGAGATGGCAGTTCAGGGACGGTTGGCATTTTCTGTTTGGAAAAGAGGGGAGGGGCAATACACGGGGGCTGATTTCTTTCTTTGCTCTACTCTATTGTTTGGAAGGAATGGGAGGGGAGGGGGGGTAATGGTATCTTGTGGATTGGAAATAGTCAGTTGGGGTTTTTCGGGGGGCTTCTCTAAGTTCCTTTTTTCTGCTTCCTTCGGATTGTAATGACGGGCGACGGTATACGAAAGAGACGGGATGGAGAGAATGAGAGGGTTTTTCTATTTATGACTTCTTTTTTTGCAGCTGGTGGAAGAATAGCCCTGACTATTCTACTATTCTTCCACCGCTTGCAACCTTTTTTCGCTTCTATATCTACCTACCAATTGCTAATGTTTTACTAATTTTATCCATTGGGATGACTGCCTCTACCGTAGTCGGGACATCTCCAATCTTGAGTGTATTCTCTTCCCTCGGCGGATTGCTGCTGTGTCACTGTGATGTGACGATACCTTGTGTGTGTTTTCACTTCCGCCCGAGCTGTCTGCCCGCAGGTACTTGGAACAACAAGCAGGAACACAGTGTAACGGCGGCATGCACCTCTAGACTGCCTTGACTAGTGCGAGTTTACATCCTCCAGAGCCTAAAACAACGGCCTACACGTGGATACGCCGTGAGACAATTCAAAGGCTTTATTCCAAGCATCTATCGGCCCATTTATATATGCGTATATAGAACATGCACGACAGAACCCCCGTTTTACACGAACTCGCTACGCTCAACAACATACAGATCTACATATTCGTCCACAGACATGGTCTCGAGCTTCTTGGGCTCCTGGCTCAGCGCCACCAGCTGCTTCACCTTGTCGGCGGGATAGTGGGGCTCGAGATGGCGCTTGTACTTGGCGAGGATCTCGGGCTTGGCCTCGTCGCGGCGCAGACGATGGCCGAGAGGCGCCTCGACGACCACCTCGGGGAGGACGGTGCCGTCGTTGAGCTCGACCGTCAGGCCGTTGCTGATGGTGCGGAGCGAGGGGTCGTGGTAGTCGGTGGTGAACTTGGGGTCCTCGACGCACTTGATCTTCTGGCGTAGCGACTCGACGAGGGGCGACGTGGCGGCCTCGGAGCCGTCCGTGTAGTCGCCAGCCGTCAGGCGGCCAAAGACGAGCATGACGGAGCACATGTACTGGATGCAGTGGTCGCGGTCGGCAAAGTTGTCCATGGGCCTGAACTGCTTGTCGATGATGCGGATGCAGGCCTCGTGGGTCCGGCATGTGACGCCCTTGATGTCGGCAGCCGATTTACCCATCGACTTGAGCTGGTTATGGATCTTCTGCGAAGCCTCGACGGCCGTCTGCGAGTGGAACTCGGCTGTAGGGTGCGTTAGAGAGGCGATAAACAACTGAGGACGACGAGGAACATACCAGGATAAGACACCTTGAACAGCACGTTCTCCATAACGTAGCTGCCATAGGGGCGCTGGAACTCGAACTTCTTGCCTTTGAACAGGACATCGTAGAAGCCCCAGACAGGGGCCGACAGCACCGTGGGGATACCGGGCTCACCCTTGGCAACCTTGAGGACCAGGTTGACGGCGCGCTGGCATGCATCGCCGGCAGCCCACGACTTGCGCGACATGGTGTTGGGGGTGTGACGGTAGGTGCGCAGGCTCTGGCCGTCGACCCAGGCCTGGGTGACGGCGTCGGCCGTCTGCTTCTCCGAGAGGCCGAGAAGCTTGCTGACGACGGCGGCGCTGGCGACCTTGACGAGCACGACGTGGTCGAGGCCGGCCTTGTTGAACGAGTTGAGGAGGGCGAGGCAGCCCTGGATCTCGTGGGCCTTGATCATGGCCTCGAGCACGTCGCGGACGGTGAAGGTCTTGCCGCCAAAGATGTTGCCGCCGGCCTTGTTGGTGCGGGTGACCCAGTCGGCGACGGCGAGGATGGCGCCGAGGTTGTCACTGGGGTGTCCCCACTCAGCAGCCAGCCAGCAGTCGTTGTAGTCGAGCCAGCGGATCATGGCGCCGATGTTGAAGGCGCCGTTGACGGGGTCGAGCTGGAAGGGGGTGCCGGGGACCCTGGTGCCGTTAGGCACGACGGTGCCGTCGACGATGGGGCCGAGCAGCTTGGTGCACTCCTTGAAGCGCAGGCCCTCGAGGCCGCAGCCGAGCGTGTCGATGAAGACCCATCGCGCCGTGTCGAACTGTTCGGAGGCAGGCAGTCAGCTAGTCAGTCGGTCAGCCAGCCCAATCGCAAGCGAGGAGCACGCACGGCAAGGTCCGAGTCAATATTCTTGTTGTGGACATAGTCGGCAATGTCCTTGACCTCGGCGTCGTAGCCCTGGTGCGAGGCGGGCGAGGGCGCGGCGGCCGCGGCGGCAGCAGACTGGAGCGAAGCCATTGTTGAAAAAGCCGACGAGTTGCGCGGTGTTGCGAGAGCGGGGGTCGCAGCGGTTCTGCTGCAGGTGCTGTTGGCTATCAACGGCCGCAACGCTCCTGCTGCTGATGATGGCTGGCCGAGGCGTTGCTGGGTCTGGGGCAGGCGCAATGTTCTCGAGGCCTGTCGTAGTCCGCGATTGACAGCAGACATGGTGTAGGTTGACTTGTCGTGCTGCAGCTCTGCAGTTCCGCTGTCGCCCGTAACGAGTCAATTGAGTCAATAGCAACCTGGAACCTATTGGCGACAGGGAATGGTCTGGGGAATTTCCCAGGTCTAGGTATTTATTCTCCTCTGACCAAGAAGCTGGACCCTGGCCCCTGGCCTGCCTGCTCAGTGCTGGTTGAGTGGGGAGTTAGGAGCTTGGCCGCTCAAGCGGAGGGAGGGGCAACAATCGTATTGCCGCGGTGTGCCGAAGCCAACCCCCCCCCCCCCCCCCCCCTTGTTCGCTGTAGAGCCTGTAATTGGTTGTTAAGGTTACCTAACTCAACAAGTTAACCTCGGTGCTTTCCCCGTGCTAGTCAGTTCCTTTTATCCTTGGCAGTATTTTTTATCCAAGCTTTTCCTCCGTGAACATCGTGAGACGTTGAATTCCTCTTGCAGGAGCTCGACTTTGCTTTCACCTCTTTCCGCGGTTGTTGTTTTTCTCCTTTCTTATTTCATCTAACTCAGGGCACCACGGCCCGTGATCCAATAGCCCCGTTGCCTTCGATGTAATTACCTACAGTACTACTTACATGCTGTGTAAGACACGTAGTAAGCGGAGCCGAATTTCTCACCCCGAAAATACCTACCGAGTTCGGAGCCGACTCCCGAGCCCCGTGAACGAACAAGGACGTAGGGAAAGTTACCAGGTATGCCTTCTGGTTGTGACACTGGTTTCAACACAATTGCTGTGTCTTTGTGCTCTTCTCGGATTGCATCAGCCCTACTGGCATGCCTCATCATTGCTTGTTTCGAAGTCAACCCGGAGTTGTATGTACAATATCTGTGGCTTTGCCAAGTTCGTCCCCCAATACCGGGTTACATTTAAACCAGGCGAGAAAGTGACGTGTCGACCTTGAAGTTGGCGGTCAGGGGCAGGAAATAGTTACATTACCTTACTTACCTCCCAGTCAGTCAATGGCACAGACTTCAAGTACCTCACGTGTTAACACACAGGGCAAGAAGAACAACCGATTAGCTCTGTGAAGGGAAGCAGCCATGTTGCGCATCTTTTTCCGATGCTTCTCCTCTTCCTCCCTTCCTCCTCTCTAACCATGCTCCATGTTCGCCGTGAAATCTTGGTCCGGCCAGGGCTGCATGCTTCCCCGACCCGACACCAGTCCTGAGCGAAGAGTAAGATTTCCCCTTTTTGAGGACGAGCCAAGGAGGAAACCCCAGACAAGCTTTCGCACAGTAGAGCTGAGTGCTTTTAGTCCGACATGTCCGACCAGCTTGCTGCTGCCCGTGAAGAGGTGAGACCCAACAGCCATCTAGCTGCTTGTGGTACGGAGTACGGCAGCTACCTAGGTACCTAGATAGGGTAGGGTAGGGTAGGGTAGGGTAGGGTAGCTAGCTAGGTAGGTGCTTCTGCATGAATATAATAGGTAAGGTAGGTTTCGCATCCCACATGCATTCCGCATGTGTGACCCCCCCCTGACTGACTATTGTCAACACCACCGCGTCCTCCAGTCCCTCGAAACCCAGGCTCTGAACTGGCCCCCGTACCGTGCCGGGAGTCTGCCGGGGCGACGGGCGACAGCTAGGTACCGGGGCCTTCTTGCCTTTTCGTTGCCGAGGCCGGTGCGGCATGTGTCGAGTAGGCCCACTCTACCCCCTGCTGCTGCGCTCGGCGCCGTAGTGCCTTTTCGGGCTATCTATCCATGTTGCCTACCGGGATACATACTTAATAACCCCACGGCAGCAGCCTCTAGCGATGTGCTCTAGTCCGGTTCCCCGCAATCTCGCCCGTCTATCGCCGCCAAGACAATGCGAATTGAATGTGCGTGTGCTTGTGTGCGCCATGGCGTAGTGTGCCTGCCAGGAAGACAATGAAGAATAGCCGTCATCTCCTTGCGCCGACCAACGAGCGAGTAGGTGCGCGAGCAGGTTTCTTCCGGTTTGGGCGAGCAGCTGAGCGCACAGCTTTGCCAGGAGGGGCAAGGGCTGAGTGAGCAGCCAGGCGAGCCGACCGTCGTGGTTCGGGGCGAGCAGCTAGACGAGCCGATCGCCGCGGCCCGGCCCCAGCGACGGCCCGCTGACTTGGCTCTAGAGTGGTGGCGGCGGTGATGGCGGCAGTGGTGTTGCAAATCTTGGCGGGTCGCTCTTGTTCCTCCTCGTCGTCGGCGCTGGGATCCCGGCCGCGTCTCCTGCTCGCCGGGGGTTTAGGCGCACGAATGTCCGACAACGGGGACGGTGTTGGCGTCATGTGCGCTTGTTGATCTCGTTGTCCCGATGGGGTCGGGTCTACCGTGTCCCACGGGCTCCACTTACCATCGTCTTCGTCGTCGTCTTCGTCGTCGTCGTCGTCGTCGTCGTCATCGTCGTTGTCGTCGTCGTCGGTCTGGTTGACCATGTCGATCCACTCCTGCAACTTCCTCTCACGTTCAGCCCATACCTCCTGCGGCACATGGCCGATTCGATATTTGTTGACAACTTCTTCGCCCAGCATCTTTATATGTACCTCCCTTATTTCAATAGCACGTTCTAGTTTTTTGACGAGATCTTGGATAAATTGGGCATGGTCTCTTCTTTCGTGGAGCGTGGACGGCGGTCCAGTGACAGGGGCTGGGGTTTTGAAGTCCCACGAGAACTGCACCAAGCCAAGGCTTCATGTCAATGACGTGCCGTGTAATGAGCCAACAATAATTATCTTGGTAAGGAAAGGCTTACATTTTGGTTCGGGTTGGAAATGGGTACAACAGGGGCCGGCGCGGGAGCTGAGACATCCATTATCACGTACGCAGCTAAGGTATGGAGGTATTCAATTGACTGCCCGAACTTCTGGATCAAAACAGCAGCTGCACCTTTTACGGATACTTTCGCGTAGAATGCACCATGGCGTGGGGCAAACCTGACCTGGAGGCGTCTTCACGTGATGTGATTTCAATCTTGTGGAACGATACTTTATTTCACGTATTCAATACAGATTCTGCCCTGCGTGTGCGTTTCAAACAAAGTGCCCGTCTTGCGCACGAAATCTCTGAGCAAAACGAGTGTATTTTGAGTGTTTGACAAATGCGAAATAAGCGCGAAACGAAACTAGATACAAGGTACGGATAACTTGATGTTCAAAATCGGCAAGGTCGTAATGTATACCGCTAAATGTCGGGCCCCCCTTTCCCCTTCTATTGTTAATGTCCATTTTCCCCCGCTCGGCTTGCACCCATCATTCGAGCCGCACCGTTTTGGCTTCCGCCCAAGACACGTCCGGTAACTCTCCCAACTCTCCCCAGTTTGAATCAGAGAGAACCTCGTCGATATTGATGCGAGTCTCATTATTGTCCTTTGCCCACTGGTACCTCAGCATCTTTTTAAGAAGAGCTCCAACTAGGAGCCGGAACCCGTGTCAGTTGCGTCGCTCGAGTCTCGGCCTGTCATGACAAACAATAACTCAATAAGTCACAATGTATGTAACCTGGGACCGGAGAGTTGCACGCCTGATAGTAGTCACCGGCCAGTGTCGCCATGGATTCCTCGTATTTCTCAGCAAACAGTCGTCGCTCATACTCGTACTGGCGCCTGTCAAACCGTCACGGGTTCTGAGAAAACTTCACGAATGGGTACTTCCATACATCATCCCGTACCCGATTACCCCCATAGCCCATATGTCGACCGAGTAGTTGTAAGGCTCCATTTCGCGCTCTGGTGCAAGATAGGGGATCGTGCCTCCGCATGCCGGCATCGGCCTCAGAAAACCCCTGGGCTCTCCGATGAAGCCGGCTGTACCGTTGTCGAGGAGAACCGATCGTTGGGGCGTCCCTATGAGGCCAATATTCGCTGGCTTCAAGTCCCGGTGCACCCAGCCTGCGTGGTGTAAGATCTAGACACCCAGGAGTGCATCACAGAACACGCGAGCTGCCTCCATCGATATGCTTCTGTCGTTCCTTCTATATCAAGTGACGCATTAGCCGCACTCCGTGCGCAAAAGTATGTAGAATACTAACTCGCTGCTTTGAGGTATCAGACTACAGAAGGTCGAGCCCACGACCGACTTATGGACAGACACAATTTCATTGTTGCCATAAATCACCTCCACCTGCCGTAGAATTCGGCCGGCGGTGTCTTTCTCTTGGGCGAGATTCGTCAACATCTCGTTTATTGATACTTCGCGTAGAACGAGACCCTCTTCATCATCAGTTGTTAGTTGAACTATTTTCAGCACCACCGCTTCGTTGTCTGAATTAGAACCAAAGAAGACTCTGCCTTGGCCGCCTCTGACTAGGGGCTTTCCCACGGTCCACGGACCAATCGTCCTTGTGACTTGGAGCGGAGTTCCCATATCAACATCGACATGTTCCGGAGCTCCAGCCTCCTCAGCCTCTTGTTGCGAAGCTGATAGAAGGTATTGTCTTTGCCTAAAGCGAACGGCGTGTAACTCGAGCTCGTAGTCAAGCTAATTACCGAACGAAATCACCGACTTGTGCTTGTTCAAGCTGTGGGGCTTGCCGTTGACAGGTGTGCCGTCGACCGTGAGGGTGCCGTCGACCGTGAGGGAGAAATGCACAGCCCCCTAGTATCAGAGGCAAAGTTGAATCGCGCATTGAAAATCCGCATGCCGATGTGATGCTATTTCGCGAACAAAGTCCTGCAAAGGCTTAGATCAGGACTCGGAGCGTCGCTATCAGGCGAGCGTCTTCCTACGGTCCACCCAAGCTGCGGATCGATAATAGGTGTGTGAAGTCTAGGAAAAAGTGGCCCGCCCACACCATGCCATCCTCGCTAGACGCACCCTCGGGCTCGGATTCAGACTCGGGGAAACTCTCGCTTGCGTAGCCTGTGTTGGAATCCCCTTTAAGAGACACCCGTCGCGCTATTTCGCGTCTCGGCCAAAAGATCTCGCTGTCGTACTCATCGTCAGTTCGACAGCCATCTTCTTCAAGAGCGGAGCATCGTCTGCCTGGTACTTGTTCTGTCGACTGTTGATGTGGGTCTCAACGATGTCGCTCAGTGCCAGTTTGGCGAGGGCGCTGACAGGTGTAAGAGTGACAAAGGTGGTGTCCTCCATTTCAGCAGCTCTCTGGTCGTGATAGTTTCAGTGTAGGTCGGGGTGAGCGTAAACCAAGTGACTGTGCTATTTTGTGGATGAGAGAGGAATAAAGAAGTAATAGAGAAAGATGGAGGAAAAGAGAAGGAAATCGAGAAAAAAGATGCTTGCGAGATACCCATTTTTATTCATCCTGCCTGGTTTTCGACATTTTTTGTCACCCCACAACACACACGGGCATAGCCTCGCCCGGTCTGTATGGGCAGGCCCAAACTGGGTGCTTGAAAAAGATACGGTACAGATAGAAAGCAGATGGGTACCGGCGACGTTCAGCCTCGGATTTTAAGCTATTGGCTAGGCGTTGACGGACGGTGACGTAGTGCCTAGCTATCGCTCTTATGCCACATCTCGGGCTTGAAGCCGTGAAAGGAAACGCACAGTCGGGCGCAACGATGTGTCCCTTGGCGGCAGGCAGATGCTGGAGGTTGAAATAGTGAGGCTTTTGCTCACTCACGATAGCGAATTACCCTATCGTGTCTCCAAGGGCGACATTCTCTGGGTCATCTGGCGGCAATCGATTTGCTCTGGTCCTTCTGGCGGCTCTTTGTGGCGTAGGGGTTTGGGCGTCATGAAACGATGCCTGGCCGAGTAGCACAGGGAGTTTGGGGAGCCTTGCTAAAAAAAAAAAAAAAAAAAAAAAAACTTTCCACTGAGGCTCATCCCTCCCTCCATCTAAGCATCCAAAGTGGTGGGGACGGATACGGAGTTGCTCAAGCCCTGGCGGTGTGGGGGGGGGGGGAGAAGCTGGGCAGGCAAGACATTATGGGCAAATTATTTTGATAGGAGTGTCTCGCACTGGAAGGAGCGTTCATCTCGCCGCAGCTTGGCAACCGGGAACTTGAATTTAAAGTCTCGACACTACTGGCTCCTTCCTCCCTCCCGTAAGAGATACCTCAGGCGAATATGCGGGGGAAAAAAATACGACATTGGTCCCTCTAAGGTCGAGTAAGGGTCTTGGGTCTTTTGGCGTTATTTGAGGTGAGTTGCCACAGCGGTATCCTGCGTCGAGGCTGGGTTACGAACAAGCTGCCCGATCATCTATTAACCCTTTAGAACTAGTCTCTTTGGTCAGATGATCTTTATCTTTATTGTCGGATGACGACCTTGTTATTTAACCGGCTTGGTCATCGTGACTGACCCCCCCTATTTACCAGAGTTCTTGCTTTAACTGCGGCACAATAAGGTTTGTCTTCCTTCCTACATAAATTCCAATGGATCCACAGCTTGAAATTACCTGGGGTGGATAGTTCAATCGGTTTTTGCCTGTGAAATGCTAAGTGTTCAAATGGCGGTTGTGCCTCTAAAAGAAATACCTTGTGTGTAAGTGCCTAGCGTGCAAGTGGGCTGGCCTATATATACCCCTAACCCTGCAAAATGCCATTGAGTCGCCTCTTCATCGTGACTCGCCGTAGCCATAATTTTAGCTTGACATCGTGCTAGCAGCCTTCATAGTGTTGAGCGGACATTATTTCGTCCATACATAGAAAGATGGGCGGAGGTGTTCGTTCGTCCCCTCTCCACAGCCTGCTTTTAGCGTCGGGCCTAAGGCCGACCCAAGGAATGGGATCAAGTCGGGGCTCCCAGCTAAATGATGTCGTCATAGCCGTCACGAGCAAGTTTGGCGCTGTACGTGTACATACTCGGTATAAAACAGCAAAATTCGACTGCCAAGCCAACCAAAAGGGAAACAACGATTAAATATCACTTCCGCGATGACTCTCGAGTTTAACATGTGCTGTGCTGCACCCAATTAGTTAACCTTTTTCGACAATCGCAATCATGGTTCTCTCACGACATGTAAGTTTATTTGGAAATAGGGGATGGATGCGCACCGAACTCCCCACTCTGACAAGCCCCTTTTCCTTTTCCTTTTCCAGGTCGATCCCGAGGAGGTGGTCAGCCACCTTCAGGGTGCTCGCACCTCCAACAACAAGACAAAGCTCTCCCACCTTACGCCCTACGACACGCCCTACGCCAGCCAGGTGGAGATCCCAAAGTATCGCCTCCCCGACGATGGCGCCCCCGCCGATACCGTCTATGCCATGATCAGGGATGAGCTAGACCTCGATGGCAGGCCCAATCTGAACTTGGCCAGGTAAGAAGCTCGCAGGAAAACAAACTGCGACATATGAGCCGCAATCTGACCGCACTCTGACAGCTTCGTTAATACCTATGTCGACGACAACTCGCAAAAGATCATGGCCGAGAACGTGGCCAAGAACCTCGCCGACAATGACGAGTACCCGGCCATGCTCGCCATGAGCCAGCGCTGCGTGAGCATCCTGGCCAACCTGTGGCGAGTCAACAAGGGCGAGAATGCCATCGGCTCGCCCACGGTGGGGTCGTCCGAAGCCATCCACCTCGGCGGCCTCGCCATGAAGCGCCGCTGGCAGGAGCGCCGCTGGGCCGAGGGCAAAGACGCCTACAAGCCCAACATCCTCATGGGCAGCAACGCCCAGGTGGCTCTCGAGAAGTTTGCCCGCTACTTTGACGTCGAGGCCCGCATCCTGCCCGTCTCAGCCAAGAGCAACTTCTGTCTTGACCCGGACCTAGTGCGCCAGAACATCGACGAGAACACCATCGGCGTCTTTGCCATCCTCGGCAGCACCTACACGGGCCACTACGAGCCCGTCGAGGAGGTCTCGCGCATCCTCGACGAGTTCCAGAACATGACGGGCATCGACATCCCCATCCACGTGGACGCGGCGTCGGGCGGCTTCGTCGCGCCGTTCACACACGCCGGGGCGGGCCAGCGATGGAACTTTGAGCTGCCGCGCGTCAAGTCGATCAACACGTCGGGCCACAAGTTCGGGCTCTCGTGCGCCGGCGTCGGCTGGATCATCTGGCGAGACGAGTCATACCTGCCCCAGCACCTGATCTTCAAGCTGCACTACCTCGGCGGCACCGAGGAGTCGTACACGCTCAACTTCTCGCGCCCCGGCGCCCAGGTCATTGTGCAGTACTACAACCTGATCCATCTCGGCTTCTCCGGATACCGCGAGATCATGGAGAACTGCCTGGTGAACGCCCGCCTCCTGTCCAACAGCCTCGAGGCGACCAAGTGGTATACTTGCGTCAGCGCCATTCACCGCTGCACCGAGGCAGCACCAGCAGGCGTGGCCCAAAAGGTCAAGAACACAGTCGAGTCCACCGTAAGCGGCGGCGGCAAGGAGCAGCAGCAGCAGGACGGCAACGGGGAGACGTCAGCCGCCTACGTTGCCGGGCTGCCAGTTGTATCGTTCCGGCTGACGGACGAGTTCAAGCGCGAATTTGCGCACATCAAGCAGGAGACGGTGTCGCTGCTGCTGCGGGCGCGCGGCTGGATCATCCCCAACTACGCGCTGCCGCCGGGCGAGGACGGCACCGAGATCCTGCGCGTGGTTGTGCGGGAGAGCATGAGCTTCGACCTGCTCGACCGCCTCGTGACGGACATTGTGCAGGTCACTGAGAAGCTGATCGACAACGACGAGGTCGACCTGTCCATCCTGCATAAGCAGCGCAAGGAGCCCGCGGCCAAGACGGACAGCGGCAAGAAGGCGCAGGGTGGTGTAGCCAAGGACGCAGAGCAGCGTGCTCTGAACGTGGGCAAAAATGCGAGCCGCATGGCCGAGGGCATTCACAGGTCGGTGTGCTGAGTGGGCTCGGGAAAGGGAGTCTGAGTGAGCCACGAAGAAAGGGAGACAAGAAACCATAGCACTGTCTAGCTAGTTTAACCGTAGCTTGGCGTCCATTCTATTGATTTAGCCAAACACGGATTTAGCTCTCATCTTGAAAATGCTCCTTGTGATATCTGCAATGGCTGATACCAACCCGCCCCTGAGCAGTCCGTCACGTCCCGTTAAGAAGCGCCCGAGAACTGCAGATTCTCGTTTCCAACAACAGACGTCAGCACCGTCGGCGCGTTAATGCCCTCGACAGTACCATCACCGCCTTGCATGATACTCGCAAAGTTATCCGCGATCAGCTGAATGCCACTCGAAAAACCTTCCTCATCGAACTCGCAATGGCCACCGTCGGGGGTATTATCGACCGTCTGCAACAGACCGATCTGCGCATCACTCAACCCCGCGGCACGTGCCTCGGCCTCGTACGCCGCGATGGCCGCCGGAATGGCTGGCTGCAGCAGTGCGAGCTCCTGCTGGGTACTCTGGAAGTGGATCCTCGAGGTCCCTGCAAACGCGCTCGCATTCACCACATCGACCTGCGGCTCGAGCGCGCCGCACATGAGCAACACGCCCGTGCCCGGGGCAGCGAACTGCGCCAGTTGCGCAGGGATGAAAAAGCCGCTCAGCGTCAGCGAGCCCCCGGACACCCCCGTGAAGAAGAGCTGCGCGGGGTCGAAGGCGACGAGCTGCGGGAGGACCGTCGAGACCAAGTCTGCGACGGCCTGCGCGTCCGCGACGCCGTCCACGCGGCTCAGCCCCGCCGGGGGGCCGGCGTGCTGACCCCAGAGGAGCTGTTCGGATGGCGCGAGCACCACGACGCCCATGAGCCCGTTCTGGACTGCTTGATTCGGGAAGTCGAAGAAGCTCTGCCCGCCGTCACCATGCAGCAGGACGTTCAGGCCTAGCGTGCCGGCTGCGCGCGCCCGCGCTTTGCTGCCGGCTACGCCGGAGGCGGTGGTAAAGGCGGACTCCGGGCCGCTGATCTTGAAGCGCAGGTTCAGGCCGCTTTGGTCGAAGCCGGCCGTGTCAGCGCGGTCGAGGGAAGAAGGGCAAGGAACGGGGGGAATATATGTAGATGGAGGGGGGATATTCACTTGACCGTCGCGTTGGTGTCGAGGATGGTGGACCCGTCCGTGGCCTGCGAGATGCCCTGCGGGATGGCAGCGGCCTGCTGCTGCGGTGTCTGCTGCTGTTGTGACGAGGCAGCACCGTTGGCTTTGCTTTTCTTCGGGCTCGGCGCGGCCAAGCCCAGCGAGCTCAGCGCCAGCAGAGCCGCGAGAGAGAAAATGGCCCGCATTTTGGCGTCAGTGGTGGCGGTGGTAGTGGTGTTCGTCACCTCTCTGCCTTTCCCAGGTACCCTAGTAGGGTAGGTAGACGAACTGATATTATTCTAAGAAATAAATAGAAATAAACCACACGCGGAGAGAAACCAGCCCTCCTGTCGTGTGTGTCAGGGTGGAAAGAAGCGAAAGGGAAGAAAGAGGTAAAGAAGCAAGCAGGCACGTAGGCCAAGCAAAGTATAGATAGCAAGATGTCCGGAGGCGGCCTGCTTATCCGGGAGAACAGCGACAGACACAAAGGGGTGAGATCCAGCTCCCGAGCTCTGTTGTCAAACAGACTGGAAGGGGAAGAATCGGGACAGAGAAGGAAACAAAAGAGTCCTGGCGAGGGCAAACTATCCCAGTCGTAAAGTCCCAGGCCAGCCCCTGGATGGGGCGAATTGTCACCCCATTCATTCATTCATTCATTCCATGGCCATAGATGGCAATTGGTTCCCACAATCCCCCCAGAAACAAGCAGCACAAGCAGCACAAACCAGTGGTTTTGCCTCGTGTAAGAGAAACCCGCGCGGCGGGGGCGTAGGTGTGTAGTGTAGCATCTGCAGCGGTGGATCTGTTTCGGGGACGTGGTTCCGGCGATCGCTTTTCTTTCCTTCTTTCTTGGCAGCGGGTGTTTGAGATGGGTGGGTATATATACCGCTCGAGTAAAGAAAGGGGATGATTTCAAAACACAAAACATACAACGTGCAGCGTAACAGGGCTAACCTTCTTTTTGATCCTCTGCAATTCTTCCGCTTGGCTTTTTTGTTCGACGAACGAGCAACCCTCCTCTCAGGCCACCAACACGTCACTGCGCAACCCCCACGGAATTGATCCTCTTCTCCGTGCGTAGTGCAAATGCGTCGTGGCTGGTCGGAACAAATAATGGCAACAACTACTGGGGAGACAGATATGGAGAAATACACAAACCATTGTTGGTAGAGTGTGCTACCGGGGGGGGCTAGGAACCCCGGAGGATTGCATTGCATTGTGTTGCACTGCGTTGCGGTTGCCGGCTAAACCTGCTCTGCGCGCTCTCTCGATGGCTTCGCTCGGTCGTCGGATCGTGCACGGCCTGTGGATCCCTTGGTGCGTTTGAACTAGGCAGGGTAGGGTAGGGTACCAGGTAGGACAGCATAGGTAGTAACACGTATGACATTATAGGGGTTCAAACCTCTTCGTAGCTTGTCGATGTTGCGCGGTCGCTGTTTGGGGATAGTCGTTTCCAGAACAAAAACGAAAAAGTAACCGAAAAGGGGGAATTGACACTAGTTCCCGGTTGCACTAGCATTGGGGAAACGTAGGTACAGGTCTATCAATAGCTTAGTTTGATGATATCATATTACTAAAAGGGGGAACATGGCATACAAAGATACCACTAAGAAAACTTACTGACTAGATGATCAGGTAGCTGGCCACTGGATATCAAGCATAGCACACCCTCTTTGACCCAACACCCTGCGCCATCAACTATATAGTCGCCCAAATGAACCTTCCCTCCACAACCGAACTGGCCCATCATATCTTCGACACCTTCGCGCGGCGGGCCTCGCGCTCGCGGTCGCGGAGCAGGCGCCTCAGGATCTTGCCACTGGGGCTCTTGGGGATGACGTCGATGAACTCGACGCCGCCCTTGAGCCACTTGTAGTGGGCCTTGTGGTCCTGGACAAACTTGAGGATCTCGGCGGCGATGTCCTCGTCCTTGCGCGACGACACCTCGGCCGACGTCACGACAAAGGCCTTGGGCACCTCGCCGTCGCGGTCGTCGGGCACGGAAATCACGGCGCAGTCGTCGACGGCTGGGTGCGAGAGCAGGTGGGCCTCGAGCTCGGCCGGCGCGACTTGGTGTCCCTGTTGATCTCAGGAAAATGACACGGTTAGCGACATCTGTTGCAAGTGAGGTCCGCCCTAAATAACGAACAAGTTGGCCCGAACCTTGACTTTGATGAGCTCCTTTAGGCGGTCGACAATGGTGAGATGCTCGTTTCCTGAAGCAGACTTGGTGACCATGACCTCGTCGCCTGTGCGCAGCCACCGCCCGTCCTCATCAAAGATAAAGGCCTCACTCGTGGCCTTCTCGTTGTTCAAGTAGCCCAGCACGACCGAAGGGCCCTGCACGAGGAGCTCACCGGGGGTGTTGTAGGCGGTGATCTCCTGTCCGTCCGGGCTGACGAGTTTGGCTCTTGTGCTGGGGAGAAGAGATCCAGACGTCCCCTGTTCAACGTCGAGCTCGCTTGTCGAGCAGACTACGGTCGACGTCTCGGTCAGACCTGGAAGCCGTGTTAGCAGATCGCAATCTCATGCTGCTCGCGATCATCTGTCTGTGGTGGCACGTACCGTAGCCCTGGCCAAGAGTCCATTTTGGAAAGAGGCGGAGGAGTCCCTCGACAGTTTCTTTCCCGGTAGGTGCTGCCCCGACAAAAATAAACCTGACGCTGCTCAGGTCGTACTTCTTACATATTTCCCGGCTGCTCAACAAGCGAACGATGATGGGAGGGACCTGACTCTTGGTCAGGGAGATTTAGGCGAGCAGAACTACGGGCTGGCGACTCACGAGAGGAAGATGATTGATCTTGAATTTCTCAATGGCTTGGAGAAACTGGTTGAGCTCGAATCTTGGCAGGACAATGATTTCGTCGCCGCGCCATGTGGCGGAAACAGCGACAACGACGAGTCCGTAGATATGGCTGAAGGGGAGGATGCCAAGCTCAACCTGGGTGTCGATGCCCAGCTTCTTTCTGTGCACCGATTCGAACACGCAGTACTGCATCGCGTTTGCGATGACGTTTCGGTGCGAGATCATGACGGCTTTCTACGCCCAAGGCATCAGCGCGAGAGCTCTTGCGGTAGGGGACCGACCCTTTGATGGCTTACAGGCAGGCCAGAGGTGCCGCTCGAGTAGCATAGAAAGGCAACCTGTCGGGCACCCTGGCCCTTGCTCCACCTCAGGGGCTCGAGGTCGGGCAAAGAGCGGCCCTCTTGGATCAGGTCGTCGACCGTCTTGAAGTGCGGCTTCGGGGCATGATGCGGCAAGTCCATGAGGAAGATCTTATCTTCGGGAATGCCGGCGCCCTTAGCGGCCGCAAGCGCGGTCTCGAGGACGGGCACGCAGGTGAAGAGGACCTTGGCTCCCGAGGACTTGAGCTGGTGCTCGAGCTCGCTGGCCGAACACGCCACGTTGGCAGGACTGGCAATGCCCGAGAGACGGTGGACGGCAAACATTACCGATAAATAATCGATCTGTTTTGTTTGTTTGCAAGGGTGAGACGTGGTAAGCAAGCAAGCCAATCCCCTAATCTTTCTTTCCGTTCCCTGATAAGTTGCTCACAGCTTACAGTGTTGAAGGAGAAGACGCCAATGACCTTGTCCCATGGCGAGTCGGCATTGGGCTCCCAGCCCATGGTCTTGGACAAGGCCTTTGCGAGGAGATTGACCCGTTCAAAGGACTCGGCTGTGGTGTAAGTCTTGCCCGTGATACCGCATGTGAAGGGATTCCGGCTCTTGGCAATGGGGTGGCGGCCAGTCTCCTCACTACGCATAAAATCGCCTATGGTGATGGAGTCGGGCGGGTCTTTTCACGCGGCGGCAGCAGCTCAGCAATTGACAACATGCGCCATCCAAACTCTGAAGAGGCAATTGGAAACGTACCGAAGGGGAGCTTCGGGACCCATGCTGGAGGATAGAAGACCATTCTTATTCTTATCTTTTTCCTTTTTCTGGCGAATTACTAGGTAGGTGCGGAGGTAATTGTCGCCAATTCACAGTCACCGGCCGTACGCGCTGGCCTTTCTGTCGGCTACCAGGTCGTTGACGATCGTCGTTGCCTTAAATAGTTGGGGCGGAGCTGCAAACGAGTTAAGGGATGGATGTAAAGCAGCGTCATTTGACCACCTGAATGATAAGCAACGAGACGAGCACTGCGGCTAACGCCTATATAAGGTGCTCATCCTCCCCGCAGGAGAGATTAAGATGGCGAAATCCCTGACGCGCACTAGCTTCCCGTCTCACTTTACTACTAATGGCTGCCCGCACTCTACACTAAATCGTGGTGGGTGTGGAGGGGTGAAGTAGCTGTAAAGTCAGCTGCGATGGACATCTCAAACGACTGAAATCGGAAAGGTGGGGCTTCAAAGTACCCGACCGGAAACTTTCCATCTCACGGTGGCCGGTTGATTTACCTTCCATGTCCGTGAAAGGTGAGAACAGGGCTGGAACTTGGGAGTATGAAGAAATGCTATGGACTTCGACCTGGAAGTCACAACCGCGCCAATGTCCCGTTGACACGGTTGCTTGGCCAAACCCACCTTCCCCGGCAGAGACCCGTTTCCCCACGGCCAGCTGTGGGGTTTTCCAAAGCCTCGGCAAACGGCGCTTGCGGGGAAATGGTGCAAAAGCCGGACCTTGCCGAGCGTATTCCAGGTCTGACTGCTGCATCCCAATTTACTCCAGAAAGCGGTGTTCTGGCCGCCGAATTTGGCTGGTGCATGCTACCATTTTCGGTGACGTTATGTGGAAACGCGCACCCGCCTTCGGCGCTGCGCTACACTGCCACAGAGCCCGTACACATATACAATAGGCCCCCGATTTTTCCACATAGTTGCCCGCGTTTTTGTTCATGTCCTCTGATTGGGTTGGGGTAGGAGAGGTACAAGCAAAAAAACGCGAAAGGGCGACTGTGGATGAGATCTGAGACTAGGAGTTCGTTCCGTGGAGTTCTGTGAACGCTTCCCTCTACTTCAAACCACCGTCTGATGAAATTTTTTTTTAAAAAAAAGTAAAGGGCCTATATATAGAGTATAGGCATAGTCTAGCAGGCTCCAGGTTACCACTCTAGAGCCTAATAGGCTTCAACTTAAGCACCAAGCTCATTTGTACTTAAATCAGATACTTGTCTTCCGTCTGGATCACAGGAACAAGGAAGAGGCAATCGACAATAAGCTCTAGTGACAAGCAGTTGCTTCCCGCTTGACACCTTGCTTCCGGTCGTTAATATCCATTTGGAATTGAGCATCGCGGGAGAGTGATGGCAACTATCAGAAGTTGGAAAGGGCTTATATGGGCTATTTGCGAACTCTGGAGTTCGCAAATACCCCCAGAAATAGGCAAGGTATCACCAGGGCTGGGCGCAACGGTATTCGTGGCTTGTTTGGACAAATGAGTGCGGTGAATCGGCGTTAGACACCATTGCCTTATTCCTCCTCGCTCCCTTTGAACTCCTAGATACAGCATGAGAAGATTTCGGCTGGTCGTCCTCCTTTCTAGACACGGCGCTCTCGGAAAGCAAAGTGCGAGAGCTGTGCTGTTGTGGGGCTCCTATGAGATCGACATCGCGCCCTACAATGCCCCGCCCCACTTTAATTGGATTTCATCAGACTGCATCCGGAACCCGATCTCGAATCTCAGATTTCAGCATCTTCGGTCTTAATTATCCGATTGTTACCTGAGTGCCTCAGGCCCCAATGCTCGGAATGCATCCCCAAGGTCAGATCTGAGATACATGAAAGCCGACGATGAACACCAGGAGAACAAATTTCCAGACCCTTCAAAGTACCCCAACTCGGATAAGGGCAGTCGTATAACGGCCATGCGCCCTAGCAGCAACCTAATTTTAGGCTTCTCTATCGTCCTTGACAGTTAGCGTTTTGAAATCCTCCGTAGTGGAAATTCTATCCATATTCTACTATGCTCAGAGAGACGAGCATTTTCGGTGGAAGTAATTATAGTCAAAGGCCTCCAATATCCCAACCAATTGAGACACAGTTGCGAGCACCACCATGATGTGAAATAGTTGATGGGAGGAGCCCCATACGTCGAATTTGCCTGGATATCGACTCTCGGGAAACTTGGTCTACGGAAATACAGTAGTCAGGATCAGTTGCTATCATGTGCGACGTCGGGAAATCTGGAGTCTTACTGCGTAAAGAAAACTTCCAGTTAGAAGGAAGCCCCCTTCGGCCAGATAATAGGGCAGTCCGGATTGCTTTACCATTTGCGACCAACCAAAAATCGTGATTCCATGTATCAATGGTGCAAAGCCAGACGCGCCAAGCGCCACGAACGTAAGTGTTCGGAAAACGCGGAACTTGCGACCCTGTAATTTCGGATTGATCATGATCACGATGGTAAGCGCACCGAGAACTCCAATCTGAGAACCAAAGTAATTGTCAGATACGAGATACAAGTACATGGGGCACACGGACATTAACTCACCATAGACCAGTAAATCTTGCGTTGCAACGGTTCGCACCAGAATATCACGTATATTCCCGAGACAAAATCGCCCAATGTCAAGACCACTATGCCTACCAGGTCAAGCTGCAGACAGAGTTGTTCCACCTTTTTGGAGTGGTTCATCAAGGTGTGGTATGTCGTCGACAGTCCCAAGCAGATAACGGCAGTCAAGAGGAAGAAGGTGAAGATGACGTGATCAGTGGCAGTGATCCTGGAGTATCTGCTTGCAAGATACTGTTGGATATACCACTCGCCGAGCAGAAGGGCGATCCCTGGTATCAAGTGAGAATATATGTTTACCGACTCGTTGTGAAGGTAGGACCAACTGCAGAATGAAACCTGAGCCGAGCCTGAGATTGGGCGATAGCCATGACGAATGTACTCGTTATCTTGGTGCCATTCCGGCAGCTCGTCAAATGAGAGAAGAACTGGGCGTGCTTTGCGGGCTTTGGATTTATTTCTCGAAAATCTCTGGTGGATGCAACCATTTCCCGCAGGCAGCTCTTTGCGCACCTCGGGCGGTTGCGGGGGCGAGACCCGACGATGAGCAGATGGCATTGCTGTCGGGCTTGGTGACAATATGGGAGGCGGTACTTGGAGGGACAGGCTGGGACTCGAAGAAGGGGCTTGGGCTTCCATGCTTCCATCTGCTTTCTGTCATGAGGTGGGAGGTAACTGAGAGTTGATTGAAGTTGCTGAGTTCTAAGCTATCTAGCTGCGAGGTCTAGCTAAAAGAGTCATCCCGCCTGCTGGTGTCAATGTATCCTTCCTTCGATCGTTCCTGCCGGATACACGCATCTGTAGCCGCCAGCCTTGCCTACTCTCCAACAGCTGAAGTTCCCCCCAAATGGCAAGAACCAACAACGTCGCATTGCCAGCCTCACATAACGTATTAGACCCACTTATGCAACGCAGTAGTGTACGCAATACGCAACACTGAAACGGGCTATCCGGGCGTAGCTAATTAGCGTGGCGCTTCGTGTGATCTGTTGCCAAGACACGCAGAGCGCACAGAGCAGGACTATCTGTGGCTTTCCAGTGATCTGTAGACAGATCACTCTGGAAAGAGAGATCACTCAGAGCAGGCTTCTGATTAGTCTACTAACATAGATAAATACGATGACCGTGTCTACGGTCTTAGATAGAGCTTGCTTGGTTCTTCAAGCAAGCAATACACATTCATTGTACTCATACACTTTGAGTAGCAACCCATTTGATATATTACCCATGCTTTAAGAGCTTGCTATCACGGCAAGTGCAGACATTGACTGTGCGGTGACACTTGCCCTTTGTTCACATCACACGCCTACCGCCGAACCTACAGGTGCCATTGCACCGTATAGACAAACGACACACACAGCCAAGCGGTTTGTAATATAAAGAATCACAAGTACGGCCGCCGCGTTATGTCACGGCACGGCACCGTAGGCGCTGTGAGCAGCCCTCGGGGGCGTGACCATACTATAACCTACAGATTGCAGCCTAGCAGCTTGCAATTTTAGCATCCTTTTGGCAGGTGTGGTGCAGCAGTACTAGGTGTTGAGCCCCGCCGTCACACGTTATATGCCGGTATAATTACAAAGAATATAAGAAGAAGGGCAAAAGGTTAAGAATACAAGAAAGAGACGCTGGGGGAGGGATTCTTATTTAATTTGGGTGGAAGGATCTAGAGTCGGTGGTGTGGTTAATACAAGGGCCGCGCTAAACCAAATGAGGAGAGGTGGGGGAGGTGCCTTTCCCGGAGCGTGCAGCATGCAGCACCAATTCAATTAACCCCCAAATGAAACCTCCTACCAGGTAACGCAGCTCGCCCAGGCTGTTCCGTTCCTTGAATAAGCTTTCAGATGTGCTGCACTAGATCCGACAGTCCTATTTTAGACCGGGGGCCTCAAACCTCGGGCCCACGTCTTCACCATGATCTGCTAAAGTAATGTTCTCGTCCCGCACGAGTGGAAAACAGAGTTTACAATAGTGTCTGTCTTGAGTGACAACTTTTCCAGACGTTTATTTCCGTCATTGCAATAATATATCTCGTTGGAATCCGAATTCGCAACTGAAGATACGAACGAGACTTTAACACTGACTGGGCCTCGGCTTCTGTCGGCCGTTCCACTGCATATCGAGACTGTTGCATGCTGGGACATCACCTAAGCTGCACGTGATGCGACACGTGCACCCCTGATATACGCCCGTTGACCGTTTGGAGCGTTTCCAGAGTTTAATGGGCAGAGCGAAGCATGTTGTTGCAATTATGTTTGTTCGCCTCGCAAGTCTTGTCAACTCTCGGTGTTGTGCATGGCGTGGTTCCAAGGCAAGTTGGCGCCACTCAGCCAGAGTGGTGGTGGCTCCTTCCGCTCCCACGATATCTTCACTTACACGAAAAAGCACGGGCCATAAACTACAACCCCTGAGGACATACTCTCGCAGTATTCACAACTTGAAGTCACAGAAAAATTCTTTACTCGAACCCCTATCCTCTCGGGTTGGTCTCGTCCTATCATGACTCTCCGATTGTCCCAGCGCTCGTTCCTATTGTTCGCTCCGCACAAGCGAGCGAACTCAAGAATCCCAAACCACCGATCACACACTCGCTAGTTTCCGTTATAAAAAAATTTCTCCGACTTAATTCTTTTCGCTCACTTCAATCGTCGTCATCATACAGCGCATGTTTCTCCCGACAGCCCAAATTTACTGCAGTTGTATGTCACTACTGCGCCCACGGATTGAGAATTTTGAGAATATGAAGTGAGTAATTCTTGTTTCTAATTTTTACCTCGTCTAGTCACTTGTACTTCATTCGCTGCCTAGCAGAGCATTTCCTACCTCTCCGACGAGCGTCGCTAACCAAGACCGCAGAGCTGTATCGCACGTCTAGCCAACATGTCTTTATCTGTAGATAGGGCCCTTCTATAGGTCCCGGAATCACCCCTGAGCCCGCCTCCGTCGTGGTTCAACGACGACGATCTGGAATACCCCTTTGAGAAAATCCCGAAGCGTGGTTTTGGCAACTCGATGATAGCAACCAGAAACCGACCAAGCGTATTCGCATTCGCCCTATTGACCGTGTCAGCCCGGCCGATGAGCTGGTGCCTACTACTGCAAGCGCGGATTCCCCGCCAATGTCGCCGCTCAGTCCGCCTCCTTCGTGGTTCAACGATGACGACCTTGAATGTCTATTTCCAGAGGATGCCCGCGAGACTCTCCAGACTGTCAACCGTGAGCCAGGTACGCCTCTCTATTTCCTGGGCGCGGCAGACGATGATTCGGATATCACGTCTCCAGACCTTACCCTATCGAGCACCAGAACTCGTGTCGCCTTGACGCCTGATACCGAACTCGGCGACGAAAAGCCGGAGCCCTCTTTTCCTCCATCTATTTGGTCCAAGTGGCGCGGAAGCCTTTGCGAGGCCCTCCCATACTTCAAGGCGTATAAGGGCAGCCTTCACACGAACGGATTGGTTGCCACCGGCTTTCTCATGGACAAGCACGCCGACCCACGAGATGTGTTTGATGGACAAGTCATCATCTCGTCTGTGTAAGTCTATTACCTCTTGACCATGTTTCTCTCATGCTAACCTGTATTTGAAGTGGTGGTGGTCGCGAGAGAGACCTAATGGAACGGGCACCATGGTTCGGCTCAGGGATGCCTCCGACAGCAGTCCGAATATTAAGGCCTTTCGGAATGCGCAAAAGAATCGGACACTCCTCGCAGTGATTGCAGGTAGGAAACAATGGTTTTTGTTATTTTCTTGTTGCATGCGCTAACTTTACACTCGCAGGAGAGGATCATCCTCTCTACCCCTGTCGGCCACCGTATCCCTACGCCGTTCTCGACTACTTTGTTGTCTCGGATGTTTGGACAGAGAAGCGGAATGGAATCCGTGTATTCCGCGTTCGCTACGAAAAGGCAGATCTCCAGAAGCCGTCATGGTGGACCGCCCATCGCGACGCACATGGCACCGCTCCCTCATTGCTCAGTGCTATCAAGACCACATGGAAAACTTGCTGAGTGCGGCAAGAGTAGCAAGTTGATATACACTATTGGCTGGACCTGTCTGAACCATGAATGTGCTTATTTCTTGAAGCGTCCAGCTATCAAGACAGAGGACACTATCAAGATAGAGGACGATGACACCAAGATGAGAAGCGACGAGGACGTGCCTGAGGATCTGGAGTACAACGAGGCGTTCCTATGTGAGCGCACCCCCTTTATCGGCCCCATCCCGCCCCTCTGACCCCCGATGACCGAAACCGAGGGACGCCACGGCACGGAGTTGGTCTTGCGCCGTGGATTCGTCTGCCCCGACTGCGGATGCTGCAACCGCCGGGTGTACTGGAATTTGACAGGCTCATGACTAAACGCCGCGAGACTAACCAGGTGATCGATGACCAGCTAGCGACTCGTCTCAACAGAACTTGTCTCAATGACACCCAAACCGTCACCCTCGGGAGCTATACCGCACGCCAGTACTTCCTTCCAGACCCCAGCGGGAATATCATCGGCTCGTTTACTCTCCTCGTGTCTAACCCGCAGATCAACTCACAGCCCTTTGGTCCGGATCACCTGTTCCGGGAAATTGAGCAAGGATATTGGATTGAAGCGAAACCCAGTGGCTATACCCGGTCGTGAGTTCCTCTCTGATCATCTCACCTGAATATGGAAATTGACCAAGCTGCAGACAAACTTGAGGGCTACACTCGCCATTTTCAGCAAAACTTTGTATATATTCCATCAACCTCTACGTAATTACTCTATCTAATTCGCAACAGGGTGCTCGATACAAATTTGGAGTTGCCGTCCAATCCAAGGGCTTCGACCAGGCTCCTGAGGTGATCTTGCGAGCCCTGCATCGATTGATCTGGGCCGGTAGCAGTGCTGTCAAGAAGACGACTGAGTGGATCGACAAAGGTGGCCACGGCCCTCATTCCCCACCATCCGGCAGCAACGACTTCAACGAGCTGCTTGCCCTAGGATATATGGAGGACGACCGCATCAGCGTATGTGTTTCCGTCTCTAGTCTATTTCTTCGAACCTCTCTTGCTAATGTCTCGTCCAGTACCACGACGACGGCGAGAGCGAGCTGGGGCCCACAGTTGCCGCCCTGTCCTTAGGCTCGCCGTCCATCATGAAGTTCCGGCCCAAGGTGAAGATCGACTTTGGCAAGCACTTGCCTAAGAACTTGAAGGGTCTCTACAGGGACGTCCTGGAGGCTCCCATGAAGCATGGAGATATCATGGTGATGCATGGCCAGGCCATCCACAAGCTCTACGAGGTATGTTCCGTCCCCGCCCCGCACCACATTCCATCTCTGGGGTTCAACCTCTAACACAAACCACAGCACACTGTCGAGCCCATGGGTGGCCGGCGCTTCTCACTCACCTGTCGCTACATTGATCCCGACAAGATGCAGAGCCAGAGTGACAAGGATGATGCCGCCGTCAAAGGCGCCATCCCCGCCGCGTCCTTTGCCTTCAAGTATGACGGGAACTAGAACTAGTCCCGCCGCTGAAGATGCATGTCCGATCAAGGTGGGAGGGAATGGTAGGAGAAAGGAGGGGAGGGTAGGAGGGGGGATGAACGGAAAGACGGCAGAAGGACGAAATGGGGGGGGGGGTTCTTACCCCCCAGCAAGGCCCGGAGAACAAGACTTGGTCTAGACGACAAGCCTGTCTGGGTCTGGTATCTGACAGAAGAAGCAGGGCAAGCAGCAATCAGCATAGCCCAAATGATTGATGATGATGATAGCCACTTTTAATTACTGCAGCCCCCTTTCGAGTGAAAAGAACATACCACCGTGTACAAGACGTATTCCGCGAGCCGGCGGATGGTATTGGTGATGGACGTCCATCTCCTTGGCGGCTCAGCAAAAAGCACCTGCGTTAACTATGTGACAAGACTAATGATTTCTTTCGTCTACTCTAGCAGCGACTTCCACAGATGACAAGACCAATAAGAACGAGTGGCGACCAAGGAGGCGAGTCTCCCTCGATTGGTCTAATGGGCGATCAAATCCCTACTTACCTACCTCGAGAAATTTTTGTGTACATGTACCTATGTGACGGTTCCCACTGTTCTCACAGTACAATATCTACCTCTGAATACGTAGCCTACCTACCTAGGTTCTCCCCACGACAATTGATTTTGCAGCCCGTTTCAAAACACACCGTTAATTCTTAGCAAGTGCATGCAGTCAAGCTCAAGGGTGGTCGCGACGGCAGCGCTCAGAGACTCGCCTACGCGTGATAAGCATACTAAGACGGCTGAGCCAAGATATTTACTGTTTTTTTTTTTTTTGGTCTTTGGTTTTTACAGATTGAAGATAATTCTCACCTCTTGAGCGAGCCGTTCCCGGAGACGAGGAGCACCACGCTGCCGAGCTGTCGGCGGAGGTCCTCCTTCTCTACGTCGTGGGTGTCCTCGACCTCGCCCCATTTGCCAGTCTGCCACGACACCTCGAGGCTAGAGGCGCGGGCGGCTTCCTCGACGCCAAACAGCTCTTTGCTGCTGCTGCTGCTCTTGCTATCACCTCCTTTGACCTTCGACTCCTCGGCCACGGCGCCGGCACCTTCCTCGCTCCACTCGAGCACCAGCCGGGCGCCGACGAGCAAGCTCTTGCCGGCGAGCGTGGCGCGCTCGAGACCCGCCAGCTCCCAGCTCGAGAGCCGCAGGATCCAGCTCTGGATGATGTCGCGGGTTCCGGGGGCCTGGGAGCGGGGGAAGATGGAGTTGCCCTCGAAGACGGGGATAATGGTGACGCCGGGCCAGGCGCACGTGGTGAGGTCGGCTACGATGACGGCGGCGACGCGGGCCTGCACGTCGTGCAGCGTCTCGCCGGCCGCGTTGGTCATGTTGTTATTGTTGAGGGGGTTATGCAAGTCGGGCGGCGGCGCCCAGCACAGCAGGCTGTCCGTGTCGAGGTAGCGGAGGAGCGACTCGGTCAGCCTGGCGCGGATGGGCGCGGGCGGCGATCCGGCGTGCGCCGCGTCGTCGTCGGCAATGTCCAGCGCCCGGCACACCGTCGACGTCAGCGGGATCAGGTGCTGCCTGGTCGCCTCCTGCACCGAAACCAGCTGGTCCCACTCAATGCCTACCGCGTGGGCCAGGTGCGGCTTGCTCAGCGGGATGCGCACGGGAGTCTTGCTGTTGGGCCGTCGCAACGGCCGCGTGTCGAGATGGATCTCGTATGCTCCTGGGCGGAAAGGAGAAGTTAGCTTCAGGCGTCAGGTTTGGTGAGAAAGGGAAGATAGGGCTGGCTCACTATCGACCTCGCGCACATGCACCTCCTTCCAGAAGCGCTTGGTAAATGTACCGCCGGTGGCTTTGCTGGCGCTGGCAGCACGGAGGTCCTTGGCTTTGCGCAGCAGCTCGACTTGGGTCCTCCGGCGGAGGATCCTGGAGGCGGAGTCGGGGGAGACCTGTGCCGGGGGCGGCGGCGGTGGTGGCGGCGGGCCAATGCCAGATATGGGCGAGACCTTGGCCGGTTGTGCGGGATGCGTGTGGATGGAGGCTGTTGCTACTACTGATGGGCAAGACGTGATGGCTGCAGTCGTCTTGAGCGGGACGCGGCGCAAGGGCAGCGACGTGACAAGCCGCATCGCAGACGCCATTTCATCGACGATTTGCTTCAGTCAGTTGGCGTCTTGCGTGGGGAGGATACAAAAGAAGGAGCAGAAGAAAAATTAGGGTAGAATATGAATTGTTTGGGGGTACATGGCCACTCCGTCGCCCAGGCCGCGATTCGAGTTTGCCGTGCATCGTCAAAGGAAAACCACCACTTCAGCGAGCTGTAACTGCCGCCAGCTTTCAACCCTAACCCTCAACTGGACCCTAACCCTGGCTACACGGTGAGCGAAAGGGTTCACCGAGGAGCAATCTGAGAGGACGCCTCTGGGAAACGAATGACACCCAGTAGCTTCACAATAGCACAGACTCTACACGCCTAAAAAGAGGGGTAATAGGCCGGCACTGTATCTGGGCCATGTTCGCAACTCGAATTTGACAACAATTGAGGGATTTCGCTTGATCCCAATTCTTTGAAAGGAAGTTGCGATCGAAACCGCCTGTTCCGGTCTTCATCTTCGAACTTGTATGCCGTCGCTTGCAAGGCAGCCGCATTTATCTCAGTTTGTAGGTACATTGCCTATCGTGCCTTGTCTTGATGACCTTCGGCCCTTCCGTTGGAGCAGGTTTTGTGTCTTTGCTTTCCACTTTCTCGGCTGTGTTTAATGTTTGTGGTTCTCGAAAGTCGAACGACAGGAAGTGTTAATAACCTGGGGGCTAACGGCTCTTTCAGAGTCCCAGCCTTTGAGATATCTCTACTCCCCAAGTCTAGTATCTCGCCTACCATCCATGAGCGGCCGGCAACTATCATTCTTCGCCTTCTCGGCAGAGACTCGGATAGATATATATCGCCTGCTGTTGGTCCACTCCGAAGGGATAGGCAGCCAGGCACTCGGCGTCTCTCTGTGCCCTGCCATTCTCTCCACGTGTCGCCAGGTTCTATCCGAAGCTCGGCCGATTCTCTACGGAGAAAACGTTTGGGGCATGACCGTGGCCGACATCGACGGCTACCGAGAGGCTTTCGAGTGTGGTACGGACATGGCCGGTTTCCTTTTCCACTGGAGTTTCTTGTCGCCGCCCCGAATCTTGGATCTGCGGAAATTCTAGGTCCGTCTCTTCGCAAACGTAAATGGCTTGGAGGCCATCACCGAGAGTATCAATGTCCGCTCCCTTGCAGCAAATGTGTTCAGTGCCCTGTTGCGTCATCCACATATTGACTACTTGATGATTCAAGTCGGCTTCTGTAACTTGGATGGTCGTGGCCAATGCTACGTCCTCACGGACCTTGCGATCTACCTCACCCATCCAAGGTCGACTTCACTTTCGTCCCCGCCGTCTTAGCCGACTACATAAGGCACAGACTAACTAGAGCCCCGCTCACAAACCCTTTGCCGATGATGTACGAGGTGCTCGAGACTTGGGCAACTAACTTCGGTGTTTCTCCAAGCTACCTGCGAGAGTGCTGCATTGACATGGGGAATGGCGACGCTCATTTGTTTGAACTCATTAGGCGGCGGATTGTAAACGACGTCATCACCAAGAACCCCGTTCGACGAACAGACATGGACCACATTCTGTACCAGTACGGCTAAAGGATTCAGACATCGGGCCCGCGACTGTTTTATCCTTGTCTAGCCGCTCATCTTCGAGTACCTCCAAACCCCTTTCAGCTCACACCACTACTACTATCTAACGTCTACACTAACGTGGTGACTTGGTCTCTTGTCTGTTGATGAAAAGATTGTTTTAGGATTTCGTCCCATTTTTGCCCCGGCCTTCAACTTTTCAGTCAGGCTCATGCCTTCACCTTAACGATTTTATGATTCCATGTTCTCATGTCAACACAGCGCCCAAATTGCATTTATCAGCCGCTGATGAAAAAAAGATGCTTTGTATTTGTCCCCCCTGTCCTGATATTCAAAAGTCTCATCTAGTTTGAGATCTTTCTGGCCGTTGATGAGAGGCGATAATGAAGTTTGAAAGATTGGTCTAGCGTGCAATGTGGACCGCAAATGGCGTCGACGGTCCCATGATATGGATCAGGCTTATTGAACTAACAAGGCACCTGTCATATAGTGCAATATCGCCAAAGTTTCAATTAGTCCTTTTGCCCCCTTGACTCGGTCCTAGCTAACAACCATCTACTTTGACGTCATGTGATGGGTGGCGATTCATTGCCAGAGTCCCGATAAAGGTGAGCGAATATCTCGGTTGAAGCGCGTCAGGCGGTTAGTCGAATTACGGGGCTTTTCGAACAAATGAAGCCTAGGATATGGCTTTATGAGCTCGAACCCCGTCTTCCATGCTGCCCAACTTATCTCTGCCGTTCAAAGAACCGGCGGTGCGGGCGGTTGGTGATGCGGAAAGTTCAGGTACGTACCGAATGCAGTATGTTGACAAGCTCCGGCGCTAACCCAAAAGGCGTCTTCTGTCTTAGAATAGTTGGATATCATTGGACCCCTACTTTAGTCACAGTCAGCTCACTTCTGACGACCAACTATCTGATAGCCCGGCTGTCGCTTAGGTGCACGAGTCGTTCCACAGTACGTCATGGCCTTTAAAACCACCTCATTACTTGAGTGATGCGTGGTCTAGGACTCTGAGAATCTGAGACCATGATAAATACGATACGACCGCCGTTCCCCAACAGCCAGTGAGATGAATCCACTCACACGCTTTCCACCATCACTTGTTTGCCGGTCAGTCCGCCCCAGGCTTCATCAAGTATTCCTGCAAACTAAACACCGCAAAATTATCACCTGAGCATCTCCACAAACCAGAACCACACATCATCATGTCAGCACCGTATCAACACGACGACGTGGCCACCGACGTCGACGTGCCCAAGGACGCCCCCGACGGCAACCCGCCCCAGGACAACTCGTATGTGTCGCGCCGCTTCGAATCGATCCCCGTACAAAAGGACAGCGCGCCGGTCGAGGACCCCATCGATGCCAGGACGGCGGACACGGATCAGCAGCTGGGTAAGTCCAAGTCCAAGTCAAAGTCCAAGCCCAAGTCCAAGTCAGGCTGTTGGGTGATTGTTGTTGTGTCAGTTTATTGATTTGTTGTTTTGGTGGCCCTCCACACACAGAACGAGACGATGTCGAGGCCATCGACAAGTCTAACATCCTCAAGGGCAAGAGCAAGACCCGCCATGCCAAGCCGGCCGGCTCGTACAAGGAGCCGAGCGATGAGGATATGGGCTTGACGGAGTAGGGTTCCTGTCACTTTCAGATAATTAGGGGGGAGAGCAGTCGTAGGAAACGTGTTATCTTATTTGAATCACAGTTTGAGTTTAATTGCCATCAACCCCAAATTTACCCCCATTAGACTCCTATCAAGACCTGAAGACTTAACAGAAACAACACAAGATGAACATCTCTTCCAAATCCCAGCATGAACATGTCTGTTTTGTGTGCCTAATACTAGCTAGTTACCCAGGACCGTATCTACCCTGTGAATTCATTCCGCCTCCGGGGCCAGCCACATATGATCACACCATTAATGACCACACAGCCTGCATGTCGTCCAGCCCGTACGTATTAATTACATCGCCAAAGACTGGGAACGAGGGAGAAAAAGGAATATAAACAAGCGACCCCCAAAAGGTAATTACGGTAAAAGAAAGACTGCTCACCAAACCAAGCAGAAAAGAGAGAACAACTATTCGTCCCAGCAAGGCGGCCGACGTGAACTTAACCCCCAAAAGTTTTCCACTCCCCTTTTTGTTTTGTTCGCCCAGGACACCTTCCAGACAATAAGAAAAAAAAGGTAACAAAAAAGGCCAAAAAGAAAATTCATAAAAATACATTGATGGCCATAAGGCGAGACAAAGCCCAAAGCCTTGCATTTTCTAATTAATTACCTTACGCAAAACCCGAGAATGTTTCTAAGAGAAAAAAAGGTCATCCTCCACCGGCTGAGTCTTAACACCAAATCCCACGATCCTGTCCCCGCGCACCGCCAGTAACCAAAAAAAGAAGAGAATAATTATAAGAAAACCTCAATACGGCGGCTTTGTGACGGTGCCCAAACTGCGCTCTCCTGCTTGGCTATCAATTCCTTTCAAGAGAGATTGGAGGTCCATCGCTGGCACAGGATGCTCCTCGGAGCTAGTGCCCCAGGACGATGAGACTCCGCGATCGCCGCTGCGGCTCTTGAGGCTCCGCTTCGATGTCGCTGGCCTGGGAAGCGTCGCTGGGTAGTCCTGCAATGTCTTGGTCTTTGACACTCGCCCCTCGAGACCGCTGGGAATTGGTGGTACGGGCGGTACGGCCTTGACAGGCCCGTCGTCGCCACTGCTGCCCTGGTCTGCGCTGCTGTCGTGCGTTGGATGTGAGCTCAATGGCCCGCCAAGAATAGGGAGTTTCCGATCACGAGACGCAGGCCGCAACTGTTGGCTCGCCTCCACTTCGTCTGTCGCCACGGGCTCTCCCACGGCGGCAGGGTTGAACGAGACTTCGCTGGGCGTCATATCGTAACTGACAAGACTGTCGCTACTGCTGCTGCTGTCGGTATGTTGCAGCCCGTGCATTGTAGGCGGCGGCTGCAGATGACCCGACAGTACGAGTTTGAGCTGCTCGACCGACGTTACAGCTTGCTCCTTGCCCGCGGGGCTCCTTCCAGCCGGCGATGCATTGCTGCGAACGCTTGATTTACGGAGCTTGGTAGCCGGCGGGGCGCCGGGATTACCAGCTGGTGATGACGAAGGGCGGAGATTGGCCTTGCTAGCAAAGGGAGATGGCGTCCTAGCTGCATGAGCTTGTCCATTTCCGTTCGCCGTCAACCCGCCATTTGCCGCGAGGCGGTTCTTATTTGTCCCTGTGGTGCCCGACCGCGATCCGTTGAGCGAGGTCGACTTGCTGACCGCCTGGACGGCAGCCAAGGTGGCGTCCCGAGACCAATCCGCAAGCATCTGCTCGCGGAAGTGGGAAGGAATCTCGCGTTCCATCTCGATAGCAGGGATAGTGCTCAGGGACGAGCCAATAACGGGATGGGAGAAGCTCCGGCCAGGACTAGCGGCCGGGCTTGTGGGCGGCGAGACTGTCGCCTCCTCATACCCGTGGCAGACGCTCTCCACCAAGGCGAGGCGGTCATCAAAGGGGAGCAACGCCTCTGACTCGATTTCCTTGATAGGGAGCCTTGGTTGAGGTCTCGCCATTCCAGGGGTCCCTGCCAGCTCCATGAGCGGGGGTGGCATGTAGATGCCCTCGACCCAAAAATGCTTGCTACGGCGACGAACGATTTCGTTATGGATCGCCCTTCCTACAACCGATGCCTCAAAGTCGAACTTCTCGGTGAGAATCCAGAAGTAGCCGTGCACCAAGCTCCCAAGGCGGACCTTGGCAATAGGCGTATCGGCGTCCTGAATGTCCTCCTGGAGTCTGAAAATCATGGGCAGGCCATATCTAACGGCATTCACGCCGAGCCGATTCACAAGCTTTGCCAGCAAAACGTGAAGCAGCACAACGTCTGTCTCGTACTCGACAAACTGGACGGCATTGTCGTAGATGGCAACGTGGAGGAGTTGCAAGAAGTGCGAGCGCGGGGCTTTGATGGGTTTGTCGCCTCGCGCCGAGGCGCTGGAGACGACTCTCCGTGCAAGCGTCCCCCCAACAAGGTCCCGATTCCTCAGCGTCGTCCGAGCCGTTTCGTCCCTAGCCTGGGCATCTGCTTTCGTTGTTTCACGGTCTAGCCACGTTGCGACTGCGTCGGCGTACGCTTTCCGGACGAGGCCGTCTGGATCCCGGAACAGCCACTGCGTGCCCTCCCACACCTGGATCGGCACATGATTCCTGGATAGCGCGTAGTTGCCGCTCATCTTTGTCCGGGGATTGGCGACAAGCAGGACCGACTTGATTGCCCTGAGCGCCGCGATCTTCGCGACGGTGAGGGCAAACAGCGAATCTATTTGCTGGTCGTCGACAGATGAAGCCGCTACAGCCTCCGCCTTTTCACCCTGGGGCGATGAGCTCGAGGTGCTACTCGATCTAGACGGCTTCAGCTTAAGGAGAATGGTCGAGATCATGTCCGATATCTGATCGGCGTAGTAGACATGCGTAGCCAGATCTCCAATGCATTCCTGAAGCCGGAGCAGGAGGTCTTTGCGCTGAGCAGCAATCCGGTCTGCATTTTCGGCGAACTGTACGGTGGTGGGCGAACGCGGGTCGGGCTGTCCGGGGAGTGGTGGGTCGCTTCTCATGCTGTTCGGATCCCCTGGCATCTGGACGAGCCTCCGTATATGTGCAATGAGCTGGAGTAGGATGTCCATAACGCTCAGGCCGATGAGGTTGATATCCGACCGCAAAAGGGCGCCAATCATGGCCGTAAGAACGATGTGATGGCGTAGATTTTCATCCGTCAAAGGGCACTGGGAGAGCGTCCCCATAGCCGTCACTAGAATTGTGAATCGATCCGCCACTGGAGCCCAGCGGGCAACCAGCAGGATCATCTTGATCGCCCAGCCACTGTCTTTGCCGCTGGTGCTCGTCTTGACAACATTCTCGAGCTGGTTGACTCGCTCTTCGGTGAATTTCAGCAGCGCAGCCGTAGCGGCATGTACTTGTGAGCGGTTAGGGGCACTGAAAATCTGCATAAGGCACTGCATTGCCAGCACGCCAATGTCCTCTTCTTCCAGCTTATCCACGTCCACAGCCGTTCCCGAAAGTGCAATCGGGTTTGGATTCCCCTCGAATGTATCCGCCGTTCGCACAGTGGCAATGCTCATCCTCCTCTTCATGGGCGCTGGGTCGCCCTTTTCGTCCCCTTCGGCCCGCTGCAGCAACACGTCTAGGAAGTCTTCGTTGTCGGTCCACAGATTCTCCAAAATCATGGGGACGGCCGCATCGTACTGCCGGTTCGTGGCAGACGAAAGCGCATCAGAAGAGGCGATACTCCGTATAGCTGCGAGTCCCGCGTTCCTCCACCGCAGCGCGATGGGCTTACTCGGCTGTACCTTCCCGGGAGATAAGCGAGTGGAGGCGAGCGAGGCATACTGATCAGCTACGGCCAGGTACTGTCGCAAATAGGCCTGGTCGCCCAGTAGCGACGTTGGGTCATGATTCTCGCAGAAGGCTTCGAAAGTCGGTATCGATGACTCAACCATGGTGATGTCGTTGGATTTGAGGATTAGCTCCAGGACCTTGAGAACGCATGATGCGAGCAGCGGGAAGTCTTTGCCCGCTTTCTCCATAAGGGCGGTTAGGATCTGAAGCGTGACTTGGACGTTCCTGTGATGGCGGGTGTCAGCATCTAATGCTATCCTGCCTGGCCCCAGCAGCGGCGCCAGACATGGTGCAGCACGGTTGAAGGAGAAGGAGTTGGGATCAGCTTACCCTATCCTCAGGCGGTATACATCGCTGGCCGTCTTCTTTTCCAAGAAGCTGCCCACTTTCTGGATCTTGGACCGACGCGACTGTGCGTAGAACAGCAGGTAGCTCAACTCGCTCGAATTCGGCTTGACATCGACGGCGCCCTTTGTAGTGCGCGGGTAGCATTTCAAGACGAGGACCTGGTGCTTTGGCCGGCACCGTTGCTGGATCGCATTCATGGTGGGCGAAGTAAAGACGCGTCCGCGCGCGGCTGGGTCCGGGCTAGATAGGAAAGCGATAGAACACGTCCAGACTTGAGGCTCGAGAGTCGGGGATCAGGCCGATGGGCGACGGATTCGACGGCTCCCGCAGCAGCGAGCGAGATGACAGAAATGTCCCCAGATTATCGGCTCCAGCTCAAAGGTCAATCAGTCTCCCCCCTGGAGAAAGGGAAAAGTTTTGGGGCTAAGATATCATGGGCGTAATTTGCCTAGGAAGGGGTGGCCTTACGGGCGGGCTTGGGGGCTGATAATGTGGGTGGAGCGTTGGCTGACATGAGAAGCTCCTGCGTGCGCGACAAACGTGTCTCCAACCGGGGTGGGAGGCTATGTACCCCCACTAGAAAATATCGCCCTAGCGGTACCTTTATTTCTCAAAGCGGGCCCCGAGATTGCGGTTCAAGTCCAGACATGATAACTTACCAACGGTGGCTGACGACATTTATTTAAATCTAACGAATTATTCCCTTATTGCCAGTTCTTGCACCTCGCGGCCCAGGCTAGAATGCAGCTTTGGGACAGCATCAATAATGGCGGGTGCTTGTTTGACAGTCGAGACAGTGTCGGCAGCAGCCGCCTCCCGTTTTTGGTACTATTTGGATTTGGGGCGATTGTGCTCCTATCTGCAACCAACAATTGCGGCAGAGCTTTTACACCCCTTCCATACGTTTAGGTCGAGCTACTAAATATCCGCAGACGTACTATTGGATTCGAGGCAAGTCTAACTGCAAGTTGTTTTAGTGTAGGGTATCTAAATCCGACTAAAACGCTCTCTACCACTAGGAGGTAAGCCTGCCAAGAAGTCGGGTTGCTCGAATTCTTCAGAGGTGACCGTTTTTCGACATGTAATTATTTACCATGATCTCCAAGGTAGGACCATCTGCCCTACACGCACAGCACCTGCTCAGGTATGCGGTGTGTCCTGCCAAAAGCGCGGTCAAACTCTCAGAGGCTCGGAAGCCAAACCGTTCCAAGCTAGCTGGCTAGTGGCATACCTACGTCAGAGCCGCCTGCTGTCAAGTGCCGGGTAATTAGTAGGCCCTCTGCGATTCCCGACAAGCATGGGACTTGGAGGTATAGCTGCTTGCTTATTGAAATACAATACAGTGCTGCCTCTAGAGTTTTGACTATTGGAAACAATCTAGATGCCTTGTCCGTTCAGTCAGCTGCGCAACGAAATGTTGCCTCAAATCACGCCTGCAGCCTCTCCTCATGTCGAGTGACATCAGCAAAGCTCTCGTGAGCCTGTCCCTGGGCCAGTTGTTCGCAGTGCCATGATCACGTGGTGATTGCAAGGGTTGTGGCTCACGGGTCCAATCAGAGGAGACGTGAGACATTTGATTTATCTCGTTTGTCCTCCGTCCTCCGTACCCCTCGTACCCTATACGGGTTGCATTTCGTGGCCTTCCTTGCCTTGGAACGTTCTTTATTGGCGGCCCGCACTGCACATCTATCTAGTGTACGCAGTACGGTGTACGTACTGCAGTACGTACGTAGTACGGATCCATGATAAGCTCGCATTTGACGCCGTCCTTTCTAGGTACCTATTCATGCTTAGCTCCAGGTCAATGTCTCAGCCCTGGAAACTGACAAGGGTGCAGTAAGCTACGGTTCAGGACGCTGTGCGAACAAGCTCGAGTTCCGATGTTAAGGTTTTGAGCCGTCCTTACACCATTCTGAGGCTTTGAGGCTGTTCCTGCCGCTTGCAGTGAGCACGCTTGTTGAGAGTGTTGTCTGATCATACGGATATCTGTGGAGACATGTCACCTAGGTAAGGTTTGACTACCTTAGGTATGCTTGGCTTCTTGCCCTTTGGACGATATCACAATACTCTGCTCTTAGTCAGCGTCATTTCCCAAGACATACACCTCTTAGCTTATTAGCTTGTCTTTGCCTGTGTTATGGATTTTGAAGAGCTCTTGGGGCAGTAGATCTACCGACTTGGCCGGCAATCGCCACAACTCGACACGGAAGCCGAGGGAATCGGCTTACTTCCGGAAATCTCCCGTGGCTCTAGTGATGTGCAAGGTATAAAAATGAGAATTTGCTGAGCAAAGAAACTCTTCCTACGTTCATAAGGGATCGGAACTATTTTGATGCCCAAGTATTGGCTGCCACGCCGGTACGCTGGTCCCAGACTTTTGTTCATGTCCCTCAGACCCAAACCTACGAGTCCCAAAATTACACCGTACAGTATAGATATTATATTCACACCAACTGAGTAACTGAGTGAGTGGCTCAGGTCCATTGCCTTTTCCACAGCATCGCACCACCAACCACCAGCTACCTTCCGCCTCTTTCGCCGTCTTTTTTTTCCTTTCTCGCTTGCTGGCGCCGTTTCGGGGCTCCTTCCATATCTATTCAGTGGCAAAGTCCAACTTCAGTGGCAAAGTCCAACTCATGTTCGGGTTGAGTTGTCCAGTTTCGCCTCGACAGGCATGGCATGAAGGCCAGGGATGGACGTACACTCCGATGAATCCCTGAATGCTTATTAATAGGGGACTCTCCAAGATTTGAAAGGCCTTGATAAATACAGCTCGCCCTAAAGGTTTTACGATGAGGGAGGTAAAAGTTATTAGAATACCTATTTTAGAATATTAGAGGCTTTTCTCCTTCTTAGAAATACCTATTAAAGGCTTTCCCTAGCTGTTGTATTTACTATGGTCTTTGCTATTTAAAGTATCTAGGTACCACGCCAACAAGCATTCACGGATTGGGTTGTATTATGTAGACAGTGCTAGTCTGATAGATGTATAACAAATTAACGCCTTGCATTCCATTGCTGAGATGGATTTATTTCGGGCTGCGCTACTACGGACGGTGGAGGTCGTTGCTGGCACCGCAGTGTCGGAGCGGCGGGTATGTTGTGCCGGTGCCCTGCCTAGGCAAAAACAATCTTGAATCAGCCCGGGGCAGTCAAGATTCGACCGACGCAACGCGAGGGCAGCGACGGCGGTGGAGGGACGACGGCTGCACAGCGAGTGAGGCGAGGGCAGTGCCCTTTTGGTACCTATATTATAGTCGCATCATGTTTGAGAGGGAAGGAGCAATCTAACCCAAGCTCCCGTAGATATGAGGTGATAGCGAAAGAGCCACTGGCATCGATGTGATGGTCGCTTGAAGGGCGCTTTCTGTCGGGCAAACTGAATGTCCAGGATGATGATACCTACGAATATCTGTTTTGGTTTTGACAAGTCAAAATTGCGGTAAGTAAGGTATTTATGATTTGCGAGGCTGTCCTACTTCGGCATCCGTCGTAATCACGCGCAGCAGCAGCAGCATCAACATGCACACATGCAGCAGAGGCAACGGCTCTCTGAACCTTTCTAAATGCGGCTCTATGCCGCGGGAAGGCAAACCTAAGGTGCCTTAACTAGTAGGTACCTTACCTAGGTACCTTACTTCCTAGAACTTGTAGTAAAGGCGCTCACTCACTATCTCCACTTCCTCACCTAGAACTAGTAGGTTGGTGCCTAGGTACCTATTTTGTCGCATCACCGGTGACGGCCCCAATTTGCACCGTCTTACCTACCATTGGATGATGCACCAAAGGCGACCGACCAGCCTTCCTCAGTCCTTAGCAATCCGCGACCATTCTTTCCAGGACAGGCGGGCCGAAGAGGGCGCGCCTCAGCCAACCCAACTACCTAAGGTGGCTGCCGGTACCTACTATAGTTACGAGGAATGCGTTCGACATTTTTTGTCCAACGCTAGTACTTGAGGTAGCAGGCGAGGCTGCTGCTCCCGAGCCGTCTCGTAGCTCCGGTCCAACACACCACAGCCTTCTCGCGGTTCGCAGCATAGAGCCCAATTCGGTAAAGACCCATATCAGGGGCTTGTCGACACACATCTTCCAATGCAAGGAGGGACCAGGTCGTCGACTGATGATAATTACCCATCTTTCCCCTTCAGCCGTAACTGTTGTGCTGGGCCGGGTCAAGAGTTAGATGGCATGTTGATCCGGCAGTACGCGTAGGTAACTCGGTGGCTCAGTCGCAATGAGGGAAGAACGTGACAGTTGAGATTGACTACGGTACGGTATAGAAAGAGTATGATGCTGTGCCCTCCTTTGTTTCTCCTATTGTCTCGTTTCCCTCGTCCAGGTACAATTCGGTTTCTCGGCTCTGCACTGGCAGACAACTTGCCGTGCTCAACATGTCTCCGCTACCCGCCGTCCAACTCAAGACCCTTCTCGTTTTTGTGTTGTTGACGCTGACCTCAGCCGTTCTCGCAGGCTTACCCCTGGCCCAGAAGCCACTCTGCAAAGCCATCCCGGGAACCCCTGACTGGCCGTCGGCCGAGTCGTGGAACCGTCTCAATGAGTCAACTGGGGGACGACTGCTTCGGCCGCCTCCTCCTGGAGCTGTCTGCCATCCCGGACAGCCAACCTACGACGCCGCCAAATGCCCCACTGTCCTCGACGGCTGGTCAACATTCGATTTCTACCAGGCCGATCCCATCTCGACAGACTGGAACCAGTGGGACAACGACTCCTGCCTTCCTCAACAGGCTGATCCGTGCAGCGGTTAGGGATATCCTGTCTTCGTCATAAACGCTACTACCCCGGAATATATCAAGCTGGGCGTAAACTTTAGTAAGTACTTATGCTGCAGCGTTGTACGCTTACCGTCAAAACTCTCGGTCAGGTGCTAATGACCGTGCTAACAAGACGGGACTGCCTAGCCAACAGCGAGTGAACACAACATCAGACTGGTTGTCAAAAGTTCCGGCCATGACTACCTGGGTCGCTCAGTGGCACCCAATTCGCTGTCCATCTGGGTCCACCACCTGGAAGGCCTCGAGACACATAGTTCATTTCGTCCCAAGAGCTGCAACGTCAATATCGAAACCTCCGCCGTTACCACCGGCGCCGGCTCTCAGATGTTTGAGCTCTACAGCGCACTTGACGCTTCGAACCAGACAATAGTCGGCGGGAACGGGAGGATGGTTTCCCTGGGTGGCTAACTTACAGGCGGCGGACATAGCATGCCCGCTCCCCGATATGGCCTCGCTGCGGACCAGGTCCTTGAAATAGAGCTGGTTACTCCTACTAGGGACATCGTGACTGTAAACGAATGTCAGAATCAAGACCTGCTCTGGGCAATGCGAGGAGTAAGGCTGGCCTTTGTTTTCTCCCATCTCTTCCTTAATATTTCCTGCCTTTCATTCTTTGGGGACCTGTTTTTGCTAACCGTCTCATATTCGCACAGGGAGGAGGCTCAACCTTTGGTATACTTACATCCGTAACCATGAAGACGTTCCCAAGCCCTCAGATTGCCGCCACGTCACTCTACGTCACTACACCCGACACCACCAGTCCATATATCTTCGACGTCGTCGCCTATGTACTCGCGCAGTATCCGTCCTTGTCCGACCGCGGCGTGTCGGGGTACTCGTTCTTCTTCCAAGCCCTGCCAAACCTTTTTGACGGCGGCGCGACCACTGTCGGCGGCATTTACATGCAAATGAATCTCCAAGACAGCACAGTCGAGGCGATGGCGCAACTCCGAGAGCCAATCTTCTAGCACATCAACTCCACGTAGCCCGGCTTTCATGCTGGCTTCACATCTAAAAATTACGTGTCGTTCAATAGCTAGTTTCTAGACTACTTCGAGGTGGCCGAGGCCGGGGTGGATAGGCTCGTCGGCTCCAGGCTTCTCGGCGCAGATGTTCTAACTACCAACATCACCCTAAACGCCGAGGTGTTCAAGTGATTCGCGATTAGTGATGCTGGTACTGCTTATTTGGTGTCCGGGAAGGATGTCAAAAATGTCCAGCCTCGCGGCGACGGCAATGCCGTCCTACCAGCTTGGAGATGGAATACGTCCACGCAGGTACGTAGCTGCATCAGCCCCAAGGAGAGAGCAGCTTGCTCTGTTTTGAGGATGCTGGGGCTGGCGCCGGTGCGGAAACTTTATCTAACGTCTGCACGGCATGTGCATGCGTCGCAGTTCTAGGGCAAAAGTTTGAACCCCTAAACGCAACCGCCCGAGCTGAAGCATTCGAATTAGTCAACTATGCTCTCGATCCCAAGATCAAATGCATAGATCCTCACTTTTGGCCTAATTAACGTCCAGGCCGACCCTAAAGAGCCTGGCTAGCAGCGCTAGTTCTAGGGGAGTCACTACGGCCGCCTGTATGTAGTTTTTCTTTTCATATTCCACAGCCCTTTTCCCAACCCAAGCAGCTGCGCTTTTAACCAGCCACTAACACCCGACTCCCAACCAACACATCAGTGTCTACATCAAACGCGCCATCGACCCTGAAGACGTACTATGGTGCAATCAATCCATGTGTAGGCAACGAGAGATGGAAGGAGGTAGGGGACCAACTCTGCTAGGCGTGAGAAACGCTTCAGTAAGCCGCATGTACTGTAACCGATATCTGTGTCGTATACCTTGGTCTACCTTGGCCGAAACCTAGCTGTATCGCTCAAATACCTACCTAGGTAAAATAGACGCATCGGCCGAACGTGAAAAGGCTTCAACCCTTTCGCGAACGAAGCAACAGGGCTCAAGAGGACAAAGCCAAGGCCGAGTGCCGGCCTGCCTAGTCCCTCGAACTGACACGGGAATTATTGTAATGCGCATTCTTATAAGATACGAGGTGGTTTTCCACATGGTAATAGCCAAAAGGCCACAAATACAGACCTTTTCCTGTTCTCAGATGTGTCAATTGATAGACGATCTCAAACTTTGGAAGCAACATCCCCCGAAATAAGAGAAAGAGAAGAAAGGCAAAAACCGTCTTGAAGATTTAATTGACAACTTATTTACCAAGTGCCCTTTTTATACTCTTCAGTAGAAAACAAGACCCGAAGAAAGAAAGGAGACAGGTCAGAAAAATATGAGGAAAGAGGAAAGGGCAAGTTGTAGAGAAAGCAGAAACCGGGAACATGGAGAAAGAATCTCACAAATGTATCCCGAGAATATAAAAGGTCTAACTACATTCCTAATCATTCTCAATCATAACCTTCTATGCTACCCCTACTAGCGTGCTGCCCCCTGGCCCCCCTCTTACCTCTCTCGAGCTCCACCAATACACCCCTAATACACACTGCTATAGCGACCGCGGTACACACGTGGTGTTTCTTCTGCTCTCACAGGACCAATGCGTCTAGATATCTACAAGAAACCCCTGAGCTAGTCGATACTCTTGGGAGGCTAGCTCCCTGCCGTCATCGGAAACTCTTGGATAAGAATGAATACTATGTGTTTCAACCAACCAAACTGCATGCTTTCAAATAAATGCCCCTGTCTCGTCACTGCTAACGATCCTCTGTAAACCGCTAATTCGGTTGTAACCCCCTCTATACACGTCGCGCCCGTCATCGTCGTCTTCTGTAGAAGTGCTGCTGTTGTTTCTGTGATCACTGTGCTGTCTTGTAGAGACTGATCCAAACTGTCGCTGGACCGCCGCTGTCAGACCGGGACTGGAGGCCACCGAAGGAGTGGCGGAACGAGCCGTTTGAGCTGTTGCGACAAACTTCAAGGGGGGAGGGGCCACCCCCCTGAGGGGACTCTTCAAGGGAATAGGGGGCGCACCAGTTGGACTATCATTCTCCAAGAGCGGCCTACCTCCAGACGGGGGGGTGATTCTTTTGACTGAGCGTTGCAGTGGCGATAGCTTCACAACGTTTGGCTCTACAACTGCCAAAGGTGTTGTCGGCAGCGTCGGTTTATGCGTGGGGGGTTCAAATACGTCGAACTCTTCATCGTCATAATCATCAAATATCTGTGCAGGCTCTCGAACATGGCCACTGGTGAAGCTTTTCGGCATGGTTGGTAAGGCAAACTCTACCTCAGACCGACTCGAAGCCATGGGAGATTGTTCCATCTTGGCTACGTTGGCGGATAGCCAAGTTTTCCAGTCAATCGAGCTTACTGAGGAATCGGTGCGGTAACCAGCAGGTTGATATGTGAGCCGGATGCCCCCAGGAGTGTTTGCGTCTCGAGCTGTGGTCAGGGGTCCCAAATTCGGCCTCGTCTCTGCCGCGTCTTGCCCATCTGAAGAGTAGACACTCTCAGAATAGTCCATATTATTAGCAGGTTCAGAGTCAGTATTTTGATACTGGCCAGTCCCGCGGACCTGGGTGTCGCAATCCGAACTATGGGCATCTGAGGGATTCTGCCGTGGTTCTATGATCTGCTCTTCCTCCTCAATAGACTTCCGCAGAGCCCGACGGAATGGGCTCGTTGTTCTGAAGAGGTGCGAAGTGGGACTTCCAAAGAATGCCGAACTGCGATCCTGGAAAGACCTGAGCTCGTCGTATGGGGAGCCAAGAGCCGCAGAGGGAGTCTCGTCGTTGTTGTCTCCTGCGGTTTTGGCTGAACTTGCGGTACAATTCGAAGCAGATCTTGGACGAGCAGCCCTGAACGCGGCGCAGAGTCCTTTTACTTCTCTCTTAGCTGGTTCCAAACCAAAACGGCGCGCGCTCGGTGCCACGGGAGATCCTGTTCTGAATCGCCCAATTTGCCCGCCTCGGTGGTCAAGAAGTTTGTATGGTTTTGGACTACGTGTAGGGGTTATGGCTGGATCAGATGCATGGAAGTTTTGGTGGGAAGCAACGCATCTAATGGTCTTTGGAGTGTTGCTTGGAGGCTTGCCAAGAGATTCGCTAGACGCCGTAGCACGAAGACAATGTGAGCCATCAGCACGGGGGTGGGACTTCTGGTCCAGGGTATCTGAAAGTTGCTTGCTGATTGCATTTGATCGTTTTATAAGTGCGGAGTAGATACGCTGGCTGTCTATAGTTGGTCCTGACATAGGTTTGCCGTTGTTGTTGTCATGCTGTTGGAAAAGTTGCGTCCCAAGGGCTTTTCTCGGGAAAGAGGGTGACGGGGCATGCGTGCCATGTTCTGTGATAATAGAAAGGCGTTGTCTTTCCCACTCCCTCCACTGTTGCTGTTGCTGACTAGTCAATGTACTGGGCCCGGAATTCGTCCAGCTTGTCAGCGACTTGTCATCAGATACTTTCCGCTCTCGTTCACTCCTCAGGCTCTCTACACTTCCTCTATTGGAATGGAGGAGATTTGCGGGTACTGTCTGGAGTGATGGCATCTTTGCCGGAACCCTGTGGATAGAGCCCCAGTCTCCGACAATACAAGTCTCGTGCCCGGCATCTGAGGATAGCAACGACCCGCATCGCTCGGTAGCATAAGTTCTCTGGGCATCAATGTGCTGGTCCGGGAGCGACGGAGGCTGGTCTTCAGACTTGGAGAGACTGAAGAATGTTTTTAGTTTTGTCTTGAGAGATTTCGATACTTTTCTGGCCTTCGTCTTAAATCCTTCATCCTTGGTCGGGGGGTAGTGGGAGTAGCAGCGGGCGCTCCGGAGTCATCAACTGAGTTGCTACAGCGTAGAGACTTGGGAATCCCAGGCTCATTCCGTCGGCTTCTTGAACCGAAGAACCCAGGTAATCTGTTCACATGTTGTGGGGTTACTCGCCCTCCTGTTTGAAGCTCTTCCTCAGGGAGCAAAGGCGGACCGGCCAGGGGATGACCTGCACTGTGGCCATCTCGACTAGTGCTGGTCCTCGATCGAATGTTGCGGCTTCTGAGAAAACTCATTGACTTTGGGGCCCGTAGCAAAGGAGAGGGAGTTGAATTGTTTTCCACCTCCGAGTCAAACCGAAGTATTCTGCGAGTTTTTGATGTTGGTGATTGGCTGTCACTTGGGGGTTGCGCATCCAGAAATGAAAGGGAGCCGTCCTGGCTTCTCCTGGCACCATGGCCCTCGGAGGCGAACATCGACCTGGACCTACGAAGACGGCGGTACGAGGATGGAGCGGATGCTATATCATCTTCAGGCGTGTATTGCTGGTCCCCATTCAACAGGGAATCGAGATATTCAGCGGCAAAGCCAGACAGCGGGATGGGAGGCGGTTTTCTGTGCGGCTGACTTGGCTCGCCGAGTTGCCGTATTCCAAAGTCACCACCGTCGTCACCCAAGACATAGCTCCGCGAGCTGTTGGTATCGAAGTTTTCCTGCAGCCGGACACATTGAGGGTCCGGATCCCAAGAGCTGCGTTCAGAATAGACACCAGATCTCCGGCCAGTCCTTCGCTCGACAGAACACGGGCCCATAAAGCGGACGCTCTGTCTGCGGCGGAGGGTTTGGCTGCTCTCACGACCGTGGCACGGTGTACCGGCGTCATCTTCTCCCAGGCCATTTATGCTTGTCTGTGGGCGCCGGGGGGACGAGTCTGGCGTCGGGGGGAACAGCGACATGTCTGCCTTTTCGCGGCCTTGGGCTCGAGCATATGCCTGGCAGGCCGCAGCCTGGGCGTCCCGGTGCGCCACAACCGGGTCGATGTGCTCGAGATGCACGCTATGCACAGACGAGGTGGACTTGCGGTGTTTGATATCCGATTTGGACTTGGTGCTATGCCGGTGACGCAGCATTAGACCGATCGAAGGACTGACTCCGAAGCGCTCGCGAGAACCGTGATCTCAAGGAACCGATAGGGGGAAGGGGATTACATTAATCGTCGTAAATCTGCGTAGCTAACCGAAATGTCTGGCGGAATGAGATATTCAAACTGGCAACTCTTGGATGGCTGGAGGCCGTTGAGCTGCTCCAGAATCCAGACAACGGGACTTCAAGTTGACAGACGCAAGACGCCCGAGGGGGTTTGGGGGGCACCATCACGACTGCCATTACAACTATGTGAAGTGGGAAGTGGGAAGGAAGGTGCGTACCAGGTACCCGAGGTTTATATCACAGAGGGAAAGTGCGAGCGAGACACCGAAGGTGCACAGTACACCATAGGGGCCGGGCCGTAAACTCGAAAGCGAAAATAAGCTGTCTCTTGTGTATGGACCGAGTGAATGTGACTACCGATACGAAATGCGGACCATCCCAACCCTAGAATCTGTATCACATATCACGCATACAGTACAAGGAAACTCCGTAGGTTGCAAAATGCTTGCCCATACCGTATACAAAAAATAAAACGAAAAAGGCAAGGAAATGGGTAAGATACCTATGCCAGCCCCATTACCGTCGGGTAATTGAAACTGCACTTCGCTGACGGCGATATCTATACGCCAACGCTGACTCAAGCAGCCACCTCCTTGAAGAACGCCTCCAGTTCCTCATCAACCACGTCGTGGATCTTTTGCGAGATCTTCTCGGCCTTGGACGAGAACGAAGACGCACCCTTGACAACTTCACCAGAGATGACCTTGTAGTCGTGCTCAATAAGCTTCTCAAGCTCCGAAACCTTGGAGCTTAGGTTAGCCTTCTCCGACGAGGGCTTGGCAGTGTAGCCGCCTGCCTCGACGATGGCAGTGTAGTTGTCGCAACCACCGCCGTTCCAGGCAAGAAGGTTGGGGGTGTCCTTGGGGATGTCGGTAAGAGCATCGACAGTCGCAATCTTGAGGAGCGTAGACTTGAGCTTGGCGGGGGTGATAGGGGCAAGAGAGTACTCCGAGTCCGTGGCGGGCTGGAGCGACAGGTAGTAGGCGAGCAGACCACAGATGTGGGGAGACGCCATCGAGGTACCCGAGATGGTGTTGGTGGCGTACTTGCTGCCAATCCAGGTGGAGAGAATGCTCAGGCCGGGGGCGAAGATGTCAGTGCACTTGCCGTAGTTGGAGAAGTAGGCACGGCTGTCGTCCAGAGCAGAAGCGCCAACAGTGACGGCCTTCTCGGCGGCAGCGGGGGAGTAGTTGCAGGCATCGGCATTGTCATTTCCAGCAGCAACGGCGAAGTGGATGCCGGCGTCGACGGCAGCATTCACAACCTCATCGAGAGCCCGGGTCTTGCCACCACCAAGTGACATATTGGCGACGGAGCCCTTGAAGCCCTTGCGCTTGCCAGCCTTGGCAGCCTTAACGTTGCTCGCGTGCTCGGTAGCCGCCCATTCAACACCAGCGACGACATCAGCCATGGTACCAGATCCGTTGGAACGGAGAACCTTAACGGCGTAGACGTTGGCCTTCTTCGCAACTCCGTACTTCTTGCCGGCAATGGTGCCAGAGCAATGGGTTCCGTGCCCATTACCATCAACATCGGCGTCACCCTGGGGGATGGTCTTGCCCCACTTGGCACGACCCTCGAAGTCGACGTGCTCAGTGTTGGTACCAGTGTCAATAACGTAGGCATCAACGCCCTCGCCACCGTCGGCAGCATAGAGGTAGCTTGTGAAGGTACCCCAGCTCAGGCGATCACGGTGGGAGACACGAGCTAGGCCCCAGGGTGCCGACTTCTCGGTCTCGCCCTCGCAGCTCTCCTCCTTCTGAACACGCATGGTATGGACGATGGTGTCCCGCTCAATGTATTCAACCTGAGCGGAATGTATCAGCATCTTGTTAAGGGCGCCAGGGTGTTCCTGCTAAAGGATGCAGTCAGATGCTTACATCGGGGTGATTCCGGACTTGCTCGATGGTTTCCTCATCGAAATGCCCCGAGTAACCCATGAAGCCCTGGCCAATCTTGTAGGTGTGCTTGAGGCCACGGAAGACATCATCGACCAGGGAGCTCTGGCCCCGCTTTCGCAGGTCCATGCGCTCATTCTCACGCGATGCGTGAATCTGCTGAATCCAGCTCTGGTGGTTTGAGGCGGAGGACTCGGTTACGTGCTTCTTGAACTTGACGATGTACGAGTTGGGAATAACCTCGGCGTTGGAGGCAGAAAGAATGGGCGCTGCATCGCCATGAATGGACTCATGGCTGAAAGATGGGGCCGCCGCAGCGCACGCTGCCAGCGAGAGGGCGATAAGGCCTCTCATTCTGAAACGAAGGGAAGGAGCGAAGTCGATTAGCCTGCGACTTCGGTAAAATGGGCAAGTAAAAAAGAGACTCGAAGAATTGAAGACCAGCTACGATGCCTTCTTCGATGACTTGGGTACGCTGCGATGCGAGACTGATGGGGGCTGGGAGGATGGGGATGGTGGGAGAGGAAGAAGGTTGGCGAGCTCGGTAACGGGGCAGCTGCGTCCTGATAAAGAGGCGGACGGATGCGTAAGACAAACGCCATGCGGTTGCCTCAGGGAACCTTTCTAGCCTAGTGGGCAGGGTGTAGGCCAAAGGCCTAGTGGCCGGCTGCTAACTAGATACGGTCTAGTGAAAGGCGGAGCAGCCAATAGTATGACTCTCCTGCTCGGCTCCACTGAGGCAACTGAAGCCGACCGGCCACTCAGCCCTCCACCGATAAGGAGTGGATAGTTATGCTTTACATATCAGTGGCACTAGTTGTCGAAGCCTGAATCGACTCTCAAAGTGTATTGGTATTACATCTTACATACTGTAACTATAATCTGCGGCATTCGTGGATGACTGGAGGCGCCAGATGCCCGTTATCGCAGGCGGCAACCGACGGCACAGGCGGACGTTGGGGATGGCGTTGGGGAGTGACCAAACGGGAGGGAGGGGCAACCAGGGCAGATGGAAGGCTGCCCGTAGGCTGGAACGAGATCGTCAGCGCCGGCAACCAGCCGCCGCCTGCCTTAGTGTCGAATTACCCTTGAATCGAACCCTACCTCCAGGCTGATTCGTCGAAGCTCAACAGCTCAGAGCTCTAGGATCCTGCACAGTTTGCTTGCTTGCCTGCTTGCAAGGCAGAGCTGCCTGCCTGCTGGCACGAGGCTTCAGTTGCAGATGGCTTTTGGCTGTCGACGGCCAACGAGCCTCGCCAGTGCACAGCTGCAAAGCGCCCACGACATGGAAGTGGATAGCCTCAGTTCCGTAGGTAATGCCCCTGTCCGCACGTCACGCATCATGCTCTCTGACTCGCCAAGTCCGGCGGGGAAGAGCTCCACCCCAGATGTGGCAGGTGGTCATGAACACTACCCGCGTGCCACCGCCTCGGAGCTTCTGAGTCAACTGCTTGCAATGCTCCATACTTTGCCCACTTTGCCTTGGTGAAGCGCTTGGGTTTGCTATATACAAAGCTACTGTAATAAAGACCTGGTCTGCTGCCACTCGCGTAACGAAACAGAAAGATAAGATAATTTCTATGATTGACTTTGAGAAGCGTAACGCGGAAAGGCGAATAAGTTCTAAATGAAGAGCACGAACCTAACCTTGCAGATTACATTATCCCGTGTTCAGCTGATGCTAACAGCGACCTTGCAGCGACTTTGCCGCGACTTTGCTCAACGGATGGTTTGGTTTGAACGAGAATGGATCATAATAGTACAATAATGCACAGTATCCAATATGACACAGAGGACATGGAGCACCAAATAAGGCACGGAATACGGATAGAATTGCACAATCCCGGAAACGTATCCAGCCACTAGCCTACGTACTGGGAAGGTAAATCAGTGGAAAATGAGATACATTCTTGCCCGTCCGTATCACCTGCTCGGAGTCCCTTCTTCGGAGACCAACGAAGTGGGGGTTACTTATCGGCTGTTTCACCTGCAAACAACTTGCAGCATGACCGCTGTTATCGCAAAATGCTCTTCTAATGCAACGCCATATCTGGTTGCTTGGTTCGAGGGTGCTGTGGAAGCGGAAACGTATTCGGGATTACCTTGCTGAGTTCATTCATGTTATTCTCAGCGTTATTGGCTCGGGTACCTTGAGCCGGAACTATCAACATCCTAGCCTCGAAACCTTCAAGGGGTAAAGTGTTTACAATTGACTTTACGAGCGGACTTGTCCCTCAGGAGTGACTTTGGTGCAGCGGTCGCCTCCAATCCAGATATACAAACCTAATTCCCCAAACTTGCAAATTCTGAGATAAGTTAACGCCAGTTGGGTCACCGGACGAACTTCGAGGGCCTAGGTTGAGAACAAAATCGTGTTAACGGAGATGGGAAAGAGCCTATCAGGCGTAAACCGAATCAACAATCGGACTTCAGACGATCGGTCATAGCGGAGCTGGAGATGAAGTTCAGATGGTAGCTATCAAGGGCCGCAAGGATTACTGCAACGATTTACACTGTAAGGTCTGGGTACTGGGTGAACGGGACGGCACGCAGTCTACGGCAAAGCGCCCTCCGCAGACGTGTGCCGCAAAATGTTAGATAGGTTCGTGAGAAAAATAAGTGTAGTTTCTGCAAGATAGCCTCACAGCCCTGTGATGGCGCTCGCTCATCAATGTGCCGCTCATTTTACCCATGCTGCCCCCATGTACAATCCAATCCCTAGAAGCTTGCCCTACGAGGTAGAGGGGGTCAAAAACCGGGGGTACTTGGGATCCAAAAACGGGTCCCTCTTTCCCTCTGTTAGTGACCCACGGACCTGTGTAAATTGACCGTTATAAAACGGTGACTTCCGTTTTCGAACAGGCTGCCTCCTACCCTATGCCCCGCTGAAAGAGACCTCGCGATAAGCCAAATTAATAGCTAGCCGGCTCGGTCAGAATACGGGCCCCAGCGTACATGCCTTTATGGCGTACCGCTATGTTCTCGCTTCGAGCGAAATTCCAGCGTTGTCTAATCGTTGCGCGAGCAATTAAAGGCAGTCGAATACAAATCACTCGCGGCGACTTGGCTAGCGCTAGAGTATTAGGTCAATACCAGTGGCTTGCCGCTATTAATATGGTTCTTACGTACGGATCCGTAGTAATGAGTGCATTGGGAAGCTAAAACTAGAAGGAGGAAATCTCCCTACAAAATGTGTGGGCGAGAACTCCTCGGCATGTGTAAGGCACCCCCGCCACAGAAGCTCTCGCCAGACATCCGCCGCCAGGGTTAGGGTTGGCCCCACATTGGGGGATTCACCTGGTATTCGTAGCTTCGGGCCTTCGGCCACTGAACTTGGAGAAAACAAGCTATTCCATCGACAAATTTTCACCCCCGAGCCCCAAGCGACCGAGCCCAGCAAATACAATGTCCGACAAAGACAAGATTGCACAGCTCCTTCGCGAGCTGGAGGAAGTCAAGGCACGAGAGGAGGAAGCCAAGGCACGAGAGGAGGAAGCCAAGGTACGAGAGGCGCGAGAGCGACAAGAGAAGGAGCGGCTTCACCTGGAGAACCGACGGACCACGCTCAACGAATACCTGGGGAACTGCCACAGTCTTCTCTACGACAGCCTACGACTTGCCGACGCATCCATATCTTCAACAGGCTTCACAAATGTCTTGGGCAAGTACTACCCTAAGCAACTTCGTCCTTGGACCGAGTTCGAAACCGTCCTCCTGCCACAACACTTCGGTTTTATGAGCAGGATCTGTGGCGAGAAGCGACGCTTCCACCAAAAGAGCACAACCATGGATCTGGGGGCGGTAATTGCCCGGAGGGCAGCTGGTAACGAAAATGAGATCGAATACTTCGAGAAGCTTGCTGTCGAGGAGCCCGTGGCGGAGATCGTCGGTGTCCTCGCGACCGACGAGGAAGCTCGCGTCGCGTACGACTTTACGGGGTTTCGGTTTAGCGGGAACCTCCGCGAGCTCACACAAACGAGTAATTGGAGTGGGATGATAGAGGGTGAGACCAGCGAGGGTGGTTCGGAACAACGACGGCAAGCTGGGCCGAACAAGCGTCTCGCGCTCGAGCAGAAGCATAAACACCCAACGATACAACCGGACGGAATCGGCTTACGAACACGAACCGACGGCGGCCAGACCCAGGCCTTTGTATACGACTATAAGGCAGCCCACAAAGTCGCTACCGAGCACCTTCGGTCAGCCGTGGCAAAGGAGCACCTGTTCCGCGAGGTCGTCACCCGGGTCAACGGTGTCAAGCTCAGCCGCGATACTAAAGTACAACACCGGGAGGAGGCCGAGGCATTCATCGCCATGGCACTGACCCAAGTCTTCGACTATATGATTACCTACGGGATATCATATGGCTATATCGCTGCGGGACGGTCGTTACTACTGCTCTATGTCGATAGGAACGACCCGCAAACGCTGTACTGCCATCCGTGCCTGCCGGCCGACGATGTGGGCGAGCTGACCGGCGACTGGACCGACCGCCTGTCCCGTACCGCAGTAGCTCAGCTAGCCAGCTTTTGCCTACTGAGTTTTCAGTCCGAAGCTCTTAGGGGACCATCACTCCTAACAACATTATCTATGGCGGAGACAACACTACAAAAATGGCCGGAGCCATATGAGGATGCGGCCTATCCCGGGCTCAAGCCCGTCGAGTCATCGTCCACGCAGTCATCGTCCGCGCCGTCATCGCAGGCCTCGGACGGCTCGGAGTTTGAGTCTGACGCGGAACCGACCGGTCGCAAGGTGGGCTTGCGGCCTCGGTCGTCTTGTAAGCCAGCAAGTATGCTCCCCCAAGGCGATGAGGATGACGAGGATGACGAAGAGGACTATCCGGAATACGACCCATCTCAATCCCTACCGGCCAATAAGCGGAAGGACGGTCCGTCGAGTGGTAGCGAGGACGAGGATATCGCCATAGTCGACTCGGCACCCACCAGGCAATACTGCACACAAGCGTGCCTGTTAGGTCTTAAGAGACGGAAAGACTTGGACGAGAATTGCCCCAATATCTTATTACATCGCTCCGACGGCTCCTCTCGGCATCCCGTCAATGCTGACCAGTTTACCGATCTGGTGAAGCAGCAGCTCCTCCGGGATCCCTACTGGAAATGCCAGATAGTGGACTTCTGGAGCAAGAGAGGAGCGATAGGCTGGCTTTTCAAGCTGGAGCTTATTCCATACGGCTACACATTTGTCGGCAAAGGGACGCTGGGATGCCATCTCGGTCGTCTGAAGCACGAAGGCCAAGTCTACGCACGACTTGACGATCTCCAGGGCGAGTTAGTACCAGTACATTTGGGCCTCGTGCGCCTCGATCCTGGCTATATCCTACCGGGGTTCAAGTTCGTCGTTCACATGATGCTTATGTCGTGGGCGGGCGAGACACCAGACGCCAGCGTAGAAGACGTAAAGACGCTGAGGGACAAGTCGTTGACGGCCATCTTGAGGAAGGGTGTTGATCCTATGGATCACTACAGCGGCAATTTTCTCTGGAACGCAGAGCGCCGTTGCATTATGATTATCGACTTCGACCGAGCCCTCCTCTTCCCACTCCCCAAGCACCAGGCGGTTTCCAGGCTATCCGGGCCGCCCAAGAGGAAGCGTGGCCGTATCGAGGCCGACGCTCGGAACCGTAGGGCCCTTACTTCCCTATAAAGGGATCCCTCCAGGCACCCAATTTACACTTAACGGGAATTCTCAGATTGTCGGGCGCAAGGCCCGTCTTCTTGCGGATCGGCAGGAGTCCGAGGCCGGTCATTAGGTGAATGATGATTTGATAGGGAACGATATCTCTAGCTGGCCGCTGGCCTTGGCATTGTGGTTATTTTGTACATATGGAATATGGGGCAAAAAGTCTTCGTCACTCGCCAGGGTGCCGGGGTCCTCTGAATCCGTACGAGAGGCCGAGGGGAAGTCGTTTGCACTATATTTTGTTAGCGTTCTACATTCCCTTCGACCCCTCATTAGGGTTGCACCAAACTTGTATCTTAGAATCCACCCATCCATACGGATCCGTACCACAATTGAAGCTGAATTCGAAGTAATGATATATACACGCGTTACGAAATGTTTGCGATAGCGAGAGCTGCTAACAAATAGGGAGGCCCAGCTCCCCTTAAATAGACTACGCCGCCGCCGGAACGGCGAAGCTGGCGAAACGGTCATATTAACAGTGTGCCGCAAATTCAACGGTGTTTTCGTCTCCCCGCCTGACAAACCTATCCCTGAATGTTTGTTGGCGTGGTACTCGGGCAGAATAAATATTATAGCCCAGCAAACCGATTAGGAAAATCCTTAGGTGTTTTAGAGAAGAGATTCCAATAGCTTTTACCCCCGTCGGCGGAAAACCGAGAGGGCGAGCCGTAAGGAATTGAGGCCTTTCAAATCGTGGAAAGTCCTCCGCTAACAAACATTCAGGGATAGGTTTGTCAGGCGGGGAGACGACAACACCGTTGAATTTGCGGCACACTGTTAATATGACCGTTTCGCCAGCTTCGCCGTTCCGGCGGCGGCGCAGTCTATTTAAGGCTCCCTGTCTGTTGGCAGCTCTCGCTGTCGTATACATTTCGTAACGCGTGTATTTCGTATTCGAGAACACGGTGCTGCACGATCCGGGAAAGGCGCCAAACTCCGCTGTCGAGTACCACTTTGCCAACCTCGCAACGGTCAACGTCAGGCCGAGCCGCTGACTCCCTCGTGGCCTTGACCTGGAAGGTGAAGCGCCTGAGAACTTGGAGATCCCGCCAAAGAATGCAGATGCAGATGCAAGCACGATTGCACGCAGAGAAACAAACAACCCATGTGCAAACCACGACGGGCAGCAAGCAAGAACCTCATGCTAGATCTGGAAAATAGAGAGAGAAGTCCCCCGCGGTTGCAGCAATTCCACGAGGAGTGTCTGTGTCGCTGTCTGGGCTGCCATTTTTGGCTAGTGTGGCCCCGCCATTTTCATGAGCACGTACCCCTCCAGTGGCTTCCTCCACGCATCCCAACTTCAAACTTCAACGCTTCGCCATGGCGACATCTCCGTCGCCATGGCGACATCTCCGTCGCCGTCGGCTTCATCGGGAGTTCCGTCGGCTTCTTCGGCAGTTCCGTCGGCGTCGACAATACTTACTTCAGTTAAGTCGACGAAAGATAGCGATCCCCCGACCGTGCGATTTACCAGTACGCAAGACCTCTTCGATATCATTAATTCCACTACTGGGGATTTCCTTGCCATCACAAGTATGATATTACCCTCTTATTTCTATATAATATACTAATTATTTAGACGTCTCTCCTAATCAATTCACCGAAATCGAGCGTGAGCGAGACATTGGGCGAAGGACTGGGCAGAAGAAACGATACCGAAAGTTCCGTTTACGCCGCTATAATGCCAATTCCCAGATCTTGATCATCACAATCCCAACCGATCTACACGAGGCCCTTCACCTAGGACTTTATATGGGGTATCGTGACCAGCTTGTCCTGAATGGCACGAAGCAAAGTTGGAAAGATATTGGGTCAGCTACATTTCGAGCAGAACAAGGTCATCCTGGAGGAGATGGCGGAGAAGGCGATTCGACAGGCGGTCCACGGCCGGAACGTGTAGGAGCAGGTAATTGGCCAACACTGGTCATTGAGTCTGGACATTCCGAAACATTACCCGAGCTTCATAAGGATATGCGGTGGTGGTTTCAGGCATCAAACCACGAGGTCAAGATTGTCATTCTGGCGAAATTTGACGACCAGAAACACCACATTTTGCTAGAGAAATGGGAGGAAGAAATCTCGAGTCCACAAGGAGCGATCACGCGGAGTCGGGCTGCTGCTATAGTGCAGCAGAATGGTGTTCTCGACCCAGTGAAACGGCAGTCAATCACCATTACCCGCGATGAGACAACAAATCCAGTATCGTACAATGTTACTAGGGGGGCATTAGTACTAGGATTTCGACTTCTTTTTCTTCGCGATCCAGGCCCGCAAGAGGGAGATTTTGTACTTAGCATTCAGGACCTGCAGCAGTATGCAGAGAATGTCTGGGCTGAGCTGCCGAGATCAGACTAACCAATCAGAAATCAATATTAATGACCCAGCATATGAAGAGACTTGTGCACTTGGTGTCGAAGCCGCCGAAAATGGCGACACGCGCCAGCCAAATTCGGCGGCCAGAACACCGTATTCTCTGTTTCTGGAGTATGTTTGTTGTGAATAGGACCTGAGCGGACTCGCCGCGAAGGACTCGACTGTATCTATCTAGTGGCACTAGACGAAGGGAAGGGGGAGAGGGAGTGAGGGTCTTGATTGGAAGAAGCTTAGCGCCGTGAAAAAGATTGGTTGAGGGGAAACATGCGCCTTTGACAACAAAAAGTTTTGGTAGGAAACTACCGAACCAGAATACCATCCTGCGCTCATCAACATCGTTGATTTCATCCTTCACCATCACCCAACTCCGCAAGCCACGAGCGTTTGTATCACAGTACTATCCTCGATCAATTCCTTGTTCATTTTCATCTCGATGGCTCCTCGCACGCGTGCAAAGCACAGACGCAATAGCACAACCACCTTTCATCCTTCCGGTGAGGCCCCCTCCAACGATGTGCGTCTGTCATCCAACAGCGACAACCTCAAGGGAAACCACGAGTCCAAGGGTATGAGCCACGCGGCCGATGAGCCACAAAGCGAGGAAATGGAGACGCCAGCACCACACTTGTACGCCTCGGTATTGGGCGAGGAGATGCTAGTACCACAAACCTACGATCCTAACACATACGATCCCAACGGCCGGATGCCATGGACGCCTAAGCCGGAGCCATATAGTCCCGAGACCTATGCGGCTTGGGACCGAAAGCATTTTGGCGAGGAGTGGTACAACTTGCGAAAGACCATGCTCGAGGAAAGGAATATCTATCTTGAGCATGATCCAGTCTACAAGGAGCGCCAGAGAACCCTACGGATAATGGAACACAAGGTCGAAATGCGGCCGCTCAAGCCACAATCCGTGTTTAATGAGGGCTGGAAGCGATTGTGGGCTTGACTGTCGAAGGGGTTAGGCATCCCCAGCAATCCCGCATCTCCGACGCCGTCAAAGGACAATGACGACAGCGATACCGACCTCAGCGGATACAACACGTACCCTCTAACCCCCGAGTCTCGCGAACCGACACCTATCCCGGAAGACCCATAGGAACGGCTGGAGTACAACCGAAGACGATTCAACTAGGACGAGGAACTGTATCAGTTCGAGAAGATCTTCCGCAGGGAGGCCCTCATCGACGGGGCGAGGTCGCAAAGTGAAAACGAGCTAGGCGACAGGCAAGCCCGCAAGAAGCGGGAAGCAATGGAAAGCTTTCGCTACGTCGATCCTGCTCGGTTCTCCCTTGAACAGCGCCACTTTCAAGATCACATCGACCTCCCCAAGAAAGGCTGGACGCGTGAGGAGATTGTTGCCAAGTATGAAGTTGATGTGGCCCTGCATGAATGGCAAAGGAACAACCCTCCACCCAGAGGATCTAGTGATTTCGGTGAGGCAGTCACCCCGGAAGAGGAAGCCGCATCGGCTAGCTGGCGCCAGGAGTTCGATAACGCCTGGGTTTGCTTCTACGGATCGCACACCCCCAAATTACCAGAGCATACTAAGGGTTACGGTGTAATGGAACTCTGGCGCAAAGGTACCCACACTCGTGTCTCCCGCCAGCAACAGCGAGAGGCCCTGCTGTCTGACGCCACGGGCGATGCTTCATCACGCATAGAGGCGTTGCAGAAGATTAAGGATGAAGAACGAAGAGACCGTGAGGTCCTAGAAAGGGCCGTGAAAATGGCAGGAGAATTGACAAAAAAGGCAGAAAAAACGCGCCGCCTGGCACCACCTCAAACTCAGAAGGAAATGAATGACAGGTTCCGTGTGTGTGGGATGAACTCGACGTACCTCTCGAGAGCCAGAACAACCTAGCTCGCAAATATAATTTCGGCGATAGACCTGCTGGGCGTGAAGCAGTGCCGCAGCCGCCAGCAACAGCACCTCGACCAGCGAAAGACGCTCTTACAAAACTCGCAGCGGTCGAATCACCAAGCAGGCACCAACGCACACGAAAGCCTCGCCATCAGATCGAAGGCGTCGCCCTCCCGAACGTGACATGCCCGAGAAGCTCAGAGACAATACACGGACGCCACCCCAGCACCAAAGGAGGCAATGCAAGACCTACAAGAAGGAGCGCTCAAGTCGAAGGCAAGCGGGGGAAGCACCTGGGTATGGGATGCTAGGAGGAGAAACACGAACCTCCTTACGACAGCTCTTGAACACACGCCGAACAAGTAGCTCAGGCCCTAGCAGCGGCAGGCTGTCTAAGAAGCCAACGGCGGCTGGTAACGTGAAGCTCCAAGGGATTGTGAAGTCCAGGCAAACGGGGACGGGCTATCCAAAGAGGCCGGCGAAGGGATCGAAGGGCTGAGCACAATAAACACTAGATCGGCAGAGCCGGTTATGGGGAGTGGGATGGCGTGTTCAGCTATAGCGGTTCATCCGGCTTACCCTCCGGAACCCTCTCGCCCCAGCTGACGGGCATCTCTACGATATTTGCCGAGTCGTTATGTCAGCCAATTTCTTCTACCAAGAGCTTCGGAAGCTATGGCCGTTGTGTCGTCGCAATCGCCCTACCATGGGCCAAGGAACGGCAGGACAAGGGGTATTGTACTGCGGTGACTTTTTGCAGGGAATTTTACAAGGGTATAATTTAGGGGGGTGGAAGTTAATTTTCTAGCAGGTTCTTACTATGAAGGGCAGCGGTGAGCGAGGAGGTTACCGCAACAGCTTTAACTTCCTGCTGACCTAGTGGGTTATGGGATAGGAGCTTCCATATTTCCACCACACTCCCTGGACAGGCGGCTGGCACTTGTAGCAAGGCCCGTCGATGCCTCTCAGGGAACCGACGGCACTATCTAGAATAGTATAGTGCCGGAGACGCGGCTGGCCGTTGCGGGGCTCATTTTTGTAGCTAGGTGATCTGCCATTGATCATCTCAAGGCACCGCGAGTCTTAGATGCAAGAACCACCGACCCATGCTCTAGCGCTGGCCAAGTCGCTGCGAGTGGTTTGTATTCGACCGCCTTTAATAGCTGGGTTTGGTAATAGTAAGTAACTAATGGGATCTAAGTGAACTACCTTCCTCTCTTAGCATGGAAGAAAGGCAGGATCGATCGGGATCAGTCTCGCTTTGGGATCGGTATCCTTCGGAATCATGACGGCCGCCGGTTCCCGGCAAACGGCTGCCATTGCTTAACTCCCCACGCTCCTTTCCTCAAGTGGTTATTATATCGCACAGACAAAGCCGCCCGACTCCGGATTTTCTCTCGAAAGTCCTGCGCAAATCGCTTACAAATCGCATTCCACCTAAGCCCCTGGTTCCTCAAATCGATGAGAAGGGCGTCCTCTTCACGAGTCCAGGGACTATTTTTTGTCTTTGAATGTCGACTTTTGACCGGCGAATCGGATAATGTTGGTCTCGTGGAAAGGCGCATTTTGGCTGGTGAATTGGATTGTCGGCTTCCAGCTACGCAATCTTCGCAGTCGCAATCGGCGTAAGGCGTCCAAGAGAACCGTAGCTGGAAAGTTGCTACGCCGTTCATTATCACGCGTTTGAGAACGCGTCCTCAAGCGGCCACTGCTGGAACGTCGCCGCGGAGCGCTTCGTCTCTGAGATAGGTATTTGTGGTCCAGAGGCGCCGCCATTTGCGTGCCTTTATGAACCGCCAACGTTATCGCCGACGGCATCAAAAACTAAGAGAAGAAAGAATTCAGCGAGAGCGGGTTCTTAATAAAGACATCTGGAACGGATCGGCTTCGCGAGGCTGCCAGCACTCGGACAGACCATCCCAGCCCGCCCTGTTTCGGACGTCCAGGGTGACCTCTTGGAAACAATCAGCTGGTTATTGACGCTCTGAGTAGATAGGAGACGCCAACGTCCCCTCCAATTATAGGGATCACTGAGGTCGTGACCTGTCTCTCTTTGGCCGCATGTGTATCTCTCGCTTGAACTTCCGGAAATCCTCGCGTGAGAAGCGTGATGGCGATAGGGATGGCCGTGGTTGTGCAAGAAACCGTACGATCTCCTCCATATTTTCAGGCTCTGGGGGGATTCCACCGTCGGGGTACTCGTATTCATCGGAATAGATACCAAAATCGACGAGATGTTGTTGAAAAGTACGATCGTATGGCCCGGTGCTCTTGGTAGTCTTTATGCCTGGCGTCTTTGTGTCTGAGGCAGTCTTCGATATGGATGCCGAACCCCGCTTCCGGCGGCCGAGACTGGACGACTTGAGCTCATCTCGTCTCCGAATGCTGGTTTATCACACTGTAAAGGTTAGTTTATTATTAAAAAAGCTGCCTTGTCTCGGCGACTTCAGGCATGCGCTTGGTAGCACCGCTGGGTATCGGCTGAGAGATACCGCAATGATTCACGGCGTTTGCATTCACACAATCAGAGTCCGTGTACGAAGGCCTCGAATACTTCACGCTGTAGCCTTTCCTCCGGCATCCCCTCACTTCAGGTTCACAAAGCTTAGCGCATCCGACATCCGAGAGCACTAGCACCGGTATTGATTGATGCTCGCCGCCGCTGCAGGAGACAATCCCATGGCAAGCGGGGATAACGACTCCCCGTTTCTCGCGTAACTTTGCATACGTATGTGTTTCCTTCTCGAATTCGTTATCCTGGCCTTCCTTCTGTTTCTTGAGGATAACGTTCGCGGGAAGGAACCACTCGAGAAATTGCGTCTTCGCCCATGTTTGTATTATTCGGGAGAGGAGGTCGAGAAGGACACCGATAAGCCTCGCGGTTAGGCTGGGCTCAAGACGTAGCCGGAAGACGTGAGTATGGATGTGGTCGATGGGGGACCCGCTCGCGAATACGAGGCGCGTGCCGAGCCAGAAGCGTATATCGGAGAGCCCGAGCGAGCTGGAGGCAATAGGCATGACGAGGCCTTCGCTTAAGGAGCCGTCGGAAAAGATGTCGTCGGAAAATGAGCCGAAAACAGCGCAAAGCTATGGTTGAACCGAGGTTGAAGAGCTAGGCGGAGGGGTGCTAATAGCCGGGAGGTTGGAGGTTGTGCGGGGTTGGGAGTTGGTTCGTAGCAGGTCGAAAATATCTTGGACTGAAAAGGACTATATCGCTATGGTCTCGACCTAGAGGGTTGTTTTGATGAGGCACGTGGGGTGCGACGCCAAATGGCAGCGGAATATGGGCGCTGAGACGTCATACACCTGCTTGCGGTATGTACTGTCCAGCGTGGAAAAAGTTGTTGTTGCAGTAAGAAATCGATTCCACGGTACGTAGGCTCAAGGATGAGGATATACCGCTTCTTTTCATTCGTTTACCAATTGAACTAGCAGGTTCAGGGATTGAAAGTCGCCAAAATGTACCTCAGTAGAAGAGCGCTATGGGTAGGTGAATGGGGCAGAATCCCGGTGTCCAAACGTGGTAGCTGGAGCTTGCTTCGTTACTACCCTCTTCGTTACTACAGGCACAGAGGGGCTCCCGCAAACAACCCCGCTCGAGTAGGAGCCTGGGCAGATGGGGATTTGCAGTCCGCCGACTGCCCACCTTTGCATCCCCACCTTGGCTGCCCACCTTGGCTGCCAAGCCTGCCCGCCCACCTTGCCTTCCAAGCCAGTTTGCCCACCTAGACAAGGTGGGTAGACAAGGTGGATAAATAAGGTGGCAGACAAGGTGGGCAGACAAGGTGGACAAGCAGGGTAGGCCAGCTAGCCTTCGCTTTGTCAGCCAACTGTACCCACTACACAAAAATTGGAAGCAAGTAAGCAGTAACAAGCCGCAACAGGGGGGCCTTAACCCGCATATCCGATTTTTGGAGGTAGCTGGCCCTATCCACCGCGAGTCTTAGATGCTACGCAAGAACCACATCAACAGCGGCAAGCCACTGGCATTGACCTAATACTCTAGCGCTGGCCAAGTTGCCGCGAGTGATTTATATTCGACTGCCCTTACTGCCCTTTAATTACTCGCGCGACGATTAGACGACGCTTGAATTTCGCTCGAAGCGAGAACATAGACGGTGCACCACAAAGAGCATGCACGCTGGGGCCCGTATTCCGGCCGAGCCGGCTAGCTATCAATTTGGCTTATCGCGAGGTCTCTTTCAGCGGGGCATAGGGTGGGAGGCAGCCTGTTCGAAAACGGAAGTCACCGTTCTATAACGGTCAATTTTACAGAGGTCTGTGGACCACTAACAGAGGGAAAGAGGGACCCGTTTTTGGATCCCAAGTACCCCGGTTTTTGACCCCCTCTACCTCGTAGGGCAAGCTTCTAGGGATATGTTTGACCAAAGTGGTGCTATTATTTGTGTGTGGGGAAGGTTGGAAGTGTCACGAATCCCTGTGGAAATGCACGATAGTGGGGTACGCCCTGTTCAGTCTGGACCAATCAGAGGTGTCCCAGAGTCCCGAGTGCTAAGGCCCGGGGACACGGGACTGACCCGAAGGACCGGCGTCCCGGACGCGGGACCACGGGACAGCGGGACCAATGCCATTGGTCCGCACTTTAGATATATACGACGACCGTAGCCACGGTTCTAGATAGCTCTTGCTTGATCTCTCAAGCAAGCAATTACATTCATTGTGTGCATACACTTTGCAATGTTTGCATAGCATTCCAGATTGGCTGTGATATTACAAACCACTCGACTGTTAGGGTCGTCTGTCTGTAAGGGAACACGGGCTCCACAGGATGCTAGGGTTGGTAATTATGAAGATAGAACAAAGGGCAAGCTCCTATCGCACGGGTAATACAGTCAAATTGGAATGCCACTCAAAGTGTATGAGTGCAGTGAATGTGTATTGCTTGCTTGAAGAACCAAGCAAGAACTATCTAAGACCGTGGTCACGGTCGTCGTATATATCTATCTACGTAACCAATAACAGTGGTTCCGTTGTCCCGTGGTCCCGCGTCCGGGTCTCCGCCCGACCGGAACTGTCCCGCGTCCCCGAGTGTAAGGAAAGGACAACCCAAACACCAGCCGCGCGCAAAGGGTGCGCGCTCACCACCTGTTACCAACTGGCCGGAACACTGCCAGTTGGCACAAGCCACTACGCCACGCCATGGCGCCCCGGGCCTGAGCCCCTGAGCACGTATATAAACAGTGGCCCTCGCCCACCTTCCTTTGCGAGGGCCAGGTTGAAGTCTCACACTAATACTACTCATTGCTCGCCCACCTTCTTACCTGCATTGTGACCACCTTGATCCGGCGTACCTGCCTTCTCTTACACCGAGCTCCAGAGCTCGGAACCGTGGAACGCTCCTGATTGGCCCGCGCCAAAAAGAGCATGCCCCACCTTTGTGCATATCCACAGGGAATACATAGGGATTCGTGACATGTGATTACCGTGCGATAGGAGCTTGCCCTTTGTTCATTCTTCATTGCTACCAAACCGACCCAACCTTGCAGAGCCCGTGTTCTCTTACAGACAGACGACCCTAACAGTCGAGCGGTTTGTAATATGGAGGTTTTAAGGTAGAAGGTGTAGCCGGTCGCGGGGATATTGTTACAATCCTGGCTCAAGTCTGCAGGAGGCGCTGGAAGCCAATTGCTAATTGGGCAGCACAAGCGGGCGGGCCGGGCCCGCAGGGGCTCGGTACGGCCAATCGGGCGGCGCTCAGTTATTACAAACCACTCGACTGTCAGGGTCGTCTGTCTGTAAGGGAGCACGGGCTCCACAGAATGCTAGGTTGGTAATTATGAAGATAGAACAAAGGGCAAGCTCCTATCGCACGGGTAATACAGTCAAATCGGAATGCCACTCAAAGTGTATGAGTGCAGTGAATGTGTATTGCTTGCTTGAAGAACCAAGCAAGAACTATCTAAGACCGTGGACACGATCGTCGTATATATCTATCTACGTAACCAATAACAGTGGTTCCGTTGTCCCGTGGTGGCCCGCGTCCGGGTCACCGCCCGGTCGGACCTGTCCCGCGTCCCCGAGCTCCAGAGCTCGGAATCCTGGAACACTCCTGATTGGCTCGCGCCAAAAGTGCATGCCCCACCTTGGTGCATAACCACAGGGAATCCACAGGGATTCGTGACACTTGGTCTATGGGGTTGTTTATGTAATCTACAGATACACACGTGCCACCCGCACGTGTGGGCCATGTCAACAATTGACGCGCAATTGAGGCTATTGTAAGAAAGAAACCCCCAACCCTCACACATAACCCACTCACTCCTTTGTCAAAGGCCCGCCTTACACTCTGTCATGTATATAAACAGAGGCCCTCGCCCTTTTCCTTTACGAGGGCCAGGTTGAAGTCTCTTGCCAATACCAGTCATTGCTCTCTTACTTCAGTACCTTCATTGTGACCACCTTGATCAGGCGTACCTGCCTTCCCTTACACTATATTAGCGATCCTTTTCCTAGTTGCTATTGACCGCCGTCACACCCATGGCCATCGAGAATAAGAAGCCGATATATACCAACGGAACGTCGTCGAGTAGCTGGATCAAAGATCTCCTTTAGCCAGTGTAGGCTATGGTCATCATCAGTCCATCCCTTTTTGCTGACACCTGTGACGGCCCGCCTTACGCAGTAGGGATGTCAATGGTTGAAGGCAGTAACGAATGTGGATTTAAAGCTAAAGAAGAGAAAGGAATCTATCGCCAGGTCCGCGCAGGGCGCGGAGAAATAGGTAGTGGTGCTCAGTGCGCACAGGCCACACCCTAAGCACAATGCAGCCAATAGAATCAATTCTGTCACATGAGCCCTGTGGCGACCGTGACAACACCAATCCACCAATCGCTAGGAGCACACATTGATACCAGCTTTCTATATGAAATTTGCCCGTGAAAATGACCTTGGCCGGTATTGCCCAACCCTTATAGATGATACTGTTACAATCTGGACAACAGAGTCCACGGAGCTAGGCCCGGCCTAGGATTGTGGGTCTTGGGACGACGTGGAGGAGGTGCTAGAAGGTAAAGAGTATCGTGCACAGATTGCGAAAGGTAGACTTTCAACACACAACCAATGTATGCTTAACCATATGCTTTAATAGCTGCAGAACCGTTCTCTCAGAGAGCGTACTGCCAGCTCCTATATAGAACTATGAGCAAACAATCAGAGTCCTCTCCTTACATGCTCCGTGCTCCATTCTGGTGCTCTGCAGACAGAGCGCCCTGATGGACACAGAGCAGCCCGCTCTGTGCGCTCTGTCAGGTCCCGGCGACAGAGCGGCCAGAGCGTTTCCTGATTGGCTGCACCGACCCTGGGGAGAGCCCCGCTCTTCCCGTCGCTCCAGCCAATCTGCAGTGGGCGCACGGCGCCTCCTGCACTCTTGAGCCAGGATCGTAACAGATACACTAATAACCGTCACCCACTCTCGGTTCCCTGGTTGAGTAACCATTGGCCGTCTACGGCGATCAGATCGAGTAAGGATCTTTACTGTACGAGCTACCCCTATTTAGAATCCAGTCTCATCGAAGTTGAAGGGTGATCGTCACCTAGATCACGGAATGCGGTAGGCTATTCGTGAAAAGGTAGGTAAATTCATGATTGAGGGAGGAAGCTCGGGAGCCTTGCCCTGCCGAGGACTTTAATGTAGTCCTTTGGTGGGGGCAGACGCGGTCCAATCGCGTCGGGCTAAGCCCCGCTTCCCTATGTACCTATGTACTTAGACTACACGTGCTTGTCATGTGACCCTGTCTTGGCGCTCCCTCGCTCAATCAGGCATCAGAAGTTATAAATACCATCATTGATAATGCTTATTTCTCTATCGTTTTGTTAACTCGCTAAAACTATTGCTGAATAACCGCTAGTTCTTCATATAAAGCACGTTTATAGTCGTATCGACGAGAGTAATAGGCTTTGAGAACTTCATGACGATTGACAAATCTTTGACCCGGTTTCGTCCAACCGGTTCACCGCCACGCTCGGCCAAAAGCAAACTAGCCATTTGGCGGTGTAATCGATTGTCGGGGACATGCCACGCTCATCCATAGATAAGATCTATTGGACAAGAGCAAGCTCTTCAGATGCTGCAAGCTTCCGGTTCTTTTGTTGAGCATCGTTGAGGGAGGGCCTCCCATTTAGCCGGTTTGACATGGTCTGGTGATGGATGTCGTAGACAAATGAAGCCTCTAGGATGCTTGTGAATTTGCCTTGTCGATAATCTTCAATGGCAAGTTGCAGCCGGTCTTCGGCAGGAAGCGCGACACCAGCCATGGTTGCGGTGGTGGTGCCATGGTGTGTTACGCATTGGTGGGGTTGGCGCACGGATTTTTTGGCAAAGCAGGTGGTGTGGCAAAGGAGGTTGAGGATTACGTTAAAAGTGGGATTGATTAGGTCATCGTTTCGTCAGGATAAGGATCTAGAAGATGCTAGAATTTATAGGCAAGTATATATTCATAGATCCTCCCAGGCCCTTCTAGTGGCACGCTATGATTAGAAAAAATAGGAGAGAGGGAGAGGAGAGAAGAGAGAAGAGAGAAGAGAGAAGAGAGAAGAGGAGAGGAGAGGAGGAGAGGACACCAGAGCAACACTATGCACACACAGTACGCACGGACTTAGTCTCCTGGCCATGTATATAAGTGGCGGCCCTCGCCCACCTTCCTTTACGAGGGCTAGGTTGAAGTCTCGCACTAATACTAGTTATTGCTCGACCTACCCATTCCCTCCATTGTGACTACCTTGTCAGGCGTATCTGCCCTCTCTTACAACCACTACTTCCTCCTAGTTCCTAGCAGCTAAATGCAACGACAGCTGTCTGTCCTCTATCATTTATGTTACGATCCTGGCTCAAGAGTGCAGGAGGCGCCGTAAGTCTACTGCAGATTGGCTAGTGCAACCGGAAGAGCGGGGCTCTCCCCAGTGTTGGTGCAGCCAATCAGGAGGCGCTCAGTGGCTCGGTCTGCCAAGACCGAGTGAGCACTCTGAGCAAGGCGCTCAGTGGCTCAGTCTGCCAAGACCGAGTGAGCACCTGAGCAGGGCGCTCAGTGCACATTGTGTACTCAGTCCCCTGAGCACCAGGTGGAGCACTGAGCATGTAAGGAAAGGACTCTGATTGGTTGTTCATAGTTCTATATAGGAGCTGGCAGTATGCTCTCTGGGAGAACGGTTCTGCAGCTATCAATGCATACGGTTAAGCACACGTTGCTCGTGTGTTGAAAGAAGGTCTTTCGCAATCTGTGTTCTTGATACTCCTTGCCTTTGTTTACTGTTCTTCAGTTCGCCTTGTGGCTCCTGACCCACCCCACCCCCACAATCCTAGGCCGGGCCTAGCTCCGTGGGATCTTCCAGTCCCAGATTGTAACACTTTACTACGGTGGCGGCGCCCATCTCTAGTAGCTTTACTAATTAATGCTTCTTTCAAGCTATGTTCCCTGCTCTTTAAAGAAATATATTCAAGATCAACCCCTATAAAACCACCATTCGAAGAGCACCAGTATAAATGTTCCTTGAAGCTTATTTGTAGTAAAGCCTTATATAAGGGTTTGACATATGGTTCGAGGACGTCCAACGATAGCGTTGCTTGACTCATAAGCGCCTCGATAGCCGCCCGTCGGACATCTGAGTCGCTATCCTCGAGCCGTGCTGCGATGCATTGTAGCACCTCCTCGGTGAGGCCGGCCTGGCCTTGAAGCGCCTCAATAGCCGCCTGTCGGACATCCGAGTCGCTATCCTCGAGCCGTGCTGCGATGCGTTGTAGCACCGTATCCGGTAAGCCTTTATGTTGATATCTTAGGATACGTAATATAGTAATATATAGGCGCCTCAAGGTATCGTCGTTTAGCCAGGAAGATGTAATATTTATGATACTAAATGGCGCTGTTGTTCGTCTAGATATTAATTCCAGAAGAATCCGTTTTACGTCTTCAAATCCTTGCTTTAATACGTTGACGAGAACCTGCTCTGGACACTCCATTTCGCGGGCTAACTCGGAGTTTCCTGTGAAGCTGCACTCGAATAGCAGCCACTGTTCTAGTTTGGTTTCTAGCTTCGTTCGAAGTTCCGACTCTTTCCGCTCGACTTCGCTCAGGCAATGCATAACCAGGCGCTGATGCGTAGGACCTAGGAGGTCGCGTGGCTCCCTCTCAATCGTCTGGAAGAAGCCGAGTACCCCCCCGTCAGCATCAAGCAAGCCGGCGACAAAGCGCCAGAAGATATCGTATCGAGGATCGTATTTATGCTCTTGAAGGAAAGTGGCAGGCTCGACTTTGCTGCTACAATCTCTATTGCCGAATTGTAGGTAGTTAAGGGGTTGTTTGGCTTTCCACTGCCGTACAAAATACCGCGCCGCAAAGTACTCCTGGAACGTCAGATGCAAAAAGTGGTAGTTACGGTTGCGGCTGTTCGATAAGGGCTCTGGCGTCCGTAGAAATGAGAGGCGCATGCAGGTGGTGTCTAGCGGGACTCGAGCTCCAGTAGATTTAAACTGCCTCGATATTGTATCCCGGTGCTCTGGCCGAAAGTTGATCACATTATTATGCAGACCCGTAAAGGCTAAGCCCTCAAGAAGAGAGAGCTCGGCCTCAATGAAGTTCTCGACCTCTGATGGAAGAAGTTCCTGGACATGGTCATGTGTCACCACTTGCGGTCGGTTTGGTTGCTGCTTCCCCAATCGGACGATATCCTTCCTCCATAAGCTTTGCTCGATGGCTCTGTAGATGGCTGTCATGGTCTGCGGGATAACCTTATCGCTGAGGCTGCTCCAGGTGTAACAGAGCGCATCAAGCTGAACCGGGATCCGCACAAGTCCCTGGACTAGTTGGTGCTTTTGGAGGTACGACTGAATCTCGCCGGGCTTTTCCGAATCCGTTTCGCCCGTTTCTGGATCGGTGAAGGCTTTTTCCACATAGGCCCTCACTTGATCGGGATAGAATCCGATGGTCTCTAACTCCAGTTGGATAGGATCGAGGTCAGAAGGAAGTATTGCGTGTGGCCGAGACGTGATGATGACGTTAGGCTGATTTAAAAGCTTCTTGAGGAACTTGCGCATAGTGTCGTCCAAGTCCTGTGACACTTCGTCCAGGCCGTCGAGAATAAATAAAGTTCTATCACTCTTAGGGTCCCCTAAGGCATCCCATAATGCCTTGGCGAGGTCGTCGCCTTTTAAGTGTTGAGAGAAATACTCGTCATAGAATAGATAGCCAAAGTTATATCCACTCGACTGGAGTCTTTCTTTGCGCTTCAGATTCCGCAACGGTACCCAAAGTACGCGATTGAACAAGTCCTGCCACAGTTTTCTATATGTGAAATCGTGGATAATCTTCTTACATAGAGTAGTCTTGCCCACTCCTGCTTGTCCACGAATCAGGATGCGACTTGGTTGTTTCTCCTGGCCGCCGCGTGACTTCCGGGGTTTAAATAGAGTTGGCAGTATCACCTTGATCGTCTCGTCCGGTGCCTTAATATTCAGTCGGGCGAGGAGCGAAAACGGAGAAGCCTCCTGCACTCTATCTTCGTCGTTTGATGGGCTGGTCTTGTCGCTAAGTTGCTCCACAATGGCAAGGTTAATGTAGCACCGATCCATCGGAAGCAGGACGCCCGAGAGTCGTTCGATCCTGAGCTCTGTCAGGGAATAGCAGTTATTTCGGATCCAGAGATCTGCTCTCTCAATAGGCCGGCCGTTGCGAATGTCGCAAAGAAGAATGCTAACTCTCCCGGCGACAAGAAGGTATCCTGGATCGTCGGGGCCATTAAACTTGTTCATGGTTACGTGGGGCCGATCAAGAGGTAGTGGATGTAAGACAATTTCCAGGGTCGCGGAATCAATATCAGCCAGCTGGGGAGCGTTAGCTTCCACTGAATACGGTTTTAAGCATGGAAAGTATCTATACCGGTTGTTCTTGAGATAAAGAGGCGTGGAGCCAGGGAGCTATTTTGCGCGGGAGACTTGACTTGCCGGTCTCGTAAAAGATGACTATATGGTCTTTAAGGTCGTTTTCTAGGCAGAAAGCAGTGAAGCTGTGGACGAGTTGTCTGAGATCGAAAGAAGATTTCGTAAGCTCAAGCAGGTTAGAGACCTTCTTGTCCCGGATCAAAGCCCAGAGCCTCAGACCTGGCTCAGCCCACGTAGCCACGCGTTGGAATGATGTACCCCTGAAGGGCGTGGCGAGAAAGATGATGCCGCGTGTCGCTCGTTTCACGGATTCATACTCGCAGCTAGCTATCACAAGCGCCTTTGCCAAGATGATGCCACCGAGGCACGACGCGATGAAGACAATTGGCCGGTCGCGTCCGGGTTGGTCGTTCGCTGCTGGAGGCCGGCCTTTGATGCCGGCGAGCAGCAGCCGAGCGAACTCGTCGATCATCTTTTGGACGAAACCTGGCTGCTCGAAGAGGTCAGCCGGCCAGTCGCAGGTGAAAATGCGCGCGGTCGGAAACCGCTCGGGCAGCATGTGCGGGTCTTCCAGCCAGTTAACGCAGGCCCCTTTCGGATCCCATACCCAAGTGTCGGGCGACTGCGTGTTGAGGCCATGGATGGCGATAATGTCGACGTCTGTTGCGGTTTTGTTCCCAGGAGAAGGGTAGACTTGGCGGAGATTGACACCCTTGCTTTTTAGGTGGAATTGTGTCGGATCGTCGGGGTCTGTCTGATCTTTTCGGCGTTGGCCGTGCTCAGGGTGGGAATTAACTTCACGAAGAGGAACAGCCCCCTCTTGAGTAAGACCTTCTTCGGACTTTAGGGCGTGTTTGAGGATGTCTGTCTTATTCTTGTCGGGGTGGTCTGGACGAAGGCAGCCGCCTTCTTGCGGGGATTGTTTAGGATTCGAAGTGGGCCCCGCCGGAGACAACGATGCGGGGTTTAGACGAGTGGATGCGGGATAGACCCAAAGCCAAATGGCAACCGCACCGACGGGGAGACAAAGGGCGGCTGCCCATCCGGCCAAAGAGATGCGCTGGCTGAGGTTGACGGAAATCATGGCTCGACTACCGGCATAAGAGCTTATATGTTGAGACCGAGATTCGTACAAGTCGTTGGATCGCGGATGCTACGCTTCGGCGAACAGTACAAGGCCCTCCTAGTGGAGGCAGCTTCGTGGCCTTGGTGAGGCTGAGCTTGGTAGACGACGGCGAACCGCGGTGTGAGAAGTTGTGCGATCGAGGCTCAGCTTCTAGGCCCAAAACGCTATAGAGCGTCCATATCCAATCATTTCAATCCACGGAGCTAGGCGCAAACGCCAGTCGCGGCCAATAATGCCTCTCGCAATAAGACACGGCGCGCCCCTGGCATCTTTATGCACTTTACGATGTTGAGCCGGTGTGACGGCGGTAAATAGCAACTAGGAAAAAGATCGCTAATATAGCTATACTGTGACGGTCCGCCTTACGAAGGTAGGGAGGTCAAAGGTTGAAGCCAGTAACGAATGTGGATTCAAAGCTAAGGAAGAGAAAAGAATCTATCGCGGGGTCCGCGCAGGGCGCGGAGAAATAGGTGGTGGTGCTGAGCAAGTGAGGCAGTGCGCACAGACCACACTCTAACCACAATGCAGCCAATAGAATCAATCCTGTCACATGAGCCCTGTGGCGACCGTGACATATACCATTGTCTAAGGATTCTAATGTGAAGAAAAAAAGGAAATCGACAAAGGAGCTACTCAGTGTGCAGGTCTTAAGTGGGGCAGGCTTGCGCACGGGCCAACATCGCTTTTGTGAGTGCCAAGCCCTGCATCCCAATTGGGACTAGTGCGGGGCTGGCTGCACAGAGGGGTCAAAAGTGCTGGCCGTGGCAGCCGGCATGTAAAAACGAGGGTGGGAATACGGAGTACTACTATCATAGCCATCCGGCACGAATGATCGCGACTGATTCGCCCCTGGATAGACGCATGGGGATTAGCATTTCTTGGCAGATTTAACATGCTGGGGATCGCTATTAATTGCTTGGATCGATTGCTCAAGAAGTGCTCTACTGTGTATACTTGGATGATCCTGGCAACTCCATAGGCCTGAAGGAATCTCGCGTTTTACTGGGGAAGTGCCCTACATATTACTTGAGTGGGCCTCTGTTCGCTGCCAATGCCAAGAAGCAGTGGGAATTCTCTTCCGTTTGTGAGCACAACCGTTTTTTTTAAAACTAAAGCGTGACACTAACAGAGGGAAAGAGGGTCCCGTTTTTGATCCCAAGAACCCCTAGTTTCTGACCCCCTCTACCTCGTAGGGCAAGCTTCTAGGGATTGGGGTGTAGGTAGCCCCAATGGCGGCCGGGCTTGCTTTGTTACCGAGACTCCCAATACCTGCCCTTGGGTACGTTACGTATGTACATATGTAAAGTACAAGCCTGCCGGCGGCTTTCAGTTGCCTTTGTGTAACCTTAATTTTGTAAGAACTTAGGTTGTATATCTAGGCTCTATCTGGAAAGCCAGATAACTTTCTTCCTTCGATGGCCAACTTTTGTCACTTGGGCCATTCCAAACAGCCGAGACGCCAAACACCACCAAACCTTCCAGAGCCTTGCTAGACACACAAATTTACGCCTTGACCTGGGGTACCAAAAACACGCCAATTCGGCGTTTCAAGGTAGATGTTACCTAGTGTCTCGTCAGAGTGTATGTAATAAGGCTTCCACGTTGGACGACAGTCAAGTGGTGTTGCATCCAACAGCCCCGCCTGTTTCGAGAGTTGGTCGAGCCGACGGAGAGACAAGCCATTTATTTGCCCAGCAAGCCTCGACGCATACCCGTTCAAACAGATGACCATAAATGTCTCGATAGAAAATATATGGGACAGATATTGTGCGAAATTGTCAGCCAAAGGCTTTTGACCAGAATCTCCAGCTATTGATTCCTCCTGAACTTCTAAACTTCTCAGAGACCCAGGGATGACGTTGCTGGCTGCGTCTACTATCCGTTTCAGGCAGGCACCGCCACAGTGACCCCTCCAACAGGGGTCTCGAACCACTAAAAAGGGGGGCCGCAGGCGAAAAAGGGCGTGCGGTTGGTGGGCGGCAAGCGGCTGGTGAAGGCCAGAGCTCGAGGCTGACAAGCGTCGTCGAAGGATCCGTTCCCAACTCGACTCACCACTGGGAGACAGGACCTACAGTGCAGAGAGAACACGGGCCAAGCACACTTTGAAAAGTAGAAGCTGGTGCTTCGCTTACCATTCTTTGAGCTATCTATTCAAGAATTTAGCTACTATTTTGCTAATTGCCCATATTTGGCCCAACACACTGCGCTTTCTACAAGTGGTGGGGACCCTGCGTGTACGGGGTAGTTACAGTATATTACGGAGTACGGTACCTCGCGAGGCCAGACCTTCAAGGTTAATTGAATACGACAGCCCAGGCAGCTTTTTGTCGCTCGGGCACCGCCTTTTTCACGGCCCCAAGAAGACACGCGACTTCGATTTTCCATGACGGCCGTTTTGATCGAGCGCCTAGACCCTCGATGGGTGCGAGGGACTTCAGCAGCTAACGGTATATGAAAGTACGAAGTACCACGACGACCACATTAGACGTTCCCGAGTGCCGACACCGAGCACAATGTTCCCGACCCGACCGCGCCGCTACCGGTCGTCCACATCGACTTCGGCGGCCCAGACGACCAAGGCCGCCGAGGTGCTCCAGGGCCTCCTCGAGCGTCTTGATGCGACGATACGAGCCGCCAAGGCTGGCACATACCCCGACGTTGACAAGCTGCTGGGACAGGCGCGCCAGATCCACCAGCATGTCGCTGCTACCCAGCCGCCGTCCCCCCCGCAAGACGACTTCCGCCATCTGCACGGCTTCCAGGGCCTCCTCAATGTCCTCCGGTCGTTCTCTGGCTTCTACAACCCGCACAAGCGCACCGTGGCCGAGAGGCAAGGGCTCTTCGACCTGCTCCACATAACACTGGCAATCATATCGGCGGCGTTCCGAGGACATCCGGGAAACAGGCGCTACTTCCAGGACAAAGTTGACGGCGGCGGGTGGGAGGCCTTGGAGCAGATGATAGGCAGCATTGGTATTGGCGGAGGTGATTCGGACCTCTGGGCCAACTGCCAGCTGTTTGGAAAGCTGCTCTCCTTCTCTCTCGATGACCAGCGCCTGGATGAACTTTGCCGCTCAGTTGCCTCGTCCGCCGTCTTAGATGCCAACGAGGGTAAGGCCGTTCCGACGTTCGACGCGAAAGACATAGAGGCGCGGTTGGGAGCCATCATTGGACCGGCCACCATTATACAAAATGCCGAGATTATTCGGACTATTGTTTGCTTTTGGGAATCGCTTCCGAGGACCGAGGGTGCTACGGTAAACCCCGCGTCGGTAATAGTTTTGACAACACTTTCATCTGTTGCGTCTACCTCGTTCTTCAACCTGACTGCTCTCCATGGAGCCGGGATTCTCTCCAGGTTCCTGCGCCTGCTCTTTTGCCCAGACTGCGTTCTTGGCGAGTTGGAGAAGGAAAAGACATTGTCTCTATGCAATTCCCTAATGCATCTTGGCATTGATCAACTTGCAGATGCCCAGTTTATGCTATCTTGCCAGGGCTCGACCGCTTCCGAGTTCTGTCTAGACATGACGGAGAAGTACAACGGGCCTCCCTTCATCCAGTTCGACCTCTCACTGCATGGTCACGCATCGGTAGAGCTCCCGAGCTTGGGTCGAAGTTTTCCGCCCCAGTCTTCTCCCGGGTATACTTTTACTGCATGGGTTCGCATCGACAGATTCGACCCCAAGTCGCATACAACTTTGTTTGGAGTTTTTGACTCGTCTCAGACGTGCTTTCTTCTGGCATATCTCGAGAAGGATACCAAAAACTTCATCCTCCAGACCTCCGTCACATCTGCACGTCCGAGTGTAAGATTTAAATCCGTGGCATTCGAGGAGAATAAGTGGTACCACATTGCCATAGTCCACCGCAGGCCCAAGACAATGGTTGCTAGCAAAGCAAGCCTCTACGTCAACGGGGAGTTTGCAGAACAAATACGATTGTCGTACCCGAACACCCCTCCGCTCTCCAATGCCAGCACGGAAAGCTTTGCTTCTTTTACCTCGAGCAATAACAAGACGAACCCCGTCCAGGCGTTTCTGGGTACGCCTCGTGATCTCTCGACCCAGCTGGGGCCTGGCTTGGTGTTTTCAAAGTGGTCCCTTGCCACTGCCCATTTGTTTGAAGATACCTTGAGTGATGATCTTCTGGCAGTACACTTCCGCCTTGGCCCGCGCTACCAGGGCAACTTTCAGGACTGCCTCGGCGGGTTCCAGACTTACGAAGCCTCTGCCGCTCTCGGACTCCGGAATGAAGTCTTCCACCCTGGGAAAGACGAGAATTCCGACATTCTGAGAGCCATTAGGGATAAGGCGAGCACAATTGTCCCTGAGTCTAAGGTCTTGATAAGCACCTCGTCGCGGGCCGTGTTCCGCACAGATGGCAAATTTATGGATAGTCTCCTTTTCAGATCGCTCTCCAAGAACTCGGCCAGCAGCCTGTTCCACACCACAACCAAGAACGGGACCGCTGTTGCGATTAATGGTGCTGTGCCGTGCATCAATGACGCACTGATTAGACCCAATGGTGTCTCGCTTCTCACCGGCGACCCCGTCCTCGCTAACCCTTACTGCTTTGATGACAACCTATGGCGGCTGGGTGGTTTTACACCTGTAGCTCTGAAACTGGTCGAGCGGTCGTCGACTTTTGAGGAGCTCCTGCGCTCGGTCGAATTGATGCTGCACTGCATAGACAATAGCTGGCGGAACAGCGAGGCCATGGAAAAGGACAACGGCTATGCCATTTTGAGCATGCTCTTGCGGGCAAAACTCGGCTATGGCGTGTCGACTTCTGACAACCAGTCCTGGCGACTCACGCTGACAAACGACACGAGAGACAGGCTGAGCTTTCAGCTCCTCAGCCTGGTTCTTAGGTTTGTGGGCTACAATCATGCTGACCCTATTGACTCGTTCATCGTGAACCCGCTTGCCTACCGCATTCTCTTGATTGACCCCGACATTTGGCGCAAATCTGCCGCTCTTACACAAGAACTCTACTACAAACAATTTGTGACGTTTGCCGTAAAGAGCAAGCATCATCAGTTCAACAGCCGACGGCTGCTCCGAATGCGTAGGTGCCAGCTTGGTCTTGACTCGCATATGTTCTTTTCACTTACACCATCGGACGCAGGAATCATCAAGAGGCTCTTAGATGCGCTAAAAGCGGAAACCCTCTCCGAAGATATCGTACCTCATTTCATGGCCTCCTTCGAGAGTCTCGTCAAGTGCAACTACAACGCAGAAGTTCACCGATCACTAGCTTTATTTATCACTTACGCCTTCCACACACCTCCTGGCTCTTTGCCGCGAACCCCAAAGCCCTCCAACTCCGGCGGTCGATCAACCACGTCTGGGCTGGGCATTCTGCGGCGGTCTACTCTTGAGACTAACCCAGTCTCTGTAGCTAATACCTCAAGGCTCCTCACCAAAAAGCAGCTAGGGGTCAAGATCCTTGAGATGTATACGGGCCTCCTCTGCAATAAGACAAACCTGGGTGATATTCGCAAGTTCGCCAAGACAGTCACTAATAAGGTAATGCCCGAATGTAACACAGTGAATAAAGAGCCCGAAGACGTACTGACTGTATTCCAGTGGCTTCTATATTTGCTTGCAGAAGACGACCCGGAGATTGTTGTATATGGTTGCAAGATCCTCGCTCGCCTCCTGGTCACGCAGCCGCCGGGCTACACTGCCAAATTTGCAGCCAAAACCGGAGGCTTCTGGATTATGGCTCACCGTCTCAAGCAGTGGTGGGATATACCAACCATGTGGCCGATATTGTTTGGCATACTCTTCGGAAATGATGTTGCCAATATCAACTTTGACAAATCATTTGACTTTTTCAGTCTGCTGGAGATATTTGGCCACAGCCGCGTGGTTTTCCCAGAAGTTCTACCTGTCATTACCTCTATGCTGCAGCATGGCCTTAGGGACATTTTAAAACACCAAGATGACCCCGATTCGCCAGCTGGTGACTCGGGGACGCTCAAAAGCCCGACCGAGACGCTAGAACCGCCGCAGACAAGACCGAGGGCCAAATCTATGGAACTAGGCAAGGCTTTAGAATCACGAAGTATGCCCATTATCTCTCTTTGTGGCTGTGTAATGTCTGCTAATGCAAACCCAGGGACCCGATTGCCCGACAAAGAGAGAGTCACGGCTCATGGCGCGATTCTCCAGACCGTTGTCCGTTTTCTTGCCGACATCCATAACCGGTCCGCCAGCTTTAGAGACTTTGCGCTGTCGTCGGACTATGTGCGGCTCCTTCTCTCGGCTCTCTATCCTATTGTTGTCAGCGCAGATCCCGTCACACCCGAGACTGAGCTCAATTCTAAGGACTCTACTCTCACATTCGAGGGAGGCGACGTGATCATCCGTCCAGTCCCTGGCTCTTTATCCACAGCGACACCCATAGTTAGAACAGCAAATGCCGGCGCGGTCGAGCCTCCTCTACCGTCTCCTGGACTAGGTCGTGGGACACCTCTCCGTAGGCCGTCGTCGTTTATCCTGGTCACATCCCAACCCCCCGCTACACCCACGCCAACCCGCCTAAACCACGTCATGTCGCCAAAGAAAAGGGTCAACACCCAGAAAATCAGCAACGTCGTTTTAGAAGGGATTTTAGAACTTATCATCAATGTGTTTACCGACCAGATTCTAGTCCGAAAGGAATTCCCAGGATTTGGGCTGTTTCTGAAGGTACCTCCGGGATTTCAGGAGCATCAAGCGTACTTCGGAACCTACATTCTACGGAATACCATTGCCCACTTGGGCAGCGCAGTTCAGCTTGATCTGAAGGCGCTCCAGGAGCCAAAAATACTCCAGAACATGGCCCGGCTGAATCTCCACGTAGCCGAGGCGATCTTTGAGGGATGGTTTCTCAATGGTGCCGAGCCAATGCTCGACTTCACCGGTATTCTGCTTGAGTACTTGCAACGATCTGAAGTATCGTCCATCAAAAGCGTCCGGCTTTGCAGCTCCGCAGTGACGACCATTCGGACGTCTTTCCTTAAGCTCACTCTGCTAAGGCTCTCGGATATGGACGACCCGCAAACTAAGGATTCGGAGGCACAATCAACGATGGAGAAATTGGAATACTGGCAGACGGTACTTCTCAGCTGCCTTTCGCTTGAGGATGATTACATGAAACTCCTCTGGTATCAGCTCTACAATAAACTCATCGACTCGCGCGAAACCATCCGGCTCGCTGCGGCGAGACTTTGGCGGATAATGCTGGTCCAAAAGCCCGAGGAGTCGTCGGCTCTGTTCCGACACACCATGACACCCAATCAGCAGTCACTAGCTAAAGGCTTCAGGAAACTCACGGAATTAGACGATACGGCGTTTATAGAGTGGGTCGATGAGTACCGTCCATCCCTGGATATCCTCTTCGGAGGTATGTCCAAGACTTGGGAAGATTTTGTGGCTTCTGAGAACAACCGAACGGTAGAGACTGCGAAGTCGAGGCTGAAGAACCGCAGAGATAAGCTCAAGCAATGGCACACCGAATCCCTGGAGCGAGAGAATGTTCTGCTCCGCCATGAGATGGCGAACAGTGCATGGATGAAGAGCATCTACTACGCAGAGCACTTCAAGCACCAAAGGCTTCTCCAGGACCAGCAAGATGACAATGCTTTCCTCACTTCGACGTTCGCAAAGATGGACCGCGATTTGCGTCGTCCGGGTGCCGTCTTCTTCGAGCCTCAAACCATTAAATGGAAGCTCGACCAGACCGAGGGTCGAAATCGTATGCGTCTCCGACTTCTTCCGGAATATCCTTCCCAGCATCAGCAGGAGTATCAACCAAAAAACAAACCCGGAGACAACGCCTCCACTCCTGCGTTGAAACTCAACACCCATCTCTCACCGAGCCAGGGGATAAACACAACCCCAACCGTGGGGATGGCGCCCGACGAGTTTGGAGGTGATGGGGCGATCGATGATCCTGATGCCTCTGCGGAACCCGGATCAGTGTCTGAGAAATCGGGCCAATTGGGCGTGGCGCCAGAAGATGATTTTGAGCTTGTAGAAGATCCAAATGACCCCGATGGAGACGATGCGTTCGAAGACAAGAACAGGAAGGTCATGAGGCGGCTGCAGCACGGCGACGCTGTCCAGAATGTCTTCAATGTGTCGCGAATCATTGGCCTTGACGCCTCGGAGGGCATATTGATTATTGGAAAAGAGGCTCTCTATATAATGGATAGTCTCTTCCAGAGTGCGGACGGTGAGATTATCAACGTCTGGCAGGCACCGCCGGAAGAGCGCGACCCATTCTCAATCATCATCACTGATGCGAACCTCACCGACAAGCGCCCGAATCAAACACGCACTGATCAAGAGTCAAGAAGCTGGCGATGGCATGACGTTCTCAGTATCTCGAAGCGCCGGTTCCTGTTTCGCGACGTGGCGATTGAGATATTCTTCACGGATGGTCGGAGCTACTTGCTGGCGGCCATAAATCCCGTCCTCAGAGACGAGATATACTCGAGGCTGACAAGCAAGACTCCGCACACCCATGGAGCCAACCTACTTCCAAATCCCGAAGACGCATGGCGCCTCGAAAGCCTCAAGTTCAGCGAGGAATTGCCCCAGACACTGGGCGCTAAGTTCGGAAGCATATTCAACTCGTCGGCGTGGAATCCCATGATAAGACGCTGGCAAAGGGGCGAGATCTCCAATTTTCACTATCTCATGCTCGTGAACAATATGGCGGGCAGGACCTTCAACGATCTCACTCAGTATCCGGTTTTTCCATGGGTACTGGCCGACTACACTAGCAATGAGCTTGATCTCAACAACCCTGCAACCTTCAGGGACCTGTCGAAACCGATGGGCGCCCAGTCTACAGGCCGTGTATCGGAATTCAAAATGAAGTATAGCAGCTTGGCCGAGATGGGCGAGATTCCTTTCTATTACGGGACTCATTACTCGTCTGCTATGATCGTGGCCTCGTACTTGATCCGACTTCCTCCGTTCGTGCAGTCCTACATCATGCTGCAAGGCGGCACCTTTGACCACCCAGACAGGCTCTTTTTTTCCATCGAAGGGGCTTGGACTTCTGCATCCAAAGACAATGGGTCAGATGTCCGTGAGCTGATACCCGAGTTTTTCTGCCTCCCGGAATTCCTGACCAATATCAATGGCTACAACTTTGGCGTCCGCCAAGGGGATGCTGGGAAGGTCGACAATGTCATTCTGCCTCCATGGGCCAAAGGCGACCCGAAGATATTCATCGCGAAACACCGCGAGGCCCTCGAGAGCCCATATGTCAGCCAGAGGCTGCATCAGTGGATTGACCTGGTGTTTGGCTACAAACAACGAGGCGATGCAGCGGTAGAGAGCTTGAACGTTTTCCATCATTTGTCTTACAAGGGTGCAAAGGATCTTGACAACATCACCGATCCCCAGGAGCGAGCGATCGCGACCAGCATCATCTACAACTTTGGCCAGACACCCCACCAGATATTCACAAGACAGCATCCGTCTCGAGAACACGACCGGTCTGTTACCAGGCGGCTCGACACCTCCATCTCGACCCTGACAAAGCTTCCTCACCCGCTTCTTGGCATGTTCACCCTCCAACACCCCCTGTCCAAAACTTGCTTTGACTTTTTTGATTTGTTTTTGCTAACTAGCCTACAGAGAGCCATGACCGTGTGGCTTCGCTTATCTACACACCAAAACTAGACCGTCTTCTATGCGCAACGCCATTCCGGCTTAATCTGCCGCCGCAATACGACAAGTTCCTAGAGTGGGGCTATGCAGACAACAGCGTACGGTTCTTCTTCACGGATAATAGAAAGGTAAATAGTCGTCCCCTTTATGATCTTCCGCTTTGAGTTCGTACAGCTAACACACCCAGGCTGCCGGTCTCTTTGAAAACCTACACATTGGGCAGATTTCTACCCTAACTTTTGCCGACTCCAAGACCCTGATTACTGCGGGCGAAGACTGTGTCGTCTCTGTGTACACGGTTCATTCGGCGCCAGGAAAGCCGGTGGAGCTGGTTCCGCGCTCCTCTCTCTTTGGCCACAAGACACCGGTGACCAACATCGCAGTGTCCAAGGCTTTCAGCACGATTGTCACGGTCTCGCAGGATGGTGTCACTTTTCTCTGGGACCTGAACAGGCTCGAATTCATTCGCAAGCTTCCGCTTGCGCGCACCGTCGAGTGCGCCCGCATCCATGATGTGACGGGCGACATCATGCTGTGCAGCGGGCCCAATGTCATACTGTACACTCTCAACGGCGACCTCATTCTCGACCAGAACGTCTGCGCGGCGGAGGGCCCAGACGACTTTGTCCACTCGTGTGCCTTTTACGAGGGCTCGGGCACCGAGTGGCTCGAGAACTTCATCGTCTTCACGGGCCACAAGCGCGGCTGCGTCAATGTCTGGCGCAAGACGGTCGGCATGAGCGGCGGCTGGATCCTCGAGTTCATGCGCCGCCTCGATCATGGCAACCCCAAGAGCGAGACGGGCGCTAACTTCGACGCCGGAATCACGTGCATCACGCCGTTGCCACAGCTAGTCTACACTGGCGATGAAGATGGCCGGGTAGTAAGTTTGCCCCTCTCTGCATCACTCGGTGACGGAAAGTGCTAACGCAAGGTATCTAGTTTGAGTGGAATCTTGTCCAGAGGGAGAGATAGATGATGGTTGGCGCTTTAGAGGGTCTCGTCTCATGACCGAGGACGGGCTGAAACAAATATACTTGATGAGGATACAGCAGTAAACTAGGGGAAAATGGGTAGGCAGTGGATCAAAAAAAGACGGACGAAGCATGGTCATGGGCACTCGTGGTTTGGCCTGGTTGGTTGGTTGTCTTTGTTAAGTAGCGTGCCGAGGGATGAACGAGACGCGTTTACTTTTCCTTACGAAGTTGTTTGTGTTTTTCTTTTTCATGAAGGGGGGGGCGGGGGTGAGTGGCTCTCGGATAAGAAGGGCTCATATAGATTTGGTTGCTCTCCTTACGAGGGATTGGGGCCAAGGAGGCGGACGAATCCAAGTGAAAATGCTCTCTTGCTGAAGGTTGTTTGTTCTTTCTTTGGTCCTCAAGGGATCCAAATGACGATATCGCAATGTGTAGCGTATGTACGGTCATCACTCCGCGGTCCCTGTATTTTTTATTTATGGTGTGTTTGATTCGGGCGCGGCTGTTTTTGTACACTTGATACAAAATCCATCTCCCCCCCCCCCCCCCCCCCTATTTTCCTGCTGCCTTCCACCATCACGCGGTTGGTTGCCTCGTCTAATAATTGCCTCGCCAAATCCTGCCCTGTCCACACGACACCCGTCTGTCTGCCTAGTGGATCACTCGGTGTCGTCGTCGTAGCCCGTCAGCTGTTTCCTCGGCCCGGTGGGAACTGTTGCGCGGCCGCGGGTTAGTCTAGTCCTTTCTCTCGTGCTTGTACTCTCCCGGTATTGAGGAGAGGAGAGGAGAGAGGCTTTAGGCATGTTGGAGACTGCAAGTGCCTCTCTCGCACACGCAAGCACGCAACTACGCGCGTGCAGAGCTAAGGTGCAAGTCGCCAGCCAGCCGAGGAAAAAATTGGTTTGGGTTTTCTTCAGGGGGAAAACACTCACCAGGATATGTCAGCGGAATCATCGGCGCGTCCTCGTCACCCAGCCGCCGGCGCAGCGGCGGCACCACCACCAGCATCAACGGCCCCGCCGCGCCGATCACCACCGAGTAAAAGTACGCCGGCCGCTCGCGCGCCGACCACCGCATGTACTTCAGCGGGCCGGCCCAGAACCGCGGTCCGAGGGGGCTCGACATAATTTTTTCTACTTTTTTCTCTGTTTGGTTTGTGTGGTGTGGTGTAATGTAATGTGCTGGGGAAGTGTCTGTCGTCGACGTCGTCGTCACTGCAGGCGAGTTCGTTAGCGGAGTGCTAGTATTATATGGAGATGGATATATAGGGCGTAATTGAGAAGGCATGCAGATCTTAATTGGCGAGTGTTAGGGCCACTTACGAGACGGGGAGGAGGGGATGGCGGTGGTGGTTGTGTTGACGCCGGCGACAAGCAAGACACCTCAAGTTATTGGCGACAGACACCCCGAGCTCAATTGAAGCTTGGGGGGGACAAATCGATGTTCAATTGCGGCGAAACCACGGCAAATCTCTCAGCTTCCATGAAATCATCCCGCAAAAGCTTCCCCAGCAAGCCAAAAAAGGCTGCTGAAAGCCGGCCCAGACAGGGGTGCCACGGGCCTTTTCCCCCCACCGTTCTGGCCAGCGACAGCTGGGGGCTTGGCAAAGGGCTACGTATGCCGAATTGGAACAGCAGCAAGACTGTACCTAGCTTGCCTTGCCTAGGGATTTGTAGTATCGATCGAGACAGCGCCGCCGACGGAGAGACACATGAACTCGACGAGCTTTGCGCCCTGCCGTCGATAAATTCTTCAAACTCCCTTCGCAAGTGGGGATTATTCTGATCCTGGTTTAATCTGTTTTTGTTGCAGCAATGCGGTCGCTCCTTTCTTTCTTTGCGCTTGTCTGGGCGGTGGCCGTGTCGGCCATCAGCACCACGGGCGACAGGCTACTTGTCGTCTTAGACGATGTCGCCGACCAGTCTAGCTACTCCAAGTTCCTAGGGGATCTGACGAGTTTGTCACCCTGCCCCCTTTCCGTCTTGCGGTATTGGCCTCGTCTCTTCACAGCTGTGTGTTGCTAACCATTGTTACCAATTTCCCTTGTGTAGGCAGAGGGTTCAAGCTGTCGTTCGAGACACCTAAGAGCGAGTCGCTGTCTCTGTTCCACCTCGGTGAACGAGCCTATGACCATGTCATCCTGTTTCCGTCCAAGTCCAAGGGTGAGAACTGACAAGTTGCGCATCTATCTCTTTCAAGAAGCGGCGGTGGCTAATCTATACTCCTCCCACAGGTCTCGGCCCCAACCTGACGGCGAACCTGCTCCTCCAGTTCATCAACGCCAATGGCAACATCCTCCTGACGCTCAGCTCCGGCTCATCAACCCCGTCCTCGATCGTCTCCCTGCTCGCCGAGCTCGACATCCAGCTGCCGGCGGACCGCACGGGTCTGGTTGTCGACCACTTCAACTACGACGCCGCGAGCGCCGCCGACCAGCACGACGTGCTCCTCCTCCCGGCGCCTCACAGCATCCGGCCCGACATCAAGGACTTTTTCGGCGCGGGCGCTAGCTCTAACGAGGTGTTGGTTTTCCCGCGCGGCGTAGGCGCGACCCTGGGGTCTGGCGAGCTTCTGACGCCTATCGTGCGCGCCCCTCGCACCGCCTATAGCTATAACCCTAAGGAGCAAGGCGAGGTTGTGGACGATCTTTTTGCGGCGGGTGAGCAGCTGGCGCTGGCGGCAGCGTTCCAGGCGCGCAACTCAGCTCGCCTCGCCCTGGTCGGCTCGGCCGAGCTGCTCGAGGACGCGTGGTTCGACGCCGAGGTCAAGACGACCAGCGGCCAGGCCGCCAAGACGTTCAACCGCGAGTTCGCCAAGCGCCTCAGCGGCTGGGCCTTCCAGGAGATTGGCGTCCTGCGCGTCAACTGGATCGAGCACCACCTCAACGAGGTGGGCGCGTCCAACGAGTCCAACCCGGGAATCTACCGCATCAAGAACGACGTGGTACGTACACTCCTACTTACAGCAACTACACAGACCCAATACTAACAACTATCCCAATTTATAGACATACACCATCTCCCTCTCTGAGTGGTCGTGGTCGTCCTGGTCCACATTCAAGGTGCCGGCCAACGACGCGCTGCAGCTTGAGTTCTCCATGCTGTCTCCCTTCCACCGGCTCGACCTGGCCCTCGACCCATCTCACTCGACCGCCGAGGCGGCCGCCTACACGGCCTCGTTCAAGCTGCCCGACCAGCACGGCATCTTCAACTTCAAGATCAACTACAAGCGGCCCTTCTTCACCAACGTCGAGGAGAAGAACACGGTGTCGGTCCGCCACATGGCCCACGACGAGTGGCCGCGCAGCTATGTCATCAGCGGAGCCTGGCCGTGGATCACGGGCATCGGCGCCACCGTGGCGGCCTGGTTGGCCTTTTGCGCCCTATGGATCTACAGTGCGCCCATAGACCAGAAGAAGGGGGCCAAGAAGCTCTAAGCACATGAGGCTTTGGATTGTGGCTCATATGTAATGGTAGGCGGGGTGTGCGTCCCAGAATTTTTTTTGAAAAAGAAATCAGGTGCAGCCGGCGCCTTAGACACCGAGGAAAAGCTAGGCAGTGGGGGGTTTCCATGTTGTACAACAATGCGATGCACGCAACACATACACACTGGGAAGGGCCTCGAGTCTAGGTCTCCAAAAGCTAGGAAAGAGGCCACGTTTATATATTTCTCGTTATTTGATGCTAGCTGTTTCGTAAAACAATTCCCTCGTGGTTACGACCCTTCCGGCTCTGGGCGACAGCCTCCGAGGTCAACCCTTCCTCAACGTCTTCTGCGTACGGATACCTTTGACAAAAGCCATGTTAACTCGAGGTTGGGAGAGGTCCACACGTTGAATAGACGGGAGGCAGAAAACTCGAACTTGGGGTGGTGAGGCAGTGGTAGATCGTAATTAGACAAAAAGAAATGGGTATGTGTGCAAGAAAGAAGCAGCAGCAGGGGCCCTCAGATTAGCTCTCTTATGTTCTCAACGACAACAGAAGGGACACCTCGCGAAGAGATTAGTCCACATCCGCTGCCTGCAAATTTGGCTTTTTGGACCCTGAGGTCATCACCGGGCGTGCTTGCTTGCTTGCTTGCTTGCGCTTGTAATCACGCCACACCGTAACAGAAAGAGAAGAAAAGAAACCAACCACAAACCAACACTCCTAGAGGTAGAGACGAGTCTCTCCTTCAAGTCGTGCTTCTCTCTCCCTCAACTCTCACCTCCCCTCTTCGCCAACCGCCCCCGGAGTCTGGTCCCCCGTGGCTCCTTTTCGCTTCTTCTGCTGTTCACGCTCTGATTGAAAACTACTTGATTCTAGTCATCGGTGACAGCTCAAAGCACGCCAATTGCTTGACATGGGCGCACCTCTAGGTTGCTATATTCGTCATTGCGCGACGGAGCAGAAGAACATGAAGTCGAGAAGGATGGAAATTCGAAACTGGGGTAGGAAACAAAAAGTGAAAATGAAAATGAAGGGGGGTCGATAGGGAGCTGGGCTGCTTTCGTTTCTCGGCTCCGTGTTAGGTGTTTTCGCAAAGATAATAATCTGCTCAGATATCTATTCTTGGTACGGCTTCATCTTCTCCGCAGTGTCGACGCGACGCAGACCTACCCCCCCAAAGATGGTTTCCCAAAGATGGTTGGGTCAAGAGAGCCGGGACCGGGTGAATCTTGCATGTGATAGTTTCATCATCGCAGATCGAGCATCAAGGCTGGACAGAGGATGGGACGTGTTGAGGGCTGTGCTGGAGGGAGGGGGAAAAAATACAGATTCAGTTGTCGATGACGGGCGCTTGCAGTAGGTAGGAAGTATCCAGAGAGCAACTCGGGATAAGGAAAGTGGTGTGGCTGGACAAAAAGCGAAGTAAAAGTGGTGGAAGACTGTCCGAGTCGTCGGATGAGACTAAGGAAAATGCTGCTGCGCGAATTCTTAACAACTGTGCATTTCACCTACTAATAGTTCAGATATTCTTGTAGAATATCGAAGGTGGTGAAAAGCAGATTCATCTTGCTTTGTCCGGGAAAGAAAAGCAGTGCAAGTTGCTTGTGGTCAGCATGGAGACGTGTGGAAATATTGGTCGAGGATTGAAAGCGCGCTCGACACAGGAGCGCGTTGCTCGTTTTAACCTGCCTCACCAGGCAGGTAAGCGGGAAGGCACGTGCTGATTGAAGTGCAATCGAGGATTAGGGTCTGATTCGGAAACCGAGCCCGAGAGCCACGGCTCTCGCGCGTTCTCCGATGCGAGAAATAAAGGTGCACGATACGGTTTGTACGTGAAAGTGTTCAAGAATTAGCTGCGGAGTGTAGGATCTATTCCCTATCCCGTGCATATCGTGTGTTGCGGATAGCAGAAGTCGAGGAGCGCGTTCGTTCCCGCGATCGCACTAGCCGTCGGGCACTCCACAATGAGAATGTTGACAGCAAAACTGCGCGCAAAGCTGGCGCCGGCGAGCGAGACTCGCCGGCAGGTTTCAATCGCAAATAACATAGCGGCGAAAGCTTTGTGAACGAGACAAATCAATCACCGAGATCAGCGACAGCAGCGGTAAAAACGGTGGGAAATAGCCGACAATCATATAAGCAAACACGCCAAACGAGAATGAAGCCAGAGTCAATTGCTAGAGGAGATTTCTTCCCCATGTCACCACCCGCAGGCAATGAGCACAGTGAAAAAGATGGAGAAAATTGGGTGGGTTATCAAAAATTCCGGCCAGAACGGCCCCGAAGGACAATTCATAGCGGGTAGCACCGCTGTGTGCAATGCAGGCTCCCCGCTATAGTACGAGGGTTTCTTGATCTCCCCGCACTCAACCAAGGTAAGTATGAAGAAGAAAGGAAAAAGAAGAGGAAGAGGAGGGGGGAAAGGTTGTTTATATAGAGGGTGCAGATGGTCCGTGCACGGCAGCAAATGTTGGGGGGCCCACTCTGTGACTCCACTGCCAGAACAGGCGGAACAAGGGCGGACCCACACAGGCCCAGGCAGGAAGCAGGCAGGAACGTGTGACAAGTGTCACTTGAAGCAGGTGTCTTTCGACGCCTTGTTTCTCCTTCCTTTTCAGACTAAAAAAGGTGTAAGCCACGAGAACCAAAGCCGGTGCTTGCTGCAAAATGGCATCATGCCGATAGCCATGCTTTCCGCCCGTTTGAGCACTGCTCTTCTGCTCTGGGCTCCTGCTACGTATGTTTCGACCGCTTAACCCCCCTAGATGTGGCCTCAGGCTAGTGTGATGGAATCCCGCCCTGTTTCAAAAGCTCTACCGAATCACTATCCCAAGATCTTCAGTCTTTTGTTCTCCGAGATGGAGCTGGCCCTCTTGCATGGGGCATTTGTCAAGTCAAAAATGGTCATAAATTAGCTATCATACCTCCTATCTGGTTTCTTGCTTGAGGTCTCAAAGCTCCTGCCCAAACCATTGAAGAGATCCCTGCTTAGACTACTCGAATGACTGGCCAACTGAAACTGTCTCGAAATGCCACAGGTCACGTTATCTCACACCTGCTCCGTCTTCACTACCCTGGATCTCTCATCATTGGCTGCACTCAGCCGTTCATCATCGTCGCTCGGCGAGCTGGCCGTGTCGGAAAGCGACGACACATCAAACGTCAGACCAGAATGCAACTGGTCAATAGCGGAGCACACGTTCTTAAAATGGACCGGAATCCACACATCATACACGTTTCTAGTGAACCGATATGCAATCCACTTGTCCTTAGCGTTAGACCCCATGAAGTCATAGGCGCAAATAGGGTGGCGGTAGTACCTGGTGTCCTTGCCGATGATGACGGGATAGTGGCCGAAAATGCGCACCGACCTGTGGTTGTGTGAGATGGAAAAGGCGAGGACCTGCCGGTGGATCTCGCTCTCCCGGTGCACGGCGCGGAAGAGCTCAACCACACTCCGGACCGCCAGGGTCATGCTGTGGGCGTTCTGCCGATCCGCAGAATCGAGCCGCTCGGCGTTATCGCCGCCGCCGCGCGTCACCTCGCACGCCAGGAATGGGAAGAACATGTAACAAGTGGCCATGAAGAATGACTGGTCATAGTATTCGCCAACCAAAGGCGAGAGCTTCCCAAGCTGGCTGGATGTGAATGCCCCCCGTCCAAAGCCAACGGAGTAGTCGGGCTGGAGACGGTGGTTGGTTAACGGGATAGAGTTGCTCCACCCTTCGTTGACGCTCTCGACCAGTATGCTGAGATGGTTTCTGACACGACGAGTAGCAAGACTTTCGGCCGAGGGGACTATCAGCCGAGAGATGTCCTGTATAATCCGCGCTTCGTTCTTGTTCTGCAGCTTCCGGCACGTCGCTTCGAATAAATCGTTGCGGAACAGAGAATCGACAGGTACCGGCTGTGTTTTCTCGAGGAGAGAACGGCAAACGTACTGGCTGGCTGCGTCCAGCCCGTCGGGACACTCGGACATATAGCTGCCTTTGGTCTCGAGCAGGGTCTCATAGTGTCGGTCTCGGTACCCCGTCGTTTTCTCATCCCTCGACATCTGATCACTGGGTGTGAGAGACGTTGTCATGGTGATTGATGGCTCACGGGAGAGATTGAGCGGGGATCTCTTCCGACCAACTAGATTCTCTATTGTGAGAGGAGTCTGAAGGGTCTCTTCCGGCCATAGCTTCTGGTCTGGCCAGCGCCCCTCGCTTGCCCAGAAGTCGACGGGGTCAGTTGGCTTTGGCGGACTGCTCAAAGTACCAATCGTGAGCTCGCCAACCGCGTTCTTGGTAGAGTGAGCAGGCGATACCCGCTGAACCTTTTGGTCGGGGTATGGGCTGGGCGCGAGTGTGTCTTCCACAGGTGATTGCTCTCGCTTGCGCTTGAGACCTTCGTGCGACGTTGCTTGAGCGACTTGAGTGTGGGCCATGGCGATGACAGCGGAGAAACAAACGGCAGATCCCGAGTCCTATGCTTCTTGAAACGACTGTCACACCATTCCACACCAGTTGGCCCTAAATGCCGTAAACAACTTTCAGATGCCTATACCTGACTTTGTAGATCTTTCCAGAAACCTTCACAATTCCTTCCCTCCATGTCACGATTTGATCCCCAAATGAGCGCCTCCTGCTCTGGGGAGATTCCGCGGGTTTGCCTTTCCTTGACTTTCAGCCAGTCCGGACTTAAGTTCAAGTTCCGGCAAGGTCTCAAGACTCCCGATGAGATTGAGGGGAAGTAAGTCACCGGCGGAAACAGAGGAAAACAGTGAATTCGCGCTTGGTTATGAACATGCTATGGTAATTACGGCGCAATGATGAAAGACAAGCGCAAAATGTAAGGTATATGAAAAAGATGCGATGCAGTGTAAAAAGGCGCACATGGAGCGAGTAGTGAGTGACAGTACCCGGCCCAATCCCAATCCCAATGCCCAGGTCGGTATGTGCGTAATGAGAAGGCTGGTGGTCAAAGCGTCCTAACTGCCGGTCATTTGGAATTGGGGCCCGCCCCACTTGCCGTCGGATCCTAACCAGTCTGATTTCACACGCCAGACCTACCCGTACCTAACCTAGCGAAACCGCTTGCTTCAGGTCACAGTTGTTTTTAACAAAAGTATCAACTTGTTGCGCCTCCAATCTACACTACTCGCAGGCCGGCTCGTCTACTCCAGCGCCCTCGTCGCTGACGAACTCTCTTCCCGAAATCTTTCCAACCTTGCCAACACTTCAAAATGGTACGTTTCCTTCTCCCCATCAGCTGCTCAGCCGCATCCCTCTTCCTGTCTGTCAAGGACTGCACTCCATCGGGCGCTGTCTCTCAAGTACCCTCCCTCCCCTTACCTACAAGAAAAACTAACACCATGAACCACAGGCGCGAAATTCCGAGAAAGCGCAGTCGATGCTGTTCCGCTTCCGCGAGGCGCAAGCGGCGGACCTGGGCATCATCGACGCGGGGCGGACGCGGCGGCCGCGGGCCATCACGGAGCAGGACAGCATCCCGTCGTGCGAGAAGTGGCGGGGCCAGGTGCTAAAGGACATCTCGCGCAAGGTGTCACGGATCCAGGAGCCGGCGCTCAGCGACTACCAGATCCGCGACCTCAACGACGAGATCAACAAGCTGATGCGCGAGAAGCACATGTGGGAGGTGCAGATCCGCAATCTGGGCGGGCCCAACTACATGCGCGGCGGCGCCAAGGTTTACGACGAGTCCGGGCGCGAGATCCCCGGGGGAGGCCGGGGTTACAGGTACTTTGGGCGCGCCAAGGAGCTTCCGGGTGTCAAGGAGTTATTCGAGGCCGCGGCAAAGGCCAAGCACGACGACGAGAAGCCGCTCGAGGCCCGCGCCGACCTGCGCAAGCAGGTCGACGCCGCCTACTACGGCTACGCGCCCGGCCAGGAGGACAGCGAGCTGCTCGCCTACGAGGCCGCCAAGGAGCGCCAGGCCTTTGGGAACCTCGCCGCACAGGGCCCAGAAGAGACGCCCCCCGGCTGGGAACCCTTGCCTGGAGACATGGGCGACGGCCGCAGCTGGGAGCTGCCGACGGTGGAAGAGGTAGAACAGGAGCTCCTCGACCGGAGGAAAAGACGGCTTCTCGATCAGCTATAGCCGGTTGCCGGGATCTCTTTTATCTGAGTGGTTGGGGACGTTGGGTAATTTTTCTTCCCATCTATTTTCTTTTTTTTCTATCTCGCCACGGCACTGACGAGGGTGGCTTGGTTTTGTTCACGTTGTTAGCATAGCATAGCATTTTCACGGACAGGACAAGTCGGGCGTTTATACGGGGGCAAAAGAATTGATGATTAGGCAACCCGCTTCGGATAAGGATTGCCTTGGCTTTGAAACGAATTGCCTACTTAAGTACTAAACCAACTTAGTTAGCGCATGTCTAGTATTTGTAAAACAAACTCCGTATCTCAATCTTGCCAGGCGGTGACGCCAAGTATACCAAACGCACACAAATATGCTCGCCCAACGTACGGTTACATGTCCAGCAGATTCCCAATGAAACCCGAGAAAGAAAATAGTTAGAGGAAACATGTCGCCAAAAAGAGAAACTATATCACTGATAAATGACAAAAAAAACAGATCACGCCTTGCAATGCTCGGCCCAGTTCTCCTCGATCCAGGACGCCATGAGCTCCGTGAACGTGTCGTCGACATAGAGCTCGACATCTTCGTTGGTGTAGCTGCCGCCGGAGTACTTTAGCGCAAGGAGGACCCACGGTTGGATGAAGTCGAAGAACAGCAGGTCTACGGTCTCCGGCGGGCTCTCGGGCGCGAACCCCACCTCGGCCTGGATGCAGTTCGGCACCGTGTAGAAGTCGATCGGGGCGTGCACCGCGTCGTCTCCGTCGGTGCCGATGTCGTCCCTTGTGGTGTACCCCTGGACGAGGGTGGGCTTCTTCTCCGATTGCTGCCGCTCTTTGCCGCCAAGGGGCTTCTGCGCTGGTTGGCTGCCATACTCGTCCTCTCTGTCATTTCTGCCATTGTCATTGTTGTTATTGTCCTTGGTGTAGATGATAGGCTCATGAATTTCAAACTGCTCCGGGGGGCCCATAAACCGCGGATCCATATCGTACAGCGAGCTGGCTATTGGCCCGGCATTGTTGATCATCCTGATGACGTTCCGGGCGACTCTGTAGGGCACATCGGGGATGTAGTTGAGGACGCTCAGGAACGGGGAAACGATGTGTGTTGAGTCCCTTGTGAAGGAGCCCTTGAAGATGTCGAATCGGATGGCACCCGTATTCATGATTACCAGACGCGGTATATCCTTCCGGTTGTCCCTCACGGCTACCGCTGGGAGTACTTCCTTCTCAAGCCATGTGTAGATGCTGTCTTCGTGGGGATAGGGTGTCCTGCTCATCCAGTAGTCTTTTGGCGCACAGCCGAAGCTGTAATCAAGATCAAGCTCCTTGCGAGCTTTGACAATCATGGCCGTAACGTTACGGCCGTGTTCGGTGGGGAATGTTGAGAGATTGAGGCCCGTGTGGTAGTAGAGCCCGTAGAGGTTGTTGTCGATGTATCTGCGCTGGAAAGAAAGGGCGCCTGTGTCAGTCGAGAAGGGTGTGTTGGCGGCTCTCTTCAGGTCGCCCGTGACAGACATCCAGCCAATCGTCTCAAAATACCTCCCGCTCGCTATCGCAAACGAGTTTGAGTCGTAGGCTGTGGCGTCGCGTATATGGACATGGCCGCCAAAGAACAGAATAGGGGTGAGCGGGTTCTGCTGCCGAATCGCCGCAAATATGTCCTTGAATACCCGCATCTGAATCCCGACATGGCCGATGACAACAAATAGATCCGTCTGCTCCCTTATGGCGCCCTGGAACCACTGCTCCCGGATGGTCTCCTTTACAGGCTGGACGACGGTGTTGTTAGCATTCCCGGTAAAGTCAAAGAGGAAGCCAAAGGCGACAATGTCCAGTTTTTGGTTCCTTGTCTGGAACTTGCGGTATCTTTGTGACATCGGAATGCGATTGCCAGACTCTGGGTCGATGTAGTCTAGGTTGGAAGCTATGTAGTTGCTTTTGAAGTTTGGGACCGTCTGTAGATGCTCCTGGTCCGCCGTTGAAGCTTGGTAGAGCTCGTGGTTTCCCGTGCATATGATGTCGACCTGTTGTTCCCGGTAGATATCGTAATAGTATTCGCCCTTGGGGCTCGAGGCATCGTAGAGGCCGTTGCCCTCGACGCGGTCGCCCGTGTCGACGAGGAGGAGATCGACGCCCTGGGCATCTGCGGTTTGCCGCATGTGCTCGGCAAACGAGACATAGTCGCCCCAGTCGGCCGAGAACTGAGACTCCTGGAGGTGGCCGCCATGCCAGCCGTGAGTGTCTGTTGTGTGTAGAAAGTTGAGGTTGCCCCAGCGAAGGTCTCGCATGGGAGCCGCGACGGGCTCGGCTGCGCTGGGTTGCGCCGCCTTCGCTGTCCTGGCAAGCGCCGCGATGGCACTGCCGAATATTGCCGCTCTAAGAATCATTATAAACTACGACGTCGTGCAAAGAAACTTGTACTCTTAGAAGCAATACTCTCTCGTCGTCGGTCTCGGGTTGTGATGTTGGTTCGTCTTTAAACACCGGGAGACTCCGGTGGCGGAGCCAAAGGAGCCATGCAGGTGAATTAGCTTGGCAGCCAGGGGCCCACTGACGGGTGCTTACAGGCAGGTAGCTCCGTACATTGCCCTTCATCGAAGTGAATCTACCAACAAGCATATGACTGGATACGCTATTCTTCTTGACATTTATACATCGGTGCACCCTTTAATTATTTGGCGATTTAAACGGAAACACCGAACCTTCAACCCCTGTTTACATTGTGCTTTGTGGGTTCCCGTCGTTACCTTAAAAGTTATGGAGCCATGGATTCTAGCTGTTATTCCTTGGTCCGTCTTTCCCCGCGCGGGTGCTGTCTGGTGCTGTGGACCAAAGGGGGGCAACATGGGAAGGGAACTTGAATCCGGAGACAGGGAGTAAAGTAGTTCTAAACTTACCAGTTGTTGAGGTGAAGCGACTTTACTACCATGTACTTTCCTCGTGGAATACTGGCGTGGCAGCACCTCACTTATAAGCATAGGTCATATTTCACTTTCTTCCTTGAAAAACGAAGGCAGACCATTTCTCTTACGTTCTGCCGCCACATCCGCACTGCGCCGAACGAAACATGGGTTCCCAAAGTCTGACCTGCATGGGTAGGTCCATAAAGCCCAACTCCGTCCATCTGCAGTGTGGACCTGGTGGATAGACAGACACGAACACAGCCCGGATTACATACAGGGGATAGGTAGGGTGTTCAAGCAAGTCACGATGTCTCCGATGGGGGTGACGAGCTGCAGAGTGACTTGATTGCCTGCAGGTCAGTTTCTCAGCCTAGGTCCAAGCAGGGAGCTACCGAGGTATCATCCATACATCATGTCCTTATCACTCCGAGTCTCCTTCGCTCTTATCAGTTTTGGGTGCACGAGACCACCAGTTCTGAGTTAAAGATGGGTGCTTCTTGCTGCTCGCAATCAAGAATGGCAGTCACGATGGTGTCGAGAAAACATCACCCGCCCCACACAAGCCCAGCCGCAGGTGCATCCTCCTCGTACGGTTCGCAGGTGAAGACCGCCGAGACCCTCCGTTGACTCCGACCTTCCGTGGAACCTAAGCTGGCGTCGGGACTAAAGTTGAGTTCGGCGCCAAGACTCCAACAATAACCCCGCACCCCTCGATGAGCTGCGATTTGGATGGATGGCGGGTCCCGCCTCGATTATCCCGGCCGCGAGGGACATCTCTCTCCCTCCAATGGCCCCGCTGGTGAGCCAGTCGATGGGGCTTTATCTTGACGCCATGCAGAGCCACGCCCTGCAGCTGCGCTGTCCCTTCCTGCTTCTGTTGTTCCAATACATTTCCCGGGCTAGCTTGGCTTTACTCCATTTCGCAACGCCAAGCTCCCCAATCCGGCGTTGCCCTTGCGGCCCTCACGTGTCACCTCATAGTACATTGAATGCTTGTCTTTGCTTTCTCCCTCGGGCTGGTGGAATTCTGTCCGAGAAACCACACGCAGCTGAAAAAGACGTTTGCTTCGTTGCGGGACCACGGGCTGGCCTTCTCGTGTCAAAGAGCCGGCTACAATTCTGGTTACCTTGGCTGGCAGCAGAGCTGAGTTGATTGGGTAGCCCGTGTAGTAGAAGAGCTCGGCATCTTCTCGCTGATCAACCGGTACCCGTCTTTCGTCCCATCCCATCATCCTTGTTTGTTGTCACTGCGCTCTCCACCGCACTGGTACTTAGATGCCGTGCTTCCCGTTCAGATAGCACAAGAAGTGGCCCGCTGTCGTCATTCTCTCTTCTTTCCATCTCCAGCCTAGCCGCACCTTGCCTCCGCTCGCCTCTCAAAGGCAAGAACCCAGTAGCGGCAGCAGTCATGGTGATAACCAATACCGCGCCGCCTTACACCCCTGCGGCGATCGAGACAATTAGTCCCGAGGACTTCGAAACTGCGTCTGTCCGTTCAGCCGCACCGTCCTACAGTGAGTTTTTTGTCGTCGAACATCCAGAACAGCTAATATTGGCCTCTGTGTTCTTGGCCCGACTGACGGATCGTCGCACCTGTTCCTAGCGTCTGATGCCCCGTCCTATCACTCTACCGTCCCGCTCAACTCTGACCCCGTCCCGCCGTACTCTCCGCCGGCACGTCTGGCCACTCCGGCGGCTTCCTCGTCTCTTCTTAACCTGGGGGACAGTGGCAGCAACCTATCTCGGCCTCAGTCTAGCTCGGCGACGACGGGTAGGCAGGAAGGACAGCAACGGATTGGCCTCCCCCCCGTACCGACAGGCCCCCGACGCTCAGTCGAGCCGTCTCTGGGGCAGTTCCGCATCCCCTCGTGGTCAACCATCCACTCTAACCCCACGGCGCGACACTACCACAGCGTTGCCCTGCGGCGTGTAGCAGCTGCCAGCAACGAGGCCACCACGCAGCGTCTCGGGCGCATTGTGCTCGACCGCATTGAAGAGGAGGAGCGCAACCGCTCTCGCCCACTCGAGGACCCGCACCTCGTTGGCGAAGAGGCGGCCGCCCGCGCCCGGCGGGAGCGGCTCGCCCGCGAGAACGGCGACGAGATCTTGATACGCGAGGATCGCAGATGGGACTGGTTCCTTAGCGAGCTATCTGCACGCAAGCAGCCGCGCTCAAGGTTCACCATGGGCTGCCGGTAGATTTCCACGCCATAGTGAAAAAGAGAGTGGCTTAAGGTTCGTTATCGGACAAGTAAGCATGTGCTGGATCAGAAAGAGTGAAGAGTCGGAATAGCCCCTATCCACCAATATGCCCAGAGGGATCGGAAAAGAAAGCGTCCTCGATGTTCTTCTTCTCTTATCCGCTCGTAGCGTGGCGCCCATTAGGTCTAGACCGTCGTCTTCTTTCTTCGAGGCACACACGGTCATAGGTTTCATTTCTTTCCATTCCTTCTTTCTCCCAGGCAACCTTTCAGCGCCCCTCTCTGAATTAGGCAAGGGGCCTCCTTCACTGCATAGGGCGGAACATTTTTAGGCATATTTTTCTTCATTTGTCGAGGCGTTCCAGGATATCGGTTGCATGAGTGGGAATCCCTCGACTCACTTCCTTCAAACTAAGGGGCTGGACCAAGACCCCTAGATTTTCATAAATTGAGTGCGTCGTTGACCTGACACCGTTGTTGGCTGGTCTCGTAAATATGCGCGTGTGTACGTGTATGTGCGTGGAAGCTGAAAGGCTCGCTCTGTCGTGATGCTGTTTAGAACGCAAGGGATGAGAAATCTAGAACAACCCAGGTCGAACCCCCTTGCCAAGATCAGCTGTCTACCTACCACTTGACACTCTAGTTTCACAAGAGGGAGACGCCATGTTTAATACCAAACTTACAATCTTTTTGTTGCTACTTGCTGCTGTACTCGTCTATGTACGTAGTTGACCTGACTCAGCGACATGCATTAATTGTCTGCAATAGGAGACAGGCGCGATATAAGTGGTAGGTACCGAATAGGTAATAGAGATGAATTTCCAACATCCGTTCCCCGGAACCCGTACCTGGAATTACCTGGGATCTCACAGCCCATGGGCCCATAATGATATAGGGTCTCCGTCTCTCTATTCAACCTGAAAAGGGTTACACATCCGTTCAACGCTAGGCCAAATGCTCCCTGTAACAACAACCCCCCTGCCGCGCACGTGTTCTACTTCTGGTATACACATTTTTTGGTACACTTATGTTTTGTCAATGCCGCTAAATTCATGACGAGACCACTTAGCCCTTGCTCTTGGTGTTCAGGATGAGAGCAACAATAAGCCTAGGTTGAGGCGACGAGACTCTTGGTTAGCAACAACTAGGCTAGAAGGAGAGTTGAGTCTTTCTCACCCGTAAAGACCAAGAACTTCGCCGAAAATGAGAATCAGCACCATGCCAACAAAGACTCTCGACTGCGACATGTATGACCTGACTCCCTTGTCGCCGACGATGCCAATGCAGTAACCGGCGGCTAGTCCTGTGAGACCAACGGAGAGACCGCACGCGAGATGCATAAAGCCACTACTCAATATTAGTATGTCGACGCCGCTAGAAACGTTGGTAGTTGAGGAAGTAAGCGTACTTGAACAAGCTATAGTGTGTATTCGATGATGGTGGTCCAAGATCCTGCGCGATCAGTACTGAGATGACGAGCGAGTAGACGGCAATAATTCCGGACATGACGACTGGAATAAGGCACTGCGTAGTTAGAGCAAGACTCTAGTTAGTGTACGGTCTCTCATGACTAAGACGCCGAGAACGGGACCTCCTTAGGCATAACCCCCGGTCATGTATCGCTTCTCACCTTCATGATCAGGTCCGGCCGGAATGTTCCAACACCCGCAATACCGATCCCAGATTTCGCAGTGCCATATGCAGCTCCTAAGCCTGGAGATGAGAGGCATTATCAGTTTCTGCTGTATTTGAACACGACGGTTTGCAGCGCGGGGCGGGGACATATTGGCGCAAGCTAGCCCTCGGATGACCGGACAGGGGAAGAGGAGAGGTTCGACATACTGCCAAAGATCATGGCTGAAGCAATTCCAGCCTACGAAGAAAAACAATGTCAGCCAGCTGCCGATGAGAGGCACCCTTTTTCGCATGATAGAATGGGGCCAACATCGAGACATACCATGCCAAGAAAGGGCGCGAACTTGGGCGCCAGCTCCGAGTCGGGATTGCTCATCTTGGCGAGAGTTTCGTGGACTGGATGGGTGGGAGAGTTCGGAGCTCGGTAGCTCAGTTGCCCAATCGTATGGTGAAAGCGCGTGATGGCCGGGCGCCGGGAGCTCGAGATGGGAGCTATCTCTGGAATTTGGTGCTCAAGAGAGTCGCTGCTGCGAAGGCGACGACGCAGCTTGTTGCACGAGCCCCCAAAGCCCAGAAGCTCCACCACCCAACAGGCGTTGGAGTTACAGATCACGTGCCGGGTCAGCAAGTCTCCACTTGCCTTGCACAGCCTGGGGTCGCGATCGAATAGGTGAAACCGAGATCTTTCTTGCTTCGGGACATCCTGCGCCAGTAACAACGCGTCCGTGGTACATGATATTCCATAGCAGGTGCAGTGGGAAACCTTCATTTGCATATCGCGGATAGCCTTTGGGTCTTGATCCATGCGTTATACGCGGGCGGTACGGCCTGAGTTCGGAGCTGCAGAATACCCGATCTGAGGTATCCGTACCTCCATCCAGACCTTACATCTCCTTCACTCACGGACACCTGGATCAGACCAAAAAAAAACGCCATTTACGCAAGTTTTGGCCAAGCCCACGCAGGACTTATGGATCCTACCTACTACCAGTATTAATTAGTGTTTGAGACTATAAAGACGACCAACACAGACATCACCCAGAGGCTGCCGCGCTATATATTTTATATTATCGGGCAACTGTTCAAAGCAAAGAGAGCACCTCTGACCTGTGGTACCTTAGGCATCACATGTATAAGTACAATACATACACTACACGCCAATTAGACTGAAACCAATACCCTCACTCCCGTCTCAGAACCTCCAGCTATCACGGTACCTAAGGTACGTAGCAGAAGGGTAAGGTAGGCAAGCAGGCGACACGAGAAGTTGTCGACTCGGTTATCAACTGGGTCTCCGATATTTACATTGCGTAATGGGTGCCTGCGCAGAGGTGAGGTAGCTATGGAAGGTATCTGATGAAACGTGCGTGCCTGTCCTTGTTCTCTGTCAGGTTGGAATGTCGAATCCCGCTCGAAAGTCATATCTGTTTTCGCCGTCATCCCCCTCATTTCCATTGCAACACACCCCATCAATATCACTAACCAAGGCACAGCCTCAAGCCATGACAGCCTAATTGTCATCCTCCCATCTCCGGCTTTTTCTGTAATTTAGCGCCCGGAGCAGAGCTGTAAGGACAGGTAGGCACGGTGCTCTTGAGTTTATGCTATGCTGTATTATCTCAACAACAGTGAAGAAAACACACGCACACAAGTGACACCCGAACTGCAGGGGAGGGGAACCTAGCTGACCCGCGCCAGCAACAGCGCCCCCTCAGGCGGAGCGATTTAGTGGATCGCGAAACACCCGACATTTCTGGGCCTAGCAAGGAGCCACTGGCTGGGTGTGCGTCGCCAAAGCCGAATCTGAGTCCAGGGTAGGTGTGCTGTGCCTGGAGCGAAAACAAGCATCCGCCATTCTCTTCCCGTGTCGCTGCCAACTTCAATAACCAGGGCAGGGCAGGACAGGGCAATTGCATATCCCTCCACGGCAAACTTCCATTCTCTGCCCGTTCACGATACGGAGCTGCAAGATTTTCCCCAATGTGCCCCTAATACCAAGGCCGCTCTTTGCCTTGAGGACCTAAGACTGCCAGGTTCGTACGCTCGCCAATCCGTCTGGTCAGGATTCCAACTAGGCCCGGAGGAGGTGCCGAACCGTCGTGGTTGCGGTGAGGTGGCCCGCCTGTGGCGGTCTTGTTGCTCGCAAGCGTTTCCCCAATCCCCAAGCCCACGCTGCCCAAAATTTCTGGCGCCTGCCCGGGGGGCATCAAATCATCTCTCCCAATAACGTCACTCGCCCGTGTGCCCGCAGGCTCAGGGCAAAGCGGTCGACAAATACCCGTTTTTCCAACCTCCCCTCGCGGGACGAAACGAGACGACGGCGAATTAATATTTCTCCCGTCGATCGGACTCGTCGCCGTCGTCGTGGACACTCACCCCACCAAAGGCGCCGTTGAGGGAGTTGGCGAGGCCTCCGTCGACTCCGAAATTCGAGTAAGTTTACGATTGCTCCACTCTTGATTGCAATGCTGCGCGCCCATGGTGAATTCTGGACTGCCAGACAGTCAACAGCCAGGGCATAGCAACTGTGCAAGCAACGCGAAATGGTTTACACACAAGTTCTAACGATGATGGCAGTAGTAGACACAGGCATCATGGCCGACTATCAGCAGGATCGAGCGCCACCTCCGCGGCCGAGCCAGTATGGGCACTCGAACAACTTCCAACGGGACGCCGCATTTTCCAACATCTTCGGCGCCGACCCCCCGCCCGGCAGGTCCCAGACCATGACTTCATCCGTCGCCCCGCCGTCGATAATGCACGAGGGGCGGGCCCAGACAAGAACACCAGGCATCTCGACAATACCGAGGCAACCGCCCCCGCGTCTGCCGCCCGGGGCTGGCTATGGAGATAACGCACCACCGCCGCGGGCGCGACCAGCTGAACCCGCCCAGCCGAATAACTACTACCCAAACCAGCGATCAGCATCCACCGGCCAGCAAATGCCTCCCCAGTATCTCCAACAACAACAACAGCAGCCGCAACAGCAGCAGCAGATCCCACGGCGGCCATACCCGTCCCCACCACAGGGCCAGCAACAGCAACAGGGCCCACCCCGGTTCGAGTCGATGCGAAGTCCACCTCCAGGACAGCAGCCTCGGTTGGATTCGATGCGTGGTTCGCCGCCGGGAATGCGAGGCTCGCCTCAGTTTGACCCAATGCAAAGCCCGCCCACGACGCAAAACCCTCCCACCATGCGAAGCCCTCCGTACGGACCACCGCAAGGCCAGCCACGACTGGACTCAATGCGCGGCTCGCCGCCTCAGTTTGATCCTGTGCGGAGTCCACCAGGGCCACAACAACAACAGCAGCAGCAGCAGCAGCAGCAGCAGCAGCAGCAACAAGGGTACGGGCAGCCTCGATTAGAATCGCTGCGGGGTTCACCCCCCCAAGGGTTCCAGAATAACGCCCAGCCCGGACGGACGCCCGCACAGCGCTTCTATCAGGGTGGTCCCGCGCCGGCCGTGAATTCGGATCCCTACCGATCGCAGTCCATGGCGAGCGCTCCCAGGCAGCCAGTGTACAGCCCTCCGCCTCAGGCATATCAGCAGCAAGCACCGGCCAATGCCTTTCGTCATGCCCAGTACGCCCATGGTCTTCCGCAGCACTCTGCTCGCACGACCGCGCAGGGTCGGATAGTCCCCGATAGACATCTTGAAGACCGCTCCATGTCAATGACCGGCTACCCCTCGTACGATCGCGACCCTCACCAGACGATGAGCGGGCGAGTGATCCCGAATCGCAGAATGCCCGGAGCTAGTCCCAACGCGACGGAACAGGCATCTGCTGGTCCCAACGTGCCTTATCTGGCTGGCTACGTGCCCGCGCCTGGGTCCCAGACAAGGACGACTAGCATGGCATCCTCGACAGGGGGTGCCGACAGCGGTCGGTCTATGTCGATGGCTTCAACAATAGCACCCTCGATCGCCCCGAGTGACAGGACTGAGGTCCAGACCCTGGAGCATCGGCCATCCGTTGCGGGCTCGGCTACCAGTGACCGCCCACCCACTGCCAAGATAAGACCGCCGATGGTGTATCCGGCTCTCCTTTCTCGCGTTGCCGACTGCTTCCGACAAAAGATTATTGTGGGTGAACGGACGAAGAATGAACTCACATACAAGAACGCTTTCAGCGGCGGCGAAGCCGTCGATGTTCTCTCATATATTATTAGAACTACCGACAGGAACCTGGCGTTGCTTCTTGGCCGCGCCCTTGACGCCCAGAAGTTCTTCCACGATGTCACCTACGAGCATCGGCTGCGGGACTCGACATACGAAATGTACCAATTCCGAGAAACAATGACAGAGGAGACCGAGGAGAAACCGGCAGTCAATGGAGTCTTCGTTCTGCTGTCCGAGTGTTACTCGCCTACCTGCACACGAGATCAGCTCTGCTACTCGATCGCATGCCCCCGACGACTTGAGCAGGTGTCCAGGCTCAACCTCAAGACAGGCCCCGGACTGAAAAAGGAAGGAGACGCCACAGTCAACGACGACGACGTTGACAAAACGGATGAGCAGAAGCTGTGGATCAATAGCGTGCCCAAAGAGATTGCCGATAGCATTGGCGACAGGGAGAAAAAGAGGCAGGAAGTCATTTCCGAGATTTGCTACACGGAACGCGACTTTGTCAAGGACCTCGAGTATCTACGCGACTTTTGGATTTTGCCTCTGCGGGGAAAGATTAGTACGTCGGCGATACCTCTCCAGCGACGGGAGCGCGTCGTCCGGACCATTTTCAGCAATATTATCGACACACCGAGCATACACGGCGTTAGCTCGCGGTTTGCCAAGGCCCTGACCGAGCGGCAACAGAAGAGCCCCGTCGTCCAGAATGTTGGAGACATATTTTTGGAGTTTGTGCCTCAATTTGAGCCCTTCATCCTCTACGGGTCAAAACAGTTGGAAGGGAAATTCGAGTTTGAAAACGAACGGGCTATCAACAAGGATTTCGCCAAATTCGTCGACGATGTTGAACGGCGGAGAGAGTCAAGGAAGCTGGAACTCAACGGCTATCTCACCAAGCCCACGACCAGACTTGCTCGGTACCCCCTTCTCTTGGATAACGTCCTCAAATACACGGAAGCCGACAGCCCGGATAAGCAGGACATTCCCAAGGTATTGACAATGATTCGAGACCTACTGAGCCGGGTGAACGCCGAGTCTGGCAAGGCGGAGAACCGGTTCAACCTACGACGTCTGCACGAGCAGTTACGATTCCGCCCCAACGATAGAGTAGACCTGAAACTCACAGACGAGGGCCGCGAGCTCGTCTTCAAGAGCCAGCTGAAGAAGTCACCCACAGAACAGGCCGACATCACAGCCTTCCTCCTCGACCACGCAGTGCTCCTGGTGAGAGTCAAGACGGTCGGGAAGAGTGAGGAGGTGAAAGCCTACCGCAGGCCTATCCCATTGGAGCTTCTCTCCATTAAAGAGATGGAGGAGGTCATTCCACAGTCGGGTGCCGTTAAGAGATCTTCGTCGAGTCTGCTTCCGCTTCGCAATTCAGGAAGCGACGCCAAGAAAGGGGAAGGCTGGCCAATCACCTTTAGACACCTGGGCAAGAATGGCTACGAGTTAACTCTCTATGCCTCCAACCAGTTGGCCCGGCAAAAATGGCTTGAGTTTATCGATACCGCCCAGCAACGTCTCAGGGCTCGTGCTGATTTCTTGAGCACGACTGTACTCTCTACCAACTTCTTTTCTGGCCCTAACAAGGTTAACTGTGTTGCGCCGTTTGGTATGCTACCCGGACCTGGGAGCGACACTAGTGGCGATAATTATGCTAACATGGACATAGACGGCGGCCGAAAACTCATCTACGGCACAGAGAACGGCATCTACGTATCAGAGCGCAAAGCCAAGGACAAGGACTCGGCAAGACAGCCTAGACGTGTCATTGAGGTGCCGAACGTGACGCAAGTAGACGTTCTCGAGGAGTACCAGCTCCTTTTAGTGCTCTCCAGCAGGTCTCTCTATTCCTACCAGCTGAGTGCATTGGATCCCAATGACCCGCTCTCGGCCAAACGCGGAAAGAAGATCCAAAGCCACTGCAACTTTTTCAAGACGGGCATCTGCCTTGGCCGGCATTTGGTATGCTGCGTAAAGAGTTCGGCCCTTTCGACGACGATCAAGGTCTACGAGCCGAACGACGCAATGTCCAGGACTAAGAAGCAAAAGGGCCTGAGCAAAATGTTTAATGCAGGCCAAGACGAGCTGAAACCGTTCAAGGAGTTTTACATCCCGACCGAGTCCACCTCGGTGCACTTTTTAAAGTCCAAGCTGTGCGTTGCATGCGCCCGGGGCTTCGAGGTGGTCAGCCTCGAGACTTTGGAGACGCAGTCACTCCTGGACCAGGCCGACACGTCGCTTGACTTTGTAGCAAGAAAGGAAGGTGTCAAGCCGATCCACATTGAAAGACTGAACGGCGAGTTCCTGCTGAATTATAGCGAGTTCTCCTTCTTTGTCAATAGGAATGGCTGGCGGGCGCGGCCCGAATGGCGCCTGGATTGGGAAGGCAGTCCGCAGGCCTTCGCGCTTAGCTACCCGTGGATCTTGGCGTTTGAGCCCAACTTTATCGAGTTGCGAAACATCGACAATCTCTCGGTGCACATTGTGCCTCACAAGAACATTCGGCTGCTCCACAGCAGTACGCACGAGGTTTGTGATACCTTTCCCTCCCATTATTTTGGTTCCTTCCCTTTGTGAGCTGAAGCTGACATTTCTGGTCTCGATAGATAATATTTGCGTATGATGACGAACGAGGCGAGGATGTCATTGAGGCTCTCGATTTCTGGAAGAGTCAACGGAAGTCCGATATTTACCACATCGCCGCCAATTCACCGCCAAGAGCAGATGTGTACCACGGAACTGCCAGTACCCCTTCGTCAGCCTCGCTGGCTCGCCATAAGCTCGTTGACTAGTGGCTCACTGGGGAAAGGCGGATTTCCTTTCTCCTTTCTAGGTGCTCCTCGGTAAATCGGCCTGTAAGCTGTGTTTATGATCGGAAAGATATTCTGGAACACTCGGTGTGCTCTCCCGGAGATGAGTGACATGCATACACAACGGAAGCCCGGACTGCCAGAATCAATCCGTGTGACCGGACGGGCATTTCAAGGTGTCTCGTTTACTTCCCAGTCCGCAGGCGCAGATCGACATATACACTGGTGTCGGCGAGCCTGCGTGTTGGGTGGGAAAAAAGCGTTACGCCACTATCACAGCCTTTCCAGTCTCCGACCACCTCGAACCTGGACTAGAACCTAGGTAGGCATCTATGGATGTGCGGGTATATACGGGTGTGGGTATGGGGGGGAGAGGGGGTTGTGAGCTGATGTATGTGGAAGCCCGGAGTGGTAAAATCTCTGACATGCAGAAAAAAGCAATAAAAAAGCGAGAGGACGTCTGAATCAGGCTTGGGGTAGGCCCGAGTTTGTCTTGTTTGTCCTTTTTTATTCCTTTTTTCTTTTCGGGAGGGGAAGGGGCAAGTGCTAGCAATACGGGCAGGGTAGAAGGGGGAGGGAGTAATACTTGGGCTGTTCGGATTGGGGTTTTTTATTCTTATTTTAACCTTCCTCTTCCTCGTTGTGTCTTGTCGCCGTCCGTTGTCTTTGGGGTTCTATTTTGAAACATGGCTCGGCATTTTGGTGTATTTCTTTTTAGATTGAGACTGAGACCAACACACAAGTTTAATTACTTGTCATTTTAGTCGTACTTGGTATCGGATGCCCGCTACTTCGGGCTATGGCTTCATTTTTGCAGTCTCATACCCGCCTGAGCAAAATCGCCTTTTTCCCGCTCCAGGGTCTCGTTAGGTTCGAACTTGCCCCCTTCGTTATAGACGCCCAGCCGCTTCAGCGCGGCGAGGTCGCGCGACTTCATCGAAATGGGTCGGCCAGCGATGGGACCAATGAAATGCTTCTCAGCAACGGTGTCCAGTAGGTCATTGCCCCAACACGTGAACCTGAATGGTGGTGGTTAAATTGAATTAGCCAGGCTCTCGTCTTTCTTATAAAACTGAAAAGGAGAGGAAGGACGGGCGGGGTAGAAAGGAGAAAAGGAAAGGGAAACTCACGGCAAGCACTGCAGCATCTCTTCGCCATCCGGCAAGGCTGATCCCAAGTCAATTAGAGTCGGGGTGGTTCCGTCGGGACTGATCATGGTGTTGGAGGGATGGATGTCGTTGTGTACGAGGCCGGCGACATCGTGGAGGTGTTTTACGGCAGAGCCCCAGGCCTCTAGGAAGGCCAGTTTATCCTTAATGATCCTGCCTTCATTGACGTAGTCCAAGAGGGTTTCGCCGGGCACGCGGCCGAGCATGAGGCCGGTGACTCTGCCCTTGCGTACGCGGCAGCCGTGATAGCGCACTAGGTTGGGGTGGGGGTCGTGTCTATCGAGCTGCTCCATGTTCTTTATCTCCATGGCGAACCAGACGGCCACATCGTTGGCGGGCAAGTCGGGGTCGTAGGCGTTCACCCACGGGCGCTTGAGGTAGAAAATGTCCGGGTCGGGCTCCTCATCCCACGAGTCGTGCACCGTCACATCCGTCCGCGCGAAGCGCCATGGGATAGGCAGCGGCGGGAAGATATTTTCACCGGGCACCAGCAACGACGGGCCTCCCCGTACAGTCATGCCCAGCACGTCTTCCCCATTCACATTGCCCAGATTCCACCTGGTAGGGATGGCCTCGGGCTTGATCCCGATGCTCTCGTCTTTGGGATCAGCCCCGGAACCTTGCACTCGACCTCGTACTGAAAGTCGAATTTAGACATATTTGCGGCGGCAGCGGGATTAGTAAAGAATGAGGCATGTTTGAGGGAGAGTCTACTTGGCTGAAGGTCGACAGACAGTTCACTTTTGGGTGTATGGTGTTGTTGAACAAAGCCGGGGCAAGTCGCGTTGACATAGCCGGGAAGCAGCTGTGTTTCTTTGTGTCGTATGACATTAAACAAAGAAGCTATTTGCAGCAAGAAGCATAAAGTCTTGGAGGGAAAATAAAGGCGGTAATGGGGTTCGTGAGTCGGCCTGTATGACTCTATCATTTAACGAAGAAGGAAAATGATTAGATTATACATGACGAGTAAGAAACACCAAGTCTTGGAGGGAAACTAAAGCAAGAAGAAGCAAAAAGTCTCAAAGGGAAACGAAAGATGATAGATTCGATATTACGACCAAGAAGAAATACCAAGTCTTAGAGGGAAACGAAAGATAGTAGATTATTTATATGTGGTTATGTTCGTGAGTCGGCCGGTGTGACTCTATTATTCAACAAGGGAAAAGAAAAATAATAGGTTGCACAATACGAGTAAGAAGAAACACTAAGTCTTAGGAAGAAACGAAAGCAATAAAAAAAAAGTCTTAAAAGGAAAATAACGATAATACTAAGGTTCGTGAGTCGGCCGGTATGAGTCTGTTGGTGCTGTTCAAGAAAAATGATAGATTATACATCACGAGAGAAGAAACAACAAGTCTCAGAGGGAACGAAAGATGATAGATTTTTTATATGCCGTAGGCGAGTAGTCACTCCGCTTTACTCTCAGAGTTTCTATTACTAGCTGTACCCGATGACCGTCTATCCTGGTCCCGAGGTTGATTAAGAAGTAAAAAAACATATATAAGTCTGGCTACAATACGCCAATACGCCATTCGATCCTTCAAGTTCAGCTTCTCTACACCCAGATCCATCTCCTTCGTCGGCTATTCAACCACCCACCCACCGCAATACCATATCACGTACCAAAGCACCAAATACTGCTTCGTACTCGCAGCCATGGAAGCCACCCCGCTCCAATATTCTGTCCACTTTTGCTTCATTGCTCTTTCTATCCCCGGATAGGCGGCAACTACATACTTGGAGCCGATTAACTAACCCGCTTGTGAAATTTATATAGGTGCTATTTAGTACCTACGATCTCTTCTACGGCCTATATTACTCCCAAAAAAAGCCATAGTCCGCAGCACGACAAGCTATACGAAAGTCGACGGCAATAAACCTACTTGCCAGAGGTTAAGCAGTTATGGATAGAGCGGTGGAAGGGCGTAGGGGGGCAAAACCTTGAAGTAACTACAGCAGACTCGGGCCATCTCTGGAAACCTTTATTTCTTTTCCTTTCATCTCCTCCTTTACTGCAACAGCTATCCTGTGAAATATACGAATTGGAGTACGATAGCAAAGTAAAGAAGGACACCCACTGCTTGCTGTAATTCCTGGGGATGTGAATACGAACCGTAATTCGCGCTACGGACAGATTCGTGAGAGAGGTTGTCTCTGATGAGGCCCTCAGCTTCCTCGCCCAGAATGTTGGCTCCGCGCTGCTCGCTTTCCTTCCCGAGTACCTCGTAGGCTTCCTTCACATTTTAGATGTCCCAGATCTTTTCGGCCATATACAGTAGGTTTTCGTTCAGCCGCTCAAACTGAAGCTTCTCGAGGACATAGTTGTTGAATTGTGATGTTGTCACAGTCCCGAGGCGGCTCGGGGGGGGGAGGGGGGGGAATCAACGATGGTCGCTTCTTTATTCGGGAGGTCCAAGAGCTTGTGTACGGTTTCAGCGCGAGCGGCATTCCGGATTGCTGTAACCCACGCTCCCCGGTTTGGACCGCCGGGAGTCGTGGTTGGCGGCCTGTCGGTAGGACTGGTGCTTGTTGGTTTGCGACAATGGTGTCATCCGCCGCTGCGGTGCGCCTGCCGGCGGCTCGTGTGCTGGGCATTTTAGAGGACTGCCAGTTGTGGCCGTGTGTTGGTTCTTTGTCTGATGATGATATAGGTTATCGCTGCTCGGTACTTTTATCCTCTTCAGAGCTCTAGAGGGTTTGCTACCAGCGACCTAACGAGAGTTCCCCGAATTTTGGCACGATAGGGATGGAGAGACTGTGGTCTAGCCAGAGGTATATGCTATTTGCTTGAGCAGGTTTGGGATGGTCGTATGTTTCTTGTTTCGATCTGTTTTCCAAACCGGGATCTTCCGTCTTTGACCTTTTTTCTTTTCTTTTTTTGGTTGGGAGAACTTTTGTCTTCCATTTCCCGGTCACGTACGTATTAGGGGAGGATGACGACGCAGCAGGGATATATCCGTTTCTACCTACCACCTATTTTTCATGCCACACATACACATACAAGTACAAACACAGGCAGCAAGTAGTACGAACATCGCATTGTTATTTTTTTGGGAGACAGTCGTCATTTGACAGAATGCGGTGCTTTCTTATCAGCGAGCTAGATCGTTCATTTGCAATTGCATTGTGTCTTTTGTTTTTTTGTTCATTGGGGAGGTTCCGAGTGCGGCGGATACCAGCACCAGCCACATCAAAAGACGAAAGATCCCGGAGTCGGAGGTCTAGAGTGGTGGTAGCGGTTGTGGTGGTGGTGGTGATAGATCGCATGCACGTAGACACACGACATGGCGCTAGTTCCTGTCTGTGCTTGCTTTTGCTGCACTGCCAGCTCGCTCGCCCGCCCGCCAGCTTGACGCCGCGTCTCTCTCTCTAGCTGGGAGGAGAGACAAGACAAGACAGACACGGACAGGGGAGGGAAGGGAAGGAATGGAAGGAAGGGTTCAAAGCTCAAGCGGCACTCGCACTGCCGGAATGAACGCACATGACTCGTATATTACCTACCTTACCTACATACACACAGTATGAATTTGACATGGCCGGATGTGCGTGATGGGGCGGTGACCATTGTTATTACTGCTTTTTTTGCTTATGCTTTGCCTGCCTTTGCTGTCAGGGAATCTAGTGGAAGGTGTACTGTATACAGTTCTTTCATTTTCGTTTATTTCCCAAGATCAGCCAAGGGCAAACAGAAACTCAGACATGGCTTGGAGCCAGGAAGTCAGTTCAGCGAAGGGAAGAGAAGGCGGGAGAGGGCCCGAGCGGTGAGGTGAGTAAGGCTGTCGTTTCGCTCGCAACATTGGTCTGGTTCGTGACTTCAAGCTGCATGTGTCCTGCGGCTCTCTCCCTTCCACCTCCTTTCTCACCAAAGAGTTCGTGAAAACGGAATGTAAACGGAATGGACCCGCCTGCTTGTTCACGACGGGAGCGGTAGGTTGGCTGGTAGGGAGGGAGGTAGCATCCCCTTCCCGTCTTTTAGTGTACCCAGTAGATAGTAACCTACCTACCGTAGGTAAGGCAGGTAAGTAGGTATCGGATCGACCCGAGTGATCGACCAGACTACCTAACTCGTAGGGGAGCCGGTCCGAACTATGGAACCTGGGGCGGAATCCCCAATGTCGCCTTTCTCTCCGCAATATTATCCGGGGTTGGGATGGAGAACAAACATCAGATGGACTGGCGGTGAAGGTGGAGGAAGAGTTGAGCACGAGCACCCCCGTGTCGTGTCTAGCCGAACTCGAAGATCGAGATTGCCATTGTCTTGCATGGAAACCTTGTCTGGCCAGTCTACGTCGTGTGTGTGTGTGTGTGTGTGTTTGTGTGCAGATCTCGAAACATGGAGGCGGTTTCATGTCTTGTTTTTTTTCAGCTGCCCGTTGTTTATTGCTATTTTGGCCATTCTCGAGCACGGAAGGGTGAAAAAGAGAGAGTGTGTGAAAAACGTATGTGTGGTAGGGAAAAAAGAAAAGAAGAAAATAGACGAGAACGGAAGAGGATGAAAAGGAAAGGGCAACCCGGCCGTGCGTGCATGTTAATGGGAGGTACGGGCATGTACGAATATGTGCATGTCAATGAGGCTGCTCTCTCTGCGTATGGATTGGATGGACACGACTTGGATGTCCCCGAACAGTCACCGATCTGTTTTTTTTGTTTCCTTTGACATATGACAGGAGCTATGCCACGACTCGGAATGTCGGGGCTTTCGAACTTGACAGGCCGTTTTTCTTTCTTTTTTTCTTTTCTTGTGTGCCATGTCTCGCTTTGCCTCGCTTCCTGTCTTTCCCATTTACGTAGCAAGACATGTCCCGAACTGTGTAGGAGGTACCTAAGGTAGTCAAGTTCAACCCGGGATAACATCCGTGTCACAGCTCCAATAGATCGCTAATCTAATGCCATGCATGCACCCACCCGCTCCCTGCACATCCCGTACAGTACATACATACAGTACAATAAGCATAGCAGGGTAAGAGGTGAGTGGATGTGTCCGTAGATCCTTCCCTTTCAGAGCTTACAGCCTAGCTACCCCACTTGCCGCCACCGCTTTCCGGGTTTGGGTCTGGAGGGGGGCTGGCCTTGGTGGTGCATGCGGGTTCGTCCAGGATTCCCCGGAATTTTAACGTCCCTTCCTATTGCTGCCTTCATTTTCCCAAAGACGGAGACGTCGGAAAACAGTCCTTGCCAATGGAGACCTGCTCGACGGTGCTGGGCATGGGGGTCATGTTCAATGCCTAATTCGGGTTTCTTGGGCATATTTACCAGACCGAGACGGTTCAACACGCGGAAAATTGGAGCCAGTAATAGGAACCCGATCAATTACTTGAGGCACCCAGGTCATGGTATCGCGAGTAATCAAAAGGAAGGTTCCTAAGAAGGGGGCACGACGTGGGCATTGGGAACGGGAATGGGGCAAGGGCAAGGGCAAGGGCAAGGGCAAGGGCATGGGGGACTGACAGGACAAGAAGAGACACCAAAAGGTCCTGCCAACGACTTCCGGGTTGACAGAGCGGGCAGCAACTCATAACTCATACCCAGGGCTCCGTTTCGTCCACCACGGCTCGCCGTGGGGACGAGGGGCAAGGGGCAAGGGGCAAGGGTAGATCTGGAAGACCCAGCCCTGCTACGTATTGCTGCCTGTCTGTGTATATTGCTCTAGGAAAGGAGAGCAGCGGAGAGGAGCAGGTGATACCTCTCGGGTCTCCCCCGACTTCTTGCATCCATGCAGCATACACGGCATACCCATCGCGCCCTAACTCTATTGATAAATATCAGACTCTCGGTATCCTGCCGACACATCTCCCTTCTCCCCTCCAAACACCACCCACATCCTCCATCCGTGCCCTTACATGTTTACCTGACTTGGTGTTTCTTGAAGCAAGAGCAGTCTCTTTTCTCGTTCCCGGTTGTGTCGCTACAGGCAGCCGTTCCCATCTTCAACACTCGGCCAACCTCATCACCGGAGTCGAATCTTGACGACCAGACTGCGCAATGTGGAGACACTACGCCATACCTATACTTCCCGCGTCCTGGTTTGGATCAGGTTCCAAGCCAGAAGACAAGGGAAAGGGAAAGGGAAAAAAAGAAGAAGCACCGCCCGAGCCAAGGGTCAAAACACAAGAGGAACTCGACGAGGAATATAATTTACAACTCCTCCTTGAGCTGCCGGAAGAGGACCTGCGTCTACTGCTGGAGGGCTGCCTCTGTGCCAACTTTTATGTACGCCAGACCCCGATTCGGGGGGGAACATCTAACTCTCTTCCGCTTTGACCTGACATGACATGGCTCGCAGAACTCCATCCAGTGTGATAGCCTAGTGATGGAATTCGGCACGAGGTGCGAGGACTGTGTGGTAAGCCTTCTACTGTCTTTTTATTTTTGTCTGGGTGTGCTGTGTGCCCTTCCTGTTTGCTGGGCAGCCAGCCAGAGATTGAAACTAAACTACATAACATGGACTGATGCTTTCCTTTTTCTTCTACCATCCAGTTCACCCAAGAAGGTGCCTCAATGACCAGAGGCCTATTATGGAACAACAAGACGCGGGAGATACCGCGGAGGCAGTACCACGACTATACATACGTCAGCAACATTGTCACTCGAGGGGCAGTGACGCGCGTCAACAGCCTGGCGCAGCGGCGCTGAGTCGTGGCTCTCTGGGAGAACGGCACCAGCACCAGCACCAGCAACAGCAACAGCAGAACATCGTGATACAACGGAACTCGCCATACACGCCGGGCCAAGGGAGCGTCGGGTGGGTAGGAGAGAGAACACGGTTTCGGGACTATAGAGTGGAGACTCACCCTCTTACTAGAGAGAGGCATGCATGCATGTACGGCATTGAAGGAGCAGAGCACTTGCGTTTGGGAAACGGGAGCCACTGGCAGCTGGGATCTGTACAAGAGGGTTGGTCTTGTAACGGACCGGGATATTTGTTCTTGGGGTAATCAGAGTCGGAACATGTCGCAGGATACCTAAACGTGTGTGTGGATATATAGAGTAAGTTTTTGTCTTGATCTTGCACAAAATAGGCGGGCCGATGGGCCAGTGTCAGGAACATACCTAATCATAGTGGAAGGAATGCAAAAGACCTTCAGGCTTCGTCGCCAATATGTAAAGCAAATCCAATCCCTTTCTGTTCACCCACGTAAGAGTAAGCCTCACCGCCCCGAGTGCACTGAAACACGGCGGGACAGCTCCGTGGCCTGGTGACCACGGCGCTGCCAGACAAAAGCGAAGCAGCTGATGACAGCCCGAGTAAGAAGCATGCCGTGTGACCCGAACCCGGGAATTTGATTCCTCTTCAGAACTTTGTACAAGGTTTCGCACTGCGCACAGCGTACAGCAGGACATGCAACTTGCCGGTGTCCTTCCCACCGGGCTTTTTTTGTCATGATGTTGTTTCGGTATACCCAAGCTGGGTAACCACTTCGACATATTCTCCGCTGTTGTCCACGAATACAGAGTAGAACAATACCTACGATCTTGGTAGTCGGATACATTCCGTGTAATTAGCAAAAAATAACAAAGCCTATATACAGACGCCATACTAGTTAGATGCATGGAGCTTCGTGATTTCATTACCATCCAACAAAATCGCGGTATTCAGAAAGTACATGATTTCCAAATGCGACGAGACAGACCCCTCAAAGATCAAGAGTCTTTCTCCCTTTCTCATAATCGAGACAAAACGAGGACAAGAGCCCTTTCAGTTCCATTCCCAGTCCTAGTACCCAAAGCCAACCTTAGTTCCCATACCATGATAGTTAGTGCCTTTCCCCTTTTTACCTGTTACAATTTCCAGTACAGTAATGTTCCGAAAAATCATACCAATACATATCAGAGATCCAAAAAGAAAATATGACGGTGTACCCCCCTCCCCCAAACCCGGTTTTCGGACAGACACTAATACAGCCGCCGCTGGTAGTACCCCCGCTGGCTGCCCTGCGACAGCTTCTGGATGTCGGCTCGGATGCGCCGCCGCCGCTCGGCACGGCTGATGGGTTTCTGCGAGTCTTTGTCGTCCGCGTCCTTGTCTTCGTCGGCAGAGGCGGCTGCGTCTTTCTTCTGCTTATACGGCCACCACCGGCTCCGTGCGGGTTTGGTCTTCTTCTTCTTCGTCTTCGTCTTCTGTGCGTGTGCGTCGTGCTCGGGCGCCGTCTTTGTCGGGAGTTTTTGCTGCGACGCATCTGTTTCGCCCGTGTCTGTGTTTGCGTCTATTGGTTGCTGCCGCAGCTCAGGGGCGGCGCTGTCCGGCTGCTGTGGCGGCGTGGGCTTGACCTCTACCGCGGCTGCCGGCCGGGTGCGACTGTCGTACGGGTCGTCGACGGCGATCACGGTGCCGTCCTCGAGCTCCGTCGTGCTCTGCTTGAACCGGTCCGGCAGGAAAATCTTGGGCGACACTCTTGGCGTCGGCCGGATTGCTGCCCGCAGGTCCCGGAGCGTGCGCTGCTGGATGACATAGCCGCTCAGGAAGAGGGCGGCGGTGCATAGGAGGACTAATGTGTTTGATTTCACGGTGATATTAGATGCTATATTTTTTTTTATTTTGGCTTTGGTATGTGGGAGTATCTGGCTGGAATGGAATGCGACAGGGGGGCTACCTACTGACGCTGGTAGAGACGGCAAATGACACCTGCGCCGACGTGAGCAACATGGTCTGGTCCCTCTTCCGGAACTGCAGAGGAGAGACAAATGTCAAAATCGAATGCTTTATAAATATTGACGTAATTGACAATGCGTCTCGATAGCCGTAAAAACTCTGTATCTAGAATAACGTCGGATATGGGTGTTTGATGTGGACGAGCGCACGGCGAACATGGTCCCTCCTTTCCTCGGTGATGCAACCCAGCCCCAAACAAACCGTGCGCGTTGGGGAGGCAACCAGCCTTATCGGGTATCGGCAGGGCGCAACTGCCAAGACTGTGGAGAAAGCTTAGCCGCTACGGAATACTGCTCCCAAAAAAAAAAAGATTAGCGGGGAGCAGCCAGCCCACCTAAATTTATTTAGCGGCCTTTCCAGGTTACGTACAGGACCTACGGAGCACTGCAACGAAACGAAACGCCTTCCAGGTCCTTTAACTCGCCCCAACGCAACTTGTCGCGCTGCCGCCAACACACGCCACCCAGCAAATCGACACAGCCCACGATGAGCAAGTCGGAATTCCACCGGGCCGATGAGAAGCGGTTCCTGGACGAGCGGGGCGGGTCGGGCCCGCTCGCACCCAACGGACTCAACCCGGCGACCATCATGGAGAAAGCAGTGCGCGAGCGCATCGTCGAGAGCTACTTCTACAAGGAGCAGTGCTACGGCGTCAACGAGGCCGACATCGTCGACCGCGTGGTCGAGCACGTCGACTTCATCGGCGGCACGTACGGCATCGCCCAGAAGCCGTCGCCGTTCCTGTGCCTGGCCTTCAAGCTGCTCCAGCTCGCGCCCAACGACGCCGTCCTCGACGAGTACCTGCGCTTCGGCGGCGACAAGTTCAAGTACCTGCGCGCGCTGGCGGCCTTCTACATTCGGCTGACGCGCGCCGACAAGGACGTCTACGCCACGCTCGAGCCGCTGCTCGAGGACCGCCGCAAGCTGCGCCGCAAGGGCCGCGCCGGCACCTCGCTGACTTTCGTCGACGAGTTCGTCGACAACCTGCTCACCGAAGACCGCGTGTGCGCCACCACCCTGTGGAAGATGCGCAAGCGCGACATCCTCGAGGACCTCGAGCTGCTCGAGCCCCGCGTTAGCCCGCTCGGAAACATTGAGGACCTGCTCGAAGAGGAGGAGCAGCGGGAGAAGGACGAGGCCGAGCGCAAGGCCGCCGCCGAGAACGGTCACGATGATAGCGGTAGCCGCGGGAGCAGTAGCGATGGCTCTGTGAGGTCGGCGTCGCGGTCGCGGTCGCGCTCGCGGTCAACACGGAGGACGAGGTCGAGGTCGGATTCACGGTCGAGATCGAGATCGAGATCTAGGCGCAGGACGAGGTCGCAGTCAGACTCGCGGTCAAGGTCGAGGCGGAGGTCGAGGTCAGCTTCACAGTCCAGGCCACCGTCGAGGTCTAGGTCGAGGTCTAGGTCAGGGGAAGAGGGCGAGGTCTCAGATCACGACAGGATGGACGTCGACCGACCAGAGAGGCGGGGGCCAGGGAGAGCCGACTAAGAAGCAAGAAGACGTGTCAAGTATAGTATTTAAATAACGCCCATAATGATAAATGTTGTACATCGAGTCCTTAATTGGCAGGGCTGTGCTGGAATAAAGTTCACAGCAGCGCCGACTACCACGACAAGATTGGGAAGCAATGATATACAGCAAAGTGAAGCTGCCGTGCTACTTCTCTCCTATTTTATACAAATCCAATGTTTTATACACGTCAGAACACTTGACCAAGTGTGAAAGTAGGTTCGCAGAGACGTAAGCCATAGCAACATCGCGCTGGCCTGAACACTGCATGTCGTATAATGCGACTCGAGCATCCTCAGTGAGATCTCAACAACTCGGAGGGAACCACTATCATCTAGAAATCTCAAAATGACAGGTAGCTTTCATGTCGGCTCGGAAAGAGCCCTCGCCACTGCGCCCGCGACGGCGAGCAGCCGCGCATCGTCCCAGAACTGGCCGATCAGCTGCAGGCCGGCAGCGCCGGGCCCTGTTTCTCGCCCGGGGCTCTCCGCCGCCTCCGGCGCGACTTGCACCGGTATGCTGATGGTAGGGAGCCCGGCCAAGCTGGCGGGAACGGTGAACACGTCGTTCATGTACGAGTCGACGGGCGACTGCTGCTGCGCGGTGACGTCGGCCAGCCTAGGCGCTAGCGTCGGCGCCGTCGGGCACAGGAGGAAGTCGACCTCTGTCGGGCCGAACTTGTTCTCCATGGCGACCGAGTCCGGCAGGTCGCTGAGGTCAAAGGCCTCGGGCTCGTGCAGCGGGTTCGCCAGCGCGAAGACGCGGTCAAAGTCGCGCCGCACCAGCCGGCGCACCGCCTGCGCCTTGATGAAGTAGTTGTCCATGGCCTCGGAGCTCAGCGTGTACGATCCCAGCAGGATCCGCCGCTTGACCTCGTCCCCGAAGCCGCGGCCGCGGCTCGCCGCGTACAGCACGCCCCCGTCGGCCACGTCGCTCTCGCTCTCGCCCCCGGCACTACCGCCGTGGTCCTCCCGCGTGCCATAGCGGATCCCGTCGTACTTGGCCAGGTTGGAGGACGCCTCTGCCGGCGCAATCACGTAGTAGGCCGCCAGCGCGTGCCGGGTGGAAGGCAGCGACACTGGAACGATACGTGCCCCCAGTTGCTGAAGCGCCTCGGCCGACGCAGACCACACATCGCGTATGCGCGGGTCCAGCTCCTCGATGTTGTACTCGAGCGGGATGCCAAACCTGACGCCTTTTAGCACAGCGGTCAGACTACTGCGGTAGCCCTCCCTCCCGCTGGCACACCTTGCCCTCGCCGCGGGCGACAGGCTCGTGGGGTCTTTCGGGTCGTGCTCGGCCCACAAGCCACCGGCGCCCACCAGCAAGTCCGCGATGGTGCCGACGGAGCGCGCCAGAAAGCCCACCGTGTCCAGCGAGTTGGCGTACGGCACCACGCCGTGCCGCGACAGCATGCCGTACGACGGCTTGAAGCCCACGACGCCCGTGTAGGCGGCCGGCAGCCGCACCGAGCCGCCTGTGTCGGTGCCCAGCGCCACGTCCGCCTCGCCACACGCGACCGCCACGGCGCTGCCACCCGAGCTGCCACCCGCCGACCGCGCCTCGCCCCCATAGTCGCCGCTGGCGCGTACCTGCTGCCCCTGCCCCTGGTCGTTATCGGGTCCCTGGGCCACGGGCCCAGAGGCCGAGTGCACCGAGTGGCTGCCCATGCCGAATTCGTCCAGGTTCGTCTTGCCGACTACCACGGCGCCGCGGGCGCGCAGCTGCGTCACGATGGTCGCCTCGAAGGGGCTGCGGTAGCTGGTCAGGAACGGCGAGGCGCATGTTGTTGTCGACGACGCCGTCGCGCCTGTCGTTGCGATGTTGTCCTTGACGGCGAGCGTGAAATGCGGCGGCGAGGGAGCATCTTGCCCGTTGACGGCCGGCTTGGGATCTACATGACTAACATTTAGCATTAAAATTCTTGTGCATGTTGCTTTCTCGCCGTGCCGGACGGAACTGACTGACCTCGGGAGATGAAGTGGTTCAGCAGCCGTCGCTGCTGCTGCTGCTGCTGCTGCTGCAACTGCTTCGCGGAGCAGCTCACATGGTGCAGACACAGGCCCCGGAGAAGCCCGGTTCTGGCTGACATGTAGCTTTTGTCACTGCAGCGTACGCAACACACTTCAATTGAGTCGAGTTCAGTCTTGGACCACCATGTTGTTTGCCACGGAGAAATTAAAGAGCTTCCAATTGCTAAAATGTTTCGGTGCTTCGATTACTGGTAAAGTGGGGGTTAGGGTCGTCTCCGGCCAACTCGTCTTCATTGCTTCTAACAAGCAAGCTGTGACTGTCACTGGATCCCAGAGCGCCTTCCTTCGTTTCAAAGAATGGAACATTTTAATGCGGAAGCCTTTCTAGATAAGACTAGGCAACCCTTTTTCTTCATCACACACCAGCTCCACAAGTTTTGCAATCTCAGTGGTTTAAAAATAATTATTAACTTTGCAATTCGACAGTATCAAGAAATCTAACAAAGCACAAAACGCCTCTACGTGGTATTGGTATCCCAAAGAATGCCTTGCTCTCCCCATTCCAATTTCGCGCACAGGTATCAGGCAGGCAGGTCCTCGACAAAAAAACAGAAACAGCAAATGAACACGATGCAGACCACAACCTTTTCAGCTTCTCAGCTCAGCCCAGATAACTCTCCCTTCACTTCTTTCCGTTGATGTGCCAGTCAAAGACCTTCTGAAAGACCTCCTTGCCGTTGCCCTTGATAGTCTCACCGTGGCAAGGGACGATGGTGTCAAAGTCCCAAGCATTGATGCGAGCTATGCTCTCGTTGAAGCCGGTGCGGTTGCCACGGCTGATGGCGTGCCAGATCAGCCTCTTCATGCCCTTGGCCTCGCCCTCGGTGCTCTGGACCCTCATGAAGAAGCGAGCGAGGACGCCCGGCTTCGGCTTGTCGGCAGGGAGCACGTTCTCGTACTGCTCAATGGCCGGAAGGTTGAATATGAGGTCGGCCTCGATCAGCACCTTCTCGGGCTTGTAGAGGAAGGCAAGCTCCTTGGTGGCGTGTGCGTCGACGAACTCGTATGAGAAGTCGAGGTCAAACTCCTCGCTGATGGTTGTCTCGGCCTTTGTGCTAGCCTTGAATACGACGCCGAATGGCTCATGGCCAATATAATCCTCGGTCATCTTCTCGCGCTTCTCCGGCAGCCCCTCGGGCCCGATCAGGATCGCCTGCGGGTACGCATTCGCCCATTTGGACAGGAAGATGTGGTGTTCAATATCGGGCGCAATCAGATACTTGACGTTGCCGCCCATCTCGGCAAGCTTCGCCTCCACCTTGGGAGTCAGATCCACCGGCGAGAACACAGCCAGTGCACCGGATGTAAGTCGCACTGAAGAGAGAGATGTTAGCGAGAGTCCAGCTCTCTCATGACTGGATGACAACGGCGTGCTTACCTATAGTTGCTCGGCCACCAATCGGGATGCTCCCGAACCGCAAGAACGGAACGGAAAGTGTTACGACATTGCCGCTCTCAGTCACGTTGCGGATCGAGATGACGTCGTCGGCGTTCTTGGGAATTTGCTTCTCCGCCATCTTGATGTCTTGTGTATTGCCGACGAGTGTGGTCGTGGTTGATGTACTACGAGTCAAAGCCGACTCAGTGTTTCTCAATTCGGCGTTTCTCGACTTTTTTGTTGCCTTGACGATTGATGCACCAACAAGGATAATAGCTCCGATGGCAAGAGCCGCCATGCGACTTGAGGCGGAAAGAGGGAAAAAAGATGCCGTGAGTGGTGGGGACCTGTGATGCGGCGGATTGTGAGTGCGAGAGGTGAGTTTTAATGTCCGACTGTTGTGAAGAAATCTCTGAGGTGACTTGTTGCTATGAGTCTTGATGTTGTTGAAAGCAGATGCTACTGGGAACTTGATGAGCCTGGCCATGATAACGACGGGACAGAGGGCAGTTTATATCGTTGTCGCGTTGACAAATATCCATGCTGAATCTGGGATCCCAGCCTCTCAAATCAATGACGAACAAGAGATGGCTCAGCTATCTCAGGAAACTTACAGTACCGGATTGGGATAAGCGGCTAGGGGATTTGAATTCTGGCAGCGGCCACATGGCGCACCACAGCGACCGACCGGATCTCGGGGCGTCAAAGCTCCCCGTGGGCCGTGGGCCGTGGGCCGTGGCCTGCTCGTTCCCTCTCGTTCGCTCTCGGTCTCGCGCGGCTTCGGCGCATTCAGGGCGCAAGCCTTCTAGAGTATTTGGCGCTAGAAATTTGAAATGTTCTCGTCCAATACCAAGTCAGCACCACCGCCGCCAACGACCGGATTCGGGGCCTCGAACCGAGGCAGGATAATCTCATTCGCTGAATGCCCCTCCGATACGCCGATTATTCATCATAGACTTTTCCGGAGCCTGGGCGGAACCTAGGCACCCGCAAAGGAACCCAACCCATCGATTTTAGGTGCTGATGAGGCTTGACGAGACGGGGTCGGGCATCTCGCGTGCAGTCGGCAGGTGCCAAGAGACGTGGGATTACTAAACGCCCTCTCCTCCGCTCTTCTGTACGAACGGGAATACGCCATGGAACTGTATACGCTGCTCTAAACGCGGAGGTTTATTCCAAATCGTCCACAAGATAAGACAGCAAGCTCACCAGCCAAGTTCGATAGTCGGTGCTGGTTAGGACTAAAATCCCGAGAGTGCAACATGACGACGAAACTGGGCTCACCAGACTGGAAATTACATATATGACAATACAAATCCGAGGCTGGTGTGGTTGCTTTGATTATCCCTTGACAATTGACATGCGAGGTACGTGTATACCACCGTAATGAATGAGAGAGAGCCCCTTTCACCGCTGCCCAGCACCCAGCACCCAGCACCCAGCACTCAGCACCTGCATCTACTGCGTAGGGCCTAGGAGACCGACGACGCAAACGTGTCATTTCCCAGCCATAGCAGTTCTTCCCACAGCCGCTCGAGCCTCGCGCTGCCGTGTAGGCTACCAGGGAAGGCGATGCTGTGTAGGCCCTCGGTAAGACGCGTGGATATCGGATCGAGCAACAGGCGGAAGTCGACGTTGATGGGCGACCAACCGGGGTATGGCTTCGCACGGTAGATGTCGCCTAGGTATACGAAACGCCAGTCGGTGGCCTGAATCCAAAGGTTGCGTTCCTCACGGACGGCCAAAAACGCGAGCATGGTGAAGGCCACTCCGAGAGACAGCGCCGAGCCAACCACGGCCGCCGCTGTCGGCCGGTACCCAAGCCACCACGGCCTCGGCTTCTGCGGCAGTCGTTGTCTTTTTAGCTCTGCGTCTACGTCTAGCCAGGGCGGGCCCTCCAACCTGAGTCGTTGACGGTTCCGTCGTCGTCGCCACCAGTCGGCCAGCCGATACCATGCATACCTCACACCAAACCATGCCATCCGGAGCAGGTAGCCTGGCAGCCCAACCAGCACCGAGAGCCCAAACACCCCCGTCTTGATCAGGTTGTACGGTTGAATGAGCAGCAGCATCGTCAGCCACGCCACGGCCGTGAGCACTTGGCAGCTAGATACCCATACATATCCGTAGGCCGCCAGCGACCCGTGCCCGTGATGGCCCTGACAAACGGTGTTTATCTCCTCCTGTTCGTCGTAGTTTTGCAACCCGCCTCCAGCGCAGCAGCCACCGTGCACAGTGGCATCGTAAGCTTCGGGAAAGAAGTACCTGAACAAGTAGCAGAAGCAGAGATCCTCCTGGTGCCTTCCAATCACCTCGAGGCCCCGGTCCTTGACCAGCGACTGCAGCAGCAGTTCTTGGAGCTTGAGGCGCTCCTCTCTTTCCTCTTTGTTCAGAATGAACGTCAACCTCTCCTTGTGGCTCAAAAGTTGGTTGATACGCATCTTGAGTGCATTCTTCTCCTCTGCCAGATTCTGCCCGCGCTCCGCCAGCCTGGCAATCCTTGCTTTGAGTACATCTGCATCTTGTTTTTCAGACTCTTCGGCCAGGGCTGAATTGAAAAGCAACGTTGCCAGCATATCCTCGACCACCCGCTTTTCCGCCTCCAGTTCCTTGAGCCTTTGGGTGAGACTGACAACATTCTGCTGGAGGTTTAATATCTGCTGCTCCTGGAATGCGAACTGCTCCGGAAGCTCCCGTACCGACGAGATGAGGTCTGCGGGCCCTTGATCGGTCAGGTTGCGAATTTCGTTGATCATGTTGTCTAGCTCGGCCATTCCTTTGGATCCCCCCGAGAGCAATTCCTCCGTTGTGGTCGATGCCAGCTTCTCTTTGAGCGCCCGAACCTGCCCAGGCAACAGGTCATCAAGCCTCTGCACGTTCAAGGCGTGGTATCTGGCAAGCTGCGCTTGGTACATTCTTTGCTGCTCCTCGAGCCTCCTGACCTTGGTATGGAGCTCGGTCAGCAACCCGAGGTCTTCGTAAAACCTGAAGGGGCTTCCTTTGTCCCGGAGAAGCTCGTGGGCCATGTTCTCGTACTTGGACAACGTCAACTGCACGTTGTTGACCTTCTCTTGCATGCTTTTCCCGGCCTTCTGGGCGGCGGAGAGCTCGCGTCGCAGATCGGCCCACATGTCTCTCTGTGCGCTGTCGATTTCCCTGACTCGGAAGCTGAGCAAGGCGAGGCTTGTGTCGCACTCTTTGGCCAGCGCCTTGAGAGCGACGCTGCCATGTACGTCAGACTCGACTAGGCTCAGCTTCTCGAGCGTGTGCCGGATAAGAGCAAGACCCTCCGCGGGCGTGAAGGCCGCCACGTACGCATCCTCGTCTTCTTCGAAATCGAAAGGCTCCAAGCGCGCGCCGTCGGCCCAGCTCTCTTCCAGCTGCTTGCGCTTCGTCTGCAGCTCCCTGGTCACGTCTTCGAATGCCCGCTGGTACTTGAGTAGCTGCCTGCGCAGTGCATCGATGCCTTCCTGGCCCTCGGCGCCATCCTGCTCCGGCTTGTCGTGCTCTTCGTGTAGGTCGTCCGGGGCGACCTGGGTGCTTGGGACTTGCCGCCGTGCCGTTTCTGGGTCGAGTCCCTTTTCTTCCTTTTCCTGGGTGTCCTCTTCCCCAACAGCAGCCTCCGGGGCAGAAGTTCGATCCGGGGCAGGCTCATCAACAGTTTCAACTGCAACTTCCGGAACAGACGTTTGATCCGGAGCTGAACCAGGAGCTGGAACGGAATCCCGGGGGCCGCCCTCCTCCACGAGAGTGTCGCCAGCACTGGCAGCAGCTTGGAGGCCAATACTTGCCTTGGACACCTGTCCCTCGAGCCCGAGAATGACATTTTCCAAGTCGGTCTTCTGCTGTACCAACTGCACTATTTCTACGCCTGCCTTCATCATCTGGTCCTGGAATTCTCGCTCTTTGTTTTCGAGTGCGAGTTCCAGCTTGTGGGCTCTGCGCCTGGCTTTTTCTGCTGCCAGAATTCTTTCGTCTTCGGCGATTCTGTGTTTTCCCCTCAGATCTTCGAGCTTCGCCTCTAAGTCCGCCTTCTGCCTGTCTCGCTGGTCGACCTGGAACTCTAGCTCCTTGGCCCTTTCAGAAATCCTCGCAATTTCAAGTTCCAGCGCCCGAACCTTGTCGATCGTATTCTCCCTCTCGTCTTCCAACTCATCTCGGAGACTTCTGATGTGTTCCTCCGGGGGGGAGTTGTCGTCAATGACCATTGGGTGGATCCGCCCCCGAAGTCTGACCTGTAGGCGCTCAACCTTGGCCTCGGCAATTCCGAGCTGCCTCTGCTTTCCTTGAAGTTCCAAGTCCAGAGTCCTGCCGCGTTCAGTGGCTTTTTCTAGGTCCTTCAGGAGGTCGGCTTCAATCTTCTCTCGACTCTCCAACGCTCTCTTCAATTTCAGCGCGGCTGGTGGCGAACTTGGCTTCCTGCGCGGCGACCTCACCGCCTTCTTTTTGACCGGCGACCTCTTGGCTGCCAGCATTACATTTTGCTCGATGACTTTTCTTTCAAGCTCTTCGACGCGCAGAAAAGCATCGGCCTTTTGTATCTCATCGGTTACTTCCTTTCGCCTCAGCAAGTGGTTCGCGCGCTGGAGTTCCATTTCCAGCTCCCGGACATGTTGCTCGAGCTCGCTGATCTTTTTCGCCTGTTCCTTCACCTCGGTCTCACGCGCGAGGTACTGGATGCTTGCTACTTGCTCACGCTCGCCGTACATTTCTATGCGCTGGTAAAGTTCGGATATGCGCCGCGCGTCGGACCGGATCTGATAGTGCGCGTCGTGCAGCGCCTCCAACGCAGACTGCTTGCCGTTAATGGCCCAATTGTAGTATCTGAGCAGATCGTTCCAGGCTTTTTCAACATGGCCGTCGCCGTGCTTTTGGATAAACCGCTGCAGGTCCTCATGCGGGTCCGCCTTCTTCAGCATCCCCTCACATGGCACTCTCTTCACCGAACTCATAATCGCAGCTAGGATGTCGTCGTCCCGCTCACTCCCCGGCCGGTAGCCCCTGCCGTGGATGTATGTGGGCAGATCCGGGAGGTACGCGTACGGGTTCTTTATATCCGTCGTCTGATACGGTTTGATATTCACCTGAACGGGCCAGCCGCCGCCCTCGTCCTCGCTCATTTCCGAGTCCTCCTCGCTAATGTCCTCGTCATCGCTCATTTCCGAGTCCTTGCCATCGCCCTCGCCCTTGTGTACTTCCTCGCTGCCTCTCGAGGTCGCGACACGGCGCAAGGCGGACAACCCGTGTCCCACACGCCTCCATATACTAGCCGCCGTCGAGGCTATACTAGGCTCTCCTGTGCGGGCGGTAGAGTCGCGAGTTGTGCCGAGGGTGGTGGGAAGCGTGCTGACGGTGTCTGGAATGGTGCCACGGGTGAGGGGGATGCTGCTGGTGCTGCTGCGGCCGGTGCTGCTACGGCCGGTGCTGGCGAGGGTCTCCGGGGGGCTCCTGAGTGTACCAGCCGCCGTCGAGGCTCGACCTGGCCTTTTCTTGTGGGCGCTAGAGCCGCGAAAGTTGGTGCCGAGGGTGCTGGGAGGGGTTTCGAGGGTGTCGGGGAGGCTGCTGAGGGTGGGGAGAAGGCTGCCGGCGCTGCTGTGACTGGTGCCGAGGCTGTCGGGGTAGGTCCCGTAGTCATCACGCTCGCGGGTCTCGGGGGCGCTCCCGACTCCGAATGATTGCCCAAACCCGTGAAGGGATCTTTCGGGATCATCCCGAGGGCTGCGTTCTCTGGCGATTCTGCGGCCGTGGGGACTTCTGGTGCGGATGTTTACGATAATGTCTGAGGACTCGTTGGGGCTTCTGGGGGTGTTGTGTTCTGAGCCGTCAGAGATGCGGACTCTCCTGCCGGCGGCTTTATCGGCACTGCGTGTCTCTTCGAGGCTGCTGTACTCGGAGCTGGAAGGGAAGTAAAAAGCACCGCCGGCCTCTCCAGGGCCGCTGGTGTTTCCCGAGCCTTTGCGGGGGCGAGCAGTCCCGGACCAGGTTTCCTCGGGCCTCCTGTACTGTCCCGGTCCTCTGTGGGCATGGGTGATGACTTTTGTCGTTCCTTTGTTAGGACGATAGGGAAGGGGCCAGGCTTCTTCGGGTCTCCTACTGGGCCCATCGCTGCGGCCAGCCGAGGCAGGGCGGTCCAACGTCGCCATATTTTCAGGGGTATCAGATTCTTCTCGCGGCCCTTCTGTCGACGCAACTCCTTTTCCCTTGTCAGCGAGCAGACCAACTCCTTCCAACTCATTGGAAGTCGGTTCGGCTTTGTTGCTTCTTTTGGCCTCCCTTTTCTTCTTCTTTCTCTCTTTCCTCGCCTTTCTTCTCTCCTCCTTCTCCTCATCCTCCTTATTTTCCTCTACCTCCTCTCCCCGCTCTCTTTTCGTCTTGTCCTCCTCTTCTTTCTCTCTCCTCTTCGTCCTCCTTTCCTGTCTCTTCTCCCTCTTTTTCATTTTCTTCTCCCTCTTGGCGGCCGATTTAGCCTTCTTGTAAGCTTGTCTACTTGTATGTACTACCCCTTCCAATTTCCATTCCTCTTCTCCTTCTTTCTTTTTCTCCTTGTCCCCTTCCTCGTCCTTTTCCTTACCCCTCTTGTCATTTTTTCTCTTTTTCTCTTTCTTAGCGTCCGCTTCAGCTTTCTTGAGAGCCAAGCTCACTTTGTCCACTTCACCTCCTCCCTCTACCTTCTCCTCGCCCCCTACTTCTGCTTCCACATCCCCGCCCTCTTCTTCTCCCTCTCCATCTTCCTCGGAACTCGATTGCTTAGAGCCGGAATCCTCGGATCCTAATCCGTCAGAGTCCGTTTCCCAGTCGCTACTATCGGAGGAGAGGGACGAGGTAGACGAAGTGGACGCGGACGAGCCGGAAGTGGAATCCCCTAGCTTCCCCTCCTCCCGCTCGTAGCCGTGCCCGGGGGAACCACCTCCTCAGGCGTCGCCATCTCCTCCCACGATGCGTAGTCGTCGACGACTCCGTCTATGCTGCTCAGTGATAATCTCTTAGGGGGTGCACGGCCGGTATTGCCAGAAGTTTCTGGATGATCCTGGTGCGTTCTTTCACCTAGGTCGTCAGCCATCAGAACTGCACAGAATCCCCCATGCGCACGAGCATGAACCGACGATGGAGCGACTCAGCCGGTTTTTTTTTGGAGAACTTGTGTGTATTTTGTTCGATTGTCTGCGGGATTGGATGATGGAGAAAAAAGGTATTAATTTGTTTGGAAGAAACAAACAAGTCGCGGTGGACGTTGAGAAAGAGTCAGAGACGGCTAACTAGCTTAATATCGCTCACGAATAAGGTAAGCCCACGATAGATACGTCTCGCCGTCTAATGATGATGAGCACAATCCGAGTTATGAGCCGGGCGGTCATGGGGCACGACCATGAAAGAGATGCTGTAGTTTTCTATCGCTATACCGGAAACAACCAAGTGGTGATGCCATCTTGGGATTTTTACAAAGACTTGTCATCGCCCCCTCTAGTGCTTTTCTTTGTGTCTGCCCGGATTTGGATACATGGCTATTATTTTGCTTGCTGTTTAGCGCCACACGTCGTCAGTCGTCAGTCGCTTTCAAAGCACACAAAGAATCACATTCTTATTGCATGCCAGGTAGATGCCATGATGGTGTTCGTATATTTGTGCTTTCATTTTATTTCCGTTGTGTAGAAGAACAAGGTTTTGCGTGCTGTGATCATCAGTGCACACCTACTAATAGTTCCTTCCTCCTAGTTGCCGTGTTGCTCGGCCATCCTACCCTAGTTTACTCAGATACCTTAGCCACATGATACCCGTACGCATGCAAATATCATTATTTGCCAACAGATTTCCCTGCGATACTAGTTGGTTGTTAATGCCCTGCTCAAAGATAATAATAAACCCCGGATTTGCCCAGAAAACCGTGACTATAGTCAACTGTACTTACTCTCTAAAACGCCTGTGCACTCTCAGTCAATGTTTACTCCGTACCTGCCCGTTGTTGCCTTCCGGGATTAGCAGAGTGTTGTTCTTAGCGTCTGTCTAGCTGTACCAGCCCCGCGCGCCGGGGCCCTGCTGATGCTCCTTTTCTCGGTGGGGAATCATGGGCTCCGTGATGCCGAACGCGTCGATGATGTCGCGCCACGTCTTCATGTCGATCGACATGATGCTCTGGTGCCTCGTGGTGCTATGCTTGGAGCGAGCCATGCCGGATGTTAAGTTTCTGTCAGCTGGTTCTTTAAGCCGTGTTAGCAGACGAGATCCATGTTGTTTAAAATGGGCAAGATGGCATACGTAGCTCGGGGAAGCCGTCCTTGTCAAATTCAAGCTTCACGCTGCCTTCGCGGATGAGAAAGGAGACGTAGAACATGTTCTCGACCGTCTGCCCAAACGAGTGGGGGTTAATGACGAAGTGTAAAAGGTCTATGCCGCCGTTTCTTCGCAACGAATAGCGGCTCATGGCAGCGGTCAGCTGCTCTTCGGTGAAATCCTCGGGCAGGTCATTGTCGACGTCGTCCTGCGCTTCCCTTTGCGCCAACTCGAGACTGACGTAGATCTTTTTACAGAGGGCGGGCAGGTCGTTCTTGTCCGACTTGTTGAGATCCCCGGCGCGCAGCTCCTCGGGCCGCACCTCCTTGAGGTTAGACACCTTGAAGGGCGCCGACCGCTTAGTCATGCGCCTAGCCTTCTTCTCGATCGAGAGCGGGCCCAGCATGAAGCCCGTCACGGCGGGCCGGCGCACGCTCGGCACGGCGGCAAAGCGGCCCAGGTGCGACCAGTTCATCATGTCGCCCTCGTCGCCCACCTCGTCCTCATCGTCGCTTCCCAAGGCTCCAGGTGCCGCCACCGCCGCCGGCACCTGCCGCCTCCTCCGCTGTGTGCTCGACAGCTCCTCGGCGGCGTCGTCCTCAATGCCGCGGCCCTGCAGCATGAAGGTGATGCACTTTGACACGAACTCGTCGACGTCGATGCCATTTCCGACGTTGCCCGACGTCAGGCGCTGAACGCGGCGGGCCGACAGGTCAGCGGCGATGACGAGGCCGCGCGAGTCGATGGCGGCCTCGTTGGTCTGCTTGACGTCGCGGATGATCTTGTCCGACTGGTTCAGGTAGTTGAGCAGGGCCTTGGGGTCGGCCTGCAGGAACTCGTCGGGGTTCTCGCGCATCTGGCGCTGCAGGTCGCGCAGCGTGCGCCGGATGACCCGGCGCTCCTGCATCGACTGGTCCGGGTCGTACTCGGCGAGATCGCCCTGGTGGTCTCGCTCGGCCGACGGATCGCGGGTGCGCCGGCGGCTGGTCGACGAACCGCCCATGTCGGACGCGCGCTTTCTCGTTGCACGGCCGCCGCCATTGCTCTCGCCGGCGCCGGCACCGGCTTCTGCACCACTGCAGCGCACTGGCACTGAGCTTTCTGCTATGTTGGATGGTGACGGCGACGGCGTAGGTGTCGCCTCGCTCCCAGAGTCGTCGCTGCTCATGGCTGCGGGCGCCTTCTGCCGAGCCACGACAAGCGTTCGTGTTTGCGTTTTCGCCGAAAGCTGCAGTTGCAGATGCCACGCCGTCGAGCCCTCTCTCTCTCTCCCTGTCTCTCTGTATGTATTGTACAAGAAGCAGACAACTTAGACGAGTCGAGGCTACCTTAGCTTTAGCTGTAAAATGACGAAATGCACAGCCGCATTCAAAGAGGGTCGCCAACTTGTGTGTATGTGCATCACCTAGTGAGGTACATAACCTAGTGAGGTACATACATGGTGTAAACCTGGCAAAGACGACCGGTGTGTGGTTCGACTGCTGCAGTCGCGTCTGAGTTTGGGGGCTGAAAAGAACGGTGTGGAATGGTTGCTTCTCTAAAACTACAGGCCGAAGGCCACCAGCTATGAAGTGCGATTCTAGTGCGGGGTATACCCTAACCCTGAGGGTGTGGTGGGGCTTTCAGGGCGCGACTGGTCCGCTACGTCCGGGGTCAAACGACGAAAAGCGCGTTGTGGGGTTGAGTTGAGCTGCAGGCTGCCTAGTGGGCCGGTTGTCAACGTAAAGTATGTACTCAACGTATAGTACAGCAGGGGTTTGGTGAGCTTGGGTCATTCTTAGTTACCTCCACCTCCATAGCTGGGCTGATACCTTCCTTATCTAGGTGCCGAGCTCGCACCTCCCTCCCATCATTTATTCCGACAACTCATATCTCGCCTCTCGATATCTCACAACCACTATCCTTCTCAAGACGCATCGCTTGAACGATGGTGGCACCCATTATGGAGCCTTTCTCGTTTGCGACGTCGAATGCGCTCAACTTCCCAGTCAACATTCGAATGTGGGTTGTCTCAGGTTCCTTGCCTCCCCCGCCAGGTTTAGAGACGACCCAATATCCACCCACACATCTAGAAACCGTCACTAACTAGCTGGCCGTCGTCCAGTATAAATCTCGAGGGCGAAGAGACACCTCTCCTATTTTCCACCCGGGTCGACCACCCAGAGGTGCAACACACGGGTTCCATCCAAAGGTTCGAGGACTGCCGTTTGGATCCCGGTGCCCGGTACGGTCACTCACCCGCTGATCCCACTCTCTAGTCCTCACTCGGACATCTATGTCACCGTCCAGGTCTGGGCCGGTTCCAAACCCCTGACCGTCCCTGTCCAGACGGCCTACAAATCTTTCCGCAACGAGAGGAGGTGAGGCATCCGGCAACATGGACCACCCCCTCCCTCTCCTGCCAGTCTGCTGACGAACAACAAACAGATGGAATGAATGGTTGAGTCTGCCCATCTACTATTCCACACTGCCCCGGAACGCTCAGCTAGCCATTACAATCTGGGATGTGTCGCCAACCGGGGAAGAGGGGGCTCAGGGGCATGCGGTCCCCTTTGGCGGCACGACGCTCCCCATCTTCGACAAGGAGAACCAAGTACACAAGGGCCGGTTGAAGTGCCGCGTATACAGACACCAACCAGCAGATGGCAACGACAACTCCACCACACCAGCTATTCCCAACATGAAGAAAACATTCTCACGTAAGAGCGCGGCCGAGGTCGAGGACAAGGGGTCTGATGAGCTTGAGCTTGATCGCATGGAGAAGCTGTTCAAGAAGCACGAGATGGGCGAGATCCCGCGCATTGACTGGCTCGACCAGCTAGTGTTCCGGGGTTTTGAGAAACGGGGGAGCCAGGCTGCACGGTCTTCACTCAAAGCCACCCAGCGCCAGCAGGCCGACTCGAGCAATCCCTCGAAACTGCCCAAAGACGGCCAGGAGACTCCCAACGGCCCGTCCAGCCCGCCGCTAACAAGATCGAGTCACCAGCTCAATGTCGAGCTACCAAAGTTCGACTTTCCGCTTGTCTATTCCGATCACGAGTACCCAGCTCCGCCTGTTTCGTCCCTTCAGCACCTTTCATCCTCACAGTCCAACATAATCCTGAAGCCGCCTCCAGAAGTCCACTATGGCCCCGGAATTAACGGGTTGGATACCGACGACGACGGTGGCGGCCAGCTGATTCGCGTGTACGACCCCGAGGTGGGGGCGAGGGACAATCCGGCGGAAAGCAAACATCGCAGGCTGGTTCGAAGTCAGCATCGCAATGGCATCCTTGACAAGGATCTGAAGCCGAATGCTAAGGTCAGGGACGAGCTGAACCTTATCATGTCGTACTCGCCAACCCACACTCTGACCCCCGAGGAGAAGGACCTCATCTGGAAGTTCCGCTACCACTTGACCAAGAACAAAAAGGCCCTCACCAAATTCGTCAAGTCTGTCAATTGGTCGGATCTGGCCGAGTCAAAGCAAGCAGTGCAGGTTCTTGGGCGATGGACCGATATTGACGTCGAGGACGCCCTGGAGCTGCTGGGTCCGACATTTGATAACTCTTCGGTGAGAGCTTTTGCCGTCGAGCGCCTCGGCAAGTCTGACGACCACGAGCTGCTACTGTATCTTCTGCAGTTGGTGCAGGCTCTCAAGTACGAGCACATTTCTCCACAGCCTGGCCACGACGTTTCCAAGGATTCCTCCCTAGCCCGCTTTCTCATTTCCAGGGCAGTCAACAGCCTCATGCTTGGAAATTACTTTTGGTGGTACGTAATGGTCGAGCTTGACGACAAGTCGCCGGATCAAGGGCCCGAGAACATGGCTATATACGGCAAGGTGGCTTACGACTTCATGGTCGAGCTCGTCAAGCTTCCCGGCGGCGTCGAGGCACGTAGAACTTTCCTGAGACAAGCCGAGTGGATCACCATGCTCTCCGAGATCTCGGGCAAGATCAAGGAATCGAACGAGTCCATGCCTAAGAGGACGGAGCGTGTCAAGCAATTTCTGGGTGATCCTAAGAATGGCCTCGTCGCGATTGAACCACCGCTCCCGCTCCCTCTTGACCCCTCAGTCGAGATTACTGGCGTCTGCCCCGAGGAGACGATTGTGTTCAAGTCGTCGTTGCATCCCATCAAGGTTGTCTTCAAGACAACGTCGGGACGCAAGTATCCGATCCTTTTCAAGAGGGGAGACGACCTTCGTCAGGACCAGCTCGTCATCCAGATTATCATGCTCATGGATAACCTCCTCCAGAAAGAAAACCTAGATCTCAAGCTGTCCCCGTACAAGATCTTGGCGACAAGCACGAGCGCGGGCCTGTCGCAGTTTGTGCCCTCGATGAGCTTCCAGGGGATCGCGTCTAAGTTCCGCAGCAATCCCGCTCTCGCCTACCTCAAGCAGAACAACCCGGACAGCCAGGGACCCATGGGTCTGCGCAAGGAGACGCTGGACACTTTTGTCAAGTCATGCGCGGGGTATTGTGTTATTACGTATATTCTTGGAGTCGGAGACCGGCACCTGGACAACTTGTTGCTTGCTCCTGACGGGCATTTTTTCCATGCCGACTTTGGCTATATTCTCGGACGGGACCCGAAGCCCTTTGCCCCGGCCATGAAGCTGTCCAAGGAAATGGTAGACTGCATGGGCGGGTCCAACTCGGAGCACTACCGGCAGTTCAAGCAATACTGCTTTCTCGCTTACAGCGCCTTGCGCAAGAACAGCAACCTAATCCTCAACCTCTTCAGCTTGATGGTGGACGCCAACATCCCAGACATAAAGCTTGAGCCTGACAAGGCCGTCTTCAAGGTCCGGGAGCGCTTCCACCTCGAGCTAAGCGAAGAAGATGCGATTCGCCACCTCGAGCGGATCATGGATGACAATCTGAATGCGCTTGTGCCCGTAGTTATAGATAAGCTCCACGAGCTCGTGCAGGCATTTAGAACATGAACTTTGCGTTTGGGATGTTTGTTGGGGTGGTATCTATTTGGGGCTATAGCGAAGGCGTTGGTTGTGGCGGCGTATTCTGTACTTTTCCCTCTCGGGACTCTGGACCTGTTCATCGGGCTAGGTACGTGGTTTCGAGAGTTGATATTCTGATACGAATGCCGCCGACTTGAGCTAGCGAGAAATAGCGTGGATCTAAACCCGTCTTCCAGACCATTCTGCGTGATGTTTCTGTCCCGAGACTTGTCTTATGATATACATGTAGGTTTTAAACAAGAGCAGTGCCCCCCTATGTATCGCCAAACGTAAACAGGCCCTTGCCGCTGCGGAAGCCCTCGAGAGTGCCCTGGACGGCATCCTTGAGGACCTGCTCCTCCGTGTCCCAGTCCCAGCGGACTTCCTGGACGGGGGCCATCTGGAACTTGCCGTCGCGCATGAGCTCGATGATGGCGTCGACCGTCTTGCGCTTCTCAGCGGTGTTCTCGCGGTTCCACTCGCTCAGCCAGAAGCCCTCGAAGCGCAGGCGCTTGAAGATCTGCGGGCCCGCCGGGAACGGGAAGCTCTGCCGCGACATGCCGCCGTACGTCACCATGGTACCGCGCGCGCTGAGGCTGCGCACCACCGCCGCCGCCGACTTGCCGCCCACGCAGTTGAGCCCCAGCATGACGGGGTCGCGGCCGCCCCGCGTCCACTCGTCGCGCAGTCGCGCCCCAAACGCCCGGTCTAGGAACTCGGCCTCGGTCACCACCACCGTCGCCCCCAGCGCCGCAAGCTCTGCCTTGAGCGCCGCCGTCTCCTCGGCCGTTGATCGCTCCCGCACCACGTTGATGCTGCGCAGCCCCCACAGCCGCCCCAGCTGCACCGCCGCCCGCCCCACCCCGCTGTTGGCGCCGTTCTGGATGAACCATGCCCCGCCGCCGTCCTCGCCCCGCGAGAAGCTCGCCACCGACAGCCCGATCAGGTCCACGTAGTCGCGCAGCATGCGCCACGCGCTGCACGGGTTGACGCTCACCGTGGCCACCTGCGCCGCCGTGAGCCCCTCGTGCCCTTTGTCGCCGCCGACCCGCAACAGCGCGGCATCCGCATTCTCGACCAGCGCGTGCGTGCGGAACGTGCCGAACCCGCTGCCCGCAGGGATCACCCAGTCGCCGCGGCGCAACTTGACACCACTAGATACAGAGACAACCTCGAAGCACCCCTCGTTGCCCGGCACCGCCGCCGGCTCCGCTGTGCCCAGCGCCAGCTGCCCGCGCGAAAAATCCGGCTTGGACCCATACGTGCCCTGCACCGTGTTGACGTCGGCCGGGTTGACGGGCGCCGCCAGCGCGCGGATCACGGCCACTCCTGGAGGGAGAGATGGCGAGATCGAGTGCGTGTGTAGTCGAAGTACGTCGCGCGGCTCGCCGAAGGTGGAGAATACGAGCGCTTTCGCTTGCGTATAGCCGTACGGCCCAGATTTGTGCCGGCGCTGCTGATGGGTTATTGGTGTGGTGGTGGCTGGTGGTGAGCGGGGAATGAGGGAGAGGATGCGCCGGGGTGATGTCCGCAGGCTGAGCATGGCATATGGCCGGAGGGCCGAGGGCATTTTGGATACGTTTTTTTGGTTCTGGGGGGTTTGTTTTGGGTTGCCCCTTTCTTGCCCTGGGCTGATGTTGTGGTTGTGGGGGGGTCCCCTTTTTCACAGAGACTGTCTTTTTATCCTGTGATGATTAGAATGGCGGCTGAATGATATGATGCCGAGTTTTCCAGTTGGTTGCTTCGCTCGCTCTCCTGTAGCAGCGAGTTTCACAGTGAGAACGGGCGGGTTGGAGCTCTGTCTGGTGATGATCCGAGGTGGTGAGTGGAGCGAGCGACGTTTGGGGTGGAGGGTGTTTCCGTTTCTTTCCCTGGGCTTGGCAAGCAGGGAATGAGGGTGGAAAATAATATGCCAGTGCTGCCGTGGATGACACAATGAGCAAGGGCAGGGCAGGTTCACACCCCTCCAAAATATAAAATATCTCAACTTTCTATTTAAGATTTATATATACAGGGTAATAAACTACTACCCATAATAAACAGAGTCGCCGAATGTTGCGGTCTCTGTCTGTTGCAATGGAAAAGATTCGCGATGACGTTGGCCGTGCACTAGGCGGCTGGTTTGATACATTTTGGAAGGCTTGCACGGATAATCCCGGCCAATTAGGCATTCCGAAGCTCTCTTCGCGGCCCACAAATTCAGTAAGCACGTGTCAGTATTACAGCGAGTGCTGCCCCGGGAGGATGAACTCGAATGGCGTTCAGTGAATATTCAGCTACCAGACTCCACCACATAATTATATGAATCTCATAACTGTCATATTCAAGTGTCGGTCTCGATGATAACGTAATCAATGTAGGTACCTAGGTAAAGGTGATAGATTAGGTTATCACCCCGGCCCATTTAACTTCCATTGCCAGCAGCATCTCACAGCCTCGACGCCTTGACATCTGCTATATTGGCGATAAAATAGATCCCTACCTCTTATACCTTCGCTGCAGCAATCGAAACAGCCCAACTGCAGGACTCATTTGCTCACCGATGCCGTGGTAATAGCTCGGCCCGCTATAGACTTAACACTAAAGACTTGGATGCATCGCAAGGTCAAAGCGCACGCGTGATGGCACGTCCTGAGTCTGACTGCCCCTCCCAATGTTATCTTTGCTAGAAGAGAGGGGAGACGAGGAGAGCAGTTACTGAATATCAGAGAGCGTCCTAATTGACCCCTAATTAAAGTGGCGGAAACACTCTTCGCCCCCTATCTTTCAGGCCGAACAACATGCACACATAGACACACAGGATTGACGCTGTGCCGCGCCGTTTACCAAGGCCTTTTAAATATATCAGATCAAAAGTCCAGTTAATCGCTCACAGGCGGCGGAACAAAAACCGACTATTTTTTCAACAACAAGAAACGGCTGAAGCAACCGCGCCAGTCTTATTTTCCATTCCACTCCTCCCCTTGTCTCCTCCCGCTCAGATCTGGGTCGGCACTCGTAAGGCCTGTCTAGACAACCTCCTCACATCTCCCATTTCCCACCTATTATAATGTATGTACCAAAGCTAAAGAAAAGAAGGATGAAAAGAAAGAAAGAAAGAAAATCAGCCATCAAAATTCCCTCCCGCTCTGTTTCAAGACTCGGAGGAATAGACGTGTACACTGCATCATTTTGGAAGATGTGAGAACAAATAAAATAAAAAAGCGACAAATGAGGCTCCCTCCCCCCTTGTTTTGATCGTCCCGCAGCAAGAGACCTATTTGAGTAGACAGATAGCAAACACAAAAGGGACTGAAGTAGTAGTGATAGCAGCAGCCATCAGAGAGACATTGCGAATACATGAGATGGAAAAGAAGACGTGAAAATGACAGACGTGGTGGTAGTAGCAACAGGAGTAGTAGCAGCAGACAAAACAGAAAAGTTTCGTGTGCAAGTGAACGAGCCCGCAGAAAATCGAGCTGGGTATCTTGGGTCCCCACATCATCTTCGGACCAGCATGTCCCTCCCCTTACCCTCGGAGTTCAGATGCGAAATAATGTCAAGCGTCTCCCCCTCTGTCGGCGTGTGCGTGTGTGTGGTGTGACATCATATAGGCGCCAACCGCGCAGTCGGCTTTTGTCGTAGCCAGCTTGCAGCATCGGTCCCACCCCGTCGCCTTAGTCCATTCTCCCGAGGACCAAGGCCCCTGACCCGCAGTCAGAACACCAGCGAGACACGGCTGCTCTCTGCCGCGGCTGTCGAGGATCTTAGTTTATATCCTTGAACAGATCGCTCCCGAAATGGCCCTCGTTCTGGACGTCCACTTTCGACTTGAGCTCGCTCAGCTCGGGGATCATGGGTGGCGGTGGGCCCGTTGCCTTTTTCTCGTCAATGACCGGCGTTGAAGTCACTGTCACGCCGTTGCGCTTGTTCGCCGCGCTGTCACTACTCCGTAACCGGCTGAACCAGCCGCTTGCGCGCTTCGTCTTCCTGGGGTCCGCCAGGGTGCTGTTGCTACGGCTCGGCGGCCGCGCCGCACTTGGCTCCACATTCATCGCGCCCTCCTCGCCATTGGCGTACGCGTTGTTGAGCAGATTCCTGCTGAACAGCCGTCGGATGCTGCCGGGGCGGCTCGACAACGTCGGCGACGACGGGTTATCTTCGGCCGGCCGCTTGGTGCCGCCAGAGGAGGTGGTCGATTTGGCTGGTGAAGGTCCCGTATCGGTTACCTTCTTTACTATCGATGTCGCCTTCTTTTGCTCCTTGGGCGTCTCGGGCGGCGTTGGCACTGCCGCCAGTACTGGAGATGGTAGGGGCGCTGGGATATCGGTGCCCTCGGTCAGCGAGGCGAACTTGAACTCTAGTGCTGGAAGCTCAAATCGCTTGACCGAAACGGTGACCGCGGGCTTGACGCTCGTCGAGTTTGTCCTGGACGGCATGGTTGCGAGTGTGGTTGGCATTAAGCTCAGTGTGCGAATACCAAAAGGAGCGAATTCACCCAAGACAGGGTAGGGGGGTACCGGTGCGCGGTCTTTCCGGAGTAAGGATGGAGAGGGAGAGGCAGCACACAATACTGACAGCTGCTGCTGGGAAGAAAATCAGGAAGAGAGAGTGTGGGTTGTGTCCGAGCGTTGGTCAGCGGACAGTTTTTCAGTCCAGGCCAACGAGCAATGGCGATGCAGCCTTGAAGGGTTTGCAGCTCCGAGTGTCTCCGGCAGGTCTACCAGTGACCAACCAGGCGATGGCGTCAGGGTGCCGGTAGGGCGGGAGAGCGGGAGAGCGAGGATGTCTCCTCAGTACACGAGGCTTTGGAAGCCGCTCGGAAAAGAAGGTAGAAGGGTCTGAGCGAGCGGGATGATAGTAAGCAAGGTGGCTTGGAAGGGCAAACGGTTTTGGGTGTCCGGTTCGAGGGTTGGGTCCCGTCTTTCTCTCAGAAGCAGCGTTTGGAGAAGGGAAGGGCGATCGACAGCGCTCGGCCGCAGTACTATCTATGTGGATGACTGGATGTAACGTCGGAAATGGCCGGCGCGCAGCTTCAATACCCGGCGATTGGGCTTGCTATCAAAAGTTGTAAGTGGCTCGGGAAGAAAAGGCTGTCAATGAGTGATGGCTACAGTCGTTTTGCAAGTCGCCGTCGTTGCTGTGCGCTTGTAATGGCATTGAGAAGGGGGAAAAGGGATCCCTGGATTCCTGGGGACGGGAGGTTTTGCAGGGAAGATCGGGAAGGGGGAAGTGGGAATGCTCCAATCGTTCCCAAATTTTTGGCTGTGGCACCTGCAGAAGGGGCGCGCTAGCTTCCAGGACGAAGCTAGTAAATTTGTAGGTTGGCGCCCACTCGTTTTGTACTCGGCTCTGCTTCTTTCGGATGCACAGCGGAATGAGCTCCAACGACGAGGACCCTGACGCGCTTGCCTAGACCCTTGACCGCGAGGTCGAGAAGCCAGACTGAAATCCAGAGCCTTTCTCCTTTAGGAAGGCCTGATTGGCTGTCAGGACTGCCTCAGGTTACTACTTGGACGGGCCGCAACTAGCACCTTACACTTCTATCACCTACTTTACGCACCCAACCGGATCCTGCGTGGATGGGATGGGGCTAAGGTTGTTATACGGAACACAGCTCTAGTGTATGTGCTGTATACAGTGGTCATCCCGAACACGGGGAAGGACTCGGTGGGTATCATCTGCCACCAAACTGTCGTATTACACCACGATTCGCCGTCATTTACTTTTTATGTTTGTTTGTGCGGTGCATTTCAAGGCCTCCTCGGCCCGCCCACCAGGCGACCCTTTCCATCCTCCCATCCCTCCCATCCCCCGCTTCCCGTTCCCCGCGTCTGTCCTCTGTCAATTTCCCTGCACTCTGCACTCTGCAGTGGTCAAAACACTATACTAAACAATCTAAACGCATGGCTGCCTGCCAATGGCCGCTCCAAGCGCAACCGACAGGCGGTTTCCCTGCATCTGTCCTGCACCAGGCAGGCACCAAGACGGCAGCGTCCTATTATCGATGGAGGGGGATGCGAGGCAGCCTGCGTCGGGAGGAGGTGGACCGTGCAAAGGGGGGGGAGCTAAACTGTGAATGGTCAGTCCTGGTGTTACATTCTGGAATCTCGAACTTAGGACCAACAAGAGCTTTCAGGTTTGACTTTTGTGTGAAGGTTTGGAATCTTAAATATCGAGACGGCTTGCAAACCTGACGACTTGAATCGGCCAGCGGCGCCGTTGTTTAACAAACTCCCAACGGCAAAGAGATGAAGCCACCACTCCCGCGTGTTCACGCCAGACCAGCGGCGGTTCAACGGGTGGCTCTGCCATTCAGCGCACGGCAAACTGCTGCGGCGGTGACTCCATCAAGCTATCAGTCTACCATCCGGCCAACAACTGAGGCCGCAATCAAGCCAGCGTACTCGTAAAGAAACCCTCCCGCCCCTATATTCACCGAGTTCCATATCTCTCGGTAGCTGCCTCCGCCAATAACGGGTAGTTGGGACATACAAACCAGAATGCCTATGCGACTATAGAATGGAGCCGTGGCGGCCCCCCAGGACCCTTCCCACGTTGGGACCATGTACCTCCTCCCCGCGATCAAAAGGGTCTGGCTAGTGTGGGACTCTCCTCTATGGGGCTCCAAATCGTGAATCGTGACACAGCAACCACACAGTGAACGTCTTCTCTATAAGTCGAAACACGCCAACTCGCGCAAAATACATGTCCAGCCGAGAGTCTTTTTTTCTCTCGTTATTTATGCGGGCTATATTGAACCTTCTAGTGCCCGAAGCACAACCGTATTTTCGATTTATAGATTGCTCTACCGTGATAGATGATGACGTAGGATTGACTCGAAATTATTCCGCGAGCCCGGTCTCTCACCTCTCTTGGAATTCCTGTGTCGCTATCGGGGCTGCCGTTTTTGACTGGTTGGCTATGCCGAATTTGATTGGCTGCTAATCTACACTTCTGCTAATTTACACTTGAGCCCAGACACTTTCCGCGTACTCCTCTAGTTCTTGAACGCTGAAAATGAAGTCTCCCTCCCTAGGGCCCGGATCTCCAAGAGAAGCCGGAACGATAGTACTAATACGCCGCTAGTGACATTGTACGATATCAGGTTAGTAGTAGTGTTTCGGGTAATGGTGATGTTTTGTCGGAGTATAGGTGCTGGGTGTTGAAGAGACTGTCGTGTTGTGGTAGTTCCAGGGCGAACTTGCACTTCTTCCTCCCACTTCTCAAAGGATTGTGGTACCGTTGAACTTGGCAAGAAGAACAATCTTGACCTCGTGGTTCGACATAGAAAACCACCGCCGCATAGCTATATGCAATTCCCCCAACGACTGAGAGAATCCTGCCTCGATAACAAGTGTTGGCCAGGCCAATTTAGCTTGCTCGTTGAGGCTTTGGGCCACCAGCCGAATCACCCTCTTTACTACTTCGTCCAGAATGGCCTTGTGCTGAATATCTAGCATTGCCGATATTGTCCCAGCTCTTCTTTAAACCCATATTGTAAACCTGCCAAAGAACCCCATCATATATCGGTTTGTGGAGTTTCTCATGAAGCTTGGTTGTGATTGTGATAATAAGGATCCGAGAATTGCTGTCGTAATCGTGAAAGCGGAACTTGCGGCCTTGCTTCTCTCGAGCACGATCGATTTTGGTTAAATGACTAGGAGAGACGTCTAAACAATTAGTATGCTATATAGAAACAAAAGGGCAATACCACACTTGTGACGGTGAGGGAATCCCTATTCGTAGCAATTATGTCGTCGTCGTCAATTGCGTCGAAGAGATCTTGCGTCTTGGTGAAACGTACGGCTGGGGGATCGCTATCTTTCGTCGACCTTACCGAAGTAGGCGCGGTAGACACCGACGGAATTGCCGATGAAGCCGACATCGACGGAGAAGTCGTCGACTTCGATATGATGGACGCCATGGTGAAGCGTGGGGCTGGACTACGTGAAGCCGAGCCTATTGGATGAACCAGTCTGCTGAAAATGGTGGGGTTTGTACGGATTACTAGCCAGTAGCCCGAGCTCTGCGTACTTGTGGAGGGTGCCGGGATTAGCGGGTCTAACCTGCTAAAAACGGCATTCTAAACAGCGACACAGGCACTCCGGTGGAATTCTTCTACAAAGTCAGCCTAGAGCCGCCACGGGCAGGCGGCCCCCTCCATGATCCGGGGTTCGGCAGGGAGTTATTCGACATTGACAGCCTCTCTCAATTCTACTGCCTGTTTTTCGCTCTTCTACTCACTGCCGCACTCGTCTTGTCCGGGAGCGACGTGGCGCAAGTCATGCGCGCGCGGGGGGGACCTTAATGCGAGGCCTGATACTCGGTCAAGGCCCTCAGTCTGAACATGCACTATTTCACGGGAACACCAGGTGCGTAGGTTGAGAAGCCCACAACAGAAATTTGATCCCTGGTCTTGTCAACCATCTTTCATAATCGGCCTCCAAAGACCCGAGGGGTAAATTGTAGGGCATTTTGAGTTTAGAGGTCGCCCTTGGGCTTTTGCCAAGGCGCCTTAGACGTTTTGAGAAGCCTTCAAAGTCATTGACCGGGCTTCCAAAAGAGGTGGTGTTCCATCTACCGTGGAATGATGCACAACGGTGGATGCCCAGCACCGCCGCAACCTACATTATGCGGACAGCATGCAGATCCAAGAGGTTTATGCACATGTCCCGTGTAGATTACCTCCGGCCCCCTGCTCAGTTTGTACCATCAAACTTAAGGTACTCACACTCTTGGGCAAGCAAACCGACCAAGAGGCTCCGTACCGCCCATCAAGGCGGTTTTCAGGGACTGAAACGGAGGATTCGGGAAAGAAATCTGACAAGACTGGACAGGCCGCGCAAGAGATGGAAGCCAGTCCGTCTCTTTCGACATCAACTAAGAGATACAGTAAGCCGCTCCGTTCTCTGATTTTTAATCCTTAAATCAAATTGACCAGCGGATAAATGGGGACAAAAAGGCGGCTCTCGCTCTCGCTAGCTGCTGTTCCGACACTAGTATTAGTCTGGCTTCCCACGCCGCCGTCGAATACGGAATGGGCCTACCTACGCCGCTGATCTGACGTTGAAGAAGAGATGGAGGCCGGCGGATTGGAGCTGGACATGCAAGGCGACCCCTGTCCTGTTTCTTCCCCAGTCAGCGTAGCGGCAGCTCGTCTCCCGAATAAATCCCGTTTGTTCCACCACCCCCCCCCTTCCCCGGTTCGACGAGCCGAGGAATCCGTTTCTAGGTAGGGGGCGGCGGGAAGAAACAAGCATCTTGTTAATGGATCCCAGGGGAAGACGGCCTGCTAAACAATGTTAAATATTCTTTGGGCCATGCTTCAGATCTGTATCAGCCTTACCGGCCTTTTTCAGACACTCTCGGCACATGCGGAGGAGGGGGAGATCAGTGGCTAGCCCATGATCCTTGTCTTTCACGTGTGTTAAATTCCGAGAACAAGCCTGGTTTACGAACAGTTCACGACGTGTTCTGCTGTCGACTCGGTTGATTCCGTGTATTTCTTTGACTAGCAGTGAGATATTAGCCGCGGGACTGTGTTAGCCTCAATATGTCAAGCCTACGGATCTTTCGGGCTATATCATAGACATCGCAAGATATCTTGACACTAGTCCCCAACCGATGTCCAGTTGAGTATCTCTAAAGGGGGAAGATCCAACAGTGATTCGGCGCCCGTAGCATCAGATATCGCCCGACTGCCAGTTGTTTCTCGTACCATTAATCAAGTCCAAGACAGTCTTGGAATTCTGCTACTGCAATATCATCTCCTTCATACAGCATCCAGTTCTCCGGTGTACTCTGTTTCCCCTGTCTGTCCCGTTTCTAGACACAGATCTGGCGTAACTCTTGCCTGACCTCAGGTTGAATATGGTTGTCGTTAACTCACAAACTCCTCAAAAACCTGATGCGCCGCTAAACACAATGAATACACTCCACGGGCGAGATTTGTCCTCGCAATCCGAGCGCGTAAATCCACGCCAAGCACGGTTACTGATCCGTTTGATTCGTCGGAGTCGCATACTTCTTTGTCCATTCTGTCGCCGTCGCGATGGCGGCTTGCTCGTCTTCTTTCCATGTCTTAGCAACATCGGGAGCCAGCGGGTCATCTGGGTTCGGAGCGCCGAGCAGGGCCTGGATGGACAACAGGATAGTTCGGATTTGTAGAGCGGGGGACCAGTTGTCTGCACCGAACCGTCAGCTTGCGCTACCACGGGGACGAAGATTGAGAGGGGGAGAACTCACTCTTCAGGACATCCAAGCAAATGCGACCTAGCTTATCTACATTAGGATGGAAAATCTTGGTCAAGAATCGGATCTTGGGGGGCGTCATAGGATAGTCGTCTGGAAGAAAGAGTTCCAGCTTAAAGATGCCGTCTGTTGGCCTGGGTCAGCGCGTAACTTTGGTCTCAGACCAGGAAACTCCGTACCTTGGTAAGGCGACTGCGAAGGGCCGTGGATCTCAACATCAAAGTAGCGGAGGTTCTCTTCGTGCGGAATTGCGCTGATGCCGGGGACCCTGTCAAGAAGCAAGTTAGACGAGGCTGCATTTGCCAAGACGAGAATGACGATAAGGGGAAGCAGGTATCCGTACGGTTCGTTCATCAGGCGCTCCGTCTCCTTGATAATTCGTTTTGGGAGAGCCATGGTGGGCGTTCTGGGAGTACGGCGTAGCGCTTGGCTCGCTCGGGGAGGCTCGATATTTTGGGTGAAAGGAGGGGTTGAGGAGCGGATTCAGAGGTGGACGGTAGACTTAGAGGACGTCGAGGCTAGAGGGAGGAAAGTAGCGAATGCGCGCTTCAGTTAAAACACCTGCGAAACGAGCCCTGTAAGCAGGCCGCTTAAGAGAGAGACGATGTTGGCACGGGAGCTGGTATTCCAGTTGCTTTTCGACCAGTTTATTGCCGGGGGGTTGATGATGAGAAGGGCAGTAATGGTGGGGAGCCCATGTGCTGCCTGGGTCTGACGGATAAGCGCACGGGCCTCGCTAGCGGCCGACTTGATGTTGTTTTAAGACTCCTCAAGTACATATAGCATGTGTGGATAACAGTATCTTGTCTAAATGCATGTCCAAACGTGGACTTTTGGACGTTGGCTCTCTCTCAAACCCGCAGAGAGTACTCCGTAGAGGACTAGTATGCTTCAGGTTAGTAACCTAACATTAATACCCTATTTGCTCGATGTTTAAACTTATTTCTCATCATAATAAACTACCTAGGTACAGAGTAGGTAAGGAACTAGGGCATGTGGTGCCAGAGGAGAGTTGTCGCTTTTCCAATACCCCAACAGCAATATGGGGGTTAGGTAAGATAATACGTAAGGCGGGAGGAAGGGAACCCGGCGCCAGGCGTTAGCATCGCAATTGACAATAGAGAGCTTTCAAGACATACCCTAACCCTGTAATTACCACCTAACCCATGCTGCTGGACCACGCGATACGCCGCCGCGGGTGCCCTCAGCGCAGGCAGTTACGCCTGGAATTAAGGTATCGTCAAACATCATTCGAGCTCATCGTCAGATTTGCATGCACACTTAGGGTAGCTCTCATCTGGGCCATCTTAGTATCCAACTTGTTCTGCATGGCCATGATGAGTGCGCCCATACGATGCTGCCGCCCCTGCTGCCGTCGACGCTCGTCCCAAGTCTAGACATGAGAGACCATCATCTCGACTCATCATCATCATCATCATCACCATCGCCGTCGCCGCCTTCATCACATCACCTTGATCAATCTCACTCCGCCCCTCATAGTCTCGTCAGCCATGGCTCCCCCAGCTTTTGGCCGTCGTCTCTCGGATCTGCCCAGGGGAAAGTCAATAAAATCGGCCTTTGATAGCGAGAGTTTCGATGCCGACGGCACCATCCATGTCGAAGGATTCGTGGGATCTGCCACCATCTCGCCGTCGGGACGAGATGTTGCCCTTGCTTCGTGAGTATTGCATGTTCATTACGCCCTCTCATCCGTAAAAAGGCGCTCGTTACTGACAACAAAATGCACGCAGCCCCGAGGGTCTCGCCATTGTTGACCTCGACTCGCCGTGGAGCCCGCCGCGGAGGCTGAGTAGCCATGGCCTTCCATGGCTTGTCGTCGATGTGCAGTGGTCCCCCTTCGCCGCCCGCGACTACTGGGTTGCCTCGACGGCCAACCATCGCTGTCTTGTCTGGAACCTCAACCTACGCGATGATTCGTCGTCTGGCGCCGTCGAGCACTCTCTCCAGAGCCACACCAGGGCCATCACTGACATCAACTTCTCTGCCCACCATCCGGATTTCTTGGCCACCTGTGCAGTCGATGGTTATGTCCACTGCTGGGATCTCCGTAGGCCGCGCCGGCCCGCCCTCACCTTCTGCGACTGGTTTGCCGGCGCCACCCAGGTCAAGTACAATCGCCAGGATCCACACATTCTCGCCTCTTCCCACGACCGTTGGCTCCATATCTGGGACAACCGCAGGCCTGTAGAACCCCTCAAAACCATCAGTGCCCACGCCTCAAAGATTTACGGCGTTGACTGGAACCGCACACGCTCCACTGGCATCGTCACCTGCTCGCTTGACAAGAGCATCAAGTTCTGGGACTACCGTAAAAGCGACGAACTGCCGGAGAGGGTCATCCGCACCGATTTCCCCGTGTGGCGCGCTAGACATACCCCCTTTGGCTGGGGCCTCCTCGCCATGCCGCAAACCGAGCCTGGAAACCTCTATCTCTACGATCGCCGCGCCGCCCCTGACCGTCCCGTGGATGGCGCGCTGGATCCAGTCGCCGTCTTCCCCGGCCACGGCAACCACAAGGTGAAGGAATTCCTGTGGCGAAGCCGCGGCGGCGTCACCGGCGATGGCATGGACGATCGCGAGTTTCAGCTCGTGTCTTGGGGCGAGGACAACCAGCTGCGGCTTCAGAAGATGGAGCCAAAGTTCCTAGAGGCCACCGGATATGTCCGAGGCGCCCCCTTGAGGAGAAACCTCAATATCACGCGAAAGGGTGCGACGTACAAGACGTTTCGTACCGTCAAAGACAGCGTCAACCGCGACCGGAGGATCCCTACCATGAGCGACCCACGCCCCGGCAGCGGTGGCCAGCATCGCACCAGCGCCCTCAGCTTAGGGCTGCGCATGCGGTCTCGCCGGATGGGGCCCATATGGGCTGCCACTTCGATGAAACACAAGACCAAATCCCCCAAGGACATGGACAAAAGCCAGCTCCAGATTGGCTGGATGAAGGGAATCACCATGTCTAAGAGAAAATCTGGTTCAGACATGCATATCCAGTCGGGAGACGACGGGGACTCCCACTTGTTCAGTCCTGGGTATGACGTCGGCTGGGGCGAGCCCGAGTCCATCCAAGACGAGCTGCTCCGCATAAGCAGCCGGTTTCCCAATGTCAAGCTGGAGAACATTGACATGGATGCCCTCTCCCTGAATGCTTCCCTGAAGGGCCCGTGGGGCGTCGACCGCGAGACGATATTCATCAAGGTCAAGGTAGACATTCCTTCCAGCTATCCCAAGAGTAAGCCGCCTAGGTTCTCCGTCGAAAAGACTTCGTTCATGCCCGGCGACGTCCACAAGAAGATCGAGAACGAACTGCACGAACTCGCAAATCGCTTCTTGAAAAAGAGCCAAAACTGTCTCGACGTCGCCTTCACATACTTGCTTGGCGAGGTTGATCTGGAAACCAGCACCGCATCTCTTTTCAAGAATGTGCTAGACCTGGACGACGAGATAGACCCGTTTGTAGACGACAGTTCTAGCGACGAAGACGAGAACTGGATCCCCACGGGCGGCTCGGTATCCATGTCCCAGGAACTCTCGGCCAGCGCCGAGCTTGATCCAACAGCTTCGTTGGCCCCAACCCAACGTTTACACATACCTCCGCCTCCGAGGTACTGCGGAGCCAGGTTTTCTAACGATGGCAGGCTAATCTGTTTCTTTCCAACCAAAGAAGAAAGGGAAACCTCAGCCTTGTTTGCCCTTCCCCAGCTCGATTCCCTTCCGGAACAGCCGAAGGAGGAGCCGACCTTTGCGGGGTTTGGGCGTCTCTCCGACGATGCAGCACCGCATAAACAGAGCCTTATGGACGAGAATTCGGCGACCGATGACCAGTCGGAAACGTCAGAAGACTCGGATTCGACATTGTCTAGCGACTCGGAGCCGACGACAGTGCACAAGATCAACCTATTCTACCAGCCTGGCCGTCATTTCAGAAAGACGTGGAGCGCCAGCAATTCGCTGCGCTCTAGTGGGGCGGGGACTGGCGCCGGGACCGCCACTGGCACCGGCACAGGCACAGGAGCGAGCCAGAAGAAGTCTACCAAGCCAAGAAACATCCTTTGTATACACGACATGCAATACTTGTTGCCTTCAAAGAAAGAATTCGCCCAAGAATATGCTATATTCGGCGACGGTGCCGAGGTCTGCACTCACAATGCCGCGGTTGCTGAGAAGTACGGTCATACCGACCTGGTGCATATATGGCAGTATGCCGCCATTCTGCTGAAGAGGGGGATCCCGCTGGAGCTTCACAAGCAGCAATATGGACGCCATTCAGTTCTCCTCATAGCCCGAGATGCTGTTTCCCATGCGGGTAAGGAGAAGAAGCGAGGAGGCAAGAAGTCAAACCGTCCCACCGGCCTTTCAGGCCGAGTCAGATGGGGCTACCACCCCCTCGCCCAAGACCTAATCAGCGACCTTTTTGCCTACTTTGAGAGTCTTGCCGACATCCAGATGTTGGCTATGCTGTCGTGCATATTTGGCGGCTCATCTACCCACGAAAGCGTGTTTCTTGCGGATCCACGAAACCCTCAGCCCCGAACACCGCTCCCAATGAAGGCGCCCTCGTTCTCCGTCGAGTACTTTCCCACTGATCCTGAGCTGTGGAATACACAATGCAGAAGCCAGGCCAGTTCGGCCATCACAACACCAAGAACAGCCCATACCCCTGTCCTGTATTCCGAGTCTCAAAACTCTGAAGACTTTTCGGGACTGGCCGAGTTTGGGCCTAGTTCGTATTCTCGTAGCGATACGCCGCCGCGACTGGGTCGTGACCATTTCCGGGAGGTCGACCACACGCAAAGCCTGTCCACTTCCCCGAACACCAGGTTCTTCCACCGCTCTAATTCGACCATGGCCGCTGCACTTGCTGCGAGCCTTCCGCGAGCGTTAGCCGGCATCGTCTCGGGGTCGCCTCCCGAGCCTCCGCGGAAGCGGCCGAGCCCCGTCGAGACAATACTGAGCAATCTCACCCCCAGCAGCATAACGTGGGGCGCCCCAGCTGTATTTGGTGGCCGGGCAACTGAAACTCCTGGAACGGCGCGCACTTCGATTTCGGACGACGATTTTCGGAGGGATGAGCTGCTACCCCTTGTCCCGGTGGCAGTTTCGTGCGTTTCCGAGAACCAAGCCATTTTTGACGACGACGGTTGGGTGACGAAACCTCTCCTTGACCATAACCATGGCGTACTCTACACGCAATACCGTTATGCGTATGCAGAGCTGCTGCAGATATGGCGCCTCCCTCTCTCTCGCCTTGAGATTATGAAGTTCAACGCCTTCAAGGACCCCAAGCTTTCTGACGCGGCCCCCTTTGGCAGTGATGACGATGACGACGTTTACCACGAAAGCCGCTCTGTTCCGCGGGCCCCGGCGAACAGCAGGCAGAGCTACGGCACCACTCCAAGGAACATGTCTCCAACCATGCCGCTTGGTAGGCGCAGGGCGCTGTTGCGAAACGCTGCCACTTCGGGCCGTGGACTCGATATCCTGGGCCTCTGCCGTATACACGAGACGCCTCTCGATCCCATCGAACGCCTCCGGCCGTCCCCCAAACTCGAGTTTGGTGGCGCGGTCGGCGTCTGTAATCGCTGCCACCCGTTCTCGAGGATACCGCAGACGCATATGCGGTGTGTCTACTGCCTCGGTCTGATCGATGGTCTCTACTCGGCATGTCTGTCCTGTGGGTGTGCCACCCATCCTGCGTGCCTGTCCGAGTGGCATGCCATGGGCGAGCTCGAGTGCCCTGCTGGTGACGAGTGCAACTGTGCGGAGGAAGCAAGCAGTGGTCATGTGGAAAGCTGGCCCGCATTGCAGGCTGCCATGGCCATGAGGCGGAAGAGGGCGAGTGGGCTTGCTAGATTAGCCAAGCGTTTAGTGGCGGGAAACATCAGCAGTCGGCTGGCTACTAATGCCCCGTTAGACACGGAGCGACTGAGGCGCCGGTCTGTGCCGTCAGATTTAGCGAAAGCCGCGGCGCTCATTACGGCCAGGTCCGCTGCCAAATCGAGGGACAACGAGAACATGACAGGTTCGGGCTCCGGAAAGCGCGTTGCTCGCCGCGCGGACGATGATTACGGTGGTAGAGTTGACCGGCAGGGCTGGGGGAGGGCTTCGGCAAGCCATGGGGGGGCCATTCCGTCAATAGTTCTGAAAGATGAGGCTTCGGCTACGGGGAAGCCGCCCCCCCACGGCGACGAGCCCGTCTCCGCGGCCCGCCTCAGTCTGGGCAGCAGGCTCAAGAGGACCCTCGGAGGAGACTCTGGGAGACCGGGCACCCCGCGGCGGAAATCCGGGGGTGTCGCAATGTGGAAGTCGTAGTGGGTTTGGTATATACGAAACCTTGTATTTGTAGTTCCTGTGCTTAGTATAATACATTCGCACGACAAGAAAAGGAAAATCGTTGTTTCCCTGATCGCAGCAACAGCCTACGGACAAAGGATGACTGCTCAGCGGTTGGTCTTTGTCCATGGGCATGTGCTTGATGCACACGAGAATACTCGGCACAACACAGAACAATAAGGGATCGATTCTCATGATCCCCAAACAAACACACTCAATATTTCCATCGAACAAACGATTACCACAGCAGCCAGCCATAAACTAACCACGAAGTACCTTACTAAGGTAGCTACATCAACAGCGGCGAGCATGCGAACGCGAAATAAAACGATGTCAAAGCCACAACAATTCTTTTTTCCTTTTACTCTGCGGTTCTCTCCCCCAAATTACTGTCCTGGGCCCTTCTCTTTTTTCTTTCGTCTCCGTCTCTTTCTTCTCTTGGGATGATTCTCTCACCGTACCGTGCGTGAACTCACTGTGTCGAGTGCATCCCCCGGCAGCCCACTGGACGCCATGTGCGCCACTGACCGCCCCAGAAACTTGTTTCTCTTTCTCTTTTTTTCTTTTTCAAGTCGTCCAAAGATTGCGAATATAGGTATATATGTACATACCGAAAATACACACAGAGTGCGCTACCCAAGTACCTTACTTACACCAAGGTAGCTAACCTGTCTTGTGAGAGATCCTGAGATACGACAGATACCGTGCCCAAACTCTCGCCGAACCAACTCAAAGTTATATGCGAGAGCTTAACATGAGCACAGCCGTTTCTCTCCACTCAGCACCAAGACAGACTCTAAAACCACCCAAGCCGCCACGTCTGTTAGACTGCAAGTAACTCGAACAATCAACGAGGTAGGTGTGCCCGGTGCGTGCGGTAGTGAGTGGTGCGCAGCGGTCCCCCGAGTATGTGTATACCCGAGACCCTTACGTCCTGCAGAGTGATAGTATCGCATGCTGCTTGAGATTAGGATAAGCTCGATGAGGTGGGTGAGGGGTTATAATTAACCCCCTTACATTATTAACTCAATTCCTATCCCCCCTCTCTCTCATGGGGCGTGGGGGTGATAAAGGCGCAAGACTATAGGATCAAATCGAGGTTACATAAGCGGCGCCGCCCAAAGAGAGCGAAAGAAAGACGCCATTATGTTGCCGAGTGCAATTTCTCTCTCGTAAGTGCCTGCACCCACACGGTTGTGAGAGACAGACCTCACTAGGACTCTTAGAGGGCAGCCCAGAGAAACTACCTACTGTAGGAATGCGACGCGGGGGACATTCTCCTCCTGGGCAGCCATGGGCCGAACAGCGAGATAACGTGCAGCAGGAAAGGGCATCCGTGGCCGCCTGGATCGATTCTGTTCGTGTCCGAGTTCGGGCAACACTGGTACCAACCTTTTACAAGAACCACGTGCGGACGGCCATGGCCCAAAACTGACAGCAGATAAGCGGTACAACACCCCAATAGCTAAATGTGGTCGTGAGGCAACCTAAATATTACCGAAATGGTGATTCATCGGGTCTCCTGACACCTTTAGACCGGCCCTCTCAGCTCGCCTTGATGCGTCCAAGAGCCAAGTCACTTTAAAATCACAGCGCGCAACAAAAAGATGGAAAGAGAAATAATAACATACCCGTCTAGGATGCTAAGTCGCTTTATGCCCTTCGAAATGCAGGTAAATTCAAGCCTAGAAGCCTCTGCAAGCGCCACCAAATCCCCCCCGACACCACCGAATGCACCTATATCACATCCATTGTTGAAAGTGGTCCTCCTTCGCCAGAAGTCTTGGGGAGCTTCCCCAAACCGAGAGGAAAGACAAGCGACCGGGATACTAGCCATCGTTGTGGGTCTTTCCCCGCTCCAGGAGGAGGGTAAGCTCGCTCTTGGACCGCCCAAATGGGACAGGCGGTGCTGGATTCCGGGGCGTCGGTTTGAAAGGCATATCAAGCAGCACCTGAGATGAGGGTTGCGATGCCAGCCGTATCCGATCCGGGAGATCCCGGGTTTCCGAGTCTATTGTGTTATACGTCGCGTTGTCTGAGCCGATGAGCCCCTGGGCTGTCGCATCAGAGGTTCCAACAACACTTGTCGCGATCAACGGCCGACCGAGGCCGATTTTCCCAGAGTGCCGGGGAGACTCCATATCTGAGCGGGAGCGCTCCATGCGAGGTACCATTATCCCGGGTGCCTGGCCCATCAAAAGCCCAGCAGCAGGTCTCCGACTGCCTCTGCGGCCTTGAGGTGCCTCAAGTGAGGCGGCGCTAGATCTTCTTTCCGGGGCGACCCAATCCACCACTGGCCGATCGTGGTGGCCATCCGTCTGAGCGGGGCTAATCCGAGGAGTGGCAGACTTGCTCGGGGTGCTCGCAGGTTGCTTCCCTGACGCTTTGGCACTTAGCGCCACTGCCTGGTTGCTATGAGATGGCGAAGGCATTGAGCCTTCTTGAGAACCCCGTCTCTCTTTTTCTGTGGGGCCCGGTCCGGACAGTTGCTGATTCCCAGAAAACCTCGTCAAAACTACAGGGGCAGCGTCGCGCAGACTGATATCCGAGCCCGCAGACGACTGCGAGCCCTGTCTGCGTGGAAGCACTGGCCTTCTCTTCGAAACCGCGGTGCTAGCCACAATCTTCTTAAATGTGGGGGTGGAGCCTTTCCTTCCCTTGGCTGGTGATGGGGTTGGAGGCGGCCGTATTTCTCCTCCTGAACCTCCCATCATCGTCGTCGTCGTCGTCGTCGCTGCCGGCGCCATCGCCGGAGCAGCCGCTTCCTGCGGTTGCGTAGGCGGAAGTAGTGCCGAGGGCATGTCTGACGGCGCAAAATCCGACGATGCTACAGCCGTACTACCGGACGACTCGCAACCGTCCTTGTCATCCTCGCCATCAGAAGGCGGTGGCGAGACAAATCGAGCAGTGGGCCTCGGTCCCGTGGTAGAAGGCCCTCGGCTCTTCTTCAGTATTGGATGGGGCGGAGGCGGCCTCGATGACGACGGGGTTGGGGACTTCAATTTCCCTTGTAGTGACCCATCTTGCTCGTTCCCAAGGCCCTTTTGCTCGGACCCGCCAGAGTTGAGGCTGTTTAGGTCTGGCCGAACTACCCTTGACCGCTGGAGACTAGTCAGCACCGGAATTAAATGTGGGCAGGGGTCAGCAAGATGGATGGATCCCTACCAGAGGACCGTCAAATCGATTCGAAGGCCCCTTCAAAGGTACAAATGTCGACCCAGTAGTAAAATGCTCAAAGAGCTTAGCCAGGGCAGGGCCTTTCAGGTTGCGCCTGTCGCTGCCTAAGACATGCCACCAGAAATTCTCAAGGCGATATGCGGTAGGATCAACAAGCCGTCGGTTTATGGTGGTGTATGCTGGCAGGTCTTTATTAGCCTAGGGTGCCGCAACGATCACCGGGGAGCATTGTCTTCCAAATCACCTTTCCAGTACTGCCATATGTTCTCCGGAGGGACAGTGTCATAGAGCGCCACTTCGGCGTATATCTCGCGCGTGTTCTCGAGAATGCCCATGGGCAGTAGCATGGCCATGGCTACGGTAGAGACGGCGTCCAACAAGGTCCGCAGGGCTAAGTGAGGTGGTAGAGGGTGGGCACCTCAAGGGAGCCTGCTTACCATGGCTCAGACCAATCCAGCAAGCAGTTTTGGACAGACGGGAGCTGTGTCAAGACATTAGCGGGGCGAATCCATGTAACGCTTAAAAGTATAGGTAGAAGTGATGGCCAGCAGCTGGACCGGGAGAGTCAACCCAGGTAAGGTAGGTGGAACTCAGGATCTGGACAGAGGAGATGGCTAGATTGGGGAGTGCCGGTTTTGTGCCGAAGGAACGCCCGGTTCTGGGCAAGGTCTCATTTGGGCGGCCGGGAAATGGGGGAAGGCGCAATGAAAGGCTTATATCCAGGGCTTCAAGACTCGGCGGGCATAAAGTACTGTACGGCAAGTACTACTCCCTTGGTGAGTAGGTAAGTTAGCCAACCGGGAAGCTCCCGCCTCTGGGTGCACTTCCACGAAGGGCGACGGAGCTGGTCTGTGGCCTGCCACTGGGGGAGCCCGTCAAGCCCAGTCTCAGTCCCTCGGGTACGGTATAGGTGAGGTAGTGAGTGGGTGCAGAGGTGTGAAGGCTGCATCTATGGCATGCTCGTGGCTCATCAGATCGACGGCCGGGAGCTGGGTGACGTTGAGGCTTGGCTCCTGATTGGAAACAAAGGCAGAGCAGGAATACCAGTGAGGGATGTAGAGGCTGAACTTGAAGCAACTCCGTCGGGGACTTCCTTCCTCGATCGAGGGCTGTGACACAAAAACATCACGTACCATGCAGGACACTACACAGTAACTGCCGTACTGTATATCTACCTACCCTAGTAGGTAAGGAAGGCACAGGCGTGTGCCGACCGCCAGCAGCGAATCTCAAGGTAAGAACGACTCGACGGGAGTCGACGGAACGATGTCGAGGTGAGTCTGCCACCGCAGTTGTGGGTAGTCTCTCCCTGGCTTAGCCCCTCGCACCTTCCGTAAGGTAGGGACCGCTTTCTCGGGTCCGGTAGCTATGACCGTCCGCAACGACTTCTAGCAAAGCCTATTTCGCGGGGAAATCAGTAAGCGTCCCTGGGTCTTTGGGCAGGCCGTACCCAGGAGATCAAAAAGTGCGTGTGTGGACTCGAGCGCAGAAATAAGTGCGGAGTGAGCCTCTAAAGGGGGTAGACAACAAGGCCGGATCGGGAGGGAAACTTTGGCTCGAAGTTTGGTATGGATCCGTACCGGCGGCATGTACTGTAGCTGCAGCAAGCAAGCACAACAACTTTTAAAATGTCTGAGAAGCTAAAGCAGGGCCGATGCAAGCAACAGTCAGTGCCTAGGGACAAGGGATTGTAGATCCTGAGAATCGAGAAAATGAAGGATATAAATAAGAGGGGTGTGTGTGGTGTTGTGTGCGCGCTCGGCGAGTAGAAAAAGAAAATCGGGTTGCCCCTGGACTTTTGTGTGAAATTATCAAGGGACTCCGTTCCGTACCTACCTACCTACCTTACCTACCTACCTTACCTGCCTTACCTCCTTAGGTAACTTGACTTGGAAGGCGCTATCCCGGTGGTGGGCAAGACAAGAGGTCGCCAGGGAATTGGGCAGAAAACCCACTGACGCTAGCAGGTGACTAAAAAGAGAAGCCCTGGGATGATTTAATACGATCCCTATTCCGTAAATACAGCACCTGCTAGCAGTTGGCTTCCAGGCCCAGGCCCAGCCCAGGGTCAAGAAAAGCTTCCTAGCGCTGTCCGGGGTGCCCCTGGAAGCAACGTGGAAGTGGAAGTGGAATTGAAGTGCAAACTGGGGCCAAAAAAGCCGGCGCGGGCGGGCGGGCAGCCGCGGACTGGCGGTCCTGCCTGGCCGTCCGTGTCTCGTGCCGCAAACTTGAGTGACAGTCGTCGAAACTGCTTCCTTTCCTAGGCTAGACAGGGCAGCCAGGATCTGGCGAGAAACGGCCACAGGATGCCATTCGCCAATGTGCGGGTCTGTCCCAAGCATCTCCCCCAGGCTCGTCCGGACTCCACCTATACTGGCTGCTGGGACGAAAAAGAGTCCCGCAGAGACAAGTCGCAGGTGACCGCTGACCTGACTTGGCTGCTAGCTAAGGCAAGGTATGTATGTAATGGCCGGCACTAATCCACCGAGAGCAGCCGTCAGCAATCATACCCGCTAGAAGCCCGAGACCCAGGACGGACTCTTCGCACCAATCCCACAGGTCCAAATAGAGCAGGTGGTTTCTGTGGTGTTTCTAGGTGCTGCCGTGCAGGGTATAATGGTGATGGGCCTTGTGGAAGCCTCGCTTTCAGTCTTTCAGCCCCTTCTATCGCTGCTAGTGAGTGTTGGCGAATTTGCTAATTGCCCATTTGTGGCGGATTCAACTGTCTGGCAGCAGCAAAGCGATTCGCGAGGTGCATGTCCGGTGCCGCCCATCCATGTCCATGTCCAGGCTCATGCCCACGCCCCGGCATGCCCGTGCTCGTGCTGCTCATCCTCACGAGGGACGTGGGATTGGCACTTGCCATATGGAATAGGATAGGCAGGTGTGTACTTAGTGTAGGTGCTGTCTGTATAGAGATGTTGCTGGGCCTCTTAGGTCTGGGTGCGCAACAAGATAAGGCGTGCTTTGCCTCCCACGTTCTTTGATTCCCTGGCTTGTGAGCTCGCGCGGCAAGTCGAAAAGTCGGACGAAACAATTGGCGAGAGGGCCCGGTCGACAAGTATCACCTCACGGCACCTTTGACTCTCGGCTCTCAGCTCTCAGCTCTCCGCATCCCTCGTCGTCTTGCCCGACTCTGACCACATTGTGTGGCGATAACTAAGGAACTGACCTCGCCTTGGCCGCAAGGCTTCGGGTGCGACTCAGCTTCTGGGGAACCTGGTGACAAGGAGCAGGCCCGCCTCGTTTGTAAGCTCAGCTGGCTTTGGCCCCGACGGTTACGCAGGCACAAGAAGCTGCCCTCGATAGCGCTGCTGCTGCTGCTGACTCGGTTCCGTTCGCCTCCTCCCCGGATGTCAGAGAGGAGTGCCTCCCTCGATTACGGATCTCACACCTGAACATTGGTAGGTCGGGACTGGCTGCCCGGCGGCGATGCTGGTACCTTTCAAAACTTCCAATAACCTAGCCCCCACGCCGCGCGGTTTGGGGGTTTGTTCTAGAACCGTTAGGTTGGTTGGCCTGCCTGTCAACTGGCTGGCTTTCCTAAGAATTGATCCGTACTGCGGATGCGGTCTTGTCACGTTCCTTCGAACTTGGACGGTCTAAGCGATGGAATGGGTTAGCCGGGGAGAGAGATAGGAAAGTCTCCGGCGAACCGCTGCTGGCCGACGGCAAAGTGAGCTGCGAGGCGGCCCGCCAGCGGCTGCTTGGTAGCACGGGGCACCAGGCCACAGGCTATTCCTGCACTGCTATTTTATTATTCTTTTTAGAATTCCACTTTTTTGGCACCTCGCATGTTGTTAACTCGCACAAAAGTGAAAAGTTGCAGTGGGCTGTTACACAGAGCATGGCATTCGGGAACCACTAATGGTCATTCGGTAACATCGGCTACCACTTCAGAGCCTCCTGTGCGGATCACCCTAATAGGGTATGTACAGTACCTATTCATGCATACCTCACTCAATCACACAAGGTTAAACCATTTACTATGTGCCTACCAATCCGATGCCTGACCTGCCTAGTTCCAACAATAAAAACATCAACTTCGTTGTGCAACAAATAACCGCAACTGCAACTGCGCGAGTGGTGAGTGGCAAGTACCCTGTCTCCACCCCATCTCCATCTCGTGCTGTAGACTATCCATGCCGCGAGCTAGATTCCTCTGAGACGCGGAGCCTCGACCAATCTGGCAATTCTCAGTCGCTCTTTCACTTTGCTTTTTTCTAGCTGCTTCACTTACAGTACGTAAACCCCATATCTGGAACGCCGCTGATTAGCTGCCTCACAGGTGAGCCGTTGACCTTTGTTTGGGTCACCTGTTGTCGTCTGATCCCAGTTTGCGGGGAACTGCTGTCGGTCAGTCGTGTGACTGCCGTCGGCTGCTTATCCATTGGCCAGGGGCCATGTCCAGACACTTCGGATACCTGACCACAATCACTATCAACAGTACCAAGGCAACAAGCAGCCTAGGGAAGCGCGGTACCTATCGAAATGAGGGGGTTGAATCACACAAAAAGTCTCAGAAAAGAGTCTCAAGACAGACCAGCCCCGTTGCTGTCTCTCAGCTCTCTGTCCGGTCTCAAACGACCCGAGGTGGGAGAGCAACCTTACACTACGGCTTTCATCAGACAGCCATCAGATAGCCTCTAGCCTGTCAGGCGCTTTGGAGCATCTCATCTGACCAAGGCCAAATTAAAACATCTTTGCACCCCCACAGATGCATCAGGAATTACTCGATGTGATGAGCGAGCCACTTGAGCCGCCAAGACCTGCACCGACGAGAGCCGCGCAATAAGTCTCTCTCATTTCGAGGGAACAAGGGGAAAACTGCTTTCACAACATAGACGCCTAATTTAGACGAGAGCGCGCCTGGCCGGTGAGTGAGACACACAGATACCCAACAAGAGGCGTGTGAACATTTGATGCAAAACCCCGTCACAGCCTCAAGCTAAGGTAGTCGCCGCTGCCGCTGCCACTGCCGCCGCCGCAAAAAAATCAGAAGGGTTGGGGTGTTGTCACTTTCAGCCTCTCTCCGAAGTGCCGAGCCGCGCAGACAGGCAACAATAGCTTTGTTCCTCTCTCTCCTCAAACCTCTCTCTGTCTGTCTTACTGGAATTCCGTCCAATGAGACAGAGAGGAAGTCCCCCCCAGAGACAATTTACCAACCCGCAGGTAGAGGCGGAGATCTTGGCGGCTGTCACATCTCACATCTCAGATCCCGCACCAGTTCTGTGGCTTGATTTCCCCTCACTCACACACTCGCTCCACTCTCTCTTCCCAAGGGAGTCATGTCCCCAGCCGTGCACGCACGAGCGGGGGGGGAGCTGCTTCCTTTTTTTCATGTCAGTCAACAAGCAACAAAAGCGTTATTGATACGGGCAAAGTATCCCGTACTCCGTGCTCCGTGTATTTTCGGGAACCCGGACTGGGGCCACCGGGCGGCCGGTTGGACGGCTTTCCCCTATTCGGGGATAAAAGTAAAAAATCACAACACTCGACCGACTGCGGAGGGACAAATAAGGGGGTTGGTAAAAAAAACCCCCCATTTAATCGAGAAAAGACAAAACGTCCCTCCAAAAAATCGAGATACATATCTCACAAACAACCAAAGTCTTTCTGCACTGTATGGGAGAACGGCCGCAGACGCACATGCACTCACGCCTATAATGCACATTTTACATCACCCTACCCCCGCGGCATAAGAACCATGTTCACACATTCTGTTTACTTTTTGCTAGTTTTTTGGGAGGGAGTTTCATTTTTTCTCGACACTGAAAACCGCTTTCCTTTGATTTGCTTTTTCTCTGGCCGGCTAAATACTTCGTACCAGCAGCACTACCAAGTAAATGGGGGGTCCTACCACCACCACCATCTCTTCCCGCAGCCAATATTTCCTCCCTCTCCGTTCCAGCGGGAGCAGCCTCTTCCCGAACTGAGGGTAGCCGTTATCCGTCCGTCCATACCCCCCCACTCCGTTCGTTCGTTTATCCCTCCCTCCCTTGATGTGAGTTGTCAGTTCAGACACACACCCTCCAACCTCGAGCTCTAGTTGGTTGGCTATCAAGCTAGGTGAGTAGGTAGGTACTTAGGTATCTACTCTAAGCCGTCTTCCTCCCGCCTAGATCTTTAGACCGGGATGAAACGGCCCCCCTTCCGACCTCTTGGGGCGATATGCGCTCGGCGGGGTCGCGGCGCAGGCAGGGCAGGCCAGGGCAGACCAAGACAAGATGTAACGGAGCAAGTTTGCCAGTACGTACTGTTGTATATCTCAGGTTGCTTTTTTTAAGTCTCAGCTTTCCTTTCTTTTCCCTCTCATGTCGGGGGGGCAGCAGCAAACACCCAACAGAAAGTTTTCGCATACTGTGTACACATCAAGGTAGGCAGACCTTCATTCACTCTAGATGCGCGAATAGCAAGACAAGAAACAAGACAAGAATGCCAACGCGCAATAAAAGCCGATGGACAGGACGCAGCAACGCTGATCCAATGACATGCCGTGACCCCGGGGAGCGAGGAGCGGTGAGAGGAGACAGCCCTATCACAGATTGGACCCAGGTGGCCGGGTGCGGTACGAAGACGCGGCCGCATCATTCTCCTGTCTGTATGGCGCCAGCCAATAGAACATGCTCCCTAAATTCTCGGTATAGCGGCGGGTACGGACACCAAAAGTTTTAGGCAGAAGACATATCCTTAAGCGCGGTAAGTGGTCGTCTTCCGATAACCCGCTGTTGAGACCCGTCCTCCACTCTACTACTCCTCTCCTGGGTTGTGATATTCAGACATACCAATAGTATATGCGGGTACCCGTCATGTACAATTTCAACCCAAGCCCGACCCGTCCCGGCCGCATTCTCAAGACTAGTGTATGCAGGTTGCCACCGCCGCGTCAAAGGGCTGAACGCAGAGCCGGGACTTGACTCGACTGTCCTGTTTCCTTGGCCTGCCTCGCATCTCAAGTGACGGTGTAGCCGCCGTCGACGCGAAGATCAGCGCCTGTGACATAGCTGGACGCGTCAGAGAGCAGGAAAGTCACCGGGCCCATTAGATCCTCGGGCGAGCCCATGCGTCCCTGTGGTATAAGAGACGTCCACTGCTGCTTTAGGTCTGGATTGTCGTCTAGGATCTTTTGTGTCCTGCAGGGAATTAGCACAGATTGGCTAACTAGCTTGGCCAGTGGTTCAAGGGGGTCTCAAATGCATGAGCATCTAGCAGACATGTACGCACAGGGCAGTGAGCATGTAGCCTGGAGATATGCAGTTGACGCGGATCCCAGATTTGGCCCATTCGACGCTCAGAGAGGCACACAAGTGTCGGACGGCAGCCTTGGCCGCATTGTAGGGCCTGTCAGATAGACGAACGCACGGGGTATTGTCAGCGACGGCTTGCCAGAGTTTGCTCGTAATAGCTGATCAGCTTGGCTGGAAAAGGGAGTGCCATATCGGCAGCCATCATCTCGGGTGCAGTCATGGCGCCTGACTCGGAGAGGTAATGTGCACTCACGCTTGAGGCTGGGGGACGTTGACGATGGCGCCGCTCATGCTCCCAATGAAAATGCTGGCCTTGGACTTGCGGTCCATCTGAATTGTGTCGCCCGAGTCAGTGACATCGGACTTGTCGGGTGTCTCTCACCAGTCGGGGCCCAATGGTCAACGGGGCAAGGCACTCACCAAGTGGCGCGCCACGGCTGTAGCAAACAAGTAGGTTCCATCAACGTTGACTCCCCAGAGCTTCCGCATGCGGTCAATGGGGTAGGCAATAGCCTCAAAGTTCTCAGTGAAGCCGGCTGAGGTCACCAGGTTGTCGATCTTGCCGTGCTCGGCGATGATCTCGGCGATGCAAGCCTCGACAGACTCCGGGTCCGAGACATCGGCGAAGTGTGTGGTGACCTTGGGGAGTCTAGTTCAGGGAGCGATCAGCCTTGTCCTTCAATGGGAGAGAGATAGGAAAGGGATATTTTCTAGTCCTGTTACAGTAAGAAATCCGAAAATAAATAAATCCAACTAGGTAGTATAACTCCTTTCTTGTCTGAGTGAAACGGCCGGAAAAACGGAGGAGATATTGCAATCACTCAACAGAGAGGCATGCTGGAGGTGGATTTAGAGAGAAGTAACCTACTTTTTGGCCTCCGGATGTTCCTTCTTGAACATCCTAACAATGGACTTTGCCTGCCTGGCCGCCTCGTCCTCTTATTTGCAGTTCAGGGTTAGCAGTCAAGGTTTGTCCGTATGTATCACGACCTCCAGCCGCCCAGCACTAACCGCCACTGCTGTCGATATCCATGTATATGTACACTGCCGTGAATATACGGGTACCATTTCTCCTCCTTTACCCCGTTCCCCTTTCCGCTGTAAAAAACCCAAAGTGGGAGAGGCGGGGGGGAGTAGAAGAATCGGAGCACAATGTAGAGGGAGAAAGCAGCAACTTACTGTTCAAATCAACAATAGCCAAGTCCGCGCCGCTAATGACCATGCCCTGGCCCATAACCAAGCCAAGGCCCCTCGCACCGCCCGTGACGACGCCGACCTTGCCCTGCAGCGAGAAGCTAGCTAGTGTAGGGAAGACGTGGACGCTGGCGCGGCCTGCGCCCGCCACCGTCTCCGAGGCCGGCAGCTTGTCGGCGGCCGGGTACTCGACCGTGATTGAGTCGTCGGTGCGGGCGTTTGACCCGCCCTCTGCGGCCGTGTGTTCGTGTTTCCCGGCAGACGGCGACGTGGCTCTAGGACCGCTACTGTAGTGACGTTGGTGTTGCTGCCGCTGTGACGCCGTCATCACGATCCATCCCGGAGTCGGCGTAGTAGACGACAATGCTCCCTGCCGAGTCCGTAGAACGGCGGCGCTCCGGTACAGGGTCCTGCTACTACGTGCTAGCCAGAACATGATGGGCTACCTTTGATAGAGGTGAGATATGGAATTTGGGAGAGTGCGAACGGCGAGCGGATGCTGCCAGCAACTCAGGTGAAGGCGATGGCACGCTTTAGCAATTGGTCGAGTTTCCGTTGTCTATGATGAGTGTGTAAGCCGATGTTCATCTATTCATCGACGGTTTGAAGGATATGGACGTTGAACCAACCCAGCTAATGTTCTTTGTACATGTATATACATACCAAGCTCCCAACTTCTTCTGTTTCAAGCCGGCAAGCCAAGGCAGGAGGCAACAATATAGAACAGGCCCAAACAAGGAAGGAGGGACAGCGAAAGAAACCCGTTGCTTGCTTGCTTGCTTCTGTTCTGGGCAGTTACCACCGACAAACATCCAGGACAGACGGAATGCGACCAGTGTGGGGTAAGTGATGGCATGGCGGTGACGCTGCCTGTTCAAACTAACCTAACCTAAGGTAAGCAAGGTGACGGGAGGGGTAATCGCTGCGATCGACGGAGAGCTCCTTCCTTTGATTGCCCTGATACATAGTACTCCTCATCCCATCCCATCCTATCGTATTCTATAGTTACGGTACTAGTAGAATACAAAAAGGAGTGCCCGCTGCGTTCTAGTCTATAAACTTGAAGCAGACTGGACGGATCGCGGCCTTCGCTTACATGAGAAAGCAGCACCAGCCGAGTAAACAACCGCTTGGTTCGTGAGTCGGCCAGAATGGCTCTGTCGGTGCCGTTCAATTGTTTGACTTTTTGCTGTACCGCGGCAAATACTTAATTGTGTTCATTTTAGTATGTGTGTAGTGATAGGTATAAGGTATTCAAATCACTTTGGTGACAACCATGGAAGTTCCTTCTTGACCATGGAAGTTCCTTCTTGACGAGACGAAAGAAAATATAAAAAATCGCCCGGCAACGTTATAGGTCAATAAAAAAAATCCGAGAGAAAAGGAACTGACTCGGTTTGCAATGACTCTCAGGTAGTAGTGTTCAAGTCCATTCGTGTATTAAGCTGCATTTTCACATTAAGCGTTATAATGATTGGAGATAAAACCTAGAGGAGACTTGAAGCAAGACTGAGAGTCGCATGTCATTGGGATAACCGTCTTCATGATATTTTCACGGCGGCAGTTCGTACTGACGAGCCGACAACTGAACGAACAACGCCCGCCACCCATCTCTCCCCCTATCTAGCTACATATTATGCCGGCCTCACTAATTACATCCTGAAAACGCCAAACTTGGTCTGGCCCGGCGTAACTTCATTACGACCGCCCAAGGCTGCTCTTAGACCCAAGCCAAGATACCGCCTCGTGTGCGCCGGCGGTATGACGCCGTCGTCCTACAAGCGCGCGGTGTCAGCAAAAGAGTCAAAAAAAAAAAACCAAGGCAGAACTTACCCATAACCTGGCAGACGAGTACACGGCGTCGCTCTCCCTGTCGATGCGGGCCTTGAGCTCGGGGTCGGCCTTTTGGCCGACCGTCTCCATGACGGCGGCTAGCTGCTCGCCGCCCATGACACCGATCTTGGCGTTGGGCCACATCCAGAGGAAGCGAGGCCCGTAGGCGCGGCCGCACATGCCGTAGTTGCCGGCGCCGTAGCTACCGCCGACGACGACGGTGAACTTGGGCACGTCGGCGCACGCCACGGCCGTCACCAGCTTGGCGCCGTTCTTGGCGATGCCCTCGCGCTCCGCGTCGGCGCCCACCATGAAGCCGCTGATGTTCTGCAGGAACACGAGCGGGACGCCCCGCTGCGCGCACAGCTCGATGAAGTGCGCGCCCTTGACCGCCGAGCTGCTGAACAGGATGCCGTTGTTGGCCACAATGCCCACGCGGTGGCCGTAGATGGTGGCGAAGCCCGTCACCAGCGTCGTCCCGTAGTCGCGCTTGAACTCGGAGAACTCGGAGCCGTCGACGATGCGCGCGATGACCTCGTGGATTGGCAGCGGCTTGCGCAGGTTGGTCGAGGCGATGCCGAGGAGCTCTGACGCAGGGTATAGCGGCTCCGCAAAGGCGGCCGGAGGGCTGGAAGGAGAGGGCCAATTCAGGTTGCTGATGCACCGCCGTGCCAACACAATGGCGTGCGCGTCGTCGACAGCCAGGTAGTCGGTCACGCCCGACACCGACGAGTGCATCTTGCCGCCTCCGAGCTTTTCGGGAGTGACAACCTCGCCCGTGGCGGCCTTGACCAGGGGCGGGCCGGCCAGGAAGATGTGGCCCTGCTCTTGCACAATGATGCTCTCGTCACTCATGGCGGGCACGTAGGCACCGCCAGCCGTGCAGGGGCCCATGACGACAGCGATCTGGGGTATTCCGGCCGAGGACATGCGTGCCTGGTTGTAGAAGATGCGGCCAAAGTGATCCCGGTCCGGGAAGACGTCTGACTGGTGCGGCAGGTTCGCACCGCCCGAGTCTACGAGGTAGATGCAACTAGAGAGTAAAACGAGCCCGGATGTCAGCACTTGATAGGGCAAGGGGCAGTCAGAAAGCAAGAAACGTACGGGAGGTTGTTCTCCTGCGCAACCGTCTGGGCGCGCAAGTGCTTCTTGACCGTGATGGGGAAGTAGGTGCCGCCCTTGACGGTGCTGTCGTTGGCGACGATCATGCATGTGACGCCCTCGACGACGCCGACGCCGGCGATCATGCCGGCAGCCGGCACATCAGCTTCAGGGTACAGTTCGTGGCCGGCCAGGGGAGACAGCTCGAGGAAGGTGGACCCGGGGTCGATGAGGGCGGTGACGCGGTCGCGCGGGAGCATCTTCTTGCGGGCCAGGTGCTTTTCCCTCGCCTTGGCAGAGCCGCCCTGGTGCGCCTTCCGCGTCAGGTTCTCGAGGCGGACCGTGGCCTCGGCCATGAGCCGCTCGTTCTCCTTGTACTCGTCGGCCGAGGGGTCGACATTGCTCTTGATGACGGATATGGCGGCCGCCTGGTGTTTGGGGGTGAAAGTGGAGACGACGCGCCGACTGCTGGGTGTGGAGGACAGAAGGGGCCGGAGAAGACGGCGGGGATGGAGGGGTGTTGTTGTCGTTGACTTTATCGTCGTCATCGCCGTCGTCGTCGCCGCCGTTGCGCCGGAGCACTGCCGGGCCAATAGCCGCGACAACTGCAGCATTTCTCTCGAGGACATGTTTGGGGTCGAATTGGTCAAGGCTGTTGCCAACACTCACGAGTTTTGGACAGTATCATTGGCATTGGCAGCAACAAGTAAATACAGCTAGCGTACGGACTTCAACAGGAAGGCACTTGACCTGCTCGTGATGTGATCAGCGGGCATCCCTCCCAACCGAGGCAGGCACAGCCGCCTTCGTCAACGTTCCTGGCCTGACAACAAGGGATGGATGGCGGCGGTCCGCCTCTAAGCCGCTGCAAACCGAGGCCTGTCTCACCCGCCACCAACCCCAACACCAACCAATGGCGGCACAAGACATTCCTGGAAGCTACGTAACAGCCTAGTTCCAGTTGGAAGCCTACCATACCTACCTTAGTGGCAGAGTGAGTACGCCGCAGCTGCCCGAGACGGCCAATTCTAAGAACTGAGGGAGATATTCTAAAGACTAATGAAAACAACAGTCACTTCTGTCTGTCCACTCTCGAATTCTTCTCGTAGTTTTCTGTACGGCACATCCTCACTCGTGGCAATGGCAAGCTCTCCTTCTGCGATATCGCGGGCGCTGCTGCGCTCAACGCGCCTCTCTTCCTCAGCGAGCAGTCGCAGTCGCCCACTTCCCCGCCAATTGCCGGTGCCTCTTAGCGCCGCGTCAATACCAACGGTACACTCCTCGTCATTTACAACTGCGACAGCAGCGAAGGCGGCGACAATATCATCACCAGCCCATCGTCTTGGGAAACGGCAGAATGGGCACAATCAACAACAACAGCAGCAGCAAGTCCGGTATGCCTCCTCGAAACACCCAAAAGGCTTCGAGCCGCCGTCTCCCGAAGACCTGGCCGAGCTGCGCGAGCGCGTGCAAGATTTCGTGCGGCGCGAGCTGACCGAGGAGGTGGCGGCGGCCACGGACAGAAGCAACAGCTTCCCGGCCGACATGTGGGCCAAGCTGGGCGAGGCCGGTTTCCTGGGCATTACGGCAGACGAGGACGTCGGCGGGCTGGCCCTGGGGTACCAGGCGCACTGCGTCGTCGTAGAGGAGCTGTCGCGGGCGAGCGGGTCTGTGGCCCTGAGCTACGCAGCCCACTCGCAGCTGTGCGTTAACCAGCTGCAGCTCAACGGGAACCCCCGGCAAAAGCACCGCTACCTCCCCGACCTGATCGCCGGCCGCAAGGTCGGCGCCCTGGCCATGTCCGAGCCCGGCGCCGGCAGCGACGTCGTTGCCATGCGCACCAGCGCCCGCAGGGTCGACGGCGGCTACCTCCTCAACGGCTCCAAGATGTGGATCACCAACGGGCCCGACGCCGACGTCATCGTCGTTTACGCCAAGACGGATCCCGACGCCGGCTCCAAGGGCGTCACCGCCTTCCTCGTCGAGCGCGGCTTCCCCGGCTTCTCGTGCGCTCGCAAGCTCGACAAGATGGGCATGCGCGGCAGCAACACGGGCGAGCTCGTCTTCGAGAACGTCTTAGTCCCCGACGAGAACGTGCTGGGTAGCGTCAACGGCGGCGTGCGCGTCCTCATGGAGGGTCTCGACCTCGAGCGCCTGGTCCTCAGCGCGGGCCCCCTCGGGCTCATGCAGGCCGCGCTTGACCTCGCCCTCCCGTACGCCCACACGCGCAAGCAGTTCGGCACCCCAATCGCCCACTTCCAGCTACTACAGGGAAAGCTGGCCGACATGTATACCAAGCTACAGGCATCGCGTGCTTACACGTACGCGACGGCCAGGGCGGTCGACGAGGAGGGCCGCGTCAAGACCCAGGACTGCGCCGGCGCTATTCTCTACGCCGCCGAGCGCGCCACCGAGTGCGCCCTCGACTGCATCCAGATTCTGGGCGGCATGGGCTACGTCGAGGAAATGCCCGCTTCGCGCATACTTCGCGACGCAAAGCTGTACGAGATAGGGGCCGGAACTTCCGAGGTCAGGCGCATCGTCATTGGCCGTGCCTTCAACAAGGAGTATGCTCATCTATCGACCTGAGAGGTCCGGAGCGTAATGTACATTACATACGTGTGTAGGAAGCTTGACCGACCTTCTTTTTTCGTATTGTATTGTCTCGCGTTTCGCTGCTGGCTGCTTTTGATCTGGGCCGATCCAAAAAGAGAAATCCTGCACGGTACTATGCGCGGGATGCTGCGGGGGGAAGGTCCTGCAGCCTTGAGAGATAGAGCACAAATCGGAAGACGGCTTCCTACGATCGGCCTTACTTAGTTGCATCGTCCGTCTAGGTCTGCCTAGGCTTGCTTGTGTAGACTGACTCTGCTGTCTCTGGTGAATCTACCCTTGCCATCCTTGCCCTGTCTTGGAAAGCCGGCCGGTCTAGTTGACCCCCACTCGCCCGCACGACAAACTCGGCTGATGTAGAGCCGCAGGGACGGGAAGGAGAAAAAAAAGGACGCCAGTAGGGGGGGAATAAGGCGGGAAAGGGGGGCGCTTGCCGCCTCCCATTTGTCAAAAATACCTACTGACGAGAGGACGGAAAACGCGGGAAGTTTCGGCTGCCGATGTGGGATGGCCCGCTGTTGCTTGTGCTGGACGTGACAATGCTACCTAAGCCATGTAGTCCGGTACCTTGGGTATGACAACCCCTGTAACCATTTGTTCTCCTTCAACTTGTTCTCTTTCTTCCTTTTCCTTCTCCCACTCCGCTGTTGCCGGTTTGGTGTAACTGGGGAGGGGGGGTCATAAAAAAAAGCTCACCGCTTGCTTTTGTGAGATTGGTGACTGATAAGAGGGCATCGCGAGTTGACTGGCTCCAACGGCCACACACCTCCCCTTCCCCCAGTCTTACACTGCAACCTCGGTGTGAATTGTGCATACATTCAAGTGCAGCATGACTGCATTTTCTTAACCATGGGCCGGACTGAAAAGGGCAACAAGAATGCCACCATGGGCATCGTGATATGATCTGATTTCCCACCCCACCCCATCCATTCTTCTCTCTTTCACCACGACCCCCTCCTCTCCCGCCGTTCTTTCTGCTCTAACCTGCATGGTTACTTTCGAAAAAGTAGCAAAAAAAAATCCAAAAAAAAATCCGGATGCTGCGCGTAGACGGTCGAGTATCTGACCTGACTTTGTTCCGTGATTCCATCATACCATCATAGTTCTGTCATCTGTTTAACCAAGCCGGGGTTGCTGACAATTCCCCCGCAATTCTAGACCCCCTCTTCCCGCACTTCTGATATCCCGACCAATCTGTCGGTGAGTTCGTAGAGTAGCCTGAGAAGGTTCTTGGAGTTTCACGGAAATGGCTTGGATCGCACCCCTGTGTTTCTTCTGCAGCCCGGAGGCTCGAGCGGCTGGCTGGCCAGCAACCCGCTCCTAGCATCGCGCGTGCCGTCCTCAGGTTCCTTGCAAGTTCTTTGCTCCTCACCGGCTGTATAATCTTGGTACCCGGACTTATATGGGAATTGCTTGCATGAGGTCAGTGTCGGATCCGAAGATGAGCCACCTTCCTATTGGAAGAACTCGGGTGAGAGAGAAACAAGCAGCAATGCACCGTGGATAACAGGACGTGGACCGTAAAGTTCTCGGCATTTGAGGGCCCGTGGAAGGATCCTGCAGGTACAGCAGTTACCAAGAGCGTCCTCCGAGTCTAAAACGAAGCAAGAATCCTGCGTAATCGTGCGAGAAGCTGACGGTTTAGGAAGGTTTCCAGATCAATAGCGACTAATCAACCGGGTGCTAAACGTGGCAGGCGTTCTGATAGTGCCCCATCTAAGTTCTGCAGCGTCAACGGCAACGTGGCCGAGGAAGGTGTTCCTCAGCCTCTCATGGGTTACTTTTTTCTCGTTTTCTCTCAAGTCAATAGACCGGAAAGTTTCCCTGTACACACAGTCATGACATGCATCGATGGCCAGCCGAGCCAAACTTGTCTTCCCACAAATGGAAGACTTCAAGTGCACATGCCGGAGTGCTGGACATGAGACTGTCCGGGGACCAAGTACACGGTACTTAGCAGTGGCCTCCATTCTTCCCACACACAGTTGCCTAGATACTGGTAGTATCAAAGGCTCCCAATCGGCGGGAAGACATGTTTCCTACTGGGTCAGGTACTTCGTTCCCCGTACAGTGACTAAGGCCGTTGTTTCTAATGGGTATACAGCGGCCTGACGACACGCCAGGCTTGACTTGACAGCCAAACTCGCTGGAGTGGGTTACCGACATTTCGACTTTGTGGGTTCCCTTTAGGTTGCATACTGGTACGATGCAGGCAATCAGGCCAGCCAATGGGGACCCAGGTGCCACATAGTCCCGCTGCAAGTTCTTGGGAAACAGCAAACCGGCCATTATTAGCTGCGGGAGCTATATTCCAATCCAGACCAGGCCAGGCCAGGCATTGATGCAAACGCTCGGCTAGCTCAACCCGTCAGTTGTTGCATCGACTGGACGTTTCCTAGAGGTCGGGGGTGGCTTGTACCGCATCCGAGCAAAGTGTTATAAGAGAAAGCTGCCGAGGGATACTGTAGAATGCCATCGTATTGGTATGGCCAGCCATGCCATACTAGCGAGTCACGGCGCTAGTGGCCCGCCATATTCATAAACTTCCTCATCGTCACTACCCGTTCAATATTTAGACGGGGTCATTCCCGACTGTGCACGCGGCACAAGGTTGCGACTCAGTGAGGTGAGGTGACCAAAGGTGCCTTCCATAGATGATGTACTCATTATTGTCGCCACCTAGCCTGCGAGGGGGTGCGGGCTTCACACCGGCTTGACCGGTTGGCAAGGGTGCTGCACAACTGGCTGCTCATTTCGGCATCGGGCGTCGAGTTGGTGTGTAGGTGTGGTGCTGGTGTGTTGAGAGAGAAAGGTGACGGGGTCGGACCGGGCGACTAGGAAAATACCTGTAGGCCTAGGTGTAGTAAGAATGAATGGTATTGGGGGGGGTTTTTTTTTTAGCTATTTCCGGGGAAGGAACCGGGCCTGGCTCGATATATGTGGCATATACCCGACAGCAGCAGGCTAATCGTGCCCCGCAGCGGAGAGGCCGTCTAGGGCTCATGAGTGTATGCACAAGCATTCATACCTAGGTAGCTTGGGTAGGTACCGGGTGGGGTACCTACCTTAGTTATGGTACCCTGGGTGCCAAGTGAAGACAACGTGGTCCTCGGTGCTGTGCCCCAACAACGAGACAGAGTGATGTTTGCAGTTATCCAGTCGTTCGCCACCACGTTGCCCCATGGGAGAGGCGGGATCGGACCGTGAGTGCCTCCAAAACCCGCGGACTAGAATATGTAGCTCCTGTTATTGATGCTATTGTCCAATACAGGGGTTCGCTCGGTAGAGGCCTGCGATTTGCGGCCTGCAGGCTGTCGAGTCTTCAGCAGCATGGCTCCGTGCCCTTGCCTCACATCCTCACCGGTCGGTTTTGGTCTGTCGTGTTGCTCACCGGTGTTTAGGTGTCATGGCAATATCAGGCCTATGTACTTGGTACCATGGGCACGCTCAAGTCCATACGCATCGCACGAGCGTCCGCCCAAGGATCAAAGCAACATCCCGTCGATATAGAGCGAGCCGGCCTCGCCGAGGTCGACAGCGGAGAAGGCCGTCGTTCTTAGCCACCTCGACAAGCTCCAGCATCTTGCGCTCTCTTTGCCTATCTTCCTTCGATTCTTAGATCCAACTTCTGTTGTGTTAGTCGATCGAGTGTGCGTAACACTTTAAACCTTGCTCAAATCCTCTCCACGTCCCAGCAGCCTCTCGCCGTCGGCTAGACGGTGCACCGACATCATCACGGCTCAGTTACCCAGCTCCAATACCCAGACCGCAGCAATGAGGATCTACCCAGTGCTTTCCATGGACGGGATTGACGCAAGCATGGAATTCCGCGCGGCAGACGCCTTTGTGATGTCTTGCGGCACTGTGACGCTTGATCTAGCCCTGGGCAAGGTCTTGATCGTCTGGAACAAGAAGTACGAGATATTCCAGCTGCCGAAGGGCCGCAGGAACATTGACGAGTCCATGCTGGATGCTGCCATTCGCGAGACGTACGAGGAGACGGGCCACAAGGTCACGCCACTCTGCCTCAACATTGCCACACTTGCGACACTTCCCAGGGACGACAAGTCCAAGGAATACGTGTCTCCGAAGAACAAGGACGTGACCGACGGCTATCTGAGCACCGACTATCTTGGGGGGTGCGTCTATCCTGATCCGCAGGCAGAGACCGACACGTTAAAGGCAGTGCTATTCTTCGCGGCAAAGGGGGACTCGACGGCCACCCCAGTATCGGGAACCCAGGAAGCGTGGGAGGACCTCCATGCCAGGTGGATGACCATTGAGGATGCTGCCTCGAAACTCCGCTTCAAGGGGGAAGTCGATGCTGTCAGGAAGGCCGTGGAGAACGTGAGGCGATCTGGTGTCGCCTTTAGCGGTTAATTCCCTTTGGGGGAATTTACCAAGCCCCGCCTAGAGAAGGCTGAAGGGTAGCCGGTAGTTCTTCAGGAGCGTTCTTTCACTTTTGGGTAAGGAAATAGGGCTAATGGCAGCGTGCGAGACAGACTTTAAACTTACAAGAGTTCTCTGGTTTGCGAAGCGTTTGTTTCAATGCGATGTATCTGCCACGCACACAACGAGGGGTTTAAAATGTTCCTGTACGAACAAGGAAGGTATACGGATATTGTGAGGTTGAAACGGGATGCAGAATGTCAATGGATGAGTGTAGATTCGAGCCGAATTCGTCCCAGAGCTCGTCCCAATTTGGGACGAACTTGAAACATGAAGATGTTGCCCGTTTGCGAAATACGAACGTGATCCGACTTTTTCGAGAAGCCAGGATGGAAGGACCCAGACAAAGGACAAGACGGGAAATGAAGGTGTGGGGCCAACTTCAGCCCGCCGTGGTGCCTTCTGCGACGGATTTCATGAATGTCCCGCAATCCTGGTGGGGTGGGTTACAATATGTGACATCATCCTGGAACTACCCCGCGCTCCCCCGCCTTTAGAGCTCGCTGCCACGGGGACCAAGCGATAAAGATCCCAAATCCAAAGGCACGGCGCAGTGGGCGGGAGATAGATTCGCCCGAGGGCTCCTATCGCATAATGAATACGCACCTTAGGTAGCTACCTAGGTAAGGGTGACCGCGCATTACTCAGGATCAAGTCAGCTTTATCTGCTAGGTCTGTGGAAATTCCGTAAATTCCGTAACCTCCCTATGTTCGGCCAACTTCGTCTTCGTCTTAGTGCCCCTTTCGCTCTTTCCACGAGCATCACCTCGCCGCATCATCTCTCTGCCAAGAGCCCGCATATCTTTGCTTCGTCTAGCAAGGCCTATAGCCAATTCGACCAACCTCTTCGCAGCCCATTCTGCACATACGCCAGCTACCCAACCCCCCCGAGTCGCCAAGATGTCTACCATGCCAGCTATCTACGGCCATAGCGAGGCTTGTTGCAACATTCCGCCGGTGGTCTCTTCGGGCTACAGCGCAAAGGGCTCATACGACGAGCTCGACGGCTTCAAGACCTGTGCGGATAGCTTCCCTTCCATTTGACCCTTGTTCCATCTAGTTAAAGAACCCCACGACCTGGCCTTACTGATTGAGCAATTGCTTCCTCTCCAGACGTCACGGGCCCTGGCGACGCGACCAAGGGCATCATCTACATCTATGACATCTTTGGCTATTTCGACCAAACTCTCCAGGGAGCCGATATCCTAGCCACGAGTGACCACTACAACCAGTACAAGGTCTTCATCCCGGACTGGTTCAAGGGAGAGCCCTGCCCCATTGAATGGTGAGTTCTCTCTTGCAGTACTCTCAACAGCAAAACTGTAGATTTCTCTCCAAAAACCCCCCCCCTTGACTGACAACAATCGCCGACGGCGGCGGCGGCGGCGACACGCAGGTATCCGCCCAATACCCCTGAAAAGCAGAAGAACCTGGGCAATTTCTTCGCCAAGAACTCCCCTCCGAGCGTTGCCAGCAAACTGCCAGACTATGTCAAGGCTCTCTCGGCTAAAAACCCCTCGATCAAGTCGTGGGCTGTGCTCGGGGTAAGCAGCAGCAGCGGCTAGAAATGCCTCCCTTCTCAGCCAGTCTTATTCCCACACCCGGTCATTCCCGAGCTGACAAAAACGCTCTGCACAGACTTGCTGGGGCGGGAAGGTGGTGAGCCTGGTGACATCGGGCGACTCAAACCCCTTCTCCATTGGCGCCGAGGCCCATCCCGCCATGGTCGACCCCAAGGAGGCGGAGACCATCAAGGTCCCGCTCATTATGCTCGCCTCGGGCGAGGAGCCCGAAGACAAGGTAAAGGAGTTCGAGGCCGCGCTCAAGGTACCGAAGCACGTTGAGATCTTCAAGGACCAGATTCATGGCTGGATGGCTGCGCGCGCTGACCTGTCCGATAAGCGGGTCAACGATGAATACACCCGCGGCTACAAGACGGTGTTGGAGTTCTTCGCCAAGAACTGGCCATGAACGGGACCCCGCATCCCAACATCTGTGAAGGATAATGACAACCAGTTGTGACCTGCAAACAAGACAGTATTTCTTAACGTGAGCACATAGTGGGCCATTCGCACCCAACTTAATACAGTAGTAGGACATTCCATAGGAGGATTCTAAAATATATCAAATCAAGGGATGGCAGATAGCCAGACGCTAAACGCCAGAAAGCAAATACCGATATGAAAGAGAATATAACGAGGGACGTGATACATTCCGCCAACCTTCCCAATGCTACCCGGGCGACCAGCTCTTGTATACCCTAGTTTCTCCAGCCCTCTTTCCCTGAACAGATGAAAATAAAAACCAGATTAAAGGTAAGCGATGTCGCTAGGGGAAACCCGGGGACGAGATATAAGGATATAGAGATATATCTAGGATAAAAGAAAAAAGTTCCCCCAACATTAAGCGTGTGTGAGGGTATACTAGGCAGGTTGAGCAGTCCACGGCATTATCTGCCCGTCTCCCTTGGATTGGTGTTTTCGGCTCCATGTTGATGCCACCGCAGAAGCACCCATTTGCATGCATATCCGACAGAAACAGTGCAAGGAGAGCATAAAAGTTACAAAAGAAGTAGTTTTTTGTTGTCTCCAAAACCACTCGTGGCGTCTATACCACCTCAGTCGTGCAAGCCAAACATCTTCCTCAAGGTACCAAACCTCTTCTTCTTCGTACCCGCGTTGTCCAGACTGACCACTCCCGCAGAGACAGAATGCCGCAGGAAATTGGGCCGCTGCTGCGGCAGATCCGGTACGGGGGAGTTCCCACTCATCGTTCTCGTGCCAAGATTGCCAGACGTCTGTGGGCGCATGAGTGGCGCGCCAATTGCCTCGTGTTCCTTGTCAATAGGTGTGCGAGCTGCTGGTGAGTGAGCTGTGTTGATGGATAGTGGCGATAGATCATCGGGACCGCCGCCACTAATCGACAGCGCAAGGCCTACAACTTTCTTTTGCAGTTTCGGACTGCGCGAAGGTTCGACAACGTCCTCGTCGGCAGTTCTAATGCCGCGAAGCTGAGTTAGGTTGCGTTCGAGCTTGGTATCGCGCCGAGCCGCGCTTTCTGTGATTTCACCACGAGTTATCTTGCTCGACGAGTCACGCTTCTTGCGGCGAAGGACCGACATGAAGCTGTTGCGAGGAGAAGCAGTTGACTGACGGCGATCTCCAATGAACGAATCTGTCGTTGCTAGAGCTGGTGCTGTGTTTGAAGCAGGGAGCTCTGGGCGACCGGATCTTACCGGCTGGAGGGTTGCTTCTGCTGAGCGTCTTGGTTGGCTAGGAGGGAGACTGGCATTGTTCTGCCCCGGTAGTTTCTGATTACTGTGACCGTTGGCTTCCTCTGATTCCTCGAGCTCCTCGGGCAAAGCTGTGCTGGCGATGGAGTCCTGGTTCCTCAAGTGTCCGGGAGAAAGCTTCGGGGATGATAGAACTATTAGATTTATGGGCTTGTCTTCGTCGCTCGACTCCTCGAACCGGCTATGGAAACCACCATTGTCTCCGCCATCCTCGTCGCTCGAATCGGCGAACCGACTCGAAAACCGAGAACCGGAAGACTTGGACTTCGAGGCTCGCTTTCCGCCACTCTTCTTTCCGCCTGATGAGAGACTGAAAGAAGGCATGCGCATCCCAGTGGGACTTCTCCTCTCGTTTGACGAGTCGCGCAGCGTCTGTCGCATTTGCGGGCTTGAAACCGCGCTGGTCGTCGGAGAACCCGGTGACGTGCTCCTCAGCGAGAACCTCTTGGCTGAGCGACTTCCAGTCTGCACAGGCGGTGGGGAAGATTGTCGCATCGACTTGCGCAAGCTGAAGCCTTGCCCAGATAATACTGGACGAGAACGCTTAAAGCTGCTCTCGCTTCCAGTAGAATCACGCCGTTTGAGAGGTGATGGAATAAGGCTAGACTTTCCTGAACCAGGTTCTGATGGCGACTTTGACACTACCTGGCGCTGTCCTCCCGTGCTTATAGGTGTCGGAATCGGAGAGGAGAGCGACGTCGGACGGCTTGATCTTTGGTCCAGAGGTCTAGGCATGGGAGCCGGAGGCCCAGTGCTCTTCGTGCTTGAATCGGACCGCATCGACTTGCGCATTCCAGTACCATGACTTGTGTTGGCAGACCTTGGCTGCGGTTGGGGCTCTCTCCGTAGAGTCCTGCGCATCATTGGAGTCTCGCTCTCGGACTCTCCACGTAGTGTTGTCCGCACGATTGGAATATCGCTCTCAGGCTCGCTCCACCGGGTGCCAGGCTCAATCATGTATGTACGCTCGGGATTTGCCGGCTTCTCTTTTTGTTGCTGGGCCATCATCTGTTGTGCCATAATGACGGCCAAGGCTTTCCGTTCCGAATTCCTACGTTCAATCGACTTCTTTTTCCGGGGCTTCTCCACAGGCCTTCTCGCCTCTTCAAAGTCTGCTTCTACACCAGCGTCCTCTTGTGCCTCTTTTTCAAGCTGAGCTCGCTTGTCCGCACTAAGACTCCTCCAATACGCCTTAGCTTTCTCCCAGTCATCTTCCAGGGGCTTCTGTTTCTGATCTTCTACGACAGGTGTGGGAACAGATGCCGCCGCTTCAGGGACTGTGACATCTTGTGGGGTGGGTTCGACGGTGACCTCACGGGGAGCTTCTTGATTGAAAATAGTCTTTGAAGTATTAGGCCTTAGAGGACTCTCTACCACAGCGTCAAGTGATAGAAAGCCGTCTCCCTCAACATCAGAGAGATCCTCGTAGGCGTCGCTGTAAATGCTGCTTTCAGTATCGCTCTCGGCGTCCACAGTCAATGAAGCTGTTGGTTGTGCTTCGGGTGATGTGTGCTCTGATCTCTCTTCATCGGGTGTCTTCGTGATGGCACTAGGTTCGGCTTTCTCTTGCGGGGGTGCAGCGTTTCTATTCGCGTCTGTGATTGATGGCTCTGATTCATCGTCTGGAAACCCGCCAGGAACATCATAAATGTAGGAGCCACGTCTCTCGTCCTCAACTATAGAAGGGGTGGGTTGCGATATTGAAATAGTTGGAATGCTTGGTTCGCCAGACTCATCGCTGGCTTGAGTGGCCTGGATATGGGCTGTGTTATTAGTGACAGCTATGCCATTCGTGTGCGGAGGCTTAGACGAAGCGAGCTTAGGGTCAGTTGCTGCCACAAACTGAGGTTCGGACTCCCCGGGAACTTCTAGCGCGGTTGCTAGTTCCTCAGCCGAAGTGCTCGAGCTGTCGCTGAGATAGCCACTTCCTTCGACGCTGGTAACAACAGGGGGCAGTGGTTCTCTAAACTTGGAAATGTTGGCCGCGTGTCTTGCGTGTTCCTGCTCCTGCGATAGTATTGCACCAACTGCGTGATCACTGCTTAGGCCCAAAGGCGCCACGCCCGAGCTGGAACCCTCGGTTACCGTCGGAACACTTGGTTGAATGGTAGGGCTAGCAGGCAGCGACGGGCTATGCCCCGAGTCTGCTATGGGCCGAACTAGTGGCCGTTCATCCTCGTCTGAAGCAAGCTCTCTGGGTTTCCGCTCCCTGATACTGCCAAAGCTGGGCAGGGCAGGCCTGGGTTTCATGAGCTCGTCGTCATCAAGAGAAGGGAGTTCTTTCTTAGCGCGTCCAATCCCGAGCCATGGACGACGAGTAGACGCATTCTGAGGTGAGGCTAACAATGGCGAATCACTTTGATTCGTCGAAGCCGATTCGCCCACGACCTGGGTATTAGCGTCGTCAAAGCTCACACGAACCGACTTTCTCCGTGACACGGGTTGTTCATCGCGCTGAGTGATAATAGTCGATGACTCAGATGTATCGTCCGAGGGTGATGCGCCTCTTGATGGGCTATTCCATTTCAAAGCAGATTTACGGGGCGATATTGACCGAGGAGGCGGGGAGTGCTTGACGGTTAGAGTATTTTGAACAGGGCCAAAATGAGCTTGTCGCACAGGGCTGTTCGAGTGGGCTCGTTCATACGCCATTTTTTGCGGTATCGAGGACCCGACATCCGTAGCCCTTGATACTTCCCTCTGGACGGGATCAACGGGCTGCGCTATTTCACTAAGAGTAGCGGACGGGGCGCTCGAGGGGGCGCTCGTTCTGTGCACAACTCCGGCGTCTGGCCGAGTCTCCGCATCTGCTTCACTATACAGTTTTAGTTTTGGTGGGGTGGTGTCGAGAGCTAGAGATGGCACAGACGGGATTCGTTGAGGGTTTGTAGATCCCTGGTCTGACGGCCGCGTTCCTTCATTGGTTATCAAGGGCTGCCTTTTCGTAGCCGGCTGCTCTAAATCTCTCGGGACAGCAACGGCAACCAGAGTTGTTGGCGTCACTGGTGAGACCGCGGGCTGAATTCGCATGGTCGCGCCTGCGGTGCGGCTTCTCTCGTCTTCGCTGGTCCTTGCAGCCGTGCCTCTAGTACGACCTATTGTGCCCTCGGAGAGATGTAGGCCAGACCCCCGCGACGTGCGCTTGTTAATCTTGGAGGTTGTAGGTCGCTGGGAGGCCTCCAAGACGGCGTGCTCAACCGCCTCCAAGTCGGCTTGCCGAACCATTCTCCGAGAATTAGGATCATAAACCAATGCCGGAGAGGAAGACGAGACGGAGCGCGTGCTTGAGGCTGACTGTTCATGTCTTTGGGACTGCTGCCTCGGCCGTTGCATGTTGTCTGCCTTATGGTGGTTATCGGCGGTCTGTGGATATTGGTTGGTGGGGGTTAGTGAGCTGGCCGAATCGGGATTCTCAGTCGGTGAGACGGGCGGAGAGCCAACTCTTGTCCGCGCTGGATACGAAAAGTTGATAGATGAAGCTACACTGCTTGACCGGGCGGCCTCGGCAAGCTGCTCCGCGAGGGGCTGCTGGGGCGGGCTTGAAGGCGGGCTCGCCATCGCAGGATCCGTCCTGCGGACATTGCTAGGATCGCCTAGTTTTGCGGCGCCGAACCAAGATGGCGCATCGTCGGCGGCAAGGGTCTCGGAAGCTAGACGCAAAGGCGCGCCCACGGCCAAGTTATTAGTTTTGCGATGCGGCGGTTCCTGTTGCATGGACGTGGGGCGCTGTCTGTAAGCGTCTTGAAAGTCTTTGGGAAGTGCCGGGACCGGCGGCATGTCGTCCGATGCAAGGTAGCCAAGCGAGTGTGATTGGCGATGCCCGGATCCGCTGCTTGCAGGGCGATGAGGGCTGGGGCTCCGAAAAGTTCTCTCTGTCATGGAGCTGCTGCTGTCGCGTCGGCGCAAGGTCGGTCTTCTACCTGTGTCAGACGTGGTAGTTATCGACGCGATGGATGCGCTGCGTCTTAGGGTGCGCTTCGTCTCGACATCTGCGACGCGGGTCGGCGTCATAGGTCGCGCACGGAGTGCTGCTGCGGCAGCGGCAGCCGATAAGGAAGGGCTGGATGCATGGCGCCTGAAGACTGTAGCAGCCGCAGTGGCGGCGTTGGGGTTGGCAGTCGCCGAGGTAAGTGGCTGTTCGTCGAGCAACAGCTGTCAGTCAGATAGATTCAGGCCGCAACGCAACAAACACACGGAACGGTCCGACGGCGGCAGGGCGGGCAAATGATCGGCACGCAAGGCCATATATGGGCTGACAGAAACCAGACCAGACCGGAATCCAGGCCAACTGGGAGAAAAAAAAAAGGCCACACAAAGCAAAGCTCTCCAGCGGTATTCTATAAGACCGTCGCAGCATTTGTGCGGAGAAGCGCAAAAGAGAAACGGGGGAATGGGATTGAGCCAATGACGACATACCGGATTGGGCTGCCGATGCCTTCGCGACGAGCCAAACATGGCTGGCAGCAAATGGTGTTGGGGCCTACGCGCGAGCGTGCGCTGGCTACCTCGTGGGAATAATTGCTGTCATGGGGAAGGACGCTGTAGCCGTACGTGTAGGGTAGATGGATGTAAGTGCAAAGAGAGCGTCGTCGACTTTGGTGAGCTGGGGTAGGTTGGTTGCAGGTGGCTGTCTGCTGGTCGCTGAAAAAGATCGAAGGAACCTGGAAGTTGGAGGTGGGTTGGAAGACGATGATGACGGGACGGCGCAGCGCAGAGCTGTTTGACCCTGGTCTGGGATGAATGAATTGACTGGGGGTGATGTCTGCAACGGGACCTCAGGCGAGCAAGGGCAGCAAAAACACGCTAACGTTGCAGAGCTACCACGCCATGGGGGTGGGACGACGCCTTTCCCGCTTCGGAAACCTGGGCTGCAGAATTTGGCCGCTCTTTCATCGCTTTCGTTGGTTCATGCGGCGGCGGCCAGAAGCTAGCCAACCGAACATAGCCTAGCTTTGTGCGAAGGCCAGATCTGGATGAGCTGTTTAAGTGATGACGCCTCAAACCTCAAGAGAACTTTTCGGGGGGCTCAGCGCCGTCTTGTAACCCGGTCATGTCTTGTCTTTACTGTTGGAACTTAGGCTAGCTATTCACTCGTCGAGCGTTTCGTCTTCGCCAGCCTTGACCATCCAAGCAATTGCCAACGGGAGACTGAGACGACCCCTGCCACGGCCTCGGGGCAACCGGGGTGATTGAGGGTGGTTGACTGTTCCACACAATAAGAATTGTGCTGCTTCGAGCACAACCAGAAAAACCTACCCTTTCGAGTCGTGTGTATCCACAGCTTCAAGATTTCTCAGCTATTATTATTATTATTATTATTATTATTATTATTATTATTATTATTATTATTATTATTATTATTATTATTATTATTATTAAAATCTCATGACCATTTCCGGTGCCTGCCTGTGCCCATCCTAATAAGACTGCACTTGTAAAACAAACCTGAGAGCGCTTTACTGCTCGAGGTACGGGTAGGTAAGTGCCTAAGATAGACTAGAATCATCGAGGTAGCTATCATTTTAGTGACTTGCTTAATTGGAGCAAACTCCTCCACGTTCACGGATCTCCGCCAGCCGAACATCCCGAATCAAGGTACATGGCCAGTCGTCAGCGAGTCGCAACGGTATTGGCGGGTCCCAGATTAGTCGATTGACAAAAAGTGTTATTAGCTATTTAAAGCTTGGTTTGTCACCCGCCACGGGGTAGGCAGTAACTAGCAGAGCATGCTTTGGCTAAGTCTTCTCGAAGCCAGCGGCTTTCTGACGGCTCCACAAGGGCTTTACAACGGCTTCATTGTGCGATTAACGCACTCAAAACCAAGTCATGCTGTCCTTATTCAGCGAGGGAAGAAACTGGCTTAGCAACACGTCTAAAACTGACAGATTATAACATGCAGGAGCTCATCGTGACACGGAGTTTCTGGGCTGGAATAGGGTCAGTCAAGCGAGCCGCAGCTCGAAGATATGGTATCAAGGGTAACACATGAGTTACATAGCACACATGTAACTAGGTAGCTGGACAGTTGGTGTTGGTGTTAACTACCTCTCGGTACCGAAGCAGTGTGCTTCTTACACGATACCTATTTATCTGCTGGTGACACTACCTAGTTATGTAGGACTACCATGATTGAGGGTATTGGGCTGTGAGGTGACTTGTGTAAGGTGGTCCGGCATGTGCCTCGATCGCTTTCTAATCCGCACAGGGGAGAGGAGTTGGTGAAAGGGGGGAATTAATGGGATAATGTCTGGAGAGAGAACTCAGGCGCAACCGCGGTGGTGCGACGTAGCAATAGCCAATTAACATTTCAGAGAATGACTGTCATGAGTCCCAAAGAGGTGCCAAAAGGTGATTCTGGAGAGGTGCTAGGGGTCAAAATGAGCTTCATCTAGAAGTTCAAAGTGTTCAGGATGTTCAGCCACCCAAGTTCAGCTTTTCCACACCTATCCAGCTGGAATTGCTAAAGTAACAGCCTCCTTGTCTCGTTCTAGGCCACTCTACTCTTCCCCACCAATGTCGTGCGTCGTTCCAAGCATTTCATGTAGAACCGATGCGAGAAGTTATTCTATGATTGTGGTACACCTGTAGCTGAAAGCTTTCTCGCGGTGACTTTGAGGGGTGGTGTCTTATCTAAGTAGCACCGCCGCCGTGGCCGGAGCTCCTACCGCCCACGGAAAAATGATGCGTCTCCGAATGATAGCTTGAGTGGATATGGCTGGCTGAATTACAGCACGTGTGAGGTGGGAGATGGTCGTGTCGACCCAAAGGGTCCATTCCCCCTTCAGGAGGTAACTCTTCGACGGGGTCATACTCCTCATCTTCGTATTCTTCCTCGTCGTAATACTCCTCGCTCTGGGTGCCCTGGCTGTAATTGCCGTTCATGGCGGTACCGTGGCCGGCAGGCTGGTTGGGATCCTGTGCCGCGCTGTTGTTCTTGGCCGGAGGCTTGCCATTCTTCTTGCCCTTGTGCTTTCCTTTCTTCATTCGTTCCCATTGAGCCCTCCGCTGTTGTTCCAACTGCCGTTGCTTGCGGTCTTTGATCTCGTACTGCCGCACCAAAGCCTCGGGAGGGTGTCCAAAAATCGACTCGTACTCGCAGAAATGGCAGATCCAAATTTCCTCAGGCTTAGGCGGATGGCGCTTGTTGTACAACTGGGCTTGCTGCCGACGAGCCTTTGCCGCAGAGTTGCATTCTTTTGCTAGACTTCTCCGCGTGCGTTTTTGCGTGGGCACCGTCTGGTGTTGGCCACCATCGCCACCTTTCGAGGCTGCTTCTTTAGGTGCCATGTCGGCAGCTGGAGGCATTGCTGAAGCTGCATGACCACCCTGCGAGGATTGGGGCGTGCGCGACCAGTTCTCTTTCACTTGTCGAGCTGCAGATGGCTGATGTGCCTGTGGTGCTATTCTGAAGTCGGGGCCAGGCCATGCCAATGTACCAGGCACTTGCGAGTCGCACGTGAATGTGAACTGTGCTGATGCAGGGCTGCGCTTGGTGACCAACTGCTGGTGCAAGAGACTAATGTTTTCTTGGCCTTGGCGCGGGGCAAGTTTCTCGGAGTTAGCAATGGCTGTGGATATGATACCGGTATTCTCACCTGTTATAGAAAATTAGCATCAGAGCATATAACTGTCAACGAATAGACAAGCAAACACCTACTCGAGCCAGAAGCCCATTGATTGGGGCGCAGCTTACCGTTTCTCCCAGCCCAGTTATTGGTTGAGTCAGACAACGGTCTGAGAGGGCTCCTGCCGCTCCTAGGCCGGCCGTATCTCCCTCTTCCAGGTCCAGCGACATTCTGCGTCCCCGAAGCGAAGTTTCCGGAGCCATAGTATGGAGTCGGGGAGGGGGGCAACGAGAGTGCGTGGCTTTCTGCAGATTGAGCAGCGGCAGCAAGAGAGGCAGCCCCAGAGTTAAGATCATTGATGATATGGATTCCAATTAGAGCAGAATCCTGAGCCGTTGGGATTTTCCTTTTCTTCTTATTGTTTGTGTTCTCAAAGGAATCGTACCCGTCAACCGAGGACGTTGCTGAGAGAGGGAGGTGGGAGTTTGCATGTCTTCCTTGCTGCTCCGACTTTGGCGGCAGAAGTCCGGGACGGCCAGATGGATCAGCGCCCGATCGAGTGGCCACACCTCGCTTAAGCGCAGCATCCTCGTCGTCACTCTCGGCACCCGGGCCATTTCTCCTCGCCTGGCCTGGTTCAAGCTCCGAAGGCCCCCCACGGGCATGTCCAGAGCTTGGAGTCTGCTCCTCCTCTCGTAGCGGATAGGGATATGGAAACAATGGAGCAACGCTTTGCGGGGCAAGGGGGTACCGAATCGAATCGGCAACCTCTTGAGATAAACGCTCCCGCAACCGCCGTTTCGGCAAGGGCCGTATAGGTCGGTCCGGGAACAGCGACGACACTGTATCTGCTGACATACTCGGATCTTGGTGGTTTTCTGGTTGGCAGACCGGGCGGCAGCGGGTTAGCTTCAAGACAAACCACAGAAATACGGAAACAAAAGCGAGAGACAGCATGAGGGCAACCAGGAGCCTGCCCGTGGCAGGCAAGGCAGGAAGATGTCGCCCAGTGACGAGCATCATTGCCTCTGCGTGGCCCGTCGGTGGTTGATTTTGGGGAAGGGGAGGGTGGGTGAAGTGGAAGGAGGTAAGTGCACTTGGTCTGGCAGCAGAATTGTCGGGAGGGTTGGAGTTTGTCGGGAACGGGAGTGGAAGGTGCAATCAGACAACTTACCCGTTCAAAATCTCACATAGTACCCAAAATACTCTCAAGATACGATCAACAGCCGATGACCGCCTGCTCACCTTGGTCCCTCCTTTGTATGCCTCGGGCTACGCGGCCTTCTCTCAGCTCGGCGATTTTCTGACGTCAGTTAAGCGGCAGAGATTCGAAGTTGCAACGATGTGGTATCGATCTGATGGGGGTGGCTGCGAAGCCGTGCTGATGTCGTGGCCGCTTCACTTTTCTGCCCAAAGACAAATCAGACTCGACTCCTGATTCTAGCCGTCACAATAACACGTTCTCAGAAACCCCTCAGCCCAAAATCAGATCTTTACTTCCATGGACTGCTCCCTCACGAAGCTCTATAACCGTCCGCTGGCAGCAGCCGTAGCGCTGGTCTTTGGGCCAGCAGCGAGTAGTCGGCGAGGGGGGCCCGATTCTCGGCTTGATCAGCTTGCAGCAACCCACCTTGAGGCCAAGTCCTAGGCCACGACGGTTTGGCAGATTTCTTTCCAAAAACCTAGGCACCAACCGTGAGGTAGCTGGCAAGGGAAGCGAAAATAAGTTGGGTGGTTGTCGTATCGTGCTGTTGAGTTGCTGGGTGGATTCTGAGAGAGCAAACTGAGAGATCTGTGTAGTGATTAGGAGAACAGTGGCTGGTGGTGCTGGCCAGGACCTAACGAAACGTGTTACATAAGCAAGGTTTGGCTTCCTCCTGGTCGGCCCCTCCCCCATCAGGCAGAGAGCAGGTGGCGCTGATGGGTGCTTTTAGTCCGAAAATATTCCGTCCTGTCCCACCTCTTTCGCAGGGACCCGGGCCTGAGTGAGAGGGAATTCCGGACACTGTCCTCAGTCTGGAACTGTACAAAACTTGAGGAACGGCCGTTCCGCATCGACAATTGAGCACCTTCGAACTTTATCCAACGGGCTAAGTGAAAAGCTTGCATGATTCAGTAGGTTTGACGTGTAGATATCAATCGTAAGTATATATCTCAGTTTGTCCCCGGAAGTCTCTGCTCGAATTCCTCAAACTCTGGTGCTGTCTGCAACACTTTGGACTAGTGGAAAGAGTCGGCAGCAATTGAACGTGATGTCATTTTGTGGTTTCGTCTAAATTCGAAACTGTGCCAGTGTTGCACTTTTGGCACTGTAAGATGCAGTCGCAAACTAAATCTCATGCTTCTGCTGGAGGTGTCGATTGGGGGGATGGCGCCCCGCACTGGAACCGAGCGAGGTAAGCCAGGGTGCAGCGCAGGGCAGCTCTAGCCAAAAAACTGCTGGGGGAAAAGATCGTTCGTTGTGCGGTGCTCCAAAGCGCTTCCGCTCGCCGCTCCGCTCTCCTCTAGCTCTGCTCCTCCTCCATCCGCCTTCCCACCACGCCCTCTCCCTTCTGTCGCGTTCACCTCGAGTTGCCCATGCGAAGGCCAGCTATGAGAGGTTCACCGTTTCTGCAGCGACATCTTGAATTCCCCCTGACCGTCTGCCCACCGACTTAGTGGAAGCCCAGCTGATCTCCCTCGGCGTCTCTCTCCAGCCCGCGTTCGCATCTCTCGCTGGCCTGGTCTCTACACCCTCTAGTCGTCAGCCTGCATTCTTCGCTTTTCGGCTTTGCTACAATTGGGTTCAAGAGCCATTTGGATCCGGTTACAGTCCCATTGAGCGTCTCAGTATAGCCTTTGCTGCTCGTTGGTTCGCGCCTCGGTTCCCCCCGACCCCCGACTCTCTACTGCCTGCCCACCTCAGCAGGCGCCCACCTTCGTTCATACGATCCAAACACTTGCAGGAGGCAGCCACCTAGAAGATTGCGCCTCCTGTGCAGGCCATCTTCGTTCCAGGTTTTCCTTTTGCTTGCTCGCCTCAGCTGCGACAAGCAGCGCGACCGCGCCGTCCGAGCTTGCGCCCCAAGGTCGCGCGATCCTCGCGAGCCTCGACAACGAACTCGACAACCCCCTCCGCACCACCATAATCCCTCCTTACTTAGCACGAAACGCCTGCGGAATATATATCTACCTTGAGAGTCACAACGCAAGTGCCGCCTCCAATCGCTTCAGCCAGGCTCCTCCCAGACCACGCACAAACGCGTACACACTGCCGGAAGCTCCAGTCTTCTAGGCGCGCGGGGATTTTAGATTACTGGCTTGAGCGGCTTCTCTCTCTGCGGGACTTTGAGCGCATTCTGCAATCTTTTGCGGTTTACGGTCAGAAAAACGCAATCCTGCCTTTGCTAGCTAGGTGCAAGCAATGGCAGGTCACGACCCGAGGCGGTCTTCCAGGGCGCGAACCACTCAACCTCAATCGCAAATCTCGTCTACAACCTCGAGCACCTCAGGTCGGGCGGATCGAAACCCTCGATTCTTTAACAAAGGCGGCTCGCCTCATAAATCTGCCTCGACGGGTTCCTTGTCATCTGAGCCACCGGAAGACACAATCATGGCGGAAGACACGCTTGGAACACGGCGGCGCACTCGTGGACAAGTCGAAGAGCGAGAGAGAACAGGGACAAAAATGGAAAGAGTTGAAATGTCCAATGGGGACGATGATCTCCAGGAAGAGGACGAGGCAGTTCGCTGCATTTGCGGGTTTGACGACTACCCAGGTCCTCCACCCTTTGACGAAGACACGAAGCATGGCCTCAAAGACTCGGTGGATATCGATCCGATATTTGCGACAGATGTTACTGACGATGCAGCTGGATTCTTTGTGCAATGCGACGTTTGCAAAGTTTGGCAGCACGGCGCCTGTGTTGGGATTATGACAGAAGAATCAAGCCCCGAGGAGTACTTCTGTGAGCAGTGTCGAAAAGATCTGCATAGAATTTTCACGGCGAGCAATGGGTATTTTCTCCCATTTCTTTTTTATCGGGATGGCTGTGCTTTGTTCTCGGCCACGAGGCTGAGTTCAGCTGAATGCTCAGCTGGTCCGGCTGACGGCACCGTCGATCGCGTCTCATGCGACCTCCTGGGATCTCGTTTCGCATTACATGTTCAACAAGACATCGCTAACACCATGGCTCGCAGACAACGGTTTTCGCACTATCTTCCGCTCAAAAGGTACTCGAGACATTCGTCGACAGCTGTCTCGCTGAATAAGGATGGAACCAGATCACCGCCGAAGGAAAGAGAGGGCCGGAATGGACGAGGCTCTTCAGCGAGCCAAAACTCGAAGCGGAGGTCTACAATGAACAGCCGAGAAGCCGGCTATGATGAGGCAGAGGCATTGCGACGAGCGATTGAAGCAAGCAAGGAAGATGCAGCCCCTGAGCTGCCCGAAGGTGGCTCGAGACGACCGAAACGAGGAAGAAGCGATAGCGAAGAGTAGGTTTATTCCTCGTGTCCTGGCATGCCCATCCACTAATGTCTCCAAAGGAAGCTGGAGGGCGCCAAGAGGCGGAGAACAAGCTCCCGGTCCGCATCTCCATCTCTCGACAAAGCTGCAGACGACTCGGACGAGGGCGGCGCGTTGACACGGAATGGTGCATCCAAGTCCAAGTCGCGCAGCAGCGCGGCTTTCCGTCATCAGCGTGTCGAGAAACCGTCGGAACGAGAGGAGCTGGAGAGACTGCGGGCTGAGGCTGCAAACAAGCGAAAAGGGAGGGCGGAGCGTCGCCGAGCTGAAGGTTCGGCGTCTACAATTCTGGTGAAGGTTTCTGAAGCTCATGTGGATATAGATTCAGATCCTTCGGAAGAATTGCCGCTGGCAGCTCGCGCGGCCGTGAGCAAGACGACGGCGACCGCGGGAGTGCCACGAACGACAACGACGAGCGCCACGGGGGATGCCGCCCATCCCCCATCGGCAGTAGAACCCATACCGATATCGCAGCAACCGTCCCCAGACACGGACACCACCGGCGCCGTGCCAGGGACGACCTCGACAACTTCGACGACGAGGAACGACAAGAAACGATCGCATAAAAAGAAGGGGCGTAACCAGTACACCAGGGACAGAGAAGGCAACGATGAGGACTCGCCCGTGCGGTCCCAGTCCAGAGACTTACAAAAAGAGGATCACCCACCTCCTCCAGCCGCCACCAAAGCGAGTGGCGAAGGTAGTAACACTACACACAGCAGATCTCACGCTAAAGGAAAAGGCGGAATGAGTAGCAAAATCACCATGACAGAGCTGAAGAGACGGGCAGGCAACATACTAGATTTCATCTCACGAACACAGCTGGAGCTAGCAGGAGAGATTGACGCGGCAACAGGCGAGACGAGCATCAGCAACAGCAAAACAAGCGGCGGCAGTAGCTCCTCGGCTACGACCGAGAAGAATAGTGCAAATGACGCCGGGGATGCGATAGTAGCGCCAGCAGCGCTAGCAGCGCCTCCAGAAGAAAATAAAAACGCCCCTGCTATATCCCGGTTCGAGGGCGAGTTCAAAGATCTCAACTGCATGGAAATGATGGACAGCCTGACCCGTCGCCTGGTCAAGTGGCAGCAAGAGTACGCCACATGACACCACCTATAACATATACGTATGTGTGTTTATGTGAATAATATTTTCAGACGAGAACAAGATGGGATGGTTTCAACTCGGGGGTTCTTTTTCCTCTTTTTCTTCTTTTATTCCCCGTTTCTTGTTCGGGGAGGTGAAAAAACAAACGGTCGGTCTATTTTGCTGCACATTTTTTGGCCGCTTCTTTTTTTTCCTCCTATCTATATATATCATGTTCCCTCACATGTCATGGCATGTGGGGATGTTTGTGCTGGGAGCAGGCAGGTATGACGGGATGCGCGGGATGGGAGGAGGGTCATACCTTTCCATCCTACCCCTACTGGGTTAAAACTATTACAACTCGGAAGGGCATTGCTGGCGTTTGGCTTTTTTTTTTCTTAAATGCGCCCCATTTTTCATACGCATACGCACGCTTTTCACCTAGGGAGATAGGTCGTCTGGGCAGGCAGGCGCGGAGCCGAGCTCGGATTCTTGCTACCTCTTTACCCTCTCATTCTCTCTCCCTATATATTATTTTTATATATTTATATTGGGAGTAACCAACCACTCAGTTGCTCAGGCACCCTCGCGCCTCTGCGCTGGGGTCTCTTCGAGATGGGTGATGATGGTGGGAGTTTCGAAACTTGGGGTGGAACCAAGGTCTGATCAGTTATGAAAGAGGGGCGCGGGGATTGTGTATTGTTAAATCCAGGGAGGGGGGAACGGTTTGGGATGGAATTTCATCGGATAGGGGTAGGGCATGGGGATGGGATGGAATGGGATTGGGAATTTAAGGGGGGGGCAAGGTTTTATGTTATTATTTCCCTCCATATCTTTCTTTCCCTTCTGAGGTTTCCAAATACCCACACGACCTTCCTTTTTCAAATTATTCTCACATGGCGGTTCTTGGTCTGGGTTTCTCTCTCCTCTCCTTGTCGTTGTCCCTCTTTCCCGGCCGTGATACTAAAAGTTTGGTGAGATCCTCCTCGCCCAATGTGTGTGTGTGAGTGAGTGAGTGAGAGAGAGAGGACAGGGAATTATCTCTGATTTATATCTTGTGATTTTGTGTTTTTCTTGGCATACAGCCATCCATCTATCTCTCTACATGCCTATCTATATCCTATCCAGATACGTATGGCCTACTAGGCAAGTATCTTGTCCATACTAGTCATTCAATAATGTGCAATCTATACGATACAGTTTATACACTCGTGCCGTCCAGGCATCGTCCCCCAAAGCGAGGTAAGGGCTCAGAGGCTACATATGTGTTACATAAAGCGCGGTGGTGGTGGGTATCTCGTTGTGTCGGTATCTCTGCGTGTAGTGTGTCCTCTCTACGCTGTCCTCTGTCGTGGTAATTGTGTAATGTGTTGTTAGGGTCGTGAGTAAAGGCAGGTGCTAATTACTAGGCCACGGCGCCGGAGTCTGCATGGGTGGCGCGCTTCGCGTCGTTGGCGGCCTTGCGCGTGACCTTCTCCTTCTTGCGCGCCTGGCTCAGGCTCAGGGCAGGCTGCTTGGCGGCCGCGGCCGCCAGGGCCAGCGTGTCGGGTGTGACCTTGTCGAGCATAAAGCGGCCGAGGTGGCCACGGCGCCACTCCTTGACGAAGTAGTCGGCGGCGCTCTCGAGGGAGGGCACGCCGCCGGGGCCCAGCTTGCCGGTGCGGCGGCCGACGCCGGCCAGCAGCTCGTGGATGTCGTTTGTGGGCGCGGGGCTGAACTCGCGGTACAGCGTCGGGTCCTGCAGGTTGAGGTGGTACAGCAGGTAGTCGGCGATGGTGACGGTCGAGATGATGCCGTCCTTGACGCAGCCAACGAGGGCCAGCTTAAGCATGTCCTCGGCGCTCGACACGTAAGGCACAAAGACGCCGGGCGTGTCGAGGATGAAGACGCCCTCGCCGAGCCCCTGCGTGTCGGGGTCGCCGTCCGTCTCGCGGCCCAGGATGCGCACGGGCGTGCCCAGCTTCCGCGTCACGCCCGGCTCGGACCCCGTCTTGGCCGCCTTGACCGTGTTGGTCATGCCCTCGGCCCGCAGCCGGTTCAGCAGCGTGCTCTTGCCCGTGTTGGGCATGCCGACCACCATGGTGCGCAGGCCCGTCAGGCTGTTGGCGTCGCGGGCCACGTGGCGGATGGCATCGAGCAGCTGCTTGTCGCAGCCTCCTCCTCGGGAAGACCGCAGGGACTTGGCGTCCCTGAGGCGGTCGCGCGGGCCGGCGCCGACGAAGACGACGGCCTGGGCGTGGCGGTGCTCTTCGTGGAAGCGGGCGAGCAGGCCGTCGGCGACCTCGATCTTGCCCCTGTTCCGGGGGTCGCGGGCCGAGGGTGGCCTGGGCCCCAGATCGCGCTTGGTGTAGACGATGATGCGGCTGCGGCCGGCGGCGGTCAGACTGCTCTCCAGCAGAGGGTTCCACGAGCTCAGCGGCACGCGGTAGTCTCGGCACTCGATTATGAGCCCCACGTGCGAGAGCGTCCTCTGCATCGTGTACAGGGCGGCGCGGTGGTGGCCGAGATAGTAGGAGCGCGTGATGGACGACGACACCTCGAAGGCCTGCCGCGGCTGGAACCCGACCGAGGCCTGAGGTGCTGCCATCTTTGCCGCTGCATTGGTCGCCGTAGTGGCGGCCGTTGCCGCGATGCGCGACGGAGAGGCCATTTTTTTTGTATTTTTTCTTCCTCTTCTTGACGGAAAGATATCTTGGTTTCAACAAGACACGATTTAGAGGATGAGGATGAGGATGAGGATGAATATGAGATGAGCGTAGTGGATGGCGACACAAGTTGAAGCGCGAATGCGGGCTTCACCCCGTCGCTAGTAATCCATCCCTCTCACGTCTCTTTTCCATTCCCTCGCGTCTCTTAAACCCTTTTCTGTTGCGTCTATCAGATAAATATAAGACGACTCTTCTCGTAGCCAGACAACGCGGTACCGAGAGGTGGATTAAGAGGTTTTACGGCTCCATTGTGCACTTATCCAGGTTTCCACTGAAAATCAATGCACTGCCTAGGAGCATGTCACTGCTGGTTTGCTCACACGCATGTAATTAGCCAAGTAATAACCAACCCCCCCCCCCCCCCCACACCATGCATATCATCTCGGCTCACTCACAGCGCACATCAGTCAACGTCTAGACGACATTAAATAAAAAGTCCTGAATGCAGACAGCTTTAGTATCAGAGATAGCGATAGGATTAATAAGCGCAAAAAAGAAAGCAGAGCTAATAGTCGTAGGGAATCATGAAAAGAAAGCATATACAGGCCATCCATCCATCCATCCGTCCATCCTTTGAAACCGCTCTTTCTTTCCGTTCTTGACCAAAATCCCCATGTTACAATCCAAATAGGCAACGGAACAAAAAAAACCCCCCCCTCTCCCCCCCTCCCCCGGCCAACTATTCTTTCCCCTCTCAGCTCTTCTCCGCATGTCCCTCGTTCAGCAGCATCTCTAGCACGATCTGGCCCTTGTCAATCTCTGGATGGCTCATGCAGATCTTGACGGTGCCTTTCGAGTCTTGCGCAGCCGGCTGGAGGCCGCTTCCCGTCGGGCCTCTGAACCCGTAGTCGAGACAGCGCACATCGCGTCCGGCGATGATCTGGCGGAGCCGGCCGTTCTCGGCGTTGCGCACCTCGACATAGTCCTCGTTGAACAGAAGCAGGTAGTTCCCAAACATGGTCGCCGCCTTGGCCTTCTTCTGCTTGCCCGAGTACTCCATGATGAGCGTGCGGCTGATCTCGCCGTGCTTGTCCACGTACACGGCGCAGTCCTCATACGTCAGCAGGAACTCGTTGTCGTTTAGCTTGAACATGCCCAGCGGCCGCTGTTCCTTGACGCGCGACGCGATGTTGGCGATCGCCGGCAGGCTGAGGTCGCGCGGGATCGACTGCGTCACCTTCTTGTCCAGCGTCAGCAGCTCAAAGCCCTTGGCCGACGCCACGGCGATGTACGACTGGAACAGGTTCAACGAGTAGCACTCGGTCGGGAGATAGAACTCGTCAAAATCGCGGAACGACTCGGTGCTCCCTGATCCCCCCTTCCTGCCCCCAAACAGCCGCGTCTTCTTCTCCGTCGCCTTTTGGAACACTGGCTCGAGCACCTTGAACGTGTTATGCATGCCCTCCTTTCGCTTGTAAAAGAGCAGCATCCGATCCTTCATGCGCGCCGTGGCGAAGAAGGCAACATCCTTGGCCAGCCGTTGCGGCGCCCGACGAGAGTTGTCGTGAGCCGGTGCCGGGAAGTTTGATACCGGTGCGACCACGTCGAGCGGGTACGAGATTAGAGAACGGTCCGCGATCAAGAGGCAGACCGAGAAATCCTCCAAGACTGCAATCTGTGTGACCTTGTTGATCTGCACAGATCTCGTCCACCCGCGAGGGTTCGACGCCTCGGAAATGTACACGCCGTAGTCCGTCCCGACGGCAATAACCGACTTTCCAAAGCACTGAAACGACGTGGCACAGTTGACCTGAGCACGGCACACCGGTGGTGGACCTCTGCCCGGGCCGTACACCTTCTCCATCTCCCGGATGGCTCTGTCTAGAGGAGTCCCCCTGATGGACACACCCGACTGCCTCCCAAGGGCCGATGCCGAGTCATAGGCAAACCCGCTGTCCGAGAGGACCCGCAAGCGGAAAGGTTCGGCATTTTGGGCGTACAGCGCTCGAGCATGTCTCGTCTTTGCCTCGATGATTGCCGCGCACCAGGCCGAGCGATCCTGGGCTGTGGCCGCGTATAGTGTGTAGATCTCGTGACCAAGATGTTTTATCCTGAAAGGGTAGATGATCTTACTCTCATCGACTCCACCCGATGTAAGGCGAGTGACCGTGTTCATGGACCCTAGGGAGGAACTAGTTCCCGTGTGATCCAGTCCGGGACGCTCCGAAGTATTGGAAGCCACTTTGTTAAGCTGTGTCCCCGAGCCGGTAGCGGCAGCGGTTCGCGTAAGAGGGGCGGTGAGTCCCTTCTGTTTGGAGACGGGATCTTCGCTCAAACTCTCGAGGAAGAGCAATGGCATGGGGATTGGCTGTACACAGAAAGTTAGCAAACACCCAACGAAGAGACTATTCAGAGTTCCAGCAACATACCTCTTTGGAAACGTCGTATTTCTTATCATCCCGTCCGTCCTTGGTCACCACAGCCTTGGACAGTATGAAATAATGGTCGAAGAGCAGGGCGTGCGTGTCAACCCAGCGGACACCCTTCGAGCCCTGCCTCTGGAGGTCTCCCTGCTTGAGCAGCTCTCGCCCCAGATGGTCGAGGTTCAAGACGGATTGGAAGCCGGGCCGGAGCACCAGCATGTTCTGCAGCTCAAGCAGTTCGACCTTCTTTGTCATCTCGGCCACTTTCTCGTCGCATTCGTGCGTAACTGCCTTGATCTCCTCGAGCGCCTTGGTCAGGTTGGCCTTCTCCTCGCTTTCGCCTACCATATTTTTCTTTACCGTATCCAGTAGCAGACCGTACCTTTGGAGGCGAGCAATAGGCGCTCTCACAAACGTGGTCCACTCCAGACGCTTCGACCGCTTGTGTTCCCGAACCATATCCAAGAACTGGCGGAAGAGCAGGTTCCTACCCGCCTCCTTCCGCATCAGATATGACGCGTGGGGGTATGACGAGCAGTACTCGATATAAATGGGCCTGGCCTTCCGAATCCACTCCCTAAACAAATCGCTGAAGCCGCTGACGAAAGGCCCCTGCTCCTGCTGTCGATACTTGAGCTGGGCAAGCAGATGTTCTTTGTTGATCTGTTGCACGGCATCAACTTTGCCGAACACGGCGTCGAGAAACCTCTCCATCCTGTTCACGGTAATGATGGGCGGTTGATAGGCCCGAAGCTGGTCTCTGTAGAGCAGCCGAAGCACGTCAAGCTGGCCCATGTACTCCTCCTCGCCCGTGACGATCTCGTGGAGCACGTTCTGCCTCTCAACCTCCTTCTTGGGTTTGTCTTTCAAATCCTCCAGCTTCACGCCGTGGAATGTCGCCCAGTCTAAGATGATTACATCTTCCTCAGACATCATGTGCTCCAGGTTCGCCTTCTTTAGCGTTCTGCCACAGTGATGTGAGTAGCACCTAACCGGTATGCCATTGTCGTGGAGTCTCGGAGCAAGCCTCTCGTCCTCGTGTAGCTTGGGCGCATAGCAACCTGAGCCTGTGAGCTGCCACAAGACGCCGTACATCTCGCCGGCGCCAAACTTTACCCACTCTTCCTCTGGAATGAGGATACCGGCTGCGAACATGGAATCTACAACTGAGGCACTCAACGACTCGGCGTCAGCGACGTTCATTGTGGGCACCTTGAAGCAGAACAGTCTGAGGACCCCTTCTTCGATCGTCTTCCTCTTCAGGTCCGGTTCACCCTCTGCCATTTCACGGACCCAGGCCGTGATGCCGCTGAGTGCCCATGGCTCCGCACATCGATTGAGCTCCGTAGTAGTGAGTTTTGAAGGTACGAATTTTCTCCTCCTCCCTGTTGGCAGGGTAATCATATCGTAACCGGCAAGAGACGCCGGCGTCCCAGTATCATATCCTTCGTATAGAGTTCCCTGCTGATTTGGATGATGCTGGTGCTGTTGCGACATCTGTTTCATGGCCCGCCTCCGCTCCTCAGCAGCGTCTGTCCGGGAGCGGGCAGGTGCCAGCACCGGAGGCGTATTGCTGTGGCTTGAAAGAGAGATTGACCTCTCTACTGGCGGCTGTTGTGCGTTGAGTTGGCTCTGTGCATCTGGGGCTTCATGATATTGGGTTCTTGAATCGGCGCTCAGAGAGTAAGTGTGTTGATACTGGGCTTTGGCTGGCGGGTAGGCGGCTAGTAACGATCCAGAAGAGTCGGGACCCGGAGGCAAGGCGGGAAGGGGTCGGTTCGACAGTCCCGGGTGATAAAACATATCCGGGTAGTCTTCTTTGATGGGCGAATCGCTCCCGCTCTGTCTCGAGTGGACGGACACTCGCTCCTCACCCTCATCAAAGCTCAAGCGATGAACCTGGGGAGCCTGAAGGCCTCCCGTGCCGGCGTAGTCCACTGATACGTCCGAAAAGGGGGGAAATTCGGCTCCCTGGCCCTGTGGGGTTTGCATGGGCGGCGGAGACACTCCCTCGTTGCCATACTGCAGATTTCCAGCATATCCTCCCCCGTACATTCCCAAATCCATGCCTCCATAGTCACTATCGGTACTCGCCTGCTCCTCTGCAGGCGGGGACAGCTGGGCCGAGGGCATTGGGATCTCCCCGTACGGCGGGTAGCTGACTCCGCCAAATCTCCGGTCGTCCATATCGCTTTGCATGGCCAAAAGACCGGCTGCTCCTTCCGGGTCACTCTCTTCGGAATCCCAGTTATACGTGGTTGAGACATTGTTCCTGTTCACGGTCGACGCATTGGACGCATAGCGAGCTACACCAGTATCCGCACCGGCGCCTTGTGTTGTGTTAATCGTTGAAGCTGTGGAGTCATAGCGTCGCAACGTCTCCATGTCATCATCCGACACCTCTCCATTAACAGGCCGGGGGCGTTGGCCATGCGACACGCCAAGGTCCGACACAATATCCTGCATAAGGCTTTCCTGTGTGAACTGGAAATCGTCATCCCCACCCCCGTTCACTCTCCAGTCCGACTCCTCAGGCACATCTTGCATCGGGTGACCGGGAAGCGGAGCATTTGTTGGATGCCTCTGGAGACTTGTAGCGGGCTGGGAATGTGTTGGAGGAGAAGGCAGTGGCGAAGTTTGAGAGCTCGATCGAGAGGCTCTATTGACAAAAGAGTTTGGTTCTGGCGAAGCGTAATTTGGGCCAACGGGTATATTAGAGTGACTAGGGTATGGCGCCTGGGTGGCTGAAGAAGACGACGAATATCCGGGGCTCGGGCCGGGACTGGCGCCGTTTGAAGAATACGAGCCATAGTGCTGCTGGCTACTCTGTTGGTTAACCTGCTGGCCACCATGCTGACTGCCATGCTGGCTACCATACGATGAAGAATACAACTGATCGTACTGCGAAGAGCTGGCGGGTGGTGCAGCAGGAGGTATGTATTGTGAACTCCGCACTGCCGGATAGCTTTGCTGAGCTGGTGGCGTAACGGTTGCAGGCGGTTGGGGCATGCCGTAGCCAGTTACAGACGGCGGTTGGCCGTAGGCCGTGGACTGGGGCCGGGCGGCCGGCGGTGAGCCATAGCTATAGCTATAACTATTGTATCCAGTCACCGTGGCCTGTCTTTGGGGGAGCACTACATTTGTAGCATATGCCGCTGGGTTGTATGCCTGCGGGGTGTAGTTCGTGGGCGTCGAGCTGAAGGTTGGGCTGGCGGGCGCATAAGGACTCCCCTGGGCATATCTCGTTGGAGGCGGGGGATGATACGGAAGGGAAGTTGACTGCGACCGGGCGAAGAGTTGGGGGTTATATGTAGAGTGCGTTGGCGTCGGCGGGCCCTGGCTCTGATATGGACGTTGTTGATAGCTAGACATGGCTGCATTTTGTGTGAAGGCAGTCCGGTTCGGGACCGGCTGCGAGCTGTTTACAGGGCTCGAAATGAAGAGCTCTTCTTCGCCCCTGCCGTTACTTCCTGCATAGGTGGGCTGGACCGTGTCGTCGCCATTGTTGAAGCTTTGCCGTCGCGGGGGGTATGGTACTGGCTGCTGTTGCTGATATGGCTGTTGCTGCTGCTGCTGGTCTTGGACCTGGGGGGCGACCGGGTACTGCGCCGGGGGGACATGGCCGTATCGGCGCGAGTCGTCGCCTCGAAATGACATGATGTTTGGCTTGGCGACTCAACCGGCTTCCTTGGCGTTGTCGTCGGCAGAGACGGGGGCGAGGGCGAGGGCGAGTTCGCGGACAGCGGGACCTATTTGCTCAACGGCAACAGATAAGCGGCTGGCAGTGGCGGCGAGGCCGCATAAAGCAGCACGGCGTGCGACGGTCGGATTCACAAGGCCAAATCCGCGATCGCCGGATGAATCGTGTTCGTGTTCCAAACAGACTAGTAAGCATAAGCGCTCGTGAGGAAGTCGTCGGTCAAGACATGGAGCCTGTTTTCAGTCGTCGAGGGCGTAAGCCGGGCGCCAAATAATCTCGCAGGGCCTGTCGCTGTGGCTGTCGAGATTGCTGTAAATGTTGCTTATGCTTTTAGACTCGATGTTGCGGGCTGTGTCGGTGTTCGGGGTTATCGCTGTCGGTCGCAGACTGCGTCAGGCAGATGGGGATGCTGCGATCTGCCTATTTCGGGTTACTGTACAAAGGTTTCGATTGATTAGACGTTATCGAGCGCAAGTCGCTGGCAGCAAGCCCCAAGTCGCGATTCGCAAGGCCAAAATGTCAGGTTGATTGACCTGAGTCGTAGAGAAGCCCGGCGGTGGGGAAGGCGCAAAACATAAAGTGTGCCCGATATCAGCAGTCCTGCCCGGTCCTGAGGTGGTTCGTCCTGGATTTGGGGTTTCAGGCCGTCGATGGTAGGTTGGGTTGGCGAACCGGAGTAGCGAGCTCAGCGGCAAAGCCCGCCTAGGCCTGCGGCGTCACACTTCTAGGCGGAGGCCCGTACTTTCTCGCACTAGATGTGTATTCATGTATCGTATCTTACGCACCACAACTTCCCGCACCCGGCGCAGCAAACGGCCGAGGCAGCCCAACCATCCAGGAAGGCAGACGGAGGACAGTGCGAACGAGTATAGGCAAAATAACGTCCAGTTCGGTGACCAAAAGTCGTCAAGATTCGCAAATAGATGGGCAGCCTTTGCGAGTCATTCCAAATCTAAAACTTCTTTAACCCGTATCTTTAATATGTGTATGTACCTATAAGAGACTTCGTACGTCCAGATACCAGGTAATGTATATAAATTACCGTGCAGCAGAAGGCTCTCGCCTGGCTTCTGGAGGCAGTATGAGGCTTTCCGCCATCAGGCCAGCTCTTCAAGCTACTGTAGGCAGGTCTGTCCATGTGTGATGAAAAGGTGGTCAAGGCACTGGTGTGTTTGGGAGCCTGCCCGAGGCGGGAGCCGCCCGTCGAACTGGTTATGTGTCGCGGCGTCGATAGCCTCTCCTCTTCAGATCCCTACGTTACATACCTCAGGTACCCAAAAAGCATTTAAGATAGAGTAACTCTATCATCAATTCGCCGATCTGCTTCTGCAGCAACAGACAGGTTTCGGCAATTCAATACACCCATTACGGTAGCACACTCATACATTCTTGATGACGGCATTCGTCCTCAGGCAAAGTAAATAGGAGACAGGCCGATTGACTTGAGAACTCCCCGCTGCTCTGAGTTAGAAGTGTTTATTATTCTGTAATAAAACTAATCAATGGTCTTCTGCCCGGCTCAGCACAATGAAGGTTCATAGAACAGACCGACAACGGAAGTAAGGTATATTTAGGACTTTGTGTATTACCTGTAGGTAACCGGTATTCAGTATTCGTCCGCCTTCTTGGTGTTTGATGAATGGCCGCCGGGACCGGACTGTATTTTCTAGATTGAAATTACGTAGACAAACAAAATGAAGGTTAGTACTAGTAACTTCGAAGCCTTCCGGGCATATCGTGGTGATGCCTGCAGCCCTATCCGCCCGAAACAAGACGACGATCTTGGGGTTCGGATCCGTTTTCGATTGGAATCCTCCTGCACGTCAACGGCCCACTCTTAAGACACGGCCAAGAATCACGACAACCCGTAGTAGTTTGACGACCCGTTGTTCGATTGCTTGATTTTAGGGCGAATTGTTTTGTAGTCAGACCCTCTTCTCACATATACCTTCTGTCCACCCAAAACTATTCGACCCCTACTGGTACGGGATACTGTATCAATCTTTCGCAGTTGGCGCCCCAAACGTAGGACTCCACGGCGACGGATAATCCTAGTGCGTAGCTAAAGCGTTCGGGTTTGTTTCCACACTAGTGTGCAGACACGAGTCAACAGCCCATGCGTGATAGGTATTTCGCACCATTCAACTCGCTTCCAAGTTAAAGATCAAGGTCACAGTTCATTGAAAGTCCGAGCCACTAGAGGCAGCTGGAATCCGTGGACATTTGTAAGCGCCCAGGGCCCTTCGTTCCTATTGTCAAGTCGAGATAAAATGACGGCAACTGCGAGTGCGGGGTTCGAGTCCCCACTAGGAGCTCGGGGCCAAGTCGTCATTCCTGAGAACCCCACCCCACCTATGCCCGCCTCGTCGGAAGCACCCTTCGGCCTCCGATCGTTCCCCTCTCGCAGATAACTGTCCGTTTTTCTCCCTGAACATCTCGATCATCCCCGAGAACTCCGCCGACTTCATTGCTCCATCACAACTTCAAAACATCAAACATCGCCAATATGGTCAAAGCCGGTAAGCAAGAGCTCTCGGTTTCGAACCCCGCAGTGGACGTTGTACGAATGGAGCTTCCTGGGGCTAGTAGATCCGTTCAAAGGGGCGCCGAGGGGGCATGGCTGTTAGGGGAGGGGGGGGTTTAGTCGAGGATTTTGTGGTCCCAGAAAGAGAAAACCTTGACTATCATGACGGCGCAGCTCGATTAGACTCAGAGGAACTTCGAGAGCCTTTGAGACTCTGGCACATGTCGAGACGGGGTGTTGTTTCGGGGCAAGGTCACGCAACGTGTGCTGATATTTTTTTTCTGTTTCCAGTTGCTGTCGTTCGTGGTGACTCCACGGTCTCGGGAACCGTCACCTTCGAGCAGGACTCTGAGTCTTCCCCTACTACCATCACCTGGGACATCACGGGCCAGGACGCGAACGCCAAGCGTGGCATGCACATCCACACCTTTGGCGACAACACCAATGGCTGCACCTCCGCCGGTCCCCATTGTAGGTGGCCCCTGTCCAGCCTGAACGTCAATGGCAGCACTAACGTACCTTGCAGTCAACCCCCATGGCAAGACCCACGGTGCTCCTACTGACGAGGCCCGCCACGTCGGTGACCTTGGCAACATCGATACCGACGCCCAGGGCAACGCCGAGGGCTCCGTGACCGATAGCTTCGTCAAGCTTATTGGCCCTGAGAGCGTCATTGGCGTACGTCTTTCGGCTCTGGGCTCTTATTTAGAATCAACAGTGCTAACAGTGACTACAGCGCACTGTTGTCGTCCACGGCGGCACTGACGACCTCGGCAAGGGTGGAAACGAGGAGTCCCTGAAGACCGGCAACGCTGGTCCCCGTCCTGCCTGCGGTAAGAACCTCCCTCCCCAAAATACCATTATTGAATTTGAGCTTAATTCTGAGTCTCTAGGTGTTATTGGCATTTCGGCGTAAAAATGGAACAGACAAAAAGCACCAGGGCCGTGCCGAGAGACCGCAGCGGGCTTGATGTTGGGCGACTTTAGCCATCATAACGAGCAAAATGACCTAGTACTTGATATACTTTGAAAACGTTGTTACTCAGTTCCGCGATTACCTGCGATTACCCATTGAGAACTTACTGACTCCCTTGAATCTCTGGCTTTTGTCTTCATCCGCTGGTGGCCCTGCGTTGATGAAGCGTGGACCGTTGTGGTTCTGCTATGACCGTACCGTACTTTTGCCAATCATGCTCACATATGTCCCTTTTCTCAGCGTTCTGAAGGCACCTCACATGCTAGCAAGCACTGACGATTAGTTCCCTCGACGTCATCTTACCTGGCCAAGATTCGAATTAAGTAGTGTTTCACAGACACAACATACTACCATTTCAGGCTACTTTCATGGCATCCGCGATAGTTACACAACAGAAAGCTCAAAGCCACTGGGTCCGCGCCTACATTTATATTTCTCACCACGGAGGAGACTCTACTTTCTTTTGTCTCATTTATTGTCTTAACTCTCTCTGTTACTCTAACTCTGAATCGTCAATTTTTTTCATCGACCAGTATGCCTACACATGACCCCTAATAGCCTTGGGGAGATACAGTTCCTTGAGATAATTCTCCTCTCTGTCCGTCAGGACCTTGCCCCCCGACTCGAGAAGCTCATCCATCCTCGCGATCGAGCTGAAGCCGACAACCGGGCTGGTGAGCCGCTTGTTGAGCCACGCCAGCGGCACATGGCTCATGGGCCAGCCGCGCTTCTCCTCGATGAGGGTTGTTGTGTCGAAGCGGTGGATCTGGAGCAGGTCGATGTACGACGTGTCGAGGCGCGCGAGCGAGGCGGAGGCCTGGTTGAAGATGGCCGCTCGGCTTAGCCCGAAGTGGTTCTAGTAGTCCTTGGACGCCTCCACCCACTACCGTTGGCCCTTGCAGTGCAGCACGTCCGGGGCCTCGCCCACGGCCCAGTAGCACTTGGTGATGAGGACCACTTTCGCGCGCGGGATCTAGTACTTCTTGATGGCCTTGCCGATGAGCGTCCCGGAGGCGCCGTGCGAGTAGATGTTGGACGTGTCCCACATGTTAAGCCCCCTGTCATAGGCGGCTTTGAGCAGCGGGAGTTCTTCGTCTTCCTGGATTGCCCAGCTGATTATCCTGGGATCCCCGAGGTCGCCGCATCCGAAGATGGGCACCGAGACACGTAGGCCGTTCGTGCCCATCTGGTGGTACTTGCGTTTCGTGTTCTTCAGCGACTCCTGGATGCCGGCGGGGATCGACATGGCGAAAGGAAGAAAGATCTTGCTCGGGGGGGAGGAAAGGCTCGGGGACTACTGCTGTAACGACGACAAAACAAAGTCCCAAAAAGAAAAGCAACACAACGAACGGCTAAATCTACTATGATCAACACTTAGAGCTCCCCTAAAGAGGCGGCTTTTCATCCCCAAAAGACACATGGAGTTACCATAACATCACTTTATCACCAGGGACCATGAGGCCGCCACTCCGCATTCCATCACATTGCTAGTGATACGCAAGCCTTGCAAATGCTGGGAATAGATGCGGTAGCTCTTAGAGCCTCGGTATAAAAACTCCCGAGGCCTATCTCCCTCCGAGAAACACCCGGCAAAGGCTTCCTTGGCAGATTTATTCTTCCCAAGAGCCTCGTCAACAACTATTCAGTGATAGGACTGCAGTAAGTGTTCAATGGCGAGCAAAGGGGCCCTAGAATGGCATAAAATCGCGCCCAACACTCGCGACTGCTGTTCTGCCACCAGCCAGCTTGATGCCATACAATGTTTTGCCAGCGGGAGCGGATATACCAGCTGACGTGTACGGAGTATTCTATAACCAATAGCTGCAGGGCTGGCGAAAGGGAATACGCTCGCTCGCTCGATTAGAGAGTCCTGTCGCCGGTGTTAAGAGCTGGTGTTAACAAATAAAACCCCAGGTTGTTTTGATGGCTTGCTTTCACTTCCGCTCCTACAATATCGTTGACGATATTTTTGCACAAATGCTTGGGCGTCATGTCGATCTGTTGTTGACAGGCAGCAGATCGGCATAGTACCGACCCAAGGAACGCCAGACATCGTGGCCTAGAACTCCTGTAATATTTGTCCAACCTGTGGAATAGCATAGCCATCGAAATGTTTGCCGCTGCATCAGCCACTTGGTTTGATATATTCGGCTTGGTTGTTGTGGTTAGATTGTGGTCTAAGTTCATGTATGAAGTCGTGTAAGAGGAAAACAGAGCACGTGACCTAGGTCTAGGGACTTGGCCAAAAAGTTCAAACGGATGACCGCCGTGGAACCAACTATTTTGGGCGTTCTAATTGGCCCTTGGCCGCATTCCCCTTGTAGCCCGACCCGACCCGGACAGGTCCGGGCTGCCCGCTGCCTAGACTGGGTATCCGCAATCCTGCTGTGCTTCTGGCTCTAGTTCGTTCGCAGTTCTCATCCTGTTCGCCTCGAGTTGCTCGTTGCCAATAGTTGGCAGCTCTCGGTCGGTTCGTCCCCCCAGTCACATCGGCCCGCAGACCGACTTTTCCGTGACCGAAGGGATTCCGCGCTATCAGGGGGGGTCAATACGATCGGACTGGCCATCTGGACGGCCACGACTCTGAACAATGCGCAACAGCGGCGCGGGCCAAACCAAAAGGTCCGCAGGGTAAGGTCTGCAGTCTGCATCTGTCCCCCTGTCGGGCGCTCGCGGGTGCGGGGGCGGTGAGGGCCCAACTGCCCACTGGAGGAAAGCGAGGACGCGAGCCAAAGCCGCCAGTCCTGCAGAGGCTGGTCGTTGAACTGTCTGTTAGGACGGCGCGGCTGGGCAGCGTATTGAAAAAAAACACCGCACCATATTCTCGGCCAGTGTTTATCGAGGAGTCATGATCCCATGATTTAGGAGCTTAGCATATACGCCGTACGGAGTGCTTACCTTTTTTCCGATTTATATGTTGAGATTAATGGCAATTGGCAGAACTTAATGCTCACTGCAGACATTACCCCGTCCACAATGGGCAATTATTCCACTTCCTCGCTGTGCAGCCAGAGCCGGTCGGAGTTTTCCGAGGGTTTTTCCTCTCCCCTCCTTTCCATTCCTTCCGCTAGAAGAAGGAAGCCAAGAGCCAGCATGAGAGGGGTACAGCGTGCAGGCAAAAGATCGTTACGACGGCATGAGGCTGAAAGAGAAAATTGGCCGCTTTGCCCAATCGAGGGCGAACGGCCTCGCCTCGACCCGGCGTATTAATAGTAATATTGGATTTTGGGGGACAAACAGAAAAAAACTCCGCGGGCAAAAAAGGGAAATAATTGGGCAGTTTGGATGTGGAATTGTTTGGATATGCATGCACCCATGCAGTATGCGGGGTGGGAAAGAGGAGAAGACGACGAGCCCGGGCTAGCGTCGGGTAGAATGTTGAAAGTTGGAACTCGGCACACCGCTGTGAATCGGAAGATCCGCCAGTGCGCGAACAAGCAGCAGTCAACAGCGCCAAGAAAGGAGCCTTGAACGGCCTAAGATGGACAGCAAACATGCATCGACATGCAACGTTCTCCAGCGCCCCCCACATTTTTGCCTTTCAATATTGTAACCTTTTTTAAGTTCAGCAGCAGCAACAGAGTGGATGCAGCATGCTGCTGTATTACCCGACCTATAATTGAGAATTTATTATTGTCCGTCTTGGCAAGTTTTGCATGGGACATTGGTGGAAACACCACATCAAGGCATCGCGAGTCGCACATCACCATCAGGGGGTGAGGCAAAAAAACAACAGGAATAGCAACAACGTCAAACCAAAGACGCCACTACTAACGAGATGTCTAGATCCGGTCACCCCTACTTTTGTTATCTTCCTTCCATTCCTCTCAGGTTTATGGTATTTGCCCGAAAAGAGCGCTGGCGCTGGCGCTGACCAACTACCATCCCACTTGACCAGCTCCTTCAGAGCGAAGGATGATTTACCTTTTTTTCCTTCTGGTGTCCTTCGACGCGTCTTCTAGAAAGACCAAGGCAGCCAAAAACAGAAAAGAGCCAAACCGAGACTAGAAGGATCAAGGAAGAAAAAAAGAGGCGCAATCGGATTAAGAGTATGACTACTGTGGAGTCATTCGTCACATTTTCCTCTCTTTTTGAAGGATTTCCCCCCATCCATATGACGTGGTCCGGAGTTTGTGAGTTGTAATTGGGCTGGGGGTTGGGCACCTACTACAGGATTCCATCCATTCCTTCCTTCCATCTTCTAGACATGAGGTGCGCACCGGACAGAACAGACGAACGGAGATGGCGGACAGTGAGTGGCTGTATCATGAAGTGCCGCAAGGCAGCATATTATAGCGTGGAGGTCCAGTGTGTGTTTTGGTGCCCGGCCTGCCTGCCGACGGCACGAAACACGCCAACGCAGAGCAATCTCTGGTACGATCTCGCTCGCGCAAGCGGTGAACAAACCCGGGGGAGGAATACGCTAGACATCGAGGCCTGCTCACAAGACGCGTGCACCGCGTGTCGTAGTATGAAACAGTCACGCAAAGCTAAAAGGATGAGGAACAGGCATCTAGTTGGACTCGTTCGTACATGTGTGGAGCATGTGTGTGCATATGTTTCTGAGATTTTGTATTCAGGTGTATTTGTATTTGTCGGTGAATTAATAAGACGAGAAAACTAGACTAATGCATTCTTTGGTATCATTTGTTGAAACGCCTACCCAACGCTCGCCCACAGCCCCGTTGCCCGGTAAAAAAGAGAACTCCCTGTAAAATGCCAAAAAAGAAAACCGCGCCATCCAAATGTGAGTTCTGACCGAAAAAGAGGTGTGTTTGCGTGCATCATTTGTCGTCGCGGCCATCCCAGGCGGCCCACGTATGACTTAATCCCAAACATCGAGCAGCCCCGTCTGCCTATGACAAATGACAAACGCCATTCGTAACATGCATGTACCGTCGTGACAAAAAGTAGAGTGATAATACAGAACTCCATCGAATCAGAACAAGAGGTTCGGTCGTACAGCGAGCAGCTTCCCTGCTCTCGCCTTAGTGCATCATGTCCACGTCGAGGTTGAAGCAGTCGTCCTCGGTGGCTAGGGAGACGTCCGGGGTGAAGATGATGCCACGCCTCTTCCAGTCTCCCCGCTTCATGAAGTAGTCGGTCTCGTTGAGAACGGCCGCCTGGGGCCGCGGGGTAATGACTTCCTGGCTGCTCGGGGTGGCCACATCGTCGTCTGACCCGCTTTCCGATGAGGAGGGCCAGGCGTCGTGGTCGTGGTCGTGGTGCGTAGGCTCCCTCTGGCCGCCGGCAGATGGGTGGCCAAAGCCAAAGTCGAAGCCGTCGTAGATGACCATGGAAGCTTCGGGATGCGAGCGGTGGCTGACTGACGAGAGAGATACGCCATGTGCTGAGCGAGCCTGACGCAGCTCATGTGGCTGATATCTCCTGCTCTCGAGGTTGTTGAAAGCAGGCGCGGGTGCCGGGGCCAGAGGTGGGTGTAGCCTGAGGGGGTCCCACTCGACGGACATGTCTGTCCGGCTTGTCGACGGGCGTGATGAGTCTGTTGACGACCTCGTCATGGAGCTGGCATCGCTTGGTTTCCTGAAGTGAATCTCTCGGCCTCGGGGCATATCCGCCTTGAGAGCCTTCTGGGTCCGGAAGCTGCGGAGTATGCTGCGGTGGTGCGAGTGGTCGTTGTCTATTGTGCAGAACATAGGCATGGCTGCGGTTGTGTGTGTGTGGGTGGTCGTCCAGCAAGATGGACTGGGTTGGGAGATAAGGTTCGAGTTGAGCAGACGATATGGCAGTTATGCTCTCTCTGCCCGGGTCCGGAAGGGGTTTTTGGCTTGAAGGGTTGGATCAAGATGGATGATAACAGCAGCTAATGGTGGTGGCCGGGGCGCGGGGCAGCGGGATATTTAACAAGCTAGGTGGTCCGGAGGTGGACTGGCTGGCTGCAAGTGCCAGGTGGTGGTGGTACCTGACGAAAGCTGCAGATCGCCATGACGACCTAGAGATGGGGGGGTGTACCTTGCAGCGCACGCATGCAAGGCCGAACTAGGAAGATCTAATGCAGAACCAAGGTGATATTGGAGCGTGCGTCTGGTGGCTGACTGGAGGTGTGAGCTGGCCCAGCACTGGCCCGTAACAGGGGACTTTGCTTTTGCTTTGGAGTCTGCACACCATCCGCCCGCTCGACCCATGCAACGCCAACCTTAGTCGCCATGGCTATGGACCGCAATTCTCCAGGTCGGTCGACGCCCGCTACGGAATACCGGGCGAAGCCACATTCGGATGGCCGCTTTGCCTGGAAGGTGCAAGACAAGCCACCACAGCTCAGCTCAGCTGTCAAGATACGGGATTAATACGAACCTGAACACGGATTTTGCACACTTTTTGAAGCAGACTTGCAGAGAGCTCGCCAGAACACGGCTTTTGCAAGCCCTGCAAGCACCGCAACCGCCACAACCTCAGCGAGCCATCGCACATCATCCCAGAGCGCCGCGGCCAGCAGGATGAGATCGCCGCACAAATGGGCGAAGCGTCATCACTCGGACTGGTGCGTTTCGGCATCGGATGAAGGCGGGTGCGATCGAGATCGAGGCGAGCGGTGAGTCCCTCGAAGAAACGAAGCGAAACCCACGCGGTTTTACCCACAGTGCCACACCGCCATAGCCAGCGATCATCTTTCCTCAGTGCAGCCTTGAGCCTTTCGAGGTAGGTACCCCTCATGTTGGTGGGCGACGGATACGTCATGGGTGGATCGCCCTCAGCCAATTTCCTTTTTGTGCTTTCGTGTTTCGCAGCGGAGAGTTTGCCCCTCACCTTCAGGCGTGACTGCTTCCCGGGCCCCCTTCGAGGTCTGCGGGCCGTTCGGCCTGCTGCAAGGATGAACCTGCGAATGGACAAAAGCTTCCGGAGCCACGTCAGAGAGACAGGACGGGCCTCATCTAGCGGCCAGGCAACAGGCGTAGCAGGCAGATCTCGAGGCGCAGAGAAATAACACTCTCTCAAGTCCCGTCTCCCACGGAAAGACAGCATCGATGTTTGCCAGAGCTCGACGGATTGAAGCTTGCTTTCGTCACTCTCTCTCATCACACGGACAGAGCTATTAGTCTGCGGCCGCCCTTGCAGCACGGCAGGATGTGGCCAGGGGGGTGGCAAGTTTCCCGCGTGAGCAAAAATTCTGGGTAGCAGCCAGCTGCTCATGAGACCTCTTTGCCCAGCAAGCCCAGCTCCCCCGCTTCCCATCCGAGCCACCCCAAGCCGGCTCGGCGCCCTTTCGGCAAGTGTTGCTGGCCGTCGTGATTGGAAAGACGGCGGACATGGCCAGATTAGGAACAGCAACCCTCAAGCCCGCTCAGGTACGGATGCGCTAAACATTTTGTGCGTACAGTACCAGCCATGTGGTTGATCCGCTGATCTCCCAGGGGAACATCTGTGCAAGTCAAGTCGTTCATTGGCGCGAGCTTCGCTAGACTGGACACTATTCTCATTATTGCGACGCCTCTTTTTGTCTCTGTTGGGCAAAAGGCCGTGTTCATCCACACCCGTGACAGGTTTTCACACTCATCAGCCCGAAACATGGCGTGGGAGTTCAAAAATGCAGGGCAGTAACATCAGAGACAAAAACCGGAAAAAAGCCAGTCTATCGGGTTTGCGGGAGCCTCACTTTCAGTTTCCGCCCATCGAGCAATTGCTCCGTCATCAGGCCACCGACAGAGAATGATAAAGACCGATAGCCTGGTGATCGGCCACATTTCCCGGAACGACGAACTCCTCGCGTACGTACTCCGTAGTTAAGGAATATTGGATTGCTAAGACCGCCTAGAACACCCAGACCAGGCTCCTCTCCTGTTCTAAAGCCGGGTTTGTGAACCTCTGTCTTGCCGTCCTCACTCTCCCTGCATTCGCTTTCACTCGGCGCTTCGTGATCAAGAATCTAGCCCCATAATTATCCCAGTTAACTAGAGTACGAGGCGTCACCGGACTGTCCGGGAGGAATGATGATGTCTGAGTGGGTGCCCCCAGACCCCGGGTAAAGTTCGTATGTACAAAAAGAGGTACGAAGTAGCTTTGGCATATCTCGTACTACCCAGCATGAGACCTAACAACCTAGGAAAGCGATTTTACTTTCAGCCAGCGTCGCAAGTCAGGTAGGGGTAGGTAGTTCGCCTCTCAAGGGTCCAGGCCGAGGGGCTGATGCCAGGCCAAGCTTTTCACGATATACCACCCTCACATTAGTGAGCTTATTACACGCCACACTCATTGGCGCAGTGGAGTCACGGTCTTGATATCCGTGCGGATGTCAGGACCCGACCGTACCTTTCCAGGATCCGGATCAAGTACACCCAGCAAAGTAGGTAACGGATAGTGAAGCGGCTGAGAGCTGCGCAGGTGCGCAACGCCCTTGGGGCCTAGCCGGCGGACGGGCGAGATGAGATGCTTGCTTACTCACCTTCGTCCCCGTTGTCACCACACCTACCGTACTTTTTTTTTTCTCCAACCCAGACAGTTGTATGGCGGCACACGTAATGGCTGGCATTCCCGTCACCCTCCAAACCAATCCGGTGGCTCGAAAACCACCCAATGGCAAGCCGCCGCTCACACCACGGCACGCGGCTCGCTCAAAATGCCTCTTTCGGTATCCGTACCTACACATGCCCTTCATAAGGTAAGGTAAGGTACGCATCCGTACAGGACTCGGGGAGGGGGCAATCATCTTCTACATCACCCGACCATCACCCGATGGGGAAGAAAGTCGACGGGAGAAACGTTTAAGGCAGGAGCTGCTGCTGAAACACATACGATCATCGTCCCATCTCAAGGTTTGCGTTGCGCGGGGAGCTATGGAGTGCACGAGCAAACATCAAACATGGTGTAAACTATAGCAGCAGCAGCGGGGGCCCTGCCTCCCGAGCCCCATCCGCATGTCCGCATTGACAGTGAGTAAGCCAGTTAGACATACAAGCTTTTGAGCGAGTGGGTACGGTTTGCTTCTGACTAATAAGGTAAGGTAGCTGAGGTCTAAGGAATGTGCGTTTAGGCCCTGGAGCTGTCTGACGTCCAAGCAGGCGGCCAGATACCTTCGTGAACCATAGCCTCGCACTACAAGTCCCCAGCCAGCCTCCCGTCCTCTGAATCCCTCTTCCTTGAACCCGCCGCAATAGCCTCCGCGGGCTGCCCGTCCGAGAGCGGACCCAAAGCTCTGGTGGAGCCCGCAAACGGGCTGAGACAAGGCTGGCGTCTGTGGCATCTGACTCAAAAGTCTAAGATGGTGGGCCTCGGAGGTCGATGCCTCGGCTGCCAGCCTCGAATTGCTGAAACCAGATTCCTATTCCAAAGCCATGATACGCCCGTGAGTCATCCCTGTGATTGTGCCGGCCTGCTGATGATCCAGCGACCATCGAAGTGTACTAGATATAGCCTGGATGAAAGGACAATGTATAGCGAGGCGCGGTGCATCGGCCGCGAAAGCCACACTGCCATGGCCCGAGATATCGCAACGAGATCCCACAAAGGCGAAAATCGAAGGCATCCCATATGGGAACGGCAATATGTGGCTTCTTCACTTCAGCCTTGCCAGACGCAGACACATCCACCAATCCCGGATCTCTGTCGACCGCTGGTGGCAAAGATATCTCGGGAGCGGAGTAGTAGACGGGTTGCCCGTCTTCCGGCACACGTTCCCCGGCCCTTTCTCCTTATTCTTTTCGTCGTCCCTTATTAATCTTCATCAGACAACTCCGTCAGATTCTCCAGCCAGCCGCTTGACCCTTCTCTGCTCCCAGTTGTCGATGTCTTTTGCGGCTAGTCTCTGAGAGGAGGGCAACGAGGCTGTGTGTCAGCAACGCATTCCTGAACATTTAGACTACCAAGGCGTTTTGACGGTGGGCATGGCCCCCCGTGTCATTTTCCTTTACGGGTCAGAATAATATGGAACTCACATAATATTCGTCCTTCATGTCCACCTTGCGCTTGGTCTTGCCCACGCCCAGCTCCTCGTCGCGCGTCATCTGCCGCACCTTGCGGTCCTGCCTTTCGTAGCGGATCGCCGTCGCCGGCGTCAGTGCAAAGGAGCCGCCCACGATGACGGTCAGGAAGGGAAGTCCAAAGAGCAGGAATGGCCGCTTCGCCATCATGGCGCGGTACCGCGCGCCCACGTTGCCTGGGTCGCCTGGGATGCGATACTTGCGGCTGGGGAAGACGGGCGCCATGCTTCTTTTTCCTCTCCCGGATTCCGTCTCTTTCGGATGGAATTTGGAATCGTTATCGTTCCGCCACACGGGAGTCGAGGGGCAGTGCCGGAGCGAAGGAGGAAGAGGAATAATAATATGACCAGTCGTGCTGCGGTAACAGAGTCCGAGTACGATCGGATTTAGGGGGCTGTTGCAATGACGAAAGCTCAAAGCAAAAGCTCAATTCAATCAAGCATGGGTGACACTACCGATTGGCTGATGCGCAAGGAAGCTGCGGTCCCAGCGGGATCTTCCACGTGATACGTAAATTTAGTCCAGGGTTAGGGTTCTATCGAGCAACTCTGTCTCGAACTACACTTCACTCCAAAGTCTCCGTTACAACGCCATACAGCCCTTTGCTCGATCTTATATAGACTCAATACTCTTACTCTCTTTATTTCTATTTTATACCGAAACCTTAGAACTTCAGACATTGTTTGAATCAACTACGGCATACACACGGCTTGTGGAGAGAGGAAACGGAGCGCACTCTCCACCTCGTCTCCATCGTGTGGACCTAATATCCAGCAAGACGGAACAAAGTAGACATCAACAGCAGGAACAATCCAGTTAGCATCAGCCCGTATGGTCTAGTGGTATGACGTTCGCCTCACATGTCACCAAATGTGGTCGCGACAGGTCCCAGGTTCGAGCCCTGGTGTGGGCATTCCTTTTTGTCATCCTCGGCGTTCAGAGACAACTGTCCGCGGTATGAAGTTGATGAGTGCAAATGACTATCTCTATTAAAAAGGATGTTTTCGGCTAGGTAGACCGTTCTGGGGCCGCGGGTGGGAACGATAATGAGAAAAGACTGGTGGGGCAGCTTGTTGGCAATTTGTCGAAGATTGGGACTGGATTGTGAAGGCGGATAGCCGCCTTACATGCATATAACCCGTGGGCGCCCGGGCGAAAGCCATGGCGAAGGTGTTGACACAACCCAGAATTTGACCACCACGGCCCACATCCCTCCTATATAGGTAACAGTTATGCCACGTACTAGCACATACGGCCATGGATGGTGGAGAACTCGGGATCCCGTCCGCTCTCCCATAGATAAGCCGCTAATCGTGATGTTATATGCGTGTTATGAGGGATGGAAGAAGAAAGAGGGCGCGTTTGGCGTATGCGGGCCAAAACAGACCTCTTGACATTGAGGCTAGCGCAGTCATCCAACCCGTAATCTGGGCAAAAAGGGGGGAGCTTGGCATGCCCTACCCCCCTGCCCGGGCGGGCGTAATTTGTTGACGATAGTGGGTCTAGTTGACATTTTCGGCCAACCTTGCAACTTTCGCAGCCCCGCCAGGCCGTAAGTCGCAGCTGCTTTGCGGTAGGGGCCAACAAGGGCCTCACCCCCCGGCATAATTAGGCACCGTTCAGGGTGGCCACTGCCATAGCCAAAGACGAAGAAGACGTGATGCAGCATGTGATTCCTGTCATCTGCGGCCCAAGACAAGCCGGTCACCCGATGGCGAGGAACACGCTGTTCGGACACCTCAAGCCGCTCACCGACGGCACGATTGCACCAGCCAAGCCGGACCTCTACTACGCCCCGCATCCCGACCAACTCCTAAAGCCATTCGCAAGCAGGATTTTGGTGGTGGTGATGTTTTTCTTGGTGTTGAGCCCCGCTGACCTAGCTCTCGCTCCTTCCCGGCCGGCCGTGGCCCGCCGGTAGCGTCTTTCCTTCCTTTCATCGTTCAATCTCCCCACCTTCCTTTCAGCGTTGGATATTACCGTCATATGATTGCAAGACTGGATGTCTGCTATATAACGACTCTGGGCTCGATCGTCGACCAGCTGGGAAAACTAGAATTGAGGATTGTGTGGGAATTAGAAGATGAACCTGGCAGCACATATCCGTTTGTTTCAGCTACCTGATTTAAGCCGTTTGAAAGATTGGAGTGGTCCGAATTACTGACCACTGCAAGACTTTTAGTTTTAACCCAGTCACAAAAGTGCTGGAGGCAGTTGAGGGGCTGTTGGCTTCACATGAGAACCCCAAACAACCAACTCAACCTCAGTGCCGTACACCCTCCACGTTGCAACTGCCGTGGTTAATTTGAACGAGCGTAATATTCTGTTTGGTCAGCTCGTGGTAGCTACGATACAGGGTTGCTTACTAGGAGCCATCTACAGTGAGGAAACTCTGGTTCGATATAATGTTTATACAATTCAGGAAAGAATGGGATCATGGCTCGTTGTGATGGGCTCATTGTGATATCCGTCCATAGTCGAGCACACATCTATTCTCAAGTAACGTGATAGCAGCTTCCTCTTAGCCTGGAATATTACCCAATCTTCGGAAAGCGTAACTCGAAGTCGGAAAGCGCAACTCGAAGTCGGAAAGCGCAACTCGAAGTCGGAAAGCGCAACTCGAAGTCGGAAAGCGCAACTCGAAGTCGGAAAATCAAAGACTACAAAAGGAGCAAACCCCCGCGGCCAGAACCCAACCTCGTTTCCCACCCTTCGATCTTCAGCAGCAGCAGAAGCAGCAGAAGCAGCAGCAACATCACCACCACCACTACCAGTAGCAGAAGCACCAGCACCAGCACCAGCACCAGCACCAGTACCAGCACCAGCACCAGCACCAGCACCAGCACCAGCACCAGCATCAGCACCAGCAGCAGAAGCAGCAGCAACACCACCACCACCATTACCAGCAGCACCAGCACCAGCAGAAGCGCCAGCACCAGCACCAGCACCAGCACCAGCACCGACAGCAGCAGCAACACCAGCACCAGCACCAGCACCAGCACCAACAGCAGTAGCAGCAACAATGGCTCTTTCCGCCGAGGCGTCCGCCGCCGCCGCCGCCTGGGCCTCCCTCGGTGCCACAGTCCTCCAAATGGTCGTCGAGTTTGTGCGCTGACTGTATGGCGTCCACACCATCACCTCCGCCGCCTCCGCTGCCGCTGCTGCCGCCACCACTGCCGCTGCTGCCGCCACCACTGCCGCTTCCGCCGCCTCCGCTGCCGCTGCTGCCGCCACCGACGCCGCTGCTGCCGCCACCCCTACCGCCAACGACGCCTCCGCTGCCGCCAACGCCGCCACCACTACCGCCAGCGCCGCCAGCACCACCGCCAACGCCGCCAGAACCACCGCCAACGCCGCCGCCGCCAACGTGACAGCCCTCCAAGAGCGCGTAGCTGTGCTGGAGCAGCAGGAGGTGGACCGCGCGCCTCGGTCGACCGAGCAGGAGCAGAGCCTGCAAATTCTGCTAGAGCGGGTACAGCAGCTAGAGCAGAGCCTACAAGGTCTGCTAGAGCGGGTGGAGGAGCTGGAGGCCCCGGTACGTTCCCTGGCGGCCGATCCCCCCCGGGCCACCGGCCCAACAATTGCCAGCGGCCTCCGGGCCTCAGGACGAGGACGAGGACAAGGACGAGGACAATGAAGAGGACGAGGAAGACGACGACGACGATGATGTCGATAACAAGAGGAATATACTTTTAAATCTAATACAATTACTTACGCCTGATGGCGTTCCTTGCTCACTATCTAGGAAGCTGAACACGTTTTGTCCCTGGGATTGCTTTGTTTTGCTCCCTGATGGCGTCCGCGAATGTTGAGTGATCCCACAGTGGATGATGAGGACGAATTTAGTCAAAGTGAGGATGAGGTCAAACATAGCCACAGGTCCACTAGCCACAAGTGGCTAGTGATTTGCACAGCCCCACGGCCAATGACACGGGAGCCTGGCGCACATGCAATTGTGATGCGCCACGAGCCATTACGATCCTTATACTCTACACATATTGAACATCTGTTGACGCGTTCTTTCTGAGCGCCTCTAAAAATGCGAGCTGGCAACACTTGAGCGGAGATGCAGGCTGATACAAAATCTCAGTCAAATCAGCCTAGATGGTCATATAGTAAAGTAGAATGAGAGAAACAGTTGGCAAAGAAGCACCATTGCTCTTTCTTTGGGGCAAAAGCAGCCATTTATCAAAGGACTTTCTCAATTGCTTCTACGATTTTGTAAACCGTTTCGAAGCATTTCAGCTCGGCGGCGCCCAGTCATGTTTCCCCGCAGTTCTCCTCCCTTTTCAAGAGGGCGTGGGTGTTAGTTAACCCAGGATTAAGCCCGCTACACTAGATTTCGGCTGGGCAGAAAAGCAGTATGCGTTATTACGAAATTTCGTTGAAGATGTACGCCGATCTATATACAGAGGCAATTCTAAAATTCACTATATGATTTTCTGCTCCGTCTTTCGAGAGGAATACCCGTCCAAGGGCTACTATCGCCAGTGCTAAGACGACGAGAAAGAACAATCATCAAAAAATCTCTGGGATGTGAGTGGATCAATTTTACCTAACGTCTAGTAGTTCTCAATTACCCATCCACCTTGCCGAAGGTCAAACAAACCAGAGCAATCTTCCTACTTACTAGTGTGTGGTTATTCCGACGTTCAATTGTGATAAAAGTAACGCCTGGGTGCCCGATACGGCGTCCTGTGTTCTGCCCCAAGAACCGTTATTCTAGAAGACATATCGATACCGTTTTCCAGAATGGTGCCGATAGTAGTTCTCACAAGATCTATCGGCGCACCACAGTGCATGAAGACTTTCTTCATCTCCAGGTCCTAGATTGTAAGATTCTGGGTCCAGTGCCTCATACCAGTCTGTCGTTGGCCTGTTGGGATTTGCGACGTCGAAACCGACTACAAATGTGCGGCGGTATATCACCTGGATCTCCCCACAATAGCATGGTTTAATCAATCCAACGAATGCAACGCATGTTTTTTTTGACACGACCACCTCCATATGAAAAGACAGAGGTGGTATGCGTAAATCGAGATGGCGGCGAGGATCCAAGACTGAGAGATGCGTCCGAACGACAGCTTTCTTCTCCACGGCAAATTGGAGACAGTTGCCAATCGAGTTTGTCAGAGCCGACGTATCGTATACAAGAACAGTAATTGGGATCAACGTATGCCGTAATGGCGGATCGACCGGCCTTTAGATCGGAGACAAGAAATTGGCCAGCATCCTGGTAAGTTTCTTCAAGGTCTCTGCGCAAATCGTTGGCTGTGTACGCTCCTGATCTCATCGGCCGAGCGGGCAGGTGGGCGTTCCAAAGGAGGTTTAAATGTAAAAGATTCTTTGGCATCTTCACAATGCCCAAGCAGACCACGCTGAGAGTTTGGCGTTGCACCTTGCACGGGACGCTCTGGTGATGAGCCGAGCAGATTGGTGTCGGCGGGACGACGGATCCGTATCTGCCCTTGTCCTCAAAGTCATGCTGGTCCGCCCAGCTTCTGATGTTGCTCCAGCGGATGACGACATGTCGGCAGACACGCAAGTAGCCTTCGTGCGCGGTACAGATACGGTTGCTGCTACTACTAGCTAGCTCGCCGGCGCAACCGAGTCTTTGCGAAGCCGAGAATAACGCTCTAGGATGATTCTGCTTGCAACCGGCGCAGTAAACTTGCTCGGCCATCAAGGCCCAGTACTTTTCGTGCTTCAATCCTAGCTGACGTACGTGGCGGCACTGGGAACAATATTGATCTCTGAGGAGGAGCGAGACGAGCTGCTCCGATAATTTGGGGGTTGGAGCTGGCCAAGGAACGTCTCTATGCCGAGGTAGAAAGGGTTCGATGCTTTGCGATCTGAACTCGTGGGCGCCAAAAAGTCGCATGAAAACGCGCGAGCTTCTTCGCAGACACTGGAGGCCTATCCAATCGACGCGGCCCATAATATCTAGTAGCAGCTCGTCCGGCAATCGACATAGCGGGCTTAATGTCAGGTTGTAATAAGAAGCAGCCACCAAGGGATCTAATCCTTGGGCGATCAGACTAGCTTCGGGTAAGACAAGGTCGGCGATAGGGCTGCCTTTTGGCGGCTGCCAGTCGAGTTTTGTGACCTGGATAGAGCTACCTCCGGGCGCTTTATCAAGTTCTGCACCCAAGGCAAGATGATTGGTATGTATCGGCTACCCAAAGGCATAGCATGTGAGGTATGAAGAGGACCCTCCTAGTAGACACTGCTAGTAAGGGTTGTAAGGCTGATTTCTGGCTGACAGTATGCTCATGAGGGAATGGATGGAAGAGAAAAGGACAACCAAAGCGACGACGTACCAACCTATTGTTAAATATACGTACTTTATCACATATTGCGCCACAGGCACAATTTTTAACTTTTTTTCGGGAAAATTAAACATTGGAGTCTTCCACTCTTTTGAATTCGGCACAGCATGAATGAAATACGGGTGGGCTCGTGGGTCCCGTGACAGAAGCTTTTTGGCGTCTCCGTGAGTTTCACTCTGGGATTTGTCGGCAACACGGATATTTGGGGCTCGGCGCCGTTAAGACTTTTTGGGACTGAAGCCATGCAATGTATCTAAATGTGAAAGCCTGAATGGATGTATGGAGTGCCCACATCGTAAGAGAACACCCCTGCCCTAAACCCAACCCAAACGTACCCTATTTACCAAAAACTGGGGCTCAGCCAACGAAAAGAGAACCTCAAGTCTGGATCGAGAAGCCGGAAACTTTTCCTTGTTGGCTTTGTGAGCGGTCGTTTCCCAACACGAAAGGCCGCAGTCAATACGTTACGGTAACTGTTGGAATGACGCGCTAGTCAGCCACAGAGGTGGCGGTTGTGGCGGCGCAGGGCCACAGATTCCATATAAGTAGCCTACGGCCACTTCCACCTTCTGCCTTCTAGATATACACAGACATGAACAAATCCACCACTTGAACCACCAGTTTTCGGCGTGCAGTTACGCCCTGTTGGTTCCAGTACTGATACCTGGTGATTCCAACACTGATCAGTGGTTAATTCACCACCGTTGGGACAACAGTCCACGCTACAGATCAGCAAGGATCGAACAGAAGAGACAGTGCCTTGGGGAACGGTCGACCCGAAGGCTGGCCCTCCCTACGAACCTGTGCTAAGGAAGGCATCCTCAATTACGGAAGAGACGGTACAACGGAGCATTCGTGCCTCGAATCTCAACCGCAGCCTGAGAGCCTTCGAATCTACGGAAGAAGTGGCCGTGACCGTCTCCCTGGCGTCACCTAGCCGTAGAGCGTCTACCACGCAACAAGCCCTGGAAAACAACCTTCCAGGCCAACCATAACAACGACCTACACGTTGAACACTTATTCTTTTGCCTTCATCCATTCTTTTACCTTTATTCATTCTTTTCTACCCTCATTCATTCTTTTCCACCTTCAGTTATTCCATTCTACCTTGATTCATCCAGCTTCATTTCTTCGGCCCTTTTTTCAACATTCCTTCATTTTTCCGCCCCTTTTTCAACATTCCTTCGACTTCCAACCTTCCAGGCCGATCAACGGCCTATCCCTTCTTTCCAGGCCAGTCAACGGCCCATTCCAACTTTCCAGGTCAGCCAACGGCCCATTCCAACTTTCCAGGCCAGTCAACGGCCCAGTCCATTCTTTCTAGGCCAGTCAACGGCCTATTCCATTCTTTCTAGGCCAGTCAACGGTTCATTCTGGCTTTCCAGGCCGGTCAACGTGTAAGGAAAGAACCCCCAACCCACACACACGACCAACTCGCACGCGTACCGAGCGGGCCAAGATCTCACTCCTTTGTCAATGGCCCGCCCTGCACTCTGTCATGTATATAAGCAGTGACCCTCGCCCCTTCCTTTGCGAGGGCCAGGTTGAAGTCTCTTACCAATACCAGTCATTGCTCGCTCTCTTCAGTACCTTCATTGTGACCACCTTGATCAGGCGTACCTGCCTTCACTTACACTCGGCTGGGGGGTAACGGGGGGTTGATGGTAAATACTCGGCTGAGGGCTAGCAGGAGGTTGGCCTTGTTGTTGGAAAGGTATTTACTTACTGTGTGCCCATAATTTCCGAGTTACTCGAGCCCGGGGGCATAGTCTTTAACGGGATTGATGCACGAAAAATAAATACTAGCCTAGAAGGCCTAGATTTATTTTGTTGACCAGTGAGGCAAAAAACGGAGCTGGCTTTATTAGAGGAGCTACGATCGGGCTTACGGAATTTGACCTCATCATGCTATGTATTAACCGGGCAGCTGATATCACTAGGAGATAGAGTAGGTGTTTCCGGGCAGTGAGCGAGGAACAAACGTACGCTGCTAGTTTGACATCGGAGCCTATCCGACTCTGCAGAGCAGTATGGATGCGAGAATATGTCAAACGTAGACACTGATTTCAGTTGCGAAACACTGTAGAATTGATAAGCGTATAACGGACTAGGCTATGGCGAGAACGGGTATGGAGGCTGCTGGCAATCCTCGAGATAAGAGGGCATCGACAATGCACAAATAGCTACAGAGAGCGTAGAGCGGACGAATGATTTGAGTCTTTGACAAGCCGGCGGCCGACGCCAGATATGCGCTTTCCGTCTACAGCTATACCACGTGTAAGGCCCGGGGCCCAATATCCTAGAGGAAGTTGAACGTAGAACATGTGCTGTACAGCCTCACGTAAACTGCCATGCATATCCTCAGAGCGCTCATAAAATAGTGTTAACAAGACAAGTTGTCGCCATACTTATCTTGGCCGAGAGAACAGAGGGCAGTTGCAACGCCGAAACGGACCAGAGCCGGCAGCAAGCCGGGACCAACAACTGGGTTAAAAGGGCACTATCCAGGTGCAGACACACAAGGCACAGGCAGGCACGCGGTTTGGATATCAATCAGGATGCAATTCACCTGCCACCCCCTCCTCGCCGACGCGGCATTTCTGCTATCTACAATGCTAGAGTACACAAATAAAAAGAAAGTCGGAACCCGAGACGTCCGTCTAGAGTACGGAAAGGTCGCCGAATTTCTCCTGTTGTCGTTATTAGTAATTGGTCCAAGGATGGTATATATCTCACCCTTCTTGACTCGTGAAGCCCGAGTTGAAAACGGAGATTTGACGCAGAGCGAGCAGAACGCACCTTGTATCCCGGAACTGACCAGCGGCCCTTGGAGACAAGCTGGGATGTCTTCTCGTCGATGGACGGCTCGGCGGCCGCAACTTCGTCCTAGTCAAACCAATCAGCGTCGCTCCAACAAAAAAAGGCGAGGCAGCGGCAGCAGCGGCAGCAGCGGCAGCGAAATACCGCAGCAGCCGCCACAGCCCAGCCCAGCCAGAACATACCACGGTGAGGTCTTCAAACGGCCGCGCGGTCTCGATGTTGGTGAGCGTCTTTTCGAGGTCCTTGAGCTCCAGGTCGACCTTGTGCTTGGTGGCCTCTGCGTTCTTGACGGCCTCGACCTCGAAGGCCTCAATGGCCTTGAGCTGGCGGCTGACGTCGTACGAGGCAGGCTTGAAGGCGGTGAAGCGCTTCTCGATCTCGTCTACGACGGCGCGGTTCTTCAGGACGCTGCGGTAGTGCGAAAAGTCGACCTGGGTCGGCTGCTCCGACAGCACCTGCAGCTTGCGGCGGGCGTCGTCATTGCGCTTCTTGAAGGCCTGAAGCCCCGCGACCGTCTGGCCGCGCAGGCCGAGCGACGTCGTGACTTTCGCCCAGTCGAGCTTGAGAGCTGCGCTTCGTGGCTATTCGCGAGGGGGAGATTAATTAGCTCAGTCGTTTTCTTCTCCAGGCCAAGAATGACGAGACAAAAACGGCGCCGCCCGCGACGGTTCGAATTGGCTGTTCAAACGTCACCGAAAAAGGCGATGTCGAATCTTGGAATGCTAAATTGAGTAGGTGCACTTACTGCGGCCATTGTGTTGTTGGGTGGCGGTGATCGAGGGGATGACGAGGGATTCGCTGTCGTTCGTTCGCTTGTTCGGCAAAGTGAAGCTGCAAAGTCCTGGGCCCCAGGCGCGAGCTTTAATCACGTGACTCCACCCCACGGCAAGATCGAACCAGGCATGGAATGGAATTAATCACCGCCAGGTTTAGTGCCCACTTTTGGGCCAACATCAAACATACCAAAGGTGTCTAGGTAGTATTGTATTGTACTCGGGATGTCGACAAACAGTATGTAATGTATGCTCTCTTGTTATGGCTGGCCAGTGAATGTTACAGAACACTAGGACCCGCAAGGGTTAGCTCCGTTCAGCGGCCAACATCTCTAACCAAGACACGACAAGGAGGCATTTTTACAATGTCACGTTTACTACGGTAGTACTCAAAGATCACGCTGGATGCCCAATCATTGATGTATTGTGTCAGTGAAATATGTCGGTTTCATATCGTAAATTCACGATCACTCCTAGTCTAGTGGTGTCCGCTACATTACGACCAGCAAGCTAGAAATACTCGACGCCCACCCGGCGGGGAACTGCCTAGACACTCAATGCCATAATCGAGTTCACTATGTCGTTGTCGTTCTCCTTAAGTGCCTTGATGGCCTTCTTGCGGGAGACGCTCGCCTGGGCCATGACAAGCTCAATATCCTTGTCTTCAATGCCCTCGGCGTCAACCTCCTCGCCGTCGTCGTCGTCCTCCTCCTTCTCGTGGTCGTGGCTGTGGCTGTGGCCGGCGTGGTCGTGGCCGGCGTGGTCGTGCTCGCCAGTCTGGCTGGCAAGCTGCTGAGCAGCGGCGGCCTGGGCACTGGCGTTAAGATCCTCAATCTTGGCCTCACCAAAGACGATGTACGTGTTGCTGTTAGGAGACTTGTACACCTCTGGGTTGTTGATAACGAAGAGGATCTAGTTGGGCTCTCGTTAGCTGACTGAACCCCTCTATCTCAATCGGGAGAATCGGAGCACGTCCGCCTCTCATTCCTAGACTCACATTCTTGGGGCGTCTCAGAGTGACGCGGGTGATGCCTGGTACACGGGTAAGGTGCAGCTTCTCCATGGCCTTGCGAGCCTTCTTCTCGTTCCTAGAGTGGATCACGGCGGTCGAACCGGCGGGGAGGCTCGAGTCACCGGCCTCAATCTCGGACTCATCGCTGCTATCATCGTCAAGCTCCTCGACGGTGACCTTCTTGGTCTCGTCATCCGGAAGCTCTTCGACTCTGGGGTTGGCCATTTTGGAAGCTAGAGGTGGAACTGGTCAGCTTCTTCGCGCACAAAGCGTTGGTTCACCGCTCGCGCCGCAAAGGGCAGCCGGACCAATTGCCGAGGGGAAGATAAGAAACGCTACTGGAACGGCTCGACTTCCATACTCACACTGGTGCAGAAATCGCCGCTGATTACTGGTTTGCCGGGGTTGAATGAGCGAGCAGGACGTGGTGTAGAGAAAAAGTTCGGTATCCAAATTTCTGGGTAGGGCTTTGCGAGCACACCAGATGTTAACTGCGCTAGCCCCAATCGGGAAATCTAAGTTAACGAGGGGCCAGCCAGCACGCAACAGATATCCATACAATCAACCCTTGGGGCAAACTCAATAGATACACATAACAGAGCTTCCTGAGCTGCATATGCGGCTTATTTTGCTCGCATTTGGTATTCATTATGTACTGCACTACGCTCTAGGATACGGAGTGGGCTGGGCATGACGCCGTGTTCACTCCGGCGGCCGAATCAAATGGGCAAATGATTCGTAGGTCAGAATGGGGGGTCATTTGTTTTAGCTTAATTTCGCATTTTCCATATGACGCCGGTCACCTTGACGAATGTGACATACAGATCTTCCGAAAGCGACGCAAAGGAGAATCCAGCAACCCTAATGCTGAGGTTCATGCAGACCGTTCCAGAATACCCTCCCCAGGATCCATGCCCACCCAACGTTCTTCTCTCCCTTCACAAGCCTTGCGAGCTTTATGCCTTGGTGGCCTTGACCTTGACCAGAGCCTTGTGCTCCTCGAACCGTCTCTGCTTCTTCAACCGCATAACCTTGAACCGATCGAAGTCGGAGAGCGCCTGGCGGCGCTCCTGCTTGACCTGCTTCTTCGCCCAGTTGGTCTCCTTCCACTTCGCGTCGATCTCCGACTTCTCCCAAGCCTTCTTGACGGCTCCAGACCGCGCGCCGCGGGGAAGCTTCTCGATGAAGAGGGGTGTGAGAAGGGTGTTGGCGAAAGAGACCTCGCTGCGGGCGGTGGCGAGTCTGGGGTCTGCAGAAGGTCCATCGACAAGTGCCTGATGCCACGAGTTTAGTCTTGTCCAATTCCATATCCAGTGTCTTCGCGATCCGCGGCCGTGGGCTCTTAACATACGCGCTTGTGGTCGATAATCTCGACGATGACAGCCAGGCTGCCCGTCTCAAGCTTCAGGACGCGTCCGACCTCGATGCGGCGCCATGAGCTGGCTCCGACTTGAAGTTCTGCCATTTTATCGTCTTCTGAGGTTCCGTCGAGTTAGTGGTTGGGACCTGACGAGATGCACGCAAAATTGGTTTTCGGCGGGATGCGCAAGTTCGAGGGAAAAAGAGCGACTGTCGAAATCCCTAAATGTGCTGGGGAAAATTTGTCATGCGTACCTTGGATGCTGTTACGAGGCCTCAAAGAATCCAAGTCATGCCTATGCGTCGATATCTAGACCAATTTTTGTGTGCGCTCTGGAATCGGCAGGGCTCGATGAAAATTTGCGGAACCACTGGGATTCCGGTTCCGGGTCTCCAAGTATTTCAGCCACAAATGAGCTTAGTGCGTGGGGCGCATTAGGGTTCCTTGGCGCTGTGGCTTCGATTCTGGAGTGAGACAGCCCACTAGCCTCAGCTTCTTTTGTATGTCCATCACCCCGATTGATCCTAATTTCAGTTTCTAACATTCTACTCTCCCTCTGCAGACACTACGGAAATGACGCCGCAAGCCCTCCTTGATCTCCATTACGAGTCTTTGTACAGATCAAGGAGAAGCTCCGATCTAGAATAGCCCTGGGAGGGTTTTGGCAAGGAAATTGGCCCGGAAAGCCTTGTCGGGGCATTTGCAACAGGGGGAGAAGGCCTTAGACTTCGGCTCGGGGCAATTGAGCCTTTTGCGAGAGACAAAACTCCACGCTAACAAATGAATGGTACTGATGCATCCTTGTCCGTGTTGCTTCTTATTGACGGCCCTATCAATAGCATGCTCTTAGATTTAATTCCAGCGCTGAGTCGACTGTGCTTCCGCCACCAGCACATATCGGTTTGCGTGTTCAACGTTGTACTGCATCCAATCGACCGCCGCACACGGACTTGGACAGGAATTTCGCCGGTTCCTCCGGTCCGAGCATTGCTCATTCAACAACGCCAAGAGTTTTGTATCGATCTTCCCGCAATGTTTGACGTTGATCACTTGGTTGTTACATTTCACTCCGGCTTGGCAACTCGATCTTGGGAAGACAAGTCCCCTCTCCCGCTCAGCTCTTCGGCCTCAGAGTTATCGCCCTCAGGGATCAACGTGTCAGGACCGCCCGCTTAGAGAGTTGCCGACGACTGTGGCTTTGTCCGGCACAGACCTATTCGTCGATTCTTTACCTTGCTCGGTCCAAGGTGGAGGCTTGTAGCGTCGTGAAGCTCAGCCTTTTTGCGAGGCATAAGCAAATGATGCGTAATGTACGACAGTGGGGGGGTCAAAGCAAAGTCGGAATTCCTGACGCCGTACGGGGTATTCCGCAAGATATCAACAACACGGGTATGAGAATCTGAGTAAGACGGTGAGATTGTACGATTCCTCGTTCAAGATTCGCTGCCTCAGTTTCCCCGGCCACTGTCTCTGATGCCTACAAGTTTCAAGCCAATGCTGGTCGACTAGGTTCAGACCTAGTTGCCCACCTTCCTAACTAATTATGCCAAGGTCATGTATCTCATTTGATGACAGACACATGACTCCATCTGCTTCAACCTGTGTTAGTATGGCGGTGGAGGACAACCTCTTCAATGACATTTGCATGGTGCTCAACTTGGTTTGGTCCTTGCTGGCATCAGATACTAGACTCAAATCCCATCCCATGCTTATATTACCTTCCATGTTACCCACCTTGGGTAGTTGGTTGCATGCAACACTCTTTGGAGTCCCTCCCGTTTCACGGAATACGTACATGTATATGCACGGAGGAGCTTATGCGGTACCTTTTTGGTGCGTCCCGCTGGACTCGTTGGCGATCGCCGCAGCGCCAGGCGGTATATCCACTTGTTGTTGCGTTGTGCTAAAAACGAGTCTCAGCAACAGGTTATTCTTCCTATTCCTCCTTCTTGTGGTGAAACATTGGGAAAGCACAGCAATGTAACTGAGGTGGTTATCAGCTTGGCTTTTCCCGATTCGGAAATCGCCGTGCACAGCATTCACTCGTGGGAGTCTTGGCTGTCCTGGGATATTCCGGAGGGGTTTTGAACCTCCGTCCTTCCGTTCCCGCCTCTCCGCCCGTGAAGGGTGAAGGAAAGGAAGGGAGGAAATCCACCCGCAATTGGTTGCTGTAAGTGCAGCAAGGCAGCTTAGCACGGGAGTGATAATACTCTTCCCCATATTAAAGGCGCTTCCCCTTGAATGGGTTAACGAGAATAAACTCGAGGACTACAGCCTCGGCGGCTTGAAGTCTATTGTCTCTTTGGAATCCTCCCAGCTTCGAACCCCTCTCTCCCCCGACACCAACTACCTGTCCTAAGCCTGCAGGTCCAATGCACAGTAGCGCTTGAACTCGTTTCTCTTCCCTTTGACCTACCTACCTGTCCTGGATATCGTCCTGCTGCACGCCGAGCGAGTGCTCGTCGAACACACCTTGTTTGGTCTTTCAAACACACCGACGCATCATACCTTACCTTAGGTACCGGCACATTCATTACACCAAAGCTGCCGCCCAAAATGGGCGAGCCAATGGCGCTGTCAGCGTCTGACGTCGTGCTTGCAGAGGGGACACCAGAGCAGCGGCAGCTGGCCTGGCAGCTCAACGGGGTTTCGTGGGCACCGCCAATGCCGATTGACACGTATGTCGCGCGCGAGGAGCAGCTCTCTCAACACGAGCTCTGCAGGGACGGGCGGTGCAAGTACTGGGTCATCTACCTCAAAGGCTACCCGCGGCAGATCATCGCCAGCTGCGAGACGACGCGCAAGACGGTTCTCATCGCCAGGGACGGGGTCTCGAGAAAGGGACATGGCTACGCCATTGCCAGCGTCTACACCAACCCGGCCTACCGCAGGCTGGGCATGGCTGCCTTCCTCCTTCGCCGCGTCCAGGAGCAGATGGACCTGGACAGCGACTTCAGCGTCCTGTACAGCGACATTGGCAGGAGCTACTACTCGAGCCTCGGGTGGCGCGTGTTTCCCAGCTACCAGGTCACTCTCAGCCTAGTGGGCCGCGCCGCGCCGCCATCACCCACCACTGCCACATCGTCACCACCGCCGTCGCCGCCTGTCCCCTTCCAGCATAGCCAGCCGGCGCGGACGCGGCATCTGAAGCTTGAAGATCTGCCGGCACTGTGCGAGCAAGACGAGACTTACCTCGCGCAGCAGTTCGCTGCACTCCCGTCGGGCGACGGCATGACGCACGTAGCCTTCTCGCCGAGCTTTGCGCAGATCTCCTGGCAGCTCACGCGCGCCGGGTTCATGGCCGAGCGGCTGTTTGGCGGGAAGGCGGTGCCGAACAAGGGCGCCATTACCGAGAGCGGCAGGTCGTGGCTGTACTGGCACCACGACTTCCGCGAGCGCAAGTTAAAAGTGCTGCGCATCGTCTCGCTGCTGGACGAGGCCACCGCCGAGCAGCAGCGCATCGTCGACAACAAGGTCCTCCTGGAGGCGGCGCTGGCCGAGGCTAGCGCGTGGGGCCTGCCCAGCGTTCTCGTTTGGGACCCAGACGAGCACACCACGCTTGGCTGCAAGGCAGCCGGCAACACGCACCCGGAAGACGTCAAGATCGTCTTTGACGAGCGCAAGGACAAGAGCGTACCGAGCTTTCGCTGGGCGAGGGGCGAGGACTCGCGACAGACCGTGTGGGAGGACAGTTTCTATTACTGCTGGTGCTAACGCCTTTTTCTTTTTTTGGTTGGGATGTGGCGTTTACCTAGCATTGTGTACTTTTTTGCCCTTTTCTTTAATACTTTTCCATCATGTGTTCGTATTTGTCTCCAATTTTACCGTTACAGCATGATCTCGTGTCATTTCTTTGCAACCCGAAGGGAGCCGCATCTTTGCCATGGTTGTGTACAGAACTCTTTATGGATTTATCATGTCATTGTGCAAAGTACCGGCGCAGATGTTCGGCCCCCTGGCTAATATACTCGTAGTTTTTTATTTTTAAAAGGCGCTCAAGAGATGCTCGCCAACCTTGCTTGTTCTACGTACTTACCTGACAAGAGAGTTGGATTCTCTGAAAAAAAAGTCGCCACGTATCTCATTTACCAAAGACGGGATGTTTCAGGTCATTCTTAGGCGTACTTGCCAAGGTCAGAGCAGAAATCTTTTGTCTGTTACTGGTATTTAGGACTGTAACAATGGAATCACGCTACGTACTAATATTCAGGCCAAATTGAGTCGAGTGGAAGAACTAGTGGCAGGTGGAGAGGGAGGCGATAAGAAAAATGTCCACCTTATCCTTAAGTATGTACCTGACTTTACTTACGTTCGGACAAACATGGAACCTAGAACCTGGAACCTAAGGCATGTAGGTAAGGTAAATTCGGCGTACAAAAACTCATTTCTTGTCGCGTATTCAGGCTTCTCGACATTCACGTCTCCGGTAAACAACTTAACACAGAAAGCAAGTTTATTCCCTTCCGTCTGACAAGCTAAATAAATGGGCTTGGCCTTTGGTTGCAACCTGGCCCCCCAAAGTTTTTAGAAGAATAAAGATCTTCGCAAATGCGGCAGTTCGTCGGGGGATTTTCTTGACAGCATCCACACTACAGTCGTGGTATAGAGACTTGCTCACTTGTTGTGACACCAGCGCCTTTTCGAGCCGCTGGAGTTGGTCGGGTCGAATACCATCTCTAAACTTATGCAAGGCGGGCTCCCCATGTTCGCAGTCGACCTCTTTCGCTACGCACTCAGCGGTACAGCGAGTGTGCTTTCCCTTGTGTTCAATTACGGCGGCCCGTAGCATCTGAGAATCCAATTCCAAAACCACCGTCCCGCTCTGCCCAGGAAAAGGAGAGGGCTTGAGGACCCGTCTGTGAGCGGAAATCAGCTACGGCTCAAACCTGGGAGTCCAGATGACGCAACTAAAAAGAGAAGTGGTCCTGTTAGGGGGTTTGCATCGGGCCATACATAACCGACAGCTCTACGGGATGGATTATTAGTAGTTGTATTTGGGTATCAGGAGAGAGGTAGGTAAGGTAGCGACTTACAGGACAGCTGTCTCTGGGTCGATGTAATTGCCGCCTATCTCATTTGGGGATAGCTTTTCTAACCATTTCCTGTAGTTGCTGTAAATGGAGACGGACACGCGTGCAGCCACGGTGGTGGAGCCAAGGTCCGACAATCCTGGATGCGAGGTTTTGAGAGTGAGGGTATCACGGGAGCCCTGACGGCGAACGTAATTGGCAGAAACGGTCCTCACAAAGATGGGGGCACAGCAGACCCATCGCTACGGCTATCTCATCGCCGACGCAGTGGTGGAGATTGCCACGCCAGGCATTTACTGATTACTCGTAAATTAACTAGCTCTAATAAGCTTGGCCTCAGCGTATTCTCAATTTAATATCCCTTTTTGTTGGAATGACAAGGTCATTCGTTCCATAGTCACTGCAGTAACCGATGCGAATGGGGTGGCTGTGGTGGCTGTATTCTGGTCTTGCTCTTCTCAAAAGGGTCACGAACTACGGGGACAGGATACGGGTTGGAATTGGCGATGCCGGAGGTCACGTGAGGAGCGCGCTGGTCAGCCACTGGGGCTGTGCAGCCTGTTGACCAATCACGTGCGACTACATCCTCTGATTGACTGGTAGTTCCCACACTTTTAGTTCAGTATTTTTACTTAAAACAGGGTCTTTACTTGGAATTTTTAAGATAATTTTCTCAGAAAGAATTAAAGGGAATTGTCCGAGTGTTTCCTAAAATATAGTCTACTTTATTTAGTACTTAGTACAAAAGGTTTAAATATTTTAATATCTGGGAAACTTTGAAATAATAAATATTATGGAATTGTAGGGGGCCGAAGGACCTCGTTTTTGTTGCGCCGCCGCCGCCGCCGCTGGCTTGCTTGTCGTGATACTAGTGAAGGGCTAGGTGAGCGGTCCATGGAGACTAGTACAGCTGTCCTGCTGATTGCTAATTGCGGTGGCAGCCGAAAATATCGAAACTGTAAGCGATTGCCCGTTGTCTGAGGTCCTGGACGCGTGCGTTTGGAAGCAGCGCCGGCCCGGCGATGCTTGGTACTGAAGGGATCTTGGCATCTGAGGGCGGCGCTGAACTGGCGATGCTTGGTGCCGAAGGGGGGCAACGGCCCTTTCTCCTGGGAGTCCTGGTAAGCAGCACTTATCGTGGGGTGGGTCTTGGCCCTGCGATTGCGCCGATTGCATGTAATTGGCGGTAGGATTGCTAGCGCCGCAGAGAATGGGAATTTATCGACGGTGGACGCTTTTCCTAATTAGTTATCCCTGCAATTGCACTACTTGAAGCTATATCGAGTACTCCTCTTTTTTTTAACTACTTCTAGCGATGCCGTTGGCGCTGGCGGCGTCGGCGGAGTAGGTCAACTAGCTTGTTAAGGCTCTGGCCGCCTCGTAGAGCCTCCAGCTCTCGGATGGCCTCCTTTTCACTCCTCCCACGAGCGATGAGGGCTCTGAGGGCATCCCAAACTACCTTACGGCGGCAAAACTGCACAGTCATAGTTTTACCCGGCCGCCAGCGAGAGCTGTACTGCTCTTCAAGACTCTCAATGGGCGGCCCGCCGGCTACGCCTTCCTTCCACTCACGCCATACGTCCGTTACTGTATAGACCTTTGGGAGGCAGTTGACGATAGGGATTCCTGATGCTATTGTAGGCAAAGGTGCTGGTTCCGGCACTGGCGTGATTGCTGTCGTGGTAGTGTTGCCTAAGTAGCCAGTCATAACAATCTGGGTATTGAATAGCCGGTCAAGTTGTTGCTGTTGTGTGGCGAGCTGGCTAGCTAACTCGCTAGCTAGGCGGCTATGTAGTTGATGAGTGTTATGCAAGATTGCGCTACGTGTGCTCTCGACCAGGCTGTAGAGCTCTGGGAGAACCCGCTTAACAAGTAGCGATGCCGGCTCCTCTGTATCGTCAATGCTAGCTTGGACCCTCTCTGCGAATGCAGCCCAGTCGGGGCCGCGAAAGGGGGCATATAAGAAGAAGGGTAGTGTAGGGAACTGCGGTTGCAAGGCAGCTAAGTCTTGTAGGAGCACGATCCGTAGGCGCCGTAGGAGCTTGAGGAAGCCATCACCAGCAAGGTCGTCGTCGTCAAGGCCGCCCTCACTCCACCGCTTACGACGTGCGCGCGCCTCAAAGCGCTGCTCCCACCCCTCGATCCACGGCCAGAGCTGCCTCTGCAGAGCGGCCGGCGGCTCGTGTACGGCGCGCTTAAGGAAATAGTCGCCAGAAGTCCCTGAGAAGCCGGCTACAATACGCATAGACTGCCGGGGCAGGTGAGTCAGGTACGCCTTGCACAGCACGCTCGCATTCCAACGCCCTGCCTGCGAGATCTGCGTAAGCGATGTGCCGTGCGTCTCAGTCTCTTGTGCGCCGGCGCGTCGCGGTAGATGGGTCTTCTTCTTGGCCGTCAAACCGACGGCGCCAAAGACCCTCCACGTCTCTTCGAGCTGCGTGCGGTAGGAGAGCTCTTGCATGCGGTCGGAGCCCACGAGGACCTTGATATTATACCACTCTTGGCGGTGGCGGAAGGTCGGCGCCGGCTCGCCGGCGATATGCCAGCGCCAGAAGAGGAGCTGCGCGAGGGCGCCCTGCGTACAGAGGAGCGGGTCTCGGTGGCGGAGCGCGCCCATAAACTCCTTCTTCGCCGTCTTGTTCATCTTGCCATCTTGCAGCAGCGCTACGAGGCACCCACACGGTGTAGGGCCCTCCGTGAGAGGGTAGTCCAGTAAGGATAGATCGGCCAGCTCCATCTTCCGGCGGTTCTCCCCGCGTAAGAGGTAGTAATGACCAAAAAGTAGATCCACACGCGTGCGGAAGTTCTGTGGCACGGCGGCCGATGTGCTGAGCAAGTGGTTCTGAGTAGCGGACCACTCTGCGGCAGAATAGCCCGCTTGGATGCCCTCGCTGCTGCGGTCCTTGAAGGTGGTGCGGTCAATACGTGAGCGCTGCCGGCTCCGCTGCTCGAGGAAGCCGCGTACAGCACTGCTGCGAGGGTTCTCGAGGTTCTTACTACCGTGCGCGACCTGGAGCCGCCATAGCTCCATGACCGCTGCGATGTAGGCGTCAAGGGTAGCTCTGGTCAAGGGAGCACCTTCTTCGGTATCGACGTCTTCCGGCGGCTCGTAGTCTTCTTGGTCGTCGCAGAGGATCTGGACGGCCTCGGCTAGTGGCACGCGCAGCGCCTCGGCTAGGATTTCGGCTTTAGCGACGGAGCTCTCCTTAGCAGGGCTGGCCGCCCCGGTATCCCCGGTATCTGTACTGTATGCCGCCTGCTTGGCCGGGCGTCGCCCCCGTACGGCGACGCGGCGGTGGAGGAGGTCCTCGCTGAGCCAGGCAGCCAGCTTGTCTGGGGTAACGAGCTCTCCGTCTGGCCACGCCGAGAGCACGCCGTCAGGACCGGGGCGCGGCGTCAAGCACCACTCTCTCCACTGCTTCTGCTTCGATGCGTAGCTGCGCATCGTATTCTGTGGTTGCTCGTCTCTCTTGGCTTGTAGGCCAGCCGTACGAGCAGTGCGCGCGCGCTCATCGGCAGCAGCGTACGCGATGTCAACCGCCGTAGGTAAGCCGGCCGGTTGCGGGGGGAAGGCCTGCGCAGCCCCCCCTGCCCCTGCACCGGTGCGACGCGTGCCAGCCATGTGGCGCGCGTGTGCGCTCTCTTTATCGCCGGTCAGGAAATAGTAAGAGTAATAAAATAAAATAAAATAAAATGAGGGCGGCGCGAGGGCCTGGGATGAGGGGTAAGACGCGCCGTAGGGGGCAGGTAGGCAGGTAGGTAGGTAGGTAGGTAGGTAGGTAGGTAGGTAGGTAGGTAGGTAGGTAGGTAGGTAGGTAGGTGGGTGGGTAGGTAGGTGGGTGGGTAGGCATGCGAAGCGAACGAGATAAGTCGGTCAACTTACCGCGAGGGGCTTATCGCGGGCGCGAGGGCGGATTGCGCGGCAATCCGGCCAGCTGTGGTAAGCTGCCGGATGCGGCCTAGCGGCTGCGGGGCAATTGCGCAGACCGCCGATAAGCCCGAGCAGGCTTCTTTTCAGTAGCCTGTCTCAGGCTAAGTCCGCCTTGCCCATCTCCGTATTACGTGTATGGTGAATCGAATCTGAAGATAGCGTTCATCTTTCTCTGCAACGGGCAGGCTCCAAACGGCGGTGGAATGTGAACGGCGGGCCAATCACAGTCCAATTCGAAAATGGCGCCACATCTCCTGCCCCTAAACACGATCGCGGCTGCGGGCGCCCGCGACCCATCGCTGCTCTCCCCATCCGAGTACGATGGCGACGCCGCGTCCATCCGCAGCGACCAGGACACGGACAGCGACGACGATGAACGCCAGCTCCGCGCGCGCAACAGCCGCGAGCTCCGCGCTCACGACAGGCTTGTCTTGATGGAGGAGGAAGAGCTGGACCAGTTGGTGACCGAGACGCGGAGGAGACAGGAGCGAGAACGGCGCGGCTCCAACTTGCCCATCCCAAATCCCCTGCGGCTGTTTGCCCGGCGCGGGAGCGATGCATCCGTATCGAGGTCCAGGAGCCCTTCTGCCCAGCCTACGCCCCTCAACCTGCCCGCCGGCCTCGTCTCGGAGAAGAGAAGCCTGAGAAAGGCGAGGCGGAAAGCCAAGAGGGAGCGGATATTGGCCGATGCGCAGCACGGCGAAGATGGCGAGCTGATGTTCGAGATGGAGGAAGGAGGCATGAAAGACGGGAGCTCCACGGGCGATAGCAGCGGCCGAGACGACAGCGACGAGGTCGACAGGAGGGGGCTGCTGCAGCTGGCGGATACCAAGTCCAAGCGGAAACGGAACTGGTGCCGCTGGCTCCTGGTGTATTCGCTGGTTGCCGTAGCCTTTGCTATCCTTGTCCTGTTGGCGTGGAAGCTGTCGATGGGGCGGAAGAAGAGGCCAGTCGGCAGCGGGCAGCTGGTGAGCAACGGCACGGCAATGTTCGCGCCGACCACTATTTTGATCAGCCTGGATGGGTTCCGCGCCGACTTTCTCAACAGGGGGCTGACACCGAGGCTGAACGCCTTCGTCAAAGAAGGCGTCTCGCCGCTCTACATGCTGCCCTCGTTCCCCAGCGTCACCTTCCCAAACCACTACACCCTTGCCACAGGCCTGTATCCAGAATCGCACGGCGTTGTAGGGAATGCCTTCTGGGACCCTGCTCTGCAGGAGGAGTTTTTCTATACGGACGCCTCACGAAGTCTTGACCCCAAGTGGTGGGGGGGTGAGCCCTTCTGGGTCACTGCCCAGCGTCAGGGGCTTAAGACTGCCATCCACATGTGGCCCGGCAGTGAGGCACATATCCTCAGCACCGAGCCAACGTACATGGACCAGTACAACGGAAAAGAGAAGCTCGCGAGAAAGGTTGACAGAATTCTCGACTTCTTGGATATGCCGGATTCCGAACGTCCTCAGATTATTGCGGCATATGTGCCAAATGTCGACTCGGACGGGCACAAATACGGACCTAATAGCACCGAAATCAGGTCCACCATCCAGAAGATCGATAACATGCTGGACAAGATCTTCCAGGGACTCGAGGATCGGCACTTGACCGGCATCGTCAATGTCATTGTAGTATCGGACCATGGCATGGCAACGACGGACATCTCCCGGCTTGTCCAGCTGGAGGACCTAGTAGACCTCGAGAAGATTGATCACACAGACGGCTGGCCGCTTGTTGGGTTGCGGCCCAAGAACCCAGCCGAGCTTCAGAGCATCTACAACGGCCTGGTCGAGAAGACCAAGTCAAACCCAGGTCTCGATATATACCTTCGGGACGTCAACATGCCCGAACGGTACCACTTCTCCAAAAACGAGCGCATTGCACCTCTGTGGATTGTGCCCAAGACTGGCTGGGCCCTGGTGAAAATGGCCGAGATGAACCTAAAGGAAGCAAAGACCAAGGGGGTGATTTATCATCCTCGAGGGCTCCACGGCTACGACCACGAGCACCCATTGATGCGAGCCATTTTTGTGGCCCGAGGCCCGGCTTTCCCGCACCAGCCCAATAGCCGGGTCGACAATTTCCGTAAGTACACATGCCGCCTCTAACCAAGCCCCCGCTTGGGTTTTGCTGGGCGTAATCTAACCTTCGAAATTTGTTTTAGAAAACATTGAGGTCTACAACATGCTCTGCGATTCTGTTGGCATTGAGCCCGCGCAGAACAACGGAACCCTCCGGCTCCCCCTGACGCCGATCGGGCTCCACAGCGGCGATAACCCAGGCACGGAATCGAACAGTCCCCCCGATCCCGTGGTGGCTACGACTACAGCTGCTAGTAGTAGCAGTACCATTACTGCTGGTAGTCAGACTTCTACTTCCTCGCCCGTAAAATCCATTGTGGTCGATCCGGTTGTAACGACGGCAACGGTGGCTGAGTCAAGCAGCTCTCCCGCTTCTACCGCCACGCCGAACACGATCGGCGTGGACTTGCCGAAGCCTGAGCCCACAGAGCACCCGTCTGGCGGAGAGGACGATCCGGGAGTTGACGGCGGCGAGGACACTGACGAGGACGTTGGCAACAAGAGTTTTTGGGATTGGATCACGGACAAGGTGGATAAAATATGGGGCAAAATTTCGGGGTCCAAGTCGAGCGACTCCTCGAGCGATCAGGAGACTTCTCAATAACAGGAAGCGCCGAGGCAGATCAAGCCTGTGTAAGTAAGATATGTAGGAGTTATTTCATGGGCCTGTGTTAGAGAGTGTCTTTTTTTTAGCGTCAAGGGTGGGAACGGCAAGGCGCACTGGCTGCTACTCTGCATTTCGAATAGCATGGTAATACAAAGAAAGCAAGGATTTTGGGGAAATAGCTATTGATTTGTGGAAGTCATGATTACTTGACCTCAAAGGTGTGTATGTGTTGCCACTGTACCTCGGTCAGCGCGGAGATACGAAGTATCGCTGGCAAACCCGTTTTTCCCCCTTTTGTGGGAGTGGTGCACAAGAATGGACGGACACACGATTGAACACGACAGGAAATGCACGGCTCGGTATATCACATGGTCCGAACCTTGGGGTATATCTAGATGTAAGGGCGCACTGGAGGGGGGAAGGGATGGGGATGGGGAAGGTGAGACACGGGGAAAAAAAAGTACTTTCGGCTTTTTGAGAGGTTGAAATCCGCTCTCATTTTGTGTTTGTGTCATCAACACACAAGCTATGGCAGCAGCAACAAAAGTGCCGTTTATGTGAGTTTTTTGTCTTCGGAGATCTAAGATCTAGGCGACAAAAAGCCCCCCGGCTCTTTTGTTTCGCGAAACAACAGATTCACATTAGGTATTCGGAATTCAGCCCCCCTAGCCTGGGCTAGATTTGGGCCGTGGGGATTTTTTTTGTCTTTGCTTTTTCTTTTAAGCTTCAATTTTTTTTGACTTGCTTTCTTTGCTTTCCCCCCCCTTTTATCAAGAGCCTGCCCCTAGGTCTCTCTCCTGCTCTTTGTTGGGATTCCTGCCGAAACTCCTTACCAACAGAAGGCTTGGTCTACAAAACGATTGGCTTGGCCTGGAGGGAGCTCGAAGGTGTCCGACGGTCATCCTTTTTCCTCAATTAGGTGAGGAGGATTGGAAATGGAATCCCGTGCTGCTCCCGGCCCCGGAAGCCACAGACAAGTTAAATCCGGAGGGGAAGAGAAAAAGAAAGTCAGAAACAAGAGTTCCATATTCTACGGGAGGTTTCGCTCCTTTTCCCGATCTCACGGATACCGTCTGCCGAACGTCCGCCCTTTCCCGCTCGGCGAGACAACTTGATTTTTTTCTCTCTCGCGCAACACGAGAAAGTAAGAAAAAAGAATGCTGGCAATATGAAACGAAACACATTGCGCAACAATGCCCAATCCAAGGCTGCAGCCTGCCGAGTGCATCCCGCTTGCTCGCTCGCCCGAGTTGTTGCTCGCTGCTCGCTGCTCGGTGCCCAGGTTAGGTAGGTAGGTACGCCCAATTTACATTGTCCAATGTGTTTGCATTCTCTTTTTTGCTTGCTCCTAGCTTTTGTAAGGTAGGTAGGTACGGATAAGTGGTTTCTTCGTAAATGTTGTCGAGCCCGGACGACTGCGGCTGTCGGCCTCCGAGTTCCTTCCACGCTGCTCAACAAAGTCCTTATTTTCCTCTAACACCACAAGACAATAGCACCGCAATTGCTCCCCCTCAAAGCCTGACCTCAGGTCTCCAACCCCGTATGCAGTGTATCTGCCGCACTGTAACGAAATGTGGAACCCGCGACAACAAAGTGTCGCTGACTTGACCTAGGGAAATAAGTTGCTTCTTATCCTTTAGTAAGTCAGGTTAAGGAAGGCACTTGGGTTGAGATGCTTCTAGCAAACGTTATTGTCTTTTTAGGCTCTTACCAGCCTTTGGCACGTGAAGCTTGGCCGGCCTCCGTGTTAATGTTCGCTTAGCTGAAAGATGACAATTCAATTGTACTCAGTACATAGGTGCTTACCTTAAGTTGTGGAGCAAACTGAAGGTTTCCGTATGATGGAACTACGTTGTTTCTTAGTCCTTGGCTATCACAGCTTCTCCGTGCAGTTCAGTCCTTGAATGACAGTCGTTGGCGTAATACTTGGGAAGAATCAGGATCATGATGAATAAATCAGCTAAGAAAAGCGTTTGCCAGACACTCCAAGCAGGGTGATAGGCCTCTAAGATTCTATATTAGTAGAGGCTCTAAGACCTGCCGGCTCCCTTTGAGAAACTCGGTGAGGGCGAACCGTAAGGTACAATCTTGGCCTTCAACGTCTTAAAAAGTCCCGCACAGACAAAATATTTAGGGATTGGACTGTGCTTCTTGTAACGTAACTTCCCTAATGACCGCCTTCAGATGGCCGACCAGCGAGTGTAAGAGCTCGAAGGTTTTTAAACACCCAGAGGCATTGGAGGCTAATTGTAGATTCTTTCGGAAATAGGCGTATTTGTCGAGTTAATCCGCACCGATTGGGCTTGGGATAATAAATGGGATGCAGCACCCTGATGGCGCTGTTTCGCTTTCCACCAAGCCTGGCTCGTCCCGTCATCGCAAGCGACAGGGGGTGGCCAGCCTGCTGGGATGGTCAGTGACAGCAAAGGCGGAAAGGCTTGGGGATCTTTCTAGGTTCATGCTGCGTCCTAACTGTGCCGGGGCGTGGGGGACCAGGGGCAGCGCTGGGGCTGGACTCGGCCACCGTGCGGGCTCCCAGAGTCGAAACCTATTATCCCACCACCCGACAAAACCGGGCACAATTTAAACGCACCTCACAAGGCCGCGCTGGTGAGCTCAGAATGACGTCTGGCTCCGGATGAAACTTTTGTTTGTTGTCAGACCCCGCTAGTTGCGACCTGCCTACCCAAACTCAGGTCAGTTAGAGCTGGAACGGAAGACGGTCCGTGGAATGTAACCCGTACTGACTTCATCCACTTCTCAGCTGTAGGAAGGTGCACTAGAGACTTTCCCACTGTGCTGCAACATTGCCTTTTTGAGAACGTGCACGCCTGGAGCCTCGCCTCTGCACTTTTACTCGATCGGATACGGAATAATCCTAGGCAAGAAACGACACACAACAGCCCCACCGCGCACAGGCTTTCAAACCCCAGATTGCCTTCACAAGAGCCAACCTAGGTATTGTGCTGCACGTGTATGATATCTATTGTTCTCGTTCTCTGTAAGGCTGCCGTGACTGCGGTCTGCCTGTGTTGGAACCAGGGTACCGCCGATTTTCCGAATTCTAAACCATCCTGGCCAATGCGACGACAGCCAACACGAGCATGGCATCCTCCGCAACCATAAATCCCCGAGTGCCTACTACTCCCTTCGTCGTCGATTCCGCCCTGGTAAGCCAGCTAGAGGATGATTTAACCATCCAGCGCGCCGTTTTGGCATCCCTTGAGGACGTACCACAATCCCCGGACTTGATCCAGCAGATATCGTCGACAAAATCCGCCATCGTGTCGATCCAGCACCGCCTCGCCGAAGCTCGCCGCGGCCAACCCGCAGGTAAGACCGAATCTCTCCCTTTGTCCCTTCCATGACACTCTTTGTGACCGATGCTGCTTTGTGACCGATGCTGCTTGCGCTGTTCGTGCTGCTGACTGTTCTATAGTCCCTGCCTCTGCCGCGCCTGCGACTATGGACCTTTCACGTTCGCATGGGTCAGACCCCTTCAGAGGTATGGCTCAGATCGAACCCCCACCCCCCCTCCCTGAGCAACAAAGCTCCATGTACCAGAAGGCTGACACCTTTTCCTCTGTCTGCCTCAGCCCTCAACCACAACACCCGAACATCAACCCCGTCAGGCATGTCGTCCCTGAGCGGCTCAAGTCCCGCAATAGGGCATGCGACGGGCTCAGCCATCCCCTCGTTGAGGAAGCGTTCCTTTGGCAGCTCCCACCTCGAGGTTGGGAATCTTGGAGGGTCCGAGAACAAGTCTCGACGGACTACTCCGAGCCCAGGCGATACAGGGCATTCGACTCCTTCGAGTAACTTTATGGATTCTGATCAAGATTTTGGCGACGTGGATATTATCGACCTGACCGAGTATGATTATCCGTTTCATGCTAGTCCCATGGTTTCCACAACATCCAAGGCTAATCTAAACGCTTCAGGGATAACGACGAATGGCGCGTGACGATTAAACGACAGAGGGAGGAAGAGGAGCGTCTCAATCGTATCAAGGAAGAGCGCGATAGAGATGAAGCTGTTGCGAGACGGCTGGCCGAGAGCCCGTCACATGCAAGCTCTGGCCTTTCGCAACATTCCACCCCCTCTCGTTCCAACGCCTTTGACCGAATTCTCGGTCGCTCGTCCCAGCAAAGTTCATTATTGGGCCAGGGAAACGCATTCACAAACAGGCTGGACTCTGGCTTGACGCGTTCAGCAATCGAGGATGAACCAATTGCTGTTCTTGCTAGTAGTTTGTCTTCTGACTATTTCCAGGGAATGACGAATGTAAAGCACGAGCCGATCTCACAGGGAAGGAACTGGGTCCCGGGAGCGTTCGTGGACGACGATGACGACGATGACGATCGTGTAGCTAAGAGCTCAGTCTTGGTCAACCGGCCCCGTCCCTTGACATCCCTATCTCATCACGGTATACCGCCAAACCTTGCGTTACCCCCGCCGCCAGGCGCTTTCGGGTCCAGCGATACCCAGCGGTATGCCACAGGATTGCCTCCTATTGAGTTCGTCCGCCAGAATGCTATGGTGAAGCATGAACCGGTCTACCCTCCGCTTGGGTCCAGCAGTCAGTATGGAAGTAATAGGAATCTTCAGCTACCTGGCTCGCAATTCTTCAACCCATACGGCTCTACTGTCAAAAACGAGCATCAAAACCCCTATGGCTCTGCTGTCAAAAACGAGCATCAAAACCCCTATGGCTCTGCTGTCAAAAACGAGCATCAAAACCCCTATGGCTCTGCTGTCACAAAGGAGTATCAAAACCCACTCGCAAGCGCGGGCTATTACGGAGATGGGTCGTCGACTAGGCCTTACGCTGCCTTTGACATGTATAATCCCTCCCTTTCTAACACCATCAGCCAAGTCAACAACTATGATTTCAACGCCTTGACAGATGGGTTTGGAAATCCGCTGGATTCTCGCCTTGTTAATTTCCTGGATGACTATGTCAACGATCCTCGCAAAACCGAGGACGAGATACACCAGCTCTTGTCAAATATTCGACCCGACATGGATATCCCCGAAGAAGAGCGAGGCGAGACTCCCGAAGCTCTCAAATACCCCCTTTACCCGCATCAACAACTTGCCATCAAGTGGATGTCGGAGATGGAGGAGGGGTCGAACAAAGGCGGAATCCTAGCCGACGACATGGGCCTTGGAAAGACCATCTCTACCTTGGCTTTGATGGTCTCCAGGCCGTCTTTTGATAATATCAAGGTACGTAGAACCCGACCTCGTCAAAGCCCCCAGGACGGCAATGCTGACTCTTTTCAAGACCAACCTGATAATAGGACCTGTCGCGTTAATCAAGCAATGGGAGCAAGAGATAAAGAAGAAGCTGAAAGGCTCGCACAAGCTCAGTGTCTTCCTGCTACACCAAAAGAAGGAAGTCCCGTTTTCCACCTTGAAAGGCTACGATGTCGTACTCACAACCTTTGGATCGATCGCTTCGGAGTGGAAAAAGTTCAACAAGCATATTGAGCAGAGACAGTCGTTGGCGGGATATCAAACCTTGATGGACGAAGAGCTGCACAAAAAGTGCCCCCTACTTCACCCAAAGAGCAAATTCTACCGTGTCATACTTGATGAAGCTCAGTGTATCAAGAACAAGGACACCCAGTCTTCTCGAGGTGTTTCCCAAATCGCATCTACCTACCGATGGTGTCTTACTGGCACCCCGATGATGAACGGCGTGACGGAGCTATATCCATTGATCAGGTTCCTGCGGATTAAGCCGTACTGCGACCTTAAACTGTTCACGAATGTAGGTGATTCCTTTGCTGAGTTGAAGAATCGTGTGAATATACTAACTGGAAGTAGGCCTTCAAGAGTCTCGTGCCGAGGGCCAAAGCGACGGATCTGCAGAGAAGCAACGCCATGAAGCAACTGCGAATCGTTCTTAAGGCAATAATGCTCCGACGGATGAAGAACTCCAAAATTGACGGCAAGCCAATTCTGTCGCTGCCCGACAAGACCGAACATGAGGACAATGTCGTGTTCTCGAACGACGAGCAAAGCTTCTATCAGGACCTTGAGCAGAGGTCTCAAGTGATATTCAACAAGTACCTTCGCTCGGGTACTGTGGGAAAAAACTATTCCAACATTCTTGTCCTGCTGCTGCGACTTCGCCAGGCTTGCTGCCACCCCCACTTGATGGATTTTGAGTGTGTTGGTGCCAATGATGTGTCTGTAGATGATATGGTTGCCCTTGCCAAAAGCTTGGAGAGACCAGTCGTTGAGCGCATCAAGGCAATCGAGGCTTTTGAGTGCCCGATATGCTATGATGCGGTACAAGACCCTACCCTTCTATTTCCCTGCGGCCACGACACTTGTTCCGAATGTTTTGCTTCGCTCACCGATAACACGGCACAAAACAACATCAGATCGGGCAACGAAAACGGTGCTGCCAAGTGCCCGGTCTGCCGCGGGCCAGCCGAGCCCTCAAAGATTATCAACTACTCGGTCTTTCAAAAGGTGTACATGCCAGAGAAAGTTCAGTCTCTAGAAGGCACTTATGAACAGGTCGAGGAGTTGGGTGATGATGATGATGATGATGATGATGATGATGACTCTCTCACGGATACTGGCTCCAATACTGGATCTGAAGCTGACAATGACGACGACGACGACGACGATACGGAATCTCTTGGCAGTCTTAAAGATTTTATAGTTGGCGGCGATGAAGAGGACGACGACGCACAGCTTGACGCCGAGCTTGCAGCCTATGTCGAGAAGAAGAAACAGAAGAGGGCCATGAAAACGAAGAAGGCGAAACCAGCAAAGAAGCCAGTAAAGAAATCGAACAAGAACGTGTTTAGTGCGAAGTCCAAAGGCAAGGCCGCAGAGGTCAAGCCTCACATGCTAAAACATCTTCGTATCGAGGCTGGCAAGAACCAGGACGCCCGCCGGCGGTACATGCATTACCTCCGGGACAACTGGGAGGATTCTGCCAAGGTAACCGAGGTTATCGAGCTCTTAAGACATATTCAGGAGTCGGACGAGAAGACTATCATCTTCTCCCAGTGGACATCTCTACTCGATCTGATCGAGTGCCAAATCAGGTACAAGCTGGGGATCAAGTACTGCCGCTACACAGGCGGAATGACTCGGGGCCGTCGCGACGAAGCCGTTACAGACTTTACCGAGAACCCTCGTAACCGCGTTATGCTTGTATCGCTTCGGGCTGGCAATGCTGGTCTCAACTTGACAGTGGCGTCACGCGTCATCATCTGCGACCCGTTCTGGAACCCCTATGTTGAGATGCAGGCCATCGACCGGGCGCATCGCATTGGCCAGCAGCGCGAGGTCCAGGTCCACCGCATCCTGGTCAAGGAGACGGTCGAGGATCGCATCATCAAGCTGCAGGTTGAAAAACGCAACCTGGTCGATGCAGCGCTCGACGAGGGTGAGAGCAAGAACGTCGGCAGACTCAGCGAGCGGGAACTTGCCTACCTCTTTGGCGTCAACCCTAGCCGCCGTTGAGACCCGCGTGCTCATAGCCTACCTGTTTCTCCCCGGCTAGGAGTATGTTATATAGAGTTCTCCATTTTTTTCCCTTCCCCTTTTTCCTTTCTTGAGATGTCGCCCATGGCAACTACTATTAGCGTGTCCCTCATATTTTGTGGCACAAATGATTCCTTTCTGTATCTCTGCTCTCTGTTTTTTGAACAGGAACTTTTTGTACTGTATGTCACAACTGTCATGCTCTTAATGTTTGTCTATCCTGCGTGTGGGAGGTGTATGCATCATGGGGTTGGTCTTGTTGGTTCCTTTTTTTCTTCGTGGAAATCATCTCTACTGTATTTGCATTCGGAATGGCGGTACCTGGGCGATGTATCTAGATGGCTGGGCATGAAACGGCATGACCCCCTTTTCGCTTCGCGGCACAAAGAACAGGGGGAAGGTGGGAGAGGGGGAACCGGATGACGGCAGCGCGGAGGGCTGGGGGACGGGAAACTGGGAACGGGGCGGTTATGCATCCGGTGATGGCACGATGCTTTTACGGTGCACGACGGAGTTGGTGTTGCTTTTACGGCCTCGGGGGGGAAACAGATGGAAGGCTGCATACTCGGTACAGAGGGCGCTTTCCAATTTCCAGCCTCTTTCTCCTGTCGTCCATAGCCTTGTCTCAACAGTCATGACTGATGATCATATCCCACAATGAAAGCATTTACGTGCCATGCTCTTGTCGCTTGCTAAGTTCCGGTCCTTATGCTGAATTGTTTTTAATTATTTCTGTTCCGGACCGAGTATCGCTCAGTTGCATGTTGTATGGATGTGCATGTATATCATGACAGACAGACAGAGAGTGGCAGCCAAAAAGGAGAACGAAGTACGTATGCGCCGGCCAACATGATAAGTAAAAACTAATATCAAATTACGTCGCGCCTCAAAGGAAATATCTGCCGATATAATGATTATGATTATGATTATTTGCACACTCCTAGCTAGCAGCAGCAGTAAACGGAAACTCGGATTCTTTTATCTAGTCCACGTCAGGTCGGTCCAAATCTCTCCAAAAACCAGAATTGTTTCTCATCTTGCTCTCGTCTTGCTGCGACTGACCGTGCCACGGCTGCTGCCCCGCTCTTTTTTTTTTTTTTTTTTTTTTTTTTTTAAAAAAAAAAAAAAAAAAAAAAACCTTCTCATCTGTCTATCTTTCTCTGTGTCTCTCTCCCTCTCATCAGCGTGAAATGCTGCGCTGCGCCGTGTCGTTGACTTGTGCTGTGCGGTGCTGATGTGCTGGCTGGCTCAGCTGGACGCAGCTGTGCCGTTCGTGTGCGCTTTCCGCTCATTCAGCAGCCCCCAATCCCGCCCCTCCACCCCCGTCTCTCCCCCCCCTGAGCCGCTTATTACCCTTAGGTTACGAAGAAAAAAAGAATGGGGGAGGGGCGGGAAAGGAGATGGAGATGGCGAAGGAGTAGGAATGGAAGTGGGAAAACCTTAACTTGTTTCTTGGGAGAAAAAAAAAAGAAATGTATCAGGATTCAGATCGGATAGGATCGGATCGCACTTTATATAGAGTAACGACCGTCCGAACTATGTGTTGTTTTTTAAAGTCACTCCCCCTTTTTTTCCCCCTTGCATTCGCGAACGATCTGGATAGTGCTGCTGAGGTCATTGACACAACACCTTATCAATAATGTCAAAGGGACCATCTCCCTCTTGCGATTGGCGGGCCCCCGTCGGCGGTTTTCTTCAGGTTCTCGTTAGTGCTGACAGTTCCCCGCGCCATGACAATGTTTACGACTAAGTGAAACACTTGGCCCTAGCCGAAATCATGGACTCTCATAGACGTATATACTGGTTTGCTTATTCGTAGCTAATGAGCGCAGGAGCAGGTTATTAACAAAAGATAAAGACATATGCCTCAATTACACCCCGTCATCCAATTCATAGTCACCATGAACAGCGGCAGCCTCAAAATAAACACTGAAATATATACAAGAGAATAGAAATGGAAAGTTTGTTTTCCAAGGGATTGTCCAAGCAAGAAGACACCAAGAGAAGATGTACATTTTCGTCATGCCATATCCGGCAACAGAGAAACGGAATTATAGGCCCTTGATCAATGGTAGATCAGCCGTTTGGGCGACAATATGTTAAAGAAATGGGATTAGGTCATCAGGGCATCCTTGGCGCTAACGTATATATGTGTGTGTATATGGTCGTTGCTCTCGGGGGGGGATTTGAAGCTCTCATAAACGGGTTCTGAACCGGAAATATGACTTGTGATTATTAAAATTGGTGTCCTTGCTGGCCCATTTGATGATATATGTGCTGAGGTATGTGTTGAGGCATGTGCTCGCCCGCATGCTCTTGTTGATACAGTCGGCTTGGCGATTTCTGTGGTGATTGCTGGGGTGATTGCTGAGGCGAGTACTCAGGCGAGCACTGAGAAGATTCACGGGACACTGGGTATTGTGCCTGTCCGCTTCCCATTAACTCGTGCGAGTATGAATGCTCAGGCAGCTCGTATAGGGGCCGTTGTGGGGCATACATCTCAGTCGGATGGTTTGCGGGATCAAGTTGATAGACGGGGCGATCTATGGGGATAGGTTGCGGCGTCGGCGGGAGGTTCTTCTCCCACATGAAATTGTTATCGTAGACTGGAGATACAGATTGTGATATGGGTGAGTCGAAAGGCGGGTTATATTGCGGGTGTGGGTTATAAGGCGGCACTGGCGCGTCAGGGTCGACCAACGCGCCTACTGGAGTCTCCGGGTCCCTTTTCCGCCGCAGGAGAATGCAAGCAGCGCCGAAAGCGATGAGCGCTATGACGCCCAGGGAGACGCCAACGCCAATTCCTGCCTGGGCACCCTTTGACAGCCCCGCCTCCGAAGGTGGCGCGGTGGGTTCGGGGGTATCTGTTGCCGGTTTTGCTATTGTGGTGTTTGCTGGTGGCTCCGGCGTGCTTGTGGTTGTGACGGCGACCCTTGGGCCTGCGACAGGCGACCATGCTTTCCAGGCCCCGTTGTCGTATTTGACCTCGGTGAGCTGGTTCTTCACCGTGTAGTAAATGCGCACCATGTCGGTGTTGAAATCGCTCGCGACAGCAAGCTCCGCATTTGGAGAGTCAGCCTTGGGCCAAAAGGCGTTGGACTGATTCGTCTGCGGGCTCCAGACCCAATTCTTACTGCTCAACTGGTACAAGTTGGTGTCGTTTCCGATGTAATAGACAAAGCGCGAGTAAACATGGTCAATGCTGATACCGATTCCACGGGGCTTGCCGTAGTATGCGCTCAGTGAGAAGTTGGCGGGAACTGTTTGGTTGATTGCTATGGACACATTGGCCAGGTTGGTGATGACATTGCCGTTGAGGGGCTTGGGAAAAGTTGAGAGCCGCCATAGGGAATCTTTGCTGAACCTCGTCACGCCGATATTATTATCGTCAAACGGAGCCACGACGCTGATGTTGTTTTGGCTTGAGAAGGCGGCATGAATAGCCGGCGACGACTGGACGGCACGGTTGACAATACCATTCCACTTCCAGCCGGTGGTGGGGGTGTAGCCAATCTCGTTGATGGCCATGTCTCGATCGTGGAAGTACAGGCGGTAGCCCCCTGTTGAGCCGAGAAGGAGAGCCGACAGACCCGTGTTGTTGTTGACAGAGGGCGCTTCGGCGCTGATGTTCCAGGTGCCGACCCTTGTGAAAAGGCCCGTGGCCATGTTGCAGTTGAACAGGGCGTTGACGATGTTGTTGAATTCATCAAGGTAGTATATGGAGGCACTAACAGGGCCATGTCAGCTGCTCGTTCGCCCGACTCACACCATGTCGAGACTCACATTGTCTTCTTGGTGTCCCAGTAGCCAGAGCCGGCCAGGGGTGTATCGTTCCTTGCCTTGACGTTCAGCGACAAGAAGCTGGAGTCGGTATATGAATATACGGGCTGGCCATAGCTGTTGCAAGCACTGTAGCGGATCTGGCCTGTCGTCTGGTTCTGGAGTATTATCTGGGGAGCGATGCCATTCCACCAAGCCGCGATGGCCGCCTGGGCTGGCGAGACGGCAGCGGCCAGCACGAGAAGCTTTTTGATCACGGAGAAGGCCATGGCGCTCGAGTATCGGCCCCGGTTACTCCTCCAGCGAAGAATGTCGCTCGCAGTCCGGCAGCAGACTTAAGCCGCGTCGTCGTCCAACCATCAAGAAATAGACACACTCCGCTTGGGTGCTGTGCTGGGTTGTGCTGTGCTGTGCTGTGCTGTGCTGTGCTGTGCTGTGCTGATGGAGAGTATGAAGTCGGGGAGAGGAGAGTCAGAGGCCCCGTCCGACTTTGGAGAGGTTTGTCTCGACGCGGCCAGGTGGTTACGTTACTTTACGTGTAACGAGGCGTAGACAGGCAGCAGCACAGCAGCAGTGAACAAGGTCGGGGAGGAGGAAGAAGAAGAAGTGGAGGAAGAAGGAAGACAATGCCAATAGCACTGTAGTGGAAATAAACAGAGGTAGGAGGGAGAGATGAGACAAACAGAGAGCATGGCCCTCGATGAGGGGCGTGAGTGTGAGTGGGAGTGGGATTTAGGGTGAGATGAGCGAGGTCCAGTCCACGGCACCCACACCCACTCTCACGCCCCTCATCGAGGGAGGGCCATTGTCACTGACGCGCTGACAACGGTATCCATAATTGCCATGGCCCATTTCCCGTCGCGGGTGTGCTTCGTCTCTTTCCTTTCGAGGGGGGAGGGGGAATGGGGAAGGGGGGTGGAGGTTAGTCTCCAAGTCAGTCAGTGGCACAAATCTGCACGAGGCAGCCAGCTGCATGTCCTTGCCGGTTCCTTCTTTTCCTCTCGCGGTCGCTTAAGGGCAAAGTATCAGAATTCTGACAATCCCTTTGCTTCTGGCGCTTTGCATAGGTAATGTATTTTGCACGAGCGATGCTGCTACTGATGCTGCTGCTGACGTTCTAACAAGCTTCCAGGTTCCAGGTTGTTGGGCAGCAGATGGATGGCTGAGAGTCCAAGCTGAGACGGACAATGTGATTTCCCGTCTACCTACCAGGGGACCCGGAACATCACCGAGAACCACTGGCAGTGAGCCGAGAGGTAATTGCAGGGAACGGTTATGTACAGTATATACGGTACCATGGATGCTACGGTGCTACCCGAATTCCCAGGTCCGGTTTCTAGGGGTTCCCTCCTTTGCCGTTCGTACTTTCCTTCCCACGGGCTCACCACCCGCCCAAACCCGCCGCTTGCCTCGTTGGGGAAACCGTATTGGTCTTGACTGGCTGCGAAGGGCCTGGTGCCTTGCAGAGCCTGCAAGACACTTGGCCAGTCTCTCTCTCTTGTTGGTGTCCTCCAGCTTGGGGCAGCTGCAGCGCTGCAGTCTGCAGTCTATACACCGAGACGCAGGTCAAAGGTCCAGTCCAGTAAGGTGGGAAAAAACCACCGACCTCCATGTGAGAGTGACTTGCGGCGCAACCGTGAGATAAGAATAAATAAAAAGAGCAAGGGGCAAGGCACCCGCGCCGCAAGCTGATACTACTGCCGCCTCCCCCGTCGAACGGCGGGTCATCAGCCGAGTCTTGACAACCTAAACCGGCCAAGACCCCGCTGAGTCAATACCCGAGCTTCTTTGCAGCTTCTGGGCGCCGAAGAAATCGGATTCAAGAGTGAAGGAAGATATCGCTAATAATTGAGTAGGTAGGTACGAGGTAGGCATGTAGGCAGGTAGTTATGTAGCTCGATCTGAGATTCAGATAAATAGAAATCCTCAAACTTAAGTGATCTATCCTATCGCTTGCTTTCTAGCGTGGCCTCGAACGTCGCCGGGGCTTTTCGCCCATCTCCACATAGATAGTAGTATCAAGATTAGTTAGTTAAGCGATTTGGCGATGGTGATTCCAAACGTGCGCGTCTCTCTAAGAAGGCCCAATAATACCTAATCCTCATCGGTGTTATAACTTGTATAGAATAAATACTGCCTTTCGTCTTTCAGCGATATTCCGTACCTCCCTCCATCATCCACTCTGAAACTGGTCAGCACTAATCCGCCTTGAGCAACACCTGGCCATGCCGTTGAATCCCCACTGCATGGGGCTGACAGTCAGGTCTCTTAGTTACCTTAGTTAACCAGACGCAGTGCCGAGTTTGCAACAACCTGTTTCCAGAATAGTAATTGTAGTTAGCGGACAAAGAGGTCATTTTCAGCTGAAAGGTCAGCCCAATCGACAATAGTCTCATGCCTATCAGTAATCGGGAAACTATCAATTGAGACGTCGTCGGTGAACTCTCAGTCGCAAAGAGACTTGAGGGAACTCAAAAAGGGGATAGATGTGTGATGGTTCCATTGAGGGAAGCGCAGCATCTGTCAGCAACCCACGGCCCGCTGAAAAGAGCCTCCAAAAGAGGACTGGTGCTGACAGATACAAACGGTAAAACAACTCCGTGCCGTCCAACCGCCTGAGAAGCACCAGATGTACGGCGCCCAACCGTTTGCGCGATAGCCTCCAGCTGGCTCATCTTTGCGTTTCTCTGCTGAGTTAGCGTGGGCTAGAAAGTCAAGGCCCCTTAATGGTACGGAACACTACCTAAAGTCTTGTGAGCCTGTAGAAACATTTCTTTTCCTACGGATACTGTTAGACCTTTCCTATAAATATCGCCCATTTGGGAAACTTGACCGACAGTAGTTGCGGGGTGCCATTATGCTCAGCAGTTCGGGGCACTATACGTCGCAAGTTCATCATGCTTCCAGAACCCTCGTCATGGTTTTCAAGCAGTCGGCCACAGGAAACAAAACACGATTAGAAATGGAGTTTCGCATAAAACATGCCAGTTATAATGCCATGAGTGAAGTAGGAGTGTGAATTGGGTGACCCATTGATCCCCCTGCAGCTCCACGGTTCCCATATAGTTCCGAACGAAGGAAAAACACTTCTTTCCGTAATGATGCCATCTCTAAAGCTGCCGAACGTCAAATGCACTCACCCCTAAGCCCCCCCGATGCTTTGAATGGACATGGAGCAGACACGTTAAGCAAGTGCACCTAGTGCATCCCAGGCCTGCTTCAAGCTGCTGCTGCGATCCCCCTTTTCACGTCCTTTGCTTTGAAGCCTGTCAGGTCAGCCTCGGGGACATCGTACTTAGGCCGCCCGCCCAGAATGTCGACAATCTCCTTCATGCCCAGCCAGTAAGCGGCCTTGGGTCGCCGGTTGGGCCAGTCTGTCTCCTCTTCTTCCAGTTTATTGATCGGCGTGAAGACAACACTGGCACCCTTGATGCCAATAACGCTTGCGCTCATCGGGTCGGCCTTGACCTTATTATGCACATTCTTGCCATAACGCTCAAGCTGCTGGATACACCTGATAGCAAGACGCACCGCGCGGCAACGGTCCATCGGGGAGGGCACGCCGCCCTGCTGCATGTGTCCCGGGATACCTTCGCGGCTCTCGAACCTACCGTGAGACTCTTCGCGGAGGATATCGGCAATCAGTTTGGCGTTGTAAACCTTGGAGGTCTTCTCATTGATGAGAATCAAGCGGCCAGCACGGCTCTGGCCCTTGTCATGCGTGAAAACCTCTTTCAGATGGCGAACATCTGCAGCAAGCATGTCGAGGCTGAGACCTTCTTCAGGGGTATAAACTGCTGACGCTCCCACACCGAGCCCACTGAGGGTTGCTACGTAGCCCGAACGGCCACCTTGGGTCTCAATGACAAAAACACGCCTTCGAGTCGCAGACGCAGACTGCTTAATCTTGTCACAGTAATCCACCAGCTCGTTTAAGCACGTATCCGAGCCGAGGGAGTATTCGGTACCTGGGACATTGTTGGAAATTGTGGCTGGCAAGAGGGTCATGGGAATGCACAAAGACGGGTATTGTTCCCTGGCCTTCCGCAATTGCGAAACGGCGTGGAATGCCTCGAATCCGCCAATGAGGAAGAGAGCGTCGAATCCGTATACCTCAATCAAGTTGGCAATGGTCTCCATGCCCGACTCGCCGGGAAGCTCTCGGTTGGTTCCAATCTCGGAGCCGCCTTTGCTAGCCCAGCCATCAACCTCGAGCCAGTCGAAAGGCCGGACGGCTCCCAACGGGGTGTCTCCGTGGTGCCGCGCAAATCCAGCAAAGCCATTGTGAATTCCAATTGGCTCATGTCCTCGTGATAGGCAGTAAGCCACACCTGCGCGAACAGCCGCGTTCATACCGCCAGCTGGAGCGCCGACATTGATGAAGCCGATCTTCATTCGCTGGAGTCAGAGTTAGCGGGGCCCAGCTCTTTTATTTTCTTCGAATCGAAGCTTGTGAAACCTACCTCCTTCTCCGGAAGCATAATCTCCTCGTCCATTTGGACTGCCGTTGTCATCATGAAGGACTTGTATTGCTCTGAGAACTCGGCGTCGCGGAGGCCCATGGCTTCGTCAAAGTCCTGCCGCTCTATCGCACTCGAAACCTGTTTCGTGTCTTGCACGGCTTCCATTAGTGGCTTCCTGATGATTTTATTTTCCGTGATAGCAATGAAGCACGTTTTTGTCTCAGGTGTGGCCTCGAGGACGGCCTTGACGGCTTCAACACCTTGCAGCGTTGCGAGCATCCTGTCGTAAGCAACAGCCGTCCCGCCTCGCTGGACGTGACCCAGAGTCGTAATTCGGGTATCAAGACCGAGGCCGTTTTTGTCAGCAAGAAGATCTTTGACCATTGTTGGTGTGATCTTCTTCCCTTGTCTGTCGAGCGCGCCCTCGGCGATAATGACAATTGTCTTGCGCTTGCCGAGTTTCCGGTGCTACAACCCTTGGTCAACACACGTTTGGGGGTCGAGGCGGTGGATGGCATACAAACCTCTTGGACGATGCGGTACATTTCCTCTTTCCAGTTATGCTCGCTCGGCTTCTCGGGAATGAATACGAAATCGGCACCGGTCGCGACACCAGCCATCAGAGCCAGCCACCCGCAGTGCCGGCCCATGACCTCGATGACGAAAGCGCGGGAATGCGACGAGGCGGTGGCCTCAATAAGATCGACGGCATAGCAGATCCGGGCCAGAGCTGAGTAACAGCCAATTGTCGCATCTGTTCCAGACAGATCGTTGTCGATCGACCCAACCAGGCCAACAATGTTGAGGTGCTTGAACGACTCGATCTGCTCGGGCTTGAACTCGCCCTTCGACACCAGCTCGTCCAGCAGCGAGGGCCACTCGGCGCGGAACCGGTCAGCGCCCGTGAGCGAGCCATCTCCACCGCAAATGATGATCGCATCAATGCCGTTGAGGATCATGTTCTTGGCCGCGGCCAGGCGACCGGGGCGTTCGTAGAAGGCCATGCATCGGGCCGTGCCAATCAGGGTACCACCCTCGGACAGCCAGCCGCGCACATCGTGCCACTCCATTTTACGTATGAGGTCGCCGCCTTGGACCAGGCCTTCGTAACCCTCGTAGACACAGTAGGCATCGCAGCCCATGTGGATGGCCATGCGGACGCACGCACGCACGACGCCGTTCATCCCAGGCGAGTCACCGCCCGAGGTCATAATCGCAATCTTCTTCTTGGTAGCCATCTTGGTAGTCGACGAGCCGGGAATTTGAGCAGAAGCCGAAGGCTGTGAAAGCGATCGTGGAGAGCGAAGGAGGAGGCCGAGCGAGGTCGAGCGGAGTACGAAGGCAAAAAGATTCTGGAAGGGTGAGAAGATGACGCTTAGGGGCCGTAGGAAGAATTGTATATTAAAAATAGGCATACTCCAGGCAGCGGACCCGGAGACATGTATGAAGAGTCTATTCCCAGAAAATAAGGGCGCGGCCTTTTTAAACCTGGTTGGGAGGAGAACACCGATTCACGACGTCACAACCGGTGAGGGAGGGAAGAGGATTCGGAGTGTTTGGCCCCTCTAACACCGCCCGCATTTGCATTGCTGTGTGAGCGTTTGTACGGAAAACAGCTCTTATCTTATCGCGGCGCGGGGTCGGAGCACAGCACTTGCCCGCCGAGACAGAGAAGGCAGCCCCCGTGCCAGACAAATCGACCAAATATCCCGCACTTAGATGCACTGCAAATCTTTCCTGACCATTGATTAATTCCTTCGCCAACGTGACCATGTCAACTTTGATATAAAAAAATGTCTCGAAGCAATTCGCCATGTGGGCCATCGTCGCTTGGAGCGAGGGGTTTTAGGATCCAAGAAGACGGGAGAGCTTGAAAACGCCAAAACAAGGGTGGCATGGCTCTCTTCTGGGAGCTAGTAGTACCTTGTAGACCTAGACCGAGAATACTGTGCGGATGGAGGTCTGAAGATGGCCATACGCGCTGCATTTCTTGCATACCTCACAGATGTTTCCTCTTTTTTATTTCCTGCAATGGAATCTTGACGGACTCGGAGACCTTTACGCCAAGGCCCCGTCATTCCGAGGATACTGCCCCGCCCACGTCTAGTCTTGCGAGAGTCGCTCTTATCACACAGCAACACACAAATCCTTCCTAAGTCAGTTGCTTGGCATATATTAATTAATTGAGGCTGCTAATCCGCGGTCCTATATATTTGTTTGAAGATTTTCGAGTAAAACACAGCAGAAAACTTGGTACTAGTGCTTGGTAGTTCTAGACTCAGTCACCCCAATATCTGAATGTTTGTTAGCGTAGTACTTAGGATTGAAGGGAAAGAAAATAACAAATAAACCGGTCTTCAATAGATATTTCTATAAAACAGCTAATACTATTTTAGAATAAGGATTAAAGAGCTATTAGCTCCCTCAGAGAATAACTTTACAGAAAGTTGTAAAATACTGAGTTGGAAAGTCCCCTGCTAACAAATATTCAGGGATTATTGGGAGCTGGAGGGGCTGAACAACCCCTGTCCTACAAGCCGCACCTAAACCTCGAGGAGCGGCAGTCAGTGCGCAAGGCACCGCCGTGCATAAAGTAGGTACCCACTCACGGAGCTTTCCCCACCTAAACCCACCTGTACCTTCCTAACCTCAGCAACCGCGTCGTGCTTTCGCGATCTCGTCACCGCAGAAAAAGAAACCTACCACCATTCCGAACAGCACCACGCGTGAAATACCAAGCGCAAGTACTGGCCATCATGGACTCGAGGTCGCCGCTGCAGGGGCGCCCTCCGGTCAGTCGAGGGCCTCAGAGCATCCGCGAATTCATCCATCGCATCAATGCCGAACCGGGTGGATTCCGAAAGCTCAACGAGCATGACTTGCGGAAGCAGATCGCCGCCCAGCGCGCCAGTGGCCATGACAACGATGTCGACGTCGACATGGCAGATGTTTCCGAGCCCGAGCAGACGGTAACGGCCAACGATCTCGTTACTGCCCGCGACGAGATAATCCGGAATATTCACGAGGCACACAAGACGGCGAACATTACTCTCGACCTAATCTCTCTCCTCCTCTCCAAAGAGAACCCCGCGCAGGCCGCTGCGACCCTCAATCCCGAGCTGCGCAACCTCGTTGGCATTGGTACTCTTGGAGCAACTACCCTCGATGCCCCTACAACGCTGGCCCAGAACAGGGTGGGCGACAACATGATGGTGTCAATTGGCAAGCGCCTGATCTCTGTCAACGCAGCCGCCGACAGTGCGCTCGAGTCGGCCAAGCGGCTGCAAGAAGAGGTTGATTTGGAGATCAAATACTGGTCCGAGGTCCTCGCAGTCAGCGAGGGCGGCTGGTCGACATTCCATCTGCCCAACGAACCCCATACTCTCGGCGTCAAGTTCGGCTTTTCCAACGCCGCGCCTGACTTCAAGGCTAGTAGTATTGCGCCCATGAGAAGGGCTGAGGATGGGGCTGTCTCCTTGGAACCCGGCAAGCTTGTTGGCCAGTCCAAGCGCTTTCAGGTCAGCATTTTGAGAGACGGTGAGGTTGTGGGTAAGTCGTCGCTTGCCAAGCCTCTACTCAACGATGCGCCACTCGAGAGCCGCGTTCGGGAGGCGCGCGACACCGTCTTTGCCCAAGAGCTATGGCATGAGATAAATCGGGAAGGCCGGACGCTGCTTGGACATCGTGTCCGCCTGGAGAGATCCGCCGTCACTTATTCCGTCGATTCCAAGAAGACACTATTATTCCAACTTGTAACCCTGGACGATCAACTCTCTGCCGACCCTTTTGAAACAACTGCCGACGATGGCGAAGCAGAAAACATCAATGTCACGCTCCACCTCCTTTTAGCCAATGCCCACAGACAAAACGACCGGAGACGGTACGATAAATATGAACTGAAAGAGAAAAGGGGGCCACCACAACCCTATTCTCTCCTCTTGCCCATTGTCACGTATTATCAACATGAGGGGACAGTTGAGCAGTGCGTATCCTTTTTTTCTGCTCTTGTCAGTGTCCTTCGCTCCGCCGGGCTGGATGCTTCTTGCACAATGACCGAGGAGCCGATCAGAGACGCCGGAACTCAGCCGTTGGCAGCGCTTGGAACGAGCCTTTTGAGTCCATCAGATGTCCAGTTTGACTTGACCATCACCCCAGAGTCCCGCCTCAGGGTCCTGACCAAGGCTTCTCCTGCTTTTGGCACGCGATTCTTGGTATATCTACAGCCCCCTGCCCAGGCAGATCTTCGGAATCCCTTGTCAACATGCTTTCCCCCATATACCCAAGAATCCGGAATTCCGGGCAGCAATGTCGACACCTTCTACGATACTACCAAGCAGCTGTTTTGGTATCTCACTGGTGCCGTGCCCCGAGCCCTTGCCCTGAGCTACATGGCGATAGTGTACGAGCCGAGACCCGATACCGCCGAAGCAAATGGCCACAGAGCGACACACTGGATCGTCCACTCGAGCGACAAAGGCCTGGTTGACTACGATACTCAGAGCTTCGGCATCTATTTCGACGTCCCGTTGGATACCGAGACCGGCCCCCCGGCGCTCCACGTCGCCGGTGACTTTGAAGAGGATGATAAGAAGATCCATAGGGAGTGGAGGTGGACCTCTACTTCGGCCAGCTCCGAGAGTAGTGGCAACCTAGAGCAGATCGTCAGGCACGTCCTCTCAAATGCTGGCTTCTAGAGCGAGCCGGCTTTTTCAGAATGTGACCCAAGGTCCAGATCTAAGACACTGGACTTTGAAGAGCCCCCTGTTGCTTCTAGCGACCATGGGGACGGCCAGGTTACTTTTGAGTACATTGTGGAGGCGCCCAGATCTAAGACACTGGACTTTGAAGAACTCTCTGTTGCTCCCAGAGACCAGGGGGGCCATGTTGCTGCTAAGTATGCTGCGGAGGCGCCTAATTTGGCGGTAGCTGGTGACACGATGATGCCTAGGGAGAACGGTGGAAAAGTCCACGGAGATGTTCAGGACTCCGGCAATGGGTAAATCAAAAGTGCACATCCAAGAGCCTGGTGATTCAACTGGAGATGAAAGTCCTGAGTTTGCGAATGTTTTTTTTTTCTACAGTTGTTGTCAATTCGGTTGGAGAGGCTCAAGCTGTTGAGGCGTCTGAGGAGACTGAAGCGGTTGAGGAAGTCGAGGGGGATGAGTTGGGGTGGTACTTTGACCTTGCCTCTTACCTGAGAGAGAGAGATAGTGCCTGTCAACTTACCCGCCCACCATCATCAAGCGAGAATGCGAGGGCGTCATTCTGCGGAAACTATCGGGGCCTTCTGCGCTTGGAAGCGATATCCACGTGGGCATTGGGAGGGCGAACAGCTCACCTCTGACCCCATCTATCGCAAACAGTAGCGTTTAGTTTCAGGTATAGATGAGAGATGATGGATAGCCCACGGATTAGATCTCTCGTTGACAAAATGAGGGAGGAGGGGGGGATTGCTGACTAACTTATGTATATATATTCTCTCACTGTAAAAAGTACATTGTATCGTAACCCTTTTCCACATTCGGTGCGCTTTATATGCCCTGGGCGAAAATTTTGATCTTGCGTGGCGGTGGTAAGGTTCGTGAGTCGGCCGGTATGACTCTTGTCGGAGCAGTGTCGTTCAATTGTTTGACTTCCTTATGTTCACTTTTTTAATGAATAAGTCATTTCACTTTGTGATAAATTTGACTGTGGAAGTCCCTCCTGAGCATACCCTTCCTGAGCAGACAAAATATTACAAACGCGCAAAATAAGCGGAGCGGAATTCCAGTTCTTTTATATCTCCATTCATAAGAGTCGTAAGATGTTTACTATAATGACGAGAATGGGCAAGAAAAGGCCATAAGCTGGGAGGTAGAAACAAAAGATGAAGGACGTGAGGAAGGTCGAGTGTCCAAGAGCCCCCCTCCGTATACCCTCAACTGCCCACGAATTATCCAAGGCCTTGAGAATCAGCGGAAAAAAAGAAAGAGAAAGGAGAAAGAAAACCCCCCACAAGCAAAAGAAAATGAAACAAAACCGAAAAATACCCTGTCGTCGTGAATATCTTCTTCGTCGTTTGTTCCCCATAGCAAGCACCACGGCCACCGCTCAAACATCAGTCATCATCGCCAGATAACACTTAGCTAGCCCCTCCTCTCGCTCTTTTCAACAAGACACTACACCGCCAGATCTCATGACCACATCATCCATACCTTGGTATCACAAAAGCGTTGCTCATCCAGTCTATGCGAAGGAAGATTGCGTCGAATATGCTCCAAGGATATATCTCCCGCACGCACGCCTGCTTGTTCTGCGTCGTCATCAAATAACCATAACAATGCCATGTCGTTTCAAATGAGCTGGTCATCAAATTCATAAATAAGAAACATCCTACTCCATTAGGCCGTCGCCACCGCGAGGGAATTATGGAAGGCCCTCTTCACTCCCTTTCATCTTTTAGTATTACTCTTTTGTTCAGAGGAAAGCAATAAGAGGGCTCGGCTCGATGGAATCGGTTCTCAGCGGTATCCTCTCGAGGGGCGGTTCTCGTAGACGACCTCGCGCTCGACAACGCGGTCATCGTCGTACCGGCTCTGGCTTTCCGAGTGACGGTGCTTGTGCGCGTGGATGTGGTAGTCAGTCTCGCGATATTCGTCGCGATATCCATCACGGACTTCGCGCTCCCACTGGATTTCATAGGCGCGGTCCTTGCGGGCCTTTCGGATGGCGTCGGAAAGCTGGACAAGTCGGAGAACATCCTCCTATTGGTTGAGAATTAGGTTAGTTCTTTGTTCAGTTTCTCGAAAGATGGCCCAGAGAAAAGTGGGTACACTTACGTAGCGCAGATACTGGATGACATAAAAGAAGTATTCAGTCTCCTCATACTCGTAACCCATCTCGTCAATCGCCTCACGGATCACTAGGTCCTTGGTGATTTCGGTCCACATTTCACTGCGACGCGGCGAAGGGGATGGCGGCGCCGGCGGGCGGATAGTGACCCGCCTGTCTGTAACATCGACGTCGCGCTCCTTGTCCTTTGTCGTTATCTGAACGCTCAGTCTCCGGTCGTGGTCATGGTCGCGCACCACCTCGCGGTCTGAGACAGTCGTCGATGTAGAAACCATCGTGCCTTTCTCATCGCGGTCGGGAATGAACTTGGCTCGGCGCACGCCGCTGTACTTTTGCCAAGTCACCTCGGCCGATGCGCCACCGGCACCGTCCATGCGCACGCGCTCCGTTCCGGGAGGCACGTCAACGATGGTCCAGTCCTTGGTAATGCCGCCCCGAGCCTCGCCCATCCTACCGCGTGCATCGATCTTGGAGGTGATTTCATACGCCTCCTCGTCGAATTCGCGGTTGGAAGGAGGTGCTGCCGACTGGGCGCGGCGGCCCCGTGAGGTGCTCCGGTGCTGATCAATATCTACATGAAGGTGTCTCCGGTCCGCCCGATCACGGTCCGAGTAGACGAGAACCTCGTCATCATATGCATACGCAGGTCGGGAGGGTCGCTCCCGCGATTGAGACTGCCTGCGGGTGTGGCTGTGAGAAGAGTGCTTGTGGATGTCAACCTCGGTCTCATTACGCGATGTGTAGATGTCGATATCGGTCTCACGGTCCCTCGTGCGAGTGGGAGGCGGTGGGGCTGGCCGGGGGGCGGCCACAATCCCTGTACCGTATTAGAGGTCTGTATATGAGGCCAAAACCTTTCTAGGGAAGATTACTCACCATGGTCAATATCTCGGTAGTGCGTAATTACTTCTCTCTCGATGACGGGTCCCTTGACGACCTTGGGGGGCGGGCTCGGGCTTCGAACGCGCTCCTTCTGCCTGTCGATGATGCGAATTCGCTCCCGAGATGGGGATGGCGAGCGGCCTCGGTCGACAATGCGAATCCTCTCCATCGTCTGTGAAGGGGGGCTCGGGGAGCGCGCACGCTCGACAATTCGCACTCTTTCGCTCGGTGCGCGGCTCGGCTCCCTCACCCTCTCGACTTGGCGAAAACGAATATCCTCTTCGACAACACGTCTGGGAGGGGGGCTGATGCTCCTTGCCCGCTCAATGCGAGACTCGCGCACACGAACAACAGGGCTGGGCGACCTCCGCCTCGGCCGCTCAACCGTCTCGATCTCCCTTGATCTGAGGACCAACGGGCCCGGCTCGGGTCGTCTCTCCTCACGCATGAAAGAAGGCACGCGGTCCTCTGTAATCCGAATGTCGGTAACATCATCGTACTCGCGGACCGGGGCGGCGCGGCGCGGCTCCCTGTAATACTCACGCTCTTCGGAAAACTCGACGCGGTTTCTGCTCGACATGGCTGGCGATTCTGCGGGACCTTGGTGAAGAGGCAGGAGGGAGTGGTGAAGTCTGTGGCGGCTGTTGACAAGCGGGGTCAGCAGGCCTGGATTGTTGGATTGAGAACCGGACAGCCCAAGAAGACTAAGGTAGGCGCGAAGGTTATGCAAAGTAGCTTTAATCCGAACAGGTCGGGAAATTCGAAATACTGGGGATACCTCCAGAGATATGCCGCGGTTTCTTTATTTTTTTTTTCCGTCAGTAGCGTAAGACGAAAAAAAAACAAAGCTGGTTGTTGCAGGTTGTGAGAGCCTGGTCGAGGCTAGGTGTGACGTGGGTTGGATTTCGGAGGGACTCGTGGACTGGAAGCGGGCGGCAGCCAATGCGGGGTCCTCTCGGGGTGACGGGACAGCAACTTGGCAGAGGGAGCCCAAACCTCTCGAACGGCAGGCTTTTCTCTCAGCTCTCACCGGCAAGTTGCAGTGAGCTTTGTGCTTTGCCTCGACGCAACAACTTGGGGCCTGACTGATATTAAGTTTTTTTTGACAGAGAAAGAGAGAGAGAAGCCCAACGTAAACCCCGTGTGACAACGGCAGGATACAGCAAAGGAAGGCGTTGGCCAGGCCTGGTCTGGTCTAGTGGGGCTCGATATTACCTAAAAGCGAGCATCAGAGAGGGACAAGCCGCAGAGGAATGAATAGGCAGGCTGGGAAGGCTGGCCGCTGAGGACGAGGGACAAGCCGTCTGTCGGTAGTCTGTCGGTAGTAGGCCGTTTCAGGACCTGGTGCTGGCCAATTGTTCGGGGTTTAAATTGGGCTCGAACCAACGTCGTCATCCCACAGCAGTCTGGCCGCAAATGGCCCCCGGCAGCGCTAATCAAAATGCTTCCATTGCGGCATTGCCTGTCTTCATTCAGCCTGCCTGCCTGCAAAGTGAGACGCGCGATAACGGAAGGGGTTGGGGGAACTCTGGTGTTGAAGCTGAAAGTGACCCGATACAGGAGAGGCCGTCAGTTTTCCGGCCCTAACTTCTAACAACCTATCGCCATGCACCGAGCAAGAGAGTTTCCATACGTCTGAAGCAGCAACGAGAATCGATGAGAACCTAGTAGGTGCATCCGTATCCCCCATTCCAACGTGATACTGCCATACTACCCACTATTGTAAAATAGCGGAGTAATTTTTTCCCCAACTTTGAAGTCATCACACCGACGAAGTTGCTCCCCCCCTCCACAACTGACCCCGAATCTTGGATGGAGCTCCCTCCATGGTTCCGGTTCCACGTTTCGTCCCCTCCCCGGAGCTGCAGGAATGCGAGAGTCCCCTGCCCAACAAGAACCGGGCGGGCTTTCAGCCCCGCCCGACTTTCATTCATCTGGCCTGCTGCAGGAGGGGGGCGAGCCTCCACTGTGTCTGGTTTGCGTGTGCCACAGGGCGTGAGCTTGACTATCGAAACAAATCGATCATCGTCTCACCAGCTAGCAAGCAGGCGGGCTGAACGGGTTCTATGGCCGTTGCCTGCCTCTTACGTGGATACATTGAGTGCGGATTCTCTAACGGTTGGGTTGTTGTGTCGTTGGATTCTTAATTCAAGGATTCGCACTAGCTGATTCACCGAGCACAACCTAGGGAAGCGCCAATGAATTTTTCACTGCATGCCAACTAAATAACGTGTAGCAGAAAAGCAGGAAGCCAGACGACAGCCGCGATGATGACAGTAGCATTGGAAAAATCTCTACCCTACCTATATCCTACCTATATGTATGCTCCCTGAGCTGATATCGTCTGGCGAACAAGGACTCGGTCGTAGGCCAGGATCTGGGGCTCTGGGCTCCGGGCTCTGGGCAGCCCCCTGGTGGCCCGCCTTCAGCGCCCCCGACTATCTGGCCTTTCAGCCACGACAGTTTCAGTGTCGATCAGCATCAAGAAGGCGGAAACCATTACACAACTTTTTTCGGAGTCGCGAGCAAATGCCAGTACGCTTTCCTCTTTTGTTTTTTTCTTTTGGGCTTTCGTCTAAACTCTTACCCTCGTCAGTTAAGCGTCGATAGCACACTGTGGGATGACGTAACTGTGCAGCAAGCAGCCCTACTATGTAGTATCGCTCGGTAGAGACGATGCCACCTTCTAGTGTAATATTTGTACAGTACATATAGTTGACTTTCAGGTTATATTCAGCGTTGTATTCGTATTCTGATCTCTTTGTAATCGCGGACTGCTACTGCACGCTCGGGGGAAGGCCCTCCCCCACCTCTCCTTGTTACGTGTAGCGCGGCCCTTTTATTTTCCCCCGCGATTCTACGTCCTTTCGCCTTATCTCTGGAAGCAATACAATCCATAAATGTTTCTTGGCGCGGTACTTGGGGCGGATCCAACGATTTTGTATAAACCACCTAGCCAGGAAATCTCCCTGACATTTATTTTTGGAGAGGAAATAACAGTACGTGTAAATGTTTATTTTAGTGAGGGACTTTCACGATCTGAATGGCCTCCAGCCTTACGCCAAGCCCTAATGGATTTTTAACGTGGTGTTTTTAGAGAAGATATAAAATAGGGACTCCAATGGCTTTTTACCTCTCTCAATGAAAATCCTTTAGGGTGAGCCGTAAGTTATTAAGGCCTTTCAAATCTCGGAAAGTCCCCGCTTATAAACATTCAGGGATTGGATTGTAGTCATGCGAACTAACCCGCGCCAGCAGCCAATCCGTACCTAATAGCCGCCTCCCACCAAAACACATCTTGCATGCAACCCACGGGAGCAGGCCATCCTGTCGGCCAGCCTGAGCGCCGATAGAAAGCCTATCCTTCCTGCACGCGTCAGTGCATTCTCTGCCAAGAATGGCGGAGTTACAAAGGCGCGGAGCCGTCATGCCACAGGTGCAAGTCAGTCATCAACAAGTTTCGCGGAAGCGGACGACTATTAACTCATCAGGAACAGAGCTTTCGCAGAGCCGCCGAGAGCAATCTCCAGTGAACGGAGGCCTCGCCCGACACGCGACACCCGTGCCGACGGTAAAGAGCCAACTCGACGCGACATCCGAGAACGATCCGTTGCCAGCGAAGAGGGTCCGATTAACGCGAACGGGCATACAACGGCCTGGAGTCGAGGGAGTGGGACAGGCTGGCGATGGCGATAACGGCGAACGTCAGCTAAAGCGGGCGCAGTTAACGCGGGAGAACTTGACCCTATTCAATAAGATGGCGAGGAAGAAGGGGTCCAAAAAGGGGTCCACTTACTATGACTCCGCCGACGAGTCGATAACAACAAGGGCCATTTCAACAACGTCGTCTAGATTTGATATCCGAGCCTACCAAAATGGCATCCGAGACCCTCTGTCTTCCAAGCTGCCTACGAACATTAAGGGTATAGTGGAAAAATATGCCCAATCGCGTGAGACGGCGTCGCCCACCGATTCAGAGTACAAGTTCTATGCCCGTGCTGTTTCAAAAGCCGGTAATGAGGCGGCCGTTGCTGGCGAGGTTACCGAAGAACTGCTAAAGAAGTGTAGAGATGATAGCTACAAGAGATCCTTCAACCAGGCATTTACGGCCTTCCCGAAAAATAAGAGGTTAGTTTCAACAATAGCCTACCGGCTCCGCAGACCGACTAATCTACGAGTATATCAAGGGCGCCGTACTTTATAGGGATGACCGCTATTCCGGCACACTACCACACCTATAGCCGGCGAGTGGGAAGGCCCTGACGTTGATATATCAAAGGCAACACGGCAGAGTGGCCACGACGGAGCTGCTCTTGTCTACGCGCGGAACCAGGCTCTATCGTATATCGGGAAACCTGACCCCCCCGGCCATGCCGAGATCACGACTTTTACTACGGACGGCACCAATCTCAACTTCTATGCACACTATGCTACTCCTTCGGGGGATAATGGCAAGCTTGAATACCACCAGTATCAATATGCGTCGGTAAACGTGAAGGATACTTACCAAGGGCACAATGATGGCCGAAAAGGCATCAGGAACGAACAAGACCACGCGTAGGAACGGTCGTTCGCCCCGAGGGACTAGCTAAAGGAACATTGGGAGTAGTGCCGCCGTGGCCTCTTAGGTTAAGTGCGGAGTATGTAGGACAGAGAAAGGCCTCCGAGATTCTGTAATAGGGATCTTATTAACGACTACCTCCCTCAGCGAAAGACCTTTAGGCCGAGGCAAGTTATTAAGGCCTTTCAAATCTTGGAAAGTCCCCCATAGACAAGTATCCAGGGATTGATTTGTAGACAGCAACTTCGGGATCCTAATCGGCATAGGCGTCGGGCATCTTCTGCCTCTGCACTACCGCGCGCTCGCAGTCGAGTTACGTACTGTATGTATGTACATCCCAGTGGGGCAGCCTCAGGGTGAGATGCCCGCTGTACGTATATCAGGAGCTGAACCAGATGATCGGGCTTGCCGTTGGTAAAGGAGAAATGTGCATTTGCGACTAATGGAGGCTTCAGCTGCATGGCATCCATCCGTAAGGTCAAGTCTGGCTACTAGGTAAGCTCGGATGAGGTGAGACATTTGATGGGTGCCCACGTATCTGAATATGGAAAATCGATGGGTTGAAGGAAGCGGGTAGCAGAAATATATTGCGCATTCTAGTGCCTCCTTGCGGGCGGGCGGGCACTACATGGTACTCACAATCCTGCATCCCATTTACTGCACCAGTGTCATTCCTCGTGACGGCTGTCCATCTCGCTCTGCCCAGACCGTAAAACCAGCGGGGGTTTTATGGAACCGTTGTCAGGTCCTCTCATCCAATACCCAATATGGTTTATCCCCCTCCTCCGCTGTGTTTTTGTACACCATGGGATTTGTCACTATTTCTGCGCGAAGAAGAGGATTTAGCCTTGTTACTGATAGTGGTGGTGGTGGTGATGGTGGTGACAGAACCAAGAGGCGGCGTTGGGCGAGATTTAGCTGCCCTGGAAGTGCTCTTCCAGTTTTTCCCAAGAATGATATCCAAGGCGGCCCCGATCTGCTTCAGGCGAGTGTCATTTCCCCAATCAAGAATGTTTCGAACCCGGGTGCGAAAGGCCTGAAATTCTTCGGGGCGTGAGAGGACGAAGATGTCAATCTGCTGAAGGTAATATTCCAGATTTTCTCCTTTCTACGAGATGTATAACTTGGCAATATTATTGTCTACAGCAATGCAGTAGGACAAGGTTTCGACGCGCTGTGTGCTCTAATACTCTTGTCATCAAGGAAAATTGGTGACCTGGTCCTCGTCACATCCCCGTGCGAGAACATCCACTTCGTGCATTGCCTGGTTCAGCTCGTCGGACGAGAGCCCGGGAGAGTCCTGTTGGCCGCGGACCAAATCGATGTGGCCGGATATAACGTCGGGCAGCGGGGAAGTAGCGTCTAGAACATAGATGTGGTTAAATCGTAGGTTGTTCTGGCGGTACCGTATATTGCGAAGGTTGGCTGTGCTGGAAGAGGAACGGATACGGTCGTCGTCCGTATCGGCCTGGGACGAAAGTGACCCAGTGGAAGAGAGCGTTGGTGAGACCGCAAAGCCATCCGCATCCCGAGTAGAGCCCATCTCCGGCGCCGATCTCGTGAGCTGCCTCGAAACGGGATCGTCGTCTAAACGACAAAGATGGCTATCTGAGCCACAGCAGTTTTCTCTATCCGACCCGACAGACTAGAGACACTCCGAAATAAAGCTGTTGACAGGCTCGGGACGGTTCGGATGGACGGGGTCAATGAATTCTTTGAGAAACGAAGCATATGGCCGCGTGGAAGGCTTAGGCTTTGGCTGCTGTAGAGTCTTCTGCGTGATTTTCTGTCAGTCGTTGGCCTGCCCGGGAGAACGTTGTCATACCTCAGTCGCTTGCTCTGGTTTCCCGTTCCCAACTCTGGGATTTTGCTCGTCTGTCCGCGTTAGCCGGGCCCTCTATGCGGGCAACGGGTCGATGCCGAAAATCTCGTCAAGCAGACGTTTCGTAGGCTGCAAGAGCGCGTCCCGGGGGAGATCTCTGCCGCGTAGAGATTGGTTCTCGGGGCTCTGTGGCAGCTCTATATTTTGACGAGTTAGACCGAATTCTCACCGACTACATTATTAGAAGAGCATCGTCGACATTCTTACCTGCGCCTGCACATGCGCCGAGGGAAAAGCACGGTGGACAACTTGAATGTATAGGAATATGGCAGTGGGCGATGCAGGGCGTATAAGTGCCCAACTACCGGGCTGCATCACTACTTTAGTTTTTGGGACTCGGATCCGCCATCGTGCATTAGCGGTACGTAGACGGGGACTACCAAAGCTGCGCCATGTTGTGAGACTCTAGCCATTCCTGTCGAGTTCTAGCTAGAGTCAGACATTGGTTAGGCACCAAAACGGGGAACGTAAAGGGGGTAGATCACCCACGGTAGCATACTATCCTCGAGATCCGTTTTGAGGCCGACTTCCCTTACCACGGTGGCGGGAGCTCTGGAATAACTCATGGCGGTGTGGATTCTGCAGCCGTTCGTGGCGATGCTATCACTTCTCTCTCTCTCTCTCTGTACCAGTTGCGAGCAGATGGCTGGGCTGGCTTCTACCTGCTACCTTATCGTTTTCTCTTGAGTATGCAACGCGACGGAAGCCTCATCGACCCAACATTCCCTACTACGCGATCGTGTTGAGACGGTAGGACAAGAATAGGGGTAGAAAAGTCAAAGGCTCGGAAACAACTCAACGCCAAAGTGTATGTATAACGAAGAGAACATGCAACTTTTTACAAAGGTAGGTATTTATTTTCTACAGAGCCCTGCCTCTTTTCCTAATTCTACTGAAACGGCCTCGGCTCCGATCTGCCCCCGTAGCCAGGCCCCGGCTCGAGGTACTGGCCGTTCTGTGGCGCACAGCCAGCCTCCGCTGGCCGATGCTGGTTGGCAATCACCTGCGCCTCGGCCTCGGCCTCCCTGGTGTGCCGGTGGTGGTCCTTGTAGCGGTCGCGCACCTCACGGAAGGCGGCTGTGACGGCGTGGAGGACACTGGACGTGCACAAAGGTCAATGAGAGGGGCTATGAGAGATATAAGACGAGGATATATATGCGTTCGTGCGTGTATGTATGTGACGAGAGAAGAGATGGAGATGTAGATGTGCAAAAAGAGAGAACCTTTACGTGCTGATAATCGCTAGTATAAACGTGCTCTAGGGGAGATTGCACGAGTCGTCGGCCTTGTTGGCGGTCTTGCCCGTGAGGTTCCCAGCGTCGGCAGCATCGCGGTGGTCAGGGGCATAGCAGTGACCGGGGCCGGCCAAGCCACCGTCGGGGGAGGTGAGGACGGCGAAGGCGATAAAAGCACCAACAAAGGCGACGTCAAACATAACCCACAGCCAGCGCAGCCAGCGCGGGCCGCTGCCCTTAAGCAGCAGGCCCAGCAGAGTAGCAGCTAGGGTATACAGAACAGCAGCAGCCAGGATGCCCTCGACGGCGCCGTAGGACTCGTTGACGCCGCGCCGCGTCTTGATCGAATTGACCAGCCGGTACACCTTGTACATGCGCTGCGAGAAGATCCCCAGCGAGATGACGGCCGACAGTAACTGTAGTACTCGTGTGAGGCGGAGTAGGAGCCGGTACGCGGCCGAGTGCTTAAACCGCTCCGGAACCCAGCGCGTTAGCAGGCCCGTCTCGCCCGCGCTCATCGTCTGGACGGTGTATTTATCATGACTTTCAACCTAAGAATTTCTTGGCTTGAACTCGCGTCGCCCAGGAAATGACGGTGCCTTAGGATATGTAGTGTAGCGTCCATATTCCTTAGATGTCGAGGGCCAACCCGTTGAAGAAACAGAAATGCCACATCACTTTTGGACAACGTCAATTTGTGGAGAGCAGGGGGTGGGTAACGAGCCGTAACGAATGTAACGCCTTCCTATTGTGGAAGTCGTGGTGCCTGTCGTGATAGGGCATTTGGACGGAAATAGTAGACCAAGCCCTCGAAAAGACAAGGGGATGACAGACACTGTACTGTGAATACTTGTAAATGGCTGGCCCGAGTTAGCGCAGTAAATCATATCCATTGTTGACATTCGGTTTATTACCCCCGAATCGCCTGGCCCGAGTCCTACGAACTCCTTCAAGCAACTTCCGGACCGGCTGATATCACCAACTAAAGCCCAGAGATATTACCCGAAGTCAAGTAAACGGGGGGGGGGGGTTCCAAGAAAATAAAAATAAAAATAAAATAGAAATACGAAATACGAGAGACAAGCAAGTGCCGAATGCAATGTAGTCGTCATCAAAGCCGCCGACCGTTGGGTGGAACCGAGCCTGAATCCGAGTCGAGGGCTGAGCCGGAAGGCGGGAGCTAACAAAATAGGGGCCTGGTTGGCGGGTGCTAGTAGAAGGCTAAAGGAACGAGTCTGTGGATTCCGGCCGACGCTTGTTGAAAGTGGGTTTTGCTGTCAAACACCTCGCTAGTGAATATAGAGAGAACATCGAGATAAACTAATCATACCAACTAATTTCACACCGAGGAAAAAATCATATAAACCACCGAAATCCCACGGTATCTTGGCTCTATGAGCTCGAACTAGACTATTAGGTAAGGACTCAAAGACTCTTTTCCACTTGTGGATGACGGGAGTCAACTCATCGAATTATAGAAGCTAAGATTCTTGTGGTGAAAGCTCACGTAAAAGAGCTACATCCTGTATCCTTGTGGCCATTCCATTCCGTGCGCCACGCATCTTACAAAAAACCGAAGAACAATCGCAGAACAGGCCATGTCCTCCTACTAACACCGACGCTCCGTTGTACCAACACTGTAGTTGGAAAGAGATCTCATCAGAAAATGGGAGCCCTGAGCCCAAACAGCTGGGGAACAGTTGTCCGGCTTGCGTTACTCGCACACTCAAAACTCCAAATAAACACCTCAGTTCTCCGTTTTCCGTTCCTGGAATGCTCATCCCTTTGAGATAGCTGGAGATTAAGCCGCACTAAAACTTGAGTGTCAGTCTCCGCATGGTAAAACGCCAGTCATATCTCCATCGTTACGCACGCTCTTCTGCCACGCTTCTTTGGAGCCGGGTTATCATCGTTGGCCTCGGCGGCTGCGGCCTTGGCACGGCCGCGCTTTGCCTTGGGAGCCGGCTTCTCAGGCTCCGATTCCTCGGCAGGCGAATCCTCTTTGGCAATGGCTGCAGCAGCCTTCTTAGCAGCTCCGCGCTTGGCCGGTGCCTTTTTGTCGGCAAGTGGTGCATCCACGGCCTCGGCCTTGGGCTCATCCTTAGAAGCAGCCGCGTTCTTAGCCGCACCCCGCTTCACGGACGTCTTTTTCTGCGGAGCCGGCGGTGCCTCATCCTCGGGTTCCTCTTTGGCAGTAATGGCCTTTTTGGCAGCGCCACGTTTGGCCGGCGCCTTTTTCTTCGGGGCCTCTTGATCGAGCTCATCCTCAGACTCGTCCTTGGGAGCAGCGGCCTTTTTGGCGGCACCACGCTTGGCCGGTGCTTTCTTTTTGGGCTGCTCTGGCGAGGCCTCGGCCTCAGCCTCGGATTCGTCCTTGGCAGCGGCAGGTGCCTTCTTATTACCCTTTGTCGGTTTCTTAGCCAGGGGCTCATCGTCCTCCTCATCATCAGCTGCCGCCTTTTTGTGGCCTCGCTTAGCGGCGGGCTTTTTAGTTTCAGTAGGGCTGTCCTCCCCATCCTATGGACATTGTCAACACCTCTGGTACACATTCGAAAGAAGAAAAATTGTGTACCTCGTCGTCTTGATCGGCATTCTTGGCCTTTCTGGGAGCGCGGGCATGAATGCCCTTCTGGCTAAGCTTGTTCAACTCGGGGTCCTGGGTTTGGTCAGCTTCTAGAGTCCGAAAGTATGCTCGCACAGCTTCCAGGCCACTTACGCCATTGAAATCCTCGGGATCGATGAATCCCTGAGTGAAGACTCGGCGGATCTTCTCCTGGATCTCCGAGTGGTCTCTTTTTGTTGTGAGAACCTTGATTAGTTGTTCTAACTCACACAGAAGTATCAGGATAGGCAATTAGCAACATACTCGAGCTCGTCGTAGCCATCAATGGCGTCCCAGTCATAATCTCCATCACCCTTGTCGATGGCGATACGGACGTTCTCGATCTGACTGCCAGAAACGCAGCCCCTAGACAGCTTAGCACAACTTTCAGGTTACAGCAAGGACTCCGAGGTCCTTACCAGTGCTTCCACATCCAGCTTCCGGGGTGGTCCTGGACTTCGACCCAGGTACCAAGGCGAAGCTCGCCCTTCTTGATCTTGACTTTGTCGTCCTTGCAGACCTTGTCTTTGCACCCAGCGCGGTTGTTGGCCGCGAGTTCTGTATGCGGTGTGAAGTTTCACATGTCAGCCATACTGCATCTAACCAGCGAGAAGCCGATCAAAGGTCGAAGCCCCATTTGTCGTGAGTGACACCGAATCAGGCCAGGCGCCGTCGAAGACTTCTAGGAAATTTTTCTTCATTTTTTCCTTCTTGAACAAAATTTGCCCTCGAAATAACGCCAGAGGCAAAGCTGCAAGTTCATTACCTTACGAGCTCTTCCATAGAAGTTCGATATGAAGGGATGAAAAGAAAGGATATAAAAAGGTCGCCGGTGAGGTCTCCACGGCAGGGGAATGCAGTAAACAAGAACAGGACAGGATTTCGAGACAAGAAAAAAAGAAAAGAAAGAAACATACCAATTCGGTAAGAAGGCATCTTCACCTACTAGGTGTGTCGACTGTCACGAAAAAAAACCGGGGAAGGATGTGAAGGAGAAGTGCGAGGAGGTGACGACGAGAGACCGAAATCTGGTTTGGTGAGGTCCAGTGTAGAGAGGGAGAGCTGTAACAAAGCAGCAGCAGCGATGGACTTCTGGAAACCTGGAAATCTTTTTCTAAAAAACAAACCACAAAGTCTGGCAGGAGTCAAACGAATGAACCAGACGCGCAACGGATGCAGGATGAAGGTGATTTGGCGGTGTCGGAATCTGCTTGCAGAGCAGAAAAGGTTGGTGGTGGATGGAGGTGTAAGGTGTGTGTTTTTTTCCTGGTTTTCGCGTCGTTTGCGGGAAGGGAGGGGATGAGCAGCGGAACGCGCGCGCTGGAAGTACGTCAAGCACTGGGGCCACTGACTGCCGCAACCAACCGTGTGCAGGAAAACCAGAGGGAGTGTAGGGGGAAAAAAGGAAGATCAAATTCTGTGCCTTGAAAAATCTTTAATCTTTAGGTGCTGCGTTTGTTTTGGTTTTGGAAGGTGCAGCCTTGCCTGGTCTGGGGTGGCAAGGTCGCAAGACGGATGGGGTGAGAGTGGGCGAAAATGAGATGAGGCGTGAAAATGGTTGGGGCTTTTTTTTCTGTCGCTGTGTTGTTGCTCAGAAGCCCCCCAAACAGGTCACTTGCACTTGGCTCGCTCTCGCTTCTCCCGGGAATTAGCGGGCATTCGTCACCTGCGGGATGCAGAGCAAGAGGGAAAAACACCCGATTGTCTCATAAAATTGTCGGATTCCAGGTTTTCAGATCGTTCCGAATCCTAGATAATTTCCCTGCTTGGAGTTGTGTAAGTGTAGGCCCCCAAGCCTACAACCACGTTCTTCCCGTTCGTCGCTAAACGCTTTAGAAACAAACCACTCCAGGTTCCTAAAGATACCTTGATCATTAGATTTGTTGTTCGCTATCTTTGGCTAGGAATATATAAGTGCACTGGTGAATCCTAGGCGAGCATTCACATTCGCTGATAGATAAGAAAAATGTTTGGTTCTATATTTTTGGCATTCCGCCCTTTTCGTTATGTCGTCGCTGCAACCCACCTTCAGCCAAAAAAATCAGCGAATTTATAGCGCCCTCTTTTTGATAGCCCCGGTGAACGTACTCACAAACTGCACCTATATGCTTCTTGATCTTCCGTCCTACAAAAACGGACACCACCCAATGTACATAGCCGCCAGATTTTTGGGATTGACCGCCTGCTTGATGAGCTCCTCGACCTGTCCCTCGACGCCAAGCGGGATGCTCTCGTCCGGCAGCAGGCCTCTAACCTTACGCTTGATGCTCTCAACGACGCTGGTCGGGTTGAGCTTGACGGCCTCGTGGCCGCGCTTCTTGGTGCGCTGCAGGTCCAGCGTGGGGTCGTAGATGAACGCCTCGAGGATCGTCACGAGCGTCTCCTCCTGCTGGCGGAGGATATGCAGCGTAAGCTCGCTGCAGTGGCGGAACGGCCCCTCGTACCGGTAGATGCCCATGGCAGCCTCCATGTTGTGCGTCAGCCGGAAGGGCACGCGCTCCGGCTGCGCAAACGTCAGCCCCTTGTCGAAGAGGCAGTTGAAGTCGACGTGGAAGATGCCGCCGTTGCCCTCTTCCAGCAGCACGTTCTCGCCATGCCGGTCGCCCAGCCCGAGAATCGTGCCAACCATGGACATGACGGCGCACGAGCGCGTGTATTTGAGACGCGCCGAGAACCAGGTCGACGGACTGGGAAACTGCGAGATGAACCAGTCGGGGAGCACAGGTGGGAACATGCCCAACACCTTTTCTGTAAACAGGCCCACGCTGGTGTCTGACATGCTCGCTTCTTTCATCAACTGTGCAATTTGGCCGTAGTTAGGGACCACGTTGCGTGTCTTGTAGATGCCGAGCAGAATATCTCGTATCGTCTTCAAGCCATCGATCCACTCGATGATGCCGCACTCTTCATTAAGTGGCGTGACGGCATAGGTCTTGATGTAAAGCTGCCGCCTGCTGGACTCGGCGTCCCGTTTGAGGGAGCGGTTGATCTGCCCGTTGAACTCCATTAGACGCTGGTCCGTTCTGAGATCATCCTTGGGTTTGAGCAAGAGGTTGTAAGAGTTCCCATCTGATCCTCGCGCCGTAAGCCTGCGAGGTTTTGCCAGCGAGCCGAGGACTAGAACCGAATCGAGGAAGCAGTCAATAGTAATAACGTCTCTAGAGAACGCCTTATGTTTCTTGAAGTTGTCTGTCAAAGTCGGCAACGTCGCTGTGAGGCAAGCCTCGATTGGCACTACCAGAGGGCATGGCGTGCATTTGTGGTTGAAGTTTAGGTCCCTGGTAATGCTCGCCGTGGTTGTCCTGTTGCTTTGGAAGTCGCCATTGTTGCAGGCCAGCAAAAGCTGCTCCGCCAGCTTTTCGCCCATCCTCAACAATTGCTTCATATCGTAGCCTGCGCCTTCAACCTTTTTGCCCAACCCACGCAGACCCTGAAGAATCTGAAGGCCCCTGGTTCGCCGCTCCGAAGACTGTCTTGTTGTCATAAAAGAGAACAGACTCCACAAAGCTTGGCGAGGGTAGGCTTCAACGACCCTAAGAATCATCTGCTCCAAGATCTTGAACACCTCCAGGTTTGGATGCGCTATTCTTGCCACGATCTGGGGAAGGGCCGTATAGAAAATGAAAGCTGGCATTCGAGCTAGGTTCTTTGAAAGGTTCTTGTATACTTCCATAAGTATGGTCTTTCTGCGCGCATGCAGCTCCCGGGAGAGGGATACCTTTCCGTCGGGCGGTTTATCGACCTGGGCCCCGAGTTCAAGCCATAGTGTGAGGATGCGCGGCAGAGTCTGGTACAAGTACTTCGTGCCAAAGTTGAGAGAACGGAGATAGTTCTCTATTACCAGCTTAGCCGTCTCTCCAGTGAGATATTCGTCAGTCTGGTCATCGGGCTTGAGTGTTTTCTCGGACTCCAGGACTTTCTTGTAATGACGGCCAAGGTAGTAATGCCCCTTCTCCCACTGAGAATGAGTTTTTGCTGCATCCTGATACTTTGATCGCAGGGCACTAGCATGTGTCTGGCCTGTTGAGTCAAGCCATTTTGCGAGGAGAAGGTGGGCTCGCGCTGTCAGCAGATTGCGCTGCGTGTCGGCATTTTTGCTCGAAGTTGGAACCAAACTCCCTATATTTTCGGTTATAAAGGAGTTGGTGGTGATGGCGAGTTGCAATACTTGAATAGCCTTTCTGTGATGGCCGTCTTTATACAGCAATCTGGCATTTTCTATGATGGCAGAGCCGTCACCAAGCTGCTGAGCATGCAATACTGCGTTGAATGACTGGTGCATTGATCCGGCTTTTCTTGCTAGACGAGCGCTTGCAAGCCACAAGGATGAAATATCCTCGTCGTTGTAGTTCGGCCTTCAGTATTATTAGTCGAGCTCTCTCATAATCGGGGGTTATCACGTACCGCATCAAGTCCATAGCTGCCCTGTTGACGCCAAGCACATATTGCTTGTCGCTGACATAGGCACCGAGAACTCCCAGTCGACGGTTGAGTGCTTGGAGAACGTTCACCGGCTCACGTCCATAGACATAATCGCTGCCAATCAACTCCAGGTCGCTCAAGACATGGCACTTGAGCATCGCGTCGTGGCAGGCTCGCAGTGAAGATGTCGTAGAATAGGTCATCGAGCCGCCGACCTTGTCCCGCATCATCTTGATGTGATGCTTGAACTTCTCACCATCCATTTCCTTCAGGGCTAGTAAAGCTTGGCCGACCCCGAGATTGAAGTCCTCCGAGACATCCCCCGAGCTATAAAGGCGGAGATACTTCTCTAATGTTTGCCATCTACCTGTTGCCCATGAGGCCTCGACAGCAAAGGGGGTTATTTTGCCGACAGTGTTCGTGGTCCTCTTCATACCCTCGACGTAATTAAGGAGGACGTCGTGCTGCCCAGACTCTTTGAGACAAGTCAGAAGATCCAACTGGATGTCAACGTTCTCGGGAGACTCAGCAAGCCGTATTTCGTACCAAGTCTGTGCTGCGGTCCAGCGGCCAGCTTTGCGGTGGTTAAGGGCTTGTTGATTAAGGTCTACGCGCTGTAGTTGGGTTGATACTCCGTCGAGCCCATCAGGATCATCAATCTGCGTGTAAATATCCAGCAGAGATTGGACAAGCCGATCTTTTTCGGCTGTATCATCTCCCGCCTTTGCCAGAAGATGCGGCTCGAGAAAGAAGAGCGCCCGCGCATATTCTTTACAGTCAACTGCTCGTCGCGAGATCAACTCCTGATCAAGAGATGCAAGAGACTCTTTGAGCCAGGTCAACTTTCGTAAGTCGTCTGGTTTAAGGTTTGGCTGTGCTTGTTTAATCTGTTTCCATCTCATAGCGTAATCGATAATGCGGAAGACAGCCTGTTAAGAGTTGTTAGTGGCTCTATTGAGAGAAACGACGAAAAATGGGGCGCCAAATTACCTCGTAAAGGAGCTTCAGCTCTTCCTTTTCGACATAAGATGCAGTGTCAGGCACCTGGTATTGCAAGATGGAGGCTAGTTCCCCCATGACCTTTTTTCTGAAGTCCGACGAGTTCTCTTGCCCAACAACGACGTGCAGCGCTACATATGGCAGCAAAAATTCGGCCACCGAGAGATCTTGAACTTTAATCAGTCGTTGAAGAGGCTCAAAGATAATTTGGCTGAAGAAGTTCTGGCCATTGCGGAGAAGATCCAGGACAAAAGGTCGTAGCCAGTTCGCGTATGTCCTCCCAGGACGGAAGATCGGATACTCAGCAGGCTGCTGGACCATGGGCTGGACACAGAACTTTGACGCCAGAAAAGGTGTTAGGACTTCCCGGGCGTTGTCAGACAAGGCAAGCCACTTTCTGTAGATGGACTCGCTCTCGCCTTGGCCTAGCATTTCACATGCTGCCTTGAAATCTGTTTTGTCCAAGAGATCTTGCATTGCAAAGGAAAGGAAGCCCTGGAACTTTGTGTCGGTGGTTGACAAGAAAGCCTTGACCAGCACGTTTTCAAGTACGAACGCAACAAAGTCCGTAGTTTCACCAGCGTCACCAAAGTTGTGGACGACAACAAACTTCTTGTCTTCTCGTGTGGTTTCGAGGCGGTTCGAGTCGAGACAGCCGATGAGTCCGACAGATTCGGCGCAGAGTCGGACGATGTCGGGTTCCCAGCCATTGTACTTGGACGAGCAGTCGAGCAAGGAGCGCATCAGGGTCGTGACGACCGAGTCTGGCTGCTCGCTGAGAGCCGAGGTCTGAAGGTAGTTTTGGTGCTCCGCTAGAAAATAAAGCAACTCGACCAAGGCCTGTCTTACAACTCCCGAGTTTTCGTGATTCAGCCGTTCGGCAAAGATTCCGAATGCCTCTCTGTCGTCTAAACGCTGGCGTAATGCATCAATTCTTTCGGCTCGGCCTTTGAGCATCGGTATATTGCTCAGTGAGGGTAGCTTATTAGAGTACTCTACTAAAACCTGTTGGTGCTTTTCGAGAAGAGTTTTGATCAATTCTGAAGCCTTCTCCATCGTTTCGTCGTTGAACGAGCTCCAGTACTTGTCGATTATGAAGAAAGTCGTCTCAATCAGAGCCTCGATATCCGCCTCTTCCATGTGAGTGAGCATGGCCACCCAGCAAGAAAAGGCAGCAGTCCGAAGCTCGTCAGAAGCTAGTGCAGATATCAAACACGCAGAAATCTATCAAGTATTGTTTTAGTTAACGATTCGGAGCAGACTCAAGTTCAAATTCACTGTCACATACCTGTGGGCGAGCAATGCAGACATAAGAGTTGCAGACCCTGATCATCTCCTCCATTGCACCGAGGCACTGCTTCCGTTCTTGAACAGGGGGGTGCGATCCCAGAGTATCGGCGATAGTCTCGCTCAGTCTTGCTGTTAGGCCGAGTGCGTGAGGTTGCAGATATCGCCCGATTTTGTGCGACTTTTTTACTTTCTTGTCCGCGTTGTCCGCCAACAGAAGAGTTGCCATCGTCATCAAGGCATTCCGTACCTGTGTCGAATTAGCCTTTGACACATTCAAGCTGCTGTGTGGAACTAATCCAACCTGGGCTTTCCGGGCTTCGTTTGCATCACCGCCGGCTTTGAAGAGCTCTAGAGCTATTGAGATAGGATCTGTTCGTAGCAATTCGACGAGCTCAAATCGGTCAAAATGAGATGAGATTTGCCTCAGTGACGACATTGAATGCTCTGCAATGTTCGGCGCATCCTGGATCAAAAGAAGGGCCAGAATAGAAGGCAAATTAATGTTGTCCAAGCAGGGCTGCCAACTTTCCTCTTCCCCTCGAGCCTCGGCGATTTTCTGGATAACATCCCGCTTCTTCGTTAGGACCAGCCAGGGAAGAGCATGCGTCTGTAGATGACGGAGAAGATCCGGAACGCCAGTCTGCAGTAGCTCGGCAACCATCCGGGTCGTCTGTGGCTTCGATACCATATCCTTAGCAACCGAAAAGGCCAAGCTAGCCCAGAATGGCTGGAAGAGTCGTCGGACGTTTACTCCGCGGGAACTGGCAAGATTCAAGATCTCGCTGAACGCAAAGGCAGACACTATCATGTTGCGGTGCCCAAGGTACTGAACAAGCTTGATGAGAACCAAGTTGAGTTCGTCGTCCGAAACAACCCTGCCCACCTGGCCCCATGCCATGATGCATGTCTCGTGTAGCTCAGCGGCGTCCTTATCAGAGAGTGATTTGAGAATGCTCAGCCCATTCGCCTGGTTTCGCTTGATAGTCGCTCTGTCTGATCTCATGTAAACGTCCCGTTCAACGATGAAAACAGCGAGGGCCCTCCCAGCGGCAATACGAAGTTCTCGAATGGAGCTGTTCAGCGACTGCAGACACCACTGTCCCGGTCCAGATTTTTCGAGGTCCCAGAGATTTTTGTCCTCCGAGTGCCGTATTATGCGCCTTAGTGCAATCATGGCATACACACGAGGGCGTCTCGATTCCAGAAGGGCTGGTAGTCGTATAATTCTGCTAAATACAGCAGATGAAAGCCGCTTCGCCGAATTATCCGGATTGTCACACAAGTTGCCCGCCGATGTACCGCAAAATGAACATTGGAAACGAGGCGAAAGTCCGTTCTCGGTCTTCTTGACCTCCAAGGTGCCATCAGCGTCACATGAGATGCGGGTGGAGAGCTCAATTGCCTGACATTGGCCGTCTTCGTCCATACTAGGAAACGTGTCGCTGTTCACAAGTTAGTGTACTACTCAAAACTCATCTCGGGGAACAAACATTAAGAGGTTCTCTAGGCTATCTAGGCTGGTAGTTGGATGAGCATGGACTAAACGACATAGCTGTTCTACAACCTTGCGCAGCGGTGATGACTGAGGTGCGAATTTCCTTCGTTTGGCGGCCGGTTGCGGGGCGTCTCGGTTGTTCGGCTCGAGTCTCAGCTCCTTGACTCGCTCGCAGAGTAGTCTGTCTAGAAATTTGTCCGATCTCACATCTTCGTTGAATGCGCCGGAATTAGGGCTAGCTATTGCTTGCTTGAGCAACTCGACGCATCGCTATTTGTTATTCTTTGTTAGCACGCGATGTTGACCACGCAAGAGTTACCGCAACCTACCCAGACGTCTGTGTCAGCACCAATGAGCGGGTTTTCTGATACGAGGCTTTGCGAGAGCGTGACTAGTTGAGACGCAATCATTCTTGAGGTTGGGTTATGAGCGATTGCCCCCTTTGCTAGCTGAACTAGAGCAAGGCAGACCACACGCCTCAGCTCCAGTCCGTGCTCGACTTCTGCGAGTAGGCGGGCCGGTTTCTCAAAGACATCTCTGCAAACGACCGCAAGGGTGATATTTGCCTTTTGAGACAGCACAGATCTCACACCATCCGAGTTATCATACGCTGCTGCTAAATCTACGGCCCCCTGAAGGATTGGTGCCAGGCCAATTTCTGCGGGCATCGGCCACGCGACTTGCATGGGGATCAAGAGCGGGAACGAGTCCAGAAGCCCAAATAGATTTTGCTCGAGGAGAAAGGAGGTCGAGGTTTCAATCTTGGGAGATATAGTATTTTTTATTATGCTCAGGAGACCCGAAGCATGGCGTATAGCATGCTCCGCACGCCGGATGGTGTATGAACACTTTTGAGGAACGACATCGGAGAAGGATTGGAGTAATGACTGGGGCGGCAGTTCAATCGCAGGATGAAACTCTGCCTGTGGAGAATGCGCGACGGTTCTGAGGCGGGCGAGGATAGCTAGAGAAACGCAAATGTCAACAACCCAGAACGACAAGGGCCAAGGTGCTCGACGCAACATTATTCCAGGTAGGCTTACCGCCCAGATTGGTCTGAAAATACTGGATAAAGGACGGTCCCAGGTCCCAAATATAGCCATGCTGGCTCGTGAGCTGCAGTATATATTGGCAGAGTTCCTCGATGTGGCCAGACAGGTCGAGACACCGGCTGTGGCCCAGCATCTTGAGGACCTTGGGCAGGATCCACAGCCACAAGGGCTCGCAGCCGCGAAACATGAAGGCGCCGTCGTCGGGGGTGTAACGGAGAACAGTGGGCGTCTCCTTGAAGGTGACGTTGAGGAAGTGGATGGCCTTGAGGGCAGCGGTGCGGAGTTCGGGCAGATCGGCGTCGGCGTCGTCCCACCTAAGGCGTTCGAGCACGATTCCGCCGCAGACATAGATGAGCAGGTGGTTGTGCTCTACGCGCTCCTCGGGCGTCTTGACGAGGTCTGGGTTGTTTTTGACCTTTTCTATGACGCCGAACAGGCGCTTTAATTCGCTGTTCTCGTCGGGGCCCGACCGGGAGCGGGCAGAGGTTGAGATGTTCTCGACGAGCTGCGCAGCGAGCGTCGACGGAGGCGGCCCTCCCACGCCACCGCCGTCTCCGAATCCATGCTGGCCGGGTTTAAGTGCTTTGCCGTACGATTCAGGCGCCATTTTGTCGTCAACATTGTCGGCGCGCCTTAATTGACGACAAGAGTCGACGGCTTGCTAAATGGCCAAGATTGGACGCGATTAGGCGCGGGGTATTCCGATAAAATAACCACGTGCGCACGTGACTTTAATGGCCCCTTTAATCCTCTGCAACCCCTATTCTAATATTCCCCTATTTGTTCGAGGTATGAATTATTTGCTGTTCTTGCTCTATATTATTATTATTTTATACTTCCGGGGGTTCTTCATCCCAAAATCTAGATTATCTAATTTGGAAGCGTGTGCCATCCGGCGTCTTCATCTGCACTTGAAAGAGCTGCGGCTTCAGAAAAACCAACCCGCCTCAAAAACGGCGGCATATACTAGACAGACTATCAAAAACAAAAGAGCGGCGCAGAAAGTAGCTATGCATCGCTTTCATATAAACAAAAAAGAGTCGCCCTCCATTAAATCATGCGTTGCTACTGAGCAGCTTCTCGACACCCCACTTCACCGAGAAGTTTCTCAGATCAGAGTAATGCTGTCCAACTCCCACAAAAAGCACCGGCACGTTGGTGGCGTGGACAATGCTGACAAGGGTGCCCACCATGTCGCCCACTGTGTCGCACTTTGAGATAATGAAGCCATCCAAGGAGCGGCCAGATCCAAAGGCCGCGTTGAAGTTTCTCGCCTGTGCCACAGAGTCCGTGCCAACCAGTGCCTAGAACAGGGGATAACAAGTCAATAAATGGACACGTAAAAATTGAGAGCAAAAAAGGGGGGCACAATGAAAGACATCGTTGCTAACCTCGCCAACCATGAGGATCTTGTCCGGCTGCGCAAACTTGGCAAACTTTTCCAGCGAAGACATGAGCCGCTGGTCGTTGTGCCGGCGGCCCGCGGTATCGATCAGAACCACGTCGAAGCCCTCCTGCGCCGCAAACGCGACGGCATCCTTGGCGACGGCGGCTGCGTCCTTGCCGTAGCCCTTCTGGTACAGCTCCACCTTGCCGCCCTCTCGCGCCGTCAGCTCCTTGAGGTTCCGCACGTGGACAGCCAGCTGCTCGACGGCGCCGGACCGGAACGTGTCTCCCGCAGCAATCAACACTTTGTACTTGTTCTGGAGCAGAAAGAAGCAGATCTTGGACAGGTTGGTCGACTTGCCTACGCCGTTGACCCCGACGATGGACATGACGTAGGGGCGGCGTTTCCGCAACGATTTCGCCGGCGGTGATGTGATAGAATCAATCTCGCGGAGCAGATCCAGGGAGGACGTCGGCGTAAGCATCTTGGTCAGGGAAGCCTCCATGGCCTTCTGTATCCGTGCACTGATGCCTTTACCCGTAGAATTAGTCATACGTCCGACGAGAAATAGGGGGTAAGGAAACGTACTCTCAAAACTTCCGGTCTTGACTCCAATAAGCTCCTGTTCCACACCCTCGCACAGCCGCACTGCAGCCTCCCTAGCAACATTCTTCTTCAGTAGGTGCTCTTCCATGCCCTTCATAGCTTTATCCAAATCTTCCTTTGTCAAGACCTTGCCACCAACTACATTCCTGAAGAGTCCGCCAATTGCGCTCAGACTGGATCCCACGAGGCCAGATGCAGAGTCGGTCTTATCTGCCGAGTTTTTGGCATCGGCAGATGCCAGGATGGAGTGAACCTCGTCGCCCAGATCCCTGAGCACGAACTTCCCCTTGGTAGTTGAGCCCCATGTCGAGGCATCTACCTGTTCGACGGTAGCTGATCTCCCAGCGTTATCGGCCTCGCTCTCGCTCGCTGTAGCGTTGGGGGCCGAATAATCGAGCTGGACGTCGTCATCCTCGTCTGCAAGGCCATCTGCATCCCATTTCCTCCCGCGTTTGGGGGCGGCGCCCTTTGCCGTCTTGCCCCTCTTTGCCTGGCCCTCATCGCCAGAAGAAAGCGGCGCGGCATTGGCGTTCTGGACTTTCCTCGCTCTTCTCGACAGCTTGGATCCTGGGCCCACCTTTGCTGTCAACAGGTGGCTCGTCCCTGAGGTCGTCGGACGCGAGGCACTCAGCGAGACAGCCGGTGTCGACTCAGGGGATTGGTCCCGCTTGCTGGTTGCGTCATCCCGAGGCCGTTCCCTCGGCACGAGGCCAGGTGGTAGTAGCGGTTCGCTTTCCGAGTCGCCCGACAGCGCTTCTTCTTTGATCGTACGAAGCTCTTTCTTGTCTGATCTGCCGCCAGCTTGCTCGAGTTCTTGTAGCTGCTGGTCGAAGTACTCGTCCAACTTTAAACACTCGACGATAGTTGTGTTCGGTTTCTTGAGCTGGTCACCATACGCCTCTATGAATATAGTCCTGATGTTGTCGACGAGCTTGTCAACCCAGCTGAGGTGCAAAAGCGACCGGTAGACTGCCTAGAGTCCGGAGGTTGTCAATTATTTGCGGTCATGGGAAAGGTGCCTAGTCTTTTGCGCGTAGAAGCTACTCACGACAAAGATTATGCCCAGCTCCTTGACAAACGTCCAGCGCAGCGTATGCTGGTCAAACTTGTATGGCGGGTTCGCTGCGGCAGAGACGCCGTCGGTTGCGCGTGCACCGGAGTTTTTCTCCTCGATGAAGACATCGCTAATGAAGTTATTGACGACTGCGGGGCTGACCGTCGCATATGTCCTCGACCAGAGCACTACTCCTGACGTCGTCAGAATTTCGAACGTGTCCAACATATCAACTGCTGAATACCTAGAAGCAGCAAGCTTTTTCTGCTTTTGGTAATTGCCGAAGTTACCTTACACGTATGCTGTTCGCGGGTCGGTTTGGTGAACATTTTGAGCCCCCACCGCCTAGGGGCGCATCTTGATAAGATCCCAGGCACTGATTGGCGACCAAGCCCCCTGTAAAGTGTTCGTCACCTGCGTACCTGCCGTGGATTAGCCGGCGGCTGTGCCTGGGCAAGCTGCTTGCGAGGCGCAAATGACAGCATCTCCAATTCCACGAAAACACTTGTCTTGAATTTAGCTGTAGACTGAGGTGGCCTCTTTAGAGTTCACACTTTCAGCTATTTAAAAACCGAAGCAGCGCGACTCTCACGTCTCAACAACCCGCCACAACTCCCAATCATTCTCAACGCGATCGCATCAACTCCGAGAAATAGCACAACTAGCCCTTTGCTTTGCCCACGATGCAGCGGCCAACGTATGGGCAGTCGCCTCCTCTGCACCACCCTGTCCCGCAACACGTCTCGACCGTTCCACAGCTCAGATCTCCCCCACCGCCTGCGTTACAGCCCCAATCATCACAAGGCTATGACGGCAGCCCCTACCCGCAGCAGCAACAACCTCAGGGCGCGGCCGCGACGGGGACCGTGTTCGGGCAGTATGGCAATTTCATGAGCGACCCGGCGGCGCAGATCGCGTCGCAGTTTGGACAGACGGCCTTTAAGCAAGGGCAGGAATATCTGGAGCACAATGTGAGCGTCAGCAGCAGCAGTAGCAGCAGCAACCTCCCCCTACGTTACCACTTTGACCCCCCCAAATGCGCACAAAAGCGCCAAGACAGCAAGCCGTTATACTGACAAGTGACCCCCGGGAATAGGTGAATCGCTTCGTCAACGTCTCGGCGCTCAAACACTACTTCAACGTGACCAACTCGTACGTAATAAACAAGGTCTTCCTAGTGCTGTTCCCGTGGCGGCACAAGCCGTGGTCGCGCAAGCAGGCAGTAGGCCCCAACGGGCAGGAAGGGTGGTACCTGCCGCCGCGCGACGACGTCAACAGCCCGGACATGTACATCCCCGCCATGTCGCTAGTGACGTACATCTTCCTCCAGACGCTCATCGCGGGCGTGGGCGGACGGTTCCAGCCCGAGCTGTTTGGTTACGTCGCGACGGTGGCGCTGGCGGTGGTGGTCGCCGAGATCTTGGGACTCAAGCTCGGCTGCTACCTGCTAAGCATCTCCAACGAGTCCCAGCTCCTCGACCTGGTGGCGTACTCTGGGTACAAGTTTGTCGGCATCATCGTGACCATCAGCATCGCCGAGATCATGAGCGGCGGCAAGGGCACCGGCGGCTGGGTTGGCTGGACTGTCTTCTTCTACACGTTTCTAGCGAACTCGCTCTTTTTGGTACGCTCCCCTTCCACCCCATATGACCGAGACATCGGTGATGTTTTTACTAACATTATGTTTAGATGCGGTCCTTGAAGTACGTCCTGCTTCCCGAGAACAACGGGGACAGTCGTGGTCCGATGCAGACGATGCCGACGGGTGACACACGGGCCAAGAGGAATCAGCGGACGCAGTTTCTCTTTTTCTATTCCTATGTCGTGCAATTTTGTTTGATGTGGATTCTAAGCCGGCCGTAGTTCATGGAGGTTTGCGACTAAGCGCGAAAGGTGAGGTATCGGCGGTGAGCGAACGATTTGGCAAAACGCAGAACAGAAATCACATGTGTGTCCTGGTAGAGCATGGTGAAGTAAATGGAGGCCAGCGCATTGTATAACATGGTTAATAGGGGTAAAAAATAGTAAAATCATAACAATATCGAAAGGTCCCGACTGTTTTTATAACGACTTCGCTTTTGTCTAATTAAATCTTCATTAAAAGTCATCTTTCCAGATATCTGGCAATCCAGTGTCGTACCGCAGGGCCTTCGAATATCACGGTTGGCTGCATGCTCACAATCCCAAATGCAAAAAGAGATGTCGACCTGCAGACGGCAATCAACAGCTTGCTAGGTCAGACAAGAAGCGCTAGAACCCCCCACGTCATAATTAAAGGGGTTTGTCTGTTTGGCCTTGGCAACATCCACGTTTTAACGCGTTTCCCTGGGGCATGGCCAATTCCCTACCTACCTTACCCAGCTCGGCAAATTTCATCCATGTTAATTAACTAGCATTTGCAAATAGCTGTGCGTTTTATCGGTGTATCTGTGTGCAAAATCCTACGAAAACTGAATACTCGAGGACACGCGTTACCTTAACACCCAACAAAAGGCGGCGCGGGGCAAGTGTGGAGCGGCGCATCCTTCCCTATCTCTATCTCAACCTCAATCTCAAATCTCATCTCATCTCCACCGAGTACCGGCACGACGTCGTCTTCGTAACAAACCCCTTGAAACTTGACGACGGGTTTCCATTCTAGTTTCTGGGTGCGGGGTCTTGCAAACTCTGGAGCTTACCTGTTCAACTGCTTTTTTCGGCTTTGGGAAGGGCTTGTTTGTCAAACTGTCGCCGTTAATTTGAAGGGCCTCGATCATATCCGAATTGGGGAGAGAGAAACAAAAAACGAGGAAATAAAAAGTCTAAGAGGAAAAAGGCGGAGGCTGCTGTTGCAAGCATGATAGCCCCGATCGTCAAGGCGACGATACAGTCGGCTGCTATCAATGCCGTATCAAACGTCGTGGCACAATTCATTGCTGCTCAAAGGATCAAGGTATGTGTTCCACTGAGCTCCAGCCGTGTCCCTGAAGACACAGGAGAGACAGAGAACATAAGCTAACTAGACCACTCCTCCTAAGCAACCTCTGATCATCGACTGGATCTCCGTCTTTCAGTTCTTCATATTCGGCTGCGCGTGCACGCCGCCAAATTTCATGTGGTAAGTTTTGTCGCTGTCACTATTTTCCCACACTGGGACGAAGACGAAGATGAAGACGGAGCAAAAGAATGCCCTGCTAACAAACACCACCCTGGCATGGCAAGTAGGCAAGACTTTCTCGAGTCGTCGTTTCCAGGATACCACATGGCGCCGACGAGCGAGGCGGTGGCGTCGGCGGCGGCGGGCGACGACAAGGAGCTCGACCGCGAGGCGCGCGAGGGCCGCCTGGTAGAGCCGCGGCTCAACAAGGGCAACACGCTCGCAAAGACGCTGCTGGACCAGACTGTCGGCGCGGCGCTCAACACGCTGCTCTTCAGCACCTTCATGCACGCCATCCGCGACGCTATGGCCCACCACCACGGTGCTCCGGACACCGGCGGCCTCGGCTTCCTGCTCGGAGGCCAGGCCATTCGCTACGACAACGTCGGCTGGCTCGCTGTCTGGCACAAGACGCGCGCCGAGTTCTTCGGTATTCTTGTTGCTGGGTGGACGTTCTGGCCGCTGATCAGCATCGTCAATTTTGTCTTTCTCAAGACGGTCGAGGCCAGGAACCTCATGGGTAGCTTAGCCGGCCTCGCTTGGGGCGTGTACGTGAGTCTCTTTTTGGGCAAGTGATTCGAGGTGTGAGAAAAAAAAAGTAGGAGGACTTCTCTGATGTGTTGGTCTTTTCCTTTTGCTTTTTTTCTGTTCTTTCATTTTCCTTTTTTCCTAAACTCGCTTTGCATGTCATATCCGGGTGTATCTAGGGAGATAGGTACCCATAGAAGAGACGGGGCCGAAGGGTTCAGGAAAGGAGAACAGGTGTATACGAGGCGTTTTTTGTAGGGCGGTTTAATATTGCGGTGGTGAGTGTTCTAGAAGGATAGGGGATATGGAAACCAGGGAGACGAGAGCCCTATTACTTGCATGGCGTTTACTTTCTCTGCCAGGGCACCGCTGTCCCGGCTTGGGGAATGCAGTTGCGGAATTCTACACTGTCATAATCTAAGTGATGGGCCAAAACACTGCTTGTTCCATTTGTCTTCCTTCGTGGAAGGGAACCATGGCAAGGGGGCGAGGAGCGCCAGGGAGCGAGCCCTTCACACATAGAGGCTCCTGGAGCGTGTTTACCGTTTCCTGTTTCAGCAGCTATTGCCTGCCTGGAGGGCCTTACTCGCAATTGGCTTAGCCAAGGTAAGGTATCCCGATGGCTGCTCAATCCGCCAAGGGTCTTTATTGAAACACGTTGTGAACTGATTATTTGAAGCTTCAGGAACAACCGAGATTCGAGTCAGGACAAGGGCAATTGATTTGTAAAGCATCATTGTTAAACTATTCAACTACATACCGTCGAAAGGGATGCAAGTCACGTCATACCTGGCTAAACCAAGCCAAGAGGTGAGGAATGATTCCATTCAACATGCGCGGTGCCGAAACTCGAGGGAGAGGAATGCAGGGCACGAGTTGTGCCGCTGGAGAGCATGACAGATCAAGGCGCCCGATTGGGCTTGGCGGGGTCCCTAAAGGTCAACCACCCCCGCCTCTTCCGTCAAAGGGGGAAGGGGCAGATCGGAGAACAGGGGGACGGTGCGGCAACTCGTTCCGAACACGATCCATCGCCCCTGCTCTCTCTCCCACGTCTCTAACAGTTGATCTTCAAAAATGATTCCATCGCCAGGTGACAGCGGATGCGGATCATCCCCAGCACCTGGGGGCGAGAAATAAACAAAAATCGGCATGTTTTTGTCTTTGGATCCTCGCCTAGGTACTCCGTACCGGGTATACCAACAAGGTCAGAGGAAAGTGAAAGCGGCGCGGATAACCTGAGTCTCAAGGTTTTTGTTTCACTTCCAGGTTTACGCCCCTCTCTCCCCATCCTCGACGTCAACTGCGCCGCCTATCCAAGCAGCCACGGCCATCGAGGCAAGAAGGAGGCCCGCCCCCCGTGGCCGCCCAAAACGTTGCCTGCTCCGACAGTTAGAGTTTGGCCGCCAGGCAATCCTGAAGGGCAGACGACGCAGGGCCCAAACAGCGTGGCTGATGACTCCAGCTTACTGGCCTACACGTCGCCGGCCCAGACAGTAGAGCTTATTGCTCCCAGCACTCTGCTTGATTGGACAGCCCGTCATCCCATACATTCACCATGGCCTACTCTCCGCCCGACCCACGGGCCGGGAAGGCCCGGGGCCCGTTCGTGGCTGGCTGGCTGAGACGCGTTCAAGGCCGTCGTCCTCTTTGCTGGCTGGCAGGAGATTTTCTCTTGGAACGCGATCGCTTGCATTCTACTTCATCGTGTTGAGAGGGCAAAAAGAGATGCTTTATACGAGCTGGCGGGCGTGCTCTTCACACGCACCTCTCGATGTATTGCTGTCGAGAATCTGGTCAAGAGAAAGTAAGGAAAGGCTCCCAGCGTCTGGCGCAAATACGCACTCACCTCGGGAGCTGGCAGGTATTGTCCCGCCATGTCTTCCCGTACCAGAGGGATTTAGATCCCCATCCCTGATCGGCTACCAATTTCTTGGCCCTCTACCCCTACCCCCCCTTCCTCCCCTTTCCCCCTTTAAACAGGTCGGTGCTTGGAATCATTCCGTCTGTAAACAGAAGGCGGTTTAAGATTGTGCTGATCTTGGCGGGAGGAGAGGTCGGCTCTACTACTACTACTGTCCCCAGGTGAGCAAGTTACGTGCATGTGTAAGTCTATATATGCAAGGACGGGATACAACTTCAGATCGGGTCCGTTCTCCTCTTAGCTCACTCCGACAAGCAAGCGGGTCTTTGTGTGACAAATCTGCTTGTTTTCTTTTCTTTTCTTGTCTATTTACTGCATTCTTCGTCCGTTCGTTCTTGTATATCACACCTCCCAAGCGGCTAGCCCTGGGAGAGAGGAAGAGTGTCCTGTTTTGCCCATCAAGTAATTACATACTGTTTTATTCCTGAGAGTGCCAACCATCATGTCCCCCTCACTTTCTCGACTCTCCCTCGCCGTCGTTGCCGCGGTGCTGGGCATGGCCGGCGTGGCAACCGCTGTTCCATACGCCGAGGTTCCGGCCTCGTATCCCGGCATGAATGCGAGGCTGGCCCTGACCGCTCCCAAGAACGACAATGCAAAGGCGCTGTACTTTCTGACCAACAACGACGAGAACACGGTCGCCGCCGTCGAGCTGGGACACAATGGCCTCATCACCGGCAAGGGGAAGGTGTGGAAGACGGGCGGTAAAGGTGGTGCTGGCGTCGAGGGACCGAGCCAGCCCGCGGGCCCCGATGCCCTCTTCAGCCAGTCGGCCATTACTGTAGTGGATGGCGTAAGATGCTCTACCTCTTTCTTTCACTCTCTCTTTCGTATCAGCCGCTGACCGATACCTCCCTCTAGCACATCTTTGTCGTCAATGCCGGCTCCAACAGCGTCAGCATGTTTGCCATCGACCACAAGGACCCTCTTACGCTAGTCCTAGTCGGCAAGCCGCTAGACCTACCGGGCGAGTTCCCAACCACGGTGGCAGCGTCTAAGAAGCACCAGCTAGTGTGCGTGGGCCTAACCGGCAAGAAGGCGGGTATCGCGTGCGCGCGCTTCTCGGCCAAGACTGGGCTGGGCAAGGTTGATACGTGGCGCGATATCCAACTGGGCCAGACGACGCCGCCGCTGGGGCCGACCAACACCATATCGCAGGTCTTCTTCTCGGGCGACGAGAGCCAGCTGCTGACGACGGTCAAGGGTGACCCTCCCAGCAAGAAGGACGGCTTCTTCTCGGCCTACGCCGTCGGGGGCAACGGGTCGGCCGGCTCCGAGTCGCTCTCGCAGCGCGACGTGCGCTCGACGCCCAACGGCACCGCCGTGCTATTCGGGTCCGCCGTCATCCCCGGGTCCACCGACGTCTTCGTCACCGACGCCTCGTTCGGCGCCGCCGTGCTAAGCGTCGACGCCCGCTCCGAGAAGGCCTCGATCAGGGCCATGGTCCAGGTCGCCGACCAAAAGGCTACGTGCTGGGCGACCATCTCGCTCGCCACGCAGACAGCCTTTGTCACCGACGTCGGCAAGGACCGCCTGCTCGAGATCGGCTACCACCCCGGCGGCATCAAGATCATCACCACCATCAGCCTGCCCTCGCCCAAGGACGGTAGCCTGGGCCTCGTTGACCTCCGGGCCGCCGGCAACTTTGTCTACATTCTCAGCCCTGGTAGGGACGGTGTCGAAGCTTCCATCTTTATCGTGCATGCGCCCTCCCGGAAGCTGGTCCAGACCGCGGGGATCAAGTCCATTGGCGCCGGCAAGAACGCTATGGGCATGGGGCTGCTGGTGTGAGAGGTGAAGAGGGGCTTGATGACGTTTTCCCCAAGCACGTTTCGCTGACCACCTGTCTGTTTGCCTAACGCTGATCTGTTTGTTGGTAGCCTTCATGTCTCCTTGTATTTTTCCCTTTCTTGACTCTCTTTTATCCCCTTAACCTGTACAAAACTCGCCAAGAGTGGTGCTACAGGCTGTCTATGTTCCTGGCACGTCGGTATTTTTAAAAAAGGAAATAAAAGTCCATTTGGTTCATGATAGGCATTAAACTTGTCTTGCCTCCTCCTGGCTTGATTTCTGGTCGAAGCCCCTCCAGATTGATGTCACCCAAATTGTCCAAAAACGTCCTGAACGGAAGCAACTGGATGATTTCGAAGCAAAACCCATGTAGTGAGTCTTTTCAAGGATCTAGCCAAATACCCAGGCAAACATCTAGCTGTTAAGTTCAAATCAGTGGATGGGACTAAAAGAAGACATCACAGTTAAGAATGATAAGATGCCTTAGCTACTGTTATTATTATTCAATATACGTACAAGCAGACGAGAAGTAGCCCCACTGCGGCCATCCCCTCAAACCGCATGACATACGGAAGTCCCTGCTTCAGTCCCGCCCACGCCTCGTTCCGGCATGATCCGTCCCATCAACCGCCGTTTCGTTCTCGCGGCACGTCGTTTACTCTTTGCTGCTGTATTCCTTACCCACCGCCCTACCTTTTTGGGTACACCGTTGAGCGGGGTACAGTAGGGTAGGTAGGTACCTAGTTAGGTAGGAAGGTAGGTGGTGCTTCTGTAGTGATATTCCATCTCATCTCGTCTCTCGTTCGTTCATTCACTCGTCTCTTGTCCTATTTCCCCATCCATCCGTCCGTCCCGTCTGTCCGTCTGTCTAACCTAATCAAATCCTGTCCTAAGTTCACCCAAGAAAATAAAATAAAGGGGCGCTAATATCAATAAACCTATCGTTCGCCTGCTTTTTCGCCTAATACATAACTCACCAAACACCCAGCACAGAAAACAAACACATGCACGCCTTCAAGTCTCAGCAGAAGCAGCAAATACAAGCAAGACAACAAAACAAGTGTCATGGGGAAACAAAGACACAAAAACAAAAGCTAGGCTAGTTTTTCTCTTAAAGGCAAAAAATAAGATATAGGTAAAACGAGCGCCCCGTTATCTGTGAGTATTCTCGACGAAAGGACCAAGCAGAGCCAAAAAAAAAAAAAAGTGTTCATCGTCCCTGCAGATTCCCCCCCACTTCAAGCTTCCACCCTCCCCCCCTCTCTCTCGCGTGTGTCTGGGTTTCTTCGGGCTGGATTTCAGAAATATTACACAATCAGACATATACAACACTACCGCCATCCAACCATCCAGCCAACCTCCAGTAAAGAAAGGAGAGAGAAAAAAAAACGAAGAGAAAACGGAAAAATACCGCTCAAGTCATTCCATCTTGTCGAGTAATGATAGGCAAGAGCAGTGGCAACAGAAGTAGTAGCGGAGTGGTAGGAGCTCCCATGCCTCTCTAAAACTACGATTGCGTAAAACAACCCCAGCCGCTGCCCGGTACATATAAAAGACATTTCGCCCCCGCATTTCAAAAAACATTACAATTCATCGTCCCATGCCATTGTCTTGTGTACTCTCTGTGCGTTTTCGAACAGGCCCCGAAAGAAAAATCGCACAATCATTTCGCACTCCCTGGGCCTTCCGTGTCGTCGAGGCGCTTGCGCCAGTCGGCAAGGCTTTCACTGAGGCCGAGGCTGACGCGCTCGTCCTTTTTGGCCGCCGGGTTCGCCTCAAAGTCGAACGTGTTGCTCAGGCGGTAGTTCTTGTTGGTTGTCTCCCAGTGGCTGCGGAGGGTTTCGAGCTCATCCGCAAGGTTCTCGAGCGCTGTGCTGTTCCGGTTTTCATTTGCGCCACCGTAAAGACTGCCCGTCTCGCTTGACTCCTGACGGGCATGGCTTGCGGAATTGCCCAGGCCTGCGGCGGAGACGCCCAGCCCTCCGTTAGACGACACGAGAACAGGGCCGCCAACGTTAAAAGAACCCCCAACGGAGCTGGGATTAGGTGACACAATGGTCTCGGAGCCACCCAAGCTCGGTACTTGGCGGCTGCGTCGGCGGTAGTTGTCGACGCTGAGCTCGACCTGGTCGAGGAGAGAGCTTACTTTCTGCTCAGCGTCCTGGGCCCGCTGCTCTAGCAGCATGTTCTCATGCTGCAGCTGTTCCAGGTCCTTCTTGCTGCCTTTGAGGTGGCGGTTCGCCTCCTCGCTGCTTCGGACAGCTGAATCGCGGTCCCGCCGGGCTTCAGCAAGCTCTTGGCGGAGAGCCAGCACTTGCTTTTCGAGTTGTGCCGAGGAAGTTTGCAGTTCGTTCTGCAACTTCTCAATCTCCACTTGCAGATTTTCGCGCTGAATTTCCCAGTCGGCTGGGACAACATTTGCGGCTGCCGTTTCAGCCTCAAGCCTGTCCTCGAGATCCACCAACTGGTCCTTCAGCCGGCTATTCTCCGTCTTGTAGCGTGCTAGTTGCTCCTTAAGCTGCTTCAGCATTTTCTCGGTGCCCTTGACATAGTGTACGGCCGACTGATAATCGTTCTCAAGCTGCGCGAGCTTCTCACGATACACCGTCTCGGACTCCTGTGCCTGCTGCGCAGCCGCCGCCTTGGTCTCGTTGTGTGCGGCTTGTGTGACCTCGAGTTGTTGTTCCAACTCCCGGAGGCGCATCTGTTCCGGGGAGCCCTCCCGGGGGCTACCTTGACCTCGAGGGCGGCCAGCCGAAGTGGGCGAGATACCCCGTTCGCTAAGGATGTCCTTCAGGGTGTTGTGTTGCACTGACATGGCATTGGTCTCAAGCTGCTGCTTGGCCAGTTGCTGCTTCAGCTCCGAGTTGGTGGCCTGGAGTGACTGGGTATCCCTCAACGCGCCTTGCAGCTGCCGGCGGATCGAGACACCCTCACGACTGGATTGCTCTTGATAAGCCTCGAGGCCGGCAATTCGCTCCTCGGCACCCCGCAACCTGTCAGATGCGTTGTCGGCCTCTTGTTGGTATTTGCGAACCAAGGCGTTAGCAACCGCCAGTTGGCCCTGAAGAGCAGTAATGCGGTCTGAGTCACGCCTGTTTGGCTTGGCAGGATCTCTTGACGATATCTTATCCAGCCCGGACAGGACGGCTTGGCGATGCAATCGTGCCTCATTGGCATGTTTGTCGGCCACCTCCTCGGCGTCTCTCAAGCGTTGTGTTGCCGTCTCCAGCTCGGCTGTCATTGCGTCGTGTTCGCCCTTGAGTTTATTGAGTTTTGACTCGATTTCTTCCCTGACAGCCCGCTCTTCGTCAAGCTTTCGTTCGAGCGTCGCCTTCAGATCAGCAGAGGCCGCCACAGCTTCGTGTAGAGATGCAAAAGCCTCGGCATTGTCCTTTGTGCTTCCGACGGCCTCTTGGTAATGGTGATCAATGTCGTCTTTTTCGACACGCAACATTTGTGCTGTTGCTACCGCTTCCGCCGCGATGATGGACTGCTCGCGCGACTCCCGCTGTGCTGCATGCAATTCTGCCTTGAGTCTTTCGACTTCAGAGGAATTTTGTTGTTTGTAGGTCTCTAATTCCGCCATCCTCTTCTGGGCCGCATTGGCAGTGTCGTCTGCCAGCTTCCGCGACTTCCTTTCAGCGTCAAGCTCGGAGCTCAAGCGCTCGAGTTGATCTTGAAGGTGTTTCTGAGTGTTGAGGGCAGTAGCAAGTTTCCTGCTCAGCCCACTAGCACGATCATCGTCATCTTTGTCACTGTCAAGCTGAGGGGTACTTGCGGCGCTCCCCCCCATCCGCGCAGCCAGTTTAGCTTTAGCATAGACGGCTTCCTGGATGGCGGCATCTCGTTGCTTTTCGGCCTCGGCAATCTGTTTGGCTGCAAGAACAGCCTGCTTATCAACCGACGTCTGGACATTAGCCAGTTCGGTTCGCATAGCCAGCAGCGCCTCGATGAGAGGCTTATCGTCGTCATCGAACGTTTCGGCGGACCGGCTGTCCAATATGGGACTTAAGGAAGCGTTGGGAACATAGCCGGCTTTGCGTGCCAGTTCTAGCTCGGACGCATACCACGCGTTGCGATTCCTTGCAGAATCAAGCTCTTTCAAGAGTGCAACAGTTTGAGAGTTTCTGGTTGATGAGCGTCGCGAGAGAGGGTTACTATTCTGCCTCATGGGAGGTGGAGGAGAAGATGGCCGGTTCACAATCTGCTTTAGACCGGGCTCGGTAGAGCTATCGACGGATCCGAACCCACGAACTTGTCTTAGCGGTTTTGACTTTGGCGCTTCAACGACAGCAGGGGGTTCTCCTTGTTTAGCGGAAGCCCGGGTAGACAAAGCCTGAGTAGGAGTACGTCTTCCATTGGGAGCAACAGGTTCGGACTCCTTGGGCGCTGAACCTTGAAGCGTAGGAGCTTGAAGCACAGGGGCTTGCTGCAAAGTTGGACCTTGTTGGAGTATAGGACCTTGCTCTGGGGCTGGCCCCTGTTGGATTGGAGGACCCTGTTGGAAGCCCTGGCCTTGCTGGAGCGATGGGGATCGTGCTGGAGATGTGGACTGGAGCTCTGCACGTTCCACGGATGCGTTTTTTGTTCTTTGGACAGCAGGAGCGACGGCTGGTTTCGGCGCCTGGCCCTGAGGCAGCGGTCCCGATGGCCCCGTAGGCCCAACAGGCCTAGCAGGCTTGGAATTCGAGTTCCCATTAAGAACCCCGTTGGGTGGACTAACGTCGGCACCATTTGTAGGTCTGATACCATTAGCACTGCTTGTTGCGCCTGCCTCCCGCTGCAGACCAGCTAGCCGTTTAGCTTCTGGCGGTCCGGCCGAGCCATCACGCGACGGTACAGTCCGGCCTACGCTCTGAGCTGTGACATCGCTGGGCCGCCTCCCGGCCGCAGCCCTTCCGGAACTTGAGCTTGATTGGGAATCGTTCGGATATCGGATCTTGGTAGTGTCCAAGCAATATACCAGACCCAAGTCGTTCACAGCTGTCGTGGCAGTGCTCGGCTCTCCACCCACAACTACAATTGTCTTGTTGGGGATTGAAGTCATACTGTGACCGGACCGCGGTGATGGGGAGGGGCCCATATTCTGGAAGGTGTACCAGCGACGCGAGGTAATACGGAATGCCGCTAGATCTCCAAGGTCTGCGCCCTCTTCTGTCCGGCCACCGAAGATGTACATGACGTCGTCCACAAGTGCTGCCGCATGACCCTCTCGTGCGACCGGAATGTACCCTATACAGTCCAGTTGCGCCCAGAGGTTGGTTGCGGGGTCATAGCACCATACGTCGTTGAACCACCGAAACCCGTTTGTGCCACCGAACCTGCCGAGTTTCAGTTTCCGCGACATGACCAATGAACGCAGGGCAAGGGCACTTACAGGTACATCTTGTCGTTGAAGGTCACAACCGAATGGTTCGTTCTGGCGGGAGGGATTTTGGGCCCACCGTTGTCGCTGGTCGGGATGAGCATCTCCCAGCGGTTGTTGGGCATCTGCAACTGATTTAGGTCAAAGGCCGCGAGGTCGTTCATGAAATGCCCTTCGACCTGCCCGCCGAATATGTATATCTTGGATCCCAGGATGTTCAAAGAATGGCCGTATCGGCCAGACGGCCGTGGCCCAGCGGGTAACACCCTGGACCATTGCCTCGTCGCTGCAAAACGTCAGCATCTTAGCTCGATTGGGTGGAGGGCGCGCGGTAGACAGAGCAGGCCAACGGCCGGCAGTGTGCGTATGCGCAAAGCTTACATGTATTCAGGAGATAGAGAGTCTCGTCAAGCACGTCGGCCTCGTCAATCTTGGTATCTCCACCGTAGACGATGAATGCGTTCCCGACTAGCAAGCTGGCATGTCCCACTCTCGGTCCCGGCCCTTCGGCAGTGGCCGCGAGCGGGTAGCAAGCCATGGTCCCGCCAGCCTCAATCAACCACAAATCGCCCTTTACCGTGGAGCTGTTGATTAGCCCGCCCATCACGTAGATGTCACCCTCTTTAGACGATATCGAATTGACGGCGGCGCCGTATCTGGGGAACGGGCTGGGCTGCGACGATGTGTAGGTCAACCGCCGTTGTGACCAGGGGTAGAGCGAAGCGTTGGGATTCGCAGCGACTGGCATTGGAGCTGGGCCATTGCGAAACTAATGGGTTGTCCTTTGATTAGAAACATGGATTCGGGGAGCACAATGCACAAGATGCGAATGCGGGCGACAAAAGGGGCTTACTGGGAGGTCGCTTGATTGTTGCGGCTGCTGTAGTTGGGGCGGAGTCGTTTGTTGCGGTTGCTCTAGACTCTGCCCTCGCTGGCGACTGTAGCCCTGGCCGCCGTCGGGACTGCCCATGCTGCCATCGTTGTCGAGGGAGTTCAGGCTGCCGGTGGGCGTTGATCTGGAGGCCTTTTCGTCTCGCACTCGTGATGCCGCACTCTGCACCGACGATCCCGAACCCGGGGCTCCATCTCGGCTTGCGAGCGCTCTGTCCTGACTCTTCTTCGACTTAAAAAAAAAGGCCATGGCGAATTATTGGAGCCGCTCGCCGGGTAGTAGCGTGGGACGAGTCGCCGATTGCAAAGCGCCGCGATGGCTTGTGTGGTGGTCGCCTCACGGCGTTCGCAGCAGCCGTGGAAGCTGAATTGGCCGATCAAGCAGCGTCGTCGGGGGGTGAGATGGGCGAGGGGGGTGTGCGGTCGGGATCGTACAGAAGCGACTGTCGACCCTTCTCTCACACGCCCTAGCGTCTAGCTGGAGGCGGGAAATGGGCGGGCACCACGGAGGCAGTCGACGCTCGAGTTTGGAGATGGCTGGGGAAGCATCGGTCTGGACGGGCGACGGCGGCGGCGGAGGTGAGCGACGGGGTTTTGGGTCGCGGGAGTTTTCTCTGTTCGACCTCTCGCTTTTTTTATTTTTATGAAGGGGCCCCTGTCACCCTGCTTGCACGCACTTACTGCTATAGGCCGGCACGAGCGCCCCCCTACTAAGACTGAGTAGCCCCAAATCCCAACCTATAGATGTCGGTAACACACCCCCGTCTTGTCTGCACACGCCCCCAAAAAATCTAGAAAACCAGGCAACGATCACAGCATGAAGGTCGGTCTTGGTATAAATGCAGCTGTCCGTGACGTTGCGGGGCCGAGCAGTTCGCGATACGCAGAGATGCACGTCTTCGGTGCACATAGACAAGGGAGGTAGGGAAGTGCAGAGCTGGGACCATGCGATCTGGGGCCTCGATTTGGGCCTGGTGGAGAGGAGTGCAGTGGATTCGAATCAATGATGGCCGACTTGGCGGCTGGGAACTAGCCAGGTGCAGAGCAGAAACACGGCGACGGGGAGAACAGGTCTGACTATTCCATAGACTATTAACACTATAGCAGATGCCTTTGGTGCGGAACAATTACCACCCTAGCGGACGCCATCTTGTTGCCGAAACTGGAGAACAAAGGGGGGGCGTTTCCTTCACTGGGCTGCTGAAGGAGTTGCTAACTGGAATAAGTGCATGGGCAAGTTTCCTGCCCCTTTCTGACAACCAACCAATCCTGGTAAGCCATCCATGGTTTTGTCCCGACCACCCACCTCCCGCTTTCTGAGCTTGTTTGGGAAGCAGCCTTTCGGGATTCCCATGCTTCCACGTTGGACTCGCAGCTCGGTACATGTACTGGAGAGGGGTTTTGCTTTCCACGGAATAGAAACACTGGGCTCTCCGCGGAAACTACCAACAGATCGAGACAGCCTACTGGGTCGTGAGGCAGAGACGAGACCCGAAGGCCTCTCTCACGCGCCCGCCTCCGGGTCCCAACTCACTCATCAGCACCAACAGGCACAGACGAGGCAACTGAGCGGCGCTGCCAGCGAATCTGACTTGGGGAAATCGCCTGCTGCTATTAATACGAACATCTCGTCTGGATCCTGCCGTCGGGTGTGGAGCCGAATCCTCGCTCGCACTTTTGAATTTGTTTGGTGTCCGCGCCGATCGCTTCCTCATCATAAAATCCAGATTAGACCCGATTATAAAATGTGGCCTTGGTCACGGCTCTTATGCGCAAACGTGTCAAAGGGCGGGCCTGACAGGAGACTACCGACACAGAGGACCTGCTCACTGCAGCAGAGAAGGATCCGTCCCGGAATGTCATGTTGCGGCATGGTGCCGAGATGCTCGGCGCTTGCAGCAGGCCCCGCTGATGCGAATCATCGTACATACGTATTCAATCGAATCACCAATACCCTTAACCAAGCAAGGCTCAACCTCCGCAAACTTACCTTAATTGACTTCACTACACAGGCGCATTCTCCACACATTTAGGGATCGTGCCGCAAGCCTATTATCCTCTATTCATTCCGTTAAACATCCTGCTCGGATTATATAAGACTACTAGTGTCTCTAGGAGACGGCCATGGCCTTCCCGAATGCGGTTCACTCGTGAGGATTCGATGCTGACTGACACTGACGATAGAGCGATAAAGCAGCCGCCTGGCAGCCGGCACTGGCACTCTAGTACTAGTGTAGATTCGGGGGGGATACGTATCGTTCCATTTGGCCCCCAGTCCCGGCGTTTCATGTTTTAGTGCGCCCACTTTGGAAGCTTCCCGGAAAGGGTCACATCTGGGGGGCACTGTTAAACACAGACACGAGATTCGTCGAGCCGTCGGTGATCTTCGTTGCGCTGAGAAGAATATTAATGCGCGACGTATTCAGCCCAGCGTACTTCGCAAGTTTCTCTCGGGTCGTCGACCTCAGCTCTGGTCAGCCTTCTATATATTCGTGCTGCTTTGCCTCTTTATTATTGCAACCTACCGCGGACCTACTTGGCGTTTGGAAGGGTCAGGTTCATGACAATGCCGCGCAATTTTAACAGCGGGCAAGATATTGCTGGACGGAGCTGCGCGCGCGCGAGCGCATTGACCTCGATCGGCCTATCGCGCGACGTTTCCCTCAACGGGAATCCATTTCGGCGACATGCGAGCTCAAATAATATTTCGATCTGAACCATGATGGATGCGCAAGTGGTGCCGAGACAATTACTTATACAATATTCTGTGACGAGGGCGCGCGAGCAAGGCGTCGATAATCTCCCTACCGAGCTGCTGCTCACAATAAAAAGAGTCTTGGTCTTACTATGCGCCGCTCAAGGGGAAAGCATGTCACATAATAGGGGTTTCCCGTTGGGTTGATCTCAGAGCGGTTTTGGCCCATGAAACTTCGCATTTGAAGCAGAGACAAGATAAGACCGCCCAAACTAACAAGTCCGACTCGCAAAAGGCAACAGTGATGTGAGGTAATGGGATGATCGGTTTATTCGTACTGTCAACGAATTATTGAACAAATATTCAAGGCACTGGTCCGCAGCTTTTCTCCGGTCTTTATCTGTTATTTTTGGTATTCTCCTGAATCAAAGGTGATGATACACAATGCAATGTTCCCGTCTCGGCCTAAAGGGTCCCACTCTCACAGCGCGCGCGCGCTTACGTACTACGACCCCTATTTCTTTTGAACCCCACAGTCACCACTCGACCCCCAGATCAGGTCATGTGATCTGGGTCTCGTCCCGCTGGCCCCGCTGAGCTTGATTACGCAGTCCAATTGCAGCTAGAAGTGGGCGCTGGGCTGGGAGAGACACCGAACGCCGCAGCTTTCCGGCGAGGCTGAGAGCCGTGGGCTCGTTTAGAGCCAAGGCTTCCTCGGCTCCACCCTGGCGGTCAAGCTCCAAGTCGGAACCTCTGCTGCCTTTCCGCATCGCCATCAACGACGGCCCGGCACCATTGTCATAACCCGCAAATACTTAATACTTACCAGCGCTCTCGCAAATCAAGGGCTAATCCACGCCTAGCACCCACTCGGCGAGCTACCGGTAACACGAACAGCCCCGTGGCGACTTGCGGGAACTGACCACTGGAGTCGCGCAACGACAGCGACAGCAACAGCGGCAGCGACAGAAACCACCAAAACGATTGCGAAGCCGCGTGTCGACCTCGCTGGACCAAATCCCCATTTTGGACACACCCAGCGCCTTTCGCAGGCTGTGGTGACTCTAGTTTGCCGAGGGCAGACAGACCACGAAACGACGGGAAGGAGAGAGATCATGCGGCCCTAATCATTTGTACCATGTCGGCCGTTTCCCTCCAGCCGCACCTCAATTCGGCGCAATTCGGTAGCCGGCAGAGCGCGCTTCACTTTGTTGCGCCTCCGGTCTCAGCTGCTTCGTCTCTCTCGCGAGTTCCCAGCCTCCAGGCGCGCGTCATGTCGCAGTTCCGCGCCCAGCACCCCGAGGCTTTCGCTCCTCAAGACGGACAGAATGGCAGCACCCGCTCCTCGTCGCCTGCCCAGACGCCCTCGAGACCGGGCTCGCCCATTCTGACAGGCCGCCGGCACTCCCAGTCTCCCGCTTCCGCATTTCGCCGGCCATCGAGCGCCCCTGGAAACAAGCAAGGCTCCCAGGCCGCCTATGTTAACGGACGACGTGCCGACTACGACGATGCCGACGACGATGATGATGACGACGATGACGATGAGGACGATAGCCGGAACGGCAGCCATAATCATGCTAGCTCCTCGCTCACCCGACCTTCCAAGCCGCCGTTACTTCGATCTAAGACTGAGCACGGCTTGCGACACGGCCAGGTTGATGGCCCCGATGATGACCTTCTCCCCCGGGCCGTCGCGAAACAAGGCGCAAAACACGGCTTCGAAGGCCATTATCAATCCGAAGATATAATATTCCAGCTTGCTAATGTACGTTGCGCTTTGAAGACCCTTGCCCCATCTTATTGTTTTTCTTTCCATCTCCCGCTCCTGCGGAGGCTTTTCGCCGAGCCGGTTGCATGTTTGCAGTGGTGTTGCAAGCCATGGTTGCTTTCTGCCGTTCTTCTTTTTCTTTCCTTTTTTATCTTGTTTTCCCCAAACAAATTTTGATAGACCACCTCCCCCGTACCAAAAAGAAAGATGCTAATCGGTTCTAGAATTGGTACATGTATTTCACCGACAAGAGACATGAAACAACTGGGAAGCCCAAGGTGCCTGGGTTCGTGCTACAGGATTGGCGTATGCGAGATCGACTTAAGACGGTATCCGCAGCCATAGCAGTGTGTCTCAATATCGGAGTCGAGCCTCCAGACCAGTTACGGACTACGCCAGGCGCCAAGCTCGAGGCGTGGCAAGATCCTACTGTTCCTCCCGTCTCGAAGGCGCTCGAGAATATTGGGAAGACACTTCAGGCCCAGTACGAGACTTTGGCGATTAGGGCTCGCTACAAGCAGTATCTCGACCCATCCATTGAAGAAACTAAGAAGTTCAGCATTTCCCTTCGACGGAATGCCAAGGATGAGCGTGTATTATTTCACTACAATGGGCACGGGGTGCCTAAGCCGACCGCGTCAGGAGAAATTTGGGTCTTCAACAAGACCTACACGCAATATATACCGGTCTCGCTATACGACCTCCAGCAGTGGCTTCAGGCCCCCACCATATTCGTATGGGATTGCTCCGAGGCTGGGAATATCCTGAATAACTATCATCGCTTCGTTGAAAAACACGAGCAAGAAGAGGATGATACCGCCGCAAAGGATGCCACGTACGAAAAGATGACCTTTCGCCCGTACATCCACCTAGCTTCTTGCGGCGCCAAAGAAAACCTTCCAACAAATCCCCTGCTCCCCGCTGACCTCTTCACATGTTGCTTGACGACCCCGATCGAGATGGCACTCTGGTTCTTTGTGCTCCAGAACCCGCTCAAAACAAAGCTCACCCCTGAGAGGGCTAGAGGACTTGGAGGCAGGCTGCAGGAACGCCGGACCCCCCTTGGAGAGCTTAACTGGATCTTTACGGCTATTACCGATACGATAGCGTGGACGACGTTGCCGCGTCACCTCTTTCGCAAGTTTTTCCGGCAAGATCTTATGGGTAGGTGCAAAGTTTCATGATCTATTTTATATTATTTCACGACTGACCTGATAACGCTGATTTAGTAGCCGCACTGTTCCGCAATTTTCTGCTCGCGCAGCGCATTATGCCAGTCTACAACTGTCACCCGCAGTCGTTCCCAGAGTTGCCAAATACGCGTCAACACCCTCTTTGGGACAGCTGGGACCACGCCGTTGACATGGCATTGGCCCAATTGCCCATGCTAGAGAGGAAAGAGAAGGAGGGCATAGAATATGAATACGTCAACTCGAGCTTCTTCACAGAGCAGCTCACTGCGTTCGAGGTATACCTAGATAGGGGCGATGCCTTGGCACAGAAACCTCCCGATCAGCTCCCAGTTGTACTCCAAGTGCTTCTTAGTCAGCAGCACCGGCTTCGGGCATTGATCCTTCTCGGTCGTTTTCTGGACCTTGGCCCCTGGGCGGTCCAGCTAGCTCTGAGCATTGGCATATTTCCCTATGTCCTGAAGCTCCTTCAATCAGCCGCACAGGAGTTGAAGCCTGTCATGGTGTTCATCTGGACCCGTGTCCTGGCCGTCGACATCTCCTGTCAGGGGGATCTCATCAAGGACAGCGGGTACAACTACTTTGCCGCCATCATGAAGCCACAGGAAACCTTCCCAGTGGTTGGCGTGGCGGTTTTGGACGAGCACAAGGCTATGTGCGCATTCATCCTAGCCATGCTGTGCAAGAATTACAGGCCTGGCCAGATCGTCTGCAACTCGACAGAGATTATGACGTATTGTCTGCAGCACATCAACCATCCAGAGAACCCTCTGCTGCGGCAGTGGTCATGCCTCTGCATCAGCCAGTTGTGGCAGGATCTCCCGGAAGGCAAATGGAGAGGCATCCGAGAGAATGCCCACCTCAAACTCGCCTTTCTGATCAAGGACCAGTGCCCCGAGGTTCGGGCCGCAATGGTCCACGCCATGACGACATTCCTGGGGATCCCAGACCTCACTGACGAAGTCGCGAGAATTGAAGAGGGAATTGCCTGGACGATGCTGGATCTCGCCACCGACGGCAGTCCCATCGTCCGCAAAGAGCTCCTGGTGTTCTTCTCGCACTTTGTGCTGCGCTACGAGAACAAGTTCCTAGTCGCCGCGCACGAGCAGTTGTTGGAGGAGAAGGAGTACCTCTTATTCCCTCTGCCAGATGATGGCCAGGACCACCGGATGGGGCTGCACTACGCGAGGGCTGCGCATCGCGACAGAGATGGTAAGATTCAACCGTCTGCTTTCGGTGTGGCACATGATTCTGTCTTCGCTGCATGCTGGAAACACATCAACATCCTGAGCGTCGATCCTCACCCCGAGGTCCAGAGAGACGCTACCGCGATTGTGGACTTTGTCCACCACGCACTTTTGCATTCGCCTGTTGGCGAGCAAGCTCAGAAGCTCATAGATGAGATCCTCAAGCGCGCTAGGAAAGTGTCTAGAGGAGATATGAGCCAGAGAACTAGTGTTGTTGGGACCCACACAGCCGTTGCGCAGCCGATGCCTTCGCCTGGCCTTCTTAAGCGGACTGCTAGCTATCTATTCGGCCCGCTGATTGGCACTATGGAGAGCCCAGCGTCAGCTGTCTTCTCCCCACCCACGTCTCCTCGCTTGCAGAGGACGCTGTCTCAGCGCAGCCGCAAAGGCCCGAGTCTGGATGCTGCGCCCCCGGAGCAGAATGACCAGACCACGTCGCCGGCAAACTATCACGTGGCCAATGAGCCAACGTGCGCCGATTACAAGGAGCGCAGCCTCACCGAAGTGCCCACTCTGCCTGTGACGAGCACATTCCTCGACTGGTCAATAGAGTACTTCCGGGAGCCTCAAATGAAGGCCCCCGAGCCCGAGGAGCCTGGAAGCAATGAATACAACAAACGACTTTGGCGGCGATCACGTAACGAGGCCGTCCTCATGGAGACGCAACCTCAGAAGACACACGCGAGGACACACAAGTGGAACAGCCAGATCGGAGTCATCAACAATGGAACGCAGCCAGCCAAGATGACGTTCCACCAGTTTGAAAATCACGTCGCGGTTGCTGACGATGGGAATACCATAAACATCTGGGATTGGAAAACAAACGCTCGCAAGAGCCGCTTCTCCAACGGCAATCCCGAAGGCTCGAAGATTTCCGAGGTGAAGTTCATTAACGAGGATGACCAGGCGCTCTTGATGACGGGCTCGTCGGACGGCGTCTTGCGCGTATATCGCAACTACGACAGCGACGAAAATGTGGAGCTTGCGTCGGCATGGCGTGCGCTGACGCACATGGTGCCGTCTAACGTGAACTCGGGCATGGTCTTTGACTGGCAGCAGGTCAACGGGCAGGTGCTGGTGGCGGGCGACGAGCGCGTCATCCGCATCTGGAACGCCGGCCATGAGATGTGCTCGCACGAGATCCCGGCCCGGTCGGGCTCGTGCGTGACGGCGCTGACGTCGGACCAGATGACGGGCAACATCTTCATTGCCGGGTTCGGCGACGGCGCCATCCGCGTGTTTGACACGAGAAACAGGCCCCAGGAGTCCATGGTCCGCAAGTGGAAGGACGACAACAGGCAGTGGGTCCGCACCGTGCACATGCAGCGCGGCGGCCAGCGCGAGCTCGTCTCGGCCAGCCGCAACGGCATGGTCCGTCTCTGGGACATTCGAAAGGACAAGCCGCTTGCTACCTTTGGCACAACCGCCCACCACGTGCTCAGGACCGCGAGCGTCCATGAGCATCTCCCCGTGCTGGCTGTGTAAGTTTCTTTCTGTCATGCATCATTTTTTTCCCTTCTTTTCTTTTTATCAGTGAACTAACTTTGGTGTCGGTGTTTCTAGCGGCACATCTGTGCACACTGTTAGGGTTTTTGATCTCGACGGTCGCATCATCTCGAGCGTGGAACCCTACTCGGGCTTTCTACAGGGCCACAAAGACACGCCCATCTCCGTCACGGCCTTTCATCCGCACCGCATGCTCCTCGGCTGCGCCGCCCGCGGAGACCATCGCCTCAACCTCTTTGCGTGCGGCAACGAGCGCGTCGAGCGCTTCGACCGCCTCAGCGAGCGCCTGACCGACCGTCTCAGCGACCGTCTCAGCGAGCGCACCAGTGAGCGCGGCTAGGGTGGGCGGTGTCGAACATCTCTTTGTTTTTTTGTTGGGCGGGGAAACAAACCATCCTGCCGTTAACGCATACATGTGTACCTAACTTTGTCTCATCCCTGCTCGCGCTGCTTGCATTGCGGATGGAGTCGGCCGAGTTATCATTGGCGAAATTATGCGCGTGACCTTGGTAATTGTGTCTGCGCCTGCGTTTGCGTTTGCGTTCTGGCGCCCTGTGGCCCTCTCATGCTCCCTCGTGAGCCAAAGAGGGTTACATAGGGGATAGGGGTTAGGGGGCCGGGGGCTGGGGAGGATTTTAATACAATAACATGCTGTAATTCCCTTTTTTTTTCCTTTCTAGGTTGGTAATGGGTAAACTGCATATTGGCATTGAGTGAAAGAACGAGGGGAGAATCTGGGTGGCTCCCGAGAGGGAGCCAGGACTTGGGGTTTTCCTAATCTTCCCACGTGTTTGTTTGTAGAAGCGGAGGGTCAGAGGGGGAAAGGATGGCTTTACTGTATTGTTATTCCAACACGAGGCTTTTCTTTCTCTCTCGGTGTTATTTTTCTTCTATTCTTCTTTTCTCTCGGGCTCTGTCTCTCACCTCTGATCCCCTTTATCTCTCTTCGGGAAATCCTCTTCCTTTCTCCTTCCGCTCGAGTCGTTTCGTTGCCTTGGCTGATGGTGCAAATCTGCAGATGGGGCTTGCGGAACCTCGACGTCTGCGTCTTCTGCGGGTGTGGGTGTGTTGCGGGCTGTAGAGTGTGGTGTGTATGTGTGTGTGTGTGTGTTGCCTGTTTTTCTATTGTGCTATTACCGCTGCTTTTTTTACTTGTTTTGTTTATTTTAGACCAAGAGAATGGGGGCCAGCTGTCGACCGAGAGCTTAGTCTGAAGGGCTCCATACCAGCGGACCATGGATGATAGGTGGATGCCTGAGGTGGGAACTTCTCAATTCAAGGTAATACTGGTCTGTTTAGGATCATCTTTCGCCCTGCTTTTTCGTGTCTGTCCGTGTTGCTTGTCGCAAACGCCTGGCTGACTGTAGATATACATGCCCAACACTGTTCATCTCGAAGCATCTGATTCAACATCACAGGTAAAAAATACTGTACGGTACTTTACTGTACTTCTTTTCCATCACTCCACATAGTGTAAAGGTATTCGGAAATTCGAGGTGGAGTCTGTCGTTACTGATAGCAGAAAACTGCTCTATTCTCGGCCCCCCCACCCCCTGTCGAGTTTCTATTTCTGCTCTTTTTCATTCTCCTCGTCCCCTTCCTCGCCCTCCACAACACGTACATGCAGGGCAAGCGGTCCAGCAAATATCTCAAGCACTGAAGAAGCATCAGTGGTTTAGTGGTAAAATCCATTGTTGCCAGCGTTATCAGCAAAACATCGATGGGCCCCGTGTTCGATTCACGGCTGATGCATCACGTCATGAGAAAACAGGTGTTTCCGGCTTTATTTTTGTTTCTTTTTTGTTTCGCTTTGTGCTGACACTGTCTTTACTGTTTTTTTGTTTCTCGCCTTACAATTACGTCTTGCACACATTTATTTTGCTAGCCCTAGACCCCAACAACTCCCCACTCTTTTTTCACCACCAACCTCACGTCCTTCTTTACCCCTATTCTTTTCACTTCATGGACAAGGATCGAGGAGCTCGAATTATAACTATGTGGTTGTAATTGAAAGGGTACTGCCTAGCTGACTACCTCGAAGATTATCCTGGCAGTTTATCAGAGGGGAAAAAGCGGGAAAAAACCCATATACCTTAGTAGGTACAATAGACTAACTACCAGGACCGTCTCGGTCCGGACTCTCAACTTTGGGACAGCATGTCAAGATGACAGCTGTTCCGTCTTTCCACTTTCCGCCGCGCAGCCATCATGTTATGGCCAGGACTCTTCTGAATCCGCCACTACCGTACTCCCTAGGTGTAAAAAAACAAAGGCACGAGATACCCATACCTATACCCTCATCAACATTGCACTGCGCTACTCCTGTTGTTGTTATTATGCCTAGATGACCAAGACGATTCCCAGAAGGTAGCCACTACGCTTCTCCCGCCCCAAACACTATCACTTCACGCTGTCCTGTAGAGACTGTTTGTGTTCCCATAATCCTCCCCCATAACCATTGCCCTCATCCCCGTAATCATCATCCCCATAGCAACCCCATCCACCTTTTTAGTTTTAAGGGGGATCAATTTCCAACCACTTTTAACTCTCATACATGAGGTATATCTATTGTTGCGTACAAAAAGAACGAAAAAAAAGCAGACCGGAATATGAAAACGAATAAAAGGAAATGTGGATGTAGGAAAGCGATCCCCCCCTTTAACAACCGCCGGTCGAAGAGACGTCACAACATCGCCGAGGGGTTAAGAAACCGGCCACGGGTCTCGCGGGAGGCGCCGCGAGACCGGCCTCGTGCTCCCAAAACGACAGGCGGCGACCCCTGCAGTTCCTCATGTTGACGATTCGTGCTGAACGTTGACTGGGGAAAGGGAGACTCGAGCCGCCTCTGCTCGAGCCGCTGCTGCGCGCGCCAGAAGTTCTTGCGGCGCCGCTGAAAACAGGCACGCGGGTCGCCGGCGCCGGCGAAGACGAACTCGGAGGAGGCGAAGCGGAAGGGCCACGACGCGCCCGTGATGTCGCTCGTGTGGCAGTACGAGTGCATCTCGGTGCGGCCCGCGCCACCTGCCCGGTAGTCGATGTCGCTGTGGTACAAGCCATACCGCTGTGCGTAATGGTTGCCTTTCCCGGCGAGGTAGGCCGCCGTGCCGACGGCGCGCTGCGCCCCGCATAAGCCCGCCGCGATAAAGTCAGCCGGCGTCATAGCGCGCGCGACTATCTCGCCATCTCCAGCGTCATCCTCGGCCGACCCCAGCACCGCGTCGCCAGTCGTCAGAGCTCCCTGCGGCGGTGCGCGGTGCGGGCCCCAGCCGCCGTTCACGTACCATCTGGGGCGGTATGACGATACTTGTCCAACGGGCGCCACGGGTTCTAGCGGCTCCATGACGCGGAACGGCGCGTCTATCAGGGGCACCATGTAGTTGGGGTCGAGGCCCGGGTCGCACGATGCGAACTGCCGCAGCTTGTCGGTCGGGATCGGGGACGGCCTGTGGATGCGACGGCGCCTCATCAAGGCCTCCCAGTGTGCGTTCGTCCTGCGCCCCACCATGTTGCTTTCGATTGCTCGCCCGTGCGGGAGTTGGTCTGCTGCCGCGGTGAAAAGAGACGGGTTGCTGTGGAGGGCCTGCAGAAAGACGACGGGGTCGGGTATGTACCCGGCGGTGGCAATGGCGAGGGGGACGTTCGCTGGCGCTAGTTCGGTGTTAGGTGGATTGCTGTCGACGCCGTCGTTGTCGGCAGGATTGTCGGGCCAAGGAAGTTCGGAGGCCGTGAAGTTTGTCGGGTCTTCTTCGCTGTCGCCATTCACTATTATTGTCGAGGAGCCCGCGGCGCTCGCCATCGCGTCATTTGGGATGTTTGAGGATGTTTGAGGGGTCGACGATTTCGTGATCAAAAAAGGTGTTATCTGTCACTTTCGTAACGAGGCGGCTTGTCTAGGTAGGGCGAACAACGTGAGATGGATGGAAAGGGAAAGAGGGAAGGAGCGCCGAAGGCGACTACGCAGTTGTAGTTCTGAGGGCGCTGCAGCTGCGACGATTCTAGGAAGAAACGGCCGTCCTGAGCGGAAAATTGATGGGAACATACAATGAAAGGAAAGGAGAGGGAGCGAGTAGGGGAAGTAGAAGGGGCGAGGCATGGAAAGCTTCCAGGGCCACTCTGAACCTATTTTCTATTTTTTAGGAGCTCAGTATGGGAGATGGACAGTGAGCTGGCCCATCCCTAACAATGGCAGTGTCATTTAATTTTCGTCTGGTCTGAATAAAAAGTGAGATTCTTTCTCCTATCTGATTTTAGATTTAGTTTTCTATTAACGTGGCCCGCCTGGCGATAATTGTCTCCCAGCTGACCGCCTTCGCACCGAAGCATAGCCCTTTGCCGCGCGCACCATCCTTTTGTATGAACATGTCTCTAGTAAAAACCCTTTAAATCCTTAGGTTACTAACGGATATCATGACTAGACCTTTACGCGAGTGTTGAACCAAATTTGACGACTCAAGGGAATAAATCTTGCGACAAACTTCAGCAACAGTGTGTCACAACGTCCCATCTAAAGGCAAAGACCACAATATAATCCCATTTATCGGGCAGCAAATCTATGGTTGTGCCGAACCTTGACGGCTCCGGGCCGTTCAAAGTTCGGGTGTGTGGAGCGGAGCGGCCGGCATGTGATGCGCCAGTTGTAGCCGGATCCGAGAACCTTTCATATTGGACTTGTGCTTCATGCTTCCGCCGGGTATTGGCTTTTTTTTTTGGGACCAACTTCAATCTATATATCGCATAATCCCATTTAAAGCCCCACCCTATCTAACGCGACAACGAGGTAGAGACACGACAAATCTGGCAACAGGCAACCGATTACGGCGTCAGTCTCTTGGGAGTTCTCGGGTAGTAGGCGGCCAGGTGGACACTCGGCAGATTGAGATAAAAAGCAACCACGCGATCCAATCCCAAGCCAGCACCTCCATGCGCTGGGACACCTGCTTGACGGAAAATGTCGACGTATTCTTTGATTCCAGGACTGAGGGGATCAACACCCTTCTTCCGGATACGTGCCTCAAGCTCAACGGGATCGTTGATACGCTGGCCACCTGATAGAATCTGTACCTCATTGTCAGTAACTGGGTTATTCAAAATTGTTCTCAAATTCCCCAAAAGGGTTGTGAGAGGATAAAGGTGAGGAAAATGAGAGGGGAAAGGGGGTTAAAAAGCTCACCTCCTGGTTCCGCATAAACATGTCGTAGGCATTCGTTACTTTGGGGTTCTTCGGGTCTTCTTTCGCATAAAACGGTCTCGCGCCCTCGGGGAACTTGTCGAGGGCGAAGAAATCCGTCTTGTATTTGGCTCGGATCAATGCGCCAAGTGCCTTCTCCTGGGGCGTGCTCATGTCCTCGTCGTCGCTCACATTGCGGAACTCCTCGGGTCCCTCTTCGCGAAGGAGCTTTTGGCCTTCGGCAAAGGTGAGGCGAAGAACGCTTTGGCCGGGCTCAGGGACGAGGAACTCTTCCGAAGGGTACACGGAGCGGACCAACTCGACCTCCTCGGAGCATCTCTCCTTGATACCACGGAAGATGTAGAGAAGCAGGCCTTCTATCGTATCCATGATTTCGTGATAGTCCTTGACAATCTCCATCTCAAGATCGAGACCCGTGAACTAAATCGCGTTAGCTAAAATCCCTAAATCGACCTGACGTACCACTCGGAAAAGTGATTTCTGAACTGCAGCCCCTATATCTAATTCTTCGGCCAATCTTGTATTTTATTGGCCCAACCGATGTTTACTGTGGGGCAATCGGCCCCAGGCCCCTGGCGGCTCTGAAAATACTCGTCCGAGTAGAAGCGATAGCACAATCGCGCTTTCTTACCTCGGTCACTAAAAGAGAGGTAAGTCAGTAAGATAGCTGGGCATATTAAGTTGGCGCTATGTCAAAATTACTGTGACGGGGCGTGTTGCTGTTCTCGGCCCGGAAGACGGGGCCAATGGACTGTTTTGGGTGGCACTACTTAGCAAACGGAGCCAGGGGGAGGCGACGTTGGTTGACGGGCAACAAGTACACTTACGAAAACACGCTTTCTCCCACCTGCGATTTCAATTTGCTTGTAGAATTGTGGGCTCTGGGCTACATTATGCAGTTAGCTTTCAAGCCAAGAGAGGGGGGGGAAGCGAGCGGTTCCTGCTTTTACCCACCTAGGAAAGCGTCCTGTCCGAAGTAAGGCAGGCGGAAGACGTTGGCGCCGCCTTCAGAAGCCGCGGAGATCAAGTTGGGCGGCTCAAAATCTTTGAAAGAGAGCGACCGGAGGTACTCGCGGAACAGCTGCTTGACCTCGGCCCTTATATCGGCGATGGCCTGCTGCACTGGAGCGCGTTTATGCATGACTATACTTTCCAAATGGGCTATCATGCTGGCAGCAGGCACACCAGTGGCCTCGCCTGGCGGGGCGATGCTGAGCTTCTCTACCCCTTCCTCGACCTTGGCCTCCTCGTCGCTGAAATTAGTGACGGGTCTGTTTGCGGTGGCGAAGGTTAGTCCCAAGACCGTCGGAGCCGCGGCGTGGACGAAGCACTTGGTGATGTGCAACTCGAGGTTGGAGACGCGGCAAGACTTGACGGGCTCTAATGGCTTCTGGATCACACCCTCGACGACAACAAAACTCTCGGGGTTGACGGCACCGATCCACTTGACCATCTGGCGACTGACGGGGGCACCTTCGGGGTTCGCCGCAGCAATCGCTTGGATGGTCCAGTTGCCCTCCTCCCGCAGCTCTGCAAAAACCATCTTGGCCTAGAACCAATATGTCAATAAACTTCCCAACAGCCAAGTTCTTCATACTGGGGATCTTGTTGTCTTCCTCACCCCTTGCATGCGAGAATTCTGAAGCCACGCCCGGAGAGTAACCGTCTTGCCCACACTCTCCTCTCCAAGTGTCTTTAGGTTGATGTGGCCGGCGTCGGGCGAGTATTTGGTGACGTCAGTCTCCTGTCCATAGTTGTCTTTAGCCAGGTCCTCGGCCTGGGCTGCGGCGTCAGAGGTAGCGGCGGTGGCAGCTCTCTCAGCAGCTCGGCGGGCCTTCTCAGCTTCCTTCTTGGCCTTGGCCTCGGCCTTCTTTGCCGCCTTCTTGGAAGTGCTGGCGCCCTCGTCGCCGGCCTCAGCAGCAGCTGTGGCGGCAGAGGCCTCGGCAGGAGGAGCCTGAGCAGGAGCCTCGGCGACCGGGGCAGGCGCGGGCTTCGGTTGTTCGGCCATGATTGTGGTTTCGGTAGAATGGTCAAGACAAATTGGGAATTGAGAGTTGGAAGACCACAAAGTCAACAGGAGGAATGCTCAGCGACAAGTGAGTGGGTGGGATGACTCAAATTCCGAGCCACCTTATTCCGTTAGGCAATAAGAGGATATTGGCTGTGGTGGTGGAGGGGCACTTTACCTTTTTGGCGGGGTGGCATATGAGGGGCAGCAGAGGCACCCGAACCGGGAACGCCCATCACGGCTGACCCTAACCCCCGCAAAAACCGTTCGCGGTTGGTAAAGCAAGTCACAGCGGCGCGCTACGAGCCCTTTCCTTTTCCTGACATTCCCTGGTCCCAGTCACTCGTGAGACACTAGCCACCACAATGGGCTCCAAGCGCGATATTGTGGCTTTGGACCCGTGCGAGAGCGGCGGGAGCGACGACCAGTCCAACCAATACTACAAAAAGCGCCGCCGAGAGCAGAAGCTATCTCCGTCGTCGACGTCTAAGGCGAAGAAGAAATCCGTCGAACCTAGAATCGACCTTGCGTCCGGCCAGCGTGCTGCTTTCCCAGGCATCGGCGAGACTCCGTATTCGAGCGATGACGAGTTTGAATGGGAGGACGATGGCGATGCTCTTGCCTACCTCAGCTCTGTCCAGTGCGTATTCCTCCTTTCATCCATGACGATTTGATTGCCTCTTGCTGAATCAAACCACACCCTTCTTGCCCATACCAGAAGCAGCATGTTGCTAATATGGTAAGTATTGCAGACATCAAGCCAACACTATTCCGACTGTCATTTCAGCCCCAAGAGTTGGGCCCCAGCTGCCGTCGCACCTCCAACCTTCCGGCACAGACGACGATGGTAGCGTAGATAGAAACATCTATGACAATGGCGTAGGAGACTTCAGGGGTTTCTTCCATGATGGCGCATTCATAGCAGCTCCGGACCCCCATCCATCATCCGACGAGGAAGGCGAGTGTGCCGAGGACGGCCACGCGACTAGGGATCGAGCTGAGATCAACAAACAGCTGCGCGAGGCATATTACGCGTCCTTGATGAAACAATTCAAGTCCCTCCGGGCCCAGTTACACCGGAAACCACCGCACAATTTCGTAAAAGCTCTGCCTAGAGAAAACGGGACATTCGTTGGCCCTTTTGGGAGCGGGAGCCCGACCGCCGCTATCTGGACCCGCCGCATCCTTAATACCGATCCACGGCCTGTCCAGGTTGCCGCTATGAGCCCGCTCGGCGTAATGAGGCTGTTGCGGGTGATTATGAAGGGCAAGCTCATCCGCCACGGCTACGAGCTCCCAGAGCGAACGAGTCGGTGGGTGTGGGCCCTCCTTGCTAGGCTTCCAGACGGAGGCGAGATGGGCTACGACGAGATTGGCTGGATTCGCGACCTAGCCCGTATTGCGGTCCAGGTGCTGGTTAACGACCAGCAGCTGGCTGCGCTGAGGGACGAACTTGAGGAGGATGGTGAGAATTTTCCAGACGAAGTTAAACATGAGGAGCAGGAGGTCGTCCCCGAAAATACGAAGGCAGACGTGGTGGACGATTCATCTCACTTGGAACTCAGTGCATTGAACAGCACGGCAGCATCAACCGGCCCTATGCCCGCTGAGGCTGCAGATGGCCTAGTTAGCGTTCATCAAAACGACCCCAACCACGACAGCGGCGGAGAGATGGATATGGATATTGACGATGGGGAGGTGCTTGACGAACCCACCGCCGTAACTGCTTCCCATAACGTTGACGGCGATCTTGCAGCGGCAAAAACCAGACTTCTCGATCAACTCGAGAATCTTGGAAATTTCTATACCGCCAAAGCTCCGGAACCCACACTAGAAAACGGCTCACTAAATGCGGAAGGCAAGAGATTGACGTCTAACCATAATCACGACGACGACGACAGCGAGCAGCAGCGGGAAAAAGAGAGATCCCAGATCAACATGAGGGCCACCATGAACATGATCATCACTATCGCTGGTGAGTTTTACGGGCAACGAGACCTCCTGGACTTTCGTGATCCCTTCCCTGCTCGTTAATACGGACTCGGGTATTGCAAACCATTTTCTTTGCATTGGGCCTGCTCGCTATAATCTGGATGATCTGGTTGGTTTTCATTCTCGCTCTGTCTTGGGCTATCTCAAGGAGCCACCCGTAGTCCCCTGGTTTCCTAAGGAAGTATGTCTGTTTTTCTTCCTCGGCGTTCTTGCTCGTATTATTGTATAATATGAGTCTCCCCCTTTTTAGCGTCCATAGAGGTTGATAACGACATGACATAAATTACTTCCTGTCTGTGTCTGCCTGTCTTTGTGTACGGCTGTCTCTAATTGATTTACAACATGATGTACTGTACATACAGTTTTCGCTATAGCTCGGCCCAAACCGAGCCATGCCTCTGCCCTTACGGGATATGGTATGTTTCCCCAGATAGAAAAAAACGCCGCGCCAAAATATGCCAAGTACTGTAGGCCGCCCTCTGGTGATGGAGTCCAACCTGGGTGAGGATCAGGGGTATGACAAATGAAAAGCAAAAGATGATTTGCCTCATCACTGCCCGTCGTCGCTCTATGTTTCTTTGTGAGAGCATCAATTTTGTGGTGTGTGGTCATCTGGTGAGCGGAAAAGACGAATAAGGGGATGGAGGGCGAGAGCGAGCGGATCCGATCACTCAACGTCCATATCGCTGCCAATGCCGCTGCCACCGCTTCTCAGTCGATAGTCCAGGAAGGCCGCCTCCTGGAAATCGTCCTCGTCCACCACCATTATGTTCTCCTGGTCGGCATGAGCAAGTGTCGAGGCTGAAGATAAAGCATCGCCTGCACTGCCGACTTTGCGTATGCCTGCGCCCAGGCCCTGCGGCGAAATAAGCAACTGCTGCTGCTGCTGTTGTTGTTGGTGGTGCGGCTGTTGCCGTCGCTTCGGCACCGCCAGCACGCGCGAGTTCTCCTCCCAGCCCACCGGCGCCAGGCTTCGCGGCGACATTTCTCCGTCGAGCCAGTCCTGGCGGTTCCTCCACGGCCCTCCGTGCTGCAGCAGCGCAGCGGGGCGCTGCAAGCCATCTCCGTCGCCTGCCTCCTCGTCCTCGGCCACGTAGATGCGCTTGCGCGTTGTGGCAGCTGCTCGCATTGGGACGATCGTCGCGGGCGCAATTTCCGCGGTGCTGATGTAACTCTCGGCGCTGCTTACCGCCGACTCTTGGCTGCTCGTCAGGCCAGGCACGGGCGGCATCGTGTCCATTTCATCATTGTCGTCGTCGTTGTAGACGGACACGGCTTGTCGGCGCCCGCCAAACGAGGGCACAGCCGGCAGCTGCTGCACGGCGAGACCGCCGACACGGTTCAGCCCGCAAAAGGGCTCGAGCTCCCGCAGCTGCGAAGATGTCGAGGATGCGCTACTTTCGGTGGCGATAGGGACGCTGTCGCTAGTATCGCTCCACAGCGAAAAGGCAGAGCGGACGCTGCCCGTCTTGTAGCCCTCAGGCACCGACTTCCGGACGCGCATCCCCACGCTGAGAAGGTTGGCTTGCACGTGTCCGGGTAGGATTGGACCGTTGAATGGTGTTTTGGTGGTTGCGGACGATGATGGCGCTGCGGAATCACTTGCTGCTGGAGAGGAGGATGGCGAGGCGGCGGACTTGTTGAAGAAGGACGTGATTTGTCGCTGCGCTAGATCGCTCGCTGCGCCCGCGAATTGGCGCTTGGTTCGCGGGCCTGACATGTTCCTGCAAGTTTTGTTTTCTTTGTTGTCGTTTGGCTTGGCAAAAAGGGGGGATTGGTGCTGAGAAGACTTGTCGCAAAACGACGTATTGACGTCGGGCTGGTATCACAAACTTGCGACGATGTGTCTGACAATGACAGACCAGGAATTGGAAATGGTTGAAAGAAGGCTGGGGGTGAAGGGGGGGGGGGGCGCTAGAACAGGCCTGACGACTTTGACGATCGGGCTGCCGGCCGGACAGGGCATGGGGATGCATGGGGAAGTCGCGACCGTGTTTTGTCGCGTTAATTGAATTTGGGCCCAGCCGATTGGTCCATCATTCGCGGTCTTGGCATTTATTACGTCCGTTTGCGTGGGGAAGTGGGACATTCTTTGACGTCCCTGTTCCCAGTGTTCCAAGAATAACTCCTCCGTACAGCACAAGTGCCGTGTCAGCTTAGGTACCTTCATGGAAGTTCTTTATCGTTCAGATTTCAGAGGCTGGATAATTTGGCTTTATGACCCTTAGCCGCATGATTTGAGTTGCCTAGCTTTGTTTGGTTTGGTTACTGCCTGTTACTTTGAGGCATTGATTGACCAGTCGCTGGGCAAGGACAAAAAAAGATGCGGGATCCTAACTTGGCCGCCGCGGCATGAAACAGAGCAACCGTAGGTGTATGCGGCGCAGGACTTCCTGGCTGCCCTGCCTTCCTGGCCGGCCTGGGCTCTTCGTGAAACAACCAGAACTAGGCTACTTGCAGATTACAGAGAATAACAACCTAATCTCTAAATTCGCCCATGGCTTTTAAGAGTCCATGATTGTCAGCTGAGGGAGTTCGTATAAAGCGAAGTCACCTCAAGTCCATCGAAAATCAGCCGGTTAGCTTCACACACCTGGCCGAGAACATCACGTCATAACAAATCATCACGTGGGGAAGCCTGCGGTCAGGTGCCTGTTTTCATGAATTTCGTGAAATTCATCGTAGAGCAACAGTGCTCTCCTATCCTGTCCACTGAACTCAGACTCTTCGGCGATCCTCAGCCCATCCACGTCCTCGCATTTAGCGGCAGCCCGCCACCTGCCCGTGACAAGACCAGACCCCATCTAAACACTTGTGAAATGCCTTGCCAAGCTAGTTGTCAACCCCTGCAGTAATGACCTGCCTGTACAGCTCAAAAGACGAAGTCAAACCACGCATAGTCGGGAGAAAAAAGGTCGGGAAAAAGTGTCGACGTGGTGATGCAAGATATCCGGACCCCAAACGCCCCTTTTGTTGTGGTTTGAGGTTAATTTTGGTAAATCCATCTTCTATCCGCAAATGAGAATTGATTGACGATCGAGTAATGTTTCTAGGCGCCCGACTCAAGAAAGCCTTGCAGCTACCAAAATGACCCCATTACCATGCCATTATGTCGAAGGAAAGAAAACAGCCAAACGAGACCATCTACTTTCTCCGGAAAGAGCATCCCTCGGTGAGTCTGGCCTTGCCACCAGTCGGCTGGCAGAGGACGGTCGTGCAGCCTTGGCAGATGACGACGGTCTGGGCGTGTGAGAAGACGGTAGTGATTGTGAAGCAGCCGGGGCACTTGACGTCCATGAAGAACGACCGGGGAGCGGGCACAAGCGCCTGCGAGCCTTGTCAGTATCCGGCTGGCCACCACGGGCCGGGCGACGTTTCCACCCGGGCCGGAAGGGGTTGTTCGAGACGGCGTACCTTGAGCTTGTGCTTGCGGGCCTCGGCGGCCGGGCTGGGGTTGATGAGATCAACGGCGAGAACCTTTATAGAATTCAACAGTCAGCACCACTCCATGCTCTGATCTGCAATATTCTGCCTGGTCCCCATTTCTGTCCAACCCTTTTCACGAACACGTCCCCTCACACATTTCGGCTGCCGCATTCGATTTCGATATCTTCTCTATTGTCCCGCATTTTCCATCATTTCTTCGCAGTGATGTTTATGCGTGTTTCCTCCATCTCGGAGATGCGGTCCGTCGTGACGAGCGGGTGGCAAGCAAAATCGGAAATTTTCGGGCCTTACCATCTTGACTGATTGTGAAAAATCGGGACGTCGATGCCGAGGCGACGAGCTTTTGGTTGATTGATGAAATCTGGGGGGTTGGCGGCAGATTTATGCTCGTGTTGATGGTTGAGGAAAAGAGGGGAGGTGGACGATACCTAGCAGACATAAAAGTTCGAGGCAAAATTTCGGTCTGTGAGCCCAGAAGCGAATATTGGCTAGACTGGAAAAGTGATGGTTAGGGCTCGCTCGCGTGACCAATCAAAGGCTGAAATGCACAGACCCTGGGGGTTAATGTGGGGCCCGCTCCAGGCTGTGCTTTTCTGGAGAACGAAGCTCTTCCACGGTGGGGTTCCGTGCAGTTCACAGAGCGGGGCGGTTGGGTGCGGAGCAATGACGACGACGGGAGCTTTCTTTCCATCGAGGATCAATGCCAGGCAGCAATATCAAAATAAACGTTTTTTATTTGAATCTGACCAAAAGACCCCCCTTGGGCTCGCTTTCTCTTCTGGCATACTGCGCCATTTTGTTCTGCAATCGCGCTGGGAAGTCCACTAACTGGAGCTAAGCATACGGTAGCTTGATCTAAGAATGGCAACTCCAACAGACCAGCGGATTGCCGTTCCTATAGACGACCCCAACGCCGATACGGAATGGTAGGCTTCCATAATGTCTGATCTCCTTTCTTGTATGTATGCTTACACGACCATTCAGGAATGATATCCTCCGGAAACATGGCGTTATTCCGGAGAAGCCCCCGAGCCCGACTCCCATGATCGAGGAAGCGATCAACGAGGCTCGTCGGCTCGCGCACGAAAACCGGCTGGAAGGCAAGAACCTCGACGAGTTAGATGAGCTTGAGGACGAGGAAGACGAAGAATTCCTTGAGCAATATCGGCAGCGGCGACTTCAAGAGCTATCTTCGATACAAAAAAGGGGTGTGCACGGCTCAGTTTATCCCATATCCAAACCCGACTATTCACGCGAAGTTACCGACGCATCTCATAAAGGGGTGGTTTTCGTCAATCTTACATCGTCTCTGACCACAAATGTTGAGTCACGGGTGCTCTCGGAGCTATGGCGCCAAGCAGCGCGGGAGTACGGGGACATCAAGTTCTGCGAGATTCGGGCGTCGCAAGCCATCGAGAACTACCCCGAGCGCAATTGCCCCACAATACTGGTTTACAGCAATTGCGACATACTGAAGCAGATTGTGACGCTTATGACTCTCAACGGAGTGCGGATGAGCATGTTGGATCTTGATAAGCTGCTCGTTGAAGTCGGAGCAGTTCCTGGTAACGACATCAGGGTGCTAAAGAGGAGAAGGGAGGCCGAGGATGCCGAAGAAGAGAAGTTCGTGAACAAAGGCATCAAGAGCAGCAACGATCGGTCAAGGGGTGACGACGATGGCGATGACTGGGACTGAGCTACAGAGCGTATCACAGCGTACCTCATGCCTACTACCCTCTAGTGAGGGGGTTGATCATCAAGTACAAACACAATTCCCAGGCGCAGTGAAATGTCTGCGCTTAAAATCGTGACCTGAGTTTTGAGGAGTCCTGCTTTGTCATTACCCAGGATGCACCCCGTGAGCTGAAAAGCCTCGTAGATTCGTCTGGGTGTGTAATAGCCTCTGCACTAAATACCTCATCCCTCAGCGACTAACATGGTAACGGGCCGGGGCCGTATGGCAATGGCTGTTCTGAGAGTGGCTGGCTGCCCGACTCTTTTCTTGACAGACGGGACGGAAGCCGTGACGAGGCATGCGCGCTGATCGCGTTGGTTGAGCTTGTTAGCTATTTTATACGAACTCCGACGTCTTAGGTGTTAACAGCGCTTTCATTACTGATATTCCTGATGGTGAGCCGCTTTGGGTTACGTGTAGGCCTATTACGAATGGTATGTCTCCTACTTCTACTGATGATCTTCTTAACGTAGAGATTGGAGGCGAGCCGTATCGCTCTTTAGAATCGATCCTATTCTGGGACCTGAGTAGGTCATGTTTCGTGCAAGTCCACACGGGAAGCGGCTAACTGTTGGGCAGGGCTACGTTTTCCGCATTTTGGGGGAGAAAGCTGACTGCACCACCCCTCACTTACGCGAGGATTCTCATCCGGTCTTCAGAGATTCACGGCCGACGCATTCTCAAGGAGGGAGAAGGAAGGATCTAGCCACTCCTACATTGACACTTACAACAATTTCCTACGCCTTGCCTTGCAATTCAAGCCTTTACCCTCCTTCTTTTCTTCGAGGTATGAGCTAGCTCAATCGTGTGCCCAACCTCCTCCAGCCGCTGCGCCCCAGGGTCGCGCGCATACCACCCCGGCCCAGTCACTCCGCAGAAAAGCACCTCCGCTCCTCTTAGAAAGGGCGATCTTAGACTGAGGGGTTGAGGCACCTCCCTTTCGACGTTTTCATAGAAGACATCATGTCTCGACAAGGTCAGAAATCCCACTAAGGAGCCAGTCAAGCGCTCGCAGAATGCTTACCACCGTCATAGGTCCTTCAAATGCGGTGATTGGGGGTCGTGTTTCTAAGGCCATCCTAAAGACGCCAGAGAAACCAAAGCAGGCGCAGAAACAGTTCGGCTCGCGATCCTCGGAACCCAAATATGGCTGGTGTCCACAGTGCCAGTTTGGCCACAAGGTCAGAGGGGGAGTCAACCCCGAGAACGGCGGCAAGTTTGCTGGCCAATTCCGATTTACATGCAGCAAGCCCGAGTGCAATTTCCTCCAACTCTTGAACGAAGACCCAATGCTCACGGCTCCCCCAACGCCTTCCAAGCACCCAGAGTGCCCTCAATGTGGTCTGGGCCGCCTGTTGAAGAAGTGTAAGGACGTCTTCAACTACAAAGACCAGTACCTGGAGTGCACGCGAAGGAACGCTCCTGAAAGGCCTTGCGACTACCGTCAAGCGATTCAAACGCCTAGTAAAGAGAAGGAGGCGAAAGCGAAGGCGACACCAAAGCTCGACGGGAAGAAGGAAACAGACATGAAGACGATACCGCCGCCCGCAAGACCAGAGCTCATACTGTCTGATCCCGCTGTCACCTCCAGCAGTCAGCTTCAGGCAGGCGCCATGGCATGGGAAGCTGCTATCCTGGCCCGGGACCCCGAGGGGCTTATCGACCTCACGAAAGACGACCCGTCAACCACAGTTGATGCTCGATCCGCCATTAAGTCAGGGCCGAAGCTTGTCAGCAGCACTGATCTTACCGGTCATGATTCCGACGAGGAGGTTTGGATCCCGAATAAGCGAATTAGTAATGCAACCAATATAGGTTGGAACATCGCTCTAGGAAACACAGTCGACTTTGACGATCTTGACGCGGATGAAGAGCGCCAGTTGGTTGAGATTGCCGACGCTGTCTCTGCTGCCTTTCAATGAAAGCCAGCTTTCGAGTCACAGTGCCAGAGGGCAGGGCTGCGTGTAGATATGCCACCCCTTAGAAGGAAACCGAACCCCTGGAGACGGAGGTACGCTGCTGGGAAATGATGGGGGATGGGAGGCGAGAGCGGTGGGAGACTGGCTGGCTATTCAAGCAATTCACTCACAATGCCGAGGTGTTTAGTGAATGTCGATGACGTGCAGAATTGTGCGCCTCAAGTGCGTTTTTGGCTGGTGATGAGTTCTACGTCGCCTTCCTTCCGCCGTCATGCTTGACATGCTTATTTTGACGCAAAATGAAATGCCTAAATGGAAGACAAATGGGTTGTGAAGGTGATTTACTATAGGCACCCAGATTTACTAACCTATCTAGACAGTGTGAGGATAGGTTTGGCTAGGAAGAAGATAGAACAATTGGACGAGCCTTCACTAGGTGAAGGGCGGGAACCTTGGCCAAGGCAACGCTCCCCCCAAAAATGCGACCCTTTACACCGGCTAGCTGATCCGAAAGAAAATCGATTCCCACAAATTGGGAGGGCGAATTGCAGGGTTCCAAGTTTAGTTGTTTAGGCGAGACCAACGCTAAACCAGAGGGCTGGGATTGGATGCACGGCTGCTAACACAATTCAAGAACTAAGTGTGGGGCAGCTGTGGGGAAACAGCCACGGATCAACACCGTGGAATCACTAGCTCTGAATAAAGACGCGACTCTCAACTTCCTCGACTTTCGACTTTCGCGGCTTGCAACAAACTGTCCACCAACTTTCTCCCCTCATTAAGCCCTTCAACTCTGGAAAATAACTGGCTCCTCTTGCTGCACACATACTCTCATTTTATCTTGTATTCTTGTCTCGCTCTTTTTTGGAGCTTTGTACAAGAACCGGGACACTGCCCCGCAGTCACGTCCAGCCGAGATACGGGACGCGTTCCACAGCGGCCGCGCCCCTCCGCTTCTCGCCGCACCCGTGGTCATGGCCGACGAGCCAAATCTGCCGCAGCTGCCACGCTCAGCTGGCAATTCGGCGGCATTGATTTTGGGTTATGGACGCAAGCGTGCTAGAGGCGCGAATGCTACCTACGCACCTCCGCATGTTTTGAGCTCGAGCGACCCTGCCGTCTTCTCAAGTGATGACGACGCGGGATTGGACAACTATGTTGACGGCCGGCGTAAGAAGCGATACGTGGGAACATGGTATGATCAACATCCAGTATCGTCGGCGTCGTCCGACTCGGCCCTGAGCGTCGAATGGGCGGCTCCCCCCCTCCCTACCCACAAGCGAGAGTTTAGAAGACAGCTCGACAGCGGTGTTTGGCTGGAACAAGACGCGGGTAACCTCTCTACGGCTGGCGGGTCTGCTAATGACGACGACCTGGCTAGTGATGCCAAATCCGGCGACTCAATCGATTCGGCATATTCGGCAGACTCGGGCGACCTTGAAGACTTCTGGTTTGAAGGCGATGCAGAGATTCTCAGAGCATTTGCAAAGAATGTGTTGCCTCCAGCAAACCGCACAAAGCTCTCCGCTGAAGAGCAGGAGGCCAAAGAGATCATCGATGAATGTGTTGAATCCGGCAATACTATCGTCCAACTCAGGTATGAAACGATTTTTTTTTAAATAATGTTTGAGCCTTGTTTTCTAATATTTTCTGCTCTAGCGATTTGGGCTTGCACGTCATCTCCAATGAAGTTCTCGAGCCAATCTCGGCGATTACCCCCATTCCCAATGTGGATGTGGGTGTCGAGTTTGAATACCACGAGCCCTCAATCGAGGTGTACATGGCAAACAATTCTATCCGGGAGTTTCCCGGCGCCATCCTAGGCGTCGAGTTCTTGACAGTGCTGAGCCTCCGTGGAAACAAGCTCAGGGAACTCCCCTCGTCTATTGCGTCTCTGAAGAACTTGAAGGAACTCAACATTGGTCAGAACCTCTTGAGATATCTACCGGGCGAGCTACTGGATATTCTAGGTGTTAAAATGGCATTCAAGAAGTTAACGGTCCATCCCAATCCATTTTATATGCCCAAGGACTGGCGCAGCCAAGCATACACGATGTCAGGCCCGATTGAGGCCTTGGAGGGAAGCGAAGAAAATCGCGCTCGCGGGGAGTATGAATCTGGGACCTTTGGCCGGAATGTCATGGGAACGGATTGCTGCCGGACTCCGGTTCAGGTGAATGATGGAGTACGACGACCCATCTCCGAGTTTCGGTTCCCCGCGTTACATGGTCCCCACGACCCCCCCGACCAGGACCTTGCTAAGCACGAGTCCGAAGTGTATCTCGAGCGGGAAAGCTTTTGGGAATTGGCTTTGCCGAAGAAAATCTCGTACCAGCCACGGCTTCCCGAAGACGGACAAGGACCGCCGAGACCAAAGGGTGCGCCGTCTCTGATGGAACTTGCTCTCCGAGCCGCTGTCTACAGCGATCGCGTGAACGATCTGGTTTTGATGGTGAACCGTGGCGACCTCATTGCGGACCACCTTACCAGGTCGTTCAACCGAGCCGTTGAAGTTGCGAAGATGGGTGGCCAGAAGTGCTGCGTCTGCGGCCGGGAGACACTAACACCCGCGACTGAGTGGATCGAGTTTCGGATGGCCGGGAGACGAGACGATATGCTGCCATTTATGCGTCGCGGATGTTCGTTAGCATGCCTCCCTTACAAGGCAGCACCGCCTCCCCCCACCTTTTTCGATCAGCGTCTTGCGATTCAAAGCGCCATGGATGACACACATGGTATCGAATATCCCGAAGATTTTGTATGGTAAGGCTTTGGGTTTTCGTGTTTGTGTTTGGGGAGAAGCGGGATTGGAGTGGCGTGCGGCGTGTTGGAAACGGGTGTTCAGGTTTCACGATTTGATACCCCCGGAAGAGTCATGTTTTGAAGGTTTGAGCGGAAAAGGGTCGCGTGTAAAGAGTACTGAAGCGTCATGTCTGAGTACTAGAGAATGATTTGGGTAACGAAGCGTCGTGTGCATATAGCGTTAGCGGGGTGTAGGCTGGAGGGTTGTGTACATTTGAGTTGTGAGATGGATTTGAGCCTTGGGGGGGGGGGGTTACTCATTGTTTGATGGTCTGTCTTGCCTGTCAACATTGAGGGAGAATAGACGGCCTTTCTGTCTCCGTGTGTAGAGTCATGTATGGATGTAGATAGGTGCGGGCGAGATAGTCACATGTCTGGACAGTTGCTTGTCTCTAAGGATATCTTCTATATCGCACAGCAGAGGCATACTTGATACAACACACTGTGATCGAGGCAATAATACTGGACGATATAAGACGGCTTCGTGCTCTTCGTCATTGCAAGTACTGAACTAGATTTTTTGAGCATTTCTGTTGTGGTTTTGATATCCCCCGAATATGAAGCTGCGGTGCTTTCACGATTGTTGAACTTTGAAGACACGGCATGCCTCGGCGAAAATAAACAACGGCGACTTCCGTGTGGCCTAGACAAAGTGGTAGTCATTTCCTCTGCACCGAGAGCCCTGCAGTTTAGTATAAACGATAGATTCAAGTCACGGATCCGAGCTGGGGTCAACTGGCAAGACTATATCTTGAAGGTCGTCGACTACAAAGCTGGAGGCTTCTTGTGAGGGCTTGAGAAGGGACAGATGGGGTACTTGGGAGCCGCCCAGACTGGAATGTTCTTTTTACCACGCTTAGTAAAGTGGTGAAGTTGCTCTCTGTATTAGACCGACGGTAGTTAGGTGGGTGTGGAGATAGAGACAGCTGTTCTTGATTCTACTTGTCCAGGTACACTTATCCCGAGCATCATCCATGAGATGGTTGTTTGTCTAGCGATGTAGTCGGGCAGTAGAAAGCAAGCTATCAAAGTCCAAGATGGATCCCCGATGGCTGTGTACATTTCCCCGTCCGTTTCATTGGCAAAATATTATGTTTTGTTTTAGCGTCGGCTTCCTACATCGAATCTTAGCTAGTAGTAGGTCGGCGGCCTGTTTTGTTTTCTTCACCAAAAGACACGTGAAGAAGGGGAACCTGGCCCAGATCTAGTTCTAATCACTTGACTATTGAACCACCACATGAGTGCGGCTTCTACAGTCTACACGTGCAATTGCAAGGGGCTCGTAGTACCCCGAGCCTTGCGCTGCTCGCTGGGCGATCGACGACGAGTTTTCTCTCTTCGAGAAGGAAAGTCCGGTGCCATTCTCATTCTCCCCCCCTGGGAACTAGCGGTGGTGCTCTTGTAATGATCCACAATGGAACGAGAACCAGAACAACCATCGACACGCCAGGCTGAATGGGGCAAGAGACGAAAGATCAGCGATGCCAAGAGAACCTGGAACTATTGACCTAGAAGCTACATACAACCGCTGGCAAAAGTTGTATGTCTCAGTAGCAGCGCTGAAAGCAGGCAAGGCCGGCTGCTGGCTTGCAGCAGCTCTCTCTCTAGGCCAGGCAAGTGTTGCAAAGAACGGTGTGTCCTGTCTGGAGGTGGCTGGCGCGTGGGCAAAAAAAGGAGAGAGACGTTCGAATGTAACCCCCGTCCATCTCTGCTCCCAGTACCAGTCCATACCAGCACCGAGGAACGCAGTGTCCGCAGAGACACCATTAAACCCCCAGCCGTTATTCCTATGAAGCCGTCAATTGTAGGACGTGCGGATATCTGGTCAAAGCACCCGCGCCGGATCCGCCCCAGATCGGCAAGTTGCTCCCGGCTTGGCTGTCCCTTGTGGCGTGGCGGCCGATGGCGGGAACCGGGCAGCAGAAGACGTTCCTTCTTTTCTGCTTTCTGAAGGCATTTTTCTTTCCTTTTTTTCTGTTTTTGCCCTGGCTTGGCTTCCTGTCACGTCACCCACCCCCAGACCGCCAGCGAGAGGGCGGGGCTCAGAGAGCAAGGGCAGACCAGGCCCCCGACCCCCCACAAACATGCATCCCTGACTTGCATAAGTGCTTAATTGTGACAAGGAGGGGCGGGGGGAGGGGAGGGAGGGGACACGGGACAGGACAGGACTACAGAAAGAAGACGTGATGTGATGGGATGGCGCGCGACACCGCCCGCCGCGGCGTTTCGATTGCGGCTAGGGGGGGCGGGTCAATCACAATAGTCTGATCTAAAGAGCACATGAAGAAGGAAAGAAAAAGAGACGGGACGGGACGAGATAGGACGAGATGAAGAAAAAGAGGAAAAAAAAAAAAAACTCCGGCCGAGACAGCTTGGTAATTAGTAATACCATTACCACCACCACCATCACCATCACCCTCAAATGACGCTGGAAACCCCGACGCCGCGCTGAACTGAAATGAGACACAGAGCCATGACGCCCTCGGCGTCAAGCAGACCGAGCTGCTGTGGATTCATTATCGTGTTGGAAATGAAGGTCCATTCCCGGAATGCACAGACCTCGTCTCTCTTCAAGCATGCCAACCAAGCAAGGAGGCAAGCAAGCAAGGAGGCAAGCAAGCAAGCAAACATTTTTTACAAGCCCATTCCCGGCCCCTGGTTATGAAACCGAGAGGATGGTGTTGGTGATGACGACGACGACGACGACGAGACGAAGGAGTTTTGCTCTGCTTTCCCTTTGCTCGCTTCCGAGATCGCTAGCTGGCTTGGCTTAGCGAAGAAAAAGAGGGAGAGGGTTTTCGACAGCCTCTCTCTGTCGCCCTGTCGCCCTGTCGCCCTGTCATCCGTCCATTCATGCCATGCATCCATCCATCACCATTCTGTCCTCTGGTTCTGGTTCTGGTTCTGGTTCGGAGTGTTGCGATGCATTGCCGCTGTTGCCCCTCGTCTGCAGCAGCGAGCTCGGCTCTTCCGACGATATTACTTGGTACCTAGCTACCGGGCAAGGTAGGTATTCTTCCCAGCGAAACCTTTTTGGGCTGGCCGGCAGCGGATGCGGGCCTAGTTTTACTGCTGTCTGTCTGTCTGTCTATCTGTCTGTCTGTCTGTATGAGAAAGACCGAGAGTGAGAGAGTGAGAGTGTGTGACAATCTGAAATCTATGCACGCGTAGGCGCTCAGGCCTCCCCCACCCCTGAACCGAACCAAATAATTAACAGGGAAGGGCGGGGGCGTGCCCACGAAGGTAAGGTAAGAAGGGATTCATACCTTCCTTACCACGGAGTATTCGTGCATACAATAGGAAACATCAACCACAGGACAGGGCGTGCCCGGATCACTCTCCTTGATATCGTACCACTGGCCGAGCGAGTGACAAAGCCTGCACTATTGCGCTTCCTCGTCTCGTCGGTAAGGTAGTGTGTATGGAGCGTAGCTCAAGGCCATGCGGCGCCCAGACCTCGACCTCGACCCCGACCTTGACCTTGACCCAGGACCAGGGCCAGGACGATGAAGAGACGGCGCTATTTTGCTCTCGGGACGACGTCCGTGTGTCCCACGAGTTCCACATGAGCATGCATGCCTCGGTCGTAATAGTAGCCTCCTTACAACATGGAATGGCACACTCTGGGTGACATGTAAAACACCGAATTTAGTCATTCATTCACCATGTGTCGCTGGATGGAGGATGGAGGCCCAAGCAAGTCGTCCATAGTGTTTTACATTTCGTGCTCACTTCAACTTGTATCTGCCTGGCCCGGACCTGTTGAACGGCAAGGTGGGATTGGACTTGCGCCCATGCGGCAATATCGAGCTAGCTATCAGCTGCTGCAGGTCAAAGTCAGACAGGCGCCCAGAGCTCTTTCAGGACGGCAGCCACCAATATTTCCCCAGAATGACGGGCATGGCGAGAGCAGGTCGAGACCGGCAGAGATAGCGTATTAGATGAAGGAAGAGTTTTCAATAATTATGCTACAGTGGTATCTGAGATTGTGAAGACGGGCCTATGCATCGACAAACTCCCGCTAATGAAATGGCATCCCAAACAAAAAAGAAACATCCCAACGCCATGCGAGCTGCAAAAAGAATGACAGCGTACCTTTTCCGATCCCGGACCTCCCAACACCCACTACTACCTACACAGAAAAGGGCGAAGGGGGGAGGGTCAATGCAGGATGACTCTAGAGCTAAGCCCAGAACATCGATGCAAAGTGTATTTAGATAAATAAATTTGAAGGCTTCATAATTGGTGTTGCGAGTTTGATCCGCAAATGAAAAGTACTCGTATACGTACGGCAACGTGGGCTGATTGGATGAGCGTGCGTCCTCGATAACGACAAATGTGCGAGGGCGATGGCGTTTGTTCGATATCGTAAAGTATTGAACCCAGCAGGCGGTGCGAGCTCACGATCGCCGCATGCGGTTCCATATTCTTTTCATGACCCCCTTGTCGGTTGCATTCATTGCCCAGTGATCCATCCCTGCGGATGCCTTTTCCAGGCTCTCCTTAGGAATCCCATCGCCGTAAACACCGTTATTTTCCAAACCTTGCGCCGTTCCGGTCATCGACCTCCCATGGCCGGGGTGGCCCGTCTTTTGCTGCCACCCGTAGATTTGATCGTCGTTGGCGCGTAGATCCGGCCTCGTCAGTGTCATGCGTAGCGTCATCTCGCGAGACGAGGCGGGCGCCTGGGCATAACCGCCCACTTCGGGAGCGCGATTACTAGAATCTTTGAGAAATGCCGGATCGGCCGAGACCATGCGCAGGTGCCGAAGACCGGTGGGCTTGTTCTCCAGCGTATGTGGTGTAGTTGGCGAATCCGGATCAGCCACCGAAAGCTGATCACTATGCAGCGACAGCTTGTCGTCATCCTCGTCGTCATCCTCGTCTGCCAAGAATGAGCGCATGTTTGGAGAGCTCTCCGTCCATTTATGCCTCTCCTGCCGCTGCTGAGAGGCTCCGCCGTCATTAGGCACGGGTGCGCCCGAGAACATGTCTATTGACGGGAACCCAAACTCGATGGCCTCGTCGAATTTCTGGGGTGATGCTAGATAAACCCGCAGCTTTAAGCGGGCTTCAGGATCTTGATAGTGGGCCGCAGCCGGATCAAATGCTGTGATGGACTCCTGCGGTGAATGCTTGGGTGTGATCAACGACAATGCCCGAGACTTGCGCTTGGTTTGCCCAAACGGGTTGGACGCGCTGCCCGACGGGCTATGTGTTGGGGAGGTGGGCGATGTCGTGTCCTTAGTCCCCGGCCTGCTCATCGAAACCGAGTTTCGGCTGAACGGAATCTTTGATATAGACAGGTGCCGACGGAAAGACGGCCGCGGCTTCTCTGTTGGCGAGGGCATGCCTTCCCTCAAGTTTGCGTGATAGTCGTCGAGGAAGAGACGTAAATCTAAGTCCTCTTCTTCCTCCAGCCATCGAAAGCTCTCGTAAAACGACTGGGGGACATCTCTGCTATTGGGCTGAGCGGGGGGACTCTTCATGGCGGCAACGTGAGAATCCATGCTATTCGGCCGAGGCGAAGGGGGCGTGCTGTAGGTATCGACGCTCGGGGCTAGGTGTCTACTAGCCCGTCGGTTGAGTTTGTAAATGGCCTCGTCCGCGGCGTCTAGAATCACGCTGGCACGCAGGCGTCGCGCGAGGACGACCTGCTTGTCGCGACTGTACTCCTTTTGCCGTGCACCAGGCAGACCAACATAAGAAGGCGACAGGTCAGAAACCGAGAATTCACTTTCGGGAGGGGATTTCCGGTGAATATGCTCAGACACGCTGCGGTCTCGGCATGACTTCCGGCGCCTGAAGCGTGATATGTCGTCGTAGTGCTGGGAGATGCCGTCAACCAGGCCGGACTCTTGGGCAAAGCGCAGCCGTTCAAGTGTCGAGAAGTACTATAAAAGGGTGATGATTTAGTGAGTGGCACGAGAATGAGGAGCCGGCGGCTTGATAAGGAATCGAGCATTCTAATAAGTCGCCGAGCTAGCCCCAGCCCAAAACCCGTCGAGAACAATTAATTCGCTGCTCACCGGGCTAAGTGGGTGAATTGCTATGCAGGAACGCAAGCACGAGGCAGTAGCCAGCCAGGGAGGGAAAGGGGTCGATAAGCAACCGCAACATGGACTAGTCAGGAGCGGGGACCTGCATGTTTGAGGGCCAAAACGCATGCGGTGAGGGTGGAAATGTGCTGGCGCACTGCACCCTTTGGGTCTAAGACCTGTTCGCTCTTGGCTCGAGACGAAAAATGCACGCAGCAGCCAGAGCAGTCACAGGCCCGCAGGTCACAACGACGACTACGGAGTATTGATGCACCAGACCGCCACTCGGCGACGAAACGGGGAAACGAGGGATTCGAGAGATAGATCAACATGCTTGGGATTTTTTGCGTGGCAGGCCGGAAGACAAACATTGCGATTGGACTTCCAGCACGCATGTCTCAGGAGCCACCCGGTTGGCTTGTCAACAGCTCGTTCGTGGCAGGTCCCGTACCGCAGAGGACGAAAACGGGGCCCGAAGTATTGGCAACTAGCCCATCGCCAGCTAATCAGAGCTGCATGGCGAAAACTTCTGGAGCGTGTTGGAAGCGCTCACTGACAGACAAAAGTACCCAGATCGGCAAGCCCAGTCTCGGCCGAGCCAGCAGGCTCGTGATTGCTCTAGAAGCCTTGCGTGGCTTCAACGCCCAGGCAGAGGAAATGTCGATGATTGGCAATATAGACTTTAGCTACCACCAGCACCCGGCCCGTCCTGTTTCTCTCAATGGTGGACGCTGGACAGAGAGGCGTGTGAAGGGTGCGTGGAACCCATCAGTAGTGTAGGTAGGTGACATTGTGAAAGAGAGAATTAACCCAAGGAGCGCGCTCCAATTGGGTGCATGCAGCACTGTGAAGTGTGCGAATTCATGTGCAGCAGGCTGGCACTCGCAGCAGAGAGCCAATGGCGGCAACGGTGGGAGTGTGTGGGAACTGTGCGCTGTCCCTTTGTGGTGTAGGATTAATTTTGGGGCAGTCCAAGTGCGGCCAAGGCAAGGGCAACGCGTTTGTTTCGCCCTCGTGCTCTCGCTCTTGGCACTTTGGGGGCGATACTGAAATAAATAATATGTTTTCTTACACACCTTTCGCTGGATTGCCAATGGCAGAGCCTCAAACTCTTGTCGCGTCATCTGCGGCATCGCTCCAGTCTGGGACTGTCGTTTTTGAGTGTTGCTCGACCTCGAAAGCACTGGCCGCTTAACGCCCGGGTTGTTGCCGCTGCTCGGCTGGCTTTCCGGCGAACTGTGGTCCGAGCCATTCGGGTCCTGCAGATACCCATTGTGGCGGTCGTGAAAGTCGTGGTGTTGGTGTTGCTGGTGACGTCTTCCCCAGCGTGTAAACAGGGGATTCGCCGATCGCGAGCTTCTTCGGCTTCGGGACGAATGCGGACGCCGTTGCGCCGAGCCCGCCGTGGTCACGTCGTCGTCAACCGCAGAGGATGTATTCGAGAGGTAGCCGGTCGGGCTGGGAGCGAAGACACCGTACGTAGGAGCCTCGAACGTTGGTCCGGGCATGGCGGCCGGTTGCGTTTCTCGACTGGCGTAGCTCGAGCTTGGGCCGGACGACCAGATGCTGGATGAAAGACTCGAAGCGGATGTCGAGGGAGAGATGAAAAAGGTGTAGAATGGAGGAAGGCAGTCGTCAGGCGGAGCGGTGGGGTCCACTTTATTATCAGGCTGGGGATCGAGACGAGATTCGCCGTCAGTGAGCAGAAAGCTTGAAGGATGATGCAGTTGGACAGCACCCGTGGTGATGGTGGTGATGTTGGTGGGAAAAGAGAGTTGCTGGCAACAAGTGAGCTCGCAGCGATTCTCGAAGCTCAGGGCTGACCGGGGAGTAAAGGGTTCATCGTCCAGGGATCGGCAACCTGGCTTGCCTGGCTGTGCTGGCGTTGGTGCTGCACTTGTTGCCCTTGCTGCAAAGATGAGCCAGGGCATCAAGCGATCCAATTCCAGGGGCATGTCATCGACGTCGACGGGCATGGCGTCAAGGGCTTGCACGCCATTCGTAGACGCGCCAAAAGCCCTGGACCCTGTCCAAATGGCATCCCATTCCCTAGTCGCAATGCCAATGCCCGGGCTCTCAGGGCGTGGGGCCAGCAGCAAGCTGCCACGGCTGCCACTGCTGCTGCTGCTGCTGCCACGATTGCCTGTGCCCAGACGATCCATCTCGCTACCGGCTGCCCTGTGAATGGGTTTATTTCCCTGCCTCCACCAACTGGCAACAGCCCCAATGCCCCGCCAGACAGGCACCGACCGGGGTTGCAGCGGCGCAGAGTGGGGCCGCTTATCAGGCAGGCGCTGCTTCCTTCAACTTTTTTTCATTGTTGACAAGACCGGTCCGAGAATGCGGGCGCGCTGGTGTTGACGCTGGAACTCAGTACTGTGGACGGACAGTACCTTGTGATGTGATAGCATCCGGGCTCAGGTTCTAGCGCCCCAAGGCACGAAGAGCGTCTCGTCTGTGGATATAGGCGCTGGCTTCTGGAGCCCGCTCGGGGATTGCTCTTGTTCCCGTTCCAGAAAGAAACCGCGGCGATCGCCTCCGTAGCGGCATGTAACGCTTATGCGGTCCCTCGCAACGGTCTTTATTCTTTTTTTCTTTCCCAATTTTTTCTCGGGAAGGGCCCGGCTGCGACCCTCCACTATGGGAGTCTAGGTTGAACTGTGCTCTTTAAGGGGTGGGGGCACTGGCAGCAGCGCCCCAAAGAACCGACAGGAGCGGGAATGCTCCCAGCTGAGACGTGCCGCTTCTCAAGCTTATTCTGTGCCACTTCACAAGTTCACAGTCTCACGTTTTCGGGTGCCTTGGAGGAGGAATACGCGGGTGGAGCTCTTTTCTAGCGGGTTGTGGAACTCTCCACTCGGCATCCTCGCGAGCACACAACAGGATCCTCATTAATTTGCGGTACCTGAGGTTACCGTACTATAGTCTAGCGCCAGAGCTCCGTAACACTAGATAAATATCAATCATCAAAAATCTCGGATGCTACGTATTGGAAAATTTGAAGATACGAAGCACTCCAAGCTCGCCCAAGGAACCCAGGCGCTTTAGCTGTGTACACAGGCAGAACTAAGGCAGGTTCATCCGTTTCAGGGCGGCGGCGTGCTCACTTGCGGGGTTCTCGCTGCTGTTCTCGACCAGTGGTTCAGCGTCGGAGCTGCTGCAGGAAGCAAGGAGGTGCGTGTGCACCTGCGATGCCGTTAACGCGCCGAACGTCGCCATGGTCCAATTGAAAGAAGGCGAGATGGTTTATTTGGTCCAACAAGACCCTGCAGCTAACCGTCCCACTGCCGAGCCCCAACTTCACGCGAGCCTCAGCGGCGGCGAAGTCGGCAAGGAATCCTGAAGTCGGCCCACCATGGAAGATCGGACGGCACGAGACGGCAGGAGAGGCGGCCAGAGCAGCGCCCACACACTCGCGGCTCAAGGTCAGGTCCGCGGGTACCTTAGCTGGCCTCGTTACACGTGGCAGTCAGTATCGGGCGCCGCTCCCCCCGCATCCCACCCACGCATGTTCGTGCTTAGTATACTTGAAACAAAGCTACCTCAAACCGGTTCGGAGACCTAAACACAAAGTCTTACAGGTTACAAGACTGAGCACCCGCCCCTCAAGAGCACGTAGGAAGGACGAAAAAGACCCACGCTTACGGAATACCGCTAGTTCTCTTACATAGTAGCGCCGCTAACACTTGGCGTTTTCTCGTCATTATTTCTCCTCTTTTCCCTCCCGTGGTGCGGTGATGGAAGCCAAAGCCCGAGCCCAGAAACAAGAAGGCTCGAAGGTCGAAGCTAGGTGACTACGAAGTCCCTTAGGTAATTACCGCACCCAAACCTTGCCGTGTCACTCAACCGCCTGTTCAGGGACTCAAGCAAGCAAGGAGTGCCTGGTCGAGGTGCAACGCCCCGTGTACGGCTCGAGTTGCAGGTCAGGTCGTACCTTTCTATAAAATTCCCTGACGCAAGATGCCGTGACGGTCCGGAAGAAAGGGAGGGAAAGGTCCTGAAATAAGAGCCGATGCAGTTGCTGGACCGAGAGGCAGGCAGGTAGCCGTTAGTGGCTGCTCTGGCCGCCTGTTCTTTGCCCCGAGGATAGCTGCATCGTCGTGCGCCGTCGTGTTCGTCTTTCGTCTCTTGTGTTGTGCTGTGCTGCGCTGTGCGATCCGGCCTTTGTGTCAGGCCGCCCGCCCTCGTGTTTCTCCTCGCTGCCATATTACGAATCTTATGTAGTCTGATATCTGCGGACCTCTCTCGCGTTGCCGTGCAGAATGCTCGGCTCGGCTTTTGAACCAGGCTCTAGCCAATTTAACCGCACCGATATCTCGGCCGTGCGTCAAAGCACAACGCCAGAGGTAGTACAATACATACAGCCGGCAACCTGCGCGGGGATGAGCCATGTACGTACTCTGTTTATTTGGGATAGCACTGCAGATCTAGATTGTTTTAGTTGCCCATTGCACTACGAGAGTGGATGAGGGCGCAGATCAAGAGGAACAGGCAGAGCAGCCAGGGCTAGTGCGAAAGAAGATTTTTCAAGAGAGGCATGGACGGCCGGCAGAGGAACCTCGGTTTCTTGAGAAATTAAGGCTAAGAAAAGAAAGGAAAGAGAACCGCACACCTACCTGAGGCTATTCCCATGTGCATAATGACGCATGTAAGCTACCAGGTCTCTGAGTTAAGTAGCTTACCTAGCACCTCTGGGAGACAGGGTGGCCCAGTGGCCAATTCTGAGTTGGTGACACCAGGCCGACTCAGCATGGCCTGTAAAGCGTGGCAGGCATGTGCCGTGGTGGTGCTGGAAAAAAGGTCTAATCCCCGCTATTTCCCTCTTAGGGCATGAACCTCTCTCGTCGGGCGTTTGTCCTACCCCTCATTCTCCTGCCTTTGGCTTTGCTGGTACGTAGTCTAAGAGACGGAATTGCTCCCAACCGAGAAAGAAGGTGGTCGCGATAGCTGGGGGTCGAGAGGAGCTACCTATGGCCATTTGTAAGTTTTGTAAAAGGAAAGATCATGGAGGGGTGATTCGATATTTCTTATGGATCATTTCTAGCCGTTGTGGTTGGCTGGTGGTGCTTAGCGTGTCATTATCCAGACGCCTAGGGTGTGGCCCAAGATCACAGCCTGGGCAGCCAAGAACCTAACAAGTGCGCGCTACTTACATTAGGTAATAATCAACTTGCCACTCAACTTCCAAGCTACCTACGTTTCATACTCCGAGCCTCTGGCCGGCCCACACATCACCGGTTTCGTATGATTTCTTGTTGGTGAGCTAGCCTAGGTTTCCGAGGTGGCCGGAGTCGAGCCAGAGTGATTATCGCGCTTTTAATTATGGAGTAGTTTCACTTTCATATGAGAATTGAATTGGCCAAGGGCGCAAGTTTGTTTCAGACGAGGTCAACTGAATCCGAGCTTCAATTTGAGTCTTGAATCAGCTTTTTTGTTCGGAGAGTCGCCAGAGGCAGCGCATAGCCTCGCTCATTCCCACGGCCTTGCATCGGGTCGTTCAAGATTGTACCTAATACCTAAAGGGCATATTTGACGGATCGCACCGTTTTCAAGACCTCGGGTCAGGAAAGCTGAGGTCTGGGCTGAGCAACTTTGTTGAGATAAATAGCCAACGTCCCACGCGCCATTCCATTCGCGTTATCCTGCGCTTCAATCGAGTCTGTCCGTTGTCCAGTATCTATCAAACACCCAACTCCAATCTCTCTGGCTTTCCCCTCGTCCATTTGAAAGATAAAGCAATAAGAACTTGACCCATAGTACCTAAACCCTGCTTGCTACCGCCTCTTTCGCACCAAACGCCGTCTAGTTTTAAAAAACTGCCTCGCACCCGCCCGCACCATGGCACAGCATCAAGAGCAAGGACCTTATGATTACTTATTCCTATTGAAGCCACTCAAAGGATCCCCACAAGCCGAGAAACTCCTAGCGGACAACCTGAACAAGCGACATGCTGAAACAAGGGACCTGATTAAGCCGCCTGGTTCGAAAACAACAAACTTGACAACCCATTGGGTTGAGACCTTCTGCTCCAAAATGTCTAAGTACCCAGGCCGACTACTGTCATTTGGTAGCGACCCGAATAAACACGACATTGCAATCCCACTAGAAGAATATGACGGACACGAGTACTTTTTTCTCCTTGATCCCGATTCTGGAGATCTTTCGTTTCACAGCAAAGGAACTTCGAGTGACGGAACCCCCACTCACACTATTGTTGAATTTGAAACTGGTCCTAGCAAAATCCTCCACTTTGGCAAGAATACTATATTCTCCTTTAGCATTCAATGGAGTCAGAAACACTGCCCGGACCACGACTCCGAATTCCAGGACCTCTGGTCACGAATAACAGCAGCGAAGCGGTTCGAGGCGGCAAGTTTGAAAAACGGGTTGACTCTAAGGAGTTTTACCAGCGCGGGGAAACCAGCAGTACTTGGTGACATCTACACCTCGACGGAACACATGTTGTTTGAAAAGACGATGAGATTTTACGCCGTGAAGAAGCAGTTGCCCTTTCCTGAGGATAGAGGAGCAAGTCCTGACGTTGCCAAGAGGAGGCTGGACAGAGAATGTGCAATCCACAAAGCCCTCCTTGGAAAATCGGTCAGTATTACACGCAATCTACCTTGTGTGGCTACATTTTCCTTTTCCTTTTTTTTCCCCTTTTACTTACTTACAGCCGTGTCATCACAGGACAACATCATCAAGTTCCACATGTTTATCGGAAGCGCAACTAATAACCTCGACGACGTGGTGACCGATGCGCTTGTGTTCGACGCCTATCCGCTCAACCTCGAAACCCTCATCGTCTCTTCAATTACTCACAACGCAGCTCCTCCCATGCACAACTGCTCGCGTCCGTCTAGTAAGCCCCGCAAGAGTTTTGCTGAGGATTTGCTTCTGGACTGCCTCCAGGGCCTCAAAGCCCTGCACGAGTCGCGTATCGTTCACAACAATATCCGACCTAGCAGCATAATGGTCAGAGTAGTGCCAGGTCCGGGCCCGGATCATGTCCCAAAGTACAGCTTCTCCCTCGGGGGCTTCGGGTTTGCACAAATTATTACAAGTGGTGAGACCGGGGGTCTAGGCCTATTTGCGATGGACCAGGACGACAGCCACTTCCATGCGCCAGAAAATGCAATGGGGCTTGTTGCTAGTAACTCTGATATCTGGAGCCTCGGTGTACTTATGGCCAAGGTGCTGCGCCTTACGTGTGAGAGAGAGCACAGGCAGGAGGAGGGAAAGTGGCTCGACAAGATCCAGAACCTGGTGAAAGACGGGCATTCTTTGACGAGCGCCGCCTGGCGCAGAGAGTACCCTCAGCTGACCGACTTTAGACCCATAATCTCCACAACGACCGACTCCGAAAGAGCTAAAGAGACACGACATATGATCGTCCGGTGGGGCAGGCGGATGGCCTGGCTCGCCGAACAGAAAGGTTTCCTCCCCCCCTTCTTCAAGTATATGCTGATCATAGACCATGTAAAACGTTACAATGCGGCCGAGTGTCTCCAAAAGTTCAAATGGTACATTGAAAATAAACTGCTTTGGACTGGAACATGGGTGGAAAATCTGGGTGTGGAGGAGATCAAGGTGGCGAAGGGCAATGGTCCACAGATGATAGATGGCGCGAATTTTTATCCGTCTTATTAAGTTACTAAGGCAGGTAGGTAGGCAGGGTAGTAGTCGGGGTAGCGACAAGCAAGAGAATAACACCTGGCAATATGGTGATATGCTGGAACAGAGTCTGCGCCAGTCGGCCGACAGAGACTTGGGCATGATGGGCCGACAGGAAGGACGGAGGTTCGGTACTATAAATAGAGCATAAAGCGCCGTGAGCTTGGATGACAGCGAGGGCGGCCATAAACAGCCACATACAACATCTCTGTGCGGCAAGATGGATGGAAATGCGAATGTTTCTTCACGAAAAAGGAGTCGTCATCGCCTGCGGCAGGAGGTATTTATTTATGTATATCCGAGGAGATGCCATCCATGTGCAGAGCTCCCTGGTCCAAACCATACCTCTAGTAAACACCCGCCTCCCACACCCAGTCCTGTATCGTTCAACGGGTAGTCAACCGCGTATTGTAATTTATAAGCATATATCCTCGGGAACCTGACTCCGACTCCACGAAATGTTCTCCGTTCCCAAAACCCATAACCCAAAACCCAATATCACCCCCACCATCAAATCACAGGCCTGTTCCCTTTTTCTCTCTCCCCCTCTACGGGCTAGCCGCTACCTTTCGCTTTGCCGATGAAGTGTGCAACTGACAAGATAGTCACGGCTCCGTGCCATCCTCCCACCGGTGGAGGACGGCATACCGATTTGTCATACTGCTGATGATGCAATTGTAGTATGACAAGACATGGCATGATATGGCATGGGTCATGTCTCTTAAAGATGAACCCATCGAATGCTCTCAAATTCCCTCTGGATGATCTTGTTGTCGATGATCACTTTCAGCTTCCAGCGCGGTACCTCAGGCAGCGGCAGAGGGCGCATCGGCGCGGCAGCAGTAGGGAGGACCATCTTCTCCTCTTTAGCTTCGCCTTTGCCTTTGTCGCCGTTGTTCATGGCAGTGTTGGTCATGATGGAAGTGTTAGCCAGATAAGTGGCCACCTGGGCGATGCTATCACCACCGTTGTTGTCAGTGTTTTCAGTGGTGGTTGTCTTCTGACCCTCGCCATCGGAGGAGGTGCCGCTCGCCTCGGCGGCGCGGGCGCGGGCGAGCTTGAGGGCGGCAATAGAGGCCCTGATAGAAGCCAAGTGAGCCTTGGGGTCAGCATTTAGCGTCTCGAGGAGCTTCATGGCCTTGTTATGGATGGCGAAGAACCAAAGCGAGGCGTAGACGCGGCGCTACTGTTTGCTGATCTCAGTGTTGTCGATGGCCGGGTAGCCGCTGACTTTGCGGCGGGCACCGGCCGAGGGCAGGGTGAGTTGAATTCGACTGCTGCCGCGGCGTTGGTATCTCATGAGGACACGGCGCATATTGTGGTGTTGGGCTAGGAGAGTAACGCTACGGAGAGCCTGCTCCTCGAGGCCGCTTGCGGTGTAGACGTATTTTCCCAGCGGTGAAGGGACATAAGGCTTAGCCGGAGCCATGTCGAATGTCGAATGCCCCGGCTGGAAGGATAGAGTGACAATCTGGGCTTGAGGGCTTATTGCTGAGACTGGAGATGCGGCTGTTGAGGTTTGCTTTGTAGAGCGTACAAAAGCCAAAGTTGAATAGGTACAGGGGCTAGCGAAACCGGTGTCCTCGTTAAGACATATTAGTTGATATTGCGCACGGACATCCGATCCACTTTTTGGGCTGACACAGTGCATCTGCGTCTAAGTAATGTACCACACTGTACTCTGTTCTGGCAGCGCCTCACGGCATTCTAGTGAACAAGGCACGCCAACTAACTCGTTTTACAGGCGATAATTAGACTACACAGCGATTGATCACGAAGGCACTGGAATGTTCGGGCTCTTTTCTACACAGAAGTATTAAATTGTGAGATGCCCTTGGATCTGTAGAAGGGAAGAGAGAAGAAGAAAAAAAAAGTATGTGTTGCCAGTGGCAACACCGTCCCTGACCAGAAAGTGGGTCCAACGGCACCACTGCAGCGTCTTAGGCCTGCAGGTGTCACCAGAACGGTGGCCCTGCAAGGAACAACAATCAAGTAGTCCTCAGTTCTCCCTGGCCGCCGAACACGATCCGTTCCGTCGACATACCTGTGCCGTCGTTTTGCTGGGTGTGGCGCTGTGAAGCATTGTTGTCCGTTTAAAGTTTGGCGAGGGACTGATCGACGACTTCCACAGGGCAGGGGGGGACGGTGATGGTGCAAGGACCTCCCGCCCGGCATCCACACGAACCGAGCTATTTTTAGCGCCCGACAAGTGGCCCAGATTAGGGTCATGGCCAGAGGCCTTCGAGCATCTTTGACCTGGCGACACCCTCGCGACACCATCGCGACGCCCTCGCGACGCCCTCGACTTCCTTGATGAATGCCGCCACTCAAGACATCAATCATGGATTCCCGCACTCTGCAAGATCAGCCATTGAGCCAAGACGACTCTTACTCGTCATTCAGATTGGCCGATTGGTTGGTGCAAGACGCGATCGACACTCGTAGCGAGCAGCTCTCTGCGCCAACTCCTACGAGCGAGATCGAGGCCGTTCACGATAGGATCGCAGTTCACCATAGTCTAGCACGGGATCGCTCGGGCTCGCTACCGCTCCTTCAACTGGCCGACTGGAGCGCAGACGTGGCCTATAACGAATGTCCGCCTACATGCATCCACTACTCAATTGAGTGGAAGCTGACGGTAAACGGTAGGGTTGCCGCGAAAGACACTGAACAGAACCTCGTGCTTGCCCCTAATGCATACTGGGATGTGGCCCTGCGCTCTAAACTGGACAAACTCCTTAGGAAGAAGCTGCCGTCTAACAAGGCCTTCAGGGCTGATGACACGAACGTAGTCCTCTCTATCACGGACCGTTCGGAGCGGGACCTCGTGAAGCGCTTTGACGAGTTGGATATTGACTGGGACGTTCTAGAGAAACAGCTCGAGGCCTGGGGCCAACTCTTCCGCGCCGGAAAGAAGCTCAGAATGGACATATCGTTTAACTATCTGGAGACAGGCCCGGCAGCGGGCGTTTCGGCACGGCACGGCGCCAAACGCGGCCCGTCGGCCTCTCAGCACATGTCAACCGAAAGAGCCATGCAGCTGGACGCCGAAGAGGACGCCTCGGGCCAGCCGTCGGCCTGGCGAGACGTCTACAGCCTGATGCGATGCCCCGGACCGCCTTGCCACCTGGGACCCCACTGCTGGCGCGACCCTGTGAGTATGAAGCATTACAAGCTGAAGACGCATCATCTGAGGAGCATGATCAAGAGAGTGGAGCAAGGCCACAGAATGCAGACCCACGATGACTTGCCGAGGGACATCCGGGAGCAACTATACGCCGAGGAGCATCAAGATTTGGAACGGCAGCGGAAGCGGACGGCATCTTCTCCAGCTGGCTATCCACCTATCAACATCACCAACGTGATGCCAGGACAGTCCCCGCCGGCCGAGGCCTCGTATTCCACGGTTTCCACGCCGGCATCTAGAGCTTCCGCCCGTCTCGACATCCCGGGACTTCGGGACATGGCCGTTAGGAGATACAGCGATTGGCAGTGTTCGCAAGTAGGAGATGAGAGTCTCAAGACGGAGTATCAGAAGGCTTGCGATCTAACGCTGGACGACGGGCTGGATCTTGAGCAGGTGTATGAGGACCAGGACGCCCAGTTTTACATCGACAAGGGGGTGAAGAGAGGGATTGCCCGGCGATTTGTTTGTGACATTGAGGTTTGGGCAACACATTACATATAAGTAGGGAATGTAAACAGCAAGTACGCAGGTCGTGACATAAAATGAAGAATCTAATAATGCTATAGCTACGGCTGTTGAATGCAAAGTCCAGCATGCCGAAAGTGACCCTCGGCACTATGCTCCCTGGCGCCCACGGTGTCCACACACCACTCTAGAAACGCCCCAAAACCCTGCTGGGGAACCTCCTCGAAAGCATGCCAGTTCCGCTTTATAAATGTCTTTAGCTCGGCAAAGAACTCTTCGATGGGGTTCAAGTCGGGGGAGTAGGGCGGCAGGTATAGCAACTTCACTCCAGCGGTGCTACACAGCTCCTTCACTCTGTCCGAGCGGTGGAAAGACGCATTGTCCATGATGAAAACCGACTTCGGCTCGGGCCATCTGCCGCAGTGAGGCAGCAGCTGCTCGATGAAGTCCTCAAATACGGAGCTGTCAGTAGGCCCTTGAAACACACGTGCAAGAACCACGCCGTCCTGGGCGTAGGCTGGCAAGATCTGGTGTTTTTGATCGCGGTGGAACCGAGCGACCTGGACAGGCGTCACTCCTGACGGCGACCATCCAGTCCGCCTGAACCCAGCCAGCTTGTCACAACCAGACTCGTCAATATATACCAGGTGGTAGGATCGGAATTCGGACAGATTGTGGAGGTAGAAGTCTCGCAAGTCTGCGTTTCGTTCCTGTGCGACGCGGCGCGCCGTCTTCTTAGACCAGCCAACGGAAGCCAGCGCCCTCCCAATGCTGAATTGCGTTACCAGGACGTCGAATTCGTCCAGGAGGAACAGGATCATCTCGTCCTGGTACATGCAGGGCTTCTCGAGGAGGCGGTCGAGCAATGCGTCTAGCATCGGAGGCGTGATGCTTCGAGGCCGTCCGCCGCCGTTCGGTGGTGCTTTCGTGGTTCCAAAGCATTGAAGGTTCGCTCGGATCCTGCGAATGCCGCGCGCACTGCAGCCGGCAACATCAGCCATTTGACGATCGGTGAGCGACCTACTGAGAATCATGTCCCGAATGAGGATATGCTGGGAGAGAGCGAGATTGGGCGCCATGCTGCTCTGTGTGTTGAAGGTCCCAAATTTGCTATTGTCCCTTGACCGACTATCGCCATCAGCCCTTGCTAATGTTTTTGACACGTAGTCCACAGGCGGTCACAGCCAGAAATAGCAGCGACTTGGTCTGTGCCCAGCAGTGGCCTAAAATGGACTCGGCGCTCCCAGGAGCAAACCCACTGCGCTGCACAGACAGTGCAAGCACACATTCAAAACAAAAAACATGCAAATCCCGGATTGCAATTGCACACTAAGTGCGTGGCCCGACGTTAGACAAGTTTCCGCTTCGCAGAGACATGATGGTCGCAGCGCAACCCCACATGGACATCGAGACCGACGCCTTCAAAGACTCGACACAGTTGACTTTGACCTTTTCCCGGCGCGTCTCGAGATGGAGCGGCAGAGCACTAAGTCTCTCTTGATTTGCTGAAGTGCGAGTGCGGCGGCTGCTCACAAGGTAATGGGAGGATAGATATGCGAACGACGTACAGGTTGTGGCGGACTGAGCCTAGGACACCAACAGCCCGCTGCAGCCTTTCGTCTCCCCGCCGTCATCCTCTGTCTTCGGCTCGACCGGCAGGCCTATCTCCCCTTCCATCTCTCGCCGCTGCCCGGTCATCGTGTCTTTCTGAAAACAGCTCACAATGCCTGGCGACCAGATCCGCCTGCTCGCCCTCGACGGCGGCGGCGTGCGCGGCCTGTCGTCGCTCATGATCCTCCGCAGGCTCATGGCCGCCGTCGACCCCGCGTCCCTGCCCAAGCCCTGCGACTACTTCGACATGATCGGCGGCACCAGTACCGGCGGCTTCATCGCTGTCATGCTCGGCCGCCTGCGGATGACCGTCGACGAGTGCATCACGGCCTACACCTCGCTGTCGGACAGCGTGTTCGAAAAGAAGAGCCACCGGGTCAACATCAAGGGCCAGTTCCAGGGTCGGTTCGATGCGGGCGCGCTGGAGCGCGCCATTAAGGAGATCCTTCGAGATCGCGGTCTCGGCGAGAATACGCTCCTCGAGGACGTTGACGCGCCGTGCAAGGTGTAAGCCGACTTCGTCTCTTGTCCGATGCACGCTGACCTGTCAGCTTCGTCTGCGCGACGAGCAAGCAGACCCGCCACACCGTGTGCCTAGCCAGTTATCGCTCCTCGCACAGCGACAATTCCGACCTTCTCAATTCGACCACGATATGGCCTGCCGCGCCACGTCTGCTGCCACAACCTTCTTCAACCCTATTGCCGTCGGGCCGTTCGGCGAAGAATTCGTTGACGGTGCGCTGGGCGAGAACAACCCGGTGTATTCAGTATGGAATCAGGCCCAAGATGTTTGGGGCGATCAGCTGCAGCGCAAGCTTCAGTGTCTGGTGTCGATCGGGACGGGCATGCCGAGGCTTGTGCCGGTGCGCGACGACGCTCTTGGCATCTGGGCGACGCTCAAAGACCTCGCCACTGAGACAGAGATGACGGCGCAGCGGTTCCACCATGACAAGTCCAGCTTGGATGTCGAAGGGCGCTACTACCGCTTTAACGTCGATCGCGGGCTGGAGGAGATTGGACTCGAGGAATCCAAGAAGACGGCAGAGATTGCAGCGGCGACGCGGCTTTATACTGGGACTCAAACTGTATCAAAGCTGATAAAGGCGTGCGCAAACAATTTGGCGAGACGAGAGTGTTAGTGTTGTTATGCCTTAATATATGTTCCGGTCTTTCCAGTACATCCGCCTCTTCTATTCGCTAATGCTCTGGCATTGCTCGTGCGCCAGGCCCAGGGCGTGGCCGAGTTCGTGCAGGGATTTGTAGCCAACCTCGATGCTAACCGTCTGCTTTCCGCCGAGCATACCAATGCCGCTGCTGCTGCTCCTGGATGCTGGGTCGTGGATCAATATATAATTTGCCTCGCTACGGTGCTCGACAAAAGAGACGCCGGCTGCTTTCTCCCACTTGGTCATGGCGTCGCGGACATCGCTCTCATATGGATAGCCTGACTCGAACTCGAAGGGGATGCGCCTGTACTTCCACAGGATTGCGCCTCCCTGAATGGCAACCATGATGGGCGTGTTCCTTAAGAGAATTTGTATGCTTTATATCATTAGCATTGCGAGATACGTGCAGTCAAGCTTGTACTCCCGAGTCATACCTCTAGTAGTCTCACAGTCCTTTTTTTTCTGTCGGATACGGCAGGCGGTTGACGAACAGGTGGACAATGAACGCGTGTATCGTCTTGTCGTCCTTTGTCCAACTACCTCTCCTAATGTCTTAATGTATGCCAATTTTGCGGTACTGTAATTACCTAGACAATTATCTACCTGTTCCGGCGACGCGCGTTAGACTGGTCGACAGCGGTTAACAGCGGAATGACGTGCTCAAGCTGTGCATGATTGGTACGGAGGTTCATTTCAAATGAATGTCTTCACCGCCTTTAAATTACAGTGGACATAGGCCATAATTCTGCCAAGCAGAACCACTGCAATTTAAAGGCGGTGAAGGTATTCATTTGAAACGAACCTCTGTACAGGACCACAGGGCAAAGAGGGGAAGATGAGCTGTTTCTTTGCCCAGCCTTGCTTGTGAGATCCGGCGTATGCCTTAGGCATCCCGAAAGTGCCGCAAGAGGACCCAGTCGCGGCACGCGCGCTCGAAAAACCCCGCACACAGGCAGGCCGAAATGAAGGAGAGGAAAAGACTGAATGAAACACGGAATCCTAGCATTACTATCTAAAGCTTGATTGTCACATCTGTTCACTCCCATCAAAGAAGTGTTTCAACGCTGTCTTGACGTGTACCCACTAGCCTCGAGCGTGGTGGATTCAAGATGGCTGCCGTACCCGTGAATGACACTGTCGATCGGATGAGATCAGCGAGGAAATCGCCTACTCTTGGATGGGATGTGGCCGTCAACTACGGGTAAAAAAGCGATTCAAGCACTGGCCGAGAGAGACCATCAAGCTAATCTCCATATTCTATCAGGAGAACGGAGATCAACGTTATTCTTGCCTCGGCACACAAGACCGATACTGCTGGGGAAAAGGCCATTTCCACCATTTCTTGGTAAGTTAGGCCACCAGGGGTGCCTTTTTCTTCTCCTCCAAACGACGAGCAAACTGATCTTACGTTTTAATCTAGCACGGTGACAGACACAAACGAAGACGGTGACGACTACGACATCAACTACGAGTTTAATCTGGGTCCTCCTACCATCCAATTCGTCGACACTCGCACCACACCCGTCTGTGATCTCACCATTGACATCGTGGGCGGGAAGGCATGGACTAAAAAGAAATCTCTCGATATCACGAGCGGTGTGTACACGCTGCATCTTGACAACTTCGAGCTGGCCACTGCCAACGGCGGCAACGACTCTACGAATTACACGGATGCCGCAACGCCTTTCGTTTTCCCGGCCGACAATCCAACCGATGGTGTGGTCGTTATCGATCTCCCTTCGTCCAAGAGCCTCGCCGTCACGATTGACACCAACACCACATCGAACACTGTCGTCTTTATCGAGAAGCACAAGAGCCAGATCGGCGATAGACTCAAGGCAAAGTTGCGCACGGACTACTCCTCGGTCCGCCTGGAGCTCGCCCGCGTGGCTTCGTCCCCGCCGCCCTCGGCCGACTGCGTCCAGCTCCAGCCGAGAAGCTTCATGTTCACAACGTACAATCCTCCCAGCTCCTCTGGCTCCGAGGTTCTCCTCAGCCTCCTCATCCAGACCCGCGACGGGAACAACCCTGGCGTGAGGGAGGATTTGGCCGACGCCTGGAACAATCGCTGGCGACACGACCTCGGATGCTCGCCCGTCTCCTCGGGCCATACGGCGAGCATCATCTTTAACAAGCAGATGATTCATGACAGCATGATCAAGCCTACTCTCAAGGACCAGACTTTTGACAGCACACTCGTGGACACGGAAGGCAGTCTCGAGATATCCGTGTCCACTGGCAAGAAGGTGCATCGTGATCGGTACTACAAGCACAGAGATAACATGGAGGAATGGACCGTCTCCGAAATCAATGTTACTCTGCCCGATCTCCACTTACAACTTCATGAGGTTCGCACATTCTACTTTTCGTTCGACATATCCGGCCAAATTATCATCTTATCACTAATTCACTTATAGACCCCTGAGCACAAGGCTGAATGCTATGGTCGCTGGAGTTATCAATATAGCTTCGATTGGTCGCACTACATCGCAGGCGAATACCCTGTTAACGAATATGGTTCCGTCACAGTTACTAATGACTTGAACAAGGCCTTGAGTATCTTTACCATTGCTGACGACGACACTATCGACGTTCAATGCTCAATATCAAAGGCGGATTGGACGGTAGAAATGACTCCCGACGATCCAAGCTTTTGGGACGCATTTACCGGTAAGAGAAAGGTGGTCCCAGACTGGGTCAAAGATCTTTGTCCTGAACTTCCGGGTTTCAACATCAATCTCGGCAAACTTTACTTCTTCCGGACCACCAATCTCCTAATGCCGACGCAGAAGATTATCAGCATTGATCGAGGCGTTGGGCTTCATGTCCCGCAGGATTTTTATCTCATCGGGCAATTGGTTGGAGCTTAGGCTTTGAGTCTATTTCCATTTTTTTGTCTAGCTTCGCTTTTTCAGTTTCGATTATCAGTCGCCATTATCAATCCGCCCAATTCTAGAAATTGTTTCTGTGATCTATAAGGCCTAGAAGGTCTGCAGTTCAGTTAGCCCCTTAGTGAGGAACCCAACATCGCCTGCACTTGCCACTGGAATATATCCCTCGCTAGAGTGAAGCGTTAGTAGAAGTGTGGGCCATCAGCGTCGGCCGCCGGAACGCTTCGCACCCGGAGTGCGTAAATGTCAGATACCTTACCGACCTCTAGACCAACCTCCTGGCCAGTCACCTTGCCAGCCATGGAGTTTAGTCCGTGTTGGCCTCCTGAGATTGTATGTTTATTCAGAGACATCTCCCTTCTAGAAGGGAGAGCCAAGGAATACACAGATAGAAGACACAGAGAGATGGAGAACAGACAACTTCACAGAGGCAATATACATCAGAATATCTGACAGTGATCAACCAACCATTTCCAACTGTTGGAGCCGTTAGATCCCCCAACTATGGATCCGACTCGACTGATATCTCGCGCCCCATGCTTGGAAACCAGCCAATCCAGAGGTCCAGTTGACTAGGTTTGAATCCAACTAGATCCTACGTGTCCTCAAGCCCAGGGGCCAGCGGGATAGCACCGTACTTGGGCCCCGCCCTGGTCTTCCCAGTTTGACTCTACTCACCGCCGTTGGCCCATGACCGGCCACCAAGGGAAACATCCACCTAAGCCTGACATGAAAACCATGGCCGCTAACATATCTTGGCAGAGATCCGGAGCTTTGCCAATTGCGCGCAACGCGCCGGATCGCGTAGCGGTTACCTAACGCGTCAATTGTCCAATCCTTAAGACCAGCTTCAACAATATCTTTAGGCCGCACGTCCGTCTCGGCCTCAACACAGACCATCCACTCCTCTCCCGTCAGCTTCATACCGATCACTTTGTCGTAAGAAAGCTCTCCCGAAAGCGCAGTCGATGGGACTCATACAATAGGCGTAGTTAACTACCAAATCTACTTCCCAAAAACGTCAGCGATTTTGGCGTCCCATTGCGCCTTGGACGTGTCATTCTTTTCATCCTCGGCCGCGCTATCGCTCTTGTCCTTGGCGTCGTCCTTTTGTGACTCAGTCGTGTTCTTCTTGTCCTCCTTGTCGTGCTCGTCGCTCTCGGCCTGGTCGAGGTCCTTCTCGAGCTGATCCTTGCGCGCCTGGTCCCGCTGCGCGGCCGCGTTGTCGCTGTCCTGCTTATCCTTGGCAATCTGTTTGTCCACCTCGTCGATTTGCGCCTGGATGTCCTCCCGCTTCTTCTTGGCGTCCTCGTACTCCTGCTCCGCGCCGTCGTAGGCTCTTTCCTTGGCAGCGTAGTCGGCCGCGTAGAACGAGCTCCGATCACTGAGGACGGCTGCGCGGTCGATTGGATCGTAGGCCGACGTCGAGGGGCCCATCTCGGCTATCTTGGGATCGGCCTGCAACGATACCTTGGCGTCTAGCACCTGCTTCTCCAAGTCGTTGTAGACAGGCAGGTAGGACAGTGGGTCCACCGCCTCGTCCACGGCAGGCAAGATGCGACTGCTCACGTAGCGGCGCACCGAAAGCTCAAAGGCGGGCTTGGTAATGTCCGGCATGCTCTGCACGACCTGGTCAGTCGGCTGGGCGTTGTAGTCCCGCGGGTTGTCGTTGAGGTCCTGATAGGCGCTCGCGAGTACATCGTTGGTCACCCTCTCGCCGGCATTCCGGAAGTTCACCGCGGGCGGGTCGCAGTTGTGCATAGCGAGAGCCCGGTACTCGACCGTGGCCTCGTTGAGAGCCCGCACCGTGCGCGTCGATCTTCTCTCGCGTACGGAGTCCCGGATCCAGAGATAAATCTGATAGCAGGCCGCCGCCCCGCCGATGAAGGTGAAGGTGTTGGAGACCCAGGGCCAAATCAGGTCCCACGCCTTAAAAATGGGCGACTTGTCCGACCCCGTTTCGCAGAGAGGCATGTTGGCCCAGCTTCCTGAGATGTCAGCTTTATTGCGGGTGCCCTAGAGAGTGTAAGTACCGTAGCTATCGAAGGCGAGGAGCGCCACATTCTCCTACTGACCGTGAAGCTCACTGTGGCAGTCCCTGCGTCGTCGTCATAGGTGCGTGAAAAAGAGATGCTCACGTCGCCGTCATCCGTCGTGGTAAACTTGAGCTTGCCACCCGTGATCAGGGAGTAGTCAACCACATGGTTGTCGGGATCGCGCATGAGTTTCCCTCGCGGGCCCCAATAGACCTTGCCGGTCGTTGAGAGGATCAGCAGTGCAAGCGGGTCGGAGTCTTGGGTAGTGGTCGACTCGTAGTACCCATCCCAAGTGACAAGATCAAGCTCTCCAGAACTCTTCAGTCCCTTGACGAGATTGTCAAACTCGTCACTCGACAGCGTCAGGTCGTCAGTCTTCAAATTGGCGGCGGACACGGCGTCCTGGAAGATCTTCTTGTCGTTCTGGACCACGGCACTGTAGATAGCCGTGGCCAGGTCATTATTGCGAAGCAGCCCGATGACCTTGGCCGCCTTGGTTGTCATGGTGAAGGATGCTGGGTGAAGGCTACTAACTCTATGGGCCGGTTATTTGCTTCTATGTGCAGCTCGCTTGAGAAGCAGAATAGCAGATACGTACCCCCTCAACTGGCAGGTAGGTGGCAATCACAGTCTCCAAGGCACCGAAACGTGTTTTCCAATGTCATTGGTTCGGCATCTACCAGGTGATTGGCCTTGACGTTACGCAAGCGGGGCACATCGAGGGGAATATGGTGGGGTCGCAAGATGGTTCAATCGACGGGGTTGGGCAGCATCGCAGGAAGGGTGGAGCAAATATGGCTGACTTTTCAAAACCTCGGGCTTACCCGGCTAGCAACGGAACTTCCCCGGCTTGTTCCGTTGCCAGCCGGGTACTGCATCCTCTCTGGACTGCTCTCCCTGCTCCGTCACCCAGCTTCTATTAGCTTCCCCAAAAAAAAGAGGTCGGCCGGTTGGCCCATGTCTGCCGCGGTGCTACTTCGTCCCTCTTCAGGAAGCCATCGTTGACGATACTCATTGCCCCACCCACCAGCGATGACTTCGCTGCCACCCGACCAGTCCCTTCGGATCCAGACGCTGAACCAGCGTCGTGTCCTGCTCTCTGTGGCCGAGAGAGGCATCACCATAGGCGATGGAACACCGGACCGCGACTTTTCCAGCTTTACCAACGGCGTGCACTTTTTTGCCGAGAACGTGGCCGTGACCTCGGACATTTCTGCGCCTTATGGGATAACCATCTCGGCCTGGGAGTTGGCTTGCTCTGATGGTGGGGCTGTGCTGAAGGCGACGGGTCTTGATGGCCAGGAAGACGGCGATGCCCAGCACCGGGACGGGGGGCCAGGAGGCCCCATGGCCCTGTACATTCAAAACCTCGACGACTCCACGTCCACACGGCTGACACTGGAAGCCCACGGCGGCGCCGGAGGAAACGTGACGAGTGCCTCCGGTACCGTCGGCGATGGGGGCCATGGGGGTTCCATTCCCAGCGTCTTGCAGCCCACCTACGTTCGCGTGCTAGCGTTTGTCGACGATTACTTCAACCGTAACGAATTCCACTCCGACGACGAAACCCAGTACGGCAACGAGGTCGCCGCCAACAGTTCTCTCTATAACGGGGCCAAGGCAGTGCTGTCCACGGGGCAGAGTCTCTCAGCCACCGACGACGTGATCAAGAGCATCTTTGGCCAGCTCTCGGACGAGATTACAAAGATCGACAACCAGGAGAAGCGCACCGTCCGAGACGTCAAACTGGCCATCGCTAAAGCCAGAAGGGTCATGAAGCAGCTCATCGCCACGCAGCAGTCCCAACTCGCGCCCACAGTAGGGGACATCCGCGGCGGATACCCAGGCGTCGGGGTCGGGGTCGCCGTGAGTGGAGGCAAACAGGGCGCCAATGGCCAACACAGCCAGGTCTTTCTCCAGACTTGGTCTCCAACGGATTTGGCGGGTACTGGGATGGCGTTTGCCCACCCGGTGCAATGTGCCATGCTCCTCACGAGGGCCAACCTCTTCTTCTACATCAACTCGCCCAAGCTTAGGAGCCATGCCCGGAGGCTCTACCAGCGTCTTATAGATCGCCTCAGCTTCCTCCCGCTGCAACCGAGTGATACCTTGCGAACAGCATACGATCAGAGTCCCATCATGCCTTCTACCAGTGTTGATGATCTACAGAACATTGCCACCGAGGCAGCCAACCAGCTGGTTCATCTAAACTCTGGCCTCGTGGTAAGTGGTTCATCTTGTGCTGGCTCCCGTCATGGCGTGCCCCTTGCTAATGTGCCCGCGTGCCAGAACTACTGCGGATTTGCACCACTGTGGGTACCCAGGGCCAGCTACACCTTCTACGACCAGACCGTGGGCGACGCTCTTGATAATCTCACAGCCTTTGAGAACGCATATATCAAGTATAGCGCGGCGCTAGCAAGCCAAGAGGATCTAAACGACCAGGTGAAGCTGGCCTACGACAAGACTTCGAACATTTTGGCAAGTCTGGACGCCGACATTTCCGACCTCAAGAGGCGGCAACAGGACCTCAACCTACATATCACTAACATGACGCCCGTCGTAGAAACGGCGCGTTCGGATCTGATGAAGGCATACAATGCGGAGCTTGACAGCATCAATTCGGCCTTCGGGCTCAGTGTCCCCCAAATGTGCGTTAAGCCCCTTGGGGACGCTCGTTCGCTTTCAGGCACTGACAAACACGGGCAGCATAAATGCCCTCACTATGATTGCCTTCTCTCCCGGAAAGGCAATGGGCATTCTCCAGGCGGGAAGCCTCGTCTATCAGGGTTTTACTTCCATCCCGACCATCGATGGGGTGACCGTGAGCAAGAAGTATCTCGCCTCGGAGATGCGGCAAAGCGAAGCCACAGTTCAGAACGTCTCGGTCGAGCTGCGCACCAAGATAGATGGAGAATACCAGCTGGACGATGCCTTTGCCAAACGCCTCATCTTGGCGAGGGACCAGCTGATGTCACAGCTAGACGAGTTTTCCCACCTGGTTTTTGGTGGCGTCAAGGAAGAAAAAAGCCGACAAGATCTGGAAGACAAGTTTAGTGCCTTTATTGACGCCGTCACAGCGCGGAACGGGCTCATCTTCAAGTACAACATCACGCTAAAGCTTATCCTGTCCAAGCTAGACGAGAAGGCGGTATACGAAACCAAGAAGACAGAGCTAGCGAACAGGCAGATCAAAAACGATGATCCCGACTTGCCGGCCATCACAGCCTATGTGGAGGGAATCTACCAGGCCTCGCGGTCTCGCGTCACTCGGCTGCTTGACATCCTCCTTCGGTCACTCAATTTCCGCATGCTAATACACTCCGACGTGTACGACTACGCTTTCCAAGGCACAGACCCTAACCATGCAGACCACCTCGACGATGTGCCCCTAAGTCTCACGTCGATCGTGCTGCAGGCTGTGCGGGAGAACATCAAGACCAAGTTCAACAAGGAGGTCGAATACTGGGGGTCAGAGCCGGCCAAGTTCCCTGACGACTTCGACAAGGACATTGGAAAACGCTACTTCTTGAACAAGTACCAGAGGAAGGCCTTGCTGGGTGGCGATCATGCGGTATGTGAACCCACCACCACGGCCACTGCTTATGCCGGAACTAAATGTCTTGCTAGGCCGTCTTCACTATATCTCCGGTCTACAAGTACAGCGCAAACGGCGGTGATTTTGTTGGGTGCTGCAACGTGCGTGTGTATAGAGTGCGCTTCCGCTTGACAGGCCTCGCTCCTGCATCCTCGCTTAAAAAGGATGAGGATGCCCTGGTGCGCTTCACACTCAGGCAGGGAGGACGTGAGACCCTTGTCGACCGCTCTAATGCAAAGTTCGAGTTCGACCACGACGAGGTCTCAACCGTGTTTTCCTTCCGTGTCAACGGTGCGGGCGACACGACGCCCTTGGACAATGGGAATATCGCCGGCTCAGACATTGACAATATGGCGACGTCCTACGCGGCCCCCGGTCCGTTCGCAGAGTGGACGGTGGACATGTCGGGGACAGAGTTTGACAAGCTGGATGTCACAGGAGTGACGGAAGCGTACTTGGACTTTTGCGGGACGAATTACGCGTACTCTTGAACTGAAGGCTAAGAGGTATCTTATGTGTCGCCTTGGCAGCCCAACTAAAGTTTCTGACATCAAGAGCAGGGGAGACGGGTATTGGCAGCGGGGCGCTAAAAGCGGTTTTCTTTTCCACAGCCATTCTGATGGGAGGATCACATGGGCTAAGGAGGACGACAGATCTGGACTGCAGTGACGGTACTCTGTATGGATATCTCGGAGGCCAGCCTGGTAAGAAAGGCTATCGGGTAGGGAGTTGCAGGGATATTAGATGCGCTGTAGGCCAATAAACTCCACAATCTCGGCCTCCCTACAAGGGAAGATGTTTTGTAAGGTGAAGAGGCAAAAGAGCCTAACGCCGCGTTAGTGTGCCCAGAGAGACCCAAGCTCGCCGAGGGACGGGGGTCTGGGGGCTGGCCCCCAGATATACAAGGTTTCAATAAGCAAGTAAGAATCAGACTATTGTCATTCTCGATAGGCCCGACCTCCCTTCTATCTGTCTGTCTTGGCTGGAGATGTCTCTGAATAAGGCAGCCCCCCCCCCCCCAAATCGGCCACCCCCTACAATCGGCCACCTGCACCGAAAATGACCCTCCTCACAACAACGCCAATAACGTATCCAATTTTGAGGCTAAAAATATAGAAAAAATATACACATGATGCCTAGATTCTGTTGTTACTCTTCACTCTCTGTCTTCCTCTTTCTAGGCACCCTAAGTCTCCCTGACCTCCTTCGCCCAATCACATTACACAGGGGTCCAGAAAAGTATCCCTATAAGTTTGGTCGACCGGTAATGAGGAATTTGAGCTTCGAGAACGACTTAGATGGGGAATGACAATAGAAATCTTCGAGTTTGTTCAGCAATTGCTGCCTGCTATCTGCATCGCATTCGTCCAGAGCGTCGAGGACGCAAATGATCTCCCCAGAATCCAGTGAGTCGGCACACTTTGACAAAATTTGCCACAGTTGGGAGAAATTCTGGGCCAAAGTCTTGGGATACTGCTTGTAACTCTGAAGTGCATATTCGATCAGGCTAGAAGTAGGACCATGCGTAAAAAGCTGATGGAGTATTGCACATAGAGCATTAGTTGCATGCATACGACTTCCTTCTCCTTCCTTGAAGAAGAAATAACAGACAGTCGATGTCGTAACATTCGTAGATAGTTCGTCGATTAGAGCCTTAGACAAGACGGTCTTTCCACAACCAGGGCCAGCAGAAAACCAGAGAAGACTGGAAGAGCTGCTATCCCGCCATTGGCAAAATTTAACGTCCGTGAAGAACCACTTGCATGTGCCTGAGACCTTCAATGGGATGACGTTTTTGTCGTCTTCGTATTTAGACTCCAGCTGTTGAAGGAGATCTCGCTTGTTTTGGTCATCAAGGTTCCTCTGGGTCTGCTCTTTGATCTCCCCGCGAATTTCCTCTACTAAATGGGCCTTGGAGCATGTCAGTACTGATAACAATGGGCGATGAAACAGAAGAATTATGACTCATCTGGTCATTATACATTTACAGGCTCCTTTGCGATAGTTATATTTTGCTCCAGCAGCTCTCTTCTCAACTCGACGAGACGACCAGTTACTATATCCCAGGACTGGCCGTGGCAATGCTCGATTTTGCTGACTGTATGATGATCGGTCCCGGGAATCTTTGTAGCCATCTCGCCGATGAACCCAGCAGAAACTTGATCCACAACCTGCAACAAAAATTTCAAAAAAATGTTTCGTCTGCTTCATTGGGAATGCTTACCTGTCGCATGCCAACCATTGTCTTAGTCAGGTCGGACTCACATAGACACCGTACAATCGGTTGAGGCGTGATTGTGCTCCAGTCGTCCACGAGTCCGGGAAGCGACGGATTAAAAGGCCTAAGCTCGCTAACTAGTTGGCTTCGCACTCCCCCCACCAAAGAAGCAAAAGCTAGGGTTAAATCCGAGTAGGCTACCAGCTTAGAACCGATATATGGTGTGCTTAGAAACAGCAAACCATAGCGGCCAAACTTGAACGACTTGTACTTATGCTTCAAACGCCAATGTAAGGTCACGGCCAAACGAGCAACGAAGCCGCCCATGGAGTGACATATGAACAAGACCGGACAGTCCTGCTCCTCGGAGGTTCGGATGGATGCTATGGCAAGGAGCAGTGTGTCGGCAAAATCCTTCAAACCCTCATTGATTCTGTTGCTAGCCATCTTGTTTGAGTTGTATCCGAAAGTCATGATGCGGCTTGAAGGGAATTTGTGAGGTAGGTGGTCTCGTAGCCACATATGAGACTCTGCCATCCAAGTGTCGAATGCATGGCCATCAAGCCCATGGACTGCGCAGATGCTGCACGCATGTATAATTAGCTAGATGCTGGAGATTTCGCTGGCGGGTTCACTTGCTCAATATCTACCGGTTCATCGTTTCCTCCATAGAGCATAGTTATTCCATCGAAGCAGTCGTCCGCTCTTGAGAACTCGGCTGAAGGTCTGAACGTTTTATAGGCTAGCGTCTTCTCTCCCTCCGTTCTATATGTGATAGTCGCTGTTTGGCTGTCGTTCTGCCTCGTTATGCTGGTACCCAGTAGTGGTGAAGTGGTAGAATTCGGGTCAGACCTGGAAAATATTCTCCGTGGCTTTTTGCAAAGGTTTACAGCGACCTCTTTCAGACGTTCATCTGTAATGTCAGGATTGACCCCTTGAAACCGCAAAGTCCTGGTGCTCTTCTTCATTATGGTTTCAATATGTGCTTGTAAAGTGCAAATATGAGTAACGATAAATCTGTCCTGATCACAAGCAAGAGAAGAGGGCCTTGGGATGAGGGGCAGGCACTCCGCATCTATAAAGGAAATAATTGTTTATGAAGCTACTTAGTACATTAAGTATTGCCGAGCACGCTAGATAAGTCTAGTAAAGGCTGTAGACAGCTTAGATCGATTGTGCAGGCGTCGGGAGCCGGAAATGGATGAGTGGGCATGTCCTGAGAAAGTCCCGCCAGATCCGGATTAGGTACTGTCGAAATAAGTCCGCACTGGGCAAAGTGGGTCCTGCCCCTCAGTGTCCTTCTATGTACCTGCGAGTACCTGAAACTTTTCAGTCTCAGTGTATATTCTATATATGTCAGCATGGCCGACCATGTATTCTTGAGTCCCGCTGATGCCCACAATAAAGAAGAGGTTTGATTGGAGAGGAAGTTATTTATGCTCATGATGTATCCTACCGTAATGTAATGCTGTAAGACCAAAGTTGACGACCTGTCGAGAGCCGAAGTAAGCAGGCCCAGCCGTCATGCGGGAGCATTAAAAGTGATAGTACATTGCGTCGGATAAGGTGCACTGTGTCAGCCCGAAAAGTGGGGCAAATGTCTGTGCGCAGAATCGACCAGTATGTCTCAGAGAGGACACCGGTTTCGCTAGGCCCTGTATGTTGGGTTGAGTTGCTTTAGATGTCAATGTAGAATGAGCAAAAGAGGTTGTCAAGCTTTGGTAGGACGTTGCTCGGTCGAGCAGGAGACGCGAGGTTTTGTGCATGTTGTGGTGAAAAATTAGGTTGTTCACTCGGGCTGTTCACTTGGTGTGTTTACTTTGGCCGCTCACTTGTTCACTTGGGCTGTTCACTGGCTGGCCGCTCGCAAGCAGACAAGAAGTTACTGGAGAAACAGAACAAACACTAATGCTATTCACTTGAGCTCAAAAGCAGACAAGAAGTGTGACTATTACCGGAGAAACTGGAGAAATAGTAATGCTGTTCACATCAACCCTCAAGAGTGACAGGGGCTTGAATAGCAAGGAGATGAAAAGGCACAAACAACATGGCCTCGTCCAAGTACTAAGACGCCGATGTTCTTAGATTGATAACACAAGACAGCGATATGATAAATATGTGGTAGTAATTTGTATGTCGCTGAAAGCTCTCTAAAGTAGGTATATATTTGCCCATAGACTCCAAGCCCAATGTCTCCCGAATGCTGTTCACACGCCGTCCTGAAGCCGCTAGGTACCTTGGTGAAGCGACCTGGTCCATGTGGCTGGCCAACTCTCTAAGCCTGCAGGCACCCGAGAAAATCGCCATTAATGCTGCCAATAGCCCACATTTGGCCGACTTCGGTTCGCAAGCCGATGACTTTAGCACGGATATGAGTGCCAGGCTCAATGACCATATCGGCGTTGTTAGTGAATTGCGGCGGGGTGGCGTTAGCATCCCATTGCATTTCATCGGGCATCAGCTGTTTCGTGTCAGCACAACCCACTCTGGAGGCCACCCACCATTGTAGAGGAGCGAACATACGTGGGCAGAGACAAATAGTCGCAGGGGGCCGACTTGAGCGAAGAAGCCGTGCTGGTTCACAGAATACGTGATGCCGTCAACCTAGCGATAAGGTTAGAACGCGACCAAATACGCAAAAGGCAAGAAGACTCAAGGGGCAACCAACCACTTCGCCCTTAAATGGTCGCCAGACCACAGCACGATAGCCCACGGTAAACTCGGCAAGACCACTACCAGGAAGAATGCGGCCCTCGGACACGTCAAACGTGTCCATGATCGCAATGATATAGTAGTCGCCAACACATGTACCCTCGACATCCTTGACTAATTTGGTGGTGACTAGCTCGTGCATATTCCTGCCGAAATAGGACGGGTGAAGCGTGACGCGCCGCTCGAGGTTGTGGAGGAAGAACATGTTGAGGTGTCTCGGATTGCTGCGGCCGACGGCTTGGCTGGGAGGAAACGGAAGAGGCCTCAGGCGCCCTAGATTGCCGGCACAGACGCGACCTTGGGCCAGTACCAAGTCGGCACAGTCACAGGGCGCGAGCCGAGTCGGGCAGGAGGATCGCGAGGTTGAAGTCGCAGCCCGGCTTCCTTTGTCGGTCGAAATGATCGCATCGGCCAGCCGGACTGAGAGCGACGAGACGCGCCGCGACTTCGTCTTCGCCTATCTATGCCTTCTTCTTACAAGCCGGAGTGCGTAACTAAGAGACGCGACAGGGAGACGTTGGGTCGCAGGTCGCCTTCTTTCTTTTCACCGTGGTTGAACTTGGAAGGCTTGGATTTTGGATTGGGCGAGGCTGACGCATCTGGCAGTCCCACAGAAATTGTTCAAGCGCGGCGCGACGGCGGCAACTTTAACCTTCTGGTCTGTGCGTGACCAGCTGCAGGAACGGGTCCAGCCCAGGGTCCAGGCTAAGGGAAGCCGCCCAGGTTCTTCTCCGCATTCTGGGGCTAGGCGTTCTTTTGTGCCTGTCTCGAAGTTTGGCAACCAGGAGTCGATATTGGCTAGGTAGGCGAGACGGTCGACTCTGCCACGGTCTCGTCCCTCCAAGGTAGGCTTCTAGGCCTCTCGAGAACACATCGAAGGTTCATTCACTATACCACGCTGGCATTAAAACCCAAACACTTCACGTCGTCGACTTGGAGGAATTACGTTCTGAGAGACCAAAAGCAAGGCACGCAGGGCACCAATATGCAGATATCGAATAATTGAATTATATCTGAAGACAAAATAGCTTTGGGAACTGCCATCCGACTCTTCTTCACGCTTCGACCCAAATAATAGCCTGGCTGCTGTGGCCGGATTATTGCCCGGTTGGCTGGACCTTCGTCACCAATAGCCAGTTGAGACACGTGGGTGCAAGCTCGCGAGCTAGGTAAGCACTGAAAGTTACAAACCAGATTTGAGCCGAACCTATCGGGATTTCGGCGCCATCGCCCTATCATTGCCGCAATGGAACCTAGGCTCGCTGAATTTATCGGCAACATGGACAACCTCACATAACCCTTCCGTCGGTATCGCCGTGGAGTTCAGAAGGTCAGCAGCTGTGGGCACTGGGAAAGGCGCACAGGCCTGGCCCCCCACCAGCCAGCGTTGTCACGCCTGTTTCAAGGTCCAAACCCCTAGCGCCAGAAAGATGGGTACCCAATTGCCCTGGGTGCCGTAAATCGGCCAACACATCACCAGATTACGAACCTAATATCACGCCCAAACCCGACTCCATCACATTGCCGCTCATTTTTTCTTCTTCTCTTGCCCTATTATCTGATCTTTGCCGTCAACTTCTAACAGCGAGATACAGACGTCCCCCATCTCGACCTGGTTACGCGAGTAAAATATCGGGGCAGTTAGGTCCTCGGGAACTTTGAACCTCCCATCTCCTTTCTCAAATCTTCTTTCTCAAATCTCACGCCCGCCTGTTTCCCTGGCTCTGAGACAACCAGCATGTCCCTCCACCTGGAGAAACAGCTTACAATTGTGAGCTCCACCACTCCCATAGGCTTTTGCTTAACCCCTTCTCGGCTCTTCCAGCTGGCTGAGAAGCCGCGACGATCGTCCGTTACACAACCTAAGCTAACTGCTTGCTTTGTACGTAGTATGGTTCATATCACCATAACCATGTGAACAAGGCAATTCACATGGCATGCGTGCCCTTGATACTCTTTTCCGGGTTTGAGATTGTATGCAAGCTCCCTCTTTTAGACAAACCTTGCGGGTAATGGGGAATATTGTTTTTCTTTTTTTTTCTACTGCTAAAGTTCTGACATTTGCTGCTCACCAGGCCTCAAACTGCGGGCCATTTTTTACCCTGCCGTCGTGGCTCCAAATACCGTACCTATATCCAAACCTGGGGACTTTTGGAGCCTTGACATGGGGTGGGCTCTATGTCCTTCTCGAGCCAGTCGCGGGGACTGCCCTGGCGTTGATTTGCCTCGGCGCGGCAGCGGGAACCAACTTCCTCCGGATGGAGAATCCCACGGGCACCACGAAGGTGGCTATCGCAGTTCACGCCGCGTCATGGCTGCTCCAGTTCGTGGGCCACGGCAGCTTTGAGGGCAGAGCCCCCGCCTTGCTGGACAACCTCTTCCAAGCCATTTTCCTTGCGCCCCTCTTTGTGTGGCTGGAGTTTCTCTTCATGATCGGCTACCGGCCCGAGCTCAAGAAGCGCGTCGACAAGGCCGTTGCAATCGAGGTTGCAAAGTTCCGGGCGCGCAAGGCCAAGGCGGCCGAGAAGACGCAATGAGACTGAAAGTTGGTTTGTCAGTCTGCTGCTAACTTGAACACGACCCGGTCAAGGCTGGCAGGCCCAATTCCCGCGAACAAAGTGCTTCGCCTGCTTCGGACCCGCAACAAGGGTGTTTTGAGGATGCCGCCAAGCTCTCGCTCAATCTACGAGATTAGTCTATGGGGTTTACTGAATAATGTGTGTACTATAGTAACCAAGGGATAGCATGGTCGGTGTCTGGTCTACCCCAACTGTTTATTTCTGGTTATCCGTCAAGCATCGCGTGTTTGGAAAGCCCCGAGTTCAAAGAGAACCCGTTGAAGTAGAGAGATAATAACCTGATTTCCTCCGTTAGTTGTCCATGGATTTAAATGTGCTGGGCAAAATTGAGCGTGCCACGTCAAGTGAAACATCCGACCCAGTCATAGTACGTAGTCCATTGGCATTGATGCGACCTGTCTCCAATGAGGAATATCGCCCAGCGTTGCTGCGTGGTGCGAGGTGGTGGTTTCGTTTGTTGCCAAACTCTGAGCCTCCTTTTTCCCGTCCAGCAAAGAGAAATGACATGGACTGCGGAATAAAAAAAACAGCTGGATAGAGAACTGAGCCTTGGTCGGTTCTATGGATCCGGGAACCTGTCACCCAAAACTTACTTCAGGTCACCAATTTCCAGCAACCAGAGGTTCCACGCCCCGCGCTACTACTGCAGTAAGACTTGCGCGCCCGGGCACCATACCTAACGCGTGCAAGCAAGCCCCACGGCAGCTACGCCGTCGCGGCTTATCGCGTGCCCGCCTTCAACCTATCTAGAATAGTCCCCACAACCCCCAAGCTCCCGTCCCGGATACCGCATGCATCGCATCGCATCGCACCACGTGCGTGTCTCGCTTTCACAAACCACAACCAAAAAGCCAAGACGAGACAAGACAGGACATCGCGCGGAGAACACCGTCCAAAGGCCGGCCAGCCAGCCAGCCAGCCAGCCAGTCCGACCTTCCATTTACGTATTTCTCTCCATCTCTCTCCCGCCGTTCGAAATGATGGATTTGCCTGTGCAGATGGCGCTGGGCCTGATAAAAGGTAGGTAACATGTGCCCGCCGCTCTTTCTTTAGGTTCTCCTCGAATTAATTTTCCAGTGTGCGTGTATGGGCTAGCTACAAGCTACGGATGGGTAGGAAAGGAGCTTGCAAAACGGTCCGCTAACTTAACTCTGTTCCCGCGACACAATAGGCGTCCTCCCTAGCAGCGCGGTACAGTTCATCCAAGAAAACCTCCTCGACCCGGCATCGCCCGCGCAAGCCGTGAAGCGCGAAGCGTCGGGCGCTCTATGGGCGATCGGCGCGTCGGTGTGGCCCGTGGTGGCGCCGCTAGTAGACCGGGCGACGGCGGCGCTATCGAGAAGCCCAGACATGGTGGTGGCGGCTGCGTTCCTTGTCGTGGTGCTCGTTGTGTACCAGGTGCTCTCGCTCGTGCGGCGCGTCATGATGTTCTGGACGCGGCTGGCGGTGCGCGCCGTCATGTGGGCGGGGGTCGCGGCGCTGCTGGCCATGGCGTGGCAGCGCGGGATCGAGGCCAGCGTGCGCGACGCCGTCGTCATCCTTAGTAAGGTTGCCGGGTTCGGCGGCGGCGTCGCCAACTACTTCGTCCAGGAGTATCAGCGCTACGACGCCCAGCAGCGCGAGGTCCAGCAGCACCAACAGCAGCAGCAGCAGCAGCAACAGTACCGGAGCGACGACTACGGACAGCGCTCCTCGCGCTCCTCACGCGGCCAGGGGGGCGGGTGGTCATGAGCGGCATGAAACGGGAATTGAGCATGCGACGCATTGGGTTCTGTTCAACAGTCAATGGGACGGTGACAAGGAAACGGGGGTGAAGGGGATTACGGAATACACGGGCATTTTGCGGGAAAGTACTCCACGGCGTTTATGTGTAATTTTTAGGAATAAATTGACGGACCACATGTTTATGTAGTCGATGCTTCTAGGTTGGCGGGCGATTACAAGGCCGGCATTGAAATGCGCATCTCTGGATGTTGTTGTGATAAAACCAGAATTCTATTTTAGTATAACAAAACTTAAAACGCCACGCTATGCATCCGCCAACAAAACTCCATCCCGGCCGCAATTTTGTCATGAACCATAAGCCGACATGCACATGAAAACCAAAAACCAAACTTGAGCCCGAAACAAGTGGGGTGGTACACGATCATTCATCTTCAACTGCATCTTCCACTAACTCCCTCGGCTCCTGAGCTTCGTGATACTGGATGCAGTCGTCGATATAGCTGAGTATTGACTGGACGCTGTCCTCATCGGTGCAGTCCAGCTTCAAGTAGCTGACCATGCTGAAGCTCTCGATCAGCCCGGCAACGGCCGTGTTCAGGCGTTTGAATGTCGCGCCAGACATCAACGCGTTCTTGTCCTGCGTACTGCCGTAGGTGTCCATGTCGACGTCGACGTCGGCCTTCTTCCTTCCGATATCTGCCGGGTCGTCGTCCAACAGGCTCGTGTCCGGCGTGATGAACCTTTTCATGTCCTTCTTGCGCACCTGCCCCTTGACGAGGTCCATCTTGCTGAGTATATTGATATGTGGCACCTCGAGCAGGATCATGGCGCTCATGGCGCTGAGCGTTCCGGCGAAGTACTTGGCCCGGTCCACGACAAAGGTCGACTCGAGCAGGTAGGCGGCGCACAGCCGTATGTCAAGCGCGCCGGGCTGCGTGAGGAACCGGACAAGCGTCGGCAGGATGGGGATGTGGGTGTACAGCTCGATTTGGCCCGGCATGTCAAAGATGATGAGATACTCCTCTGTCAGAGAGTCGAGGGCCTCGGTGAGGAAGTCGAGGTTCTCCATGAGGAACTCGAAGCAGTAGATCAGCCCGCCGTTAGGGCCGAGCTGCATCTCTTCCATGACATCTTCGAGCGATATCAGGTCCTTGATGTCGAGATCGGGTGTGTGCTCGAACGTCTCGGCGGCGGGGTCCAGGTTGACGTAGAAGGCCGAGCGCCGGTTGAGTTGGAGATGGGTAATGAGCGACGCGCAGAACGTGGACTAGAGCCGGGAAATAGCATCGTGTTAGAGAGCTTTGGTTACGGAAGGGTACATAATTTGAGCGACCAAGCGTGGTATAACATACCTTGCCGGCACCCGCCGGGCCCATCACCATCACGCCGTACTTGCTCATGTCTAGTTAGGTATGCGAGCAGACGGACCCCGGGTGTGGAAGGAGGGGTTGCTGGTTATCGGGTCACCATGCACCGAGCCCGAAATAAAGGATGCTGATGTTGCCTAGAATCCTCTCTGAATTCGTGCAGCACTCCCGTAGCTGTCGTTAGATGCACAGTCGGCTCCAGAGCTAACCTCCGAACGAATAACTTGTACAACTACAGGGCACAGAAACGGTGTTTCGGTCGGAGCGGTTGCCGCAAGCGTGCCTGCCGAAGTGGGATTGAGGATTTTTTTGGAATGGGCTGCCCCGCCCCGCAGTGGGGGGTGGTTCTACCATAATTCGGAGGGGCAGCTATGGCGCAATTTCTCGCCCAAGACGAGTGCCAAGGTACCTGCTACATGCTCGGTATCATTTTCTACAAAATATTCTTCCGCAATCTCCCATGACCAGAAAAGCTCAATTTGCTGTGATAGAAGGTCGGGAAATTGAACATGCTATCTAGACCTCCAATCATTATCTAACGTGTTATATCTCTAGAACTTTCTCCGCTCATTTTTATATCTACCGGAAGGCAGTTTAGCTTAGTGTTGGTCGTGTTGTTTGCTGTATTTTCGAAGCCGCTCACTCTGAGGCCGGGTGGACACCGTGGATGTCGGAGGATTATCATGTAGCGCACGCGGCTATCAAAGTCACCAGGTACCCAAGGGTCCCGTGTTTCCCAATCCGCGGCCAGAAGGGGCCGAGACTCGGGGTTCAACACAAAATTCCTCAAATACTGGCCTCCCCCATCCCCAGCAACTTTCGCTTCCTCCTCGTCTCTTTCCCAAGCATCCATCTTTGACAGTGCACACTTCGCCGCCCCTCTTCGCCATTTCCCGTTCTTGCCTTGCTGCCTTTGGCTTCGCTATTGTTCGGCCTGAAGGTAAGCATCATCTGAGACCCTGGACCTTCCGAGTTTCGTCCCCGGGCTTCGGGTCCCGATTGCGCTTTCTTTGTGTCGGAGCCTCTAAACCCCCTTCCAACCCACCCCCCAACCACCCCTCTCAAAGCAATCCAATGCTATTTGTGGAGCTTCAATTTTCATAATTTCTCCCACCCAAAGCACACTTTTCCACTCCCACAAGCCCAACTTCAAGAAACAGCAATTGAGCCCCATCTGACGCTCGTGACAGTCACCACCTCGAGCTGTCTTGCTACCTAATCTAGGAACCTCCGAGCGTATGTGTACCCCTTTCCTAGTCGTCTCCGGCTGGTTGCTAAAAGCTGTACAGACTTGACTTTATATTTCACAATGGCGCCTAACGGTACCAACGGCACAAATGGCCACGACTCTAATGGCGTGAGCGGGTGGAAGCACTATAATGAGGGCACTTTCCTCTTCACCGTAAGTCGTCGCATTGGCAATGCCGTGGTAAATTGGCTCTGCGGGCGCTGACCGCCACCCACAGTCCGAGTCCGTCGGTGAGGGCCACCCCGACAAGATGGCTGATCAGGTCTCTGATGCCGTCCTCGATGCCTGCTTGGCCGTGGATCCTCTGTCCAAGGTCGCCTGCGAGACTGCCACCAAGACCGGCATGGTCATGATCTTCGGCGAGATTACCACCAAGGCCAAGATCGACTATCAAAAGGTTGTTCGCAACGCCATCAAGGACATTGGCTACGATGACTCCTCCAAGGGCTTCGACTATAAGACCTGCAACCTCCTCATCGCCATTGAGGAGCAGTCTCCCGATATCGCCCAGGGCCTGAAGCTTGACCAGCGTCTGGAGAACCTCGGTGCAGGTGACCAGGGCATCATGTTCGGCTATGCTACTGATGAGACCCCCGAGCTCTTCCCCCTCACCCTCCTCTTTGCGCACAAGCTCAACGCCGCCATGTCGGCTGCCCGCCGCGACGGCTCCCTGCCCTGGCTGCGGCCCGATACCAAGACCCAGGTCACCATCGAGTACAAGCACGACAACGGCGCCGTTGTTCCCCTCCGCGTTGACACTGTTGTCGTTTCTGCCCAGCACAGCGAGGAGATCACCACCGAGAAGCTGCGCAAGGAGATCCTGGAGAAGATTGTCAAGACCACCATTCCTGCTAAGTACCTCGATGAGAAGACCGTCTACCACGTAAGCTACCGATCCAGGCGCTGCCTCCTTTCGCACTGGGATTGGGCTATTAGCTAACATAACATAGATTCAACCCTCCGGTCTTTTCATCATCGGTGGTCCTCAGGGTGATGCTGGCCTGACTGGCCGCAAGATCATCGTCGACACCTATGGCGGCTGGGGTGCTCACGGTGGTGGTGCTTTCTCCGGAAAGGACTTCTCCAAGGTCGATCGGTCGGCTGCTTACCTTGGCCGCTGGATTGCCAAGTCGCTGGTTGCCGCCGGGCTCGCTCGCCGGGCTCTTGTTCAGCTTTCGTACGCCATCGGCGTTGCTGAGCCCCTGTCCATCTATGTCGACACATACGGCACCTCGGAGAAGACGTCGGATGAGCTCGTCGAGATTATCCGCGCGAACTTCGACATGCGCCCCGGTGTCATTGTTAAGGAGCTTGACCTCACCAGACCCATCTATTTCCAGACCGCCAAGAACGGACACTTTGGCACCAACCAGAGCTTCACCTGGGAGCAGCCGAAGGCGCTCAAGTTCTAAGCTGAGACGTCTCTCTCGCAGAAGATTCAACTTCTTCTCCGTTAAAGATACTGTCTAGCTTGTCTTTGATAATTCTTATACTCTTTTTACTTTTTACTTTTTTTTTGTTTCTTTTTCTTTTTGTTTCTGGGGTCACATGGGACAAGCATTACAGGCGTACGGTTCTCAACAAACCTGGCTCGGCGGTTAGACATATATCCATAACGTTTTCTGGTTTTATTTGGTTGTGTGGTAGCGTCTGTGCCCGTTGGGTCGGGGCAGTAAAACGACGCTGATATTTCACTGTTTCACTTGCTTCATCAGTCGGCGGAACCATGCCACGGAGTTTCTCAAAAATAAAAGTCAACATCAACGGAGTGCGGGCGGGACGGTAGGCGTCTTTCAACAAAGACATGCATGAGCTGAGCCACGAGGCCAAGAAGTTCACGAGCTTTTTCGATACCCCACGGGGCACGACATATGAGGAAACCAAGCATCGGCGTTACGGGGAAACCAAAAGAACTTCAACATCTTTTCTTTTCCTGATTTATTTAGACGTCGATAATATCCATTTGGCCCGGCAGAAGCAGGAAAGAGGCTGGGTCACCGCGGCGGACGGTGACGAGATCTGGCGACAGAACGGTTGCCCCTAAGGGTACTGTTTACAGGGGAGTGGTGGGGAGGGAGAGACAAAGAAAGCATAGGTAGATAGCTGCTCAAGCCGTGAGGCTTTTGGGGCATAATCAATACCGTTGCCTTTGACTTGAATTTGAGAGCACCTTTGTCGGTGCCATGATGTCGAAACAAAGACTGGGGAGGCAGGGAATCAAAGCTTCGTCGAACAAGAAGGGGCCGTTACACTGCAGCGTATCGGAAAGTTTCACAATGCAATACCCCAATACTCCAAACGGCTCGAACCGCATAATATCTTGTCTACGAGCCGAAGACAACCCCTGGGCAAATCACGTCCCTGGCGGAAAGCCATGAAATACTGCACTTGACAGATTGGCGAGTTGAAGCATGAAGATCGACTAGGCCGGACGCTGGACCTAGAGGCGAGGCTCGGCTAAGCCGAGGCATAACTCAGAGCTTCCTCTATTAAGGGCAAAACAAAGCCAGCGCCGTGAAGCTCAAAATTGGTAGGCGACATGGTTGACCAAAGTCCATTGGCTATTTTTGGAGGGCATTTTCGGAGCGGCTGACGTCCCGATGGTCTAAGACAGCTTAGCACAGGACCTCCAAGTCCAGGTATTACGATAGAACGTTGATCAACTTACACGACGCGAAGCCCTCTTAAATTTGTCATCCCATCGGTGTTAGTTGTGGTGTCGCTAATATAGACTGTCTTTCTTATAGCAACAATCAGCATCTCGCCTGCCGTGTCCGCTAGGAGAAGTAATCAATGCAGCTCCCATCCCTTAAACTTTCTCGCGCGGCCGGGATTTCCGAATTCCCAATTCGAGACTGGCGCGTGGTGTTGTTGGCTAATAACGCACTAATCTCGTGCGGGGGGACATGCTCAGGGGCAAAAAGCCAAAGTCGAAAAGTTTGTGACAATTGACAAGGGAACTTTCCGTGTTGGGGGCGAGGGCGGATTGAATCGAATCCCTCATTCCCGCTCACAATCGGAATCTGTGGGAGCATCCGTATCCCACCAGTGCCCTGAATCGCCATCCTTAACGGGCGAGCCCCTCTTCACCTCATCCATATAGCTGTCAACCTCGAGACACCGCGCAAGGCTGACTTGCACCGTCAGTCAAACACACCCTTACAGGGCGATTTGGTTATCAACAGCCGAATCGATGGGCAAGGTTCATATTCCGTGCCATCGTAACCTCTTACCTTGGAAGCGCAAACAGTTTTGTCAAACCTGTATGTGCCGTTTATACACAAACAATATCATGTACGCATCGTACCAACTAGGAACCTTGAAGGCATCAAACCAGGAAGACGGGAGTTTGCCGAAGCAATGGAAGTGAGGTGAGTGCGTGACGGCGACTGAACTGGGTCGATTTCTTGGCTATCCCGTCGATACCATGTTTGAAAGACAAACCGTGGCGCCATTTTTAACTGCCCTCGAGATGCAGAGCGACTTGAAGAAGGCCTTGGCTCGTTGTTCAACAAATGCAGACAGATTTATTGACCAATTATTGTTCTTTCATTCTCATCATCGAAAGAGACACCACATGGAAGGCCAAGACCTGGAAACTGCCAAGGCTCAAAAGGGGTAAGAAATATCATTAGCGTCCCGATCGACGAAAATACGGTACCTGCGGGTCTGCTGCAACTTCGACACCCCCCGCTTCCCCCTCCAGCTCAACGGCGTTGGACAACTGGATAGGAGGTTCGACGGGCGGCATCTAATCTCATCTGAGCCTGCTTAACCCCCCTGCAGCCCCTGCCCTTCGATGGAAGAAAAAGGTTACATCTGGCAAGACGCCTTCCCTTTTGGTAGTTTTCTTTTTTTCGTCAACGACTGCCGAATTTCAAGCCCATCCTTCCAATTATTCCATACTGCACCTCGCATCGCGTTGCCATGCGCCCGATCTGTCACAAAGGCCAACTCAGCTTGGCCAAACCTTGACATGCGCCAGTGACCGACGCCTCTGGAGCTGCCAGCTCAACTAACACACTTTGTAGCCGCGCTAGGTGCTGTACATACATATCGCTCGGTACAAACGTGTAGATTGCCATCCCACGCGCGTACCTGCCCGACGCATTTGTCCCGAGACGACGCTGCGGTTAATTGCATCCCACAGAAGCCACCTCCGCCGTGGCATTCTCGCTTCCCCCAATCCGGGCCTCGGGTCGCCCAAGCGCATCACGCGCACTCTATCGGAAAGCGGGCATAGAAAACGCGTCCGCCTCCCCCCGCCGTTGCCATCCCTTAGTTACGGATACTTTCAGGGGAAATACGGATAGGGCAGCACTTTAGTGACGCGCTGGAGCAGGACCGAGTAGAGCACTGCGGGCCCTCCACGTCGGCCTGTGGCTCTCCCATCTCTGCTTCACGCCGAGGCCAAACTCTGCAGGCCCATCAGCAAACGCCTCACAACTCACGCCTCACGCCTCGCCCTCGCCCTCGCCATGGCAGCAGCCATGGAAGCTGCAACTCCCCGTCACCACTACGGCGGGCAAGGGCGACAACACCACCCGTCTTCCCAGTCCCTCCCCGCCTCGCCAACTCTCACGAACCCCGACATGATACTGCCCGACTACGAGCGCAGCGACTCGCCCGACCCGGATCTTGATGGCCGCGACCACTCGCCCCTCATGATGTGGAAAAACGCCCACGTCCAGGCCCATGCACTTACGACCCCTACCGACATGCACCAGATGTTTGCCCTCGCGACTCCGGGCCCCCAGGCCCTTGACCACCCCTACGGACCCACCGGCCCGATCACGCCCACCACCCCCATTATTTACGGGAATGGCACCATGCTGTCGGATATTGGCGAGGTCACCGAGGTGGAAAGCACTCCCGGGAAGCCTTCCCCGCGGTGGGCAAAACCCATGGCCCGGAGACTCGAGTCCCCGACACGCGGCAGCGGAAGCGACGCCGCCCTCCGGTCGTCTCCAACTATGGGCGTGGCCGCCATGATGACTAAGAAGTCGCAGAAGAGCCTCGCCTCACAGCGAGATCGCCGGTCGAGCATCGGGAGCAACAGCACCATCACTACAGAGGAACAGACGGCGCTATTTGCCGACTTTGATGACGCGGCCAGCGTAGGCGACAGCGTCTTTCAGGGGGACGACGAGGAGAGCCTCGCGTCATCGTACGTCGAGGGCGCTCCGGCCGTCGAACAGACCCGGTTGGCTGCTCCGAACACGGATAGTATGGATAGGCTGTCTATTTACTCGACAACATCACTGAGCCGGAAGGCGGAGCAGATTCTGGCAAACGCCAAGACCAGATTGACGGTTCGTCGTCCCCTCCCCTCCAGGCTCCGGTCTGTTGTATTTGACCTCTCGCTAATAGATTGCAGACCATGGAAGGAAATTTGACTCGCGCACGAAGCTCCCTGCACATCACACCCCCTTTGTATGGGTCAGATGCGTCGACCCCCTCGCCACCGTTTCAGCGAGCCTCAACCGCCCTACATTCGCGAGATAGCGATCCAGCATCTCCCACGGCCCAGTCTCCCGGCCATACACGAATGTCGAGCGATATCGCGATGCGCAACGGTTTGCCATATCGAGTGGCCATACCGCGGTCGCAAAGCGCATTGGGGGCCGCTGGGGGGTACAGACAACCCTTGTCGGCATCCAAGAGTGCCGACCAGGTTCGGGGAAGCATGAACGACGAGGATGGTCGCCCGACGTCTAAGATTTCTTCCGGCAGAGATACAAACCTGCAGCCCTTGACAGAGGACGAAGTTGCGCAGCTTGAAGAACCAGACAGGTCCAGCCAAGGTTCAAGGCCTGACAATTTCCTTAGCCCAACTTTTGGGCCTGTCAGTGGCGAGTTTGGAAACGGCGGCGTGAAAAATCTACAGAGGTCTGCTTCCGCTGCACAGATGCGGGACATAAAAGATCAGATGAAGGACCTGAAGGGGAAGATTTCAAACTTGAGGGAGCAGGCTCGGGTCGACAGTATGAAGAGGCGAAGTCTTCAGAGCCTCCGAACGCCTAGCCCCTTTACGCATTCGCAAATCGATCAGTGGTATGCTGAGCCTCCCTCCAACAGGGCCTCGGCAATCCTTAATCCTGTCGAAGCCCCCAGAAACCCTTGGAATGGGGAGGAGTCGAGCGTTGATGGCGACGTCAAACCATACCCAGAGGAGCCTAAGGGCGTTAGCCCTGAAGATGATGACGATTTCTTCACGGACGAGGGCGATGATGCGCAGCTCATGCCTGTCTCCAGTCATCCCTCGGAGAGGTCGGCGGGGTTAGTCGCAGCTCCTGAGGACGGTGAAGCTGACTCTGAATACAAGGATGCCGCTTCTGACGTCCTCTTTGAGGATGTCGAAGTGGAAGAGGAAATGCCGGCAGGGTTCCAAGAGGTAGTAGACGTGGGCTATACCAGCGAAAGCGGCGAATCCCTCTATCATGACACATTGCAGCATCCCATATCACACGAAGACCGCGAGGACGCATTCGACTACGAACATTTTTTTCTTCACAGCGCCATGGGGACCATGGGTAGACGAGGGAGTAGGGATAGTTTCACCTCCGAGGACTCGATCGAAACGACAAGGGGCCCAGTGGTTGGCAAGGCGACAGCTGGTACCGTCGTGGACGATACTGCTAGCCCGGGAAACGCTCGGCTCGTAACTAGGCGAAGTAGCATTGCTTCGATATCAACAATCGAAACTTTTGCTACAGCTGAAGAGGGCAGGTTGAGGAGATCTGGGGAGACTAGCCGAGTTGATTCCCGCATCGACGATGGACCTAGGAGTTTTTCCAACGAGGTTGGTGCTTTTGCGGAAAGCAGCAGGGACCGGTCTGGAAGCACGGCAACATCCAGGAGTTTACCTATGGGTGCGGGTAGTGTGCGTCGGTCCATAATCGTAGCTAGGGACAGCGATGACTCCATCTCATCGATTCCTGAGGAAGGCTCGGATTCTCAACAGTCTCGGCAGAGCCGCCGCTTCTCCGCTATCCGTCGGCCAATTTCCACGTCGGCCTCGGCTTCCCTGCATCGACCCTCAATATCATCCTTCGAGTCAACCGGAACCACGCGCAGTTTTCCGCTGGTCAATCGGACCAAGAAGTCCAATAGTATAGGAGTTCTAACGCCCGGCTCGTCGCCCGACCAATATCTAAAGAACATATCAGATGCGCTGTTGAGCGAGACGGCCAGCATCTGCGAACAGCAGCAGATGGAAGACGAAAACAATCGCCATCATGGCGATGGGAGCGATGTCGCGCGTACGGAAGGAGCTGCCAGCAGCAATTCCAGCAACGCCAACACGAGCTACCATCTGCAGACCCTTATGCGCGAGGATAAGTATCTTGTCGAGGGGCTGGTGGCTAGCCTCGGCCGGTGCGTTCTTGGTTTAACAGAGAATGGGCGTGCCAGTGCCGAAAGCAGGATGTACAGACGGCGCATCGATGCCGCCAGGCGAATTCTGGAAGGGCTCCAGGAAATTGGCCCTGCTTAGGATCCAAGGCATTTGCTCGCATGATCTTAACGACGCTACGTTTTGGGCTACATTTCTATTCTCGATATTTAATACTAGTGACCTGATCGATTTTTAGCGACAAAGTTTTTCTGGGGCTGGGAGGCTACGGATGAGATATTCTTCGGATTCGGAAAGGGGATGTTTGGTCACGGGCATTCTTGGCGCGTCGTTTAATCATGTTGCGCGAGACGAAAGCGGTAATAGGACAGCACGGACGACCCGCCACGACTCTAGGAACGAGACACGCGAGGATCGCTCTATGCTGAATGTGGCTACATTTGTTTTGGGGTTGCGTCTGTTGTGTATGGGAAAGTACGCTTTCTCATGCCTGAGATGAGGGCGACTTGTCTTCTTTCTTATTTTCTTCTCTTCATCTGTGCATCCATTGTACTTTTCTTCCTCTTTTACTTTTTGGCAATTCAAGCGAGCAGTGCGGGCGTGGAGGGATGGAAGACTAGCACAGATTTTGTTAGACAGGGGCCTTTTTTGTTCTTCCATTCGTCCCTGTTTATATTTTTCGGGTTTTATTTTCGGTTCGGGAAGGTTTGCTTCGATACCCCAATATTTTTCATCTTTATTATTATTACTTTATTATATTATATTATATTTTTACACGTCGATGCCTTGACCTGGGCAATACTGTGTTACTTTTTGGTGTTGGTTTTAACAGCTGTAATAATGTTGGCCAGTGAATGTTTCCTTATGTGGTAGAGTACGTGTTGAAGGAGCTATACTGGGTGGCACATGGACTAGTCTGGAAGTTTGTGATATTAGTGCGTGTTGCAGATCCCTAGGGGTGGCCGTTCACTACAGGTATAGGCAGAGGATATCAGAAGATAGAAGCAGGAAAGATCAAAGTTGATCGAGGGGGGGTATCAATTAATTAATTTCAATAGCATAATTAATCTCGACTGTATATCTTTCTTTCTTCCTTCGTGCGTGTATGTAGGTGTGCACATCTTTGTTTGTTTATAGGCTCTATTGAGCAGCGAGTTTGCTGTATGTATGTTTAGGCATGTATGTAAAGACATGAACCTAGGTAATTTGTGCAAGTCGCTCCTCGGCAGAGTCGATCAATAAATAAATACTAAATACAAAAGTAAACACACATATTCAGATATAAACCGAAATGATAATTACAACATGATATAGAGGCTAGCTAGGCACCCAACCACATATCTCGTTCGAAAGAGGTAGAGAGAGTGTGCCCTGTTGTGGTTCGAACGCATAGGCTGTTGTTGCGCGTGCTGTGCCGTGCGGATTCGCTTTTTTTCTGTCTAGGCAGTCTCCCGCTGGGTTATGTCGGCAAAAATATCGAAACAACGGTCTACAGGAGACAGCAGGGCAGACAGCTTCGGCGTTGACTCGTGGACTGTAGTGTGGAAAGGAAAAAGGGAAGGGAAGTTGAATATACGAGACACAAAGCCAAAAAGATGCCAACGTGTTTCGGCGATTTCTTTCCATTCCTATTTTATTAAGCGAAGGGATTCGTATTTTCAGCCACTTCGCTAGATAGACGGAGCTAGATTAGAAACTATATTCTTGTCTGTGTGTGTCCCTCTCTGTTTGTGTTTGGGCCTCTTGTTGTCGTTTGTTTGCTTTCCGCATGTGATACCTGAGAAACGTGTATGTATATGTAACTGACGCAGCAGGCCGTGGGATGTCTACTGAGCTGTGCCACCCGTCTGGCTGTGCAACTTGTCTAACTGTGCCGCTTGTCTAGTACCAAAGAACGTAGAAATATTGTGTGAATATAGGTTGGTATCATTCCTTTTGGATGGATTCTCCATCAAGAAGCTATCTCAGTTGCAATGTGCTAATTAGTATTCGCTGGTCTACTTGCGAGCGCCAGACACCTGTGCAAATATCCATCTATGTCTATCGGCCGACCCCCTTTTCTTGCGCCTTTCTTTTTTGTTTCTCGCCGTTCAAATGTAGGTGCTGGGATTTGATGTTCTGTATCTCTTCTTTCTACAGTACCTCTTGTGGTTGGTTGATAGAAACTGACGACATATTCCTCACGTTTTTGTTTTACCCTGAAGTTACGAGACATCATGAGGAAAAGGGGAGCGAAAAGAGAAAAGAGAAAAGTGACAAAAAGAGAAATTCACCAAATGTCTTGACTTTGATAGTATTGTTATCTTCTTTTTATCTTTCACTCTCCTACTGCTGCGCCGCCTCGGGACGCGGCCGGTTGGCGATGAGCCGCTGCTTGCGAATTAATCTATTTGGACCAGAAACAACAATTATTGGGAAAGGGAGTTTCTGTTCCTGTCGTCCTCCAAAGTCGCAGAAATTGTCTCACATCAAAGGAGTGACTCACCACAAGATTTCTCAAGAGAACGGCAATCGTCACCTTGCCGATGCTGGGCACATAGATGCTCGCCTTCTCCTTGACGGCGGGCCCGTCAAAATTGCGGTAGCTGGAGAAGTTGACGCAGACGGCGCCGTCGCGGATTAGGTCGGTGGGGACCCTGAAGTTCTCGGTGGGCACGCCGCCGATGATGACGTCGCTGAGGGGCAGCACGTCCTTGAGCCCCCAGCCCTCCTTGTCGAGGACCTGGTGGCGCGGGGCGCGGATGCCGCTGCCGCGCGTGAAGACCTGGACGCCCGTAATGTCAACGCTGTAGACGGTGGCGCCGTCGTTGGCCAGCAGGGCGGCGAGCGGGCGGCCGTTGACCTCGCTGCGGTTGATGACAGTGATGGTCTTACCGAACAGGCGGTTGCCGTAGGCCAGGATGGGGTTGTAGATCTGCAGGTGCTCGAGGGCCTTGACGATGGCCAGCGGCGTGCACGGTAGGATCGACTTCTTGAGGTTGGCGGGCGGGTCCAGGAAGCGCACGTTGTGGTACATATTGAATAGGTGGGTGTGGCAGAGCCCCTCAACATCCTTGGTCAGGGCCACCGTCTCCTGGATGTAGCGGTCTTGCTGCTGGTTGTTGGGCCAGATGGGGTAGTAAACGATGATGCCGTCGACGGCGTCGTCCTGGTTAGCCGCCACAATGGCCTCCTCCAGGATTTCCTTGTTGACCTTGCGGAGGTCAAAGTCGAAGCCACTAAACAGGCACAGAGAGGGCCGGCGGTCAGCTATCGAGGCCTGTCGTCTCTTCAAGGACTTTCAACATGCAGTACTCACTTCTCCTCGCATGTCTTCTTGGACCACTCGGCGTACTGCGCGGCGGCAGGGTCATCGTTGGCGAGAAAGGCAGCCAGAGTTGGCCTGGTAGCGGCTGAGCTCTGGACTTCTGCCAACGAGTCCCGGACCTCTGCGAGTAACTTCTTGGCGATGGTGTCGGCCAGGATGACCTTGCACGTCTTGGGGACTTCTTGGGACGCCATGGCCTCAGCAATCTCTATCTGGAGGCGACACGACAGTGCGCGAGAGGAAGCAATTAAGCTGCCGACGGACACGGAGCGGGACAGTCTATGATATCTAGCAGGTCGAGTAAGCAGATTGATCGCAAGAGCTCTCATCTCTCCCTATTCCTGGCTGCAATTGGGTGGCCGTGAATGAGCCCATCGCTGTGTTTCAGATTGGGCGACACCAACCGGCTTGACAGCTGTCCTGTAAGTTGTATAGATAAGGTACCAAAGCCAAAGTAAAAAGCATGTCTAAGTCTAGGGGGTTGCTAGTGAGACTCAAAAAAGGGGAAGCCACTCACGCTTTTCGGGGTTGGTTGGGGTGCGAGTGGACAAAAGCATCCAATGTCTTCAGCTGTTTCTGCCTGTCTTGTATAAGGTACGGTAAAGTAAGGCAAGGTAATGCGCAGGTACCCCGCGATTCGATTCCAATTCCGATTCCGGGAGGTGACACTATTTTGGAGCGAGCACGAATACTCAGTAACCCGAGTCTGAATCTTTAATTGTCGAGCAGCTGGGAACTCGGATACGGCCAGGTTGTTGATTTAGCATACAATTGGAAATAAAGACAGACTAGCCACGCTGTTTGAGAGATTCTGGTCCTCTGCGCAGGTATATACCCGGCGAACACTGTCAGTCGCCCACCCCTTCTGCCATCCGTACCAGCCATCTCAGTGGGGTTCTCGCCGGACCGGATTGTGGCTGTCCCGCCTCTCAGGGAAAAAAAAATATTTCAGGCCACTCGCCGAGTCTTTGATGCCACCCTAGTTTGCCCCTCTTACCGATTGCGGCCTAGCGGGTGCCCTGTGCCGCCCCTCGGGAGGGATAGCGTCATATCTCCAGCCTCACCGCCCGCGATAATCTTTTTACTGCCGCCGTGCCCCGCAGGGCAACAGGGCGATAACGGCGCCTCAACGGGTGACACCTAAGGTAGGGGGCCAAGCTTTGAAAGCAACAACGTAACCGGCTTTCCATAGGTTAATAATTATGGTTTTCCGCGACTTGTTAACTTCCATTCCAGTTTTGATACCTACGATTTCCAGGCTAGATTCGCAATTACTATATAGTTGTTAGGATTCGACATTTACATCCGGCCCCACGAAGACAACCGCCGCGTTCTGACGGGCAGCACTCTGTGCCAGCGCCCTGCTAGCCTGTAGCACTGTGTTTCGCGCGTGGCGTGGCGTGTGTTAGCCGTGCAGAGACCTGGAAGCTCAACATGGCGAGCTTTAAGAACTGGGCACTGCAGTACGTGCTCTCCGACGACGAAGCCGCCCACCGCGGCATCGCCGGCCAAGCCGCAAAGGAGATCGAGGGTTCCCGAGCAAGCAGCACCGTGGTCGGAAATTGGGCTGCCTCGGTCCAACCATGGATGGCCACGGTGAAACCCGGCAATGAAGACCAGATGGACGACGGGGACGACAGCGGCAATGGCGATATTATTGCAAGAGCCAAGGGTACGAGTCCCCCGTCCCCCCTCCTCCCGGGTCGTAGGTTGATGAGGCTGAATGTGCTGACCCCTCGTTCTACCAGCCCTGGGTTTCCTTGCCGCAACACTAGAGGCTCTCGACCGCAACATTCTTAGGACAGACCAGGTTGTCCGGCTGGTCGGCTTCTTTGGCGCCATGTTTTCCTACGACCACAAGGCTGGAATCACCGCCTCCACCAAGGCCTTGGTCCAACTGCGCGCCATGAAGAACTTCAAGCCCGACATGGGTGTCAAGGTGATCGAAGACATGTCCAAAATCAAAGAGGACTTCCGCTTGCAGTTGGCGCCGACTAGGCTCGACATGTATGAGCTGTTTCTGGGACTCCTTGAAGACGAATCTGTCAGGAGCGAGCTGCAACACAAGTACGGCTCGTCTTGCGGCTTTGTGGTCGACCTACTTCAGATATGTCAGCACGAGAGAGACCCCAAGAATCTTTTGGTATGGTTCGAAATCCTTGTCGCTCTTGTGAGGAGCTACGATGCCTCTGCCGAAGTAACCGAGGAGATATTCAAGGCATTTTCGGCTTACTTCCCAATATCCCTGAGGACCTCGGCTACCCCAGCTGGAATTACTGCCGAAGACCTCAAGAGCGCTCTCAGAAACTGTTTTGCTGCACATGGGCGGCTCGCCACCTTGGCGTTTCCATTCTTGATGCAAAAGCTGGACCAAGGGGATGCCGTTACCGTCTCCGTCAAGGTCGACATTTTGAAGACTATCAAAGCCTGCGTCGAACAATACGAGAACCCTCAGGTTAGCGTTGTCCCCCACATTGAGAAGATATGGAGCTCCCTCAAGTACGAAGTACGAAATGGGGAGGTTAAAGAGACAATCGACGCCACATTGGAGGTGCTCCGGGCCATTGCCAACAAGCTTGATGGCACAAGCACACAAAAGTACGAGGCATCCATGTTGAAAAACTACATTGAGCTTGTATTCAGCGACACTCGCGAGGACCTATCCAATTCCACATACACCAAGCAAGCAGGCTTGCTTCTTATGACGGTTGTAACTTGCAACGTTAGAGCCTACGTCCTAGAGAGTTCCAATCTCATCGAGTGCCTCCGACAGAATATCCGGCAACCCAAGTCTCCATCCCACACTAAAGACCTTGTTCTGCTTCTAAATTCCGTTTTAAGGGCTCGGATGGATCTTGTCAAGAACCGTGCAAACTTCAACCCCGAAGACGAGAAGCTTTTGCAAGCTGAGTCCCACACATCCCTTGAAACCCTGTTTCATGACGTTTACCTGCCGCTCTGGACTAAGCGAGTCAACGACCCAAGACTTGAAGAAGTTGACGTTCTCAAGCAAGTTGCTCAAGGATTTGCTTTGATAGTACGCCAGCAAGCAGTAGGCCCAGACGGCCAAGTCTTGCTTCTGTCATCTGTCACCGTTTGCTCGGAGATATGTTTTCTCCTAACACAAAGTCTCACACAATGTCTTGCGCTAAGCTCGAATGACAACGTTGTCCGCGATGCTGCTTTGGAAGACGAGATTGTATTGGCCGTGCGGTCGGTTGTAATGAATTATACGGACGGATACGCGGAGTTTGCAAACAAGGCAAGGGCCGAAATCCGGAAGCGCGACTGGACGGTTCCTTCGAAGCACTCGCTGAGAGCTCTAACAGATCTCATTATGCGTCTGGCCTTTATTGGTTGCTCCGAGATACCCTCCAGTGCCGCCCTCGGGATACCATCGCAAAAGACTTTCTCCCCTCTCCAACACTTTATCACTCTTGCTTCGACTGCGTTGGAATTATTCGACACATTATCATTGTCAGTTGCTGCAAGACCTGGAGTTTCAGTGAAGGAGTCCCAAGTAAATGCATATATCATGGCTGCATTGCACGCTGGTATTTTACATTTTTGCGACGCGTGTACAGAAAAGTACAAGCAAGAGTCACTGGCATCGTACTCTAAAAGCGATCGAGACTGGGTCGAAGAGTTTCGCCACATGCCGAGAGACTGGCTGCGCCAGCTTCAAGAAAACAACGGCAAGTCGGACGAGGCTCTAGCTTCTGTTAAAGAGGACGATCCGGAGGTGTATCGCCAATTTCTCCGACTAAGCTTGTTTATTGTCAGGTACCTATACCTAGCTGATTCTACTGGGGAGTCACCAACACCCTGGAGTGGACAGACCAGGATACAACTCGCCAATATAGCTGCGTTCGTGGTTGGGAGTCTTGATGAAGGGCTGCAGAGATCCTGCAAGCTAGCCTCCGAGGCCTTTAATTTATTCCGGGTGGATAAATCGCCTTCCACGCTGTCCGGTCCCAGGGACTCCCGGACAGAGCCGTTAACTCTTGGAATATTGAGGGGACTATGGCCGGGCACCATGACTGAAATGGTGAGAATTGCAAACAAAAACTACCCAATTGGTTGACTAACAAATTCTGGTAGTACAACCCTGACGGCGTTGCCCAAACGTTTATGTGCGACTCCGCCGACGCTGGATCTTTGACAGCTCGAGAAAGTCAAATACGAGCGTCTATAGGACTGATTCTTGCTAATAAATACAAAGGGGGAGCGTCAACCTCTGATCCCGATGGCCAGGTGATGGGACAGGTTATGGATTATTGGGGGAAGCAGTTAAAGGTGGCGACGGCGTCGACAGATATCAGCTCAACCAAGCTCGAGGCATTGATCATTCATGCCATGCACATCATAGCCGGAGCTACCGCCCGCCAAGATAAGAATGTGCTTGGTCTGGTTTTGGTATTCCAAGAGGCGATTGCAAGCCAAAACGGCGGAACTGTTGCCCGTTCGATAGGAATTCTTGTCCAGAGCAACGACCTTCTCACCTCAGAAAACCATGCGGTATTTCGGCGCTTCTACAAGCAATGGGTCTACAGCAATCTTGCGAAGCCGTTGTACAACCTCGCGTTACCCACCGAGAATGGGTCCGAGGCGGCGATACGATACACAGCTGCAATCCTGTCGATTGCCAGCAACTGCCCATTTATAGTGTACGAAGACGACTTGGAGCCGCTAATCCGGCTCATCATAACGGCTCTGGTCAACCGCACCAGTTTATCAAAGGACATTGCTAGGTTGCAGGTGGTGCCGGCGCTCGAGATTCTCGTCGAGGTGCTGGCGAATAACCCCGACTCTCTCAAAGGCCATTTGCGGGCCATCGTCGATTCCGTGACGGCAATTTATAAAGAGTCGTTTCACGAGCACCGAGAGAGGAGCAAGCACGACTCCAAGCCAGTCGGCCGCGCGAGTGTCTTGCACATTGTCATGTGCCGCAAGCTAGTTCTGCAGCTGCTAGCTGCCCTTCCGAAAAAGTTCGAAGTGCGCTACCTGCTTCCTTTTGGCCACGTGTTGCGGCGAACGCTGTGGGAGGCCTGCGGAGATCCGATCCGAGAGCTGCGGGAGACTGCACGCCTGGCCAGGAAAAACTGGCTCAAGATCGAGTGATGAGTACGAAACGAGGCTCTCGAGTAGACCGAGCACCTGGGAATGACGCGAGGAAGATCACGGGGGCCGCAGCTCGGAACCTAGACTAGGCGGTTTAGCTTAGATAGCTATATCGAAGGGCTTCCTTCAGGCAACTAGCTTGATGGCTGCCATTTCTTCTTGTCTTTGGAGTTATCTTGAACATGCTGAAATGCCGAGGCTTTACTTGGGATGGCGATTTTTTCAGGGGTGTCGCAACCATCAAATATACATACAGCATTTCTCGTGTTGGGAAAATATTATCATTGGGTTTTTTGGCAAAAAGGATGGGGCACATAGCATACATATATGTAGACGATAGGAAGAGCCTGGCGTTGTAGGATAAAAACGAAGTAACCGTTTCTACCGCTACGAAATAGTAAATGGGTCGCCTCGCTCGTCACGAATAATCAAGAAAGACAGCATATATCGCGGCTCGTAGGGTATCACTTTTCTTTTGTCCGGGGCTCGCGCGACTGATATTATCAGACATCGAGTTCAACAACAGGCCGGCTTCTATCATCTCATCTCTTCTTTTCGTGGACTTTGTGACTCATTTTGAATAGCCCGCCTACAACCCAGAATGTTGTGTTTACTTAATTAGCCTACCAGGCCTCCTTTTCAAGCTTTCCTCCGCTTGCCACCCTTCTTTGTCGACCCCGGCTCAGCGCTAGACGATGCAGCCTCGGCGGGCGTCGCACCGCTCAAGTTTTTGGCCAAGGCGTCGAGCAGCTCGGGCGTATATGACGACGACGACGACGCAGCCTCCTTTCTTTGAGAAGCAGTAGCGGGGAGCGTCTTCTGCTCGGCCTCGGCGGGTGCCGCCGCAACACGCTTAGGGTCTAACTTGCCGACGACGGGTACGGCGCGCGCTAGCATGCTCTGGAAGGGCGGCGTGACAAAATTGCCGGCCTCGTCGAACCACTCGGCAAACGAGCGCGTGAAGACGAGCTTCTCCACCGCCGCCTTGCCTTTCACTCCTGCCCCCCCCTCGACCTGGGCCGTTACGCGGTACTGCGGCGCCTGGCCCTTGGCCGCCTGCCGCTCTGACGCTGTTGCGATGCGCACTGTTTCGCCCGTCGGCGCCCGCCCCACGTACACGGTCCCCTTCTCCACCGCCAGCAGCCAGAAAGTCAGCGCCCCGTTGAGCACCATGTACACGATCACCGCCGCCGCCGTCGCCCACTTGGTGCTCTCGAACCCCAGTTTGTAGTCCCACAGGAAACACGCCGCCGCGACGGCGAATGCAGAGTACCCCAGCGCTAGCCGCACGTCCGTCAGCCGATGCGACTGCGTGAACTTGAGGCTGTTGAGGTAGTTCGGGATGGCATCGTCGGACGTGTTTTTGAGGTCTGTGAAGGGTAAAGGGGGTTAGAAAGAGAGATTCTCCAGGTCCAGGGACTGTATGCATACCTGCGACATTGTAGACTGTGATCTTCTCTTGCGCGGCCGCCATGCTGGGCAGAGTAATGGAAGAAAGATTGGAGGGAACTATTTCGCTGCAAATTGCTGAAGGATCAATCGTTCGTTACAATGAGCGACAGCTGGGTTGGGCGGTGGGATGAACAGGTAGGTCGGGAAGCCTCAGCCTGGTGGCGCTGATGGCATTGGGAACGTCTCTACCGGATGCTGAAAGGCCACCTTGAAGGTCACTGTGGGTTCGCGTGTTTAAGCTGGGCCGCCAAGCTCTGGCAGGGGTCCATGCGGCACGAACGGGCGGCTTAGCTAAGGTACCTAACGCCTGGCTAGTGTAGCACAACAGCTGCGACGACACCTCTTCCGTCTGGACGTCACCTGCGAAATAGCCCGCCTTTTGACGTTGCACCCCATTGCGAAGCTATTCGAGACAAGACACCCACAAAGCGCAAAGATGGCTCAGGTCCCGGTGCAGACGATCCATAGGGATCCCCAGTTATTGTACGCCCCCGCTACACTGCCGTCAGACAGCTTTCTCGGGTTCTTCCACTAACCATGGCATCGTGCGCTGCAGTTACTGGATCCTCTTGCCCATCACGGCTGTCATGGTACGCGCACGAAACTCCTTTTCGAAGAACAGACGGAAGAATAGACGTTTTTCGTTCTTCTCGTATGCGCAATGCCCCGCTCATAAACCGCATGACAGATCTTGACGGGCGTGCTGCGGCACTACGCGACGGTGCTGATGGCGTCGGCGCCGAAGAGGCTCGACCAGAAGACGACGCGCGAGCAGCGGGCGCTGCTGCACGGGATCAACGTGCGAGGCAACTTCCACACGCTGGCCAAGCCGTCGTTCGACGTGCGGCGCGACGCGCTCACCACGGCCTACGAGTCAGGCGCCTACCTCAAGAGCCCCGAGAACCGCGGCCAGGCACCGCCTAACCCCCTAAGCGACCCCAGCTCCATGGAAGGCATGATGGGCATGATGAAGAACCAGATGGCCATGATCATCCCCAACACGCTCATCATGAGCTGGATCAACGCCTTCTTCAGCGGCTATGTCATTAGTGTGTTGCTTCTTGATTTCTAGATGGCGGGAACATGGACTGACGACACGCTCTGCACAGTGAAACTGCCCTTCCCTTTAACTATCAAGTTCAAGAGCATGCTCCAAGCCGGCGTGGCGACAAAGGACATGGACCCGCGGTGGATGTCAAGCATCAGCTGGTACTTTCTGTGCATTTTCGGCCTGCAGTCTGTCTTCAACTTTCTGCTCGGGAGCGACAATGGTATGTGTCTATCTTTCTTTCTCGTCGCCGCCTTCCCCGAGTTTATCGAAGCACGTTAACACGCCAGCAGCCGCAAGCCAGATGGCGCAACAAATGGGCGGCATGGCCCCCAACGCTGGGCAGATGTTTGGCCCGGGCGTCGATCCCGACAAGCAGTTCCTCGCCGAGGCCGAGAACCTTGCTGTCATCGAGCACTATTCTGTCCTTGACGGGGTGGAGCAGCGTCTCTTAGAGGGTATCAAAGTGTAGTTTTTTTCTTTATTTTTTGTAAATAGTAGACTAAGCTGCACTAGTACATCCAAACCTAGCCTTATTGACTAATCATCGTATTCGATGCAAGACTTGTTGCCGCTATTGATGTTGGATTTCTCTCTTGGACTCGCCCATAAATTGCGATTTCCCCCCTTACTTTTCCCCAACGCCCCGAGGCATATCGTTCTCTCAGTCCTCCCACCACAGGTAGCAACCAAGACCAGGGCCTTTCATGGACCCCGTGATCTTGTACGGCGGCAGCAGGCTGCTTGCCGGCTCTTCGGCAGCGTCGACGGGCCCTGTCGGCGTCTGGTCGTGCCACTCTTCGGATATTACCTGGAATCGGACCATTTCGTTGTTGTCGTAGTACATCTGTTGGTCCTCTTCTTTCCACACCCAGAGGCCGTCGGCTGGCTCGCTATAACATGGATGGATAGTGTCAGTCTGTCGCTGGAACTTGGCTTCCACGAGGGCTGAGGGGTCGGCAGCTAAGAAGGGAAAGAGAATGGGTGAGGGGGGCGGGAGGGCGGTCTGGTCTCTCTTACAATTCTGTTCCATCAGGAAGCTCGCTGTAGGGCACAAATATATCGTGGAAAAAGTCTGTGGCAACTGCAGAGGACGACGACTGTTAGCGCCTACAGGGGAATTGGCCAGTGATAAGTTGGAGAGGGCCGCATCTGGGGGAAGTAACTGACGGTGGATGCCTTCTCGCGACTGGCTGGCGATACGCGCCACCATGACCTCGCTGTTAAATGGCCTGAAGACCACCATGCGGAATTCCACTGCGTGTTTGACGGGGGTTAGCAACAGCCCCGCATTGGAGAGTAGAGCGGGAGGGTTCGTAGAGAGTGCGAGCTTCTCTCACCATTCACGTTGACCAGGCCGGTGCCATGCCCGATCAGGCCCTCCGATGTCCACAGGATATCCCATAGACATATAAATAGGCCCAGCTTCTGCACTACCTGTGGTGTTTGTTAGCCAGGGCTCTGCGGCGGCGGGGCAAAGTTAGAGCATTGGCAGCCTACCTTGTTGGCATATTTGGCATTGATGTTGTCCTCAATCGCAGTTAAACTGCTCTTCCCAAAGTCGTTAGGTGCGATCTGTACCAAGTCGGCGATCTTCGTCTGTCCAATCGCATCCGGCGGTCAGTATAGAAACATACCGGCTAGGAGCGCTAGTCCCATAAAATACCTTTGAAAAAAAACGAAAATGAAAGCGAGACGGAGGTACTCACGAGAACAAACATGGCGTGTAAAATTAAAATCTTTGGCCTTAAGAGGAGATGATATTTACGCCAGAGTCGTTTGGCTAATATAAATTCAACAGAAACCCTCAACTTGTCCGGAAGAAACTCTAAACCACATTTTGCCAGGCCTTTAGCTCGCTCTTGCCCCCACGGTCAGGCGTCTCGTTCACCTTGAGCTCGCCAACTTTTGACTGCCCCACAGGCCGCCACCCCAGAATTCTGCCCCTTCCCCTGTCGCCGATCTTACACCGCCTAGAGGGAGCTAAAACCTTAGGTCGTGTCTTTCCTGAAGCCGCAACATCAAAGCTTCCCTTCCCGCAACTGCTCGAAATAACCTCCAGCCTCCAAAACCGTCCCCAAAAGGAAACGTTTCAACAAATAATCCTTCCCTGGATTTCATACTGTCCCTCCCCTCTTACTTTGTTCATCACGAATTTTTTTTCTCCTTTTCCACGACGCGCAGAACCTGCGGATTTCCTCCCGCATAGTTCCTGCCCGGCAGCCTGACTTTTTAAATTCAAGTGAAGACACGTTCAACCCGGGTTTGACGCGTTGCTGCTCGCCCACGCGCGTCTGTATTCATTTCCCCGAAAGCTATGCAAGCCGTTTTGTCTCTTTAACCCACAGTCACCGGCCTGGAATACTTGCCGGCTTTTCTTGGTCGAGAACTGAACACTGGTCACGACGTCCTTCTCGTAATAACTTGGGAACTATGGCCTACAACTACGGTCCACCTCCCCCGCCTCCTTCAGGCTCGGCACCTCAGAACTCCCCTGCGAGCTACCCTCCATCATATGGCCAGCCGTATCCCCAACGTGGTGGCGGTCATGGAGGCCACAGTGGCCGAGGCCGTGGAGGTGGAGGACAAGACCGTGGGGGGTTCAGCCAGCCAGCTCCTCCTGCCTATAACTACGGCCAGCATCCAGCAGCTCCGTACGGTGCCCAGCCTCAACCACCCTACGCCGGTTCGCACCCGCAGCAACCGCAACAGCAGCAGGGAAATTATCAAACACCGCAGCACTGGCCACCGGAGCATTCCCAGCACCCACAGCATGGCCCGCAGCCTCCGTCCCACCCTCCGCTGCATGCTCAAAACTACCATCCGAACTACGCACCGCAGATCTACCAGCAGTCGTACGGCGGGCAGCCTCCGTACCCGCAAGCACCCCAGCCTCCCTACGGCCAAGTCTACGCTGCACCAGTGCCACAGCCTAGCCCTCCAGCTCAGGCATGGGGCGGCCACCCGCAGCCACCCCAGAGTCAGAACCCATATGGCGGTGGTGGACGGGGCGGTCGGGCCTACAATGAGCGAGGCGGTGGTAGTAGTCAGCTGATGGGGCCCCCAATTAGGATAGGGTTTGACGGAAACAGCGTCCCACAACCTCCCCCTGCTCCAGTGAGCGGTGCATACCCGCCTCAGCCTTATGGCGCGCCTCATGGTCCTCCTGCACCGTATCCTCCCGCGCCGTATCAAGGATATCCGCCTCCGGCGCCATATGTGCCGGGATCGGCACCTTACGAGCGTCACCCCAATCACGGTGCTCGTCAGAACAACCGTGGTGGTTTTCACAATGCAAAGTCTCGTGGCCAGTTCGGCGGCGACAAGATGCGCAACCGCAATGCCCATGGTGCAAACGCGCAAACTACTCCTACTCACCATCAGAAGCCTGATGCCGCATCTGCGGGAAAGAAGAAGAAGCGTAAAACGAACACACTTGGACTGACACCGGGTGACGAGTCTGACGAGGATGACGAAAACGAGGAGGAACGTCTCAAGGAGATGTATGGCGACGAAGCACCCAAGTACGTATTTTTGCCACTTTTCCTCGGAACATTGTTGTTACCTGTTCGTATGCTAACTGCGATTCCAGTCCCACCCACCCAACAGACATCCAGAACTGGATCGCAGAGCGTCGGGCAAACTTCCCTACTAAAGCTAAGATCGAGCTGAAGAAGAAGACCGCGGAACAATCCCAGGCCAGTGACGCCACCAAGGCAACGGACAACAGAGAGGCGCAGCTTGAAAAACAAAAACAGAAAGCGGAGAAGCTTAGAAAGCAGCTCGAGAAAGTTGAATCGAGTATCAAGAGAAAGAGAGAACAACAAGATGAGGGAGATGAGATGCGGGATATTGACCTGACGTCGTCCCCCTCAAGTGATTCGAAGTCGGATGACGAGAAGCCTGAAGTCATGTCCACTCGTCAGGAGCCTGACAATTTACCTCCACCGCCAAAGAAGGCTGACCCCACGAAGCACTGCAAGTACTATTCAACAGGTGGAACATGCGGCAAGCGGGGCAAGTGCCGCTTTGTCCACGACCCCGCTGTTCGTGAAGCCGCCCTCAAGGAGCGGGAGATGAATGGCGGACGCATGACCCTTCAGCAGCGTCTCATCTTGAACGACAAAGCCCAGGAAGATCTCACAATTATGGAGACACTTAAATATTTGGGGGACAAGGGTATTCTCAAGAAAGAACTCACGGCCAAAGCTTCACGAGTTACAGCAGCGAAAGCAGAGGATGGGCAGAATTCTGCTCCTCAATCTCAGCTTCCTCAGGCTGCCATTGTCAAGAAGGAGTCCCCTATCAATGGTCTCCCCCCTATTCCGCCGCCAAGCGCAGTCTCCAACAATCCAGCTGTTAAGTACCCTGGATGGAATCTTGGCGGCTACGGTAGTACGGGAGTTGTTCGACCAGGCGAAACCTAGAATGTGCGCAATCGAATGCAAAAACCCGTAAAGTGTTGGTGCCCCGTCCCGGTTTCCACTTTCTATTAGAGCTGCGGCCCAAATTGAGAGCTCAAATAGGTTCCAAAGTTCGAATCCCGAAGAGCTATTTCAGATGCGGCGGTCTTGCTAACTAACTGCAGCGTTTTGGCAGTGACCTGTTTTTTGTTTTTCGTCCATATTCTACGACCGATTTCTCCATAGCGTTGGTTCTCGACAGTGTCGGGAGCGGCCTGTTAATTTCCTCGTTCGGACGACAGCTCGCCATTGCGGGATCTTGGGTCGTTGCTGGTCACTTCTAATTATAGTTGCCGCAACAAGATTCTGTTTCTCGCCTGGTGATGCTGGGCGGCTCAAGGGCATAGTTTTTTTTTTTTTTTTTTGGTTCATGGAGTGCCATGGCCTCGCGTTTCTTTTCGGAGGGTGGTGATAGTCATTCACTGATTGTTCTACTATCAATAACTAGGGCTAGGCTTAGCATCGGTTTTACCAAAAGGACCCAGTGGAGAGGACAGATGGTTGGCAATGAAGATTGTACTATAAGTGTATTGCGTGCGTAGCAAGGGGGTTATTGACTCCAATGTTTCATTTCCATTTGGCTCGGGAGTGCTATCATCCGGACATTCAACAGTAGTTTTTGTCTGACTACGCTGCCGATGCCCAGCCGTCCGCCAGCCCCGGGCAGCCGATCCGCAAGCCGTCGTCGAGCACCGGGCAGCCGATGCCGCCAGCCGTCGACCGGAGCGATGCGAATCTCTACCTCGCCGATAGAGGTTTAAAAAGGGTCGCCCGAGTGCTGCTGTCCCTAGTTGGCACACTGCCTAGTTGGCACACTGGTCGTCTGTAGAGCACGGCATCGAGTCTTTCTGGTTTGATACGGGCGATACCGGCGGGAGAGGGTTAAGAAGACGTAGAGGACATGCGATCACGTTGCTAATTTGAGGCAGCCGCAATGATACTCGGTACCGACTCCTCGAGCAGGCGGCCGACGAGGGCCTTATTATCGGCGTCCTCGCGTAGTATGGCGGCCTTGAGGTCGCGCTCGGCGCGGTCGAGCTCCTCGCGGCGGCGGGCAATGTCGCGCAGCGCGCGCGCCGCGCGGTCCTCGAGCGACTTCTTGCTCAGCTCCATGGCGCGCACCTTGACGTCGACCTCGGCCTTGAGCCGCTCGAGCTGCGCCGCCCGCCCGTGGTCCTGCAGCGCGTCTGCCAGCGCCACCGCCCCGCCCAGCAGCCGCCCGATGCCGCGCGCCGTCGTCGGCAGCCGGTGCACCGCCGTATGACGCAGTGTCTGCGCCGGCTGCACGAGGTCGCGCATCGTCGTCGGCGGGCATGTGGTGGTGTTGGTGTTGGCGAGCTTGATGGCATTGGGGGGAAGTGTCGTGTGCGTCTTGCTGAGCATCTGCGTCCAATTGGTCAGCTCGACCGCCGCCTCGCAGTCCCACCCGCGCTGCTCGAGTACCGAGGGCATCCACTTGGCCGCGAAGTCGAAACAGCATTCCTCGAGGAGCTGCTGCGCTGAGGTGCTGCGCCTTGTACGGTATAAAGGACGGATACAGCAAGGGGATCTGGCTCTTGAGCAGCTCGCCCGGTCCCCCTGTCGTTGTTAATTCTGTCGGCGCTGTTGTTGCAGCTACTGTCATTGTTGCAGCTACTGTCGTTGTTGCAGCTACTGTCGTTGTTGCAGCTACTGTCGTTTTTGCAGCTACTGTCGTTGTTGCAGCTACTGTCGTTGTTGCAGCTACTATCGTTGTTGCAGCTACTGTCGTTGTTGCAGCTGCAGGCGTAGTAGTTGTTGCAGCTGCAGGCGTAATAGTTATTGTTCCTGCTGCTGCTGCTGCTGCTGCTACTGCGGCTGCAAAGAGTGACTGGTTAGTACGATCCGGCTATGTTTTGTGAGTGCAAGCAAGTAATATCTACCTGGAGTTGGGAGAGGGAAAGGAGTAGACGCAGAAACAAACTGCAAAACGCCGGGCTCTGGCTCCTCGTCGCTGAGCTCTTTCAGGTCATCTTCGGAAGCGACCACCTCTTGGAGCGCCTGGCGGCCGACTTTGCCGCCTTGACCTCGGATACTTGGCGCTCTGTATTTCGCGACGGCGTCGTCTAGAAGAGGTCGAGAAATATAGCCCAGGCGTGAACATTTGAACACCCGAAACTAGTGTTCGTCTGAATACACGAGCATCCAACATCAATATTAATCTGGTGTAGCCAAGTGTACATGCGGGTTTCAAGTTGAAGTCCTATGAATGACCGATTGGCAGAAGTTGGGTATTCCCATCCGTGTTGTGTTTACCTGTGGTCAAGGGGTCGCCTCGCCAAATGACAATGTCAATTTCGTATGGATGCATCACGGCTCCGAATATCAGTCCCGATTTGTATGATGAGGTAGTACCTCTTTCTATATCGCCTGAATACGGCGCCATTCGTCCCGGGAATGCTGGTTTGGATATTTATATCAAGGGAGAGATGAAATAGAAGCAAATCAGAGCTCCGTCTTTGCGGCCCGGCCCTTGCCGCTGCCGTTGGCCTTTCTCTGTTCTTTCAGTTTGCTCCACAGCTCGCCGCTCCAGTGGCTCTTATCTGACCAGTACCGCTGGCCCAGTTGTTTAACGTACCAGTCCCAGCAATCGCCCCCCTCAGCACTACCACTGCCCGCTACTTCCGCGCACGCCTTGTCCGAAGCGGCCGGGCCAAGCGGCCACTCTCCCAGTGCCGCACCCATGTCGCCGTCGAGGAAGTTATCCAGCAACAGGAGCGCCACTTTGCGCTGCACCGGCTCCCAATCTACCGCCGCCGCCGCCGCCTCTGAGGAACCGCCCGCCGCAAGAACCTCCAGCAGCAGGTCCATGCCACCGCCCGCGAGAAACTCCCTGCGGATCGCGTCGTTCTTGAGCAGCCCGCTGACGGCCGCCACGCGCGCTTTCGCTACCGCCGGATCGCTCCGCGGTTCCATTACTCGGAACACCGCGCTGCCTAGCGCCGACGCCGCCCCCGCGCACTGCTCCTTTTTTAGATTGACCCAGTGCTTCTCGATCTCGCTCAGCGCCTTGGGGTTGTTCTGCACCGCCGAGCTGATGGCCAGCGCGGCGAGGCGCGCGCGCCGGTTGCGCGTTGTCGTTGCGTCGTCAGCATCTGCCTTGTTGTTGTCCGCGGTGGCGGTGGCGAGGCAGACCAGCCGTCGCACCGTGTCGTAGTCCTCGGCGATCTTGAGCCCGTAGTAAATGTCGTGCGAAATGTCCTCGAGCGCCTCCAGCGCAGAGTCCACATCGAGCCCCTTCTTCAGCACCGCCAGTGATTGGGAGAACACGCTGCTGCTGCTGTCCTCGGACGGGGCCTGTTTGGGGGGCTCCTTGATCTTGCCCATGGGGTCGTAGGCGGGGGCGTTGGCGGGGATTCTGGGCGCCTGCTGTTGCTGTTCTTCCTGGGACTCGGGATCAACGACCACGACGGCGCGCTGATCGGCGGCGGCCTCCTCGTCGGGCACGTTGATCTTGGCCTCCTTCTCGCCCGTCCACACGTTCAGCCGCACGTGCAGCCCCGAGGGTAGGTCTTGGTCTGCGCGGACGAGCTGGAACTCGTCCGTCGGCTGGAAGACCTTGGGGTAGCACTCGGCGGCGTTGTCCGTGTGGCAGATGAGCTCGGCGCTGCTGCCGGCGGACGGTGACGGCGACGCCGCGGACCTAGCAGTGCTTGCCGAGGCGGTGCCCACGAGGATCACGCTCACTAGCGCTACCAGACTGAGCGGTAGTGTGCGCAGTTGGAATCGGACCATCTTGGCCTTTTCTTTCCCCGAAGTCTCTTTGTGGTTTTCGTTTTCTCCCCTACCTTTCGGGAAGGAGATAGGTATAGGTTTCCCCTACGATGCCTCTCTGTTTTGCTATAAAGAGGATATACGAAGACCGTGAGCTGTAATAAACAGCGTAGAAAATGTGATAATACAGGGTTGCAATAATGGGTATTCCCGGCGAGGCAGCGGAGATATGTGATGGTGATTAATGAGAAAGTAGTGCTGCTCGGAAATGGATAGAAAGAGACAAGTGAACAGGGAGCTAGGAATTGAAGCAGTTGATTCTTCGCTGAATATTGTAGGTAATTTAAGCAGAGTAAAACTAGGTAAGGCCTTTCGATTGAAGTGACTCATAAAAGACCTCGGCGAAAAGGACAGTTTGCTGGATTTTCTCAATTTGCCCCTTCAACACTGAGATCGTCTGAACATTGAAGGCTTGAAGCAACACATTGACGGGCCATTCGGCTGGTGACCTGGCCCCTGCGGAAGTACTTTACTGGGCGGATGGCTATTGGCTAGTGGCTCTGGGAGCTGCTCTTAGCTTCTATTGCTTGCTTTTCTCAGTACGGCACGAAGATCACGTGCATCTAGCGCTTGGCACACGTGCTAGACTGACCCAATGCAGCTCCGGGAAGCACTGGACCGCATCACGAATCGATTCGTTCATTGGCAGTTTCTCGCTCACCAACTCGCCTTCTCGCTAGTGGCTTTGTCTCTCGGAAAGCTAGCAAACCCCGTTGCTGGGCTGGGCCACTATTTTCCGGGGCAATTGATTGATCCGAAAAGCGACGGAACCCGGCGGAGGAAGGAAAGGTATTATGTCCCGCAGTCGCAGTGGCCGTCGGTCCGTCCCTCGACGCTCGCTCTAATGGTCATCGCAACAGCAACACAGCACAGCACCATGTTCGCGCTTAGGCAGCGGGCAGCAGCAGTCGCCGCCCGGCAAGCTTTGCAGCTCCGGTTATCTGGGACGAGATCCTATGCCTCGGGAGGTAAAGACACCCACAATGGCAAACTCGATCTCGAAGCCAAAGACAAGTCGCACGACGCACACGGCGAATCTAGCCACCACCACGACAGCTCCTCCCACGGGAGCCACGACAGCCACGGCGACCACCATGATCACCATCACGCACCCTCGGTCCCTGAGTCAATCGGAGTGGGTAGCCCTGGCTACCGCGAAACAGCGGGAGACGGCCAGTACGTTTGAGAGCGCGAGAAAAGGCTGACAATCTGGCATAGAGCGGCTTCTACATCGCCCTCGGCACGGTCGCTGCCTCCATATTCTTCTACTCGGTCTCGCGAACGGGCGAGGACGGCAAGCCATCGGCCATCCACAGGGCCCTGGAGCAGTGGGCAGACCTGAAGGACAAGTGGGAAGTCAGGAACCAGCTTACCACGGCGGCTGTGGAGCAGGCAGGTCGCGACAAGAACATCTTCATCAACGCCCCGAGAAATACACACTATGAGCTCAGGCATCCCGAGTATGTTATCATTTCTCTTGCACCTCTTTCACGAGCACTTTAGAGGCCAGGCAACGCGGGTCAAAGCTCAATTCGCAGGTGGGAGCTGTAGACGACGGCCCGCTTAGTTGCCCTGCATGCCAATTAGGACCTGCCACTAGGAGAAGGCCGCATGCAGGATACCTTGAGGATGCCTTGGCGAGAGGGCGGTTTCCTTGTCTCCCAGAATGTTCACGAATGTTCCCAAAATGGGCGGGGCAGCTTCCCCGTGGTAGCTGCCCGGTGGAAAGCCGACGCTCCCCGCCCGTTGCCGTTGCTCTGCTGGCACAGGTTTCGATTGGTGCACCCCATGCTGACCACGTGACAGGGCCTTTCAACACGGGTCGCCATTCAACGTGCCTGCTGGCCACTACGTGAACATGGACAAGGTGGTGGCACACTACAGGAAGCAGCATCTCGACGAAGAGGAGCGCAAGGCCAAGAATCTGGCGGCGGCTGAGTAGCGTCGCGCAGCGGCTTGCCCCGATGTCCATACTCGCCGCTGTGGCCCTATACTCTTACTTTTACTGTATTTAGAGGTCCTCCCGAGGCAACCATCCAAACCGTTCATTCCTCCTTCGCCTGCTTTCCTCAGGCTGTTCCTTCAAGTTTGACTTTGCGCTTCATGCAGCCTGTGCTGCTCCTTCTCCTTATCGCGCGCCTCCTTGCGTCGCCTCCCCCGAGTTTTGGGTGCTTGGCTCTGCGTTAACTACTCCAACGCAGCCTGCCGATGCACCCAGCACCGTCTTCCATCAAACTCTCACGGCTACGCTCGTTTTGCAGACTTCCGAACTGGCATCATCAGTACGACAGTATCAATTAAAAGCACGTCTATCTTAGCCCACCCCATGGGGCAATCCAATATTGGAAAACAACCTGAAGTCGACGAGACCGTTGACCCACAAGTTGCGGCCGAGACATCGTTGTCACAAGTTGAGGCTGGACCTCCTTTGACATTGTCTACACCTGCTACCTCTGAATTACAGGGTGCGCCCGGGTCTTCTGGGGCATCGCCGGTAACGGAACCTGGGCAGCAGGATACAGCTCCTCTCTCTGCATCACAAGCCGCCTCTTCCCCAAAAGATCAAGCTGGACCGTCTGGAGCACAGGCTGCGACTACTGTTTCTGCATCGCAGGCTTCACTTCCCCATATTCACTGGGCGGAAAAGATCGATAATAAGCCCTCACCGTCCATTTTCCGCAGAGGCCACCGCAAAATACAAAGTAACTTTGAGAATATACTTTCAGTCGTGGCGCCACGCGGACCGATGGCTTCCGTGCGGGTTGTACAGCGAGCTTCCGCACCGGCTGGGCCGCAAACTACCGTGTCGACTGCATCGCCAGCAAATGCTACCTCTGTACTGGAAGAAGTCGCTCCAACTTGTCACGTAGCCACGGAGAGTGCCCCTGCCAAGGGTCCCTCTAATCTACGGAATGAACTTGTTGCCTCGGGCTCACAGCAAGCTGTAGCTGGAAGCGATGTCCTACAAGCCGTAGCTGGAGCTAGACAAAAACATACGACTACAAGCTCTGAGCAACAAACTGCAGCAGGGACTAGACAGAACGACGCTGAACAACAAACTACAACGGAATCCTGGCAGCAACAGACTGAGCAACAAACTGCAGCAGGGTCTGGACAGCAAGACGCTGAACAACAAACTACAAGAGGATCCGGGCAGCAACAGACTGGGCAACAGACTGAGCAACAGACCGAGCAACAAACTGCAGCAGGATCTGGACAGCAGCAGTCTGAACAACAACAAACCACAGCAGGGTCTGGGCAGCAAAACACGGCCCCGGGCTCTGGGGTACAAACCGCAACAGGGGGTGGACAGCAACCCATGGACCCGGACGCTATTGAACCGGCGCCATCTGAAGAGCAAGCTTCAGAACCGCCATTCGATGCTGCGAAAAGCTGTAGGGTATGTAATCCATACCTCTTTACTCTCATTCGTTAGCTGACGAGCCCTGCTGTCTAGCCTCCGGCTACCGCCTTTCGATCACCTCCCTCACCTATCGCCGCCGTACGCGTTGGCTTCGTAAACGCTACTATGGGTTATGGCCTCTTCGCCGCGCGGGATATCAGACAAAACGAGGCAATTTTACACGAGGCACCATTCATGACTGCCTACTTCGATGAGAGATTTCCCGACGACATGACCAATACGGCCAGCCAGCGTGGCGCCTACATGGAATCTTTCCACGCACACCGCAGCAATCTTATCGCCGCGTTTCCCCGGCTGGCTGCCAGACACGGCTATGGGCCGCTCGACTACGCACAAGCCGACACCTGTTTAAGTAACCTAACCACCCATCTCCGCCACGGCCAATGCGATCCGTCGACTGTCACTCAAGCAGAATACGAAGCCTTTACCAACACAATCATCCCAACGAAGACGGTAGTTGGTTCAGACGGCAACGCCTGCAGGGAGTTCTTCCGGGACTACGCCTTCAAGGTGCAGCCTAAACACAGCTCGACGCAAGCGGCGGCGGGAGCAGCAGCCTCCGATCAGGCGGGCGCTTTCAAGCAGGAAGCCTGCGTGTACCTCCTCGGATCGCTCATCAACCACCGCTGCCGGCCGTTCCCGAACAAGAACAAGCCGGCCAGCATCGGCGTGGACGCCAAATACGGCGGTCCCCAGGGCCCCAACTGCGAGTGGCGAATCGGCCCCTCGGCTCTCACGCGGTTTGCCCAGGAAAAGCACATCGTCGTGGACGCCCTGCGGGACATCCGCAAAGGCGAGGAGCTGACGTGGGACTACCACAAGAAGGTGCTAGGCTTCATCTGCCAGTGCGACATCTGCCAGGAGTCCTTCATGCGCCAGAGGTGTCGCGTCCTGTGAGGAGCAACGCGTCGCTGGCTCAGGAAGGTTGGCACGAAGATGAAGGAAACGTGCATAAAGGGGAAGCCCAACCCCTTTGCAGGCTGATTTCCATTCAAGGTCGGCAGCTCGGCAAGGTCACCCACTAACGGCATGCAGGCCGAATCTAACATCCAGCGCAGCATTTGGGTCGTCTGTCTTTTTCTTTTTTTGTCCATTGTTTTGGATTCACATAGCGTTGCCTAGTTTTCTTCTTTTGTATTGTTTCTTTTTCGAGGTTAAAGCATCTCACGAGCGGTATTCCATAGTATGAGACGGAGCAGGACACACAAGTTTTAATGCTTAATCAAATAAATGATCGGAACGCATTACAAGCCAGCATTTGGGTTGTTCGTTTCATAGTTTCTTTCTCTCTTGCTATCTCGTAAACCTTAAGATAGTGTGATTCAGGCATTGCTGCAATCCCAATGCCCAACGAGGAGCAAAACCGTGTCCGCATTTCCCCAAACCCATGATTGATTTGAATGCAAGAACCAACCCCGCGTATCCCACAGTCCCAGCCCTTACTTGAGAGGAATGAAACGTGAAGAGTGCGTGGCACCGATACCTGGCCTGCCGTGCTTGACAGGCTTGCTGTAATGGGGGTTAGTGATGCCGTACAGATCCAAGCGTCAAGCGTGCAACGTACTATGTGATCGAGAACTCTCCAAGGTAGTGGCCAACCATCTCAGGCTTGATTTCCACCTGGTTGAACTCCTTGCCGGAGTAGATGCCAATGACGCTGCCAATCATCTCGGGGACGACAATCATGTCGCGGAGATGGGTCTTGACAAGGTCGGGCTTCTCGTTGGGCTTGGCCTCCTGCTTGGCCTTGCGGAGCTTCTTGATCAGGCCCATGGGCTTGCGCTTCAGGCCCCGGTTGATCCTGCGGCGGGCGCGGGCGTGGACGACATCGCGGAGCTCGTCAGATCCAAGGTCAAGGAGACTGCAGAAGAAAAAAATCCTGGTCAGCTCGGAGGTTTTCTCTTTGTGGCTTGCTTTCGATGCCAGGTGCTGATCTGTCCATCCGTCGCCTTGTTCGTCCCCTCCGCTCCTTCGACGTTGCGGTTCCCAATCCCTGAACGGTCGTGCTGTCTCTCTTCTTTCGAATGCTCTGTCTCCTCGCACGTCTGGGAACGGAGGGGAGTGTGCATGGTGTGTGCTTGAGGTTGTGGTTGGGTCACCTACGCATCGAGATCGATTCCCCGGTACGAGAACTTGCGGAAGGTTCTCTTCTTCTTGATCTCGGCAGCCTCCTCGGCGTTCTGCAAACAAGAGCCCCTGTCAGCTTCCAAATCTCATATTGAGGACGAGCCCCGGGCCCCGTGCATGTGCAACAAGCCCGGCAGGCGTTTTTCTTCTTGTTCCAAGCCCGATACCAGGTCCGGAGGCGATATGCGTGAAAAGCTGGACAAAATTCGCATTGGAAGGGGGGCAACGTACGTATTCGTCAGCCATCTTGGCGGTTTGTGATTATCACGATTTCGCTCTGTTCGATTATCGAAGAGCGAAAAGGCTGATGGTCGCGATTGATAGGAAGTGGGATTTGGCAGTACACCTCTCGCAAGACACTGGAGCGGAATGGTCGTGCTGCGACCTCTGGTTGGCCGTGTCTCCACTGGCAAAAATTCGTAGGGCTCAGTGCCCTCACAAAACCCCCCGCCGCCGCGTGATTGGCTTCGGTGGGCTGTGGCGGAAGGTTGTGGCTGTGGGGCTTCGGCGCTAAGGGTCTGAGGCGCAAGGCACGAGTTCCTGTTGACAGTCCAGAGTTCCTTATTCATCCATCTTTACAGAACGTCTAAGCCAACATATCACAGTTATTTCGTTCTGCTGTCTGCTGTCATTTTCTCCAACTACATAAAAGCTGCGTCTTCTTCAATGTGCAATTTTATTGCATTCTGTATTTGTGGATTTGACCTGTTACTATCGTCCCTACTTAATCTGGCAGTTACCGTTTACAACGACAGCAAACTCAGGCTCCTAAATTTGCTCAAAGACAGACATACTTGACAGCGCCTGTCCCGAGTGAGAGAACATGCAATTGTCCGCGCAGGACGAGCCCAGGTTTGCATTGTGAATCCAAGCCGGTTCCCAGTAGAACAGACCTACGCCGCCCTTAACTCCCGCCACTACGTTAGCAACGTCTTTGATCCACGTTGCCTGCCCTGCTGCCGAATAGGGGATGCTGCGGGCGTCGGACGGGAACGATGTCTTGGGTGCCGGACATGATGTTGGCCAATCCGTTTCGGCAACAACGAGGTCTTTTCCCCATCCATTAGCCAAGTTGGTCAAGCTTGTCTTGAGCGCCGACAGGGTTGCCGAAGACGAGTAAAACGGATAGAACGAAATGCCGATCATGTCGAAGTCCGAGGACACGAGTGTTCCCTGCTTCAGTACATTCGTGTACCAATTGTTTTGCGTTGACCAGTTCCTGCACAATCGTCAGTTATTGAGCTCTACGGAGATGCGTGGCGACGGACAGCAGCTTGAGCATGTCGAGACAAAGGCTGGGGAGCTGCCATACCATCCATTATCGAGGTGGATCATTATCTTGGGCTTCGGATTGAGCCTTGAATCCTTGACGGCTGCCGACGCCGAATGCAAAAGCCGGGCGACATTGCCCCATGATGATGTCCTCCCCGTTGGCCAAAGCAGACCGGCGGTGATCTCGTTTCCAATCGATATTATCGTCGGTTGTACCCCCACATCTTGGAACTGGTTCGACACATCAAGCGTATAATTGTACAGTTTCCACGAGAGGTCGTCGATTCCGGTGGGCCATCCTGCCGGGATAGCTTGATGTCCGGGATCTGCCCAGGTGTCGCTGTAGTGGAGGTCGACATAAACCCCGAGCCCGGCCGACTTTGCTCTTTTCGCAAGCGCGATGTTGTAAGCTAGGTTATAGTCACCGCCTGCCGGATTCACCCAGACCCTTTGTCGGACCGTGTTGACGCCGCTACTAGCGAGGATTCTTTCCAGGGGCTGCGCGTTGCCATTTGCGGTCTTGTACGAGACCCCGGCCTTTTCTTCAACAGCTACAGACGACCAGTCCACGCCCTTGTAGGTGAGCGCGGCATTGGTGACTGAAGCACCAAGCAGAATAACTGGCAGCGTCGAGAATATCATGGTGTTTAGAATACCAATTTCGCTGGGGCCGACATCACGGTCAAGCCATGCGGTGGCAAGCCACTCCGTATTTACTTACTTATTCACTGCGGGAACTTGCCGGAAGGAATCCCGCTCTCTGGAAACGTCGCCCATGATTGACGGAAACACTACATGCGGCCGGAGAATTCCCTAGATTGGCCCAGCATCCAGCGTACACGGTGTAGGGACTCGGTCCTCGGCACCGTTTGGATTGAACCGTCCAGGTCCCGTATATATACGGATTTGACTACCGACTTCCCGGCCGTGTCTCCTTCGACAAGCCCAAAAACCCCGCCAGTCAATATATTCCAAACTGCAACCCCACACTCGAGGTTCCCTTTAAAGGAGTTGCCGGCGCGCCCAACCTTTGAACGGAGGGGCCCGCATCCCCGATATAGGTTGGCGGCAGACTCGCATCAACGAATCTGCCCAGCAGTGGAGGTGGCTCACTTCTATGCCGTTGGGCAAGTCCCGCCAATCATACACCACACCGATCTACGTGATTCCGGGGACCCCATCCATTTGAGTCTCGCTTTTACGGCCGTTTGGCAGCGAGAATACCTTGCATTTTGGGCACAGGCCACATCATCAGCGCAGCCCCCAAAGGTACCAGGCAATCGGAGACCGTTGTGCTCTGCCTACTTGTCGTGTTTCTTCTTGAAACTTCGAGCAGGACATGACTGATGGTCGGAGAAAGAGGAGAGTGTAAGGCACGCGTTTTAATGTTTGATCAGTTTCTAAATAGACACTAGGTAACATCCGATGCTGATACGTCCATGGTGTCATGTTTCTAAAATGCTGGGAATTTTCCGATTGCCACTTACTACTCGTTGTCCGCCACCCTCCATACCAACTTCTCTGCGGATTGGGCCCTGGACCTAAGCGTGTTGAGGGCGCTTTGAGCTCTCTCTCGAAGCGTTTTGCCTTCAATGATCCGCTGCTTGTTTGGCTGCACCACTCCCTGCTCCAGGAGGGCGGGCACGATCTCTGGCTAAAGATGATCTCTGAAGAAGTCACTCTGTTGCGATCCGTTAGCCAATTGTAATACCGGCGCGACCTGGCAAGATTATGCGTACCTTTTCGTGGTATAGATTCGCTCTTGTCCCTTTCAGCTCAACGACTTCCTTCCATTCGTGTACCATGACCTTGTTGACGTCGCCCTCGTACACCGGGGGGTTGTGCTCGCTTGCGTGGACGTGGATGACGGGCAGCAGCTTGCTAACCGCCCACGCTTGCACGGTGAGGTATGTTCGGAAGGTCCCCTCCGCGGCCGCCGGCGGGGTGAAGCCGAAGACCTTGTCGCCGACGTGCAGCTCCCGAATCACATCGCGAAGAGGGGGCAGGGCTTTTGGTAACGGCGGGCCGAGAGCAACGATTGTGCCTGCAAAGGAACTGCCCATGAAGAACAGGTACTTGGTTATGGCTAGCCCGCCGTCGGCTCGGTGCAGGTCGAGCGGTGTCGACGACGTCCACTCGACATGCACCAGGACTCCGCCCGCGCCAGGGGCTTGAGTCGGCCGGCTGATGATGCTCAGCGGGGCGCGAGGCGTCGTGGTCACGAACAGGGTGCGTTTCTGGGGCACCTGCTGGGAGAGCCATGTCGTGAGTCGGGTTTGGGTCTGATGGAAAGTGTGTGAAGCTTTAGCAAAGGCGTCAAAGACAGTACACCAAGGGAGCTTGGAATTTTGCCATCCAATTTTAATCTTGTAGATATGGCCAAAGACTGTATATGCCGGCTTTATAGACGAAATTCACAATTTTCAGAACATCACTTCAAGTATCGAGGGGTCGATGGGAGCAATTGGTGCAATGTCTCCAGAAGGCTCTAGTGATTGGGATCCAAGGTTTCAATTTAGCCCGGAATAGGCAATGTTCAGCCAGGAAATGGAGCCAACAAGTGACGTGACGCCATCACCAACCAGCCAATACGCGGATACCTTCTGAAATACACGCTTCTTGCTTACCAAGTAAGCATCATGGCGCGTCGTAGTCAATATTTTCAAGTTCGGCAACACCGATGGCATAACTATAATGAGACTCGCCATGGGTGTATTCAAGGACCACTTCCAGAATCCAGAGCTGAAAAATGCAAATCCGTTCATCTCCCAATGGAACCTATAATTGACCTCGTCAGTTACCAAGACTGAGCAACGCGTCCCCAGGGCCTGGCGCTGAACAAGCCATGAGTTGATGATCGACTCAGGTTGCCAGAATTAGCAGAAGAGGATCAAGCCGCACGGTTACAGAGACACGGGATGTGAAGACGCGGGAACTACAAAAACCCGACGACGAGGCTTCCGATTGGAATCGCCACGCCCGTCCTCTCTGTACACGGGTGTGCCGGGGAAAGGAACCGAGCAAAAATAGATGCCTAGTTAGGATAAAATATGGACGTCAGGACCACCGAAACCCATTTGTTACTAATGGGAGGCGGCGGTATGACTTCAGTGCAGGGCACCGTTGAGGGTAAATATGCCGTGTAGAGCATGTTGTGCTTGTTAAGTTCCGTGTTATCCACAACCGAGGCCAAGTGCAAGTGCAACTGCGGTTAGGTCGATACCCAAACCTTGGTACGGACCAGGGCGAGGACGGATCCTTGGGCACATGCGAGCCCCAGACATGCAACGAATACCCGACTAGCGAATATCAGTGTATACATGCACCAGTCACTCGCATCAAGGCAAGGAGAGACGATCAACCCAAGGCAATTGTCCCAACCGGCAGCGCGTCAAAAACACCCCGCCCATGACGGACTTCACTCGGTCTGACGTTGAAACCGATCAAACCGTCTGGGGACAGCCACAAAATGCCGGAGCCGAGCACCTGCCCTGGGGCCTGCAGCAACAGTGGGCCCCTGCCTACGAAACAAAAACCCGGGGCGCATAACCAGCCCATACAGTGCCCGCAACAGCCCTGTTTGTTTCCATCTCTTCGGCGCAAGCAAAGAACCCGCCAGAGTCTCCAGTCCCTGAATTCACTTGTGAGAAATATGAATCTCGTCATATTAGTACCTAGTATTTTCAGTCCTCTCCTCTTGAGGCTGCTATCCAGCCGAGCTATCCAACACGCCGAGCTGCCCAGCTTGTCTCCGTGCCTCTTCCTTTTCGCCTCCAGTAGGAGCGCAGCAACAATGGAACTCCAATCGAGTCTCTGATTGGCTTGGACCTGTGCAGGTGGAGGGGCTCAGAACTCCCACAGTACGGGTCCCAGCAGAACACACCCTTTGCCAAGAGCTTGGCTGAGAAACCCCTGGCCTAGCGGAACGGCCCTCCTAACTGCTTTTGGGTTGCGTCAATCCGCGTCGCGAGAACTTCTTTCAGCAAACCCACGACGCAACTACCTACTTGCCAGCTCCAACCCCGGGCACTGCGCCGCTAATCAGTAAATGCGCCATCTAGAGGCTTAAAACTCCGTGCGCCACCCAGAATGCAGTATCTGGCCTTCTAGCACCGCCTAGGAACCCATCTGCAAAGGCTCTACCGACGCTACCGAAGCCTCGTCCCAACCCGAGGTAGCTTTATAAGCCTTTGCGCACCGAGGCCTCTCTGTCCCGGACACTCGCCTCGCTGCAGTTTGCAGCATCCAGAATATCACCCCCGCCATGCCTTCCCACAGGAGAGTCCGACTTCTCTTCTATGCCGTCCTGGCTGCCGTTGTCATCATGCTCTTCTTCACCTCACACCTGCGCCGGACGAGCCCACAAGACACGCGGACATCCCGAGACTTTTATCACAAAACAACCGATGCCTTGGAAAAGACCCAAGGGGTCATGGCCGGTGACGGCACCCTGAAGCCCGTCGAGCGGCACGACCACGACGCCGATGGCGACATAGACGAGGATGACGAGATCGTTGCCAAGGCCATGGCCGATCGCCTCAGAGCCGCCGAGCAAAAAGCCAAAGACATCGCCAATGCCAAGGCCCCCAACAAACCCGACCCGCCTTCGAATATCATCGGTGTTGGAAGCTCGGCAAGCGGTCAGAAGAAGACGGACGATGCACTTAAGAAGCAGGATGGGACCACAGACACTGACGAGAGCAGTGATGTGGCTGAGCTGGATGCCGAGATGGACTCCATCTTCGCGAAATCTCCCGGTAAGAAACCTCTATTCCTGCCCGCCTTGTGGTGCTGGAGCCGGTTCGCGTGCTGACTGTGTGTCCCGTCAGTGATCATTTTCTCCAAGTCGTACTGCCGGTACTCGGCCAGGGCAAAGGGCGTCTTGATGGAGAAGTATCTAATCGAACCGAAGCCCTTCGTCGTCGAGCTCGACCAGCACCCACTCGGTCGGCAAATACAAGCGAGGCTGTTGGCCATGACAGACCGAAAGACGGTGCCCAACATATTAGTTTATGGCAAGAGCATTGGCGGCGGCGACGAGATAACTACCCTGGACAATGAGAAGACGTTGGCCGCCAAGATCAAGTCCATTGCTGGCAAGCGCGTCGACGTGACAGAGCGCTTTGTCGAAGACGTCCAAAAAACAAACTAGTTTTCGAGGCTAACCCTACTTGTGTCTTGGGACTATCACAACACCAAAGACGACCAAGCTCGATGCCAACAAGTTATTGGTTGGTTTAATTACTAATTCTCAGGGACGACCGTTGTTGTACACTTGGTGTTGGTGAGCTGGGCTTGGATTTCCTGGTTTCACTAAGGATTGATATATATAAATATATATATATTGCATTACTCGGCGTTGGGGATCATTTGGGGCGTGGGCAACGTGTACACTTTCGGGGGACGGATCCATACGCGATAATGCACATGCTCCCGCGGCTTGTACATACCCCTTTCTAAGATTGTGTACGATAAGGAGACCGGGACCAGCTGGAGTCAGTACGTCTTGGGACGAATCGAATTTCACTTCCGCAAGGAACTAATGGGACCGCAGTCTGCCCCAGATCCAATGATTGGGCCCGTGGTCACGAACAAGACCGGAAGAGTATATTATCGACGGTCGGCGGTGAGGATGCGGAAGCCTGACTCGTGTCTAATAGCTGGAACACGAACAAGGCCGGACGAGCAAATTATCGACGAGCGGCGGTCAAGGTGTTGATTACACACACATGGCCAAACAGCTCGGCCCCCCTCTGACACAGCTATAAAGGAGAACGATTCTTTTCGATTACAGCTTGCCATGTGCCTTGAACAGCTGTCGAATCCCTTGGGCCAAATCGTCAGTCCATTGCACTGCCTCGAAGCATTTCTTTTGCAACAGTCAGGAGGCGCTTCCTCCTAAAGCAAGCCACGAGGCCCCCTTACGCGCTTAGCTGCTGCCATGTTGCTCTCGTCTCCATCGCACTCTCCTCTGAAAAATAGCAGGAGCTCGTGGGTCTTGCCATTAGCCGCTTCGCGCTGCTCTTGGCCGATTCCCACCCAAGTGACTGCACAAGATCTTGGGATCCAATCCTCCTTGCTGGTGGCCTGTCGGCCCTCACCATCGCCTCTTCAACTGGCTTATTGCTTTCTCTCGTTCTGTATCCTCACACCTGGCATGATACCAGCGAATACTTCTCAGCAACCCACACACTACGGCACTGGATCCCGGCCCCCTCACCCACGCCCCGCCACCACCAGCCATGTTCCCCCCCGAGATCGTCCTCGCGGTCGCCGAGTTCGCCGACCTCGAGACCGTGTCGGCCCTGTCGCGCCTGTGCCGCTCCTACCACCATACCATCCTGGGCTACCAGAGCTCCGTCATCCAGGCGAAGTTGAACCGCCGCGGCGTCTATCCCCTGCTGCTCTCGCCCCGCGGGACTACCATCTCGACCGCCAGCCCCGAGCGGCGGATCTTGCCGCCACACACGTTCGCCGTCATCCAGGAGCTGGACAAGCGGTCGCGCTACATCGACGCCATGGCCGCCGTCGGCGGCCCGCTGCTCAAGGAGCTGTGCGCGCACGCCAGGCCCCTCGACGACGACGAGATCGTGTGGCAGAGGCTGGTCGGTGCCATGAGGCACGGCTGCTTGCTGGCGGACCGTCTGGCGGACTGTGTGGTCGATTTGACCGAGGGGCTGGAAAATGATGAAGAAGAGACGATGAATGTCGACCCTGGCAGCGAGACCAAGGCAGAAGGCAGCACGAGCAACAACCTACGGGATGGATTGCCCGCTGGGACAGCAAAGACGGCAGACGCAGCAGCAGCGCCAACCACCCGTGACGTACACCTCGGCCAGCTCAGGCTCATCCTGTCCCTCTCGATCGCCGACCTGTGCTGCCTGTACATGGCGTCGTTCATGAGCGGATCCGCCTACTCCAGAGCCTACATCTCTGTGTGGGATCCGGCATGCTGGTTTGTTACCGCGCCTCCCCTATAAGACATACACAAACGCAAGAAATGCAGACACGGGGGGAAAGCTGACACGCAACACACTAAACCATGCAGGGAACGCGAGTTCTCCTTCCGGGAAGCGTTTCTCCGGCGGGGCAGCGTCGTGCTGTGGTCGATTCTCCCGCGCAAGCGATCCCCCAACTCCAGCTCGTCGGACGACGATTCACGTGTCGGATGTCCTCAGAGCTGCCGACAACGGCCCCTGGCCGAGCTGTTCGAGGCGGAGATGGCCCGGGTTCGCCCGCTGCCGCCGCCGCCGCTGCCCCTCCTCGCCATGCCGATCCTGCGCGAGATGCGCGAGCTGGAGCGCGAGAAGCTGGCGTGGCTGACGGGCGACGGCGACTACGACGCGCTCGCGCTGCTGATGGCCGACAAGGATATCCCATCGCCGCCACGTGACGGCGAAGACCTCGTCCTGCCTAACCTCGTTGGCGCGGTTGTCGATGTCTTCCTGCACAAGTCGCCGCCGCCGCCGCTGCCGCACGGCCTAAAGGAGGACCTCAGCGGCACCGTGGCTCGCATGACGATGATGTTTTGGGATGGCATTTTGACTGGACTGGACTGGACTGGCGGGCGGGTGTGTAAAGAGAGGGAAAATCAGAGTACGTAGGGTGTTGTTGCGTGGGAGACATTATTTTTGGGGGGTTTGGCTTTTTCCCCCCTTTTTAGTTAATTACCGGTTTTCATTATAATTCACTTGCCTTACCAGTTATGCGTGATTGTTTTTGGTTTCAAAAAAAATTTAAAAAAAAAGATCACGAGAGAGGGTTGAGAAAAGAGATTTGTATTATTCTATGAAGAAATAATATGTATTGTTATTTTGCAAAGATCAAAAAGTCTAGTTTTACGCCAACACATTATCCAGGGCGCACTCGCTCGCCGTCTATTATTCCAGTCTAGTGTGAATTTCAGTCGAACGACATACCCTTCTATTATTTGCGAATGATAGTTTTCGCAAAGCACAAGCAAGGCTCAAGTTAACGCCAACAGTCCCTTTCCATACCTACCTAGATACATACGACCACGCTGAACAATATTGTAGCGCTGGCTCACGAGCCAGCCCACGGATTCGTGGTGACGTCGAAAGTTAAGCTGGGAATGGCAATGCTCCTAGAAGAGGCCTCGGCTGGCTGCGCCGTCATGGACGTTGCGGCATCGAAAGTGAAGTTTGCAATGCTGCCGAAAAAATCCTCAGCTGGCTCTATCTTCGTGCGCGCCGTGGCGTCGATGGTGCTGCCTTCAATACTAAAGGAAGGGTCCTCGGCTAACTCTGCCGCCGCGGGTGTTGCGAAATCGAGAATGAAGCTGTCAATACTGGAGGAGTCATCAGCGAAGTCAGCTGCTGTGTCTGTCTCGACATCGAAAATGAAGCTGAAAATACTACTAGAAGAGTCATCGGATAACTCATCCGTATGTGTCTGCGGCCCGGGATGAGTCGATGCCTTCTCCTCTAGCCCGTGAACGTTCGAATCCGTTGCTGGATCGGGCGGGTTAGAGCCAGCCCACGGGTTATCTTCAAGCTCGGTATAGAACTTGCCTACCTCGGGGGCCTTGTTGCCCTGATGGCTAGAAACAGGGTCAGGACCTTGGCTTACCTGTGGTTGGAGGTCAAAGTAGGATCCGAAGCTGGCCTCTGGTTTGAGATCTAAGAAATATCTAGCCCTGGCCTCTGGCTCATAGACGTCAAGAAGGTGGACCGGGGCTCCTTCATCAGCCAGACACGCCTGGGTCGAGAATTTCTTGGCGAGCTTCTCGGCCTCGCGTTTTGCCTTCTGGATGTCCCCTTTGGCTTGCGACATAGACATTCGCGAGCCGCCACGCGCTGCCATGCCGTATCGGATGGATTCTTCGGTTGCGTGAGGTGCGGGAGCCAACAGGGTGTATTCAATAAGAGAGCTCACACAGAACTCGCCGGCTTCGAATATGATGAGATCCTCCTGCTCGGGCTTGATTGCGGGTGCCGCGGATTTCTTCTTCCCGAGGCGCAAAGCCAAGGAAGACACCGAGGGCCACTTCATATTGACTACCCTATTGGGTACTAAGATACAAATAGGGCCAAGATAAAGGAGCCGAAGTCGAGCTTGCTAGCTGCTGAAATGTTTAGGATACCTCTTGAATTAAGCCCACCAGTGGATTCCGAGTTGCAGCAGAACTACGAATTCCATGTAAACCCAGCCGAAACCGTCATTTCGGGAAACAGGCCAGGACTACTTCACAAACGACCGAGCCTTGGGAAATCGTATGTTAAATTGCGAGAGAATGGACTTGTCGAGTCCGAAACAAAGAGAAGTTGCTGCAGTCGATAATGAAATTATAACAGGCCAAGAGCAATGATTTTGGCATAAAGGAGCCGAGTGAAGACAAAAGGGGCTGTGAAACCATGGCATTGTCTCGCCAGCCATTATGACAGTAATAACTCCCTTTTGTCGAGTAGAACTGGTATATAACGCAAACAGGCCCACGCCCTCCTCGCGTGAGCCGAAGCTGTTTTGGAATAGACAATACTGTACATACCAGTCGAAAATAAGTTACGTTCGAAACATCAAAACAACATCAACAGGAAAATCACAAGAAGAGGCAAGAAAAAACAGGGAATAGAGCAACACAAAATGTGTCAGTATACCGCTGTCCACTACACGTGTGGACACTGGAAAAGAAAAGGCAAGTTCCAGGAATGTAGCCGATGGAGAGAGATGATCAAGAAAGCAACGTTCCGCCAGCTCCTCTTTGGTAAGGTCGGCTCGTGTCCGGATTTGAGAGAAGACGCCATCCCCATGCGGAGTCAATGCTACGAGTGCCGGGCAGGTAAGTATCCTAACAGAAGCCGCTCAGAGGCTGCCGCTCTCAAGTCCAGCATCCGAGTGGTGAAAGGGACAGCGCGCGGAACAACCGGCGGCTTCCTCGAAAAAGGCGAGACTCAGGCGGCCGCGGCCCATGAGTCCCCTACGGCCTATAGTGGCTCTCGCCTCGCACAACACGGCGAAGCCTCCCGCGCTGGCACGGCGGCCCGGGACAGCCGCAGAAACGGTGGCTTCCAAAAAAATCCTCACCTGCCTCGCCTAGACAACAAAGAGAGACCCGTGGCCACAAAGACTCCACTGCGCCGCATTAAGTCCAGGGCCGGAGACATACTTTGGGTGCAGAGCTTCGACGGCGATGAGCCTGTCGAGACTCGCGCTCAGCGTCCAGCAGCACCGCTCCTCCTCAACAAGCTCCTGCCACCGCTCCCGCTCGAGCCTCACCTGCGACTGCCAGAGCGCAGGCCGGCAGTCAGGGGTACCACGAAACAGGGAGGCAACTCCTACCTCAACCCCAACGCCGGGGCGGAATCTTACCGCAGCCAGAGACTCGTAGGCAGGGAGGAGCATGTCCGTGACGGCTGGCCGCACATTGGGCTCGAATCTCGGACGACGCAGCAGCAGCAGCAGCCGCAAAGGGTAAGACCAAAACTGAGACTCGACACTGACCTGCCCACAGCAGACGAATGGGTCCAGCAACAATATCGTGTTATTGCCCAGCACGGGCCGCAGAGTCAGCAGCAGCAACTACAGCAGCGTCCACAGCAACAAGAAAAACAACAGCAACAGCAAAAAAGCCAGCAGAGACACGTCTGGGAGGGGCCAAAGTACAAGCAAAAAAAGCCCTCGGTCACGTCCGTCCGGTCCGGCGCGTCGTCGACCAAGAGCTGGCTCTGGCGGCTGGTCAGCCCCAGCAGCCCCGATGACGAGTGGGTGTCGCTGGACGCGTCCCGCACAGAGCAGGGCCGGTAGGAGGCAAGCTACGCAAGCGAAGACAAGGTAAGGCAAAACAAGGCAAGGCAAGGCAAGGCGGTAGGTACCCAGACAAAGGGGCTCCTTTCATCTGCCTACGTATATATCAGTTCCTTTGTTATACAGCAAGGAAGGTAGATACCAGGTAGGGGACGGTAGGTGCATTTCTAGGCGTAACTACCACAAAGGCCTTGTTTCTTTGTCAAAGCATTGCGATTTCGGCGAGGTATGAGTCATGGGAGTTTGCGGTCCGGTCTGCTTTGCATTGTCAGGTAAGTCGCTAAGCAGGTAGGAGTCATTGTTGCGTCGTGCTGTACAGTGCTAGATTATGCTACGGGAAGAGACGAGGTTATGATGAGTTAATGAGAAAAAAACAGAAAATGGCCACACATGCATTTCGCGTAAACCTCTGTACAATAAACAAAATGAATAATCCATTGTTGCAAAGATGATAGGCCGTTTTTTTGCCGAATTTATCGTGTTCATTGTGAAAAAAAGATGTGGTGAGTCTTTGTTCTTGGCTGCGCTGCCAAAAGAATTCCACCAGGTCGGCCAAAGGATCGAGGTTGCCCACCTCAATGAACAACCCCTGGCCGCAGCCGCATCGTGCCGCTAGCCAGCAAAGACCAAGCTGCGGACCCACTTTATTGTTTTGCCGACCTCGACTCTCCAATTCGGCATCGAAATTTCCAACCTCGCAGCATCCAGCGCCCAGCGAATCGTCAAACCACCACCTCCACACCCGAACTGCCTCAAGTCCGCAGCCCGATCCGCCGCCCGCCATGAGCAGGGCCCTGCTGCGCTCCGCGCTGGAGCTGCGCACGCCCATCACACGCTTGCCGCCGCCCTTTCTGCTGCCCATCCCCATCCGCCCTCGAGCTAACGCCCTGACTGCCGCTCCCGCCGCCGCCCGCTTCTTCAACCAGACGACGCAGATCGTCGACCCGCCCATCCCGTCGTCTATCCTCGCCGACGCCGGCCGGACGCCCACACAATCCCCCACAGCACCAGCCCCAACAGCAGCACCGGTGGCGGGCATCTCCAAAATCTCCGCGGCGCTCTCCACGCAGATACCACAGCCGCCACCGCCGGCACGCACCAGCACAGAGCCGCTCAGCGAGTCGGTGCGCACGCTGCTGCCGCTGCTGGCGGCACAGCCGGGGCACTACGCGACGGCGCACATCCATGGGCGGCCGTACCTGGTGACGGCGGGCGACCTGGTGCGGCTGCCGTTCAAGATGCCGGGCGTGGCCCCGGGCGACATGCTGCGGCTGACGCGCGCCACGGCCATCGGCAGCCGCGACTTCACGCTCACGGGCGCGCCGTGGGTCGATGAGCGCGTCTTCGAGTGCCGCGCCGTCGTGCTCGGCACCGAGTCGGAGCCCATGCGCGTGCTCATCAAGAAGAAGCGCCGCCAGCGCCGCGCCAAGCGCGTCGAGAGCAAGCACCGCTTTACCGTCCTGCGCATCAGCGAGCTGAGGATCTGCGACGAGCTTGTGGCTGCGTAGCTGTGATATGGGGGAAGGGGGACCGACGGTGCTGTCACGGGACGGTATCTTGTTTGAACAAGAGGTTGGCTGGCTGTAAGATGATGATTTGGAAGGGGGCTCTGCAGACACAGACGCACGAAGTACGTGCCTTGCAGTGCGTTATACATAATGTACCATACTTGTTCCGCTGCGTTTGCCATGGTAAATGCCACTGCGTGGTTCTGCTCGACATGTCCGCCTCTCCCCTTTCGGTGACAGTCGTGGCCACCGAACCCAGAGACCGGTGTCATCTGATTGCGCGTTGTAATATCTCTCTGCCATTGTGCGTGATTATTGGCAAGACCTCCAAAATAATTTGCATTCGCTTGAGCAAAAGACCCATTAAGGCCCTGCAGGGCGATACCGAATTGGCAGAACCGAGTCAGCTCTTTGGTGACCGCAGAACAACAACGCCGAGGTAAATATGGCACAGTGGATGAATGGACAGATTCCAAGCAGAGATATCTTTACACACAATATATACGTGACAGAAACCACTCCACACTCCCTCTTGGCTCTTTGTCTTGCCTCTATCGGCACGACACGATGGGGTAATGAACGGCGATAGTGAAAAGGCGCAGGCGGACAGGTAACGAAATAAAAAACCCCAAAAGTCGACAACAATAAAGGGCTGCATCGGTTTCCAACAAGGTGAGTTCTTTACTCAATCAATGAATCAATCAACCAATCGGTCTGCCACACCATCTCTCTCCCCCTCTCTCTCTGCCGCCTTATTTGGTATCATAACAGAAAAAAAACTCTCCAAAAGAAAAGACTTCGTCGGCACCCCCTCGAGCTCTCGCATTTGTCCAACTCAGGAGTGAGCGAGTGTCTAGAAGCGCGAGACTTGCAAGGGAAAACAAGCATAGAACAACCACAAAATAAAACTCCAAACTCTTTCCAACTCCTCTCCGGCCTCTCAGCCACACATCAATATACAGAAAACGTTCCGCTTCCTTTCTCCCCTCCAATCTTTGTATAAAATAAACTGCGTTTTTCGAGTTTCCGACACTACACAAAATCCACAGCCAAGCGAATCAGCTGCTATTATTGAAGGCGACCTCAAGTTATCGCCATCGTCACCTGGCACCAGCACCAGCACCAACACCAGCACCAGTACCAGTACCAGCACCAGCACCAGCACCGGCGCCCGCACTGTTACCGCCGCCGCCACCACCACCACCACTATTCGCCGTGACGGCCTTGCGGACGCTGGCCCAGTAAGCGTTGGGCCAGGTCGAAATGGCCTCGCCGTCGGACGGGAGGCGCTCCTTGCAGCGCTGGACGACGCTCTGGATGATGCGGGCGAGCAGCTCCTCGGTGACGGGGAGGACCTTTGCGGGGTCGGCGGCGACGACGGCGGGGTCGAACTCGAGCGGGTAGAGGAAGGGGTCTGTGTGGGCGAGCAGGTCGGCGCACGTGGGGCGGTCGCGTTGCTCGCGCGCGAGGCAGCGGCGCATGGTGCGCAGCAGGCTGGGCGGCACGCGCGAGCCGTCGTCGGTCACGTCGGGGAACTCGATCGCGTACCCCCAGTTGATGATGGCCTGGCACCGCGCCATCTGGTTGGCGATCTTGCCGAACGGCGGCAGCCCGTACACCATCTGGTATAGGATGCAGCCCAGGCTCCACACGTCGCTGGGTTTCCCGAGCTTCATGAGTTTTGGCGCGCCGCCTTTGGAGTGGTGATGGTGCTGGAGGGGTGCCGGCACACAGAACTTGCCGTTGTGTGCCGCCGTGAAGGCGTACTGGCTCGAGTCCATCAGCGACTCGGGCGACATGTAGTTGGGCGTGCCGATCTGTGTTTCGCGGTGCACGTTGACCGTCATGTCGGTCTGGATGGCGTTGGCGATGCCGAAGTCAATAAGCTTCAGCCGTCCCTGCACCAGCACGAAGTTGGCCGGCTTCAGGTCGCTGTGCACCACGTCGCGCGCGTGCACCGCTTGCACGCACTCGAGCATCTCCTTCCAGTAGTACCGGATGAACACGGGGTCCAGCCGCGACCCCTCGGGCGTGCTCCGACTCTTGAGCAGCGTGTTGAAGTCCAGCTCGCCCACTTCCATCAGCTGTTTTTATGGCAGTTAGCAAGAGGACAGAGAGCGAGGGGGCTTTTGACGCAAAGACTTACTACGCTGAGCATCTGCTTCTCGATGTTGAGCTCGTGGTCGATCAGCTGAATTACGCGGTCGACTTTATCTAGTCTCTCTAGAAGATCGATCTCGCCCTTGAAGCCCTTCACCGTGTTCTCGTCGGCGTTCTCGAGCGACACGCGCTTGAGGGCCAGCATCTTGCCACTGTCGGTCGACACCCGGTACACCTTGCCAGACCCGCCTCGCCCGATGCAGTCGATGCGCGTGTACGTCTTGCCGTTGACCCTGAGCAAGACCTGGCGCTTCTTATTGCCCTGGGCGGCGGCAGAAGCCCCGGCGGTAGCCGTGGCGGTCTCGACGAGCGACATTTTGGGCGGCGGCGGCGGCGCTGCCCGGTGCGGCGTGTTGCGGCTTCTGGGCGCCAGTGCCTTGCGCTCGGGAGAGGCTTGTGTAGCTTGCGCGGCCAGCCCGATGTCGACACGGCGCGGCTGGGCTTGTGCGCCCACGTCTTTCTCGATCAGCACCGAAGACGCCAGATTCACGAGCTTGAATGCTGCCGCCGGCGCCTCATTCTCCTTGTCGTGGCCCGACGGCAACTCGGGCGGCTGCAGTGGGGCCCTGTAAGCTAGCTCGACGTGGCTTCTTTCCGTCTCTTTCTGTTGCGACGCCGCGAGGGCAGCGTTGGAGGCTTGCTTGTGGATCGCAGCTCTGGCCGGGTCCCTGGCACTAACAGGGCTCCCCGAGGCTACCGCATAGTCCCGATGGCTCAACGCGAAGGACGACGCTGGCTGGTCACCCAACCCGCCGTCCATATACTGCTGCTGCTGGCTCTCGGGCTCCTGACTCGAGCCCATGCCTTCGCCCTCGCCTTGCCCATCAGCGTCCTCTTCGCTCTGCCTCCGCCGTCCCCGCCGGGCCGGGCCGCTGAGAAAGCTGCCTGGTACCTTTCCGACCCGCTTGACTCGCATCGAGCTCTGCGGCGCGGCGGGCTGGGGCCGCCCAACGGTTGCAGGATCGTCGGGCATCTCTTGGTCGCTGTATCCCGACGACTTCTTGGAGACGCCGGAATACGGCCCCCCTGAAAGTCTCGCCTTGTTTCCCGACGACCCGACGGCAATTCGGACGGTCCGTAGCGGCAGCACTGGCGTGTTGACATCGGGGAGCACGTCCTGTTGCGGTGCAGGTTGTTCTGGCTGTGGTGCAGGCAGAACGACGGGTAGAGATGTAGGAACATTCTTCTCGAGTCTTTCCCCGCTCTCCAGTCTCTTACCCCTAGTCGACGCAGAGAGAGACCTTCGGAGCCCGAGCTGCAGACCTCCGCTGGCGAGGGCTGCTCCGGTGGCCGGGGCCGTGTTGCTGAGGCGGACGACGCGTTTCCTCGGGGCTGGGCTGGTTTCCCGGCTGCGAACTGGTGACGACGGCCTCGAAGAGGGCAGTTGGACACTACCGGCCCGCGCATGGCGTCTGGGTTCGCGTTGGCGCACACTCTCTCGCCCGGGCTCTCTGTCTTCGGACGGCGCAGACGTCGACGCAGCCATCGCGCTCTTCCTAGTGACAACGCGTGTGGCTGGCCGGGCCGGCGGCTGTGAGGCGGGCAACGCCTCGGAGCCGTTGCCGTCGTTCAGCAGGGCCTTCGTCAAGGCGCTCAGCTTCATGGGCACGGGCATTTCGTCGTCAGAGCTGTCGTTCAGCGTCGAGTACTGCTGCGACTGCGACCTGTTCTCTTTTCCCGCGGCGGCAGCTAGGGATAGACCAGCCGGGTTTGACTCGCTCCGGCCAAGTTGACTTCTCGAAGCTGGACGGCGCAGGGCCTGGCGCGCCGAAGTCCTCCGTCCTAGCGATGTGAAGTGGCTGCCAGCGCCAAGTGGTGTCGGAGATGCCATGTCGCTCATTGTGTTGGCTGGCCCGCTTATTGTTGATATTTATTGTTTTTTAGCACTGGTCGTTCGGCCGGGAGGGCTTGCGTCTGATTGTGTCTCGCTGTGTGGTTGATGTTTCGTCGCTTGGCAGGCCGGGTGCTGTGGGTGCTGCTGGTGCCGGCGATGCTTGTCGTGGGCCTCGCCGCTCTGGCGCCAATCCGCGTCGGTCGCCCTCGCTTTTCTCCCTCGTCTTCGCGTGCAAAGCAAAGGGATTGCAATTCTGTAGAGCCAAAAAAAATTGCCGATCGACGTGTCGTATCAGCTCATCAACTAATCTTTCGCATTTTTACCAAAAAGCAAGTAATGTGGCGCGAGTGCGGCAGGTTGGCCCCAGGAGGATGGATGGGTAACGGGGGCTTTTCCCACTAACGCTACCAAGAGGGCCTTGCTTCGAGTATTTTGGTTTCCGAGCTTTTGGCCAATTAGAGCCAATCGTTTTTTTCAACCACTGTTGCTACCAGCAACCACCGTAACAGTTCATCCAAGTTAAGACGCTAAAACTGCCAAGCGTCGTGTCAGCTGAAATTATGCATTAATGCATAATCCTGCCTCAGGCAGAAAATGCATCTTGCAGTCTTAGAACTTCGGGACATCACTATGTACCGACCATCTAATGGCCCAAACGTAGTTATGGCTACAAAGTACGTAATTCGAAGACGAGCAATCACAACCAAGACAAGCAAGAGTGTGCACGGTAAAAGAGTAGCGGGTCATGGTCACAAGCAAGACAAACGGTAGTTGCAGAGGAGAGCTCCGAAGAGAGCTTGGTATTTTATTTGTCCTGCCTAAACGCCGCCCAGTGCTTTCACAAGCACATCCTCGTAAATCGAAAAGGTCGACATACGCCGTCCAGACAGCTTCCCTGCCAATAGCTTTGCTACCACGCGACGAGATGGCCAAGCCTAGTCGGAGATTCCCACCCTGTGCTTGATATTTTTGACTGCAACAGAGCAAGAAATTTAGTCGAAAAGACCGAATCCCATGTCGTCGTCGGACTCCTCCTTCTCTGCATATGTGTTAGCTTGACCGTCTCAGTGAATAATGTTCCAGTGGACTGCTTCTTACCCTCCTCCTTCTCTTCGACCTTAGGAGCGTCGCTGGTAGCGGCACCAGCGGCGGCACCACCAGCAGAGGGGGCAGCGCCACCACCACCACCGGACGGAACCGATGCGAGCTTGGCGGAGCCCTCAGAGATCAACTAAAGTCCTCTCCGTTAGCTATTGTTCGAGTCGGTATGTGGCATCGATGCCAGGAGATAGACCATTTCGTACGGTGTTGATGTCCTTGCCCTTGAGCTCAGACAGGAGGCTCGTGAGACGGGAATCATCGGCCTCGATACCGACGGACTCAAGGACGGCCTTGACATCCTTGGCGCTGGGGGAGGTGTTGCCACCGAGCCCGAGGAGGAGATACGCAGCCAGGTGCTTCATTTTTGCGCTGTGCGGTGGGATTTCGTGGTTAGTGGCCGGTTCCAAACTGCGTGCGATTGGAAGACGCCTTACTTGAGAAGAAGATGTTCGAAGAACAAGAGAGGTCAATCAAATTTAACCGCTGTGTTAGGCGGAGAAAGACTCTTCTTGGTTCTGGTGTTTCGGAATAGAGAGGAACTTCGGTAGCTACTGCTACGTGAATTATTTTGCAATTTTGCTATCTGTGAGCCCGCTTTCCGCGGCCCCACTAGTCAGGTGACCTCCCCACTCTCTTAGGGCAGAAGGAACAATTGGGGCACTGCTGACGTGATGCTGGTTTTCGAGTGCCTCGTCGGAATTTGAGGCTGCGTGGCGGAAACTGTGGCTTCTGCCCAAGAACAGCTTTCGCGGAATCGGCATTAGCAATTTCCGTACATTTAGTGGGTCCCTTAGGACGCCCCTGGATGAACTGCGCCCAGCGCCGAACAGTAAAAAGCTGGCCCGCCGACCAGACTTAAGACCGCTATCGATCACGCACGACTCTTTGTTCCCCTCCTTTCCTACAAAGACGCCGACGCATTTCCGGTCGTCAGCCCTGCGTCCCGAATCATCGATCTTTTCCTGCGATTTTCTCGATCAGCGAATTTTGGCTAGTATTTCGTAACTGGCTCGTAGCGAGAGCCGTAAAGCGATCGATGACCTCGTCTTTCTGAGGCGCTTCCACTCGTCTTTTCCGTTTTCGATGAGTCAACGCCGAAACACTGCGTGAGGCCGGGGAGGGATTCTTTTATTTTCGTCGACTTCGGTTCCTTAGCCGCTACAATGCCGGTAAGTTTGAGAGCCTTTTTCATTTGTCTCTCATCTGTCTCGCTTTGCTAACTCTTGCTTGAAGATTGGGGACCTGCTTGCGTCGATAACCGGCGAAAAGCCGTCGGTGGCTCCGGCCATTATCCCTCGACCCACTATTGCAATTCCGAAGCGCAAGGCCGAAGACGATCTTGGACGTACGCCCGCAAAGACCCCGCGCACAGAATCTGTCGCACAGGACCCCTCCAGACAAAATGGCAGCTCACAGAGACTGTCACGTCCCACGGCAAAACCTACCGGCTCGACTGACAAGTCCCCCTCAGTGCAACGGCCTGCAGCGAAGCCCCAGACCTCGGCGTTAGCCAAGGCTGTAAGTGCACCAGCAAGGGCGAGCGGTAACAGCTCGTCAACCACAGCTCGTCAACCTTTGCCATCGCGGCCAATTGTCAAACGTCCAACCAACGATGACTCTGAGCCAAAGCCGGAACCGAAGAAACGGTCGTTCCAAGAGGTCATGAAACGAGCCCGTGAAAACGCGGCAGCCAGAGAGTCATTTGGCAAGATCCAGCATAAGACACTCGAGAGAGGATTAAGCATGAGAGAGCGCAAAGAGATGAAGGCAGGAACAACGCGGAGAGAGGGACCACCCTCACGACAGGGAACACCTGCAAGACAGCCAGTAGGTAAGAATAGCGCAGCTGCCCCGCTCCGTCGGGATGGAGCAAATATCCCCAGCCAGCGGAATGGCGCCGTCCCCAGGACTGCCAGAGCCGTTAGCACTCCCAGTGCTTCACGGAAGACACCTCCAGCCACAGAGGAAAAGAAGGTCAAGAAGGCTGCCCTCGCAACAACGGGCTACACCGGGACTGCGCGGGGTGCAGCACGCTCACGGCCAGGCGCATCGTCGTTACTGGCGTCGTCGAAGACCACCGCTGCATCGAGAAATGCTAAGCCGCCTCGATATGGTGGTGCGCTCTCCGGCTCGAGGAGAAACGACGAGTATGACGACGAGTTGGATGATTTTATCGAGTACGATGATGAAGAAGATATACCCGCCCGTGGCGGCTACGACTCACTCGATGAAGACGAGTCGGATATGGAAGCCGGCTTGGGAGACATAGACGAGGAGGAGCGGCGTGCTGAATATTTCGCCCGCCGCGAGGACCAGGAGCAAGAAGCTCTCGAGCGAAGACTCAAGCAAGAGAAAGAACGAAAACGCCTCGCGGCCCTCGCGGCCTCGAGGAACGGAGGCCGCTAAATCCCATAGCAAGGACACCACTTGGTGTTTGGGTTGGCTTTCGAGTTTGGAGATGGGTCGAGCCGGGCACCTGGATAGGGGGTTGGTTGTGCATTCAGTGTATAGGCGCTCTTTGGGGCGATACTTTCGGGGGCATGCTTGTGAATTATGGCGTTGACCGGAAGATGGACGTGGACACCCAGAGACGAGAGATACCGCATCAGCGCTTGGAGTTTTCGTCATTTGAGCTTGGTTGTGATGGGCCTATTTTGGGCTTGATGGACAGGTACCTAGGTTATTGTAGATGACACTATTGCCGTGTAAGTTGGGCAAGCTTGCACTTAATTTACAAGAAACTAACCACCTTGTAACTATCTTGTACGCCTGGCCTGTGCCATGCGATAGCCGTCATATATAACAGTGATATAAACCTATTTATAATCGCTTCCCAGGGACAGGTACAACCAAGGTCAAGCTCGCAATGCCGATGCCATAGAATAGACCCGGAACGCCGGGGTCGTGTAATCCGTGTAACCCAATGGGACGAAAAAATAGTGCCTCTCAGACAGTTAAATAAAACAAATAACAGTAGTATGCGCCTAAGTGCAGCCTTGCAATGTAAATACACAGGCACAGAAAACCAAGAACGAAAGAAAGAAACCCGCAAAACTTGGTCATCATCATATTTACCCCAATGCTCTTCAGTACTCAATCTTGGAAAAGTTGATCCAGAACCGCTCCATAAAGTTCTTGCGAACGGTCCACATTCTAGCCCGCTTCCCGTACAGGTACATCGGGATGGTGGAGAGGAGGAGGACGAGCTGGATGATGCCGATCTAGACGTAGACCGACTTTGGGCCGTCGGCGGTCAGCCAGGCGGTCACAAACAGGCTGAAGACGAGGCCGTGGAAGATGTTCTTGCTGAAGTTTAGCGTCACGAGCGCCTCGCCGGCGTACTGCCTATAGCTGTCGACGCAGAACGTGATGGCCGTCGTCAAGCCGAGCGAGCAGCCGAACGAGACGACCCCAAAGAAGACGGTCGGGACTATGTAATTGTCGCGCACCTGGGCTGACCAGCCGAAGCTCATCAGGCTGACGACCTTCGTGAGCGCCACGGGCGCTGCCATGACTAGCCTGAACTCGGGCTCGTATAGCCCGCCATTGCGGCGCGCCATCGCCTTGACGATCACGTCCGAGACCTTGCCCGCCACAGCGGTGCCGAGGATGCCGCCGATGAACGGGCTCAAGTACACCAGCCCCATCTGGAGGGCGTTGAAGTCGTAGATTTCTTCGCGGTAAATCACGGCTACCGACCCCGAGATAACGATCAGCCACCCGACGGAGCAGGCGTAGACGACGGCGGACCAGAGCACGGCGGAATAGGAAAAGAGAATCAGGGGCTGGATGGCGACTTTGTGCCATATGTCATTATTGAGACGCCCGTGGAAGGGCAATAGCAATAAGTCTAGTGGCTTTCTTCTACGTAATCTCGCGGCATACCTGCGGCACCCTAGTTTCACGACTGGTGCAGGGGTGGGTATCTAGATGTCTGGCACTGCCGGAGCGCTAGTGGAGCCTGAGCCACCACTGTGACAGTGACAGTGACAGTGACAGTGACAGTCTTATTCCTCTTCTTCCTCTTCTTCCTCTTCGTCCCCTCGTCTCTGAGCTGCAATGATCTTTGCAATGGCAACAAGTCCAGCCTCGCCGTCATCTTCGTCTTCTTGGGGTTGGGTATCGTGATCGGTTCCGGGCAGAGGCGGGATGTTCTCTGGGAATGCTGTATCATGGCTGATTTCTTCGGCGAGAGCGAGGAGAAGCGCCCGGTTGAGATATCTTCCTCGCGTTGCCCAGAACCCCTTTCCTAGCTGGAGTTTCAGCTTCTTGGCGGGATCAGTGCGGTATTCGTATCTCCATGCCATCTTGAGCTGCGCAACGACGAAAAGGAAGTATAGATATCTTGCTCTTGGGCGATTATCATTCTTGAACGACAGCCTCTGACTGTCTAGCTCCCGAATGGTTATACCCTGGCCCCCGGGAACAACAACCGTCTCGAGCGATTCTGCATCCTCATCTATATCGATAATTCTTTGGCTCGTTTACTTCCCAGTCTGCCACTTGTTCTTTCGTAGGGTCGTCGGGTATATCGGGACGATAGCGATAGCACCGTCATCAAGAGCCGACTCCATAAGGGGATGAAGCAGCAGACCATTTCGTGCCTAGAATAAATAAGTTAATACTCTATATTATCTCGGGCCTCTCCAAGACAAGATACATACCGTCATCTTGCTCTTGACATCTTCGCTAAATAGCGAAACTAAGATATCAGTACTAAGCTTGTAGGGAAACAAATGTGCGGCAGTAATATCTGACTTGAGAAATTCGTGGCCAGTAGCGGAATCGTGGACGGTCATAATGACCTTTGGTTTGTTCGGTTTTTTTGTAGCGGCATCGTAAAATCGAATGAGATCATCTTTGAACTTTGACTGTTCTAATCTCTTGCGTGCGCCCATACCAACTTTGTCAGCGCAAATGCCAGGTTGGCTTGTCGAGAACATGGCTTGGAATGCTCGTCTAATAGGACCACTTTGCTTGACCCTCTCGGCTTGTTTCGTGTAGAGCGTCTTTTCCAATGTGCTAGCTTTTATCTCCTCGATGATGTGGCGTGCTTCGGTAGTTGCCCACCATGATGTAGCAGGTCCTTCCCCGGCATCGACCCAATCTCGGACGGCGAGTTTGGTCTCGGCATTGAGAGACGCGACCGATGCGTCGCATGCGGCCGCAGCCGATGGCCAATATCGAGCGTCAAAACTAGTCGTCGGTCGAACTTTCTTCTTGGATTTGATGAGCTCAACGCTAAGATGATTATAGTCCTTCAAGAGATCCGTTCTTGCTCGCTTGCTTGCTTGATGTTCTGTGGGGGGATTTGCGGCGGGCCGTTTGGGGTAGCTGATTGCGATGCCATGGCCGGTGAATGCTGCTCGAATGTGGTATTTTTTTGGTGAAAAGAGCGAGGTGTAAAGAGGTGAGGCGAGGGGAGGCGAGGCGGCCGAGGTTAAGTAGGTGTGGTGCGGGTCACGAGAGAAATAAGAACGGGAAGCATGGGTGTTCCTTGTCCCGTAAGCAAAGTCTTTGAGCCAAAACTTACATTCCTAACGGCACTTCGTTTCACTGTTGATAGAAGTCAACTATGCAAGATCTTGCAAAGGTGGTATATTGTATACTGCGAAAGTCTGCACCCTGTCTTGTACCATCCTGAAGAGTATACGGATATCGCCATGTAGCATTCCTTATTCATGATTTTCTTAATTATAAGAGCCAAAATGGTAAGGGATATCCGCATTGCGACACTTCCAGTACGTTGTCAATCGCAAAGTTGCTGTCCTGGCCAATGGGATGCGGGGGTTTGCCCCACCACCAAACCCCCCCCCCCGCCACATTGAAATCCGATAAGGCGCCGGTTTATTTTATTTTTTATCGGCTCCAGAAAACATCGAGACATCGGTTGATACCGACCACAGCACTTCGCATTGATCTAACAGGTTTCCTCGATCGCCACTCAATCCGCCAACCACCCCGAAGTTCTAGTCCCTCTCGAGGGCGTCAGCAATTAACATGGTTCGTTGGAGTCCGTCCCGTCGCACCGCCCATTCGACACCCCAATTCGCTTTTCACGGCCCTTGTTTCCCATCTTGAAAGTCTTCCCTGGCTAACTGCTCTTTTTCTCCTACACGTTATAGCCCCAAAATGAACATATTGGTATGATTTTTCCCGCCCAATCGTGTGGCCGGCTCGACTAGCTGCGAAACGGAAGTCGAGCCGAGGCGACCTAGCCAAACCTGTAATGATCTAACACGAATGACCGCGAAACAGAGAGGCACACGAAGCTCTTCGGCAAGCGGCTGGACACCGAGGAGCGGGCGCGCAAGAAGTTGGCGCGTGAGGGCCACAAGCAGAGCGAGAATGCGCAGAACCTGCGCGGCCTGCGGGCCAAGCTCTACGCCAAGGAGCGCCACTCGCAGAAGATCCAGATGCGCAAGAAGATCAAGCAGCACGAGGAGCGCAACATCAAGGGTGCCGCCGACGAGAAGGAGCCTGCGAACCCCATCCCCTCGTATCTGCTAGACCGAGCGAACCCGACGAACGCGAAGGCGCTGAGGTATGTGGTTGGGGCGTGCCGGAGGTTGACTTGATGTTGTGGAGGCTAAAACACTAGGACCGAAGGAGAACGGTTAATGGAGGCGGGCGTTGGCTAACTGGTTGTTCACAGCTCCCAAATCAAGAACAAGCGTGCTGAAAAGGCTGCCCGCTTCTCAGTACCGATTCCCAAGGTGAAGGGAATCAGCGAGGAGGAGCTGTTCAAGGTGTAAGTGCATAGCTCCTGCCATCGCCAGCTCCATCTGAGCGGTGATGGAGACCGCTCTGCGAATGCTGACGGATTTGCGACAGCGTCAAAACGGGCAAGAAGATTGCAAAGAAAGGTACGCTCTTCTGTCAACACCACCTGTGGCCCAAGGTCCGCCCAAGCTAACCATGAACGCATATAGGATGGAAACGTGTTGTCACAAAGGTTGGATTGAGTTTAATCCTGGAAAATGTTGCGAAGCTGGCTGCGGAAGCAACCGTACTGACGTTTTTCTCCAGCCGACTTTCGTTGGGCCCGACTTCACAAGACGGCCAGTCAAATACGAACGCTTCATCCGGCCTATGGGTCTGCGTTATAAGAAGGTACAGTTGTCTCAGGAATTATTGGCTCTTCCATCACTAACTCTGATTTCCCAGGCGAATGTTACGCACCCGACATTGAACGTGACAGTGCAACTCCCCATTCTGGGAGTAAAGAAGAACCCCAATAACCCTCTGTAAGCCAAATACGGCCCCTCCAGCACTTTGGCCGAGCCGTCTGTGTTCCCGATTCGTTTTGCGTGCAATGCTGACTAGTATTTAGATGTATGTAAAAGTGACCCCTGACAATCTATCTCGGTAATGCTAATACAGGATTAAGACACACAACTTGGCGTTTTGACTAAGGGCACCATGTATGTTAACAATCTGCACTGTTTCTCATCTGGGATTTCGCTAATGTTATTTGATCAGTATCGAGGTCAACGTGTCCGATTTGGGAATTGTCACGGCATCGGGCAAGATTGCCTGGGGCCGTTACGCGCAAGTCACTAACAACCCTGAGGTACGTCTAGAACTCGCACGCACTCATGTTGTATCGATGCTGACTGTTGCGGTAATAGAACGATGGCTGTTTGAACGCGGTTCTTCTGGTGTAGTTTGGCAGTCGCTGTCGGCGAGGGAAAATGCGTTGGTGTGTATCTGTGGGAAGAGTGGGAGGCCAGGCAAAATACAGACATTCGCATGGGAAGGCGTTTTGGCGTCCGATACTTGAGCACCGAACTTGGTCAAGTAATTGTGCATTCGATAAATAGGAAAAAAGAAAGGGGCCAACAAAAGGCGTCTTAAAAAGAAAGACTATCCAACTTGGCACCTGCAAAGCGCCTGCTCCGTGTTTCGTGTTCTAATTGCAACTGGCGCTCTTTCACATGTAGATGGGTAGCGGCGCGATTGGTAATGCCACGACCTGCTTGAAAGGCTGCGAGAAGCAAGGCCGGACCACTGGATCGGCAATGCTTGACTTTGTTGTTTGGGAAGATAAGGTCTGGGAGTACTCCTGCAGTGCGAAGAAAAGTGAGGATGAAACGAACATATGTACAGGAAATTTGGAACCTGGAGAGAATAATAGCCAGACTGGTGTTCCGTAGGGGGAGACATGTACAACACTATGGTGTTAAAACAAGTATATGAGAAAACAGGAGAAGAAATGCGATATAACTTTGTGCTCAATCGGTAAATACCTAAACTTAGTAACTCTCTTGGAAATTATTAGTAATACAGAGATACTACAAAATCCCTTGTAGACACAAGAGCTCTCGGTACCTTGTCTAGCCCCTTTATTTCTCTGAGTTCCACGTTTGCCTTGTCGTTGTGTGCCTCTTCAAGTGGCGACAAAGGCATAAGATCAATGACCTTGGATGTGATCGAACCAATTCCGTGAAGTTCTCACTTGGCTAGATACTAGTAACCCCAACAATACCTTTTGTGTTGAACCTGCTTCATGGCAAATTTCGACAAATCTCACCACTCTCAGAGAAAGGGGCAAAAATTGGCAACGACAGAAAATCCCCTTCTGATCCAGGATTTCCGTGTTTATGTTCTCGACAGAACTAGATATCTATACATACACATAGCAGCCGGGCCTTCCAGTTAACACCACCTTGAACACCAAGCAATAAATAACCCCACTGTGATAAAAAAGAAGAGAAAAAAAAAGTGTGGGTACATGTCTATGTACTATGCCGACACTCCACGTGTCTGTACGTATAAATGTTGCAAGAAAAGAACCTGTGCCCCCTGTGCCTCGTGTCCAATAGGGAAGAACCCAGAAGAAAGTATGTGACAAAAGAAATACCCAAAAGCCAGCTCAAGCACCATAGCAACCCCCATTTCCTGCTCATTGGGGCAGCCAATAGCCATAATAGCAGGGCATGCAACTGGCTGTTTAAAAAAAGCGGATAAGGATTCTAGGAATGTTTCAGCTTCCACTTCTCATCCGGTAGCGGTGGCGAGCGAGTTCCTTTCTCTCGTCTACGTGCTTTTCACGCCGTCGGCGTTTCACCCCTAAATATTGGCGGGAGGAAATTCCACTCTGCTTTTCCTTTGGCGGCCCGAGTTCACCACAACACACACCCCTTGTGCACCTCGTACGGTTTCCGCTCTTTGCCGCACATGTAGCACCAGTTGGAGCCACAGATGCATCTGGCGAGCGTGTTAGTTTAGGGCGTCTTTTCATGGTGTTTTTCATACAGGGAGACGGAGGGTAGAAAAGAAATTAGAGAAAAAGGGGCTCAAACACTCACACAATATTATTGCAGCCCTGCGTCTTTTCCACGACGCGGCGGCAGCGGGGACAATCCTTCCAGCCCATGTTCCGCGCCAGGCGCCTAAACCGCGCGTCGAGGGCCGGGTGCAGGTGCGGGCCGGGGCCGACGGGGCACGGGCCGAAGTGAAAGCGGCTGCGACAGCGCACGCACGTCTTGGAGTAGCAGGCGCGGCAGCGGGCCGACGTGGGCGTGCGCAGCGCCGGCGGGATGAAGGCGCCGCACCTGGCCCCGTCCCAGCAGTACAGTTTGTCGTCCGTCTCGAACTCGGCCAGCCGCGCGCGGTAGTCGGCCAGCTGCGCGGCTGTCGCGAACGCCCCCGCCCGCTGCAGCAGCCGCGGCGCCAGCGCCGGGCCATCGCCGCAGCACCGCGCCGGCTGGAACGGGAGCGTGCGGAGCGCCACCGCGCCGTTGCGCCTGATGCAGTGCACGCAGTGCACGTGCCCACAGGCCAGCCGGTGCACGAGCGAGTCACGCCACGGGGCGGCTGCTGCTGCTGCCGCCGGGAAGGCCGTCATGCAGATCAGACACTCTAACTCCTCGGCAGAGAGCTGTGGGGGGAGAGCAGGTGGCGGCTGCGGAGGCGGCTGCGGAGGTGGCTGCGGAGCCCGCGGAGTCGGCTGCTGCTGCTCCATGGCGAAGTCTGCCGCGGTGAGATCGGTGTGTCGAGGCTGTGGCTGCTGGCGTGCGACGTGTTCTAGTCCCTGTGGCTCTCCCTGCTGTGACCCCCGTGCTTGAAGATTCAACATTGGCTGCTGGTGGTGCCTTTGTTGTCCAAAGTGATGTATTTGGTGTGCTTGGAGGTTTAGTTCTTGTTCTAGGTGTATTTCTTGCATCTAAGAAAGCGTCTGGTAAGCTAGGGTCTATGGTGTTGGATAAAGGAGCTGCCGTAGTGAATCGAATCATGTCTAATGTTTGATGAATGGGGGGGATGGAAGAGAGACGCAGCGTGACAGAAATCCGAGGGGGGAGTGAGGAATTCATTTTAGTATCGCTTTCTGATGTTGGGTATGCGATGCCCAAACAGCACAGAGCTGTTTGTGAGTTGTCACGAACAGAGGACTGGAGTAAAGTCAACAAATAGCTTGAGTTGCCCAGCCAGACTGCTTTTTCGGCCTGGTTGATGCTGGTTCGACTTCATTCGCTGGCGAGCCCCCGTCGACCACACGTCAAGCCCAGTATGGCTGAAGCCACACTAGCCCTGGCCAACAGCTCGATGGCAAATCGCTTGGGCCACAATAATACCGCAAGGCTTCACTTCTTCAAACACGCATAAAATTCGAGCAGATAACCTGTCATAGGCGGTTCTGGAGCAAGTTTTGGTATGGACCGAACGTTCAACAGGATGATGGGAAATTGAAGCGTGATCTCGGTGACGACGGCGAGGATCTTGAAACACTTGCATTTTGGATTTATACGTTGGCAGTTGCTAATAAAAGGTGAAAGACGTGCATCTCCGGCCCATAACAGGCGCAACTGAGACAAGCCTGCAGTGGCAGAAAAGGGGAGAATGATACAAAAAGCTCAGAAATGCGTACCTGGGCCTGGGCCATGTCGTGGCCCAAACGAAGCAATTCCATGTGAGGCACCACAGCGGCTGGCGGGCGCACAGCATCGAACAGGCGAACAACGCCATCGAACTCGCGGTTGAGCTCATCCCAAGCAGCGTCCCTGGTGACGATCTGCTGCAGAAGCAGGCCACGCAGCAGCGCCGTGGTTTCGTCGTCCTGGGACTCATGGGGCCCTTCTTGTTCATCCAGCGGCCTGGGCACTGGTACCTCCTCCTCGCCGCCAAGCCCTTCGTCCAGCCGACACAGCCAGGCGCATACGCACAGCGACAGATTGACCGCGAGAAGGGTCAGAGTTATCGCCTGGTTGGGCGTGGTCCCCCATATTAGGGACGAGGACAAGGACCCGACGTGGTAGGCCAGGGACCCGAGCAGGAACAAGATCACGGGGATGTCGACCAGGTAGAGCACGGGGTTGTCTGCGTCGAGCGGCCTGGGCCAGAGGCGGACGGGGAAATACTGTAGCCATAGCCGCCGCCACCCCGTGATGGGCTGCTTCGCCGTTGCAGCAGCGTGGGTTGGGGGAACTATGCGGGGATTCTCCATGGTTCCCTTCAATTTTGTTCTGTGTGTGATGGAGGGGATTCACGTCTCTGTCGTAGTGTGGGTGTCTGGGGGGGTGTAGGTTACTTGCGGCAGAGGGGGATTGGGAGCTCGCTATCCTTGTTCGCGAGTGGTATAGATAGGTACGTGGTCTTTTTTTGGGAACGGAAAGCTTGTCGTGAAGTAACGTTTGCGTCAACCTTCGGTGACGCAGATCCAGGGTCCTGGGACCATCTCTCATTGCAGCACTCTTTCTTGTCAAACTCCGTCCGAGTCCAGTGCCGAGGAAGGCGTGCCCTAGCCTAGGGCGTGGCGTCAAGTAAGGTTACTTTCAGTTCTCGAGCTTCGCGAGCTGGTCGTGGCTGAACCCGCCAAAAGCGCAAAACGGCAGACCAAGTACGAATACGTCACCTTAGGTACTTTAACTTTTCTATCTAGGCACTCCGGGAACCTTGACAAGGAGGGGAGCTGAGCTGACTAGGGCAGGTGTGGGAGTGTTAGCTTGGTAATAACCTGGGTTGCGCTACGATGCGCTCCGTCATTTAAAGTCATATGTGCGTGCATTGCTTTCCCACGTCTAAATGCCCGATTCCGTCCCATCTCCGCTGCCGTATATACACGAGCTGCATGCCCAAGGTAGGTAGGCACGGACACCTGGCAAAGCATCAGCTAGCTCTCTACACTCGAGTGTGAATATAAATCTTCGATAAACAGATGCAACATGCAAGAAAAACAAAGAAAAAAATGGAAACGACATCGCAAAACCAACTAGTCAAATCAGATCTATCGCCACGCAAGACATCCGTTTTACAGCGAATACTCATAAAAAGCCTACCACCAAAAGAAAGCAGAACAAAACGCCCGCGCATGATCCGCCCAGAGCAAAGCGACCTCTTACGAGCCAGCCCACCGGTGGCACTCATTTATTATGCCACGCAAAGTTGCGCAGACTGTCCCACGAGTCGGCGTTGGCATAGATATACGTCATGCTGCTGCGGAGGCTGGGCTGGAGCTCGTCGGCGTGCCAGCGGAAGAGGTGCATGACGGCGGCCCACGAGGCGCTGGCGAAGAGCGGCCAGGCGAGGTGGCTGATGGTAGCGCTGGCGTGCGGCTCCGAGACGCCCGGCAGGCCGTGGCCGGGCTTGACGGCCAGGTGCGCCAGCGCCAGCACGACGCGCGCGAACACGTAGATGACGATCTGCTGGTTCACGCTCGAGATCTTGCCAGACCGCCGCGACCGCTGCCCGAACACGAGGTACCCGCCGAGAAGGCCGGCGACGAAGCTGTCGTAGGGGCCTGTATTTGTTATAGGATTAGCTCATGTGCGCTCTGTGTCTGTGTTGTGTCTGTCCGTGTAGGTGGAGAAACTGGGGCAGGGCTTGCCTTCTTTCCCGGGCGTTGCGCCGTAGTTCTTGAGCAGCATGCATGTCGCCTTGTAGACGGTCGCAAACTTGGCCAGGTTGCGGGCGTGTGTCCTTGTCGCGCGGAAGATGAGCCAGGCCTTTTCGCGGAGGCTGGGCGGCGGGGAGCAAGAAAGCGAGGTTAGCTTGCGGGCTGCGTGGCGCGTCGAGGAGAGGGGGGCAGCCTACGTTCCAGACCGAAATAGCAGTATCATTCTGTGTTTGGATTGCGGTCAGCCTGCGTCGTCTTCGCGCAGAGGGTGTGAGGGGGGCCTTCGTACACAAGCGCGTGCGGAAAGCGCACTTTGGTTCCGTAGACGGCGCCATTGCGGGCGGCCTTGACGACGGCGAGGATGTCGTGGTATTTCGGGTTGAGGACGATGCGCTCGGCGGTGGCCTACGAGTGCGGGTTGCAATCTGGTCAGACATTGTGGCTACAGGGCCAGCATGATCGCGTATGGGCAGGCGCATGAAACTAGGGGCAAGTGTTGCGCATACCTTGAGGCCCTCGAGAGCGCTCGACATGTTGCCTCGGCAATTTGGAGGAATGGGCTTTGTGCTGGAGCGCGGCGGATGTGGGATGAGGTGCGCGGGCACTCGGCAGGGAGAAAAGAGCCCTCCCTACCTCATTGGGGGAGCTGTTGTAAACGTGTCGGCTTTCCGGAACAGTTACAATGCACCCAAGGTAGTTGCAGCGTTGTGAGGTTGGTGGCAGAGAGCGGATGAGCCCGAGAGAATATGGAATGGAAGAGCGAAGTTGGCAGCGGCATGTGCTGCGCTGCTCGTCCGCCCGCGCCGCAAGTGACGGCACCTGTCGGCTCAATGGCTGGTGCTAGTCCGCTCCGGGCGTGAATTGGTAGCTGCTGGGTTCCCCGCAATGTTTGGGGCCACGCTAACTGTGGTGGCGCAGGGGTGTTTTCGGGCGATTTGCATGTGATTTCCACCTTAGGTTCTGGCATCAACTGCGAAGCCCCTTCGGTCTCACCGCCGTCTTACGTAAATCCAAGGTATCTCCTTCACTCCCAGCACCTCATTCCTAGCGACTCCGCCGCGACCATTTCGCCAGCCTCCAGCCCAGATATCGACATGCCAATTTTGAGGCTTCATCTGACCTAGTCTAAACCAGAAAAGCCGCGACTTGTTGTTGCTATTGCCATCTATACTGTAGCGCCCATTGGAGATTGCATCTTTATTTCTTGAGAAAATGCAGATTAAGGGTAAGTGGAAAGGGGCAGAATAAAACACGAAAAGTTGCCGGAGAGCATTGCTGGCTGAATGTCTTATATTGGGGACCCAGATTGAGTTGCTCTGGCTTGAAGATCTTGTATTGAGCGATGAAGAGAAAAAGAGAGGAATTGGAATCTTATAGTTTTTCGATCACGAGCAAATTGTTAAAATGGAAAGAGCAGTGCCCATCTCTAAGAAAGCCAGAGTACGAGCACACACCCGCGAGGGAGGCGCACTCACGACACGGTCGTCTTGGTCACCATAAGGGTCTTATTAATGCTATCGTCACTTGCAACCAGAATCTCATTAGAATTCGCAACCCTGTTCGGTTTGCTTTGCGCCGTTTCCGAAACTGCCGACTACGGCTCGCTCGTCGACATGTTGCGCGATAGCATCGGCTACGAGCTGGTCATGTGGTCGCCATCCATAGACGAAACGAAGTATCTGGATAGCATCCTACGTTTCGACGACCAAGACGTCGCTGCGGAGTTCGGACGAGAACACCGCCGAGGACAGCCTGGCAAAGATGCCGCCAACTCCCTCTCATCATCCTGGGGCCTCTTACTGACGCTCTTCCGCACTCTCTTCTCGACCTTCTTCGGGAGCCTCTTCTGGAAGGGCCGGTTTAGTAACATGTTTTGCGGGTACGTGCCGGGTCATGTTTGGGGTTACGCTGCTTGGGATGCATCGCATCGAGGCTGCGCGTGTCCGGCGTGGTCGGGTTTATGCAACCCGAGAATGATTTCTATTTCTTGGGGGTGGTGACCGAGGGTTGTGGCTTCAGGGGCCCGTGGCAACATGGTATCTATCTACACCCTTAATAGTTCCAACTAATCCAATGAAATCTAATTCGTTTGTTCTTTTTTCTTGGCCTGCACTCTTTTAGATCAGAGGCAGGAGGTCTATATTGGGCACAGGATGGCCCAAACAACTCCCTCAATAACAACAACAACAACAATAACAACAACAACAACGATCCCCTAAACACACAACCTTCAACCGCCTCCTTTCTCTCCTCGTGCACAAGGGAACATATGCGCCCTCCGCCCGCACCTCAGACACGTGCGCCGCAGACAGCGCGGACAGGTGCGCGAGTACGGGCGGCGCTCGAGCGCCGGATAGAGGTACATGCGGCAGGCTGGGTCGCAGCAGTAGGCGCGTTCGGTGGGGGCCGTCTTCATCTCGGACAGCTTCATATGGTAAGCGAGTAGTTCGGGCTCTGTGGCGACGGCACCGAGCAGGGCCAGCGGCAGCGGCGTCGCCGGGCCACAGCAAGCTGGCGGCGCGAACGGGCGCTTGCGGAACGCCGCGAGCAGTCGTGCCCGCACGCACGCGCGGCAGGTAGCGTGGCCGCATGGCTGTAGCGTTGGTGCATCGCGCCGGGGCGTCGGCAGCTGGCAGCTGGAGCAGAGGATCTGCGAATCCGTGTCGAGCGTGTTGGGTGAAGTGCAGGGCTGTGGGGTGGTGGAATCGTAGTTTGGGAGAGACGGTGGTGTTGAGGGCCGGAAGCTGATGTGTCGTGGTGAGGATGGGAGAGAGTACGCTGGCCGTGACAGGGGCGAGGGATACGATTGTTCGGGGGTGTAGGTGGGAGAGCTGCGCTTTCTGTAGATCAACGCCCCGGATCTTTGGACTCGGGCTGGGTTTCCCATTTTGTCTCACAGGCGTAGGTATAATCAAGTTGGCGTGGACGTGAACAATGGGACTGATGAGTCTGTTATCTTGACGGTGTTGTCCAAGTTCAACAAGCTGTTCGATAAAATGAGGCTACTGCCTGAGGTAGTTGCCTGTCAACAAGCTCGTCGAATACTCAAGGAGATATTTCAGGCACTGGATAGGGAGAAAGTCGGTGTCTGCTACTCTCATTAACAACACAACACAGGCTACAGCGAAGTTGGAACCGTGGCACATTGCCAAATGGATTCTGCAATGAGTAATTACTCGAGCCTGATACTTTTGCACTCTCAATGAGGACACAAGTATTCGTGTTAGGTTGTGAGTGGTTTTGACCAATCCAACAGCTAGCTTGAAGCCCAAAGCGACAAGTCATCAGAATCGTGGCAATCGCCGGCGAGCCAAACAACGAGCCGCACGTCAGCAACCCAACCACAACCTCCTGGGTGGGTTGGGTACAACGAAGACAACTGACCTTGACCTATTCCAAAAATGGAAACCACGGACCAATCAAAATGTTTTGTTATCTATTTAGTCTCGGTAGAAAGTGAGGCCAAGATCATCAATAGGGTCTGCCTATATTGTCCCCTGCCCATCATCCGTCCCAGCCCCTCAGGTTCGCGCGATTAAATCACTGTGAAACATACCGGCTATTAAACTTGATTTGCCGGAAAGGCGATTTTTTCAATCTTAAATGGATATGTTGAGTCCATTGTTTTATCATAATATAGATTCTCGCCGTTTCACCTAAGCGCTGACTGCTTTGGGACACTTCAATTCAACCTCCCCGTCCTATCTAAAGAAGCTGTGGGGGTTACATTGTTGATGCAAATTCACAAGATTCCAAGGTACCATACTTCATTTCTATGGCGAAAACATGTCGGCCACTCACCTTTGATTCTCTGGTTTAGGACAGCAAGATAGGGGCTTGCCCTACACCCCCGCAATGGTGACATAAAGCACGTGTATGGCGAATTCCGCGCCTCCCGACTTCGCAGTCGGAACTCAGACTTTAGATCAGTTTTCGTTACACGACATTTTGGATCAAGCCTAAACCTAAAGTCATCAGAAAATCCAAGAAACCATGGGCGGAGGCGAAAGGAACACGCCGGTGCGGTCCGTGGCCGTCATCGGTGCCGGCGCTGCAGGTGAACACCAACTGTCCTAAACTGCTCTCAAGACTCTCGATTCTAACAAAAGAGCTAGGTGCCGTGACGGCTGCTGCGTTCAAGGCCGAAAACTACTATGATCGCATCTCTGTGTTTGAGCGCCGAGAGACTGCAGGCGGAACATGGTAATCTCCCAAAGGGATACGGAGCTTCTCGTTGAATATCGCTGATGCTTGAAGCAAAGGATTTATGATCCGGACCCGGTTCTCGGCCGCCTCGTGTATCCAGGCAGTCTGGCCCCCGAGATCGATCCGCCGCTGGCAATCCCCGACAGTCTGCCGCGCACCGCCCCTCCGAACCAGCAGCAGCGGTTTGCTCACACGCCAGTCTACAGCTCGTTGACGTGAGACCACCGAACCTGGAATGCGCCTCAAGCAAGGCAAACACAGCTGACAAAGAAACACAGAACCAATGTCCCGGATATTGCCATGTGCTTCTCCGACCTGCGGTTTGCCTACGGCCCCTTTGCGCCTCATTATGTCCCTCGCCAGTATATAGAGAACTATTTCACCCAACACAAGACAGACCCGTTTCTAGTTCTCAACACGACTCTCGAGGACCTTTCCCAGATCCCTTCTTCCATCGAGGGGGAGCCCAACCGGTGGAAGCTGACGCTCCGAAAGTATGACGCTGCTCGGCATCTTGATGTTTGGTGGGAGGAGGAGTTTGATGCCGTTGTGCTGGCAAATGGCCACTACTCGGTTCCAACTGTAAGCCGCCTGGTCTAGAAGCGTGTGGGAGATGTTTGGGTTTCTAGATTGTGACACTAACTGCACGCTCAGGTCCCGCACGTGCAAGGACTCAATGAATACATCGACAAGTTCCCGGGGCGCGTGGTGCACTCCAAGACGTACCGCTCGCCGAGCGTCTACGCGTCCAAGAAAGTTCTTGTAATCGGCAACTCGGCCTCGGGACACGACGTCACCAATGAGCTCGTATCTAGCGCCACGCTCCCCGTCTACCAGTCCAGAAGGTCCGCATCTCGGTGGGACGGGGACGCGCCGCCCGAAGGGATCAAATGGAAGCCTGTCATCAAGGAATTCAAGTTGGACGGCAGCATCGTCTTCGAGGATGGCACGCACCTCGACGACATCGAAACCGTCATCTACTGCACGGGCTACCAAACCTCGTTTCCCTTCTGGAACGTCGAGGCCAACGGCCGCGCCCTGTGGGACTACGCGGCGGGGCGGCTGATCAACGGCTACTGGCACACCTTTTTCCAAGACTTTCCGACCTTGGGAATCGTTGGCATCCCGCGCGTCTTGACGTTCCGGAGCTTCGAGTACCAGGCAATCGCGCTTGCACGCCTCTGGTCGGGCAGGAACACGCTTTCGCTGCCCCCCGTGGCGGAGCAGCAGAGGTGGGAGAGAGACAGGGCAGAGAGGAAGAGCAGCGAGAGGAAGAAGTTTCACGACATCACATGGGACTCGGGAGAGACTGTAGACTGGCTGCAGGGTCTGTTCAGAATCGCCGGGCTCGGGACGCTGAAGGGCGAGGGTAGGATCCCGCCGGCATTGAGCGACGAGTTGATCTGGGCAATTGAGCACATCAGGAAATACCCCGAGCCTGGAAATGGGGAGAAGAGCTGGCAGGCCAGTGGGACGGAGAAGAGCGGGCAGGCCAGTGGGACAGACAAGGGACGAGGAAATGGAAGTGACGACGAAGCCGAGGGCGGATGGGTCTTGCTGAACACGGCGAACAGAGACCGCAAGGACTCGCTTTTCTTTATCTAGGAAGGAACAATCTGTCTCTTAGACTTTAACTCGGGTAGTTGTCCCCACAGTGCCCACACTTGCGATGTCATTAGCGGTTAGTTCTAAAGTCTTGGCTTCCAGGTTACAACCCGACCCCAAATCTCAATTGCTTCAAGTCCGAGTCTCGCAGTCGCATCACCACCCGCCATGCATCTAATCACACTGATTAACAGGGTGCACATCGCCGGACCCCGGCCAATCATCCGGGACGAGAACGTGCAGTATGCACCTCAACAGGGTCGCTGATTGGTCACTCAAGACTTAGCTCCATCAGCCTTAGCCATTATGTTTCATGGTCGTTCCCCGCTCGCTCTCTCTCCGACAACTTAACCTCACTTGAAGTATCAAGAAGTCGAGAGTCTCATCGCTACTCTAGCAAACACCAGAGAAAAGCTTCGCCCCGCGTAACTTGGCAGCTGCCGAGATGAAAGCGCAATGCGACTGTTGAGCACCATCAAGTTCCGCACCGTCGAGTTTCATGGAGGCGATGTGCCTCCGTATGCAATCCTGTCGCACTGTTGGGGGCAAGGTGAAATTCTGCTCGAAGACATCCAGAGTCTCGCCTCGCTTGACTGCGGCTGGGACTTGCTTCATGTCGGCGAGTCTAGCTTTTTCAATGCGACCCCGTCGCCGCCATCATCACCACTGTCACCCTTTTCTTCATTCTCGCTACCCAACAAACAGAGGTTCAAAAAGCTGATGGGAAGCACCGCAAGCCGCCACGATGAATCCTCTACCGAGGCGCTCATGTCGTCGATTCGAGCGAAGAAGGGCTACGACAAGCTGCGGAAAAGCGTTCGTCTGGCTCGTACCAGCGGCTTCCAGTACATCTGGGTCGATACGTGCTGCATCGACAAGACCAGCAGCGCCGAGCTCTCTGAGGCCATCAACTCCATGTACCGTTGGTATCAAAACGCTGTCGTGTGCTATGCCTACCTTGCCGATGCATACCCAGCCCGCACCGAAAGAATCGCCGCTCAAGGTTCTACCTTTCGCCGGAGCCGCTGGTTCACTCGAGGCTGGACACTGCAAGAGCTTATCGCGCCAAAACGGGTCGACTTTCTAGCCAGCAACTGGAGCTACCTGGGGAGCAAGACCGACAGTGAATTCCTCGACCTCCTCAGCGACATCACCCAGATCAGGCAGGACGTCTTGACCCATGAAGTGCCGCTCAGCCAGATCAGTGTTGCCAGTCGGATGTGCTGGGCAGCCAATCGCTCGACAACGCGTATCGAGGACATTGCTTACTCCCTGCTTGGTATTTTCGACGTCAACATGCCGTTGTTGTACGGGGAGGGTACGAATGCCTTCATCCGGCTCCAAGAGGCCGTCCTGGTCAAGCATGACGACCAATCTCTGTTCGCCTGGAAGCAGGACGACGTGGCTAATGACGCAGACGAAGTCATCGGCTATGACCCTGCCAGCCGACTTTCGGGACTCCTCGCCGATTCGCCTGCGAGATTTGATGGCGTCGGAAATCTCGAAATCTCGCTGAGGCTAACCTTTGCAGGGTCGCCCTCAGCTGTGACGAGCAAGGGCGTGCAGGTCGATCTTTTCTTGCACCCGTGCATAGACATCAAAGGTGCTGATATGTTTGCTGTCCTCAGCTGTGAGCAGTTTATAGCAAGCACGGGACAGCGGAGGGCACCCATCATCTATCTCAAACGACTCTGGGGCATCGGCGACCAGTTCGCCAGAGTCCGGACGGATCTGCTGACGGATATCGATTTGGGCACCCTTGGTCTGGATTCGGGGTCCTATCAATCCGTCTTCGTCAAACAAGATCCCGGCACGGATCTCTGCCTCGTCAAGATCACGCTTGCAACAGGCAGGCAAGACCAAGCGCCCCCTCCCAACATTGCCACGTATGGGGAATCTCTGCCGTTGGCATTGCAAGGCACGTATCCAGAAGGCCACGACAGCGACACGGGATCGCTTGAGATTTCAGACTTCAAGCTGGGTCATCCTGCCGCCATCTTTGAAGTGTCCATGCTCGGTGGCGGCTTCAAGGACACTGTATATGTCGCTGTGGGGCTACAAGTCAGAAACAAAAGGTCAATTCGAAGTTGGTGCGAGATCATTACTCTCGATCGGCAAGGAGTTGAATGGCGGACGGGGCAGACATATCTCGAAGCCGTCTTTCGTTACAAAACAAAACAGTCCATGTCTCAATCCACCTCGCATGGGGAGATTTCAGTGGCAGAGAGCCAAAAGACAAACGCGATGGTATGCGCTACGGTAACGGAGCGGAACCGTGGACGAAACCTTGAAATCCTCCTTCACGTCTTGCTGGACAGCTCAGTACTCAAACACCAATCAGCGCCACTGATGCGGCCATTGGCGTTCATTTTGGAGACCGGATACAGCGACTTGGAAGTCGTGCCTCCCGAGCAACTCACAGCCGTAACCCCCACGGCTGTTGTTCAATCCTCTCAACAATTGTTTCCAAGCCGATGGCAGCAAGAAGTCGAGGATTTGCTCGCCGACTTCAGCGTGACTGACTCGCTCGAATTGAGTGTCTTCCAGACAGAGGGTCTTCGCAGACGGATAAGAATATCGTCGATACGGGACCTTTTTGGGCAAGGGACGTCAATCTCTCTCTTTCTGAAGTACTGCAGAGGCATCCTACCTTCCCTGGACGATACTTCTCGGAAGGTGGCTCAGGTAATTGGAACAAACGATTTGGCAGTTACTCTTGCCTACCTACGCGGTGAGAGAAAGACGGAAGAAAAGCCAGATGAAATTCTGAAGTTTCGCCCAATCCATTGGGCGATCGTCGAAGAAAACCTTCCGGCATTGCGCTATCTGTTGCTTTATGGCGCCGACCCTCTGGGTTCTTCAAGCACACGGTTAACAACGCTCCACCTGGCGGCCTTGGCTGGGAAGGTTGAGGCGTTGCAAGTTCTCCAACCGCTGCTGGACAGAAAGTTTCGTTCAGAAGATAACCCCGAAGTTGAAATTGACGCGTACCTTGAACCAACAATCAGTCTGAACGAGTACCCCCTTCATTTTGCCGCGGCTTACGCGACCGATGAAGGCTTCTGGACGCCATCCAACTTTTCCATCCTCACCCCCCGGATGCGGGACCCATTCACGGAAAACTCTCTGGGCGAAACCCCCTTGCACAGAGCAGCAGCTATGGGTAATTTGGCCGCCGTCGGCAACTTGCTCGCACACAGTCAGACAGATCAAGCCAAGATCAATCACCCCGACGTACTTGGACGTACAGCTCTGTGGCACGCAGTATGCAATGGCGAGGCCTCGTTGAAGATCGTTGAGACACTTTTACGGAGTGGCGCCGACCCCAATATTGCCGACGACAACGGCCTCACTCCTGTTCACGTAGCTTGCCGGTTTGGAAATGCTGCAGCCCTGAGGTTGATGGAGGTTACACGGGCTGAAACAAAACTGCATCTGCCGGCAGGCAGTACAAATCTCTTGCCGTCCCAGATCGCTTCTATATTTGGGCACGTATCCTGCCTCGCGCTCTTGCTGAACGCGAAAGCCCCGGTCACGTCTACACCGTTGGAGAGGGTGGTTTTTGAGGCGTTGCACTTTGCTATAGGAAACGGGCACCAGAGATGCGCCCACCTAATATGGTTACGGGAACGCCGCCAGTCTGAGGGTAGGTGTCTGTGTATTGTGATGGAACCGTCGGGGCCGGTTTTGAGGCCCGTTCAAATCAGGGTGGATGAGGTGGGTTGGTCAACAGGAAGGGGCAAGAATCTGACGGAGCAAAAGTGGGATGAAACAAGTTTGGATGCTCGCTCCTAGACCCCCATGGACCCACGGGCTTATTGGACGAGATGAGACGTGGAAAATCGCCCGCAAATAACAGTGCAACCCGCTGCTCCAGCCATTCTCAGGGACCAACAACTTTCTATAAAGGTAAATAGGGTTAACTTACGTCATTCTTCTCCTCGCGTTTGTCATGCCGTTTTCATATCGGAATCTAATAGAACCAGTCCCAGCCAGCTCATAGCAGGGCGCACGAGGGATGCGATAAGAAGAAGCTTTGCGATTGGTGTGCTCTAACATGGCCGTGTAGGGAGGCTCTCGCGCGTGCTATCTAATTAGTTGCCCCAGGTCGCACAAAAATGCATGCCGCTTCACTTTCTAACTCACACCACACCTTGCGTACTGGTACTGGTGCTGGTAATTAATCAAATTGGATGTTTAACTCGGTAGAGGGAAAATAGGCTTGCTCCGCAGAAGATACGACTGTCACCGCAAACTAGCTCGCTATATGCTTCGGGGCGTCTATTCAATTCAAAACTGATGACGCAGCCTTCCGCAACAGCAAATGGTTTACGCGGGGTTGGAAACTTCAAGAGCTTATCGCTCCGCGGCCCGTGGAGTTCTTCACAAGCCGAGGCGTGCGAATCAGAAGCAGGAGAGATCTAGAGGAGGTGATTCGGTCGGTCACGAATATCCCACTGACCGCGCTCCGGGGTGAATCCCTCTCTAACTTCGGGATTCGTGAGCGGCTTGGCTGGATGCATGGGCGCGAAACCACACTGGCGGAGGACTATGCGTACTGCCTCTTCTGAATTCTCGATGTTTCACTGCCTATTATTTACGGCGAGTCAAGGAAAGCAGCTATGGACCGCCTCCTGGAGAGAGCTCGCATTCTGCAGAGTCAACACATGCGAGACCAGAGCCTGGTATGGAACATCGGAGCCCAGCGCCTGATGCCGGAGAGCGGTATTAGTGAGGCCGCCCCTGCCCTTGCTGAGTGTCAGGGAAGCCTGGTGGCGGTTTGGCGTGGTAGGGGGGGGGGTCTTTTGGATTATGCCTTTCCTGAACATCCACATTCTGTACTGGACGACCCTGAGAAAGTCAAATGATGGAATTCACTTGATAGCGGAGCCCCCCAAGCCGATCCAAGGGAACGTGGAGAGCCAAGAAAGGCCGGGTCCAGCCACTCTAGCCAACAAAATCGTGGCCGTGTAAAAGGGGGTGAATTACGATACCCTCTATTTCTCTACCCTTGATAACGGTTCTCAGCAATGGGAAAACCCTAGTGCGGTTCACCCTCAAGCCGTCAGTGGTACTGGGCCGGCACTCGCGTGCTGGGAATGGAACGGCCCAGCAAGGGTGTGCACAGTCTGGAAGGGAGCCGGCTCTGACGTGAATATCTACCTATCTTGGTACGATGGTGAACGCTGGAGCTGGCCGAAGCCCCTCCAGTTTGCTCAGACCGATGTCACGCCAGGCCTGACGTGCCGCAACGGCGAGTTGTTCCTTGCCTGGAAGGCCTCGGGGACGGACAAGATGTTCTGGATTCGCCTCGACAGCGACGGTAATGCGCTCTTGGTGGAGCCCCATGAGGTGTATTGGGATGGTAGCTTCAGCGGCCCTGCACTTGCAGAACTCGACGGCATCATCTACGCAGCATGGAAGGCAGTGGGAAATCCCGCAGACTTACGGCTGGCAGCCTGGTCGGTAGACGCCGAGAGATTCGCGCCCGCACAGCCCGTCCGCAACAGCATCACGGCTATGGCGCCTACTCTTGCGGCGTTTGGTACCTCGCCTGTGATGGCTTGGAGAGGGGAAGAGGGTGAGAAAACCATGTGGTATAGTTTGGGGAGAAAATAAAAGACACAGGCTCACCCTGAACATACCCGCAGCGCGTCACCCGCAACCTAACCCTCCTCGCCTCAGCGACGGCCATCGTGATCAATCGATTCTACTCAAGTTCAAAGAGACAATCATCCACCCTCCATGAGAAGGTGAATGTGCCCTGAAGCTTAAAAAGAAAAGGGATTCCCCATAATTGAATTGGACGTTGACCCCTTTGGCGCACAAGTGCCAAGAACAGGCTGTTGTATGCCAGCACTTTGGGCTTAGTGGAGACGGTACGCACACTGCTTGTGGCGGACAGAACACAGATCAACTCGCCGTGGCATTACGTGTGAAGCTGCGTCCCCATTACAGCACGATACGGATTCAATGATGTCGTCTTCACGAGGCAGCGGGAGAAGGCCATACCGAAATATGCGAGATCCTGATTACCCAAGGTTCAGGTACCATCATACATCAACCGCATGATTCCGGGAAGACCGCTCTTCACTATGCCTGCGGGTCTCAGCACATCTCTGTTGCTTCAAATAGTGCGATTCGCTGTCAAACACGGCGTTGATATCATGGCGAGGGATACAGAAAGTCGGACAGCCATTGATGTCTCTGACGACGAGTTTAGACCAAACTGCCGCTCCTCTCCCCATGGATTAAAGACCTTGGAGCAGGTGGCTAGTGAGCCTGTTTCGGGTACCTTCTGTTGAGCCCACGAGACGAAAACATACCTTGTTGGCATGAAGGCCCTTAGCCAGGCTTTGCCAAATGCAGCAAGGAGCTGAGGCAGGTCTTCACAGCTGGCTGCGGCTGGCTGCGGAAGGTTCTGATGGAAGCTTCTGTTGCATCGGCCTCTCCGGAGCAAACAAAGTAATGAGGTAGAAAAAATAAATGGATTCTAGGCCGTGGACTAGCTAGAATCTGTATGGAAATATTGCCAAAATTGTCAAACTCTAGCTAGTTCAAAAACTGTTCTCCGTCACTATACCTAGGCGCGCCCGCTGTGGTCGATGTGGCGCAGCAGGCAATCAGTGCGCCGCCACACTGTAACCTTGTACAGGTTGCAAGCCTAGCCACTTGTAGATTTTTTTGGGCATCTCGTTGGAAGGTGGTGTGTGACAACGGTACCTAGTGAATTCATAGGAGAAGAAGCTGGTTTCTAAATAGTTACTAGTTGGGAGAAAGAAGGAAAGAGAGCGATGCCTGTCCTCTGATAAGAAGGAGGGCGGCCTAGCGACATTGAATGGAGGAGGTTGGCCGGGGATATAATTACTGATTAAATTGGGCTAGGGTGAAATGTTGGAATCACCAGGTCCGGTACGGAAACAACAGGGCGTGCTGCACGCCGAAAGCTGGTGGTTCAAGTGATGGCCATTGTTGTCTATGTCTATCTAGAAGAAAGAGGTGGCCGTAGGCCACTTATATGGAATCTGGGACCCCTACGCCTCCACCGCCGCCTGTGTGGCTGATGAATGCGTTGCTACAGCCACCTCTATGTGGCTGGAATGCGCGTTGTTCCAACAGTAAACAAACCCCCTTTTGCCCTGAGCCCCCGGACCCCCTGATCTCCAACAATCAACCGTCCCAGCCTGGGTGTGATTTGAGCCTAATACGACAAGAGTGTAGAAAATATAACGGCAACCAGTAGCTGGTTTCGAGCATTGGAGCCGTCCCAAGTTCAGACCCCTTCCAAGCTTATCAGTTCTACCAGTAATATTCGTGATGGATGATCACAACCTAAATCACGGAATGCGTGTGCAATACGTGAAAAGTAGGTAAAAGGATGAAGAAAGGAAGCTCGGAAGCCCTGCCCCGCCAAGGATTTGTGGAAGATCCTTGGTGGGGCAGCCCACCAATGTGAGCGAGGCCCGAGCGCCCAAGGCTAGGCCCTGCAAATCTATGCACCTAGGTATCAAAATACACGTGCCATGTCACGTGACCCTCGATTACACTCTCCATGGCGCAATCAGGCATCAATTCGGTATATTCCTGCCGTCCCACAGCCGGTACTAGTAGCCGGGAACCCGCAAGCCTATCGCCACGTACTAGCTCGGGAAATACTAGGCTACTATCGCTTCGGAGCCGCCGCCGCCTGATGTCTTCGGATGGGAGCCGCTGGGTTGTTCGGGTTGCTCGCCGTCGGCGGCAGTAGTATGCGTAGAGTCTTATCCGGTTGAGGAAGGGATGGGATACGGAGCCGGAGTGTAGGAAGGCGTTGTTGCCGTTACTGCTGCCACTGCTACACCGTCCTCCCAGGTCGTTCACTCGCTGCGCAGGTTGTCGTACCGCCGGTTGGGATGCTTCCGCGGTTTGATGCTGGAGCAGTATCTGCGTCTGGTAACGTCTGCGGGCTCGGCCTCGATATTTACGAGAAGCGTGTGCGGGACGATGGTTTGGGTATGGTCGAAGGTCCATATGCGAGGAATAGATCTGGTGGTTGGGTTGAAGGACGTTAGAGTTTGATTAGCTGTGGGCTGCTGGAAGGATGGTGATGATTAGGAATAGATGGAGATCGGATGGGATGAACAGGATGGATGGGGTAGACGGGGTAGACGGGATGGATAGAATGGACAGAATGGATGGAGATGGATGGAGATGGATGGAGATGGATGGAGATGGATGGAGATGGATCGTAAGTAGGTACCTACCGGATGACCACGACGGTGAAGCCGCGCTCGAGAGCAGCGTGCACGGCAAGGTCTCCCAATGCCCTCTTCAGCTCCATTTTATTGATCTCCAGCAGAAGATTCATAGTTGTGATGCTGTGTAGGACTCGCACTCTGCCGACAATACCGTGGAAGACGTAGCTACGATGGAGAACCATATTTGTCTTCTGAGCTGGATGAAGGGAGAGAGAACGTTGAGTGGGGCAGAGGAATCGGCTGTGGCGTCAATGTTTCCTGGCAAGAACCCGAGCTGTTCCCCTGCAATGCATGTGTGTTCAGAGCTGCTCTCAACGGGACAGGACGGCAATTTTCGCTGCAGGATGGAGGGCTAAACAAGGTAGGCAACACGACCTGGAAATAGATGATTCGGTGCGATATGACCCCCAGGTCTCAAGTTCGGGTCTGGAGCCAAGGTCGACGGGGGGATCTGGGTTGGTCGACCGAGCGCCGGTCATGCAGAGAGTGCTGTGGCTATTCGTCGAGGCTTCAAAACACTGCCGAGATAACTCGTCTGCGCAGGCTCACTGGCCAGGAGATCACCTGGCAAAGTCGAGGCATCTTGGCGACTGACCGGTCCCCGAGGAGGCGTGATACCCTTGCCGTGTATCAGCACAGTGCGAGTACGTACTAGGTGACTAGGTGGGATCAGCCGCCAAGTGGTATGGGAGGGAGGAATGGACCGGCCACTCTTTGGAGATCCCGGGGAATCTATGGACTTGCTCATCCGTCTCCGAATTATTACAGAGGGTATGTCGTTACGCATCTGTTATGTCTGCTAGCGCAGCGGTAGCTTAATTATTACACGGTAGTTATTGACCAAGGTGCTTCTACTAACTACGTAGGTGGGCAGGCATATCAACAACTCTAGGGAGCGGTTCTTGCCTTGTTTAGTGTAGTGTGCAAAACAATATACTCTGAAACCTACCTAGGTAGACGAGTGTGAAAGTTTTGATCGGCACTGTGAGATATGTATCCAAACACAAGTGCCCTGATCTAGACCCTTCTCTCTCCTAGCTCCCAAGAGCAGCCCCGAGTCCACAATGTCAAAAGCCTGTGCCCTTCCAAATGTCTCGCTACGTCCTTCTCCCCCCTCTCCTCTGCTCGTATTTCATACAGACAGCACAAATTCAGCTCCAGATCTCTGGCCTTTTCCTGCACATTACAACACGCTCGCATTATTCTTGATTCCTCCAGCCTCGTGAAATCTCTCTCAACTTTGGATTTCATCTTGAGTATCAACATTCATCTCTTCCTAGCATCCTGCTTGTCAAATTTATTGCTCCGTAACTTACTCTTTCTCGGCCCGACTCCACGATGTCGTCCCACCAGCACCAGCGTCCCCTTGAAAGAATAGCCGGCGTGGAAGACGACAAAGGATACCGCATCGGGGGCTTCTTTCCCGTGCACCTCGGCGACGTGCTTGGGAATAGTGAAGGTAGATACCGCGTCATCCACAAGCTGGGCAACGGCGTCTCCGCGACCGTCTGGCTGGCCGAGGAGTTGAATTAACTGAATGAGGCTGTTGGCCTCTGGGCGCTCAAGATCTTCACCGCCGGCCCTCACATGACCGAGATGAGTGCTTTAGTCTTCTTCGCGCGCATGGTCGCGCCCCACCCCAACGTGTTGACGTTTTGCAGCTACTTTACCGTAGAGGGTGTCAATGGCAACCACATCTGCTTCGTGTTCCCCTTTCTCGGGCCGACCGTCAAGTCTACTAGACCTTCGGCCGCCCTATTACGGTGCCGGTTCCGTGTGACAATGGCTCCGTCCTGCCGTCATCCATGCCGCGCTATCGCGTCAAAGCCATTGACTTTAAGAGATTCAATCCCGGCCTGCTCTCGGGCGACATCTGCATCGCCGACTTTGGCCAGTCGTTCAAGATCGAGAACGATAATCCCGGCATGCCCCCGATGAAGCTCTCTTTCCTCGCGCCCGAGTCGTTCTTCAAGTCGCCGCGGTTGCCGACAAGCGACGTATGGGGCGTGGGCTGTGTGATCTTTGAGCTCTACACCGGCCGCGTGCTCTTCCCGGCCCTCAACGAGTCTGTACACCAAGTGATTGCGGCGATTGTCGAAACTTTAGGCCCGCTGCCTGCGGATTGGAAAGGCTACTTGGGTCATCAGGCCGGCCCCGTCCTCGGGGATGATGGAGAGCTGGTCATCTGGCCCGAGAGGGACTTTTGGTTTGACCCCAACCTCATGCCGAACCGGCCTCTCGAGGGCCAGATCGACTACAGCTGTTCGTGGATTCCAGAACACAAGAGGGGCCTCTTCCTGCAGCTTCTGACCGGCGCACTGTGCTTCAATCATACCGCTCGGCTCACGCCCGCAGAGGTTGCGGCGAACCCTTGGTTTTCCCAGACGGACGAGCCGGAAGAGGGCGGGCGGGAAGATGACGAAGAGAAGGAGGACGAATAGGAAGAAGCCGAGCAGGGAGACGACGAACGGGAAGAGGACGGAGTCCATAACTGAGTGGTATCAGGTACACACCATGTGTCTGTCTTGTCTTTCTTGTATGTACAAGTACTTGTCTAAGTATCTCTATGAACGCCGCATTGCAAATGGCCGCCGTGTCCCATCCTCGATCCAAACGGCAAGCAACCCGTACCTGTATATACCCAAAGCACTAACACCCATAAACACCATACGACATACACATTAATAAGCCCAGCTGTATATGTTTGGCGACGGCGGGCTGCTGCTGACGTGGAGCGTGCCGCACATGTTTGGCGACGGCAACACGGTTCCTGACGTGGGCGCGGCTGTGGGCCGAGGGCTGCCGCGCGGCGCAGGGGTTTGACACGCTTAGCAACCCCGTCAGCCTCGACGCGGCCATGTTAGGCGACCGCGCGCGCGTCATGGGAGGTTCGGGCCGCAGCGGCGTCGGCGGCCCAGAAGACCACCCCGAGTACACGATGCTGCCGTTCACGCCGCCGGGCGCGCCGCCCAAGATGCTATCGCCTAGCCACAGGGGGCAGGTGTTCTACCTCTCGCCGGAGGCCCTAGCGACGCTCAAGGCGGATGCCGCGCCCGCGAACGCGACGGCGCCGACGACGCTGGAGTGGGTGTCAACCAATGACGCGCTGTCGGCGCTGCTATGGCGCATCGTCCTGGCCGTGCAGTCGCCGCTGGCGGCGCTTGAAGGTGACCCCGTGTGCGTGTTCAACGCTGCCATTGACGGGCGCAGGCGCACGCGCCCCCCTGTGCACTCGCACACGCTAGGCTGCTTCCTCGAGTACGCGGCCGTGTCGGCGCCGATCCGGCAGATGCTGGGCCCCGCCAGTCTGGCGGACCTGTCGGTCATGATCCGCACGGCGCTGCTCCGCGCCGACGACGGGTAGTTCACCGACGACGTGGTGGCGCTGGTCGACGGGCTCGAGGACGTCGACTGGCTAGTGCCGACAGCGTTTTTCGGCGTGCCCGGGTCCAACTGCGTGCAGTCGTCGTGGCTCGAGTTCGACCTAAATGGCCGGACTGGGGCCCGGCGCTGAGCGGCAGCATCCAGGCTGTGCGGGCGCCGAGCGTTGGCATCATCAACGGGCTGCAGGCCGTGCTTCCCGTGCTACCCGACGGTGGCATCGAGGTTCTGGTTGGTGTGTGGAGGAGTCGTGTCTAGACAGGCTGCTGCACGAGCCGCTGTGGTTGAAATATGCCGTGGCTCGGTGATTTTGGGATATCTCCTGATGAGTATGTCGCCCTGAGCCATGAACAAATCTTTGAACAGATAACCGCGTACCCTTCCTCGGGAGATGGATGAATTTACACGTTAACGACTGCACGACTGCAACACTCTGGTAGCCAGCCAGCGGCCATCAGGGCGGAATAAGTCAGCCAATCTTGGAGCAACTTGCAAGGCCAATCAATATGCGAGTCCAATGCACTTCATGTGACCATCCCACCTTCAGAGCATAACACGAGATAAGACCCCGCAGTTGCTGTTGTATCTCGATCCTTTGCCCCTCTCCGTCTGCTGGTCTCACCTCATGGCCAAGCAACAACCTACCTAGTAACGTAAGCGAGATGATGAACCCCAGAACAGCGGAGCCGTACCTGTCGGCGCCGGGCTTGGCATCTGCGGTAGCCGCCGTCGTCCTGGGAACGCTATTGTGGAATGTAAGCACCACGCAGTCATAAATTGAAGCTGAACTCGCTCGCGGGTGGCCATAACCATCACTCACTCGTACCTAGATCGTCCGCAACATCCTCACATCGCCCATCCCATCTTCAGTCCCTGGGCCATTTCTCGCCCGGATCACCAGCAAATGGATCCTGCTCGTCGACCTCTCGGGCCAGCGCGCCCAGGTGGTTGACGCGCTGCACAAGAAACACGGGCCCGTAGTGCGCCTCGCGCCCGACGAGCTCTCGTTTGCCGGCCGCGACGCCGTCAAGGCCATTTACGGCGCCGGCGCCACCGTCGTCAAGAGCCCCGCCTACAACCTCTTCGGTAAGCGCGGCATGTTCCAGATGCAGGACCCGAGGGAGCACCGCGAGCGCCAGCGCCGCATCGCCCACATCTTCAGCGCCGCCTCGCTGCAGCAGACGGAGCCGCTGGTCCAGGCGGTCGTCGGCCGGACCGTGGCGACCCTCGCCGCGAGCGTCGGCGCGCCCGTCGATGCGCTGCACTGGTGCCGCATGATGGCGCTGGACGTCGCCGGCGCGGTGCTCATGGGCAAGGAATTTGGCGCCTTTGACGGCGACGGCGCCGCGCCCGTCTACGTCCGCCACCTCGACAATGCCTACATCGCGTGGGCCCTCAACGGGCTGGCGCCGGCGCTGGTGTGGCTGCTCGAGCGGCTGCCCATCCAGAGCCTGCAGCGCTTCCTCGCCGCGCGCGAGTACGTGTACTCGTACGGCGAGCACGCCGTGCAGCAGTATCTGAAGACGAACGGCCGCGCCTCGAGCCGGCGCACGCTCATCTCCAAAATGATAGCCGGCAACCCGGAGACGGGCGCGGAGCCGCTCCCCGACGCCGACATTGTCATCGAGGTCTCCAACAACACGTTTGCCGCGGTTGATTCGACAGGCAACACTGCGGCGTACACGCTGTACCGCCTCGCATGCGTTCCAGAGTGGCAGCAGCGATTGCGGCGTGAGATTCGGGCCTCGGGCGCCAAGGAGAAGGGGTTCCAGTACCAGTCGCTCCAGGCGCTCCCCGTCCTCAACGCGGTGCTCGTGGAGACGCTGAGACTGCACCCCGCCGTGCCGACCGGCTTGCCGCGGCTGACCGTCGCCCCCGTCACGGAGATTGCGGGACTGTGTTTGCCGGCAAAGGTGTGTCCAGTTATTCTTCTGATCTGCTTTGTCGGAAACACAGCAACGTTACAACAGTCACCAAACAAACAGCCCACCCACCTTCTGCTAATAATGAAACTCCAATAGACAATTGTGTCAATGCAATCCTACACAACACAGCGCGACGCGACCATCTTCCCGGACCCGGACAAGTTCGACCCGGGCCGGTGGCTCAGCGGCGACGGCGCCGCCGTGTTCGCCGGCACGCCCGTGGCGCAGGAGATGACGCTCGTGTGGGGCGGCCGGGGCCCGCGCGCGTGCAGCGGCCAGTACATGGCCGCCATGGAGGTCAAGCTGCTGCTCGCGCAGCTAGTCGACCGCTTCCAGGTCGGGCTGCAGGGAGAGGCGACGCACGGTGAGATGGAGATGACGGCGCATTTCCATCTCATCCCCAAAGGGCGCAGATGTGGTTTGGTTTTTGATGATGAGGAGGTTTCGGACGAGACGACTTGAAATACGAGCTAGGAAGGGGCAGTTAGCTGAACGGTTGTGTTGAGTTTTATTGTGTCCAGCGGTCCTCCGGGGGTGCCTGCCTCATTAATCCGAACGAAACCACCTAATGCCATTGTTGGCGAGTAAGTAGGTGAATAAGAAATAAGGCAGCTGGAGATTCTAAGGAAAGAACGACTTTCGAGCGCAGTGAAGCGGTGATAAGGCACCACAACACAACAAACACAAAAAAAACACCAAGACTCGCCTGCGGTTCGCCTTACAGAGTACAGGTACAGGATTCCATAGCCAGGTAGTCAAAACAACGAAGAAAAAGGCACAACTACGTGCACTAGTCCGGGGATCTTAATTCTTATTAAAAGACGTTGATTTCTGAAGAATGACTAGAAAAGAAGGGAAGAGCGATGCCGGCCCTCTAATCCGGGGGAGGGCGGGCTGCCCACCTTGAGGTGGGCAGGCCAAGAAAAAAAGGAAAACAAAAAGTGCACTAGATTATATTGGGTAAGGGTTTAAACAAGCCCCTTATTACCCGGCCCCTGAACCTCTGATCAGTAGCGAGAAGCCCGCGGTAGGCGCCCCCGGAGGGCTGCCGGAGGGCTGCCGGAGGCAAGAAAGAAACAAAAGGCCGTATAGCTGCCCCTTCCTGACTGGTCGATTGGCGTGTTTTATGTGTCATTGTGAGATAATGTGAGATAACGTACCTACCTTACCGAGGTGCCTACCTTGTCTTTTCTATGAACAGCATTCTGGATGGCTGGATAACATTACATGGCCACGTGTGGCCAGTAGGGGCGAGTGCTATGCCTCTTTAGCGATGAATTCTTGTAATGTGCTGCCGAAAGCGTCGAGTTTAATTTCCGGAGCCCACGATGGTTTTGAAGTCTTGCAAATGTTCCTTGCCCCTTCATTCACGTCCCTTTCGTTCTTACTTTTTCGTTCTTGCTCTTTCATCCTCGCTCCATTGTCTACGACAACACAAGACCAACCCTCCAATGTTTGGTGCACATTGTGTATCGGCCTTCGGGTTGCTGGCGGCATTTCTTCTGCTGCTATGCTCTCCCTTTTGCAACGCGGTGCTCAATGCTCAGTTACTAATGGTATCGGACAGCTACTACCTCCAGAAAACGGGTTCAATATGGGCGACCCCGTCTGGATGGTGGAGCGAACACCAGACGCCGAAGTTCTCGAGCGCTACAAGATCTTCCGCCGGCTTGATGCCTCTTACGCTCGGCCTGCACAAGGTACACCCAGAGCCCTTCTAGACTCTCAGCTTCTCCTTGCGCCACTTTGAGGATGCCGCCGGCCGGGGGAGCTGGGGCATTTTCATTAGGTACGCGTTACTCTACGATAGATACAAGTATACGCTCCGACGCTTCTTTAATGATAGAAAGTCGGCGCGTCTACTCGATCCGGTAACGAACCGCTTCGTCTACGCCATCCTGTGCGGCTCGGCGCTCCTTTATCTAAGGACGCAAAGGTGCTGGTGCCTAGAACCTCGGGCGGCAACCCACCCACCTTTATGAGTGCGCTGTACGTTTCGATGGGCGCGAACCACTCGAGCGCGGTGAGTAAAATCGGCGGCATTGCCGTTACCTTGAGCGAGAACTAGCAGAAGGCGTTCTACGGTATGACTAGCGGCACTATCTGGAACGAACTCCATAAACGGTGTCTGGTCGTGCTCGAGCGGCTCGGAAGCCCCAAGACGAACACGCTTCCGCCCGGTGAGCTCGTGTCGAGTATGCTGACAGAGCCCGCCGCGGGCAGCATCTTCGACATCGCGACGGCGACCGACTTCGATGCCATGCCGCGCGTCGCCTTGCTGGAAATGGGCGTCGATATGGGGTTTCCCATGCTGGGCAGGATTATTGCTCAGCGGTTCAAGTTGCTGCCCGGCTCGCGTAAGTACCCGTCTGCCCGGAAAAGGTTCCAAGACGCTGCGAGACGAATTCATTCAATAACCAGGCGTGGGAGTCAGCGACATGGGCGCATGGCTTCTCCAGGAGACGAGCGACGGGCTCAAGGCAGGCTATCAGATTGTTGCGCTTGCCGAGCCAGACGAAGTGTATGCCACGGCTTTCAGGTCCAATTTATTTGTTGACGAGCGCGGCGCCATGCCGTTGCCGGTGAGCAGCTCCTGCATAAGAGTCAAATATTGTCACAATATTGGGATTAGTGAGCAAGAAAGATCTAGAAGCTGCTATGTGATTCTTCGCCACCAGCTTTTGCCACTATTCATAACTATAAAAAAGAGACTTTTGGCCCTGCCAAAGGAAACAAAAGATTAGACCTTTTCAGACAATTCAAGCCTTACCTCCCTGCATCAAATGCTTCATTTCCGTTGCCCCGTGAATGCGCGTGACAAATATCAATTAGCTCTGGTCGCGGAGTGACCAACATGCCGATTTAACAGGGACCAATGGACAACGGTACCTACATGGATGTGCCGGTCAAGATGATTGGCGACGGTGTAAGAGTCGATCATCCATAATTTTAATTAGTTAAGCTCTTGGTAATCCGCGGAAGCGGCAATCTCGTACTCATAACCTTAGAGACTCCACGATAACCTCAGAGTTTTCAGTCGACGGCGTCGGCGAGGAAGTGCCTGTCGTGCAGCGCCAGCACATCGGCTACGAACGGCTTAACGCAGTTGTACGTCTCGTTCACGGCCAGCGGCGCGCCTTCGCTCTCGAGGATGGCAGCGCAGCAGAGCAGCGGCCGGTTCGCCAGCACCACCGTCCTGTCGGCGGCGTCGAACGGGAACGAGCCGATTCGCGGCTGCGGCACGCGCGCCAGTGACAGCATGGTGCGCGACAGCCCGCGAAACAGCCGCCGCTGGCGCGCCGTGTCGTCCCGCTGTGCTGCCCACGTGGTCGAGAGCATGCGCCCGGTGGCCGGGCTAATGTACTCGAGCAGGGTGTATGCCGTTGGGTCGGCGCAGGTCGCCGTGGGTCGGGTGTGCGGTGTAGGGCGCAAGGAGGCCTGGGTAGCCAAGGAGAGTGCGGAGACGGCGTCGGATCGAGTACTAAGGTGTCAAGGCGGGGCGTCAGCTGCGGAAACCCTTTTTGTCTGTGGGACGAAAGAGGCACGTATAGAAGGGTAAAGACCCACGTACATAGTGGTGGCCAGAGAAGCCAAAGCCGTGTAGGTGCGGTATTCGCACGTCGGGAACACTGGTCCTGCATCCACACGTGGGTCCCAACCTCGCAGCTCAGCTTCTCGTCGACAGTCCCCTCGGCAAGCTTGTGCGTCATGACGCAGCGGAAGATGAGTGTTGTCTCGCCTTTTGGACTCGAAGGCTGGGCACTGCGCTGCGACCCCACCCGGACGGGAATGCAGGTGTTGAAGCCGCCGCGGATCCACCTCTCACGCGGCGCAACGGCGCAGACAAGACCGGGTCCATTGCCGAGCCGTAGGTGGTGCTTGACGAGCCCCGCAATCGTTTGTCTCTGTCCCAGAGAAGCTGAGAAAGCTCGTCGGCGGCTGCGGCTGCGCTGCTTCGCTGATGATGTTGGCGTCTTTTATGAGTGCCGACTCGAACGTTATGGATCGGCCGTGACCCAGCCCGAGGGTGGCAGGCATGTCACGGTTGGTCGGCGTCGAGACGGAGCATTGGGCAATTGGCGTGCGCGTCTCGGGTGAACGACGCGGCCAGGAAAAAGGTGGATCAATCACGAAACGATTACAGTAACACCCAGGTAATCCGTACTGTACGGAATACATACATATACCTCTCCTTTCATGCAAGTCCCCATGGGCATCAGATTCCTTCAACTGATGACCAAACAGCCTACCGGGACAAACAAAGGGTTAGCCAAAGTCGCTCCACAGCCTTTGCACCGTCTCTCGTACGCGTTAATCTGTGGATGGGCATCTGTCATCCCCTGGTAAAATACTCTTACAGCCCTAGACGAAGGGATTAAGCTTATTTGGTTTAAAGGCGTGCCCACCAATGGCCGAAGGTTAGTGCGATACAACCAGCAACCACGTGACTTTTTGGTGAGAACCTGCTAGAAAAGTGACTTGAAACCCCTGTATTTCAGGCTTATATCCCTTTTTCAACCCCCCCTGCAAAAGTCAACGAGCTAACATTTCAAACCCCGGGGGAGGTGTAGGAGGTGTGGTAGCAAACAGTTTTCGCTCAACAAACCAATTAGAGTCCTGGAAACTCTGTGGAACGCGGAAAGTACATTCTACCCCTGAATAATTATTAGTTGAGTTCTTTGAACAGGGGACGTCATAATTAGCATTGGAGCTAGTTACAGTTTGGTGTAGATCTGATAAACAAAACCTAAGGCCGCCGTAGTTTTTACGAAGAATTACTTACTTGGAAGAAATAAGTTTTAGGCACTAATTACATCGCTTCAATTCGATGACACGTTTGTTTTTAGGTGGTTCAAAAACCAGCTCAGTACTAAAGCTTCGCTTCAACAACGGCGTAATCCTAGGATGTCGTCCTAGACCGTTAAGTATCCATCTTTTGATTGTACCGCATCTTTTGTGTTGCCAAGAATGAGCCTTGGCGTGCGGATGGAAAATCTAAAGGGGCAATCAATGTTTGGCCTCTATATAAGGCTTCGCAATTATAATAGGGGAAGCGCCATGTATGGCTAGCGAGCGTAGCAATGTTTCGAGCGGCTTCGTCCCGCATTGTCGTATTTGCATGCCGTTGGCTTCGTCCCCGATGAACAACACACCCATAAGCACCACCGGCTGTGCTTTGCGGCTAAGCACGCTACGAGGGGCCGGGTCGATGGACCGGGCCCGGGACCAACAGGGGAATGAGAGCCAATGAAACCGCTCCACAATGAATACATGTTGGCGGTATTCCGGCATTTTCATATCTTGGCCCTTTGCGTTAATATATTTCGTTGCGGGGCTTGTGCGACGATTGTGTAACCCCAACGGCAGGCCCAGACCGGACGATTCGGACAGCCACGTCGGCCCAGTTTCTGGGACGTTGCTAAAAAGGGGTTCAAAAGATGCAGGTTTCCCAGCGTCTTCTGCGCAGCTGTTGTCACCAGGGAAACTGCCAGAATAGGAATCCCGCCGTGCTTTGTCTTGTGAACCTGTGAAGGTCCCACCATGCTCGGAAAGAATTGGTCACTAGTCTTTCTCGCTGCCGTTGGGGCAGCGGCCAAGGATCCGTATGATTATGTGAGTGTCTGTCCGTTGCGAACAGTACCGAGTAGCACTTTGCTTACTTGGCCACGAAGGTCCTCGTCGGTGGTGGCACCGCAGGTCTCGCTCTAGCGACGCGACTGAGCATTGGCCTTCCAAATTCACAAATCCTCGTCTTGGAAGCTGGTCCTGCAGCCCTTGACGAGCTTAGAATCAACGTCCCCGGACTGCGTGGCTCAGCCTTAGGATCGATATACGACTGGAACTTTACGACGACAGCCCAGGAGCACCTCGGCAATAGAACCATTGATGTCAACCGAGGAAAGGTCCTTGGGGGCTCCGCAGCGCTCAACTACCTGTGCTACGACCGTGCTGCGGCCGCTGAGTACGACGCCTGGGGTCAGTTGGGCAACTCGGGGTGGAACTGGAATGTCATGTTAGCAGCTATGATGAAGGCGGAGAATTTTACGGGCGCCGATGACGGCGACAAGCACGGACGCACAGGTCCTATCCGGAACACTTTCAACCGCGTCATACCCGAAATGCTGACGACGTGGAAGCCGACGCTGAAAAAACTCGGCGTTCCCGGCAACGACGAGGGGTCGCTGGGTGGCAACCCAATCGGCGTCATGTACCAGCCCACCAACATCGACACTACCCACTGGACCCGATCCAACAGCGCCAACAGCTACCTGCCTCTCGCCGGCCCGAATCTCGAGGTGAGGACAAACAGCCCAGTAGCGAGGGTCGAGTTCGCGAAACGCGTCGGAAGCGAGCCACTGCGCGCAACGGGTGTAGTTCTGGAAGACGGCACCACGATCCTCGCCCGCCGCGAAGTCATCCTGTCGGCGGGAGCCGTTCAAAGCCCGGGCCTGCTCGAGATGTCCGGCATCGGCCAGCCCGCGGTGCTCAGCGCCGCTGGCATCACGCCTCTCGTCCCCCTCGCAGGCGTCGGTGAGAACTACCAGGATCACATTCGCACGTCCAATGTCTACCGTGTCAAGCCCAACATCAGCTCCTTCGACGCCATGATCTTCGACAGCAACGGCGCCTTCGCCACCGAGCAGATGCGCCAGTGGCTAGCCGGGAACTACTCTTGGTACGACTATACCACGGCGGCCTACTCGTTTCTCAACTGGGGCCACGTCACGAGCAACACCACCTCGGAAGCGACCCTCATCAGCCTGGCCGAGAGGTCCGCCAGCAGCAGCAACACCACCAGCGTCATCGACCGTAAGAAACTCGACTTCCTCCGCGACCCGTCCGTGCCGCAGCTCGAGCTCATCATGGAAAGCAACTTCGTCGGCGCCGGCGCCTACCCCGGCGGCAGCTTCATGACGCTGATCTCGTCTATCATGCACCCGATGAGCCGCGGCAGCGTGCACATGCCCCCCGCGGGCAGCGGTAGCGGCAAACCCATCATCGACCCAGGGTACCTGTCCAGCGAATACGACGTGCAGGCTCTGATCGCGGGCGCCAAGTTCGCGCGGCGCGTGGCGCAGACGGAGCCCATGGCCGCGCTGTGGGAGGCGGAGGCGGAGCCCGGCGCGGGCGTGCAGACGGAGCAACAGTGGCGCGACTGGGCGACGGCGACCATGGGGAGCTTTTATCACCCTGTCGGCACGTGCGCCATGCTGCCTGAGAGAGACGGCGGCGTGGTGGACGCGTCGCTCGTGGTGCACGGGACGGCGAACCTGCGGGTCGCGGACTGTAGTGTGATTCCCGTGCTGCTGTCGGCGCATCTCCAGACGGCCGCGTACGGGATTGCCGAAGTGGCGGCGGACTTGGTGATTCGCGCTGCGAGGGGCGTGGTGGTGGTGTAAAAAATGGGGGAGAAGGGAAGCGGTGGTTGCTGTGGATGATCTTGCGCGAGAGCCAGAAGGGTTGAGTCTTTTGCGATAGGTAATTATTGTTAACGAGCCCGACAGAAAATTCAGACAGGGAGTTATGAACATATTCATCCGCGGTTTAAACTGTGACTACGTTCAAAAGAAGAACTAGAGAAGCAAACATGAAGAAACAAGGTTTACTAACCAGGCGGGAAGAGGGTCTTGTTCCTGAGTAGCCCTGACGGGCGATAAATGGGCCCAGTTCAGTCACGGAAGGCTCAGGAGTCAGCCCATCAAAATACCGGCGAGCAGGGCATGTTCAGGTCGGGTTTCATAAAGCGTGCGGATTTTCGCATCTCTTCTTCACGTCAATGACTAAGTAACAGCAGCACGGTCTCAAAGAAAGCACTATAGTGACTGAGAATCCCAGGATTTAGTTTCTATCTCTATTGCTAGCAAGTATAAGATAATTGGAACCGATGAGGATTGATACAAAGGGTAGGTGGCGCCAGGCCGTTGAATCCACCGTGAGAGTCTTATTAAAGGTTAGGGCTCGCCAGCAAGCCCTAGAGTATGAGTGAGCTCCATCACTTCTTCGCCTCGTCCTCGGTCTTCATAGCGGCCTTCAAAGCAGCGAAGGCCCTCTCGACTTCGGCTTTCGCCTCTTCGGGTGTACTATTAGCGTTCTGTTTGATTTGTGTCTCTGACCAATCATAGTGGCTGCCTCTCTTGGGTACTTTAATCAGCCTCTTCACGCCGCTGTCTGAGGCATTCGAGTTAAGCTGGAATTTCAACAGGCGCTTATCACCGGCCAGCTTCGTGCCCCAGTCAATGCGGGCCCCGATACTTGCGTCGTGAGTCTTGGCAGGTGTGGCACGAGTTCCAGCATTGGCGGCTGTGTCTGTGACCAACTTGTTGATGCGGCTCGGGCTTCCCATGACATGGGTCTTGAGTGCTTCGAGAGCTTTCTTTGCGGCGCTGGCCATTATTGCTAAGAGGGAGAGAGAAAGTACTATATGTTGATTAGCGAGGAGTCCTCCGGGTGACTAGATGGACGGATATGCTCAAATAGCCACCTACAACGGGTGTTGTTAGGTAAGGTAGTTTGGAGTTTGGAGTTTGGAATTGGAAAGTTGGATCTGTGGCTGTACTGTTGTGATGCTTGAAGTCTCTACGAAATATATTGTCGTCTGGGAGGAAGAGTCTCCTAGTTATATAGAAACACGACGGTCTTTGTGGCAGCGCTGTGTTTGATCCCGGGCTTCCGCTTCATGTCAGAAGACAAGGAGCCTTGTGGAAGACAGCGCCTCTATCTGGAACGCTCCACCTCGCCAGTTGCTCCGGACAGGGCTGAGGCACTTGCCTCTCGGCACAGCAGAAGGTCGGGGCTACTTTTGAAACCGTGACCTGGTCCCAGGATAAGCCGACGTGGACATTGTGTTGGTTGCATCCTGGGCTTCACGTCAGAGGACAAGGACCATTGGGAACCAAGGAAAGAATAAGACAGCGTCTCTATCTGGATCGCTCCGCCTTTCGCCAGTTGCTCCGACAAACAAGGCTGAGGCACTGACCTCTGCCTCTGGGCACAGCAGTAGGTTGGGGGCTTTTTTTTCTTTTTCTTTTTCTTTTTTTTTTTTTTTTTTTTTGAAACTGTGACCCGATCCAAATACTAAACCGGCGCAAATATACGAGTCTGCGAGGCGAGGCCATGTGCCATGTGGAGAGAGAGGGTGTCCACATAAATGCGTGTTTCGTAATGCCGTGCCCTGCTGTCGGGAATCATGTTTGGTATTGTAGAAAGGTATGCTTTGAATAGTCTGGACTTTGGGACTTGGCCGCGCACTCGCAGAAGTCAGAAACTCTGAGACGGCGGAGGCACGGTAATCATGTTGAAAGCATCAATAAGCCTTGCAGGGCCGTGTCAGCTACAGGATGACATCAACCCGCGCTCTGGAAGTTGGCGGCGAGGATTGCCGAAGTAAGCAAGCACGTAAAATACGTGGGGTACGAATACTAATTATGCATGATCCAACCACAGAAGGGCTCGAAAAATTACACGCCCCTCATTGATCAGCTACAACGTAAGCTCATATCAGCCTTGGCGCACCAGCGCCGGCCTCAGAAAAGAGGGTTTGCTTGCGCCGGCGGGCTTGCGCCGGCGGGCTTGCGCCGGCCGAGATGACCACGCTGTCCACTGCTCCTTTTGAGCAACCAACTAAGGTACCAAGCGGTTGACAAAAAAACAGGGTCGCATTATCTGTGCAGTACACAGACTACCATAGTAACTGCAGGCAAGACAGATGTATCTTTCTGTACTTCCGCCTGGTCATCTGACCGTCACTCACCACTAACATACGAAAGCAGTAAGACTGTGGGAATCTGTTAGTAATGGACCGCACGTGCCAGTTTTGGTGTCCCTGTTTTTTTGTCAACCGCTTGGGTTCCTAGGTATTCGCCAGGGCTAGACCCAAGGAGCTTACAGCTTCCATGCTCAGGGCATTTTTGTAGCCCTGCAGTACCGAGTACATGTACCTCCAAAAATCGGGTGTGCAAGCAAGCTGTTAACGATTAACAGGCCGCAAGAGGGGGCTGTGCCGGCACATACGATTTTTGGAGTTACCTAGTAGTTGACGGCAACGCTGAAATTGGTCGTGGTTGGCAGGGGGTGGCACATCTGCGGTTTTTTTTTGTCAGGGGGGGTTGGTGTGGGTGGGGTTACTTGCAGAGCGGACCGGATTTTGTCCAATAATAACAACCTTGGGCCGCATTTGAACGGCAACAAAACCAGATCAAAACTTCGCCGCGATTATCATCATCATCTCAGCCTCCCTTAGGTCGCGACTCTTGCGCCGTCTTGGGGCCGCTGGGGCCGCTGGGGCCGCTGGGGCCGCAATAAAATCCCGGCTGGCATCCATCGCTCACGAATCCACCGCTCTACGACGCCGCCAACCAGGAATCCGAGACGTTTGTGTGACGGTAGACTTGCAATTAATTTGCAATGGCGGCTTTCCTACGAATTCGGAAGTGTTTCTTCAAGCCCCCGCAACTGAACAACTTGATTTCAGTCAACTCAAAGGCCTCGCCCACCTCATTCTCAATTCTCGTCATGTCATCCAGCTCTGGAACTGGTATGGCGTCCATGAGCACGACAGCCAGACGCCGAAGCGCTCATGCCGCACCACAGCCCCCAGATTGGAACAATGACTCCAGCCTGTTCGCCTACACGCGCGGGCGATTTGTCTTTGACGAAGCCCGCCAGATTCGGCAGCGGACAGTCAGGTTTGACATGAACCGACTCGCGCAAATTGCCGCCTCTTCCATCGGAGCAGACCACTGCATCACCGTCACCAAGTGCCCCGACGGCATGCACACCAAGGCATACATTCTGCGCATGGATGACGGCCGAGAGGTCATTGCCAAAGTCCCAAACCCCAACGCTGGCGTGCCGCACTACACGACAGCCAGCGAAGTAGCCACCATCGACTTTGTCCGTATCCCCACGCCGTCCGTCCATAGACAAAGGGACACCTGGAACGCTGACTCTTCTGCTGAACATGTAGATGCGTGACGTCCTCCAAACGCCTGCCCCCACGGTCCATGCGTGGAGCTCACGGGCCGACGACAACAGTGTGGGCGCCGAGTACATCGTCATGGAGAAAGCCGTCGGCGAGCCTCTCGAAAGGTTCTGGGACCGTATGAGTGCCTCCGAAAAGCTCAAGGTGCTTATGCAAGTGCTCTCCTACTACAAATCCTGGCTTGCCTTCTCCTTCCCGGCCTACGGGAGTCTGTACTACAAATCCGACGGCGGGCCGTCGTCTCTCGCCGTCCACATCCCCGGTGGCGGCCCACCTAGCGAGCGATTCGCCATCGGCCCTGCAACAGGCCGCGACTGGTACGACGCCGGCCGCTCGTCTCTCAAGTGCGACTGCGGCCCCTGGACCTCGGCCCTCGCCTACTGCACTGCCATCGCCGCTCGCGAACGCGCCGCCGTCCAGCGACTGCCCCCCGCCAGGCAGATGCTCCTAATCACCGGCCCGTCGCCCGAGCTCTACACGCCGACCCCCGCCAAGAAACTCTCAGCCCTGGCCGCCCTCGACCCCCTGCTCCCGCGCGTGTTATTAACCGGCAATCCCCTGCTGGTGGCCCCGCGCTTGTGGCACGACGACCTGCACGGCGAGAACATCTTTGTCGACCCGTCCGACCCGACCCGCATCACCGCCGTGATTGACTGGCAGGGCTGCCAGGTATCGCCGCTGTTCGACCACAACGCCGTGCGCCCCATCTTTCTCGAGTATTCGTTCGAGTCCGCCACGGCCTCCGAGAACGACGCGGCAGCGGACAAAGACGGTGATGACACAGCTCCGCCCCCTGCTGCGCCCGATACTTCGGGCATGTCGGGCTCGGACCGCGCGGCGGCGCTCAAGGCGTACGTCGACACGGCAATCTGCATCGCCTGGCGCCGGCTCGTGCGCGACGCGGCTCCCGCCCTGCACGATTTGGAAAAGTTCCAGGACTCGACCGAGGGCAGCGTGCTGCAGGTGGCCCGGCGCGTGTACGAGTACGGCGAGTCGCTGCTGGCGGGGATGGTGCTGGACCTGGAGCCGTCGTTGAAAGACAGGGACGACGTCGACGAGACGGTGATACGGAGCGAAATGGATGCCGAGTCAAAAGGGATTGGGTTGATGGCGCAGATGCAGGAGCAGATGGGTGACGACTGGCCGGATAATGGCGTCACGGTCGCGGGGGACTACGACAAGGTCAAGGCCACGCTCACACAGGCGAGGGACGATTTGGCCGAGGTCATGTATGGGGAGGATGAGGCAAAGAAAGAGGAGTTCAGGAATGATTGGCCTTTCAATAATTAGGTTTGATTAGTTTCGATGGGTTAGTTTCGATGTGTGAGGGGGTGCGTGGTTGTGAATTGTCGGCGGCATAGGAGGGGGATGATTATTATGTCTTCCGATAATTAAAACTTGTCTGGTACAGTGTTCTTTACGGCACGCCGTCGCTTTGTATCATGATTAATCCGCCTAGTTGAGATTTGGAGTCTGCCTTTCCGCGGTTCGTTTGGCCTGGAATCGGATTTAGTAATTATGAACTCTGATCAAGACGTGAAAGCCGGTTGGTCGGACAGAATTATGTGTTGTGATCCAAGGTTCGTAATTACACCCTAATTACAGGCAGTGTGGAGAGCGCAAAAACGCTGAGGTCCCCGAAGCTATACTGGGAGATTCATTCTAAAATACCAAGGCGACCAATGTTGCGGACGCACTCACTCAATCATCAACCGGCCTGACCAGTGACTTGCCCAGACTCAATCACAAGTTCTTGAGCGCGACCAACGATAATACCCTCAACCCCAACAAAGTGGGCCAATACTTGCGGTAGCATAGTGCATAATACGGTGTGTGAACTGTGAATCACACGGCTGTAACGTGGGCTTCATAGTACTTATTACCTTCACCTCTTGGCACAACGTAGCCACAAAAAGGCGGCAAAAGGCCATTGGATGTATGTGTAAAAGAAAGAAAGAAGTGCTGAATGCCCTAGCTATTACATGCACTCCGCAAGGTAGTGCTTTTAGCTAGGCCGCTAGTCTAAAGTGGCTTACGGATAGCTTATTTGACATTGTGAGGGCCTGGTCCTCCAGGCCTCCCAGACGCTCTGACTAATCAGACGCCAGTTGGGTGGATCCACCCGACCCGCCAGAGCCCCACCTTGAGACGCCCTGGAAGAATCTCGCGAGGGGAGGCTTTTGAGCTTCTTTTCCCTTTTCCCTTTAGTTTAGAATCTTCGTCTATAGCGCCTAATAGAGGAGTTCCGCCCTCATTCCAAGCCGGCCGTGACAGACATCACCTTTATTAGGCCTAGTCGATACATAGTAGATTCATCACTCATTCATCTTCTCTATCTCATTTGCACGCATTAATACCCAAAACCCAGTCACAGCAATACGTAAAGTCCCGCGGCAGCACGATTCCTTTACGTTGTGCTAGTCGCACACGACAATCGGTGGGCCTCGAAATTGTCGACACAGACCACCATCTTGTGCCGCGGCAGCTGCCGGGGATGTTCAAAAGGCCGCTCTTTCAGATAACTTACGGTGTATAAACTCTTACTCCCAGTGATATGAAACTGAGATTGAGTACCCCAGTATTGTGGTAATTTATATCGAGCATGACGAAATCCACAAGTATGTAAAGAAGCACTTTAAGGACTACCCCGACGAGCTGTGGAACGGCCGCCAGATCCGCAACGCGTGTCAGACGGCGCTCGCGCTCGCCGAGTACCGCGCCTAGGATAACAGCCACGTACCGCGTGTCGATCCCAAGGCCTTCGTGGAGCCCAAGGTCAAGGAACTTGAGGTCATGTCCCACGCCTACCTACAGTTCATGCGCTACCCTGCCAGAACCCGCGGCAAGAACAACGAGATGTGGGCTAAGAGCCTCTGCAATTGCTCTGCCAGTTGCTTGAATCCCGCCTGGTCTGCACACTAGCCGAGACGACTACCTCTTTTCCGCTCCTCACCCATGCTGAAAAAAGGAGGACGTGAACGGATGCGCCTTTATCCCATCCCAGCTATAGCTCGGCGTCAAGGATAACGGACGTGACAGCTCACTTGCAAGTTGCATGAGTCCGTCTTGCCCCTGTCTCAGTAGCGTTGTTCAAGTTACAGAGGCACTGTGTATGACAACTAGCAGTGGTGCTTGCCGTAGCTACTTCAAATTTGGCCGTTTATTCTCTCGGCCCTGCGTCCGGGAATCGAATCATCTGGAGGCATCAATGAACAATCGACTACAAACAAAGCGTAGAGGTTTGCCTACTATTACACTCCTGCTGTGCCTCACGAGCACCTCACTGGTCCGCAAACAAGGGAGCGATGAAATTATCAACAAGAGTCGCACAAGCAGTTTACCGCTTGTAAAAGCCAACAATTACCGTGCATTCAGTGCCAAACCGGGTTCAAAGCATGATAGACATCCACCTAACACTATGAGAGGCACTAAGGCGAAGCAGGCAGAGGAGGCGGCGGCCCGCATCGTGTGGGCAAGCCACGCTCTCGCCTTCCTGACCGAGAAGCAAGACGCGGGCTTTGACCGCGCGGAGGACTCCGGCTCTAATCCAACCCGCGAAGACGAGGGCGAAGAGCGGAGCACGTTTGAGGACGCGGGCCACGGCGGCGTGGTGGCCGAGCTCGACGGGTCAAACCCCAACTCGGCCCGACCCTACCGGGAGCGCTTCCTCGACAGCGCCGCGCAGCTCCTCTCGCCGAGCGATGCCTGGGGACACGTGGTCGCGACGGCGATGCGCGAGTTTGCCGACCGCGTCGAGGTCGACGTGGCGCGCAACGACGGCTTCACATCGCTCCCCAAGCGCCCCGGCGAGATCCACGCCGTCCAGGCCCTCTGCCACAGACTCGGCGGCTTCCTGGCCGGTTCTGTGCTCCGAGGTGGGGGTCCCGTCTGCCAATATTTCCGGCCGCCCCTTTATTTTTACCCCTGAACTCACCTACCTTTTCCAACTCGTGCGCCTTGCTAGCTGACCCTGACGCAGGAGAATTCGAAAACGACGTCATCGCCTTCAACAGCCAGCGCGTCGACGCTTGGGCGCGCAACCTGGAGCACGCGCTGCGCGAGACGGCGCCAGCGCCGGCGCGAGGCAACAGCAGCCGGCGGGGCAGCGGTATGTCAAGCCTGACGCCCGCGCACAGGACATGGATCGAGATGCGCCGGCTGCTGTGGTTCCCGCGTACTGCCACCTTCACCACGACGGGCTTGGGTTCGCACCGGCAGCAGCTCGTGCGGCGGGCGTACGCGTGCGTCAGCTCGCCGGCCGTGCACGCGCTGATCCACACGACACACCCAGAGAGCGCGGAGGCGGCCTGGCGGCAGCTGTGCACGCTTGCGCGGCCCGTCTACGACTGCGGCGTGCTGCAGCAGGTCGCCGCGCAGCGGCCGCGGTTCCGGCGCGTGCGGTTTCAGCTGGTGGTGCAGACGCAACAGCAGCAGCGGTTGCGCCGGCGCTACCGCCTGGCCGCCGACGCCGCGTGCCACCGCCTCGGCCTCGCGCCCATGCCGGCTGGCTGGCGCCCGCGCCCCGACTTCGTCGCCGCATGCCGCCGCCCCCGCGCCCTGCACGCCGAGATGCAGCTCGTGGCGCGCTACTACGGCCCGCCACTGCCGTACCTGATTGCCGATCCCCAGCAACGCAGCCGCGGCCGACAGCACCACCCGACGCTGCTGTACTTCGGGACGAGCCGCCAGCCGTGCCTGCTGTGCGCGGGCCTGCTGTGCTCGCTGCCGCACGGCGAAGGCGGGCGCGGCCCCATCGCCACCCGCCCCAGCCACGGCGAGTGCCATCCCGTGTGGGGCGTGCCGGCGCCCGCGGCCAAGGACGTCGCTGTCGCGCTGCGCAGCCTCGAGATGGTCCTCGTCGGCAAGATCCTGGCGTGTTTGCGCGAGAATCTGGGGGACGCCGTCCGCCGACTGTTTGTCCAGCCCCGCGATGGGCATAGGCTGACGTGGCGCAAGGTTAGGATGAGAGGCGGAGCTTCGTCTACGGGGTGAGTTTGTTTGCGTGGCGTGGCGTGATGATTGCTGTGTTTGTGTTTTTTTGACTAGCGCTGGCTGACCTGCTGCGAGGGGAGGAGACGGGCTGAGCATAGGGCTGCCGCTGGGCCGTGGGCGAGGATACGCAGACTGTGTCGAATCCCATTTGGACCGATATGGAGACGGAATCTGGCGGGGATTTGATATTTTGGGCCGTGTTGGATGATGAACAAGATGAGGGGAAACATGTTTCCTCGCCTCGGTTGGTTAGGTTGGACAGTTTGGAAGTTTGATGATGCACGGCTAAGTTGTCATAATATTTAACAGGGTACGTTGTGCCGTATCCACTTATTCAATACAGAACCAAGTAATTACATTATATAAGCTTTCTTTCCGTCAGCGAATTAAAGGTTGCGTACGGAGGCTAGGGCCAACACAAGTGTCACCCTCCTAGTGGACAAGCCAATCTTTCACAGTGTAAGAAGATAACGATCTTCAGGGCTATTGCAGGGAGTTTTAATACACTTGAGCGGAACTACAGGCATAGAACGGCACCTGGCAAATCAGCCAACACCGTGAGATCGATCTCAAAAGCAAGCCTCCGAACCCTAGCAAAAGTGGGCCGTGGTGCATCTAGAGAACCGCCACCGGAGGGAGTGCACTGTGCAGTCCGTCCGATGTCGCGCCTGTCTCGTCTAGTTGTTGGGGTATGTGATAATTAAAGTACTTTAGTGCCGAAAATGGCCTGATTTTCATTTTTACAGCATGCACCACAGGCCAACTTGTTGAAGCGAGTCGTCTCTCCCATTCTCTCATGTCGATGCCACCTTCCCGGGCCGCCAACAACGACCTGCAGTTCACCGGCCGACGGCCATGTTGCCATCCTTCAACGCCGTCATTCCGGTCGCACTTTCTACGACAATGGAATATGTAGGCAGTGGCGTCTAGAACCAGAACCGCATCATTCCTCCGGTTGAATTGATCGAAGCACAGGGGCTCACCAGCGGCGCTGTGGCCTGGAGCTCGGCTGGGACCGTCCTAACCCTAGGCGACTCCCAGATCTTCGCTCCATCACAAGATACGGCTGTACGCATCAAGTATAACTGCCCTCAGGTGTCTCTGCCTTCTAATATAATGCCAGGTACCGTTTAAGTCCCCGATCAACTTCCTAACCCACCCCACGATATACTGGTCCCGGCGGCAGTCCTTGAGCTCACGGGATTTGAGTCGTGTATCTCGGCCTCTGGGCTACAGGCCACCGTTGATAACTATCTGGCGCAAAGACGATGTCTTGAACCCATCGTTTCTCGTGACAATCATTATCAGAGCCAACACTCAGACGCCTTTATAAGTTGATGCCAAAGCTGAAGAGTGGCTGCCATTGCACAGCGCTTTCATATTTAGCATCCATACATCAAACTCGGCGGACCTACCACCCGGGCCGTATTTCCTTGCAAGAGGAGGTCTATATCCTGCGCTGAGGCTTTACCCTGATGTCCAAGAAGCCTTTGTTTCAACCAGCTTGGTATCCTCAGAGCACAAAACAAAGTAAGTGTTAGATGCAGCAACGGAGTGGACAAAATAATCAGGCTGATTACCGACTCTAGATCTAAAGTTTTTGGTCGATACGTCGCCGTTCCATCTCGGCTGCATGCTCGGCCATTCGAGAATACGCCCCTCGCCGGACTCCGCATCGGAGTTAAGGATGTGATCGACGTTGCTGGCTACCCAACTAGGGCATCAAACCGTGCCTTCAAAAGTTTATATCCCGCCAAGGAGATTTCTGCACCGACAGTCCAGAGGCTCATTGAACTGGGAGCTGTGGTTGTGCGCAAGACCAGGTCGGATCAGCTCGCACTGGATGAAGAACTAACGGCGGATTGGGTTGACGAATTTTGCCCATTCAACCCAAGGGGTGATGGGTATCAGACAACCGAGGGAAGCAGTGCGGGCAGCGGGGCCGCGATAGCAGCATATGACTGGCTGAACCTTGCGCTTGGAACAGACAGTAGGCAGCCCTACCCTGAATCGAGAAAGCTGTCTGAAAGTGCAATACTAGCAACCGGGAGTGTCCGGCTGCCCGCGGAATTTCAAGGCATTTTCAGCTTCAGAACTACTACCGGGATTATCAGCAATGAGGGCCTTGTTCCAGTCAGCCTGTAAGTCTACGTTACTAGGATGAACGATGAGAACTGACTAATGAATACAGCGTCTACGATACCGTTAGCCTCTTAGGAAGAAGTATCGAAACTATCAGCCAAGTCATGAGCAGCTTCAAAGGGGGAATACCTCCTTCAACCCTCAAGAAGCTAATAATACTGCTGTATCCCGAACATTTTTTTCCATTCCCAGCTCCCCATGCCCAGCGGGCTTTGGAGGCATTTGTGTCACAGCTGGAGACATACCTTGACCTTGAACGAAAAGTCATCAACCTGAACAACCTTTGGCTTGAACAGAACCCCTCAGGAGGGACCAGCTTGAATTTAGACGCCTACCTCAACACGGTTGCACTTCTAAGCTGATATCTAATTAGTTTTCATGCTTACATTTGTAAAATGTATCCGATATTTTGACCTCAGATTTATACCACGCACACGCTGGATTTGTGAAAGAGTACCGTACCATACATGGCGGAGATCCATTCATCAGCCCGCTTGTCCGCTGGCCAGAATCTATTCTTGTGTTTCCTTTTGGCGACCCAGCACGGCAGCATCTTACCCCAAACTTGCCTGGCATCGTCATCGGGTGCGGGACTTCAACGGTGCTATGTACGTCGCTTGCCCCTCCCTCGCACCTTCACCTCCATCATCTGGGACTTTAACAGGCTAACAACCTTTGATACAGACAGCACCTGAATCACGGCATTGATATTTACCGGCAATACGGCGAAGATACAAAGAGCATAGTCCGTTCAGAGTACAAATTGAGCTTAGTGCTGCGGGGTCTTGGTCACATTGCTGAAGCAGATGAAGTGAGGCAGAGGGCTGCCCGACTTCGCAAAAGATTCTAGGTATCGAGCCTGAGGAACGGGATGATGAAAGCGGCTATGATCCGCTGATTATGTTTGTCGATCACTAGGTTCCTAGGTTACTTGAACTGATATTTTTTGAATGTTCTGAAGTTGTTGTAGATGGTTGGGATTTCTTCGCGGACTGATGTCTTGATACAAAAAGTGTAGATCTAAATTAAGACTTCTAAACTAGATACTTTACTTACGCAAGGCAACTTGTAAGGTCGGTGTGTCACTGCGTAAACTGTGTCACTACGTTGGTCATCAAAGCAAACAACGAAGTAAAAGAGGTTCGGGGCCCCATCGTATCCCAAAATGCCGAATCTGACGACACCACTCAACCCACCAGACGAACCCTAATTAAAGCAAACACACCACGCCAACCCCAAGCGCCGCCAGCCAGGGCAAACACGCTCTGGTGTCCGCCGAGCGGAGCCCAAAAGACGACTTCGTGCTGGTACTGGTGCTCACCGCCGCAGCACCAGAGCTGGCCGTCGGGGGCGGAGTGGTACCGGACGCGCCGCTGCTGGACGTCGGCGAGCCCGACCCGCTGCTGCTCGAGCCGCCATCGGAGCTGCTGCCCGTGCCCGAGCCGCCCCCGGCAATGTACGGGCAGGGATTGCACTCGCCGAAGGAGAAGCCGCACGTCTTGCCCAGGAGACAGGTCCAGCCGCGGCCGACTGTCGGGTCTCTCGGGCAGTTGTCGATGCCCGTGCACGTGTGGCCTCCCGAACCTGTGCCGGTGCCGGTGCCGGATCCTGGCGACGGCTGTGATTTGTCAGAGATCCTATCTTTTGTTGATTAGTTTGTGGTTGTGGTCTATGACATACCGCCGACACGGTGCCGCACTTGGTGGCGTCGCCCACGGGGCAGCACGCCGGGTTTGTCGCTTCGTTGATGCACGTGTACCCGTTCGCGCAGCAGCCGCCGGCGCAGCAGCCGTCGATGGTGCAGCACCCGCCGCTAGGGCAGCCAAATGTCGTGATGGAGCAGGTCAGCAGCGGGCCGACGCTAATCGAACTCGACTGCGCCTGCGCGGGCTGCGGCAGCGGGATGGAAAAGAGTAGGGCGAGGGGTAAGAGTTTGCCGAGCATCGTGGTGAGGCCTTGGTTCGATCCTGACAGAGGTGTCTTCGGCTGCTTCAAAGCGATGGAGCTAATTGTTTCGCGAGACGGAAAGCCGGGAGGCTCTTGGCTTTAATTATCCGTCTTCGCGGCGGCCTGAGCCTTTAAGTCCGAGGACAGGCCACGCGCCGCAGAAATACAGATACCTGCCCATCTTTCCTCAACTGGCCTAGCAGATCTGATAGGAGCCAAACGACGGCGAACGTGATTTGCCGGCCGGGCCTGTGTTGGTGGCGAAATGACCAGGGCGTCTTTCAGCTGCTTCCGCAGACCCAATAAATCGGCTTCTAGACCGGTAAAACGCCTGGAAGCTGCAAGCCACAGATCAGAATCTAGACTAGTCTAGGCAGGGGTTGCCAAAAACAGGATTTGCCACCCAAACTGACACCGGATTTCCTTTTCGGCTTCTCGTTTCCCGGAGTTGAGCAATAGCCGCCTACTATGTAACTTATCTTGGCAGGCTTAAACCCTTCGGTACCAACGCAACTTATCTTGGCAGGCTTAGACCCTTCGGCACCAACGCGTCGGCTCTTCTAAGTCGCCCAACGCGTCGGCTCTTTTAGCCCAAAGGTTGCACCGCGAGGTAGGTATGGAGGAAGCTTGATGTTCACATGCTTCGCAGTGCAAGCTGTCACATACAACGCTGCATCAATTGAGGGCCAAAAGTGCTTTTTATTCGGAAGGTTCAGAAAGGTGGGATAACCTGAATACAGTAGTTATGCGGCATTCGGCTGACACAGTCTAGGCTGTAAACGGTCTAGCATGTGCGCCACCTGCGCCCATATGTGGCTTAGATGCGGCTCCTTCCGACACAAGCTACATATGAAGGCGACAGGCGATAATCATGTTGATTGGGTGTGACCATCCGCAAACGTAGGGCTACCTATTGCTACCCGGGACACGTGCGACCCCGCCTTCGACGGTTCCGACCCCATCGTCGCGTTGGGCCGTCTTTTGGCAGCTGCAGTAGAGGCCGTCTTTGGTAGCTACAGTAGAGGCCATCTTTGGCAGCTGCAGTAGACTGTCGTTGAAACCTATCCCACCTTCCAAGTAATTCCAACGACCCGCAAACTACACAAGTTCAAACCATGGCTGACGCCGTGATCGAGAGAGCCAAGCTGAGAAACGATGATGGGGTGAATACGGTTCCATAATTAAATCCCACTCCTCGGCCCCTCTCTCACAAATGGGTTCTGACACTCTCACTCCCACCAGAGAGGGCAGCTGTGTGCACAATGTGCCGAGATGGACTTTGCCGGCTTTTCCAGACAAGCCAACGAGTACAGACTCGGCATCAAGCGAGAAGTGGGCTTCTCGGCTCGGCAGTGCCCGTTTTGCTGGCTGATGTGGGTCTCGCGTGCCGGCGAGGGCCACTACGCCTGGGACCGACAAGTCACGGCCAAATGGGACGAGGGGAGCGGCGGTTTCTCCATCATGGGCTCGACCGCAAACCCCATCGTATTCGTGGCAGAAGATGACGGCGGCGCCACGGAGACGCCGCATGGCTTCGCGCGTCTGGTCCAGCCCCAGATCCCCCCAGATCTGCTGCGGAGATGGCTGTACACTTGCGAGAAGCACCACCACGCCGAGTGCCGGCCCCTACCGCTGCGTTTTGGTCCGATCCCCGGCCGCGTGAACCAGCCGCTGCGCTTCCTCCGGGCCATCGATGTCCGCGAAGAGCGGTTGGTCGAAATCACGGCCCCGGAGAGCTATGTGGCCCTCAGCTACGTCTGGGGCCGGGCACCGAGCTTCCGGCTGCTGAGAAGTAACCTCGCAAGACTGTACGAGCCTCGCGGCCTTGGAGCCATCCACAGCGAGCTGTCGCAGACGGTTAAGGATGCAATGCGGCTGGTGGCCCTGATGGGGGAGCGATACCTGTGGATCGACGCCCTGTGTCTCGTGCAGGACGACGGACAGGACATGGCGCACGGCATCGAGAATATGGATATCATTTACGAGGGCGCACTCGCTACCGTCATTGCCGCAAACGGAAAGGACCAAAACAGTGGCCTGACGGGTATCCATTACGACGTGGAACGCCTTGCCCAGCAACCTGTCAGGGAGGTAGTGCCGGGCGTCAAGTTGGCCGTATTCACTGGGGGTATATCTGAGTACCTCGGGACGACTCACTACTCGTCCCGGGGCTGGACGTAAGTGGCCTGAGATTGACATACCTCCACCAACATTAACACACTGGCGTAACCGCAGTCACCACCATTAACACACTGGCGTAACTGCAGTCACCACCATTAACACACTGGCGTAACCGCAGTGCTAACACGTTTGTGTCAGAATGCAGGAGCAGGTCCTCTCACGGCGGTGCCTCATCTTCGTCGACGGCCGCATCTTCTTCCGCTGCCACGCGGCACGCTTCTCCGAAGACACGATATGGGACCAGCACCCGATGCAGGCGCGTCTCGAAGACCCATCGGGCGCGAGCATCGCGACGCCGTTTCTCCCCGAATCCATTCCGGACCCCGTCGGCGCCTACCTCGAGCAGGTGCTGCGGTTCACAGGCCGACACCTGACCAAGCCCGACGACGACGCCGTCCGCGCCCTGTCGGGGATCCTGACGCGGCTCGCCGTCGCCGCCGGCTCGGGCCTGCTGTGCGGGCTGCTGACGTCCGCGTTCGACGTTTGCCTCCTGTTCTGGCACCCGAGCTTCTGGCAGCAGGGCTTCCGCGACGTCCGCCGGCGGCCCGCCTTCCCGAGTTGGTGCTGGGCCGGCTGGGCTGGCGTTGCTGTGACGGCGCTTCCGGATGCCAAGTCGACGCCTGGCGGAGACCCCAAGACCTGGCTGGTGACGTGCACAGAGGATATCGTGTACTATGTTTACGATGCTCTGTCGCCATCTCAGGGGAGTAACGAGGCCGCGACAGCGCCTTCCCCCGCGGCTCCCATCATCCGCCGTGTCTGGACCCCCTCGGACCAAGCTCGGCTGACATCAGGTCAGTGGGGATATGGACGACAATGCTCCGATCTGGTGGACGCGGACGACCGCGATATGGTCAACTGGCGTGCGATTCCGCGAGCGTACCCAATGCTGTACTTCGGCGCGCGCACCGTCCGCGCCGGTAGTTTCGAAATGCGTCTCTCGCGGTTTGACAATGTTATTGTCTGGCCCAAATGCGGCAACAACAACACCGACCACGATGATTCCTCGGCGGCGGGCAACTTTGCGGTCAGCGACGTGGGGCTGCTCTTGGAAGAGCTGCGTGCCGAGCGGGCGTGTGAACTAGTATTACTGTCAAGGGCAGACTGCTACGATAACTTCCAGCTAGAGTGGATGCTGGCGGGCAAGACTCGGCCGGCAACGGCACAAGAAGGGATTGATGCGGGGCTGTATGTGACGCCGGATCGGCCGGTTGTGTGGGCGCTTTTGGTAGTACGGCAGGGGGCGGCTGCGCGAGACGGGAGCAATCAAGCCGAAGCCTTTTGGGAGAGGAGGGCTTTGGGATTTATCTATCAGGACCGGCTGGGCGAGTTTAAGGGGCTGGGAGTGCGGGAGGTTGTACTGGCTTAGGATCACGCTCAGTGATTACATATCAGCAGGCTCGGCAAATTTTGCATCTTGAACGTTTGATATTGGGATGCCTCTTATTTATTACCAAAATATGATAGCTTATACTCGGTACCTGCTACTATATACGCCAGTGCAGGGTAGCATGGCATGTAGACCTTGGGGCCATCTTGATTGGATGGCGTTGTAACTTGGGCTGTGTCAATGAGTTGGGCATTTGGGCTCCACGTGAGGACCGTGGTGGTATTAACCCTCCCCCCTATACACGCTCCTGTGCAGTGAAGGATATATATAAAGACATTCCCGCCTCCGCAGCACCCGGCAAGTCGCCTCTACCTTCACATTTGAAACAGTCCCACCAGGCCCTGCACACAAACCCTTAAAATCCTGTCGCTTGGTTTCGTCAACTCTCCTTCAGGAGGCAAGATCTAGAGGGAAAACGTAGCAGCTTTACAGCCTCTCGTCTCCCACAGCGTGAGAAGTTCGGCAGACAACAGGGCACTGTTACGAAACATATGTTGCGCCTAGCTTTTCGTAGCTTCGCTGGATGCATCTATACACTTTGAGGGTTATGTCCCAGCGCGATCGGTGTGCGAGATCATCAGTATTGGCACCACACCAACATCACCCTCGGACCCGTTCGGCAGAGTTTCAGACTGATTCTTTACCGTCTGTGGCCCATTTCTCCGTTGCGTCGCCAAGGGCTGGAGCCGGAACGGGAGCGGTGGGCTGAGGCGTCGCGCTGGAATCGAATGGGACCTAGAAACCGAGTGGGTATATTGCGTTCTAGACTGTCCTGTCCGTCGAAGCTTGGTCAACGGCGATGAACATACGCTATACAGGCATCCGCATGGCGAGACCCAATTCGAGGACACGGCGGCGCATGTGATTATCCTGTACTGAGACGAAACAGTCGTGAGGGGCCTTCTTCTTAGGCGAGAGCCAGGCCGGGAGTACTACCAGCGAATCGCCTATCACTACAGAACTAGCCGAAGCCGTCGATGCGCAGTTGATCGAACTCGAGATGTATCACCGACAAGAGATAACGATCCGTTGATTTCAGATTGTTTTATATAAGGGTGTTGAACATGTTGAACAGGCAGAGTGTTTGTTGATTATTGTGCTGGGATAGCCTACAACCTGCTACAGCCTACATTACATATATGCACTGTTGCACAGACCTTTAGGCAACAGGTATCTGTTTTTTCTGGCTGGTGCAGCGGTAGCTCACAACAGTTACACGGTATTTTCTTTCGTCTAATTACTCAAGGAGCGCCTTCCACACTTGGATCTATTACCAAACTACCAAAGTGTTGTTATATGAGTACTTAGCAAGCTCAGATCTTTCCAATTATATACTCACTGCAGCGGGTAAAGTGAAGAACAGCTGGGCGAATCTGAAGAAAAAGTTGATTAATCCTAGCGAGACAATTTTTATTTATCACCACGCCGGTCTCGCGGCCCTGCCACTGGTCCTGAAATGTCTCCATACATGAATGATACCAAATACTCCCATCCAGAAACCACAGCCACCCACAGCATCACCACGCAGCCGACGCGGTCCAGCCCCTTAGCCCACAGAGCCCAAAGAACCACGAGGCAACAAGCCGGAACGCGGCCCAGCTCAGCCCTCCATCATTCTCTCTCCAGACGAGGTATGAATCAACAACACCAACGTAAAACCCCGTGACGGCCATGACGGCGTCGACGGCGGCGTACTCGCGGCGCAGGTAGAAGAGGGCCACGAGCAGGCCGATGACGGTCGTGCGCGCCTGGCCCTGCACCATGACGGGACCCGCGGCCGGCGCCGAGGCGATGCGCGCCGGCCACCCGAACTCGGCCATCGCGGCCTGCGCGTCCCACATAGGCCACATCCCGCCGAAGGTCATGGTTGTCGCTTGGATCAGCGCGGGGATGTGCCACAGGGGGAACATTTTGCTTTGTGGGGGGTGTTTTTGTGAGACGAGGTGTCGTGGGAGAACGTTTGCTCGGCTTGAAATGCGAGTTAATCGAAGGCGACTTTAATAAACCACTTTGTGGTGTTGTCAGGTGCGGCGTTTTGTGATGGTGTGCGGTGATGTTTTTTTTTAATTGGTGGGATGGTGGGAATGGAAAGACTTTGGTGAAGGACGAGTCTTTGACAGGGAAGCCACTCCTTCGCGTAATGATCGTCCGCGTGTTGGGACTGTTGCCTGAGGCTTTTACATGTGCATGGCTTATTGAGGCCAGGATTCTCAACTCTTGGCGTCAGCAGCAGTCGGTCTACGAGCTTGGTCACGACCCACGGCTCAGAAGAATGCGCGGAACTACGTGTCAGCTTCTGCCCTGCTGTCTTGAAGCCGGCAGTGTAACTTGTGATATTTGGATAGGCATATATATTTATATAATAGTTCCCGTTCCCGAATTTCTTGTAGCTAACTAATTAGCAGGTCCTCCGTATGAGTGAGCAACGCATCCTACTAGCAGCTGCCTGCTCCAGCACATAAACCACCATGAAACAGCCGACTGCTAGGGTCGGACGCGGTTGTTGATCCACCTTACAATACGTCCCCGCCGGAAATGTCCCGGCATTTCGGCCTGTTCTTCTACACGGGTTGTGGCAATATAATCATATCCGTCAGATGGCGCCGCCATTATCGTACCGGGGACACTGGGCTCTTCGAAGACACAACCACCGCCCTCAGCCGGCCAGCCTGGGATTTCCCGCACATATTCTATCACCCTGACCCTCTCGGTGACGTGCGGGGCAGCAGTAGCACCAATCGTGGCGGTATTGGACACGCTGGCCACAGACCAGGTCACTCCCGACTTGATCGGCATGCCGACGGCGCTGCTCATCCCCGACTCCACTTCGCCTAGCACCTTCTTTATCTGCTGGCACATAATCTTGAAAGTCCCGTCCGTCTCGTCGTTGAACCGGCAGATGCCGACGTGGTTGTCGTCGACGGGCACGGGCTGCTCGTTGGCGAAGCCCATGCGGGCGCTCGACTCGTCGACAATGCAGGAGCCGGTGCCCGGCCAGTGGCCCGTCTCGTAGAAGCTCACAATCTGCAGCGGCTCCTGCGAGACGTCGGCAAAGTCCTCGCAGATCTCGGTGAGCTGCACCGCGTCACGCGTGATGGCGTCGACGAGAGACGACTGCTTGCCTCGACGGCCTCGCCCCGCGGTCCTTGACAGGGGAGCAAGGTCTTTGGCGATGCGCCGCCACTGGTTCTTGACGCTACGGAAGTGAGGCGTGCCGAAGAAGAACTAAGGTCGCTAATCGTCAACGACTCTCTTCACCGACACTCCTGGTAAGAGCGGATGTCGACCTACCACGCCGCGGGCAGCCTGGAAGATGGGCTTGAGCCCGGCTTCGCGGCTGGCAAAGCACAGCGCCTGCTTGACGATGAGCCCGCCGAGGCAGTGCGCTACGAAGACTATGGGCCGGTTCCGGGCGTCGGCGCCGTCGCGGTGTGCTCCCAGGTGCATGAGCAGCGCCCGCGCGTTGCCGCGAATGCCGGCCGCCGAGTCGTTGCGGAAAATGTCGCCGTTGTACCCAAACGACAGCACGCGTGTGCGCGGCCGCACGGCAGGAAGGAGCTCCTCCGGCCACGACTTTTTGGTGGCTGCGTGACGCCACGTCTCATCGGGGTCGCCGTCGAGGCCATGCACGAGAACCAGGCTGGCGATATAGTTAATTAGATGAGACGTGCATGTCGGGATGAGACGTGCATGTCGGGGTGAAACGTGCATGTCGGGGTGAAACGTGGAAACTCACTCGAGGTCGGCGGCCCCAAATCCCTTCTCAGTGGGGTTGTACAGCTCCGTGATCATCATTCTCTTTGCCATTTTTGAATGATTTCGTCTAGCAGTTCAGGAGGGTGTCTGTTTAGGTACTTCAACTACCAATACGCTGTATTAAGCGAAATTATTGGCGGAGCAAACAGGCTGACGTTGACAGAGTTGGTGACAAGAGTCTCTTTCAGGTGAGGGCTTTAAGGAGGTTTAAGCTCATTTAACTCAAATAACAAGGCTCGGAACTGCTCGCGGTAATTATTTCTCGCGGTAATTATTTCGCGCGGTAATTATTCCTTGCGGTCTAAGAGATGGGGGCGGCTGGTTACTCTTTGGGCTGAAATCTCGGGTCCCAAAACATGCAAACGACAACGCAGAGGCTGCTACAACATCTTTGGTGTCCAATCTCGCGGCTCTTTCTTGCACTGGTCATACCAGTGTCTACATGGTGCATTTCATAATTACACACCTCATAAGCAAATGGGAGCCCAACGAGGCCAAGTGAGGAGCAACCCTCGAGCATGAGTCACAGACTCACCAATGCCTAATTTGCACCCAACCCGTGGGGGCGGTTTGTTAGGTTCGATACTGTTGGACTTTGGTGGTTGATGGAAATAGTTTGGTTACATTATTTCTAGCTGGTCTTCAAAGAATTTAAACCTGCAATGTGCCTCAAATCCATTTAGTTCGTGCATTGTCTTCATCTCACGTTTAACCAGCCCCCTTTGTTTAGCGTTTCAGGGACATGCTTCCTTCTGTTGCTTGGCCAGCTGAATTTGCCCAAGATGGATAACAACCAAGATGCTCGTGACGGAGACGGCGGAGGGAATTTGCATCCCCTATACACACCAGCAGCTTCCGTTCCGGATCAGATCGAGTAAGCCGACATGCAACTTCGACGCGTGCAGCGACGCACAAGTACGATTTTATCGACGGAACTAACGCGATGTGAAGCATCATAGCAGTGCACGGCCTGAACGGCCACTACCTCAACACATGGACCGCCACCGAGGCAGCCGCCAAACGCCGGTTCGGTCTGTGGAGAGGCGGAGCTGATGTTGAAAGTAGCAGTACTCTGTGGCTGCGGGATCTGCTACCCCAGAAACTCCCCAACGCGCATGTCCTGTCGTTCGAGTACGACGCCACGGCCTTTGGCAACAAATCGGCCTTCGGCGTGCGCGAGAACGCCAAGGCATTGCTGGCGGCGGTGAGGGACATGCGGGACGATCACGTCAGTTACAAGACCGCCCTCCTCTGAGCTGTAGGGAAAAAGGCACCTCAAAGTGTCTTGCTGTTAACGTGTGATGCATTGTTACGCAGGGAGACCAAGCGCGCCCTATCATCTTTATAGGCCACAGCCTGGGAGGCATAGTGATCAAGCAGGTGTGTTTGCAGCAGAGACGATACAGGAGGACATGATACTAACTCACACACCGGGGTTAGGCCCTGACATTTGCAACCCACTCGGAAACGAAGTGGAAGGGCATCGTGGAATCCACCAAGGGCGTAGTAAGCTGCCAGCCAGCACCAACCCCCTTTTTTCTTGTGCTGACCACATGTTCGGCCAGGTATTCTTCGGCACGCCCCACCGGGGCGCAGACGCAGCCAGATGGGGACACACGATTGCAGACATAGTCTCGACCGCGACGCACAGGCCGCCGGCGACCTTCCTCAAGACACTCGAGACCAACTCGGCGCAGCTGCTGCAAATCTCGGAGGACTTCCGCCCGTCGGTGGACAGGTACGCCATCGCCAGCTTCTACGAGCAGCACGCCCACCCTGCTCTTGGGACCGTCGTGGTCGACAAGTCGTCGGCGCTGCTGTGGCTCCCCAACGAAGAGGCCAACATGATGAGCGGCGACCATTCGGCCATGTGCAAATTTGCAAAGGGCGACAGGCGGTTCGACCGCGTCTGGAGGACGATCAAGAGGGTGTCCAGGGGGCGCGAGTGAATTCTGTATAGGTAGCTACCTTATCTAGCCTAAGGTACCTCCTACCTACCTCTATAGTCGCCCCCGACAACGTTTTTGAGCCAAATCCGTATTAAGCTTGCTTAAAACCTGAGCAGGAGCTGAGGCGCGCTGAGCATCGCCCGGAGCCGAGCTGAGTCTCAGGGATGTCCCGGCTATAATTGCCGTATCCAAACTGATCACAGTTTTGGGACACCAGCCCATAACTTCCGTTTTTTTCTCACGGTTGCAATCAGCTACCATTATCAAACCAAGTAGAGCTACCATTTGTCTTCAAACTAGGAATTGGTGTATACTAACTTGTCTACATTCTTCTTTTGGAACAGCGGGAAATCTACGAATATTATTTTATTAAATATCTAACTAGCTTTAATCCTTATAACTCGAGAATTACGTAAAGATGATTAAAGCGTTTGTAACTAGTAGTCTAGATATTCGTTAGACTAGGGATAGTAGGCGTGCTTAAGAAACTGGGCAGGGGAAATGGGAACCGTTGAAAGAACTACCAAGAAGTCTCATTAGACAGCACAGTGCGTGGCCCTATAGCCCCCCCATCGTAATCATGCCTGCAAGAGTCCTCCAGACTTGTAGGCGGCACTTTAAACTCCTATACTACTAAGGAGCGTGTTAAAAGCTTTCCCGGCATTGCCAATAATGATACAACGACCACTTTTTATGAAGGAAGATCGAATTACAGGATCAGCCGTATAATGGCCAATAGTTCCATGCAATGGCTGTAGATTTCCAGTCGACTTAATCGGGAACTCCGGCTCGATTTCGTGCACGCAACAGTTCCTCTTCCCCAACCATCGAGCGTCTTCTTATCTCCAGCCCTAACCAGTGGTTACATCGGCATGAACGCACCGAGTTAATACCACCTCCCGCCTAGGTATAATTCATGCCTGTTTCGCTTGGTTGCGTTTGAAGACGAAGAAACGGACAAGGTACTTTCACCTTTTGACACTAAACATAGAACTAGAAGGTCACACCAATATACGTTACCTTGCCCCGGCCGGTGATCACCTAGTTCATCCTCCAGAGATAATACGCGTGATGACGAGGCAGAATACTGTTCGAGGTAATGTTGCCACCGCTGATGTGGGAACTAGCTTACTCCTCAGTTCGGGGACGGCTGATTTCGGATATACGAACTGCTGCAGAGCAGGCAGCAGTCTTCGGTGAAGGCGAAAATGGCGGAAGAAAGAATGGTCAGGGGCGACTCGGAACAGGGGCTCCACTAGAAGGCAACCACAAGGGACAGTTTGCAAGAACACGAAAGAGGCAGCACTCATGCACGGTGCATTCCTAATAGGGCGTTCGCCTTGACCGTTGCCTCGTTCCTCTGCTGTAATTTGCCGTTGGCATGATTTCTACTATCCTGCTTCTCCTGCTTCTGCCTCGTCGGTACGAGACTTAACGAATAATGCATTAGCAAGACTTGTATATGAGCCCTAGATGAACTTAAGACTATTACATTTACCATCATGAAGAAAGACCCTAGGAATTGGGCAATGCGGTGATTAAGAACAATTATTACTTGAAAGCTTGAGAACCGAGGAGAATATATTTGTTATGCGATATAGCATCGGGATATGTGGTGAAAGCGGTTCTCACGTGCTAACCGAGTTGTTAACAATGGACAATGTAACTACTGATACCTAACTAACTAAAATAGTCTATGTACTACTAATTCACGCGACACAACTAACAGAAGACGCGATCACACCATAAGAGACAAGCGATCATTGATCCCTGGCAGCTGAAGGAAGAAATGATCACATAGACCGTCAATTGAACGCTAACCGAGGGATCAGTGACCTTCAATCATTGATCCTATTGGCATACCAGCAGGGAATAGATCATCGGTCTATGGCTTGGGAGCCTAAGGGAAGGATATAGTCCGGACTAGCGGAGTCGCAGTCGTTTTTGCCTGGATGTGCATGAGGCCGAAGGAACAGACAGGGTAGTCTCACACTTTGAAGCTGAACATGGAACCATTTAGAAGATCCACTAATATACGTTGCCTTACCCAGGCAGATGATCACCTGGTTCATCCTTCATAGCAACGGCAAATTGCAGAGGTAAGGGTGACGATGAATGCACTAGTAAGCATGCAACGTACATGAAGGCTGCTTCCTTTAGATTTTTACAAACTGCCCCTTGCTGAAGTTACCTCTTAGTGGAGCCTCCCTACTCCTCGAGTTACCCTGGCCATTCTTCCTTCCGCCACTTTCGCCTTCATCGAAGACTGGGTGGCAATATTGGAACAGTATTCTGCCTCGTCATCACCCCTACTATGACTCACCTCTTCCTACTTCTTCTGAATCTGCCCCGTCGGCACCAGACATTGCGAAATATGCATTACCAAGACTGCGTATAAGGCCTAGGTGAGTTTTAGTGCTTTACCGAGCTGAAGAAAAGACCCCGGGAATTAGTCAAAGCTGTGATTGAGAACGGTTCTCATTTGAATGGTTAGAGTCCAGGAGGACATATTTTGTCGAACTTCCGAGTGCTTGACGCGCCTACTGTAACGTCAGCCTACCGTTGTTATCCCGCCTTCCAGATATGCCCACATTGCTCGTTAATGCTGACCGTTTGTGATGTAGCACGTGACTTTCCCTGCTTGTTCTTGGCACGTTCCCGTCTTTTGCTGGCAATACGTACCTTTTTTACCTGCATAATAGATCAGGTACGTACCTTTTCTGCCGGCATAGTCGATCAGGTACGTACCTTTTCTGCCAGCATAAGGCGTGTCTCTTCTGTTGGTTTCTATGGAAGTTAGATAATCTAATTTAGGGTCTCGGCAGGCGACCTAATTTAGTCCCCTCGAACCTAGTTGTTGTTCTCGTAGTGACAATGAATTTTCTGCTACTATAGGTTACCTTTCCCCGACCACTAGCTCTTATCAAGGCCCGATTTTGGTCCATTTCTAACATGCTGCAAAACTGGTCATGGAGGACAAAAATCTGGCGCCAACAAGCAAGTTTTTGCTGACATAAATGGTACGTACCTGGCGAGATCAAACCCAGGCCCAGGGACGAGAATTGGGCCGCTGGGATGCTGTACGTTTTCTGCCGGCAAAAAAGGTACGTACCGAATGGCAGAAAGGACACTGTCAGAAGCACTGCACACTGCACTGCATATTGGATTCGGTGGAAAAGATGGAGTTCAAAGTGATTGATTGAGATCTCTCCTCCTTCCCCCGTGCTCTTTGGCTTAGTTAGAGAACCTCTATTATAGTTGTGAATGGTGGTAAATAGTAGTCGTTGCTAGCTGAACTGACTACGTAAATTTCAGCTTACATGAGCCCTTTTTCAGCTCGCATGAGCTCTTTTTCAGCTTGGTTGACCACACCACGTGATGTTCTGGCACGCAGTGCCAGAACCGCCTTCTTTCTGACAGATACAAACCCAAAACGGCTTTGCTAGGCTTGGTATGTATCTATTTCGCCAGCAGAAAATTTGGGTCATAATCTCGTACCGACGGAGTTCAGCTTTATAAACAAGACGTCGGTAAGTTCATCCCTAACGACGTACTCGTACTTCGTTGGTAGACTATATCAATTACACTTCCTTGTATCATCACTCCCTTAATGAAATTAGCACCCCGGTTATGTGTATCAGCCGAAATATACTATGAGACCGAGCGTACTCGAAACCTATGTGTCGTTGCTTTGAAGCACGCCCACGCAAGTTGCCTGCCGACCGGCACATCGTTGAGGCGGGAATAGCCTCAATTGCGCATGTCAGTTGTTGACATGGCCCACACGTGCGGGTGGCCCGTGTGTATCTGTACATTACATAAACACCTCCATAGACCAAGGGGAAAGCGGCAAGGCAGGCGGTGTAGCCAAGCAGTGTGATGATGCCACAATCGCGGGGCATATCCCCGCGACCGGCTACACCTTCTACCTTTCAACCTCCAACCTTCCACACACAAATAATAGCACCACTTTGGTCCACCTTGCACTATTTGAATATTGGCGCTCGCATCTATACGAATTAGCACAGGCCAGGCCATGGAGCGATCCAATTACCTGTTCGAATCTCGCGGGCGCGTGACCAGACTGCGACGGCCAAACGGATGAGAGCATCTCCAATCAAAGCGAGAGGTTTGTTTCCTTGTTCGCCGCCATCAATCCCTTTAGAAAGAGACGCGCCAGCTCCTAAAGTGGACTCATCAATTAATTCGGGTTTAGTAAATTGATATTGGAGAATATCCTGGAGTTCATCACGGGTAGCTATGTTTGCTAGGTTGGGTCTTTGGACAACCTTGGAGCAACTATGAAACTCGGTATTAGACCTCTTTTAGCTCCCTTCTATATATAATATACACAAGTCGGTATCGTGACGTAGCTGTGCCGATCATACCGATCGTTGCAATTAGCGAAATCTAAGACAAAGCAGTAGTGGGACGATGCGATGACGCGTATGATATTTAGAGGTTACGTAACCGTTTGTAGCCAACAAATAGGCTTGCTTACATTTCCTGGTCTAGAACCGAGGTAAAGCACACCCCAACAGGAAGTCCAAATCTAGGCCGGGTGAGCCAAGATTGCGGATGCCAATCTCGGCTCCGCCTGGGAAGCATATGACACATCCCTCTACAAGATGGCTGCATCTTACTCTCGTTCCCTTAGACTCACAAGCAAGTTCAGCAAGAGAGACATGTTGCCTGTTGCTAATAAGAGAGTCTCACTACGTCATTGCCTTTTGTAAACTTGTCCTACCCTCCACGCAATGGCAAGTAGATGCTCAAGCGTTAAATATTTCTTGGCGCTCCCTGATAGCCCGTACCGCCTCCCTGTCTTTCCGAAACTCATCAAACAGCTTCTTGGGACCGATGAAAGATATCTTTCCATCTTCACGATCGTACGAGATAAGCGGCTCGTCTCGAAACTCACCTTGATCCTGTGAGTCGACCATGCCCTCTATCACTTGACATAGAAATCTATCTACATCACTGATCAGCCGCTGCGCATCAGAAGCGCGCGTAATATGACCGCATGCGATCTTGACTGGGGGCTGGACCGAAACAGGAGGCGGGGATATAGAAGTGCTATGGAGTGTTAACATTGCCGAATGGGGAGACTTGTTGCTTTCATAAACCACTTACTAGAATTCTGATAGCTCGGACAGTTATTCCAAGCTGTAACGAGGCTTCTCAGCTTGCCCAACGTATTGCTATACAGCCGAAGATCACCCTCCAGCGGAAACGCAATATGCATCCATTCGTACATCGTATCTCCAACGAATGTGACACGCTCTTGAGGATTCCAGACAGCGAGTTCATCGGGCGTATGGCCGGGCGTGTGATAAATGACGGGGCCGAGATCCTCGCCTCTCTCGCCGGTCATGACCTTTTAGCCGTCATCGGCCCAGTGTGGTACCACGTATTTTAGCGTCTCTATGCCAAGAAAGCGGCATAACGAGCTTGTACGCAATTTGCTGTCCTCATTTACAAAGGGCTTGTCATATGAGCTTGCCTAGATGGCCGATTTGGCGGTGTCAGTGAATTGGGCGATGGCTCCTGGCGCCGAAGGAAGGTCAGCGCTCATCTCGGTTAGGGATGACTACCTTACCTACGTGATCGAAGTGGCAATGGGTTCATATAACGACATAATTCTTGCTTGATCCAGCATTAAGTGGATTTTCGTCATTGTCAACGATGGGATAGGTTTCGAGAAATACACGCAGACAGTGACTTTCGCCATTGCGTCCCTGAATGGCCCGCCACAGCCGGTATCAATGAGAACCAAGTAGAGGCGAACACTTTGGCGTATATAAAGGGATATCCACCCTGCTTGTCGTCTTCAATAATCACAAATGTAGTGTCGTTAAGCCTCGAGCAAGCGAAATATGTTGACAGAGTCTCCATCGTGTCAGAGCCTGGGGTGCGGGGAAGGCTCAGCTAGTCCGTCAAGATAGGAATTGATTGCTGACTGCGTTAAATATAGCACTGTGTCGTCGCCGTCCTTTTTAGAGTACCACTCCTTACGTCACTGCTGCGTCACCACCCTGCTCTCTATAAACCACCCTTTCCAACACCTGCGCCTTAGCGTGAGACCATATTGGAGGCCGCCGCCGAGGAAAGTTAAGGTGTGAAAGATCTGTTGCTTTCGGTGTTGACGATGTCTTATATTTTTTTTCAATTTTGAATTATAGAGTTGATACCCGTTAGGGCTTGCAGGTACCATCACGCCATCCGTTTCACTTGATGTCCTGTTGGCTTGGTATTGGCGACGTTTTCGCGCCAAGTATTATCATATCAACTGTCCGGAAGCCACCTCCATTTCCGAACTCTGAAGGCGAAGGCGCGGGGCTAGAAGTGAGCAGCTCCAGCTTCGGAATCGTCTCGATTGACTAAACGAGGCTGACCGTATTCTTAGTGCACCTTATTTCGGAGATTCTAGGCAGCAGCAGCTCGTTAGCTACTTATTAGTGGCTTGACGAAGCACAATCATAAGCTTCTATACAAGGCGGCACTTAGACGCAGGGCCATACTGTTGGACAGTGTGGGCAGCAGTTCAGTTAAAGGCAGTTCAGTCAGATCAGTTCAGTTCAGTTATCCAGTTCAATTGAGGGGTTTCGGACCCCCGATTCAGTTCAAATCGACGCAGCATATTTGAACCCAATTAATTTCCATACAGTCGCCCATCTTTTGTTGCATTTTTCCCTGTTTTCCTGGGTCCCTAATTACAGTCGACCATGTGAAAGCCGGTAACACCCGTTTTTTTTGGAGCAATGATGGGAGCACCCACCAACTTTGTTGGAGGCACCCACCTGTGGGGTCTGGCAGTGTCATCGCAAGGGCCTGTTTTGTATGGTAAAAGACCGAATTTCGATGCAGCTAGCCATAACCGAGCGGAAGCGAGCCGCGCTTGTCAAACCCACATTCGTGAAGCTGTGGCGCCAAATTCGCCGGAAGCGCGTTTTTTAAGGTGTTTTCGCATTCGAAGCCCGCGTTGTAATAAGTGCCGTATATGCACTGCTTGGCTGGCCACTCTGCTGGCAGGAAGCAATCACAAACCGCTATTTTAGCCCTGATTTGACCAAATTCTATTGCGAAGTGCAATTGCCTAGTGCACTCTGCTAAACTAGCATTGTTGAGTCCTAGAAAACAAACTCGTCTTCTTCGAGTAACTGCTCCAAAGCGAGCCTCTCTTTCCTTTTCTGACGCCTTATTGCAAGCTCGTAGACTATAAGAAAGGGGTTTAAAACGGATGTTTCCTTCACGGGCATAGTGTTGTTTCTAGCCTTCTTTCCTCTCCCTCCTTGTTGTGTTGCCCTCTTCTTTACGCCAATAACAATGCAGTCATCGTCGACTTCTTCCTCTTCATGTTCGTCTTGCTCATCTTGTTCCTTGAAGCTTGGACCCACTAGCTCGAACTGTGAGTAGTTACGCCGAGCACTCGCGGCGATTTTGGTGGTTGAGGTCGTCGATGTGCGCGGTGCACGCGGTGGTAAAGCTAGCTCGTTGCCGAATAGACCACTTTAATGTTGAGGGCGACCCTTTGGAACGGCCTTATCAGGTTACAGAGCTCAGTCTTTATAGTTCTAAGAAGAGGCGAATCGGCCATGGCCACGACCTGGCTACGACCTTATTACCTAGCTAAGACCATTTTCTTAACCATACCCACTGAGCTGCCTAGACCAACCTCTCCTTTTGTTGTTGCAGAAGAAAGAGGGCAAAAGTGGCCCAAGAGGGTCAAATTCCAAAGGACCCATCGTAGCAAAAGTACGCGCAAACGATCGCTATAAACGATGAAGTTCGTTGCGAATAGCTGCATAGCTGACTTTCGACGGCTTCCACTCAGTTGATGGCAAGCCACATTGAAACTCGGTTGTTTCACGCAGGAAAACGGGCGCGTGTAATGCCAGTTACCAGCAACTGGCCGGACCCACAGGTGGGTGCCCCCAACACAGTTGGTGGGTGCTCCCATCATTGCTCTTTTTTTTTTTGGGGGGGGGGGGGGGGGGGGGGGGGTGGGGGGTTCCGGCCTAGGGAAAGTTGACTTGACTGACCTGTTTTGGCAGTGCTATCGATCTGTATTGCAACGCTGCCACTATCACCAATTCAACCTGCTCTTTTCCCTGCGTTATACCTTTAATTCCACTGCTTTTTTGCTTCCACTATGCCCTCTTCAACTATCAATGCCGCGACCCTCTCGTCGAACAGCCCGCCCGAAGAAAAACACCTGTCTGAAGTTCTTTCCCAGACCTCTCGTATTGCCCACAATGTGCCCACCTAGCATCGATCGATCCGCGCGACTTAACCGATAAGCCTCTGAGCGAATGGCCCATGGTCAAGACCCCGCACAGTTCCTACATATCTGAGTTTTGGGCGGGATAGAGAACAGGGAGGACGTCGCAGATTGGCGAACATGGGGACTGGCTGGCTAAGGTTGTCGATAACAAAGTGGACAATGGCCCAGGTTGGTGAGCATGCCACTATTGTAATAAGATCTTTTCTGCCCAGTCAACATCGTTAGCGAAGCTTCACCTCAAAGCTCAACACAGTAGTAAAATAGAAGAGGAGGGCGTTGAGCGAGGAAACAAGAGGCAGCGAACACTGCAGTTGTTTGAGAAGCCTGGGGAGAGAGCGGTCTTACTGCCTCACAAGCTCACTTCACACGAGAGGCTGTTGGTGATGATCCTGCGATTGAACCTCTCTTTTAGCGTCGTTATATATCCAGAGTTCCGCGATTTCAGTTTTAATCTGGATCCTGGGAAAGCGACTGAGGCCATTCCCAACCCCCACAACACAGTTCGCGCTCTCTTCTTGGAGCGATACAACGAGAAAAAGGAAGTCCTGAAGCAGAGGTTGTCAGAGTCGCCATACAAGAAGCACCTTTCGTTTGATATTTGGACCTACCTCACCAGCGACTGTTTAAGCACTCTGAGCGACACATACCTATGCATGACCCCATCGCCATTTGTTGTGAGTTTCACCCCATGCCATTAGCAACAAAAACCCCAACCGAGTATCCGCACCGGTGAGATGGCCCTATGGACCGTTGTACAGTAAACACTGTAGGAGTTCGACGCAAATTGTGCAAGTCAGTCAGCCCAGCAAGCGAAGCGACGGAAAGAGAGACGCACTCGTTGGTAATCTTGAGTAGACACGACCGGCCGCGAGCCAGTCTCAGAGGTCATGGATCGCTCTGTTTAGGTTTCGAAGTTGGACTCGACCGCCTCGTTGCCGTCCGCCATCTCGAGAAGAATCATTTCCATGATGTCCATGTCCGAAGAGAACTCTGGGGTGGTTTGTAAAAAATGGTGCTGAATTGATATCTAGTATTGAGGATGCTGGTCAGTTCAACCACGAAAACTGGTCTGAAAGCGTCGTCGTCGATGTGAAAGCGAATCCGCTAGAAATGAGGCTTTGACGATATGGAGAGGGTATTGTCGACTCAGTTAGAATCCGTATCGGGTCTCTGCATCAGCGCCGCACCAGTTTCTTGTTGTTTCTCTAGCTGCCTGGCCAGCTCGGCAAGCTCTGCCTCGCTCTCAGGGAATAAAGAATGACCTGGCAAGTCCTCGTCGTTGTTCGGCCGTATGTACCCGAGCTTGGAAGCGATGTGATGGATAATGGGCTGGCCTCGGTCGTTGAGCTCGGGCTCTCCAAGATCTCACGCCTCCTAGTCTCGAACCATGACGTAGAGTTTGTGTACTGTGCCGATCAGGCTAATTGTGTACTTTTTAACACCTCGGCGTACCTGCAGAACGGTTAAGCTATGGACGATGAGCGGATAGAGGGTAATGAGACATACCCTCTCGGCACCTGCTTATACTCCATCTTCTTTCGTGTCCCATTCGTGCAAACCTGCCTGTCGTCCTTACACCTCTTGCAGGGAAACTCGCCATCGCACTGCCTCTTCATGTCAGCGGGAGCCCAGCCGCGGCGTCAAGGTATTCGCAAATCACCTTTGTCTTCTTCATCCTCTTCATCCTACACCTCTTGCAAGCCTTCCATACTCGCTTATGTTTCCCATGGGAGGAGGACGAGGCATGGGAATGGGCGCCCCGAGTGGATGACGCAAGACGGCGGTGCAGCTTCGACGCCCGATGCGTCCCGACCGCTCTAGATTTCGAATGTTGCCTCTTTAGCCCTTGGGATCTGAGGTTGTCCTCATCCGGGGCCAGATTTAGACTTTCCATTTGCTTAGAGAGGTTACGGAAGCTCCCCGAACCGCTGTAGCAATGTCACCCACACAGGCAAACCGGTGACGAGAGAGCCAAGCACGATCAACGAGATGTAACTAGAATGGCAGGGAAAATCAGTAAGTTGAGGAGTTCAAAGTTGGCAAACCGAAGCCTGCGATGTGCTGTATTCCCTCGGACCCTGTCCGCGCGGGAAAGCGTAAAGGAGAGACAGACGGGGTGGAGCGAGTTTGTCCGAAATTGGGAGGTGGTGACCAGCGGCGTTGAGCCTATCCCCAAAACAGGAGCGGGAATCCGTTCCCCCACGGCTCCTGCTGTGGGAAACAGGAGAGACAAAAAGGAAATGTCTGCGGAATGTGGGATCGGGAGCAAAATTTGGGGGCGCAAGGGGACTGCCATCGGTCCAGAATCGTCAGGCGGCGCGGGTGAGTTGCGGGAGAGAACGAAGAAATAATGAATTGGGGACGGCAGAGGAGAGCATGAACGGCGCAGAACAATGCCGAACAAATACGAGACTGCCCAACATAGGAATAATAGAACCAGTACCTGTAACAGACCACAACTGTGTGCAGGTGTATGATCAATTAGCATATCAGCTAGGCCAGGCAGCAGATGTAGCAAGTCAACTCACGAGTATTTCCGTCTTCTCCGCTTCCCGGGTTCCTCAGCGAAAAACAATGGCCAGGAGGCAGGCAGTTTCTTCGGTCCTTGGCGCAGCGCGGTGGGCAGACGGGCAAAGCCCCGCTTCAGGGAACAGGAATGAAAGAGACGAGCGAGAGTGCGACTAAGACGTCGTGTTGCTGGAGGCGGTCATAACACCCCCGCCTGGATTGAGGTCAGGGAATTCGGTGTCGGGTAAAACTGTGACAGGTTGAGAATTCGTTCCTGGGGAAAAGAAGAGAATACGAACGTGAAACCATCTGAGCTTTCGATGTGCTTGCGTCAGACGACGGGTCCCATAGGGTTCGGTCAAGCGATACCCAGTGGCGGAGCCTTGGCCAAGAGATAAACGTAGCCACGAAGACTAGAAAACAAATTAAGATGATTTTGCCCAGTGTAGGGTCTCCAGCCCACCACGCTCGGATGGCTGAAATGACGAAGATGCCAGCGCAGGCACTTGCAGCAAAGAAGTTCTCCTCCCAGTCAGCAAAGAGGTAAGTCAGGTGACCAGCTTTTAGACCAACCCCCTTTTTGACCACAAGGTTCTAGAAGGATGACTAACCCTTGCCACCCAACTCTTCTATTTCAATCGCTCACAACTTCACGAATTTGATTCTAATCCGTTTCCTTTTTTTCCTTCTTTAGCTTTAGATTCTACGAATACAGGGACTACATTGCAGCCTTGCCTCATAACAGTTGACTGTGCGGTGACAGATGCGGCCAAAAACCACGGCATCCCCCACAACACTTTATATTATCGATCCAAAGGCAGCAATCCAGCCACCTACTCCCAAATAATCAATCAGAAGCTTTCTCCGGCACTGGAAAAACGTCTCGCAGAATGGCTTCTCTTCCAGGGGGTCATTGGCAACCCCCCAACCCACAGGCAAATCCGGAAATTAGGTACCAGAATACTCGCCGCCTCTGGAGAGCCAACCCACCTTGGAAAGCACTGGTGCCGCCGCTTTTTGAACCGAAATCCTTCCATTTCTACCAAGAGACCACGGAGAATCCACGCAAACCGTGCTGACCGAGCCTGCGAGGCCGTTATTCGGCCCTGGTTTGACTACCTGGAGTTTCTAGGGGTCAAGGCCATTCTGCCGGAGAACAGGTACAATATGGACGAAACTGGCATAGCTAATGGCATTGGAGATAACGGTCCGGTTGTAGGCTCCAAATCTAGAAAGCTTTTACAAAAGAGGAAGTCTGGAGAACGAATTTGGACGACCATTCCAGAGTGTGTTTCGGCCGACGGCCGGTTTTTGAACCCACTGGTTATTTTCAAGGGTGGGAGCCTCCAGCAACAGTGGTACCCACGCGATGTAACCCCATTCGAAGGTTGGGCCTTCAAACTAATCAAAAACGGGTGGACTGACGATGACACTGCCGTCGAATGGCTCCGCGAAGTCTTTCTTCCGGCCACTCGGCCGGCCAACCCTAAGGAGAAACGCCTCCTTATTTTGGATGGCCACGGCAGTCATACCACTGAGGAATTTATGTGGCTGGCTTTTACCAACAACGTAAAGTTATTATTTCTGCCAGCCCACACCTCTCACGTTCTCCAGCCCGTGGATGTAGCCGTTTTCGGCCCGCTGAAGGCCAAGTACAGGGCACAGCTGAATGACTTGCTTTCTGGCCTAACCAGCGACTCTGTAGCTGCAAAACGAGCCTTTTTAGAATGCTATAAGCGCGCCAGAATCTACAGAATGACCGAGTCAAATATCAAGGCTGGTTGGAAGGCCTCAGGGTTGTGGCCAGTCTCCCTAAGGAAGCCCCTAAGCAACAGCCTCGTTATTAAGAATTCCAATGGCTGCATTAGTACGGTAGCCCCCACACCTTCTGCAGGCTTTAAGTCGTTCAATAACCCCATTCTGGGCAAGAATTCGGAGGGCCGGCCTTTGTGGTTTATCCCTAAAAAGGCCAAGGATTTCTCGGCTCAGGGGAGCGTTTTCTACGTGGTACTAAACGTCTGCCAGCGAACGGCTTTTTATGCGGAAAGCCTACAAAGGATTCGATAACATGGCCTTGAGATTGGCTACCATTCAACAACAATTGCAAGCGGCCTAGGAGGACCTCGAACGTGCGAAAGGCCGGAAGAGAAGAAGGGTGGAAATCGACCCCAATAAGGCCTTTGCTGGTATTGAGGAGATCCGCCGCGCACAAAGATTAGCTGCTGGGGAGAATGTTATAGATTCTGAAATTTCAGAAGAAGAGGAACCTGACACTGCAAGCTGTATTAACATAGCTATCTAATTGACGAAGCTGTGAGCAATTAAATGTTATGATGTGGTGGGGTGGCGATTTTAGTGCGTGGTCTAAAAGGGGGTTGGTCTAAAAGCTGGTCACCTGACTTACTCCCGAAATCTCTCCATAGCGTAATTAAATGCGAATCGGTTCCTCTATGCTTAAGAAATCCCCTTAGAGATTGTCCGACTCTTTAAATACCACAGGAATCTGTCTAGCCTCGTCTCCTCCCCTGCTCCTTATCGCGCCAAAAGTAGAGCTTCGTTACCGCCTACTCTGCAGCCTCTGTCACGCCGACATATGCAGCCCACGCTCATCTTGAGCAGGTATGCCAGGGGGACAGCAGCCGCCGCCACCCAGTAGCCCATGATCGGAGACATTAATCTGTCGCTGGAAGATCTTGGCGCCGCAAGGGGTGCATGGGGAGGACATGAGAAATACGTCAGGTCAAGCGAGATCCCTGTGCTCGGAATAGGGGCACTGGCCCAGCGCCAGCGCCTCCAAACGCCTCCTGGGGTAGGTTCCATATATTCGGGACAGGCGAAGAGGAGACGGAGACGGACAAGAACCCGCAGATTTGTCCTAGGAGCCGCCTTGGCTTTCATAATCCTATCCTAGGGCTCCCGACATCGACGTGGCTTCGGAAACGTTTTTTTTGCCTTTCGATCTCTTCAACCTTTTCTATACCTTGCTCCCCAAACCAACGGCTAAGCAAAATAAACATTGGGCCAAGTGCGCCCATTCTTGCCCACGAGTTGCGCTCACAACCCCCACTATAACCGCCAGTAGGTTAATAAATGCCCAGCGACCAAGCTTCACCTTGTCCACCTGCTTCACCGCCCTCATGATTATAAGCGCGTAAATAAGTATAAAACTTATGACGGCTTTGGAAACAATTGGCTCAACCCACAGGAACTCAGGATCGTCTTCCTTCAATTGCCATATCCCCGTGCCGACGAGAGCACCATTACCTAGCATTTCGAACCCAAAGAGAACCTTTATCAATACTAGGTAAGATCCGTGCACCGCTCGAAGTAAAGGGTACGCAAAAACGGTGCCCTGAGAGTAGTAAGCTAATGTTCTTCATAACCGAGAGAGCTTTTGAATACCTCAAAGATCCTGGAGGCCAAGAGAGATACTCCTTTCCAGGCCAAGAACAGTTCTCGCGCATGTGGGAGATGCCTAGCTCTGACGGTGATAAAAGCAGCCGCAAGGGCGGAACCCATGATTCCAAAAACGACCGAGCAACTCAGTTGGATCCAATCGGGCCGTGGTGTCCGTGTCTGTTTGTCTTTGTCCATCGAGAAGGACGATTCTAATGGCTCCCAGCAGGCATAGAGAAGTTGAACAAGTAAGGTAGCTGCAAATGCGATAGCCGCCTCGATCACTTCATTTCCAGTGATGTCATCCTGCATTCTGATAGATGGGTAACACTGTGCAGAGGAGTCGAGATAAGGGCAGCAAGGCAAATAATGAGGCTTGCAGGAAAGTGCAGTTTGAGCAAGCATATATGCTGGAACTACCAAGACATATATGTGCCCTCCTCCGGAAGCCGGCTGGCCGGGTAGTTACCATGAGTAATGCGGAATGGTTCTCCTTGTTTGTGAGAAAAAAGCAATATTCGCCGGCATTCAGCTGCTAAAGCTGTTGGCCCAGGTCAATCTCTCGGCCTGAACCTTGCCACAAAATTCAGCTAGTGAAGCTCATCCTCCTTGGAATTCCTGCAAGTCTCGACGTGGGCCTGGCTGCTTGCAGGTAGGTGACCCGGCTGGTCGGGGAGGGCCTTGTCATTCAGCCACTGGACCGGGGGGTGCATCGGGGAAGTGTGCAGATAAATTGGACGATGTGGAAGCCGCAGGGTTGCATGAGAGAACATGGGAAACGCGTAAAGTCGAAGCAGGATCCCTGTCTCGTTGCCCGAGAAGGCACTGGCACCAACACCAACGCCTTGGAACGCCCCTCTGGGTCTAGCGTCGTAGCGTGGAGACGGAGAACACGAAAGAGCGACAAAATCAGCAGATATGAGTGGCGCACTCCAAGCCAGGAAAAGCTTGACACCCAAGTGTTGATCGAGTTTAGTGATGGAAGCGGTGGAAGCGGACCGGAGGAGATTAGAGCATCCGAACTAAGGGCTAATCGGCCCTGTTGCGAAGAGGCAGTGATAATCCCGGCGTCTCTCGTTTCAGTGCTCCCCTTGGCCGGGCCGTAGCTTGCCGTGGATGACACGCCGAACACGCCGTAGAAGCGACCGCGCAACGACGATTTAATACCGATCAGCCCCCTTGGTATATAACCACCTCTCGCCCAGGGCTCTTTCCACGCACCCGATGCCTCCGGCAGCTTGTCCCTATATTCTGAGAGCGCTGGTAAAGCCTCCGATGTCTCGACCACTCCGGCCACAGCAGTCCGCGTGAGCGAGACTCCGATTGGCCACATACCGCTATACCAGGAGCCCATGGAGACCACTACACCGCCCGTTAACCTAGACCCGACACCCTGAACTCGTAAAATCCCATGCCACCAAGGCCTAAGCCACAAATCCTCGAGCTTAAGTCCTGCAAAAGTTTCCGCGATAGAGGTAGTCATGCCCTGAAGTGGTGTCCCGTATGACACATCTTGTAAAGCCTTGTTAACACCCTCATCTATTGGGCGGGGATTTCCTGATTCTCAATCGATCCGCCCCCCATCGCGATTGTACAGTACATTTCTTAGCAGAGGCTCAAAAAATTTTGTTCCGTCATTCAAGTTGAATACAGATCAACTGTGCAAGTTAAAGAAAGTCTAGTGCCTGCATTATGCCCCAAAGTGAACATAGGGAACCCAGTGAGCTAGTCCCATCTCATCATCCTCATCACAACTAAACACGGTTCTCGGTAACCGGACGCCACTATTGCTCGCGCCCTCGCCCTCGCCCTCACCATCGCCTCTGTCAGCGTCGCTCTCGGCAGTTTCTCTACCATTTACCGTTATTACGAGCTTCTCTGACACTGCGATCGATAGCCCATTATCGTCCATAACCTTGCCACCGGACGATGCCGGCGCACCGCCGACGCCGCGAAGCCAACGATCTCGAAGTTCTCGACTTGCCCTGTGGAGCGCCCGACACACAGACCTATCCGTTATGCCCTCGTCTCGCAACCCCTGGTACATTATCCTCGCCACGTCGACGCAGATGCCGTCATTGACCTCCCACAGGGTGCCTATCACATTCCGAAACCCGGCCAGTTGGCACGCGCTGATCAGGTGGATGTTCTGGTCGAGGAGTTTTCCGTCGTCGATTTTGCCGGTCCCGCACGCTGAGAGATAGGCAAGAAACGGGGGCCGCTCGCTGAGGTTGATGGCTAGCAGATCAGCTACCCTGAGGGGATTGGCCTTCCAGTCCTCCAAACGCAGGTGGCTCTGCAAGGGGTTATTGGGGTCCGTGTAGCCATGGCCAGCGAAATGGAAGATGTCACAGTCTTGCAGACTAGAGAGGACTTCTTGCGTACGTTGTTGTGTTAGCTCGATGAGTTGTACTGACATCGAGTCCTGAAAAAGTCTGCGCAGCATGGCCAACTCTTTCGTTGCAAAAGGGAGCCTTGCACTACCTGGGGTGTACTCCATGGCGACGAGTAGTGCCTTGGTAACTGTAGGCTCCTTACGGCGAAACTGAAGGCCCCGGATGATGGCTCCGATAGATGGGCTATATGAGGACATTACCCTGTCGATTACGGCTTCGCTGGAGCCCTTGTCGTGTCGTCCTGCCGCGTGGAGCGGAAATCTGCTTAGGGCACCGGTGGGAATCCACCGTACGCGTGACCAGTCATCATCGCCATCCGAACGCGGCGGTTTAGTGAACCCAAGTGCGTCCAGGATCGGGCCCGTGACAGTATCCCAAAGCCATTCGAGCACTTGAGGACTTCCAAGATTGCCTTGTACAGCCTTTTCTTCGATATCTTCTCTGGAAAGCCTTGGCAAAGGCAAGGCCCGGATCAAGTCGTCTCCCCTACGGATAAGGAAAGCATCGCAGCGATAGCTCACGTTGATCATAACAATGGGCCCTTCCCTTCCGGCATGGTCGAGGTCGGCTTCATCTGGAACACTACGGAAGAGCGAAAGACGTTGGTTGCTAAGGTGAAATTCGGAAATGAATTTGTCGATCCCGCTGCTGGCTGTAATATGCCGAGTTATTCCGCGCAGAGAGGTCCGGTTTTCTTCTCCATCGCGGCTTAGGGGTAGCCGAGGAATGTGGCTTGCCACCTGAGGAGCCTCTAGTTGATCGCGGAGGCCAAGGAACGTTTTTGCAAGCTCGGGCTCATATCTCGCAAACAGTGATACGTCGGTACGTAATTCGTTCAGGAGCTGTGCAGATATGCCGCGGCCTTCTTCAAGAAATTGGATCGCATCAAGTGGCTGACGTCCGAAGCTGAGCGCGACGGCCGCAGCGTCCGACGCCAAACCGCTGATTCGAGACAGCAAGGTTTGGCTTTCTAGATTCTCAAGGAACCGCGGCGTGTATGATCGGATCAGCGATATGGCGCTGTTAGCGACAAGCCAAGCCTGTTCCCACTTCTTGCCTTGTATCAATGCCAAGAGGAGGTCTCGGGCGACTGCCAAGAAATCCCCTGGAGTGGCACCCGGAGAAGACGAGTTCAAGGCTTCGTTATACGACGTAATCGCTGCCTCGAGATCCGAGTCCCGCCCTGTTGCCTTGTATATGGCAGCATAACAGTCTCCGAGCGATCTTAACGCCACAAGATGGCCTGGATGCTCTGCTGGCATCGCGCGTGTTGTGGCTTCGCGGGAATACTGAATCGCCGTCTCCAAGTATGCCGCTGTGCCCGTTTTTACATGGCCAGCTAGGTAGCACCGTGCGAGATCAACCAGCCGGCGCATCCTATTTGGTAAATCCTGTGGTGTTCCATCTAGGGCTTTCTGCAAGGCTCGAGCTGCTCTCTCAAAATCCCACTCTATTTCCGTCATCTTATATTTGTCGAGATATACCCGTCCTAGGTACCCAAGTATCTCGGTCACGAAAGGTCCACTATCTGGGAATGTCTCGTATGCGTCCTGGTAAAACCCCAAAGCTGCATCGAGATCAGCCGCTTTCCTTGTGACATCATACTTTGCGTGACAGACAGCTCCCAGTTCTTTCAGAAGGTCAGCCCGGGGTGCAGCGTGTTGTGATGGGATATCTGCGGCTTCCCGGAGTAACTGCAAGGCCACTTCAAGATCGTCCGTTTTGTGGAAAATCTGGTAACACTTTTTTCTGGCCAATCCTAGATTCCGAAGCCGGGCGCCCCGATCGGGGTGTGTCTTAGGTGTAATATCCACTGACTCCTGGCACAAGTGGAGTGACATCTTGAGGTCTGCCAGGTCACCTGTAAGCTGAAACCTGTCGTCATACAAAACGCCAAGACGGTGGAGCGCAGAGACGTAGGTTGGCTTGTTCGGAGCCGCCGTGTCGATGACATCCTGGAATAACTCGATTGCTTTGTGCAGAGGATTTTCATCTTGTGTTGGCACACTGCCGTTGCCTCCCCCGGGCTCCATCTCAGAATAGAGGGCATCATAGCATTCCCCGAGGCTCAAAAGCCGATCTGGCCTCATCAGATGCTCACGTGGTGTATCGTCGACCGATGTCCTGCAAAGGGAGAGAGCGGCTGAGAGATCTTCTACCAGTCCTGTTCTTTTGAAACGCGTGAAACACGCAGCCCCAAGATTGTGTAGCCTGGTGGAATAGTCTCGAGAATCTTGTAGTGTAACTTGGATGACGCCGTGACTTGACGTTTGGAGAGGTGCCCACTCTCTCGTCGTCCCTAGGTGCATGTTATAGTAGCCGCCATTGATATCGCAAAGTCTAGAAGCCCAGTTTTCACTCTGCAGCATACTCCAAGTCTCTTCAGCCTCGCGCCGGAGTTTTATAGCCTGTTCAAGGTCTGCTTCGGAACCTTCCCTTAGATACTTATCTTCAAACCATAATGTCAGATTGCCGAGCAGCCACAGCTTGTTTTCATGGTCTCCCAGACAGTTTCCCGCCGAATTTTCCAGAGCCTCCAGGCCAAGCCGGATAGCTTCGTAAAGGTCAGGCAGTCTTCCCGTCATCGAGTATCGGCTGTGTAGTCCTATTGACAGCACCACAACATACCGCAGCCGTCCTGGGTGATTTTTCGGTGACAAATCTACAGCTCGGCGGCCCAGGTGGATAGCTTCCGCAAGGTCGCCTGGCTGCCTTGTCTCATGAAAGCGAATACTGAGCACTAGCGAAAGACAGCATAGATGCCACGGCAGATCTGGGTGATTGCTTGGGGTCATGTTGACAGCCTCCCGTCCAAGTTGGAGCGCTTCGTCGGCGCCAGCCATTGACTTTGTCGTGTTGACTCGGTTGCTCAGTGCCAATGCGAGATTGCTTAAATGCCGTGGGTGATGCTGATGATCTTCAGCCGCTGCCCCCACGGCAATACGACAGTGTAGAATAATATTAGCATCGGTTCCATGGCCCCTACCACCCAAGAAACACTGCACTCTTCCAAGCCCAAAGTAACATGGAACCTTTGCCGAGAGCAAGTAGTTGGCTGTCGCCTTCAAGGTAGCTTTGATTGCCAGTGTCAACCTGACGGCCTCCTCTAGGTCGCGTGTCGTTCCCATCCATACATGCTGCTCACAGAGCAAGGATGCGAGGGTTGCCCAAGACAAATCAGCAGAGAAACATTCTTGGTGTGTCAAGTCCACGGCTTCTCGTTCTAGTCGTATGGCCTCCTCAAGGTTTTCCAAGTTTGCCATTCTCGTGTATCGTTCGTACAGCGCGCTTGCAAGCCTGTCTCGGACAACAATCTCCCGGTTCCGATGTCCGCTTCCCGCTTCATCGACAGCCTGCCGCCCAAGGCGGATGGATTCGTCTAAATCTGCCACACAAGCTGTGGCGCAATACCGTTGCAGCAGTCCATATGACAGATTGGACCGAGCAATTGCTCGCCTAGAATCTCCAAGTGGCATAGTATTGACGGCTTCCCAGCCACATCTGATGGCCTCGTCGAGATCCGATACCATTTCTGTCATGCAATATTTTTGATAGTGTGACCTTCCGAGGCCGTCTAAGCATATTGCTCGGTTCTTGCTGCCATCCGGTGTCATTTCAGCGACCTGCAGTCCAATTTCGATGGCTTCGACAAGTTCGGCCGGGTCTCCTGTAACCTGGCAGTGGCTGGACAGAGAGGCAGCCAGGTTGTTCAAATACACGGCTCGATTTAGGTCATTCAGACTTCCATCGGCCAACTGTCTCGCAATGCCAGTGGCTTCATTGATGGCCATCGCGTCCCGTGTGTCCAAATATAAATCATGAAGCCGGTTGCTCAGCTCACAGCGGTTTAGGCTACTGGGCACCATGTCGACTGTGTGCCTCGTAACTAGGATGCATCGATTGAGGTTGGCTAAATTCCCCAGCTTTTCGTACCGGTCGTGGAGCCGAACTCTGAGATCGATGAGACACCCCACTTGGGTCATGCCGCCAATACGGACATGAGTAGGGTTAATAGCTGCCTGGGAAACTATGGCGGAGTCGGCCATCGCGTCCGCCTCTATACACCAGTAATCTATCAACAGTCTACGGAAGGTCATTCCCGAAATCTCTCGGTGACCCTCGAAGAATAGAGCTCTCGCTGTTCGCTCGGCCATATCAATTGACTCGTCAAGGTCGGCCATCGCTCCGGTTTTCTTATACCGATCGAAAAGCACGCGGCCGAGAAAGTCCGAGTACTTGAGGTGATAGAAACGGACGCCTGCTGCTTCATCGGCTGCTTGCCTGGCAGCTTGAATGGCTTTTTCAAGATCGGCTACCGCTCCCGTTGATTGATAGAGGTCGAGGAACAGCTGAGCAAGATTAAACAAATATTGATATCGTTTGTCAGAAGCGATATCGAGAGCTTGTCTCGCTATCTGAATCGCTTCTTTAATGTCAAATGTGGCTCCAGTCCGGATATATCGATTACCCAGCAGCCGTCCGTAACACCTTAGAATGACCGGGTCCGGAGTACCGAGAGTTGTGTCGAGAGCTTCTTTAGCCACCAGAATAGCTTCTTCAAGGTCGGACATGGCGCATGTTTCCGAAGAGTAATCGGAATACCGAATCGCAAGAAGGTTTAACCGCTCTGGCCGGTCTGGGTGGTCGTTTGGAATCATATCAGCTGCTTGCTTGGACAATCGGACAGCTTCCTCAAGGTTCGCCTGAGCCTGAGCCCTAAGTGCTGCTTGATCTAGACCGTTGGCAGTTATATCGACTCCCTCATCGCTGGCTAGAGTGGGTTCTTCGACGTCTGCTCTCACATACAGCCCTCTATACCGAGCGTAGAACATATCTCCTAGTCTGTTCCAATGCGTGACTTGATCCACACTGTCAAGGTGGTTGCTGAAAGCGCTGGTTTCTAACCGAATAGCTTCATCGAGGTTGGCGATCTCCCCAGTGATTTGATACCGGTGAAAAAGTAGACTCCCCAGCTCGCTTAAATCTATCGCCCGACGCAGGTCCTTTGGAGTCAAATCGATGGATTGCCTTTGGGCTCGAATGGCCTCGTCGAGGTCCGCCATTGAGTCTGTCTCCCAATACCGATCAGCGAGGAGGATTCCGAGATGAGCCAACTGTTTTGCTCGATGTGCGTGGTCTCCTGGCGTTGTGTCGACCCTCAGTCTAGCAGCTCGAACAGCCTCGTCAAGGTCGTCCATCGTGGTCTCGGCGTGGAAAGGGCGCGCAAAAGTCAAACGAAAATGAAATTGAGGCGTGTTCAGACAGAACTCAGTTTGGGAAGCGCGCGGCAGCGGTGCTAGGCAAGTAGCAAAATGGCGATGGGTTCGGTTTTGCTTGGAGGAAGAAGATGGGTGAGCAGCTGACCTGATGGTAATTGAGGCCCAGCAGCAACTTCGCCCCAATCCTTTTCAGGCACCCACCTTGCCCGCGCGCCCCTGGGGCCTGACCCCTATTTTCCCCTCACTGAGCAGCCTCTAGGGTTAGGGTTAACTCTGCCATGAAGGCCCTTCTTGCTGTCTAGCCTAGTGCAAAATACAAGCCACAGTATAATTATAAAATTTAGGGGAAGTATTATAACCGTTTTTAACAGCATATCTATGTTGTTATATACACTTATTTATCTTATAGGTCGAACCTATATATACTTACACCCACTATTTTTGCTGTGGTATGTGGAGCTACCTTAGGGCGTTGTCGTGCAGCGTCTGCAGTTGCCCATCACTTTAGGCCGTTACATGTATAAACCTTTGTTTTCTTTTTCTATATTAAGTCTGAGGATGCTAGCTACCCTAGCAAGTCTCTTTTTTTTGAGTGCGAATTTGAGTGCAAAATTCCTCCACTCTTCAACGCAGCTTACCTCTACCGCCCCCTTTTGATGCAGGCGGGAGCTGTTGCGCACAAAGCAGCCAAAAGTGAAGGTGTTCAATTCATGCACGTTCTAGAAGGAAAGAAGTGCGCAAGATCTTTCGTTTTATAAAACAAAAAGGCTCCTTTCCAACCTGTAAGCACTAGGCCTGTATCCCTCCGATTGTCAAACTGTTGGCCTGGTCGTGAAACATGTGGCCGATTGCCAAGAACAGTTGGCCCTATTTACGGCCTAGTTCCGCTTCTTTCGCCGATAATGGAAATGGAAATAAGCGTGACCAGCTTCAATGCCCGTGTCACAGCTCTGATAAGCTTCCAATATCCTGCCAGCCCGGTCTAGCTCTAATCCTGAATTCCACTGGTTCCAGAAACAAACACGATGAGAACCGTGGCGTACCTAGATCCATAATTGTTGCGTTAGCCAACAGCTGTGCTCGAACACGGAGAAGCGTTGTGCACTCACGTTGCCCCAGCGAGAACTAAATCCATCGTCCTCGACCTGGTCAGCGCAAAAAGGACGAGAAGGTAGGAGATTGTGCATGCCATGACAACGACGAGGCGAATCGAAATCGTATCAATGAGGTTGCAAATGACGACGGGCATCAGCAAGAGAAGCGTTATTAGGAACAGCAACAGTGCCTTGGCCATTCGTTTTATCCAGGGCCCGGAATAGATGATGACGTGTGGGTCAATCGAGACATTGTGAAAACGACTCTGAGTTAATAGTTACCCAGGTGGTTAGTCAAGTAGCCACTGGGCTTGGCATTGATTTTGATAGTTATTGATCTTTCCACTAACTCTTCGAAATCTTGGGTAGTATTGGATGAGCTTGTCCTCTACCCAAGTCTCAAGCTGTAGCAGCGCCTGATCACCGGCCGGCGCTAAGCAAACAAGTTCCTCGCCATGCGAGAGATATGCGGTTTCCGCTCTGGCAATACAGCCCATCCCATCTACCCAATTTTGCAGACTCTCTACGTCTCGTTCATTGGCAGGGGCAAGGCCTAGCATCCGGTTCGTTCTTTCGGCAAATTGGTCTACTCACGGATGTTAACAACATTCAAACACAATATAGCCAGTTCGCTAAATAAAAAAAATTTTGGGGGGGGGGGGGGGGGGGGGGGGCGCGGCGGGTGTTGGGGAAGGGTTGTGCGCATTCACCGTAATCTTTGAGACAGAGTTCGATCTCAGAGAGGATGGATTCTCGGTCTTGGTTGCCATCACTGCGTCCTTTTCCCAGAAATAGAGGGCAAGTCTCGTCTCGGTCGATCTGCTCAAGCCTTTGCTCAAGCGCAGACAGCTTATCCTGCTTCAGCAGAAGGAGTCGAGCTCGAAGCTTCTTGAATTGCCGGCACACCAAGAACGGGTCATGGGCTGAAATGAGGGCCGTGAAGCGGGGGTAGCCGAGTCTGTAGTCCTCAACTGATTTGGGGGGGGGAGTTTGAATTTGAATATGATCAGCTTTGCCGGTGACTACGTAGGGGGGTGTCCAAGTTAGGTACTTTTCATCATTTGTCTTTCGTCCTCGGGGACGGGCTTTGATAGTGTCCAGTGCGGAAGACATGATCTGAGAGGTTTCATTGCTGTAACAGCTGTCGAGTTGACGCAGAGGCTACCAAAAGTAGCGATAAAGGAGGGGTAGGGTTAGGCTGGTCTGTCGGCAAAGTACCTATTAGTGTGGGATAGATATCCCGCACGTTTGCCAGGTGTGGGGGGTTGTGTAACCTGCTGCTCTATTTTCAACAAGGTTGTACGTTGTGTTGATGCAACAGCAGGGTGGCGGAGCAATGTGCAACAATTAGGCAGCATTGAGACTGGATACAAAAAGGCAATTCCAGCGCTCCTACAACCAGACCTCCTATTTCACTCTCCAACACCGCAAGCCCAAGAAGCACGCAATTACTCCTCTAGACTCAACATGTCTTCTACTCAAAGGTACGCAGTATTTAATTGCTGTCCATATTTCTCAGCTGAAAATTCGCTAATACATCGACGTCAGTGGCCAAGTCCCGAAACCATATGTGCTTTCCTATATAAGGGTTCGAAGCTTCGCCGAAATTGTCTCTCTATATCGCTCTTACTAAGACGCTTTGTAGAAGCCCGAATTCCGTGTCGGAGACGAAGTGTATCTGCTAAATGCCGGCGGATCCCGTGAGGGACCATATGTAATTGCGTCTCTTCCATCTACTGGACATTGTACTCTTAGCGATAGCAACGGAAATGCGATCGGCGGCGGGCAGGCGATAAGTGTGGATGATGTAGAGGCTGCTTGAGGGTTTCGCAATGTTTACCTATCTGAGTAGGTAGGTAGATGAAGCAAGGCACCCAATCGCTGGGAGCATAGCGACAAAGTTGCCTGTAATTTTACTGCTCTTCGCATGAAATTGTCGTCCAGTCGCCCCATTCTCTTGGACATATGGCCTCCCCCTCTTCCCGCCCTGCAGTCTCACTCATCTGTTGTGATACACACCTGACCGCCTCATATATTTATTGTTAGCTGCCATTGGATCTCTCCCTTATCTGGCCTCCGCATTTCTTCCCTAATGCATGCACCTTGCCCCCCTTACAGCCACACTTTTCCCGTTATGGTGCGCGCTCTGTGGTTTGCCTTCTTTGCCAAGACTACTGGTTTTTTGCCGGTTTTCCCGTAACTCCCGCCTTTGAGCACCTCGTCTCCTTCACAGCCTAATGCAGCAATGCTTGTTTCCGTTGCGATGCCCAGTCACACCTGCTTACCCTAATTGCTGCCGCGCAAGTTTCACTTCACAGAAAATAAGTGCCATTCCTGGCTCTAACGAAACCTCTTTGTCCGTCCCGCACGACGACAGCACGATGAACCCCCAGGGCCCCGTCATCTCGCGCTTCGCAATTCTGATCGGCATCAATGCCTATCCAGACAGACCATTGCAAGGATGCGTCAGAGACATCCTAGCTTTCGAAAGGTACCTTCAACAAGTATCCAGCAACACCCACATACAGCTCTTCACAGCAGCCAGCAGCCTCAACCCCAGCCCTAGCCCCAGCCCAGGACTGGCTGAAACATTTGCGGACCCATCAACCCTGCCAACATATCGAAATGTGACTCTTGGCCTCGAGAAGGTCACACTCGCGGCACAGCCGGGTGATCTTGTCTACATTCACTTCTCTGGGCATGGGACTCGTTGCGAGCCCTATGCCGAGTTTTCGAACCAGTCTACCGGGGACCTAGCGCTAGTTTTGCTGAGCGGGAAGAAAAACGACGAAATATTTCTTCGAGGTCCAAGGTTAGCGCGCGCTCTAAACGCCATGGTGGAAAAGGGATTAGTGGTCACTGTTGTTTTGGACTGTTGTTTCTCTGGGAGCGTCTACCGACGCGACAATCCCAGAGTCCGCTTTCTCCCTTGCGACAGTGTGCTCGACCAGGTCGAGATCGACGCCGACGAAGACGACAAGACAGGAGAGTTGGAAGCAATCATCGATTCCGGAAATCGCGACGCTTCCGCACGGGTCAACTGGCTGATCAACCCAGCCGGGTATTCCATACTCGCTGCATGCTGTCCTCACGAGGAAGCCCTTGAGAGCGAGTTTGACGGACAACCTCGCGGAGTATTGTCTTATCTTCTCCTGCAGGTGCTACAGGAGCACGGCGGCCTTGGAACGAGATTTCAGGACATCTACGCATCCCTTCAAGCCAAGTTCAAAGCCCGTGATGCCTCGCAGCAGCAGAACCCCGTGCTGTACGGGAACAAACGCCAGGGCTTCTTCGGGAAAACATACTCGGACACCACCACCGCGGTCACGGCCGTCCCAATTGTCCGGGGACCGGATGGTAGCCTCCAACTGCAAGCCGGCCAAGCACATGGCGTTTCCTGCGGCGACAGATTCACACTCTATCCCGTAAGCAAAACAGGAGACAACAATGATTCTAGCTTCGCCGGAAACCAAGCTCTTAGCAAGGCTATCAAGGTAAGGGCTCTCACATCACAGCTTGAACATGTCGATGACGCAGCGCCGACTACCACCCATGGTCCCACCGAGACAGGGTGGCTTGCGAGGCCGCTAAACCGCCGCTCTCTTGAGAAATTTTCTATCCAGCTCTCGCCTGATATTCTCCCCCGAGAAGAGTGGCTAACGGCCATGAGAGGGCGTCATCTTGGCATTGTTCACGGCGAATCGGACGGCCCTAGCACAGCAGCATCATTCCGCGTCGATTTGAACCGTAATGAAGAGTACGAAATCCGTGATCAATCGGGTCAGAAACTTATAAACCTGCCCCTCATGCTGCAGAGCCAGACGGAAACCAACTACTTCTGCGACGTCATGGAACACCTGGCTAAGTTTGCGCTGGTTGGGCAACTTACCGATAATAGTAGTACTAGCATGGAGAAGGAGCCCGACGAACGGGCAATAGAGCCATTCGCCAAGTCTTTCAGCGTCCAAATCACCACACGGTCCGGGGCCATTGTCGACGCGGGGTGTCCTGTGCAGGTCGACCACAGCGAGAAACTGTGGACTTTCGAGCTGCAGGTCGAGAACAAAGGGGACAAGGCGCTGTACCTATATGCGTACAACATGGGGCCTCTTTGGCAGGTCGAGGGCATCGACTTTGGGACATACCAACTCGTTCCTCCGCGAGATGATGATCAAAAACTTTCGGGAGTGGTTAAGAAGAGGCTGAGGACAATGGTCCCCCCTAAAATGCTGGCTGATGGATACCGTCAGTGTGAGGATATAATCAAGGTGTTTGTCACGTCCCAGCCAACATCATTTGATATTTTAGAGCTGCCAGAAATTGGTGAGGTCGCCCCGGAAAAGAAGTCGTCTTCGAGGATCAGCTGGGCTGACCACGATGTTCTAGCCAAGTGGGCTGCGCTGAGTTTCCCCATCCACACATTTTTTTCAAGTACTACCTAGTTAGATATTAAAGAGGTAGACCAATGAGTCAGAAACAAGATAATTGTTGGATTTTACATTCAGGCCGAAAAAAATATGAAGTGTTGTGTTCTGTTCAATTTCTCCCCTCCTCTAGCTATGCCAGAGGTGCAGGTTTTATACATATGAGTGGTGGCGAGCTATGTGGCAATTTTAGCTCACATCAGCTGAATAATCTAGTATTTATCATCCACTAGAAGATTCCATATGGTGAATTCAACAATAATATTATCTAACTGTGTTGAAGAGGGCAGAAGCGGCCTATTCGTTCAAATCGTCGATAAGATCATCATCGAGGCTGTCATATTTGGTGTTAAAAAGCTCATGGCCGGCCAGTGGGTTCGAGAGTGGTGGTGGCGTGGATTAGCAGGGGAATACTAAGCAATTAGAAAACGGCAGTCCCGTCTATGGCACATGTATTCCAAGGTGTTCAGGCCGCGAGACGTCTCACGAGGTCATCACGATAGAGGGCAAGCACTTTTTTTTTGAGGGGGGGGGGGGATTTTCTTTCTAAAAGGAAACGAATTAAACTATCCGGAAAGGAGGCTCAGTTTTAACCGAAGCCCGCCATTACCACGACCCTCACTATCTTTATATAAAATTGCTGGCGTCGCTTCGTTCGTCAGTCGCGCGGCCCTCCGCTACGCTACGGGGCGCTCCTTCCTCACTCTCGCTCCTGGCAATTTTAACGTGAGCGACGGTTATTTTTATTCCAGGGTTGCAGTTGAAAAAGTGTGGAAAGCGAGAGCAAGCGAAGCGACAATATCTGTCCGAAGGCCAAAACATCCCATTACATAATACAATGCCATTAACCCTACGACTATCTAGACCTTCCACAACTACACAACAATAGAGCTATCAGTTATATACCCACTTGTCTCAGAGCTCTCTTCATCAGGCACCTAGTCTAGGGGCTGGAGCATCCTTGTGTCGTAGTCAAGCGTCTTTAGCTTCATGCTATGCACTGGCTCCTCTCGGTATATTCTGCTTCGATCAAATGGCAACTCAAACATCAAACCATCCATGGTCTTAACTCTCGAAACCGCCACATGGGATAGGGCAGATGCAAACTCTGGCACAGAGATATCACAAACTGCCTTGTCGAGAGTGATGCCTTGTGACTTGTGCACCGTAATTGCGTAACAAACGAGCAGTGGGAACTGCTCCCGGTACCCAGTGCCAGCTCCAAGGGTAAATTCTTGACGGACTCTGAGAATGGGAACCACCAAGTTAGCCCCATCACGAAGCTCTTCTTCGTGAGGCAGTAGGAATGGAGGCCCGGTATAGTTGTCAAACGTTACCATGATTTCCTGCGGTGGGTCTTCTTGGAGGTTTGCACCTTCAGCCCACGAGACGTTGTAAACAGTGCCTTAGGCACCACTCGGGCACCACTCACAAGCCCAACGTTGGCCCACAGGTTCCTTGTCAACATAACCCGACAGCCAACACAAATAGGTTGTCGTTTGACGAGATTACCTGCGTTGGAAGACTCAACCCTCTCTGCACCAACACCTTCGTGTTTTGCGTTGACCTGTATAACTGCCTTCTGTAAGTTTAAAAGGTGTTGATGGTTGTATTCATCCACCTGGGCCTTGATGGGAAAGATGCGAAAGGCGTTGTCAAAGGACTCAACCTCTGTAGGTGAGAGTTTGATCGCACACCTTGACGAAAGAAGCTCCCATGAAGGGATGGATACTTTGGCCCGCTGTAGTTCCTCTAAGGCTTGCCGGAACAACGCTTGCCCTTCGCCTTGCTGCCGTTGTACTGTGGTTAAGAATACCGACTTGTCGAACGAAAGGTATGCGTTACGGCCGACAATCTCCAGATCCCGTAAGCCATCAGCCATAGAATAAAGGGGCTTGTTTAGAACCGGGGGGAGTTGGAAAAAGTCGCCGATAAGGATGACGCTAAGCCCGCCAAAGTACTGGTCGCGGCAGTCAGGAAAGATTTCTCGAAGCCGCTGATCGGTCCAGGCAGTAGGTTTTAACCCCAGCATACTCTTCTCATCAACCACAAGATAGTGAATTGAGTTAAATCGTCGCTGTAGGGAGCTAAGGACTGCTGGTGTCTCTGAAAGTGGCCGATAATTACCGTCAATGGGAATCCGGAAGAGGGAGTGGAGAGTCTGGCCCCCAATCTGATTGCTGGCCAAACCAGTAGGCGCCGCTCGAACAATTGGCGAGGGTCGGCTATGTTTGGCCGCTTTGGCTTGTAAGCGAGAGGAGATTACTTTAACCATGTATGACTTGCCAGTCCCACCGCCGCCGTCAACCTGGATTCAAAGTGGTGTTAGATTTTGGCCTTGGATAGTTGCCTTATGATGCTTTAGAATAGCATCATACACAAGCCGTTGTTTGGCGTTTAGGGCATCGCAAGCCTTTCGTGGCATCTGCTCAACGTCGTAGTTGCCAGGAGCATCTCCCCGGAGCTCTTTCTAGTAGCCTCCGGTATTGAAATCTTCGTGGGAATAAAGGCTGATGTGTTGAGTCCAGTCGTAGTTAAGGTCAATATCACGGCGGCCAAGCAAATCTGCCTCCTCTTCAGGTAGTCGCAAGTCAGGAACCATACGTGCCATCTCGTGCCAATCCTCAAGGGTGATATCACCCACATCACCCCCAGCCTCAAACTCATCCTCGTCTGGTTTGGGGTCCTCTTTGTCTTCAACACCATAGTGATCATCTGGGTGGTGGTGTTGACTGGCACAGTGCTCGTAGGCCAGTTTGTAGGTTTCAAACTGTAGATAGTCAACTACGTAAAGGTCTGCAACTTGACGATGTGGATGGTTTAGTAGCAGCTTTACACGACAGAAATCGGGCCATTGCTGGTGTGAGCGAATAGACTTGTACTTGGGATAGTAGTAAAACACCCTAGATCGAGCGGGAGGCTGCCACATACTCCACCTTAAGGGATTCCGTGCCTTGAAGTTCCAGTTCTTAAGAAACTCGACGTATGCCACATCCTCCATCTCAACTGGCCGTTGAAGGTACTTATCGCAGACATTTGACGTATCTTCAACATCACCGTCGGCGGTGACATTGACACCGTCGACGGTGACATTGAGAGGCCGAGCATGCTGCTCTCGAGGCCGGCAGTCAACGCTTTGTACCACTCGGCTATCGTCTTGGAGAGGGAGGCCGAGTAAGATATGGCTGATCTCCTGGGCTGAGTAATCCCTCTCCCCCACCAGCTTATTCATCAGCTTAGATACGAACGACAGCATTGAGTTCCTGTCAGAAACGTAAGGCATTATACTACGCGTAATCTGCGCGTATGTATTAGTCTGGGTCTCTGACTTGCTACAGTACTTTGCAGCATAGTTGACAACAGCCTGTACACCAGTGCAAGGCGAGCAGTCGGTGTTGGCAAGCCAGCAAAGCGAGATAAGTGGGTTGTACTGGTTTATATGGGTATCGTTCCGCTGAGCCTCAAACAGCCACCACTTCTTCCCCAGCTTCCTAATAACCCTTGCCTTCGCCTGTTCTGCCTGGGGGAACTGAAAGCGGCATGTCGGCTGTGGAGGGGCACATTCTTCAACTGGCTGGCCGGCTGGCTGGCCGCCTCTCTCGCCGGCCTTTCGAGCTTGTTCAGCATCTTTCTTTGTTAGCCGAAGACAATATGCTGTAGAGCAGTGGTGGCGTTGACAGCGGTTGACAATTCGATTAAGCCACTCCCACGTGACGTTGGTTTCGAGAGGGTTAACAGATAGGGGGTTACCCTCATCGGCACCCTGGCCTCTCTGTGGGTTCATAGCCGTAATGTGGTACCCCAGACCTTGGCAAAGCGATCTCGTGACTCTTGCTTCGACATATCTGGATCTGGGCTTTTATCGAACCAGTACAGACCATGAGCATGGCTGCTCCCACGACCCTGCCACTTGTAACGATACCAAAAGTCAACCAGGTTAAACTTCATCTACAACATCACCATCTTCAGGCTCCGGCTCTTCAACTGATTCATCAGCAGGGCCAAAATCGGCAGGTACGCCCGTTGTATCGTTGACCTCATGGATGGTAAGTTGGTCAAATACATTGCCATCCTCGGGGAGCTGAGAGAGATTGTCGTAGTTAAGGGTAAAGTCTCTGTAGCCAGGGTGATTGGCGGCGAGAAACTTGAGCCAGGCCTCGATGGCTGCGCGGCGGACGCGGAATCGTCGGCAGAACTGCCGATCCATCTGGGCCACATTCTCAGAACCGCGTGGCCGAAGGATAACAATGTCCAAATCTCTAGGTAAGAGAGGTAGCTCTTGTAAACCTTGCTAACATCGCGCAAGAAATGCACAACATGCACACGATATTTATACTGCTACCCACGAACCTATACTTTGTTAGTTGCTACTCCTCGCTACACGTATCCCTACTACGTACTATAAATACAGTGACGCTAACGTGGACCCTTGCAATAAACATCTCCTCCAATGGCTCTAGCCGGGGCAAGTCTTAAGGTATAGAGCCAAAGTCTGAGTTGTTGTTGGCAGAAAAGAAGAAAGGCTCATCCCCACGCTTCTTATCATCCTTATCGTGGCAATGCTTACAAACACCATCAAGCTTCAGCTCTACATCGAACCATCGCCTTTTACAGCGCGGGTAATACTGCATCTTCTCTGCAGCAAGTGCTTCATCGAATTCCATCTTGATGGCGAGGCCTTCCTCGTCAAGGGGCGACTCCTTGTCGGCCCCTGTAAATTGAGGAGATGGCTTGTCGAATTCGCGGAGCGTGCGTTCTGTGGAAGGCGGTCGTCTGCGGGGGCGGCCGACAGGGTTTCTTGCAAGACGCGGGCGTCCTCGGCGACGGCCGCCAGCAGGCGAGAAGGGAAAGGGTAGCGGCTGCTGTAGAGGGGGGCGGCCAATAGGGTTTTGTGCTAGACGCGGACGGCCGCGGCGACGACCACGAGCCGGTGAGAAGGGAGAAGATGGTGGCGGCCGCCGCAGAGAAGGCCGCCCCTGTCGGGGGAGCTATGGTGGTGTGACTGGGCCTGGATTATTGTTACCGTCTTTTCTCTCTTCCTCCTGGGCAGCTTTCTGGGATTCTTCTGACTGGGTAGAGGGAGGGCAACCGGTAGCAAGCCCATGGGGGTCTCTAGGCTGGAGAAAAGGCGGGAGAGTGCCATCGGCATTGCTAGGAGGTTGTTGTTGGTGAAGAAGATTGCTCATTGTCGGGGTCTGGGAAGTTTCTCCACCATGGTGTCGCTCAATACGGTGGCGTCGCTGGATAGCGGAAATCTCATTGCGCGCAGCTGCCATTTCGGTCGAATCCGTAGCAACACGGCCGCCTTCGTGGTACCGCTCAGAAAGAAAGCGATGGGTGAGATTTTGCCGAGGCAAAGGGGCAGGAGGTGGGTTTAGGCTATCCCCTCGGGCAGCTGCAGCAGCCGATTGGATTATGGAGGTTGATCCATCTCTCTAGGTATTAAATTAGTAAATAGAAGAGCAAAGATAACAGAACAGGTGACATTACCTGCGCCTTTTTGCGGTTGCGGCAATCTGCACAATCAACAACGGTCCGGCGAGGCCCTCGGAAGGACTGGAATTGATCAAGAGGCTTCTCGACGCTCCAGGAGTTACAGACTTGACGGGCAGCCGCCGTAGAAGCGTCCGCCATGGATACGAAATAGCCCGGCCATAACGGGCAAAGCTATACCACGGTCGGAATAAGGTTGGTTGTAAAGAATAAGAAGCCTGCAAGATTTATCAAGGCACTGCAACACAACCGATTGTTGGAGGAAAAGTATTGTGGTGGGGCAAGGAAATTCAACGCGGGGCACAAGAAACGAAATTGCCGCACGTGCCGCACATGCATGTAGTCACGTGCATCTACCCTTCTCCACCACTACCTGCCCCAGTATTTAAACGCTTGCATCTCAACCAAAACCAATTGTATTCAAAATCTAACATCAGATCTGGAATTTCCTTACCGTTACGCACGCAATGGTACTAGGTGCATTGATTTTAGGGCCAGTTGGCTGGTTTTGTCGACTGTGGTTGGTCTTGGCTAAGTCTCTGGCCTGCCGTCAGCCAATCCGCGTAGGGAATTCGGACCCACATTTTCTTATCAGTTTCTTTATCAATTTTGTATGGGAATTTTGGAAAGTTTGAGCGTAATATTGTCCTTCGGACAGAATTAGCAAGTCAGGCCGAGGAAGGGAAAACTCCATGTACACACCAATCCAGTATAGACCCTCCGCTCTGAAGTCATGAATTGTAGGCGGACTAGGATATCCGGCGCGGAAGCCTAGTTGTCTAATACGCCTGCTAAATGCATTCGCCGTTTCTATCTTCCCTGGTGCAGCTCTTGCGGACATGCTCTTGAAGAAGGGCAGATCACGGACGCTCTCCCTCCACCGTAAGTGGAGCATCTCTCCTTCCGGTGGCTGTATGGCGAGAAGATCTTCAATCGTTTGGTAGTCCCTGAAGGCTTTTGTAGCAACGAGGATAGCCAAGATAGGGAGCATGGGTTTGCAAATGAGAGGCATCGGCCCTAGCCCTTCAATAGCGAATGCTCGGGCCTATAGAAATCTAATTTAGTAATCGTCTAAATAAACAACCATAAAAGTTAGTTTCTTACCGTTTGTCAGAGGCATTTGTCATACCCTTCGCATCCCGAACTAGCTGAACGGCGAACTCGGCATTTCCGTATTCGTTGAGGAAAACTCCAAAAGTCACATCCTATGGCAAGTGTCCATTAGCTTAGGCGACTATTGGATCTAATATTGAATAGCCATTACCTTGTAATATTAGCCGCGACCAGATCCTGCACGGCAAGTAGACTCGATGTACTCGCCGATGCGCGCAGAAGAGCATACGATAGTAAGCATATCGGCCCAGTCGTACACCCTCGTTGCGGGCTTATCGTATACCGCCCAATCATTCCATAGCTGCCTTCCTAAATAAAGAAAGTGGCTTTTCGTACCAAACCTTCTTGTTCTCTTATTCTGTACCATCATTTTACCCTCTCTTTTAAGTATTTCGGGCAGCTCATACTTAATAAACTACCACCAAGTTAGTTAGATTTTCTCAGGTCCAAGAGACAGTACGTACATTTGTAACCGAGACTGTAATGTTTCCAGGAATAGCATCAGTTTCGCGACGCCAACCAGCCATGAGCTGCTTCCAATATACCATTACCGTCCCTTGCCCTGGATCAGGGTTGTCTTCAGCACCGTCGATACTGAATGCAACATCTTTCATAAAGTCTTTCAAGGACATGAGATCGTAAGCGTTGGCATTGGGATGGTCTTCAACATATCTATAGGAAAGTTAGATCATAATGCTGCCCTTTCTTCGACGACAACTCAAGGTTCTCACCGGTTCCATAGGTCCAGCATGCGGCGGTAGTCTTTTAGTGTTTTCTCAGTTGGCTTCTTGTGAACTATAGCACCGTTGATTCCCTCAGTGCAAATTCCGGAACCATTCTCCTTTCCCCGCCGAAAGAAGTCCGTAGGACTCTTCTTCCGCGGCAGTATGGAGGCACGTATAGTATAGGTTGAAGTAAAAGGTACGAGCAGAAATGGTGTAAGGTATACGAGAAATATGGGAGAAGAAGGTTTGGCTTGAAAGAAGGTAGGAACACAACGGGAATAAGGAATGCGAGAGAAGTGTCGCGCAGCAGGTAGGGACAGAACGAGCTGCCTCTTTATTTAGTGGGATGGAAAAGAATAGTCGTGCAGTAGGTGGTAGGAGCGGAACTGCGTCTTTTATCTATTTGGGGAAGGAACAGTCGCGCGGTAGGTAGTAGGACAGAGCAAAATTGCCTCCTCATCTATCGGTTACTCAGTGTAAGATAAGATTACGATAACTGGAGCTTTTCAAAACGGAGAGTGAATACGCTATACTCTCGGGACCGTTTCTGGGCCTCCGTTTTAAAGGTTGTTGCTAAGGCGAGGCAGATAGAATGGGTCCTGCTAACTGGGCCCTCTTCTAGGCCATTAGGAGAGCGAGGCCCAGAACTCGTCCCCGAGAGAGTCGCTTAAAGTTGACAATTGCGTGACATGGTGAGCGTAGGCTGAGCCGGGGTGAACCGAAGGTGATCCGGGCTGAAGCGAGGCTGTTTCTTGTCTAACCGTCCTCGGACGCCAAGAGAATTCTGTTTTAGATCCCGACTACGTCAATAGTCACCCCCGACAAGGTTTTTTTTTTTTTTTTGCCAAATCAGCATTAGACCTGATAGAACCTGAGCACATATATCCACGGTCGGCCTCGGCAAGGCGGCCTCGGCAAGGTGGCCTCGCTGATTCTTGGCGCCTCAAGCTACTGTGTAAGTCCAAATTTGGTAACTAGCCCAGAGTTTTAAATGTTGTAGACGTTGACGGTCAGCCTCTTTCTAACGACCGCCACTTATTGAGGGCGACTACGATATGATAAGTGGCCCCCTTTAAAGAGGTATACGTTGTCCTGGCGTGTACCTATTTACCTAGGAGGTAATTATAAAGTATAGTAAACTAAATTTCAGTTAAAGATAAGCATACCACAATTAAATCTGCTTGTGCCTTGCCTAGCATTCCTCAAAACCCGTCTCCTCTACGCAAAAGAAAAAGTCACTACATAATCACGCATCGCTCCTCCCTCCTCGTCCTCCTCGTCGGGTATTCTCCTGGGTGCCCTGAATGCCTTCTCCAGATGGGTGACGCGTCGCGCACAGTCACATTCACACAGTGGCTCTTGTCTTGCTCTGGAGTTTCCACCTCGACAATGTCCTGTCTCCGCCAAGCCTCTCCAATAACGAACTCAAACCCTCGGCTGGGCCCATCGAACCTCCTCTCGCAGCCCTGCTCATCGCAATGCACAAAGCCCAAAAATTCGCCGCCCGAGCCGTACGTCACGGCAGGGACCCGGCCCACGAACTTGCAAAACGGGCCACGGTGTCTGTCGGGGTACTTGCCCTGGCCGTGGTGCTCGTCGTGCCGGCAGCAGTGGCGGCGAGAATGACACCTCCTGCCCCTTTCCTGCAGCTCACATCTACACTCGTCGCAGCCCCAGCCTCCCTCAGCACATCCTGCACCACCACCACCACTCACCGGCACCGGCACCGCCCCGGCCGGACTCGGCACGAACGGCAGGTCCTTACCGCCGATCCCGTCGACGCGCGCCGTCACGTGGCCCAGATAGCGCTGCAGCACCTTGAACCAGCGGCTTCCGGCGGGTAGCGCGTTCAGCTTCCACGCCAGCACGGCCTGCAGGTCGCGCTCGGCGGGGAGCATGTCGACGGGCACCGAGACGGGGATGCGCACCGCGAAGGCGCCCGTGACGTAGCGCCAGTTGGTCGAGCGGATGGTAGGGACGGTTGCGTCTATTTTTGATGCTGCTGCTGCTGCTGCTGCTCCTGCTGCTCCTGCTGCTGCTGCTGTTGGTGTGCTGACGATGACCGATACCCCTTCTCCTTGTATCACTTGATCTGATGTTGCGGGTAACGGATGGTGCTGTGCCGCCCTAAGTGTCGGAGGATCTTCATCTCTCGGGGGCACCCTCGACGCGACTCTTCGCACCGTGACAACAAACTCTTGTCCCTTAACAATATCCTCGGGCAGTTGCACAGTAAATAATCCCGCCAGATTCGTCGTCGCCGCCGTCGTCGTCGCCGTCGTCGTCCCTGCTCCCGTCGCTGCCCCTCCTCGAGGCACCGGAATCCAAGTCCATCCGCCGGCCTCGGGCACCGCGACCACGAAACTATGCTTGTCACCCCCTGCCGCCCTCAAACCATGCGTCTTGGGGTTATACATTCTATTCGCCAACGCCACGACCTCCTCGGCCAAGGCGCCGGGCCAGTACACGCGCGCCTCGCAGCCGGCCGGCACGCTGCCCCACTCGACGATCAGCTCGTCGGGCGTCGTCGCGAACTGCTGCCACGGCGAGTTCCCAAAAAGGGCACGGCTAGGCCGCACATCAAACACCTGCGGGACGAGCCGCGTCTCTGGCGATTCAGGGTCGTTTGCCGTCGTGACCTGGATGTTGCGCTGCGCGAGCTTGTCGCAGTTCTGCGGGCCCAGCGTGATGCCGTTCGCCAGATCGTCGATGGGCGCGTCGTCGTAGGCGATTTGTGCCACCAGACAGTGGTGGCTTCCCGGCAAGAGGGCCAGAACGGGCATGGGGGTTGGGGCGGGCGGCACGAGGATGGTGTTGGCCGTGGGGAAGACGTTGAGGAAGCAGCCGAAGTAGGCGTAGATCACCTCGCCGTGTGAGTTGTTGGGGTTGCCGATGGGGCGGTTGTTGACCGACGGGGCCGTGTAGTCGGTGTTTTTTTGGAAGTCGCCATTGCCGTCGTGGTTACCGGTCGCAAAGAACGGGACCGTGGTGATATCCGACGACGACGACGCCGTCGTGCCAAGAAGGGGAATTTCGGGCGGTCCCGAGGCCGGGGAGGAACGGTAGGCTGTCGATGGCTGGAAGTCAGTGTCGGGGGAGTTGGCGGCGAAGGCGCGGAAGAAGACCTTGCACGGTTTTGGGCCGGTCGAGCCGCCGTTGATGCGTACACGTGCCACGGCAAAGTTGTACGTCGTCAGCTTGACCTGGGGATTGGCGGGGCTTGGTTGGTTGGGCCGCACCGACGAGAAGGAGCTGAGTGCGGCGCCTTGGTCGGGGAAGAGCTCAAAGACGTCGCCTTTGCTGGGGTCCGTGTAGTTTGCGTTGAGCCAGTCCAGGACATCCTGGACGTACCGGTAGCCTGCTGCCGTCTCTTGGGCCTGCGCATTGGCTACCTGCATCGCCGGGGCCGAGGGGTCTTGGATCTTGCCTCCGGCGTTGGAGGGCAGCAGACCAGGCGTCACAGACCAGACCCGGAGGTCTTGGGACAGGTAGTAGACGCCGCTGCCCGTGTAGTCGACGTTGGAGAAGTACGGGTCCGCGCCGCCGACGAGCTCAATCTCGCCCTCGGCCGAAAATGGCTGGCCCGCGATGACGACGTCAACTTTCAGCCCGTACGTGACGTCACCTCCCACGGCAGGGAAGAGACCGCCGGCCGCCTTTGGCTTGGCGGCCTGGGCGAAGAAATCGATTTCAATGGGGTACGCAATACGCTGTGGGGTCGTCGTCTGGGCAGGCATCGTGGCTCTGTAGGGCCCAACCGTGGCCTCGACGATGCCCGGTGCCAATAGGGAGCTCGTTACGACAGGGGTGGGAGCGGCATCTGCCTTTTCGGGGGAGATGCCGTCCAGGATGAGCCAGATGGACGACGGCCACCTGCTCCGGCCCGTGTTGTCGACTACCTCGCTGACCTCGTCGAGACCAAAACTATTCTTGCTGACGGCGAGCCAGGCGTCGACTCGTGGGCCAGCCAGCCACCTCGCTGCGTTGAGAAAGAAGGCCTCGAACTTGGCCAAGTGCGGCTGGCCCGCTGCCGTCTTGAAGCCGAGGTTGCGGTCCGGGATCGAGCTGCACGGGTCGCCGACCAAGTTGAGGTCGATGTAGTGGTGAAAGGACGAGTCGGTCATGACGCGGCCAACGCCCGCCGCATGTCCATCATAGGCTGACAGGGTGTTGATGACTTGGTTACCGCCGTCAGGGTTGGAGTTCGTCGGGTCACCGTCGGCGCTAAAGTTGCCCATTTCACAGGGGGCTCCCCCGGTCAGCGGAGTGCTGTGGTCCTTGATGATCTCGCCCGTGGCGAGGACGATGGGCTTCACCACATCAGAATGCGGATACTCGGCCCAGGTCTGGCCTTCCCATGGGCCCACCGTGTCTGTCAGGATCCAAGGCACCGACGACGGCACGCCGCCGAAGCCGAGCACTTCTCCCTCGTGCATGTGGTCCGGAAACACATCAAGAAGGCCCCCCGGGACCTGGAGCAGAGGATGCGTGGTGCCCGAGACCAGAGTCAGTTTCTGGGGCTTGTCGTCAGACTGGCAGTCAAAGTTGTAGTCGCCAATGACGTTCGGGATTGCATTTGGCTGCAGAGTATCCGCCCTGCCGGCCCCGAGGCCCGGCCAGTTTCGAGCCTGGGAGGGCACAAAATTAACTCGCGAGTCTGTCTCGTTTGCCAGAAACCACTTGCGCATGGTCCTGACGCGAGGTATGAGACCACACATAGCCGAGCCTAGGCCGCCGTGGTCTCCGGTGGCGAGGACACCGCCGCCGAAGTCCATGAACCGGGCGACTGCGGCCAGTTCAGCTTCCGAAATGAATGAGATGGGATTCTTCGGGGTTAAATTGGACCCGCTGTAGCCAATGAGCCAGATTTCATTGTAAACGGACAGGTTGGTCGTGGCAAAGTTGAAGGGCTGGCCTTTGCTGACAGTCGTCCAAGGGTCGGGGAAGTTTGGCGGCGGACTTCCAAAGGTGTCATCATTGCGGTTCGCCGTGTCGACCGAGATGGACGGGTCACTGCGTAGTGTTTTGATCAAGTGGTTGATGGTGAACGTGTAGTCTCCCGCATCTTGTTCACCTGTTCGAAAGATGCCATCGACCACGATCAGGACCCTGATATCCGACATGGCGTAAATTCTTGCACTAGGACTTGAGCTCCAGGTTCATTTTTTTTTTTTACTTTGAGCACTGGTGGGCTCATTCTGGGTGACTGTATGGCCAGACGCAGGCAGTACCAGACCCTATTTATCATTGTCGCAAGGCTGGTGATGGACTACAAGTATGCCCAGGTGGTCTCGTGTCTGCACGGCGTCGGATCACATTTTCGGCGTATCCAGCCGCAGTCGGTTGCTTCACCCCGAACGCCACAAGCTGTCGCATGCTCATTTCATTTTCGGTCAAGAAAGATTCTAAAATCCCGTGGTCAGTTTCTCACACATCTGCCTAGTCTAATCAAAGACCCCAAAACACGTTCTCACCAAGAGGTTGTGCCAAGAGGTTGTGCCAAGAGGTCGTGATTGGATAACACCAGATCGAATGTGAATGACAGAACTGCGAATAACAGGTCAACACTCCATCTAGAGGATATTAAGGGTGGTGATGCTGACATTGCTTGTAATCGTCGCGTGACACCACAGCGCTCAGCCCCCGACGCCGTGTACCACATACAAGCTGAGACGCGCAAGACTGTCTCTCTTAGCGCAGCGTTCCTTCCATCATGGGATCTCCGATTTTTGCGTTCCCTCTCGTTTCGGCTGTTCGCCCGTGACGCGTTTCTACTGCTCTCACCAGTCGTTGCTTTGAAGGGTGTGCGCTCACTTTTCAGGATGCGTTTTCTCTTCCCCTCTCTGTAGCCAGCATTCTCTTACATGATTTGCCTATAGGTGAATTCCTCTCCCCTTTGTGCTGTACCTGGTTGCAGAAGAGCAGCATCTCAGGTCCACTCCCGCGCTGGATCTGCTTTTTGATCCTCATTTGCAGAAATCTTTTTGATCCTTATTTGCAGAAATCCTGTCAATGGATGGAAGAAATCAAGCGTGTCGCGGCGCTTCAATCAGATCAAAATCCATCTAATGTTAATCCGCAAAGGGTGGGGTAGCTGCACGCACGCGCAAAAGAATCCTGATGTGTATTTTCTTCCTGGTGACCACTGTCGACACTGGATTCTAAGCATGGGCTGAGCCGGGGTGAGCCGAAGGTAAGCCGAGGCTGAAGCGACGCTGATGAGAGCACCGCCGGCCCCCAGCAGTGTCCGGTTGCGAGCTTAGAGTAGGCGGTCTAGGGACTGGAGTTCTGCTTCTTCCGTCTCTCGTTTGCGCGAGATTGAACTTGGCCAAAGCAGTCTCTCGCCAATAAAGTTTAAAGTCCATTAGGTAAGGTAGGTACAGTCCCTACTGATTCGGTTGGCGAGTCGGAATTATCTCCGCCATTAATCTGTATTTAATAAGCTGCCCCACTAGACACTAGACGCACGGGTCCGTGCGCTTACGTAAGTGTGAAAGTCGCTGACATAATTCTAAAAATGCATCTAACGCGGCCCATTTTTGCGCTACCTTTTCCCCCACCACAGCCAACGTATCGCCAACACTGCAACCAGCTAGCCATTCAATCAATCCGTACAACATCTGAATAACGCTTGGGGCATACCCGAGAGATCTGTATATGACCAATTTCACCGCAAGCCGTACACTGGCTTAGCCGCTTAGCCCGTGTTGCCTGTGTTGCCTCGACGACCTCGAATTCACTGGGCTCCGCTTCGTACTTAACGCTAGGAGCCTACTTATCGTAGCTTTTGGCTCTATACGATGGGGCTCTAAAAGCTGAAGTGGAGCCCCATCACGTATTAAGCGCCAGTGCGAATGGAAGTCTTCAAGAAGAGGCTCTTGACGTCCAGTAAGTATATGAACACATGGAAGCCCGTAGATACACGTAAAAGTACCTATACAAGTAGGTGGTGGAGGAGGGTCTTCCTACTGTAGTTGCCGCTGCTTCTCGACCTTCTGTAGTGCTTCGTATGAGACCTAGCCCTGTACAGCCTTATATAGAGCTTTGTCGAGCTCAAGGGTTATACGGATCTGTTGTTTGGCTTGGTTGGACCGTAATTCAGAGAGTTGGTTGATCAATGCAAGCCGAATTGCCTTCCATACTTCAAAAAGGTCAACTATTGACCTCCGGAGGAGCGACTTAAGAAGCGCATAGATCCCTTCAACACGAGACGTAGCCATATTTCCAAAATGAGCTTGTTGGTCAACCCACGCAGAGACAAGCTTCTCTTTGAACGGTAGAAGCCATGTCTCCTTAATATAGACAATTTGTGCAAGGTTCGTTAAGCCGTACTTATTTTCGAACTCCTTCAAACGCTCCTCGTAGATCTCTTCAGTTGGCGAGTTAAGAATAGAGAACCAAAAACCGTAAAACTCCTTCCACTTCTCAGCTTCTGGAAATACTGGTTGGCACCGCGCAAGAACTGCCTTATTTGCATGCTAGGTATAGAGAGATGTTGTCGACGGGAAGAGAGTTGAAGCTGCGTTGATAACTGTCTGGCACCGGTCTGTCAAAATGACTGATGGGAAAACTCCACCACACTGCTCGTATAAGGTCTTCAACCGCTCAAGGGCCCATATATAGTCTTCTTCAGTCTCGCCGCTTAAAAATGCAAAGGCAATATAAAAGGAGCGTCTAGTTACATTAACGCTAATCATATTAAGAAGTGGCATGCCGTATTTATTTGTTTTGTATGTACAGTCGAGAAGGAGGACTTCAGGATATGCTCGAAGGTAGACAAGAGGGTCGGGATGTGCGAAAAGAACTGCCGTTACATGCCTATCTGGCCCATATTGTTCACGGCTCTAGAAGCCTTCTTCCTCGAGCTGATTTGCAAGTGCGTGGATTGGACTCTGGCCTTGACGAGAGTCTCGGCGGACTTTAGCGATACGGTTGTAGATGTCTTAACGTGTTGCTAAAGAACCGCTTTGCCGTACAACTGTCTAGATCTCCTTTAGCGCAAGGCCAGCATTTGAGAGTACTGGTAATTGTGATATACCGCTGGAGAGCTGTCGCTGGATAGGGTGTGCAGACGGGTGTAGGCTCGGCTCGTGGTTATGGATTGCGAAGCGACGAAGGTAGTCGACGACTTCGATCGCAAGCATATATGACAGTTAAAAGGCCTGTCTTCTCCTTAGTTGACCTGTGGGTTGTGAGAGCGTAGCCTCGAGGCTTTGCGTACGCGTTGGTTGATTCGAATAAGGCCTCTCGAGACTGGAAAAAGCCTTCGGGAGGGAGGCAGTTGTCGGGGAAGGTAGCCATGGCGTGGTGTGGGCGATACGTTGGTTGCGATACGTTGGCTGTGGTGGGGGAAAAGGTAGCGCAAAAATGGGCCGCGTTAGATGCATTTTTAGAATTATGTCAGCGACTTTCACATTTACGTAAGCGCACGGACCCGTGCGTCTAGTGGGAGCCCTACGGAGCAAAAGGCAGGACTGGCAGGAGGGCTTTCATGACAATCGGGGCGCTCTTGGGCGAGCAGCATTCTTTTATGCACGATCTCGAGTCACTCTTCTGGATGCTATTCTAGATATGCATTCACTGCAAAGGACCAGATGAGAATAGAGTCGTTCAACAATTTGACAAGTGGAACTACGTGGACGCAGAAGAGTTGGCGAAACAGAAGCTAGGCACTGTGCGAAGGAGAGTTGGCGAAACAGAAGCTAGGCACTGGCGAAGGAGTCGATTTTCATCAAGAAAATCACCGATAACTTCACGCCATACTACGCACCACTTATCCCGCTCTTGAACAGGTTGCGAAAAGTCGTTTTTCCTGAGGACAAACCGTGGGAACGGGATCGTAGACGAAAAACTCTACTCTCGATTGAAAAACCTTCTCCGGCAAGGGGAGGACTTGAAGTAACGGATGTTCGTGGCAGAGAGGATGGTCAGCGCAAGGGTCCTAGTTTTGTCAAACTATCTGCCACCCGAGCCGCATGTTTGTAACAACGAACAAGCAAAACTGCAGGCCTGCTGCTGATATGCAGCAGGCTACAGACACCATATATTGCAGGCTTGTTCCCCAAACTCTACGACTATCTATCGGCCCACCGACTATCACTTCACCTGCTCTCGCAGGGCGCGGAGCCTATAAGAGACGGGCCCGACAACTCCCTCGAGAGCTATCTCGGCTTCTTCTGCCCGGACAACGAGGCCTTGTGCCAAAGACTGCTGGATGTCGGATGTGATGCCAACGCCACAAGAGCAAGCACACTCGACCGCTCGAGGGATCCTGAAACCCCGTTCCAGAAAGCTATTCTCCCCTGAAACATTTCCGATCCGCATCATGCCTGTACAAGCACGAGGAAGCCGACGCGCGCGAGCTCGTGGCCTACCTCGTGTCGCGCTATCCCGGCAGCCAGTTCCTCGAGTACCGGCGTTTCGACACCGTGGCTGAGCGCGCAAGCCGGTGGCGGGAGAAGACTATTCCGGCATCCCTTCCCTGGCCAACACCAACACCAACGACGGCGGGCGAGGCGGCGGCGGGGGAGAAGGAGAGGCTGAGGCATGCCGAGGGCGAGGACGAGGTAGGGCCCAGTGAGAAGTATTAGTTAGACGGGGACGCTTCCTCACCCGCATTCAGCGTGCTGTAACGAATTACCTCTAAGTACCAAATAAGATACCCGGCCAGGTGCCACCTTTTGAGGCATATTTTTATGATTTCGATATAAGCACGAGTCTTACCGCCGCTATTACTTGGCGTCTTGTTATAAGCGCCATCGCTGCTACATTTTTAATCGGTTTCGGAGCAATCCCTGCTGGCGATATAAATCTAAAACTGTATCGCTCTCTTTTCAAGGCCAGGCAAGTGCTATACCATAGCAATGATTGATCTGACACCCCCCCCCCCCCCCCCCCTTGTCTGCCGTCTGCCTTGCGTGTTGTTCCTTCACACCTGCGACTGCAAAAGTATCACCACGGTAACTGCCATATAATTGTGATCTAGGTAGGGTGGGCTAGTTCCTTCACTGCAATAGCGTTAGCAACCCGATGTTAAAGCCCCACGATATACGCGGCGTTGAGGGAAAACATAAAGAAAATAAAAAAAGAACTGGTGACGGGAGACTGGTGACGGGAGACTCACCTAGGGCCTTCCCCGCGTTCTTGATCCGCCGCAGCCATTTCCCGCGGGGGGCCGGAGGCGGCGGAGGGGCGGGCGCCACCGGCTTCTCGACCTCGACGAGCTTTTCGATAAAGACCGTCTCTCGCACCGCCGGCCTGTCTATGACGACCGTCGTCTCGACAGTTTTTTCCACGACGAGCGTTTCGGTAATGGCGGGCTTCTCTACGAACACCGTCTTTTCGACAATCTTTTCCACCACCACGGTTTCCGGGACGGCGGGCTTCTCTACGACCTGCTCTGCGCGTCGGTAGTTTTCACGTCTAGCGTGCTGCTGTTGCGACGGTGGCGGTGGTGGTTGTGGTTTGACTCCGTCGTCTGCGGCTAGTGACATTGTGCCAGTGGCAGGTCTGGGGCCTTTCTTTGTCGTCTCCGGCGTTTTAGAGAGCGTGGCCCCAGCAGTACCAAGGGGGTTTGTGGGCATGCGGGTCACCTGCCGCTGTTTTGTGACTAGAGTGGGAGGATGCGTGTCCGTCGTCTTTGGTTCTGCAGCTGATGGCGTGCTAGCGAGATGTTGTTTGCTGCTCAGAGGTACGATTTCCGCTAGCGGTACGAGCGTGGCCGGTACTAGTCCGGCTGAAGATGCCACCGCCGAAGGAGGCGGTGGCGCCAACCCGCCTGCTGCCTTTGCGGACACGGCCGGGGCTAGTCTCTGTGCAACGATGCTCCTAGCTAGAACGCCATGCGGGTATGGTTGTTGTGTCGCCCCCCGCGTGAGGAACCACCAGACCTCTGTCCAGCACTTCGCATACTCCGTGCTGTCGTCTTCTAGCAGCATCTTTCGGTCCAAGCTGTCTTTGCCGCCGATGCCGGGCCACTTTGGCCCGGCTGCTGCGACGTGCTTGAACCAGTACAGTGCCGCGTACCGGACAAACCCGTGCTCCCTGATCCTCTTGCGCACCTTAGTCTCCCAGTAGCTCGGCTCTGTGGCTTCTAGGTGGTGGCAAGAGTCGCAAAAGTAGGCCATGGTCAGATACATGACGCAGACGCTCGCGAGAACTGCATGCGAGCTCTGCTGGTCGAGGAAGAACTCGACGCCTAGCTCGCTGGTCGCCGTCGCAGTTGTCAAATAAGTCTTCAGACTTCTGTGAACAAGCGTCAGACGCCCGTCATGGAACTTGACCAGCTGCCCGCAGTAAAAGTTCAGCTTGGCCTTGATGTTGTCGTCTAGGAAGCTAGCCAGACCCTGAGGCGTGACAGTCTGGCCTGGAGACACGAGAGAGGCCTTGGCAAGGGCCAGCGCAGTGTTGAGCTCGGCGACTTTTAATCCTCTCTGTTGGAAGACGGCCCATGTCAGGGCTTGTCTAATGAATGCCGCAGTGTCTCGGCGCCTGTCATGCATTCCCCCGAGTGTGTGGCCATAGAGTCCCTCGATGCTTTGTGGAAAGCCTCTCACTTTCTCCGCCATTCTAGATTCGTCCATCTTGCCATCGCGTCTCAAAATTTCGGGAACCAGAATGATCCAGAGATATACTCCTCCCGACCGATGAGCTATGATGCTGCCTATGTCGTCTTGTCCGTCGCGGCTTCCTTCAAGGTCCTCGATGTTGTATCGCGTATGGTTCCAGAGGTAGCCCAAGCCGTCGTTGACGGTACTCAGCATGTCCATTTCCGTGTCCTCCGGCTTCATGAGATAGGTCTTGAAGCCCTGTTTGTCGAGATGCTCTTTTATCTGTCCTTCGTTGCGGGAGATAAGGAGCACCCTGGTCCTGCTTGGGTCTTGCATTTTGGCTCCCAGCTCCTCGAGACAACTGAAGAATGTCTCTCGGCATTCCGGCCCAATCTCATCAATGCCGTCGATAACCATGATCAAAGCGCGGCGCTTCGCTATCTGGGCCATGGCGCCAGCCCACAGAAGAACCAGCACGTCTCGGGTCCAAATATCCTGGTCGCCGACATCCCGCCGTTGCGCCTCGCTGAACGTCGGCATCAAAAAGTCGACAACCAGTTCCGGCTCAAGCCGCAGGGCTTGGTGAAGCGTCGCCCTTAGCAGCGCTTGGATGTTGCCGCGCGACGGGAGAGTATCGCTGAGGAAGCAGTGGATCACGTCCTCCTGGTATGGCGATGGGATGAGCTCGGTGATGATATGTTTGGCCAAGAAGCTCTTGCCACAACCCGGCTGGCCGCTGATCCAAAGTCTTTCGCTGCCGGGCTTGTTGGCGAGCCAGCCCTGAAATTCCTGCCGCTCGGCTATCCAACCACAGGTTCCCTTTGTCGGCTGCCTGTCAAGGAAATAGCAGTGGAACGCGTTGGGGCATAGCGAATAGAGAGCCCGTTTTGCTTCGTATCCAGCACGGTCTGGTGGAGCCAGCAAAGACGCATGCTCCAGTTGTTAAAGTTAAACACAAGGAAAAGGGGATTCGGGACGAGACTGATTTTGCGATTCAAAACTGAGAGCAACGAACCTAGGACCTTTGGTTTCCGACCCAGCAAGAACTCCATCTGACTCGCAACCGGCTTGAAAGCACCCTCTTGACTTTTCGCGAACTGGCAAATACTGAGGTGGTCGCCGGACAAAGTGCTGTGGTATTCAGTATGGGCATGCATGAGTCCGTATACCTTGTCGACAAGCTGACGTAGTTAGTTTCAAAGTCAGCGTACCAAAGGCTAGCAAGATGAAGAGAATGGTCAGGCATGAATGTCGACTTGATTATCGAAGGGACTTACAACTCTCTCCATCCCCTTCATAGGCGTTTCTTCAATAAACGTCACAAAGGACAGCTCGGGATGCTGAGGCTTGAAGTCTTCGGTTATTCTGTAAAGCACGTCCCCGTCGTTCTCAATCTCTCTCAACATTCCGTATGAAGGCAGGGCACCTGTGACTGGGGCGTCGAATGGCAGGACATGCTTGACAAACTTCCTCCACAGGGCTGGGTCGAGGCCGAGATGGGGAGTCGAGAAGAACATCTAGTTAATTAATGGCAGACATTAGCTTGCCACCTTTACCCTCTCCGTTTCCACGGTGCCAGGGTAACCCACAATTCCTCGGCTGGCATCCCATAGCGGCCTGAATCTCGTTTGCGTCTTTTTATGAGCGAGGAATAGCGCCTTGGACATGAATGTTAGATAACTGGTCCAATTCGCCGGCAAGGGGATTAACAGCTGACTCCAGACGCCTGCCTAGACACCTACTTTCTTGATGATCATGCCGCCCAAGCTGTGGCCCACAAAGATCAACGGCCTCAGAGCGGCCGCTTCGTCGTCCTCTCTGTCACTTGACAGCTCGTCGAGCAGTTCTTTTGCGTGGTCACCGATGCCCGCTTCGCTCACCGTGCCCTGGAGCGTCGTGTTATACCGGAACGACCGGATCCGAATTCTTTTCGAGATTTTCGGGGGCAGCAAATCGCGCGGCCACAAAGTCAGGTCCGCCCCTTCCCATGTTCTGCTGTGATGGCCTCCGAGTCCGGCGACCAAGACAATGCTGCAGTTTGTTGCCGCGGCTCGTGTTAGCAACAGGTATGAGCGCGAAATGGGGTATAGATGCTGGTTCATTACTCGGCTTCTGCGCTCGCGGCAGCTTCCTCGGGATGGAGCTGGACTAGCCCGGAGCCCTCGTAATTAGCGGTTCCGAGGGCATCGAGGTGTCTCGAGTCCCGACCGCGAGATCGGAGCCAGCTGCCCGAGCTGAGGTGCATATGGCGGCGCGACATTTCGGCGTCCTTAGCGTGATGGAGATGTGGACAGATGCCATGGGGTTGTGGCAGGGTGAAGCTCTGCCAAAGGTTGGATTTGGGGCACTGTTTGGGCGGCTGTTTGGGCGGCTGTTTGTAGCTTGGCTTGATTGGATGCGTCGCTGCCGCGCTTCGAGAAGGGGGGGGGGGGGGGGGGGGAATGGGCGCTTGCAGCAAGGAGCTGCACATGGGAATACCTGTGGGGCGTCTGGGTTTCTGCCTGACTGGATGGCTGACAATTACGGCCTAAGCCGGCTCTCTAACGTAGCCAAGAGCAATGCACAAAGCCCTACCCAGAGGAGCGACCCCTTGTGCATTGATTGCACTCCGAATAATGACCACACTTTTCGTGTGCCTGAAATTAACCCAACATCACCGCCAAAGAGCCGCACCGAGATCGAGGAAACAACGCGAAACTTTCGGCTACGTAATTAACACCGAATTGCCTGACGCGGCTAGTAGCAGGCGAGGCCAATTTCACAGTCGACATATCGACAAATTATGTGCTGACCCTGAACGTTGGCAGGCGAAAAAGAGAGAGCAGTAGCATGGACGTTAACGGGAACCTCAACGCCCAGGCGCGCTATGTCCTCGACCAAGTGTCGGCGTTGGAGGGCATTATCAGCCGAAGCATCTCCAAGAGCTGGGAGCAGGAATACAGGTGCAAGGACCTAGCCGACGAGATCAGCAGGCTCAAGCGGCAGCTACGGGACAGCGTGCCCCTCGGCAGCCGTGACGGCTCTTCAGAGGCACCTGTGACCGCGCTCGAGGCATCTCTAGGCGAAAGAATTATCTACTTGGAAACGCGACTCGCGCGCGTGGTGGAGAGACTCGGCGACGAGATATCGCGGAACTGGGAGCTGGAGTACCGATGCAAGGACCTCAACGAGAACGTCTTGCGGCTGAAGACAGAGCTGCGGGACTGTGTTCGCCAGAGTGACGTGGCGAGCCCCCGGTTGAACCCGCGGGCGGCGCTAGAAAGGAGCCTAGAAGACAGGATCATGTTGGAGGGCGGAGTTGGGCAGACGAGGGCCCGATCGAAATCAATGTGAGGCCGCGGTTGCTTCACGGCCAATCGCAAACCGGGTTCGTGAGGAGCTTGATGCAGTTCTCATGGCTCCGACGCTGCAGTTCACCATGCCACGTGTAACAGGTCCTTACGGTTGTTGGGGGGGGAGGGGGAGCATGTCGATCTTATCCTAGTCAAGCCTTCTCGTCCACCGAAAAACATGTGGGTTGAGTCGTGCGTCAAGCAGGGCTTCGGGACTAGCCGGGGATGACTGGGTGGCGGCGTCAGTTTCTGTCTCGAATTTGCTGGCGAGATGCTACTGGCTGCCGTCCCACGCCGAGGACGCGGCGGCATGCATGCATGCATGGGAAGTGCGCAACGTTTGCCCAACCCATGGTCCAGCTCGGCTCTGCCCGGTAGACAACACCGACAGAGAAAAAGCCTAGGTGTGCGTGACCGTTTCCACGACTCGACTTTGATAACGGCCCTATCATTAACAACTGCCCAATAAGCCACGATTAGAAATCACAAGGACAGGGCGCTGCGCCACCATTGGACATATTTACCACCCATCGCGAATACCGCCGGTATATTCACGGTTGCGTGAAGGCTACTCAACAACACGACATGCGAAAACTTGCACACGATGCGCTGCGCTGGCTGTGAATAGCTCCTCGCGGCGTTGGTCGCAATCGCAAGAAGTAGAACTAAACGAAAGAAAAGAAATGAGGAGCTAGAATTGGGCACCCGTGCATTCGCTTGCTTCAATTTCTGACAGTGTCGGTGAGAAGAGCCTAAATTGCGGCTATGCAAGCCTCAAGAAATTAGAGAACAGAGATATCGTTTTAGAGTCTGCAGCAGAGCCGCTTGGGCCTGTAATTACTTAAGTATCAACAGAGAATCAACGAGAGACGCCAACAACAACAACAACAACAACAACAACAACAACAACAACAACAACAACAACAACATCTGGCACCAGCGAACATCACCCAGAGTCATCCACTGCTCGTCTCCACCAGTCTCTGAAAAAAACGCCAGGAAACCCGACTCGTGTACGCTCAAATTTTGACCCTTGTCATGCCTATTGAGGCTTGAAAGCTCTTTGGGTTGAAACTGCAGCCACTAATTTCACATCTAATATGGATTTTAGTTTTTTCAAAAAATTCCCCAAACACACACCATGGCAAACCGAACCGGCATGTGGGGGACGATGGCCGCCATCACAGACGTGTACAAAGCGACGCTGAAGGTTGCGTACCCGGCGACGGAGGGCATCACGGACGAGCTCAAGGCCGTGATACCCGACTACATCACCAAGGCCAAGAAGCGCGTCGACGATCTCATCTTCGTCATCAAGGGGCTCAGGTGGGAGTCGGAGCAGGCCAGGGTGATCATCGTCCAAGCTAACGACAAGCTGCACGCGATCCTGCATGAAGACTTCAACGATGAACCGAGTGAATGGCAAAAGGACGAGGAGGACGAGATACCCACGTCCGAGCCCACTAGATGAGAGCGAGATAGGTAGAGTGACCTTCTGGAACGGGCCTCGGCGGAGGCGGGGGGGAGGAGGAGGACTTGTTTGCGGAGAGGATAGCTGGTGACTTGTTAAGTGAAATTAGCGGCGGGGCTGTTGGCTTGGCGTCCGTGATGTGTTAACTAGGTAGTTATAGCTAAAGGCCAGGGGTACGATGACGTGTTTTATTGAATTTGAATGTTGTTGGAGTTTCAATTTCAATGCGTTTGCTTCTCAGAATAAGCTATGTGGCGTGCGGTCAATGTCGCTATGCGAGCCAACCGCGCCTCATCTGGGATGCGAGTCACGGTGTGTAACACAACACGACATGGCTTGGCAACCAACATCGGCCCGAGAGGCGCGATTGCTACTACCCTAATTAGCTCGCGTTACACTCAGTAACAGTGCGTGAGATGCATCATGTTGAAATGGGATGCTTATGCTTTGAGACCCAATACAAAACAAAACAACTAATCAGATGGGAAAACCGAACCACGGGAGCGAAGAAAGCTCACTTGTTGGCAACTAAAGTACCTAGCAGTTTAGGAGAAGCCAGGCTTAAAAAGCCGCCGCTCTTTGAGGACTAATTAGAACTACCTGATTGTCTCTAATTCAAATAGCCTAGCTTCATCCTCCTCCTCAGAACCCCACGTCCTCGGACAAAATGGCAGGCATCGCCAGGCCGCAGTTGAAGTTGGGCCGGCACAGGGTCATGGAGTGGATGCGGCGGATAGTACCGTTGACGATGCGGAACTCGTGGCTGTCGGGGCCGAGGATGCCAAAGTTGCTGATGATGTTGACGACGCCGACGCGCTCGTCGACAACATAGCGGCGGTCGACGGTGTGGATAGTGACGTCGGGGATGTCGGTGTCGCAGGTGCCGTTGGCGTCGATGTAGCCGCCCTCGAGGCGGGTGCAGGGGAAGCCCCACGGCACGACGACCGTCTTGTTGACGAAGACGTCGTAGTAGGCGTCGGCGGCGGCCTGCAGCGCGGTGCGCGAGGTGCGCTCGGCCGCGGACAGCGGGCCCCAGTCCTCGAGCAGCGCGTAGTGCAGCGCGTGGCTGGCGTTGAAGTAGAAGTCGCCCGTCGTGGTGAAGATGCCGTCGAGCTTGTTGATCTTGTTGGCGGCCGCGTCGAGGTGCAGCTGCATGGCGATCTGGTAGGGCCGCGCCGGGTCCGTGGCGATGATCTCGGTGAAGCTGGCGCACTGCACCGTGTCGTACGACGTGCGGCTGTGGTCGATGCGTAGCGGCTGGCTCAGTGTGCTGTTGGCCGGGTCGAGTCGCACCAGATTCTCCCAGTACGTGGCGTTGGCCGCGAGTGCGGTCCGCAGCCACCCGAGCTGCCCGGTGCTCTGCGCGATCAGGTACCGGTCCGTCGCCGCCTTGAGCGCCTCTCGGGTGCATCCCGATGCCGCGCAGCCTGCCACCACCACCGAGGCGGCGGCAACGAGAGCCATGCACGTCCGAGTTGCTGCGGGAATCATCTTGTCACGCGAAGCTCGGGGTTGATGTGGGATGCCAATGGGGAGGGGAGAGCCTGGACTTGAGCTGTTGACTAGGAGGAGAGGGAGAGGCCGAGACGGAGAGAACATGACCCCAAGCCCAAGACGACGGGCAGACGACGCCCGCTTCTAATAGTGGCATTTCAAAAGCGAACCCCAGGGGTATCACCCTGACAGGCAGGCGCAAAGCCATCCAGCTTCGGACCCGAGTGGCCGGAGGATCCATCTTACCCATAGAAGAATTATTTACCGGCAAAATCTGGCATGCAGCGCAGGGGAAGCGGCGCCCAGCATCTCGACCGCACGGCAACCCCTCTCGGGCTGGAGCATTTTCATTCGCTACCAGCAACGGCGGCTGTCCGGTTCACGGGGGGGGTGGGGGGGTCTGGCTTCTGCAATCTGCATGGCGGCTGCGCCTGCAGACAGATGCTTAGCCACGTATTCTATCCCATCCCCAAACAGCCACTGGATAGGTAACCGAAGTGGAAGCCTGTCTCGACTCTCAAGCCACTCTGCCGAATTGCAGCCCCACACCACTTCCTCTTTGTCCGTGGTGCCAGGGGGCCAAGGCCGTCGTTCGTCTCCATTTCCAAGATTAATTGCATCAAGGACATCAAGATAAGCTTTCACCGGCTGCTAGTACAACGATATAAACAATCCGAGTCAAGCTAGTAAGTATCTAAGTCAAGCTAGTAAGTATCCGAGTCAAGCTAGTAGGTGGTATCCGTTGCCAAGACGGCCGACGTTTTTCTTCACAATACTCCTTTTTTTTCCCCCTCCATCTTCCTCTGTCTTGCACCCGCTGCGACCTCGCATTATCTGCCACATGGTTATGGCCATGGCTAGCGGGGTGCCGAAATCCTTCGGGACCAGCCAGTCGCTGCGAGCCTGCCTGTAACTGGCCCAACCACCGAGGCCCCAGTGCAATCTCCCCTTCTAGAACTGTTCTGCTGCACCTTGCGCCGCCGCCGTGCCGTAGCGCACATATATGCACGAAATGATAACCAAAGGTAGGCCTTGACAAAGATGGAAAACACCCCAGACACAACAAAGTGCGTGTTCATAGCGCATGCCTCGCGCTATTCGCAATATTACGTGCAGCGTGCCAAGAGCAGCCTAGTCGCTTTTCGCTGTTCTGTTTCTTGTTGGCGAGGCTGGGGCCGGCGGTGCGCCTCGGATTTGCGGGCTTCGGTCGGAAATCCGCATGCCACGCCGGCTGAGGCCGAGAATGACGTGCGCCGAGGGTTCGTTTCTGCAGCGCCCGCCGACATCTTATCCGATGCTCACGGCGATTATGGAGTATGTTATCGGCAATTGCCTTCATGGTTGAGTCGAAGACCTCGCTCACCATTAAATAATTACCTATTACGGAGGATATTACTTGATTATCCATCACGTTTTCCCGGTCGAACAATCACAGTTTACAGCCAATTGAGCTTCAACAATTGCTCTGGGTTTCAGTACGTATTTCTTTGTCAAGCCACCTACATCGCTCACCTTAACTACCTTAACCACCTATGCCAGGACGGTTGATTCGCAAAACAACGGTTGATTGGCAAATAATTCGGTGCAGCCAAAGCTTGTTCAAAACACCCTGCTAATACAAAGCATCTTCCCAAACTTGGCACGCGTATAACCCTAAAGAAACCTCGAAAATAACCCTAAGGATTCTTGTCCGAACCAAGCGCCCTGACTAAGGTGTTTGTCGGCGATTCGTTATCCCGGACGAGCAATGGAAATAACCCTGAAAGAGAAACCAAAAGGAAAGCGATTCTAATTGGGGAAGGAATATTTGCAGAATGTGGCTAGGTAATTAGCCCACGCCTTTTCTGTGACAAGACATGCACAACACGATTGACTGCGACAACTCGAAGCCAAATATGATTGGCATCACTTCTGGCCCCGAAAGGCGTCGACCTCGCGCCATCGGGCCAGGTTGAATAGCGATAGGCTCGCGAATCTGTATCGCTTTAAGCGTGGAATTTGGCACCTCACCAATCGGAAAGTTTTCCCGCTAACAAAAGTGGTTCGCGATACACCTGGCGCGGTAGACCTGTCAAGACAGGAAGACATTTGATTAGGCCTAAAGAAGAAGTACCAAATCCCACGCTTAAAGAGATTGTGTGGTAATTGCGGGGCTCTGGCCGGGGCCTCGTGAGATCTCGGGACGCGAACACTTTTTCATGACTGTGCATCTCCGATTCTCCGGTCCCGTCATCGGAAACATCGTTAATAAGCCAAAATTGGCCTTGGCATCGTCGGGGCACCTTACTCAGCCCACGACAGCTCCCTCGCCATGTTACATAGTCTTCTCGCTCTCTGCCTTTCCTTTTATTTATCTCATTTCATTATCTCATTTCATTTCCCTTTTTTTGTTTTGCTAATCATCGTCTCCAATTAACTGACAACCAAGGTTGTCATCGAAACACCAAGAGGGCGGGACGAAACACTGTTCCGACACTGCTACCGTTCAGGTCCTCCAAGATGCGCAACCCGGCGAGAACTCTCTATCCCAAGTCGTACGACACGACGCGGCGGCTGGGCTTCAATGACCCGGGGAGAAAAAAGACGCGCCGGGCCTTTTTCATGGGCCTCGGCAGCAACTTCCTCTATCTGCAGCTCCTCTTCCTCGGCCTCTTCTGTTACGTCTTCGGCGCGCTATTCCAGCAGAACGGCCACACCCACAACCTCGGCGTCGTCTTTGTCGACTACGATGGAGGCGCCATCGGCAACGCCGTGCGGGGCGCCTACGCCTCCCTCGAGAGCGACACCTTCATAACCTTGGTGGAGCGGCCGCCCTCTGACTTCCCGACGCCCGCCGACGTGGCCGACGCCGTCTGCAAGACGCGCTTCTGGGCCGGTTTCTACGTGGCCGAGGGCGCGTCCGACCGGCTGCACGACGCACTGCAGCCCGACAATACCGCAGCTTCACTTGCCTACGACGGCACGCGCGTGATGTCGTACGTCTGGAACGAGGCCCTATACCCCACCGCCATCGACTCGGCCGTATCGGCCAACATCCAGCTGCTCGCCTCCGCCGCCAGGGTCGCCTACAGCACCGGCAACGGCACCGGCGGCGTCAGCTCCGTGTCGGGCCCCGCCGCGCTCTCCGTCTTCGCCAACCCGTGGCAGCTGCAGTCGCTCGACATCCAACCGACGTCCCAGGGGTCGCGCGCCATCTACAACACCATTGTCATCATCCTGATCCTGATCCAGGAGTTCTTCTACCTCGGCACCATCAACGGGCTGTACGCCCAGTTCAAGCTGTACGCACGCATCGACCCGTATCGCATCATCGCCGTGCGCGTCGTCGCCTCGCTCGCCTACACCTTCATCGGCTCGCTGTGCGTCATTGGCACCATCTTCGCCTTCCGCGCCAACTGGGACATCGACGGCAGCCAGCTCGTGCTGTCCTGGATCGCGCTGTGGCTGTTCGCCCACGTCAACTTCCTGACCCTCGACGTCTTCACCATCTGGGTGCCGCCCGCCTTCGTGCCCATGGCCCTCATCTCGTGGATCATCCTCAACATCACATCCACCCTCCTCCCCTTCGACCTCAGCCCGGCCTTCTACCGCCTCGGGTACGCCATGCCGGCCCACGAGGTCTACCAGGTCCTCATCGACGTCTGGTCGCGCGGCTGCAACCCCCAGCTGCACTACGCCCTGCCCGTGCTGTTTGCCTGGGAGGTCGCCAGCCTGGCCCTCAGCACGCTGGGCGTGTTCCGCCGCTGCCACTTCGCCACCATCGGCGCCGAGCGCGAGGCGCACGAGTTTAAGGAACGCCTTGACGCGGCTGTGGCCTTCCAGCTGGCCCTCGAGCGCAAGGTGGAGAAGAAGAAGAGCGACCGCGCGCACCGCCAGGGGTCCACCGCTACTGCAGTCACCAACCCCGAGTCTATTAACGCTGTCGGCACTGCCGACAGGCCAGCCACAGAAGGCAACGACGAGCCCGAGGAAAAGAAACAGCCCGAGACGGAAGGCGGGCAGGACGCTGCGTCGTCTACTACGTCTGACGAGGAGAGCGAGGTCCACGACGAGCTCGCCGAGATCATCCACCGCATCAACACCCGGCAGCAGCGCGAGACGGAGCGCACCGGCGGGGCGGCCAACTTTGGCCCGTCGTTCAATCTGCTGTTCAGCCATGGCGACGGCGACGACGATGGCGCTCAGTAATTCGTTAGCTACATGTTGAGGTTGCAGTCTACAGCGGTTACTTATGCAGCATGCTTTTTCTTTTGGTGTTTTTGCCCCCTTTTCTTGGGCATCGATAGCATTGCGTGCCTCATTGCCGACGGTTAAAAGACGGATGTGGATATGGGCAAAGCCCGCTCGTGGGCCGGCACGGGAGGGTGGTTGTACCTGGCGTGTCATGAACTACCATCTACGGTTTGGCGGTGCGACGTATGAGGATCAAATTATACGCGGTGGCATTTTGGAGTTATTTTGTTAGTTATTTTTGAATTCATTTTTAAATTCATTTTTGAATTCATTCTGGGACAAAAATTGTTGCAGGAATGCTCAAGGGGCCGTATGAACGCGACATCTACCCAAGTAGAAAAAGTAATACGAAAGGGGATGAAGACAACAACAACAACGGAACCAGCACCTGTCATGGCCACATGTGAACTCCGGCCGGCAAACACTCATTTACCATATTTCCCTTGGTCATAATTTGCACACTCAACATGCTGCAATGACCCAGGAATGCCCGAAATGGGGGTTAGGTGTGTGCCCCCAGGAATTGATACCCCAGGGATCCGGCGAGGCTCTACGGCTGGGTACCTCCGGCATACCTGCCTGGTTACCACATGAGCGGTATTCTCTCAGACAGAAAATGCACTTTGCTCCGTATCTTTACGGCAGCTACAGGAGGGTGCATCTAACCTGCATAACACTCGAAGTAGCCACGAAGGGTAACGACTCGACAAATCTACAAAGTGAAGTGCCAATGTGTTCATCACGAGAGGGCCAACCCAAGGCCAAGTAGCCCCCCGAAACCCAAACAAAATGCGCGTTACTCCAAAGAGATAATACCTGACGGCGCTAAGGCTTGCTCGTCATGTTGTGCGACAAAACCCGCAACCCTCTTCACGCCACGGGACCAATCCGCTTCTACGATAGCCGACCCTCGTTGCACAGACAACACGGCACTTCCAATTGCAGAGCAGCACGTGGGAGTTGTAATAATATAGACACACCCGCTCGAGCTCAAGGCGGCGAGATGAGGCTCTGCAGAAGAGCACCCCAGGTAGGTAGGTGCACACAAGGCTCTACTAAGTCTCTCGCGAAGGGGGGGCGCTGCTCTCGTCACGGAACGTGTACTTATACCAGGCTTAGCTCTGGTCATTGTGTCCTCCATTTGCGAGATAACGAACAAGTCCGTCCACACCCCAGCTCAACCTCGTGCACCGACACCATGGCATTGTCGCCCCCAGGCAGCCCCAAGACGGCCAGCTGCGGCCAAGGAGACGCCGTTGATGACGATGGCCGAACCATCGATATTGGCGGTAGTCGGTTGGCCCAGTCACTGCATGGCATGCTGGCGGCCCGCATGCTCGATCCCGCCAAGCAATGCGTCCTGCCCTCGGCTCTACTCTCGGACGACGGCGGAAGCGCGCTGTGGCGCGAGATCAACCGGCTGCCGGCGTACTACCAGACCCGCGACGAGGTGTTGCTGCTAGAGCTCTACGGCGACGAGATTGCTGCTCTCATCGAGCCCGGCGCCGTGCTGATCGACCTCGGATGCGGGTAAGTAATTATTGCCGTTATGTCAATTATCATCACATGAGTCAATCACCTCGTTGGGCTGTCTCAATCACCTCGTTGGGCTGTCATCACCTCGTTGGGCTGTCAGATACTACCCACCGCCGCTCCGGTTGATCACCTGCCGATTAACTGACGTTTCTGCCCGGCACTATCAGCGACACCAGAAAGGTCCGCCCCCTGCTGGAGAGCCTCGAGCGCTCTGCCAAGAGCGTGGACTACTACGGACTCGACTTGTCGCTCCCCGTGCTCCTGGCCGACGTGCGCAGGCTCGCGTCCGAGTTCAAGCACGTGCGGTGCCACGGCCTGTGGGGGACGTTCGACGACGCGCTGCGCTGGGTCGCCACCACCGAGTCCGTGCAGTCGGCGCCGCGGTGGTTCCTGTCCCTAGGCTCGATCCTCGGCAACGACTTCCCGGCCCCTGCGGTGGCGCACCTCTCGCGGTGGGCGGCGGTGATGGGCGACGGCGACCGCATGCTTGTGGGCATGGACGCGACGACCGACGAGCGGCGCATCTGGGACTCGTACCATGACCGTGCCGGCCTGTTCGAGCGCTTCATGCGAGGCGGGTTGCAACACTCGAACCGCGTCCTGGGACACGACTGGTACCTCCCCCAGGACTGGGAGGTCGTGGGCGTCATGTCCAGCGAGTACTGCATGCATCGCTTCGTCTTTCGCGCCCTTGTCGACGTCAAGTGCGTCCCCATCGGCCTCGACTTCCCCGCTGGCCACGAGATCGACTGCTACGAGGCTTTCAAGTTTGGCCCTGCCGAGATGTGCCAGATGTTCCAAGCGTCCGGGCTCCACCAGCAAAGTGTTTTCAAGGCCCCGGGGCCATCGGCAATCTGTAAGTAAATAGAGAGGGCCAAATCCGAGGGGGTTCCTGAGCGCCGCTAATACCACGATCGTCTGCAGATGAGTACATTCTTTCGAAACCAAGTTCGTAGCGGTCGTCGGTTGATGGGCTTCATTCTTGGAAATAAGGCCAGATAGTTTAATTGACCATTTGTCTGTCAAAGAGAGTGCTTTGGGGACGAGAACACAATATTTCTACACAAGACTCAATACTCCGCTCTCCTTGACAAGCTCATCAACCATATCTTCCCACCACGCTTGTCGATCGCCGACTAGCTGCTCTTCGTCGTAAGGCTGCTCCTTCACCTCCTTGTCTAGCCAATGCCAAAGCTTCTGGATAGCGGTCCAGACAGGAGGAACGCTCTATTTTCTTTTGTCAACAATACCCCACGACAACAAGACTCCAAGGCTGTCCACGGAGATCATGACTTACCGAACGGCATTGCGCTTCACCAAGCACTACTTCGAACCACTGACGAGCGACTTCCCGGTCCTCCTCTCGATACGACGCAACCGCCATTAAGAAAACGGGGAAAAAAGGAGACTGCGAAGTGAAGAGTTTGCCAGTACATGGCAGCCGTTTAACACACTGAACTAACACCTTGAGACTTCGAAGCACGTGGGGGTGTGAGCGCGGTTTTCTGGCCATGTCAGTGTGAACCCAGAGCCCAGACAGGAGGGGAAGGCGCAAATGCAAACGCAAAGAATAATACCTGAAGACCCTCATATGAAGATAAATCTCCGCAGCAGGTATCCAGGAGTGAGCTGATAACTCAGTCACCCTAACAGAGTCGCTAACCTTTCCGTCCTTATCCAAGACGCACGACTCCATCAGCGCGGCTGTAGATGGGTGCCCGGGTGAAGCGTCAGACCATTGCCAAAAGTTTGCAAGCCTGTCTTGAATTCTCGAAGCGGCTTCGGGCACTACTATAGATTTGGGATCCTGTTCTGCATGTTCAGCATGTAGCATCAGTGGTTGTGGTGGGTAGCGAGACACATGCCAACCTTCTTCAGGAACGCTGCCAAATGAGTGATCTGCGAAAATATATGCAACAGCTTCGGACACACGCCAGTCACACCTTGAATTTTGTGTGCATCTACTTTCGAACCCCAGAGTAGCCAGAGGAAGAGGGTCTTTGTGTTTTCTTCGGAGAGTGCCGTGACGGGCTGCGCGCAAATTTCGATAGAGGCGATCCAGTTTGCATTCCCAATCCGTGCGGCACTGCTTTGGACGTTTTGGGGTTTCCAATACCGATGTCCGGGGTCCGCGCGGTCGAGAATCAGTCTCGCAGCTCGCGACCCTTCTAGCCACAGGGGCTCCTTGCCTTTGGGTCTCCGAGACTCCCAATTGACGATCTATAGATCCAGAGGGCGTCAGAGGAACTTGCACCGCTCACGTTTGCTTGTCACCACCCAACTTACATCGCTTGACAACATCAAGATCATGGCAACCACGATACCATCGTCTTGTCCGACGGTGTAAGTGTTCTCGCGATTTAGAGCTTGGTCAAGTAGCTGAACCGCAGTGCGGTAGTGGTGGTTAGCTCGCTTCCGCATTTCTTCAGTAGGTTCATAGTCCAGGACATAGGCAGTGGCAAAGGCCAATAAGGCGTGACGGGCGCAATCGTCCTTGACCGCGATGGCGACCACTTCCTTACACCAATAGTTGTCAGAGAGAAGCATGCGGCCGGGGCAATACGCCACGAGATCTGTCCCGGATCAGCGAAAAGTAGTGCAAAGGGCCCAAAAGGTAGTCAAGGTGCATACGGAAGAACCAGAGCTTTTCGTCCGTCCTGTCCAATTTCATCCCCGTAGAGAAGTTGGGCGGTAACAATGGAATCCCAGCCCCAAAGGGGCCTCCATCGTCGGGGCTAACTACCGTGCCTTGACGCCGAAATCTGAACGTCCCGAGCTTCGGTTCGGCCGGACTTGCGTTGTCTCCGCCGATATGGAACATTTCCATCTTTATGTACCCATCGACCACGCCATTGCCTGAGATGACCGGACGGACTCTATTGGCGAGTGTGGGGTGGCGTTCTGCTGAGAACTCGAGGAAAGGGTTCGACACAAAATCGTGGGTTTGCCGGCACTCCATGTTCGGGACTGACAGGAAAAGGGAAGGTATAGTCGCCCCGAGAAAGGCAGTCGTGGAAGATGAAGTTATCGTGGCAGGTGCATCGTTCATCTGGTCAAAGTCTGGAGTAAGGTAAGTTTGAGGACGAGCCAAAGTCGGGATATTGACGGCAGCAAGAGGATCACAGACCTCGCTTCCTAGACCGGGCATCCGCGGGGCCCACCACAGAGACTGGGTCATGGAACATGCCCGTGTCTAGCGGATATAGGGAGGCGTTCCTCCAGACATCCTCCAAAAGAAGGCTGGAACACTCGTCGGTATCGCAAACAGGTATAGTAAAGAGGTTATCGGCCAAGTCCAACCCGTCCACATTTTGCCAGGGATCCGACGCAGCGGTCAGGGGCACCGTGCGGACAGTTTCGCTACCCCCACCGAACATTAACTGAACATCACCCCCTAGGTACGGCAACGGTGGCGCAATGCCAAAATGCGGAACAAGCACTTCTGTGCTGGGAGTTTCCGGGGAAATGACATTGGTGTAGCTGAGAGGGAAGAATAGGGGTGGTTCGTCTATTTGGAATGCGTCTGTGGGATTCTGGTACGAAAACTCGATCGAGTTTGCGCTGGTGGCGCTTGTGGACTGCGACATGCTTGCGGGGTCAGGGTAGGCGGTAAGACCACTACCGCCTCTCGAAGACGGCAGAGTGTTGTACGGGTGGTGCCGCCAATGCTTGCGACCGCCATTTCGCCGCTTCCTCCCCGGCTCACCCATTTGGGCCGTCTTCAAAGTAAACAGAAGTGGCAAGACGGGATTCCGGATTAGAAGTGGAGATGATACGATGTGCGGGCTCCTTGTCGGTCCGCGGAGCAGGAGAAGCGATCGAGAGTTGCTCAGGAGACCCGGAACCAGAAAAGAGCAGCCGCAGCGAGACCACATTCCAGGCTGTCACACAAACCGGGCGACCTAAATTAGAGGAAGCGCTTCCCAGGTCGAGACACAGAGCCTCGCGACTTCCCTAAACAGCATATTCGCGTGGGGTAAAAGCGGGGTTCGTATTCTGAGACTCGGCCATTTCCCATTTCCCCTGCCTCCTTGCCCGTTTTCCCAATTCTCATTCCTCCTTTCGAGAACAGTGCAACGTCCCCAGAGCGAAAATCCACGACGGGCGCCCCACTTGCCGCAGCAATGTTGCCGGGATGGACCCGACTGGATTCCTCCAACCTCCAGCGCGGGGATTCCCGGAGCTCAGCAATGTCGTTCGTCGCGAGGTCGAGAGTCTCCTGAAATCTCGCGATGCACATGTTGGGTTTCAGAGCTCGCCAGACTGCCTTTTCGCCGCTATCCAGATGTTGCTGGTACGCCTTCTGCCGGAGCTTGCCGAGCGTCTCGTCCAAGGATCGCTCGTATACGACTACATCGATGCCCAGATGGACGAGATGGTCTTTGACTCCGACCTCTCAGATCTGGGGCCAGTTAACCTTCTCAACGAAAAGCACAAGAAGCTTCGGTCAGTGACGCCTATTCTAACTAATTCTCTCAAGTCAGCGGCGCTTTTTTTCACCTACATCCACTAAAGGCTCCCTGACAACGCCAGATCGTTTGTGTTTCGATTACAGCGTCTGGCAGAGGAGTTCAGCAATGACACCTTGATCCCGAGCCAGTCACAACCTGTCGTATCAATACCACAGAATCCGCCCCAACAGCCCAGCACCAGCTATTCCGCCCCGCCGCTCTTAGTGCCGCCTCCTGCCCCAGACCCTCTCATCATCAATCCCGTAGCAATAGGCTCTTACTCACTCCCCGACGTGTCTGAAAGCGTTGGAGTACTCAGCGAGGACCTCACCACGATGAATGGAGAGCCAAGATATACGTCTCTAGATAGTCTGGAGAAGGAACCCCTTTCAACAGGAAACATAAAATTCCAGCCATCATCTCCACTCTTGGAACTGGGCAACTTAGCCCATCTCGGCCACCGAGGTAAGGGCCAACACACATGCCCACACGCGTATCAATGTACCAAGGGAGGTGTGAATCCAGACGGCACGATGGTGATCTTTGAGAGAAACTCAGTCTTCAGGTTAGTTCGTTCAATGCTAGATGTCGAGGCTCTAAATAATGCATACCATGCATACTAGGGTTAACACAGAAACTGTCTACAGGGGTCACTTACAAAAACATCAGAAGCCGTACAAGTGTGAGCTGCCGGGCTGTTCGAACCGGACTGGTTTTGCGAGGGCCGACCAACTTCAACGACATCAGGCAGTCACGCGTCACGGCTAGTGGCCTCTTTGAAATGCAAACACATTTTCACAACTCATCCGAGCTACCAGTACAGATGGGCCTTGACCATTTCATTCGCCATTTCTCACATTCTTGGTTGCCTCGCACGGCGGCCTCAGGCCTGTCTTCTCATTGTCGCAACAACTAGATAGGACATGAATGTTCTCGGCGCCAGAATGATTGGAGCACAAGCTAGGATCTGATCGGGCCTCAATATTTCTAGCAAGGGCTGACGAGGCTGATTTGCAATGAGAAAACAGGCCAGTAACTTCTCTCCGCCAACTGCGGTATGCCAAAACGGCGTTTTGCCAGACCCTCAGAAGAAGTTCTGCTCCGGGGCTTGTTTTCTCATTCAAGTTTGATGTTTTTGCATCTATACTTGAGCAAAAATGGCCACGAGACCATGTATAATTAGAAGCTCCCCAACGGCAGTATGTTGAGTGCTCTTCTTTGCTTGTCCAACTTCTTCAAAAACGTCTAATAAGGTCATAGAAATCACCAAGATTCGCTCCTCTTGTATGTACAAATTCAAGCTTGCTATGCTTCGGAGCCTTCTAGTTGGACCGACCCCCAGCTAATGCCTGCCCAAGCCCACATCCCCATGTCCAAATGGAAGAGCTTGGCGAAGGCGGAGCCGCATCGCAAGTCTCATCGACTCCCCACCATGTTGGCTTCGCATTACGGTACATCCAGAGACAAGTCTGAGAGTTACAAGACGAAGAGGTGGCTCTCTGATTCGTCTGGTCACTCCGGCAACGTGACACTGCAGGAGTGGGCGCCTGCCCAACAGGAGGCACATGGTGGTTTGCTCCCCAAAGCCGAACCGGCGCAGCCTGGGAAGTCGACCACATTTGTGGACGAGTTTCTCATTTCTCACATTGGGGCTTGGACATACGACGCATGATCTAATCAAGGTCAGTGACTCACCGCAACCCAAGCTCACACCGCACCGAGACTGCTGGAACATTTCATCCCTGGTTAGGTGTGACACGTGGCTAACAACCCTCATCAGGCACTGTGCAAGTCGGTTAGTTCTGAATGAGCGGTGTCAGAAAACTGTAGGGTAGGTTGGGATTGGGGATTGGGGGGGGGGGGGGTGGTTGCGATTTGGTCCGAGGGCGACGGGGCGTATAGTGCATCCCTCTGCCTGCATTGGACCGAATTTATTGCATACCTACTGGCGTCTTGATTGGGTCGGCCAGGCTTTTGGTGCAACCCACCTGCAGATACAGAGAGACAGGATGCCGCAGAGAGGGAGGAGTCAGCTTATTAATGTTTTCTCTTTTCTCATTTCTCCTTGGCACTAAAAGTTTTTTTTTTCTTTTTTTATGCAAGGCCACAGCCACGTTAGTGGCCAACGACAATTCGCAACCGAATCAAACTCATTCAAACGTCCACCACCGCGTCGACCCTTTAGGCAGTAGACGCCCCGTTAGCATTGAACACGTAGTTGCCTACTTTAGGCAAGTCCATACCGCCCCCAACCGACAATATCTATGGAAGGCCAGCCTAGTGCCACTGGCACTTTCGCTATCGTCGGGGCTGGCGTCTTTGGCTTGTCCACAGCCTTCCACCTTCGGCGCTCCCACCCAGACGCTAAAGTCTTTCTCATTGATCGCACGCGGGGCGACCGTAGCAACCGCGGAGCAGCATCGAGCGACTTTAACAAGATCATTCGCGCTGACTACGGGGATTCCCTCTACATGAGACTTGCACTAGATGCCCAGGAAATATGGAGAGCCGACCCCGTCTTCAGCCCCTACTACCACGAGTGTGGTATGCTGTTTGCCGAGGAGATCGGGATGGGCAGGGCGTCCTTCGACAACTACAGGGACCTTGGAGTGGACACCAACTCCGAGATCCTGTCCAAAGAAGAGGCCCTGGCGCGGTTCCCAGTCTTCCAGGATGCGAACTGGTCAGGCGCCAAAGAGAACTACTTCAACCCACAGAGCGGGTGGGGAGAGGCCGACGAGGCCATGGCGAGCTTCTTCAAAGCTACCTGCGATACGGGTGTCACCTTCATTGAGGCGACGGCCGAGAAGCTGATCCTGGATTCTGAAGGCAACTGCAGCGGCGTGGCAACCTCCGAGCACGGGATAAAGCGCATTGTGTATGCTGACCGGACGATTCTGTGCGTTGGGGCCTATACGGAACAGTTTCTGGCCAATACCGCACCGGAGCGGAGCGACCTGCAGGTTGATGGGCGGCTGGTTGCCGCCGCCGCAATCCAGTGCAAGGCTAAATATCCGCCCGAACAGGAGGAGACGCTCAAAAAAGCCCCCGTCCACTTCCTTGGCATGTGGCACACTCACGGTCCGTCTCCTCTCAAGTCATTTTAAAGTAGATCCGCCCGAAGCGCCAAGCTTACTGACCGTGTGACCAGGCGAGAGCATCCCCCCATTCAAGAACCGCCTCAAGTTCAACTGCGAGGTCAGCTTCACCAACATGAGCGCCCACGACGGGCTGGGCAGGGAAATTTCCGTGCCCCCTTCAGCCGAGAGCCAAAGCGCCTGGAGCCAGGACGTGCCCGAAGGGCTCAAGCAAGAGGTTGCGAACGTCGTCAAAAACACATATGGGAGCCATGTGCCTGGGATCAAGATTGAGAGCTACAGAATGTGCTGGTAAGCGTGCTTCAAGCCTATGCCTTGCAACGAGCAGTCTGCTAACGACTAGCCCAGGGATGCCGTCAGTCCGGACCAAGACTTCATCATCGACTGCCACCCCGCATGCCAGAACCTCGTCATCGCCAGCGCCGGCTCGTTCCACGGCTGGAAGTTTCTCCCCACCATCGGCGAGTATGTCGTTAAGAGGCTGTTTGGCACTCTCGAGGAGCCGCTCGCACGCAAGTGGGCGTGGAACCGCGAACACACAGGCTCAGCCTGCGAGATGTACGAACCGACGCGAGACGTCAAGGCCATTGGACCCTTTAAGGGATGGCCAAAGACGGGGGGTGTCGGGGATGATGCTGCCGCCTGATGGAAATTTGAGGGGATGTCGTTTGTGGATCAGCGGCGGGCTCCCATGTATGCTTTACGCTTAACATGCAGGCACCCTATTATAAGGGCAAAAAAATAGTTTGGGTTTAGAAATGAATATTTCTCCGCAAGATCGAGTGGGTCAAAAGTTTTTGTTTCAGGATAAAGCTCCAGTATCGTAACAAGACGAGTAGATAGTTCGAAGTCATTAGTAAGTCTTGCACGTGATCGAAGTTGACAGCGCATTGAATTATCTAGCCAAAGAGGTTTAAAAGTACAGAAAAGAACGCTTCCTTATACTCGTTGAGAGAGGGTAAGGGAAGCGTTGTAATCAGCCTAAAAGAGGGCATTCTGAATGAAATGAGGACATTCCGAGCCAAGAATCAAGGAAGTTCAGAGGCATGTTAACCAATTCCATAAAAAGTAGTTTAATTTTAGACGACAGAATTCAACAAGGAACCAAAGATCAGGGAGGCCCTGACGCCTCAGCTACACTTGCAACTCCTATGTCTTGGCTACGCACAACCGCCCTCAGCGTGACGGGCATCGCGGCGAACCTACAGTTGCCTGCGCAACCCCTGCAGTTGCCTAGTCTACACTCAAAGACCATCGACTTAACGGGCCTCGCGGCAACCGTGCAAACGCTTTCGCTGACATCGGACGTGCTCTGCTTTCACAGGCGCCTGCGGATAGCGTGCATGAGCCTGGCAAACCCGGGCGCTCTGAAGCACCTGGCGGTCGAGGCCGGGTGGCTACTTGGCGACAGGCCGAAGCTCTACAGCCACACGGGCCCTGGCTCGGCCGAAGCCGCTCCGTCTAGGGACCTGGCGGGCCTGCTCCCGCCGTCGCTCGAGACGTTCCGCCTGATCGTGTTCGACGTAGGCAAGGACCAGAACTGCAGCTACTACGCGACGTATGAGGCCATTGTGTAGATCTTGCTACGTCTGCAGAAAATTTGCGCGAAGAACTTTCCGCATCTCAGCGACGTCAAACTCAGCCCCCGCCCGCCCTGCTCCGACCCCTGCCACGTGCACTTCAAGACTGGAGTGCGTGACTGGAAAAAGCTCGACGCGGCTTTGAAGCCCCTGTTTGCAAAGGTCCGAGTCAAATTCTCTGTGACTTACCAGGACACGGCGCCGGAGCGACTTCTTTCGTGGAGAGAGGCTCCTGAGGTTCAGTAGCTATGGTGAGCCGGGAGAATAAAGGACTAGAAGCAAGAGGGGAAATCGCAGTAGCCGAGTTATTTCTAGAGATAGCATTACAGTTGCATGTTATAAAGAGCTAAGTAAATGTACTACTATAGTTCATTTCCAAGAACTCATCCTATATTAATTAGAAATTTGAATTTAATACCCATTTGCTACGTAACTACGAATCCGCGAGGTTATTCCAGTGTAGAATTTAGCTACCAAATTCAGCGTTCGTCTCCACCGCATTATAGCTTCATAGACTAAATATTAATTAAACAGGGATATGCGGTATTTCGAAAGAGAACCTTTAATAACGTGGAAATGAAATGAATAAGGAATAAAATTATATGTTAAAGTGTTGGAATAGCGATACTGGTGACCGCACACTAGCAGGGAGGAAGCAGAGATCGCGCGAGTACGCACGTGCAAGTAGGCACGTGCGGCGCGCGGACCTCTCACACACACACACAAAAACCCCGGTCGCACGCAGAACCTACCTTGGTTCCGCAGAGAGGGAGGGAGGAGAGACACAAGATTACCCCCGGTAGATCTGCCAACCCTTCGACCTGTAGGATCCCTACGTAGTTTGAGTACCACGAACACTGATCAGTGAGTGGTGAGACACTCACAGATAAGCTACGTGAAGAGACGAGATCGTGCTACCGACGCACGCGCACCGAACTTTCGAGGGAGGTGCGAAAGTACGTGCGACAGCATCTCGTGCTACTACCTAGACTAAGAACTTCTACGAACTTCCGAGGGAGTAGAAGAGCTTTATCTAGAAGAATAAAGGAACTAAGTGTACTAAAGCGACGTTCGCGGCCATAGGTCGGGAGCAACGCACGTACAACTAGAACCTGCATTGCACGCCACTGTGCACGAACCCCGCCAAACTCCTAAACCTCCCCGCCCCCGCCCCCCACAAATCATCAGAACCCCGGTCGCACGAGAGCGACCAATCACCAAGAACATTATCAACATCTCGGCCGGAACCAGAGATGGCATCAAGCTCGAGACCCGAGAGGGACCCGAGTACGAGGGATGAGTCGCGTGAGGACATCTGGAAGAGAAGCGATATCCCAGGTACGGTATGGAAGGCAAACATCGACTGGGACCTCTGGGACGCCGAGAACGTCCCCGATCTCGAGCATCCTCTCCGAGATGGGGAAGCCACAACCTACTTCGCACGTACGATGATGGAAATCATTTGGTTCGATATGTCCCAAGAAGAAATCCAGTCGTCTTTCCGCGAGGACTTTGACGGATGGACGATCACACAATTCGACCAAGTCAATCGTACGTTTAGGAAAGAGATGCTCACAATCGCCAAGAAGAAGGGCGTACCGATTACAGGAAATAAGATATCGGAACAAGTCATGAGCCTAATGGCGGCGCGCGATCAACCACCTCAATCGCAACAGATCCCACAGCCGCGCCAGCTCCCCTCACCGCAGGTGACGAACCCCCAGTTACTACCGCTACCATACCACACGGGACCACCAGGAGGAAACGGTCCGAGAGGGTCACTGACTCCAGCCCCATCGTACGCCCATAGTAACCCTCTATACGGGACGCCCTACGTCCAGTACTCCAATATCCCACCGACCCGCCCGATCTATAACGGCCCGGTGGATAGCAGAAAGGTCACCGCATTCAGCAAGTCGTGGAAAGCATCGCGTAATTATACCGGCCGACCGTACGATATCCTCTACGATAAGGCCAAGCACTTTGTGAGTGTTTGCCAGCGGCTGGAGATCCCGGAGGACATGTATTTTGCAGTCTTCCCGGAAATCTTGTCTGATCGTGCGGAGGACTACTACCTTTTGCAGATTGGGCCAGATAAGCGTTGGGACGAGGTGTACATTATGCTCGATACGTACTTCAATACGACAATCAATCACGCAGAGTAAGTTAGGTGGGGGGGTAAGCGAACACTACTGATTTAGAACATTCTGTATAAGCAGGAGTCCCAACTAACCCTCCAACAAAAGAAAGGGTGATCTTTTTATTTACAAAACTTCAATACAATCTTTGATATCCTCTGAATCATCCGCTTCTTCCGCATCTTCTAAAACCTCTGCTGCACGCCCTACAGCTCTCTGGGCCTCACGAATAGTCTGAATATTCGCAAAGGTGGTATTTGGATCTTCTTCAACCTTCTTCTTCTTTCTGGCTCTTATTGATTCGAGAGTGTGTTCTAGACCTTCAATCTTTCGCTTCCTAATAGCCAGTTCAAAGGCCTGTTCATCCAAAGCCTTACCAATCTTTCTGAGGAAGAGCTTATCCGCTGGCATTGCTTTGATGATGCGTGCGAACTTCTTTGCCTGCTCAACGTAATCACGTGCCTTTCTAGGAGTCCTCCACTGCACCCGATCGTCTCCATAATCCTCCAGGATTGGCATACGGAGTGTGCGAACCTCTGGGGTAACTATAGTAGTTCTTAAGGGGCGTGAAGTATTAGAATTCTTGAGGAGGAGTGGGCTTCTTAGCGGTTTGTTGACATTCAAGGGCCAAAGGCCTGATGCCTTCCATCCTGACTTAGCATTACTCTTAGTAATTGCCTCTGTGCGTGAAATCTGGTAGCATTCCAGAAAGGCACGTTTTCCGGCTACAGAAGAGTCGTCAAAGGCGTTAGCAAGAAGGTCCTCAAGCCGTCTGCGATAAAGTCGTTTTAGGGGGCCAAATATGGCCAAATCTAGGGGTTGGAGGACATGGGAAGTATGGGGAGGCAGATAAATAATGTGAATATTGTTTGTGAATGCCTCCCACATATAATCGGCAGTTGTGTGGCTGCCATGGCCATCAATAATAAGGAGTCGTTTCTCAGAGGAGTTTGCTGGCTTGGTGAGAGGAATGAACACATTTTTTAACCATTTGAGGCTTGTCTCATCGGTAGTCCATCCTTTCTCAGTTGCTGTAAAGAACCAATCCTGAAATGGCTTCATATCCAAAGGAAACCATTGTTGTTGAACGCTTTTCCCCTTAAAAATGACCAAAGGAGGAAGGCAACGGCCAGCTGCTGAGATGCATTCGACAAAAGTGGTCCAAGTGCGGGTTCCAGGCTGTTTTTTTTGAAGCGCCTTAAAGGCACGGCTTTCAATGACAAGGCCGTTAGTTCCTCTGCCTTCCATAATACCAGATTCGTCCTTGTTCCAGCGATTCTCTGGCTTAATCGCCTTGATAGCTGGTGTTTGGAAATGGTTGAACCAAGGTCGAATTGTTGACTCTGTAGCGCAGTTGACGCGGACCGAATCGACTCTCTTGGCCCTCTGAGTCTTCAAAATTCGATTGCGGTTAAGAAAGGCACGGCACCACCCCTTTCCAAGTGGTAAGGAGTCCCCCCTTTCAGCTAGAATACGGCGTGCAAGCTCCCTGATCTGTGCATGTGTAGGGGGCAATCCTAAATCTTGTTAAAGAAGAATCCATTCGACTAAACGATCCTCTTGGGTCTGTGTAAGCCTTTGCTCATCTTGATGAGCAACATTTCGAGGTAGGGAGCCATGTAGACGGCCATAAAGGGTGGAGGGTGGAACGTTCCATTTTCGCGCGACTTTGCGTAATTGATGTGTTCTGACGGCTTCCTCGCAAGCCTTGCGGAGGTCTTCTTCTGTATATGAAACCATTGTCAAGAGAAGAATAAAACGAATTGAAGATGAAGAGAATTGGAAAAGAATTGGTTGAGTTATGGGCTTTTTATATAAGAGGGTTGGTTGTGTTCCTCGCTTATCTAGAATGTTCTGGATCAGTGGCGTTCGCTTACTCCCCCACCTAACTTACTACTTGGATTGGACGACCCTTACCTTCACCAAAATGCGCGAAGAAAACCCAGACGTGCCAGCTCGTGAACTCCTCGAGAAGACATTCGATAAACTCCGGCTCGTACAGCGCGCACTGGGAGAAGGTTACCAAGGCGAGATCGCACTTCATACTACAATCACCCGAGCTTTCGCAGGAATTAAGGAGTTTGAGTCCGCACTAATGGGTCAGAGGACCACGTGCGAAGCACTCTTCGATAAACTCCGGACGGCTCTCAAGGTTGTGGGCGACAGGAAAGCGACAAGCCAATATCATACGGAGACGCACGACCAGAACTATGTCGACCGGCGATACCGATCAAATCGCGAAAACGAAAAACCAAAATTCTTTAAGCGTCCATTCAACCGAAGAGACTCATCCTACCGTCCTCGTGCGAGATTTGATGAGAAGCGTACGAAGGACAGGAAGTGCTTTGTATGCAAGAAGGAGGGATGCTGGTCAACAAACCACTCGAAAGAGGAGCGGGAGAAATCCCGGCGAGCATATCTCTAAGCATGCGAGACCCTAGAGAATAAGGAGGACTTCGCACAATTCCTCGTTGGATATGAGGTACTGCGCCCGAGACCGACGACGAGAGTAGCGAAGAAGAGTACGAGGACGAGAGCCAAGATGAGGAGAAGGCTCAAGCCGTACAATTCCTCCAAGAAAAGGCATATATCCATCGCAAATTCGGCGAAGATATATACCAAGAGCAAGAGAAGCAACCCACACACCAATTCGTCCTGGAAAACCAGTATATGACGATATACCAAGGCGAGCTCTGGGATACTGGAGCCGCCCAAGTATCGACCGTCGGAAAGTGCCAGGTTGAGGCGTACCTGAGAGAGAACCCCCGTGCGAAGATCATTTGGACACCCGGTACGGCAGAGATTCGTTTCGGTAGCGGAAATACCAAGACCTCTATAGGGACGATCCTTATGGAGAACGCCATCGGCCAAGTTACGTACCATATCCTTGAAACGGCAACCCCATTCCTGTTGAGCTTGGGAGACGCGGATCGACTAAAGGCATTCTTTAACAATGTCGAGAACGTCATCGTACGAGAGGATGGTGAGAAGATTCCCGTCGTGCGGAAACGGGGACAAGCTTTCTTCAATACCAGCCCTATAGAAGCAGGAGTCTACCTATCTGAGCCAGAGCAGAGGAGACTTCACCGGCGCTTCGGACACCCTCGTACGGATAAGCTCTATAGACTTCTGAAGAAGGCAGGACACGAGGACGTACGTGAAAAGATTCTTGAGGAAATCGAGAAGGTCTGCCACCATTGTCAGACGCACGACCCGGCACCCCAGCGGTTCAAGTTCACGATCAAGGACGAGTGCGAGTTTAATTACGAGGTCGTTATCGATATCGTTCAGCTCAAAGGAAAGAAGGCACTACACGTTATCGATATAGCAACATCATTCCAGGCAGCCACGTTCGTGCGATCGATGTCAGCAAATGATGCGTGGAACGCACTATGTCGGTGCTAGATCTATGTCTATCAAGGTCCACCAGACATCGTCTCGCACGACCCCGGAACCAACTTCGCATCGGAGGAGTTCAGGAATAATGCGAGAATCATGGGTGTCTCTTGTAAGGAGATGCCAATCGAGGCACACTGGGCAGTCGGAAAGGTCGAGCGAGCTCACCGCCCCTTGGAGCGGGCGTACGATATCCTTCACCACGAGCTCAGCCATCGTACAGATGAGGAAACCATACTCCAGATGGCTATCAAGGCCTTGAACGATACCGCCGGCCCAGACGGACTCGTGCCAACACTCCTAGTATTCGGAGCGTACCCAAGGATCAACCATGACTCGCCACCGTCGCCAGAGATCAAGGAGCGAGCAGTGGCAGTGCAGAAGGCGATGAAGATGCTGCGCGAGATACGTACGCAGGTAGACGTCAATCGTGCGTTAAATACCAGGAACGGCCCACGGACGGACGACGTCCTCGCACTACCCCTAAGGAGCGAAGTACTCGTTTGGCGAGAAGGCAAGGACAAGAAGTGGGAAGGTCCCTACCAAGTCATCGCTAAGGACTACGCCAACGTCACCGTCGAGATACAGAGCGGGCCAAAGACATTCAGGATCACGCAAGTTAAGCCGTACTATCGGGATGAGAATCCAGACGTCACGCACAACCAGGGACAAGAACCCATTCCCAGTGTACTAGACCCCATTCCCAACGTACCAAATCCCAATCCCATAGCACCAGTTCCTATTCCTATCAAGCGAGGAAGGGGACGACCGAGAAAGAATCCCATCCTAGTACAAGGTACGATCAATATGACCCAGAAGGAACGCGACGCACGACAGCTAGCTATCCAACTCCGAGAAGAAGGGAAGATCACTACCCCCGGCAACCCATTCGAAGAATCGGACGCCCAGGAAATCGATGCCCTATTGATCGCGCACGTTATCGAGGTCATCCGATTCGATGAGGAGAAGCATGGGGTATCCGTATATATGACACTCGACTCGTACGAGAGATAAAGGGAAAGGAGACGGTCCCATACGAGAAGTCTAGACTCATCGTACAAGGGTACGGAGACGAGGATAAGGAGATCCTCACACAAGCCCCAACCATCCAGAGAATGAGCCAGCGACTGATCCTCGTACTGGCACCTTCGTTGGAAGCGCGGTTTAACGTGCGAGTCGAACTGCGAGATATCACTCAAGCGTATACCCAGTCCAAGGATCCGCTACAGCGAAAGATAATCGCACGACTCCCCAAGGAACTTAGAGATAGGTATCCAAAGGGAACGGTGCTCTGGATCCGAAGGCCACTCTATGGACTGGCAGAATCAGGAGTGCATTGGTTCAAGACGTACGCCCAGCACCATGTTGAGAAGCTGGGAATGCGAACGCCAACGTACGACCCCTGCCTACTCCATACCCAGGACGGGCAGAAGGAATTCGGCATTACCGGGATGCAGACGGACGACACACTCACGCTGGCCACCCCTGATTTCTCCAAGAAGGAAGAGGCTAAGCTTGAGGAGGCAGGGCTGAAGGCTAAGCCGAAGTCGATCCTTACGTACGACACCCCAATCGAGTTTAACGGATGCCGGATCCAACTTCAAGGACACAATATTACCGTCATACAGAAGGGACAGACGGAGCAACTAAGTCTGATTAACCCAAAGGATGAAGACGCACCCCAGCAGTACGTCTCCCAGCGAGCGCGAGGAGCGTACATTGCCAGTATCTGCCAACCTGAAGCAGCGTACGACCTCTCAGTAGCGGCTCAGGTAAAGGAACCCAAGAAGGCAGATTTCGAGGCCCTGAATAAGCGAATCCGATGGCAGATGGATCATCCCGGGCGAGGACTTCGATACCAGCCACTGGAACTCGACCGTACGAAGCTCTTTATCTATACCGGTGGTTCGTTCGCGAATAATAAGGACATGTCATCGCAGCTCGGATACTTGATCGTCCTGGGGGTAGAAGACGACCGTACGGATAAGTCATACGCAATGACTGGTAATATTATCCACTGGTCCTCCACCAAGTGCAAGAGGATCACAAGGAGCGTACTGGCGAGCGAGCTCTACGGCATGGTGAGCGGATTCGACAGCGGCATCGCCATTAGTACAACACTCACCAGGATCACAAGCGTACTGAGGATCGCACGGATCCCAGTAATTATCTGTACGGACTCCAGGTCCCTATACGATTGCTTGGTGAAACTGGGAACCACGAGTGAGAAGAGGCTAATGGTCGACGCGATGTGCCTCCGCGAGGCGTACGAGCGAAGGGAGATCTCAGAAGTTAGGTGGATTGACGGACGAGATAACCCAGCCGACGCACTCACCAAGAAGAACCCCAACCAAGCCCTCGCGAAGCTGGTAGAGGACGGCAAGATTACCGTACGAATCGAGGCATTCGTAGATAGGTTAGAGAAGAAGGAGGGAGAATAGAGGAAGGAGAGCACCCCATGTACCAACACATCACGACGGCCATTACACGAGCACCAGATTCACTAAGAAAACCCCAATTTTTCTTTTAACTCAACGCACGACCCATATCAAAGAGAAAAGAATACCGCACCAAGAAAAACAAAAGAAAACTCCTCAAGCGTACGAAGAGCCAAGGCGCGAGCCAAGGCTAAGGGAGGAGGGTATCCCTATCGAATATGATTGGGTTCAAGCGACGCTCGTCCTCCTAGCTGCAAGTTAGCTCATCGTACGAAAAGAAAGAGTCTCGAGGGTAACTGACGTTGACGGCGAGACAACCAAGGAGACGGCGATTACCGGCCGAGGCGGTTGGGATCAGAATCCAGATGGATCCGTCACCCATCGTACGATGGGGGATCTCCCCGAAGAGGAACGACGCCACCGTGCCTTGATTGACGATGGCACCGGACGCAGCACCGGCGCCGCCAGCAGGGACGAGGCCGCCGCCGGAGGGAACGAGAGCCATTATGCCGAGGGAAGGAGCCCAGATCGGAATTAGCAGGCAAACAAGTTATCGGACGAACCGGTACGGAGGGCACGGAGCGGGCCACTCATTTCACCATCATCTTATCCGGCACCGGGCATTGGACGAGGCTAGCCGGCACGGCTCGCTTCTCCACTACGTACGCACCGAAAGATTGGTGAACAAGGCATAGTACGAGTAAGGCAAACACCTAGTTCAGACGAAGTAGCACATCGCGAGTACGATCACGTCAGCCGAACCACGAAGAAAGGTCACCACGAAAGGGAATCATTTCCGAGAGCAAGCAGGAGATGAGACGGTATTCAGGGAAGAAAGATAAGTACGATAAGAGGTCACTAGAAGGGGATAGGCAGACTGGAGGCGTGCGGTCACAAAAGAAGAGTTGCCAATGTTGGAATAGCGATACTGGTGACCGCACACTAGCAGGGAGGAAGCAGAGATCGCGCGAGTACGCACGTGCAAGTAGGCACGTGCGGCGCGCGGACCTCTCACACACACATACAAAAACCCCGGTCGCACGCAGAGCCTACCTTAGTTCCGCAGAGAGGGAGGGAGGAGAGACACAAGAGTACCCCCGGTAGATCTACCAACCCTTCGACCTGTAGGATCCCTACGTAGTTTGAGTACCACGAACATAAAGTAAAGGTTAAGAATAGAAAAAAGGCAAAAAGAATCGACCCACCCAGGTCTCGAACCTGGAACCTCCTGATTCGTAGTCAGACGCTCTACCATTGAGCCAGCAGGCCTTGATTGGATAGGAAAGTATACCATACCGCGAGTATAAGAAGCGGGGTTTTACTTCGGCTTGAGCTATTTGGGAGGCTTTATCGCGCATTCACGAAGTCTACAAGTTTTCTCTGAATGCTTCTACTAGAACAAAATCGTAGAAGTCTTTGTTTTCGTAGCACCCTCGGTCGCGATAGAGAATCTGACATTGAAGCACGACGACACCCAATCATTACGACTTGACCCGACCAGCACGTCCAAATCCTCCCTTCTTACTTGGTCTTTCATTTCGAGTTTTGCCAATCTAGCCGCCGAGAAAAGAATCGCATCTGCGCACGAGTCATTTGCGGCGTTTAACTTTTGCTGTCGCCTTGAGCACAACTTGAGTTGGCAGGGGTCGTCGCGCAACTGTCATAATTATCTGAAGGTCTTCCTCTTGGTGTTGAGTTAGTAGTTTGAACCGTGCCTTCTGTTGATAGCCCTGGTCAAATTTGGGAAACTTGATACGGCATGACATCCGCGAGTTGATGCAACGACTGCACCTTCCTTGTCGATACATTCTCCGTAAATCGAAATCGTATAAGCCCCCCCTCCCCTTCTCGGATCGGTCATCTTGCAATCTTCAATATTGCAGGGCTGGCATAAGCTGTGCTCTGAATCAGCCCTATCACATGTCGGACGCGATAGAGTCGATCGGTCGGCATCATAAATGTAAATCAGGTGCCAAGTGCCTCTAGACAGGCCGCAGTAATTGCTTGCAGCCGCGGAGATAACACGAGACGCCAGTCAGCCTGCCGCGGCACCGTGTTTGGGAAGACTTGCGCAGCGGCCCAAAGGGGAAACGGGTGGCGGACAGGCACGGTGCAGACTCGGAGGGGTGGCCCAGTTGAAATTGTGCGCCCGCCGAGACCACTGTGCCACCACTAGCGCGACCTGTCAGGGACGCCAAGGCGCAAGTGCCTCGTGGGCCTCCTGCGCGCCGTTTGACAACACCTCCACATAAAATGTGTTTGTCCCGGTAATGTCATTTGGTACTGCTTCAGCCATAAATACCATGCGGGCGCTGCGTGAGACAGATTGGGCGTTACATTTAGCTTTCATCTAGAACACTTATTCAGAGCCAACTAGCACCTTTCCAAGCCTGGTATTGCAGGCCACACAATTGATTCTATTTTTCCCGAATCGAGACCCGACTCACAGCACCGACACCGATTCGCAATCCTGAATATCATCGCCAACCCAAATAAATACTCAAACACAAGACTTGTCGTCGCAGACATGGACAACAGCGGCGACGATGAAACGGTGCCCACCTACACCGAGACCGACGAGGGCGACCTCGTCATGGCCGCCTTCATCGCCGACGCCCTAGCGACGGCGAGCCCCGGGCCAGAGCGCGACGGCGACAACAACGACAACGGCGACAGCAGCGCGCTGCCGGAGCGGTTCCGCGACCTGCCGCTGCCGCTCACGCAGTACCCCATCGCCGGCCACGACTGGCAAGGCGCACCGCGGGTCGCGCTGCTCACCGACTCGTCGCTGCCGGCGGAGCTGCAGACGCAGGTGCAGCTGATCGAAGCCCTGTACCACGCGGTGCGCCACAAGAACGATGAGGTAGTGACGGCGCTCGTCTCGCGCGGCCTCGTCTCGCCTGACGTGCCTGACGCCGCCGGCAGCACGCCGCTGATCGCCGCCGTCGCCGCGGGCAACGGCGCCATGGTATGCACGCTGGCACGCCTCGGCGCCAGCGTCAACGGCTACGGCACGTACGACGACGGGAACAGCCCAGCCACCCACCTCTACAATTACCACCACTTCACCACCCTCAAGCAGCTCACCGAGCAGCAGCTGATGCGTCAGCGCACGCCGCTCATGGTCGCCGCCGCGCGCGGCAACCTCGCGCTCGCCAAGCTGCTCGTGCAGGACCTCGGCGCCGACGACGCGCTGATCGCGCCCGACGGCCAACTCGCGCTGCGCCTGGCCGCCGACGCGGGGCACCGCGACATCGTCGGCTTCCTGCCCGTGCGCCGCGGCGGCGGGTGGCGGCGCTGGCAGGTGACGCACGCCGTGGCGGTGCGCCGCATCCGCCGCGCCGCGCGCAACATCCTGCGCTTCCTGCAGTTCTTCGCCTGGGACGTGCCCAAGTTCGTGCTGTGGACCGTGCCCAAGCACGTCGTCGTGCGCCCGCTGTTCAAGAGCGCCCGCTACGCGTGGAAGAACAAGCAGCGCCTCGCCGCCTGGGCCGCGCGCCAGGCCAGGGCCCTCCCCGGGCGCGCCGTGCGCGGCGCCAAGGAGACGTGGCGCGTCGCGAAGAAGGTGCCGGGTGGTGTGTGGCGTGTCGCCAAGGCCGTCCCGGGCCTGCTACGGCGGCTGTTTCTCTGGCTCGGCCGTGTCGTGCGGCGAATCCCCGCCGCGCTGCGCAAGGTGTGGGCGTGGGTCTCGCGGAGCGCCCAGCGGCTCGGCGGCGCCGTCGCGGGCGTCATGCTGCGCATTGCCGCGGCCGCGCACACAGCCGTCATGGCCGTGCTGAATCTGTTCCGCCGCATCACGCTGCGCGACGTGTGGCATGGCCTTGTCGGGGTGCTGCGCGCCGTGTTTGTGGATTTCCCGTGGGCTGTCTGGGGGATCCTGAAGGCCGCTGGCCACATGGCGGTCGATGTGTTTGTCGGGCTGTTTGGGTTCACTGCGCTGGTGATTGTGACTATCGCCCAGGGCCTGTGGTGGGTCTTCAAGTATGTCCCGCGCCAGTTGTGGAAGATTCTGCGCAGCATTGGCAGCTCGTTTGCCAAGGGCTGGCACGAGGTGGCTGTGTGGTTCAACCCGAAGCACTAGGTGTGGTGCTTGCTTGTGTGGTCTCCTTGCTTTGTGCTAGCGTTTCTGGGATGTGAGGCGTTGGGAGTAATTTGCTGGGTATATACAATATCACTGTCTTCTGGTTTCTTTTTTTTTTTTCCTTTTTCTTCTTTTTCCTTTTTTTTTTTGCATGCCCCAGGGCACGCAGGAGTGGGTCTCTAAATGTAGCCAGGAAGTTTCGATGTGCTTTTTCCATCACCTCTTTCAAGAAGCGTCCATCGGTAGCGTATGCGGGCCAAGCATTGCCCAGGTCGCTGTCCAAGTCAGACTTGACCGTGAGCTTGCAGATGCAAGGGCCAATAGATGGCAAATAGGTTACATGACCTGGAACGCTGCACTAGAGCTGCTTCATCATGCAGCCAAGACTATCGAGACACCGACAGCGCGCTGTAATTTAGCAGCTGAAGCCTGTGCAAGTCTCGTCAATGAGGCGATATAGAAGCTGCACTGACCGCCCGTTGAAGCCGAGGCAGACCTCGACAAATTGGCACAAGCGAGCGAGCTGCCTGCAGTCGCTGTTGACCAGGGCTAGCGAAGTGAGGGTGGCTTTGTTGTGGGCGAGGAGATCGATGATGTCGCCCAAAATTTCGACGGGCAGGTCGAATAGGGGACTGTGCCTGGATGCAGTCTACTGGCCTCCCATGATCTTTGGGAGTAGGAGTGACAGTTCCGGTGCCGGATTCGCTGTCTCGTCGAATATATCTTTATGGTTTTGAGTAGCGTAACTTCGGAATTCTCCGTATGTGCCGAAGCAATACTCGGCACGTGAAATCGCGTTGTATTCCATGGCGAAGGAATAAGTTCGTCTGCAAGATGCGATAACTTGGTAAGGTGAGTCAAGTAAGGGAAGATGCCAAATGACTTCTTGTCGCGAGGTGAAGTCTACGTTTTGCGTCGAAAGTTGAAAAAGGGGGCGGCCGAGGATATAATATAGACTCATACGAGTGCTAGAGCAGCGAAGCCGTTCGTTGGTAACCTAGGCCGCCCAATTCGATTCCTCTCGTAGGCCTGAAGTCGGATATATCGTTGTCCTAGGAACTGAATAGCAGAACTAGTCATTTCGCAACTTGTTGGAATGACGCGCTAGTCAGCCACTGAGGGTCATCCACGAAGGTGGCTGTGGTGGCACAGGGCCACAGATTCTATATAAGTGGCCTACGGCCACTTCCATCTCTGTCTTATAGATACACAAACATCAACGAATCAATCACTTGAACCAACAGTTTTCGGCGTGCAGTTACGCCCTGTTGCTTCCAGTACTGGTACCTGGTGATTCCAACACAACTACACCGCGCCGCGCGGGGTTAGGGGCGAACAACAGTCGTATCAGAGAGAATCGAAACCGAGAGAGAGAATCGAAACCGCAGCAGACAATTACCCCAAGCTCAGATGATAGGCTTAGATTTAGATGAAGGGAAAAAAATAAGATGGTGGGTAGAAAACATAACAAACTGCCTTAAGTGCTATAGTTGGTGCTCTTTTATTTTCACTATTTGCATTAAAATCCGGTCATGTAGGCGCAGGTCTCTCGCTTGCGTAGATGTAAATTTAATCTGAGTTGGATATGCGGATCCTCGCCCCCTAGCTTGTCTCTATTCTAGTTCACTGTTGAAAATGGAATCAATGTCGTATTGCACAGCTAGCGTCTGTATTATTTTGACTGTCACGTCACTTTACGTAACATACTAAGAAGAAACAATGAGTCACAATTATTCCGTACTAGTGGTAGTTACTATTTGCTGAAACTGACTTCAATTCCCGCACTCCACCCATTGTTCATCAATAAACTTCATCCTAGTTTCAAAAAATACCCAACACCACGACTGCAACATGACATCCATCTCCCAGCTTGCCGCCATCCACCGGCCCGACCTGGGCCCCCTGGAAGAGCTGTACAGGTACCTGCACGCAAACCCAGAGCTCTCGAACCAGGAGTCAGAAACGGCGGCGCACATCGCCAAGCTGCTGCGCGACATATCCGCAGATTTCGTCATCAAACCCAACATCGGCGGCCACGGCCTGGCAGCGATCCTGAACAATGGCGACGGGCCCACCGTGCTGCTGCGGGCTGACATTGACGGGCTGCCGGTGCTGGAGCGGACAGGCCTGCCCTACGCCAGCACCAAACGCATGCTAAATGCCGACGGCGTGGAAAAGCCAGTGATGCACGCCTGCGGCCACGACATGCACATAACGTGCCTCATTGGGGCCGCGCAGCTGCTCGTAGCCGCGCGCGCGTCGTGGGCTGGCACGCTGGTGTTGGCGTTCCAGCCGGCCGAAGAGCGGGGCACGGGCGCGCAGGCCATGATCGACGACGGCCTGTACGACGCGGCGCGGCACGGCGTGCCGGTGCCCGACGTGGCGCTGGGGGCGCACGTGATGCCGTTCCGGTCGGGCGGCATCGGCACGCGGCGCGGGTTGGTGGCCGGGTCGGCCGACAGCATGCGCGTGACACTGCACGGGCGGGGCGCGCACGCGTCGATGCCGCACCGCGCCGTCGACCCCGTCGTCATGGCGGCCAGCGCCGTGATGCGGCTGCAGACCATCGTGGCGCGCGAGGTCGACCCCGCCGACAGCGCCGTCGTGACCGTGGCCAGCATCCACGCCGGCGACGCCGAGAACGTCATCGCCGACGACGCCACGCTGTCCATCGACACGCGGTCCGTCACGCGCGCCACGCGCGACCGCGTCATGGGCCGCATCCGCGACCTGGTGCGCGCGGAGAGCGCCGCGGCCATGGCCGTGCGCGAGCCGACGTTCGAGACGACGCGCAGCTTCCCGCTGACGGTCAACGACGCAAGCGTCACGGCGAGGATTGAGGACGCCTTCGCCGAGCACTTTAGCGAGGGCCCCAGCCAGTACAACCGCGACATCCCGCGGCTAGCCGTCAGCGAGGACTTTAGCATCCTCGCGTCGGCCGTCGACAGGCCCTACTGCTTCTTCCTCTACGGCGGCACCGGCCACGAGCTGTGGGACAAGGCCGAGGCGGACGGCGCGCTGGAGCGCATCCCGACTAACCACTCGGGCTCCTTCGCGCCGGCCATCCAGCCGACGCTGCAGACGGGGTTGGACGGGTACGCTGTGGGCGCCTTGGCTTTTCTTGTCAGGCGGGATTAAAGCTCGAGAGTTCGCTGGTTAGAAATCGGATATATGAGAAGAACGGCACACTCCAGCACTCTCACGTATCTCGGAAACTTCAACGTTTTCCAACTCGAACGCTACGTCCAGGCAAACTGGGGGTTTGAGATCGAGTATGTCTTTGTAATTAAGCACAGGTAACCAACAATCGTTATCACTGGCAGTGAGTGATCAGGGTTGTTGGTAGCAAGCTGAAATACCTTTCGTATTGTCAATCTCGTTGAACAAGAAGACATCATCATTAGTCCAGTTATTAATAAAGTGCGGTTCGGTATGGTGTACATAGCTTTGAGTAAGGTTGTATAGTGGAGAGGGTTAGATGAGAAAGACGAAAAAGCAGCTGGATCAGCATGGTCTGTGGTAATTAGCACCCATCCATAGATATCTCCATGCTCGACCACCCTCCAATCTTTGTCGTGCATGCATACTTATACGATGCTTCCGCACTCCCATCCAACGTAATGCAACATGAGAGACACTCAGAGACCGGCAAGTATATGAAGCTGTGGAAGTGTACAATGTGTGCATTGGCTAAATAACTCGTGGAGGAGGAAATCTCCCTACAAAATGCGTGAGCGAAATCCCCAGGGCGGGGCTAGTGCCTACGTGCAGTCATGTGTGGTGCAACCCCCGCCACAGAAGCACATCTGGGGAATAGCAGGTGGAGCATGAACGAACCCGGTTTTTGGATGCCATGGAGCCCGGAAGCTAGGGAAGCCAAGAGTGAGATCTTCAGCTTCCGTATGCTTGGCTGGAGGGTTGACGGCGCGCGGGAGGATCTGGGGGAGGGCGGGCAGAGCCAGGGCGAGGCCGGCGAGGCCCGCCAAAAGGAGCGCTGTGTTCATCTTGGGTATGATTTCTTGATAGGGTTTGGCGGTGAGGTGGTGACGAAGGTGATGGCACTCTGCTGGTCTGGCTCTGCTCACAATGTCGGATGACGTCCAAGATCAAGGCTGACGCCGACGACAGCCCTCCCTTTTAGGCCGGCCCATGGCGAGATGATGGAGGTCTGCTTAGCCTGGTACGGCCACGGCGACCTTACCGTCCTCGACGGCTGGCCCGACGGTAATGTGGCCATGAGGCGTAGGACGGGCCATCCCCAGAGCCGCTACGACGACGCGTTTACTCCGGTGTTGCATTGCACTCATGTTGTTTGCCTGATCCATGGCAGCCCGCGCGAACAGTTCAGCACCATCAGGGGGTGTGGCTGACCCGCCACTGCACTGTCCAACTCGGTGCAGCAGTGCGCGACAAGCACACCTGCAATCTTAGCGGCTGCTGGGTCGGTGATTGGAAGCAGCCAAATTCACGCACGTAGAGCCGTCGCTAGTCGCCAGGAACCCTTCGAGTGTCGAGGAACCAAGGGACCTGAACGAGAGTTTCTGCTGTTGCTTTTGATCTGGGCATCTGATGATAGATATAAATAAATAACACGCCATGTGAGGGTTTTAGTTAGCATACACGTTGCCCTTCTGCGATTATGTTGACCGATGTTTCTTGGGTCAAGCCAGTTTGTTTCATCTCAAGATAGTGGCATGTGCCTCGGGGCGGGTGAGGCGCGCTGGCACGTTAACGTCTAGAGAAGCTAAGGTTCGTGGCGAACCGTAGGACCGTTCGGCCATAATTGGAAGCCCAAAGAGATGATGGTCGGTAAGACCCACCGTGCGCCCTAATTGTCGGGCTGGTGTTAATGTCATAGGTGGCTCCAGGCACCTTGTTATTGTTAGGCTGCCCTGGCTGGGGTAAGCTGAAGCCCCGCGCATCAGTGATGGCTGCCTGAAAAGAACGGTATGAAGTGCAATTCCAGGTGTGGAGTAAACCCTAACTCTGAGGATAATCCTGTGGTGGGGCTTTCATGCCCCACAGACCCAGACCTGAACCGAGCGCGGCCAGGATAGGCTTAGTGCCAAGACTCCCATCGCCAAGACACCTGCTTGTCGGCCCCCGAAACGAGAGAAAAGCATGTGGCAGATCCAGTCAGATGCAATTCATCCATCAATTTGAACCCACCCGCCATCATAAACTGAATTTTGACCTCTTTCATGAGGTTCCCATTACATAATGGCACTCTTCAGCTGTATCTCTTGCTCATGTAAATAGCCTACGCTAGCGAAAGCAATTCCGTCTTCGTGGACCCACCTCTTATCTCCGCCGCTCCGGTGGTTGACGAGCGTGTTAGCTAAACAGGCCACCAACGAAACGCGTGTGAGCCACCTGCAGCATCATTCCGCGTCATCATCCATCAGATTGGCCACGAAATACGAGCGAGACAGCCACGGAGCCATCGTAGACCCCGAATCTGCCCCCCAAACCATGGTCCCATTAAGGCTCCGAGCCCATTGCAAATTTCCATTTAAACCGCCGTCAACAGGCGACATCTTCCTTTTCAATTCCTAGACATTCCACCCTCAACCCCAACACCCTTCCAGAAAAAAGCCATGACAATCCGCTCCCTCGTCGTCGGCGGCACAAGCGGTATCGGCTACGCCATGGCCTGCCGCGTCGCCGCCTCCACCGCCGCCACCGACACCGTCCTCATCAGCGGCCGCACCAAGCCTGCCGACCTCCCGCACGCCAACATGGAATTCCGCCCTCTCGACGCCTCCTCAATGCGCCAAATCAAGCACTACACCGACGCGCTCAAATCCGCCTCGCCACCGCCCAAACTCGACCTCCTCATCATGACGCAGGGCATCATGACGACGGCCCCGCGCACCGAGGTTCCCGGCGAGGGCATCGACCGCAAGATGGCCATCCACTACTACGGCAAGCAGCTCCTAATTCGGGAACTGCTTCCTGTGCTCTCCGAGTCGGCGCGCGTCGTGATTGTCTATGACGGCAAGCTGGGCAGCCCGTCCAAGCTGCTCTGGGAGGATCTGGACCTAAAGACGCACTTCACGCTGGTTCGCGCGGCGGACCACTGCATTTCGATGATGGACGCCATGGTGCAGTGGTGGGCTGGCGCCACTGCGAGTCGCCTGGGGGGCCGGCCGCACTTTGTGCACGCGTTTCCTGGGACCGTGAATACCAATCTCCTGAGGGAGGTGGTGCCATCATACCTGCAGGGCGTGGTGCGCGGGTTGGGGAATGTGTTTCTTACGGCGCCAGAGACGTGTGCCCAGAGGTTGCTGGACGGGGCTGAGCGGTGCGCGGTGGAGGGGGCCGAGGAGGGCAGGTTTTGGAGCAATATTGATAGTAAGGGTGGCTTGTATAGGAACAAGGCGGTTTGGAGCGAGGAGCAGTTGGCGAGAGTTTCGGAGCATACTTGGAAACTTGTGGATGCTACGCTGCCGGCGGAGGGGTAGGTTGTCTCCTTTCCTTTTCTCCTGTTCGTTGCCTCTCCTCTGTGGGTGTTGCGGCGCTTCGGAGAATGTATAACACCTTGGTTGTGGTAATTAGGAAAGGAATCCCATTTCTTGAAGCACCTAGGGTCCATTGAGACTTGAGCCCCTTTCTCGAAAGAAATGCAAAGACACGTGGCACATCAACTTAAGCCTTAGTTACATCAACATCTGTACCAGGAGTGGCGGGACTTGGGTGCTGTGTCTACCCGCGCCCACACAGCCTCTTGTTTCTCCTCCTTTCCTTTCTATACCCAGAAGATCACGCTTCGTCAGGTAGTCAACTACGTTGTCCAGTATAGTTCCTAGTCAACTGCTGTCCGCTTTGGCTACTGTGCTCTGCCCTAAAAATACACCTCTGATGCGGTGAATTATACAATCACTGGTAAGAGGCGATCAAGAGAATTTGGTATCCGAGCCCTCGCTGAGCTCTCGCTGAGCCGGCTGACTATGGCCCGTGCCCCACCTTGCGCTCGCCGGCCTATCGTATTTTGGGATCTCCACACCAGGCCACCACACAAATGCAGCCTAGATCCCAGTCTCTCCATCCACTCAGCTGATTGCGCAGCTGAGTTGGGTCTAGTACGCTAGCGCTACAGCGCTTCCCAGTTAGACAGGCCGCTGTAACTAGGCTAGCTTGGCTGATCGAGCCGCTGTGGCCCCCTATTGACCAGCCTGCCCGCGGGGCGTGCCAGCGAGTTGGCTGCTCGAATGCGTATAAGGCCTCTCGCTCGCTCCACGTCTGGCCGGCTAGCCGTAGAGCTAGCCAGCTTCCTGCGCATCTTATCGATCAATTGACCTCTTTTTAACTATGGCCCGCAAGCGACAGAGGGCGCCGGCGGCGCAGCCGGCTCCGGCTACGGCTCCGGCTGGCGGCCAGAGTGGGGATGTGATTATGGTTAGCGGCCTACCCCCTGTCCTAGGCTTGGGACGCGTGCAACGCGACGCACACAACAACGCAGAACTACGCGCCAACGCGCAAAGCATCCTCTCGGTAATCCACAATATGCGGCCAAAGAATACGACCTCTACGTACGAGCCAAAGCAGCGGGAATTCCAAAATTTCTGTAGGCTACAGCAGTATTACGATGGGGATACCGTCACAGAAGACAAGCTCCTTTACTTCCTCACCAAGAGCGTCACCAGCCGGCCGTTACGAGCCAAAAGCCGGAAGGCGGCCGTGGATACCCCACAAGAAGAGACACGGCTAGCCTGGCGATCGGTCCGTAGCTATATCACGGCAATTACGGATCTCTACCGCACGCAAAAGGCACGCGGTATGAACATCCACCCATCTCCACGCGAAGACAATGTCCGGGACTATCTCAAGTCCTTACAGCGGCGCGATGCCGAGCAGGCCAAGACCAGCTATGCGGATAAAGGTTCTGATACTCTGCTGGATGGCTATACGGAGCTGGAGTTCGAGACGATATGCCACGAGCTGTGGGTACATACAGCCACCGGCCCAGCCGAGAGCCACCTACGGACCCTTGTCGACCTGCTTCTTGGCCACTATATGCTCACACGTGGAGGCGACCGGAGGGCTTTAGAGCTATCCGATCTATTTACCTTTGAGTTCCCGGACGAAGGCCCTACTCCTTGTATGCCGTTAATTATGACGACGCGGGCCGGGAAGACCAACCAGCACGGCCGGCTCGAGACAGCCGGGGCCCTACGGAACCGCAAGCCACTGATTTGTGCATTGAGCGGCCTCGCATTTTACCTCCTTTTTCGCTGGGATCTTACAGAAGAGCCGTTCCCAGACTTCAGCCAGCGGCCGGCGTGGTACGACATCCGCCTGATTACGAGCAGTAGTACGGGGCGGACGGCAGGTCTCTCCTACAACTCGCAACGGGAGTGGGCGGCCCGGGCCCTCTCGTATGCTGGGATCAGCTCCCAAAAGAAGACACACATCGGCCGTAGCTCGGGAGTGAAGGTGGCCGAATTGAAGGGTGTTAGCGAGGATCAAATCCGCCGGGCCGGCCGTTGGAACCAAGAGCAGATGATCGGCTGTTACCTCAACTCCCTGCCCCGCACGTTTATGCGTACTATGGCCGGCCATCCTCCGCAGATGGGATGCTTTGAGGTCCGGAGGGCCGGCGTGGCGCCGCCAGCCGACCTCCTTTCGATGATTTGGCCGCAGTTGGACCAGTGGCAAGGCCGGTTTGGCCCAGGGCCTGGCCAAATTAACGATCTAGCTGCTATGTGTCACGGCCGGCTTGGAATGAGGGCGGAACTCCTCTATTGGGCGCTATAGACGAAGATTCTAAACTAAAGGGAAAAGGGAAAAGAAGCTCAAAAGCCTCCCGTCGCGAGATTCTTCCAGGGCGTCTCAAGGTGGGGCTCTGGCTGGTCGGGTGGATCCACCCAACTGGCGTCTGATTAGCCAGAGCGTCTGGGAGGCCTGGAGGACCAGGCCCTCACACTATGGGCTTTACTAACCTCCTTTTTTACCTCCGTGGGGTAGTTCTACAAGACTCGGCTGTCCTGATGGATAGGTTCCCGAACAGCCCAGTTTGGAGCCACCCAGTATTCCAACACCCGGGATATAAGCCATTCGCCAAGCAGGTGGCTGCTTTCGTACAGGAAGAAGAGCGGCCCAGCCAACTGGCTGTGTTAACCCAAGCGCTTCCAGTCCTATCAGACTACTTAAAATCGATCGATGCTCGTAATGAGGCCCGGGTCCTAGAGCTCACAGCAAAGCTCCAAGCCACCGAGATGCGGCTTATCGAGGCCCAGTCGCAGCAGACAGTTAAGCTCCACAATATCCTTTCTGCTGGTCTTACAGTCCATATACAAGCAACCGCTCCACAGCCGGTCCTAGCCGAAGCGGGCCAACGAACTGGCCCTATAAATGGGCCGGGAGCTGGCCCTATGGCTAGGCCGGGAGCTGGCCCTATGGCTAGGCCGGGAGCTGGCCCAGATGAACAAAGCCAGTATGGCTCTGCTACTAGCCGCCTTTGCAGCCCGGCTCCCACAATTAGCTGGCTACCGGTCGAAGGAGGAGAAGAACAGCCGCCACAGTACCGTATGAGCCGTGCAGTCAGGACGGTGGCAGACCTTTGGCGTGAGTGGACTGTTGGCCTCCAGGGCGGGCCGGCCGTGGCTACTCTTGATCGGAGATGGGGGAACCGGTGGCGGGCCGGCCGGCAGACTGAACTGCAGTGGTATTCTTTACGGTCCGAAGTTGTTAAGGAGGTTCAGCGGATTGTGCGAGCCCAGCGTACGAGCAAGGAAGCTGCCGTCCGCATAGTTCATCTTCAACAGCAGCAAATTGGCTGCTCCATTGACAAGTTTTGTAAGCAGCTACGGGCCAGCCGCAAAGCAAGACTTGTGGGCCATAAGCCAAAATAACTCGCAAATAAAACCACCTTTTACATTGCTTTTCGAGCCATTTTAGAGCCCCGATTAAAACCCTCCTTTAAACCTTTTCTTCGAATTTTTTGACCTTTTTTAAGACCCTTTTTGCACTCTTTTCGTGGCCTCCGGCGGGGCCGACAGTGCATATGGTAGGATCTTTTAACGTGCTGATCGCACGGGCGTTTTTTGGCGCTAAAATGCAGCTAAGCGGCTGAATCACCCACCACCTGGCCCACGTGGATATACTACTATGATCAAGGCAGCTGACTAGCGATCTTTTGCCGCAAGAGTCGCAAAACTTGAATCCCGCGAATGGAAGGATGCGTTTTCCCAGGAAATCGAGCCATTGTCTCAAACTCGCGCTAATAAAAACTACTAGTACGGCTGCGTATGCCGCCGTGCATGCAAATACATCCTTTGGTTGCGAGTCGTCCGTGAAGATAGCCAGGAGCACGGCCACTTCAGCGACGAAGCAGGACGTCGTCAGTATTGCTGAGCTTAGTTTGATGGAGGACCATGATAAGCATGGGCGCCACCAAAGCCAAGGGCCCAACCACTGCCACCAACAGTCGAGCCCAAAGCTCTCCTTTCTGCTGTGACTGTCGGTCTTCGGGAAGTCCCGACGTAGTATTTAGAAGGATTCTCATGAACTCCGCCTCGGTTTGCTACGAAGACGTTCGGCATCAGCTTTGGTGGAGGTGAAGTTCTTCTTGCTCGGAGCATGACCTGGTTGTCGACGATCAAGCCGAGCCTCTTATCTGTTGGAAAGAGGTGCTTGGCTTGTGCGCGCCAGATACTCGTTAACGTTGACTCAATACAGGACACGGGAGAACGTACTGTACTGGGTTAGATTTTCCAAGACGCTCGGCGAGACAGTCACGTCCACAGTCTATTTTTGATCTTCTGTCCTCCTTTCCAGCTGGTTTTGCAGTAGCTTGACTCGCAGGGACAGAATGCAATATCTGTACACAAAGCCGACGCGACTTAACCCGTCCTTGTACCCAGTTTTCACATCTGGTGACCTGTCCTCGGCTTTTGACGCTAGAAGTGGGAAAAGGTTCGGACCGTATCGTGGGCCCCTAGTCGGGCCGAACTCAACAGTGGTAAGGGATTGCAAGCCACTCTCCGAAAATCTTAGACGCTTAGCAAGATTATATTATCCTCTTCGTGGTCATTGTGTTTTTGACGCTCCCGCGGTACCCACGCGTCCTTCGTAGTAAAATATGGGCCATGAGGGCTGGTCACTTGGTGCAGGCTGGCCATCCGCATTGGTTTGTTGCTGGACTGACAGGTTCCTTATATAAGAGGGAAGATCCAGAAACTGGGGCTAGAACAGAGCTACGGAATCAGGCACGGCCCGGCGAGGATACTAGAGGCCAAGAACCAGTTGCACACGGCCCGTTTCTCTGTTCAAATGCAACCAGGCGTTCGGCTAGGCATCGTGGGGTATAGAATCCATGCGCGACACAAACCAAATCCCGGTATGTCGCATGGTAGGTATCCTTGCGGCTAGGCATCTGAGAATATATCGCAACTCAAGCACCTTGGGTGCCCTGATTCGCGTCTCGCTGTTGACAATCGGACTATTCCTAGTGTCTCAATCCCGGTGCACCGAGGAATGAAAGACAACGCCCGGATCTATAGCAAACCTACAGGCTTCGCTCATAGTGAGAACATAATCCCTTCGGTAACAAATCTATCAGTACGACATCACTGTTTAGTGACCGGTGGGCTCGGAATTCTTGGGAAAATCAAACCATTGACACCAAGCTTTTCAACAGCTGCACGACAACAACAGTAGCTGCAATGTGGTAGTATGTACCGAGTACATTTAGCGTCAAACTTTGTTACTGGTATGAATCACGCCGTGATGATTTGAAGACACTGATGCTTTATTCTCCACCTCCTTGAGCGTCCTGGCCTTCTGGGTGAGGATCCAATCCCTGTCATGTTGACATTGTATCGTCGCCGTCGTGAAAGGTAGATTGGTTGAAGGAAAGAGGCGGGCGATAAGTATGCTGTCGGTACTTTTTGCGAAAGAGGAGTCCGTGGAGAGGGCTGGATTGCGACCGAAGCCCACCTATTCAAAAAGAGCCGCTTCAGTGAGCCGTGAAGACGTCCAGCTAATTGTCCTGCGGAACCGGACTGGTACTGGTCGTTTACAAGCTCCGGATCCAACCTCAGCTACCATGGTGGCGATGATCTCAGAGGGTAACGATATAGCGGGAACCTTGAGGGGAAAAAATTATAAAATTAAGTCCCTGCATTGATAAAAAAAATGTAGCGAACCTGCTATTTCACAAAGGGTTCAGTGAAAAGAAAAACTGTATTTCTATTCCCTGCCCAATCAGGCTGAAGACTTGGAGAAAAATGAATCTATCTTCCTCTGCTTTGTGTCATACTTGGCGTTGCCGATCCCGCCTCCCGTCTTTCTGAGTCCAGAAAGATGGCCGGCATAATTGATGGCGCTGAGGTGAATCTGTGCGGTTGAAAGAGCTTGGTCAATAGAGCCGGCCCCCCCAGACTGTGAGCTGGAGGAGGCCTCGGAAGAAAGTGTGGGAGTTTTCAAAACTATCTCATGGTAGGCTGCGCTGCCGAGAAATTCGTCCAGTGGTACGGACTCCAAACACATGGCTCCAGGAGCGGAAGTCGTTCTGGGACGCAACGCTCGCAGCAGGCGGATAAACCCCAACCACACGTGTGAGTGTATTACCCCATGGGCGATGATAAAAACATATTGCGGGGTGTCGGACGTGAGGAGCTCCTCGAGCAGTGGCAGCAAGACGGCATCAAGGAAGCGTTTCGCCCGAGCGTCCACTTCCTTGAAGGACTCGCCTTCGGTGTAGGCGCCTCCTCCAGGCTGGGCTGCTGCTTCGGAGCCCGAGATTTCTGCGCTTCTTTCACCGAACCGCTTCTCACGAAGTTCGGCAAGCTGGAGAATCGCAATCTCAGGCTTCACGGTAGAGGTCGATCCAGCAGCTGGGGATGGGTACGCATCTCTGATGACTTCTGCCGTCATTCGGGCCTGCTGAAAGTCGGAACACAACATGTGAGGGACCGGCGCTAGGCTACCCGCTCGCTCGGCGAGGTGCACCGCAAGCCGGCTAGACTGGATAGCCCCGTGGGCGGTGAGGGGAGAGTCCGGTGGGCCAGCACTCGAACGTCATCAGAAGAGAAACAACCCAGCAAGACGAATTCAGATGGAAGCATGGAACATACTGGCCGTGGGACACGTTATCGACCGACTCGCCATGGCGGATGAAGAAGATATGCGTCTCTCCCATGGTTGATAAAGGATTAATTATCTCTTCTCGTTTGTTAGTAGTGTAGTATAGTGCTGAAATCAAGAGATATCACAGATAGAATGTGGCCCCGATGGCTGGTGCTGAGAGAGCGTTATCGCGTCACCGATGGCTGTTACCCCGACTTATCCCCTCACGACCCACGCTAGACCAGAAATGGCTTTTTTCGCTTGATTAGCTAGTAACCAAGCAACCACGGGCCCCCGCAAGCAACTTCGTCCTGAGTGGCCCAAAGTTGGGAAGAGCATCGCCTAGACTCTGAAATCCCTTGCGTGAAGCTTGCCAAGTTCTTACATTAGCTCCGTTCAGTCTGTGGCACCAAAGATGGCAGAAGTAGCTTGCCATTCCCCAACGAGAATGTACTGACCATCGGTTACAGGCCGGATAAGCGTAGGTAAGGGCCCGCCGCGCAGGACGCCCACTATATCGTGGGCCTGCATGGACGCCGGGCCTAGCCAATCCGGCAAAATAGTCTCTGTCGGTTAGCAATAAGTCCAGAGTCACTGTTCTCCAGAAAGCTTCCTCGTGGGAGCCTTCGCCCAAAATATTCCTTTGTCGGGTTATTTTCCGATTCTCTCTTCGGGAGAATCTCCCGCTAGCGATAAACGATATCTCGAAGCTGGGCCGCTCACCTCTCCTAGCCCGCAGCGAAGCTTGGACACGCGTCGCCTAACTTCTCAACCTGATCTACCGACACCCCTTCTATCTCTAACACAGTATCGTCCTCGAACAACCTCGGGACATTGCGGCCGGCATCATCACCGGCGGTGGTCTCGTCGAACACGGCCTCGTCTATTGGCCTCCCGAACCTGAGCCTCGTATTGAAACGCGGGACCTCGAGCGCAAACGCCGTCGATTCACCGAGGTAACCCCAGGAGGCTGACTTCCCCCCGCATGTCAACTTCGCAGACCTAGCCAGCACAATCTCCTGCACCGTCCACATCCACTTCCGCCACGCGTGATCCATCAGCTTGACCAGTCCACCCACGACTACCTGTGGTTATCGAGTCCGTGCACCATGCCTAGAGCGCGGAATAGCTACCTTTTGTCTATCTTTCCAGATAATAAAGAACCGTCTCCGTTAGCGATGCGCGCAGCCGTTGCGGGATCGAGTCGACCCATAGTGTCCGCGGCCTGTCGGAGAGTCGAAGCGCCTGGAGTGCGTCGTGGAGATTGGCACGTGTGAGGCCTGGTCGGCCGTCAATGAGGATGGTGTGACCGGGGGGGGGGGGGGGAGGGGTCAATTCCCCAGACGTGAGTTTCGTACTTGTAGGGTTGCGGTTTGTATCCAGGCTGAGCCACTTCAGGTGAGCACTCGGTAAGAGGTTTGGAGGAGAGGCCCCATGAGATTTACGTGGTGGTATCAGGGGATGGTAGCAGGGACAGGAGACGGATAGAATTGTCTGGAAAGGCGTGATGGCGCTGTGCCGCTGTTTCGGACGATCTATGGCCGAGGATGGTGTTTGCTTGAAATGTGCTAATTTGAATTGCAAGCAGGCGGCGTAAAAAGTCTAGAGCGGTGCTATCTTTAATTATCTAGTTCCCCAGCACCCAGCACGCAAAGGCCCTCGCAGCGTCAGCCACGATGCCGCGGTTCCAGAACTCTTCGCCGAGCAAGTAGCCGAGCAAGTAGCCGAGCTCGGTCGCGAGGGATCCTTTCCGCTGAAATGGCGGGTGCCGATGGAGCCAATAAAGGTGTCGATCTGGGGGTCGCAGATTGAACGAAAGCTATGGCCACGTTCTTGACGCTCGCATACTGGCACACCTACGCCCAGGTCCTTGAACACGTCGTAAATACAAAGCGGCAATAGTGCAAGACATTTGATTGCTTGGGCAATGGCATTATGCCGCCGTCACTTTGGTTTGCCAAGCCCTACTTCAGTTTGCATCGAGGCACCGACCTCTGCCTCAAGGACTCGCCTGCCGACACTATCAACCTCTCATATCTGCCTGAGTGACAAGCACAACAGAGCTTGGGTAGACCCGCATGGTTTAGATTAGCGACTTTCCAGGCCCAGCCCCGGTAGTCGGCATTGCAAAGTCCGGCTAGAAATGCAGCGGCTGGAATTTCGCACAATACCTGGGCGCCTTGGCCGGTAATGCATGGCCTTTGGCCGCTAAAACAGCTGGAGCATGCCTGCTAGCTTGCCAAGGCTCTATATGGGTTATATCCAAACAAACGGAGAGCTCGTGGCGCGCTGGTTTACTACTGGTGAGGTGCTAGGTGATGGGTGGCAGTGGACAGCCTCCAAATTGATATGAATATCCAAAGAGCAAGGCCCCTAATGTCGGATTCCTCGAGACAGCGTCACCACCCCATGAGCAGTAATACACTCGCCCAGTTGACATTTCTTGTCGTCGGGAGGTGTGTTTGAATGCAAGCAATGGAAGGAGCAGAAGTGCAGGGCCCAGGGATAACAGAGTGGCAGCATCTGTGGCCCCTTAACCCATGTCCCCGCGTTTCCGCATCGCCGGGTCCCTTTGGTTTTGGATTCGACCCGACTTTCCGATCACAGAAGTGGCATGATCGCGCATTAGCTTGTCATAGCGGTGAGCCCAACTGCTTACACATCCGGTCATCATTGGCCGTGCAACAGTCTTGTGGCGCCGCCATCTGAGCTCAATAGGTTTCGGAGGCGTTTCCGTTCAGTCAGTCCATGCTTCATTCTGTCGGCATTCTCCGCTTGTGGCTGAGTTTACGTCGTCAAGTTGACCTAGCTGGTGTCTAGCGCGGGCATGGGCCCTTGCGTGTGCATTGCATCCTTCTAGATGCGTCCAATCATAAAACTTGGGCACGCTTTGGGTGTGCCACAGAATTAGAATGGACAGGGCCGTGGTGGTTGGCAAAATTTTCTGGCTCTTGGCGGCGTGAAATGTTTAGAATTATCAGCGAGAGATTCTCTCCCGCTAGAAACAAAAGCGCATTAATCCCCCACGATTCCCGTCGCTAGCTTGTCGATCCCCAACCATAGATTTCGCCGTCGCCCCCACAGTTGTACTGCATTATTTACCATGTCCCCCCTGATCAAGTATGCGTCCTCGGTCGCGCTTACCCTTCAGGCGCGGGAGGTCATCCTTTATGCCATCACGATGTTCTTCTTGGCAGGGGTCGCCGTTGCCCTCCGCCTCTATACCCGCGGCATCATTCTCCGCGTTCTCGGGTGGGAGGATTGGTGCATATGCTTGGCATTAGTCTTCTCTGGTGGTAACACAATCGGCATGTGCCTCCGTAAGCAGCCTGCCTACCTGAACCGAAGTGGTCTGAACGCTAAAAAAGTGGGGCTGATGTTTTTGCAGAGGCAACAACGGCTCTTGGCAGACACATCTGGACCCTCACAAAGGAAGAAATGAGTTTCTTCCTCAAAGAGGTCTACTTCACTATCCTTGTTTACAACCTTGGTCTAGCCTTCGTCAAGCTGTCTATTCTTCTTTTGTACATTCGATTATTCGCCGCCGTCTATCTTCAAAGAACAATCTATATTGTCCTTGGAACTGTCGCCATCGTCAGCACCTGGGCCATTGGCTCCTCTGCATTTTTCTGCATTCCGGTCGCCGCTTTCTGGGACCCGCAAGTCACTGGAACTTGTCTCCGCAAAGAGCCTCGGTGGTACGCGGGTGCAGCACTCAACATCTTTACAGACATCATAATTCTCGCCCTTCCATTATTTATATTTCGGAGTCTCCGTATGCATATGAGACAAAAGATTGGCCTGTATTTCGTGTTCGCGCTGGGGTTCTTGTAGGGCCAGCCTCTCGCCCACTTCTAGGCAAGCTAACTGAGACCCATAGTGTCTGTATTGTTTCCATGCTGAGGTTTTCGTCGTTGGTGGTCGCAGCCAAGACGACCGATCCGACCGGTGACAACCCAGGTGTGGCCAAATGGTCCACAATTGAAATCAACACCGCCATCATCTGCGCCTGTCTTGTAACACTGAAGCCTCTCATATCCCGCTTCTTCCCCAAGCTACTTGGAAGTGATCATCCGGGTGGCGATGATGGCCGCCATGGAAACACTGATGTACGAAGTCCGCCTCCCACGGTAGGAGGTGGCAGCAACTGGAGGCTACGTCGCACGAGTGTCAGCAACTACCCTACTTTGGTTGGTACTAGCAGCACCGATGGGACCTTGCACGATTAAGCACACCCTCTGTGGCCGTCGCAAGAACCGTGTTGCGCGATTGAAGCCTCTACTGGAGGTTCCTTGATGCTAGGTTGCGATTGACAAAGGAGTTGGAGGTGAGCCAGCAACGGTGGTGGCCCGTTTGTTGTGGCCGGTTGGCCGTTGCTCATAATCGAAGCACACTCTACATGCGATGCTTTCCTTTATTACCGCACAGGGCTTCTATGTCGTAGAAGAGAAGAGGGGGACGGATCACAGGCCCGTGGCGGTGGCGGGGACGGTTGCGCGGACCGATGATCTCACGTTAGCTACAAGTTCATGGCACTGCCACACACTCGGTGGCTTAGATTTCGTGGAAACGAATCCGTTTCTTTAGATTAGCGGCATAGGCTCCCTCGGATAATATTTTCGGTAACGATCCGTCGCTGTCTTTGACCTTATGGGTGTCCAAACTGTTCAGTGTCTCGTTTCAGCTCAACAAACCACTTCAGCCATAGGAGGAACATGTCCCAAAGTCTCGAGGTACAGCACAACTGCATCAGTTCTTACTTTCCTGCCGTAGCCAGAGGATGGAGGCACCCATGAAATCTTGGCGCCGCAGTCACAGTAGATAAAGTGGCGGTCTTGGAAAAACAACTCTTCGCAGTCGCTACGCCGTAGGACAGCTTAAGAGGGCATATTTTAGAGCTTCTTCCGAATTCGATGCATGTGCCAGTAAAGATAGCTGACAGGTCATGCCCTTCCGGTACCACCGTATTCTGACTACCACCTTGATAGCGTTTTTCCTCAACATCTTTAGCGGCTTACGCCTTTCTCTTCTTTCCCTTGCCCTTGCCCTTACCAGTACCCTTCTTTCCTTTGCCCTTGCCCTTCTTTCCCTTCCCCTTCTTGGGCCCGCGAGCCTCGAGCTCAGGGGCATCCTTAAAGTCATTCTCAATTGCTACGGCACGCTCAACGAAGGAGGTCTCAGCGACAGAGCCGCCGGCCTCTCGCTTTTCTATATATTATGGTTTCGCTAGCCGGGCCAAATTTCGAAGAGAATTGAACCTAAGAGGCCAGTCACGAATGAGAGCATCACTTGAAGCCTGGAAGTCAGACCCACTAACATAGGCGGCGGCGAATTTGCCGAGGAGAAGGCCAGCGACAAGCGCCGGACGGAGGGCCATGGTGGAATGCATGGTTAATTGGGGTAACAACCTAAAAGATATGGATCGACAGCCCTCCGTGCTGAATGAATAGAGTGGGACTTGTGAAAGCTTGGCAAGTAGATCCGCTAGGAGATTCTCAATTCGTGATTCCGAGTGAATTCGATTCCGAGTGAATTCGATTTTCGTCCAGTCTGTGCGGGCGATGGCGTCGATCCCCCTTGCGCCTCTTATTCTTAGGCGTCGAACCAAAGCGGGTAACATGGCTGCATAGCGAGAGAATCACTTTATCACCCCGATTGGACTATTACACAAGATACCAATATAATAAAGGAACTAACTAAATAAAACCACTTAGAATCCGATTCCTTATCCATTTTTGCATCCTTTTAGCACGCACGAGAGTTATAAGTGAACTAACCCCGATTTGGCCACACCATACATTACATCAGGCCCAATCGCGCAACACGGTTCTTGCGACGGCCACAGAGGGGTGTACTTAATCGTGCAAGCCACATGTACTCACACCAATGGTTGATGGATCGCTTTTTGCCTTGTCCCAGAAAATCACCAATCAAAACAGACCAGTAGAAGTACTTGTGCAATCGCCACTATAGGGCCAAGACCCAATGGCTGCCGACCTCCGACGGGATGCTATCCAGAAACCACGGTTATTCCTTTGCAGTGGAGCGAAATCACCGCCAATTGCGGCACTTTGCCGCACCATGGTATGTGCTCACTTCGGTCGGGTTCGTCTGCGGGAGCTTGCCGCCAGTAGGCGTATCCTCATTTAATGATCACGCCTATGGAAAGCTCTGAGCTCCGAGACAATAGTCTATAGCATCTCAAATAGGTAACTATACAGAACATGATACAGTGGAGTCGTGCTTGTCTCACTCTGCCTGCTCTATACGAGACTCTATGCAAGGGCACACAGAGCAAAGGGAAGCTCTTCCTGTTAGCAGGTGCGTTATATTTTCACCCATGGCCCCCCACAACTGGCCATGATATTGCTGCGTTGGACGGTCATGAAATGCACATCGGTCCAATTAGATAGGCCTGAGAAGTTTTCTCACGTTGCACTGCATGTGCTGCTGGAGGCCTGTGCGTCGGGCCGCGACAACAAACCCGATCCCCAACCGGACTTCGCAGTTTTCAACCTTGATTTGCATCGCGTGAAGGTACAGCGAATTGCTCACCGTTAAGTATTCGATTTTTTCTCGAGATGGAACCAGTGGCATTGATAATCCTGGCTCTAATCCCATGTGTGGCTGGCGACTCAGGGGATGACTTCAACAACTTGTTCTCGGATTTGGCGCCGTAGGTCCCTCCCGTGGATTTTCTCGCAATGCCCGCCAGCCAAACTTTTCAACTGACCTGAATTGTAGACTTCTGGCATTATTTGGGGAGAGAGTCACCATGCAGTTTCTAAGCGAGTCGATAGTCTGGCTCGACAATATGATATTCGCACTGGCCCCCTTCGGAGTAGTGACGGCCATCGTCGCTGCCATCAGAGTTAGCGGACCGTCATAGCTTCGGGCCATTATTGGGAGGTCAAGGGAAAATTGCGCAGCCACCGAGGTTGAAATCATGACCTCAAGCTCAAACGAAGTCTGCGAGCTCTGGAACGGACAGGGGCTCGTCCGCGCTCTCGGAGAGGCCCCGATTCGGGAGTTCATATGTTTAACCCCTCGAGCGGAGCCTGATCTCGAATTGCCACCCAAAATGAAGGAGCTACGAGAAGCGCAAGACGACGGCTATCTCGAAGAATGCGACCTGAGAGGTAAGTCCTGATCAAAATCATCACACAGGATAAGCTTGACTGAGAATATACCCAACCAGGAAAAAAAGCCAATGCGACAAAATCGCCACTTTTTCATCGTATGACCGCAAGCCCCCCGGATTTCAATGATGACTACTCTACTTCGTCAGATGCCTCTCGCCGCTGTATCATTATCCGCAACACCGATTCGGCCGCGCCAAACCTGTCGCTGAACATTCGGAACCGGGCCGGAATAGGGGAGCATATCGCCATCGTCGTTGCTGCAGCCTTAATTCAACTGGGAGTAGTCTTTTATGCAGGGTTTGCAACGTATTACCCAACCATGGGGTATCCGAAGGATGGCCTTGCGGTGGCCGGATACGCCTTTCCTTGTGTGGTCACTGGCATTTTTATGTTAGTTGTCGGGATGTTTACCTCCGCCCACGTCGTTGACAGTGGCACGGTGGAGAAGGCATACAAGGTGAAAAGTGACTACGAACTTCGAATTGTTTGAGTTCGAAGGGGTGGAACAGTCAACGATCAGTCGTTCGGCTCCTTTGCGCTCTATCCACCAGAGCCAAGGAGCCTGATTCTCACGTCAATCCGAGCACCCCCAGACGTCAAGTTGAAGGCCAAAACAGTCGCGGCTACACTAGTAGCCCTATGCGGCTTTTTTATACAATTCGTGGGCCTCCGCGGCTCGCATTGGTCGATATTCGTCGCTCAGCTGGGAGCTACCATCATGGTCGGTTTGCGAGCTTGGATGCGTCGGGCCGCCTACGCTGCGAAGCCTTGCCGTTTGGCTCTTCCTCGCGGATATGAAATGGACTGGCTTGCGACTACTTTCGACAGCCTAGCAGGTGCACCATGGCGTAATGGTCTCACACGGCTCACGCCATGGAGCCGTTTGAACCATGGGTAAAGAACGACGTGATCAAGGCCTCGGAGAACGCGCTCATCGAGGAAGACAACGCGAACTCCGACGCGGCCCTGAGACGCATGTAGATCAGAATAGGTCTTGGTACACTCGCGAACTGGCGTAGACCCGCATCTGCCGAGGCCTACTGCCTTGCGAAGGCAATAGAAATCGCTTTAAACTTTACGGGCGTCTCTGGAAACAAAATCAAAAGAATTCCTTGGCCCTCACGACCAGAACGGTCAAAAATTCACCTATCCACTTTACGTGGTCGCCGTCCGGCAGATGGGAGATCTCGACAGATGAAACCGACGCAGCATTATCACTCTCTCTTTTCGCCGTCGATTCGCGAGAAAGGGTCACATATCGGCTACCAAGGAAGAGCCGAAGCACATTTCTAGACGAAATTGGGCCGCGCCTTCCCACTACCGAGACAAAGCACAGTCTGCGAATACTTGGTCGATACACCCTCTCCCTGGCGTGTAATCTCTTCTGGTGGCCCCCCGTGGGGTGCTCGAACCTTCTGGTAGTAGAGTCTCTCCAGCAGGAGAGTGAATCAACAGAGACGGTCTTGCCTCACAGGGTCATTGGCTTTGAGCTGAACTCTTCCCGACTTGCAGACCCGGATGCTATTACGTATCAAACGCAAACACTCAACCGCACGATGAGAGTCCGAGGAAGGGGTGGACTCCTAGAAAAAAAAGCCGATATATTGCAAAACGCATGGATGCGCCTCTGCACTCTCTATACGCCCTTGATATCCTTTCGCATTTCTTCAAGAACATAGTAGAAGACTACCAATTCGAAAACCGCTTCACGAACAAGGCCACCATCCGACGCTAGAAGGCGGTGATCCCGAACCTGATCAACCATAGCAGCATTTCAAGCTTCAAAACGAAGAGATCTCAGACCTAGCCTGAGGTATCCACAGCACTGGGTTGGGAAGCCTGGATGATATTTTTCTGACTCTCATCTCGGCGCTCACCATGACAGACAAACTATTATTACCGAGCGCCGTCATCAGCATGGCAAGGCAGCAAGCGAAAGAGCAATTCAGCCTCGGAGTGTTTTTCGGCGCGAGAAAGTCAATCTCATGGCTCTTGTTTCATACTAACCACGAAGCTCACCCCGCTGTGCTCGCCTTGGTGCTGGAATACCTGATATACGTATCGAATTCCATTGAGCTGGGGAAAATCAGAAATGTACCCCCAACGCGAAGTATTCGGATCTGCGGTCAGCGAGGAAGATACTCCTACGCGTTGTGACCGATTACTGCGAGGTGTTTCAAGGGCGACCTAGCTCTGTTCGAAGCCCTCCTTACGAAACAAAACCGGCTGTGGAATCGTGTTGTCGGGGATATCCTACACTTGCCATCGGTAGAAATTACCGATGAGCAGCTCAAAATGCTTCGGTTTTGTAAACTGCACCGGATGATATACGAAGGCTCCACCAATGACATTGCAGCCGAAGTTGACCGCTATGGTGCCAACATTCGTGATATTCTGGACTGGGTGCCCCTGCATTGGGCTGCGGCTTTCGGAGACCAGGAAAGCGTTCGCGTGCTACTCTCTCGGGAAGCTGACCCCCGTGCGCGAAACCTGGTGGAGCGGACACCATTGCATTACATTTGCGGTCGCGACGATGCCGGAGCGGTCAACTTGATCGGCCCGCTTCTTGAATATGGCGCGGATCTTAACGCCAGAGGAATCGACGGGATGACACCGGTACATATCGCGGCGAAGGCTGGTCAGCTGGAGATATTGGAAGTACTCATGGGCGCCGGTGCCAGCGTTGACGTTCAGGATCAGGATGGAAATAGTCCACTCCATTGGGCTGCATTTGGTGGACACTTCAGCCTCGTTGAGACCCTGACTTCTGGCTCCAAAAGCAGTCCAAGAAACCATGGCGGGAGAAGTGCGCTTCACTTGGCCACGGTGGGTGGTCACACCGAGATCATGGATTTTTTTAGCGCTGCTGGCCAGTTCCATGTCGACGCAGCGGACTGGGCTGGTTGGACGGCTCTGCATATGGCAGCGGCTAGTGGACACGCTGGAGTCATCGATAAGCTAGTCAGAATGGGGGCCTCCGTTCAGGCAAAAACTCAAGAAGCTGAGACGCCGTTACACCTTGCCGCAGTTCACGGACACGAAGGTACCGTCAAGCCCTGTGTAAAAACGGGGCAGAGGTGGATGCGCTGGATGCGAGATCCCGCTCACCTCTCGTCGTCGCCACCAAAGAAGCCCATGCCAAAGTCATCAAATCGCTAATTGAACTCGGTGCCAATAAAGATGAGGTTGTGTTTGATAGAACATTACTACACGAGACGACTGAGTATGGAATGGGCCAGAAAGATGTCGTACTGGTGTTGCTGGAAGCAGAGATTAGCCCCAACGCGTTGGATGATCGCAAAGAGAGCCCTCTGCACTACGCCGGCGGTCACGGACATGCAAGCGCGGCTGAGATACTGATACAATTTGGCGCCAATCTCGAAGCAATGAACCACGAGGGCAAGACGCCGCTCAGCCTAGCCGCGCAGCATGGAGAGGAAGAAACGGTGGGTGTCTTGCTTCGACACAACGCAGACGTAAATGCAATGGGTATAAGAGGTCAAACACCTCTGTGCCTCGCCATTGGCAACGCAAATTTGGAAACCGTCAACGCACTCCTCGCGGCGGGGGCGGACGTCAACGCAACCGACTCCGAGAGCCAGAGTCCGCTCCACATAGCTGCTACGCGCGACATTGAGGACGGATATGAAATAGCCAAGCTTCTGCTCGAGGCTGGGGCTGATATGGAAGTACAGAACAAGTTGGGTAAGACACCGCTCTGGAGAGCGGTCAGCGAGGGGCAGGACGCCGTGGCGAACTTACTCATCGAACGTGGTGCCGAAATCGGACTAATAGGCCAAAGCTCAGGCCGGACACTGTTGCATCTAGCCGTCGAGCGTTACAGAGTTGAGATCGTTCAACGTCTGCTTCGCGTTGGAGCTAGAAAGGATGTGCAGGATGGAAATGGAAAAACACCCCTTGACATTGCTATTAAGATTGAGGAGGATGTAGCTATGTATCGGATATCGGATAGAAGCCCACTCGTTGCCGTTCTACGGGGCTGAATGGGGTTTGGCTGTCATTTCAATTTGCAGCACGCTTTTACAAAGAGGATTCCACAGTGAATTGTAGGTAATGAATCCGGAGGACAAGTAGTTCCGGTGTCAGCGTCGGAGGATAATACGATTAAGATCTGGGATATAGCTACAGGCAACTATACAGCGAAGCTCGAGGCACACCACGACTTGGTCTCCTCGGTCACGTTCTCCTAGGATTCAGAGATCCTCGCGTCGGCATCGCGCGATAAGACGATCAAGCTCTGGGACGTGGCAAAGGGCGGCTGCAGGATGACGCGCGGGACCTCGAGGGTTGTGCAGCGCCTTAGCTTTGATATAGATTGTTCTTATCTCCATACAAATGTCGGCATATACACAATATACAAACCGTCATTGTCGCCAACAGGTCTGTCGGCGACATCTATGCCGGCGTCTGTATCAATGGCAGCGCCTGGTCCCTTTCCGCAACACGTCAATCGTTGGAGGGACGGGTTTACCGAAGATAAGGCGTATGTAAGAGAAGGTAGGTACGCCTGATCAAGGTGGTCACAATGGGAGCAACAAGCAGGGCGAGCAATGACTGGTATTGGCGTAAGACTTCAACCTGGCCTGAGCTAAAGAGGTGTGCGAAGGCCATGGTCTATATACACGTGAAAGGGGTTACGAGTTTGCGCGGCCAGAGTGGTGGTGGCGATAGTGGCGATGGTGGCGAGGGTGGCCCTAGTGGCGGTGACCATGGTGGCTACGAGGGTGGTTTCCTTACACGTAGGTCACCTGGGACTCGCATAAGGTACTATGGCTGCCGCCGATATACCGACCGGGATGGTCGGATGCACAAGGGTCGACATTGGCTATCGGATGCCCGACCGGGCAGGTCTTCCTTTTAGCGTTCTCGCATTGCCCCAAAAAGCCAGGGTATTATGGTCAGCAGGTAATCTGCCAGGTCCGTGTCCTCCGTCTCCCCAATTCTAGCCTCGATACCTCTCTGCCAATAGAAACGGCGAACCACCATTATTTGCTTGCCATTAGGGCCTACCATTTCCAGGGAGCGGCAGCCATCGGTGAATGCTCCATACCCTCTTGTAGCAAATGCGACCTTGCCGGTGTCGGTGTAGTCGAAATGCACCTCTCGGTCGTTCAAGTCTTGCGTCGCCGTGATTGCTGAGCGCAGCGCGGACGACCGTATGGAGAAAGTATGGGAGCTCAACCTGTCGGTTTCGATGGTCCAATTATTTGTCGAGAAGACAGTACTTTGATATGACTTGTACATTTCCCATGTGCTAGGGGGCCAGAGAAACTGCGCAGTTCGGGATCGCTTGAGTTCAAGAACTTGATCACTCCAGACGACGTCCCTGTGAGGGGACATCTGGCGCACGAGCGGTCGTATTTGACCCCTAAAATGATTAGCGACGTTTGCTTTGACAAAGAAGATGACGAACCGTAGCTCAGGAGAACTCTATATCGAGAGTTCTGGACAGACGGAAGCACTTGGCCTTCCAGCAGAGGAGGTGCCTTCCACCAGCTGTGGCATCGGTCAACTAACGCTACAGTAAAGAAAAACAAGGGGGGCAGAAGGGGTGGCGCAATAATGTGTACACTCACTAGACAAGGAGTCCAATGTCGAGGACTAAAAAAGCTACCAGTGCAAGGCCGGCGTGAGCGTTCTTGGGTTTCTCATATGCCCAGACCGCTAAGCTGATAAGTATAATTGCCAGCCAGAAAAGGAGCGTCGCCATCGACGCAGTATCGTAATCTCCCCAATCTCCCCGACCGGCCAGAAATCCTGTAATAAGCAACAGAAGGGGCAATATCATGGACATCGGAATAGTCAGTAGAAATAGAACGAGAAAGGCCAAGAAACAGACGTCCATCGTGAATGCAGTGTGTTGAAGAGGGCTATTCCGAGGAAGGCGCAATATCGATGGTAGAAGGCTCTTGCCGATGTTCTCTAAGCACGCTCTTACAGAGAAGTGCTTCAGTTTATAGCAGCCGTAGCATTGAGTTATGCTGGATCAGCGGCAAGGCAGATTAGGAGGCTGTTGGAAGCCAGGGTGGTTGAGCGAGCTATGCGGCGCATGGAAGGCAAACTCCTGACGTGTTTGCCCACGGAAAAGCTCGCCTGTTCGCCGCTCATCCCCTAGTCTCGGCTTGCCGGAAAGTAGAGCAGCTGAGGCAACCTAACCCGGCAAGGCAACCTAACCCGGGCAAGGCAACCTAACCCGGGCAAGGCAACCTAACCCGGGCAAGGCAACCTAACCTAGGCACTTAGTCCGCCGTCCCACTTGACATTCGCGACAGAAGTGAGCGGATTTGATGACCGAGGCTTAGCCGTCTCGCTCTAGCTAAAGCGAAGACAACGAATCACCTGTTGTGACGCGTGGTCCCAGGCCCGGCGTCAGCCCCTTCATCCTGCGGCGTGACTCGCCGCATAGCCGGGGAGGTCATGTCATATTGAGTCCGCCTCGTCACCTCCGCAGTTGGGCCCGCGCTGCGACCTTCCCTCAGGCTCTTCCCGGTTGGATCGCCCGCAACCGAGGCCTCATCGTCGTGTCGGCTCAGCCCTCGCGAGCCGCCCGCAGAACCTCTGAGGCTACGGCATGTCTAGCCCCCCGTCCCCTTTGCAGTTGGGCCCGGACGGCGACCTTCCCTCGAGGGTCCTTCCTGGTTGGATCGCCCCTGACCGAGTTTCATCGTCGTGGTTGGCTCAGCCCCCGCGAGCCGCCCGCTAAACGCAGAGGCCACGGCAAGTCGAGTCCGCCTCATCCCCTCCCTAGTTGGGCCTGCGACGAAACCTTCCCTCGAGGGCTCTCCTAGTTAGATTACGGTCAGCACGGTAGAGCGGTCAGTACGCTCGAGAGCACACTGACCGTTCTAGGCACACTGACCGCACTGATCACCAGGTGGGGCCCTGGTCATGTAAACCAAGCACGCTGATTGGTTAATCACAGTTCTATATAGGAAGCTTGCAGAACGCCCTCTGTGAGGAACGGTTCTGCAGCTATCAATGCATATGGTTGAGCATATAATGGTGCATGCGTGAAAGAAGGTCTTTCGCAATCTGTGCTTCAATTGATACTCCTTGCCTTTGTTTGCTCCCGGGGAGTGATCCTCACTGCAGTTGTGCACCCCACCCCCCTAGCAATCCCAGGCGAGGCCTGGCTCCGTGGGACCCGTTGTCTCAGATTGTAACACTAGCGTTTGTAAGTATTGCCCTGAGGCGGGATCCTAGATCTTGATGGTTTGGTCGTCTGAACCCGATACGAGCCGCTGGCCATCTAGTGAGAAGGTAACTGACCCAACCCAGTGGCTGTGGCTTCCAGCGTTTGCAAGTATTGCCCTAAGGCGGGATCCCAGATCTTGATGGTTTGGTCGTCTGAACCCGATGCGAGCTGCTGGCCATCTGGTGAGAAGGTAACTGACTGAACCCAGTCGTTATGGCCTTCTAGCGTTTACAGGCATGTATTCTAGTCCGCTTCTAATATTGGCTTCGTACTAATCTAGCTAGGCTCTTCCGCCTTAAATTTCTTCTTCACTAGACTGGAAGTTGGTGCAAATAAGAGGGCTAATATATACGCTTGGAGAGGAGCTTGCTCTATTATCCATCTGTTAGAGAGAGCGAACCGATATATATCTCGAACGAAGGCCGTTAGCTGCCTCTATTTAGTATGCCCCTGCATCTCTATTAGTATAGTTCTCTAACGGTAATAGGTTATACGTATAAGTAGGAGCTTAAGCTATCTCATGGCAATAACACCCTCCGACATAGCTTGGAGTAGGCTAAGAGCTTTGAGCCAATAAAGGTACTTCTGCTCAAGGAAGGTCTAGATCGCATATAGTATATTACATTGTAGAGCGCCTTTATCGGAAATCGAGTCGCGGAGATGGTCAACTCAGAAGACGCATGAGTACCGTACTATGGCTAGTGGGTCTGAAGATAGCGTTTGAACCTTACCGATTGGGAATCCCGGTATCTCCAAACCGTACATATCGCGTCGCAATACTACGGACATCCCACTAAGCGACCTTAAGAAGATGTTATGGTGTACATCCTCTACTCCCAGAAGGAAGACCTAGTTAAAGGGGCCTTGAGGAGCTTGCTGCGTGCCCCTGCCGAGTAGAAAGTCCGTAGCTGATTGATGGATTAAGTAGATTTGGTTGTCTCGGACTGTGAGAAACGGCCTACATCTAACCACGATTCTCTTCACATTCTGTTTCGGTAATCCAGATAAGGCGCCGATTTCGGCCAAGTGAAGCGGCCGGTATGTTACCGTCGCTGTCGATAGTATACGCCGGCAGAGTTCCGAATCCCGTCCGTGCCGCTTGACCTCATTCAACATACAATCGTACAACCCGTCCAGGCCAGGCGGCGCTTCTTCGACAATTTGTAAAACATGCCAGCTCTCAACATCCTCTTTGCTAAGTTCCTGTACGACGAGGGCCACCCAGAGGAACGTGCCGTTTGCCTTGTCGCGCAAAATATCCCGCACTCGATCTTTTAGTAGGGCCCCATCTTCTAGTAGCGCATCATCCTGAAGCGGCTCGAGGTTGGATAACTTGTCATCGATATACATATTGACGGCGTGAGACACCTACATCGCATTTGCCTTCAGCTCAAGACTAAGTCTCGTCCGCCTATCATTAGATCTCAGCTTTCTTTCGATGGTGATCTGGTTCCGGCTTGATAACAGACATTTCACCCGGTCGGACGATATGCGGATGACAAAGTCTAGAAGCTTCGGCGGGTTGACAACGCATTCGTCAAGGGCGTTAACGACCAGGTAGGTTGCCTTCAGATTCGGATCTTCAAGCATTTCCCCAAAAATATCCGATAAGGTAACCCACGCATTTACATTGGAAAGTGATCTCCCCGCGTCGATATATCCCCAAATATGAGAGAGGAGACGTGGTTGCTAGTAGGTAAGGAGGTAGATCAAGCCACGTAGTACGGCAGTTGCGTTATTGATACGTGAGTCGGTAGCTTGACAGAAGAAATAAGCTAAGTTGTGGCAGCACCCTTCAGCAATAATAGACTGTTCTAGCTCGTTGATGGTGCCGCAGAGCAACATGGTTTTGCCTTTGCCGGGATCACCTTTGATCTAGAGAAGACGGCTCTCCGGCCGGTCATGCCATCGGCGAAAGTCGGGGCTGACGAGAACCCAGCGGTACGCATTGACAAGTAGTCCACCCTTTGCCTCCTGGATGCGGCTTTTCGTCAAGGCGTGGATCGGTGGAATAAGTCAAAAATGTCGTAAAGGGGCGCGCGGGGAGATTGACCACTGCAGCAACGGGTGGGTGGGATTGCTCGGCTCGTAAACCGAAACAATGTTCTTGGAAGCCATAGGTATGCAGAAGCAGTCAAAATGAGGGTATCCGCAGTGTGTGTATTGATTGATGTGTGGAAGAGAGAAAAGCCTCGCAGGCAGGTCGGGGACCTGTGTTTACCCTGTGGAAAAGGCGGCCTAATTAGGTGCTGGCACCCGAGCCAGGCCGAAAGTGGCATGGCTTTTCTGACAAATGTCCTATTTTCTATTTTTGTCTTTCTGACATGTTGCGGCCAATCAGGTCCCTTTCCGGCCCTTCCGATCCCTGCCAACGTGTCGGCTCCCGAGGCATTCCAAAGCAACAAACAAGCTTTTTACTTTGTGCCGCATGCATACGCGGTGACGGGTTCAGGGGTATGAATCTGGATCACCATCGTCCATCGTCATCTTGCGAGATTTTATCACTGGAATCGACTACGGGATTTCATGTGTTAGCCTGTGAATAGCACTCAAAGAGACTGCCGTGAGACGACGTTTTATTACCATCGGTCCTGCCGATTGTTTCAGGGGCTCTTCAAGAGGTAAGCTATGTAGGTAGGTATGTAACAAGGCACTTTCAAACAACACAACTTTGCCCAGCTCCCAGGGTGTCCAGCACATGCCCCTTGACATCATCCCCCCATCTCCCCTTCAAATCAGCTGTTTGCTCTGGCCAGCGGGCAAACCAGAGCCCGGCTCCGTATCGACCCCATTTTCCCGAAGGAAGAAGAAGGGGGGAGAGAGAAAATGGACGGAAGAAAAGAAAGGAAAAAGTCTGGTGATTTGCAACGCGGACAACGTGATATTCTGGTAATGGTTCCGGTGCTCACTTGTCCGTGGCGGGCGTGTGCGGCCGCGACGGCGCCGGGGTGGGCGGGTTCGAGGGCAGCTGCAAGCCGGCTTTGACCTCTTTGTCGACTTCGACGCGCTTGAGCTGGGCGGTGGCCATGGCATTCTTCACCCGCCCGCGCTCCGAGATGGTGACGAGCTCGAAGGTGACCTGCTCGGCGTCGGGCGGCGCCTTGTCGTCAAAATGGCCGACGGCAGAGCCGTGCTTGGGCGTCTTGCTGAGCTGGCGCCCGAGCGCCGCCACGAGCGCCGCCACTTGCTTCGAGTTCTCGGGGTCGTAGATGATGGGGATGGCGGGCACCTGCTTCTTGGCCGCCTTGAGCCCCGCCACATGTGGCCACGTGCGGTAGAGCGCCGAGACCTCCTGGCTCTGCTGGCTCGAAGAGGCCGTCGGCACGGTCTTAGCCAGGACATTTTTTCGGAGCGATGTCTCTGCCATGATGGCGGCTTCAGTACGTGCGTGAGGACAAGGGACTGGGGAGGGAAGCTGGGAAATATGGGTGGGTAGCTGTGTTGTTTCGAGCCGAGGGGCGGCCAAGGATAATTATATATAATTATTTTGCCGGCGCCAGGGTCAAGACATGTCATAATTTCGATGCCTTGGAGCGTAGGTCCAGGCCCAGGCTGAGGCGGGCGTAGCAGCTACAGACGGGGCAAAAAAGCAGCACAAGAAATCACCGATGGGGAGGCGCACGCGGTCAGCCGGAATGTTCGGGGGCCCCTGAGTCTTTGCCATGCTGACACTGACATCCCCCCCGCCCCGCCCCGCCCCGCCGTCTTGTACGACCCGACATGACCCTCCCTCGCCGCTAGCTCCGAACCATGTTGGCCTGTGCCCTTGCTATTTTGGGTGCAACGCTGCCAGGCAGGCCAAAACAGGTCATCGGCTGAGACGAGGCAGATTTGCCGATTCGCGTATTCGTAAAGCCTTTGCAAACATGCGTCGGGCGCCGATCCACATGTCTCGATGCTGAGACCGACTGCGCCGTGTCCCGAGGCGGCGCAACACGCCTGTTCGTTTCACTCTCCAAGAATCCGTAATCATGCCATCGCCGTGATGGCCTCGCCGAGCTGCTCGCTCGCTGGGCGGGTCTCGTCTGCCGCATTTGTTGGGCCCACGAGGCGTGACGATGACGAGCCAACAACACCGGGGCTGCGCATCATTGGAGTCTTCCAACCAAGTTGGAACAGTTCAAGCCGGCTCATTGACCGTCGAGTAATTATATATCACAACATGTGTCCCTCACCAAGTCACGGCCTCGTCGGTCCAACAAAGCGTCGTGCACATTTCATCTTCCCTCGCATATTATTCTCTATCCAGTTGACCGATTAATTACCGCAACAATCATCCACAATGGCGTCCCCGATTCCTCTGTGGGGCAGTGAGCACGAGCTCCTCCTCGAACTCAAGGCGGACCGCGTCGACGAACTCCGACAGTTTGCCTTTCAGCATGAAGGCAAGCCGCTTCCACAGCCCTGGCAGGGCTGGGACTTTGATATCACAACCGATGCCAACGAGAGCGTTGCCGACGTCAAGGACAAAAAGGTCAGCCAGCGCAATCGGCTCCACCGCGCTGTCAAGAACCTTCTGGGTGAAGCCGGAGTCACCATGGATGACGGCGTGATCGAGTTTGGTGGTTGGTCAGTCGTGGATGACGAGTCTCTGGACGAGGCGCAGGCGCCGTCCAAGCACTACTGTAAGTTGGCCGAACTGGTCCCAGCCACGCAGATCAGCTCGAACTGACCAATTTTTTTTTGGTGAAAGGGCGCATCGAGATCGTTTCCCGCCCCATCAGAGCCGACGAGGACTGGAAGGAAGAGGTGCAGCTTGTGTACGAGACGCTGAGCGAATACTTCAATATCAGGGTCAACAACTCGTGCTCCATGCACGTCCACGTCACGCCAGGCACGAGCACCGTCTACCCCTACTACACCAAGGAGCAGATCGCCGACGTGGCCTGCGGCACGTGCTACTGGGAGAATCCGCTGCACACCATCATGCCCAAGGACCGCAAGGAGAATCCCTACGCCGTGGCCAACACGACGCACATCCCTAACCTCATGAAGCGCTACGGCGAGTTCTACGCCGCCGGCTCGACTAAGAAGTGGGCCCACGTGTTCGGGCCCTTCCTGACGGCCAGGACCCGGTCGGTGCTGCACGTCGTCGACCTCATGTACGGCAACAAGGACCGCGTCACGCCGCCCAAGAAGGAGCACCCCAATGACTACAACAAGTACATGTCGACCAACTTCTGCAACATCCAGGCCACGTGCGGCACCGTCGAGTTCCGCCGCCAGGGGGGCGCCAGCTCGCACGAGCAGGCTAACAAGCAGATCATCTTCGCGCTCGCTATGCACGTCAGCATGCTGCAAGAGAACTGGACGACTAAGGGCGGCCTCAACGCCAAGCCGACGCCGCAGGACTTCATCAACGAGCTGATGGCGGGCATGACCCGGCTGCCCACGCAGAGCCGCCACGAGGGCTTCAAGGCCTGGCTCGACGGCATGCTCACCGCCAACCGCAGCGCGATCCCCGGCAAGCTGTCCGACACCGAGGTCGCGAAGATCAACAAAATCCAGCAGAAGCACCTGTACATCCCGAGCGCCTTTGCCACGACCGGCATCCACTCACGCCCCGGCACGCCCGTGCAGCCCGGCAGCCCCCTGCAGGCCCCCGCCCAGTGGCCCATTGACATCGAGCTCGATCCCTGGGCCGGCTATCAGTCTTGAGCTGGCTTATTTCATGATCTGCCAACGGCAGGTTCCATTCGGGTTTTCTTTTCTTCATATTGACACGCACCGCCCAGACTGGCTCCGGGGGGGGGCGTGCTTGTTCTCTCTGTCAAGACCTGTCCTATTCATGGAGTTGCTTGCTGCAGGTGTGCACATGATTAGTGTCAAAAGGGGGGTGGCGGTGAAACAGGGGTCGTGTTGACACGGCTCAGGGGACAGAACAGCGGAAAGGTTGAATTATTCTGAGCCGAGATTTTTTCTCATCCCCTGGTGGGCGGGACAAGGAAGAATCTAGCCTAGGTCACACAAGCTCGATCAGATACTATACATATTCAAGATAGGTCTGGCACTTATCAACTCATTGCAAGGTCACCCAACGTCCAACTGACATGGCTCGGGTTGCGCCATTGTTTCTCTAGTTGCTGTGCCCTTAATTCTCAAACTTTTAGCTAATACAGCCCTCACTCTTTCCTCCTTTTTTTTTTGGAATGGGGTTGTGCATAAACATTCCAATCACGTATCTTTCTCAATGATTTCAAGTCATTGCCGGGGCCCCAGACAAACTTTTTCACCGAATCTGGATTCTCTCCAAGATATGGCACTAATTATCGTGAATATTCAACAGTCCGGTTTGCACATCAAATTCTTGCTAATTACCACCAACCAGACCAGATCTGATCGCATTCAACCAGCACAAAGTTTAGATTTCTCCAAAGACGAGCGCCACAGGCAAAACAGACTGGTGGTGACACAAGCTGACTGTGCTGTGCTGTGCCGGGCCCGACTCAAGCTGACGGGCCCAATGAAAGGCCCCTTCTCGTATACGAGAGACAGGGCGGTTTCCCCCCATTCGCCAATTCATCCCGACACGTTGTATTACCATCTAGGCACAGTGAAAGCTGGAGCTGGGGGTGGTAAGTGTGAGGGCCTGGCCTTCCAGACCTCCCAGACGCTCTGACTAATCAGACGCCAGTCGGGTGGATCCACCCGACTGACCAATGGAAGCCCGACCAGAGCCCCACCTTGAGACACCCTGGAAGAATCTCGCAAGGGGAGACTTTTGAGCTTCTTTTCCCTTTTCCCTTTAGTTTAGAATCTTCGTCAATAGCGCCCAAATAGAGGAGTTCCGCCCTCATTCCCAGCCGGCCGTGACAACTACCAACCAAATAGCCCGTCTATATCCACCTCCTTGTCTCCGCCCCCGTCTCTAACCCCAGTCCCGGCCTCATCCCCGTCCACGGCTACGGCCATATCCACGACTGCGACCTCACCAACACGAACACCAGCACCACCACCGCTAGCAGCAGCACCACCAGCACCAGCACTAGCACTAGCACTAGCACTAGCACTAGCACTAGCACTAGCACCATTGCGACCGTCGCCGCTGCCGCCTACGTCACATGGTGTCCAGGACAGTTTTATGCAGGACATAACCAACAATAACACAAGCCAGATGTAATACCCCTCATTAGACTAATAAGGGTAGTTGTGTATTCATTTCTACACGGAATAATAGTTCCTATATTGGGCATGTTCCGTGGCTCTTGTGTTTTTTACCAACAAGCGGGCTTGGCTTAACGTAATTGCATAGCGAGCGCGCATGTATAGCGAGCGCGCACTTTTCCTACCCTAATTGAACTATCGTAAAACATCGTAAATTTCTCCACGATAAAACATGCCCGCCGTACGAAATGAAGCACAAATACAGCTTGCCCTTCAAGCTATGCAACGCGATAAGAATCTTCGCCTTGCAACTACTGCAGCCCGATATTCCGTACCCCGAAGAACACTTGAGCGGCGTTCGAACGGAGTCCTCCCTCGAGCAGAAATTATTGCCAATTCGCGGAATCTTGACCCCCTTGAAGAGCAGGTTATCATACGAAGGGCTCTCGACCTATACGAGCAAGGATTTTCGCCAGGATACGGTATAATAGAAGATATGGCCAATTTGCTACGCGCGACGCGTAACGCGTCACGCGTCGGACCACACTGGGCTGCAAACTTCGTACGACGACAACCAGAGCTCAAGATGCGTTGGACGCGTCCGTACGACTACCAAAGAGCTAAATGCGAAGATCCAAAGATAATTGGCGCGTGGTTTGACCGTGTTCGTAATACAATTGCGAAATATGGGATTCTCGAGTCGGATATCTGGAACTTTGACGAGACTGGGTTTATGATGAGCCAGATCTCGTCAACACTTGTTGTTACCTCGTCCGACGGCCGTGTGAAGGTGAAGAAGATCCAGCCTGGTAATCGGGAATGGGCTACCGTGATTCAGGCCGTACGGTCGGGTGGTGATACTATCCCTCCGTATATAGTGGTTGCGGGCAAAGTCCACCTCGAGAGTTGGTATCGCGATAGCCCTTTCCCATCCGACTGGGTAGTGGATCTCTCAGAAACTGGTTGGACGAATAACCAGATTAGTCTTGATTGGATTAAACACTTTGACCAACACTCTTGCCGCCGTACGATAGGTGGAAAGCGACTCCTAATCCTTGACGAGCATGAGAGCCACCATTCGGCCGAATTTGAGGACTATTGCAAAGAAAATAACAACATTACGCTTTGTATGCCTCCGCACTCATCACATCTACTTCAGCCTCTTGATATCGGGTGTTTTAGTGTATTGAGGCGGTCGTACGGCAAGGAAATTGAGAAGTTGATGCGCAACCATATTCACCACATCACTAAGCCCGACTTCTTTCTCGCCTTTTTCAACGCATTCCACGCGACATTTGAACCCGAAAACGTACAAGGAGGTTTTCGAGGGGCAGGCCTTATTCCATTCGACCCAGAGAAGGTCATTTCCGGGCTAGATATCAAGCTTCGTACGCCAACACCTACTGGGCCCCCCGAGGCCTCGTACGATAGTTGGGTCTCTCAAACGCCACAAAATGCTACCGAAGCCTCTCTACAGTCAATACACATCAAGGATCGTATTGCTAGACATCAAGGCAGTTCACCCACCCCGATTATTGAGGCCCTTGATCAGATTGTAAAGGGTACGACGAAGGTTATGCACGAGATGGTGTTGATGAAGGCGCGCGTGCGAGAGCTTGAGGAAGCAAATGCAGAATTGAGCAAACGCCGGAGAGCTAAAAAAAAAAAAAAAAAAGTCGTATCCGGGCAGGAGGACCATTAACTATGGAAGAAGCGAGTGATATTTTGGCCCAAAGGGATGCGCATGCATTGGTAGAGAAGGAAAAGCGATCGAGGGGTGGTCGTACGAGGAGCAACGCAACAGGTTTACGACACTGTAGTAATTGCGGCAAAATAGGACACAACTCTCATACATGCAAGGAGGACGCGAAAATGGATGAGTAATTAGATTCTGAGTAGTTTCTATTAATTTTTTTCCTTTGTGGTGTTGGTATTTCGTATAATAGTTCAATTGGGGTAGGAAAAGTGCGCGCTCGCTATACATGCGCGCTCGCTATACAATCACGTTATATTGTTTTGGTTTTTTGGCATTCGTTGTAACCCTAACCCTATGTGTAGCGGCTGGCTATCTGTGCTGACTCATCGGGGTGTATTAGTGCCTTGTATTAACTAGTGCCTAACTTTTGAACATGTGCATTTTTGTGCCCATCTTTTATACTGGGCTATAGCCTTGAATGCTTTAAAGTTGAGGCTTCGCCCCGGCTTTCTTCAAACCTACAAACAACTTTTTCTTACGACATAAAATCTATTCCATTAAGACGATGGAGGATTTCCAGCGCCTCGCTCCATGATTGCGCCGCCTTTCTGCGCGTCTACACCGAGGGCTTGGCATTGTCCTTTTGTCGTCCTTCTGGTGCGGCCAATGAGCGAACGTCTTTCAGAAGGACGCTCTTTCCTCAGCCGCGACCCGCACCCGAGTGAGGGAGAGGGTGACGCGCAGTTGCCTGGTTTTGCCACGACAATAGGGATTAGTGAGCAAAAGAAGGACCTAGAAGCTGCCACTATTCATAACTATAAAAGAGAGACTTTTGGCCCTCCCAAAGGAAACAAAAAGTCAGACCTTTTCAGACAATTCAAGCTTTACCTCCCTGCATCAAATGCTCCATTCCCGTTGCCCTGTGAATGCGCGTGACACTTTTTTCTTCATCGCACCGCAACTTTCTCAACACAACCCTAAATTCCTTCATTTCTTCGTCAATCGAGAGCTCGTTCAATTCTCAATCGAACCATGCCTATCTACAGCGAACTGGACATGTTGACGGCGATGAAACTCGTCTGTGACGGCGGCTCTGTCGGTCAGGCGGCAGCAAAATACTCTGTACCGAGTATCCCCCGTTAATTCCGCCGTTAATCTTTGCCAGAAGAAGGCCAATGTTTGATGGCAAACTCTTGAGGCTCTTTCGCTGCTTTACAGGCTCCAGCATGCACTTCGGCACCGGCTGGCCCGGAAGCTCGGGGAGCCTGACAAGGTCGGAGTGAAGTGGGTGAGGCATTACATGGCCCGGAACCCGGCAATTCGGACCCAAAGAGCACAGCGGATTGACTCGGTGCGCCTGAACGGAGCTATAAAGGAAGCTATCACGGCCTGGTTCGAACACCTGGCCCTCTCGGCGGTTCGGGGCATCAAGCCCGAGAAGCGTTGGAATAGAGACGAGACAGGCATTCTTGAAGGCCAGGGTTCAAACGGCTTGGTCCTAGGCAGTTCAGAAAGCAAGGTGTTGATCAAAAACAACCCGATCTCGCAGCTAGACCACCTTCGTGGAAAAGCCATAACCACAACAGCACTATTGTCTTGGCATGCGGCTCGCGTTCGCATCATTCCCCCTTTCAGCTCACCCGGTTCAGTCGCACGCCCCTGCCCAATGGACCCCGCCAGCAACCCTCCCGTGCGCATTTGGTGGCGCTCGGTTTGACAGATGACTGGCTTGTAGATGCATGCATGCCCTAGTCTCGCATGGGCTGTTTCCCAACTGATTTGAAATACCGAGGCCTGCCCACTCCGATAAGCCGTTTTCTGTCCCCTCTCTTCCCAAGAAAATCGGCAATCGCGACATGGTGGGTTCACCAAGTTCTCACCAACTAACTACACGCGATGAAGTCTCCTTCAATATGGCGCCAATTCCTGGCCATTGCTCTGCTCGTCCAGTGCTGCCTCGGGCGCCCCGTCCTCACAAACTCGGATTTCAACGTCCAGAGGGGCCAGCCATTTGTTATCACCTGGTCGGACGCGTCGGGGCCTGTCGACCTTGTGCTGTTGCACGGCGCCTCGACGACCACCTTCCAGGTCCTGCTGACCATAGCTAGTGAGTGGCGCTGTCTGTCTGTCTGTCTGCTTGAATATCCTGACCACGCTCGGCCAACTGCGCAGGCAAGGTGTCGGGGACGTCGTTCACTTGGACGCCGCCGCAGAGTCTCCCGTCGGACGGCATCCTAGCGTTTGAGATCTACGACTCGGACTCGCCAGACGACCCCAACTACTCCTCCCCCTTCACCATAGCCGGGAGCGGGTCAGACTCTCCGCCAACGACCACCCCGTCAACTTCGCCGCTAGTTTCGTCGACCACGCCGCAGCCGCCTTCGACGACCCCAACGACCCCGACGACTCCGGCGACCCCGACAACCCGCGTCTCGTCGCCCACTCCAACCTCCTCCCAGGGATCCACCGCCAGTGGCACGCATACCGTGTCGTCGAGCAGCCAGACAGATACTAGCCACTCGACGTCGGGCACCTCGTCGAGTCCTGTCACCAGTCAGCCGTCGTCAACCGCCGGAGGGGTTAGTGGAGGGGTCAGTGGAGGTGGTGCAGAAGGAGACAGCTCAAGCGGCGGTCTCAGCACGGGCGCCAAGGCAGGCATCGGCATCGGCGCCGCTCTGGGCGGGATTGCCGCCGTCGCCGCAATCGCCTACGTGTTCTACCGGCAGGGCAAGGCGGCCGGCGCCAAGGGCGGCGCCGACGGAACAGCAGGCGCGGCGGAGCTCGGCGAGGGCGGCAAAGGCAGCACCCTGGCTGAGCTGGGCGGCGGCAAGACCGCTGCTGAGCTCGGCGAAGGTGTCAAAGATAACACGCTGGCTGAGCTGGGTGGCGCCAAGACCGCGGCGGAGCTCGGGGAAGGCGGCAAAGACAGCACTCTAGCCGAGCTGGGTGGCAAGCCCACGGCCGAGATGGGGACGCCGGCGAACGCGGCCGAGCTGCAGCACTCGTCGCCCGTGACCGTGTCGCCTGTCTCAGACGCCACTACTCTGGCGCCCGGCGCCGACATGTACTACCCGCTGCATGCCGTCGAGTTGAGCTCGGAGCAAGCGCCGAGGGCGTTGTAGTTCATTTGCGGGATGGTTGAGACTCGAAGCTGTGGAAATTTCTGGGTTTATATATGCTTAATCGTACATAGTGTACACCAATCTGGCTAATCATAATTTCTAGTCCACTGCCGTGGGACTTTGTGGTTTCCTGGATTGCGGACAGTCTCGTCGAAAATCCAAGTGACATGCTGAATGCAGCGCATCTGAATACGGCAGGAAAGACTGCAACAACGCGGCACACGGCCTGAAACCAGTCCAGTCTTTTCATTCGGACCTGAGCTGATTGCTAGACTGTATTTCTGAAATAGTTCGCCTTGGCAAATTGTTTGGCAATCAAATCGACAGTGGTAAAAACGAACAAGGGCCCACATGGCAGCGACTACATCTTACATGGCAGCGACTACATCTTACATGGCAGCGACCACATCTTACACCAGGTCTGTCCGAAAACAAAGGAGAAGAGTATGATGAGTAAACAAGAAGCAAAAATGTGGTTCGATGGAGCTGGGACTCGCCAGCCGAGAATGGAGACTCACGAGTCATGCCACGTCACCGGAAAGTAACGCGCTACCATCACGCCATCCGACCCACGGCTGTGGATTGATGGAGAATATGGGTTGTTTCAAACACCAAGTACGCTAGGGGACTAGGGATAGGTCAGGTATTTTCTCATCCGTAGAACAGAAGTATGCTTGAGATTTAGGGATGCTTTCTCGGTCACGAAAACCAAGAGGGTCTCACATGCTTCATCGTTTAGGCACCAAAGTGCACATAAGGACCCCAAACCGCCACACTCTCGCCGCTCTTCATCAAACCCATCACGGCCTTGTGCAAAGATTCGGCAACGTTTGCAACCTGGAGCCGTTCACCACTGCCGAGCAGCTCCGAATACACGTGTCTCGACACCTGCGGCGCAACCGCGTCCACGATGGGCCACATGGTAGCTAGCACGTTCGGCACGCCGGCCATCTGGAACGCGCCGGCCACGTGCAGGCCCTCCTCGCGCAGCAGCAGGTCCCGGTTGACGGCCATGTCGCAGGCCGAGAGGTTGACGAGCCGGCAAGACCTGAACTCGATGCGCATCAGGAAGCCGACCGTCAGCGAGTGTCCCCCCTTCCAGTCGCAGAGCAGCAGCCTGCTGCGGAGCGGCTCCAGCGGATCGGCGACGCCGTGGCAGGCGAAATGGGCCACCTCGCACGTCCGCAGCGCCTGCACCACGGGCTTGCGGTACGGCACGGCTTGGAACTCCTCTCTGGGGTGTCCCATGGTGGTGACCTTGTATCCGCGCCGCAGCATGGCCTCGGCTTCTCGCACTTCGCTAGCGGCGTGCTCCAGGTCCGGCTGCACGTCGGGCGTGAACCTCATGCTGACTAGTGCGGCCTCGGGGAGGCGGTTAGTATCAGTAGCCGAGACCGTATTAGAGCTCATGCGGTGCATTGTCCTCCGCGCGTATTCTAGGGCCCCGAGCGAAGGCGTGTAAGACGACACGAAAAAGTCAAAGACGTGCCGCCGTCTCTCGCTTGGTTTCGGGTTTTTCGAGTTGCTATATTCGCCCGCGGCGTGGATGGGGAACACGCTGATCCAGCCGCTGCTTACCCACCACAGCCGGGGCAAACGGCTGCCTGTCGGCTGCGGGTCGCGCCGACATATTCCAGCTTTCGCAAGCGCCGAGACGACTGGGCCCGCCGCCGCGTCCCACAGCCAATGGAGCAAGTCCTCGAGCACCTCTCCTGCCCTGGCGGGGTCTTTCTGGCGCGCCTCCAAGAAGGTGTTGAAGTGTGTGTAGTGCTCTTCGCAGCGCTTCTGACTAAAATCCGGCAGGGGCTCGACCAAGACTCCCGCTTGCGAGACGACCACGGCATGGGACGACACGTTGCTCTGGACGAACAGGACGACTGGGCCCTCCGAGGACACCGAGAGCAGCCTTTCGGCTGAAAGTCCGGGCAGGAGAAAGTCCTCGAACCCAGGCTGCTGCCGTATCTCGGCGAGCACTTCGTTATACTCGTCCGCCGTATGGAATTGGTTGGACGCCAGCAGCCCTCCCCATGACCTGTCGCCAGCTGCTGCCCCGGCCGCAGCCTTCGGGCTTCTTGCCAGAAGTGTTCTTGCTTTCACGAAGCGCGCGGCTAGGGCCCGGTGTCTAGCCTCGAGGTCCGCGGCGCTGGCTTTTCGACCGAGCACCAGGTTCCAGATCACGCTGCGGCACTGCTCAGCGACCTCGAGGACCTCCTCGGCGGGCCACCCGGCCATGAGGGCTTCGCTGAGCGCCCGCACGTTCAGGCGGCCGAGCAGCCGCAGCTTCCATATCTGCTCCGACCTGGTATCCGACGGCGACACGACTTGGAGAAATGCCAGCACGACACTCCGATACACCCGGGCTGCCCTGCCGTGGTCCCCGGAAATGCGCTGCTGGAGGGCCGCCGCCTTGGTGGCCGTCATCAGACGCGAGATGGAGACGCCGTCCGTTCCTGCGTATAGCTTCTCCCAGGCTTCAATGGCATTCTCCGCGTATCTCTGGTCGCCGTGTATCTTGAACTGCACCTCCCTGACATCGCCGAGGGTGTCGTACCGTTCCTGCAGGTTGACTTTGATGTCCTGGCAGGCCGCGGCGAGACGGTCGAGGACATGTAGGGCGTCATCGCAGTCCTTCAGGGCGAGCTCCTTGAGGTCTCGCTGAAGATGACTGTTCGCTCTCGTCGCCAAGACGTCTGCGAGCGTTTTGAGGGCATACACTTGGGAGAGTTTGTCAGTGCAGCTGAACGACACGGCCTTCCGGAAGTGGCGGATCGCCTGGTCCAACCAGGAGGAAGTCTTCTGGGGAGCGGCGGCGGCGGCGGCGGCGGCGCTGTCGTACTGGCGCAACGCAGTGTATCCCAACTCGGTGGCAACGGCGGCCTTTGCTTTTGCTTCCAAGGGCAGCTTGCCAAGCAAGACCGTCGTCAGAGTCTTTATCGCAGATTCGTCTCCCGGCTTGTCCCCGGCGAAGCCTAGGTCCCGCTTCATCCGCTGGGCTCCGATCATTGCGGCTGCTCTTAGCGCGTAGTGGCTCGAGTCGGGACTGGTCAGTCTGAGGCACTGGGAAAACATGCCGTGGGCAACACCGAGGGCCTCGGGCGAGTAGTATGCGTGGAACTGGAGCTCCCAGGCCTTGCCCATTGCGAACAAGTATGGGGCAAACCCTGGGCAGTCGGCGGGTTTCTCGTCCCACGTCGACAGCAACTCTTCTCCCGCCCGGTATCCTCCCAGGATGGAGGCAAAGGCCACTCCCCGTTTGTGATTTGGGTCAAAGGACATCTCGTTGAATGCAGCCCCGGTGGCCTGGAAGAGCTCGGGGCGGATGGGACTCTGATCATTGAGGACAAGGAGCTGGTTGGCCTGAGAATACTCCATTATCAGGGTCTTCAGCGAAGCGCCACCGGGACAGAGTCTCCAGCGCGAGTGCAAGACACGCAGCCGAGCCATCAAACACGACAGCGTCTCGCGGGGGGAGAGACTTGCATTGCTGTCGTCGCCGTCAAAGATTGCCTGGGCCTCGGCAATGTCACGCTCGCCTCCCGTCGCCTCGAAGCGCCGACGTAACGCTTCCGCCAGGGTCTGCTGGGTGAGCACCCACTCGCTTGAACCAACAGCTTTCGAACTTTGGGCGGCACCCGCTGCGGCGCGCAGAACATCAATGGCCATTTCCAGTGCCGACGGTGAATTAGCGCACTCGGAGAGGTCGATCAGCGCCTGGCCACAGGCTCCCAGCAAGCCCGGAAGGCACGCAGCATCATCTCGGCCCACGCTCGCGATGGCGCTTCCAACCAAGTCGAGACTCTCCAGGACAAACTGTCTGTCGGCCGTCCTTTCGTAGCGAATGTGGAGGATCGTCAGCAATTTTGTCAGTGCCAGGCAGTAGCTAGCCGAGGCGGGTTGTTGGTTGCCGAGGAGCGCTCTCAGACCCGACTCTGCCGCATCCGCGTCGGGCTTTAGGCCCATGCGAAGCAGGCGCTCGAGATGGATGCTCGCGCCGAGTGCGGTGATCTGGGTAATACGTTCTGACAGCTCGCTGGGGCCAGTGCGGGAAGCTGCTGCGTCGAGCTCGGCGAGGGCGTCGAGGGAGAGCTGTTCATTCTGGACCTGGTCGGAATGGCTCTTGGTGTATCTCTGCAGCAGCGTGCCGGCGCGGGCGCAATGCGTCTGCGCATGCTCCTCGGGAGACTCCATCGACGGGTAGAACTGCGCAACGCGGTCGGCGTAGGGCGTGGGGCGTGGGGCGTGGGGCGTGGGGCGTGTGCGGGCATGTCATGGGCAGCCATCGCTAGTCGATTGCAGCTCGGCTTACGTACGCATGTTGTTCAATCAGGTGGGTCACTGGGCTGAGGCGGAGCCCGTGTCGCCCAATCACGGACAGGAAAACCATCGGCGGTGGCCTATGGAACTAAAAGCGGGGACGATTGCCAGAGGCCGTGCAAATCGCGCAGCTCAGCCTCTCTGTTATTGGATTAATTAATTAGGTAGACAGACTTGCACCCACTGCCCACCCCCGCTCCCCAACCACTTTCTCCCCCCCCTCGCTCTCTTCAAGTACAAGATCCAACCGCAGATCACGCGGCGTAATGGACGCGACGTATGCGAAACTGATGGCCAAGTTCGGCTACGGACGCTGCCTCTACAGACCTCCGTCTACGACTGAGATGCGGCCTGGCTCGGTGGGCTACTGGGACAGCAACGCCAAGTGGCAGCCCATTGCCCAGCTGGACGACAGCGAAGACCTCAAGGCCAAGGGCTTTAGGCCGCCCCAGGAAGAGCTGTTGGCGAATGACTCCACCCTCGATGAGGGGTGGTCGCCCTTGTACTCTTCGTCAGTCACCGAGTCTGACATCACTGCCGAGGTGATGGCCAGGTGCGCATGCTCTCTCCTTGAAGTTGGGCCAACAGGTGCGCACATCACTGCTGACCGCGAAAACTCGGGCAGATTGCCCGAGGGCGCCGCAACGGGTAAGGCGTTCTACAAATACCAGGGCAGCGAGAACGCCGGGGCGGTCCTTATAACTGTAAAACCCATCAGCGCCCGCAGCTTCCTCCACGAGTCCCCGTTCTCACGCTGGACGTACGACAATATCGATGCTCTCATGGCTAGCCCGAGAGGCGAGGATATCAAGACGCACGGTCTGGCTATTATCAGGGATACCTACAGCACCAAGAAGTGCCTGCTCAATGTGTGGGAGTCAGGCAGCCGCGCCTTCTCGGTTGGACTCACAGTAGATGCCCATGGAGTCTTGAACCTGGGCGTCGGCGGTGGGTGGTCCGATGCAACAGATGCTGGCGGCTGCAGGGAGTTTTCTCCCAAGGTGAGAGCCCCCACGAGCCAAGCTGGTAAATGCACCTGGTATATGATAAGACCGCACGCTGACAGGAAATCAAAGCAGAATCCAGAGGACGAGGTTGTAGTTTGTGCCAGCGGGCTTGTCTTCAAAATCCGGCGGCTGTTTGGCATCACCGTGAGGCTCGCCTTTTTTGCAACCACGCACCTTATCTCACAATACCAGGAGGACTGATCGAAATGCAGATGCTCTCCCACCCGGCGCCGCTCAGGAGTGCAAACACAGAGGGATCTCTTGTCGAGACTCGCCAGATCAAGAGCAAGGAGAGAGAGGATCTGGTCTTTGAGCTTGAGCGGGAGGTATTCGGCAACCCCCTTCTTGCTCCTGTGGAGGAGGCATGCGCATCATCAGACTGGGAAGATGACGAAGATTCTATGGCTACCTAGGTGTAGCTCACCATTCGTATCGCCATCACCATGAAGCCATTCTTGTTACTAACTCGCTCCCAGCTAATTCTTCAAGGCCGAAACATAGTAACTTTACCAGCATGATTCAGGCCGGGGCCTGCCACTCGATTATGAGGACTTCACATAAACACAAGAAGACAGCGAAATACGGAACTAGTTTATAAGACTTGCTAAGGATTGAACGTCTTAGCAGATGTGAGCGAGAAATAGTGGGCAAACCGCCTTGCGCCAATCAATTTTGCTTTTACTCTTGCGTAAGGCGGTCAGATCGTATCTGCCCCATCGCTTGCACGTGGTGGCGGCTAGGGCGGGGCTGACGGGTTTGCCGTTGAAGTTGGACGTGCCGGGCTTGTGTCCGAACGCGGTGCCAATGTCGCACCAGTGGTACTGCGGCGGCGGCGGCGGCGGCGGGCAGCAGCACGAGTGCATGCAGATGCCGGGACACGCGAAGCTGACCTTGGTGTACATGAACTACCGGCCTCTAGGAGCATTGGGGTCGCCGATCAGGGTTCCAAGGTTGAAGCAGGTGGCTCCGTCAATGGAGATTCCGGCCGTGACGATGATGTCCTGGTTGCAGAGACTGTCCGATGGCGGGTTCAAGGCGGCCAGCACGGCCGAGACGGGCACCCAGCAGTTGCCGACATTGGTTCCAGCCGAGTACGAATAGTAACTGTTGTGTGGCCAATTGCCAAGGCCGTTCGGGAGCTTGGAGGGGTTGCCGTTGCTATCAAGGATGGCAAGATGCATGTTTGTGACGGGGGAGACGGCGGTGAGCTCGACATGGAGGCAGGTCTGTCCGGCATAGGTGGCGGCGGCGCTGTGGTGAGGGTACAGGACAGCAGGTATCGCTGGTGAAGGCATCTGCAGCGCTAGCTGAGCAGTCGGCAGTGGTAGCAAGACTGCCGCCAACCAGCCTAAGGCCAGCAAGGGCAACGGTGATAGGTCGCATGTTGATGAGCTTGAGCGTCAGGGAAACCCAAAGCGGATGAGGTTGACGTGAGGCGCTACTTGATCATGGACAGTCGAGGGCTGCGAGCCACTGGGCTCTTAATAGCGCTCAAGTTCCCAGGGCGAGGCGGTTATCCTTTGGCCCAATGCCCCTTGAGGAGGGACATGATGCTTCCTTGCCCGACTCCCAAAGTAGTTGACGCTCGCGGCCTAATGCCTCGACTCAATTGAGTCTGAATTGCATCCAGAAGCAGATAGGTCAAGTCATGCCACCTAAACCACGCCATCTGTCAACTTTAATGCACTCTGTGGAGTTTCTTGGGAGCATTCCCGTGGAAAGGTTGAGAAGGCGTCCAATTATCGGCTTCAATCCTCACTTTTGGGTGACAACGCAGGGCGACGCGCTGGATGCTTTCGGAAAGGACTGCGTGCAGTTGCGCAGCCACTGTTCGGACCCAGTCCACCCAGCTCAATGGACTGGGTGTGAAAGAAGCCATCGCGCCGTCACTCCTTGGCGTCCTACAGCGTGATGTGTTCGTTCACATAATGACCAGGCGCCGGGCGGACCAAACCTAGTTGACAGCCGGTGTCAACCGACAGCCGTCTTTGCTGTGGTTGAGGCCGGTCTTGACTCTGGGTGGAGACCCTGAATCCGGTTGAATTAGGTACCTATTATGATGAGATTCCTTCTTTGAATCGCTCCACTTCGACTCAGTCTACTGCTTCTTAACTATAAAGACCATAGAAATTTGAAGATATATGGAGCATCTAGAGTGGCGGTTTATTGCAGCACAGCGCCACGGCAAAATCTATAAGTCTTGCCCGTGATCAAAGTTGATAGTGGCTTGAAGGGTCTTGGATTTTCTGTCTTCCTCCTATCTAATAATATAGGAAAGAAGGCCTTTTATGCTTCTAAGAAAAGGACAAAGGAAACCTGGTTCAACGGTCTGTTTAGTCGTGCTACGTAAGGGACTTAGCCGTAGTAAGGGAGACAAAAGAGGGCATCCGGAAGTCTGGGAGCCGGAAAAAGGGATTAGGGCTGAAAGTCACGAATGAAGGGATATGCAGTGTTTGGAGGGATATGCAGGTATGTGGTTTGACAATGTGGCTCAAAAGTGGCTCAAAGTGGGCGACAACAAGCAAGTAAGTTTGTGCATCATAATTATCCATGAAGATCGAAAACACTCTGCACATTAAGAAAGCAAGTCCTAATTACTATAAATCTCACTTCGAGACTCCCTCATCATTATTGACCCGGCCAAGGAAACGGAAGGCTAGCAGTCCCATTTGCCAGCGAATAATAAGGATACAGCAAGTTTTCTCCAACATAGGCTGTAGGGTTGATCAACTCACACGTGCAGCTTTCCATCGAGGTGCACTTTTGATTTGTGGTAGATTTTGCCCATGCAGACCAATGTTGAAATGTATTGTTGCTGATTGGAAAGCTTGTCTAATCAATGCACGGTCAAGGTTAACTAACTGGAGGCAATCACGGGCTGCCCCTGCCGCAGACGTCTGGAAGGGGAATATTTTGGTCGGTGGTGTGGGCGTAGGTGTTTACTTACGATGTTGTCTTGACACGACGTTTGCGCTTGCATCCAGGTACTGACCATAAAGCCGTCGTAGGTTGTCTTGGACCATGTCTTCTGCACGTCCAGTGCCTCGACCGCTAGTTTATAGGCCTCCTTGGAGAGCCGGTTGGCTTCCTCCGCAAGGCCAATCGCTCTGTCTGCGAGCTGAATGCCGCAAATGGCGTAGTACAGTGTGAGGAGAGCAATGGCCACCAGCGAGATCTCGCTCAGTATCTTGAGTAGCATTCTCAACTTGGCTTTCCAGTTCGCTTTCAAGTTTCTCCAACGAGTCTGTATCCATATCGGTACTGTATTATGTGGATTCGGAGCGGTTTCCTAGCATTTTTGAGGCGACTGCTGATCAGCAAGGGTCACTCTAGGATTTCAAACGCGGTTCGTAGCTAAGTGTGGACTTACAACTTGACATGTGGAGACAGCAGGCTCTTTCCCTGGGATACGAGCTTCCAGTTCAGCTATTCTCGCCGCCTGGATATCGAGCTGCTTTTGTTGTTGCTCGGCCATGATCTGCTGTTTCTCTAAAAATGTTTGCTGCTCCTTGATCATTGCCATGAAATTGGCCCCGATCCGCTCACGGTGGCCGTCAACGTCGTTGAACTGGCTTGATATTTCTTCCCCAAACTCTTGCAATTGGCTTGTGGGACCCGGAGAAGGCTCGCCGGGTGCTGTTGATGTGGCAGTCTCAGGCTGCGAGTCATCTGAGCCGGAGATTGGAGAGGTCTCTGAAGCCATTGTGTCGCTAGTACGATATTCTGCATCCATTTCGCCAATGTTACCCCAATTTAGCTTTGGCTGTAATTGTCGTGCGTTGGCGAGAGGTCATCGAAAAGTCAGAGGGTGAAGCTGCCAGGCTCGGCGCGGGTGGGCGGGGTCGAAATATAACGATCTAAATGAGTTCTGCCACCCCCTATTCAAGAAAGCCTTACCCTCAAAGACTCAGCCATCTTCTTATTAGTGTGATTCTGTGCCTCACGGCCAGATGCTTGACAGCACCCAATCAAAACCAGCCAGAAAGAGGCAAGAAGGGTTGTGGCGTTTCGAATGACGAATACGAGGACGTGGCGCACCGTGACCGGCCTTGGCAGCTGAGCAGCGATTTTTCCCTTATCTAAGGGCACTTATCTCAAGATGGTCAGCAAAGGGGCTGGTCCTCAGATCTTTTCAGATGTGCGCACTGGCATTGTCAGAGATGGGTCCTCAGTAGTCTTGTGCTCCTTGCGCGTATCTCGACTCTGACCTCCCTGCCAGCCGGGGTGGGCTTCTTCGGCAATAACCAATCTTTAGACCGGTACGGAGGATTGGGCCAAAGAAAAGAGCCACCCTATCCTGTGCCCCAGGGAGTAATCCCCACAGTGCTAGCCATCCAGGTTTCTGAGGCCGAGCATTTACTGTTAAATCCCCTGTGCCGTAACTTGCCAAAGATCTTTATCTTTTTTCACTGTGGACGATAGGCTTGTTGGCTAGGCAGCTGGTAAGCTTGGCTGAACCCCTCTTGGGAGGTTGCGTTCCAAATAACGCACTAGGGAGGCTAGGCCTTTCTTTTGGCCTCAACCTCCGCTTCTTGTCACTGAGGCTGTCACATACATCGACACTTAGAAAGTGACCAAAAGAGTGCTTTTATTGGGAAGAAGAAGGAGAGGTGGGCATGGCCTAGCTACCCTGCTGTTGTATGTCATTCGTGTCTTCTTGAACTAGGCCACAGGTGGCTAGTATGTGCGCCACGTATGCAGCCCAACGGCTTCTTCCGACACTTCCAGGCGCCGAGCCCGAACACTTGCATTTTGAGGGGCTCAGTGTTGGATTTCAGCATCTGCACTCGCACGTTGTCGCCAAACAAAAGACCACGCGCATTTGGGGGCCAGGTTCTCAGCCAGTTGCAATAATTATTGTGGCAATCAAGGCCATCCGTCCTGCCCCCGTAAAGGCCATCCTCGATAGCGTTTTGCAGGCTCAGATATAACGATGCCAACGAGATAATCTTACATGGCTAGGGACTTGGTGGATGCCCTAGGCAAAAGCTTAATTTGATAAGTCAGGTGGTCTGCTTATGAAACACCCCTGGATTTGGAACAAGGTTTGTCATCAAGGACTTGCCGCTCGCCACCCAACTCACCTATTTCAATCGCTTGCAACTCGACCAATTCTGCTTCAATACTTATCTTCTTTTCTCCATTCAATTGAGAAATGAAAGATGAAGCGATATACTCAGTTGGATTTGCAGAATGCGCTGGCAGAGTATGCAGAAATTGGCTTACTCCGTAGCTCTGCTGAAAATCACGGCATCCCCCCTACTACTCTCTTTAATCGGGTTCGTGGTTCTGAGCCAGCCTCCAAGGCCCAAATTCTTAATCAAAAGCTTTCTCCGGCTATGGAAGAACGCTTAACCGAATGGATTCTATTCCAAGGGTCGCTCGGTCACCCTCCAACCCACGCCCAAATTCGGAAACTAGCTAGAAGAATGCTCGAAGATAACGAGACCCTCGGAAAACGCTGGACTAGCCGGTTTTTGGCTAGAAATCCATCTATTTCTACAATTAGGCCTCGGAGAATCCATGCAAACCGTGCTGATCGAGCCTGTGAGGCCGTTATCCGGCCTTGGTTTGACTATTTGAAGCCTCCAGGCGTGGAGGCTATTTCAGCCAAGCATAGGTATAATATGGATGAAACTGGCATTGCTTCTGGCATTGGAGATAACGGCCTGGTTGTTGGATCTAAGAAAAGAAAGAAATTCCAGAAAAAGAAGAAAGGAGACCGAATTTGGACCTCGATTATCGAATGTATTTCCGCTGACGGCCGGTATTTGAACCCAGTCGTCATTTTCAAAGGTGGAAGCCTTCAACAACAATGGTATCCACGCGATTTACAGCCATTTAAGGGCTGGAAGTGGAAACCCACTGAAAACGGCTGGTCTGACGATGATACTGCCGTCGCATGGCTCCGCAATATCTTTCTTCCAGAGACTCGGCCAGCTACCCCCTCGGAGAAGCGCCTCCTTATTTTAGATGGCCACGGTAGTCATACCACCGAAGAATTCATGTGACTAGCCTTTTCTAATAACGTACAATTGTTATTTCTACCAGCCCACACCTCCCACGTTCTCCAGCCCCTAGATTTATCGGTTTTCGGCCCTCTAAAAGCCCGGTACAGAGCCAAGCATAACGAGGTTGTTTCCGGCTTCGACGAAGGCACTGTTGCTGAAAAGAGGGCCTTCCTAGAATGCTACCGGCAAGCCAGGGTCTATGGAATGACTGAATCTAATATCAAAGCTGGCTGGAAAGCTACAGGCCTCTGGCCGGTCAGCCTCAGGAAGCCCCTAAGCAACGGCCTTGTTATTAAGAATTCTAACGGCGACGTTGGTCAACTGACCTCTACGGTTTCTATAGACCTTCAAGAGGTCCATAACCCCATTCTAAATAAGAATTCGGAGGGCCGGCCTATATGGTTTACCCCTAAAAAGCCGAAGGATTTCCGTATTCAGGGGCAGGTTTTTCTAGCCGGCCAGAAACGGACTGCCAACGACCGACTTTCCATACGCAAGGTCGCAAAAGCCTTCGATTACGTGGTTTTCCAACTAGCCAATACGGCGCATCAATTGGAGGCTGCAGAAAAAAGCCTAGAACGCACAAGAGGCCGAAAGAGAAGGAAGGTCCAAGTCGACCCTAATACGCAGTTCGCTGGAATTGAGGAGGTTCGTGCCTCACAGAGAGAGGCTGGCAGAGAGGACCTTAGTTATTCTGAAAGAGAAGAATCAGGAGAATCCGATACTGAAGACTTCATCATTGTAGCTAATTAATTGACAAAGTTGTTGGCAATTGAAGTTTGTGGTGTTGTGCGGGGTCCGATTCAGGGGCTGTTCCATAGGCAGGGGTGTTCCAAAAGTCCCCCACCTGACTTATGGTGTAAAGACGGTTCTTAGGTATGGCGGTCTCATGCTTTCGGCTGTGTCGTTGAGCTGCTCAACCTAGGTCTCCGGCAGCATGCATCATCGATGAAATATTAATCTTGAAACTGCATCCAGTTCAATGTGTAGGTATAATCGACTATAAGTAGATGCCTAACTAATAAACAAGTGAATATACTCTTCTCTCCAACTACCATTTTCTAGCCTCTAGAGACTGCTTTATCGTTCATTAATAAGAACTATGGTCTCTACACAACGTCTTAGTTGATTAGACCCATGCCGGCTTTGTAGATTTTGGGGGTATTAGCAGGAAGGAAGAAATGAGAGACTTTTTAATACCCACAAAGTATATATCCGACACCAATAGATATTAATAGCCTTGACAATCATTGTACTATGCTAGTATGTACACCTAAACTCAGCAAGATATAAATAGCCTACCTATCAACTGACAAAACGGCGAGGCTCTCGGGCCGTGCCAACAATTCACCCTTGACAAACAGCTTTGGGGGTGGCTGTTAAGTCAGACAGGCACCCGTGACTGAGGCTGGGTGGCTGTGCCTTGCACCACCCGAGTTGGTTCCCATTGGTCGACCGCTTGTCTGGTTCGGCCAGCTGCTGTCGTGGCATGGTGCATGCGAGCATCTGTTAGTCTCACCGCATCTCTGTTAACCCTCTCTAGCGCGACCGCCTCATCGGTGCTGTACTCCCCCCAAACCCGTTGGACTACGACATTCCTACTCAACCCACCAACGAATCTGCCGAGACATGTCTCTCCTCCGCATCAAGGGACTCAATCCTAACCAATCTTGCTCCCAGCCTGGTTGTCGCAGGGACGTAGCAAGCACCCGACGAGTCACTGCGCCGCCCTCCGGACTGCCTCAGGCCGGCTTTGACACCCGGAGCAGGAGTCAAAGGCACCCGCCACCACCAAGACAATCTATCCACGGCCGATAATCAATCGATTCAAAAGAAAGGTTGAAGAAGGGGGATTTCCGGCCGCCCGGCACGTCTCGCTCGGAATTCAAAAGTAAGTGTCGACGACGACCGCGACCACGACCGCGACCCGAAGGACCTCTGCGCCAAGAAGCTCTTCCCGATGCGATATGCCGGGAGGGGGGGAATGCGTGTTGGAGAAGAGGGAAAAGAGGGACAGGAAGGACGAAAAAGGGACGGCGAGTATAGCACATCGCGCGCGTTCTAGATTGCTTGCCTCGCTTCGGACCGTACGTCAGCCTGGCCAAGGTGAGGAGATACCTAATAATTAGAGATGGTGGGACGCGGCGACCCCAATTTCATTTTCCCTTCCCCCCACCTATAATTCTCCATACGTACATAGTGGTGAGACTGAGTGGGGTGTAGCATTATGGAACCGGGCTACGCCTCCACGATGCATCTCACGAGAGATGTCAGGCGTGGCGAGGCGTGGCAGGGGCATGGTATGTCATGGCATGTCGTGGTGCAGGCGCCCCCCTCCCCCTCTCCGACCTTCCCCCCGCGGATGCTATGGTGTGGTGGCAGGGCAAGGCATGATGGAACAAGACAGGGCCGAGCTGGGCCTAGGCAGGACGGGACAGACCCGGATCCTGGTATTCCTGACTAGACTGTGAGACATGTAGTCGATAATACGATGCACTCCCTAATTAGCGGGATGCGAAGGAAAGGAAGACGGGCGAGATAGGTAGCTGAGAGATGATAATATCAAAGACAAGCTGGAAGAGGAAACGCATCCTGGTGTCCTGCACGCCTCGGACTGCGGTGACCAGGAGTAGCAGGTGCTTCGATCTGGACAGGACGGCGACAGGGAAGGCCCAGCTTTGCGAGATCAAAGCCACAGTCATACTCACATACACTTGGTCGCCGATGCTGGGCTGGTACGGCACGATATACAAGCGGAATAGAAGAATACTCGAACAATGGATACGGTGTGATATTTGTCAGGCCATTAGCTATCGTATTTCATTTCAAGAGAGGCCCTAGCGTTTGTCCAAAGTGAGGCAATGCTGCCAACCCTCCTTTTCCATCCTTCTAGATGTTTACACGGCCTTCTCTGCATCGGGCTTGTACCACCTGACCACGCAAAGGTCCAAAATGTCACCATTCCGTATCCGTTCCATCTGGATCCCCACCTGTGTATATTGTTAAACTGTTACGCCATTTCGTGGCGAGTTCCACATCGCTCGTTTGTCTTTTTTTCTTTCTCTCTTCCTTTTTTGTAAGTAACAGCGGTTTAACAGACGGGACATCCGCGGGAGGCAATCTAAATGACTCAGGCCGCGTCACGGCTCCAGATTGCGGCGCTGCGCTTCACTCTCTTGTTTCTCCTGCTTCCCCTCTTGTTTCCTTCCCTTGCTCTCTCCAGGCCGGGCGTACTCTTCCTCCACTCTCCCCACCCCTGGACAACCTTGGGCGTCATTCACCCACCCATAAAACCCCGATATATTTCCTTGACCGAGCTTCGGCTCTTGTCCCTCGCGTCATTTATAGTTGCACGGGTGCGCCGTCGGCCTCTATTACGTCGAGACTCCCTTGCCTCAATCGGCTCAGGCCCTATTGCATGGATGGGCCGAAGTCTGCAGTGCTCGGCGGCTGTGGGGAACGTGTACTTTACGAACTATCCCGGTAGCAGCGGTTCGCCCGGAATCGTCCCGGGCACCTGATTGTCTTTCAACCTTGTAATACGGGGTAATCGTGGTCGCCGACGGCTTCCCCCATCGACCCCTCTACGACATGAGCATTCCTTCTATGGCTGGGAATGGTTTATTTGCGGCAAACTCCGTCACATGCCATCTTGATGTACCCCGCCCTTCCCGAACCACTCTCGACATGGCGTTGGGCGTTCCCGCGATATTCTTGGTTTCCCTGATCTGGAACTGTGGTAGCGAGCTTTCCGAGTTTATTTCTCCGTGCTACGTCGGCCATTCGGTCTTTTCCTGATGCCGCTGCTGGCTGTGTATTCGACACAATGTCCATGGAATCCTCTTGGCTGCTTATTTTTGGCTTTTCCCTTTTTTACATGCGCTGTGATTCACTATCATTGAAGCCGCTAGACGGATCATGGTCTGCCCATGGAAGCTCAGGAATACTGTGCGCCTCCTCTTGGATTAGGTACGTCAGTAGGAAGTAGCTCGTCGGACTTTGCCACCCCTAATATGGCAGTGTAGATCGGTTAGGTAGCCACTTCAAGAAGGGTCTAGGTCTAGGTCTAGGCTCAGGAACAGCCTTGGATCATCAGGAGCCATGCGTCTAGCGAGATGTGAAGGGCATCCTAGCCAGGGGCAGAGCCATGCTGATGTTGGAGTCTTACGCGGATCGTGGAAGCATGACAATGCGCATATCAGACGCTACGGCGGGAAACCCAAGACAGACAGACTCGACGGGAGCGGGAGGATTTGGTCGGGACGCTGAAGCTCACAAGTCTGGCAAACACGCCAGTCCGGAACGCGGCACCGAATTGCAGCGCCCAAAAAGCCCGAGACGGGAACGGGTTTTGATTGTTTGTCTGGGGCAGATGGCCGCCAAGGCTAATCCCGGACTGGGTGGGTGGTGACGGTTAATTTAGCCTGGCCCGCCTCCTCTGCTTGTCGACGTCCCGGCCTTTTAGCCTATCTAGGATTTCCATTTTTGGCAACGAATTCGCAACGACTCAAAGGCCTCGGCGGCGCCATGGCCAGCCAACAGACAGGTAACCAGCCATCCGGTTGCTGTGCATGACGGTGTGCTAAGGCATGCCCCAAGAGTACTAGTTCTAGTCTAGCCCTTGGCGACCCAGCCCTCTAGTGTTTTGTTTTACTTGTCGGTGTGGTTTCGGGTCGGGTCGCAGTCTGGGGTTGAGCATCCTGCGACCTGGATCGGGAGATGCGAGAGCGGCCACTGTCGATCTGGTTGCCGATCGGCTTCCAGCATGGCCATGGAAAGACCCCCGACGGCCAGTCTCCAGATGAGACGGGCGGATTCCACTAGAGAGAAAACATGGTGCCAAAATGTAGGCTCCGAAATGCCTTGCAGTGGGCATTTCTGCCGGAATCCGATCCCGTGTCGGAGAACCTTGCTGGTGATCTGATGACCAATAACCGTCAATATGGCTGGATTCCCAAGTCCCTGCCCCTCGTTGGGGTATTAGATGAAGCTGCGTGAAAGCAAAGCACGTTGGATCTCCCTGCAAACCAAATGCATGTTACCTGTAGGTCTAGTCCAGCCGACGCCGACAGGGGGAGCAGTGCAGGTGGAAAGGAATAAGGATGGCCTGTCCGGACTCGGCCCAGATTTTTAGTTTTCAAATCTTGGCCGTGGCTGTGATGCATTGACTGACGACAACCGATGAGGGTTGGTTATGGTTTGTCGGTGGAGCCGTTCACAGCTGCCCGTTTGACATCTTTTCCTGCGCCGCCCCGTCCCGATGGCGGACCAAGTCGCCTCAAGTGCATCACGACAGCTTCGCCGCGACGGGCGTGCTGTTGGGAACAAGCGAATTTATTGGGGGAAGGCCGCTTTATTAGACGGTGCCCACCTGGACCCTAAGCCGTCTGTTGTTGCCTGCCTAACTTGTGCCTCGGGCAAGCAGCGGCAGGCGCAACTCCCGGCTATTCTGCCCGGCCAGCACCCCCCTCGCGTGCTTGACGGCAGTCACAACTGGGCAATCAGAGTGTCGCGTTAGTGCGCAGGTTTCGGTCTCGTGTGTCTCGCGACGGCCCTTTATTGCCAAACCTGCCCATTCATCTTGAAACAATCTAGGCAGATACTTTGCACCGCGGCCGGCCACTACCAACTTGTTAACTCGCCTCCGCTTTGATGGCGTCCGTCATTTTGCTCCGCGAATGGCCTGAATCTATTCGCACCTGCCACGCGGTTTGTCGGGTAGTGGAGGCAATCGAGAGAAGGCGGGACGCTGCCGTAGCGCTTGACCAGTAGTTCTTGCCTTCCAAGAGGGGATAGCCGTTGCAACCCAGGGCGCGCAACCGAAGCAAACAATGCTGCTAGCCTCCAGCTGCTACTACCTTGGTTGGAACTAGAGTAATCCCGACAGCCACTGGCAGCCCGCGCCCGAGCCGGCCTAGCCCACCTGGCACCAACGCCACCAAGGCGTCGCGTGCTAAACATTCCGTCCTGGCTGGTCCTTGCAGTATCTGCCCCAAAATTCAGGTATCTAAAGTGTCTACCGCTCAAGTAAACCAACCTTCCAGTTTGTTTCATTTTGTCAAATCTTCCCGCCCCCAAGTCCATCTCGTGCTCGTGCATTCACCTCATGGCCCATGGTCCCGCAGGTCCGATCGTCTCGGTGGCACACGCTTCTTTCTATCTGACCCGACAACAAAATAGCTATTTCGGGCTTCACTCGCCAGAGCCATTCGAACCTGCTGCACTCTGGAGACAAGAGACGGGTCCGCGAGCGGCGGCGGAGCGAAGCCACACGACTCCACACGGTAGCACACCTCGCTAGGCCCGCCAGCGCCTGGAGCCGCCAAGCCCGGGTCAAGTAAGGCAATTGATTACATGGCAATCTAGATGAATTGACGTCAATTGAGCTGGTGTGCCCCCGTGGCCAGCCCCAACCCGACTGGCCTGGCCGCAGTGGCAGTCCCAGTCCGAGTCTACCGCAGTCGACCCGGGGCTGATTTGCTTGCGTGCAGTGCGTGCACCTGGTTTTCCCGTTTCCTCCACTGTTCCTTCCCCATCCCCATCCCCGCCCGACCCCATCCATCATCCACCTCCACTATTCCATGCCCGCCCATGGCCGTGGCGGCTGCAGTACAACTGCCGCCCACAATCTGGCTTTTCGACCCGGCCACTCAGGTGGCCTGTTGCGCTCCGGCACAGGCACAGCAAAGCGGGAAGCGTCGAGTAAAAGGGCCCTTCATCCCGGGAACCTAAACCAGTCCGCCTGCGCCAGTGGTTTCTCTCTCTTTAAGGCCCGAGGCGTTCGCTGCCCTGCCCTTCTTGTCTGGGCCCGAACTAGTCTGGTTTCACGATGCAGTGGATGCACCCCCGCGAGCCAGCCACGTTGCACCCTCCTCCATGTCGAGTTCTCGTCAACATCCAGTGATGCATCATGGGGCATCCTACTCGCCCGCCATCCATAGCCACGGCCATGGCACGCACGGCGCTCACACTCAGGCTCACGCCCACGCTCACGCTCACGCCCACGGCCATAGCCATGCTCATGCTCATGCCCATGCCCAAGCCTCCGTAACGCCCGATAATAGTCCCCCCTGTCCGTAAGTTGAATTTTTGCGCCGTCGTCATCGCCGTCGCCGCCGCTACTGCCCCAGGCCTCGTCAATCGAGAGTCGCCACCCGCTCAGGGATGACAGGCTAACACGCGGCTCGGTCAGATACGAGGACAAAGTTGTAAAAAATGGCACGACGGCGCGGATGGTGCTCATGTTCCTGCGCGACCTCGTCGAGCAGCCCCCTTTCGCTCAGGTGCCACAGACTTTCACCTGCCCAATGATGAAGTGCTACGAGAAATTCACGGTGCAGTTCCAGCTCATCCAGCATCTGTTGACCTGCCCCGAGCTCCCCAACGGCGAGTTCGACTGCGACAAGTGCAACAACTGGCACGAGTTCCCGACAGACGAGAAGGACTGGCTCCACTGGACAGGGTGGAGGTCTCAGCCATCGTCGCAAGGGCCCAACATCCAGCGAAAAACTAGCCTGGGTTCCAAAATGAGATACTTCACCCTCCGAAAGAAGGACACGTCGCGCAAGCCGAACCAGACCGACGCGGAGCTCAAGCAGGGCTTCTCCATTGACACAAGGCCAAGCACTGCTGTTTCGGAGGCGCCAAGCACCCTCTCGGATAGACAAGCGGAACAGCACATGGGGTTTCACGGGCCAACGAGCTTCGCCGGCTTCCAGAAGCCTGACGTCCATCACGGCCTTCCCGAGGTCGACCGTGCCATCTTTTGGCCGGGGTTCAGTCCCAGCCAGATGGAGTCGACGGTGTCGTCCATCGCCCCCTCTACGTTTGACACGGATCCGCCCAAGCCGGTTTCTCAAAACACGTCACAGACGACTTTATTTACTCCGAGTCTAGTAGTGCCTTACCCGACCAACACCACGTCAGCACCGCCCTCGGGCATTTCAATGGCGGCTCAACCCTTCATGTTCTCTCCACAGCCACTTCATGGCGGGACGGGCTCGCTGTCAGGACACCGGGCTTCTATATCACGCATGTCACTGGATGAGCCCGATACTCCCGGCGATTCGGCCGTGGAGCCAAAAGACAGTGCCGGTTGGTGGGGCCCTAAGCCCGAAATAGAAACACCGCGACCAACGCCGCCAGAGACTTGCTTCCACGTGCGAACTCCGGTAGCTGGGGTCCTGGCAGGGGATATCGGCGGTGACGCATCGACTCCTACCTCCCCATGCAGAAGCTGCGTCATGGACCAGCGGCATGTCTCTCCGTTCTATGGCATGCAGCAGGGATCTCTCAATCACCCCATGTCCCGAACCCTCAGCCAAGAGTCAGCGCAGGTCAGCATGTCCACTTTATATGATCCAGGGCTGTCTGAAGGCAACCAGCTCGAGGGATTCTCTCCGCACGGTGACCACAGCCAACACGCACTAGCAGCTCTGCGGAGAGGCCTCGAGTCGCCAAGCGAAGAGCTTGTCTGCGACGAATGTGAGTGGAAGCCTCGCGGTGTCCGAGAAAACCTAAAGGGGTATCTCCGCAAGCACAAGAACACACATAAGGGTGCGAGGCTAGCCTGCGACTCGCCCGGCTGCACCAAGACATTCAGCCGTCTCGATAATCTGAAGAAGCACAAGAAGGAAAAGCACGACGACTCCAGCGGCATGCTACCGCTTAAACGTGTGGCGGAAGACTACGCGGAACATATTGAAGACGACGCAGAGATAAAACGACCAAGCACGAGCGAGCTCGACATCCGCAACGTGAATGCATCGGGAGACTATTCCATGCTATGGCCGGCACTGCATTTCTAATTGCTTCCCTTTGTCATTCGGTCGCATTGCCCTATCAATTGTTATATTAGCTCTTGCCGTACGTATACGCGTTTTGACAGCGCACATTTCCTTGTGTATTAGCATTGTCGTTACTTGGTCTCTTGCCATATCAGACAGTGGCGGGTCTCATTTATTGTTCTCAGAATCAGACATGGGCCTAATCGCCTAGGCAACATGGCATTTTCTTTTCGGATACCATTGGGTTGGATAGATGGGTCTCGAGACCCAGGCGACGGAGCACACACATGGGCGGACAACGCTCAATTGCATGGTGAAAATGTCGAGTATTAATTCCACTATCTTTGTGCACACCGAGTAGACGGGCTAGGAATTTATTTCATGATAATTATTCCGTAGTTGGGATGAAGGGCAGAGATGTACATGTCATCAAGGGCTGGGCCCCAGTCATTGAGCCCCAGTCATTGAGCCCCAGTCATTGACCAGGTACCCATGACCACAATTGTTTTCTCTCGGAACATTCCGATACCGGCTGCCGAGTGCCGGCTGCCGGGGGATGGTAATTGGTGATGACAAAGTCTCCTCGGACTACTTTGACGACTCGGACTGTAACCATCAAAAGAAACGGTTAGCAACTGCGCCAAGACATGACTAGCCAGGTAAAATGTCTAGATTCGGTTCCTCTTCCGCGAGGATCCTTTCCACGACGGCCACGTTGCCGCCGCCCGGCGCCGGCTGGCTTCCTGCAATTGAAGTTATCGCCAATTCTAGGCATTTCCGGATCTAACTACAAGACTAAGCGACTGCCCTGGTGCGAAATGTCGATTTCCTGCTAGGAGCATGCACCTAGTCGGAATGCTTCTCCTATACGAGTGCCGAAGTACTCTATACTTACCTTTAGCCCAAGCACTAACAAGCAAGATTGTCAGCCTGAGAAGACCTAATTAGTTCTATATCCGGGACTGGGCTCTGTCTGATGTGCTATGACGGCAGTCCAGACGCGGCGTGGCTCACTTGGTGCCCAATGACAGTCGTTTGTTCCCTTGCTTCCTTTTTAAGTGTCTGACAGGAGTAATCGCCACACACAGCCCCGAGGAACTCGGCTGCTGGCCCCTTTATGTTAGGTGACACCGATTCTGTTCGGCCTGGTGACGACAAGATGACTTTTTTGCTGCTGAATTACGACAGCAACGAGGCATCATTTTGCGATTTTGCTTCTTTCCTCGAACACGTCCCTAGCCTGTCTGCTCCCTCAGCCAGCAGCGTCTCAGCCGTGGGGGCCACGCCACAGAAAGCCTTGGCTCGGCGATGTGGCTTGCCAAAGGAACGCAACCCCTACACCGTCTATTTACTGCATCCTTAGTAAGTGGCTTCTTGCGGTGCATGAGTTGGACATTTCCCTTGCACGGCGTGCATACGTCTATCTGCAAGGGATTGGTGCCCAAGGCAGTTGTGTACACGCTTATCGCTGTCTCATGGCCAGCTATTAAAGCCCGCGCTGCCCAGTGCTGGTGGCTGGTCCCCGCCCTCCGCCTTCACCAGGGTCGCTATATAGGCGTTCTTTTGCTTTGATTGTTGACACTTGACACCATGGCGTCTTTCCTTGTCTTTGCCGTGGCGGTCGGTCTCGCAGCCTCTTATCTGCTCACGCGCCTGCATCGGCGATACCAACGGCTGAAACACATCAAAGGGCCCCTTCTCGCCGCCTTCACGGATCTCTGGCGGGCCCGCATCCAGTTCTTCGGGCCCATCCAGCCGATGCTGCTCGGGCTCCACAGCAAGTATGGTCCCGTCGTCCGCGTCGGCCCCAACACGGTCAGCTTCAGCGACCCGGCCGACATGAGCATTGTGTTCTCCGCCCGGAGCGGCTTCGCCAAGGTACGCCTCCCTTTCCATCGGCTTGTCTCTGGATACAAGTGCGCGCAAGTAATGTGACACGGGGCTGCAGGCAGACTCGTACGGGGGGCTGCGGGCCTTTGTCGGCGGCAAGTCGGTGGGCAGCATCCTGGACATGGGCGACGACGAGAACCGGGCGGTGCGGCGCGCCATGGGCAACACGTTCGTGACCAAGAACCTGCTGTGCTACGAGGACGACGTCGACGCGACGCTCGCCACGCTGCTGCAGACGCTGCGGCGGCGGGCCGCAGCCGGCACGCCCTTCGACCTCTTCCAACTCCTACAACTGTTCCAGCTCGACTTCCTACTGCGCATGGCCTTCAGCGAGGACCCCGGCCACCTCCGCCACGAGCGCGACGTCATCGGCATCGCCAAGGTGACGCACCGGCGCGTCGCCCACTGGTACGCGTGGCAGCCCGTCCCGGCCCTCGAGCGCTTCGTCTTCCAGAACCGGCTGTGGAGCGAGCGGCTGCTGGCGCTGCTCAGCCTGCTCGGCCGCACGCCGTCGCTGACGCGCTGGCACACCGAGGGCGCCGCGCGTGTCGCCGCGCGACAGCAACAACACCAGCAGAAACAGAAACAAGAAAAACAACAGCTCGACGAAGAAGAAGACCCCAGCCACCGCCCTGACCTGCTCGCGCGCTTCTTCGCCGCCAGCGCCGCGCACCCGTCGGCCATCCGCCCCGCGAGCCTGACCGGGCTCGTCAACTCGACCATCTCGGCCGGCGCCGACACGACCACCTCGACGCTGGCCATCATCATCTACTGCCTCGCGCAGGCGCCCGCGGCACTCGCCCAGCTGCGCGCCGAGCTCGCCGCCGCAGGGCTGACCTTCCCCGCGGGCTACGCCGCCGTCGACGCCACGGCCCTGCCGTACCTCGACGCCGTCATCAAGGAAGCCATGCGGCTGTTCCCCAACTTCGCCATGCTCTTCGAGCGCGTCGTGCCCGACGACCACGGCCACCCTGCCGACCACGAGGGTGCGTGTCCGGCCTGCTGCCGCCTGGCCAATGGCAAAGTGGCGGTCCCGCCCGGCACCGTCGTCGGCTGCGCGCCTCTTGTCGTGCACCGCGACGAGGCGGTTTTCGGGGAGCATGCGGACGCGTTCCGCCCCGAGCGCTGGCTGCCGAAGCCCGGCGAGCCTGCGGATGCGGCTAGGGATAGGATTGTTGTCATGGAGCGCACGACCATGGCTTGGGGCCTGGGGAGTAGGACGTGTCTGGGCAGGCATGTCGCGGAGATGGAGATGAAGAAGGTGGTGCCAAACTTGGTGTCGGTTTTTGATGTGAGTTTTCCGTTTTCTTTTCTTTCTTTCTTTCTTTCCTTTCACGTTCATATTCCGCAATGAACTACACCGCCACGTGTTGTTCAGATTTCTAATAGGCTCTGCAGTTTGAGCTGTGCAACCCGAAGGCGGAATTGAAGTTCGAGATGGGTGTGCTGGACGGAGAGTTGAGTCCGATCATGGTGACGGTCAGCGAGAGAGTGATCAGCTAGGCACCTGGATTCACGTAACAGCCCTTGGGTTTGCATCTCATCATTGGCACTGTGTCGGTCTTCACTGTCGATTATCAGCTTCAAATCACTCCGCTGTTAGAATTCTACCTTGTCTTACGAAAAGACTTGACCACACTCATACCACTTGCCACCGTGTTGGCCTTGCTCCGCCTTCCAAGTCACAGACAGCCGCTCCAGCTTCCCAAAACTGCCCAAATGCCTAATCCTTGTTGTCTTTAGACGATGGAGTCCCTGTTTCCTGGCTCAAGAACCCTCGGTCATCTGTCCCAACCATGCCAACTTAATTATCTAATTACCTCTTCCGCAACTGTTTCGGCTTTCCTACCGCAAAATCAAACTGCCACGCCAGCGTCGTGATCTCCGATGGCCCCCAAAGCCATCAGACCCGAACTGGATGACACAGTAATCCACGGGGTAGCCACAGTAGCGGCCCCTCCGCGCTAGCTCTCGTGGCCCGGGAGCCAGGCGAAGCTGTCCGCCTAATGCGGATGCAACACAAACTCGTCCTCCTCAACGCCACAGAACCGCATCTTCAGACTGTCACCCTCCGTCCTAATCTCAAGGAAGAAGGTCCCGACGGCGTTGTAGAACCGCCCCGTGTACGCGTCCAGCAGCCGGCTCGGCTCCCCGGCCGTGCGCCCGCTGGCGAGCGCCTTCTGGAGACCCGCCATGAAACCCCGCATCTCTTCCGTGCTACGCCGGGATCGCCCCAAGATGCGCTGCTAGATGCTAGCGTCGGTGTCTCCTCTAAAGAGCGTCTCGATGAGCAGCTCGGCGATGGAGCGCGGGTTGTTGTTTGTGATGCTAGCAGCACCGAAATCGAGCTCATAGTTCCCCGCCTCCATGTATGCCGCGTAGAGCACGAGCAGGTCTGCGACGGAGCTGCGCGCGCCGCCCGCCGCAGCCATGAGACTTATATTCATGAATGTGCCATCCGTCTTGTCTTCGTTTTAACTGTATGAAAGAGTCTACCTCTAGAGTCTACCTCTTAATAACTGCAGAGACTACCTAACCAGTTACCTTGGTCAACTTTCCTAAAAATTCTCACCCGGGGGAGCCCCAAAAGGTTTTGTATGTACAAGTGTCCGCCATGCTTGCTATCATATTACTGCAGCGTGGGGAATCCAGCGCGTCGCCCACGGGATCAACCTCGCAGGGACTGCACCAGCAGTTAATCGCAGGGACTGCACCAGAAGTTAATCAGCCGCACCATTCCCCCAACATCAGTTACTTATACTCAGCATGAATGTGCAGGTAATTTGCCTAGTGGTGGTAATATCAAGTCCCGTTTCACTAGGATATCCTTAGTCTTCTTTAGGCGCAAAAACACCAGGGAGCTCCGTCTGGGGGACCAGGAACGGCTTGCCCGCAAGCCGGACCTTGGTCTGCTCCTCCAGGCAGCGGGCCACCCGGAGCAGCTCGCCCTCGCCATATTGGCGGCCAAAAATGAAGAGGCCGAACCTAAAGCGCGAGTTGATTAGAAAGAAGAGACAAAAAACAATCAGCCTTCTACCACACTCACGGTAGTCCAGGCGCGGCCGTAACGAGGCCCGACTTGGGACACACGACCACTTCGGTGTCGTCGGGATAAAACCCCAGGGGCACGACCAGCTGCGGGTTCCCGCCGATGGCGGCAAAGTCGGACAAGGCCCACGAGTTGGTGGGCGTGATGAACACGTCGCAGAGGTAGCCGCGGAGGGCGCTCTCGAGCCCGTCCTTGCCGCGCAGGCGCTCCCGGAAGGCCTGCATTTTGCCGTAGGCATCGGCGTCGAAGTTCGTGCGGTCGGCCGCCTCCTCCATGGCGGCCACGTTGCGGTGCGGGTAGTCCTCGCGGGGGTTCTGCTTGATGGCCTCGATGAGCTTGTGCAGGCTGTCGATGTTGCCTAGGCTGTCGATGTTGCCGAGCGCGTCCGTTGTCGAGTGCACGGCCAGCGACCCGAGATATTCGTCCATGCTGGCCCGGAAGTCTTGGTTGAGCACGAGGTCCTTGTCGCGCTGCGACAGCTGCGTATACTCGTCTAGCCCGCCCAGGTGCACAGGTTCGGTGGTGCGGGTCGAGTGCCATTCGAGCACCCGAACGGCTTCTCGGAACGCTGCCATCTTGGCCGGATGCCCGGCCTCGGTGGGGTCGTGGATCACACCGGTGGTCACGCCCTGCAGAAATTGCAGATTGGTGTCGCCGTCGTAGCCCGAGAGGTACTCTCGCGAGTAGTCTGGTGGTGGGGGGTCGGCTAGGGCGGTCAAGATGTGAACAACGCCGCGGACGCATCGTGCGATGGGCCCAACGACATCCTGCTGGTGCGAAACGGGGATGAGGCCGGCCGACGGCAGCAGACCCGTGGTCGGCTTCAGGCCGACAACGCAGTTTCTCTCGGACGGATTCACGATGCTGAAAATCGTCTGCCATGATTCACAATCGGGCGGGATTGGGTTAGCATTGCACTCGAATCTACTCGACGGACCGATAACTTGTTGCCAACAAAAGGGGCGTACCTGAGTCCCAATGCTGGCCGCACAGAGCCCCAGCGACACGGCAACGCCCGAGCCGCTGCTGCTGCCCGACACTTTCTGATTTTCATAGTATGGTCCGGTAACCTGACCGCCCCGGGGACTCCAGCCCGTGCTGCCGTTGGTGGAGCGGAAGCCCGAGAACTCGGCCAGGTTCGCCTTGCCGAGGATGACGGCTCCGGCCGCGCGCAGCCTTTCCACGATGTCTGCCTCCTTGCGTGGCTTCGATCCCAGGAGCACATAGGACCCTGCCGTCGACTCGGTGCCGTCAAGCGTGGGGATGTTGTCTTTGAGTAAGAAGGGAATCCCGTGGAGGATTCCCCGGGGCCCCGAGGCTTTGAGCTCTCGATCCAGAACATTAGCAACAGTCTCGGCCTCCGGGGTCGTCTCGATGACGGCGTTGAACTTGTCGTCCACCTCTTTGATCCTCGCTTTGTAGGCCTTGACAAGGTCGACGCAGCTGAACTCTCCACGGTCGAGGCCCGAGCGGAGGTCATCGATAGTAGCGTGAATTAGCTGCAACATCGTAAAGGTAGCCTTATGTGTGAGGATGCTAAAGTCGCGGGCCTCTGACAGTGTGAGCCGTGGTTGGTGGTTTGATCGGAGTCGAAGCAAGGTGCAGGACACGAACAAGAACAAGAACAAGAACAAGAACAAGAACAAGAACAAGGACAAGGACAAGAACAAGAACAAGACCAGGAACAGGCCAATATAATTTATACCAGAACAACTGTCCAATTCGAGTTCGACGTGCGTTGCACGCCTTGATTAGTTAGCAAACACAGTCATTTTCACACAAACACAATAAACACCGGATGCCACTCCATGAAACATGCTATCGTGCTCCAGGGGGAAGGTCATGCGTGACGTGATCAAAACACCTCGTGCCTGCCATCTTTCAATCTGTGTCTGGAAGTTGCTACCAAAACCTAGCCAAGTGCCTTTCTAAACACTAGGCAGTCCCTTTAGTGCATGCGCCAAATCAACACGGCATTTCAACTGGTCTCTGTAACACAGTCTGAAAGCCCAAAACTCCAGCCTTTTTATACGTGTCTTTACTTTTCCATTGCGGCGGGATTGGCACGGCGCAAACAATGGGAGAAAGCAACCAGGGGCGAAACTTTTCTTAATGTATTTCTACACTGCTCACGTCGACACTCAACGAACTCAAATCAGAAATAACAATGCAGCTGCCACGGGTGGCGAAATGGACAGCCTGCGGGCGATACTGCGACTTGCCTCACTGCCTACCTGCCTTCCCCTATACAAAAATCTCAGAGTCCCGCAATACTAGATCGAGTAACCAGAGAACAATCCAGACGAACGCACGCACAGGGGAGTCAAATTGAGTTGCGAAACCACTTTAATGCAATACAAGACAATAGCCGCAATCATGTCCCAACGATTCACATCTGTTTTGGAAATCGCAACTCCTATTCGCTAAAAACCTAATGAAAAGAACAAAATTACCAATCAAGGCCGGGCGAAACCTGACCGAAGCAGAGCCCGCAAAAGCGAGCTCCTGTGCGAGTCTTTAGTCAGTGCGAGGCCAACGATCAAGTAAGCCGATCCGCGACTCGTCATATACAGAACCCTGGGTGGCTAGTTAGGTAGGTAGGCAGACATCCATATGGTTTGAAAAAGATAAATAAAACCCCTAATTAAAACCCGGTTGTAATTAACCAATTACTTAACTAGAATTCCCGGCGAGTCACGTCCCCATGTGTCTATAATCCCACAACCAGACATTCCGGAAGGGTTCGACATCTTTGACAGTGCTGGCCCCGCGCTCTTCCTCGGCCCCAGCTGCATTCTTGTTCGCCGGGCTACTGCTACTACTGCCGTTCGACGCTCCAAGGGCCACGGTGCCCGCGGGCGGTGCTGCACCCTCCGTCTGGCTCATCATGACCAGGGCCGTTGCGGCTTTGGCTTCGAGGCTTGAGGCGGCGTGGATCTAATAACTAATTAATTAGCCGGCCAAGCCGCTCCCCGGCTGCTCTCAATTAGCATTCTCGGAGCGGCGCTAGCGGTGGTCGGTTCGTTAGTCACTTTGACTTACCGTGGAATTTCTGGCGCGCGCGGCCGAGCTATCTGCAAGCCCGCCGACGCGACGACCAGAAGAAGGCTGTTTCCTGTCCTGGCCACTTCCGCTGTCCAGGGCGCTCGATTTCGGCTTCTTGGCCATTTGCGGTGGCTGACTGGCGGATAGTGTTTTTTTTTCGGTCAGAGCAAGAGCGACAAAGCCAACCAGGCGACTTGGAAGCAGGAGAAAATAATGACCGATCTGTCTATAAGATTTGCGAGTGTAATACCCCTCGCGGGATTGATAGACATTGTTTTGACGTCGAGTTGTGAGGGGAGAACACACCCGATCGCTCGCGGGCGCTCTATTTCTAATTAATATGCAGCGCCAGACAGGCAGCCAGCCATGCAGCTTGCGAGACGATGCGCTTCACATTGGCTCACATGGCGTCAAAACTCTTGACTGGTTCTGTCAGGCGACAGTCCCTGCGAAACACGTAGGAAGGTTGGGCGATTACATGCAAATAGTTGAGGGGGGGTTTAGGGTTTAGGGTTTAGGTTTTGGGTTTTGGGTTTTAGGGTTTGGGGTTTGGGGTTTGATAGGGCACTCTGGAGGTGTGTGGCGACTGGATAAAGTGAAATCGAAATGCAATTTGAGCTAGTGTAGACTGAAGCCGTTGAACAAGTTGACACTGAAAAGCGCTGAATAGTAGGAGGCACGTAATATATATTGACTATATAACCAGTCTATGAAACAATCTTCTAGCAGACCAACACTCAAGCTTGAAAAGGCGTCGAGTCTCGCGGCTGATTTCTCCTTTATGAGCTGCTTGCTTGGTTTGCTGGCAATCAAGGCTGTACCACCGCCATCATTGGGATGAAAGTGATGAGTGAGTCGCAGTGCGGCTTCTGCATCGTGATCGATTCCGTTTCAAATCCAACAATTCACACAGCACCCATCAGCCCCCTAGCTCGGCGTTGTCCTCAGTAACCATGGCAAAGATCTTGTCTGATTTGCGGAGTCCGATATCCCACCTGACGCCCTCCATGCCCGGACGTGTCCGGACGTCGACCTGGACGTCGTAGTCGGGCTCCATGATGACCGACGCCACATTGGTGTTTGTCGTCGTGGGGAGCTTCCAGCCATTATCCCCAACGGGCTTCATGTCGAACCTCGCGATAAAGACGGCCACGAGGGCGAGGATCTCGTTGGTGGCAAAGTGCCTGCCGGGGCACAGCGTCTTGCCGCCGCCAAAGGCGCGGAAGCACACGTCGCCGCGCGGGCGGTGCTGCTTCTCGTCGACCAGGAAGCGCCGGGGGTAGAATTCGTCGACGTTGACACCCCATAGGCTCGAGTCCTGATGCATGACGCGGCTCGGCATCTGCAGCATCGCGCCCTTCTTCAGCAGCCACGCCCCGAGGTGCGTGTCCTCCATGACCTCACGCACCGACGTGCCCATGGTGCGGTACCGCAGCACCTCTTGGTATGCCGACAGCAGCAGCGGACAGCTGTCTTTGAGGGTGGCAATGTCGAGCGCTTTGACCGTGGTCTGTCCGTAGTCGTCTGCGGTGCTGGTCTCGGTGCACGCGTCAATCTCGGCCCGGATATCCTCCAACAGACTTCCATCGTCATAAGAGTGCAGCAAAAGCAGCGTCCACAGGGCCGCCGGCGTCGTGTTCAGCAAGATGGCCATGGACCCGCCTACCTCAAAGCGGGCAATGTCCTCGAGCGGCACGCCGTGATCTGCGGAGACTTGATAGCGGTTCCGGGCCAGTGCGGAGCCTTTCTCCACACCGCCAGCCAAGTAGTATGCCTCAAAAGCTTTGGCCACCTTGTTCCGTGCTGCCACGGGCTTGCGGCAGGTGATGGACGGTAGAATGCCAACCAGTATCGTCATCAAGCCCTTTTCGAAGTCCCAGAAGGCTTCGGCGACAGCGGGGTCGTCGTACGGGTTCAGGGGCCCGTAGACTGACCGCGTGGTGGCTGTCGTGATGGCATCGCGGAGCCAGGCGTAGAGCCCGAGCTGGCGAGACTGCGTGTTGGATGTGGACTGCAAAATCTCGAGCAACTTTGCAATCTCGCTGATCATGACGCGGTTCATGTCGTCGAGTTGGTCCCCGGGCTTGAGGGCAGCGCGCATAGCCGTGTACGACTGCGTCGTGAGACCATGGTCGCCGTAGTCGCCGTTGACGTTGATCTGCATTAGAGCCTGCGCCTCGGGACTTGTACCACAGATTTTGGCGGCGAACTTGGCCTCGATGGGCGGGAAGGCCAGCACGCGGTGCTGCTTCTGGACCGCCTGCACCAGCTCGGGCGATGTCACGACGTACATCTTCTGGCCCGGTAGCGGCACGGTGAATATTGGTGCGCCACGCATCTGCCGGCTGTTGCAGGTCGGTTAGCATACGTAGGAGAGATAGGCCGAAAAGGGGAAGACCATAATAACACAATAATTAACACATACCTGAGCTCGACATAGTAGTTGAATGAGGTCCGCGCCATGCCGACAATGTGGCCGATGACGGGGATTGCCTGGGGCGCCGCCGGCGGCTCACGACCGTCGTGGGCAAACATGTTTCGAGCGAACAAGTAGACAAGACTAGCAGCCCCGATTATCAAGACCACAACCGGGAGAGCATAGTCGGCGGCGGCGGTCGACGACAAGGCCATGGCGGGCGGCACAAAAAACACCTAATTAAAAGAGACAATCAATGCAGAAGTACAGTCTCGCAGCGACAAACGAATTTGAAACATGGAGAGAGAGAGAGAGAGAGAGAGAGAGCCATGTTCCCAAGTCTAGTTTGGTCGACGAGGTCATGTTATTCTTCTGTTGCCTGTTGGTTCGGTTGATTTGGACCAACTACTGACGCGACTGGTATCCTCTTCTAGCGCAGGATCTGTGCGACCAGGGAGTTCCCATCACCTGCAAGGGCAAAATGTAGACCCACTCTGGCTTACATAGCCCCCCGGCACCAACCAACCAGGTTCAAAAAGACCCTCAAAACCCTAACCCTTAGTGCGACTATGTAATAACCATGGCAATGACTTTCTTAAGCTGCCCTGGATTTAATACTACTATCCAGATGTTTTTTCTCATGCTATGGAGGATAACTAACTTGCAGTCTACTGGCCCAAGTCTAAGGGGTGCTGCGTGCAGAGGGACCAGCCGCCTGCCAGCTAAGGTTTTTTGTGCGGTGTGCGCGGGAGCTAAATCCTTGGCGCCTTCCGATGCGACTACTAAGGCGATTCGGCACCAGCCTCGCCAATCCAGCGCTTGCAACCCTGCAAGGTGCTGTGAAGTCTGACTGTACTCCGCAACTTTAATCGTCTGGTATAAAAAAGAAATTCATCCTTTCCAGTGCACTTCTCCGGCCAACAAACCTCAAGGAATAAATCCATTGGGTAAACCGCGCAGCCTTGCCCCACGCCTAGCAAAGCCAGCCCCAAAACAATTGGAATGGATCCCTTCCCGGTCAATCCCCCATGTCTGCATCCTCCTCAAGGCCCAACTTTTGCGATATATCTGCGCGACTGCTTCATCACGCTGAGGCGAATACCGTATGCACTCAAAAAGCTCGCAACCGACTAGTAGGGGTCAAGCCCAACGGAAATGCGATAAAGTCGTCACTACCGAGATCTTGCGGAGCAAAATAAGTGGAACACCCCTGCTAGTTGGTTGTGAGTTTTTTGAGTGTAAACGGTAGCCCAAGACAAATCTCTTTGGAAGGTGACTTCCGGGGGGGGTTCTGGTATTCTCATTCTCGGGAAACAAGGACTCATAAAATGAAGGGAAACCTTCAGACAAGATGCCGAGACCGACGAGCAATGACGCAAACTTAGTGCATCGCTAACAGAGAGGCTTCGCTGTTATGTCGGTCTCGCATTGGGGAAATAAATGAAATAGAACCAGAACAATATTACCTACCTAGCCCGTCCTCCACCGGCCCTCCATCGAGATATTGTATTTGCCAGAACTGGCCGAGCTCAGAGTGGTCTGTTGTATTTATTCGTGTTATGCATATGAAGGCGGGCGTGGAAATGGTAAATGATGCGCTTTTTGAGCGAGACATGATGCTTGCATCAAGCGTCAGAATTCGACATTTCAAAGGAGCATTGTTTTGCTAACAGCAACATATTGCCATCAAACCGGTTGAGAGGAGATGTCAGGTGATGGGTTGTGTCGGCAGGCCAAGTTCATGGATGTGGAATTGGACGATGCACTCGCTGGCGTGCAGAATGATGCATTGTGGATAAGTATTTCTGGACAGTTTGCACTTGTGCTGTGGTGGCAGGTGGCAACAATCAAGGAAAGAAAGGAAGGAAAGAAGGAAAAAGAAAACTCGACCCCATCTTCCTTTCGCTCTAGGTCCCATGGAAGATAAGGGGGTTTTTGGAGCAGAGGGGCTGTGAACACAACACAAGCTAGAACGGTTATTAATTACCCAAGAAACTATTTATACTTGAATGCCAATACGTAATCAGGCCGCGCGGGCAAGTACGTAGCAAGGCAGATACGACGGCGGGGACATGGCAACGGCAATGTCTTTTCCGGGCTAACGTCAGACCCAACGTCTCATCGAACCACTCGCCGCCGCTTTCGGTGCCATACACCCGACCTCGTCCCTGTGCTCTCGGGGGCGACATGCCGGACGTGCCGGAGCACAAAGTTCCCGGCTGCACATTCGCTGACTTTGCGGTCGGCTTGAATGCCAATGAGGACCTACACCATTCGACGGTAAACAATCAATCGATAGTGCTTGGAAACCCCTGCGAGACTCCCTGTCTCTGACCTCCTTTGAGATCTGCGATTAAGGGTTCACAGTGTTAATTATTACAAGGTATTTTTGGTGGTTTGACAGCTTATCTCAAGGCTCAATACCAGGTCCCATGAAAAGTCTCGAACTGAGACCCAGCTAAGTAGTGTCGGTTGATTATTCACCGTGGAATGTTGTAAATTGGCCTTGGGCCTGGCGTTGCATCTCACCGTGACATCAACAATGGCAACTCTGATTATAATCTGGAACTGGCTATGCAATGAGCACCGTCGCTCAGCTGGGGCAATAAGCCCACAATCGTGCGTGACACTTCAATATAGGTAGGGCATTGTTGTTGCCTGCCCAATTGAGAATTGTCAAATACAACACTGCATCATTTTAGGGCAAAAGAGTGCTGCTATTCGGAAGAAGGAAGAAAGTTCGGTATATCCTAGGTACCCTGCTTTATAGGGAAAATGAGGTCTTTGTTCTGGCCGGAAATGGTCAGCCGGGTCACGTGGCTCGGCTTCTTCCGACAAGAATGACCCTGACAGAGGGTAAGAGCCCCCCTGTGTAGCCCTATCGTGGGCCCGTGGCATTCATTGGGCTCGGATCTAATCTGATCTAATCGGATCGGAATCGCCAATAGCGGCTTTTGGCCCTTCCCTAGCTAGCCATCTGGGGGCGGGTGGCGCGTCTCCGTATCAACACCTCCACTGGGGAAATACATGCTAGCTTGGTACGTTACCTACTATTAGTATCTTTTAGGGAAATCTCGCTAATCACTAACTTTGCCACCTTCCTACGCTAACATGTATTACCCCGGAGGAGGTGAAGTCAGTCCACGCTACCCCCCACAAAAGCTTGACTAGATGACCTGACCCCACGTTGTTCACGAGTCATTACCGTGTTGGGTCGCTTGGGAATAGGGCGGAACTAACCCATGCCTGCCAAGGAAACCAACACCCTCTCAGGGGTTGGAAAGCCTGCAAGCCCCAGCGGGAGCCTTTACCACTCAAGCACATAATACAACAATTCAAATAATAATCTAAACAATCTCTCCCCTACCATGAAATCAACAACACACGCTACAGGCGAGGTGGTGGGATCTTTGAGCGGGGTTCGCCTTGTTAACCCAGAACTCGGGTTGTCCTCTCAAACCACTGTTCACTAAACATCCCTGCTCAGCCACATTCATTCGGTACGTAACTGGAGCCCCACAATGAGACGCCAGCATCGAAGAAACGACCACCTCAACTGCTCATGTCGTGGGCACTTCGGCAACGCTCCACCATGACCACAGCACTTCTCGACTGATTATACTGCGAGCCACCAGACTTTGAGATACGTTACCTTTTCTATGCGTTTAGAGGTGTTCGACCTGACGGGCATCTTTCGGTGTACCGCTTCTACTCAGCGAAGTTGGCTTTGAACTAGCCAGGGTCTTGGCCCACTTTTGACCAACTGTCCCTGCTTTGTTGGTGTAGTTGATCTCTTGCGCGTTCTCGCTTAGATAAGATCTCGTAGGTCATTTGATCGCGATTACCGAGAGTGTCCAGGCCAATAATAGAATAACAGAAAAGAAAAGGTGGGAGACATGGACCAGGGGCCCCGGCTAGTTCAAAGCCAACTTCCCTAAGCAGGAGCGGTAGCCTCCTTCGGGCTATGCGGACGCTATCAGCAGAGAATAGAGACAGCCCGTGGAGACGTCTTGGGCCTCGGGGCGGTCCATGATCTTGTCCACCTCTCCGCGCTCGACTGAGCAGGACAGGTCTCACCTGCCGTGTATAAAAAGGGCCCAACGGCGGCCCCAACATGGTCTGAATTCTTACCGCCATCCTCAACCGCACTTAATTGTCGCATCGTCTTCCATCGCTCACAGACAGCATTCGTCACTTCCGAGCCTTCAACAAGCCAAAAATGGTGCGTATAGGACTGCAGTGGCTCTTTAATCGTCTCATGTTGAGCCAGCTCTAACAAGGACACGCTTGTAGCAGCTCACCAGATTCACCATCGCCACCATTGGCCTTCTGGCCAGCATGGTCTCTGGCACGCCTGTCTCCGGCAATGACGTGGTTGTCAAGCGTGCCCCCAACTTTAACCTGGTCGGCTTCAACGCGGGCGACTGCACGGGCGGCGCCGATTTCGACGGTGAGCGGAGCTTCCCTCATACCTCTGCGTCGCTCTATATAGCATGGGTCACTGATTTATCCCTCTGCCTTGCACAGCGTCAGTCACCCCCGGACAATGCACGGAATTCACTCAAGCCAATCTCGGCGCCATTGCCATCACGGGTCAAGAGGAATGCGTGCTCAAGTTTTGGGAGGACTCTGGATGCACGGGCCAGGCCGTCACCTGGTTTGTCGCCGCGAACAGGCTCACTAACTACATTCCCGTTGCCGACTACAACGGCGTCTTCACCCTCGGGAGCGGCGCGAGGAGCGTGATAGCCAACTGCGCCACCAATATTGCCTAAGCAAACACACTGGCAAGCCAAACCGCATGCATGCCTGTCGCATTGCCTGGCAAAAAAGCGCGCCTACACAGTTCTCGAGCCCCGGATCGCGGCCCGAGCATGCGGAGCGCTCTGGGAGGTAGTTGGGATTGAAAAATAAAAACCCTGTCCGGACTCGGAGTACGTTGGGCGCTCAAAGGGGAAGGATAGGTGCATATAAACGGCGATAGAAAAGAATACGGACATCTGATTGTACCATCTCTGTTGCCGTTGCTATTGTCGTCGCCGTCGCCGTCGCCGTCGTGCAATTTTCGTGTGCTTTCGTAAAAGTTTCAGTCTAATAACTTACCTAGTTCATTGACTAGCGCGCTGCGCGGCTGCGAAAAAGTAGGTGTGGTGTGGACAGAAGCTAATCCCACTTCAAGAGTTTGTTCAAAAGGTCCGCAACCACAAAGAGCCACACCTGAGGTTAAAGACTTCCCATTCCCACCTCCTCCACCCTCTTGACAACTTCTCAACCAGCATCCCCAGTCTCTTGATTTGGAGGACTATCGGGCATGGTGTAACGGTAGCCCCGGGTTCGATTCCCGGTATCCGAATCTCATTATTCTTTTGCTCGAGAGGATGCACTAGAGAATGCACTTATTTTTTATTTTGCAAAGCGACACATCGCCCGGCTCCACAAGTCATAACATTGAAGCTACCCATTCGTTCTTTCCATCTCACCGAAACGGTTGCAGGTAGCTAAAAAGTTTTGGCGACTTCATCAGCAAATATGCACCAGTCAAACACTTTCGCCAAGAATTGCAAATCATATATTCGCAAATACGTACGTAATTCAGCATCGATCCTCCGCCTCAACAGACAATGCGAACAGTGCCGGTGTGGGGCGAATGTCTGCCCACATTTCCACCGCGCAATCAGAACATCAGGAGACGGGAGAGTGACGTCTTTCATCACCCCACGCGGCTGGCCGAGACCGATCGCCAGCAAATATGACGACAACCTGATAATCATCGGCATGTCATCGCAGAGAGATGCGGCCACATGGACAATAAGAACGTGTGCATCCGCCCCCGGCCAAATTTTTTGCTTCCCTCTTCATTCTGCTCAAAACACCGTCCTCTATCTTGCTCACTATACTATACCACCAATACCGCCTGCCCACCATGCCGAAGAGTCACGAGCACCCTCCCAGAAAACACCTGCACAACCCGACGGGCTACACAGACGAGGCCGCCGAAGAGTGCCACGACCTCATTGACAGGGCCGAGCACGAAGCCCACGTAAACATGCCCACCTCGCGGAATCCCTCCGCAACATGCTAACATGCTGCAGCTCTTTGATGACAACGGCCCCATGAGCGGTCCGTCGGGGGAAAAGAACATGTCGAATGACAGCAGCAGCAGCAGCATGCCCAAGAAGAAGCCCGGTCTCGAGAGCAGCAGCAGTGAGGCAAAGAGCAGCTCCTCCATCGGCGAGAAAATGGAGGGCATGAAAGACAACATGAAGGAATCAATGCACATGAACAAGTGAGGGCATTGGGAACTGCGCCCGGGTATCTAGGCTTTATATAGTCGCTTACGTGGATGTATCATCGAAAAGCAAAACACTAATGGATCTTTGTATGTCTGCACGATCGGAATATGTACAGTGCATTGTCGTGTCAAACGGTCGCCACGAGGGAAAATCTGTCGCCAATTGCCCACCCATCGGACTGAGGATCGATATAGCAATAATTGTCCGAATGTGAATATTTTCGTGTTGGTTCTGGGATTCTCCAGCATTTGATGTAACTAGCGATCATTTCCTGGTATAGGCGGGAAGTCTTCAACTGTTGGCATTTCCAATTGAGTTATCCGTACACGCAGAAATGCCAAGGGCCCATGCCGATTTCCGCTCACGGCTCTGGGCTTCCAGGTTGGACTTCAGGTAGTTATAATTAAAGTATAGTAGCCTGATTATTATTCAAGGTCGGGGATACGCCCGCGCACCTCCTAACCGTACATAGCTAGGCGATCGGATCTGTGGGGGGCCACCTCGCACTCCCCGGCGTGACTCACATCGAGCTGACGTAAGTTAGGTTTGTGGGTTAAGAACCTCATATAGAGTCGCACCTGCTGCCTGAGTCAGTGTCAACCACATACAAGTACCAAGTAATAACTTTACAGTAACCGAATCACTGGTTGGTCGCTCCTGCCTTCAAGTCTTCTAACCACGCAGTGCAATCCCAGCGCAGTTCCAGCACTCAATCAGGTTACCTAATCTTGTGGCCCTCTTACGAGGACCTCCGAACCATTGCCAGCCTCGGCAATGGCAGTCGAAACGCCGCAAGTCTCCGTCGCTGGAGCATCACCCTCGACCAATCCGCTCGACGCGTTTCGAATCGCCATCGCACGCGAGCTAGCGCGCATCACGAATCTCAATGTCGGCTTCATCTTCGCCGCCCTCGATCGGTCGAGCACCTTCGATAAAGGCGATTTGGTTCTTGCCGTGCCTCGCCTTCGCATCAAAAGCGCCGACCTCACTCCTACAGCCCAGGCAGAGAATTTGGCTTCCCAGGTATATTGGCTGTCTTATCCGGCCGGGTGCAATGGAATATTGATCTCCAGAGTCAAAAGGATGAGCGCTCAAGTTAGATCCTTGTCTAACGAATACTTGCACTTCATTAGTTCCGCGTCGAAAACTGCCCCCTAGTCAAGCAGCCAATCGCCGACGGCATAAGCCTGCAATTCTACATGAACCCTGCTGCTCTGCCCGGGATTCTCCTCCCCTTTGTGCTCCAGCATGGCAATGACTACGGCTCGGATCGTGCCATTGGCCTCCGAAAGCCAGCCGCTTCCAGCGCGGATAACAGTACTGGCAACATCGACGAAGACGATGCAAACCGCAAGACAGTTATCGTCGAGTTCTCTAGCCCTAATATTGCAAAGGAGTTTCATTTCGGACACTTGCGCAGCACTATAATTGGCGCTTTCCTCGCCAATCTCTACGAGATTTGCGGTCACCGCGTCATACGAATGAACTATCTCGGCGACTGGGGCCGCCAGTTCGGTCTGCTGGCTTCCGGCTGGGAAAAGTATGGAGACGAGGCAGCATTTGACCGCGATCCGATCCGCCATCTCTTCGAGATATACGTCAAGATTAGCGCCGACTTTAAGCCTGAGGATGTGGCGTACAAGGAGGCAAAGGCTCGAGGCGAAGACACATCGGTTCACGAGACTCAGGGCCTGCTCGGTGCCTCGAAAGCATACTTCAAGCGAATGGAGGACGGCGATCCTGATGCGCTGGCCCTATGGGAGCGGTTCCGAGCCCTCAGCATTCAGCGTTATGAGGCGACCTACGCTCGGCTCAACATTCGCTTTACCGACTACTCGGGCGAGTCCAAGGTGCGCAAAGAGACCATTGCTCGCGTGCTGCAGGTCCTTGAAGACAGAGGCATAGCGGAGCCGGACGGAGGAGCCTTGATCGTCGACTTCGCCAAGCACGGCAAAAAGAAGGTTGCCACGGCCATCCTCCGAAACCGAAACGGGACCTCAAACTACCTTCTCCGCGACCTCGGCGCTGCTGTGCAGCGTCACGACGACTACACTTTCGACGAGATGGTCTACGTGGTCATGAGCGAGCAGGAGGCGCACCTCAAGTGGCTGTTCCTAACCATGGAGCTTATGGGCGAGCCATACACGGCCCTGTCCAAAAAGATGAAGCACATCAGTTTCGGCAAGGTACGTAAATATTTCCCGGCCCTCAATCCCCCAAGACCAAACCGGCGATTTGCATTGCACTCTTCTGTGATATTACCTGCGAAACCTTTGCACCGCTAAAACAAAGTCAGGTGCGCGGCATGTCTACTCGTCGAGGCACGGTGGTGTTTCTTGACGACGTGGTCAACGACGTAACGGATTTCATGCACGAGCAGATGCGTGGCAATGCGACCAAATATAGCGAGGTGGCGGATCCGGCGCAGACGGCCGAGGCCCTAGCCGTATCCGCTATCATGGTACAGGACATGCTGGGGAAGCGGGCCAATAACTACAGCTTCGATCTACAGCGCATGACCTCCTTTGAGGGTGACACGGGGCCGTACCTCCAATACGCGCACGCCCGGCTCTGCTCCATCTCGCGCAAGGCTGGCTTCACCCGCGACGATTTGCTGGCGACGCCCTCCGATTTCAACCTGCTTCTCGCCGACTCCTCCTACGCTTGCGACCTACTCCGCGTCGTCGCCCGTTACCCCGACATGGTCCGCCAAGCCATGAAAACTCTCGAGCCCACGACCATCTTGACTTACCTATTTGCCTTAGCCCACACCCTCAGCTCCAGCTACGACCATCTGCGCGTCGTCAATCCGCCAGAGGGCCCCTCCATGTCACGCGCCCGGGCCGCCCTGTATGGCAGCGCTCGTCAGACCTTGCACAATGGCATGGTGCTTCTTGGCTTGACTCCAGTGGACCGGTGAGTGCAGCCCTGCCAGAGACTTGGAAGGATCAATAAATATCCCACGTGCGTGGCGTGTTCATACTAACCGTGGGGGCGCGCGGTAGCATGTGAAAACAAGCCTCCTCCATTTCTTGGCTAAGAGGCTAATGGCGTGCGAGGCGCTGTGGAATGCGGGCCTCCCCCTCCTAGAAGAGATTTTCGCTGCAGGGACAGCCCCTGCCCTCTCCATCATCTGTTGCTAGCTTGCTGCAAGTTCGGGTTCCTCCGAGTCGCCGGGGTCGATAATCCCGAATTGGGAGCATTGAACCGCGGAAGTAGAGACGGCAAGTGGCCGGGGTTGGGTGGTCTCGATCACTCTTTCGCCGCCGATAAGGGCTGACAGGCGAGCTAATCAGTGAGGTGCTCCAGGACCTGCCTAATCAATCCATCGTTTATCTCTCTCCATGGACCCTTTTGACGGCGGCAAAACGAGCTCGGAAGTTCTTCGTACTTGCAAGCCGACACGCACCGCCTGTGGAACACACGTCCATCAATAAAAATTTATTTGTCTACGCTGACCGAGCTCGGTAAATGGCCCACTGGCAACGCTCAAAAGCGAGTCAATATGCGATGAACATCTGTGACACCGAGTACGATGAAGTCCGACCATGAGCACTTTGAGCATCCGAGACCTCTCTCTACATAGTATGGGGGCGGCAGGATTTCTAGTTGTCAATGCACGGCATGTTGCAGTCCAACTTTCCAGGCAGGTGGATGTCGCCCGCCCGTCAGGAGTGTCATTTCCTCCCAGTCATTGGCTGGTTTTCAGTTTATCGGCAAGATACCGGCCGTGTAAAAGGCCGAGCCACCGTTGGAATGGGCCGTCGGAACCCAATTGGCGCGACATCCCTTCTAGGCTATAATTTGATGGTCTTGGGAGCACGGCATATGTAAGGCGACAACACATTCCTCCTCTTGCAACATGGCCGTTTGGAGGCGATAATAGTGAGGTAAATTCCCCATGGGGAAAGTCGTTAGTATTCGGGTAGGCGTGCTACCAAGGACCTTCCCGAAACCTCGTAGCATGGGTTACGCAGAGTCTCATCGCCGTGACCGGGCCCGGTGGAGACATGCTTGACCAGGTCCTAGACAGGCAGTTTACCCGAAACCTGCAATTAGCAACGCATCGAGGGAGCGATGGCATCAATCTCGGCCTGCATCACACCACCGGTCGTATCGTTGTCTCCATACGAAGCGGAATTTTGGGAGGATGAAGTTTAAATGGATGGCCATGGCTTGGCTGGCAAACAGGGTATTATAGAGGCGTTCGTTCGCCTGCTGCCGCCAGAAACTCTCTTGCACCCCGTGCTTGCTTGTTTTGTGCCACCTCTCTTTCCTCCCTTGGTGAGAATTGCCGGCGGCATTGCTTGCACGGAACCGACGGGTTAATACACCCCTCGCTTCCCGCTGCCAATCTACCTGGTAAAGTAGATCTCTTGCGCCCCGCGCTCTGCCATCCCAGACCCAGGTACCATAGTAGGCCAGCGACAATGTCTGCGGCTCCTCTCGGCGAGACCATCATCGGCGGCGCCGTTGACCCGGTATCGGGCAAGGTGGTTTCAGCGCCACCACACCAGGAGGTCAACGAGAAGATCCGCCTCAATGCCGCCGAAGTAGAGGCTTCTGCAGACACCAAACACGGGATCGACAGCAAGGAAGGGTACGGCATTGAGGAGATCCAGCCCGCCCCGCCCGTCTACGACAACGACAGCACCGACGAAAAGGACGACACCGATGGAGACGAAATCATCATCACGGGTACCGATGCGTCGCGATACCTGCTGTCGTTGCGCGACGACCGGGAGCCTTCTGCGACGTTCCGGAGTCTCTTCTTGGCTTCCTGTCTGTCGGCCTTCCAGGCCGTCATGAAGCAGATATACCAGGTTAGATGGCCCAGTGTGACAGGGTGATTGATGAGTAATTAGGTGATTGAGCCATGCTGACCCGGACCTTTTTCGCCTGTTATAGTTCAAGCCGACTTTAATCACCATCCAAGGAACCTTCATCGTCCTCATTGCCTACTTTGTCGGCAATGCCTGGGCCGAGCTCCTTCCCCGTGGAGATCGAATCGAGGCTCGGTGGAGGGCAAGGGGCGGCGTGGGCAAGCCTCCGCGGTGGATCAACATCGTATCCTTTTTCAACCACGGGCGCTGGAATCTCAAAGAACACGCTATTTGCGCCATCACAGCGACGTCGGCCTCCAACGCCGCCGAGGGCATCCAGGTGTTTGCCGCCCAAGACCTCTTCTACGACCTGCCCCTGAACGCCGCCACCGTCGTGCTGTGCGTCATCTCGATCGGCCTCTTCGGATATGGCGTCGCTGGAATCATGCGGCCCATCGCCGTCTGGCACGTCGACGCCGTCTACTGGAGCACGCTCCCGACGGTCAAGACACTACAGGGCCTCCATTGGCAGAGTGTAAAGGACAACAAGCCCATCCGGTGGTTCTGGATCGCCTTTGGCGGCATGGCCTTTTATGAGTTCTTCCCCGCCTACATTTGGCCGTGGCTCAACTCGGTCTCCATTCCCTGCCTGGCCGCGATGCACGCCACCGGCAGCAAGGCAGCGGTCCTGACCAACCTCTTCGGCGGCGCCACCAATAACGAGGGCCTTGGGCTTTTCAGTGTGTCGCTCGACTGGCAATACGTGAGTCTCTTTGAGCAATTTTCTGGGTGTGGTTCATCCTGGCTAATTCGATTTCCTTGCAGATAACCTCCTTTCAAACGGCTCTGCCTCTCAACCTGCAGATCCACCAGGCCGTCGGCTTCTTTGTCTGCTTCATCGTCATGCTCGGCATCTACTACGGCAACGGCTGGGGCGCCAAGTCGCAGCAGTTCATGTCCACGCGACTCCGGACTGCCGAGGGCGCGCCGTACATTGCCTCTACTGTCTTTGTCGACGGCGTGCTCGACGAACAGAAGCTCGCCGAGTACGGTATCCCAAGACTGACTGGGACATTTGCGTACTCGATGTTTATCGCCAATGCTGCCGTGAGTAGCCATCTTGAAACTTTGGCGCAGCCCCGTTTTCGCATGTGGACTGACCACCTGAATAGATCGGAGCGCTGATTGCCCATTGCATTTTGTTCTGGGGCGGAGACATTTTCCGGGCGTTCAAGAGCGCGAAGAACGGGAAGCACGATGATCGCCATCACGAGTACATGTCCAAGAATTACAAGGAAGCACCGTGGTGGTGGTACGTCGCCATCCTCGTCTTCAGCTTCGTCCTCGGCCTCATTGCCGTCCTGAAGACAAACATTACACTTCCCGCCTGGGCGTACATTGTCTCGCTGCTGCTCGGCATAGTCATTGCACCCTTTGTGAGTGGTCCTTGTCCACCGCGCTTTGCCTGCCATGGTTGCTCACATTCAATCTTTTCCAATGCAGAGCACCATCCTCTACTCTCGGTATGGCAACGGTATCGCCACCAATAACCTGTCCAAGATGTTGGGCGGTCTGTTGATGCCTGGGCGCCCAGTTGGCAACATGTACTTTGCGGCATGGTCGCATAACATGATTGCGAACGCCGTGAACTTGTCCAATGACCTGAAGATGGGCGAATACCGTAAGTTCCTGATTCTGCCTGTGGCTCTGGGAATCTCTCTGATTTTTCGGGTTACTAACGCGCCGATTATCAGTCAAAATCCCCCCTCGCGTCATGGTCCTCACTCAAGTCTATGGCACGATTCTGGGCGGGTTTGTCAACTACGGCGTGATGAGCTCCATCGTGGGCAGCAACCGCGCGCTCCTCCTCGACAGCGACGGAAACAGCTCCTGGAGCGGTGCGACTATACAGTCGTACAACACCAACGCCGTGTCTTGGGCGCTGGCCAAATACCTCTACAAGGCCGGCGAACTGTACGAGCTGGTGCCCTACGGCCTGCTCATCGGCGCGGGCCTGGTCGCCATCCACCGCCTCATCACATACGTGAGTAACTCTCTCATCGTTCCGAGCCGGATTTTAGGGGCGCCCTACTAACTCTCGGCGTTTAGTTTATCCCCAAGGTCAGGGGCTTCTCGCTCAGCGAGATCAACCTGCCGCAGTTCATCCAGTACGCCGGGTACATCCCGTACAACCAGTCGCAGACGTGCGTGCTCTTCAGCTGGGTCATCGCGGGCTTCTACACGCAGTTCTACCTGCGCAACTACAAGCCGCGCATCTTCAAGGACTACTCGTACCTCATCGCCGGCGCCTTCGACGGCGCCAGCCTGACGGTGCTCTTCATCCTGTCCTTTGCCGTCTTCGGCGCCGGCGGCCCCTCGGTCCCCTTCCCCAGGTGGTGGGGCAACAACGGCGTCGACGGTGACGCCAACTACGATTTCTGCCCCGTCCCCGACACGTAGTCGCAGCGCGGCGCAGCTGGTGTGCTCGGTGGCTCTCTCTTGCGTTCAAGGCGGAAATAAAACAAACCAAAAAAAGGGGGTCTCGCACGCGCCACGGGCCACTACTCGTTGCTATGGCATATTGCTTGATATCTTCCAGTAGTGGTACCCCGTTGTGCCGTAGTGACCGGCCATATTCGTTCTGGGGGTGGCTACCTAGGCAGATGGGCAGCCATGCTCATTTTGGCAATGCGTTGGTGGTGGCCATTGCTGCTGGGGCTTACGAGCTTGCACTTTCGGTCTAGACCTACTAAATAATAGTTGGTAGTTAATTGCCTTGCGAGGTTTCTAATATAATTGCTCTAGTCGCATTGCATCTCGCCGCAAACCCAAAGTCGTCATTCGTCAAGCCCTTATCTACCAAGAAACCAAAGGCAAAGAAGGTGACTTTCAACGACCCGATTCTCCCCGAGGACATCTCTCCTCAGGAAATGCAAGCAATCGAAGAGGCAGTAGACGAGGCATCCGAGGTGATCGAAGTTCAGCGGGGCCAGCGTCATCCCATGTCTCACATTGTAGCCATGGACAAGGTTAGAGTGAAGCCCCCGATATGCGCCAACTCAGCCTTCAGCTGTTGACGAACCCTTCCAACTTTTCAGGATGAATCACGTGGGACCCTAGGTTCCCTGTGTCTAAAGTTGGAAATACCCACCTTTTGGTCATTGTGGACCATTTTTCAAGGTTCTGCTGGGCCCGTACGGTGAGGTCCGCCAATGCTACCGAGGCAGCGGGAGCCTTTCTGAGGTGGTTAGACGTGACTAATACCGGGGGATTTTCCAAAATTTGAGAGGCCTTGAAATCTTACGGCTCGCCCTTAATGTTTTCCGAAGAGACAGGTAATAGATATCAAAACCCGTATTAAATAATCCTAGACGCCTGTCTCTTTTAGAAATACTCAACAATTAAAGCTTTTCTGTGGGAACTACCAGTCAATCAGAGGATGCAGTCGCACGTGATTGGTCAACAGGCTGCACAGCCTCAGTGGCTGACCACCACGCGGGCCGCTATGCAGCACGTGCGCGAGGCGCACCACCCCTCACGTAACCTCCTGCATCGCCAATTCCAACGCGCATCCTATCCCCGTAGTTCGTGACCTTAGAGATAGAGCAGACCAGAATACAACCACCACACCACCCCATTCGCATCGGTTACTGCAGTGACTATGGAACGAATGACCTTGTCATTCCAACATTTTCCTAGCCCGTTTATGGATTATAGTATTTAACCTTTATATATATCTTAGTATAACGTGTGTGATAAGCGAGATGAACAGACAAGCGAGTTGAACACTTTTGACGCGACGCGCCTCCTCTCTACAAAACACCAAATTCCTCAACAAACTCAAATGTCTCTTCCTTCATACGAAGCTAGGGTGAATTTGGCCCTCAGGGCTATTCAAAACGACCCAAAACTCAGTATTCGAGCTGCAGCAACAACATATCAAGTCACGGTAAATACTATACGCAACCGACGCGACGGCAAACCTGCACGACGTGATACTCCAGCCAATTCGCGTAAGCTTACGGATTTGGAAGAGAAAACGATTGTTCAGTACATCATTGAGCTATGTGCGCGCGCATTTCATCCCCGGCTTTCGTACGTAGAAGATATGGCCAATCGATTGCTACGCGAACGCGACGCGCCCTCTGTCGGTACACGCTGGGCTCACAACTTCGTCAAGCGCCAGCCAGAACTTCGGACGCGTTTTACGCGTAAATACGACTACCAGAGGGCCAAATGCGAAGATCCAAAAGTTATTCGCGAGTGGTTTGCGCTTGTGCACAACACGAAGGCCAAGTACGGTATCCTTGACGAAGATTTGTACAATTTCGACGAGACCGGCTTTATGATGGGCATTATCATCCCCGCTATGGTAGTTACTACCTCTGATGGCCGTGGTAGGGCTAAGCAAGCCCAGCCTGGTAATCGAGAGTGGGCTACAGTCATCCAAGGAGTGAATGCTCTAGGCTGGACTATCCCACCATTCATTATCTTAGCTGGGCAATATCACCTTGCTAACTGGTATCAAGAGTGCAACCTTCCGGGTACCTGGCGTATCGCAACAACCGACAATGGCTGGACTACTAATGAGAAAGGCATGGATTGGATTCGGCACTTCGATTTCCACACAGCATCTCGTACGAAGGGAATATACCGACTGTTAATTCTCGACGGCCACGATAGCCACCACTCCGAAGAATTCGAGACTTACTGCCGGGAGCACAACATCATCACACTCTGTATGCCTCCGCACTCTTCACACCTACTTCAGCCATTGGATGTTGGTTGCTTTGGGCCGTTGAAGAAGGCGTACGGCTGTCAGATTGAGCAGCTGATGCGGATGAACATCACACATATTAGCAAGCTGGAATTTCTTTGTGGGTTTAGAGAGGCGTTTTTTGCTTCGGTTACGGAAAGGAATATCCAGGGGGGGTTTGCTGGAGCCGGCCTTGTGCCGTACGATCCAGAGAGGGTGATATCCAAGCTGGATGTGCGTATTCGGACTCCAACACCCCCAGCTACAAGCCCAACTACATCGCTACCTTGGGTCTCCCAAACGCCACAAAACCCGAGAGAGGCTGCCTCACAGTCAGCGTTCATCAAAACTCGAATTTCCAACCATCAGGGCAGCTCTCCAACACCAATGCTGACTGCTGTGGATCGATTAGCCAAAGGTACGATGGCTATGATGCACGAGGTGGCTCTTTTGCGTACAGAGGTCTCAGCACTTCGGAAGGCCAATGAGGGGCTTAGTAAGCGACGGAGAGCCAAGAAAACACGTGTTCGGCTTGGAGGATCACTTACTGTACAAGAGGCACAGGATCTACTGGATCAGAAGGCTGTGGGTGGGCAGTTGGTCCAGGAAACACGACAAAATGGTGGTGGTGCAGGGGGGTCTCGTACGAAGATTCGATGCTGTGGCGTATGCGGCAAGCCTGGCCATAATGCACGTACGTGCAAGGAGGCTGCAGAATCGTCTGATTCATCTGTTTCCGATTCAGTTATTGTTATTTCCTAGTGTTGTGGTTGTGTAATTGAGGGTAGTTGTGGTGAGGTTGTGGAAATTGTTCAACTCGCTTGTCTGTTCATCTCGCTTATCACACACGTTATATTTAAGGATTTATGTTACGAATCCTTGTCGAAATGCGCAATAGTGGGGGCATGCTCAGTTTGGTGCGGACCAATCAGGAGCGTCCCATGGAAAGAACCAATTAGGAGTGTCCCTGGGTCCCGAGGTTCGGGACCACTTAAGGTCGGGGACGCGGGACAGTGTCCCGCGCGCCCGGCGTCCCGAGACCGCAAGTCTCGGGACCACGGGCCAGTGGGACCATTGTTATTGGTTACACAGTTAGATATATACGATGACCGTACCCACGGTCTTAGATGGTTCTTGCTTGGTTCTTTAAGCAAGCAATACACATTCACTGCACTCATATACTTTAAGTGGCATTCCGATTTGACTGTATTACCCGTGCGATAAGAGCTTGCCCTTTGTTCTATCTTCATAATTACCAACCCCAGCATCCTGTGGAGCCCGTGCTCCCTTACAGACAGACGACCCTAACAGTCGAGTGGTTTGTAATATTATTCTATGGCAGTAAAGACCGGTATCCGTAGTAAATAGTATACGATTTCTATTGCTCGGATGCGAACTCAGTGTAAGGAAAGGACAACCCAAACACCAGCCGCGCGCACAGGGTGCGCGCTCACCACCTGTTACCAACTGGCCGGAACACTGCCAGTTGGCACAAGCCACTACGCCACGCCATGGCGCCCCGGGCCTGAGCCCCTGAGCACGTATATAAACAGTGGCCCTCGCCCACCTTCCTTTGCGAGGGCCAGGTTGAAGTCTCACACCAATACTACTCGTTGCTCGCCCACCTTCTTACCTGCATTGTGACTGTCACGGCCGGCTTGGAATGAGGGCGGAACTCCTCTATTGGGCGCTATAGACGAAGATTCTAAACTAAAGGGAAAAGGGAAAAGAAGCTCAAAAGCCTCCCCTCGCGAGATTCTTCCAGGGCGTCTCAAGGTGGGGGGGCTCTGGCTGGTCGGGTGGATCCACCCAACTGGCGTCTGATTAGTCAGAGCGTCTGGGAGGCCTGGAGGACCAGGCCCTCACACTACCCCCCTCCAAGCCGCGACTGCCGTGACGGTGGTCGTGGCTTTGAAGAGCGGATTTAAGCGTGCCTTCTAGTATACTTCCTCTTTTGCCTTGCCTTATACCCTTTGTGCTCTGCCTTGTTATCCTCTTCGTGGTCCTCCGGATATTCGTCTTCTGCTGCTGCCTTTATCCAATCACGCAGCCTCACTGGAGGTCCTGCGGCTTCGGGGTATTCTCGATGAAAACTATCCAGCGCCATAGCTGCATTCTTGAGATTCTCTGCCTTATACCAAGTATCGTCGGGGTCGTGCCCCTTCCAGGCAACTTGGTATTGTAGGGTCTCTCGTTGGCCAAACAGTCGAAAGGCATTAATCCTCTCAACTTCCCACTCTGGCTCCCCGTTGATCTCCTCAGGTGGTTCCGGTAAGCTGGTCTGTTGGGGTAGGGGACTGTCATCAGCCTTACGTAGCCGATCTGCATGGAAGAGGTTCGTGCCTTTGACATAGGGCGGAGTATCCAGCACAAAGCTATGTCCTCGTTCCTCCACGATCTTCCATGGTCCTGCCCACTGTGAATCCAACTTGGTACTCGGGGCCTCTGTCCTCATACCCTTCTTGCTCACGTATACCAAGTCTCCAATGGTGAAGTCGACGGGACGTCGCTTCTTGTTCGCTTGGACGGCTTGGGCCGCTTGAGCTTCTAAGGCATTCTTCCTTGCCAGGTCTTGTACCGCTTTGGTCTGGGTGACGAGCTGTAATGCTTTCTTTTGCGGGTCGGTCGAGGTATTGAGGTCTAGGATATCAATAGAGAGGGGGTTCCGTGGGGTGGCTCCCAACGCGACTTTTAACGGGGCCATGCCGATGCTCGAATGCCAGGACACATTATGGGCGAAGTCGAGTGCCGGTAGGTACTCGCTCCAGGTGTCTTGGTACTTGGTGAGGTAAGGCCTCATTCGTTGGTCTAGATCCGCGTTGGTGATCTCCACGGCGCCTTGCGTCTGTGGGTGGCGAGAGCTGCCGTGACGGTGTTTGGTCCCGGTCAGCTTATTAATTGTTTCCAGAAATTCCGAGATAAACGGTCCTGCATTATCGCTAATCCAGACAGCCGGGATACCAAAGAAACGGTATACCTTGTGGAAGTAGCGCTCTGCCAGATCCGG